GAATCTTTCATAACATTGATAAATATGTCTGTCCCTGTATTCTTTGATCTCTCGGGTTTGTTGTAGCTTGCTCCGAACTCCGATGCAGATTGGAAAACTCATTTTACCCATCGAAAAACAGAGGCCAAACTCTTTCAAATTTTTTTTAAAGAATAAATCAAACTTTATATTCTAAATCTACTATAAAAATACTTTCTATTTATCTAATTTTTATTAAAATCTAACAAGGTTTGATATTTTATTTTATTTTTTTAATATTAATCTCTATTGCAAAAACTTAGAAAAAAAAATTGTGAAAAACAGCCACAACCACTATCATCGAAAAAAATTTAACATTTAAAAAGTTAGATATTTTTTTGCAAACCTTTCTAAAATATTTTATTTTGGTGGTATTTTTTTGATATCATCTTTAAGTTATCTTGGATTTTATTGGCAACACCTATTTTAAACAAACAATTTAAATGGTGATTGTTAGTTTGTCTAATAACTTGTTGTTGTGTGATGAATTAAAATAAATAAATATTATACTACTATTTTGACAATAAATATTAAGAATCTATTAGATGAATCATATTCACACTATTTCTGTTTCTTATTGTTACAAAAATAATAAATATTTCAATTTAAATAGATAGACATAAACCAAAATAATAATAAACAAACCAATTATCAAAATAAATAAATAAAATATCTAATAAGATTGTTTTTGTTTTTTAAAAAATAAATAAATAAATAATAACTATCATATCATACTACTATAGTATATATAAACAACATTGTTATGTTTATATTAAAATCATCAATATACTACGACCATAGCTGCTACTAGTTAGTTACATATTATAAATAATAATAATAATAATATAATAAATATTAAAAACAATAACTTTGTAAAAGTTTAAAGTAATAATAATCTTAATTTATTAAATAATAGTAATAATAATGTTAAAAGCAAGATCATATAGCAATAATCTTTGTATATTACTAGTTTTAATATTATCGTTTGTCGCTTGTAAGTTAAGATTTAGGTTTTTATTTTTTTTTTTCAAAATGGGAAATTTCATTAGTTGTTAACAATTTAATTAAATTAAAGGCACATTTGGAGAGAATGATAATTCACGTGATATACCCGGTCTAAGAAATTCAACATTCATTATAATTGGTATTATAGTTATTGTTTCACTGATATTATTATTGGTTTTATTCATCTTTTATTGTCGTGTTCAAGAGGAGAACTCGGTTGGTGCTGCTTTTGGAAGTGGTGGAGGTGCTTGGTCATCTGACCTACTCAAAAAGAAAGAAAGAAAAGATGGTTTAAAACCATTGTTGGATTATGATTCTAGTACCGATGAAGATGACTTTAACTCTACTAATTTTAATGATGAAAATATCGTATAATCATGGTGATGATCATTGCATCATCATCATCACATCAAATACAATACAACATTAAGTCAAGTAAGCAATCAAGCAATCAAGCAATCTAGCAATCAATTACAATCATCAATCACAACATCCGAAATCATAGTTTGACAAACAATTAGATAGATTCAGTTAGAGTTTCTAACTCACAGATAAACCAATAATAGATAATTATTAGTTTATCATATTTATATTTCTGTTTTTTTTTTAATTATTATTATTATTGATAATTAAAAAGTTAATATTTATTTATGTTTCTTTATCTTAATTTTTTCAAGTGAATAAATAAATCAATTAATCTTTTTATTTAAAAATATATATTTATATATTTTATATTTGGATGTATGGTCACCAAATATGGTTATATGATTGTTTATATTGATTTAAATGTTTCAGTAGGGTCTGAGGAATTCATGATTCAATGCTTCGGTTGGTGTAATTCTCTTCTCTGGCTCCAAGGTGGTACATCTTTCAATGAGGTCTTTGAGTTGATGGAGTTTCTTCATTTCAGCCTCTGGTAGTACAGTTCCATTAGGATTGAGATAGTTCATGAAATCTTTTGTTGGTTTTGTGAATTCAACCGGTGTTTTCATTGTCTATAAATATATATATATATATATGTATAGAGTTTGTAAATTAGTATGTATAATAATAATAATATTGAATGTTATTGTTATCGTTTTACATACCTTATGTTCAACAGGATCACGATCTTCTTTCATAAACACAAAAGAATCGTTGAAATGTTTCGATACAAACTCTGCTTTCTTTAGCATCTTCTTTGTGAAAGGACCTTTGTACTCGAGGAACAATCTGATCATATCATTATTAGACTTGCCAGGGAACATGAATTTACCGGTATACAACTCTCCCAAGCAACAACCAACACTCCATACATCGATTGCATAATCATATTTCATACCTAAAACTATATATATAATATGTAACATAAGATGATTATTGATTTTGTATTAGTTAAAGTTAATAGTTGTTTTCAATCAAACAAATACTACTTACTGATTTCAGGTGCTCTGTAAAATCTACTAACGAGATAGGGTGTGATCTCTGATTCGTGTGGTTCACCTGCTGATCCGAAATCGCACAGCTTAATGGTGTTCTTTGCTTCGTTGACCACTATGTTGTCGGGTTTGATATCAGAGTGAAGAATCTTACAGTTTCTAATGTGCTTCAATGCCATAAACAATTGTTTTGCATACACTCTAACAGCATTCATACTCAAACCAACATTCTTACCAAACTTCTTTATCAACTGATGTAAACTCATACTAAATATAAACATATTTAATATATTAAAATAAAATTAGTAAGTGAATAACACAATGATTAATGGAATCGATAGATAAACATACCTCATAGGTTCAAATACAATACAAAGATGATTTCTATAGGTAAATGAATCTTTGAATTGAATACAATGATTTCTGTGTTGTGGATCTTTAGAGTTGGCGGCGGCGGTGTTGTTGTTGGTGGATGTAGTTGTGTTGTTGATCTTTTGGAGTATTTCAACTTCTTTCTGACCGGCACGATGCATCGACGGTCTGTTTCTTATGATCTTTACGACTACATCTTCATTGTTGTTCACATTCTTGGCTGTAACTACCGTACTGAACACACCAGAACCGATCGGTGCATAGATCTGATACTTGTCAATGATTTCACCAACTTTGTACTTGTAGTAACCGTCTTGATCGTCCCAGTTATCAGTGAGATTCAGATCGTTTGCGTTGTGAGCGGATTGCAAGTTCATCTCCAGTGCCATTTGATCGGCTGCTGATTCATCGGTTGGCGAATCGCTAAACATATCAACAACAGGTGGTGCCGACATCTTGTTTGTTGTAGTGGTAATTGGTGGTGTAGTAGTAGTACTAGTCTTCACCAATACATTTGTTTTAACTTTCAAATCGTTGACATCTATCTTTCCACGTTTCTGCAAGTCTTCTTCGGATGAACATGATTCCGATTCGTCTTCATTCTCTCCGTCGCCATTCTCAACGTTGTTATTATTATTATTGCTTTTCATCCATTGGAATTCACTTAAAGTATCATCTTCATCTTTTTGTTTATCTTTTTGTTTTTCTTTTTCTTTGTCAATTGTCTCTTTTGTAGTAGTAGTTGTTGTTGTAGAAATAGTAGCAGAGGTTGACGATTGTTTCTCCATTTGTTCTTGTTCGTATTTCTCTCTGATTCTCTGTCTTCTTAATCTACTCTCCTCCAGAATCTGTCTCTCTCTTTCCTCTTGGTCCTCTTTGGTGATGACAGCGACTGTATCCAATGGTGAGGAAGACGTTGATGAATTTGTGGTGATTGCCGGTTCTTTCTTATCAATATTTTTCGTTGATGATTGTTGTTGTTGTTGTTGTTGCTGTCTTGATAACTCAGTAGATGAATTCGATGATGATGATGATGTTGACTTTACTTCAATCTTTGATGCACTATCTTTAACTGAATACTCGCTTGATATCATTTCACTATCTCTCTGTCCATCATTATTGTAAGAGTATGTTGATCTATCTCCATTTCTACTACTGTTGTCATCTCTTCTATCGCCTCTACTATCGCCTCTACTATCTCTATCTCTATTATCTCTATCATCTCTTCTATCTCTGTTATCCCTACTTCCACCTCCACCACCACCTCTACCGGTATCTTTCATGTTTCTATCTCTATGGTTTCTATCTCGATCATCATCTCTTCTGTCTCTATTATCTCTATCATCATATCTTCCACCTCTACCACCTCTTCCATAGTCTCTATCTCTATCTCTGTCTCTATTATCATATCTTTCTCTATCATCTCTTCTGTCCCTATCTCTATTATCATATCTATGTCTATCATCTCTTCTATCTCTATCTCTATCTCTTTCCCTCTCTCTTTCTCTTTCTCTTTCTTTTTCTTTTTCCTTTTCCCTTTCTTTTTCTCTTTCTCTTTCTCTTTCTTTTTCTCTCTCTCTTTCTCTGTCTCTGTCTCTATCTCTATCTCTATCTCGATCCTCTCTTCTATCTCTGTCATATGATTTATAGTCTCTGGTATCTCTATCTCTGTTATCTCTACTATCTCTGTTATCTCTATATCGAGATGGTGAAAACGATTGATTAGATGAACCTTTTGATGGACTATTCATAGTATTGTTGTTGTTATTATTATTATTATTATTATTGTTTTTATAGCCTGCATTGGAGGATGATTGATGATTGTCGATGTTTCCAGTCGGTGGAATGGGTGGTGTTGATGTCGCAAATTCATCAAGTTCACCTTCCTCTACGTCATCATTGTTTGGTTGTTTCACTCTTTTATGACCGAGCTGTTCAGTACTACCATCATCATTAATGCTACCATCATCATCATCCTCTTCCTTTCTCTTTCTGCTGCCACTATTAACACCATCAACAACTACAGACTCTTTCATTTTTGTTTTTTTTTGTTTTTATTAATAACAATAATAATAAAAAGCAAACAAAAAACAAAACAAAACAAAAAGTTTAATATAAATTATTTAATATTATAAACAGTAGTAGTAATAGTATATATATATATATATAATAGAAAGAATAATAAATAATTGAATATGAAAGAATAATATATATACAAGTTTATTATTTACTCTTTTGTTTTTTTTTTTTTTAAAGTTATGTCTATTTGCTTAAAATTTATTTATTTATTTTTCATACGATATCTAATCTTATTTATATCTATTAATAATGATTTGATTATCAACATCAAAAATGAATTGTTGCAATATTTTTTTTTGTAAAACTTTCAATAATCGTTTAACAAGATATTGAAAATTTATTTTTTCAATTATATTGTAAGTTAATTGCTTTCAATTCAATTTAGATTATAAAAAAATAATATATTAAAAAAGGGTGAATTCTCATTCAACAACACTTATCCTCAAACATGTTAGCAGTTTAATTAAAATATACATATTTAGTAATTTTGTTCTACTTCTCTCATTCTATTTAACTATTTTAAATACCAGTGGGTTTAAATTGATTTGATTAATTAAATTTTTCCTTTTTAGGAGTAATCGTTGTAACAATAGTTTTTAAAACCCCATCACTTACTTCCTCTAATTCTTTGTAGCATCAAATAAAAAATAAAATTTTATCTCTCCAAGAATTAATATCAAATTCTTTTAATATGGTTTTCATATAATCATATTAAAGAAAAGTTTTAGAAGTTTATTTTTCTACTTTACCCTAGTGAGATGTAGATTGCAATTATTGGTTCAGTAATTCCTCATTAATTTTTTATTATTAATGATTTTCTTAATGTTTGAAGTAGTATCAAATACTTTTTAATTATTTAATAGTCAGGATTTTGTTGAATGGATAAAACTTCGATTTCAAAAATCAATGTGGAATTTGGAGGAATTCCTTGAGTTCCTTTTACTCCATAGGCCAAATCTATTTAAAAAAATATTTATTTAATTTTGAGGCACCCAATTATTTAAGTAAAAGAAATATTTACCAGAAGATATAGTTAATTGTGCAATTTCACCAGTTGACATCTGAGAAAGTCCTTGATCGAATCCTCTAATTACTTGACCTATTTTCAAGAATGAATAAATAAAACTATACTTTTAATAGACAATTGATTATCTAATAATAATACCTAATCCAATTCTAAAAGTAAATGGAGTACCTTTCTAAAACAATTTTTAATAATTTAGTTATTTGACAAAAAAGAAAAAATATATTATCTAACTTACCATTACAGAGGAATCAAATATTGTACCGTTAGTCAATCTACCTGTATAATGAATAGTCACAACATCACCTGTTTTAGGTTTTCTTCCATCACCATTTCTGATCACTCTTACCCTTATACCCTAAAAATAATGAATTAGAATAAATAGATTTCTTATCTTTTTTTTTAATAAATAAATAGTACCATTTTTAATAACAAAACTTTCGAACAGTATAATAATAATAATAAAGAAATAGTTAGATGATAATTGTCTCTATCAAAAAATAGAATGAATGAATAACATTATTGATAATGGGTTGTGTGACCAGAAATGAATAAAAAATGTAGTGTGTTTTGTTGTGTTCAACAATGAATGAATGAATAAGAGTAGGGTGTTGTGTTTTGTTTATAAAAAAAAAGGGTATCTTATTCACTAATTTCAATGCTTACAGCAATGTTTAATAAATGTTATGATTTTTTTTTTATTTATTTTATTTAAGCTGTTGATATGATGATATTTATTTATCTATTTGAATGAGATCAACTCGACTTCGAAGATCAAAGTGGCATTTGGTGGGATGAGACCTCCAGCACCACGTGCACCGTATCCAAAGTCTGGGGAGATGGTAAGCTCAGAAACTTCTCCAACTGAATTATAATTTCATAACGTTAGCAAAGAGTGTTCAATGATAAATGTTTTAAAACTTCTATTACTACTTACCTGACATCTTTAAAGTCGATTTCATATGAAAAAACAATAACGAGTGACATTTCAAAAAAGATTGAATATTTTAAGATTAAAATAAAGTGTTAATACTGATAATAGATCTTATTTGTTATTTGTTAGATTATAAATGCAAACCTGAAGAACTCCTTCATCCCATCCTCTAATGACTTGACCTATATATATATATATATATATATAAATATTAGTTTATTATGATAATTTCTTTCATTTATAATGACAGAATACTTACCAATACCCAAAGTGAAATTGAAAGGAGTGTTTCTCTGAAATGTTCGATATATTCAATAAGTTAGTTGAAAAATTGGATATTCATATGAAAATATAAACTTACCTTGTGTGATGAATCGAAAACGGAACCGTTTGTAAGTTTACCGGTGTAGTGTACAGTCACTGAATTTCCTTTGACTGGCTTTGAACCATTACCTGGCTTAATTACTTTAATATCAACACCCTACAGATATCAACCATTAAATTGAATGAATACTATTGTTGTTTTGTAATATCAACTTACCATTATATATTATAAATTTAGATTCTAAGGAAAATTGTTAATGATGTTCAAATTTTTCATGATGTTTAATTTTGCTGGGTGGTGTGTTGTTGTGACAAAAAATAAAAAAAAATAAAAAATAAATAAAATTTGCTTTCGGATCAACATGGTCTAACACTAAAATTATTAGCTTGTGATTATTAATTGAACTTTTTTTTATTTAGGCGATGATTGATCATTTTATATCAAAGATAAGACTTGAGATTTCTTAAGTGTGTTGTAACACTCTTGTTTGATGATCACCGAGTGATGTTGATTTTGTGCCATTGGAAAGGAAGGTACAGGTACTACAAATCATCTACAGATACATAGAGGTGATTGATTAAGTCTGATTATTGAAGAAGACTTTTCAAATACATTTTCATTGGCAACATTTTACTACTTTCTTTATTAACTATTCGATTGCAGCGTTGATTTAAATGTTTGGGTTGTATCTTCATGTATTAACACATTTTATTTAATTAATATTTGGTGACCAAAATGATGTTATGATGATTGTTTATTTAAAGGTGATTAATTCAACTTCGAAGATCAAAACAGAGTTACCTGGAATGACACCTGGGATACCACGAGCTCCATATCCAAGATCTAAATAGTTTAAAATGAAAACAAAAGTAGTTTTATAGATGATGAACCAAAAGTTATATTAGAAAAAATGAATATGAATTGATTGATTGATTGAATAATGATAATTACCTGGGGTGATAGTAAGTTCTGCCTTTTCACCGACTAGAATAGATTTTCATAGTAGTAGAGTTAGTTATGGGTATGTATGGGCATTCCAATGATAAAAAGATATCTATATATAGCTATTAATTACTTACCTGACATTTCTGCAACACCTTGATCCCAACCCTTAATTACTTTACCGAAACCAAGTTTGAATGTGTAGGGTACACCTTTCTTGATAGAGTTATCGAAAATGGTACCGTCCTTCAATTTACCAATGTAGTGAACAGTCACAGTGACACCTTTTGGTGGCTTGATTCCATTACCTGCTTTAATAACTACCTTATCTACACCCTATAATGTTCATTTTCAAAAATAGAGATATATCTATTATTAATAATCCAATCTAAAATATCTAACATATTTAACATATCATAAGATTTATTTATCACTAACCATTTATATATATATAATTTATCTTTATCGAAAGAACACAAACTGAAAAAAATATTTTATTTTTATTTTTATTTTTTAGTGGTCACTCTCTGCTCTGCTGATCAAACAACCAAAAAAATAGTGTTGGTTTTTTGAAAAGCATTTATCTAATTAATAAATATAAATGGTAAATGATAATTATTTATAAATAGAAGGACTATGTTCACTAATTTTATTGATAATTTAATTGATTTGATTGAAATTGATTTATTTCTTGTTGTGTTATTTGTATTTCAGGGTGTCAATATTGAAGTTCTCCAACAGGGTAACGGTGTTAAGCCACCACAAGGTGACATCGTCACAGTACACTATACTGGAAAACTAGAAGATGGAACCGTTTTCGATACTTCCTATAAGCGTGGAGTTCCCTACGAATTTGTTCTTGGTAGAAATAGTGGTATGTTAAAATTTAACTCGTTATTCATCAATTTGATCTGTAATGTAGAATAAATAACTTACTAAACTATTCAATACCTAGTTATTAAAGGTTGGGAAGTTGGTATTAGTCAGATGAGCGGTAAGTAATAGAAAAACGCAAACAAACTCTATCATGATAAGAACATCTCTTATAACTAACTAATTTTATAATACCAGTTGGAGAAACTTCTATACTTACAATCAGCCCAGGTATGTAGTACATGTTATAGTTTATAGATTAAACTCTGCTCTATCTATATCTAACTCAAGTTTATCATCTATAAAAAAACTAAATATAACAAATACAGATTTTGGTTATGGTGAGAGTGGATTCGGAGGTATCATTCCAGCAAACAGCACATTAATATTTGAAGTTAAATTACTTGAATTTAGACCACTCAATAACTATTAGTAATAATAATAATAATAATCAAAGATAGATATTAATTAGGTTTAGGAATGAATAAATGTACGAATAAGAATAAACTACACAACCTTTGCTAATAATAAGGTTGGTTGTACTATAACTAGAGAGAGAGAAAGAGAGCGCATCTCATGACTATTTAAAAGATTTATATTTATTTTTCTGTTTGTTATTGTTGTTTGTTTGTTTGTTTGTTTGTTTGTTTGTTTGTTTGTTTGTTTGTTTCGTTGTTATTAAAGTATAAGTTTGAAAGTTGATTGGTTGATTGATTGATTATTGGTACCATACCAAGATTAAGGAATTTGATATAATTAATTCTACAGGTTTATTTATTTATTATTTTGTTTAATATTCTGGATTTAAATATGTGTTTCTATCTATTATTTGTCTATCTATTTATCTATCTATCTATTTTTATTTAAACCAAGTTGTTATAAATTTAACAAACAATATTAGCATAATAGATGCAATAAACAATGGTGAAACAGGGTAATATGATATTCTATCATTCTCCATATACTCTTCAATGGTAACATTCAATCCTTGTTTGAAACTATATTGTGGTTTGAATCCTAATTCCTTCTTTGCTCTATCATTACTGAACAATCTATCTTCAGACATTCTAAATAAATATATATCGATATTAATATTCGAAAGTTAGTTTAGTTTAGTTTAGTTTAGTTTAGTTTAGTTTATTATTAATGAATGATGTGATAAACATACCGAATTAAAGTATCAGATTTATATAAGAACTTCTTCTTTTTAAAGAGATAAAAGATCTTTCCTACGAAACCGATGACAGGCTGTACGATTACACCTGGCAGTACGAGTCTTGGTTTCATACGGTTGAGTTTCTCGTTGATGAATATCAAGACGTCGCGATACGACATTCCCTTGTCCGGACAGATGACGTAGGTGTACGGAAGATGGTCTGGCTTGGTATCGTCTAGTGCGGTTCGCTTCTTCCTGATGGCGAGTAGCAGACTGCTCACGACATCGTCGATGTGTGTATACATGACACTACCGGTGGCAAACGACGGAATGAAGAAGATGAGACCGTAACTGATAGCCTGTATCATCTCAAACACTGAAAAGTCATCGTCTTTACCGTAGATACCGGTTATCCTAAGAATGATCGTATCCAAACCGTAGCGTCGTTCCATCTGACGCACGGCATCCTCTGCCTCCAGCTTTGTCTCACCATAGTAAAAGTTTGGTCGACACTCGAAAGCATACTCGTTTCTCAGTACACCATTCGCCGGATACACTCCACCCATTGCTTCCGTCGACGAACAATATATAAATCTTTTTATCATTACATTTCCATTTATTCTTTTATTACTACTATTATTTACATTACTATTGCTATTACTACTACTGCTACTGCTACTATTTACACTATTTTCATTATCACTATTGTTATTACTATTATTATCATCACTACTATTATTATTATCTTGATCTTCATCATTGTCTTCTACATCGTATTCATCTAGTGATGAATTGTAGATGGTCGATTCAAGTAGATTCTTGGTGGCGATGACGTTGGTTTTGAAGACAACGCTGTTGTCGTCCGGATAGAAATCCATGGCTGCAGCTAGATGCACTATGACATCGATGTTGTTAATGAATATCAGACGACGTAGATGTTCAACAACAGACTTCTGACTGTCCGATACCAGATCAACGATATCTCCATAGAGTACATTGAACGAAGGATTGGCAGCATACTCTTTAAATATATTTGGTACATTCTTCTTTGAACTACCGCTGGCATCACCACTACCACCGCTATTCTTTGAAGCAGGAGCAGCAGCAGCAGAAGAAACACCAACACTTCTCGATCTCAACAAAGCATAGACATTATATAATCCAGATTCAATTAATGGTTTAATACTGTTTCTACCTACAAATCCATTGGATCCAGTCAATAGTACATTTATCTTTTTCTTTTTACTTGTCAATGATGTTATCATTGATGTTGAATGAATATTCTTATTCATTATTTATCTATTTTTTTTTTAGTTTTTAATTGAATTCTAGAATTGATATTGTTTCTTTTTTTTTTTTTGTTTTTATCTAAATAGAATTAATTTAAAAAAAATAAATAATTATAATTACAAATATGAATATTTAATATGTTTTGTATCTATTTTAAACACTGAATTATTTTTATTAAAAAAAAAAACATTCTCTTTTTTTTGTTAATTTTTTGTTACTGGAGCAACCCACAAATTTATGATCATTTTACAAAAAAAACTTCGGCATTATGATAGGTGTGCACTAAATTTATTGTGAATATCTTTGTTGGTAAATCTGATTGTTTTATAAAACTTTATTTTGTTTTGATTTTTTTTTATAAAAATGAATAATATTAGTAGTATTAGTAATAATAATAATAATAACAGGGATATAATTAATCTTTCAAATGTTATACAATCAAAGATTGTTGAATATTGTTTATTTGAAAAGTTTGATCATGTTCCTCTGCCTTTTGTTTTTAAATTAAAGTTAGCATTAGTTTCAAAATTTTGGTTTAGAGCAGTATCCAATACTTTGGCTCGGTACTCAAACGTTGGTGACAATCATAGAGAGAGTTGGAGTCACTACAACAATCCATGGTGCCTGATCAAAGGTCCTTCAATTTTCTATATATTCGAAAGATCGATTAAAGATCCTTTATTAGATAGTTCTTCAGATTCTATCGACAACAACAATATCAATAGCAATAACAACAGCAATAATGAAAATGATAGTCAATTAGTTGGAATTTTAAAGTCATACTTCAAACAATTTACAGGTTTCCTACAAAAACCCAAAACAACTCAACTTTCAAACATTACAATTCCTGAGAGTATGAAACCATTCTATTTCAATTCAGTAAAGATGGTTTATGTAAAGTGTAAAGGAGGTTCGCTATCCCAGTTTCAAATCGATTCCATAAGAAGATTCGATTCTCTAGATTTGAGCAAACCTATATTTAAAATAATATCTCCACTTTCGGAAAAGTTATTCGATTTCTCCAAAACATTGAAATCTAGAGTTCACCTTATTACACCAATTTCATATGGTGGTCAAATGAATATATATAGTAATAATAATAATAATAATAGTAACAATAATAATAACAATAATAATAACAATAATAATATCAATAACATTAGTATTCATTTACATTTGTCATCGACTACAATGGAAAATGTTAATGTTTTGATGGATCAGACGTGTAGCTATCTTAGATATTTAAGCATCAGTGATTTCATGGAGTATGATTACAAGTCATGTCTGCCAAGGTTGGTTCAACTCAGGAAAATTACAATACTGTGCTACGATTTCGATCTACCGGTTCACCAAAACATCAGAGAGTTCCTCATGGAGTCACAATCCATTAAGAAACTGATTCTCCATCTGAGAGAATTGAATCGTAATTGGATAAATCTAGTAGATCAATCTTTAATTGCAAATATTTCCATCAATTTAAAGTCAGACTCGACAGATTACCAACTAGACAACAACAACAACAACAACAATGGTTCCATTCCAAATAGAAATTTAAAGTATTTATCACTTACGATGGATTCATCGAATGAATTACATAGTGCAGCTGAAAACATTTTTAAACATGGCAAATATGGTGGTCAAGTTTGTACAAAGTTGAGTTTAATGGATATGGCCATTCCATCAAACTTCTCTCAACTCTATATTGTAAAGTTAAAGTTGAACCAAATCGTTTTTACATTCAATATGCTCACAAGTGTTGTAAACAATAGATATCTTCGTAAATTAACTGTACTATTAATTAAGGATAAAGACATAGTATTTGATTTCATAGAGTATTTAGATAATACTGCTGAAACAACAACAACAGCAATAAAAGCGACAACAACAACAATACCAAGTCAACAACAATTTTGTAATAACAATATCAATAGACATTCCGTTCAGCATGTTAAAATTTCAATATTGGATGTATTCTTTAAGGAAACAAAGTATTTCTTAGACAACTATGTAAAGAATTATCACACACATCTAGGTTCCATAATAACATTGTTTAAAAATTAATAAACAGATACTTTATGATTTTTTTATAAACTCTTCTTTCATTCTAAATTCAATACTTTATATATATATAAATGTATGAACAACACTAATATAGTCAATAGATGTTTGTCTTTTAATAAAAGTAATAAGAAATGTTGATGAATTCATAATTATTATAGATTTCTATATATTTTTTAATAGTACAGTTAAAGTAAACTTTTTTTTTATTATTTTAATCTAAATTTTATACTACTTTTGTTTTATTATTAATTTGTCAGTACCCAATGATTGACACCCCATCAAAATAACCCAGAAAGAGTGTTGAATAAAAATACATCATATGAAAATTATTTGGTGGTTTGAATATCAAAGAAGATGTTGAGAATCTATAATCACATGTCGGGGTGATTAATAGATTTTGGGTGTTCTCCAAACTTTTCTACTACTAACACAATCAATTAAAAACAGTCTATTTATATATGAATTTAGTATTTTTTTCAAATTATCATGTGGTGGGGGTAAGATGTTTATGTTTAACATTTGGGTGTTTATGTTTATCATCAAATTTCGTGTTTGATTTCACTTGATTTTTTTTGATTTATATCTTGATCAATAAGAAAGGAGAGTGTTTTTGTAGAAAGAAAGTTTATTCTCTTGATCAACAGAAAAAAAAAACAAAAATTTAAACTTTGGATGAATAAAGATCGGAAGATTGAGAGGATTACCAATAATTATAGGTTTTTTTGATGTAGAACTTAATAACTATCACCAAATACTCTGGTCTGATTGGCTGTCATAATGAAAGTGATATGTCAATATATGATCATCTGTTGATGTTTGATGATGGTTGTTTAGTGTTGTTTATAAGGGTGTTTAAATTAAAGATGTTGATTACAACATTATGTTATTTTAAAAATCAAATGAAAAATTAGTGAATCAATCAAGTCTATCATCATTCCCCTTGAATATTAACAACCAAAATTGATAAACAAAAAAAAACTGGAAACCATTATCAATATTAAATTTTAATTGAATACAATAAAACAATTGGTGGAAAACAAGTACTTTTCTCAATGGTTGCAAATCACTTTGCTCTGTGATCGTTAAAATTAGTTTAAGAATAAATTTATTACAAATTTCAAATTTTTTTTTAACTTTTGCTAACATGATACAATATTATAGGTCACTAATTTCGAAAGTGTATATACAATTAATTTGATATAATTAATATAATCCACATTCGATCATGAATCTTATAGTGTTTAACAATAATTGGGTACTTATTGTATTACAACAACTGCTTCATCCCATGTGTATTGAAAAACTCCTTGTTATCAAATGGATAAATGACAGGAAATTGTAACCAAAGAGAAATAATCAAATTTATAGAAAGCTATTTAAACCTTAAATTGTTTATCATTATTCTACTCAGTCCGGAAAACACTCTTCTTTTATAAACCATAAACTAACTCTATTTAGTAAATATCTAAATTTAATTTTTTTAACCTATTAGATATTTTTTTTATCCTACAGAATATTTAAAACAAACCAATATATTTATTTAATCAAAAATGCTAATTCGTAAGTATTTCTCATTAAAATTTTATAGTTTAATTAAAATTACTAATATATTTTTTTTAAAAATAGAATCTTTAAAAAACCTTTCATTCAACTCTTCTTCTGATTTACTAAGCTCTAGTTACTCTAAAAATGTTTCGCATTCCTCATCAGTAAATGGAAGCCAAACAACAACTCAAACTACTGCATCTTTTTCCAAACCATTCTGGGCAGCATGGTAATTTTAAAATAGAACTAAAATATAATATTTATCTTAAAAACAAAATTAAAATTTATTAAAATCAACGATTTATTTCATATGACTGGATAAATTATTAATAAAATATTTATTTATTTAATTTAATCATATAAATGTTTTTTTATATAATAAATCTTACATTCTAAACAAATATTATGATGAAACTTTATATTTCTTTAATATTAAAAAATATTAATTAATGATTTTATTATTAATAAATAAAATTAATTTACAAAATTCATATTGATACTTTGTAGAAATCGAATCTTTTGTTTTAATACAAAAAATATATTAAATGTTATTTTTTAGATTTTACCAACATGTCCAAAAAGCTTGTGTCCATGGAGTTTTAGTTAATTGAGTATTGGTTTGATTAGTTGCGCTATTTATTGATTGATTAAAAGAGGAATTCAACTTATCGCTATTATTGTTTGGTTGAACTGAAAGATTCATAATAGATTCTATTTAAAAGAAAAAAAAATAATTAGTTCTAAAATTTTAAAAAATAACTAAGAGTTAAAAAATTACTTACTGATTAACATTTTAGAAAGATTAAGTTTAGAGATATAGTTTTCTTGATTAAGTGTAGAGAAGTGATTGGATTTGGGTATGAAAAACTAGTATTTATATTTTTCTATTTGGACATGAAATTTGATGATCATCAATAGTCCGTTCAAGAAGTAAACATATCAGTTAATGTGGATGGTATAGTAGTAAATGAGGATCTCATTTTTATTGAATTTTAATAGATTTCCAAACAACATTAAACAATTTTATTGAAACTGTTTATAATATGTCATTTGTGTTTTATTTAATCAATATTGGTATATTTCTATATATTGGTATTACCTATTTAATAATCAATTCTTCAACCCCATTCCAAAATCAAAAGAAAATTCACAATAATGGATATCTGTGGAGTGTATGTTCAACAAACACACATGTTCAAAAATCAACCACAATCTTGATCGTTGTTTTGGGTGTATTGTTTTTAATGATATTTTATAAATTTAATCAATGATTTGATCATTTTAACAGTTCCAATTATATTGTTCATATACCAATAAACTATTCCAATATAACGATTGTTAAAAAATCCAAAAAACAAACTTATTTATATATTTGATATTTGTTTTTAATAATAGTGGTTGAATTTAATTAGGAACCTAAATAAATATTGTTACTATTACACATTACTAGCTTGGTTTTTAATTCCAATATTGTAAGGATGGACAATAATAAGAATTTCTCAAAAAATTGATAATCAAATTACCATGTTTATCGCCAATGTTGTTCTATTTTACCCCTCAAATTGATTGGTTTACTTGAGAGGAATAAATGGTTTTGTGATGTCACAAATAGATTTAGATTTATTTAACCTAAATAATTCATTAATAAATATTTAATTCATTGCACAAATAAATTTGAAAAACAAATTAACATTTATTATTTATTGTTTTTGATTAAAATAGAAAAGGAAATAAATATAGAACTAGATCTATTTTTGTTTTATATTAGGATAATAAATAAAATAAAATAAATTAATTTTTATTTTAATTGTTTTTATGTTGTTTAGGTTGTACATTTTTTGATGATTTTGAATTTTATACAGGCTTCTATAATTAAATATTTTTGTCGACATAAATATTTAATTTTTAGATTATAAATGGAATCACATATATATATATAATGGGTTACCAAACGGACCAGAATGGTTTAGAGAAGCTTTGAGCTAGAATTTGATTGGATGTCTCAATACTTGTATTGGTATTACTACCTGATGTAGTGTTGATTTTAATTTCACCACCATTTTGGGTAGATGATTTGAACGAAATATTTTTTAAAGCATCTAGATAATTTTGTAAAACAAATTAATAATTCAATTTTTTTTATGTTGACATTTAATTTATATCTCAATCACTTACTAATTAACATTTTTGATAAAATTTATTTTGATTTTTTAAATTAAAAATAAAAAAATTTAATGATTCAACTTAAAATTTAAATTAAATTAATGTTTTTTAAACTAAAAATAGTAATTTATGATGTTTTTGATTGATTAATTAAACTGATGATTTAAACTGATTTCTCGGGTTTCCTTTTATAGTTGGATGAAATTGAAAAACTTAACAAAAATAAAAATAATTATTCATGTAGAATCAGTCATTTTTTTTATCAAATATAAAAACAACAGATTGTGAATCAAGTGGTTTTTGATTTTTTTATTTATCTCTTTGATTTCAAAATAGAATCAAAAATAGGTTTAAATAAAGATATAGAGTTCAATCCTATTAAATTAATTAAAAATTATATAATTCAATGTTGATGTCATATGACTGTTCGATAGGGACACTCGACAGTTTATGATATTTTCATTGGTCTATTAATAATTAAAAGACTATACTAATGACACCATCATTTTTGTCTCCTTTGAATTTTCTAGACCCTAACTACTTTACTATTATTATTGTTTTTATTAAATAAAATGTTGATGTCAACATTTATTCAACCATCTCTATAGGTAAGAGATATGATAATACAAAACTATATGTTGATGTCAACCTAATAGATGGTGGGAGTGTTGATGTCATCAATTGATTTACTCTCATTACTAAGACCAGATTATAACTGCTCACACTATAAATGTAAAAAATGTTGACGACATCAAATGATTAATTCTTTAATTAAATTAAATAATTATTTAATTAATTATTTAATTAAACTTTATTAATGTTGTAATTAAGAGATATGACATCATATCTCTAGAACCTATAATATTTCCGAATTTGATGACAACATCATCTATACATTTAAATTTAATTTGTTTGATTTTTTTGATCATTTTTATTATTTTACATAAACTTTAGTTTATTGGTTGAAGTTAATTTGGATTGTTGATTGGATACTATGGAATAAATAATAAATATATGTACCGTAATATATATTACCAAGGTGTCCAAAAAGTCAAAGACTTTGACAAAGAAGATGATGAGGGACTATTATTGTGCTCCATAACACCGGAACTATTTAATGATATTGTAAAATTAACATTGTTATTATTTGTTTGAGTTGTATTTGAAGTAGTTGTTGTTTCTGGTAATGTAGGAGTTTCTTTATTAGTTGTTGTATTTTCATTAAAAGAAATATCCTCAATATTGGTTGGATTATTTTTTTTCTTTTTTCTAATAGTCAAATTTTTTATATTATCTATAGTTTTTCCAAGATATTAAATAGATAGAATTTATATTAATAAAAAATAAATATAATATTAATAATAAAAATAATTAATTACCTATTAAGTTTATTTTGGATTTTGATCTAATTTTTAATTTGAATTTTGATTCTAATGGTTCAGTCATTTTTATATTTATTTTTGTTGAAATTAAAACAAAACAATGTTAGATATAACAAATATTTATAGTATTTTTAATTAAGTGGCTTTTAATTGTTTTTTGTTTAATTTTATTTTGGAAGATGATTGATGTTGAAATGAATAGAATGGTTTAAATAGATTTTTGAAACTACTAGCATTTTGGTTGTAAATTAAGTTACTTGCAACTACTAGATAGTGACCAACTCTGATTGATTATAAATCAATCTGATTTGGAAATTGGTAGTGCGGGGAAGAAGGGTGAGTTTGTTGACAGTGATTTCTGAATCATTTCCAATAAAATGACATAACCTTAGTGGTTAGGCATACCAAGTCGATTGTTAAAATTAAAGTAAATAAGAAGAGTGAGTTAGTATCTCATTTCATTTTAATTAACAGTATATTTTTTAAATTGTTTCCTTTTAATATTATAAGAATCAACTTTTTTAATGTGATAGCATGGCAGGGATAAACTGTTTATTGACCCGAGTAAAAATTAACAAAACAAACAATCGATTCTATCTCTGGTGATATTTATTCATAAATCAAAAGGTTTGGTGCTTTATCGACATTAGAAAATGAGATTGAGATCGTGTTTGACAATTTTGATTATGATCAGCTGATCAAAAATAACCATAGCAAGGAATTGTTTATTTTATTTTTAATATATATATGTATATATCAAATTAGACAGAGTTGAAAAAGTATTATATTCACCTCCATCCACTTTTAATTAAACAAAACATAAAGAACGACAGTTGACATTGATATCAAAGTTAGCACACCATCACTATTCTATCTGTTGGTATTTTTTAGAACACACTCAAATCAATCACACACTTTAGATATTCATACATCAAAATTAAAAAAAAAAAAACACAGGTAAAAAAAACAAAGATAACATATTTCATTGGTCAATAAATCACCCGACACTTCTTAATATATTATTATAACAATCAAAAAAGTACATTTGTATACAATCAAGTTTATTCTCACACCCCACTCCTTTCCAAACAAAAAACATTGATGTATAAAAAGTAGGTGTAAATTGTCTGTTTTTATTTACAAATCCTGTTGACAATTGACAATTGATATTAACAATTTAATACCACCACATCATATTTAATTAATATTTGTTTATATCTTAATTATTTGATCACACAAACAAACATAAACAACTAACTGATATTTTATTTCCTTTTATATTAATTATTTTAACAATGTGATTTAATAATTTTCTTAAAATAAATAAAATACCAGTATCTTGTTTATTTTTAGAATTGACTAACTTAACTTTTGTTTTTATTATTAAATATAACATGTTATACATTGCAATCGTTGCCTTTTATCAATTCTTGGTTTTTGTCTCTATTCTTTACAAATAAAGAATCAAACATTGAATATATTATTATCATTATATCCAATCAAGACCTCTTACTTTACTTCAAACATATTTTTATTCTATTCAATATAAATACTTAAAGGAATATCAGTTTTAATTTAATATAAACTTGATTTCAGGTAGCATCGTTATTAATATATGTTGTATCTAAACATAACTTTAGTGAAAAAAAGTGTAGAAAGTAACTAACTAGTTAGTTAGCTGACGTTGTAAATGTGTTGGTTCATCTCTGATCTGATTGAGCTAAAAATCATTTCAATTCTTTGATTGAAAACAAAAGAAACAAAAAAGGTTTATATATATAATGGTTCTAAATAAGGAATCTATTGCTTTGAATACAAATAATCAAATTTAAAAAAGAATATTTTAACAAAACTAATCTAAACTAAGATGATTAAAATAAATTAAAATCTAACTGACCTGTAATACATAAAATTTACATAACATACCTACTTTTCAGTGATCATTCGTTTTTTATGTCAATCCATAAGATTCAAAATTGGAGACTTCGGTTTTTTTTAATTTTTCTTTTTTTATTTTTAATTTTTTTGAGAAGTTCGGTTATTTGATAAAAAAACAACTCCATCATTATGCGCGAATCTACAATGAGTATTAATCATTGTTGGGGTTTTCACTTATTCAATGCTAATTTTTTATTAAGATTTAATACAAGAATAATTAATTTATACACGATAACAGAAATCTATAATAATAATAATAGTAACAATCAATCAATGTTTAATATCTAAACATTAATATTCATACCTACACCAATAAATCTAGCAATCACTCACTCCCATTCCTAACATCATTCATTCATTCATTCAAATCACCCCCACACAATTTGTTGGAATTTTAATTATTGAACATCCATCAAATTATCAGTAGTAGCAGTGTTTTTGTTTTATTTTATTTTATTTTTATTTTATTTTACTTTTATTTTACTTTTTGCTTTTACTACTAGTAATAATCATATTGTTTATAAAGTAAATCACTTAGTTTGCAGATAAAGAGTAGAAGAAGATGAGGAGATCCTCATCGATCGCAAATAAGACATCATCTACTTCTGCTACGGAAAAAGAGCAGAAGCAGAAACAGTCATTCATACACAATGGTTTCCCACACTCTGTTACCGTCGACGATTTCCTAGAGAATTTATCAGAGTCTGAGAGTGATCATGATGATAATAATAATAATAACAATAACAATAATAAGAATAACAGTCAACAAAAACAACAACCACCAAAGAATCAAGATATACTTTTAAAGTCAAAGTTACACAAATCATCGTTAAGCTGTCTCAACGAATTGAATAAGAAAAAGGAATTGGAAAGAACTAGACTGAAAGAAATTAATAGAAACAATAAGAAATCGAAAACAAGCAGTATTAAAATCAACGAAACGCTTTCACCTCATATATCACCTTCAACTACACCTATACAATCACCTCTGATATCACCTTTAGTATCTTTATTTTCAACTACATCATCAACATCATCAAATTCAAATTCAAATTCATCATCTAATAACAATAATAACAATAATAGTAATAATAAACGTAAATTTAGTCAATGTGAAAATGAAAATGAAAATGAGCAAACACGACAATCGAAAGAAACATGCTCATCGTCACAACCATTGCCAACACGACAGAGATCTTACCGACATCCATTTCTTCATTATCCATCTGAACCTGAACTAAGCAGTGAGAGTGGAAGTGAACATTCAGTACAAAAGCCACTGCGAGGTTTCTTTCAATCGCGCTCACAACCACCAACTCCATCGAAACCAACTACCACCACCACAACAACAACAACCAATACTACAAAAACGAAATCGAACAATAATAATAATATAATTCATAATAATCATGGTCATTTTAATAAGAATCATCATGATAATTTTAAACAATCACCTAACAGCCATCATCCTTTAAACAACAACAATAATAATAACAATAATAACAATAATAATAATAATATAGATAATCAAACTTCAACAACTTCAACAACAAACAATCCATTCACAAACCATGTCAACCATTGTACAATGACACCAAGTAAGAACATAAAGTCGCCATCTATACAAAAACAACATCAGAATCAAACGTCACCAACACACGAGGGTTATGAGCAATCATGTGGATCTTCAGAATCAACTGACTCATCAATAAAGAGTATCAGAAGAGAAGTAACCGAAACACCTTCAAAGAGATATATGTAAGTGATATACACAAACTATCAACCCATACTGAAATCGATAATGTAAATATCTAATAATTGCTTTAATAATTACAGAAAGGCATATGCTAAACTTGTTTCCATGAATCAAAGTAATGTCAAAGAATTTCTTATTTGTAAAAAGATGTATATTATTGGAAGGTATGTTAGAATTACTTATTTATTATAATAATAAAAGCATCTGCGTCAGATGGTTAAAACCAATAGATTATACTAAACTTTTAAATTGTTAACAAATACAATACTCTAGTAAGAAGATTAGTGATCTTGAGATTCTAGATAGGTTAAGAAAGAACTACGCGATGATTCAATATCACAGACATGGTTTTATCACAGTTGAACCATTGACAGAAGCAACCATCAAAGTAAATGAAGTGGCCATACGACAACCAACTCTCCTAAAGTCTGGTGATCACATTAAGATTTTAGATAATTACTTTATCTTTCAATCAAGTAAGTTAATTATTTTCTTTATCAATATTCAAAGAAGTAACTAACACTTCTCAAAATAAAGTTGAAACAAATAAAGATTCCTTTATGTTTCAAGGCTCCCAAGGCACAAATAATGAAGAAGATTACATAAATAATAACAATAGAAATAATAATAGTAAAAATAATAATAATAATCACAATAATAACAATAATAATAATAATAACAGCAAGGATAATAGTTGCAATTCTTGTCATAGTGAGGATAATCAAGCGTCCACTGAAAGTGAATCCTCATCAATGTTCTCTACTCCTTTGGGATCACCTCTTTTCTCACAAGTGCATAATAACAATAACAACAGCAATAATAACAATGAAGACAAGAGTAAAGCTGACAATGAGATGAATGATAACATTAACAACCACAAGAATGATATTGATCCACTCTCGATTATCGCTTCTCTATTTGATAAATACCATTTCACACTAAGTCCAATGTTGACTGATATCGGTATGTTACAACAACCATTAATAATAATCAAACAAATGATATTATAATACTAAAACTATTTTTATTTTTAAATAGATTATTTAATTAAAATCATTTTATCAAATGGAGGAAGACTTGCAACAGATTTAAAAACTGATCAACTCAATTCTTTATATATCGTTCCAGATATTGTTTTATATGTCAGCCAGATTCCAAAGGTTTACATGAAAAGATTCAAGTATGTAAAGGAATCATGGGTCAGATTATCATTTCAACAGGTAAGTAAACCAATAGTGATATAATAAAATTGAAAATACTAAACTTTATTGTATTGATAAATATCAGCGTGAATTATTACCAGTCGAAGAATATATTTATAAACCAAAGAAATTACATATTTACCGCACCATTTCTATATTTCCACCAAGTACAAGTGATCCAGAATATGTATGTAAATAAATATTTAACTATAACATTACATCATCTAACTTTTATCAAGGATAAACTTAAGGAATCTTTTGAAAAAGAATTAAGATTTCATGGAGCAACTATTGAAGATTTTAGTAACAGATCAAAGAAAACAGGTTCTCTTATTCTATCACTCAACGATCTTATACCCACAGATATTAAGAGGTATAGCTTAAGTGGTAATGTCGTTAAAATGGATTGGTTTCACCATTGCGCACATCATCAAAAGTTTGTTTCCCCATCGTCAGACCCTGATCAATTCCTATATAATTTGCCATTGATGTTGTTAGAAGCACCACCTCGATAAACACCAAAAAAGGTTAGAGTAAAATCTTTCCTTTTTTTTATTTTAATTTAATCACATCATAATTCAAAGATATAATTATAATAGAAACAATAAATTTAAACCATCTTTTATAATAAGTGTTGTATTCTTTTCTTACCTTTTCATTTTTTATCTTATATATAAAGATACAGATCTTTGGATGCAGTTCAATGCGATTACTCATGTTCATCTTTGAAATTTACTTTACTTTATCCATGGTATTGCATTCTCGGATTATTCAATATCCAATTTTTTCTATCTACTTTTCAAGAAGATTGAAGTTTCAATACCATCTATCCCAGGATAATATTCTCGCTAAATCTTTTCGACTGACAGTGAAATTTGAATTTTTATTGAGATCAAAATAATGATTAGATTTTTTTACAAAAAATAGTTTCAAAAAGTCGAAAAAAAATCTAGATTTTTTGAAAAAACATCAAAAAAAAGCCCCTAAACAACTATTTTGGCGAGGTACTCTTTTAATCCTCCAATTTTTTAAGGTTGTTTTATCAATCTACTTTTTTTTCTTGATTTTTTTATTTTGCTTTTTTTTTAATTAAATATTTTATTTTAAAACTTGTTTCCTTGCATAATAGCCAACAATAATAATTTTTTTTTTTGATTATATTTTCTTCTCATATTTATATTGTTTAGTTATACAATTAAATAAATAGTAGCAGAAAAATGAAATTAGCATTTACTTTATTTTTAGTTGCTTTGAGTTACTCTTTGGTCAGTGCTCAAGATGGTGTTTACAATAACACTCTCGCCATTGGTCCAATCACCAAGGGTAAGATTTTGACCAAGACATTCACTTCAATCCCATTGCCAGTTTCATCATTTGCACTTGAAGCCATTCAAGTCGCCATCGTCGATGACACCACCAACTCTCGTTTCAACCACGATTTACTCTCAGTCTCTGCTGTCGATATCACTGTCGGTGGAAAGAAAGTAGTTTCATTCACTGCTTCCAACATTCTCAACCCATTATATTTCCCATCTCCATATGCTCTCCCAATTTCGTAAGTATCAATAATAATTAAATCAGTTAATTTAAACAAATACACATCTTAAGATTGAGGTCCATCTCCACATTTTTTTTGCCAATCAAAAACAAAACGAGAAAAAAAAATAATCGTTAATCAAAAAAAATCGTGTGAAAAAAGCAATCAATCATTTCATATAAATAATCATATGATTATATTCATTTATTAATCAATTCTTTTAAATTATTAAATAACATTTTATTTTTAGTGGAGCTGTTGATTTAACTGTTTCACTTTTCACTACTGCTGCTACTACTCATACTTTGTCAGTTCAATACTATCTTAAGTACTCAACATCAGCAAATGTTGTTAGTTTGACTCGTACTGCTACTAGCTGTGTTGCAAACTACTCGAGTTTCATTGTTCCAGGTACTGGAGGTGTTTACACTGTTCAAAATCCAATTACATGGCAACAAAACATTGATGCTATGGCATTCCAAGCTGCCGCCTCACAAGGTGTCATCTCCATGCAAATCGCCGACTCTGCAAACAATGTCGTCTGCAAGTCGAACGCTATCTACAGAAACAACATCTTGCAATCGATGACTCCATGCACCACTATCATTCCATTGCTTAAGGGTACCACCTATATCACCTCTGCCACCTACAACAACAGCAAGCCAATTAAGGGTGTTTTTGGAAACTTTGGATTCTACGTTGGATTCCCACGTCCAACCACCACCGGTAGCTCTGCTTCCTCCACTCACACCACCAGCGGTCCAGCCGTAACCAGTTCACATTCATCCACCACCGGTCCAGCTACCTCTGGTCCATCATCATCCGGTCCATCTTCATCGGGTCCATCCACTGGTGGTCACTCTTCATCTTCACACACTGGTGGTTCTTCTGCCGGTGGATCATCGGCTGGTGGTTCATCTGCCGGTGGTTCATCCTCCGAAGGTTCAACCTCATCAAACCCAACCTCATCCAACCCAACCTCATCACAATTCACCACCACTGCCGACTCTACTTCATCGAACCCAACAGCAACCTCCTCGAATCCAACCACCGCTTCACCAACAGTCTCACCAACCGGTTACACTGTAGGTACCGGTATGGCTTCATTCCCAGGTTGGGAACCAGCTAGAAGAATTCAAATCTATTAAATAATTAAATAATAATAATATATTTGAAATACACAACAAATAATAAATCCTCCAATTAAATAATCGTTTTTTTCTAAAAAAAAAAAAAGTTAATCTTTTTCTTTTGTTGTTGATTTTTTAGTTTGTAGTATTTTCGATTTATTCCACCTGTACAAAGTGTAAAGTTTGTTTATAACCTAATTATTATATTGTTATAGGTTATTTTTTAAATGAATGAATGTTGATAAATTATTAATAATTTGATTTAAAGTTTTTCAACACCTTGTCTTCTCATTGCACTGATCAATGTATTCTTTAAAAGCATAGCGATTGTCATTGGTCCAACACTAAATAAGATGTTAATGTTAATATCAGATATCAAAGTCTGTTTTTGTTTTAAAGTAAATAAAACATACCCTCCTGGAACAGGTGTAATTTGACTTGCAACATGTTTAACTTCATTAAAATCTACATCTCCACAGAGCTTGTTGTTTTCATCGGTGTTCATACCGACATCGATAACGACAGCACCCTTCTTGACCCAATCCTTCTTTACAAACTTGGCAACACCGATAGCAGCCACCAGAATATCGGCTTGAGCAACAACCTCTTTGAGATTGGCAGTCTTACTGTGACAGATGGTAACGGTGGCATTGCGATTCATCAGCAACATGGCTACTGGTAAACCGACAATGTTTGAACGTCCGAGCACAACGGCATTCTTTCCTTCGATGGTGACACCCGATTGCAGTAGCAACTCAATGCAACCCTTGGGAGTGCATGGCTCAAACAGTGGGACTCTACCACGCATCGCCAGCTTACCGATGTTGATCGGGTGGAATCCATCGACGTCTTTGGTGATGTCGATCTCATTGAGGACAGTCTCTTCATTGATGTGTGATGGCAGTGGCAATTGCACGAGAATACCGTCGATCTCTGGCATTTGGTTGTACTTTCTGACGATTTCGATCACCTCTTCCTGCGATGTATTGCCTGGTAAGATGCAATCGATAGAAACGAATCCCATTTCAGTAGCTGTCTTTTTCTTATTTCTAACATATGTCTATAGATAAATATATTCCCAAACAAATTAAAAAGTTGATTTACAAAAAGTTTGAATGAACTTCAACATCATTTCATTTCTTCAATACATACATGTGAATCTTGACGATCTCCAACCAAAATAACAACTATTCCTGGAGCTCTCTTTCCAGAGGCAACTAATTTATCGACATCCTCCTTGATTCCAGTACGAATATTGGCAGCAATAGTCTTACCATCAATAGTTTTAGCAATATTCTCTTCAGTTGACATCTTTCTATCTATCTATCTATCTATATCTCTATATATTTGTTTTATCTCTTGATAAATCGTTAAAATTAAAATAGTTGAATAGTAATACAATACTGTTTTATAAATTTAAAATGATTTTAATTTAAAAGGGTTTCCAAAGAAAAATTAATCAATGTTTTTTGAATCATAAACAACAGAGGTATTAAAGCTTTCTGGGGGTGTTGTTTTTGGTTTGAACCAGTAAAAATTGATGAATCACAAAAAGTTTTGTTTTTTAATTTGCACTTCTTTAAAAAGTTGTTTTTTTTTTTAAATTTTATTTTCATTGCCATTGCCATTCATTACATATAGATATTAACACTTTGAGATATTCAATTATTTCGTTTATCGGTAATATTATTTTTAGTTGTTTTGCAAAAAAAACAAAAAAAGACCGAAAAAATTCAAATTTTTAAATTAAATTTGTCAGAGTACAAAAAAAACACTAATTTTGTAGAACCGATTCATTTGCAGATATCAATTATAGATGAATGAATTGTTTCTACCGATGGTTTAAAACAACATAATATAACGAATCATTGGATTCAAATTTTAGGCGATTCATTTATAAATAAGATTTAGATTTATTTTAATTATAATAAATTTTAATTTTTTTACTCAAAAAAAATGAAATAAATAAAAATTTTTGGAAACACCTCAATGAGGTTAAGATACAATTTTTATTCATTAATAATTATTTCTAAGCAATCTGTCAATTCCTACACCATTGACATTGACATTGTAATCACCTGGAGTTGTAAAAGTCATTTGGATGCTTATAGATATTGGTCTCTGATTATCATTGGCTATAACCTCTTGTCGAACTGGGATGAAGTGAGGAACAGCTCGAGGGACATGTAATTGTGGAATGGCTCGTATTGGAGCAGTTTGAAATGGAGTGGTTTGAATTGGAGAAGCCAGCATTGGATCGGTTTGAATTGGAGCAGTTAGAGTAGGAGTAGCTTGTGTTGGAGCGACTTGTATTTGGGTAGCAGAGGCCGGTTGAGGAGTACTTTGAGGGGCATTTTGGCTTCTAGTATTCTTGGAGGATTTTTTATTATACGGTAGGTCTTCCTTATCTAAGCGATGAGTTGCTTTAAATTTACCATGATAAAACCGTAAATGATTATACAAAACAATTGTAGTTGCACTAAGATAACAATATTCAGTTGTATATTCACACAATCTACACTTTACTTTGGTAGTAATACCATTTCTATTTGCAGATTTTATCTTAAAGTGGTCCCAAATATTATCTACATCTGCATTATCTCTTTTCTTCCACATTATCTATTTAGCCTGGAGAATAAAGTAAAAGTAAAAGTAAAAGTATACTTACTTTTGATTTTGTTTTTTGTTTTTTTTGTTATATTTACCATTTGTATTAGTTTTTATTATTCATTGGTGTTTTTTTTAACAGTTACAATTCACTTTAATCTTACTAATAGTTCTCTATAAAAAAATCCTTTTAGAATTTGTGGTTAGGTTTGTTTTGTATCCTCACATTATTTTTCAAAACAAACACAAAACTTTGTTTATTATATTCTTTTCTTCTTATTTTTATTTTTATTTCCAATCTCCATATTTAAAAGTAAAAAAACTTTTATTTTATAAATGGATTATAGACTATTGAAGATGAATCAATGGACTGGCTTTAATTGAACTAATGGGTAACCTCTATTTTCTGGTAAAATAATTAAGTCATGACTTTGCTATGTAGTACCCAAAATATAAAAAATCATTTGATACAATCAATCTATACTAGGAATAACAATAACTTTAAAAGTTTAAATAAAAAATAAAATAGAGTAATCATATTAATAAATAAGTATACTAGTTGGCTATAGATTAAGATCACTTACCACGAATTTGTTTACAAAAAACATCTCTCCACACACTTTTTGGTAAAAAAAAACAAAATAATATTTTAAAAAATAATATATATTGTAAAAAATATTATTATTTTTAAAAATGAAACACATGAAATATAATTTGTTTTAATATTCATTGCTTCAATAGATCATAATAATATTAATAAATGAAATCAATTCTTTTTATTTTGGTTTTAATATTAGTAATAGTTACAACTAGTATTGCTAGTACCTCTTACTTTGTTTTCTCAGATGTTAGTGATGAGTTTATTATCGAACTTTCCAATAATGAAACTATTGCAGAAGCTCGTGATATCATCAAGAATAATATTACTAAAAGTGTAATGGGTACCATTGTAAAAGATAAAGCTTGGTATAATCCAAAATGGAGTTTTCATCTAGATCCAAATACTATTTCATTCTTTGAATTTGCAATCGAAGTTTGTGATGCCAGTATAGTATATGTCGAGGAGCATCTGGCTGAAGCTGGTGGAGCTTTCCTCCCTGGTAACCATTGGTGTCCATGGAGTTCAAAGTTAGTAAGAGAACTTTCTCAATTTGACTGTCAGAAAATTGGAGATATTGTTATCTGAAGCATATAAGATATACCTCACTACTCTATATAAATCATAAAATAATTATAATTTTTGTAAATCCTTTTTAAAACTCTTTAAAAATAAAATAATGATTGTTTCTTTCCTACACCAAAAGATAATTATCTATTTATTTTAAAAATCTGAATTGATTCTTTCAAGATAGTTTTGTTTCCAGATTTAGAATCCAAAACCACCACAACCACAACCACCATTAAATATATTGACATCTCCAAAGATGATAGCGTTAGTTCTTCTTCTTCCTCCTCTACATTGTTCTTGGTTAAAAGAATCTCCAATAATCGAACCATCAGAGATATTGATATCCTTGTTTGAAATGTTATTCTTTAAACAGGAAACATTGCCATGGGAAGAAATAGTTTCTATTTATAAAGTTAAAAAGATGTAGAATTTAGAATAAATAAATATTTTTTTACATACTGATAATAGTCATTTCTGGAAATTAAATAATAATGGTTTTTTTATATTTAATGTATATTATTTGTAATATTTATAATGATTTAAATCAATAGGATTCAAGAGTATTTATTATAAAATTTTTGTCTAAAATTTAAATTATAATAAAATTTTTATAGACTTTTGACATAACACAAACATGAAATCTATTCTTTTTTTAAAAAATGATAATTTAAGAATTCTATTCCCTTTAAAGTAAAATATGATAAAAATGATTACATATTGTTTTTTATTTATTTCTGGTAAAGATTTTTAAAAAATTAAGTAGTATTAAATAATTTAGATTTCTCTGACCAACTTTGAGCTCCATGGACACCAACGGTTACCAGGAAGGAAATCAGTACCGACTTCAGAGAGGTGCTCTTCAGTGTATGATACAGAGGCATCGCAAACTTCCATAGCCATCTCGAAGAAGGTGATTGAAGCTGGATCGAGGTAATAGTTCCATTGGAAGTTGTACCATACTGGTTGTTTGACAATAATACCCATGACACCTTTGGTTGCGTTGGTTCTGATGATTTCGCGAGCTTCAGCAATTCTTGATGGATCGGTGAGTTTAATAACGAATTCATCATGTCCATCGGAGAACACAAAATATGCATTACGGTGTGCAGTGCTGACTGCAATCATGGCCAAGAGCATAACGGCAACGAATTGAATAGATCTCATTGTTTTAATTGTTGAATAAAGATTTAAGATTTTAAATATTTATTGTATTTGTAGTTGATTTAAATATTTAGTTGATTTGATAAAAAAACTCTGAAATATTGTCTATTTATACTTTTAAAGAATACATTTATTCTTTTAAAAATATTTTTAAAATGAAATAATTATTTTATTCAAACAGGAAATGATTGGATAGAACCTAGTTGATAAAATATTGGGTTACAAAATAGTTTAGTTTAAGAGTTTAAGTGTTTGTTCTAGACTTATGAAAAATATTTTAATATTTTCCTTTCTGTTCTATACAGAATTTACAAAGTATATTTATAAACTAAACATTTCTATTAAAGTCCTCCTTTTGAAAATGTCAAAAGTGTGGTTGATTTAAAGGTTACAAAACTTCAAAAAAAGAAATTATCTTTGCATCTTCGTTTTGAACTTTAGTTGATTGGTTTTACAAAAAATAATGTAAATAATGTTTTTAGTTGATTTTTTTCAAATTTGCATTTGTTACTTTCGGGGAGATTGCGAATTTTTTTGAACTTGATTTACATTGATTCTGACACTTTTAATTGACATTGATAAAATAATGTGGGGTTGTTTTTTGTTAATTGGTTTTTTCCTAATCCCTCGTTGGTACAATCAATTTGATTACTTTCTTTACCACAAAATGAACTGTTTATTTTGATCAAAATATCTAATGAAATTTCAAACAGACAAGAGTAAACATTAAGTTGTAACCCACAACTTCTTTACACTGTTTAGTGTTTAAGTGTTTGGATGAAAAAAGTTATTTAAAAGTTTCTAGTCTAAAATCTATAAACATAGGTATTTTTTTTAGAAACCACAAATTTTCTTAAATTATTTGTTGTAAGGTTTGGGATACATGTAGGGTTATATCCAATCATTTCTTTAATATGAATCAACTCTTTTCAAAAATTAAAAAAAAATCGAAATATGGATTCAAGAAAGTATAAATAGATAATTTCTTAGTTTTTGAATCATCAAATCAAAAACAATAAAATAACAAAATTACAAAATAAAGATTAATATTATCTGCATTTATTACAAATTTCAACAAATTTAAACTATGAGATCTATTCAATTCGTTGCCGTTATGCTCTTGGCCATGATTGCAGTCAGCACTGCACACCGTAATGCATATTTTGTGTTCTCCGATGGACATGATGAATTCGTTATTAAACTCACCGATCCATCAAGAATTGCTGAAGCTCGCGAAATCATCAGAACCAACGCAACCAAAGGTGTCATGGGTATTATTGTCAAACAACCAGTATGGTACAACTTCCAATGGAACTATTACCTCGATCCAGCTTCAATCACCTTCTTCGAGATGGCTATGGAAGTTTGCGATGCCTCTGTATCATACACTGAAGAGCACCTCTCTGAAGTCGGTACTGATTTCTTGCCAGGTAACCGTTGGTGTCCATGGAGTTCAAAGTTAGTCAGAGAGATCTAAATCATCAACCAACCTTCATTCTTGGCAGTTTTTCAAAACTAATTCACCAACTATTAAATAAATAAATCTTTTTTTTTTTATCAAAATTATATTTCTTAGATCAACAAATTCCGATTTTACAAAAAAAAAATAAAAAATAGAAAAAAAAAAGTTTGGTCAAAATCAAAAAGATATTATACTTTTCAAGGACATTCAATTGTTGAAAAAAAATGATCATTTTTAATTAAAAATTTTTTTAGGTGTCTTTTCAAAAAAAAAACATGAAGTTTCAAAAAAAAAAAAAAATTGCTGTGTTCTTTTTTTTTTCATAAAAACGTTGTATCGACGAGTGCTAACAGACCAACTAAATAATTGAGGACTGTCAACATCAAAGAAAACTTCACGAATCATTATATAACCAGCAACAAACTAATCTACTTTAATTCAAAATTAATATATATCTTTTATTAATCTAACAACCAACACGTCCTTTTTTTTTTGTTTTTTTTTTATTTTATTCAATACCATTATTATTTTAAATTCAGACTTTATAAATAATAAGATTGATTTTAAAATTGGTGTTTTGTTCGATTATAAATAATAAAAGTAATTAGTTGAATCAAGTTAGTTATATAGTTAAAGTTTATTTATATATAATATATATAGGATGTTTTAGATAGACTTTAAAAAGTTAGTTTAGTTTAGTTTAGTTTTAGAATAATAATAATATAGTTAGTCATCAGTTATAGTTTGTTTAATATACATATATATAGTTAGTTTAGTTTAGTTTAGTTTAATTCAGTTAGTTAGTTAAGTTTATTTAATTTTGTTTGTTCTGTTACGGTAGGGTAGCAGAGATACAGAAGTAGAAAGTAAAAAATAGTGGGAATGGATGACTTTGAAACAGCGGTCATCTACAGTTTTGATCCGCTAATTGGAGATGATCTCAAGCAAAAGGCATTGGCACTGACCAACAGCGTCAAAGAGTCACCCGACGGCTGGAAGTATTGCACCGAGAAACTGTTTCAAACTAAATCAATACATGTCAAGTTCTTTTGCTTTCACGTCTTCCAAGATCTTCTCTTACACAAATACGCACAGCTCAACGATGATGACAAATTCAAATTAAAATCGACTCTGATCAACTATTTGAAAATGGTACTCGCAGTTCAAAATGAAGAAGCAGGTATGTCTCAAGCAATAAGTTGATAATCGTTATACTCTTTTTTTTTTTTTTTTAATATATTTCTTAATATATTTATCAAAACGCTCATTTATTTACTAATTAAAATCATTATAATACATATATAACTATCTATCTATAGCTGTTAAGAATAAATATGCACAGATTGTAGTATTGCTGTTTAAACAAGAATATCCAGAGAACTGGTCATCGTTTTTCCAAGAGTTCTTATCGTTGCTATCGAACGGTCCCAATCTTATCGATATATTCTTAAGAGTATTGAAAGCGATCGATGAAGAAGTAGTTTCGTATGACGTACATAGATCAACTGCCGAGTTGGCACATAACACATTTATCGTAAGTAATCGTTAACTATTCAATCATACCTTTGAATACTAACAATGTTATTATAATATTTATAGAAAGATACAATGAGAGATAGTGCAATCAAAGATATCGTTTTATCGTGGTACGAGATATTAGTACATTATCATCAATCTAATCCACAATTAGCCAATATGACACTTCAGAATATTAAATATTATGTTGGTAAGTATATCGATACATTTATATATATATATATATATATTTATTTTGAATTTGATTATTAATATTTGTTATTGCTGTTGTTTTTGATTCTATTGATGATATTAGGTTGGATCGATATCAATTTGATTGTTAATGATAAGTTTATACCATTGTTTTTCAAGTTGTTGAATAACAAGGCATTACGCGAAGAGGCATGCGATTGTTTCAAAGAGATTGTCAATAAAGGAATGGATTCTAGTGCAAAACTATCATTGATTAAACAACTTCAGATTACAGAGATTGTCAATGTCGTTGCACTCGATGACTTGGACTTTATTATCAGAGTCGGTAGTTTAGTGAATCTAACCGGTATGGAAGTTTTAAGAGGTTTAGAATCTGTTGTAAGTACTATTTCAATACAAACAATGTGTATTATCAACCTATAATTAGTTATAACCAACTAACATTCTACATAATTCATAAACACTTACAGTCACAATCACAAGATAAGAAATTTGAAGGTGGAGATCAACTTTTAGAGCAGATGCTGGCATTGTTATTAAAGTTTATGAATAACGAGCATAATGATGTTTCCGTTTCTGTTATGAATTTCTCTGCATTATATATTACAAAAGTAAGTAAAGTTTGATGTTGTTAACAGATTGGTTGGTTGGTTGGTAGGTTTTTATTAACAAAATAATATTGTTTTGTTATCATGTTTAGTTAAAGAATACGAAACCGTTAAACGAAAAACAAATGCAACATATAACATTTTTGGTACAGATCATACGTAATAAGATGAAATACAGTGCGGATTTCGACTTTAAGAATATCGATGGCGAAGAGGAACAACAGTTTACAGAGTTTAGAAAGGATCTATCGACACAGTTCAGAAATATCTTTCGTATCTGTCCAGAGATGGTCGGTTCGTTCGTGCACAACATCCTCACCAACATTGTGCAAGATCCTTCAAAGTACTTTTTCACCGACATTGAAGTTGCCATCTATCTCCTCTTCCAAATGGGTGAAGGAATCTCTGCCACCCCCGAAGACACTATGAAATCATTTGAACGTTTCTTTGGTGCAATGGTTGTACTATTGTCATCTAGCAGTATGTATCCTTATCAATCAGAATCAATCCGTTACTTACTTACTTACTCTTTTTTTTAATTAAACTATCTTATAGAAATCGTAGAGAATGAATTACATCAGATTGTAGCATTGATTTACTTTGAGACGGTGGTACGTTATGCAAAGTATATTCCTGCAGATGCACAACAGTTGAATTCAATCTTGATGACATTCTTGGATATACGTGGTGTTCATAACCGTAATCCAGTGGTTCGCAGCCGTGCCGGATATTTATTAAATAAATTGGTTAAACAATTAAAGGTTCAACTCTTTCCATTTATTAATAAGATAATTGAATCTCTAAAGGTAAGATAATAACAGAACTAATCTATCTCAAATTTTAACAAACCCTATTGACTAATCAATCAATCAATCAACAATCAATCTATTTAGAATCACCTCATTATATCATATGAAATTCAAAAGGAAGTACCATTCGATGAACAACTAAACTTTTACGAATCACTTGGTGTTTTGATTGGTGGTGCATCTTTATCACCACAAGAAGAACAAAACTATGTAGAAGTATGTATTATTAAAACAAACCAATCCATTTCTAATTGTGTATATATTAATATTGTATCATGTTTAAACAACTTGCAGAAAATACTTACAAGTCCATATCAAAAGATGGAGGAAATCATCACCAAAGCACTCTACAAAAGCGATACTAAAGAGAATCCTTTCTATACAACTCAATTAGTTCAATTGATTAGTGTAATAGGTACCTTTAGTAAAGGTTTCACACCTGTCAATAACTCGACAGGAACTCTTAAACCTGAACCACACTCCTATAAAATCTACTTTACAAAATCACTTTTACTTATCATACAATTACCGAATCTTATTCAACAAAACGAAGAAATTAAATCAAGAGTATGTGTTATTATTATTACTACAATCTATTTTTGTTTGTTAAACAAACTTAAAACTAACAAACAAACAAACAAATAATATTATTTTTTATTAGACATTTTTTTATATGCATAGAATGGTCGATTGTTTGGGCGTTGACTTGAAACCAATGTTGCCAGAGATATTACCAACCATTTTGAGCTATGCCAACAACATTCCAACTTTGATCGAATTCATAGTGTTTATCAATCAGTTGATGGCGAAATACAAAGACGAGTTACACCCGCTCATCAACGAGTCATTGCAGCAGATCATCATCAAGATCTACAAGCTGTTGCAACCCACCACCCAACCAGAGCCAAACAGCGACGAAGAGCGCGCTCTATTCGAACTCCAAAAATACTATTACACATTCCTCCAGATGATACTCAACAACTCACTCTCCTCAACATTCACCTCACCCAAAAACATCAATATATTCGAACAAATATTATCAACTATCATCGCTGGTTGCACTCTTTCAAATGAAGGTGTAAGTTATACCAAGTTTAATTTTATCCATCCAAAATAATCGATTAATTCAATCTTATTAATAACTTTGTTTGTACTTATATTTGTAGATTCAAAAGACATCATTTTCAATCATTAGAAGATTAATCGAAGAATATGGTCAAGGTGGAAACAAACCTGTAGAAGGATTCGTAAAGTTTATTTATAATCAGATTCTCCCGATTTGTTTGCAGGCACCATTGCAGCCACAGTTCAACATTGCCGACGTAGCATCAAACCAGGTTTTAATGGAAATCGCTAAATCATTGAAACTTATTGCTCAAAAGTACGGCGATGAATTCATCAACTATGTTGGTAGTGCATTCCTACCATCGATTCAAATCCAATCCACAGAGATTATCCAACGCTTCACTCAACTACTTCTCCCAACAGCACCACTAAAGGATTTCCAAGAGTTTTTCAAACTATTTATAAAGAATATAAAACAACAATCAGTCAAAAAATAACTAAAATAACACTTTTATAATAATAATAATAATAATAATAATAATAAGATATATATTATAATAAATAACTAAATAACGACATTCACACATCCAACATCATCACCATCAACTCACTTTCATTACACACAATTTCACTTTATACTCATCAATCAAGTCGATCACTTATTTAACACTACATCAACTATCAATCACCATTACTAATAAATAGCTTAAACTTAAAGCAATTCTTATGAGTCCACTTTAAAATTTATGACTACTCTAATGATTAACTTTTAACTATTGAATTTTCGCAATTTGTTTTTATTAACTGCTAATAATAATGGTGAATTTGTCAAATATAATTCTTTAGAATATATTCTAAGAAAAAATCCGACACAAATTTGGATATAATTTTGAGCTATTCTTTTATTTTAATATTATTTATTATTGTGGCTTGTTATCAAAATGGTTAAATTTGATTACAATAGATTAAAACGGTAATACAAATATTATCTCATAGTAGTACTTCTCTAACTTCAAGTATTGTTTGATTAGTTATCTATCTTACCAACCATCAACAACAGGAAAGGTATTAATTTTTGCATAAAGCTACCCTATTTTGAAAAAAAAAATTTAGATTAAATACAAAAGGAAGAAGGTGACTTCTTTTATTTTATTAATATTTAAAGGTTGTTTTGTAAGAGTGGAAAGCCCCTCCAAGAAGAAATAGTTCCTTATAATTTACTTGAGGTATTTAAATACTGTAAAAGTAAAATTGTTAATTATTAAAAAAAATAAATTTATATATTTTAATAGAAGAAAAATCAGAAGATGAACAATCAAAACCATCAAAATAAGAAACAAAAATTGGGTAATGAAAATTATATTTATCAATATGATATTTCTCCTGACAATAATGATAGGAAAGATCCAGTTCCCAAAAATAATTTTAATTTGGACTATAATTCATATATGGAGCATATGTTCAAAAATGTTAAAGAAATGGAGTATATTCAAAAACTTGAAGAGGAAATAGAACAGATGAAAATAAAAGAAAAAGAATACCTCTATCTTTTGGAGGAATCAAGAAATCAATATAAATTGAAAAAGGAAAAGAGTCAAATATTGAAATCTATCATCAAATATATTGAGAATTTATCCCAAGAACAATATTAATTTTTTTTTTTGATTAATTATTTATTCTTTATTAGAATACATTTTAAAATTTTTTAAAGTTTATTTGATTATTTAAAATATTTTTATTAGGTATCAGACTAATCAAATTATTTAATATAATAAAAAATAATAATTTTTGAATAAGTAGTCTTAAATACAAAGATATACACTATTACTATTCACAAACAAACTACTAGAATAAAAACAAGATAAATGAATACTGATTCTGATTTTATATATGTAATTAAATAGATTAATCCTTCTTTCTTTCTTCTTAGAATTCTAATCTTAATCAAATATCCTTTTAGCAATTTGAAAAACTGTATAGGTTTGCACCGAAAGGAGAAAATGGTATTTGATTTTCAGAAATAGAAGAATTCTGTAAAGATTATAATTTCAAATTGAATGCTTACCAGATTCATAGAATAATCAACAATGTAAACTTCAAAAATTCAATACAGAAAGAAAAGTTTCTGAAATACTCTATCTCTTTGAGGTAAATATATTTTATAAAGATATTTTATTAAAAGGTAGACTAATTTAAAAGAATAAATAAGAGAAAATATGATAGTAAAAATCAATTCTATCATACTGGAAGCCGTCGAAATTCTAACTATAATCATGATTATAAACAACCGTATCAACAAAATCAAGGTGACCAATATCCACAACATTATCAATACCCACCAGTAAAACAAGAACAACAACAACAACAACAACAACCTTTTAAACAAAACCAAGACGCACAATATCCACAGCAATACCAACAAGTAAAGCAAGAACAAGTGAAAACAAATCAGCCAAAGAAAGAACAGATGATACCAGATCGACAATCACCACAACAAAAGCAACAACAAAGATATCCATTTGAAGAAGCATGCAAGGAACTAGAAGAACAGCTGAAACAAAAAGAGAAAATGTATCAGAAGCAGATTGAACAGAACATACAAGCATTGAAAAAGGTAGAAGATAAGGAGGAAAAAATAAAGAAACTCAAGAAGGAGAAATCTGAAGTAAAGAAAGAATTGAATTGCTCAAAGCAAAAGTTAGAATCAACAATAGCAGAAAAAGAAGCATTAAAGAAAAGAATGGCTGAAATACATAAATTAGCAACTGCAAAAAGAATGAGAATTAAAAAGATTTAAATTAATGAAAGACCTAGGGTGCTTTTTTATTAAATATATATATAGGTGTATATTTTATTTGTAGATAGAAATAGCAATAATATTATGCAATAAAAATTATAGAATTGTAACGTTAAAAAAAAACTCTTTAAATTATTCAATTTTTGCAAAAAAAAAAAATGATCCAAAGACTTTTTTTGACTAAATATACTGATGTGTGAAGTCGAGATAAAAAACTAAAATTTTTCAAATTGTTTTTTTTTGTTGATGATCAATGAGCACTCAGTGTGGTCAAAAAAGTCATGACCTCCTCTTAATTTTAACAAAAAATATTTTTAAAACATCAAACCAAATCAAAAACAAAAAAACAACATTTATTGTTGATTGTATTCATATAATATATATATTCTAAAAAACACTTATTTATTATTTAATATATAACTAACTAATAATAAAACAAACAATATAAAAATGGTTGCTACAGATACACTCGATGATGAATTCGCTGCCTTCCGTAACGAATCAAACGTTTCAACAGAGCAACGTGTAGTTTATTTCATCAATGCCTTGATTGTTTCAATGGTTCCAATTTGTATGTGATCACATAATACAACTTCTTAACTTTCTATTTCTATCAAACAGATAAAAACAACAACAAAAAGTCAATCCATAGTTAAACCAACCAATTCAACCATTTGGGAATTATTTTATTTGTTAATATTCAACTCTATATTTCAATCATAGTAATCATTTTGGAATTAGATTTAACATTGATTTTTTAGTATATAATATTAATTAATCATTTACTTTTATTGATGTTTAAATTTGAACATTGGTTGAAGTGGATTTTTGCTAACAAAACAAATATGATATTTGATGTTCAGATTATTATCTGATTGACCAAATATTGACTTTTTCATTCCTTCACACACTTTTACATTTTTCAACAATCAACAATTGATGATTATATGCTAACAAGATTTTTCTTCAAACAAATATTGTAGATTTATATCATGCAATCTTTTTCATGTCATTCGATACCTACGTTATTGTCTATGGATCAGTAACTTTATTTGCCGCAATTGTTTTGACATTTGCCTATAATAATATCTACAGAATCAAGAGACTAAAGTTGTCTGCCGCCAGAGATCACACCATCACCATGTCCAAGGGTAACAAGTCAGTCGTCGACAAGAAGGCTGTCTATGCCGCCAAGAAGGAGCGTCAATCAGTCGTCACCTCACACGAGGCCATCGCTCTCTCAATCATGCACAACAACGCCATCTTCCTCATCAGCACTTTGGTATTCTCATTCGTCATTTTCAAGAATGTACCACTTGTATACAACTACATCACCTCTGTCTCTTTGGCTGCCGGTGTAACCACCTTTTTGTCCACTGGTTCAAAGCACAACTAAAAAAATAACAAAATCAAAACAAAAACAAAACAAATTGATTTAAAAAAAAATAAAATAAAATGATAAAATAAACAAAATCAAAAAAAATAACTAACTAACTAATCTAATACAATTAATACCAACAACAACAACTTAAAAATTATACTCATTCTTTTTGCGAAAAAAAATTAAAGTTGTTAGAAATAATGGGGTTGACAGTGAAGATTAAGCTTGTGTGAAGATCATAAAAAAATTAGATAGTGTTTGTTTTATTTTTTTATCCTTTTAATAATTCTATAATATATGATAAATATAAATAAATTATCTGTTTATATTATTAAAGCTATATGTTGTTTTTTGGAATCTAATATCGATAAGATATGTTTTTCATTATGTTGTAAATATTTATATTTAAATAGAAATAGCTATTTGATATTCAATGGCGATCCTTTGCCAAGTGAAGATGAATTTCGGATGCAAGAGTTGCGTAATCATTGGAGATCATATAACGAGATAATATTACAATCGATCAGGTTAGCACCGATTCACTTGTTGATAATCAATCAGAACGGTGAGAGCTCTCGTCATTACAGCTATCAATATAAGTATATTGTGAAATGTGACCAACTACCACAGTTAAACAGTCCGCAACAGACTGCTACTAGTGCTCGGGTTATTCCTGATAATTGTATACATCTATCGTTTGGAAAGATCTCCAATATTCCTTTGCAACCTAATACCATACCTCCTCAGATTCGCAAGCTTTCACTTGGTCATTGCTACAATTACCCGATGTTTCCTGGTGTCATTCCCGAGGGTATAGAAGAGCTGCATCTCGGGCAGAACTTTAACCAGATAATCCCAGCGAAATGGCTACCTAGCACTCTGAGAAAGATTGAATTCTCATTGCTCTTCGATCAAGAGCTGCTGCCTGGATCGATACCGGCGAGTGTTGAGCATCTTATATTCTACCGGTACAACCAAGAGCTGAAACATGGAGTTCTACCGGCGGGATTGAAAAAGTTAGAGTTTATTCATAATTTCAATCATCGTATTGTGGAGGGTGATCTTCCCGATGGTTTGGAATCACTCACTCTCAGCACCAATTTCAAGTCAATCATTGCTCCCGGTGCACTTCCACCGACTCTAACCTATTTGGACATGACATGCGCAACTGTACAACCGGATATAAATTGTTTTCCAGCTTCTCTCAAAACGATTGCCCTGCGATATGAACCAAAGCTGCCAGATGGCTTACCTCACTCCATTACCAACGTTACTCTCGGTGACTATTGTCGTGTGCCTAGCATACTGGAGCGTTTGCCAACCGACACCATCCGAGTGTTGACTCTTGGTCAGAAATTCAATGCACCTGTGTATCGTGGTGGACTCACCGCTAAATCAATTCAATCGATATTGCCCCGGCAGCTTGAGGGGTTGACATTTGGTGAGAGATATAATCAGTTCTTACCGGCAGGCAGCCTACCACTGACACTGAAGAAGCTAACGTTGGGCGAACAATTCAACAGTGGTTTGGTGTTACACGAAGGAATTACACATCTATCACTGGGAAGTATGTTTGGCCAGCAAATTAAATATCCGAAATCACTTGAATACCTATCATTCCCACGTGGAACGTGTAGCATAAAGATTGAAACACTGCCACCAACTATCGTACACCTGGAGATTCTTCTGATAGGACGTCTCTATAAAATCAAAAGAATATCGAATGACAGCTATCTTGCAATCAATGAATCACTTTATGCTGGTGGATTTATGAGTAAATCATTACTATCCAAACTATCTATAATACCAACCGATAAATAGCATAGAATCTATTTTATCAACTCCATTTCCTCTTTATCAATGTAACATATAACAAATAGTTTTATATCATACATACAATCCACTAAAAAAATGATCATCAATAAAAACTTGGATTATTTAATTTGGTTTTTTAATTTAAATTATTTTCCATTACCTTAATATTATTGTGGATCAAATTGCTCAGATCTATTAAACTTAAATAAATTTAATAGATGAAAAAAATCTTACATATAAATATAGTATTACTATGTTTAGTAACTGCTTTACATAATCTTTTTAAAAAAAGATATGTTTTTTGGCGCAATCATCAAAAAAAAAAAATATTTAAAAACATCATTTGATAAAGGCGCCAAATCAAATTTAAATATATGTATCATTATTGTTATTATTATTATTATTAAGATTTTATCAATATTTATTATAATAACTATGGATATCATTAATAATCCAATCAAGAAAATAGATGAATTATTTCTAAAAGGATATAAAGAGACTCTGGAGAGAAGAAGTGGTGCTGCGGAGCATGTTTACGATGAACTAGATCATTCTGATGAGATTGAAAAGTGGGGAGTCTACAAGTGTTTCAATGAGTTACTCTCAACTCCAGAAATAAATAACTCGATTCCCTATATCAATACACTGTTGGATTCTGATTTACATCTTGGTAAGCTTGTTAGAATCAGATGTATGATACAAGATGTTTTCGATCCTCAATTCTACCAAGGTGTCTTTAGAGTTAGAAATATCAAAACAGATCAATATGTAAGTAGTTAGTTAGTTAGCACTTATTGGTTTTGAATATTTAACTTACCAAACTATCTATAGAGATATGATACTGTAGCATTCAAGAGTCATGGTCATATTGCTGAAGATGAAGAGTTTGACGATACCTACGATGGTCTAACATTTGAAAGAAATCAATTCTATTGTATACCTGTGCCATGCGAGAATCAATGGTCATTAAACAATAGACTATCATCCAATAATCGAAAGAATGAATCTAACAACAACAAGAGATCAAACAACAAAAGATCAAATGAGAATGATAATAATGACAATGATAATGATATAAATATGACTGATAGTGGTAACAACAATAACAATAACAATAATAGTAATAATAATAATAATAGTAATAAGAAATTAAATAGTAGTAGCACTGGTAATAATAGTAGTAAAGTAAATAATGATAATAGTGAAAGTTTTGATAATTATGAAAAAGATACGGATTTAAAGAAGGTTTACAACTACCCAATACCAAGTTCAACTAATATGTGTCCGTTTGTTGTTAGTGTCTATGATCATAGCGATCTAGATGCTCTTAGAGTGAATGAAATCGTAGAGTTTGTAGGTATAGTGTCTAGATTCACTGCTCAGTCTATACCGGATAACACCAACAAGGGTTACAACATGGACGACGACATGGCTTACTATTCATCGATGATGGAGATCGACGACAACGAACAAACTAGATCAACTCCAGAGTCAATGGTACCAAGATTTCATGCAATTTCACATCGTATCTTGGATCCATACAAATTCGAACAACAACAAAAATCATCAACAACAACTACTACACCTAACCAACAAAACATAGTTGAAATTAGAACAAAGTTAATCAGTTACTTACTACGATATTGTTTACTTGGTGATTCGATTGCTGCCGAGTATCTGTTGTGTCATTTGCTTTCCAAGGTCTATACAAGAGTGGCCGGTCTGTGCTTGGGTAACTTCCCTTTGAATTTCGTGTTGCCAGAGACACAGAGTGCCAAGTCCGTCTCGCTGCAGCTGGAGAGATTCATGTCGAGTGTGGTGTGTCGTTCGCATCTCTTGAGAGTCACAGTTGAAAACTTGAACGACGGTGACTTTATTCCATACAAAGACTATGAGAACAATAGAATCATATCGGGTCTACTCCAACTTCCGAAAAACACCAGTGTCATCGTTGATGAAACCTGTCTCAACGAAGGTAAACTACACAAACAAGGTATCAAAAACATAGCGGCTCTCAAAGACATCACCATGTTTCAGCGTTTGGAATACGACTTTCAATATCATCCAATCGAAATTGAAACAGATATTCAGCTATTAATATTATCACATGGAAAATCATTATTACCTGTAATCTATTAACTATTAACTTTTAACTATTTAGAAAGAAGTAATACTAATTATTTTATTTTTATTATTTATTTTACTAAAACAAATAGGGATTGTGTAATATATATGTTAAAGAACAACAACTACAACAACAACAAGATATACAATTAGATGATAGTTCCTTGATAAATCAGTTTAGAGAGTATGTTGGTTGTTTAAAGAGTGCAACTATGTCATCGTCGAATGAGATGGTTACCAAACACATTGAAGATGATTTTGTAAGCACCAGACAAAGAGATCCAGAGACATCACAAGAGATATTCCACTATTGGTTGACATTGGCACGTCTTCTAACCATCTCCTACGGTGAACAAGAGATCTCTATTGAGCGTTGGAACTACATGAAGAATCTAGAGTCAACAAGAGAACAACAAACAACACTTAAAACAACACAAAACAAATAATAGATATTTTTTTTTTTTGAACGGTTGGAAAGTTTTTTAGATTTTGTATAAAATTTCTTCAATTATGATTGTGTTGACAATAATTTCCATAAATAAAGCAAGTGTTAAAGTTAGAGATAAGAAAGTAAGTTACAATCAATCAAATCAGTTACGACATTCAAATAATATTATTTAATTTATTTAATGTAAATATCTCAAAGAGGTATCGCAACCATACGAAATGTATGCATTGATTGTGTTCTCTTACTTCGATTAACCAATTTGCAGAAACCGTTGCGTCAAATGCAATGGGGATTCCCAGCCCCATCTGTGTTTGTACCAACACCCCAATTAAATAAAGATAAAAAAAATACATACAAATTTGATTTGATATCAAAAATTAGATTTAAAAAAAAACTATGAAATTATAAAATTTAGGCAACAGCTGCGTAATCTGAATATTAATAAAGACCAAGAATCGTGCACTTGTTTTTGATGTAAAGGTATAAAAGATACTATTGTGAGAAAGGAAAGCAAATACTTAGTAGAAAATATATATATATATGTTATAGCTATGACATAAAGATATATCAAGAATATGTCTATTTTAGTAGATTGAAATCGAACAGAGCCAATCGCATCGACTCTGAAAACCAAGTACAAACAAGTAAATCTATCAGTCTTCTTCACAACAGACATAATCAAAAAAAATCTAGTTCACTATACTTGAAATCAAAGAAACCAGACGTAGTGTTGCCAAAAAAGGTGATTCAAGTCACTACACTATGCGGCCATCAATTGCGACTCACATAACCTGTAAATATACTTATAGCTCATTACCTCATGTGTGGTATAAGTATCTAGTATTGAAGTAAACCTATAATGCTATTCACTTCCGAATATCACCTTGTAATTCCAATTTAAATAATAAAATATTGTTCATCTTAATACATATAAAGAAATACATGTGATAAGAAAATGTTTTGAAAAACACTTTACCAATTGGTTTTCTATTAATGAAATTTCCAACAATTTATAAGTTTAAAATCCAATATATTTTGGAAATTTTTTTTAAAATTTCTTATGATTGTTCTCCATAATTAAAGGAAGTGTTAAAGTTAGAGATAAGAAAGTAAGATTCAAACAATCAAATCAGTTACGACATTCAAATAATATTATTTAATTTATTTAATGTAAATATCTCAAAGAGGTATCGCAATCATACGAAATGTATGCATGATGTTCTCTTACTTCGATAACCCATTTTTGTAGAACCGTTGCGCACAAATGCAATGGGGCTTGGCATCCAGCTCCATCTGTGTTTGTACCAACACCCAATTAAATTAAAGATAAAAAAAAAAATGTAATTACATATAACAATAATGTATATGTACGTACTTCTAATATGATATCAAAAATAATAAGTTGCAACATAAATTCATTTACAATTGAAGTGTACTAACAAATTGGTAACATTTATTATAAATGAAATTAAATGGAATGTGTGCATGTTCTTTTATTAATCACCCAATTGAATAAAAGTTAAAAATAAATAAAAAATAAAAAAAAATATTGTTGTTGTAATAATGATTTCTTTATAAATAAAAATATATTAATTAAATATTCAAATTTTACAAAAATAGAAATTTTTTTGATCTTAAGTCAACAGTTTTTAAAAAAAAAACAAAAAAAACACCCAAAAAATATTTGAAAAAACTAAACAAACATCATTAGTATCTGTCAATATGAGTTGTTTCATTTGTTTGTAATTTTTATTTTATTTTATTGACGATTCATTCACTTCAAATTACTAAGTTTAATAATATATATTTGTGTATTAATAATTATAATATAAAAAAAATAAATAAATCACAAGATAGAATAGATAGATAATATTATATTAATTATTATAATAGTAAAATAGAAAGATAATTAAAGTTTGATTATTTTGTGTAATAGATAGATTGATTGAAAGTAAAAGTAAAAAGTAAAAAGAAAAAGAACAAAAAGATGAAATTGTTACACTTGGAAGAGGAGTTCAATATATCGGTAGAGACATTCTTTACATTCTTTTTTGAAAATCCTGGATTCAAATTAAGATATCATACAACTAGAGTATGTAGAATCATTGCATAATAATAGATACCTAGGTAATCACTCTAATTAATCTATAAATCAATATAACTATATATATAATAGGGTGATAATACAATCGATGTAAAACCGTGGTCACCTCTACCAGATGGAAGATACACAAGAGAGATCACCTTTTCTTCATTCATTTCAAATAATTCACTCATCAAGAAATTGGTCGGTGACAAAGCAAAAGTTAGAGAAGTACAATATTATAGATTTAAAGATGACAGGTAATATTATACTTTTTTTTTAAAACAACAAATTACATTTAAATATTAATAATTATTTATCATTTAAAGCGTTTTAAATGTTTTATCAGAAACGTTCTTTGAGGGTTCATCTATTGGAAAGAGTTTTTCTTCGGTATCGGAATGGAATGTTACACCATCTAGCAATATGTCACCAGGTTGCAATGTAGTGATCGATGTAAAGAACAACTACGATGGTACAATGTTTAAGAGTGCACTTGAAAGCTGGGTGCATGACACCACGGAAGCATCGTTCAAACACTGGCTGAGTCTAGTTCGTTCGCAAGTAGAAGAGTATGAACAAAGTGAGAAACTAAAGAGATCCGCACCACCTACACCTGTCAAATCACAACAACAACAACAACATCAGCATCAACAACTACAGCAACAACAACAAGGTGTCGTATCAAAGAGATCAACAACTACAACTACAACAACAACTACAACCTCCAGTCATATGAATGGTAATCATTCGAGTCACAATCATAGTAATCATAGTCATAGCAATGGTATTAACAAATCAAATGGTAGACATAGTAATAATAGACATTCCTCGTCGTCTGTGATGGAGAGCGATGATGAATCGATCGATGACCACTCTCACAATCTTGACGAGAATCACTCAAGAGTCAGAGAGAACGATCGCAACAACAATATATTGCAGTCACTCCAACAACACCAACATCAACAGCAACATCAAATGGAAGAGGATTTCGAAGACGATATGTCAGATCTTTCGGGCGGACCTCCTTCTATTCACGATGACTTTACCTCGGACGAGGAAGACAATCGTTCGAGCTCCGAGGATCAGTTCTTTGACTCGAGCGACGTCTGGCAGCAGAACGGTGGAAACAACAACGACGTCAGAAACTACATGGTAAATTTGACCAACGAGTTGAGCTCGATGAAGAGCATCATCGAGGTGAATCACACCCGTTTGCTGGCACTGGAGAACTCGTTCTCACAACTACAACACTCGCGAGTAGCATCGGTTCTACCACAGCCACAACTCCTACCAAGACACCACCAGCTGACCGGAGGAGAAGTTATCACCGCCGGCAACGATATGACCGGAATGAATTTAAGTACATACATTGCAAAACTAGAGGAACTCGTAAAGAGTCAACAAGAAGAGGAGCTGCGATCAAGAGAGAAACAAAGAGAATGGGAAAGCAAGGTTGCAGAACTCGAGAGCAGACTGCGAAACGTCAAGAACTCTTCAAACGCAACTCTATGGTTCAATGTTATGGCATTATTATTTTTCATTGTAGGTTGGCCTATCATCTCAAGAAAATTATGGAAGTTCGTTATACCTTTAATAAATTTAATCAAGAAATAATAATATATTTCAAAAATATTATATTTTATATCTTTATATAAATATGGAAAATTATATATATGTATACATAAATTGATTTAATTCGAATTTCGATTGTACACACAACCCTATTTATTTTTTATTTTATTTTTGTGAGTGTGTTTATTTCATTCTTTTTTTTAATATTGATACTGACACACACACTATATATATTCACTCACACAATTAATTAAAAGATAAATAATACAAAAAGTTATACAAATGTGTTAAAATATTTAAAGTAGAACGGTTTTTAAAAGTAAAACTAGATTAGGAATTGTGTATCTTGAATACCCACAATAAAGGATTTTGCTTTGAAATAAAGGATGGTATAAATAATCACTTTTATAAACCATTCCTTTAAAGATATACAATTTTTTTGTTATAATATTATATTTATTTATTTATTCTTTTTCTTTTTTATAAAAATATATAATTATAATATAGAATAATGAAATTTTTTTATACATCTCTAATTGTATTATTAATTGTACAAATTTCTTTTGGATCAGATGAATGTCAAACTTTTATTGAAAAAGTATTTGATAATTCAATCGATCTTTATTGTACAAGTATGTCATTGGTTGGTTTTGAAAACCGTTTTGACAATATTGTAACAGCAAAAGGTAATTTGTACTATAACAAATTAGTAGATGGATTGTCACAAAAAGATAAATTTCTCAAAAAATTATCAGATGAATCGGTTGCGTGTGAACCGTCTTTGTTGGTCCACCAACCATTTTCAGTCAAAACAATCCAAAAGATATCGAACTTTGCTATTCTTAGAAACTCTAGGTAATATTTAATTCCTTTTTCGAATTTACATTTTTACTAACTATTTATTATTCTTTCTTTTTAAAGTGTATTACTTGACACAGAGAATGTTCCATTGCTTTGTAACTCTGATGGTAGTTTTTCTTTTAAGACCTCAATTGGAAATTATTTAATTTCTGTATGTATTATACTTTTTTTTTTTGAATTTTAAATATCAACAATGTAAATTAATTTATTATTTTATTCTTAGATTAAACAAACCAAAGGTCAATGTGGAGAGACTTACTTTGCTTCTCATTGTGGTGGAAATACTGCAGATCCAACACCTATTAAAAAGTCAGAGGGTTTGAAGGTGAGTGCCGCTATGGTTGAGAAGTGGAATGAAACAAACAATCTCTATCAATATGAAGGAATGATTTTAAATGACAACACCTACCCTGTTGGCGATGTACAAATTTCAACAAAGAACTTCCTTCCACTCTCTGTTTGGGGATTGGATCTCACTAAAGAATCTATTCTTAGAATGCCACTGTACAAGAGTATTTTACTTCCAGGTGAGAAGTTCATTTTTGGATTTGTACTCGACGATCCACATTTCAAATTGGACATCTATAATTACCAAGATCTCTCTTAAAGATAAAAAAAAACTTGTAAAATATTAAATAAAATACAACTAAAATATGGTATTTGCTAAACTATCTACATATATTTTTAAATTATATGTCTTTTAATTGCTATTTGATTATACATTTTTAGGGTTATTTTTTATTTTCAGTGTTTTTCTTTTAATACATTCTGTCAGCATATAGGATGATGATAAGATTTCATTCGTTATTATTAATAAGAGGATTTTCATATGATGGAGATGAAGTAAAAATAAATAAATAATAAAGTGGAGCCAAGAAGGAAAAAAGATTAGTTTACCTGCTTAAGCTGCTTCCAATAGTTAATGATCTCAGTGTTGGAGTCTGGGGATTTTCGTTTCTTATCGTCATCATTCAAAAGATCAATTACTCTGATTTGGTTGTCTCTTCTCGGTGTTTCAGAGGTGTTGTTAAGATTGTTGGTCGTTGTTGTGGTTGTTGTTGAAAAATGTGAGTGTGGGTGATGTTCATTGTCGTAGCTTTCGATGTTGTCGTTGTAGTGGTTATTACCATTATTATTATTATCACTATGTTGGCCACCGTGATTACTATTAAAGTTTTGGTCATTACCTATAAATCCCAAATTCAGGTCCTCTCCACTCTCATCAGATAGATTGTCTTCATCGGAGTCATTCTCTTGGGAATCTCCATAATCATCCTCATCGCTATCGATATTCCAATAAACCCTTGAACAACTATTAGTTTTTAAGTTTATAGTAAGTAAAAATAACTATAATAATAATTATATAATTTAAAATTATAACATACATATTAACAACTTTTATCAGCTCTAAATCAGTTTTAAATTTATTCTGAATAAGTGAATGAATTTCATCAGGTTCCATGCCTTTGGCATATTGCTCTTTTATAAAGAATTTCTGTTCGGATGAAATTGACAATCTATTTACAATGGATCTATAAAGATATTGAGGAATGTTTGAGTCAAAGTTAAATATTTTTTAACATTATTGTTATAATATTACCTTCTATATAATCTAAATATTAATTTTTCGTCTCTTTTCAGATGACTTTTCTGTACAGCATTGAACTCTTTAAAAATAGAGGACCATTCTGGAGATCCCATAGGCAAATGGCTAGCGTTGTGCTTGTTGACGAGTTCCACAAGTAGCACTTCTTCTTCATCGTTGAACTTGGTAAGTTGGCACTGTTGTTTTATTTGAATAGGTGATCGAGTAGTACCGAAGCTCTCATACACCGCTGGCATATGTGTAATACCATTAAAGGTATGTTTGGCCACGATAGCCCATAATCTCTCCTTCTCTTCTTTTGACCATGCACCTTTTTTTGTTTTTGCGAAAAATAAACAATTATGACTATTTTGAAAATGTGATAATTTTTAAAGATAAATATGATTATATTAATAAATATATAATAATTATAATATATAGAATAATATTCTACTTACTGATTTCTTAATTGTTCACTTGTACGTTGGTCCTCTTTATCAATTCCAGAATTGAATTCTTTTTCAATATCATTCCATTTACCGTTGTACTTGGAGTAAAGTTGAGCCAACTTTAAATTCTCTTCCTGAGAGAAATCTTTTCTATTGGTAATAGAAACTTTTCTTGTCAAATTACCGTACTGTCCGACCAACTGGCTCTTGCTTCTGGTATTTCCAAACTCCTTGGATACCTTTTTAAAATTAATTCGACTCTCACCATTTGGAAACACCTTGGAGTGCTTGGCAACCAGAGAAAACAATTTGGTCAACTCCTCATTAGTCCATGGTTGTCTATAATTACTTGATACCTTTGATCTTTCTATATCCTCAAGGCATCCAATTCTTTTTTATTTGATCAATATTTTTTGTTTAATTATTAAATTATAATATAAAGAAATAATATCTTAATATTTTTAATATACCTACTTTTTTAATATTTGTTTTGTTTTAAATTGTCTAAGACATTCGTATCGACCATAAATTAACTCCCAATCCAATATACGCTTGGAAGGTGCTTCGATTACATCTGTGCCAGGAACTCTTCGTTTGAAAGAATCAATATTTTTCAAAATCTCTACCACTGCCTTGGTTTGTTCGGAATTAAATGAGGTCTTTCCTCCCATATTTTGATAAAACAGAAATCCTTTAAATTATTTCCGGGTTGAGGATGTGAAATATATAAATATATAAAAAACTACACCTGATTATAGCTCTGCCGACCACAAATGTTGATGAAAAAATTCATTAACCTAATAATAAAATAAATAATAAATAAATAATAAATAAATAATAAATAAATAAATAATTATCTAATCACAAATTAAGTGGAGAGGTGTATGCCCGATAAATATTTCTAAAATAATAAATAATTGTGCAAAGTGAAAGTTGACTTGTGTATTTTTGTTTTTTTTGGGATGATATAAAAAAAATATAAATAAAAAAATTTTGCTAAATACGACTGAGCACTTTGTGATACGAACTATTCAAATACGGTGTGTGAAAACTAAACAAAACAAGATTGATAGACCAAAGAAAACAATAAAAGATGATAAAAGCAATTTAATCTAGTGTTGACTCAGTTGAACAACAACAACAACAAATAACACTAATATATATTATTTGTGATTATGATATTGCTATATTGTTATTGTATAGGGGGTTAGTGTTCAAAAGTTAGTTGAAAGTGAAAGTGAAAGTGATTGATATTTATATGAACAGTTCTATCGGTATATAGAGGAAAGAAAGAGTGAGAGGGTGAGGGATAGTGGGATATTTTTCTGTTATAATAAAAAATATGAAATATATATATATAAATATATATTTATATAACAAAAAAAACCTTTGTATATAATAATAAGTAAGTTACTTTCTATCTTTGATTGATGTAGATGAAAATTAAAATTAAAGGCACATCTCTTTGTATTTTTTTTTTTTTTTTTTTGAAAGAAAGTAAGCAAAAATTATCAATTTTTAGGGTTGAACAAAAACAAAAACCAAGTTTTTACACCGCAATATGAAAATTCGTAAGGGTTAAAAAGAAAAAATTTGTTTTTTTTATCAATAAACACACACAATCCAATGTATACTTTGTTTTTTTTGTTTTTTTTCTTTTCAGAATGACACCATAAACCCACATCAATCTCCCCTAACCATATCCACCTACTTTTGCATTATCCTTAGTAGTAGTATTGTTCCACTGCTACCACCAACCACGAATTTTACTATGATATCATCATCATAAACATCAACACAAATAGAGAGAGTATGATATTATTTTATTTTTATAGCAGTGTAATATTAATAATAATAGTTTTAAATTATTTTTTAAATTTTTCTAAAAAGGTGAAATTACTATTTTGTCTCGTTATTCTTTTAAACACAATTTGAAAGAATGAATAAAGAACTTTTTATATGATAAAATAATGACAACTTGCAACATTAAACAAAATAACAACTACCACTAACCACAGCCATTCTCCAACCTCAATCAAAAATACATACATAAGCAAAAAATACAAAAAAAATAGATCAACAACACACACAGATTTTTGATTTTAACGCAACTTGAATCACAAAAAAATTAAAAAAATCGTGACGACAATTAGAGTTAATGATAGACAAAAAACAAATTTTTTTTTTGAAAAACCGCGGAGTGTGGTTGAATTTTTCTATTTTGGGGTTTTTTGTTATTTTTTTTTTTGAGCAATTTTTTTTGTATGAACAAAAAGTGATTACCAAACAAATCGACCATAGAATTGTTATTTGGTTTCTATTTTTTTTAATGGCTCAATATTAGGTCTGAAAGTGCAATCTAAGAAACATAAATAGATTCGAATTTTTAATAAAATCAATCAATGTGTCAAGATCTTAAAAAAAAAAAAAAAAAAGTGATTAAAAAAATGATCACAAAATACAAACTGTAAGTATACTTATAAGTTATAACTTTTTTGATCAATTTGTATTGGAATTTTTGTATCATAATAGTTATATGAATACAATCGTTGTTTTTCAAACTAGTTTATCTTAAATACCATTTTTATTTGTTTTTTTTTTTTGTTTTTTTTTTTTTTTTTTTTTTTGGGTATCACAAAAATTTGCAAAAAAATCAGTAAATAAAAAAACTTGATTATAGCACCCTATAACCGCAGGACACCTGGTCTTTTAATTGGCGACCCCAAAATGCACCTTTAAAATCCAATACCGAAAAATATTTTATTTAACTATTGCAATAAATCATATGACCTCTGACTCATTTTACACTGCATTCCCGGGCTTACTTTAAGTTGAAAAAAGGTAGAGTTTGCAGAACCATTGCCATCAAACAACAACACACCCACACCGCAATAGTTGAGGTAAATCTACTTAAACTTTTTTTTGTTTTTTTTTTTTCTATTCTAACCATCTACTACTATTGTCACACAACAACCCAACGTTTATCAAGTATAATTGAGCTCATACCTAAATTTTAGTTGTTGTTTTAATTAATATAAAAATTAAAACAAAACATAGTGATCTTTCATACTCGATCTATACACAAAGGAGGTCTCGTTGTTTCGTTTATTTTTGATTTAATTGTTGTTGCTGTTGTTGTTTGAGCAGAAATGAAAGTGGGACCGAATTGATTGAAAATGAGACTCTTTTCTGAAAATCATTTCATTTCATTTTTGTGTTTAGTCCTTACTCAACCTACAGATAGAATAACATTGAAATCATGTACAAGTATATCTTGGTATCAACTCTATTACTTTTAACCATCCAATACTCATTGGGTGCTTCAAACCTCAAGGGATGTATCCCAGAGGATCAATACAATCCACAAACTGATTATTTCCCAGATAAAGCTCAAGGTAATAAATCAATCTACATTTTTAAACTAAAAATCAATCAATCAACTTATTATTAATCATTAATCAAATGGTCATCTGACAGTTTTAAATTCAACTTTATTCAATGTAACATATTCAAAGTCATACAAGGTAATTACCACTGTCAGCAATAATATGCAATATGTTCTCTATCAGTGTGGTACACCAAAGCCAGATGCTGCACAGTTTCCAAATACCACCAAGTTCTTCTCTGTTCCAGTGAATAGCAGTGCTGTCACCGGTACTACCCCACTCTCATACTTCTTATTGATGGCAATTACCAATAAGATGACATACACCGGTTCAGCCAAGTTGATCGCCGCACCATGCATCCTCCAAGGCATCGAAGACGGTGAAATCAAGGAGTTGTCAAGCAACGCCACCATCAAAGCACAACAGCTCGCCTCGGTAGACGTCGTCTTCCAAGGTAGCTTCGACAAGTCCACCAACAACTCTGTTGCCTCCTACGAAACTCAAGATCCAGGACCCTTGCACCGTACCGGTTGGGTCAACTTCTTCGGTATGTTCTTCAATGCTGAGGCCGATGCCAACCGTGTCTTCTCAGAGATCTCCTCGAACTACCACTGCTTCGCCAACACCTCGCAATCCACATTGAGACAACGTCAAATCAAAACCAAGTCTGTTGCCTGGACCACTTACAACGCACCATCGAGCTACAATCAAAACACTGCATCTTGGTCTATTTCCAACGCCGCCTACAAGTCAAAGTTGAGCACTGATGCCGGTGCCAACTTCCTCAATCTCGCCAACTCCACCACCGACGTCACCGTTTTCCACGAGTTGATCAAGGATGTCGATGTCATCATCGACGAAACCTATCAATTGAACTCATTCGATGATTTCCTCATGGCCTACCAGATCAACACCACCGAGATGCAAGCGAAATTCAAGTTTGTAGCCAACAAGGTTGTCTTCCGTCAAGACGGTTTGGAGAATATTTACGATGGTCGTGATTGGTTCCAATCTGCCGTTGCCTTCAACGATGCCGTACTCCAAGACGTCATCCGTGCAGTCTACCCAGAGGTATTGCCAAAGAGCACTCTTCCATTGTGGTTGCGTAACATCGCCACCAACGAACCAACTCTCAGAATGACAGCGGACAACTGCACAACCGAAGTACGTCCACAGATCTACGAAGACAGAGTACTCGAGTGTTCAACCATGTTCGACGACAGCAGCAATTCCGCTTTCACCTTACTCCCAGCCATCTTTACCATCATCATTTCCGTAGCAATCACTTTCTTCTTTTAAATAAAATAGAAGAGAACTATTTATATATATAAAATTAATAGTTATTTAACAATTTGTTTTATTACTATTACTATTTACAACTTTAACTTTTGAAAACAATTGATTAAATAAATGAATGTTTGTCTATTGTAATCAGTTTCATTACTTTCGTCATGTACAAACTTTTTTAGTTTGATTGTACAGATTGTAGTTGATTGGTGATTCTAACTTGCTAAAGAGATAGTCGACTATTCTTGTATCACCAAGACTGACCGAACGAAACAAGCAAGGAAGCATCTTTATATTGTCAAACTTTAGATTGTATTTGTCAAACAAATAGATGATTGCATCGATATTACCTTTATCAGCAGATTGTTGAAGTATTAGATCGATAAAGTTATCGAGAAGTGGGGGACCATTCATCAACTTTGTGAAACGCTCCGATACTATCAACTGAAGATGTGTAAGGTGACCAGAATAATCTCTAAAATCATATAGTACAGTTGGATTGTCTTTGAGAAGATGGTCATTTCGCTCCAGATAATCCAAAACGATATCTGTTAGCTGTATGTTGGTCAATCGGAATCTAAAACTATCGAGAGTAAATGACATCCTCGGTAACAGCAACTTGATAATTTGATATGGATATTCGTTCTTAAAGATCGACAGTAAATCAATGTTTGGACGACGATCACACAGTAGTTCAACCATCTTTGTTTTACCTCTGTGACAAGCTGTTGTTAACGCCCGACAATAGAAAGCATCGGAGATGTTCACCTCGTTATCGGGTCGAGTTGCTTCATCGACAAACGAATAGTGGTCAAGCTGCACTGCTGCCTCCAAGTAGTTAACGGTGTGATTCTGACGGTGTCGATAGAAATAATCAAACAACTCTATAGAATAGTTGAACTTGTGAGGTGATCCTTTTCTTATTATTTCACTGTCGTATCCTAATCCCACCAGCTGCTCGAGGTAATAGATGATATCGACACTCGACATCTTCTTGACGATCGAGCGCACAAGTGCACTATCGATATTTGTCTGTGTGATCCGTTGGTCTGTGGACTTTGCCAGGTAAGCAAGAGTATCGAGGTTACAATGATTGGCAGCGGTTTGTGTTACTAGGTTCTCGTAGACATCTCTGGCAGTCTGTTTATCCCTAAAGCGATGATGTTCCTCCAACAGATACTTTATGATTTCTAAGTGTCCCGACAATGCAGCGTTATAAACCATATCGGCATGTCTCTTTGGCTCCAGATACTTTAGTAGTTTAAGTCCCGACGCTTCATTCAAGTTGGACCATGTCGATAGCGTCGTGCTGTAGGTCTTTGGCTTGAGAAACTCCAGTATCTCAATGTGTGCGTGTGACATTGCTACGTTCTGTGCAATATTAGCAAAGCTATTATCATAGTTTGCACATATCTCTTTCTCGTGCTGTAGCAGCAGCTTTACGATTTGAATGTTTCCCAGTGCGGTAGCTCCTATCACCGCGTTGAATGTACACTTTATCGGGTCACCCTTGAATCTACTACCATTGAATTGTACTGCTTGCTGTATTAGATATCTAACGACTTCCAAATGCCCATTGGTTGCACTATCGTCAATCGCACGAACCGTGCAACTCTCTGTCCTGTTTTCAAGCAAGAATTTCACTATATCGAGATGGCCGGCACCGGCGGCACCATCTACCGCCACAATTGAAAAGTGTGATCCACGACCATGAAGATATTTAACGATTGGTAAACTCCCAGACTTCGCAGCTTCGAAAACAGTCAGACTATTCGGTTGTATCAAACTGTAGAATCGTTCGATAACATCCAATCGGCCATGAGTAGCAGCCACCTGGTGAAGTTGTGAAGTGACAATCAGTGGATAACGTTGAACTACCGATTCGATCAAGGATAATGGTGAATCCTTCAATGAAACCAAAGCAAACAGTGTAGATCTCGAAAAATGCAGATTACTTCTGCCATCTTCTGGCGAGCGAGGATCTTGATGATCTTTATCCAGAAGCGATTGTAAAATGTCAAGAGTTGAAGTAGACGAAGCCAAATCTGTCAATGAATGAGATGACCATACAACTGTAGAGCAATCACCAATCAAACGCTTCCTCACATGATTATATAGCTTTTGCTTAACAAGCCAATTGATATCTATAGTGGCATCTTGAGAAGCGAGATATCGACATGTGTATAAAGTACATCTCTGATGATTAAATAAACATATATATTTAAATATGAATGCATTCTTTATAATCTTTCTAAAGAAATAATCTATACTATTGTTATTTTCACCCATATTAGCATGTGATTATTTCTATTAAGATAAAAACCATACATATTTTTGTTGTTCAGTAAAAAAAAAAAGAAATTAACACCAAAATTAATCTACTAAAATCTTTCCAAATTTTTAAACTGAACCAATTCAAAGAATACCAAAAAAAAAATATCTTGTTGGATCTTATAATAACAGTTTTGATTAAAATTTATTTTTTGTTTTTTAGATATTTATTTTTATATATTATTAATCTATTTTTTATTATTTCTCAACCAATTTTTTAAAACGACCAACGGACAAATGCAGTTGATTTAATTGACTTTCGAAATACGAATTTAAGTAAATGTGGAAAAGCACTCGGCAATAGGAACTAAAATATATTTTTTTTACCCATGGTATTCCAGGATTCTTATTTGTAATGTCGATGGTGTATATAAAAAAACATTGAAAAAAAAAAATAAAGATTACAAAGACAGATCTAGTTAGAAACTCAGTGTGTGGGGTATTTTTTTTTTTTAAGATGTGCACCAGGTATCAATATCGATAAAATAATGCCTGTTTATTCTTCTTGTTCTCGATGTTTGCAAAACTATAAACATGGTGTCATTCAAATTAATATTGTTATTAATATGTCCTAGTTTTGGTGTTTGGCTCAATCCTTAATTGTGGCATTTGACACTCCAGGTTGACCATTAAACAACCATTATCCATTCGGAAACCACACAAAATCGAGGACCCAATAAAAATCTTTAAAATAAAAAAAACAAAACATCAAAAAAAATTTAAAAAAAACCTTCCTTTGTACAAAAATAAACCCTTGTAAAAAAAAAAAGTCAAAAAATTTAAAAATATAGAGATATTTTTTGATCGATCTATCGCCACATGTTCTTGTGAAAAAAAATTAATCAAACCCCATTGATTTGTAAAAAAAAAAAAAAAAAAATATTAAATAAAAAAAGGTCCTTTTGAATATCTTAACCTGCACATTAATAATACGACCATACAACTATTTTTTATTATTAAATCAAGCTCAACAACAAAATAGAAACAAACAAATAATAAAAACAACAATTGTACATTTATCAAAAAAAAAAAACAAACAAACAAAAACAAACAAGAAAAGAAAAGAAGCAAAATTAAAAAGAAGAATCATCAGTAATTTTTTTTAACAATTTTGTATTTGTAATATTACTTTATAATTTATTAATTAGTCTAGAACAGACCATACATTAGTTATCGAAATCAAATCAACTTAAAAACAACAAAACAACAATATTTATTCACACTAGGTTTATAATCTATCAATTTAAGAATTTTAACGTTAATGTAAGACTTGTTTTTATTTTTAAACAATTTCTACCTTCTATTATTCAAAATATGTCATTGCCAAATCAATTCTTTAAACACGTTAAGCAATAATAACCATTCATTTCAGTGTTAATAAAATATACAATATTTCCAATAATAATTGTAATATTATTACAAATATCACTGGAATAAACATTTGAATGTTCTTTTACTCTCAACCTGTTTACCAAAGAATAACTGTTTCTTTCAAACTCCCACAAATTTGAGGGGAGATCCCACATAAACTAATATCAATTGTGTGCAAAAAAAAAAATTGTGTGTATTTTGTCTTTTTTTTTTGTGTGCCATTTCATGACTATTTTTTTTTAAATAAACAAACCACATCATGCTCCACCCCATTAATTTAACGATCAGATTAATCAATATGGGTCACCAGTCATTGGTTCGAACCAAACCACTCCAACAATATTTAAAATCAATCCTCGGGTGACGCCAGCAGTTAAGGATTTAAATTTAGTTTTCCCTATTTCGACACAAGTGAGAAATGGTTGTTTATTAATCACAAATGTCAATCCATAATATTTGCGATGATCATAGCAGTGTTGTTCAAGTAAATACGAACCATAAAAGAATATGTGATTGATTTGTGATTGTGTGTTATTTTTTTTTTTTTCTTCATTTTTGGTTTATTGTGATGAAGTGGTGGTGTTGTGTTATGAGATTTTGATTAACCACAAATGGTTAACTTAATAATCATATCCAAAAAAATAAAATAAAATAAAATAAAAAACATTGATAATAACGACATTATCTCATTCATATTATATTTCGATCATGGACATGACAACATAACATAAGATAAAACAAAAAGCAAAACAAAACAAAACATATATGTTCACAAAATTTGGTTCAAACTATATATTTTGAACAGTCACATCTTGTCAACTTACTATAAGAAGAAAAGCTGTCTGATTATAATTAGATTTAATGTTTTTTTTTTTAATTATATTTAAATTGACAATAACATAAATATTTATAAAAAGGTAATTAATTTGTTGACATTAAAATGTTGTTTGTATATTAAATTAATATATACCCATCATATGCACACTGTTTTTTGTGTTTAGTAAAAACTATAATAACAACAAAAAATCAAACACCAACATCAACTTCAAACAGACAAAAACTACCCAATCAAACAGTATAGTGTCAATATTTAAATATTGTTGTTTATGGAACAAACACATTACATAATATTATATTTAAAATATAAAATTAGTATAGTATTATTATTTATAAACATTGTTACCATATTAAATTAAGTTTAGTTTAGTACGAAACAAAACTACTGAATTGAATCAAATAATGTATTTTATATATAAGAGGCAGCCTCATTTCAATCAATCCAATCAAGAAATAATAATATTTAAACTTTTTATTTCTCACCATTATTATTATTATTATTGATCGTGTTTATTAATTGTTTCATTTTGTGTTGTCTATCTCTACCTCTACCACCCACAATCACCAATACCACCACATCACAAATCTCTCTTTAAACACCTCTTATTGATCAACATCACATCACACATTTAATATTGGAAAAGCTTGGTGCTACTACTAGTACTCCTGCTGCTAATAGATAATAATATTATGAGAAATTTTAACCATAAATCAATTTATATAATTTAATTCGACCCGAAACCATATCCAATCATATCTTATCTTTATTAAATTTCTATTTTATCTATTAAATTTTTCTATACATAATATTTCAACAACTTTGTTAGAAAATCATAATAATAATAAAATAGAACAATAATCTCTTCTTCCTCTTCTTGTTGTTCTTCTTCTTGTTTTACAACTTTAAGAAAATCTATTTCTTTATTTAATTTTTTAATTAATTTAAATTTATAAACTAAATCTCTTTTCTTTTCTTTTTTACCATTTATTTATAAATTTTGGTTGTTTGAAATCATCGTTTTGATTTTAAAAAACTGGAATTATATAACAAACCAATCACTGAAAAAATAGATAAAGAAGCCAAAATGAATTGCGTTGCCAGAAGAACAGAGGAGTTGAAAATATCGATCGATATAGATAAAGAACTTAGACATGACGAGAGACGTATGAAGAAGGATATTCAAATCTTATTGTTGGGTGCTGGTGAATGTGGAAAATCAACAATCTTCAAACAATTGAAAATCTTGCAAGATAATGGTAAATGGACCGAAAAAGAACTCTTGGAATTTCGTAACAGTATCTATGTAAATATTACCTCGCAACTCTTAGTATTGATTCTTGCAGCTGAACAATTAAATATATCAATATCACCTGATCTTAATGTATGTGTAAAAAATAATAGAATGCTCAATTATATAAATCAACAACTAACCAACTTGTTGATTTCAAATATTTCAGGAAGCAATAGAGAGAATTAAAAATCGTCAACATCTGACAGATGAATGGAATGATCAGGTTTCAGAAGATGCGCAAAAAATATGGGCTGATCCAGGTATTAAGAAAACCTATGAAAGAAGAGATAGAGATTTCCAATTAAATGATTCAGCTAAATAGTAAGTGCAAACATTTTCCAAAAGTGTATCAATCATTTCATTCATTTATTAATTAATTCATTTACTCAATTTTAAACAAATAAATTTATATAGTTTCTTTGATAATCTTCAAAGAATTTCTGATCCTAAATATTTACCAACACCACAAGATGCATTGAGATCTAGAGTGATGACAAAAGGAATTGTAGAGGCAGAGGTTGTCTTTGACGGTATCTCAATGAAGATCATCGATGTCGGCGGACAGAGATCTCAACGTCGTAAATGGATCCACTGCTTCGATGGAGTATCTGCAGTTATTTTTGTTGCGTCACTTTCAGAGTACGACCAGATGTGTCGTGAGGTTGCCGTCAATCGTCTCGATGAGTCCATCAACCTATTCTCAGAGATCTGCAACAGCCAGTGGTTCGTAGAGACACCAATGATTCTCTTCCTCAACAAAAAAGATCTATTCATCGAGAAATTACAACGTGTACCATTTAATACTTATGATAAAAATTATACAGGTAACTATCAAACTAACTTTCCATTTATTTCCATCCAAGAGAAGATTCCAAAGAATATTTAATTAACTTTTTTTTTCTATTTCTCCTTTTCTTTAATAAAAATTTAGGTGATAATTCTTACAATGATGTATCCAATTTTATTAAAAAGAAATTTGTTAGTACCATGAGAAACATACAGAAGGATGTATATACCCATCTCACTATTGCCATCGACACCCAGAATATTGATTTTGTATTTAAAGCTGTAAAAGAAATTCTACTAAGAAAAACAATCAACGAATTTTAAAATACCAACACATATTAAAGTACCCATATATTGTTAAATAAAATATATTATTATTTTTTTGCATTATTCTTCATTCATTGGATTTCAGCACCGATGCCAATCAACTTTTCCAGGAAAATGATATGATAACAACATGTTTGACATTCATTTTTTATTTTATTTTTCAAATTAATATTATGTATCTATTTTTTCCGCGGAAAAAAAACAACACAAAATAATAACATAATAATATGATTGATGATAGGGAGATAATACTATCATCGAACTCTTCTCCACCTATTTCATCATCACCCATCAACAATGATAATCTAGTGAAGAGAGTTAAAGTTGAACAACAACAACAACTGCAACAATCGATCTCTCTAGATAGTAGTGGTAGTTGTAGTAATAAAAATAGTAGTGTTTGCGATGACGATCAAGATAGATCTACACCTACACCACCATTATTATATAACGATAGAGTTCAATCTTCACCCATTAAGTTATTAAAAAGAAATACAAGTTTTAATAAAACCAATTTTTATAATAGTAGTTTTAGTAAGAGTTATAATAATAATAATGGTAGTCATAGTAAGAATAATCATCATAATAATAGTTATATAGTTAATTTACCTTTAAAAAGAGAAAGAGAAAGTGAGAAAGAAGCTGAAAGTGAACGAGAAAGAGAAAGTGAGATTGAAGAGTTTAAATTTGAATATCTAAAAGAGAAGGAACCAATCGATCTCGATAATGATTATTCATTTTCACCACTTTCACCGATTACTCATGTTAAATCAGAGGATGACAATGATTTCTTTATCGATATCGATGAAGATATTAAAGATAGAGAAACTACAACCACAACAACTACTTCTGCTTCCAAGTACGAGGAAGTAATAACAACAACTTCTGTATTAAAAAATAACATCAACACCAACAACAACAATCATAATAATATCAATAACAATGATAATCTAAATATTAAAAATGAAAACATACAATATTATACTTTAAATAACAACGACAATAATAATAATAATAACAATAATAATAATGGAAATCACCTTGGTAATATGAAACATAACAACAATATTCCTATACCAAAAGCAAATTTTAAGTTATTACCTACAAAGTTCAATCATCTTAACAACAATAATAATATCAATCATTTTAATAATAATGTCAGATTTAATAGTAATAAAAAACATGTAAATAATAATAATAATGTAGATAAAGATAAACAAGAACATATAGTTTTAAGTGGTGGACCTGAAGATATTATCAATATGGTTAAAGGTTCAATAAATTTAAGTGATCAAGTAAGAGATGATTTCGTGGCAGACAATACTTATGATGTCAACAAACTCAATGGAACGCAACGATTGATTTTGGATACAGTTGTCAGTCGTAGACGAAACGTATTCTTTACTGGTCCTGGTGGTTGTGGAAAGTCATACTTGATTCATACGATAGTCAATGAACTCACAAAGAAAGGTATAAGAACATTTGTTACGGCGCCAACTGGCATTGCCGCTTTGAATATCCAAGGAATGACAATACATTCATTCGCTGGTATTCGCTCGAGCAGTGCGTCGTTCGAAGATCTTCTGGCATCGGCATACTCGAGGAAATCTAATTGGAAAGAGGTGGAAGTGCTGATAATCGATGAGATTTCAATGTTGGACGGTTTGTTGTTCACTCATCTCGATATGATTGCAAGAAAGATACGAGCAAAGCGGAATCTAAAGGAGTACGGTGGTAATCCACTCGAGATTCCTTGGGGAGGAATACAGTTGTGTCTATCCGGTGACTTTTATCAGCTGCCGCCAGTTCCAGACTATCGTGACATGAACACAATGGCTGACAAACACTTTTCAACGACAAAGAAGCGAAAGTATTGTTTTGAGTCTGAAAGTTGGTCACAGTCAGTCCACGAAATCATTCAACTGACAGAGATTTTCCGTCAGAAGGATCCATTCTTTTCCGATTTACTTAGTAAGCTAAGAATTGGTAGAGCAGACGATGATATTATAAACACCTTAAGTAAATGTAGTGGTAAGTTAAAAATTTTAAATAATAGTTAATTAACTTTGCTTAACTAATTTGTTTGTTCTCCAATTTCTATTTTTAGTTAAAAAATCAGATGATGGTATTCAACCCACTATATTATTCTCTACTAATAAAAAAGTAGAGGAAAAGAACGATTTCTATTTGGATCAGATCAACGATGAACCCGTCAAATATGAATCAATCGATTTTCTGGCGGAAAACGAAGGACTTAATCCACAAAAAACTTTTGTACTCAGTTCAATCTTTGAGAATTCAAAGAAACAATGTTTGGCATCCAAGACTCTTATTCTCAAGAAGGGAGCACAGGTGATGTTGGTTCGTAATCTATCGAGAGTTCTTGTCAACGGTTCACGTGGAATCGTCATTGGATTCATTAATCTTTCGGAGCCCAATAAGAAGCATGTCTCTGAATTTCTGGAGAGCAAAGAAGGTCAAACCCTTGAGACTTGGCAACGCGATAAAATCAATGAAATCATGTTGACAACATCGGTTTTTCTCAAACCACAAAAACACACCTATCTACCTGTAGTCAAGTTCTCGAATGGCCAGATTGAAGTGATAAAACCCGAGACATTCTCTGTGCTTTTCGAATCGGTGGAGAGAATATATCGACAGCAAATATGTCTTAAATTGGCATATGCCATCACCGTTCATAAATGTCAGGGTCTGACTTTGGAGAGTGCACTGGTCTCACTCGGAAGAATATTCGAGCATGGACAAGGCTATGTCGCGTTGTCTCGTGTCAAGTCTTTGGAGGGTTTACAAATCATCGACAATGTATCAAGAAAATGCTTTACAGCCGATCCCAAAGTGAATTTATTCTATCAAAAGTTGGAGGCAAAGTTAAACAATAACCAACAAAAGAATAACAATAACAACAGCGAATCAACAAATAATTATAATGAAATTGAAATACCTGTATTCTTTAAATGCCCTATCTCCAAGAAATTGATGGAAAACTGTGTGGTTGCGCCCGATGGATTCTCCTATGACAGGGCAACGATTTTTGAATGGGTCAGAGAAAATAACTTTAGTTTTGTTACTAAAAAACCTTTTAAAATAACAGTCTTCATACCAAATCATAATCTAATGGCTCAAATTAGTGATTGGAAAGCAAAGAATAAATATTTAACACCTGTTTAAATTTGTAATCTACTTTATCTTTAATATGTTCCTTTTATTCCTTTCATTTTTTTATCATTAAGAGTATTGTTAAAACTTTGGATGTGTTACTGTGTTAGGTGGTATTTGAAGAAGTGATAATTGATTTTCATTGTTGTTGTTGTTGATTATGATAATTGTTTATTTTTGGTTTTTTTTCTTCCATTCGTCAGCTGCTCTTGCAATTACATCAGTTTTGGCAAGTAATGCTTGAGCTGAAAAGTTTTCTGGCAATTCAGGTATCTTTGATGGTGGAATCGAAATTACTTTCTCCAAATATGTTTGTGAATTGGCGCCGAATAGTTTAACCAGATGTTCTCGCATGACTTGTTCTGTAATGAGATTATGTTTGAATACCAAAGCCAAACCATTGAAATGATTTTGAACCTGGGTCCTGAGTTGTTCTGCTGTCATTGTTTCTGAAGGAAGAGATCCTGTAGTCGTCGAGGAAGCCGCTGGTGTTGGAGCTGTGGCAGCAGGTTTAGCTTGCTGTTGTTGTTGTGGTTGTTGAGCAGCGGGTTTAGTTTGTTGTTGTTGTGGTGGTTGTTGAGTAGCAGCGGGTTTAGCTTGTTGTTGTTGAGTAGCAGCGGGTTTAGTTTGTTGTTGTGGTGGTTGTTGAGAAGCAGCGGGTTTAGCTTGTTGTTGTTGAGTAGAGGCGGGTTTAGCTTGTTGTGATGGTGCTGATGTTGTTGGAGTTGGATTTGTAGCTTTGCTTTCTTTCTTTTGTGGTTGGGCAGCTTTGCTTACTTTCTTTTGTGTAGTTGGTTTGTTGCTACTATTGCTCTGGTTGCTATTAGTCTTGCTGCTGTTAATCTTGTTGTTTTTGTGTTGCGCTAACAATTTATTAAAGTGATCCATTGGTGGCAAGAATGAAAGTGGGATGTTCAATTTCTTTTTGACTTGATTGATGTTTTCAAGCACCTTGTAGGTACCCTTGATGATACTCTCAGCATCGACATGAATGTTCTTTGGTACGGTGATTGAACGAGAGGTGAGCAAGTTGAGAACCTTATCGCTACCTGGACCAAACATCAAAGAAAGTAACTCTGCGGCCAACTTCTCATCGATTACCTTTCTGTTGACACCGATAATCAAATCATCCAGATGTCTAAAGGTCAAAATATTGATACTAATAAACATTGGATCTTTAATTTGATGTTTCTTATTTGACATTGTTATTTTTATTTGTTTTTTGTTTATATTTATTTATAAATACTACAGATCTATTAATGAATAATACTCTGTTTTTCTTGAAAATTAGACATGGGTTGACAAACAAGCATCTCAAACAATTTTTTGAAAAATAAAATAAAAAAATAATCTTATTAAATAAACTACACAAAAATTGTTGATTGTTTAAACAAGTTTTATTAATTTTGTTTTGATAGTTGTTTATTATAATACATATCAATATTTATATATATAAAGAGAGTAACTCTAGAGAGGAAAGAGATAGAGATAAAAATGAATAGTTTTTTCCAAACATTATCTGCTATTGCATTGATTATCGTTTTAATGAGTTTAGGTATGTTGTTTTAAAACAATAGTTTTGTTTTAGATAGATCTTCTTTTTCTTATTAACAACGTTGTTGTCGACATTCTATAGGATGGTTCGTTATGTGGAAAATGTACCTTTCTAAATATGAATTTGTCAGAGAGTTGTTGGGATACAAAAAAGAGCTTAAACCTAAACCAAAGAGTAGAAGAACTGCTCCAGTCAAACTACATCAAGAATTTGTATGTTTTTTTTTCTAAACTTTATTCATACATTATAACTAACACTTAAATTCAATCATTTAAAATATTAAAGGAGGATGAACAACCAATTAAACAAGATTAATAACATAAATAGATGATAAAGCGCTACAAAAATATATATACAATTTTAATATACATTCATTCACAAAAAGATAGATAGATAGATACATCAACAAACCATAAATCAAACAAACCGAGTCTATAGCTGTGATAATAGTATTAAGAATAACTATTTATACATTACAGACAACTAGTTAATAGCTAAGTTATTATTATTATAAGTAACCTTTCACATATACATTTAATAAAGTATTCTTATTTTTATATCTCTTTTTTTTTTTTTTTAAATAATAATATATGTATGTTTTTTTTGTTTATTATTTATAAACCTTTTTGATAAAGTAAAGGTTTAGTTTACTTTCCGTTTCTTCTTTTGTTGTTGTACTTTTCCTTTCTTAAAGCTTGAACTACCGCTATGGATATCATCCAAATCCTGTTCAAAATCGTTTCTGGTGACAGCCTTCTTTGGTTTGCCGCCATTCTTTTTGTTTTGTTTCTTGTCTAGTTTAAGTTGTTCTTGTGGTGTTGGTCCTGTGTAGATACCGACTCTTCTCAGTGCTTCGATTCTCTTTGTCTCCTTACCGGATGCCTTCTGACTGTTCTGTATGCTCTTGACCTTCTTCTCTACCGCTCTCATATCGACTGGTTTGGCACGTTTCGCCTCCAAACGCTTACCACCAATCTTTGACATGACCTCGTCGCGCTCATCATCGGATTGCTCGGCTTCAGCCATCTCTCTGGCAATCTCCTCACGATGCATCTTGCTTCTACGCTTACGACGTGACAAACCGAGATAGGGATCACGATCTGCCTTCTTTCCGGCCTTCTTATCGAGTTCCTCTTGTTTCTGACGTTTGAGTTCCTCAGGATCGATAATTCCCTCTTGAATCTTCCATGCCTCCTTGGCTTTTGCCTTCTCAGAGTTGGTGGCGAACCACTCCTTCTCCATCGACGACGACTTGCTCGACGACGTGGAAATGAGTTTCTCGACCTTTCTAATCTCTTTCTCTGCTTTTCTAATGTCCATCTCCTTGAGTTCCTCTTTGATGATCGACTTGATGTCGTCGGCCATCTCATCGATCTTGTTACGCCAGTACTTTACACTCTCCTGTGAGACGGTTCTCGACTTTGCCTTGGTCTTGGCACGCGAGACAATATCTTTCAGGATCTTTCTGTCACCCTCGGTAACGAAAGAACAAGCACGACCCTGTGCTCCAGCTCTAGCAGTTCTACCGACACGATGAATATACTGTGCCAAATTACGAGGAATGTTGTAGTTGATGACTGTCTTGACACCGAGAACGTCGAGACCACGCGCAGCTACATCCGATGCCAACAAGAATTGCACCTTGCCGTCACGGAACAGCTGGAGTGATTCGAAACGTTGTTCCTGTGAGAGATCACCGTGCAACTCTGCAGCTGACAACCCCGCCAAACCAAAGATGATACAGAGACGATGCACCTCCTTCTTGGACTTGAAGAAAATGATAGTTCCACCGGTATTGAACACTCTGGAAGCCAATGAAAGTAGCAGAGCTGGACGATCTCCCAACTGAGTTGGACGAATCTTTACGAATTCCTGCTCGAGTGTCGAAGCTACCTGATAGAGTGCATCAACTGCGACACGAATCGGTTGTTTCAATGAGAGTTTGGCAAGTGTTTTTACTTCATCGCTGAGTGTCGCAGAGAATAACAGTGATTGACGGTTGGCCGGACACGATTCCACAATCTTTTCGAGTTCATCTTTGAAACCCATATCCAAAAGACGATCGGCTTCGTCCAGTACCAAAATTTCCAAATCATCGAGACCGACATCGTGTGCATTCAAAAGATGGTCAATCAAACGACCCGGTGTGGCAATGACGACGTCCGGTCGTTTACGTAGCTCCACCTCCTGAACTTTGTTGGAGAGACCACCAACAACCAAGCAAGATGTAATGTTTGTGAATTGTGCCAAGTTCTCGAGAACCGATTGACATTGGAGTGCCAACTCTCTGGTTGGTAGGAGAACGAGCACACGAATCGCACGATTATCGACATCACGATAGAGCAATCTCTCGAGGATCGGCAGCAAGAAAGCAGCGGTCTTACCGGAACCTGTAGTGGCACTCGCCAAAATATCTTTACCATTGAGTGCTAGGTGGGATGGTTTTCGCTTGGATTGGTGTTGGCATTGTGAATCCCAACTTTTGTACTGCTTTTTGGAGTGGTCTTGAGAGATGTAATTCTTGGAATGTTGGTAACTCCTCTTCGACCTCTTGCTTTCTTCTTCTATTCGATTCAATCGTCTTTAAACTATCTGATTTATTTTTCTTTCCATCCTGTACTTGATCGATTTGATCTTCTTCCTCTTCTTCATTGTCATCATCTTCCTCTTGATTATCGTTTTCAGGTGTATTTTCAGTTTCATCATTTTCTTCTGTATCTTTTTTCTCTTTTGATTTTTCATCTTGATTGAATTTCTTTGCATTCAATCTCTTTTGAATTTTATCTTGTAATGATGTTTGAGGCTGTATATAATATTTATATTAATATTTATATGACATTCAAGTACAATATAATATATATATATATATATATGTTTTACTTACAGTTCCATTTTCAAATGTTTGTTTTTTCATCTTTTCTAGAGTTGGTGCAAAATTCCAAGCTAATTGAACTTCTTCATTATCATCAAACTATAGTGTATCAAATAACAAAGATTAGTATGTTAACATAACAAGTAAAAGAAATGATATCCTTATACAAACATTAAATGCTTCTTCTTTATCGTCGTCATCTTCATTATCACTATCTTTTCTAATAAAGACATCGTCATCCTCTCTGATTTGTTCATCATCTGAATCGTCTTCATAGATCTCTTCATTCTCATCATCGTCAATAGTCATAACAAAGTCATCATCTGACTTTCTTTTATTACTATTCTCTACCATTTTCTTTATTTATTTATTTAAATATATATAATAAATATTAAATATATATAAAAAATAAAATAAAATAAAATAGATTCTGATTAATTTATTAAAATAATAAAAATTTTATTTATTTGTTTTAAATTGATTGACGAGTCGTTTTTTTTTTGGTTTTTTAAAAAATAAATTGTTAAAAATAAAATTAAAATCGAAAATGAACTACGAATAAAAATGGTGTGTTTTTTTTTGATGATATTACATTTGCTGTTGTTGTTTGTTTTTAGGGTTTGTCCAAGTAATATTACTTTTAATCATAGCCCTATTACAATCATCTTGAACCTATTTATTTATTTATTTATTAATAAGAAAATAAAGAAATTAGTTAGAAATTGAGAGAATATTTATATAATTTATAATTAAACTAGTAATTACCTTAGAAATTGTTTTGTTCTTAAGTTCAACTCTCCAAGCTGACAGAGCAGCATCAATTGTAAGATCTATTGTGGCGATTTTTTGGTGATTCTTAAGTACTACACTGGAGGATTTTAGTACAGCGCTATATGGAGTTGCCATTTCAATGAATTCAGCAGATTGCTCATCATAATGAACCAGGAACTTCATCACGATGTAAGCAACTGCACTGAGTTGTTTTTCAAATTTCTCAAAGAAGACACCATTGTTTCTGTGCACATTCGCGATCATATTGAGGAACTTGACAACTACAGCAACCGAACCAGATCCCAAACCAACTCTAATAAGTGTACTAACAACTCCACAACTCAATAGTTTCCTATTGAATTCAGGATCGTTACAACATGCCAAATTCTCAACAATATCCGTTATTAAAAGTGTTACAATTTCAACTATATATATATTTATTAGATTCAAGAATTAGTATTAGTATTATTACAATGAATAGAGGTAGTAAATTAATTATTTAATAGTTACCTTTATATAATTTATCAACCAATTCATTTAGAGTGATAAATAGATCATTGATGGTATGGGCCGATTGCCATTTAGTGATGTCATCTGACCTTAACAATGTAAGAACTTCATTATTCTTTGTAATGTTACTAACAAAAGCTAAGAGATTGATAGTTGGAGTCAAATGCTTTGAATTCCATTTCTTATTGACTTGGTGTAAGTATCCAAATATAACTCTTAAACCACTTGCTCTCTTAACCTATAACGATGATAAGGAAAGATCGATTCAAATAGATTATTAATATTCAGACATTATTAATTATTGATAGTTTTCATAACACAACATAAACATACCCAGTTAATACATTCATTAAACTCTGATATCTCTGCAAAATACAAAGTGATTAATGCATTCAATGATACATTTGGATTATTCTGAGTGATATCAAAGAATGTTAAAAGATATTCTGTGATATCTGTCAAAAAGAGAAACTTGGGTAATTTACCCTCTAACTCTTTTGGACTCTATTGATAGTTCAATTTTAGTTAGAATGAAGAAGAGATATTAAATTGTTTAATTACTAATATTACCTTTTTAAATATTTCAATAAGTGAGTTCAATCCATCTACAAATAATTTCAATGGGCCCTTATATAATTTGATATGAAGTAAGTTGTATTTGAAAAATATTTCCAAATATACTAAATATGTCTTTAAATCCTCTACACTCATAGGAATTGAATCTATTTAGGTTATTTCAGATCAATTAAATATAGTTAGTATAATAAAGTATAGTTGAAATAATATACTTACCGGTTAGTTGCTTGAATTGATTGGATAGAGTAATCAAAGTTTCCTGATGCTCATAGTAGCCAGAGAATATATTAGATGAAGAAGGTGGATTTCTACCAGTATTATATCTCGCTATGTGGGTTTCTCCAACAGAACTTATATTTGATGATTTCTTAGTATCATATCTAATCTCCTTACGTTCAGCTTTTTCAAAGATTGGCTTTGAAGGAGTATTGATTATAATTGGTTCGACTTTGATTGGAGTTGTGGTTTCAGTTGTAATTGGAGCTGGAAATGGAGATGGAGTTGTTGGAGCTGGAGCTGGAGTTGGAGCTGGAGTTGGAGTTGTTTCCTTTGATATATTTGGAGGTATGTAATTCTGACTTTTAGTAATACTGTTGCTAATATTACTATTTGTTGTAGTATGTAATCCTTTATCCTTTGAGGGTGATGACATGCTATCTCGTTCTTTAGTGAGTGATTTCAAGAGGTTGATGTTTGGACTACTGGGTATGCTCATGCTTGCTCTTCCACTGAAGTTTGAGTTGGAAAGCTTTGCTGGTGAACCTACGATTGGATTTATCATGGGGCCTTCACTTTTACCAATCTTTTGCTGTAGAGTGGATTTAGCTGTTGAATCCAATACGATGTAGTATTCTCCCAAAACATAGCTAGATTTAGGAATTTCTGCCACCTCGAGAATAGTTTGACAACTCTTCCTGATATCACCACGATCACCATCAACCAATGAATAATACTTATTTAGGAACTTTTCATACTCAAATTGGGTGTATGGTTGGATAAATAATTCAATCAATCTATCTAAACAAAATGATTCGATATCTGGTAAACGAGAATTTGGATCCTTTAATAATATTCTTATTAGTTTTTTGCTTTTATAAATAAATCTTTCAATTCTTACATTTAGATTGAACAAATAATAACTTGTTTGATATTCAAATAATTGTTTATCAAATTCAGTTCGATAATGACTAATTAAAGAGTTTGTTGGTTTAACAATTAAAGAATTTTTTATGTTCTTTAGGAAATCAGAATTTGGTGAACTATTCTCTGGAATCGAATATTTTACCTCATACTATATTTAATCAATAAATAAATAGTTAGACTATATAATCCAAAATATCTTTTAAATTGATATTTACAATTGAACATTGAGCAATGTTGAATTCCATTGAGTTATTGATTTCGAGTTGAGATATCTTGTCATTTAGTATTTTTGTTGAGCTTACTGCAGAAGGATAAGATTGGTAATCAGATGTCTTTGAATCAATTCCAAATTCTTTCAAAAATTTGTCTAGTACTTTATCTAAAAATTTATGAATAAACAAAGAAGAAATAGATTTAGAATCCTACTATAAATATTAGTTATTACGTTTCAATGTAAAAAAATGATTTTTTATATACTCTTGAATATCCTGGAATTTCATAAATTGAAAAGGTTGAGGGTTTTGAAAACTTTTCCATTAGTGGTGGGTTAACACTTTGATTAATTGAATTGACAAAGCGCAAAATGATATTTTGGTTTATGAATTGAAAAGATGAATTTCTTATCTTTTTACTTCCAGATTTCATATCTTTATATAAATCTGAGGAGTAGTTAAGGAAAGATGAGATAGGATCTAAATTGATTTCGGTATTATCATTCTCGAAATCATATTCCGAAAAAGACTTTAAACAATCAAGTAGGATCTTCATTTCTTTAAACCTGTCTTCACCTAATATTATAGATGCAAGATCATACTGTAATAAAACTTAGTATCAATAAACCTATTTTTATAAAAGATTATATTTACATATTCACTCTTCAGTGATATTAGTTCTCCAAAGTCGACGAAAATAGTACTAAACTCTACTTTTCTAAATGTAACAGGTAGCCTGTCAAAAACTAAATCAATTTTAATTACCTAAACAACTGTATTAGTGTTGAAAATTTATTTATAAAATAATAAATACTTACTCCAGACGGTACCAAAGATTGAAGAAACTTATGATATTGATGAATTGTTATATCTGATATATTTAAAAGATCAAATAATTCCCTAATAAAGATATTATTCGATACTTTGTCCTTTCCAAATAGAAAATAAGAAAAAGAATCATTTTCTGATTATAAATACTATTAGTACTAAAGGTATATTATTCAATAAAACAACTACTTACTCTTTATTTCATTTAATAGATTCTCTCCAATAGATTTAATATTGAAATTTAGAGCCGATGAATTTCCATAGAATAAATCACAATTGAAGAAAGGTATTAAAGATAAAGAGTCTCCATTATTTTTATACAAGAACTCTGAACTCTCTTTTATTACTTTTTTTATCTTAAACTGACAATCTTGAACATAAGCTTGGAATGACTTTATCTCCATTTATAAATATAATTAATAGAATAAAAAAAATAACAAAAATGATTTCAAAAAAAAAAAAAAGTGAATATGTGGTCAGAGTTCTTTTTTGCATATAAAGTTTGTGCGGCAAGTAGAAGCCATAATAATTTATTAATAAAATTGTTTTGTTTTTTTTTTTTTTTTGCAATCATTTTTGAAAAAAAAGATATTTTTTGATTTGACTGTTAAATAATCGATTATTTAGGCAATGGAATTTAATTTGTTGTAGAGATCACCTGCTAATTTAGAGCTATTTAAAGTTCCAATGTAGTTGAGGGTGTTCTTCAAGTAGGTCAATTCAGAGTATGATGATGTTGGAATTGACTTTTTGGCTAAACTATACAAATTAAAGATCAAAGAGGCAGTCTTTGAGTTCAATTCAGCGATATTCAATGTAACACTAATTAAATCAAGACATACAAAAACCATCTTCTTTTGAGTCTATATAAGTAATAGCAATTATAATAATAATTATTATTATTAGTAGGAATAAACTATTTGCAAAATATAATTGTTGTTTATACATACTGATGGATCGATTTCATCTTTGAGAATATTGAGTTCGGCCAAGACTTCTTTAATGAGAAGTCCATAGAATTCGTTGAGTTCACTGACGAAATCTGGATCGGAGGCAAACAACTCGTCGTTGGACTCTACACGTTCGATGTGGTATGGTAGTGAGTTTTGTGCCCACGCGGAACAGAGATTCATCATTTGGATGAGTACTCTAGCCTTTCCGGTGGTGGCACGCTCCCATTGGTAGTCCTTGATCACCTTGTGGAGTGCCTTGATCAAGTAGAATGGTCCTGCCTCTGGATGACCTGGTGCAACGACCAACAATGAGATGAATTCAGACAGGTAAGCGACGGTCCAATCTTCGGTGGATTTAACTTGACGGAACTCGGTGATCGCTGGAATCTCTTGGATCAAAGTGATGGCAGCCTTCAAGAGTGAGTCGGCCTGTGAGAGTGCTTGGTTCTGGAAAGCTACCGATGCCGATTGGAAATAGAGATTCATCTTCATAAAGACATCTTCGATAGTTGGAATAGTAATGTAACAATAGGAAATACAAGCACGAATGAATGCCGATGTCTTTGAGGTGTGCTTACCACGTACGAGCAACAGTGTCTTTTGACAAATCAACAATACACCATAAATCAAACGATTCTTGACACCATCGAAATTAATAAATGTTTGTCTGCAATCTACATAAAAGTTTAATTGTTTCTCTACATCTTTACCGAAATCAAACTATTTTAAAATTACAATCATCTCTCGAATTAGTTACATGGTTTTTTTTCGAAATTTAATTAAAAGTTTATAGATAATTACCTTATTAATACAATTATTAACGATTTGAGTAACTTGTCTGATTTCATCTTGGTAGGAAAGACTGTTGAGTGAATCATGTAGTGCTTTACCATATGTTAAAAAGATATTTATTAAAATTGGATCAGAGATTGATGTATTTGAACTTAAAGTAAAATAAAAAGTAAATAAGTTAATAATTTGTGTTTTTTAAAAAATAAGTAATTCGATAAACAATTAAAAAAAACATACCTTGATAAAGCTTCTAATGTAGATCTACTAATTTGTTTTTGAGATTCACCATTGAAAAGATCGAGTAATGGTAAAAAGTTGGTAAGTCCAACCAAAACATTGAAATCTTGAATATGAGTAAGAATCTTTAGTACAATCGATTGTAGATGTGATTGAATTGTCTCATATGCCTTATCTGGGATAATATGTCTAAGAATATCCTTTAAAAATGTATCGGTTTCTTTTATCTAAAGATATTATAATATAAATAAAAGTTAATAGACATTCAATGTTGAATGATCATCATCAACTGATTAATGTTGCTTTGTTTATGTAACTTACAGTACAATGAGTTAATACATATTCAATGAATACTTCGGCAACCATGATATAATCTTTGAGTGATTCAAAGTAGGAGACAACCTTCCAGACATCGTTGAGGATGGTCAGTACCTGTGTTTTGGGTGGGTGTCCAAGTACGAGGTTGACACCGAATGTGCTGTAAAGCTGACATTTTGGATAGGAGAAAGAGTCGGCCTCTTTGATAAAGTTACTAAACATGGTGGAGTTGTTGCAGATGTAGTCGGGTGGGAACGAACTGATGATGTGGTTCAAGAGCAACGAGTTCTTTGATTCACGGAAGATGCCGAGTACCTCCTCGAGCACCTCTTGCTTTCCGTTGTGACTGAGACACTGGAGTACCCATTCCAGCGAGGGACTGTACAGTCCGAGATACTCGGTCAGTGTGATACGATAGGTCTGGAGTGTCTGCTCGAGATACTTTGACTTCTCGTAGAGTCGCTGTGTGAATACAAAGTCTTTGAGACCGGTGATGATGAACGACTTGAAAGCCGGACACAAATCGTGAGCACGACGCACCAGATACGCACGGATATAGTTGGCAACGAGCGGATTACCGATACCGCGAATCATCTGGTTGATTCTGGTGACTACCTCTTGGGGTGCGGTGTTTGGATCGCCCTCGATGAACTCGTAGCAACGCAGGATGGCAATCTCAATGTAGAGACGTGGGAGAAGCTCACGAATCGAGGCAATCTTATAGAACCAATTTCTACAGGTCTCCTTTGCCTGATCGATATAGATATGTTCATTACGCTTGGTTGGATCTTTATCCTGACTGGATTTAATACGTGATTGTATTCTCTCATACACCATATTACCAAATGTATCCAATATCTCTGTTGCAATCACCCATTTACTTGGATAGAATTTAATTAATGATGTATCATTTAATATCTTTGCAGTCTAATAAGTATAGAATAATAGTATTAGTAACCAACCTAATCAATTAGTAGTTGTTATTGACAAGATAATCAAGACAATACATACTTGAATAGCAATCTTTAGCGAACGAACACGTTCTTCAGCATTCCATGCTTTGATCAACTCTGAATATAAAGTCTCTAAATCCATAATAATATCTGGTTGAGTTAGTTGTGTAGTTTGTTTCTCTTCTTTGTCCTGTTCCAATTCCTCTAGAATCTTATTCAATCTATTGAGTGAAATCTTTACTTTTCCAGAAGTACCTGTTGACATGAATGACTAAATAATGGTGATGATGATGATATCGAATCAGTATAACAATAATTACTAAAAGGCAATGTAAAAAACACCATAAAGTTATTACTTACAACTTGAATTGGTAAAGATTCATCGGTGGTGTATTGTTGTAAGATACCGGGTTTCATTGTTGCCCATGGGATGTAGCTGTCGTCGTAGTATTGAGCCTTCTGTGAACTGTTTTTAATGGTGTTGAGACCACCCATTGCAGCGATTGACGATGCCAATGGATCGTTTACCTTGGCTTCATTGGCAGCCTTTGAGAGTGGATCGGCAGCCAATGGATCGTCATTGGTGACCGGTGTGCTACCAGCAACACTCATCTCCTTCATTGAACTAGTCAATTGTTGTGTCTTGGTAGTTGCACTGGCAGTGCTTGGCGCGGTCACTGTATTCAATGGATGTCTTTCAACTTCTCTTCCAACCAATTTCTTTCCTTCCTTATCATAGTTTCTCTGCATCAATACACTGTATGTTTACAAATCATCATAGCATCATATAATTAATAATCATTTTCTTTAATATTTATTCATGATTCTTATTATCTCTCTTCAACTTACTATTGTACTTGTTGTTGTTGCTGTTGTTGTTGTGGAGCAGTAGCTGCTGCTTTTTCAGTTGTCATTTTTGCTTTTGTTTTATCTTATTTATGATAACAATAATAATCACAATCAAACTACACTAAATGAATGAAGAAGAAAGGGATGTAATATTATTTGATAAATGAAATGAAATGAAATAAATGTTTGCTTTCATAAAAAAAAAAAGATTTTTATTTTTGATAGAGAAAGCCTCTTAAAAAAAAAATGAATTGCCAAAAAAAAAGAAATTTCTGATGATTAATCAAGCCACAAATTTATTTTATTGATTAATATAAACAAATTAGAATTTGATTTGATTAATAATAAAATGATCAAATTCTTTTTGTTGGCGAATAGACAAGGTCAAATTAGATTATCACAATACTATGAGAATATACCTTTCGAACAAAGACCTGCTATCGAAGCTGAAATCATAAGAAAATGTGTCTCTAGAAATGCATCTCAGGTTAGTTGTTGTTGTTGTTGTTATATTGAATTTCACCTGTATTATCATCACAACTAATCAACACTGAAAATCTCATCTACGATTAATACTACTCATATCTATCTTTTAGTGTTCATATATAGAATATCATTCATATAAAGTAATCTATAGAAAGTATTCTTCTCTCTATTTCATTGTTGGTGTTGATAATTCAGAGGTATGTTAAATGAATGATATATATATATAAATATATAAAATAGAAAGTAAAGACACTAACCATAGTATTACTGTTATTTAAAAAAATAGAATGAATTAGCTATTTTAGAATTAATTCATAACTATGTAGAGATTTTAGATACTTCATTTGAACAAGTCGTATGTATTATTAAAATATTGATCAATTTCTATTCCCTTTGATTTATTATTTATTAACTAATGTCATTATTTATTCTATTAAAACTAGTGTGAATTAGATGTAATGATTGATTCTTTATAATATATTATCTCTTTATTTACTATTATTTTCATACTAACCAAAAAAAAAAACAATCAATCCTATACAATAGATTATGTTTCATATAGATAAAGCACATTTTATTTTAGATGAAATGATATCAAATGGAAATATTGTTGAGATTTCAAAGAATGCTATTTTAGATTATGTAAACCTAATGACTTTAACAGATAGATAGATTGTTAGTTGGTTAGTTAGTTAGTAGATAGATGGATATACCGAAACAAGATAGAAGAGAGTATCATACTTTCACGACTGTAGTAATAGCAACACAGTAATAACAATAGATAGATAGATATTGATGCTTAGGATTGTGTAATTAACAAACACTTTTAATCATTTCATCTATCAAAAGTAGTTCTTATCACTACTTACTGTTAACTCTTTCAAACTCAATCATCAATCATCTCACAAATTAATAATTATTTCATAATTATGAGTAAATTATGTATTTCATTTATTTGTTTGGATTGCGGAATTAGTAATAATAACAAACAAAATAATAGTTGACTGCCAATCTAATAAATAAATCAATCAATCAATCAATCATTTTTACTTTTTACTAAAGTAAATAACTATTATTTATTAATGAATTAATAATCAAATCAAATCATAATGAATGATATTATCTTTTGTTAATAATCAAATACTTAATCCTCTTTGGCATAAAGTTTGAGATAACAGATAAAAACAATAGAAATTAAGTAGTGATAATTAAATCTGTTGTTTCAATTAATAATTAAAACAAGGTCCAATAAACATATCTAATTATCTATGTGTGTGCTACTTGATTTTCAATTAAGTGGGTGTTTGTGATGATCCCGCCATCAACCGAAAGATAATAACAATAATATCTACATTGTTAAGATAATTGAAACTTGATTGGATCATATATTACTATTATAATTTACAAATACCTCGATAATGCTTTGGTTTTGGAGAGTATTATGATTGATTGATCCATCAATTATTATGACCGTAGACATGCTTATGGGTATACCAAAGTTTGATCTATCAATGAATTCATTTTTGAAAAAGAAACCTTTTTTAGTTTTATCCATCAAACAAAGAATAAAAATTATTGTTGGTTATACATCTACATACTATACTATATGGTTAAATTAAAATTTTATAATTATTATTGTTTTGTATGGTTGATTTAATTGAAATTTTTGTTGATGATGATGATGGTTGATAACAGATAGATTTACTTTTTTAGCAATTAAATATATCATATTAAAGTGGTGGTATTGGTATTTAAATAACCAGGTTTATTTTGAAACCAATATATAACACACCAAATAAAAACAACAACAAACAAACACACCCCTTTTTGATTAGATTTAAAATATTGATTATGAAAAATATGGTGGTAGTAAAAGATTAGAATACATTTATATTTAAAGGTATATATATATACTATTATTTTTTATTTACAATATTACTATTTTAAGTGAGTGTTGTGGGTTTTGGGGAAATTTAGGGTAGATCACATAAAAGGTATGGCTATCTACATATTATTTCTATGATTTAAAAAAACAATAGATGGGGTGAAATTACTGTTGTAGTTGCTTTGTTAGAAGCGTGTTATTGATGAATGATGGTGATGATGGTAATACATATGATGTGACAAAGATGATGTAGGAGGAGTGCCAATTAATTGTAAACAAATTTAATATTAAATTTTATTTTGTCATTAACTTTGATTGGTTGTTTGCTGTATCATTTTGATTATTGTTTTCATATTGGATTCAAATACGTATACACCTGAAATATCTACAACAACAACCATTATTATAATAAAATTGATTAACAAAATCCAAGAATGTAAGGTCTTTATAAATAGACTGTGACAACAATTTTGATTAAATTAATAATCAAATTTAAACAAAAACTAATATTAGCAAAATAGTTTTAGATTTAATAGAATAAAAAAAAAACCAAAGTTATTTATTTATATATTTATTTAAAAAGAAAAATGAATAAAGAAAAAATTATTAAAGATTTCTTAGGAAATGAATTATTTGCACATGTCATGGTTATTGGATTGGATGGTAAAGTTTTGGCATACAATAAATCACCTCTACAAGGTGAAATTGAACAATTGCTAAACGGTCTAAAGAAACCAAAGAATCAATCATCAATCAAATTAATTGGTGAGAAATATGATATTTGCATCAGAGAGAATACTAAGATCTATGCCCATGGTGACACCAAGAGTTGTATCATCGCTCGTTCAAAGAAAGCATACATCATCGGTATTTTCCCAAAGAGATTGGAACTTTGTCCAAGAGTCAACTACCTCGAACAATACTGTGAAACTTTTGATAAGCAAGAATATGTTATGGATACCTCCTTCAAGATTGTCATGTAATCAAAAATAGGAAATCTTTTTAATTCAAACAAAGTCCAAAAAGCATCAAATTTTTCTTTCCTCTTTCAATTGGTTAACATTATTTCGCGAGCAGGTTAACTAATACATCTTTTGTAAATAAATTCATCAAATCAACACAACCAGATGATTTAAATAAAATAAGACAAATAAATTATTTATTATAAAAAAAATTGCTATAAAAAAACTTAATTTAATTTACAAATCGATATCAAAGTCTGAATCATAATCAGGATCTGATTCTTCTGATTCTTCTTCTTCCTCTGATTCTTCTTGTAATTCTTCTTGTAATTCTTCTTGTAATTGTTCTTGTTGTTCTTGTTCCTGTTCTGGTTGGTTTTGTTCAGACATTGATTGTTGATCGAGCAAAGGCTCTTCAACTTGAGCTTGATCTTGGTTGTTAGGTGATACAATTGATTCAAGACTTTGTAAAAGGGGGCGTTCATTTTGGGGAGCGAGTATAGGTGATGAATTGGATGAAATTGGTTTGGTTGGTTGAACCTCTGATGGGACTATGGCAACATGAGCAATTCCAGTTACCTTGGTTCTTCTAACATAGAATTTATGTGATGGAGCAATTAAAATTGGTTTTTTGAGATCCTTTAGTTTTTCTTTGATCTGATTGACAGTAGCTAATCTATTGTTGGAATCGGAAAAGAAGGTGACGACCTCATTGGCAGAATGTTCACTCTCGTAGGTGACAAAGAAATGTCCTTTCTCAATGGTGACCTTTCTCTCGACTACCTTACCGAAACGATTGAACACCTCCAACAAGAAGCTAACACGCTTCTGTCGGTAGGATTCGATCTTTGCTTTGGTGAGGAACAACTGTGGACTCGATTGGATGTCTTCGAATGTCAGTCCACCAACGAAAACCTTGCGAAGATCAATGGATTTACGATTGGCTTCATCGCGATACATCGCAGCTTTGTCATCGGCGGTTTGAGAACGAAGTTTGGCGGCACGACGCTCTTGACGCTCGAGAAAAGCAATAAAACTCTTTTGCTTCTCTTCGGCCTTTTGTTTGTCGGCTGCAATCTTGTCGGCGGCTTCCTTCTCGATGAAGGCTTGACGACGCTTGTCCTTCTCGCTGAGCTTGTTGGCACGCTCGTCGTCGAGCTCCTTGATACGAGCTTCCTTGGCAGCTGCCTTTTTGCTGCGCTGTTCCTCAACGATGCGCTTGGCTCTCTCTTGCTTCTCCTTCTTGTCACGCTCTTTTTGTTCTTGTCTCTCCTTCTCGATGATTTGAGCATAGCTGCTTGGTTGTCCGACAGACTTTGAGGTTGCAGTGTTCAAAGTTGTCAAGACATTCTTTCTTCTGGATTTCTCTTGTTCAGCTTTTGCTTCCTTTTCCAACAATTGCTTTCTGATTCTCTCTTGTTTCTCTTGAATCTTTTGATCCAATAAGCTTTGCTTCTCCTTGTTCTTCTCTGCGACTTGATTCAACTTTTCCTGACGCTTCTTCTCCAACAGCTCCTCATTTTCAAGCTTCTTCTTTTCCAACTGCTCTTTCTTGGCAAGAAAAGAGGAATATAAAGAAGACGATGTTGATGATGAAGAAGATGTTGTGGTAGAAGAAGTAGAGGTAGCAGTAGTCAATGAACTACGAATACTCTTGGCAGGTGATGAAATTGAACTCAATGATGAAGATGAAGAAGAGGTTGATGAAAAAGTTGTAGTAGAAATAGATGATGGCTTTGCTGAAAAAGAAGATAAAGATGAAACTTTAGATGGAGATGATAAAGAAGATAATGTTGAATATGAAGATAATGAAGATGTTGGAACAGATTTAGCGGATAATGAAGAAAAAGATGATAATTTAGAAGGTGAAGATAAAGATGAAAGTGATGATAATGTAGAGTATTTTGATGTTGCAGTGGTGGTGGAGGTGGTTGATGGTGAGATCTTTGATGGTTGTGAAGTATTTATAGCATTTGCAGTTTGAGTTGTATTTGGAAGGTTGTTGTTGTTATTGGATTTTGGAATCTTTTCTTGTTCTTTCAAATAATTTGACAATGTCTTTACATCATTAAAAGTATTTTGTAAAGAGTCTGAAATGAAAGATTGATAATCCGATGGTATGATACTGTCTGCTTTCTGTTGATATTGATAGTGATAGTTAGAAATCTCTTGAATGCATTGTTTATTATATTTATATTTTGCTTACCTGTCCATTGATATATAAATATGGAAAGATGTCAGGAAAACTATTGGAACTGATGGCATCATGGATGAATTGATCTGATAATACGGTACAGGAAGGCAATTTATAAGCAGTCTTTGCCTTAAAACCTGATACGATATTATCGGTTGAAGCAATGAGGTGAGTACAACGTGAACTAACAGATAAATCTACTTGTCCACCATTGTTTTTGATAAACTTTGCAATTTCATTTTTCTCACTATATGAAACGTTTGTACCTAAATCCAATGTAATTACATAATTCTCAAAAATCATTCTGTTATTGAATATATTTAGATTTGCTAATCAACTATTGTACTTGGTATTTGGTAATTGGAGCTTGTTTGTTGGTTTTGTTTTGTTTTGTTATTTTTTTTTGGTTATTTAATTGGTGATTTGTTTGTTGTTGGTGTGTGTGGAGATGTGAATGTGAATGTGGGCTTGGTCAGATGGTAATTATAAGGAGCTAAAGAGGTATTTATTATTGGTAATTATGCATTTAAGTGATTCTAATTATATTATTATTGATACTAAACTAATTATTATACTATATAGTAATATAATATAAATATAAGAAGACACCAAATGGAGCAGTCTCTCTATATATTTAATATTAAATTATTTGTTGTGTTTTTGGTGGAGATCCACCCAAATTGATTTGAAAAACTGAATGAAATTTTCAAATTATTTATAGGTTTTCTTTTAAGATTCATCAGCTCTGTTTGTTTTTTCACAAAAATTTTTGAGAAATTTTTGAAAAGAAAAAAAATGGAAATTGAAAGATTTTGGCAAAAACAAAGAATCAAATTTTATTACTTTTGCAAAAAAATGTGTGTGCAAATGAATGTGTTCTATTGAGAGCTCTCATTTCGAAAAAAAAAGCAAAAAAAATAAAAAAAAAAACTTAACTGATTTTTTGATATTGTTAGCAACTGATTTGTTATAAAATCTTTATATTGCTTTGTAGATTTTTTTATATTTTTCATTATATACTACTTTTTATTTTTATTATTTATATTGTCATTCACAACAGAATTTATAAACATAAATAAAGTCATATCAAATCAAGAGCTGATTAAGACTTTACAATCAAAATGTATAATAGCTCTTGATTTACAATCAATTTTTATGTTATTTCTATCTCGTTTTAATTATGTTTAATCATCTCATTGGCAGAGATTCAATAGATGATTTTAAGTTTGAAATTGATAGTAGTCCTAAAGATTCTATAAAATGTTTGAATAAAAAGTTTAAAATAATTACTTCTTCTTCTTTTGATTAATTTTATTATGGATAGTTTATTATTTTTATATTTTCTTTGTTTGTTTTAATGTGTACAATATTGTTGTTGATTATATTAAACCAATCGCCTGGACTACAAAAAAATGAGCGACCAACGTGAATTGTATTAAAGTTCGCAATCTCCTCGATTACCAAACGAAGAGCATTTTCGAAATCTTTTGCTTGAAATCGATTGTTCTCAATACAACAGATTCTACACCAATATACCGTTTTGTCTGTACTGATTGGTGATTCCAATATAGAGTAGGTACCCAATTGGTTGATGTTCTGTTTGTCTTTTGCGGCGTCAGAGGCAAGCTTTTTGAGTCTGCCGGAATACACCAAGTAAAACGACCATGTGAACGGTCAATTTCGTAATTTCCTTCGGCATCCATAAAGTTAATTAATACTACAACTTCGTCTTCCTCAAAGACTTTGTTCACCTTTGGTATACTGTAGATTGTCTTATCGATAACAGTGATTGTCCTAGGATCCTTTTCCTCTTCTTCTTCGCCTTCCTCCTTTCTCAATGTAGATCCATACTCACGAATAGCAATGGAGTTGAGGTGTTGGATGGTGTCTGGTTTCGCTTTGTTTGGTTTCATCGATCGTATTCTAGTGCCACTCAATAGGTGTGTTGTCTACTATAGCTATTGGTTGCGAATTGTACCTCGACTATCTTAAAGTGCTCTTCTTTCAGCATGAGTAAGGCATCGGTATGTTTAGGGTTGCGAGTATTTATCTTAATTTATCTTGTTGCTCTGTAACCATATCAGTATAGTTATGATATATATCTTTAGTTTCTTGATTTGCTTTGATTTTAAGAATAGAAGAATAAGATGATTTTCTACTTTTATGATTACTATTATCATTTATGTTGTTATTGTTGTCATCATCATCGTCATCTTGTAAAAATAATAAAACAGATATTATTTCATTGTCTTTTACATGTAATCCACCGATTAGAAAATCAACTTTTCATATTTGTACCTGTGTTTCAAATAAAAAAAAAAAGGGTAGTTTTGTGTGAATGATATATACCATGCATTACAGGTGTTTTTGGCATTTGAAACTATATATTGAACTGAATATTTGAGAACTATTCCTTCAGCATAAGATTGGATTGAATCTCTAAAATGATCTTTCAATACCAATCTGTTCTCCATTGATAATTCGATTTGAATGATTCTACTATTTCCAATCGGTTGACTTTTAATAGCGGTGTAAATCGTGCTTTCAATCTCTAATCTCTTGGAGAGTACGAGTTTAGTGTGTTCTTCATCACCATCCCTGAGGATATCGAACATCTTAAAGCACAGCTGACCTTTTCCTTGTTTGAGTGTGTCTTTGGTAAGAGTAGCGCTTGGTAGCGGTTCGCCTTTGTCACTGACCATGATCAATTCACCGTCGACAATGAAATTGAAATCTACATTTTCAAACAACGGTTGTAAATGCTCGGTAGCCCAACTCTTTGTTTTAGCAGGTTTCGTTTTACATTTCAACACTTTGCTTTGTGCGTTGTAATCATTCTATGACCATCGTATTTGTATTGCAAAATTTCTGGTGAAGGGAGGTTGTATGCATCTTCGAATTTCTCTAACTCTCTTGGAAGTATTGGTTTTATATCTAATGACATGTGTTGTTGGTAAATAAATATTTGTTGAAGAATAAAAAAGTGATTAATATTAATCAAAAGTGTGTTTCATGGATATTTTTTTTATCACACATATTTTATTACATTTTTAACCACCTGTGTTGTTATAAAAAAAAAACTTCTGATTCGAACTTATATCTTTTGCAGACAGAGACCTCCACAAAAATACCTGGGGTTTTATTAAAAGTGAAATTAAATTATATGTGGTTTTTTGTTACTTTTTGTCGCACATTATTTTTTCATATTTATAACAACTAGTTGGCCCAAATTTAATCTAAAAAAAGTATTTACTTTTTCCACTACCTTTTTAATTATATTCAAATAGTTTGTTTTTATTAAAATATTATTTTTTTCAATATAATTTTACAATATATACCATCTTGGCAACACACTTTTAATTGGCGAATCGATCACACTTCCTAATGGTCAATCAATGACAAAACAACAACTATACTTGAAATCAATAGAATATGATCCAACCGATTCCTACTCATACTTTAACCTTGCAACAACACTTTCAAGTGGTGAATCAATCACACTTCATAACGGTCAATCAATGACACAACAACAACTATACTTGAAATCAATAGAATGTGATCCAACCAACTCCAACTCATACTTTAACCTTGCAGTGACACTTTCAAGTGGTGAATCAATCACACTTCATAACGGTCAATCAATCACACAACAACAACTATACTTGAAATCAATAGAATATGATCCAACCGATTCCTACTCATACCATAACCTTGCAACAACACTTTCAATTGGTGAATCAATCACACTTCATAACGGCCAATCAATGACAAAACAACAACTATACTTGAAATCAATAGAATGTGATCCAACTTATTCAAGTTCATATAATAACCTTGCAACAACACTTTCAAGTGGTGAATCAATCACACTTCATAACGGTAAATCAATGACAAAACAACAACTATACTTGAAATCAATAGAATATGATCCAACCAACTCCAACTCATACTTTAACCTTGCAACAACACTTTCAATTGGTGAATCAATCACACTTCATAACGGTCAATCAATGACAGAACAACAACTATACTTGAAATCAATAGAATGTGATCCAACCGATTCCTACTCATACTTTAGCCTTGCAACAACACTTTCAAGTGGTGAATCGATCACACTTCATAACGGTCAATCAATGACAAAACAACAATTATACTTGAAATCAATAGAATATGATCCAACCGATTCCTACTCATACTTTAGCCTTGCAACAACACTTTCAATTGGTGAATCAATCACACTTCATAACGGTCAATCAATGACAAAACAACAATTATACTTGAAATCAATAGAATGTCGTCCAAACAAATGCCTATCATATTATACTCTGGCAAATACACTTTCAGTTGGTGAATCAATCACACTTAATGATGGTAAATCAATGACTGTACAACAACTATACTTGAAATCGATAGAGTGTTATCCAACTGATTCCAACTCATACTTTAACCTCGCATTGACACTTTCAAGAGGTGAATCAATCACACTTCCTAATGGAGAATCGATGACACAACAACAACTATACTTGAAATCAATAGAATGTGATCCAAAGAATTATAAAGCTCGGATACCCTTATATCCTTGCATTGACACTTTCGAACAACAAACAAGCAATTACACTACCAGATGGTGAGCAAATGACAAGGAGACAGCTACTTAAAAAATCAAGAGATTAAATAAAAAATAATTCCTATTACACCCTGTCCCAATCGTGGAAATTCTTACATATGATTGCCAAGTGAAATTTTTTTTATTTTATTCAATACCATTATTATTTTAAATTCAGACTTTATAAATAATAAGATTGATATTAAAATTGGTGTTTTGTTCGATTATAAAATAATAAAAGTTATTAGTTGAAATCAAGTTAGTTAATATATAGTTAAAGTCTATTTATATATAATATAGGATGTTTTAGATAGACTGGAAACATGTTTTAGATAGAATGGAAATCAGTGATTGTGAAGTTTTCGGACAGAGCGTAGGATTGATATTCATTTTACTGAGTTTTTCATTGCCTAATTTAATTAGAGTTTCAACAACTCATTTTGATAAATTAGCTGCGGCGATAATTAAATATTATTATGAATGAGTATTATTAGAAATTAATGATTAATTTGATAAAGTTTGGCAAAGTATACTTACAACAATTTGATGGCTTATAAAACTTCTAAATTTAAATTGTCTAGTGCGTTCAAGAGACAATCGTCGTCGACAGAGGTTCTCGAGAGAAAGAGAATGCGAAATCGTTTGCAACGAGATATCACTTGGTTGATTGAGTGGGAGCTGGGATTTTTGCAGCGACTGACGTTGAGTTAGAACAGTTCCAGACAGTTGATGGAGATAGCTTCGAGTGCCGTGTCGTTGATGCTTACGCAACCACCGACATCGATCGACCCCAGGTGTGGACAAACCATTAAGATCGATGCCATCGTATGGAGCTGAGATCACGGAGGTTGCTCGCACTGAATATCACTACATTCTGACAGCTCGTTCCAAACTGGTGGATTGCCTCGTCCGACAAATGCGTGAGATGATTCAGTCCGAAGATTCTTTGTTTGACGCGAATCGGCGGTGTATTCGACATTCTTACGATCGATTGATCGGTCAGCTTGTAGCATCGACCGAGTCCGAGCGACTCCATTTGTGACGTGAATTAGAAAACGTCTTGCAGTGTCCTGTCGCCAATGTGCGGCATCTCACCAACACAGACACCGGAGTTTCGTAGCCATATGGATGACACGTACAAACGCTTCGTCTGTTTTGCTGTCGGATTTCCAGCGGCGTGTGACCAGCTTGGTCAGTGAGTCCAAGCGGATGTCGCTGCACCCGCTCAGATCGAGCACTTCAAGTTCATCTTTGGAGTCTTCGATAGTGACTTGTTCGATCGATATCGATTCCTGTGGTTGTGATGCCGCAAGGGTCTGTGGAATGATTCAGCTCGTCTTGTAGTCATTGAGTTGTTGCTGTATGGTTTTATCGAGATTCGATATGATGTTGGCGTCCTCCTTTATCTTTCGCTGCAGCTCTTCGTCTGCTTTCTTGCATGCGATACGCTCTGCCTCCAAATGGGCGGCACGCTCTTTCATCGCCTTCTCACGCTCGTGTCTATTGTAAGCGGCAGCCAGCTCCTCTTCCATCCTGGCAAGCTTCTGCTTTCTGGCAGCTTCGTAGCGAGTCGTCTCTGCCTCTTTTCTCTCGCGCCACTTGTTCATCTCGTTGTCCAAAAAGTTATCAATCTCGATAGATAAGCCAATCTCCAACGACTCGATCTTGCTGATGACCGACTCCATTGTCAGTGTCAAACTCTCCACCATATTGTTGAGCTCGTCGAGATGATTGAGCTCTGTGTATGCACGCTTCCACGACTCGGCGTGTCATTCAGGTTCTCACGAGAGGACCGATCTTCTTGTCGACTTCCTCGGCACGCTCAGCCAAGATGACATCATTGGTACGCTTGATCTCGTAGGTGCGCAGTAGTAGACTACCGTTGTAGAGGTCGACGTCCTGACACGAATCTTTCAGCTGTGAAACCGATAAATGAATTGTCGACTGAGCAACTGTGTTGGTGACAGTACTCGTTACGGTATTGGTAACACTATTCGACAGTGAAGTAACCGTTTGCAACACCACAGGGAAATCTTTCTCAGTTAACTCTTTAATATTGTCGGCTTCCTTTCTAATGGAATTTTTAATCGATTCAGAGACAGCTGGTGAATGTAAAAGTAACAAAAAAAATATGCAGGAAAATGGGTTAATAATGGTATGAGTGCTATAAAGTGATCAGCAAAAATCAACAACTTAAGTTTGGAGCTTTGAGACGACAAATGAAGAGGCACTGTGGGGTCATATGTTTTCTGATCTTAACCTCAATGTTCTCTTGGATTAATCAAAGAGTTTAGACTAATTACAGATGTAAATACGACAACACATTCACAGACAGAAATCCTATCAAAGCAACGTAGTAATAACAAAAATAGAAAAGTTAATTTTTATATTTATTTTTTTTGTTTTTTATTTTTATTTATTGTTTAGATATGAGACATTGATTCAGTTACTAATCTAGTACCTTGGACAACGGTCTTGAATTGCTCTGGGATGGCAATTTCGACCATGTCATCGTTTTCGGTGGCACCTGGGATCAAAACGTTCATCTCTGACGATTTGGAGGTGACGATTTCGGTGGCGAGTGAATCCTTGGACAAGTAGATTTGAGCACCGGAGCACTTGTCGATTGAGACTGATGGAACCTTACCGGTGACTTGAATCTCAACAGAGGTACAGTTGACGATTTCACATGAGGCAATGGCATTCTCAAAGACGATGGCGGTCTTCTTGCAACCGTCCAAGGTGATGGCGTTGACCTTACCCTTGACTTGGATGACAGAGTCTGTGCATTGGTAGACGTAAACAGTTTGACGTGGGTCAGTCTCGGCGATAATAATATTCTTGTTTCCAACTTGGTGTTCGACGGCCCACTTGTTGGACTCCAAAGCGAATTTTGGTGGCTTGACAACGGCTGGCTTAGAACCGGTGGCGGTGGTTGTGGTCTTTGGCTTGAGATCGTCAGCCTTGACAACGGATGACTTGTTTGGATTGTTCTTTGATTTCATGTCGTTGGTGACCTTCTTGAGACCGGAAGTGACACCCTCACCCTTGGCGAGCGATGAGAAAACGGCGGACATGTCAGCCTTTGGCTTGTTGTCAGTCTCTGGGACAAAGACGGGGGGTGGTGGTGGGGGTGGTGGTCCACCGGCAGATGGAGCTGGGGCAGCTGGAGCGGCGGCACCAACTGACTTTGGAGCATCTCCACCTCTTGGATTCCAGGTCAATCCGGTGGTGTGGTATTGCTTGATATATTTCTGGAGTTCGACGAGGAAGGTGTTCAAGTGTTGTACCCAATCGACTTGATCTTGGTTGACACCCTTGAATTCCTTGAGGATACGATTGGTGTAGAACTCTGATGAAGCCTTCATTTCGGCGACGTGTGGACCTGGAGTTGGCTCGACAACGACCCAACTGAGGAATCCGATACTCTCAGAGATTGCAGAGAGATTGTTGAAGAATTTCGATGGTCTGTTTGAACTACGAATAGACTCGACCTTTTGAGCGTGATTGTTGATTGGTGCGAGCAATCCCAACAATGCTTCTTGTGATGGCTTCTTTGAGTTGGCGGCGACACCAATCAAAGCCTTCTCTGCTTGCAAAGCTTGAACTAACTCGTCGATCTGTTGAGCCAAGGTTCCGTCCAACTTCTTGGACAATGTGACCAATGGTGTAATGTGTTGATCCAACAATGATTGGAATTCAGTGACTGCAGCACCGCTGGCAGCTGGAGCAGCAGCAGCTGGGGCAGAACCACTGGTGGCACCACTGGCAAGTGCCTTTTCAACTGTCTCCAAACGGGAGGTAGCTTGATCCAATCTCTTCAAAAGATTTTCGAGTGTTGATTCTAAAGACATTTTATATATTATTTATTTATTGATTTTAAAAATACTAAAATATAGTGATAAAAAAAGATAAATAATAAAAAATATAATTAGATATTATTTTTATTTTTCATATTAAAATATTCATTGTGATTAAATAAACTTACCAAAAAGAGAATATTTAATTTGGAAAATGAAAAATGATGGATGGAAAAAAAGATATATATAGTTGTTGTTTTTTTTAAAGATAATCTACAAAGAAGTTGTTGAGTGAATGAAAACTGAAAGAAAGAGAAATAAGTGCACCACAATATAAATCAAATCAAGTGGCTAATTTTTGATACTAAAAATGAATTTGATTTTTTTACCATCATTATTTTGATTATGATAAAAACTACCACCATCACTCACACACTTGGTATGAACACTGCATTTAGAATTTGGTTGAATTTTCTTGTTGTTGACTAAAAACAAAATTATTTTGAACCCATCCGATCATAAAGTGGGTTAGATTAATGTTTTTTATTATTTTTTTTTTGAAATTTTCAAAAAAATTTATGCAAAAATTATTGTTGTCACACGCTGAGAATTGAATGTTGAACTTCCCAAAGTCAATATAATTTAAATGGCTATGTGTTTTGGTTTGAATCGATTCGATTCGATTTACAGATCTATTATTTAATTGTTGTTTATTATTTATTGTTGGCTGGTTATTTATGTTTTATTTATTTATCTTTATCATTATCTGGATATGAATTTTTGTTTATATTAAATTTATTGTGTTGTGGAGAAGTTGGCGTCGTAGTTGGTGATGATGAAGGTAGATTAGGAGAATGATCGAAATTTACAAGCTCTGAATCATCGACAGCTTCGAAACCGAAATTACCTCCACTTTCCATGTTACTATTAATGTTTTGATTGACAGTCATCGTTGGAATACTATTATTACTATTGGAAATATCATATGCATCATTACTTCTTGGACTTTTAAAAGCTTCATTGTTTTTGTTAAAATTGGTATTATTGTTATTGCTGTTATTATTAATATCAGAGTATGTCTTCCAATCGTTATTTGTATTATATCCAACGTATGATGGTAATTCTTCTTTTCTCCTATAATAGTAGTTGAATGTTAACATTTTTGAATCGATATGATATGAAGAGCGATCGATTGATGATTGACTTACTTCTTTGTTGCTGTCGTTGAACCAAATTCTAATTGGAATCTAAAGGCATTGTATGTAAATACAAAACCACCGAGTGCAATACCGGTGAAGAACAATACAAATAGACTCATAGTATAGTCTTTATCTCTGACCTGTTGCCATTTATATATTAAATAGAAATGTTCTGGTTTTTTTCCACGATGTATTTCTTCATCATTATCTATTGAATCATTATAATTAATAAGTGTTGTTCGTTCGTTATTTTATAGCAAAATAGTAGTAGTATAATATTTACAATCTAATTTATATTTAACATCTACAATCTTATCATTCGAGTAGTAGAATGTAAATTCAATGTGATTTAAATAGGTACCGCTACCATCTGCAACAGTTATCCATGTTGTAGTGAACTTGTCTATGAATTGAAATGATCTACAACAACAATAACAATCAATATGTAGAAGAATAGTGTTAGTTTCATTCAGTTTATATATTAAGATATGATAGAGAGTTACATTTTATACAAAGAATTAGAGGTTAATTCTACAGAGGTTAGCGAATTTAATGTGATAGTCTTATCTATTTGAAATCTAGGTGAGTATTTGCTCTTGACATCTGTCCAATCTGTAGATTTCTAGTAATGGTTGTCATATTAGGATCTAGATTTACTTTTCTTCTTTCATTTTAGATGATGACGATATTTACCATATCATGTATACTTCTTTTTGAGAATCTAATAACTTCACCCATTCTAAATGCATATATATTATCTATACATAATATCAATAGTAATAATACTATAATTACATTTGATATCTTTACTTTCATTCTCTCTCTAGTTACATTAACAAATTAAATTAAAATAATTTCTGATCAAAAAAAAAAACAAAAATATAAAATTGTTTAGTTTAATTTACACACTGGTGATAATAATCGGTCGTTGGTGCACATAAAAATAAATCATTTTGCAATTATTATATTAATAGAAAACCTTATTTATATATATGATTTTTGATTATGCTGATTGTTATTGTCGTCATAAAACGTTCTAGGAGGTTGGTCTTGAGTTCACCGTAGTTGGTAAATACGACTTGAGTATTTCGAAGTGGGTGGCTTGTCCGTCCAAATGATTCCGAGTAAAGTTAATCTTTAATTTGGAGTGTAGCCCTTGGCTCCCATGAACGGTTTCATCGCTTGGTTCCTATTCAACTGCCCTTGTAGTAATTGTTATATAGTTTTTCTTTAAATGAAAATATTTTAACAAATTTGCTTTCAAAGAAGAGTCTATTCCAGAGGTCAAGCTCTGTAAAAGTGATAGACCATGAATTGTGCGAGGCGGACCAACAGCGGTAACTTCATTGCAAATTGTTAAAATCGAGTTTTGTGGTGAAAATAGAATGTAATATTATCTGATTTTTCTAACAGGTTTGATTCTCTTTTATAATAACAAAGTGAATTTGTGAAGCTTGATATATATTTTATTTAGTTTTTCTAATAGGTTTGATTATTATTATTTTATTATTAAAAGTATAGTTTGAATTATTATATTCTCCTGTTTAGAGTCTGTTCCAATATGTCCATCCTCTTACGAAATTGTAGTCTGGGAAGTTTACAGTGGGACCAACAGCGGTAACTACATAGTAAAAATTGAATTTTTTGGTAAAAAAAAAAATAGTTAGTAATGTTTGATCAAGTGCATTAATGATATTATTATTATTGTTATTTGAAACATACCAGCTGGTGATACATCGGTCAAAATTTGTGAGGCAACACGACGAACATCGGCAGCAGTGATTTCGGTGATACGCAAGTAGATTTCGTGGGCAGACAAACGACGACCCAAGGTCAACATTTGCAAACCAATCTTCTCACAGATACGTGAGGTTCCGTCGTATTGCATCAAAGTGTTGGCCAACAACTTTTGCTTGTTACGCTCAACCTCGGTCTCGCTGGCAGAGTTGGCAATACGTTGCCACTCCTTCAACATCTCACAGATCAAATCGTCGACACGCTCTGGGGCGGCAACACCATAGTTTCCAAACAAACCAGTGTCTTGGTAGCAGGTGAAGAAGGTAGAGTATGACTCGGCCAATCCTTCGGTGGCAACAACTTCGGCGAGGTTCGAGATGAGGTTCTTTCCACCGGCCAAGTTACGGTTCCAGTTACCGATCATGGTTTGGATCAACTCCATGACAAAGTAGTCTGGGTGGTTCCATTGGAGACCACGTACGGCAACGGCAAAGTGGACCAATGGGAGTGAGTCGTCACGGACTCTGAGTTCGGAACCGACGAAATCCGATGTGATGGCGGAACGTAGTGATGGTTCACCAGCGGCGATCGATCCAAACTTCTCCTTGACGGCAGAGACCAATTTATCGTGATTGACAGCACCGGCGGCAGCAATGACCAAACGTTGACCAGTGTAGTTTTGTGAAATAAAGTCCTTGATATCGTTACGAGAGATCTTATTGATGTTCTCGACTGGACCTAAAATTGTACGACCCAAAGCTGATCCTTGGAAGGCGGCAGCATGTAATTGATCAAAGATAACTTCTTCCTCCTTTGATTGTACATATTGCATTTCACTTAAAATAACATGACGTTCCTTATCGATATTTGATTGTCTAAAAAAATATAATTAATAGTATTTATAAAAATAAAATATATATTAGTATTAATATGATTTGTGATTGGTTGGTCAAAAAAAAAAAAATATGAATTTTCATATTCAAATTTTTTCTTGTTTTTTTCTTGTTTGGTTGTTGTGTGTGTGTATAATGTAATGTAATGGAATGCAATGACATACTCGAATTTTGAGTTTTGTAAGATATCAGAGAGGATATCGACAGCATTTGGGATGTTCTCTTTAAGAACCTTCATGTAGTATGCAGAGTGCTCACGAGAGGTGAAAGCATTGAGGTTACCACCCATGTTTTCAATTTCAGTTTCGATGTAGTGTGGTGATGGACGCTTCTCGGTACCCTTGAAGATCATATGCTCCAAAAAGTGAGCGACACCATTATTCTTTTCGTTTTCATATACACTACCAGAGTCAACCCAGACACCAATGCTGGCAGTCTCTCCGAATGATTGCTCAGTAGCAACACGAATACCGTTTGGTAATGTGGTTACTCTGGTCTCTGGAGTCTTATTCAAAAAGTCAGTGTTCAATGGTTGTGGTCCTGTTTCTGAAGCAAATCCACGATAGAGTCCCTGTTTAAAAAATTTTAAACAATTTAAATATAAATATAACTATAACTACACATATATATAGCACAAATACAGCTCTAATTCATGATTCATTAACTGTTGACTATTATTATTATTGTGTTGTTGTTGCATATCGTCAAAATTCATTCCAAAAATTTCTATGTTTTTTTTTTTTTTGTCATTGCGAAAAAAAAAATTACACCGATCAGCTGAAATGATGATCAATCATCATTCTTATTGATTTGATTCTTTCTTGTTTTGTCTTGTAATTGTTGAGCTATCTGTAGTGTATTCTGTTTTTTTTTTTTTTTTTGTTTGAATTTAAAGATCATAATTTTTCACTTGACACCTGATATGTCATGTGCTGTTTATTATTTGAGTTGTTTTGGTTATTGACGAAATGCCATATTTATTATTCTCTCGCACTAATTGAATTGATCTGTTTTGATGCATGTAATTTGTAGGTAGAATTAACTTACCAATCTTTGTGAAGTTGAACCGAACAACTTTGAGATATTTCTGTGAGCCATTATTTATTATTTTGTTAAAAATCTGAATGTAAGCTACTGTCTAATGATATAATTGAAAAGATTCTATTCTAAAACTTTCTTTTGATAATCAATGATCGACTAATATTGGTTATTTACTGAAAGTTGAAGAGATAAGCAATAGAGATTCGCAAATTCGATGAGTGATGATAAATTACTCAAAATTTTTAAAAGGGGTGATTAAAAAAAAAACAATAAAATAAATAAATATGAAAAAACAAATTATTTTTCCATCATTTGAGCGTGTATGATCAAAGTGAAAAAAAAAAAAAAATCAAAAAAAAAATTCTTGAAAGAAAAAACAAAATTGAAAAATATGTAAAAAACGTTACTGATGATCAAGTAAATGTCAGATGCACACTTGTTTAATTTAATTTGATGATCAATGAAAGATTTATTTACTTTATTGATATTTTATTTGTAATAATAAAAAAGGTAATACTAGAATTTAATTTTTTATAATTTGATAATGAATATGTTGAAAACTTGAATCAAAAAAAAACTGTATGTTATTTTATGATGTTGGTTTTCTTATTTTACAAGTAATATTATTTTTGTTAAAGTTTAAAAGGTGGTGATGTTTGTTTGGTAGTTTGTGAGTGTGGGAGTGAAGTGTTGGAATATTCTATTCTATGGCAAGTGCTAATGGTATTTCATTGATAATTTTACAGGATCTGACTGGGTGCAAATGTTCAACAACTTGTTTGACACGCTCGTGTTGGTGGTTGACAACGATACGACTGGTGTAGGAACCGGTGCCTGGCATTGGTGTGGTTGTGGCGAATGAGTTGATGATCTGTGCGTGGAGTGGGGTGGTGAATCGATAGTTGATTCTGTACTCGCCAAACTCTAGACGATCGAAAAAGTATTTTCCATCAATGTCGGTCTTGACAGGTCGGACTTCTCTTCCGCTGACATCGTAGACTGGATTACCACTTTTGTCGGTCAAGTGGATAACTACACCTGGAACACCAAACTCATGAGAGTCCTTCACGTTGTCGTGATCGATATCCAAGTAGGTTTCGACGACCAACGCCATCGAGTCGTTTCTACAGAATGAAACTGGCATGTGATTACGAGTGACGGGTGGTGGATCGACAATGTTGACATTCATGTCCATGACGATCTTCTCGTTCTCTGGAGTCTCTGGTTGATCGAGTTCCAACCATACTGACATTCCAAGTTCTGTGTTCTTTCCGTTGGCACCCTCTCCAACCATCAGTGGAACATCCATGGCAGCACGAGTGACATTGAGCGATTTGTGTTGATTCGATCCGATTCCATAGAATGTACATTTACCTGGCATAGGCATATAGAGATTCCAGGTGTCTGGATTAACTTTTCCAGTTGGTGAACGACCAACGTAGAAATCCTCTGGAAGCTCAGTCTTTAAATCGGAACGGTCCCATGTTCTAGAGAACCAAAGATCGACCCACCAACCAGCGTTTGTAACTACTTTGTTTTCCTGTTGTTTTGGGAGGATTGGACCGGTGACTCTAATTACGGTATCACTAATAAAGTGGACACGACCCATCTGTGGAATGAAATGCCAGATTGGAGTGTCTTGATTATTACCAAAAGCTTTGTATTCAGTGGAGTAGAAAGAGTGAGCAATTGGATCACGAGTAAAGTATGGTTGAGCTGGTTCCAAAATCTTGTAGATTTCATCGATACTATGTAAACAGTTGGAAGCAACTTTGTTGTTGTTGTCATTCTTTCCAAAGGCAGTGTTATCTCCACCAGTTTGACTATTCTTGCTGTTTGGTGGGCTGATTGGAGCTTCTTTCTTGGTAATTTCAATTTCATCGAAATAGATAGATTCATCACGTCTTTGCTTGGTATTCTTGATGGTAAATGTATGGTAGAAATGATGTTCCTGGTCATTTGGATAGAACATTTGGATTGGAACAGAGACGAGTTCCCAAGTATCTGGAGTGAGAGTAGTTCTCTTGAGAATTGATTTTTCTGGGGCATCATAGCTAGTCAACAAAAGTGATTTCGATGGTTTGTTATCACTTTCTCTAAACAAAATTTCAATTGGAACATCAATATTCTTTCCACAATTAATATAAAATGTTAAATTCTAAAAAATTATATAATTTAAATTAGTTTCTAATACTTTCTAATATATAAAAATTTTGTTTTTTTTTACTTTACAGAGGAAGGATCAAAACCTTGATTGGCATCTGTTAATCCATACCAAATGGCAGTTGTTCTATCAAGTCCCATTTGAATTGAAATCGATCCAGACTTTACAGTCTTTGCACTCAGTCTTCTCGAACCAAAACTATAGTCTGAAAAAGTTGGATTTAAACTATCACCAAATACCTTGGTGCTCTCAACTATTTCTTCTGCCATAACAAACAAAGGACATATCAGACAAACAGTTATTAAAAGTGGTACAAATAATTTCATTCTCTCTCTCTTTAATTAAAATATTAAGAAAGACTCGTGTTATTATTACTATTATTATATAATTATAATATAAATTTGTATTGTTAAGGTGTTTGCTAAGTAGTATTCTAAAAAAAAAAAAGTATTATTTTTTTATTTTATTTTTTATTGTGTAGAATGATTGTTGTTAAATTTGGAATGATGTAAAATTTGAAATCAGGATTGGAACTTAAATAGATTTCTAGATACAATGTAAATGTGTTTCTGTTATTTCATTGTAAAGCAAAATCGAAATGACCACTGTATGAATTTGTAGTGGATGTATATTCTCTTAGACCTTTCTCCGTGCATCGCAATGAAAAATCATATGGAATCTAACGTTTGTAACATTGGTATCAAAATCTAGCATTTATACATAGATGTAAAAACTACTGTTGTAATATTACAACTATCAATCATTAAATTTAAACGATTTTGGCAATTGCAGTATAATTAATCTCAAATAAACCACACCACACTTCTCATCAACCACATACCACACTCATCAAACACACACCACACATAAATTTGACGATGATGATGATGATGATAATGATGGTTGACAATCCAATAGATCTGAAATATTTCAAATATATGTATGCATATGTGATCGATCGGTGGACAGATATTATTTGTTCTTATCCATCATGAGAATGAAATAAAAAATATAATTGAACAGAAGTATTGATGAAATATAATCATAATGATGTTACTATTATTAGTTAATGTGATAATTGCAATAACATATCATTGTTTAATTATATGTTTGGTTGCTTGAAATTCTTTCTTTTCAATAAATAAAAGTACAATCTGTGTATTACATTTTGATATTGTGATGATCTCATGAACTGACGATCTTGTTGTCAACAATCTTTATGACGTTTAATCGATCTATGGTTAATTTGGTAAAGAGAAGAGAAAAGAAAAGAATGAATTCGAATTCAAACGATTATTTTTGATTATTGTTGTTAGTTAGTTAGCAAAGTGTACAAAGCAAAGTTTGATATTATATTTTATAAATGAGTGAGTTTCGATCGAATCAAACACCTCATTGACTTTAAAATATATATATATTATAGAGAATAATGATTGATATTTACCTTGATAGACTTGCTGGTAGTTATCGAGAATCAAAGTGATAACATTGTTGATCAGTGGTATCTTGAGTGATGTTTCAATGGTTTGATGTGCAGGTTTCACAAGATTTGGACCGAATACGATCGCTAGGTTGGAATGATTCATTTTGTTGCGCTCGCTGTTCTGTCCTACCAAGCGGAGCATTGTGACGATCGCTTGGAGTGTTGCCTGATTGCACGCAGGTATGCTGCTGAGCATCGAGCGTATACTAGCAATCTTTTCGCGTGGTGCGCACTCACTGTCACCCAATTCGACGATCTTGTCAAACAACTCGTGTGTCAGCAGCGGTGTTGTCATATCCCTAAAGAATGTCTTGATGACCGCCGCTAGATGATGAGGACCTTGCTTAGCTATTAAAGCATCCATATTAGCAATTGTACACTTATTCAAACTCTCTTTGAATTGATCTACTTCCAATTGATTTGGTGAAACTCTAAACAATCCTTCTGTATTCAAATCTATATAATACAAAACATTTTAAAATATTAATAAAACTATATATACCTATACTATTACTATTTCAATAACTTACGATTTAAAATTGCATTACATGATTTTATAATAAAACTTGGTACTAATACATTCGGTCCTTCCCTTTGAACCAACTCTGATATTGATGTACCAAATACTATAGTATTCAGTGAATTTAATAAAAAGTTAATGATTGTGTGTTTGAAATATGATAATGATTGCTATTGAACATACATTTCTTATTAACAGTAGTTGTACATAACTCACCAAAGAGTTTCAAAAGATCTTTCTTTTCTTCGGCATCATCAACTTGGAATGAATAAGTTTCACCTCCTTTCTTTGATATTGTTATAATATTTTTATGATCTATTAGATTTATTATTAATTGAAAATATTAAATGTTAATTAAATAAATAATATATTATTAAAATGTTATTATTAACTTACTTGAGTTATCAGGTTGATCTGATACGACAACATCTGATAAATAAAATAGATTCTTAAATTTTAATAGATCCTTTTGATATTTCTTTCCAAATACAATTATATCGTTACATAGATAGTAGAAATAGACTTGATCTTGTTTCTTCAACTCAAACTTTGTTAGTTTACCTTCATGTAAATATATTCTACCTGGTATAACAAACTGTTGTTAAATAAAATAAAGAAAAGCGTCAGAGTTAAGTAATCTATAATTAATAAATTATCGACAATAACATACAGGATCTAATGCTTTCTTATTATTAATCTTCCTATAGATATTTATAAGAGTTGCTGCATTCTGTGCTTGTGCCAAGTTATCTTGTACGAGTTGTTCAATCTCTTTCATCATTGTCACTGAATTGTTTATATTTACATAATCTGGCCAATTATTCGGAGTATGACTTGCAATAGTCTAAATATATATATAAGATAGGATAAGAGGTTAGGTGTTACATCTTAAATATTGATATATAATCACTAATGATTGATTAACAAACATACAAATAATTGTCTTTGATATACAGATAAATGATTGAGTGGAGTTGCAATCAATGCCATAAGATCATACACTCTACCGGGAGTGTTATCACAACACTCTGATATAAAGTTGGCGAATTTCGGATTTTCATTTCTACAGCGATCGAGTGTATCGATTGCATTCTTAAAGTTCTTTACATAGTTTCCATAGACTTTGAGATCCGGTGCTATTCTCAAAAAGATATCACCGAGACCCTCTACACACGGCCATCTCTCATTCAGCAATTCAAATTGCAGCAGTATTCTTTGGTGTACACTATAGATCTCCTCTATGGAACTGAATATCGACTTGAAATCCTCGTCTGAAACTAAAGCAGCGTTCTTAAGTGGACGGTAATAGTATTGCAAGATGATTTCGAGGTTGGTGTTGTAGCGACGTTCCTCTTGGACGAGATGACGGAATGCAATGTTTCGCTCGCGTAACACCGAGCCGGTGTATACCTGTGCCAACCACTCGGTTCTTCGACGCGCCAAGAAACGACGTACACAACTCTGAACTGTGATGACATCGCGAATATACTCTTGTGAATCCATCCAGCTGTTTAGAACGGCGATCGACGGTGCCATCTGTGAAAAGTAGGGATCGCTCACCAGTGTGTTGAAATCAACGTTCAAATCCTGACTGTAGAGAATGTCCATGATGTTGAGTACTACATTCGAAGAGATGCCCGGCAGTGCCAGTAAGATCGATTGTATCGCACCGAATATCTTTAGTTTCTCGTTGTTTTGCTCTGCCATGTTGGCGAGATTCTTGCGTTTCAGTGTGGAGTTTGATTTCTTGAGTTCACTGTTTTTCTTGAGTTTGATGATGCCCTTTGCAATCGGGTGAGTTCTCGGTGAGGGAACTGGTGAGCTGCTCAGTGAGAAGCTAGATCCACTTCCGCTGCTACCAGTGGCGCCGTTGCCTTTCGAGACGGGTGAGAGCAACGACGATGAAGATGCGGGCAAGTTTGTTGCCGCCTTGAAATTGGGTGATGATCCATAGATTCCATTTTGATCGCGAACATGTTTCTGTTGGTATACCGGTATCGACGGTGATGAAGATGATGTCGGTAGGAAGAATGAACCCGATTTCGGTTTGATCGGTGTGATTGAATCGTTTGAGTTGGAGGTGACAGATGAGTTGTCAGCGGATTGCGATCTACTCTGACGAGATGGCGATACTTTTGGTTGTGCTGCCAGCTCGACGTCCTCCGACAGTCCACTATCACCACGACTCAAAACTGTCTTTCGAAGTGAATTTGAAGAGGTTGTCGGTGAAATCGATGAGGTTGGTGGTTTTGAGGTGGAAACAGCAACATTGTTCGAGGTACCACCGATTGGTTCCATTTTAGGTGATACAGAATTTGGTGGTGTTCCAGATGGTGTGCTGTTGGCCGATGACAATGTTGGTGTTGGAGGTTTGTATGGTGATGCTGGTTGTTGTCTGTTTTGTAGTGAATCACTTGATTTGTTTATTGTTGTTGATGCTGATGATGTTGTGGTTGTCGTTGCTGTTGAGGAAACTGTCAGTGGTGAAGATCCAGGTGACTTCACAGATTTATTGATAATCCTATTGGTGGTTGGCGAAGTTGGAGGTGATTGTGAAATTCGCTTTGAGAATGTTTCGATTGCCGCTGGAGTGAGTGTTCTCCTGATTGAAAGTGGTGCCTTGTCGACCGATGGATTGATCGGTGCTATTGGTTTGCCTTTTCTATGATAGGTAAGTGTAGATTTCAAAGATACTGTTTGTGTTGCTGTTGCTGATGCTGAAGTAGTACTACTGGGAGATGCACTATTCTGTTGTTGTTGTTGTTGTTGTTGCTGTTGCTGTTGTTGTTGTAATTTACCAAACAATACATCCTGTGAAGAAGACCTGTCGAAAACAAAAATTGATTAGTTAGTTTTATTCATATTCAACCAACAGTGTTTGTCAATTTTAGAAATTGATTTATAAATGACTCAAGTCAATCATAATCAATCATGATGTAAGCATTTAAAAAAAAACATAAATATAATTTTTTGAAAAAAAAGGAAAAATCATGATTATTGGGATTTGTTGAAAGAGAAGAGACATAACTTTTCGACAACAAAACAACCTTTTTTTGCAAATTCACACATGTTTTGTTTGTTTTTTTTGTTGGGGAAGTGAGGTGAGTGGTTTTTGTGACATCTTTGATTTGAAAGTGACTGTAACTTGTTGTGATGATCATATTAATTATGATAATGAAAATAAAGATAATGAAAAACTCTTTCTTGTATGTGAATGATAGATTTGTAATATTATATATATATGAAATAAATCTATAATAAAATAACAATGTTACTAATTAATTAATAACATACCTAATTAAAGAATGTTCAGGCTCTGTTTTAAAACAGTGTTTGCATTTGTCATTTCTCCATAATTGTCTTTCAAATAAAGCACAAGAGCTCATTTTGTAACTCTTTTATTGAGAGCACCCCTCGGTACTAGAGTCCCAAGTCGGTCAATAAAACAACTTTATTTGACAGATAATCGATTATTGATACGAATTAAAATTTCGAAAAAAAATATGCAAATATATTCTAATTTTATTACTATTGTACACAATAAATATAACAAAAACTAATATTAATTAAACATTTGATTACTATTAATTAGAAAAACTAATGTTTTGACACTGTTGCCAATAGATTTTTGCAAAAAATAAAAAATCAAAAAAAATCATGTTATTTGAATTTTATTTCACTTGAGATTTGTTTGGCGCCATAAGATCACCGATGAAACCCACCAAAAATATTGTGTTACTAAATATAAAATCTGTAGATTCTACTACTTTTTTTATTTTATTTTAATAAATACTTTTAACTATAAAAGTATAGTCATCACTTTTCACAGACCAGATCTATTTTTATATATGTAATGTTGATGGTGTTTCTGACAGAAATTTGGATAGAGAAGTTAAACTTGGTTTCAAAAACTCTGAATGAAATTTGTATGATAATAATTTTTAAAAATAAATAACAATTTAAATAAAAGTATTTTTACTATTTTTTTTTCTAAATTATAATTTTTATTTTATTATTTTATTTTTTACTTGATCCATATGGATTGGCAGCGGAATACTTTGGACCGGTGAAAGCCGATTTCTTTTTCTCGGATTTTACGCTTGGCGCAATGTTAAAAACGATTTTTGGTGGATTTTGGAAACCAAAGGCGAGTGCGACCGAAGCCAAATCGAGACTGTTGACATTGAATGTATCTTTGAGTGAGTGCGATGCATAGGAGTGGATGTAGCTCTTGTAGGCATCACGTGCAGAGTTGTGGAGATAGTAGTTGTTGGCGACCAGCTTCTCGAGTTGGTCCTGTACGTTGGAGACTTTCTTCTGTGGGAATTCGTATTCGTTCAATGGCACCTTGGCGAGTTTCAAGTACTTTAGGAAAGTGAGTTCCTGTGGCAGCAGGAAGAGCAATGCACGACCCTTCTTGCCGACACCACGCGCGGTACGACCGACTCTGTGGATATACTCCTTGGGATCATCGGGTGGATCGAACTGGATGATCCAATCTACGGAGGGAATGTCAACGCCACGAGCGGCGACATCTGTACAAATGAGGATTCCCTTCTCGGCATTGACAAACTCGTAGAAAGTGTTGGTACGCTTCTGCTGCTTTTGTTTTCCGTGGAACTCCAACACCGGAATGCCAATGAAATTGAGGAGCTCTGCGTGATACTTGACAGAGTTGCAACTGGACAAGAAGACAATGACCTTCTTGTTGAGGTTCTTCTTGAGGAAGGTGTAGAGAAGGAGGAAACGCTTCTCACTGGGACACACGACGTAACCCTGTTCCAAACCTTCGACGGTGGAGACTTCACGGTCGTCGTCGACACCGACGTACACTGGCTCCTTGTTGAACGAGACACGAGCAATGTCGTCGACTTTACGTGTTTGGGTGGCGGAGAACAACATGGTTTGACGCTCCTTTGGTAGGAGTTTGACGATCTGATGCATGTCCTCTTCGAATCCGACCTCCAAGATACGATCGGCTTCGTCAATGACCAAACACTTCAAGTTCTTTACAATGAATCCACGGGTGTTCTGAAGATGATCCAACAGACGACCCGGTGTGCATACCAACAGGTTGACACCCTTCTCGAGACGCTCGATCTCGGCACGCTTATCGTTGTTACCACCGATCACCAAACCGTGTGTCTGAGTGTGATTCAACATCAACTCACGGGCAACACCATAGATTTGCAGTGCCAACTCTCTGGTCGGTGAAATAATGATGACACCAGTTCCGTTTCTTGGCTTAAAGTTTGCTTTTACTAAAATTTCGATCGCTGGAATCAAGAATGCCAATGTCTTACCACTACCAGTTCTTGCTGCACCCAACAAATCTCTTCCCTCCAAAAGTGGCATAATTGTCTTTGCTTGAATTGGTGTCATCTTTGTGAATTTCATCTCGGCAATTGCCTTCTTTGTCTTTTCTTCGATTGGTAATGAATTGAATTCGATTGAATCACCAGCAATACCCAACTCTTTAGAAAAATGAAAGTAAATAAACAAGTTAATAAGATGATGGATAAGTTTAAAAGAAGTTTAATAATATCTATTTACCTTCAGCAGTAACAGTTTCAGCTCTTGGAACTTTAATATTTGGATCTGGAGCAGCCCATTCATCTTCTCTCCATTCGTTATTCTTCTTTGATGTTACATTGTCTTTGTCATCAGTAGCTACTGATGGAGTGACGGCAGCAGCAGCTTTAGTCGATTTACCACTAGTTGATGTAGTTGTAGTTGTGGTGGTAGTTGTAGTTGTTTCTTCGGTTGTCTTTGTTGGTGTTGGTAATTTCTTTGATCTCTTTCCAGTCTTTTTCTCTACTTGCTCCAAAGTTGGTACTGTCTTTGCATCTTCTTTCTCTTGTTCAGTTGGTACCGATGCCAATTGTTTAATCTCTGTAGCAACTTTATCAGTCTGAGCATTTCTCTTTTGTTTCTTCTTTGTTTGTGGTGGTTGTTCAGTTGGCTTGCTATCGATAATTGATTGTTGTTCTTGTTCTTTCTCTTCATTATCGATAGTTCTCTTTTTATTCTTATTTCTCGATGAATTTGAAACAGCTGTTTCGGGTGCAGGTGTTACTGCTGCACCACCACTCTTCTTTGGTATCACCATTCTAAAATCCAAACTTATATAACAAATATAATAACGAAATTATATAATATTATAATTTTTAGATATTAGCAGCAATAATTAATATTAACACAACAATAATAAATAAGAAAGTATTAAAAAGTTGGTTGGTTCGTGTGATCACTTGACGAGTCGTTTTTTTTTAAATTTTTTTTATCAATTAATTCAATTTATTTTCAAAAAATATTTATTAAAATAAAATGAAAATAAAACGAAACCGAACTTCTAGAAATTTATTGAATTATTTACAATTTATTTATATATATTTTTTGAATTATATTAGTTTATTGGTTTCTCGTTGGAGAACCAAATCTTCTTCTCTTTTTATGTTGTTGTTGTTTCATGTTTTGTTGATGTCTAATGTATAGTATAATTGTGATTAATAGTATTAAACCGATGGCAGCAATGACGAGTGTCATCACTGACAAAATGATAAATGTTTTATCAACAGGTTCTGTTGGTTCATCCTTTTCTATGCTTAAAAGTCTTGGTGCTGTTACTGATTGTCCATTAACACTGACGTAAAGTTTAATGAAAGAACTACTGCTACTACTATCATCGATATTTACTATTGACTTTAGATCATTATAAACAATTTCACTTATTGTACAAATTAATGTTGTATCATTCATGAAATGTAATGTTCCGCAATCTATCGTGTTATTTATCTTGATAAATAGATTCTTATCATCGAAATTATGACCAATAACTGTAATATTACGATTTCCATCGGAATCTGGTGAATCTGATATTAATGCTTTAGATAAAGTAGGTGCTGTAGAACTATTATTATCAGTTACATGCTAATTTTTAATTATTTATCTATCTATAATTATGACTACTTACGTAAATAGCTAAACTTTGATTCCAAAATTGTTCCATTCATACCTAATGTTATTCGAATATCTTTACCTGATCCTTTAGTTAAGTTACATGCTATCAATGTTGTTGTTATCACTTTAGCATTTTTGCATTTGATGGCGCTGTCAGAGATTGAAATAACAACAGGGTCACTGAATATTTCACCATTGATAAACAGAATATCTCCAGAAGTTCTTGGTGATACTACGAATGTTACCTTTGGATACCAATCGAAACTGTAGAGATTCGATAGATTTGAAATTTGTGCTAAAAAAGTACCATAGATATTTCTTGGAATTTGGAAATCCAAAAACATGTTCTCTCCTTTTACAGATGAATTTACAACTGCCAATCCAGATAAAATCAAAGTTTTATCATCATATTTGAATAGTGAAAGTTCTAAATTGGCCGCTCTGTAGACTGAACTAACAACTCTTATAATCATTCCTTTCTGTTTATACATTGAATTAATGGTAATTTGGTCATAATTGAAATTAAATGGATTTGCTTCAAATCCATCTAACACTAACTTGATATTCAGGTCTTTAGTAGTGGAATTCGATGATTTGTTGAAAGATGGATATTGACATTCCAAATCATAGCTATTGACTTGTGTAATATTCGTACAATTAACACCACCTATTATTATTGATTTCGATTGAATTACACTATTATCAATTCTAGTAAGATTCAACCCAATTCCAAAAATAGTTATTGGACCACCAGTACTACTTGAAACTGATGATACACTATTAATTAAAGGGTCTATAATTTTTTAATATTTTGTTAATATTTATATACATTTGAAATTTAATAAATTGTTAAAATGAAAACTTACATATATCAATAGTTTTACTAGCTATTTTATCTTCCAATGTAAGTGTTATACTTCTAGTTCCGAGAGTTCTAAAATTTGGCGAAGCCAAATCAGTAACAATATTAGTGCTACGTGTAAAATTAACTATATTCAATGGAGATCCATCTATAAAACATTGAACTTTCCAACTTTCTATTCCAAAACTATCTCCATATATAAACAAATATTGGCTATTCATACTTAAAGTATTTATAACCGGAGCTAATATATATATTTTTTGATTAAAATTTAATACAAATAATTAACTTTAAAAACTACATACGTTTAAATTGAAATGTAAAAGTATATGGATCTGGATCATTGAATACTATTAAATCATTCCCTCCAGTCACTGAAGTTAAGTAAGGTATTATTGAATCTTGAACTGAAAATATGTACAAACTTCCATTCTTTGAAGCCAAAGGAAGTGTTGCATGACCTATAGACACTGTGAAATTGGTATTATCAAAATAGGTTCCAGTTACGGAAATAAACCCTCCAGATGTATACATTTCCCGAGTTAGTCCTTCAACTCTTCCAATGAGGAATGGATTCCAAAGAAACTTTGTACTGTTATTAATAACAATCACCACCCTTGCAAACAAATAAACCATTGTATAAGAATCCTTCCAAATTTTAAAAGTTACTGCTGTTTTATTTTCAAAGGTAATTGTGAAATTTGGTGAGGAATTATTACCTTCTAGCAATCCATATTCAATGCCATACATAGCAGAATATGATCTAACTAATGAAACATGACAAAATAATAATAGTAAAAAAGAAATATATAAAAAATTGACCATTTTTTTTAAAACATAAATATTATTTTTGTATATGATAAATACTGTATTTTTAGAAATTTATTAATTTTCTAGTAATATAAATAGATGAAGTGAGGAAGTATTATTGGATTGCTTTTCAATCAATCATAATAAATAAATAAAATTGATTAATCAATTGCAATAAAAAGAAATATTATTTAATTTAACAACTTTATTTTCTTTTTTGGTGAAGTTGTGTGTGATAACAAAATGTAGATCGTGTTTTATGTTATTTTTATTGATGGTGTTCCTGATAAAATTTAATTCTATACATTTTTCCCACCACCACTACCACCCCTAAAGTTAGTAGTAACTTAATTGTTGCAACACAACACAACACAACTGTGCTGTGTTTATTTATTTATTAATGTTAAAGAAATATTAAGATTTATCTAATCTTGTATATTCAATTTAATATTAAATCAAAGTTAAAATTTACTATGAATATTGAGCATGGGGAACCAGTGATATAACATATTGGACATGATAAATATAATGATGAGATCGGCTGCCATATGACCAAGAATTCCAACTACCACGCCAAAGTGCTTGCACAGCACATTGAACATCAAGCCACCTGCATATATAAACAAACAAAACAATATCGATATCCATATATTAAAGAAAACTATTAAAACAAACTAAATTAATAGTAATAGCAAGAGACAGAGAGAGAATGATTGTTTTGTTGTTAGTGATATTTATTCAACAAACAAATGACGAGTAAATGAATGAATGAATACATACGAAATGATACAACATATAAAAGAATGTTATTACAACTCTATCAATGGTATTCGAGCCATATGTATTGACTAAAAAGATACGCCAAAACCATTCTTCAACAAAAGGGTTTACCAAACTGAAATAAATAAAGAAAATATACAGTGGAAATTTATATTTAAGTAATCCATAGTTTTCTATCTTTTGCGCTACATTTGGTATTAACTATAAAATAGAAAAATAGATTATTAATATATGATATAAATACTAGTATAATATAATAATAATGAAAACATACACCTGCAATTGTATAATATAAAGCTAATCCAATACCAACACTAAAAATAAATAATAGAATACCAATATAATATTGTGTTTTTGGTTTAAATGATTGATGTACTTTAGAATACCATGGTATTAATTTGTTATCATTATTACTATGTAAATTTAATATAATATGTTGTTGTTGTTTTTGTTGATCTGGTTGATTCTGTTGATCTTGATGATAATCTTGTTGTTGCTGTTGCTGCTGATCATCATACACATCAGAGAAAGAATTCTGTTTATTAATGATACTACTGTGGTCATAGAGTAAAGGTTGTTTATCTGTAAGTGTAACTGTTTTATTGTTATTGGTAAGATGATAAGATATCATATAGATCGTTGATAGTACGACACAAGAGAGATGAAACAATGCTATCGATGACCAAATATCTCTCATGAGATGCAAGAACAATAGCATCACCACCGTGGGCATTACCATTGCCAACAACAGATAATATGTACGTAAATCACTCCATTTTGGGGGATGATTCTTTAATTTCCATTCCTAACCAATAATAATAATAATATAACAATAATAATAATTATAATAATAATAGTTTACCATTAGAACATTAAAAACCTAATTAACTTATTATTAACATATTCAAATCATACCAATGTACTATGATCAAACTTTATTAAATTATATATATTTAATAGATTTGATTTAAATTCATCCATAATAACTGATGGAATGGTAATAAAAAATAAAATGTAAACATTAATCGTTGCATAAGCTTATCGATGCAGTCATCACATAAAAATTTATTAGCACATTTTCACCAAAAATTAATAAATTATTTATTTTTTGATTAAACCTGGTGTGGTATGTGGGTTTTGTATGTTTGCAATTGTTGACTGGTGAAAAGTCAAACAGCGTTCGCATTAATCTATTTAATCTTGACCTTGTGGTGTTGGTGTAGTGGAAATCGGTGAGGACGGCACCTGTTTGACTGGTGTCGATACACTTGGTGATGATGTACTTGATGTCGCTGATTGTCCAATAAACGAATCATAGCAATTCGTAGTTAAATCTTTCATATATTGTTCGAAACAGTCTGGCAATTCTTCTTTCATTGTACCTATGTATAATCAAAAGTTATATATATATATTAAACATGATATTAGTTCGTCTTTCTTTAATTTAAAACTGATCATATTTTATTATTATTGATTGACATTACCTGGGAAACCTTGATATATAGTGAATGGTGGTACAACTGTATCTGGTGGTAATATAGTATTATCCGGTATCATACAACAATCCTTTAATATACATCTTTTTGACTAATGAAATGATAATGACAATGATGATAGTGATATTAGATATAATATGATCTTGACCTTTTTTTTTTTTTTTTGAATTCAAACTTGATTTCTATTATGATATTTACAATTACACAATTCTTTCCTATATATACATATGAACCAATAGTTGCAGCACTGATAACAGTATCCTCTTTAATAATAACATGATCACCTATATTCAGTGGGAAATAAGCGATTGAACCTTTAAACTTTTTATAAGATGGTCTGATCACTGTGTTTTCCTCTACTATTGACAATCTTCCTATATTTACATTTGCTAGATCACCTCTAACTAAAACACCTGGCTTTATTATAGTCTATTATTTGATTATTATTATTATTATTATAAACAAAACTATTAATAATCTAATCAATCTTCTCCTCTAAACTAGCTAACTAACTGGATCATATACAAACCTTTCCATGTAATCTTATATTCATAATACCACATAGTATTGACTTTTTACTAACTTTATTACCATTTAAAGTCTCTATATATTCTGATTTATCAAAGTATGTTGGTTGTTGTTGCATCTTTACAGTATGTTGATCATCAATAATGACACTTTTGTAAAAACCAATTTCTGTTAATGTTTTTTTTTTGATCAAATTTTTGTGCACATGTGATAGCTTACAACAAAGAGTTCTTTTAGTATACAATGATTAAAAGAAAAATAATGTTTTAAGTTTTTTTTTTATAATATATTATTTTTTATTTTTTATTTTTGAAGAGTTAAAGATAAAATTAATTAAAATGAGATAATTTATTCATCGTCGTCCTCTTCCTCTTCACCTTGATATCCATCATCTTCATCGTCGTCTTCATCGTCTTCATCTTCATCTTCATCTTCGTCGTCGTCGTCGGAATCTGGAAGATCTTCGTCCTCACCAATAAATAGACTCTTGTCGACATTGTTTGCCAACTCTTCTTCGGGCTCTTCGTATTCTTTATCTTTAACATCGATAGCTGCTTCATCGTCAATAAACAGATCTGGATTGTAAACAAACATTTCTCTACCGCTCATCGATGTCTTTCCTGCCTTGATATCGGCAGCTCTCTTTTCCTCTGCTTCCTTAGCTGCCTTTTCTTTTTGAATACGTTTCTCTTCCTTCCACTTCAAAAATGTTTCCAATGTTACTGGAGTTGTCTTTGTCAATTTAGCTCTCTAAAAGAATTAAGTGAAAGTGAAAGACATAAACATAAAAGAAATACCATAATTAATATCTAATCTCAAATAATAACTACTATTACAAACATCAATACTTTACCTCTTCTTCAATCAATTCTTCAAGTGGAATTTGTTCGACTTCTTCTTCTTCACCCTTCTTCTTTTTCTTTTGGAGTACGTATCCGGGTGGCAGACAATGTTGGTACATACATTTATCACCACCGTTTGGACACTCCCAGAACCAACCATACTTGCTGGCTTCGATCGCCTCCAAGAAATATTTACACACGATGGTAGTCTTTAAGTTTTTGTTTTCATTTGTACGCTTGTTGTCGATGACCTTCTTGAGTTTGTCGTCGTCCCAATTCTCCATGCTGTCGACGGCCTTGTCGTCGGCGTTACGACGATCAGTGTAGATATCGATCTTGGCGTCCTTACGTGCAACCATCAAATCGTGTGCAAACTTACACTTGTTACCCTTGGTACACTGTCCTGCCTTGAAGAACTCGCAAACAATCGACTTTGGATCGACACCGAGTGGAACCTTTGCCTGAACGATAGTTGGCTTCAACAAATCGGCCATCTCCTTCTTGGCCTTCTCTGCCAACTCTTTATCCTTTTTAGCTTGATCTGTTCTATTGGCAGCCTATATATATATATATATACATATTATACATATATTATAATTAATCAACATATTTATTGAAATTTCAATAAAAATATCGTCATTATCGTTCATAACGATGAAAACGAAACGTTTAGATTTTGACTAATTACCTTCTTTTGATTAACATTATTATTTACTTGTTGTTCAACATTCTTTACGAATTGAGCAACTTTTTTACTCTTGTTTTTATTCTTCAAACCAAAAGTCTTGTCTTCGATCTTTTGTTTCTTCTCTTTTTCAAGAGATTTCTTGTTGGTTGCTCCTTTGGGTGGCATTTTTCGAAATAATGAATATTATTTAGTTCTACTACTACTCTATAAATTGTTTTTTTAATCTAATCAATAATTTAATTAAAGAAAAGATAATAAAACAATTGTTGTTGTTGCTGTTGTTGATAATAGAACTTAAACTTAAACCTTATTCAAAATTTCAAAAAAAAAAAATATATTTTTGTTATTCAATGGTGGTCGTCTGTGTTACAATCAAAAATGAGAAAAAAATTAAAAAAATTAAAAAAACTTTTGTTGGCTCAACCGAACTTCTGCTCAGCAAGCTTCGAAGATAGACTAGATGTAGATGATTGATTGATTAATCACTACAATCGAACCACACTTTCATTTCAATCTTATCTATTTCCTATTATTCTCTTTCTTACATTAAGTTCAGTTTATTTTTAAAATGTTAAATAGTTGAGAAACTTTAAAGTTTTGATGAAGCGGCTGGTTTGATTTCGGCAATGGCATTGGATAAAGTGTATCCATCTCTTTCCAAAACCTTTGATTGGAAAACAACTTGAGTATCATTTAATTTCCACATTTCAGTTTGAATAGTTTCTCCTGGGAATACATGCTGTAATCATAATAATAATGTTATCAGTTTAATTTGATCAAACTTAGAAATAGTATATTGAATTTGAACAAGGGAACACTTACCTTTGAGAATCTAACACGGATACTCTTAAATCTTTCTGGATCATTATCACAGAAATGCTCTAAAATAGCTCTGGTCTATATTGTTGTTGTTGTTGTTGTTAATTTCATGTGATTGATAAAGAGGTTAGTTTAATCTCATTTGAATTTGCTAGTTGTACAATTGAATATATATTTACAGCAACACCGAATGAGCAAAGACCATGAAGAATTGGTACTTCGAAACCACCAAGCTTACTCATCTCTGGATCGGCATGGAGTGGGTTGAGATCACCACCGGCAAGTCTGTAGATCAAAGCCTGGTCAGTTGTTGTCTTTTGAGTGTGTACAGCATCTGGTTTTCTGCTTGGAATGGCAATTGGCTTATCGGATGGTCCTCTCTCACCACCGAATCCACCGATTCCACGAATAAACAATGAGAATTGATTGAAAACAATCTCTCTACCACTATCTCTTTCTTTTGTGATTGTATCGATTACTAATAATACACCCTTACCCTACAAGACGAATGTTTATCATAAATTAATAAGTAAATAATCAGTACACTGTTTTTTTTTTTTTTTAATAGATTTGTCTTGTCTTATTTCTCGCTTACCTTATCATATAAATTATTTACTTTGGAATAGGTAACCAATGAACCTTTGGTTGGAATCTTACCTCTGACTTCGAGGTATTGTTCACCATGAAGCAACATCATTGGGTTGAAATCGGATAATCCACTGATTCCATTGATGACTTCAAGCAATACTTTGAATGGGAAGATGACACCGATCGATGGGATTGGTGTGAATCCCTCTGCATTCTCATAGACAAACTTTAAATTCTTTGTACCTGCACCAATACCCAATGAATATAAAGCTACATCTTTCTTTTGAAATTTAAATAAAATAAAATAATATAAATATTCAATTTTACTTCATATGTATCTGTTTTTTAATATAATAATACCTCTGTAAGTTCAAATTCAATCGGTGCAAATTTATGATTTAAAACCTTTTGATAATCAATATTTGACATGATGATTTATTTTATTTTTTTTTCTAAATCTAGTAATATAAAAGTGATAATAATAATGATAATATAACAACAACAACAATTGTATTGATAATAATAATCAATTAAAGAAAAATAAATCAAACACAATGAATGAAATAAGCATTAAAAAGTAAAATTGAATTGAAAAAAATTTAATTTTTCAAATCGCGTTAATCTTATCCCAAAAGGGTAATAATGATTTGATGTAAAAATGTTTTAGATATTTTGTGATAAAAATTAAATTAAAATCACAATAAATAGATATTTTTTAATTTAAATATATTTTATTTAGCAAATACTACTTCAAAAGTTTTCAATATTATTATTATTATTGTTGTTGATGATTCTTAAAGTTGTTGGCGATGTTTTGCCAGCACTTCCAATAGTCATCATCGATGAAGTTCTTATTGGCATAGTCGGAAATACCAAGAATCAATGATGACTCAAACATGAATGCCAATGCAACATCTGGAATCCTATAGTTATGATTATAACATAGTTGTTAGTTAAATTGTCTAAAAATAAGAGTGATTTGATTTTTTCAAAAAAACAAATAACAATAACAATAACTTACTTTGTTGGTTTCAATTCAGCACCAATAGCACCATTGAAAGTATCTGCATCTGGACCGTGTGGAGTCATACATGAATGAAGACTACCTCCACCTGGAAGGAAACCTTCCTTCTTGGCTTCGTAGACACCACGAATCAAACCCATAAACTCACTCATGCAGTTACGGTGATAGTATGGTGGTCTGAAGGTATTCTCTTGAACCAACCATCTTGGTGGGAAAATAACAAAATCGGCAGCTGCTACACCTGGTTCGTTAGTTGGTGCAGTCAATACTGTAAAGATAGATGGATCCTAAAATAAAAGAAAAACAAACAATAGTTAGAAAAACATAAACATATATTACTTAAAATAAAAAAAATAAAGAAAAGAGAATTCAATAAACTTACCAAATGATCAAAAGTAACTGAATTGACAGCACAGAATAAATTCAAATCGTATTTATATGGACAGTAGTTTCCATGCCATGCAACAACGTTGAATGGTGAGTGATCTTGGGTTGCGGTGAAGAGCTTACCAAGGAATTTGTTAATTTTTACATGTTGTACTTGTACATCCTCAAAGGCGGCTACTGGCGATAAAAAGTCTCTTGGATTGGCCAAACCGTTGGAACCGATTGGTCCGAGATCCGGAAGACGGAAATGTGCACCGAAAACCTCACAAATATATCCACGAGATGGACCATCAGGAACGTTGACAGAGAATGTTACACCTCTTTGAATGACACAGATCTCTCCAGAGTGTACCTCTAAAAATCCAAATTCAGTTTGAATATCTAATGTTCCTTGTTGTGGTACTTTAATTAAGTTATGTAAATTTAATATATTTATAATTTTTTTTTTGTCAGTATCTTGTATTCTTCGGGTTTGTTTCGATAATTTACATACCAATTAAAAAGTCACCATCGGAATTGTAGAATGATTTGTTTACCATGTTTTCGTTGGCAGTGTAGATGTGGATGGCAATTCCGTGACGGACCGATGCGTGTCCAGCACCGGCGATAGTAATTAAACCTTCGACGAAATCGTGCTTCTTCTCTGGAATTGGGAATGGCTTCCAACGGAGTTGATTTGGATTGACAATGGAGCAAGCAGAGTCAAGGAGTGTTGGTTTCTCGAATGGAACCAATGGTGTATGACAAACTCCTGGACGAATTCTGTATAACCATCTGTTGTTTATTATTTGATGATAATGAAATTAGATTAGCTAATGATGTTCTTCTCGACTTTTATAGAGGTAGAGGTGGATTATTTTAAGCTATCATATATTAATTATAAATTACTTACGATCTTTGTTGTTGTGCTCTTGGTACAGTGAATGCATTACCAGAGAGTTGCTCGGCGTACAGACCGTTTGCAACCCTTTGTGGAGTGTTCTGTCCGTATGGTAAACTACCCTTGACCGCTTCAGACTCGAAAGAGTTACCGAAACCACTTTGGTATTGATACTTTGATGGTCTTTGTTTGAATGGTGGTGTAGAGGAAATTGGAGGTGGAGTTGCCATCATCTTTCTTTATGATTCGTTTTTAACACACAAAAAAGCAGGTTAACAATAATCTAGTTAAAGTTTTATTACTATTACTATAATACTAATAGATAAAACAAATAAACAAACAAGTAATATTAAGTAACAAAGTAGTGCAGAGTATTATGTTGATATTTTCAAAAATGAAATTAAATAAAATAGTCAGGCAACATCCAACAATGTGTGGTGTTGTTCTGTTTTTTTTTTGTTTTAGTTTAAATAAATAATAAAAATCAATAATGACATAATTTTTATTTTTTTATCATTCCGAACAGGGGGTTTGATAAGCGAAAACACCAAACACATTTTGGAAATTTCAGTTGTTTGTTTTGTTTTTTTTTGAATCTTCTAAAAAAGGAATTCAATTCGATGGAACTCCTTGGTTTGGTCAACCAATCGATTGTTTCTGAATAATTATTACCAATGTTTTTATTTTTTTATTTTTATTTTTAGCATCCACAAGTTTATACGCTATCGTGTTTTATTCAATCAATATCATTTTACTTGAAAAGAAAAAGAAAAAAACAACAAAAAGGTTAATCTAGATTAAATTGTTTGGTTTGGTAGATGATCTTTTTCTTTTTGTCATAGACATAAATACACAAAGATAGGTAAAAAAAAAAATCAAAAAAAAAAAAAACAAAACTAATTTTAAAAGTAAAAAGCTTAAACTTTCTTTTTTTTGTTTGTTTTTTTTCTTTTCTTTTCTTTTCTTTTTTTTTTTTTTGATTTATTGTTTATCAACTGGAAGGTTGTTTGGTGCGTTGTTAGTGTTATTAACATTTGCACTTGGGTTGGAAACATTTACATTGTTGTTCAACGAATAATAATATGGAATTGGATAGTAATATTGTTGTTGTTGTTGCATTGGTGGTTGTTGTTGTTGTTGTTGTTGTTGTGATTGATTGTTTGATTGTGAATCACTGTTGTTGATGATAGCATTGTTGTTTACTTGTTGACCATATGGTTGTGGTTGTTGCATTATTTGGTAGTGAATTTGATATGGTACAGCGGATGGATAGTAGTTTGGATGCATCATGTTGTTGTGAACGTTGTGTGGGTTCTGTGGATTCTGTGGATTCTGTGGATTCTGTGGGTAGTAGTATCCAATTGGTGGTGGTGATTGAATCAATGGTGTGGTCTTGTTAGCGGTGTTACCAACGACAGTAGTAGTGGTGGTAGCAGTGGTTGGAGTAGCAGTGGCTGGAGTGGAAGTCTTGGTAATGATGGTCTTGTAGTTGAATCTCTTGATCATTGAACCGAAAGATGGGTCAGCAGCCTTTTGCTTCTTGATTTGCTTGATGTAACGGATGTAATATCTGATACAGATCGAGTAGTAGACAACGACGACACAGACAACGGCGGCATGGATAATTCCACCGGTCAAGTCGTAGTAAGTCCAAGCCAAACTGATAATGATGTTAACAGTGACAAGATAGAAGTACACAAGGATAGATAATACCAAATGCTAATAACCAAAAGTTAAAATTAAAGTAATAAAAAGAAATTTAATATTAGTAAAGATGATATTTTGTTCAAACACAATTGTAAAACTTACGGTAGTCAAGAGGGCGACATTACCACTCAAGAGTGAAACAAGACCGAAACCGGCAATGAAGAATCCAATGAAAGTAATCCATGTGAATATTTTCCAGAAGAAAATAAATGTAGCCTATTTATATATTAAAAGTTAAAAAAAAATTAAATATAAAAAAAAGTAAAAAGGTAAAGAAAAACTTACAACTTGGATGAGCAATAAAGTAAAGATTAAAAATCTTGGAAGTTTGAAAGATGGAGCCTTCTCAGTTGGTTTCACTGTTTGTACGACAGTGGTTGTTGTTGTGGTAGTAGAACCATCACCAACAATCATTGGTGTGGTTTCTTCAGAAGAGATAATATTCTCTTCTAAAATGGCATAATCAGATGCACCCATTGTTTAATTAATTGTATATGTTGAATTTAGTGTTTAATTGTAAAAAAATAAAATTGCAATCAGTCTTGATAAGCTTGATCAAAAATTTTGTTCCCAGAAATATGAAAAAAAAAAATAAATTAAATTAAATTTTTGTTTGTTTTTTTTTGGTCAAGCTCTCTAAAACCAAAGAATAGCAAGGTTGCAAAACAAAGATTTAATTTGATTTTTTTTTTTTTTGTATCAAAAAAAAATATTTCTTTTTAACAATTCGAATTTAGAAGAAGTTCAGAAATAATCTTTAACCAAAAAATAAATAATTGAACTTTCAAAATTAATTTAAAAATAAGCTTTATATTCCTTTAAAATCATTTCATAAGATTTAGTTTGTTTAAAAATAGAATTTGTAAAACATATAAATATCTATTTGTTGTTCTCATATGTCGAATGGTCGCGAACTCTTTAAACCCGAAATTAATGACGCCAAGATATTAAATTGTTTAATTGCTTAAGTAATAAATTTATCTTACAAATTTGGTCCAATATTTATATCTTTGTATTGAAGGTATCAAAAAATTTGCCCATTTTTTATTTTATTTTGGTCCAAAAAAAAAAATATCTTTATATCCTTTAATAATTGAAGAGATTTACTATAAAATTTTATTTTATTATCAATTATTACGAATCAACATCGTAAAAAAAACAAAGTTTTACAACATAATACTATCTCCACAATTGTGGTACCAAAATCAATGGGAATGAATCTATCAATGGTATTTAACCGTCGTTCACAGTGTTGATTGTACTCATTTCAAATTTACACACTTTTCGAAAGATAAAAGATGATGGCTATATTATATAAATATCAAATATTATTTGTATCTCTTTTATTATTGGCTGTTGTAGGTACTACCAATTCAATAAAGATCAATATTGATAACAATATTAAATTGGATACTGTAAATGGATATCAAGTCGGTGTTGGTATCTATGATGTTACTGGTCCCGCTGCTGAAAGTAATTATCTATTCTTTTTTTTTCGACTACGAACGTAAAAAAGACAATAAACTAATTAATTTATTGTTACCGCAATATAAATTCAAGCTGGTATGATGGGTTACGCTGTACCACAACAAGTAACAGAGGGATTACATTTCCGTTTGAGAGCAAGAGCCTTTGCTTTTATGGACTCTAATGGTAGTCGTGCTGTTTACGTCAGCGTCGATGCATGTATGATATTCCAAGCTGTAAAACTTCAAGTAGTTCAAATGTTGACCGATCACTTTGGACCAATGATTTACAATGAAGATAATGTACTTTTATCTGGTATTCATACTCATAGGTAAATATCTATTAATAACCAACACTTTCTGATTCCGATATTAATAGAGTTTTTTTCAAATAGTGGACCAGCAGGATATTCGAAATATGCACTTTATGGTATTACAGCACTTGGTTTCTACCAAGAGAACTTTGACGTAATTTGTAATGGAATTTTCCAAGCTATTTTGATGGCTCATAATGATCTCCAGCCAGGATCAATCTCTGTCACTCAATCAACTTTGTATAATTCAAATATTAAGTAAGTATTAAACTTTTTTATTTAATATTAAAACTAGTTTAGTTAATTATCAATTTAAAATGATTAAAGTCGTTCACCAAATGCATACTTAAATAACCCTCTCGAAGAAAGACTTAAATATCAAGATGATGTCGATAAAAATATTACTGTTCTAAAGATTGAAGATGCAGCTGGTTCTCCAATAGGTGCAATCACATTCGTAAGTTCAAAAACATTTTCCAGATCTGTTATTCCGAATTACAGTTATAACTAAACCTTTGTATTTCTTATTTTCTTTTTATTAAATTTAAATAGTTTGCAGTACATTGTGTTAGTATGAACAATACTAATCATTTAATCAGTGGTGATAATAAAGGTTATGCTTCATATATGTTTGAAAAGTATATGAATGGTAATAATACTTTGCCTGGCTTTGGTGGCTTTGTTGCTGCCTTTGGACAATCGAATGAAGGAGACGTGAGTCCAAACGTGAATGGTCCATTGTGCCGTGATGGTTCTCCTTGTGCTCCAGACTCAACATGTAACGGAAAGAACGAGGGTTGTTACGCCGAAGGTCCAGGCAAAGATATGTTCGATAGTACAAAGATTATTGGTTCCAATCAATTCGAAAAAGCATTGGAAATGTTCCAATCCACCAATCAAATGCCAATCAGTATGGCGGGTATCAACTATCGTCATTCATGGTTGCCAATTACCAACATCACAGTGTATCCACCGTTTACACCAACCGCTACACCAGCCACCACATGTAGAGCTGCCATGGGATATTCTTTTGCCGCAGGTACCACCGATGGTCCAGGAGCATTTGATTTCACACAAAACGATAATTCCTCTACCAATCCATTCTGGAATTTCATCTCCAAATTCATTGCCGATCCAACCGAAGAACAAAAAGAATGTCAATCACCAAAGCCAATTCTATTGGATGTAGGGTAAGTTTTAATGAGAAATATTATAAATTTCACAACATATCAATAGTTTAACTGCTAATTTACTAATGTTAACTTTTCTTTTCAAATCAATTAGACAAACAAAACCAATTCCATGGCAACCAGATATTGTACCAATTCAAATCATTACTATTGGTAATATTGTTTTATGTGCAGTTCCAGGAGAATTTACAACTATGTCAGGTAGAAGATTACGTGAACAAATTGCTGGAATTATTGGAAATTCTCTTGGTGCCGATCCAATTGTTTTGGTTGCCGGTCTATCTAACACATACAGGTAATATTCATTTAAATATTTTTATTATACATATCTTTCACAATAACTAACTTAACTATCATTTGTTTTCAAAAAAAAAAACAGTGGTTATATTGCAACCTATGAGGAGTATCAAGTTCAAAGATTCGAAGCTGCAGCTACAGCTTACGGACCACACACACTTGGCGCTTACCAACAAGAGTTTGGAAAGTTGGCACAATCGATCGTCGACAAGACACTAGTGCCACCAGGACCACCTCCAAGAAATATGACTGGACATACCTTCTTCTTCCTCCCGCCAGTCATCTATGACGATGCTCCAGGTGGACGTTTCGGTGCTGTCTATCAAGACGTCGAGTCAACCTACCAAATCGGTCAGAATGCACCCGTCCAAGTGGTATTCTACGGTGCCAATCTCAGAAATAACTTTATGACTCAGAGCAGCTTCTTGACCGTCGACTATGAAGAGCAACCTGGCAAGTGGACAACAGTACTGAACGATGGTGATTGGGATACTCGTTTATACTGGAAGATGCATGATCTCTCACAAAGCTTAATCACAATCGAATGGTTCATCGGAGAGACATTCCCAGTTCAACCTGGAACCTACAGAATCACACACTCTGGTTTTGCAAAACCAAGTGCACTTTCCGACAAGAGAATTCCATACTATGGAGAATCAAGTACTTTTCAAGTAGTAGCATAAAGATAAATCTATTACTATCTTTTTTACTTCAACCTTTTTCTTTTTTTTCAACCGTCAAAGTCTATCGTCATCACATATCTTTGTGATTTTTCGTGATTTCTTTAAATATATTTAGATTTTTTTGCATTGTGAATCCGTTTAGATTTTATTGTCACATGTGAAATCTATGATGGTATTGGTGTTTATATTAAAAAAAGGATGAAAAAAACTTTTAAATACTATGATGTTCGATTTACAAGAATATCATGTTATTTATCATCACCAAGTTTTCAGTTCTACATCAGAAACAAATAGTTCTTTAGAACCATCCAAACAGGTGGGAATATAAAAATCTTTAAATAATCCTTTTTTTCCAATACCAGAGTTTTTGATCTTACAATAATCCAAATTGAAAAAAAAATCAACCAAAAAAAAAAAACAAAAAAAAAAAAATTTTTTAAAAAGGAAATTTTTAATTTTAAATTTAATTTAATTTAATTTTTTTGCATGTACAAATAAATAGTAGTAATTTTCAATCATTTTTGCATAACAAAATAATAATTTTTAATCAAATAAATAATATAATATAATATAATATATATAGTTTAAATATTTGTATTTCAAGATGAATTCAACAAATACAATGAAATTCCCAAGTAAAGAAGATATTATAGCAAGAGTAGATGCACTGCAAACGGAATCAATTGAGAAGCTAAAACAATTGGTATCGTTCGATTCGTTGTTGGGAAATGAGAATGAAGCACAGATCTATATGCACGAGATATTCAACCAGATGGGTCTCAAAGTAGATAGATTCCAGGTGGATCTCGAGAAAATCAAACATCTTCCAGGTTTCTCACCGGTCAACTGGTCGTACGACGGCAAGGAGAATGTCGTTGGTATTCATGAGCCTGATCCCGTACCCATTGAAATGAAATCGAAGGGTGCCACCGGTAAATCGTTGATTCTCAATGGACATATCGATGTGGTGCCAACCGGACGTGACGCTCTCTGGTCGAAACATCCGTTCTCACCGTACGTCAAGGACGGTCGTCTTTACGGTCGTGGCTCCGGTGATATGAAAGCCGGTATAATGTCATTCGTGATGGCACTGAGAGCACTCAAGGAACTCGGATTCGTACCGGCATCGAAAGTGATCCTACAGACCGTGGTCGAAGAGGAATGCACCGGAAACGGTACACTCGCCTGTTTGGAGCGTGGTTACAAAGCCGATGGATGTATCATTCCCGAGCCATTCCCATGGATTGTCACCGGTCAGATCGGTGTAGTATGGTGCAAAGTCAACGTCCGTGGAAAACCAGCTCACACCCTTGAAATGCAAGCCGGTATCAACGCAATTGACGCCGCCATGTTTATCGTACAAGAATTAAGAGAATTAGAAAAAGTGTATAGTATTACTAATCTATAACAATTAACTAACTAATCAATTAATTAATTATTATTATTATTATTTCTAACAATATATGTATTACATCTCAATTTTAATTAATGTTATGTTTGTAGGTGGAATGAGAAATCAAAATGTCATGATCTTTTTAAGAAATTCCCACATCCTCTTAGTTTCAATCTTGGTCAGATTCAAGGTGGTGAATGGACTAGTTCAGTGCCATGTGAATGTAGCTTTGAATTGAGAGCAGGATTCTTCCCAGGTCAATCTTGTGAGAGTATACGTAAGGAGTTGACAGAGGTCATTGAAAAGGCTGCTAAATCAAAGAATATACCATTCCAAATCGAATGGAATGGATTCCAAGCTGAAGGTTCAGTAATGGATCCAAGCAGTGATTTATTACAACAATTAGCCGAAACACATAAGAATGTATTAAATGTATGTATAATTAGTTAGAATTATATTTATAATATTACTAATAATAATAATTAATAACTAATTATTATTTTTTTTATTTTCCATTATTTACAATAACAACAGAGAGAAGTAGCATATGATCCAATTCTATGTACTACCGATTGTCGTTTCTTTGATCTCTACTATGGTATTCCATCTACTTGTTTTGGTCCAGAAGCAAATGCTATTCATGGGTATGTTTTGTTATGCTATTTGTTGATTTGTGTAAGAATCTATTATTAATGTTATTATATTATTTGTTTGTTTGTTTGTTTGTTTGTTGCAGTATTGATGAAAGTGTAAGTCTTGAAAGCTATAGAGATGTTACAAGAGTTCTTGCATGTTTCATTGCTGAGTGGTGTGGATTGCAACCTGCTTCCATCTAAGTATGTGGTTGGTTATGTAATGTTGTTGATGATGATGAATCTCCATGATCTTCACATTTATGCGTCTTTAGGAATTAGTTCACCAGTCTCGTTGACGGTCAAGTTATCCAATGTACCAATGGTAGCTAGCATCTTTAAAACGAATTGATTAAACTCTGGAATGGTATCTCTGTATTTATTTAATAAAAGTATTTTCTGTGATTCATCGTCGACACTATCAATCTCCAAGATCAAACTCTTCAATTCTTTATGATCGATTGCATCTTGTATATATTTAGATTCGTCCAACAAATTGAATTGTTCTTCAGATACTTTTTTATAAAATGATACTGATGTTGTTGTCGTTGTTTCTACTTTGTTTAAACTATTATCGTTACTATTTGATTTCAAGATATTATTGTTGTTGTTGTTGTTGTTGTTATTGCTATGATTATCAGTATCTATTTTATGTTTATTGTAACAATTCAAAGAACAATATCTAATTGCTTTACATTGAGTACAACCGTATTTACTCTCTGATTGATTGCAAATCGAACACAATGACAATGATGATGACATGTTTGTGATATTATAAATGATATTATCCTACTGCAATAAGTTCTTAATTAATTTCTCTACACAAATCAGATATTTACGAGAGTTGTTGATTTATTTTATTGGGTATTTCTGAAAACAACTAAATAAGTATAATGATGATTTCTGTTTCGGAATTATGAAAATTGCAGCCGGATCTCTTATTTTTTTTGTTTTTCCATACCCCACCTGAGCAACTGACAACTACTGGTAAAAAAACAAAAACTAGTAAATGAAATTTGAGTGTGCACAAAAATCAATAAAATAAAATAAAATTTTATACACAATTATATAATATCATATATAATTTTAATTTACCAATTAATTCAACTTCACAAGTTTATAAACTAATCGAAACCATTCAATTGATAATATTATTAAATATTATTGTTTGTTTGTGCAAAGTTTAGTTTTTGTAATAACATTTAATTAAAAATTCAATCATTTAATCAATCTAAATTAAACAAAGTAGTACCCAAAAACAACAACACCACCACCACACTACTATCGTTCATCAAATTATCATTGGTAATTGTTTTCTCATTGATAGTTTATTACTTTTATACTACTACTACTTCAACTACTTCCACTACTACTTTATCAACCAATATTTTTATATTATATCTTGTAAACAAATACAATCAATTATCATTACCATTTGTAGTAAAAGATAGAATGAAAGATTTAATCGAAGCTACCAATACATATCTCGAGAGTTATCAACCATTGACCTTGGTTGCTGCAACCGCTGGTATTACCGCTGCATCCGTTGCATTAATCAAAACATTAAGTGATGGTGGTAAGTAATTTACAAATCAAATCAAATCAAATACATCTATCTACTTTTAGATTAGATTAGATTAGATTACTTTCATTAATTCATTCCATTCTTTGTTTATACTAAAATTTCTGAATTTTTTATATTTAGATTTCCAAAAGAATATACAGAAAAAGTTCTTCTCAGCAGTAAAGAATGTACCAGCTGTTAAACAAGAGATCAAAAAGCAAAGAAGTAAGGTAAAGGAAACATTGAAAAAGTCATTCAATACCGATACCACCAATCCACATTACGTATTGCCAGAGAATGGTGTCGCTCACAGCCAGATCTTGGCAGAGATGCAAAAGTTGATGGAGAAGGACGAGACCAAGTGGGGTACCTCAAAGGTCAGTGGTTGTGTATATCTAGGTGAGACCGAGCATACGGAGCTCCTCAACAAGGCATACGCTTTGTTCTCGCTCTCCAACCCATTGCATCCAGGTGTCTTCCCAAGCATCAGAAAATTCGAAACCGAAAGCATTGCAATGGTCGCCAACATGATGAACGGACATCCAAAGGTTGTCGGTGCAATGACCTCCGGTGGTACCGAGAGTATCTTCATGGCTGTCAAAGCCTATCGTGATTTCTACGCCGACAAAACTTCACATCCTGAAATGTAAGTTAGTTAATCATTCATTTCCAATCAATTCAAAATGATGTACTAATTAACAATCTGATGAACTGAACAGTGTTGTTCCAGTCACTATTCACGCAGCATTTGACAAGGCATGTGGATATTTGGGTATTAAGATCGTTCATATTCCATTCGGTGACGACTATAAAGTTGATATTGCAGCTTTGAGAAAGGCAATCAATAAGAATACTATTATGATTGCCGGTTCAGCAGTGAATTTCCCACATGGTATTATCGATGACATCGAGACACTCTCAAAGATCGCACTTGAGCACGACATTGGATTGCACGTCGATGCCTGTCTCGGTGGTTTCGTCATTCCATTCGCCGAGGAACTCGGTTACGATATTCCGGTTTTCGATTTCAGATTGCAAGGTGTCACCTCGATGTCGGTAGACACTCACAAGTTTGGATATGCTGCCAAGGGTACCTCTGTCGTACTATTCGGCAAGCCAAAGTTGAGAAGATCGATGTATTTCACCGCACCAAACTGGCCAGGTGGTATCTACGCTTCGCCAACCATGCCAGGAAGCAGACCAGGTGGTTTAGTTGCCGCTTGTTGGGCTTCGTTGGTTGCTCAAGGTCACCAAGGTTTCAAATCCAAAGTCGAATCAATCATGCAAACCACCAAGATCATTCTTAAAGGGTAATGTAATAACATTGACAGTGATAAACAGTAATATGTTATCAATCTGCTGAATCTATTCTAATCCAACGTTCGTACACACAAATCAAATAGACTTAAAGAGATTGAAGGTATTCAAATTATTGGTGATCCAAAGGCAATGGTTGTCGCTTTCACCTGTGAGAATATATTCTTTTTGAATGATTTGATGTCACATAAAGGATGGCATTTGAATGCGTTGCAAAAGCCAGACAGTGTTCATATCTGTGTCACTGCCAAGCACATTGGAATGGGAGAGACCTTTGTACAGGATGTTCGTGATTCAATGAAGGAGTTGAAATCGATGGATAAACTCCCGACCGACGGTATGGCACCGATCTATGGTACCGCCTCGAGTGTACCCGACCGTGATCTCATCGGTGTTATCCTCTCTGACTTTATCGATACTCTCATCACACCAGACCAACAACAAAACAAATCATCTGCCTCACCCTCTGAAAAACAACAATAAGTAAATAAAGTTGAACCAAAAAGTAAAATAAACAATTGTATTCGAATGATCAAAATATTATTATAAGTTAAAAAATTTTATTCAAAAAAAAGAATTTTGTCAGAGATTTATAAATCTTGTTTGGCACCACCACACATTATTCTTGAAAATGTAAAACAAAACAAAAAAAAAACAAAAATATTTCTTTTTAAAAGTTTGTTAATAAACAACAATTTTTAAATTGTATCACAATATATATATATAAAGTAATAATTGAAGTTATTTTTTTCAACTTACTTTTATAATTTTGCAAAGTATTACAAAAAAAATACAATTTTTTTTTTTTTTGTATCAAAAATTCTTTTTTAATTAAAAAAAATCTCAAAATTTTGAATAATTACTATTTTTGTATTTTTTTTTTAAAAAAATCAACTTGAAATTTTGATTTTTGGAGTTGCAAAATAAAACACAACTTTTTTACTTTAGATCAATATTCTATTAGTTTTTTTTTTTATTCTCATAGTCATTTTGTACAAATAAATAGTTTAAATATTATCAGTTTTCAAGATATATATATTTTCATAATCAATTTAGAAAAAACAAAAAAAAAAACAACATTTGTTAAAAAGTCAATCAATTGATTAAACTTGATCATTGAATAAAATGAGTCATAAAAATGTAAGATTCTATTCTAATAAACACAATAAAAACAACATTTATTAATTTTCTTGTTTCATATGATTTATTGCTTGCTACTTCAATATCAGAAAAATGCTGGTCCCATCATCAGCAATGTGAGTTTGGAATTCATCAGAACAGAGAATAGACCAAACCTCAAGTTGGATTCCGTGCAATTGGAAATCAATTTCAATTTCAAAACATTCACTTTTGAGACTACACCCAATGTTCTATTCCACTTTGATTCTATTGGTTATTTAAAGTAAGTACAATGAAATTCAATTGGTGGTGGTGTGGTGATGGTTGTTGTTGAACAATCAACTTATTTTGATTATCAATCAATTGCTAACTCTTCTCCCCTACCTACATCTTTTGTTCTTCTTCTTCTTCTTCCTTCTTTTTGAATAGTTTTTCAGATATTCATAAAAGAATCATCGTTGTACTGAGAGCAACACCAACTCTGTCTCCTACGATGTCGGAAGTTCAAGGACCGGCCATCGAAGACTTTACAGAGTTTGCAAGCTTCAAGAAATACTTGATTTACTTGCAAACCGATAAAGAGTATGTCAACATTAAGAAGCTTCTTATCAAAGAGAATATCTCTGTGAAAGATACTGTTGGAATCTATGATGATTATTTGTTTGATAAAGTACTGCAAGCTGATTTTCTTAGTGTGAATACTGCATATCTTCCAAAAGCATCAACAACAACAACACCATTAGCAACATTAACTAATAATAACTATATTCATAATGATAACAACAATAATCAAAATAACAACAACAACAATTACAATAACAATTACAATAACAATGTCACTAACAATGGTAATCAATATAATGCTTATTTAAATCAGCCAGCTTCCGCTACGAAATCACATGGTGAGAAGAAAGGATTCTTTGGAAATTTTTTCTCTGGTAGTACGGATGCACCAGACAGCTTGGCAAGAATAATTGTAGATTTCCTCGGTGAGAAGAGAGACAAAAAGCGAACACTTGCTACCTATACTGGCAGACTTTTGAATGTAGATAGACTCAACGTTGACCCCAGTGATTTGCAATCGTTCGGCGGTGATCACTATCTCAGTCAATTGTCAAGCGGAGGTGTCTACCCATTGTTTTCTTTTTATCTTTTGATTTGTTTAGATCTGTATGTACAACAACAATAACTAACAAGATTTGTAATTTTAATATTAATTTATATTGTTTTGATTTCAAACAGTAATATGCATATTCAAAATAGAATCTACTATTTCAACACTATCATTTCGAACATTCAAGGTGAACTCCAATTGGAGGGTTTTGGAGACCTCTATCGTCAGTTTGTTGAAACCAATCTGGCAAAGCCGGAATGCCCCGAATTCTTTATCAACTTGGGATTCCGTTACTTGGATTTCACAACTTTCAGTCAGAACCAGAGTTCCGCCAAACACATATTTCACATGGTATTAGACAAAGTCGAGCGAAATCCATCGGAACTCAAACATTACTACAAAATCACCAAAGAAAAGAAAAACTTTTTGAACTTGTATATATCTTGTCGTCAATTATTAACCAAGGTAAATATTCTATACAACACTTCAATCTAATCTAGATTATGAATCATTCAGTTGACTAACTTTTTCATTTCCTAATCAATCTATCAATTATTTAGAAAATCGATGATCCAATTAAGTTTGAATCATATATGTCAAATTTCCTTATTATATTGGATAGTTGTACCGTGTATTCAGAAACCTACAGTTTCATTTGGGACTATTTAATAAGAGATGGTATGGACATAACCAATCGATCGGATCTGTTGATCCAACTGCTAATTACTAATTATTATTGTTATTATCTTTATTAGTTGATGATTTACCAAATGAATTGTTAATCTATCGATACAGAATCCTAAAGGTGTTGCTAAATTTCGAGACTTCATCAAGAGAGAAACTTGGTAGACTGTTATTCAGAGTGATGGCTCGACAAGCCGAGTATTTCTCCAATGATTTCGAATCGTTGGATCCAATCATAAGATCGAGAATTCAAAATAGTCTACAAATGGTCATTACTGAAATGGTTCGTGACAATATCAATTCAATATTGCATCTACTCGATTATCCTGGCATTGCTGGTCTCATCCAAAAAGGTTTAACTCAGCTAGATTACAAACTGGTACTTCCCCACATCATAAGAATATTCAGTGGAAACAACTCGAGCTACGAAATCCTCCAGCGTAAATTAGAGGTATATATCACTTCAGTTGATCTGGCAAGAGTGATGCTCTATTGTCCTGCCTATAGATTTAAATACACTCATGATGTAAGTTTAAAACCTACTATATAATTGCATTGATTATATTTTTGATATTAGAAGACTAATCTTAATCTCAATGCTCATTGTAGCCTAAAGCCAACTACAAAAATTTGATAGGAATATCGGATGCAGAGTTTAGTTTTAGAAAAGATAAAACCAATGTTGTTCTTGATACTACAACCTACGAACAATACTATCGTTTTTGTAAACAGTTCATTTCCAAGTTGATAAAGGTGTCACCACTCTCATACCTAGATCAAATTAATGTACCACCACCAAACACCCTTCCCTTTATTCTATACTTTACTCACTGTCTTGCCAATATTCAAATCGAATACAACAGGAATCAATATGGATGGGCCGCAGATTTCCGAACCGGTAAACTATGTCAATTGGCGATCTTTACATCCAATCAGATCAGACCATGGCAGTTTGAACACGATAATTATGATGCTCATATTGCAGCTGTATGTATCTTCTTATTTTTTTTATCAGTGATTTATAAACCATTTTATTAATGGATGATTCAATATTTATTATCTTTACAGTTTAGAGAAATCATAAATTTCAAATATGATTTCTATGTAAACAATTGGAAAAAGGCAAAAGTCGATGATTTCAATACGATCACCGCTATTTTGATAAAGTATTTCAACTTTGGTCAAGTCCAAACTGCCAATGACCTCACACTGAAATTCCAAAAGGAGACTGCAGAGTTGGAAGCGTTGATCAAAGTCGGTCATTTCCTAGTCGATCGATTCGGTTATCGCTTACCGATGTTGCAAGTCGATCACAGTGAACGCAAGCCATCGGATCTAATAAGTGAGATTCGAACATCGATCATCAACTCTGGCGCAAAAGAAACACTCAAGGAGGAGACATCATTTAAATTCCTCAAGTACTTCCTCTCTGCCGACAACAAATCATTCTTTGAGATCATTTTCAACTTCTATGTCTCTGCCAAAGAGAAGAGCATCGACGCCTATGTCAACTCCACCAACAATTTCATGAAGAAATTGATTGACCAAGATCAATCCATTCCACTCAACAGTATTTTCCAACATATCATTGATTCTAAAGATATCAATTATAAGAAAGAACTTCAATTAATGTAAGGTTTTCAAAGATCTATTTATAAGCAATTATTAATAGCCGAAAGGTAAAACTAACCAACTAATTAATTATCATCATCTTAGGTATAAATATTACTATCCAGAGCAAAAGTATGATGATAAAGAGGAATTGTTACAAACCTTTATTAATCGTGCAACTTCACTCTATGGTATTCAATTGAATATCATAAATCTATATGAATTCTTCTCAAAGAATGGAAATTATATAGTTGTGAACGATCTCGATGAAATAAGAATGGAAATTGATACCACTTTCAATTCCATTACCGGTCTAACAATCGGACAATCACAAAACTCTCTTGAAAAAGCAACCAAATTGATTGGTAATCTTAATTATCATCAACTCAAGTATTTCGATCTGATCCATTTCGATCTAATCGAATTCTTTGGTTCCATTCAAGACATTGCAAAGTTCAATGAAGTCATCACTGCCAATCTCTTGAATGACGAGTTCAATTTGAATTTGATGAACAACACCATCTATGCCTACGATATGTTGCTGCCATTCATTCAGTATCATGCCACTGCAAAGAAAGCTGGAGTACCAGTCGTAGTCAACAGTCTCACAGAGCTGTGCGAAACCATTTCGAAATTGTTACCCGCTTCTCAGTCAGAGTTGGCCATTTCATTTGAGAGAATCGCTTCGGTTATTTCTCAACTTTCCCACGTCAAAGGTCTCTATTTGACAGCTGGTGGTACCTATTCATCGGAATCAATTCTACCGGCAGTCGTTCAGATCTTGAAAGGAGCGGAATTCATCTCGAGAAACACCAAGTCTGAGGATGGAATGGTTGGATGGATCTTGAAAGTTCAATCGACCGAAGTAAACATTGAATTCACTCGTGAAAAGATAGAGGATTTCGTCCAAGGTCTAAAGATATCGACAAACGATCAAAACAACAAACACGCACACACCATCGAGCAGTTTGAAGATATCGTTAAATTGTTGACAAATATCCACCATTTGCACTGTGAGTTGGATCGTACTTTCCACACCAAGCACTTTGGTGGTGTCTTGGATGTAAAGTTCTCGTCGGAGACCAAGTACTTGTTGAACAACAAGGTTGATGAGCTAAAGTTGGATCTAGAGTCGTGGACAGACACCATCAAAAAGCTACCAAAGAGATTTTGGTTGCTTAGAGCTCATGGTATATCTTCTTTGATCTCCACCTATGAGGAAGTTTTGAAATCCAATCAGCAGCCAATCACTGTTGCTACGATGTCAAATGCAATCTACCCTTACATCAAGTATTGCTATCCGGTCTGTGACTTGAGTCTTGCAGTTATCACTCAAATCCTAACTGCATGTCCAGAGCTATTGACCAAGATGGATTGTACAGAGTTTTTAGCTAGTTTGGTTGACAAGATTGACGAACACGATTCAATCATCGAAGATAACAGTCGTGAAAGAGGACCGGTACTCGTCCACTTGGATTCCAAAGTCAATCTTTATAATGTCCTGATGCAGTTGAATCACAAAACTGTATTGCCACATCCATCTCAGGTGTTCTATGCATACTCGTTTGGCAAGGATTATCAATACATCTTTGATTTGGTCGAGGAGATGCAAGGATACACCTACTACTTGATTGGTATTCCCGATGAGAAGGACAAGTTGATCAACTGGCTATCCGATCACTACAGCAATGGCAACAAAGATTTGGCTAGATTCTATATCATTTCAACCAAGAGTTCTACTATGGCAACCGATTTATTCTCTTTCCTACCGATTCACAACGATCCATTCGATACCAACTGGACCAACTTCAAGGCACTCTGGGAGAAACGTAAAGCCACCAGTGGCATCGAATCGCTTGATCTTGTAAAAGGAAACAGTGGTACTGGTAAATCATTCTTTATCAAATCGAAATGGGACAATACCAACAACCCGATCACCGTTCACATGAGACCAAGCTCCGATATCAAATCTCTAATTGACCATCTCAAGAAACACAACACACCTTCCAACACCAAAAAGAAGGTGTTGATTCATTTCTCTATTTCACCGTACTGTGACTTTGACAATTTCAATCATTTCTTCTATCCTCTCATTACCTCTGGATATGTATTCGGTCATCGTGTCGGTGAGATTCTCAATGTATCTGACTACCTCCAACTTCAGATCTATGTTGAAATTGGATCGCCCAAGAAGAGTGATACCAATGTTCTGCCATACAATGAGTATCTCAATAACTCAATTCCAATCGTTGTCAACCTGGCCAAACACTTGGATCACACCAACAACCTATGGAGAACGACAGCCACCGAACTCAAATGTTTCTCATACACCAAGTTCACCGATATTACCAAGCCACCAACCAATGCGAATGGCGCTGATGTTGTGATGAATCAATATCTTCCAAACATTGTCAAAATGTTAAGAGACAAATTCAATTACGATTCACAATATCTGTTGAATCCTAGCTTGTTGATTCAGAGAAATACTTTCCTCAAGTTGTTGGAGGAAAGACTACAGTTCCTCGACAATTACTGTATTAACTATATGAACACCGAAGCTGATTATATCCAAATGAAAGCACTTGGTATAAATCCCAAGAATCCAATGAAGCTACTTTCTCCATTTGAATTGCTGCCACATTTCATTTTGGAATCTGCAAAGTTAGCGGATCCAGTTCTCTCTTCGGTTCACAACTTTTGGAAGAATCCTCCAATGATCACAGTCAGACAAGCCAGTTTGATGACAGCTGACAATGAAACCAAAGTCAATGCAATCATTGATTATCTGGATTTCACAGAGAATCCTCAATTGATCAATATTGTCGATACAGTCTACACAAAGACTGGTGAAGAGTCCCATTTCAGATCTATGATTGGTGCAGCTTTTGATATTATCTCACGTACCGATATCATTGTCAATCTCTGCCATATGTACAACTATGTTTTGACTCCAGATTTTGGTCTGAGACTTCTCATGTTGCACAACAAGGTAAAGAATCAACGATCTTTGGTACTCTCTGGTGACACTGGTGTTGGAAAAACATTTATTCTCTTGTTCTACTCACTTCTCATCAACGCCAAGAACAATTCACTGCCAGATATCTTTTTGGATTTGATTAATTGTATCAATCTTATTATCAAAGACAACGAGCCATTCAAACTCCAAGGATTCAAACATGTCTACATAAAGGATAATCAAGTTCATACAGATGAAGCCAAGATTCTACCCGGTAACATCAGTAAAGAGGATATCATCAATTGTTTGAAGCAATTGTGTGACTATGAACCACCTGCTGAGCCGGAACCCCAGCCAACTACACCGGCCAAGAAACCGGCGGCTGCAGCAGTGCCAGGGGAACCAAAGCCCAATCTTTGTAAGACCAACAAAGAGATGCAGGATCTTGTGTTCAACAAGATGCAGGCTTTCATCACCAATATGCTCAAGTCCTATCCACTGATCAATGTCGTTCCAGACAGTCTGTTGGACAGAATCAACAAGGGTGAGAAGGTAATCCAAGGAAAAGCATCATTGTTTGAATCGATCTTGGAGATTTGTACAGCCACTTTCAAGAATCTCTTCCACCGTATCATTATGCACCAAAAGTACACCTCCAAGCAATTGAAACAGGATGTACTAAACTTTGCCAGCAAGGCAGAAGGACTCAGAAAGATCGATAAGAATCTAAAGATGGTTGTCTTTATCGATGAGTTCAATACTAGTCCAACCGATACACTCTCGCTCATCAATGAAATCTTTATCGATGGAACGGTCGACGGTGAGAATATCATTCCCGACAACATCTTCTGGGTCGGTGCAATGAATCCAGTCAAGATCTCGGCGAATGCAGTCGATAACACTGGTACTTCGCAGAGTAATCATGCATTCGTTGTCAAACACCCGCCACCCTCAATGGAGCAACTCTTTTTGAACTACGGTGAATTCACGCTCGAGAATGAAATCCCATTCCTCGAAACACTCTTCCAACTGCGTAACAATATCTGTCTGGACAACGATGCGTCGGAACTGATGGACTTTATCATTGCCGGTCAAAAGACAATGAGAGAACTCGAGCAGAGTAGAATCCACGTATCGATTCGTGATATCACCAGAGCCATCGATATGTATCAATTCTTTAACAATTCCGAAGTTGGAATCAGTATGTTGTCATGTACTTTCGCCAACTTGAAGCAGAACCCATTGATCTTGCATTGGTTTGCCATCTGTGCATCGATGGGTATGACCTACTACATTAGAACTGAGCCTGGAAAGTTTAGATTCCGTTTGATCGAAAAGTTCAATGCTCACTACAAAAAGAATGCACCCCATGATTTGAAGAGTGATTTCGCTGACTTTGAATCAATATTCAAAGCAATCTATAGTAATTTCTGCCATAGAGATTTCATGATCATCCCAGAGGGTATCGCTCTCACAGAATCACTCAAACTCAACATCTTCTGTATTACGGTATCGATTAACTCGCGTCAACCAATCTGTATAGTCGGTCCTCCAGGTTGTTCAAAGACTCTCAGTTTCAGTATTGTCATGAACAACATGAACTCCAAGAAACACAAGATTACAAACAACCAAAACCAATCCCCATGGGCAGCGATGCCAAGTGCAGATCCATTCCGTTATCAGAGTACTCCACATACCACCGATGTCGAAATCAAGTCAGTGTTTGAAGGTTCGCTCAAGCGTCAGAAGATCTACGACAAATCCGGTGGTAAGAGTCGTTGTGTTGTATTCATTGATGAAGCAGGTTTGGTCAATGAAAACGATTCGCCAATGAAGGTGATGCACGACTATCTCGATAAGGTATCGCAAAAGATGGATAAGAACTCTGTTGATATCTCTGTTATCATCTTGTCCAACAAGGTTTTGGATGCTGCCAAGACCAATCGTATGTTACTCTTGATCCACCCAAGTAACATCACAGAGAAAGACGAGCGAGCATTGGTTGAAGGTGTTCTCTACAACAATAACTATCTCAACGAGAATCAATCAAAGATTTGCACTGCACTCTGTAAGTCCTACAGCAAAGCCAATCGATTTACGGTGTCTACCAAACCAAGTCTTTTCCATCAACGTGATTTCGTGTATTTCCTCAGACATCTGGCACGTGGTATCAAGAGCAACAACGATACTCTCAGTGCCGAGGTACTCTTGAAGTCTATCGAGAGAAACTTTGGTGGTATTCCTGCCAAGGATTTCAAACAGTTGGCAGGATCGTTCTTTGAGGAGTTTGAAGCTCATAAAGAACTAAAGATATCACGTGGTAATCTATTGGATCAGGATAATACTATTCAACGTATTAAGGAGTCGCTTTTGGAGACTTTGGATACCAAGCAAGATCCAAATACAGTTCCATTCCGTTACATGATGATTATTGATCCCACTGAAAATGAATCGTCATTGATGATCCTCAAGGAGCTTGGAATAGATCCAACAGTGATTAGGGTTGGTGGATTCGAACGTGATACCACAACAGAAGCACTCGTCAATGTGGTATCGCAAATCAAATCAAAGATGGCATCGGGTGGAACCGTTGTCCTTGTTAACACTCATCAAATCGATGCTTGTTTCTACGATGTTTTCAATAGATATTTCACTTTGTTGCCAAAACCCGATGGTTCTATGCAGTTCATTGCTAACGTATCGTTTGGAACTCATTCTATTTTCTGTCCAGTGCATCCAGAGTTCAAGATCATCGTTCATCTCCCACTCTCTCAGATGCCACAGACTCAACTTCCATGGTTGAATCGTTTCGAAAAGTATCAACTCTCCATTGAAACAATGTTGGACTACTACATCAAAGAGAATCATCCAAAGAATATGGCTCTGTTCAACTCACTCAAAGCCTCTGCCAAGCATTTTGTCGATGAATTCCACAACAAGATCACCAACAAATCGTTGTTATCTGGATTTTCAGAGTCTGAGACTATCCCATCGTTGATCTATTCGTTTGCAAAGGAAAGTCAAAATGGAATTCTTAAGATCAATCCACACCGTGTTCCAAGTAAAGACCATCCAGTTCCAGAGGAAACCAGTGAGTTCCGTCAATTCAACTGGAAGTTATTACAAATTGCTCGTCCAGAGAGTATCTTTAACTGCAAGTCTCTTCCACAATCGTATATCGAGGAGTACCTACTCAGACAAGAGCATTTCAATATCTTGCGTTTCCTCGATCATATCTTCAAGCAAAAGTTCATTCACAAGGATGAAACCATTTCAAACAAATGGACTTTCTTTACAAGAACCTCTCTTACATTACATCGTTTGAAGGATTCCGAACAGATGGATAAATTCCACAAGACCTTCTTGGAACTTTTAACAAAGGATCCAAATCAAAAGAATATTCTCAAGATTGTTCAACTTGGATCGTTTAAATCCAGTTTTGAATGCGAGACAACTTTGGACAAGTTTATTAAATCTGACGATCTCAAGATTTGCATTGTCATTGCCGATATGTCGCAAGTGAACCAACACCAAATCAATTTCATCATCAACAAATTCAGTGAGCACAACAACTCGAAACTCCTGATCACCATTTGCCATTATCCACCAGAGTTTTCACTGTCCAACCAGACAAAACTCAACTCTATCTTTTTGAATGGAATGGAGTATTTCTATGTTGATTCTCTCGGACTTCAAATTGATTCTCAACACATGGAGAAATCCGACAATTACATTGACTCTGACATTAGAACGTGGATCGCCAAGGCATACGGTTTGAAGAATATCCATATCGATCCAATCTCATTGGAATCTACTTTCGAAAAGATGTTCTTCTCACAACTTGCTGAGGTTTCGCAGACCATGAATAGCTTCACCGGCCCCTATTTAATGTTGTTGCCACCAGACCAAAGAGAATTCTATACGAGAACCGAAAGGAGACAGGCTCTTATCGCTAAGCTCTTTACTGACCACACCACCTGGTATCAAGAGACCGTTAGAAAGTTCTCTCAGAATTGGAATCAACAGAAGCAATTCAATCAGATTCTCTCGAACATCTCCAACTTGGTACTCTCTGGAAAATATGTATATTCATTCATTGATTCCATTAGAAACTCAATGACCTCCTATGTCTATCCAATCGTTGCTCAAATCTTCAAGATCCTAACCAACTATCAATCGTATGGACAAGTAGCCAAGATTCCAAGATCCGATGGCACCGCAATAGAACCACTCGAAGAGATGGTCAGACTCTACATCCAGAGTGTCAAAGTTCCAAAGTTGTCAGAGAGAGTTGAGGTCAGATTTGAACCAGTCACATTGGTCTCACCCGCAGTCAAAAAGAATTCAATGCTTCCACTCTTTGATTCCGTCTCCAATCAAATCAAGATTCTTTTCGACTTTACACTCAACAAGAATCCAAATCGTGGAATCGATCATATCCAACAGAAATTCAGTGAAGTAATTGCTTCGCATCCAATTCATTTGGTGGTGAACTATATCAACCAAAATGACAATTTGTTCTCTGCTTACTTCACGGATTTCATCACTCGTACTATGAATTTGATTGATGAACGTTGGGTTCCTTTCATTGGTTTGGTTATCAGAAGTCTTTCGAAACAACGTCTAGATTCAATCCTTCATTTGACGGTTGCCAATCATTTCTACTCCAACACAATCAACTATATCAAGAATCTAGTCGCTCCTCTGCTCAACCTGGAATGTGACGAAAACATTCTCCAATTGCTAAAGGATCGTGAGAAAGAGATTGTCACTGAAAAGCAGGCAAAGTCAACCGTTTCCTTTATTGCAATTAGTATTCTTGCCAAGCATATCCGTGAGACCGATGTGAATGATGCCGATCTCCAATCGAGAACTACCAATTGGTGCACTGTTGTACGTGAAATTCTCAATAGAATTCCGATTGAAAAGATCGTCCAGATTCGTTCCAACAAGGTAGAATACTATTCATCGGTTTGCTATATCTATTTGATGTTCAATATTGCCATTGACATTGCAATGAAACCAGATGATACGGTAGAACCACTGTTGAAGCAACTCTACACTGTCTGTGGCAAAGTAAAATATGATGCCGCTGACTGTTTCGATGTGATAGCCAGACAATTCCATCTCCTCAGTGAATCACTCACCAACCAGAAACTTCCGTTGATTAATACCTCGTGCTTCCTCGATATCATTGAACCATTCGTTCATTTCAATATCGCCAATTTGGGTAAATTCATATTGATATGCAATCATGATCCCAAGTTTGACTACCCCTTCATCAAGAATCTTCCAATTGGTTGGTTCACATTCTTTATCTCCAACAAATTTGCCATCTATAACAAGGATTATATTAAATTCACCTCTGACTATCTCAAGGAACTCAAGATAACCACAGTAAGTAATCCTATTCTAAGTGGAGCTCTCTCGTCTGCTGCCTCTCCAACCGACAATATACTTTCGTTTATCGGTGTCACCAGAGATCAATTCAATACACAATTCAAAAAGAATTGTAACTTGATTACTATCATGTACTATGTATTCTTGGATCTACTGAAACAAGAGCAGCACCCAACCAACGATCTCATTGTCCAATACAATAAGTTACTGGTAGTTGGTGATATAGTCCCAAAGATTAAGCAGTGGGCATATATCACATGTCTGTTGGATAAGTTGATTACCATGCTCAATACTTCCGACAATATTCACGATGACCTTGTCAATACACACAAGACTCTCAAGGATGTCATTTTCTCACTGCTCAAAGTTAATGATGCCGACACTATCGAAGTAAAGACCAACAAGAGAATGAGTCAGATCTATATTCTTTTCAATATCAAATCATACCAAAAGCTTTCGGATATCATGAAATCGCAAGAAATTCTATCGGCAATTGGAATGGATGATAATTGTCACATTAAACAAGAGCTCACTGTGAAAGAATCAACCATTTTTTCATTCGTTATAGATGCCTCTACCAAGGATGGCGCCACCTACAAAGAGCTCAAGACTGCACTGGATGACTCTTCCAATGACTTGCTCAATGCTTTGTTGGCCAAAGATACAACTCCAAGACAATCTGGATTCATTAGGATGTCTTTGATTCTTATTGCCTACCAATACTATATCGAAGCTAAACCAATGAACTTCATTAGAGACATCTCTCGCGCAGGAACTGCATTGTCTAGACAAATTGGATTGGATCCATATCGTCCATATCTAGACAAGATCATTCTGGGTGCTTTCGATCCTAAAACTAGATTTGGTGAAACACTTATGAGAGATGCAAACAAGACACATGAATCACATTCAAAGGCTCAACTTCTTATCAATCTTTTGGCTATTTCCGTTGGATCTTCCAATAACAATTACTTGTATCATCTAACCAATGACTACAAGCAGGTGATCGGTAGATATTTCCCAGCATCCGACAATTACACTCTCATTGACTGTGGATTGAGATACTTTGACAATGGTGATTTCAAAATGGTGACTTCATGTATGGAAGGCGACATTGTCAACAAATATATGATTACAACTACCTCATGGGGTGCTGTAGCATGGACCACCAGTATAACTGATCAAACCGGTCTCGTTTACTTCACAGACCCACATATCCACTTTGCAAACTATGTAAATCCAAAAACAATCAGTGCTCTTACAGACTATGTGTCAGATCGTTCATTGACCACATTCAATGAGTTTAGCAACGCTGATCATGGAACACTCAAGGTGGAACCTGGACATTTCGTTTCAGAGTTTATCTATGCACTCTGGGATGAAGGTTACTCCAATCCACAGCCAGCAATGAGAGGCAAATTCGATACCAAGGATCAAGTCATCGCCTATGAAAAGTATCTTACTGAACTGATTAATAAGATAAAGGCTAATTATAATCAGATTTTACTCAAGCGATTCAAGACCATTCTCGACCAATCTCCAATACTCCGTCAAGTCAAGAAGGTTAGAGATGATTTGGCTACTACCTTTATATCGCCAATCATTGAGTACAAGAATGTTCATGAACTCATTTCTTCAGACAATCAACTGCTCACATTCTTCTATAACAATCTTTCGATGATTTGCGTATCATTGCATTTTAATGACCTTGTTAAATTCATCCATATGTTTTTCAAGTACTTCACCAGAAGACTTCCAAAGGAGTACGAGAATCTCACAGTTCCCGACTGTATCAAGTACCTGGAAGATAATAAATTGGAAACCGACGAGGATATATCTACTGTAAAGACTGTTTGGAACAGTGCAAAAGAGGCTTGGAACAAAATCTTGGAGCATATGAAATCACTGGAGGGTGGATGTGCAGCAAGACCCGATTTCGAAAAACAAATCAGCAACATCGATGATAACATCTTGTTATCTGGAATACTTAGTAGCAGTGAACTTCAAAACGATGGATTGATCATTAACCTCATCAACAATTGGATGGATAATACACAAGCAAAGGCAATCAATCTAAGATCACAAGTTAGAATGACACCAATGTATAGTGAAATCATAGAAGGTGTAAACCAAGGCATTAAACAAGATTTCGGTGATATCAACTTTGAAATTGGCCACGAGAATTTCTTCTTGATAGGTACCACATTTACTGTCAAAGACTTCCAAAACTTCATGGTCAAGTCTGTCCTCCAATACCAGAGCTTTGATCGTTCACAATTCAAACCGAATATCTCTGACATTGAAAGAAAGCTCGTTTCTCAATTTGTTTCTGGAAAGATCACTGGAGGCAAACAATTGGCTCAGTATGCCGTTGATTTCCCATATCTCAACAGCGAAGCTCCAAATCCAGGTCTCGCCAATCAACAGGAAAACAATAACAACAATATATTCTCCAAGACCAACTTGATTCCAGAGTCAATCAAGGAGTTGATTGAAGTTAACAAAAAGTTGGATGATGTATTCAATGAATCATCTAATATTGAACCTCAATTCAATCGTCTATGTTTCAAATTCCAAGCGGAGGAACTTGAAGTTCTCTGTAGATATCTCATGTCGTTGACACTTCGTATCAACCAAAACTACACCAAGGGAGTAACCAAAATTGAGATGTCCCATTCAATCATTGACATTGGTGAGGAACTTCTTTTGAAAGCAACCATTCCCGATTCGATTAAATCGCTCTTCCAGAAGGCAAATATCTCCAGCCTCAAGTTCTTCAATCAAAGATTCATCAATGTGTACCTCAGCTTTGGATATCTCTACTCGAACTGTATCGAAGAACCATGCAAGTACGAAGCCACTTTTATTGAATTCTTTGACAACATGCGAAACAATCTACTCTCTGAGGCGAAGGAATCGAATAGCTACCTCAAATCGATTGAATACCTCCATGAAATCATTGAAAGATTGTCATCTACCAAATCACAGGAAGCTCTCAAGACTCCAAACATTGATACCCCGCTCATCCATCACTTTAAGACATTCCTCCAAGATCTCATTCACCCGATCGTATCGACAATCTATCCAACTATCCAATCGATGGTTTTAGATAAGATTCCAATTACCTACTACCCCTACTTTATGCGTACCATTCACGATGTTCTCTCGAATCTCAAGATCATCCACAAAGAGAGTAACTCCAATGCCGGCGAGTACAGAGAGTATCACAGACTTGACGATGCTCCAAAGCCACAAGAAGAGACTCCAAGAGAAACAGAACCAACTCCTGAAGAGGAAGAGGAAGAGGAGGTACCAGTAGATGATGAAGATGATACCTATGGTGCAAACAACAAGAATGCAAATGAAGACTTTGGTGACCAACAACAACAACAAAACGATTTTGTTGATGATGACAATAACAACACCCAGAAGGAGAGATTCAATCGTCCAATTAAACCTGTTGCCAAATGCTCCTACTTCCACACCATTTTGAATTGGATCAGATTCAAACAAGAGAATACCAAGATTTCGCAAATCAAGGATGAAGATCTCATCATCCAGAGATTCAAGAAAGACTATGGTGTTGCTAAAGTTAGTAAGGATGTCATCGTGTGTCACAAACAAGTCGTCGAGTACTCATCAAAAGTTCACCAATGACTGCAAGGCTAGTACAGCAATTGAAATAGATGTTGAGAAACTCTACAGAGCATTGGGAGATATCATGACCCATGGTGGTAAAGACCCATACAATGTATCGATGTGCATGTATCAGACCATCCAAACATTGTCAAGAATGGATCCAAGCTATCATACTTTCAACCTCCTTAGAGGAAAGTTGCACAATATCTGTCAGAAATGTGATAAACCAATGGACAATGGTTTCTATGAATACTTTTCATTTGAAGATAACTTACCACTTGAATCGCCCACCAACATTGTCGAGCTATTTAAACAAAACTATCTCTATAAAATGGATTTGTAAGTATTGATAAATAACCAAATATATTTTTATTAAAAACTAACCTGCAAATCCATCTAGACAAAGCTCTATTTACAAGTGTAAAGATTGTGGATGTGATAGAGATCCAATAGTTAAAATAGTTGAAGAACCAGAATATATCTTTATCTACATCGAAAGACAGGTTTCCAAAGATAAAGTTAAATATCCAGTTGATTTCGATGGTAAACAAATTGAATTTTCAAAGTATTTCAGTACTGAAAAGGAAATTAAATATTCTCTGCACTCTGTGATTGTAAGTAGAAAAAAAGTTAACTGTTTATTATATTTTAGAGCAATACTAATATTTTATTGTAAAAATCAATTTATAGTGCCATGAAGATGATCCAGAGACTAAAGGATATTACTCTATTCAATTGAAGCAACAGAATGGTTATCTAAGATGTACATCAAAGATCACATTTGTTGATGATGAGGATATCAAACAATTGATCGAAGAAAACTCGGTGCTCTTTATCTATTCCAAGAATGTTTACTCACAAAAGGTTGATGAAACTACAAAGATACCAACTAGACTCAGATTGTCAATCGGTCAAAATGGTGCCACTGAACAGGTACTCCCCACAAAGACAAGCTCATCTCCTATGCCATCGCCACAATTTACTTCACCTACCCCGGTAATACCAACCCCAAGTTCTTCTCCAATTGCATCCACATCTGCTCCACAAACAACTGGTCCAACCACCTTTGCTCAACCCACAACCAGTCCAACCAAGTCTGTTCCACCAGCAACTGGTCCAACCACCTTTGCTCAATCCACGACCAGTCCAATCAAAACTAATCCACAAACAACTAGTACAACAACAACAACTGCATCTGCTCCAACAACTAGTCCAACCACATCTACTGTAACCACACCTCCAACTACTCCATCTCATATCAATACAAAATATGTAGATTCATTCAGTAGTGTAAATTCAATAGCAGCTTTCAGCTTTGCCGGAGAGTACCAATCCAAGGCCAACAGTCCAGCTGTCAATGAACCAGTACATAACGAACCTTTCAATGCCAACAGTCCAGCTGTCAAAGAACCAGTACATAAAGAACCTTCCAATGTGAAATCCAATGTTAACCCATCTTCACAAAAATCGATTCTTAACCAAACCACTAGCATCACAGCCTCTCAGATGTCAAGTAAAACGGTTTTCAAATCTAAATCGGTAATCTCTGATGTTGCAACAAACGACTCATTTTTGGACTGGGTTAGCCATATGGAGGACTTTAGACCAGAAGTCAAAACACTGATTTTGAATGCTTTACAATCCAATGATATCAAGACATTCTCAATTGCCATCACCCTTGACGATATTGTTGCTCAGCTCATTGCAGATGCCGGTGTAAAAGCTATCCCAATCAAAACATTTAGATCGAAACTCGCTGAAGTCAAACTAAAGAGACCAGATTTCGTTTCAGTCAACTCTGTGTTTACCAATGAAGAATTCCCCCATTGGCTCAGACAAGTAGGTCTACATCCGAGTGACGTAGAGAGTACCATATATATACTCCAAGAGAATGAGATCTTCACATTCAACGGTGCATCCACCAACAAAGATGAATTGGAATCAACTGGTCTACCAAAAACAATTTGTTTATTCCTTAAAAGACAATTAGAGGAAATCGAAAACCAACAACTCAATTCAACAATACAATAAATAAATTAATAAATAATCATAAAACAATCAATAAATAGATTAAATTTATAAAAAATAAACAATTAAATTAAATAAATAGTAATAAAATAAAAATTAAACTTCAATAAACTTTTGTTGTTTTATTGTTTAACTTTTGTTTAGTTCTTTATACACGGTTGAGAATGTTTATTTAGAGTTTAATGACAAGTGCATGGATCGCATTTACAAGATGTACACTTGCAGGCGGCTGGCTTTGATCCAGCTGGTTGTTCTTCTTTGCCACAGTTACAATCCTTACATTGGCAATCAGTTCCGCATTTGCAATGGTGAGTCTAGTAATATTATATTAATAATAATAAAGATATATTGTTAGATATTAAAGAAAGCTAAATTATAATTATAATTGTATATCTACCATTTTTGTTTAATTATATTTCAATTTATAAATTGGATAAAGTCTAAAAAACAATAATAGAATGTATGGTTAAATACCTATTCAACTTCACCAAAAAAAAACAAATTTTTAATTTAATTTTTATTTTATTTTTATCTAATCACCAAATTTGGTAAAAAAATCCCAGATTTGTTAAATTTCAATAATTCAAAAAAAAAAAAAATAATAAATATGTGATAGGTATCGGGTTATTCAACACTTTACTAATTTCTGTTATAATTTAAAAAGTAATATAAAAATGATTAAAAAAATGGTTCATCTTTCTAAATCGTAATATAAAAATAAAATGCTATTGTTTATTTGTTTTTAATTTGTTTTCATCATTCGTAACAGTAGTGTGTTTGTTGTTGTGGTATTTATTTTAAATTTTTAATGAATGAATGCATAGACATAACATTAACAAATACTTAACACGTTGAGTGATGTGCTTTGTTGATATATATTATTTAAATTTCAATATATTATTATTGTCAATCAAAATCAATAGGTACACTGCTGTTGGTTTTCAAACAACCAATTGAACTTAAATATGCGTTGTGGCTTTTTTCAAAATTCTCATATATGATTTGTGCTTTGTCTGAAGGTAGCTGTTTAAATAGAAATTGTCTGAGTCTGAGCATAAAGTCTGTAGTGACAATATGCGCGTATTAGTAATGCAATACATTGTCCATTCAATAAAACCTAATTACCTTGATTCAAATCTCTTTTATGAGTTGCTGGTGATCTACTATTATTTAGTGAACCAAATGCCGATGAGAGCATCGAAAATATATTTTGTTGTGGCTGTTGTTGTTGTTGTTGGTTGTGTTGTGAGCTCTCTCCAACTAACATTGGATATTTATTTAATTCTGTAAAAAACTCTTGTTCATTCTATAATATTATTTATTATACTGTTTATTAATAACATATTCATCAATAACAAAAACAATAAACTATTCAAATATATACCATTTTTCTGTATATTATATATCTTTTAAATAAATAATGAACAAATTTAGTAATTAATAATAAAAAAATGGTTTTTTTTTTTTTTTTCAAAATTGAAAAACCCAACCAAATTAATAAACATTGACGATATGTGCGACTTTAGTTGGAAATCTTTCATATGAATAAATAACAACTTTAATAATGATGGAGTGATTCGATTAATAATAAATCAAAGAGTTTCTAATAGCTTTACAGACAGTTATTAATTAAAATTCCTTATTCTTTATTATTAGAGAACTATTTTTTTATTATTAATTTATTTGTGCTTTACCTCTTGCTTTGGGTAGTTTCTTATTTTCAGAGTCAATATCTTTCTCTTTATAGAAATGAGGAGCTATCTCTACGAGCCATTGTGGTTGAATTTCAATTACTTGACGCATGAATTCCTTAGTGGTCTCTACCAACTCATGATAGATAACCCATTTCGGTGCACTTTGGAATAGACAAGACGACGGATGAATCTGTACGGACTGATTGTGTTTGGTTGTTCGATAGGTTCCACTATTCTCCAACTTGGCTGTATGATAAAAGAAACCAGAGGCAATCGACTTTCGAATGGCGTCAGTGTCGTCGGGATTCGATTCAACCTGTATCTCAACACGTTCCATCAAACCCTCGAGTTGTTCTCTGACATCTTGTGCTCTCTTCATAGTTCTATGTTGAATGAAATTCTCAAAACACCACTGAGTAGAGTAACCACTTTCTCGCCAATGATTAAACACATTGAGTAAAGTCAAATGATCTCCTTGTGGATGTGAGAATGTCTTTCTTGCTGCATCCGCTTGTATTGCCTTGTCTTTTGGTCTATAGAAAATTGTATTATTAACAGATAACATTGCACATATTGTCATAATCTAAAAGAAATAAATAAATATTTAACTATTAATAACAAAGAAATGTTTTAAACTATTTGTTATTGTTCCTTTTTTTTTACATACCTCTTCAGTTACTTTATATTTTTCAGAAGCTATTATCATCTTTGAAAGCTGTGGATCCAATGGGAATTCAGCCATTCTTCTACCCAGTTTTGTGAGTTGACCACGATCGTTTAGTGCTCCGAGTGCATAAAGTTGTTCGAGTGCTTTAATGAGTGTCTCTGCTGGTGGTGGATCCATAAAATCGAAATGTATCAAATCATTGATTCCCATACTCTTCAGTAATAATACAACATTTCCTAGATTGGTTCTCTGAATTTCCGGTACTGTGTTATCTTCCAATTCATTCTCGTATGCCCATGCGGTGAACAATCTAAAGCATTTGCCTGGTGCAACTCTACCGGCTCTACCCTTTCGCTGATTAGCAGATGCTTTCGAAACTGGCATGATAGACAACGACTCCATTCCAGTTCGAGGATTATAATTCTTTTGTTTACAAAATCCAGGATCTATAACATAGACGATACCATCGATAGTGAGAGAAGTCTCTGCAATATTTGTTGCCAGTACTACTTTTCTTGCATTGGGAGGTGTAGGCTCAAAGATCTTGGCTTGTAGATCGGTTGGAAGAGTTGCGTAGATACGAGTGATGATAAGCTCCTTGATTTTCGAGCCAAGTCCTCTTGTCCTCTGTAATAGGAGTTCTGCTGCGGTATCGACTTCTTCCTGACCGGTTAGAAACACCAAGATATCACCAAGTGGCTCTGTAATGTGAATCTGTAGAACTGTTACAACTGCTGCATCGAGATAATCTGCTTCCGGTGCCTGTGTGTAATGAGTGGAAACTTCATAACGACGACCTGGAATATTGAAAATAGGTGCATCGTCAAAGTAAGCACTGAATTTATCGGCATCCAGCGTGGCAGAGGAAATCAATAGTTTCAAATCCGGTCGGAATCTAGCGACGTCCTTGACCAAACCAAACAGAATATCGGTGTGTAGTGTTCTCTCGTGAGCTTCGTCAATGATCAACACACTGTAGTTTGACAGATCCGGAGTGGTTAGGAATTCACGAACCAACATACCGTCAGTCATATACTGCAGCACTGTCTTGTCACTGGTGCAATCTTCGAAACGAATGGAATATCCAACTTCATTACCGAGTTTACAATTCATCTCCTCGGCTACACGCGCAGCTACACTCATGGCTGCAACACGACGTGGCTGAGTACATCCGACTTTGCCACGCTTGGTGTATCCAGCTTCATGAAGATACTGAGGAATCTGTGTGGTTTTACCACTACCTGTTTCACCGACAATGATAATCACCTGATACTCTGCAACAGCCTCCAACAACTGCTCTCTATACGGATAGATTGGCAGTGATTTACGTACTTCAGCAATGGATTTCGCTTTAACTTGCGGTTCATCGCCTACCTGCAGTGTTTCCACAGCATCGTCTTTCTTTCCAGTGATGACTTGTTCCTTGATGAAACTGATTTGATCATCGAATACAAAGTCATATTGCTCCTCATTGTTGTTGCGACCTTGAATGTTTTGCTCTTGAGCAGCAGCCATCTGTGTACGCTCCCATTCACGTTGTTCAGGATTAAAACTAAGATTCTCCTCTCTATTTCCTCTTGTCGATCTACCGGTATCAAACTTTGGCTTCAACATATCGTCTTTATTCGCTTGACCAGGCAATCTGTAGTGATCGTCCTCAATGATATCGTTGATCTTCTGACTTGCCAACTCATAGAGTTTCTTCTTCTTTTCGTACTCTTTAATCTCTTTTGCTGTCAGTTTTTCATTCTTGAACAACTCGTATTCATCATCCAACTCTCGCTTCAACAATACCAAACGTTTCTGTTCTTCACCAACTAAAAACTTTCTTCTCGATGTAACTCTGTCTCTCTCGAACTGATCGTTTTTATCTTTCATTTGTTTTCTTCTCTCTGATTCATCCTGACCATGTTTCGAACCTTGATAATCACCACCTTTCTTCTTTGTCTTGTCAAGATCTCGCTGTTTCAATCTTTCATTATACTCTTTTATCTCTCTTTGTTCTCTCTCGTATTCATCTTCACTCTCCAATTCTTTCTCTCTATCATCTGAATCTCGTTTTTCCCTTGATGAACCAGATCTCTCTCTTGATGAAACAACAACAGTATCATCATCTTCCCAACCATTATCATTTGATTTCTTTCTAATATTTCTATCTTTATCATTATATCTTTCTTTATCTCTATCTTTTTCTCTTTCTCTTTCTCTTTCCTTTTCTCTATCATTATCTTTATCTTTTTTTCTATCTTTTTCTTTCTCTCTTTCTCTTTCTCTTTCTCTTTCTTTCTCTCTCTTCTCTCTTTTCTCTTTTTTCTTTCTCTTTTCATCTTCACTACTACTACTACTTTCATTATCTTGAATATCACGTATGATTTGATATGATTCATTCATTTTAAGTATATCTAGTGTTTGTTTTTCTCTATCTTTTTCTTGTTCTTTTTGAGATTTACTGTTTGATGTCTTGGTTGTGGTGGTGGATGATGAAGGCATTCTTTGTAATAGACTACCAGCAAACTCTCTGGTGTTTGCATTCGATGGGAAATCATTACTCTCTAACTCTGAAACTAATTTATCTACATTATTATTACTCTTCTTTGCCAATGCCAATATATAATCAACTAAAGTATTCTCTCTGAAACCAAGTATATCGGTCATTTGATCAGCTACCCATCTTTTTAACTCTGTTGACATTTATTATTATTAATTAATAAAAATTAGATATATATATATAAAATAAAACTTAATTTATATTGAAATGTTTATAAAATAATAATAATAATAATTGATTGATTTCAATCTTAATCATTAAAATAATAAAACAAATATATTTTAAAAAGATCTTCAAATATATTTCATTCCATTGTTGAAATTTTAAAAAATAAAAACTAATATCCTTTTCTTGAACAGTTTAACTGTTTACAAATAAATGTGTGTTGATAGTTTATTATCCTAATTAATTAATTAAAATCAAATTAATCTAATATCTTTTCATTTTTTTTAAATGATTTCATTTTAAGATCTTTGATTGTTTTGCTTGGTAAATGTTTAAATTCAAACAATAGTTTTGATACGCTATGTGCGTAATCTAATTCTTCGAGTTTATAAAGATTGTCTGGCTGATGTTGAAGTAACCATAGAGTGATATTGTATTTATCATATTTAATTGACTTTTCTAGGCATCGCAAATCCCATTGCATTGCGTTTCTAATGATTAGCTTAGTCACAATATCAATATTACCACGCTTGATCGATTCTCTTATGATATCTATCGGTATAGCTACCTCTGGGAATAGCTTTAATAGATAGATCAGTATATCATATTCATTAGATTTCACTGAATTGTACATCAATTCACAAACTAGTTTCTCGGTGATATCAATCTCTGTTTCTTCGAGAATGTATTCCAATATCTCCAAACTGCCAAACATACTTGATAGTTCACAATACAATTCATAGTTCTTCATTATATCATAGTCCAATAGGAACTTGAAGATTTGAAGATTCTTTTTCTGAATGGCTCGCTTTATCGTTGCTGCAATGTCATAGTGAACATGACCGCAGTTCTTGACAAGCCATTGGGACATCTCCCAATGACCGTTGCCAACAACATAGTAGAGTGCATTCATTCCACAGCCTTCAGTACGATTCTCTTTTAACCATTGTGCCACTTCCATATGATTGCCTGCGGTCGCCCAATCCAAAGCCATTGTAGATGCCAATCTCGATGGAATGATTTTATACTTTTCCACAAGGAACACCTGTTGTTCATGTATCCATTGGATAATGTTTAGATGTCCTTTCTTGGCAGCTTGGTCAATGATATTACCAAGTTTAATCTTTGGATTATTGTTATTCTTGAATAACCACTGGAGAAGTTCAAGATTACCGGAAACAGCTGCACTTGTCATAGCGATATCAGAGATTTTCAGCTTATCAACAGCTGCTTTTGACCAAAGGAATTCAACGATATCAAGATGTCCATAACCCGCTATATGATCGATGATATCGTAGGAGATGATTAGCTGATCTTTATCATTGTCGAGTAGCCACTGGATGATGTCTAGTCTGTTGAGTGACGCCAGTTGTTGGACACTGGATGCATCGGTTACAGACTCACCACGCGATACCAACCATTGGATAATACTGAAATGACCACCGTTTATTGCTTTGTATCCGACGTTTGTTTCGTTGCGCTTGGTGTAGCGTGACAACCACAAAACAGTTTGGAACTGTCCATGCTTGGCAGCTGCCCCCATTGCAGCGTGGCAGTGCTTCGTTCCTACACGAGCGGCTATCCACTTTAGTGTCTTGAGTTGACCAGACTTGGCAGCCGACTTTATCGATTTTATCAATATCGTTTTACGAGGTTGAAACACACACCTATGAAAATACTTTATAATCTCTAATCTACCGTAAAAAGCTGATTTTATATATAGATTAGATAGATCCAAATCTTTTGGCACCAACTTGACTTGACTGTGTAGATGCTTTAAGTTTCTAAAGATATAGGAAACAGCTTCTAGATTACCATCTTTAATCAATGACTCTAAACAAAATTCAATATCGGATTTGATAAAGTTGTAACCTATTACTTTTAAATATGTAAATAAATATCGATAATATTTATATTTAACAAGTTGAATTGGTTCCAATATTAACTGATTCCATTTGTAAACCTTTTGATCACACTTTAAATGAATCAAACTAATATAATCAAATATTTGTTTTCTAATTACTTGATTATTAAATACATTATTAAAAACTATTCTATTCATTTATATAATATATATTTAAAACTAAATATAATGATTTGAAGAAACAACTTGTAGTTTTGGATATGGTCTTTTTGGTATACAAAAAAAAAAAAAATCTTCTTGGAATTAATTTCTATCGACTTTATAACCACCTTATAAGTTGCAATCAATAAATCAAAAATAAAAGGTGGTTTGTGATTGAAATTGCGTTGCGTCATAGGGTCCGGACATCGGATGTTGGATACCTACTCTTTATGAGTTGGTAAGGATATTGTTTTGCTTCATCAGAATCACATTAGTAATCCTGAATCCACCGATTTTTTTCGAAGTAAGCTTAAGCGTACTCCCACTATCCGGCGGTCTGGTCCCTATAATTTCCAATTTTGTTGTAGTCATTTTAACGAAGTAAGACGATAACTTTATGCCCAATCACGAACTTGTTGAATCAAATAACAATACTTTGTTTATAAATGCTTCCAGTAAATGTTGGTATAAAAATTTATGGTGAATTTCATGTTTTCTAAGATTTTTCCAACTAAAAAAAAAGTTATTTGACACACCATTTTAAATAAATAAAAATGAATGATTTAAACCATTCTTTTTAAAACTCTATCAATAAAAAGAAAATTAATTGTGTATGTTATGCTGTGTATAATTTGTTTAAAAAAAAATAGTGGTCTTTAAAATTATCTTTTTAAATAAAATTACTTAAAACTATAAAATGGCATTTCTTAAACAATCTAACTCTACAACTAACTTATTCAATTTGTAAATAAATATTATTATTTGTTAAAAACTTTTGATTGGCTTAAAGAAGTCTTAAATAAAAAAAATAAAATTTAAAAAAACAAATTTGTTGCAACTGTTCCCGTTTTAATAAAATCAAAAAAATAAAAATTCCACCTTTTTTGTTTTTGGATTGACTAAATTCCATCATCTTTTACTTTTTATTATTTTAATTAAAACACAATTTTATTTAATATTTATTTATTTATTTATAAACTTTTTTTTTTTTAAATTTAATTAATAATTAAAATTAGATTTTGTTCAAATATATATATTTATTTTGATGATGTTAAAATGTTATCAAACTTAGTTAAAATCAATGAATTTAAATTGTTGGTAAATACCACTTCAATTAGAAGTCTCTCAAGTGCTGTTGCAACAATCGTTGTTACCACTGCCACTACAAATATAGCCAATAGAATTTACTGTAGAAATAATAATAATAATAACACTTATAAAATTAATAGTAATAATAATAGATATATAAGTGGTGATCCACGCAACAACAATACATCAACTACTCAATGCTATACATCTACTTCACATACTACTACAATTACACATCAATCGAATAGAATAAACGATCATAATACTATTGATAATAGAATTAAAAGTTATTCACAAACCAACTACTGTTATAATAGACACACTACAATCACTACTACCAACAACAACTACGACAACAACAACAGTGGAAATAGGATAAACGAACTATTCAATTCCAATAAAAATAAATTTATAAACAATTCAAACCGTCATCAACTTTATAAACATCAAAATATCTTAAACACCTCTTCTTCTACCACCTATCTTTTTAATAACAACAATAATAATAGTAATAATAATAATTACCGCAATAGTAATAATAACAGTAATAATTATAATTATAATAATAATGGAAAACGATATTTCCATTCAAATCTACCAAATTACTTTGTTTTTTCAAAAACTTTGCGTTTGGTACTACCGTTTGCTATGAGTGGTATTCGAAGCTGGATCCGTCAGGGCAACAGTTATCTACGTTTCGCTTTTATATGTGCCATTCTTTTTGGAACCTCTGGTCTCTATATATTTTTTAATCAAGAGTTTGCCCCGGTCACTGGTCGTGCTCGTTTCATTGGAGTGTCGCTCGAAGAGGAGCGAGATCTCTCTGATCTCGGCTACAACTATGTTATGGAGAGCTACGAGGAGCTCTTCCTGCCCGAGAACAATGTCCTTCAAAACCAAGTAAGAATGATCGCCAAAAAGTTGGTACCTCACTCTGGCATCGATTTGCCGTGGGAGTGTCATGTCATCAACTCGCCAGAGATCAACGCATTCGTGTTGCCCAGCGGAAAGATCTTTATTTTCACCGGACTCTTCAAGGTCGTCAAAACGGAGGATGAGTTGGCTGCCGTCATTTCGCATGAGATTGGACATGCCATTGCTCGTCACTCGGCGGAGCGAATGAGTTTGCTCAAAGTCGGCATCGTATTCCTCACGATCACTCGTGGTTTGATTGGTGATACCATCTCCGGCAACATCAGTACCATGATCTCTACTAAGCTTCTCGAGTTGAATTACTCGAGAATGCAAGAGATTGAAGCGGATATCATTGGTGTAGGAATCCTCAAGAAGGCTGGATTCAACGTCAATGCTGCCGTCCATGTACAGGAGAAATTTGGAATGATCGACGATGATCAAGATGACGGACTCATGGCATTACTCTCTACACATCCAAAATCAGCGGAAAGAGTTACAAAGATTCAAGAATGGATTGAAGCCGATCGTTTAAAGGAATTGGAACAACCAGCACCAGGTTTGGTCCAATCCAATAACAACAACAACAATAAGGAAGAAAAACTTTTGTCAAGTAAAGTCTAGACAAACATAAACATCATATCATCAACAACACCTTTTTTGATTTTTTTTTATTCCTATTCATCGTTAAGGAATTTCCTACTGTCTACTATTTAAATAAAGGAACCAACCTTTGTAATGTGGTTTTGTTTAATAATATTATAATATTGTTTTTTTATTTATTTCTTTGATGAGGGAATCTTTGATTTTGGTTTGGCTTCAACTTTGGATGAACCATTTTCAACTGGTTTTGATGTTGCAGTTGATTTCTTTGTTGAGGATGTTGGAATCTTTGATTTGACATCAGAAGTTTGTGCTGCTGCTGGTTTGGATGCGGTATTTATGGATGTTGTTTTTTTGGTGATTGGTGTTTCGGAAGTAGCTTGTTTCTTCTTGGCTTGAGAGGTTTCAGGTTGATTTTCTTTGTTATCTCCTTCTTCTCTCTTTCTCTTATCTCCTGTATCGTTTTTATTGGTTTGTGGTGTTGCAGCTGTGGTGGTACTGGCTGATGATGCTTTGTAATTCTTGTTTATTTTGGTTGGAGCTGGAGTTGTATTGGTTGATTCTGCTGTTGCTACTGGTTTTTGAACTTGTTGTTTGTTTTGATTGGTGGTGGTTGTTGTCGTTGCTGTTTTTGTTGGTAGTATGGTTGATGTTTTGTCATCGAAATAATATTGCAAAGAACTGAGTGATGATAAATCGAATTTTAATTGTTTTGGTTGGATTTGTGGTTGAATGACCTGTGGTACTTTGATGTTGGCGGTTGTGCTGCTGTTTGATTCGTTGGCGGTTGGTTGTGTAGATGTTTTCGTGGTCAACATTGAATCCATAAACGATTGATAGATCGATTGTACTCCTGGAATGATATGAGATGCAACATTGAACAATTGGTTGGCTGTGTTTGAAACAACTTGAACACCTTCTTGTTGTTTTCCGATTTCTTTCTCGACCATCTTTTTGGCCTCTTGCTCCCAATCGGGCTTGGCATTCTTCTTCTTGTTTTCCTTCTTGGTGTTCTTGAAATGCAGTTTGACATTGGTTGGTAAAACACCTGTCGACTTCACCATGTCGTCGTTCAATGCATTCAGTTTATTGGAGGCAGAGGTCGATGCAGAGACACTGTCGGGGATGGAAATACCACAGACGCAATGGGCAAACGGTGAGTAATAAACAGCGAGAGCTTTGGCTTCTCTGACAAACACGAGTCCACGCACTGGGAATTGGGTGACCTCGACGGTTTCGCACTGGAATTGATCGTTGAAAACCGCTAAAAAGAAGTTGTTTGGTTCGCTAAGGAATCCAGAGATGGCAAAACGCTCAGCATCTGGCGATACCGCAACGGAATCGATACGCTCGGTGACACTGAGAATTGGTGTGAGTGTTGCAAGATTCCAAACAGTGAGACCATAGTCACCGAAGCCGGTCAGCAAGTATTCATCGTTGTGAAGGAAATGTAGATCTCTAATTGGTGTATAGGTTGAAGTGTTGGTGATGTTTGTGATGAATTGATAGTCCTTTAGCTTCCAGAGGGTGGTGTTGTGACCGGCGGATGCAGCAAATACCGATCCATCCTTTGAGAATGCAACCGATTGAATTGGTAGCGATTCGTATCCACCTGTGAAAACGCAGCTCCATCGCTCGTCTTTACGTTGCCAAACTTTGAAATCTTGCTCGGCACCAGTGAGGAGAATTGGAAGTTTCGGATGGAATTGCAATGAGAGAATTGGTGTGTTGTGTGGACATGTCACTGAAAAGAAACATTGATAGTTGGAGTTCTCATCGAGATTCCAGAATTTCAAGATTTGATCACGTACAAACAATTGAGATCGATCTTGTTCGTCTATGCGCTGCTCGAATGTCGCCATGGTGGAATCAGAGTGGAATGCAACGTGTGTGACAACCGAAGTTGGCAACTCAAATGGATTGTGATTGGCTTCCGACGATGATAATTTAATTGCCTTGGTGGTTGAGATTGACGAGTTATTTGGTGGAACGACAACGAGTTCGCCTGTTACCAAATTTTTTCTGGGTGAAAAGAATTGGATGGTTCCGTCACCTCCGTAGCTTGCAAGAGTCACGGTGTTTTGGTCGGCAGTGAATATGGAATTCGCTTTACGAAGACCACGAATCACACTGACGATCGACAAGTCGGACAATGAAACGATCTTGATTGCATTATTTTTGAGAGTTACCGCTGCATAGGTGGTACTTGGTGAGATGTTGATATAGTTGATGGCACCGCCCAGTCTCGGAAGGAAATTACGACGTTGAGTTGCAGTGGTCCATATGGTGAGAGTGGACTCGTAACCACCGGACAACAAGAGATTACCGTCGCACGAGTACTCCAAGGCGGTGACGGGAGTGGCATGCCAATGGAGGTAACCGGATGCACGCAGACTAAAGTTGGCGGCACCGATCTGGATGTGATGGATACGACCCTGTGAAGTACCGAACGACAAAGTCAACTGGACCGGATGGAAAGCAACCGATGTAATCTTGTCTTGTGAATGATAGTGCTTCTGATTTCCAGTCTGGAGATTGACAATCACCAAATACTCTGTATCCGAATAAACGGCCATATAGTTTCCACTTCCATGAATAACGATTCCACGTGGACAAGAAGTAGTCAACAAATATTTCGGTACATTATTATCACCATTATTATCATTATCCTTATTATTAGAGTTGTTATTATTATTATTACTATTACTATTACTATTGTTGCTGCTATTATTATTATTATTGTTGTTGGTTGTTGAGTTATTCTTACGAATGTTGATGAATGATATCTCTTTGGGTGTGGCAAAGTATAGATGATCTGGATTCACTGGATTGGTTGCCATGAAGACTACTATTTGATCTGAGGACAAGACGATTGGATCTCTTGTCTGATCAACTGACTGATCACCTGTATTCTTTTTCTTCTTGTTGAAGGTATCGAGCGAATATTGGTATAACATACCGGCAGCACTGACCAACAAAAGATTCTCACCAGCCATGCACATGCTGGTTACGAATCCATTCAACACAATCTGTCTTTTCTTCATACCTGTAGCTGTACTATAAATACTAACTTTATTTAAACATGAAACGATAATAAAACTAAATAGTCATTAAAATCAATTGAGGTTAGGTTAGTCTAGTTTTCCAATGATTTCGAGTCATTTGCAAAATTCAAAGCAAAACAGCACATACTTTTCAAGTAAAATCGGTTTGATATCGGTAAGACTGCTACCAGCTGTTACACCAATGTCTCTCCATTGTCTAGCCATACCATTGCTATCGGTGTTATCTACTTGATTCTTGTTGTTGTTGTTGGTAGTGTCAACATTCTTGGTAGCAACGATTGTCGATGATGATGTCGATGTTGATGATGATGATGATGATGGAGTGTGATTCTTTTTGGGAGTTACACTGCTATTCTTTACTGTCATTCTTGGTTCTTCTTCTTTTTCTATAACATAATCTATATATTTATAATATATAAGAAGTCGAATAAAGTGTTAAACAATATTGTAAAAAATAGTTTTATATTATTCACAACAATAAAATGCAATGTCTCCTTTCTTGTGAAAAACAAAACAAAATCTAAAATTGTATGAAAGGGAGCACTTTCGATTTATTGGACTTTTCGTTTTTTTTTTTTTTTTAATTTTTTTTGTTTTAATTTTTATTTTTTAATAAAAAGTTTGTAAAAAACCAAAAAAAAAAAAGAAAGTCTGGTTTTAATTTAATTAATCAATTGAAATGGATAACAATAAATTTTATTGACAAAGTCTTGATTGGAAACTATTTATTAATAATCTTATTTTCTCGCATTAAGAATAAACAAAATATTATAATCTGAATTTCCAAATAATGAAAATAAATCATCAAACTTATTTTAATAAAGTTTAAATAAACTACTCTTTGAATGATCTAATTACTATCAAACTTAACCATCTTTTGAAAGAAAGAATAATGACTCACCACAAGTGGAATGGAATAAAAAAAGGAAAATTAATATTAAAATAAAAAATTGTTTTTCCTTTTTTTTTTTTTGTGTGAACATCAATTTCAAACCGTTTAAAAAGGTTAGAGATCTCTTAAAACAATAACTCATTTTAAACTAAATAAGATTGTAAGTTTTTATTATTTTTAAAACTATATATATTTAAAGTAGTAATTAATAAATTTTTATTTATAACTTATTAAAATAATAATAATATATTAAATATTAGATAGATATTAGAACTTAATTAAAGAAAGAAGAAAAACCAAAACATGGACTTTATTATGATTTCAATTTTCATACTTCTCATGGTTGAGATGTTGATTTGCACTGTTGCAATGCTACCGATTTCAATGGCTACACGTAAATCATTGTTCACCGGATTGAACAAGGTTTTCGGAGGAAAGACCCCCGTCATTGTATTTAGAGTGATTTTCGTCATTCTCTTGGGTATCTTTGGTGATGCCATCATTAATTCGAGCAAGTACGACAGAAAGATTCACGACCCAGAGGGTGCCACCACACAATCCGAGAAGAACAACCTCTACTTGATGCTCTTTAGATACCAAAGAAACATCTACTTGACTGGATTCACCCTGTACCTCTTCTTCCTCATCTACCGTGCACAATCGATCGTCTTGGAGTTGACCTCTGTCGAGACCAAGAGCAACGCTGTCATCAAGCAAGCCGAAAACAACAAATCGCAAACCGAACGTCTCATCAAGAGCAACTCGGAATTGGAAGAGGAAGTCAAGACCTTGAGAAAGAAGGAAAAGGAATTCATCGCCATGAAATCACAAGCTGAAAACACCTCAAAAGAGTACTTGAAATTGAAGAAGGAATACGATGCTCTCTTGGGAACAAAGACAAAGGGACAAAAGAAGGATGATTAAATAATAATAATAAGAAAATAATGAACCAATTAAATTATAATTGTATCAGCATCAAACCAATAAAAAGACAACAATAGTAGTATTAATCAACTTTTTAAAAGATTGTACAAAATTATATAAAATAACAAAAAAAGTAATAAATTTTAAACAATTAATAACAATTAAATACAACTAATAACTTTTTGTTACAATAATTATTTTTTTATTTTTTTTATTTATTTTATATTTTTTTTTTTGTTTCTGCTTTGTTTATAAAAGTCATTTATTGACTAATTTCACTTGAGCAAAAGATATGTATAATACTGCTGGATATAATTGATAAGTTTTAATAAAAATATATAATAGGTTTATGTTATGATATTAAAAAAAAAAAGTACAGAGAATTAACTCTTTTCTTTTGTTGACAATGAACTTGAAAAGATCGCTGAATAAAGTAGATCTTGAACGAATATACTCTTTAGAACGTTTTCTTTGGTGCTCTCGATTTCCTTTGGTGAAAGGTTAGTCTCATTGATTTGAATTTTCTTTGATTGACTCTGGTTGTTGTTTTTGTTGTTGTTGTTGTTGTTGCTGCTGGTGCTGTTGTTGTCGCTACCGGCCTGTGAAGTTGAATGTTGTTTCGAAGCGTCTCCCTCATTCGATTGGTTGTTGTTGTTATCGCTACTACTATTATCATTGTTATTACTATTGGTAATGGAATCAATTGATGCCTTTTGTGCTGGAGAAAAGATAGAACTTGAACTAAAAGAATCTAATGCATCTACAGAGGATTGCTGTGACTGTGAAGCCGCCACTCCTTTGAGATTAAAGGTGAGTGTCGGTTGAATCGTTTTGCTGTCGCCACTCGAACCAACGATTCTTCTCTCTTTTAGCAGTGCCGAACTATCGATATTGTCCTTTCTCAAGATATTCGAAAGAGCACTCGGTGTAATACCAAACAAAGTTGCCAATAGATCTGCACTCTTTACAAAATCATCTGCTGCTGGATTCTTCTGCTCAATTTTTAAGAAAAATAATTAGTTTCAATGAACATGTTTATATTTATATAGTTTATGTTTAGGTGGTTATATTTACATTTGACTTTGAATGTCTTAGACCTAAATGACCTATGAAACCTTTACTAACGTAATTGGGATCACCACCGGGTTTAGATGAACATATTGGACAGACCACTTGTTTTCTGTCACCTTGATGATTATCCATGCAGTGATCGATGAGTGCAGACTCTGTAAGTCCAGTATGATTGCAATAAGGACATTTGAAGGTGGCCGAACTGAGATTTTGGAAGAGTTTACTCAGAGTTGCATCGATTTCCTCTAGGTCTGACAAATCAATACCTCCATCGCCTTCTTCTTCTTCCTCAGAATCTTCGTCTTCGTCATCGTCGACATTATAATCTTCGTTATCCAACATTTCATCATCATCCACCTCATCCTCTTCAAAATCTAAAAAATTAAGTAATATGATTGTTGTTAGTACAATGTATACACGATTCTCATGTAATAATAATTAGGTTGTACATACAATAAGCATTTTTATCAGTTGCCAAGGCATCCATTGGATGACTACCATTATGAAAATCAGTTTCTATGCCATCGTCAAAGCAAGGATAACAAAGTTCGAAATCCTTACAAACCTTGCATTTGAATCTTACACCACTGTTTCCACAATAGTAGCAATATCCCGACATGTTGTATGATTATCGATAGTGTTTTTTATTATTACTAACAAATATTGTTTGGTTTGTTTGATGTTATACAAATATACAACAAAGAAAAAATACCTAAAATATCTAATAAAATAACCAATTTCAAAACATCTACACAATTTTCGTTTGAATAATAATAATAATTTTAAAAATAATAATATATAATGATATTGATATTAAGTTATATGAATATGATAAATAATATATTAAAATGAAATGAAATGAATTGAAATTGAATGTAAAATAAAGGAATTAAAAATCAAGATTAATATTTTAATTTTTGTTTTTTTTTCTTTTCTTTTCTTTTCTTTGACAGACACAAGACACAACGCAATAACTAAAATATTATATCAAATAAAAATAAAAATAAAAAAAGCACAAAACTAAACAAACTAGTGTGATTCTCAAAAAATATAATAATAATTTAATTAATTTGATTATGTTGTTATTGTATTGCTTGATATAAATGTGTATAACTAACTAGCACAAACAATTATTTATAAATATTAACCCAATTGTTTGTTGTTTAAGTGTTTGAACAAAAGTGAGGTTTTTTTTTTTTTTTTTTTTTCAATTTTTTTAATTTTTTTTATTATTTAAAAAAAAAAAGACATTTATTAATTTTTTAATTATTGTTTATTTTTCACTTCTGGAATTGATTGATTGATTCACTCATTCACTCATCGTTAATCTCTCTTTGTTGAATGAATAAATCTTTGTAGAGTTTCATTTGTTTTTGTTTGATGACATTTCTCAATTCTTCAAAGTATCCTAAATAATGTGAAAGATTATGACTTTTGAAAAGCAAAAAAAGAAAAAAGAAAAAAGAAAAAGAAAAGTAATTAAATTAGATTGATTTTTAAAAATTTAAATGTATAATGTTATATTATAATATGAAATTACTTACATTGTTAATAAAACTTGTGATAACATCTCATGTGTGTTCATTAAATGATGGATGTATGCTTTAGTGTGGTTTTTACAGGTGAAGCATTGACATCCTTCGACGATTGGTGTCATATCGATGACGTATTTAGCATCCCAAAGATTGATTTTGTTTGGTTTGTTCGGTGTAGATGTTGATGATTGTTGTTGTTGTTGTTGTTGCTGTAGTTTATCAAGTTTATATTCAAATGTCAATGCGTGTCCCCATTCGGTAACTTTGAATGGATATGAAGTATTGACTAGATCGATACCGTTCTCCACTAAGAACAACACCTCCTCTGGACTACCGAGTCCAGTGATCAATCTCGGTTTCTGTGCTGGAAGCAACTCGATCAGCTTTGGAATCTGTTGCTCACGTTCCTCCACCGATTCATTGGTACCAAAATTCGACAAGATAAATCCACCGACATCCTTTGCTGCAATCTCCTTATTCGACTTCATAACTGATTCCTCTGATTTACTACCATGTATACTTGCGAATATAGATGACTATATATATATATATATATAAGTATATTCATTATTAGTGAAAACATTCATTATTATAATGAATGAAATTAAGAATTAACAACTTACATGATCTAATGATTGATCTTTTAAGATTGAATCTAATGATGATGAAGAGAGTGCCAATTGTTTGGTAAGTTTCTTTTGTGAAGAGCTGAATGGAATGTCGAATGAGAGTGACGAAATGATGTCTGGTCGAATGTGTTTGAGAGTGTTTACGTATTCTTGGTTGGCAATACGTTTGTTTCCTTTTCTAGAGGTTGTATTGAAGCCTGTCTCGTTGAACGAAGTCTCTTGGTATGTCATAGAGTCACGAAGTGACAAGAACAGCAAATGTTCATCTACACTCAAAAACTTGTGTGCACCCTTACCATATTTCTCTAAAACATCTGTAAATTGTGCTCTAAACGGTTACGATTTAATAATATTATCATGATAAGATTAGTGAATGTGAATCATAACCATAATACTAATTAAAGTATATCTGTCTACATACACATCAGAATATAACATTGATAATAGATGAGTAGATTGAAAAGGTAGGTTATTTAATAGATCTTTAGTGAGATTATCGACACTTCCTTGTTTTGTATAGAATAAAATGTTTGGTGTTGCAATCGATTTGTTGTTTACTAACAAATTGGCAGTTCTTGCCAATCCATCTTGTTGATCTATATTGAATGACAATGACATATTTATGTTCTCTCTCTTTATCTCCAATGTTTCGATTTGACCGAGAGAATGACAAAAAAGATTTATTAACCCACCTCGAAAAAAAATAAAAAATCAATGTTTTTCATAGTCATGACATTTGTAAACACTTAATTTTTAATCTCATTGTTGTTCAATACCAAACTTCTAAAAAACAATCAAAGTTTTATATTATTATGTACAAAGATATTAATATTTATTATTTATTTTTCTAATCAATAAGAGAACTATCTCTAGTCTTTTCTTTTGGAGATCTTTTATGTTTTTTCTCTGGAATTTCTACTACTGGATCTTTATCGAGAGCATTACTTCCTTTTAAGAGAATGAATTCCAATACTGGTACATCGAACTTTTCTGAATCGTTGTAAAATTCTTCATTGTCAAGTTGTGTTTGATTTGGCAGAATCGGTCTCTGTTGATTTGGATTGTTTTTAAAATGTAACTTACTATTGCTTGAAAACCAGCAATATTGAATCGATCTATTTCTAATACCAAAGGATTCAAAGATTACATTTTTATTTACTCTATTTATAATATTCTAATAGAAAAAGTCATTATTAAATATTGTGGTCTTTTCTAAAAATCTTGTTTTTTTTCTTTATACATACCATTCTATTCTATAACTACTGAGATATATATTTATATATTAAAAAAACAAAACGTTTTTTGGGGTAATGGAATTCAATAAATTGATATTACTATTGAAAATTGTAATAAAAAAAAAGTTTATATATAATTCAAAAAATAAGAATGTTTTATACTATTAAAATAAACACACTCTATATTTATTCATTATCCCGATTTTCAAAATTTTCAACCAATGAATTTTTAATTTTATCACTAAATTTAGTAACAGTAGATATCATTTTATTTTTTTAAAAAATCCCTAACCAAATTTAGATAAAGAACCAATAAAAACTTATGGAATACTTGACGATAATTTTTATTTAATTTTTTGATCTATGTTGGTCATCATGTGTTTCTAAATTTATATGACTTTTTTATTATTGTTATTGAACCAAAATAATAAAAAATTAATCTCCAAAAAAAGATAAATAAATAATTAAATTTCAAACAACAAACAATTTCTAAATATTATAAATTTATGTTATGTTTTATTGTTTTGTATTTTTTTTTAGTATGGAAACAATTGTTTTTTTTTTTAGTTTTTTTAATTTTTCAGATGTATCCATTGAATCTTGATTCAATTGATCTTCTTCACTGATTGTCTTGAATTGAGCGGCGAGTGTTGGGGATCCACGGATGGTGGTACGGATGAGTTCTTCAAACTTGACGATCGACTCTGATGATGGAATACGGTGGATGGCGGCGATTACACGGAGTGCCGAACGGATGCACTCTTCGTTACGCTCGACTTGTTGCTTGACGGCGACGTCTGTGACCTTGGCCAAGAGAGTTGCCTTGAGTGGCTCGACCAATTGGACGAGTCCTTCGAGGAGTGCTTGTCCGTTGACAGCGGCGAGACGGATGATGAGCAAGTGGCAGAGCAACTTGATGTCGTGTTGGGTGTCCTTCAAACCGCCGGCCAACGACTCGATGAATGGACTAAAGTCAAAGGCAGAGGTGGTCTCGAGCAGTGTGTACATACACTCAAAGGCGGTCTTTCTGATTTCGATACCGTCGTCGACCTTGTGCTTGAATGGACCGAGACTGACCTCACGAATCAACTCTGGTTTGATCTTGCTGTTGTTGTACAAGATTGGCAAGTAGTTGTTCAACGACGACAAGATGAGTTTGGGACGGTTGTGAGCGATGTAGTTGAGTGTCAACAGTGCGGAACGCTTGACAATCAAGTCATTGTCGTTCAAGAGTGAGAGGAATTGGTCGATGTGTGGAGCGAGATGAGTGTCGACAATCTCACGATTCTCGAGAATGGCAAACTTGATGGAGGTGACCGAGGTGGAACGTTCGAGTGCGGAAGGTGAGTCGATCTTTGCGCGCAACTGTGGGATGATGTCGGCTGGTGCGACAATTGAGAGCTTACCGAGACACTCAGCGACGAGGTTACGAGTTCCCTCTTCTTCGTTGACAGAGTTTTCAAAGAGCAATGGGACGATCTGTGGAAGGAATGGAACGATTGCTTGGATACCGGTGGAGCTGGCTGGCAACTTGGTGATACACTCTCGCAGTGAGTGGAGAAGGAGATATTGTTTCTTTGGTTGTTGTTTGATGTTCTCCAAGATGAATGGCAAGTCGACGGCGAGTGAGCTGACAGCGATGTTTCCGAGGGAGAGTGCGGCAACTTGTTTCAACTCTTCGTTGGTGGCGTCAAAGATCTTAAAGATATCGATGTGGATGGTCTTGAAGGCACCGAGGTCGACACGACGACCGATCTCACCGATACAGGTGAGTGAGAGGAGAATGAGTGAATCTTGGTCGGTTGTCAAGTTCTTCATGAGACGTTGGACGGTCTGGTCACGATGAGCGGCATCGGCATTGACAGTGACAATAGCAATACATTGTGCGATCGAGTTGAACGATTGTCTTGTGACTGGCTGCTTGATTTGTCCGGCAGTTTCAAACAAGATATTCAAGAGATCGGAACAGGTTACACCTGGTTGATTCAACTTGACAATAGTGGCAAACAATGACAACAACGACTCCAAAGCAACACCTTGCAACAAAGATGACTTTAGCAACAACAAAGTTGGTGGAATCAACTTTTCACGAATCAAAGATGCTGATTGTGGATATGATTTCAAAAGGTTTTGATAGAATACAAATGATAAATGAGTTAATTGTAAATCTGATTCACTGCGGTAGTAATAGGCACGATCGATTAGTAAATTGTGTTCATAATAATATTGTTGTTGTTAATAGAGAGATTCGGTTACTTACTTGATATTAGAAGATAACTCTGTGAGAATGGTTGGTAATTGCTTTTCGTTGATAACATTCGGTGTGTTGATGACAATGTCGTTGAGGAGTGTGATGGTATTCTGCTTGAGTGGACGGTTGTTCTTACGGAGGAACGATGAGAGGAGTTCGATCGATTTCGATACCAATGGGGTGACGTCGACTCTGACTGGCGATGTGATAATCTTGGAGAGTGCTTTGATAGTGATGACACGGGTGAGCTCGTTGTCGAGACGCTCCAACAGGATGGCGAAACATGGTGAGAGTTGAGCTTGCAACTTGTCTCCAAAGTTGGCAACGATAGTTCCAACACAGGAGATGGCATTCTCCTTGACTTCCTGGTCGATGTCCTGTGCCTTGAGTTGCACGAGAGCAGCTTCGTAGAGTGGCGAGACGACTTGCTCCACCGAGGTGTTGGCATCGGAACGCAACACATTCGAGAACTCCTGGCAAACCTTCAAGGCTTCGGAACAGACACGGTAGTATGGCTCCTTGATGCACTTGATGATCAGAACCGAGAGGTTCTTGGCGTGGGTGAAGAAGATCTGGTGTGGATGGTTGGCAAACAACAAACGGAGGAACGACAATGTTTCGATTTTGAGATTGGAGTTGTTGTTCTTGTCGCTGAGTGATCCGGTGATACCTGGAATCAAGACATTGACGTGATCAGAGAGAATACCCGGTACGATACCGACCAACTCTCTCAACAAAATGAAAGCACCGACACGAGTACGAATCGATTTGTCAGACAATGGTTTCTTGATTGATGAAACCAATTTGGCAACCTGTGACTTTAAAGTATTAATATACAATCCATCGATATTTCTCTTTTGACATTGTTTCAATAATAAAACAAATGTATTAAAGATATCCAACTACAAATAATTAAAGTTAAATAGTTATTGATTATTAGTATTAAAACATTCTGAAAAAACAACAACAACAACAATAATATTAATTACATACTCTAACATTTTCTTCTCTTTCTTTGAATCTTGAATATAAAACAGGTGCAACACGTTCAATCAATTGATTTAACAACTCTGTACGATATGTAATGATTGCGCACAATACCTTTGCTGCTGATCTACGGATCTTCCAACTGATATCATCATCATCACTAATATCTGCATCCTCACTTTTGTTTTTTAAAAGTTAATTAGATTAGTATTACTTTAAAATGAATGAATGAAAGAATGATAAAGTTATTAAAAACTTACTCTTCTTCTTCTTCTTCATCTTCATCAGTCTCCATTTCATCGACATCTTCTTCCTCTTCATCTTCATCAGAGTAGTTTGGATCGAATTTTATATATTTCAAAGAGAGTGTGATGATGTCGTTCAAGTAGGGAGTGACATCCTTCTGACATCTCTCGATGATCGATTCGAAACAGAGAAGACAATTCTCTTTGATTTCATCGTTGTTCTCAAACTTGTTGCTATCGCAGTAGTTGATGATGTGTGGCATGATCTTTGGCAGGTATTTACCGAGACGGTAACCCGAGGTCTTACCGATAGATCCGATCAACTGAATCAACGTGGAAATGTGGTCGGCCTTCTTTGCCTCTTCGATCTGCTTGATGATGTTATCGGCGAGACCGTAGAACAACTCGTCCGATGCCGGTATGGCAAAGCTCGACAAACAGTTGATCGCTCTCTTTCGGATGGCTGGACGCGATGCATTCAAGCTGGGCAGCACGATATCACGTACCTTGTCCAAGTGGGGAACGAGTGGACCGTACTTTGAGAGGAAGTCATTCAATATATCCAAACAGTACATCTTCACCTCGGTCTTGTCACCGGGCTTACTCTTCTCGATACCCTCCAACAGCTTTGGAATGATCTTCTTTGTTACCATCGATGGCACCGCAGATGTATCCGCTGGCATATTGGCAACGATAGTCTTCAAACCGATCGAACTGATCTCTTGTAACTCCTCTTTAGTCGATGTCAACAGATCCTTACACAAATGCTCTGCCATCTCTGTGGCTACAGTATCCTTTACGATTCTTACTAAAAGTCCCAAACTATTGTTATGATGAAAACATCGTTCAATTGAAAAAAAATAATGAGTTGATATGATTATCATTGTTTTTATTAATATTAATAATATCATTACCATTTAACAACATTCTCTTGTACATTGTTGGCATTATCGTCGGTAAGAGTCAAGAGTTTCGCTACAATCTTTGGCTCCTGTAGTGGATCCATCTTGAAACTGTCTTTCTCCAACTCATTTGCCAAATCATGTGTTGCCATGAAACGGATATCCTTGTCACGAGAATTCATCTTCTCCAAGATTTGTGATAAGAAAAAGGTTGTCATTTTTTATTTATTTATTTATTTATTACAAAAGAAAAGACAATTTAATTTATTTTATCTATATATATTTTTTTATTTTTATACAATATTAATTGATTATTATTCTTTTATAAAATAAATTATCTTATCCTATCTAACTATCTATCTATTTATCTTCCTAGAATAACAACAATATTTATTAAAGACAGTCTTGTGTTGTTGTTGATTAATTTTTTTTAAAAAAAAAACACAAAACAATCAAATGAACAAACAAAAGTTTTAAATTAAATTAAAAATAAAATTGATAAAAAAATCAAGTTTATTATTCCACCAATTTTCTATAAATGCAAAAAAACTAAAAAGTAAAGAAAAAAAAATTTAATATATGCATTTGTTTGACCATTGATTCGCTGACCTATCTATCCCTCATCTTGGAATTCCCATACATTGTTTGATATACTTTTCCAAAAGATATTGTTGGCAAAAGTATCAAAAAATGTGATTACTTAGATTCCAGAAAAAACAAAATATCCCTTTTTTTCCATATAAAGAAAACTAATATGAATTCTTGTTTAGAAAATAAATAATCATATCATTATTTCCAAAAGAATTAATAATAAAAATAAGATAAAGATAAGTGACTGACTTGACCATTTTGAGAAATTTTACTGATCATTTTTATTTTTGTATCATTTCATTTTTTTTTTTTTTCATTCCATTTTTTTGAAAACGACTTAAAGTAAAAAAACTATATAAATTGTTTTAATTTTTTTTTTAATAAACATTTATAAATATAAATAAACAATACAATGGCAGAAAAAATGCTTTCACCAGAGGAAATTGAAAAGCTTAGAATAAAAGAAGAGAAAAAAGCAGCTGCTGTCGCTGCCAACGCTGCAAAGGCTGCAGCTGGAGGTGATAAGAAAAAGAAAGAGAAGTTCACCCTCAAAACACCAAAAGGAACACAGGATTACAGTCCAGAGCAAATGACCATTCGTGAGGAACTCTTTGACACTCTAAAGACTTGTTTCAAGAGACACGGTGCCGTTACAATCGAAACACCTGTATTCGAATTAAAGGTAAACAAACAAACATCAATCAATCAATCAATAATAATAGAAACATAACTAAAATGATAATAACAAACAAACATATAATATATATAATGACAGGAAACATTAACAGGAAAATATGGTGAAGATTCAAAATTGATCTACGATTTACAAGATCAAGGTGGTGAGATCTGTTCGTTGCGTTACGATCTGACAGTACCATTTGCACGTTACGTCGCTATGAATCGTATTAGAAACATTAAGAGATATCATATCGCAAGAGTATATCGTCGTGACAATCCGGTTATGACTAAAGGACGTTTCCGTGAGTTCTACCAATGTGACTTTGATATTGCTGGAGAGTACGACTTGATGATTCCCGATGCCGAGTGCATCAAGTTGATCTGTGAGATTCTCGATCAGATCAAGGTTGGAAACTACTTGATCAAGTTGAATCACCGTCGTTTGCTCGATGCTATCTTTGCTATCTGCGGTGTCCCCGAAGACAAGTTCAGAAGTATCTGCTCGGCAGTCGACAAACTCGACAAGTCGCCATGGGACGAAGTCAGAAAGGAGATGGTCGATGTCAAACACCTCGATCCGGCCGTTGCCGATAAGATAAAGACATTCGTCGAGATGAATGGAAAGCCATTCGAGATGTTGGAGCGCATTCGTAAGTCGGGACTGTGCGATTCGAACCAAGACGCGCTCGCCGTCCTCAAGGAGCTCGACACGCTCTTTGGCTACCTCAGATGTCTGGGTGTCGCCGACAAGGTGTCGTTCGATCTCTCGTTGGCCAGAGGTTTGGACTACTACACCGGAATCATCTACGAGGCTGTAGTCACCGACTCTGACCGTGGATCGATTGCCGCCGGTGGCAGATACGACGGTCTCGTCGGAATGTACGGAAGTTTGCAAGTTCCATCCGTTGGATTCTCGATTGGTATCGAGAGAATCTTTTCGATTCTCGAGGAGGAAGCATTGAAGAACAAGAAAAAGATCAGACAAAACGCTACACAAGCATACGTTGTACAGCTCGACAAGGAGGGTGACATGGAGGAGAGATTGAAGATTTGCAACGACCTCTGGAATGCCGGAATCAACGCAGAGTTCACCTACAGAAGCACACCAAACTCACGTAAGCAATTCGATGCCGCCAGAGACTTACAAGTACCCATTGCCATTATGTTTGGATCGAGCGAGATCGAAACACAAGCACTCAAGATAAAGGTCATCGAAACCAGCGAGGAGTTTATCATCCCAAGAGAAGGATTCACCGATAAAGTCAAAGAAATTTTAAAAGAACTTGAAAGTAAACCAGTTCTTTCAGTTCCAACCACCACAACTACTACAACCACTGATGTCAAAACCAATGCTTAATGATGAATTGGATAAACTAGTTTGGAAAAAATAAAAAATTGTTGATTAAACACACACACAAAAATTGATCATTTTTAAACCAAATTTTTTTTTTTTTTTTTTTTTTTGATTGCTTTGATCTAAGATTAAAAATACCTTTAGATCTATATTTATTTTTTATTATTATTTATTTTTAGATTTTTAAATATTTTTGAAAAGAATGGATTATAAATTTATAGAATCTGAAAGTAGTATAGAGTTGGTTAGTAGTGTGGATAAAGGTAGATATATTCTTTCTAAAGATGCAAAAAAGAGGAATGAAGTAATCTTTACTGTTGAACATCCCTATTGTTTTGCATTTGAACCTTATCTGGTGAAACAAGTCTGTTCGGTTTGTTTCGCTTATTTGGAGACGAGAAAGCAACTGGCCAACAATAAACAGAAACAATATATAGCTTGTACTGGATGTGATAAGGTTTTCTATTGTTCTCAGCGATGCTATCAACAAGGTCATCACTCACAACGAAACGAATCAAACCGGTTCATCGATATAACATCACCACACCAACACTATCATACAACTCTAGAATGCCTAATACTAAGAAATCTACAACAACCCGCTGGTCTTGCATTTCATCACATCACAGAGCTCAACATGATCATCAACTATCTATCACTTACACCATATATTAAACTTGTAAATAATAATAACAACAACAATAATAATAACAATGAAAACAATAGTAACAGTAATAGCAATACAATTATTAAAGATAGAATGTCAGTTTTGGTTGGTGGTTTCGATAATATTGTTAATAAAGATGATAAGAAATTGATAAGAAGAATGACTGGCATCGTAAAGAAAGCATTTTCAAATGTTAACTACGAGGTGGAAGAATCCGATATCTTGGAGCTACTGACAATGTCTACACGTAATTGTTTTGGTTTGTGGAAGAACTACGAGGAGTGTTTTGGTTTGGCGATCTACTTGGAGGCATCGTTGTTCAATCATAGCTGCTATCCAAATGCTGCACGTGTACAACGTGGTCGATCAATCGATATCATTGCAATTCGCGACATTGAACCGAACGAAGAGATCTGTATATCCTATCTCAACATTACAAATGGCTCACACGAACGTAAAGATCACCTAAAGAACAACTACCTCTTTGACTGCGTCTGTATCAGATGTACTCAGACGAACCCGGACATTGAGAACATCGTACGATCATTCATCTGTAGGAATCCACGAGTCAAATGCTCAGGCTATCTCTATCTACCACAAGGTTCAGACTCTAGACAATGTAATTTCTGTCAATGGAAAGAATCATCCGAGATCAAAGTAGATTGAATCTACTTTGAACAAAAATAAAATAACATTTGCAATGTTTCTCAAAGAATTCCTACTTTTGCTCTTGTTTGTTTTTCCATTTGATTATAATGAATTCATTAACATGTGCGTGCATTATATATTTTTGTTGAGACTCCTGAACTCTTTAACTTTTAATAGAGGATCATTTTAAATAGTATTAATAATGTCAAACCAAACAGTTTTACCAATGAGTCCAAACTTCCATTAAATGACAGCTCACCATACACTCCGACTGATGAGAAGACAAACAATGTAGCCACAAGAGTAAGAGTACAAACATACTACTAGTAAACGTTGAATTATAGATTTGAACTGAGATCTTTCAATAAATACATACCCGAACTTTGAAAACACAACACCATCAAATATCTATCTTTAAAATCATTGCTTTTAATATAAAACATGTACTTCCCTGAGAATCGAGAAGATGAACGACATAAATTAAATAATAATCATGATTCGGAATCGTTTTACTGTTAAAACTTTCATAGGAAGTATCAATCGATTCGCTCTCAAACATTGATATTCGATTATCGAAAGAAAGATAAGCGAAAAAGTTAGTTAACTTTTCAAAGTTGGGCTAATGATATTATTTATAGAGTCTTTAATGAAGTTTATCTTGATTTTTTTTTTAATTAGTTTTTACCAGAACGAGAATAAATAAGATTTGCTTCATCAGAAAAAAAATAAAAATAAAAAAACATTCTAATTACTTTTCTGACAACCATCATCGAAGCACAAAATAAGATTCCAACTTGTTCCGAATCAAATAATCAAAAATTCCCAAAAACAATTGATTTTTACTATGTTCATTAAGATTGATAAAGCATGCTCTTAAAAACCACCAAACTATTTTATTATCAAAACAATTGCTAATTATTAATAATAATAATAATATCATATATATTTAAACTTGATATCAAGATTATCTGAAAAAATAAAAACAAATATCAAGTATACTTTTTTTCAAAAAAAATTTTAATTAATTTATTAAAAAAAATAAAAAAAAAAATACAAGATAGTTAATTAACGTCAAAAATTATATTGTTATAAATAACAACAACACAACCTAACACAAAACTGAGTTTTTTTTTATCTGTACATTTACACTTTTATCATTATTGTCAATACTACTATTATTTAATTAATCTATAACACTACAACATTACATTTCATTCAATTCAATTTCAATTATCAAACATAATAATAATACTATCTTTTTTTCATATTCCTTTTTTTTTCTAATTTTCTTTTTCTTTTTTTTTTAATTTATTAATATTGTAAATTTACTTTCTCGAACTTATATAAACTATAAATAATAATAACTATAATAATAATAAAAGCGCGATCATACCAATATAGTAATTAATTTAATTATAATATAATGTGTGAAGATTTATTAGTTTGTTTATTTGGCTATGGAAGTATCCTATGGAGACCTGTAAGTAATCCACAATCATTCTAAATCAAACTTTTATTGTCATTAGGTTTGTTGACATTTTTTTCGTTTTATCATTTAATAGGGATTTCCATATGTAAGAAAATTCAATGCTTATATTAAAGGATATAAAAGAATGTTCTACCAAGGAAGTACGGATCACAGAGGAACTCCTGTAAGTTAAAAGAAAAAAAACAAAACAGTTTTATTTGGAATTGGATATGATTACTAATTCAATATTGATTCATAATAATAGGAAGCACCTGGTAGAGTTGTAACATTGATTCAAAAACCAAAGGATTATATAGAGGACGATTGGATTACATGGGGTACTGTTTATTGTATTCCCGACGAAGAAGCAGAGATCATTTTAAAGAATCTAGACTACAGAGAGAAAGGTGGATACGAGAGAATAGAAACCGATGTCTATGTCAACGGAAAAGACACTCCACATGGAAAAGCATTGTTATATTTAGCATCCAACGATAATAACGAGTATTTGGGTGCCGATACGATCGATAATATTGCACTACAGATCTTCAAGTCGGTGGGACCAAGCGGAAGAAACTTGGACTACCTATTGAAGCTTGCCGCCAGCTTACGAAAGATGGAGGTTGTCGACGATCACGTTTTCGATCTCGAATCGAAAGTACTGGAACTCATGAAACTTCATAACATTTCACATTCGCACGAGGGTCACGTCGCCAGCAGGCTACTGGCAGACAATGGCGCGCAAACCAACAACGCCTCACATGACGACTCGTCGACCTCTGGCGACGAAACAGCGATCTCTGCGATTACACTGTCTGCTGCACAAGATATTGCAGCAGAGACATTGATGCTTCAAAAGAAATACTTTACCGAGCCAAAAGGTTCGATCGTAATCGATAGCGGCGCAGTACAAGCAATTAGTCAGCGCGCCAAATCATTGTTGGCCATCGGAATCATCAGGGTGGTTGGATCATTCGAATGCGATTCACTCATCTCCATATTGGACACCAACAATCAAGAGATCTCCAGAGGTATCACCAACTACAGCAGCGAGGAAATATCGAAACTCATTGGAACACACTCTGGAAAGATCAATCAAGTTTTAGGATTTACAAGAGGTGAAGAAATTGTAGAAAATAAAAATTTAATTTTAGTATAATACTAAGTATAAATAGATAGTTTTCAAAAAAAAAATATCAACAATTTCCTTTTTTTTTTACTATTTATTTATTAATTTTCAACAAAATTGTTGATAAAAGCTGTTCAATTCAGTTCCCAATTCCATTCATTTCATTTTATTTTGTTTAACAGGACCTGGTAAATAAATAAAAATTGATAACATCCGATACCAACCTGGCCTGTCACCAAATGTCAGCCCAATAATAACAACAGTATCAATACACAAATGATTTAGTTTTCTTCGTTGTTCAACAACAATTTTTTATTATTATACGTGTTTTCTTTTATTTTACCATGAATCTTTCCAAGGATTTTTCAGTCAAAAAAGTGTTGTTGAAAAAATCTTAAAACAAAATTTTTTTTTTGTGTTTGACAAGACTCACAAAAATCCAACCGACTTGCAAAAACAAACGTTTATCGTCGACATCATCTGCTCTCACGTATTCATCTCCATTGTTTTTTTCCTTTGGTTTTTTGTATTTTTATTATGATTTTTTTAATTTTTTTTTTTTTAAACAAATTATTAATATCCTTTATTATTTTTTTGTTGAGAAAGTCCAGCTTGCAAATTCATTTTCCAATTCCGTTTTATCTAAACTATCAAGATTGATTAAGTTTATTTTTATTATTATTATTTTTTTTATTGATATTAATAAATAATATTTTAATCAATCAAGCTATTATCTTTTTTGTATATATTTTTTTTTTCTATTTTTTTTTTTTTTTTTATATTTTAGATATCTAGATTAATTTCGATCGAAAATCAATCATGATAGAGAAAAAACAAATTTTATACGTTTTACTTTTTTCTTTTATGGCAGTCATTGCTTTCCAGATCTATGTGACAACCAACAGTACAGATAATCAGAGTTGTCCACAACTACACGAAGTATTGGAACAACAGAAACACTATCAATCGAAAATCGAGGAATCACTTCGCGACGTCAACAGAAAGCTGAGTAATATTGGATCGTCCGGTAGTGCAACCGGAAATGGATTGGTTGTAAACGATGGCATGCCAAAGAAGAAAGACTATATGGCGCCAGAGGATTACGAAGATATCGCCCAGGAGTTGCTGGCACGTCAGAAGCAATCGCGTGCCAACATTCCAAACACCTGTTTCCCACTCGACGGCAAGACACTCTGTCTTCCGAATTTCATTATCATCGGAGCGATGAAGGCTGGAACTACCTTCCTCGACTACTACATCCAACGTCATCCACTGGTTGCCAAGCACACCAAGAAGGAGATTTGGTATTTCAACAGCTTCTACAACTCCAAGGGAATCGAGTTCTACGCCGACCACTTTGAGACTCTGACAGCAGAGCAACCAAAGCTCATTGGTGAGGCAACTCCATTCTATGTGAACAACCCATTCACTGCCGCTCGTATGTTTGCCACCCTCAGAAATGTCAAGATGATCATGATGTTGCGTGATCCAGTCGATCGTGTCTTCTCACAATACCATTTCTCACTCCAGTGGATCTCCAAGAATCGTGAGTCAGCACCAAAGATCACTGATCCAGCCGATTTCGAGACAATGGTTCGGGAAGAGATCGATGTCATCGAGACATGCGTTCGTGGTCAAGAGAAATTCAAAGAGCAACAAGAGGAATTCAAGAAATCCAACCGTCCAGCCGACGAATTTGACTTGCAGAACCCATTCTACATCAACCACGCCTACAAGAACTGGACATTCTACAAGGATTGCGCCAAATGCGACAAGTGCTTCCAAACCGGAGGTATTATGCACACATCTGGACATCCATCGTTTGGTATGATCGCCAAGAGTTTGTACTATGAACAATTGTATCATTGGTTATCTTATTTCCCAATGGATCAATTTTTATTTATTAGATATGAAGATATTCAAAGTTATCCAGAGAAAGGTAATTATATATTTTAGACTTTATTATAATAATATGGATTACTAACTCAATCAATTTCATTACCTATTATATTATCATATTATAAACTTATAGTTTTGAGAGATTTAGAAATATTTTTAGGTTTACCAGCATTTGATTATGGTGAATTCACACCAAAGAATGCAGGATCACACACACAAATGAATCCAGAAACAAGACAACTTTTAGTTGATTACTTTAAACCACACAACGAGAAGCTTTTCAAACTTTTGAATAAAGATTTTAATTGGTCAACATAAGATATTGACCGATCGACAATAATATATAATAATATAATTTTTTAAAAAAAATTTAATATAAAAAAAATAAATTAAATTAAACAAAAACATAATTAAGCTTTTTTTTTTTGATTTATATTTTTATTTGTTTTATATTTGTTTGATTGATTAGCTGATTGATTAATTTTTATACAAAAAAAAAATAGAGAGAGAAGAATGTATTGAGTAATTATTTAAATCGATTCTCAAAAACTATAATATATTATTTGTAATTACATAGTGAATGATTTATATTAAAATGATGATAATAATAATAATAATAAGAGGGTGTTGTTGTCATATTATTGTTTTTTAGTTAGTTTAGTTTAGTTTAGCTTAGTTTAGTTGTTATTGTTGTTGTTTGGGTCAACACCAGTAGCCTTGACATTGTAATACTTTTGATATAATTGGAAACAGTCGTCTGATGAGATCTTCTTCCATCCATCCTTTTGTACATGATAAACATTGATAAAACCACCACTCATTGCATCACGATGTGTGGCATGATATACAGAACGACGACCCAATTCACAGGCTTGCTCATCGGTCATATTCCAATCGAATCCAGAATCGAGAACACCATATGCATAGGTGGAACCTGATCCAACTGCGAATCTCAATCCTTTCAATCTAGTACCTTCACTATCTACATAATATAAACATGGTCCAGTTTTATCCCATCCAGTAACCATTGTACCCTACAGTGCATTTAATATTAACATATATATATATTAGTTGTTAAATTCTAAAAAGTCTACTTAATATTGTTAAAAAGTTTACTTACCATTGATAAACCGTAACCTTTATATCCGTATACAATATTAGCGAGAATCTTTGATGCAGCGGCAACTGAAATCATCTCTTTGTTTCTAAGTTCGAATAATCTACATTGACGACCGAGCTCACGTTCCCAGTAGGAGCAATCGGCAGCACCACCAGCCATTGTACCTAGCAAGTATGGTGTAATCTCAATTACCTTCTTTACGGTTCTAGATGCTACATAAGAACCTTGAGTTGACTTTGAATCTACTGCTACAATAACACCACCTGCATATTGGAATGCCAATGTAGTTGTACCGTGTGCCATTTCAATTGGTTTTGGTGCATTTGGATGATCCCATACTTGTTCCAAGAAATCTCCTGGCTAAATAATAATAATAATAATAATATAAACACAATAATTAATTAAAATCACAAACTATTTATCTATCTATATCTATAATTGTTTTTAATATTACTTTACAAGCTGGCATCTCAAAATGTTGAGTATCTACCATATCCAATTCCTGTAATATATCACTTTCATAGGTACGATTTAAACCTGTTGAAATCTTATCAAAATCAATCATTGACATCTTTTCTGATTGGTATGTGTAGTATATAATTAAAAATAGAGAAATAAAAATGTATGTTATAAACAAATAAAATTTAATAAAAAAAAAATATTAAGTTGATTAATTTAATAAAAAAAAGAAAGGTTTGATTCACAGAGTGGGTTGTGTAACTTCACTCTTTTTTAAATTTTAATTTTTTACACTCACCATCTCTGCTCTCAACAAAATTTTTAATTCTTGAAAAATGTAGTTCGAATGACATCTCAAAAAATTCTTTAAAAACTCAAATTTAAATTAAAAAAAAATAAAATTTTTGAGAGTGCAGCCGGAACGACCTAGTGGTTGCTGGTGCTCACTGCGCAGCCCGAGCATGTTTGAAAGCCAACACTGATTGTTTCTACCAGCAGATATTCCTAGTAAATCAATAATTAGATAACTAAGAAAGAAGATGTAAGTAATATATAAACAACAACAGGAATCATCAACCAAGTTAGATTGTTGATTGAAACACATAGTTCTAAGAAAACAAGAGAGAATCAGTAATCTAATCAAGTATAAATCACTACTATTCATATACTATAATCAATCTATAGCAATGGCTGAAACTACTAACGCAGCCGATCAAAGACGTCCAGGTGGAGACAGACAACAACGTGGAGGTGGACCCCAACGTGGAGGTCAACGTGGTGGTAGAGGTGGACCCCAACGTGGTGGACAACGTCGTGGTGGTGACAACGAGAAGTGGACCCCAGTTACCAAGCTCGGTCGTCTTGTCGCTCAAGGTTTGATCAAGTCAATCCACGAGATCTACTTGTTCTCCCTCCCAATCAAGGAACATCAAATCATTGACAAGTTCTTGTCACTCAAGGATGAGGTCATGAAGATCATGCCAGTCCAAAAGCAAACCCGTGCCGGTCAACGTACCCGTTTCAAGGCTTTCGTCGTTGTCGGTGATGCCAACGGTCACGTCGGTCTCGGTGTCAAGTGTGCTAAGGAAGTTGCCACTGCCATCTCTGGTGCTATCGTTGCCGCCAAGCTCTCTGTCATCCCAGTCCGTCGTGGTTACTGGGGATCCAAGCTCGGAGCTCCACACACCGTCCCAACCAAGGTCACCGGTAAATGTGGTTCCGTCGCTCTCCGTCTCGTACCAGCTCCACGTGGTACCGGTATCGTAGCTGCTCGTGTTCCAAAGAAGCTCCTCCAATACGCCGGTATTGAGGACGTCTACACCTCCTCAAGAGGTAAGACCAGAACCATGGGTAACTTTGTCTTGGCCACCTTTGCTGCCATCACCAAGACCTACGCTTACCTCACCCCAGATCTCTGGAAGGTTACCCCACTCGAGAAGACCCCATACCAAAAGTTCTCTGAAATCCTCGCTGAGAAGAAGGAATCCAACTAAACGTCCAACGATCATTAACAGGCGTCAATTCTCTACACCCAACTAATCCACATGTTTCAGTCTAATGCCCCTTAACTTTAAAGTTGGAAGTAAAAATAAAATAAATAAAAAAATACAACCAAAAAAAAAAGTTAAAAAAAAAATATATTACATTATCCTCTTGTCTTTAATTATTTGTTTGGAAGAATAATATATATTGAATTAACCAATTGATTATATCCAGCAGTTGTTTTTTAAACATTCGAGGTCAGTCTTCATGAAATCAAATCGATTGGTCATCTTCTGAGAATCAAACAGTCTGATATTATTGACCAATAATAATTGTTAAGTGAACAATCTGCCATTAAAACAACTAGCTTTTCCTTGAGGTAATACTAAACAATAACATCGAGATACTGATTGTTTAAATTCAATAAATTGGATATTTGCAAAATCAATTTTGATTTTTGGGTCCAAATAAAAAATTTTCTTGAAGGGTTTAGGTGCCAACCCAATCAGAAAATCACAACTCTATTAATATTTTTTAATTATGTTGTAATATTGTTAATTTAAAAGTAAAGTAGATAGAGGAAAAGAAGAAAAATGGCGAATTTACAACCTGCAGTGATTATCGAACCTACTATAGTTGATGGTGAAGGAAAGGGAGTCCAAATACTGAACACCACCAATCGGGTCGTACGGTTTCTCATTAGATCGAGGGAAGCACACGAAGAGTTCCCAGATCATATAGAGAAAAAAGCCCAGCATGGCACCGTCGGAGGTAACAATACGGCAAAGACATACATGGTGCACAGTGATGAATCATTTGTATCGGTGTTCATCGTTGAAAATGGACGCTATCTTATTATCCTTAAAAATCGACAGGTCAACAGAGGCAAGTGTATAAGAATCAAACAGTCTCATATCATTGATGCCGAAGAGAATAGCCTACCGGTATATTACAACGAGCATTTCGAGGTAATACAAAACAATAACAATAATGGCGACCACCACCGTGTGAATACCGGAGCAGAAGGCGCGTAGCAATATATTTATAAATAGTATTTAATAATATAAGATAAAAGTATAAATGTAATACATCAAGACATCGATTTATGTCATGAAATAGTAAACCGATATAGTATTAGTCATTGTTTAATATCAAACAACAGCCACATTAATCATTGTAATATACATAATAAATTATATAATCTTCACAGTCATCTGGAAGGACTGTCGAATGTAAATTCAATTTATTTTATTTGTATAATCTTTTAAAAGTTATTAATAACTAACTACTATTATTATTATTATTATTATTATTATTATTATTATTAATCATCCTTTGGAAAGAATCAACAAATATTTAATTATTTCTTATTGAAATGAAAATCAAAGAGATATATATAGATTAAATAATTATATTACATTGCATTTATTTATCATTTATCATATACATTTTATTATAAAGTTATTCAGAATGATTGTTGGTTGGTTCCTTTCTTAGTTCTTTAAAGATTGAATCGGGTGATTGATATCTCTCTGATTGTAGCGGCCAAGTGAGAAGTGCATTGAGAATATCGTGTAGATGGTCGAAGATTTCATTGATCTCTTGTTTGTCTTGATCGTTGAATGTTTGAATATAGGTTTCAATGACGAGTCTCTCCAGTTCCAGATATTTGTTCAGCCATTTCTCAATCTCCACTACAAAGTAGCTGAAGCATTCCTCCAATGTCATATTCATCTTTACCTGAAGAAAGTGGAATGAATTCATCTTTATATCTTTCTCTTTGACTTCTTTCTCATAGGAGAACAAATCGTTGTACAGCGAACAAATGATACTGATCGATTCCAACAGCTTCACCCATATTGGATCCAAGAATATAGCGATATTCAAATTACGAACAGTCAATAAAAGGGTCATATTGGCAACTGCTATCAAACCAATATTATTTCTACGCAGGAAATAGAATAATTCCATTTCTGGTTCTCCTTCTAAATTCTAATATTAGAAGAAGTCATTATCAAATAATAATAAGTAAGTCAGTGATTTCAATCTAGATATTGAATGCTTGTGAGATGTATACCTTTATATTCTTAAATGGAATGATCGAATCAAAATAATCAATAACTGAACCCTTTAACAGATTGAATAGATCGATTCTGGTTCCAGCTCTATCTCTGATTCGTTTACAAACTACAAAAGCTAGATTCTCAAGAGCGTTGTGATTATCTTCTAGTTTCTCCATGTAAAAGATGTTGGTGAATCTCTCTGTTATAGTCTTGGCCATCTCCATATCGACACTCTCAATGCATTCGTCAAAGAGCATCGATAGATTGTTGAATTCAGCAGCCAACACCAAATCCTCTTTATTGAGGTGCGGCCATATGTAGTTGGAGAATGGAGTGAGCTTACGATTCAGTGCATGATGCTCAGGCTTCTCGTGAGACCACACACCAAGCTTTGCAAAATCATCAAACAGATCTTGAAGGATATCGATTTCATTTGGTTTCTTTAACCATGCCTTTGGAAACTTATCTTGAATATCTTTAAATGATAACATAATAAACTATAAATCTAAAAATATATTTATGATTTAGATAGATTAATATAAAAATAGAAACTAAAAAAGAAAAAAAAAAAAACAACAAATGATTATAAATATAAATAAATAGATGCAATAATTAAAGAAAGAGAGTCTTAAAGTAATGGAATTATTAAGTTTAAAAAATGAAAAAAATTGAAAAAAAAATATTAGTTGATATTAATAGTAAGATATAAATTCATTTTATTATTATAGTTTTATTTTTTAACAAATCAAAAGGCATTTTTAAAAAAAAAAAAAAGTTTAGCCCGAAAACATAGGTGTTAATTAAATTTTTGCAGATATCTTGTCGAGATATTATGTAGGTTGACGTAAATATAAAACATCTTCAAAACAATATTACTTTGTAGAGCAGAGTGTACTTTATTCATTTATTAATTAAGTTTGAGTTCAACAGGCTAAAGTTTATTTTTAAATCTCAGTTATTTTAAAATAACAAATGAACAATCATTTAAAAACCAACTATTAGTTTACATAAACATCATTAAATCAATTAATCAAAAAATATAATATTTACAAATTATTACAAATTTAATGATAGTTATACATATGTCAAAGATAAATTTTAATATTTTTACCCAATTTTATTAATTTATTCTTTATAGACCATAGATATGTAGATAGGTATTTATACCACTTTTATTTAATTATCATGATTTTTAATATTCAAAAGTTTTAATATTTTAAATAATTAGAAGAAACCGAATTGTTACAATCAAAAAAACCAAACAAAAAGTATTATTCATATTAATATTAATAATTGTATGTAATCTTTATTATTTAACGGCAGTTTGTTTCCAACTTTGATAGGCTTCATATTCTTTGAGGTTTTGTTGATCTTCGGCAGGTAATCTTTTTCTAAGATCATCAAGTAGTTTCTTTCCGTCTGCTGAACTGAATTTATAGTTTGTCTTCCAGAACAATGCAAAGTAATGGTTTTCATCGTATCTGTAACATGCATCTACCGATTCAATAAACTGATATTGTGGTGTACCTTCTTCAATCTCTTTAACTGCATCTATGATCTCTTTGATGAATGGCACCAACATCTTAGCTATCGATAGACAAACCAAAACTGACGTAATAATCAGTGCGGCGGGCCCAGCCCAACTTGCGGTGACTGCCACTTTAATGATAAAGAGTGCAGCACCAGCAGCAACCTCCAATAATGACAGTCCAAATGTTGCCCAGTCACCTTCTTTGGCCGATTGTACACAATCGTAAATAGAAAATCCAATAGATACAAGAACCAGTACTGGTGAAACAAACTTTGCAATTTTTTGGAATCCTTTACCAATATACTTGGTCATATTAGTGAGTAGTTTGGAAAGTTTTGATGTACTCTCTTCGCAAAATGTAGCTATCTTTTTACCAATGAAAATGAAAATATTGGAGTTGGAGACAGCGTCAGATACCACATTGACAAGATCCAAAATTGTCAATCCGCCACAAGTCCAAAATAGAGCTTTTTGGTAGGTTTCCAATTTCTCATAGTTCTTCATACCGTAACCGATTGCAAAGAGTTGACAACCAAGCATCAAACCATTGGCCATTCTATAAAAGTTTCTATCGTTGAGTAGATTCTTGTAGGCTGGAGGTCCACCAGAACCGACGCCCATTTTCTCGAGATATGTCACACTGTCAACTGTATACATATGCTTATCTGTGATGCCACCCAATATTCTAACATCTTCCATTACTACATAGAAAAATGCTTGAGACATCTTTTGATACAACGTAACAAGATTGCCTGCATAGAGTGACTTTAAATTTTGAACAGTTTGATAGAATTCATGTTGTGGTGCCTTGTCAATCTCAGTGATAAAGTACTGAACTGTATTTTGATAGATTTGAGTGGTGAGTGGTGTTTCTTTCACAGATTGTGATGCATACTGAGCCAAAGTGGTATTGTATAACAAACCGAGAATATTAGATGAAAGTCCATAGGTTGGATCCAACATGTCAAGCTTGGATTTCAAATCATTCAATTGCTGAGTGTCCATAGGATCATTCTTGTTAACATCAGTCTTTTGTTCTGTGAAGCCAGCACTAACAAAACTGTTGACAAAATCTGGGTCCTCGAGGTAGGTCTTTAGCTTTGGAACGAATTGGTCAGCATTCAAAATGTACGGTAGGAATGCAGGTACTAATTTCTTGAGTGCTAGGAAGTAGAGCTTCATGGTTACCACACTCAAATAGGTGTCTCCGCCAAGCTTCTTCATTTCATCTTCGACTACATCACCACTGATCTTTGTAGGGAAACGAGTGTCTTTCTTCTCGTTGCAAAACATCTGGAGTAAGAACAACTTGGAATATTGTGTGAAGAAGGTCTTTGCCAAATTTGGATCGTTACCTTCCACGGCGTCCAACACTTCTGGCAGAGGAACGACTTTCTCTGTGATACCCATTGCCTTTAAACCCAATGGACTCTGATAGTAGTTCAGAATTGACATTAGATACTCGTCTGACTTATCCTTTACTACATCGACATCTTTAGTAAAAGTAGTGAGCTTCATAAAACTCTGAGGAGTCAGCTTATCTAAAGCAACATTTGTTCCAGGTGTCGCTTTGATCTGCTCTATTCTCCAAGCTTGGAAATCTTTGATGAATTGACCTGCTGGCATTTATTTGTTTATCTTTTTTACTATATATATGTATTACAAGTTTGACAATACTTTTAAAAAATACAAAAAAAAAATTAGTCTGTTCTATCCTATCAAAAAAAAATAAAAAACAAAAGGTTCCTTGATTTTTGTTTTGATCAAAGAATCTGTAAAAACACAAAATGATCTGATTGTCACGAAAAATGTTAAAGCGTCTCTCGATTTTTATCTCCACACAATTTCACTGAAAAAATCCAAATATAGTGATGATTTCGATCATTTTTGTATCGAGATACAAATAAGTTCAATAAAAGTGGTTGTTTAGATTTTTTTTTACCAGATTGTGATCGTTATTATTTGGAAACATATTAAGGAATATGGAATAAATAAAGATCAAAGATATTTGATTTGATTGAAAGTAAATCTTAAAAATATCATAAAATAATTTTTTATTTTTATTTTTTTTTTTCATATCGTATATTACATATTGCAATGATTACATCTTCAAGTTCACTATCTCTATTTAAGAATAATGTAACAATAATAAGTAATACACAAATTAATAACAGAAACGATAGACATGATCACCAACAAAATGTAAATGCATTACAATCATCTGTGATTGCTGTTTTATCAATTGAAAGAATCTTAAGTTCTTCATTGGGACCAAGGAGTATGAGTAAACTTATAATTAGTATGTTATGATCAAATATATAGATACTAGTTGTTATATTACTGATCTATCAATAATCATATTTTGAACGATTCCAGATGAAAAAGGACAATCATTGATCACAAGTGACGGTGCATCTATATTAAAGAATATAAGAGTAAAACATCCTGCTGCTTCTATCTTGGTTGATATTGCATTATCACAGGATCGAGATGGTAATGTAATCACATAAATAACCAATAGCTAACCAATCTAATTAATTTGATTTGATATTGTTTTAACAGTTGGAGATGGTACAACATCAGTTGTGTTATTATGTTGTCAGATATTGAATTCGATTCAGCCACTTGCTATGACTATACATCAAACTACACTATCATCGATGTTATACGAGGTCAGTCAATATTGTATTGATGTATTGGATCGCATTGCAATTCAATATGATAATCAATTGGGTGTAAATGGTAAGGAGGACGTTCTACTAAAGATTGCAGGTGTTTCACTCGGTACAAAGCATCACTCCTATTGGAACACCAATATGATTCAAATCGCACTATCTGCCATCAGGAATTCATATGATAAACTAAACAATACAATAGATGTTACACATAACATAGAAATCATTAAACTAATATCAAATAATAATATTAATAATAATGATGAACAGCAACAACAACAACAGCAAAATACTTTAAGTTATACAATAGATAATAGTGAATGTTTAAAAGGAATTGTTATAAATACAAATTGTATACCAACTATATTACCTCAACATAGACAACAACAACAACAGCAATCAAACAGTATATTAAAATGTTGTATTATAGCATATAAAGCATTGAAAGTTGCATCCTCTACATCATCAAGAACAACATTATCTACAACTGATCAACTTGAACAATACATAAAGTTTGTATCATCTTCTCATTTTTTAAGAATATAGCTATTTAAAGTGTAGTATTAATTCTTTATGTTATTTAAAGTCGAAAAGATACAAATATTATAAGATTATATGAAAAGTTAGTTCAATTAAATGTTAATATTATTTTCTTTAAATATGTAAGTAAATATAGTACTAAAATTAATATTAATATAATCTAATAGTATTTGTATTTTAGGAAATACCAGATTATCTTGTACAATTACTTATACAAAAGGGAATAAGTTGTGTTCAAAACATTAATGATAATGAATGTTTAAACAAGCTATCTACACTAACAAATTCAATGTTATTCACTTCAGTATGTTTAAATTTAGATTACTTTAACTTATTAGCAAACTAACAACTTTTATTACTAAATATAATTATAATAGGAACAAGATATTGATGAGTCAATGTTGGGTAAACTTGAAGGTTTATCACTTTTAACAAAGATTGATTCATTATATTATATTTATTTAAAGTAAGTTAAAATTAAAGTTAAATAAATATAATAATAATAATGATAATGATTATTTAATTAAATTCTTTTTATTTATATAGAAATTCAGATACATCGTATTCTACAATATTACTTAGAGGACCATCAATAGATATTGTAAGTGATCTAGAGATTGGTATGATCGATGCACTTTATCTTTTAAAGTCAGCAATTGAATCATCACCAAAGTTTGTGTATGGTGGAGGTTGTTGTGAGATGGCACTAGCTGTACATCTCAAGCACTACGCACAGCAATTAGATACACACTCTCCGAAACGACAACTCTATCTGTGTATTTCGGATTGCTTTACAGTTATACCAAAGACACTGATTGCCAACTGTCATACAAGTAGCCCACTTAAATCCATTGCCAAATTAGAGTACCTTCATTCACAATTTACAAACAACCACAATGACAACAAACAATCAAGCAGCAGCAGCGACAAAATCAATAATAGAATGGGTATCGATGGATGGACAGGCGAGATAACCGATATGGAGAGGTTGGGTATAATTGAACCTTTAATACTAAAGAAATCAATCATTACCACTGCATTTGAATCATGTATGACTCTATTAAGAATTGATACAATCATATCATCATAAAAATAATAAAATATTATTTAAGATCCATGCAGCTTTAATAATTAATAAACTATCTAAAGACAAATCGAATTTTCTCTTATAATTCTAACATTAAACCTGTCCAATATTTTGTTAAGATGACGATATTGGTTTAGTATTTAAACATATGTTCTATCAGAAATCATTAAGGTTCAATGATCTTTATTAGTTTAAAATTATTAATAATTAACTAATGGTTTATTGAAACTTGAATTCCCACTTCAATTTTTAATATTTCGAGAGATTAAATTTCTTTTCGAGAAAAAGGGTTTCTCGGTGAGTAATGGTACTTGTTCTTTCATTGTATATATATTTGTTTGAAAATATTATTATGGAAGCTGAATCAGATATATTAGTAAGACAATCATTTGAAGATTTGGCCAAACTATCTCGCATGTTTGCAATTGACATTGGATATGAATTGTTGTTTGGTGCTATCACGTTCCCTGTTGGATTGGTAGCAACCATGTATGGTGTTTCGGTCGGAGTTGTTACAGCAACTGCTGCAGGCGTAACTCGTGCTGCTTTTGTTATTTCTTCAACTCCTCCCGGTTAGATTCTGGCTGGTGCTGCTTTGGTGGGAACAGGCGTATATTTGAATAGTGCTGGTATATATCGAAAAGTAAAGGGTATTCCTTCACCACCAAGAGAGAATTGGTCAAGGATCACAAGAATATTAGACTAAAATATGTTCTTTAATTAAATATTTTCAATCATGTATCACTATATTTAGAACAGATACAATAATATAATTTTAATAATTATAAACTTTTTTATCAACAGATCTACTGTATCTATCATATCTTTCATTTCTACCTCGTTTGCGCTTGTATCACCATCTCTATCAACATATCTCCCACCTCTGTCTTTATTATCAATAGACCTACCCTCTGTATCATCTCTTCGGTCACTACCATTTGGTCTAACTTTTAATCTCATTTATTGTGATATTTCCACTATCTTTAGAATTGGATAGGTATGATACTTCAGATCCAATAGCAAATTTGTCCAACAAATAGATTTGATCCTGCATCTTCTTGAATTCTCTTTTTGTTCCCTGAATCTTTGAAATTGATTAAATTATGAGGAGCATTTCTCTTTATCACTAAAGGCTCTTTTTTCTCAAAAAATAACACTTTTGCAAAATTAAATATTTAAGTTCACTTTTTTACGTGAAATTTTCACCTATCATCGAAACTTATTTTATAAGAAACCGCATCTAGTTGTACATTTTAAATATTTATTGTATTTCTATTCATTTTCCATATTAGTTATTTATAATTATTATTATTTTTAATATGTCATCAGAAAAATTTATACAACTACCATTAGGAGAGTTTTCCAAACTATCTTCCGCATTTTTGGCTACCACTTTGCCTGTTGCGATTGAAGCTCTTCTCTACTACCAAAAATTACAGACAACCAAAGAGAAAGCCAACGATTCAGATTCATTTAACCGAGAGCTAATTAAGTTCAAAGATTCTAGTCATAGTGAATTAACTCTTGATGAAGAGATAGAAAAACAGAGAGGCAATCCAAAGTTTGTCTTACAGAAAAGACCAGATGGAAAAAGCCCTGTTCAACTGTCAGCTGATTTTTCAGAGTTCCACAAAGATTGTATTTCGGAATCGAGATGTTGTTGGATTGGAGATAAAGATGTTCAATGTTGTAATCATGTGAATAGTCGTAATCATGTGAAAAGTCGTCACATTTCTCTCTGTGAAACTCATATGCAAATAATGGAAAAACAAATGAATATCAAGAAAAGACTTTCAGAGGAAGAAGAAAAGGAACTCCATCATAAGGTATACAATGTAATGTGGCCATACTTTACCAAGAGGATCAATGAAATCGAATCACACAAAGTCAAGGGTGAGAGAGAATCAGCAGAATTACAACTCCTCTACAAGATGAAATCTGTGATCTATACATATAGAACGCTTCTCAATCCGGGATTTGGTGGTTTCTTGGAAGCTATCATTGAAATTTTTTCTTCATCACTTTTAGAGCCAACCAAAGATATAGTTACGAAATTTGGATTTGCAGTTGCATGTGCTTTAGGAATATTCTCAATTGCACTGATAGCAGTTGACACTGGAAATGAATTGTTGTTTGGTGCCATCATGTTCCCTGTTGGATTGGTAGCAACCATTTATGGAGTTTCAGTTGGCGTTGTTACCGCTGCAGCTGCAGGTGCAACTGGTGCTGCTTTTGTAATTGCTGCAACTCCTCCAGGTTGGATTCTGGCTGGTGCTGCGTTAGTAGGATCAGGTGCATTTTTGATAGGTGCTGGTATATATCGAAAATTAAAGGGTGTTCCTTCACCACCCAGAGAGAATTGGTCAAGGATCACAAGAATATTATTAGGCTAATTGAAAAAATAAATATTAAACCGTTTAACCTATCATTTTAATAAAATATTTTAATCGGGATTAAATAATGAAAAAAATTAAATAAATTTAAAGACAAAGTTCAAGGAATATTGAGAATAGATACAATATTAAATAGTTGATAGCAAAAAAAAAAAATCGATCTCTGAGTGATTTAAATTTTGGCGCGCCAAAAAAAAATGAAGATTGCAAAGTTTAATTTATTGGAAACTAATTTAAAATAGATAAATTTGTAGAATTTTTTTGATAAATCATTTAATTTAATGTATTTATCAATTTATATCAATCGTTAATATCTTTAATAATTTAGTATAAAGTATGAATAGTAATAGTGATATTAATAATAGTGACTGTCTGTTTCCAATAAGAGATGAAATCATTGAGGATAAAGATGATGACGATGATGAAATACCACCAACACAATTCACTGTATCTTCAGATGCAATGACAAGTACAGATAATGATAACCTACAACATGATCAAATAAATCATACAGAGACAGGTAAAGAACAAGATGAAGAAGAGGATGAAAAAATAAAGATTTGGGGTGAATTGCTTGCGGTTAGCGATAAGCTGTCGTCCGTTACACTCTCTGATGATTCATTTGTTTTGGGTAGATTGAAAACATGTAATATAACGATTCCAGAGACAATAATATCTGCAAAACACTGTAGACTTTTTAAAAGTAGTAATGATTGCATTTTAATTCAAGATCTTTCAACAAATGGTATGTATATTTAAACCACTTAATAAAATAACTTAAACTAAAATAAAATAAATATAAAGGCACTTTTATAAATGGAAAAATGATTGGTAGAGGTAATTTGGAAGTGGTGAAGAATGGTGATAGAATCAGTTTAGCTGGAGCATCGGTCGAAAATCAGTTGACATATATTTTCAAGGACAACAAGTTGGAGCCAAAATCACATATTTGGGAGACACTTTCAACCAAAAAGATATTGAATGATTATGATATCATTGGTGAACTTGGTGGTGGATCATTCAGTGTAGTTTATTTGGCTGTAAACAAATCGACAGCAACCAAAGTAGCAATCAAAGACATTGATATTTCAAAATACAACCAGAATCCACGATATCTTACACAACTCGACAGAGAGATCGAAATACTTAGATCGATCAAACATCCAAATATAATTAACATTCATGAAATATTTCAGTCTGACAATCACATTTATATTGTAATGGAGTTGTAAGTTTAATTAAATAACCGACATATTATTTATTTATTAATGCTTTATTATAATTATAATTTACATTGGAAATTAACAGGGCAACAGGTGGTGAACTATATGAAAAATTGGAAAACGAGGTATTTCTTGGTGAGGAGGTTGCAAGACTGATATTTTTACAACTATTGAATGCAGTTGACTATTTACATTCTCAAGGTATTGCACATAGAGACTTAAAAGTAAATACAATTTTAATTATTTTAATGATAAACGATCATAACCGATTTCAATACTAATTAATTCATTCATTAATAACATCAAAACTTATAGCCAGAGAATATACTTTTTGATGGGGATGATAAAATAAAGATAACAGATTTCGGATTTGCTAGGGTCATTGGCGATGGTGAACTTGCTAAAACACTCTGTGGTACACCATTATATGTGGCACCAGAGGTAATAGTTTCCCGAACTAAATTATCTACCAACACCAATTTTAGCAATGGTTATGGATTTACATGTGATGCATGGTCATTAGGTGCAATATTGTATATATTGTAAGTTTGTCATTGAAATATACAATCAATACAACAAAATCTAACTAACAAACAAACTGACTTACTGTCTCTACAATTGATATATTTAGATTAAGTGGAGATGCACCATTTTGCGATGATACACAAGAGGAATCTATTTCTACACCAACTATATTTGAATCCATTGTAGCAGGTGATATAAGTTATCCTGAGGTGTTGTGGGCTGATATTTCTGCAGATGGTCTGTATTTTTAATGTATATAGCTATTTATTGTATAAACTAATATAATATTATAATATAAAACAGGAATCGATCTGGTAAAGAGATTACTTACTGTGGAACCAACTGAAAGAATAACAATCAAAGAAGCACTCAAACATCCTTGGTTGCTAATTGAACCATCGAAAGAAGATGACAATGAATGTGTATCAGATCCGGAAATTAGAGAAAAGAGACCGATGAATCATCAAGATCAAGATGACTCTATTGACAATAGTCTAAAGAGAAGAAGAACATTTATGTAATTAAAAAAAAAAAAAAAACAAACAAACAAACTAAAAAAAATATAACATTTATATTTTTTTACATAATAATTGTATATATCTATTCCAAAAATAATAAACAATATTTAATTATATGTTTGAATATTTAGTACTACTTAATATAAATAATTCCAAACATGGAAATTTTAAAACAACGAATAAAAACGACGATTTTTTTTTTAAAAATTTAAAAGGAATAATTATTTGAAAAATACATTAACCCCCATATTCAACATGCTTAATCTATGAAAAGAATTTTAATCTACAGATTAAAAAAATAAAAAAAGAGTACAAATATATTATTATTAATCAAATTTTGAGATTTAGTGCGTTTCGTTATAGGTATTATTTGTATACATATAATAACTAATTATTTTTTACTCAACCCAAATCTATTTTAATTTAAGTAATATTTATTTTATTTTTAAGTAGATATTTCCAATAGATAGATAGTTTGTTTTGTTTTGTTTTTGATTTGTTTGACAGCAATCAATTAACCAACAAACCAACCACTAACTAAAAATAATAACAAAATTTTTGGACTGTTGTTTGAAACAATCAACAAAAAACACAAAAGTAAAAATTGCAAAAAAAAAAAAAATAAATTTTATTATTATAATAATCCACAACTCACAAAGCACAATTTTTCATATATATATATATATTAGAAAATATAAAATAAAAACAAAAAGAGTATTCCTAACTTGTTTTGTCACTCTTGTTGTTGTTTGAAACATCAATTATTTTTGTAATACTAGTGTAATCATCATTAAAAAAGAAAGAAAGATAGGATAATAATATTATTATATTTAATAATAGATTATCGATAATCAAATCATATCAAATCAAAATAATTAGTCATTAGAAAATCAATATTCGTATTCATATATCAAATATACATATGTGTATATAGTTAGTTAGTAGTTAGATAGTTAGTTAGAAATTATAGTAATTAATAGATATATTGAGAATAGTTAAAGAATAGATATTTCAGTAATAATAAATCAAGTTATTAATTAATAGTTAATAGATAGTTGGTGAGGATGACTTCGCTTCAAAAGCAAACATCCTCAACTACTTTTGTCAATGATAACAATGATTTGACAAAGTTGAAATCATCGTTATCACAGCGTGCGATGGCAAGAAGAAGTGTATGTTTGAACTCTGCACTGCTTTCATCGACGTTTGCTCAGGAAGGTTCAAAAGAGGAACCTATCAATGTTAGTTCCTCTTCAAAGATAAAATCACCTCTAAAAGACAAAGAGAAAGATAAGGATAAAGATAAGGACAATAGCAATAATGGCAATGGTAATCACCCACCTTCAAAGATTCCAGATAGACCAAGTATCAAACCAGGCTTCAGAACAAACACAACTTCATCATCTTTAAAGAGTAATAATACAACATCTACTACCACTACAACAACAACAACAACATCATCGACATCTACAACAACAACAACAAACAATGGTAACAATAGTTTGAATTTCAATAATGTTTTATCAAGTAGCGGTAGTAATAATAGTACTAAGCGTTCGAATACACTGAGAAATCCAATAACATTGTCAAGTAGTAGCAGTGGTGGTAGTGGAACTGCTGGTGGTGGTGGAGATGAAATACAGATCAAACACACAGCTTCGTCACTTCAAAAGATGAAGACATTGGATACTCGTACCAAACGTTCAAATACAATATCTAATGGATTATTTGGTTCTTCTCTCAATTTGAAATCACAACCTTCAACAACTACAACTACGACAACAACTAGTAAATCAAATGATAATAACAGTCATAATGGTATTGATAGTAAAGTTGACAAGATAACAACAACAACTACAACAACACCATCTACTTCCTCTTCTTCCTCCACAGCGTCAACAACAACCACAAACAATGATATGATGATGAATAACAACAGCAATGAATCGACAGCCGATCAACCACCAGTAGCAGCAGCAGCAACAGCACCGAAACCAAAACCAAAAGAAGATGTATTCACTAGATTGTCATCGATCACTAAATCCAGTAGATCGCGATCACTCTCTGTAGGACCATCTTCCGCGCCATCCGTGCAATCAACAAACTCTACCTCATCAGAATCACACAGCAAAGACTCATCGAAAATCAGCAAAATCATACCAAAGATACTTAGATCGTCGTCAAAGAAAGATGTTAGCGAAAAGACCACAACCAAAGACAATAAAGATGCAACAACAACGACAACGACAACATCATCTTCTTCTTCATCTTCTTTGAAACCATCGAAAACCTCACCCATTAAATCAACATCAACCATTTCAACACTCTCTGACTCAACAGCATCGATATCACTTACATCATCAACATCAACACCCACCTCACCAACCAAATCACTTTCAAGCTATAAATGTACTATGACACCATCAGGTAAGAAAAAATGATTATCATGATCTCCATCTACACAACCAAATTATATACTTATAATATATTACGGATTATTATTATTTTATTTTAGTTGCTCTAAAATTGTATATCAATGATTTAACGATGGCAGAACAATCAGAGATAATGAACTTCCCACAAATCTTTTTTACAGGTAACACCACACAGAAAACGAAATTCAACAGGAATCTACCAAACAATGGCTATGATAACGATCAAGGTGATTACAAGATTGTAGAACACGACCATATTGCATATCGATACGAAGTGCTATCTATACTTGGACAGGGTTCATTTTGTCAAGTAGTAAAGTGTCTCGATCATAAAACAAGTCAATTGGTTGCTCTCAAGATACTTAGAAATCAAAAGCGATTCTATACACAAGCTCTTACTGAAATCAAAATATTGGATTTTCTTAAAAATAATGTAACTACATTTAAAATATACATATACATAGTTTTATATTAACTCATCTTTATTATTAATATATATAACAATAATAGGATCCAAATTCATCAGCTAATATAGTTCATATGAATGATAACTTTGAATTTAGAAATCATTTATGTATTACTTTTGAACTTCTTAGTATGAATCTTTATGATTTCCTAAAGAACAATCAATTTCAAGGTTTTAATATTAGTTTGATTAAAAGGTAAGCCTTGTTGTTTTATTAAAACACTATTGTTGATATAATCAATCTAACTGACTATTATCTATCAACTCTAAAATAGATTTGCCGCTCAATTATTGACATCATTAAGATTCCTTTCAAAGAGACATATTATTCATGCAGATTTAAAGGTAATTACCATACTATTTTATCATTAGAAAAGAAAAAAAAGATATTAACACTAACATTGTTATTCTATCAATTAATTAATTAATAATAGCCTGAAAATATATTATTAAAACAACCTACTAAATCAGGAATTAAGTTAATTGATTTTGGAAGTAGTTGTTTTGAAAATGAACAAAGTATGTTAAAATTGTTGTTTATTATTATTTATTAATTAAAGTAGATTTATATAACTAACTTGTTTTTTTTTTTTGATAATCAATTAAGTATTTACATATATTCAAAGTAGATACTATAGATCACCAGAGGTTATTCTTGGTATTAAATATGATAAGGCAATCGATATTTGGAGTTTAGGATGTATATTAGCAGAGTTGTATATGGGAACACCTTTGTTCCCTGGAAACGACGAACCAGAACAATTGGCATGTATTATAGAGATATTCGGAGTGCCACCTCCCGAAATCATTAACGCTTCCACAAGAAGAAATGTCTTTTTTTACGACAACGGAGAACCAAAGCCTGTATCGTGTTTAAACTCGGAGGGCCAAGAGTATGGTATCAGCACAAAGACATTGGCACAATCAATGAGAACGGACGACCTCGACTTTATTGACTTTATTGAACAATGTCTAAAGTGGGAGCCATCGAAACGTTTGACCCCTGAAGAGGGTCTCAGACACAAATGGATAAGCGAGCTCACCAGTGTACCAACAGCAACAACAACACCCTCAACTACAACTACTACTACCACCTCTACCAACAACAAAGAGGAGTCTTAACCCCTCCATACGGAACTTCAACACCTCTCTAAAAAACCAATAATAAATTATTATGAATTATTCGACTCATTCACAAAACATCACATTTAACTTTCTTTTTCTACATCTTAAAAATCAAAGAATTAGCTGCAGTATTATTTTCCAAAAATATTGTCAAAAACAAACATTAATGTTTTAGATCAATGAATAATTCAGATAATAATCAAAATAGTTCAACCATTGTGAATAGTAATAGTGATATTATAAATGGTGTTGCAAGAACATCTTTGTTTGTATCTGCAGGTAGAGCCTATACAACCAATAGTTATGTAAGAAACATTCTTGCAAATGGCAGTGATGAAGAGAAAGCAAGAATAGTAGAGTTTCTACCATATTTTCAAGAGCGTTTGTCTGATTCGTTTATACCTCCAAAGGCTGGTATCTACGATCCATACTCATTCTACTTCTCGACGACAAGCGATGCACTCGAATTGATAAAGAAAACCATTGCCAAGGTCGATCCTGACTATCCACTGGCAGACATCAACAAATACAATCCAATGTATCTATGGTCATTCATATCGGAATCCGCACATCTAAGAGTTGCATTTAGAACTAAATATATAGATCATTTCATTGAATCACAATATAACAATAGCAACAATAACGATAGCAATGATAACTATAATAACAATCAATTTAAACAATTAATTATATTGGGTGCAGGATTAGATACACGTGCACTTCGGTTGAATATACCCGATGATACGGTTGTGTATGAACTCGATTTGCTGGAGGTCATAGAGTATAAGAAGAGATTGTTGGTCGAGGCAACCAAGGTATTCACACCGAAAACGAAATGCAAACTAGTTCAAATACCGACTGATCTGAGGTATCCAGAGTTGTGGACAAAGAGTTTGTTGGATGCAGGATTCCAGAGTGACCGCCAATCACTTTGGGTACTTGAAGGATTGCTTATGTATCTGACGGAATCGGATATCAAGATACTACTAGATACAATCAATCAGCTATGTTCCCCAGCGTCAAAGATTTTAATACATACAGTCAATGAAGTACCACTGGAGAAGAGAACATTGATCTTCAAGGAATTCAACTCACTTACCGATCACCCAGAGAACTATTTAATAGAATCCGGTTTCACAAAAGATATCAAACCCATTTCCTATATTGAAATCAATCAAATGTTTGGTGACGACACAACAAAACTATCAAAATCATCGATGTTCACAAGTGCTTCAAAGTAATGCATCTTTTATAGTCTTGACAATAAATTAATCTTAGCGATTGTTGAATTTCATTCAAAAAATTTCAAAAATAGACAATTTTTTTTTTTTTTTTTAAATTAGTGTCAGATAATTAGATATAACGGATAAAATATTGATATTATACAGTTATTTTATTACTAGTTTAGTTTAATTTCTTTTATATATATTCATTTATTAAATTATAAAAACGAACTAATAATGGAATCAGGTGAAATAAAAGAAGAAAGAAGAAGTGAAAGTCCTGTAAGATACAGAGATAGAGATAGAGACAGAGATAGCAGAGATAGAATAGACAAAGATATCAATGTTAAATCAGAAAATGGTAGAGATAGAAATAACAGAGATAGTAGAGATGACATAAATAGAGACAGAGATAGAGATAACAGAGATAGTAGAGACAGAGATATCAATGTTAAATTAGAGAATGGTGGTCGTGATGGAGATAGCAGAGATGATAGAGACAGAAATAGAGTTAGAGAAAAAGAAAAAGAAAGAGAAAGAGAAAGAGATAGAGATAGAGATAGATATAGAAATAAAAGTAGAAGTAGAAGTAGAAGCAATGATAGAAATAGAAGAAATAATAGAGATGATAGAAACGATAGAAATAGGGATAGAAATGATGTAGATAGAAATGATAGAGATAGAAATGAAAGGGAAAGAGATAGTAGAAGAAGAAGATCTAAAAAAGAATATAGTGACAGTGAAGATGAAAGCAGTGACAATAGTGATAGTTATAAAAAGAGAAGAGAAAGAAGAAGATCAAAAGATACTGATGAAAGTGATAATGATAAGAGAAAACGTGGCGAGAAACGATCGTATAGAAGTAGAGATACAAAGGAACGTGAAGAGCGTGATCAAAAGATTGAGGATAAAGTAAAAGAAGCGCAAATGAAAGAGCGTGCCACCGGTGTCTATATACCACCGTTCAAGTTGGCGATGATGCAACAGAAGGTCACCGACAAGTCGTCTGTAGAGTACCAGCGTATGGAATGGGATGCTCTCAAGAAATCGATCAACGGTTTGATCAACAAAGTCAGTACTTCGAACATCAAGAATATTGCAGTGGAGTTGTTTGGTGAGAATATCATTCGTGGTCGTGGACTGCTCGCGCGTTCCTTGATGGCCGCACAGAAGATCTCACCAAAGTTCACCAATGTCTACGCCGCACTGGTAGCGATCGTCAACACCAAGATTCCCGATATTGGCGAACTCATTTTGAAGCGTTTGATCGACCAATTCAAAAAGTCGTTCCGTCGTAACGACAAGAGCAGCTGTCTGGCGGCATCGCGATTCCTGGCGCACCTCGCCAACCAACAAGTCGTAGGTATTGTCATTCCACTCGAAATTATAACTCTGTTGCTCGATAAACCGACCGATGATTCTGTGGAGGTTGCTGTCGACTTTATTAAGGAGTGCGGACAAATTCTTCAGGAGATATCGTCGGCCGGATTCATTGGAGCGTACGACCGTATGCGTGCCATCCTCCACGAGGGTGAGATAGATCTACGTGTGCAATACATGATTGAAGATCTCTTCAAGGTGATTCGTTCGAATTTCAAAGAGTTTCCAGCGGTCACTCCAGAGTTGGACGTAGTGGACATTGACGACCAGATTACCCACGAGGATATGTCACTTGAGGAAACCTATGACATTGAAGATGGAACCAACTTTTTCAAAGAAGATCCAGAGTTCCTGGAACATCAACAACAATATTTGGATGTGAAGCATAGCATTCTTGGAGAGTCGAGCAGTGAGGAGGAAGAAGGAGAATCCGGTGAAGAAATGGACGAAGATGACGATGAAGCGGGTGAATATCGCTCCGCTGGAACAGTCATGGATCAAACTGTGGAAATTCACGACGAAACCGAAACCAATTTGATCACCTTGAAGAGAACTGTATATCTTATCATTATGTCTTCGAAGGACTTTGAGGAGTGTGCTCACAAGATATTAAAGATGAAGATCCCCGCTGGCCAAGAAATTGAGATCTGTAACATGATCATTCAGTGTTGTAGCCAGGAGCGTACCTACCTCAATTTCTATGGTAATTTGGCACAGCGATTCTGTATGGTCAATCGTCAGTACAAAGAGTCTTTCGAACAGTGTTTCACTGAGCAATATGCTACGGTGCATCGTATTGAAACCAACAAGTTTAGAAACATTGCCAAACTGTTTGCACATCTCTTGTTCACCGATGCTCTGCCATGGAGCATCTTTGAATACATCCACATCAACGAGGAGGAAACCAACTCTGCCAGTCGTATCTTTATCAAGATCATCTTCCAAGAGATCAACGAGTTTATTGGAATTCAGAAATTCAACGACCGACTACAAGATCCATCGATGCAAGAATACTTCAAAGGCATATTCCCCAAAGACAATCCAAAGAATACAAGATATGCAATCAATTTCTTTACATCTATTTCACTTGGTGCATTAACGTATGTATTATTATTATTTATAACTTTAACTTAAAACTAATTACTAATTACTAATTACTATTCATTTTAAATTGTATAGTCATGAATTAAGAGAATATCTAAAGAATGCACCAAAGATGATTATGCAACAAAAGAAAGAATCTTCTTCATCAAGCAGTTCAGATAGTTCAGATAGTTCAGATAGCTCAGATAGTAGCGATTCTAGTGATAGCTCTAGTAGTAGTGACAGTGATGCTGATAGAAAGAAAAAGAGAAGAAGATGAAAAAAGTAAAAAAAAGATCACAAACAAAAAAAAAAAGATAATTTTGTAATCAATAATTACTTAATATATATAAATAAGCATAACTTTTAAAAAAGTTTGTTATAATAATAATTTATAATTTAATCGATCATATTATTTTGTTTTGATTTGATTTGTCGTTTGTGATTTATATGGGAGGATGTTTGAAGAGGAGACTAAGAAGGCGTGTAATTTACTTTGTGTATGTGTTTTTTTTTTTTTTTTTTTTTGATTGTATAGTTTTATCTTTAGTTTACTTTTTTTTTTTCTTTCTTTTTTGATTAACATATATTATATTATTGATCTGATTTTGTAAAACATAATAAGTTTAGATTGGTAATTTAAATGATACATCGAGATCGGCCTTTTCGGCGAGTGAAACAATATCAGCGATTCTAACAGCCTTTTCAGCAGCTTCGTCAAGATCGTCGGCAGCAATTAAACGGAGACCACTGTCTTCCATGATCTTCTTGGCAGACTCGACGTTGGTACCTTGCAGACGAACGACCAATGGTGTCTTGATGGACAACTCCTTGACGGCAGCGATAATACCAAGAGCGATGATATCACACTTCATGATACCACCGAAAATGTTAACCAAAATCGACTTGACCTTGGTGTCGGAGCTGATCAACTTGATGGCTTCGGTGACCTGCTTTTGAGTGGCACCACCACCGACGTCCAAGAAGTTGGCTGGGCTACCACCGTAGTGCTTGATAATATCCATAGTGGCCATAGCCAAACCGGCACCATTTACCAAACATCCGATCGATCCATCCAAACCAATGTAATTCAAATCGTACTCGGAAGCTTTAACCTCACGTGGATCCTCTTGTGTACGATCTCTCAAATCGAATACTTCCTTTTGACGGAATGCTGCATTGTCATCGAAATTCAACTTGGCATCCATACATAAAACTATATATATATATATATATTAATACATATTGAGAATAAAATTAATAAATATTCAATCGTTATAATTTGTAATTTGTAATTTGTTTGTTGTTGTTGTAATCCTTCCTCTCTCTTCTCTCTCTCTTTTTCTATGTTGCTATTAACTTACCATCACCAGATGAAGTCTCAGCCAATGGGTTAATCTCTACCAAAGTACAATCGTGTTTGATGAAAAAGTTGTAGAGTTTTTGCATTTGATCTTGTGCTTTAGAGATGTTCTTTGGTGAGATACCAATCTTTTGAGCGAGACGGGCGGTCTGCTCTGGTTGTACACCCTTGAAGATGTCGATTGGCTCGACAAAGATGGCCGATGGATTCTCACGAGCGACAGTTTCAATGTCGACACCACCCTCTGGCGATGCAATCATGACTGGACCACCAGTCTTACGATCCATCAAAATGGCAAAGTACATCTCACGTCTCAGATAGTGACGCTCGGCAATGTATATTTTGTTGACGACCTTACCGTCGGGACCAGTCTGCTTGGTCACCAAAGTATATCCCAACATCTTCTTTGCATAGTTTTTCACTTCCTCCGGACTATTACAAATATGTACACCACCCTTCAATCCACTCGAGAAAACACCCTTTCCTCTACCTCCAGCAAGAATTTGTGCTTTTACAACTAAATCCTGTGTATCTATAAATTTAATTTATCACAATAACACAATAATAACCAATTTGTTAACAAACCATCTTTTTTTTTTTTTTTTGTCATTTCGATTAGTTTAATCTTTAATTTTCATTTACATACTTAAGACTTCAGCCAACTTTTCGGCTTCCTCTGGGGTGTCAGCAACATTACCGTTTGGACATTCGATTCCATATGTTCTCATCATCTTTTGAGCTTGATACTCGTGAACATTGAGGTAACGCTTAGTGTAGACCAACGATGAAGTTGCCTTTTGCTTTGGTGAGAAAGCATTCAATGCTGATCTTTTTAAGACTTGACTGAACATTTTAACTTTTTATCCAAAATATATTACTACTAATACTACTATTAAAAAATAAATATATATATATAGAGTGTTGAGTGAGTGTGGACCCTTTTTTGTTTTAAAACAGCAACAACAATAATACAATCAGATTTGATATAATCAAATTCAAAGATTGTAGAGTGAAAATATGAAAGAATGTAGGAGAAAAAAAAAAAAAGATGATCTTAACAATAATGAATGATTATTATTAGGATTTTATAAAAAAACTTGTTTAGTTTCTATCTATTAAGTGATGGTAGTTCAAACAGTAAGTAGTGCTGACCACCCACCCGCACAAATCAAAAACAAAAAAATGAAAAAAATTAATTTTTTTCACTTTCTTTTTTTTTTTTTTTTTTTTTCAAAACTGGTCGTCATAAGACTATTTTTTTTCATCGTTTTGTTTTGATTTATCAATGTATTAATTAATTGATTAGTTGTTTCACAAAACAACATAAATAATATTTTTTGTATTTTTGAATTCAAAAAATAAGAAATCAAAGTAATAAAATAGTAATTTCATAATATTGTTTTTTTTTTTTTTTTTGTTTTTAAAAAGCATAAATCAAAATTATTTTATTTTAGAAAATTCTGTTTTGGGAAAATGTTTTATCACTTCAAAAAAGGTATTATACTTTCGGTTTCATACGATTATTGGGGAAAATATATTTATTTTCTCAATACTGATCTCAATGAAATCGATAAAATATTTTGATCGCCATTGGCGTTCATCGTTCGATACTATTCTTCTTAATTGTTATCAACACATTCAAATAAATAAAGTTTTACGTATACAAACAAAATTCATGAATTTTAAATATTTCATCAAATTTATTTATTAGATTAACTATTTACGTAAGTGAAAAAAAAAATAATTATATATAATGATCATATCATTGCCAGTACCAACTCTTTGTTTTCAATTCTAAAACCCCACACACATCATACCATTTTTTTTCAAATCTTTATCTCCTATCTCTTATCTTATTTTTTTTATTTTTATTAACAGTCATTTAATTTTAAAGAGACATATGTAACCGTTAATTGATATATAAATTAATATTTGAAATATCAATTTTCAAATTTAAATTTAATTTTTATGATTGTTATTATGTAACTGAATCAGTATTGTTTGTTGTTCTTTAATTACTATTATAAAAACAAATATAATAATTTATTGTAGGTTATAAAATCTGAAACTTAATATTATTGTTTTTTTTTTTTTAATACTACTACTTCTACATCTCGATCATAATTGGTTTCAAATAAACATAGGGTCAATTTTAATTAGATTTACTATACAACTGTTTGTTTTGTTTAAAAAGTATTCAATTCAATTTAATTTCACTTTAGATTTGTTATTGTCACTCACAACAATTCAATTTCATTCATTGTGGTTATCCTTCTACCACTTTTGTCAATAATCATAATCAATTCCGAGTTTTGTCGAATAAACTAGTTATTTATAGTATCATCAGTAGGGAGAATTGATTTCAACATCAATCAAAAATATTTGTTAGATTTATTGGTTATGTTCGAACATCTCACACAGATGGCAATAGCGATAAGATAACCATAAACATTAATAGAAATAATAACGTTAGTTCTAAATGTGGAATATATATTCAACACCCAGCTACCCAACACACTTCAATAACAATCATCTCACACCACACACACTACTATCAATCCATATTTATATCAGTTTTGAATTTACCACTAATATTGTTTGATCATTGGCAGTGGTAAAATGATTGTATTACTCAACATGTATTGCTAGACCAATGATAATTCTATACCATCAATAATAGCAATACTACCGTTTTTAGTAACATTGTATTATATTCCATTAATGTTTTTTCTGTGTTAATTATTGAATATTTGATTCAAAATAGAAAAGTGAATTGGACAACAGTTATTGTTATAGATCACAGTTTTTCCTTAACCCAACACGCTGCCATTATCAATAGAACAAATCAAACCACTGTACATTCCTATATATAATATTTTTAAACAAAATTTGAAAAAAAAAATTATTATTATTGTTTATTATATCCTCTAAGTTGGATAGATTAACAATTTAAATTTACACTTATCAAAATTATCGAATTGTTTTGATTATCAAGATTGAAAACAAAATTATCTTTTTTAAAAAATAAAGTAATAAAAACATATTATTGTACAACTCAAATAATAATAACAAAAAACAAGTAATTAAATATCTAATTCTTATCTTCGCACTCGCTAATCATATTCAAAGTTCACAGAAAAAACCGCCATTACATCAAGGTAAAAACAAATTTTAATTAGATTTTTTATTTTTTAGGTTTTTTTTTCATTTTTATTTTTTATTTTTTTGATTTTTGTTTTGGTTTTACTTTGTTGACCACCAAACCACACAAAACAACACAACAACTAAAAAAAGTAGGGCCAAACACAATCACATTCACCAATATCTCACTCTTTTTTTCATTCATTTCTCATTATTTATTTATAAATTATCTCAAACCCCAATATATTCATCCAAATCAAAAAATTTGCATCAACAACAACAGATTTCTAGATTTTTTAGTTTACAAAATAATTTCCTTTTTATTTTTAATCATCTCTTAAACCGCAAATCAAGCATAAGCAAAAAAAAAAAAAAAAAAATATAAATAAAAACAAAACAGACTGAACCAAAAATTAAACTTACGATTGAAAAAAGGAGCAGGAAGATGTAGGAAAATTTGAAATAGTAAGCATAACATAGATATATATATTTATATAAAGGTATTGTATTGATTTGTTTTATTGAATATCAAAGAGAATATTCTTTTTGTTTCCTATCCTTTCAGCAGTTACAACTATTCATTCACACAAGGACCAAAATATTAGAAAATTGGCTCCACAAACAAACAAACAATTCAATCAATCTTTTAAACAAACTAAACAAAACAATTCAATCATCGATTGGAATGTGTGTTTTCTTTATATCTGTTTCTGTTCATTTCATTATTTTTTTTAAATACACAATGATTCCGTTTTAAAAATATTATCTTCCAAATTTAAACTCCCATACCACATGCAATTATTTAAATTCTCACAACCACTGATCAGTATACACAAAAACACACACCCACACCACACCAGTCATCTATGATTTCAAATTCTGATTGATTGTTCATCGTGTGATCACAAAATATATGGAACTCAATTCCACACCACTATCTACTATTTTAGTTAATCACAAGTGGCAATAACCATACCACTTTCTCAATATATAATATGATTCAATATAATTATTCTAGTTGAGTGACCACATACAGCGATACAGAGATGAAATTAAGGTTTTATAGTGATTGTGGTAGCAATAGTAGTCAACATCACTTTTTTTATTCCACCTTTTCATCATTATATCAATCATTCATTTCTACTCTCATCTATTTCAATTGATAAAACACACATACACACAAATAGCACAACACTGTATCCATAATCAAAAGTACAAGCAGCAGCAACAACAACAACAACAACAACAATTAATAATCAGACTCACAATATTCAGCTACATTCCAAATAATAATAATTAACATCAACAAATAGGATTTTAAAAACAAAGAAATATTAATAATAGTAATATTGTTTATTTAAATTAATTACATTGTATTTAAATTACACGGCAAAAGTTATTATTATTATCTATACATTTTTAATACCAAAAATATGTTAACTTTTGGGTGTAATTTATCTCTTTCTCTTGTTCTTAAAACAACAAAAACAACTGGTTTATAAAATATTGTTTATGCAAATCTATTCACATCTACCAACCATTTCCCACTACCACTACCACTCACACCAATAGCAACAACAACAATAACAAACAATTGAAGTTATACACTTCATTTCTCTCTTCAAAAAAAAAAAAAAAAAAAAAACAACAACAATAAGTTCTCTATCCTTTCGAATTCAATAACCCCCAAGCACTTAATCACACTGGTGGATAATGATCAACAATTCAATCAATCATACTATAGAGCATATAAAACATATAAGCAAATTGAATGATAGTACAATCATATCTTATCCGTTATATTGACATCTTTATTTTGTGATGTTGGTGTGACTCTATTGAAGTTGGTCATTCAATCACATCTAAATCTCCAAATTAAAAATTAGATTTATCAAACAGAGGTAGAGTTGTTGTTGTTATTATTTGGTTGTGATCGATTGATTTTTTCTAATTGTTACAAATATTTGATATAAATTAAACAATTATAATTATAAAAACAACAACAATAATCATAAATTATAAAAATTAAATAAATTTAACAAACCCTAATATTATATCCTTATTTATATATTCCCTCAATTCAAATTATTATTATTTGTAAATACAGACATTATTACAACAACTACAATATAAAATCAATAATTTTTAGAGTGTATTCACTTTTCTTTCACCAACTTTTTTTTTAAAAAAAGGATATTATAACCTTTTCAACTACCAATCAGTAATATATATATATATACATTTATGATTAATGAATAAATGAATTCAGTTCAGTACATTTGATTGAATATTTGCTAATAATAACAATAATAACAACAACTCTTTTTTTTAAAGTAGTAATAATCATTTCAATCCACAAATCTTATCACAATTTACATTATTTCTATTCATTTTTTATTTGTTACGGTGTTATACCTACTCTCTTCTATTTGTTCATCACCAAAAATCACAACAATAATTTTTTTAAAAATAAAATTAATACTAATAATATTTATTTATAAATCATAATTAATTTAGCAAGAGCATCAAAAAATATTTAAACTTCAGTCTCTCACATCACTATCGTCCACCACCAACACCAACACTACACCCTCCATCTTATACTTATCGACACAATAAACCCCCTAGCAAAAAGAGTCAATAGCTGATAATCAGTATTCAATTCTCTCTTGGTATCAAGTAATCATTTTTTTTTTGGACCGTCCATCGTACCAATTGGATAAACAGATAATTATATTACAGGAGTAACAGTAGCTGCAACAACATTAAAAGTAGTAGAACGAAATAATATACACATATAAAATAGATTGAGAATGAGGTATGTATAAAAGATATAATCAAATAGAAAATAAAAATAAGGATGGATATCACTATCACCACCACCACTACCACCACTGTATCAGCATTTCCTTTATATCCTCCCCAATTCCAAATGGTCAAACACCGCCTCCAACTACTACAAAAAAATAAAATAATATATTACAATCAACATATCTAATTTCAGATAATATTTTAATATTCAGTTACAAATAATTTGATAAATTACTTTAAAGCAATTATAATATTTTATTTTTATTTTTGTTTAAGAACAGGACAGACAATGATATTACATATCATGTGTATATTTATATTTTAATTTTTATAATCAACTGTTAGTAATAATAATAAAATAACTGTAGTATTAGTATTTAAATTGTAGTTGTAGTTGTAGTCAATTGTTATAATAATCATCATAAATTTGTGTAGAATATATTAAAAGTATTATTAGAGATACTAACATTAACGAAAAATGCCATTTCGACAAATTTTAAATAGTAGTGAAGTCTCTCTAATTGGAATCACAGCAGTGTTGTTTCAAAGAGACCAATTTCAAAGATGGCAGAGTATAGATGATTCCCTGTGCCGATTGGAAATTCTACAGAATGAAAAAGAAGTTAAATTTAGATTGGTAGCCATTTCCAATGATAATAGAGTAGGTTCTTTTTTAAAAGAATTTTGATCATCCCTTGGATATTGGATTGCCAGATCACTAACCAATCGATTGAATATCTATCTATCTTTTAGTGTACTTTTAATAAGTGGGTTAGAACAAATAGTAGTATAACGAAATGTAGTGATTTGTTTCTCGAAATCAAACAAACATCTTCACAGACATCAAAGACAGATAGTATAGGTGTTAATTTTGCATATAAAGAGGAGGTTTCTAAATTCTTTGATTGTTACAATTCATGTATTAAAGCATTACAAAATAGTAAATCCACACTTCCAAATTCAGTTTCAATTCCAGATGGTATGATTACTATTTAAAAGTTTGAATTTCAAAACATACTAATATTCTTTCTTTTTGTTATTATCAGATTTATCAATGGTATCAATTTCAATTTCATCTTCTAGTCCACCTTTGAATTCGGAATTACCACAATCAGCAAATACCAGTGTTAATATTTCCAACTATTTAGATTTACCATTACCACCACCTCCACCTACAGCTCCACCCTCACCGATTGTCTCTGATCAATCATCGATTGGCGGTGTTACATATAGTGGTGCAGGCTTAGAAACACTGCCACCTCCACCTCCAACTTCGTTGGGAAGCACACCACCTATGCCAATCAGTGGGTCAAAGTCGGGATCGTTCTCATTCCCCTCCAGCTCAACACCACCCACTCTGCCGCTGCAAGATCTCTTCAATCCACCCAAGGCACTCACAACCATCACCACAACAACCACCACTACGATCACTCGTAACAATGCCAACAGTGACACTACTTCCGTTCTCAAAACTGCATCTGGAAGACGTTCGATTCGTGCACGTTCATCAACTACCGACCAGAAACGTACACTCACCAGAAAAGATGGTTATGCAATCTCACTTCAAAACGTTGAGGGACTACAAAACATTGGTGAAGCATTGGAAGAGGAAACATTAAATCTATTGGATTTGGTAAACGAACAAGTTGTTCATCCAACAACAAGTAAGTAATATAAATTTGTATTATTATTGAAAATTTATTATTTATATTAACTATTAATTTTTATTCATTTCTCATTTTTCTTTCTATAGATGTATTATTAATTAATCAATCAATCAATAAGATTTATGAACATTTACAAATATTATTTATTTTGACTGCTGAATCAGCATCGTCACATCATGGATCGAAATTAGTTACAACGACAACGGAACGTATTCAAAGAGGATGGCCAACAATGCCAGAGATATCTGGAATCATTGGTCAGAATTGGTATAATCTGGACGATGTAAACTCTGCTGGAACTGGATTCACCAATCTTTTATATTTGAAAAAGAATTTGGTTCCAACAATTGCCTACCTGTCGACATCAGTTCGTGTACTCGGACTACAGGCTAGTTTGGAAGCCGAGTGGATGGCAAGAAACAGAGCTTCCGATCCAGAGAACATCGTTGTTCAACTGGCGATCCTCGGAAACGAATTGATCACTGCAATGGCCAGACTCTACATGGCAACACAATCGTTTTGTTCCGTGTGTAACAGCATTCAAAACCTCTCAAAGGAACAGAATGGAAACTTACTGAGCGTAGGTACCATCAATCGTGATCGTTCTCCAAGTACAGCAGACCTGATCAATCTCTGGGAAGAGTTGAAAATCATCAAAGATCTTCCACAACTCCCAAAAGAAGGTTCATCATTGAAAGCATCTCTTAATCAATTGGTTATATTATTAACATCTGAATTAAATTATGGTATGATTGATTTCAACAACAATTATTATTATTTTGTAAACTAACACTTTTTTTTTCTTTATAATTATCTTAGACACCAAGTTTTTAAAAACATTTATTACAACTTATCAATCCTTTGCACAACCAAGATTATTATTTACAAAGTTGTTGGAGAGATATGCAGTTCCAGAGTGGTTCTCAACCAATCAATCAAAGATTTCGATGATCAGACAAAGAGTAATTGTAGTTTTGAAGTATTGGATTGTCAATCAATCGTCGGATTTCGATCAGGATCTCATGGATCAGATCTATCACTTTATTGATAACACTCTTATCAACGATGGTTATGCAGAGCTCTCAAAGGCACTCGGCGAAATTCTAGGCAAGATGGTCGAAGAACGTGAAGTTAAACTCGAGTTGCTCTTCCAGATGCCACCCAGAATTCAATTCACAGAAGAATGTACATTATCACCGATCGAATTGTTTTTCGAGTGGTCACCACTTGCGATCGCGCAACAACTCACACTGATAGACTTTTCTATCTTTAGAGATATCGAAGCACGTGAGTTCCTCAATCAAAACTTTAACAAACCAAAGATGAAATATCGTGCACCCAACATCATGAGACTAATTAACCGTTCCACACAATTCTCTTTCTGGATTGCCAAGCTCATTCTCATTGAAGGCAAAAAGGAGAAACGTCTCAAAGTTTTAGAAAAACTTTTAGATGTTGCTAAAGTATGTAAAAAAATATTAATAATTATAACATAGTTTATTAGTAACTAATATTTTTACTCTCTATCTCTAGATATTACTTAAAATAAATAATTTTAATACACTTATGAGTTTAGTTGCTGGTCTTAATATGACACCAGTCCACAGATTAAAAAAGACCAAAAAGAAATTATCTTCTTCTGCATCTTCAGTAAGTAATAATAAATTAATTTTAGAAATAAAATTAGTATTAACCAACTCAAATTAAACAATCTAGACTTTAGCAGAGTGTGAAAGAATATTCTCATCAAAGAAATCATTCAAGAACTATAGAGATATCATTACCAATACTGTACCACCTTGTATTCCATATCTGTATGTATCTTTGGTCTTGAAATTTACGACAATGATGAGTAGTACTAACAATCAATATTTAATATAGTGGTATTAATTTAACAGATTTTACATTCATAGAGGAGGGTAATCAACATGTATTTCAGGATCCAAATTCTCCATCACCTTTAATCAATTTCAAAAAGAGAGAACTATTCTATCAGGCTTGGTCTGATATTTCACGATTCCAAGAGACTCCCTATTCATTCCAAGCAGAGGAACCTATAAATACTTTGTTATTGCATTTCCCTATTGTAGATGAAGATCGTCTTTATGAACTATCTACTTCTGTTGAACCCAAATAAATCTGATAAACATATATATCCATATTGAATATATATTTATTTAATTATTTAATTTAACTAAATTAATTATTAATTTGAAATAATAAAGTGAGTTAAATACGATTGAATATTTATCATAGTTGCAAAAAAAAAGTTACATTAATAATCTACCAATATCTTTATTGGTGTGACTCTTCAAAATGTTGATGGCATTTGAATAAGAAACTGTTTAAAAATGATTGAGTTGGTGTGCCATCTTTGACCTGGTCTAATCTGGTTTCCTGCAATGTTTAGAAAAATCGAGTCGTAAGACTTTAGAGTCTTGTCATGCCTGCCAGACAAATATACCTCCTACGAGACCTTGGGATACCATCTCCCTTGAATTTGTGAAACTGGTTATCACACTGTAGTCGTGTTTGTAGATATGTTACCAAAAATGGTGAAGCTCGCAGAAACCACCAACTCGACCGCCAAAGGATTATGTGAAAATGTAGTGTTTGGTATAGTCACTCCAAAGAAGATTGGTAATCGTCTCAGAGGACATCTATCTATTCGGTTCTCATTTAACCATTGTACAATTTAATTTGGCTTTGAATGATGGAATACAAACCTATGGTTACTAAATTAAATGGAAATTGCTGTTACTACTTGCGTTATCCATTGATTGATTGCTAACATTTCGATTGTATTGTTGCAAAAATTGAACAATGTCCATATGTCCATTCCTCTCTGCAACTTCTATTGCTCGCGATGAAAATCCTTCATTCTTGTTCATACACAGCCACAAGACCACTTCAAAGTGCCCATTAGCAGCTGCTTTTTCAATTGCACTAGTAGTGCATGAGCCTATAGAATTGTGATGTAGTATCTTGATTAACTCTAAATATCCATGTCTTGCAGCAATATCAATGTAATTATCAACAGTCTCAAAGGCTAGCCATACTTGTTTAATATCGATCAACCATTCCAAAATGTGAGCAAATCCATGATGAACTGACGAATCAATGATAATATGAATTATATCTGGATCTTTAATATTGATATATTGATTACTTTCGAATAGACATTCAATTAAATCTATTCTACCGAGTTGTAATGTATTTCTTAATGATTTTACTAATCTTCTTCTAATGCTCGGCTTATCATCGTTTGTAACTTGATTAATAAACTTTGATAGAACCCACTGAAACATCTCTTTATCTCTTGAATATGGTGCTATTTCTACAATTTGTCTATAGTCTATGATTGAGGTTGTGTAATCTCTTATATGTTTTTCCAAATACTTGAGAAATTCAAATCTCTGACACTTTAACATACTCTCTATTAATATTAGATAGTCGTTTGACTTTAAACTAATAATATTATCAATTAGATACTTATAAATCTCAAAGTCATTTACTAATATTGATGCATTCACAGAAGCAATTACATTTACAAGGTATCTTTCTTTTTTAATCGATATTTTATTACTTTTAATAAAATTATGATACCATTTATTCTTTTTATCATTATTATCATTATTATTATTAACAAAATAATCTTTTAATAATTGAATATAATTGTTTCCTGCCATCAAAGATGGTGAAATTATTACATGATTCCATTTATATATATTCTGTTTAAAAAGATCTACATGTATAAAAGTAACTTTACTACATATATATTCTCTTAATAGACGATTATTAAAAACTCTTAAGAATAGCTTTGTATCCATATGATTTAAAAAAAGACACTAATATATAAAAGTGTTAGTTTAAACTAATTTTTATAATTTTTTTTTTTATAAATTAAACTTCAAAGTATTTAATCGATAAATTTGGAAGTTCATTATTAAAAGAAATAAAAACTTTTATTTCATTTGGTATTAATATATTTATCTATAACTTGAATAGATTCAATTGAATTTGGATAATTCGTTTCTAATATTTGTTTATAACCTTTAAGTGTATCGTAGGTTATATCTTTAAATGTTTCCAAAATCCATTCAATTGATTCAAAATGATTATGTCTAAATAGTTGCCTTTTAAATTCATCCATTTTGAATTGAGATTTGATCTTCAAAGTGTTTGGTTTTGATGTATGTTCATAGATCCATATTGCCAATGGAAGATTACCTTTTTCAATTGATCTAGAAAAGAAGGTAATTGGTACCACAATCGCACTACTGTTTTCAATATTTTCATATATCCATTTCAATATATCGAAATGTTCATGCTCAATTGCCAACTCTATGTAATTTTCATATGATATTGCCTGTGGAGTATTATAGGTCCATAGTATATTTAATATTTCAAGATTACCTTTGGTGATGGCATTGTTGATAGCAACGTTGACATTCAATCCACTGGAATTCAAAAGAACATACCTAATGATATCAATATGACCTTGATCTGTTGCAAGCTCAATTGTTTTATCTGTGAATGCATTTGAATAACCATTTTCAAATACCCATTTTACAATGTTGAGATCTCCACCAATGATTGCATTGTCAATTAGTTTGTCACTCCATTGTTCACCATTAGTTTCTATTAAAAACTTCAAGATATCGAATCTTTTATTATAGGCTGCCATGTCCAACATTCCAGCATTGAAATATTCAGTTGTACAATTCTCATGAAGCCATTGAATGACCTCTAACTCTACGTTATTGTCAATTGACTGCCAAAAACTATTATATGTAAATCCTTCGGTTCGCTTTGAATTTAATGATTTCATAATATCCAAATGACCGGCTCCAGCGGCGCAATCAATTGCTTGATCTGAACATCCTTCTGTACGATTATAATGTAACCACCAGACAGTTTCGAAATGGCCATTCCCAGCAGCATAGTCCATCGCATAGATACTTCCACCTTCACTTCTATTTGAATGGAGCCATTTAATGCATTCGAGGTGACCATTCATTGCGGCATAATCCATCGCAGAAGTTGAAAATTCTTCAGTGCGGTTTGAATCGAACCATTTAATGCATTCGAGGTGACCATTCATTGCGGCAAGATCTATAGCACTACTAGAACATTCAACAGTAGTATTCTCGTGCACCAACTTTAAAGTTTCCAAATCACCTTCCTCGGCGGCATTATTCATTACAATAGAACTACACTCTGAAATTCCATTTCTAAATAAAAGCCCAACTATATCAAATCGTTTTAAATTTGATGCATAATCAATTAAATGTTTGTCTTTGCTTGCCAAATCTCTATATTCACAAAGTAGATATTCAATGAAATGAATATTTCCTCCTAGAATAGCGAATTTGTAAACTCTACTTTGTTGCAAATCGTTTTGAATTTCTGATACCAGATATTCAAACATTTCGATTTGTCCAACAAATGCAGCTGTTTCAAATACATTTACTCCTAGATCACTGTTTACTTGAAATGAACGACTCCCTTTTCGATGACTGTTATATTTATTGACAATGTATCTAACAACCTCTAGACTTTTGGATAGAGGTGACTTTACCATTGCTCGATAGTAATTCCATTGATATGATTTGAATCGCTCGGTTAAATACTCTGCAATGTCTATTCTTCCATGGTGAAATGCATAACAATAGATACTATTGATATAGTCACAAGGTTCATTCTGTTCTTGTTGATAGATTTCATCTTTAAGGGTGTATCGGTTTGAATTTAGAATCTCGACAGAATTTAGGTCAACTTTAAATCGATTCAAAAGGTACGCTAACATATCAATACTACCATACTTGATAGATGTCATTATTATTGAACTTTGAACTTTCTTTCCAGATATATTGATCTTTGATAAACATTGTTTCAATTGATCAAGGTAATTGTGAGAAGCTAACACTTGAGGTTGGTCAAGGATTTCGCTCCATTTGAAATGCTTTCTATTATCTAAACTAGAAATCAAACTGACTTGATTGAATATACTATTGCACAATATTGTATTGTTAAAAACTAATGTGTATACTTTCTTCTCCATAATTCTTGTATATACTGAATATTTTATTTTTTATATTTATATATGGTTGTCCTTCAAAGTTTTCAAAAATAAAGATAAAATGGAATTTCTTAAATTAAATATCAAGATACTTTGCTTAGTAATTGAGATTGAGTCGAAAAATTCAGCCCAAAAGAGCGCTACTATTAATAATAATAAACATTTAAATCAAACAACTAAGATAATTATTTATGAATTTTGAAAATAAGTGATCCAGTATTATAAATTTGGTATATTAAACGTTAACTAGCATATTTGGTCTAACAAACGAAACTTAGTAAGTGAATTTATCAAAGTAAAAAAATAAGACAATGAATAATTTGGTACAATAATTTTTTTATTCAAATAGATAATACATTTATTATTTGATTAAATCTTAATAGGTACAATATCTAAATATAATTAGATGTTTTTAATTTAAAGTGGGAGACCAGCAACGACTTCATCTTCAATACCTATTGTTTTTAAAAATAAAAATAAAATTCAAAAAATGATCAGTATAAAATTTGATTGAATTTGAGTAGTTTAAGAAGTAATATTATAATTATATATATATTAAACCCTCTATAACTAACTTTAAATATAAATCAACATACCACATTCATTTTTACCGGCTTCAATCCAGAAAATTCCGTTATTACCCCATGAGGTGGTCCAGGAATTGTTACAGATCCAGTATGGGGTACCATTGCTGACACCGAAACCGACAATCTTGATACAGTGACCACCCAAATCCTTACCAGACTTGTGAGTGTAGACACCAGACTTGTATCCGAGGAAATCTTCGTAGACTTCGAAACAGGCTTCAACTGGACCGTTGGTGACGATTTCGTTTTGGATGGCAGCAACGTTTGGCTTGACGGCATAGACAGTCTTCAAGTGGTGGAGATCTTGTTGGAAGTTGACAGAGCTGTTGGCACACTTGGCAGAGCATGGTGGAGTGTTGACAAAGTTCATGCATGGTTGTTGGGCTGGTGGACAGGTTGGGATGGTGTATGGTTGACAGTTGGAGGTTACAACACCATTCTTTTGGACGTACTTGTAAGCAGTGTATGGATCTCCACCTTCACAACCGTTGTCTTGGTTGTCACAGGTGATGAGGTCTTGGAAGGACAATTGGACAGACTCGTTCTTGTGGATACAGAAACGATCAGAGATCGATTCGATAGCTCCGAAGGCCCAACATGAACCACATTCAGCTACGCATTGAATTGAATATATATATTAATAAGAATAGGAAATATATATTATAATATAGTTATTTTACACATACCTTGGTTTTGGATGGCTCCGATGGTTGGACATTGTGGCCATTGTTGAGCGGCATCGAAATTGGTTGGCAAGTTAACATTGTGTGGCAAGGTCTTGTAGATCTTCTTTGGACGATCGAGTGACTTCTTGAATCCCATTCTTGGTAGGTTGTCACCGCTGAAAATTGGGTTCTTCAATTCGACCCAGGTGTCGTGGTGGATGTATTGGTAATCGACATTGACGGCAGCAACGGCGGCAATGAAAATTGCGCACATTAAAGCAACTTTTAAGTTGAACATTTTATATATGTGTAGGTTTTTGAAATAAATAAACTGAAAGAAAAGAGTGTTGCAGGTCTAGACCAGTTTTTATAGAACCAAAACAAAAGCACTCGGAATTGAAATCAACAAAATAAATTTTAAAATAATTCAATTTTTTATTCAAGTGACAAAAAAAAATAAAAATCAACAACTTTTTGTGTGAAACAGCTGAGATCAATTGGGTTTCTTTGATGTCAAAAAAAAAAAGCAAAAAAAAAAATCTAAAGAAAAATGAAAAATATCCTCATAGAAATTGTTTTTGCATCATCAAGAAAAAGGTTTGGAAAATTCTAAAAGAACCCAAAATAAATTTCAATTTGTACAATGCAAGGAGTTGATTTGTATCTCCGATTATTTTTTTTTTGTTTGTTTCCTTCCTTTAAAGAATGGGAATTGTCCCCAATTGAATTTGTTTTGTTCATGATATTTTCTTTATTTACAAACTAGTTAATTAAATGTAAAAAAATTATTATCTGATCAATCCCTTTTTATTTGTATTTTTGTTTTTGTTAACTATCAATAAATTCAAGGCATTAATAATTAATTTTGGATAAATGTAGAGAAAGATGTCTAGAGTTTTGAAAAAAATAAAATAGTTGTTCAAGAACTTAAAGTTTTTTTTTTTTTTTTTTTTGGTGTGTTCCACAATTTTGGAACAAATACATCAGAGATAATATAATAAGGCAATGATAATAATTCTCAATGTTTCTTATTGTCACAATTTACATTAAGACAATAAATAATAATGATAAGACTATTTGTGTTGTATATTGATGTTATTATATGTTTTTTTTTTTTTTTTTTTTTTTAAAAAAAAAAGTAAATTTGTTTATTTGACATAATTTAAGCAGATTGAACCTTGTTGCACAAATCCTTCAAACTGTTTTGGTTGGCACCAGCAAAGTTACCAATTAAAGTAGTACCGTTGTATCCGAAAAAGGCAGGTACACCAGAGATGTTGGCAACTGGTGGGTATTCCTATATTTTAGATTAAAAGTGAATTGATTAGTATATTATAATAGTTGAGTCACTAAATTCAAGGTACTTACTGAGCAAGCGTCGATATCGGCCTTGATAAAAGTGATACCTTGATATTGATCAGATAAATCAGAGAATGGTTTGGCCATCATTCTGCATGGACCACACCAGCTATAATTATAATAATAGTAATAATAAATAATAATAAAACATTAATTAGTTCATTGTTATAGCTATGAACAAAGTCCCAAAGATATATATTTATATATACATACGTGGCAGTGTAGTAAATAATCAATTTACCACCTTTGTTGATGATAGCAGCCAAATCAGCTCCGTTCTTTGGTTCTTGATATACCATTTTTATATATTTATTGTAAAGGTAAAAAATAAAATAAAATGAATAAAAAAATTTGTTTGTGTTTAAAAAAGTTAAAAATAATGATTTAATTATAAAAAAATTTCTTTTTTTATCAAGTTCAAGAAAATTTTTTTGATCGAACATGATTCTGAGCATTTTTTTAATTTTTTTTAATTAAAATTTTTTTTTTAATTAAAAATTGAATAATAATAATTATTACATAATATTTGTTAAAATTAAATATATTTATTTAATATATTAATAATTTTAAGCAGATTGTAATTTGTTCTACAAATCTTCATAGCTGGTGGCTACCACCCATGTAGATACCAATTTGAGTGGTTCCTTTAAAGGTTATGATTGTCGACAGAACATCTGGAAGTTTGGCAATTGGTGGATATATTATATCCTTTTTATTTTTATTAAAGATAAGAAATGCTCAGATATATATTAGTAAACAGCTATAATTATTATAAATTTTATCTTTTTTCATACTAAGAAAATAAAGTGGGAAAATAAACATCAAAAATAACTACCTCAATCAATAGATATAAATTTAAATTTATTTCTATTATTAATGTCTATTTCAATTATTTGTCAGCAAACAATTGATCTTTTTCTTTCAACAATTTGAATAGTTTGTAAGTTGTTTCTATTCCAGTTTTCGGGGGTGTTGTTTCGATGCTTTTTACACCACCCAGTAATTTACAAAGTGTTTCTTCACTAAAGTTAATGGGATACGGTAGTTTAGTACCTTCAATGGAAATTTTGTTGTTGGAAGAATCGATGGATTTCAGTAACTCAACCCATTGCTTTACATCGAGAGTATCACCTTTGATATTGCAGGTGTACGCACCTTGGACGTTTGGAGATTGACCCAAGTTAATGAACAACCTGGCGATGTCTTCCACATAGTTTATACAGATATCGCCAGAGAATGGAATGACATAATCTTGACCAAGAACCATTGCTTTGATCGCTTTTGTTGGCGCGCTTGTCATTCCTACCTCTCGACCCACACCGTACACTGTGAAAGGACGTAGCGCTACACTTGGAATCTTGTGGTCGAGCCAGTAGACACGCGCAGCACCTTCGTTAGCCTGCTTAAATACACCGTAGTGAGTGACAGGTGCATGATGAGCATCGTCAGAGACTGGTGCGCTGCTGTCGTAGTCTTCACTCGGTCCGGATACAGCGGCACTGGAGGCGTAGATCACAGGACAACAGCAACTCTGTTGTTTGGTGGCTTGCAGTTGGCGCACCGCTTCAAAGACATTGAGTGTTCCAATCACATTGACAGAGGCACCGAGTATCGGATTCACTTTACACGTTGGGATTTGTAGGCCTGCAAGATGAACGATGAACGACGGTCTTACTCTCAGCACCAACTCACTTACCGACTTTGTATCGGCAATGTCTACATACACGAATTCCAACAATTTAATATCGGAATCCGACATGATTTGTTTCAGGATATGCAAGTCTGGTTTAACATCTACAACAACAACATTGTATTTCTGATCATCTAGCAATAGTTTGGCGACCCAACTTCCAATGAAACCTTGTCCTCCAGTAATAATTACACTTTCTTTTTTATCCATTTCACTAAACTTTGTTTATTTATATAAAACAATTAAAATAATAATAATAATAATATCATTTTTTAATTATTATTGATTTTTAATTTTAACCACATTCTTTATTAAATTTAACAATCAATTAAATTATTTAAATAATTTTAAACCAATGGGCTTACAAATTTGCCAACTACCCATTTTAATATGAAATAATTTTGTTTGACAGATTATGATATGTGTGTGAAATTTTAAATTGTTTTTTATCTTTTTTTTAATAAGATTTCGAAAAAGTGTTAATCATTGTGTTGATCATTCATTTTAATAGATAATTACTTAAAAATGGTAAAGAAATGGGGAGGTTTAGAATACTTTAAGTTTGCAGTTTATATTATTATGCCAATAAGTTGTTCTTTATATATTCTAGATAACGATAGATTGAATAATTTAATTAAAAAAGTAACATATCAAATATGAAGTTTTAAATATAAATTGTATATCTAATTATATTTCTTTGTTTTTGAATAATAGTATCAATTTGTAGTATATCCACCAGAGTTACATGCACCTGAAGATGTAAAAAATATGATTAGAGAGGCTGCAATCAAGAGAGAACAAAGATTGGCTGCTAATCAAGGAATCGAAGAGCAAATGCAACAACAACGTGAAGAGAAACACCAACAATTTTTAAATAGATATCAAATTCGTAAGGAACAAGATAAAATCGTTGCACAAAAGACAAATGAAAAGCAACAACAACAACAACAATAAATAATAACAATAATCACATATATATATAATTTACTGTATATAATAATCAAACAATCAATCATTTAAATCGACAAAACATAACATAACATAACAGAATATAATAGTTTCATATAAATAAAACTAGTATAACTATTATTATATGATAGTTCTATAAAAACAAACAAACAAACAAAATTAATTCATTCTACAACAGAACATTCTTTACATTCTAGAAAGATTCGTTTCTGTTTTGTCATTTTTTTTTATTTTTAAAAAATATCTTTTGAATCTAATTTATTTGTGTTGTTGTATATTATCATTTGTGTATAATTGTATTATAATACAATTTATTGTGTATTTATTTAAATTGAAATTATAATGATGATGATGATGAATAATAAGAAAAAGAATATATCGATTATTACAGCTGTATCAACAAATTATGTGATTGGAAAAGATGGTTTGCTACCTTGGTCTCTGCCTAAAGATTGGGAGCATTTCAATAGATCTACTACAAACTATCCTATTATCATGGGAAAGAGAACATTCTATGAGCAAGAGGATCGTCCTCTGCCAGACAGATACACAATCGTTGTTACAAGAGATAGTTCACTGCTTGACAAACATGGCAATGTAATGGAGGAGCGAATTGGACATCTGAGTCGTGCCTCTTCAATCGAAGATGCACTAAAGATGCTCGATGACTATAGCGGTGACCAGGTGTTCATCGTTGGTGGCAGACGTATCTACGAAGATTCACTATACTTGGCAACAGAGTTGATCATCACGCACGTCGAAGCACATGTCGAAGGTGACACTCATCTCCGACTATTCCCTCACCAAGACGAACCCAACAAAGACAGAAACAATCACTACTGGGATGTAGTAAACCAAGTTAAACACAGTAAAGATGATACTCATCAATATGATTTCACAATTAAATATTATCAAAGATCTACCAATAACTAACAAACAAATAAACAAACCGACCGAACATTATTAATAAACTATATTTTTAAAATAATAATATTGTTACATTCTTTATTATATATATTATATTTAAAGTAGGTTTTTTTAGTATCTGCTTTAGTTGAAAAAAAAAAGTTAATAAATAACATTGTGTAAATTTGAAAATTATATGTATATATATATATATATATATGTAATGATAGTTTTAGTTTGATGATGTAGTTGATTGATTATCTCTTGGTGATGAAACTTTAGGATTTTCTACGTTTGATGGGAACCAATGCTTTTCAATCCATTCAAATGTTTTGGTGAGATCAACTTCGTTGGCAAGAGTAGCAAGTTCACTGACAAGTTTGGGATCATCCATTGATGTGTGTGTACCTAGTAGTGGATTGACACGATGGTATCTCTCCGCTAGAATATTCTCACAGAGCTGTGTGAGGAAATCGACTTGTGAACCCATGAAGAGGTTACCTAGTTTCGGTGCCCAGTTCAAGAGTCCCCAGTCATAGTCTGGTCCACCCTCCATGTAGTGTGGCGACAGACCGGTTCCCAGTGAGAAACAAATGATCTTGGACGATGGGATGTTATCGAGTTGCGGTGACATCGCCAAGCTGAGTGCTGCCATGCCCGGATTGTTACAGAAAACACCGCCATCGATGAAACCCTGGTACGAAGGGAAGAATGTTGGTGCCGAACCGGAACGCAGCAACACATCGCTCACCACCTCTTGAGTGAGCCAATCGTCACACTTTCCGATATTATGGAATACTTGTGGCATCCATCTTCTATCTTTTGGCGCGTATGGCTCTGCCTGTGGAGGGTAGTGACTGTCCAGCTGGAATGCAGGAACTACCAACTTTCTTGGCATTTCATAAAACTTTTTATCTTGAAAGAATACATAACAAGATGCTCTCAACAATCTATTAAAGAATTTTGCATTACCCATCTAGAAAAAAAAAAAGAAAGAGAGAGATTCAATTAGAATTTTGTTTGTTATTTTTTAACAACAATATTTAAAGATAATTACATTGAATCCAGGTCTCTTTTTACCAAATACAGGTAGTGCTGTCAATTCTAATACTCTTCTTGTACCTTTTGGTGGATATTGAGCGGCTAAACCTGCTGCAACGATTGAACCTGCGCTAGTTCCTGTGAATACATCTACAAAGTCTAAAAAGGTTGGATATCGCTTGACAATACGCTCAATGAGTACGCATACCATGACTGAACGCAGACCTCCTCCGTCCAACGAGAGAATACGATAGAATCCATCGGTCGATCTAGGTTTATTACGGTAGGTCGATGGTTTTTCATCGGGTGGCAAAGCTGCAGGTGAGAATTCCTCGAGAAGTAGTTTAACGGTTTCCAATACTTTCTTTTCATCGGGTTCCAAATCCTCCAGTAACTCTGATGGAATGTAGACGGTTTTCGATGGTGCTCCATTCGGAAGGAATGTAGGTGGCGCAGCAACGGTTGCTCTACGACCACCTGGCAATTTGTGGTCGGCAGCCAACAAAGGTCTCAATGTAACGGTTGTCTCTTTCTTGCGCTTAATAACCGACTCACATTCAATAACCCATTTCTTGGCAGTTGCTTCGTCATCGCAACGGAATTTCAATAGCTTTGCCTTTACCTTTTCAACTTCCGACGAATGGTTGATGGAGAATACATGTTTACCATCTTCAAATGTGATTTTCGATAGTGTAAACCAATAGTTCAATGTGATTCTGTTTTCTTTGACCTTATCTTTTTCTTTCTCCTTATCGCCACGAGGAGTGGATGGTTGGTTGCCGTTGTTTCCTGTGGGTTTGTCTTCCCACCAACCTTTATAGTACTCGAGACAATTGCCTCTGAGAATATACCAGTGTTTCTTCCATGATGTTCTACTACTGGATCGCTCTAACCAACCCTCCATAATCTTGTCAGAGTGCAACGATTGAGTGAGTGAAGGTTCCTCTATCGATTGGTTGAGTGAAACTTCGCGTGGCGATGTCGGTTCAAACGAGGATACACTAGAGACATCGGAGATGGTATCTAGTGTTAGCGATGGTATACTGGAACGCTTTCCACCTGGACCACCAGAGTTTGAGTTTGGATGAGCCATACCTTCCGATTTCTTCTTTCTGAAAAAGTTAAAGAATGAATCTTTCTCGGACGATGGTGATGAGGAGAGTGGTGGCGATGCAGCCACTGGAGTGGATCCATAGACAGGACTGTGTTGGTTCGATCCATTCGATTGTCTGGATGGCGTGGTTGGAATGGGTGAGGAAGGTGAAGCCGGTTGGAAAATATCGGCGGTATCGATGTTGAGTCCACCCGCACTGATGGCACCTGACAATCCTGGAATTCTAATCTTTGGAACCGAGGTGGAATTGGTGGTTACTCTTGGCGATGAATTATTGGAGCCACTAGAGTTCTTTCTCTCAATACCGTTTTGAATACCACCTGAATTCTTGCGTTCTGGAACGAATGAAGATTGAGAACTGCCCGATCCAGAGGAGTTTTGGCGGTCAAAACTTGGTGGAGAATTGAAACCTCCTGAACCTCTGAATCTTGATCTCTGTTGAAGTGATGGTTGTTGTTGCTGTTGCTGTTGCTGTTGTTGAATCTGTTCCAATGATAACTTGTGTTGGCGATCAGCCATACTTCCAGCACTTGTAAAAGGCATACCGTCTCCACCCAATTTGAAGCTAGATAATGAACGATGCAACTCTTGTCCACCTTCTTCATCCATTGCAAACATAAAAGATGTCCAATCACCAATATTTCTCTTTAAATCAATACCTTTATCATTGTTATCATCTTCATTTCCCTCCCAGATACCTAACCACGATGACTCTGACATTTTCTAAAAGATTATATATGTTTGAAAAAAAAATAATAATTTAAAAGGTAATATTACAAATACAAAAATAATAAATAAACAATAGTATATATGGAAAGTTTATAAGGTGAAATTAAAATTTAAATAAATCTTTTGATTGAAATAGTAGTGGTAGATCAATCATTAAGTAATGTTACAATATATATTATCGGTGAGGGATGAAATAAACTATCCATACACGACAGTGAATGAACAGGAATGAATAATAATACAAAAAATAAAAATTAAAAAAAGCAAAGCAAAACTGTTTCTCTGTCTTTAATTAATTGTTTGATTGGTGGAATAAAGAAAAAGATTCTATTTGATTATTAATTGTTGGATGATTAATTATTATTGTTTTGATAATAATAATGTCTTTGAAATTTCTATCTTTGCAATAAATGTTTTGAGGGCGATAATGATGATTGGTGAGGTGTGAATTGTGTTTTTTGAAGAAGATCTATTGGTTGGTTGAAGTTGAGAAGAAGAGTGTTGTTTGATTGTTATGAGAATGAAAAATGCTATGAGAATAGATCGAATTCAAATCAATAAAATAGCGGAGCAGTTTAATGAATTTTGGAATGATTGACAACGTTGTCACAACAAACTTTTATTTAAATTTATTCTTGTTTGTGGTTTCCAAAACGTGATTTCATTGAGATTTTTGAACCCATTAATCTTTTTTTTTTAAAACACATTATGAGAAAAAAAAAACCAGTGCCCTCTACACAACTATAGTTGTGGTGTAGTTAACAAAATAAAACCATTTCAAGAGTATCCAAAAAAAAAAATTCATTTTTTTAATTAATCCAAAAGGTAAACATGAAATTCAATATTGATCATATTTAAATAACGTTATTTGCTTTCTCGCTTGTTTTACTGTCCAATTTTGAAAAATAATATGATGAATATTAGAAACTAAAAAATGTCATTCATTGTTATTAAGTATTTAGAGAGGATAGTTAAAAGATAGGGAAAGAGTAAGATTGTTTTCTAGTTGTTGAAAAACTTCAATTATTTTTTTGTAGATTCTATGTTCTATTAAGACTTTGAAAATCAGAATTGGTCCTTCAAGAATAATTACGAAAAGAAAATCTCTCAATAGTTGGAGCAGAATAGAGTTCATAGACAATATCATTAGTTAGATCACAGCAGCAACATGAATCATTTCTACTGTAGTATTATTAAAGGTTAACTCATATGAAACATTCGAGCATTTTTTTTTCAAACTTGGAATATTGGCATATTTATTAATTACAAATCAATATTTTTTAAGATTTCTTTGTAACTTTATCTTTAGTTTTTAATTTTTATTTTGTTTAAAATTTAAAATCAAACTTTAAATAACAAAACAATAAATGGAATTAATCAAGTCTTTAGAATCAATATTTATTCTTAGGAGTATTTTCATTCTACTATTATTTTTTAATACATGAAAAAACATCAAAGATTCTTTGACAGGTGTACTATGTTCAAATCAGATTATAGTTTTCAAATTCTGGTTAATATTAGAAAGTGATACAAAATATTATAATGGTGTATTTAAACAAAGAAGTACTTAGTGAAAAATGCCACATTTCAAATACTAACGTCATTACAATTCGTACAGTTAGTGTCACCAATAAACAAAATCTTTAATTAATTTATTTTTTGAGTAAGTATCTCGTATTATAATACTTGTAAGTAATAAGTTAGAACATGAGAACAACATTACAATGAAAATGTAGAAACAACCTGTAATTTCCAATGATTGACAAGTCTTGTCATCATTTTGACCAATAGGAATATAAAATGATTTCCTAATATTTGGTGGTTTTTTCGAGGTGGGCATGTTAAGATTTCAAGGCTGTTACAGTATTATCCAATCAGATTTTCATTGTATTGCGAAAATAGAAAGAATCATGCAAAAATTTGTGTAATTTGGGGTAAAAAAGTTTTTAATTTCTAAACCTTTTTTTTTTTTTTTTACTTTAAAAGGTAATACAATATATTATAAATAGATCATCATTAATCTCAATTTTGTAGACCCTTTTAATTATTATAAATTTTATCTCAAAATTTTATTTTTTGAAAAGCTTTACTTACTTTTTATCCTTTTTTTGTTCACTTTAATATTATAATATTTTAAAGTACGCTATTTCTCACTATTCAAATTAGATATATATAAATAAATAAATAGTGTATAACTATCTATCTACTCAATCGAATCAACTTAAAAAACAATAATAAAATAATTATCTATTTATATAAAAAAATAATAAATATCTTGATTTCACATTTTTTAATTAAGAGTTTTAAATTCTCAAATTAAATTGATTAATAATTCGTTCCATTTTTGTCAAAAAAAAAAAAAAAAACAATACACTCACAATATATTTGGAAAGATTAAATTACAACAACAACACTCACTGTATTATTATAGATATCTATCTTTATTCATCTCATTTGCAAACTGTCTGTGTGACAACAGCAATAAATAAACATCACAAAAAGCAACGACTCAACAACAACAACAACAATTACATTATATTTAAACGAAAATCAAAAAGAAAAAGTAAAAGAATAGGAAATAAATAAATAATTATATAAAGTAAGTAAGTAGTAATAAATTAGTTTTTAAATTTAAGTAGTTGTTAGTTTATTAATATATAAATAATAATAATTATTATATTATATAGAACAGTTTATTATTATTTTAGATATCTATCTTTATAGGAAATATGTTGGATTTGAAAGATATTTGTATATTGAAAATAGTAAAGTTGATTAAAGATGGCAATTTAAATGTATTGAGCTATAATCAAATATTACCATTGGATTTGATAGAGTATCTTTTGACGATGCTTCAAAAGATTGAAAAATGGCCACTTAATAATCAATTCCTAGAATATCTATCACTGTACTCCATAGAGTCTTTAGATCTTGGAAATCAAGAACTTATAAATCTAAGCCAATGGTCAAACTATTTAGATTTATTAAATAATAATAATAATAATAATAATAATTGTAATAATAATAATAAAAGTAACGATAATAATAATAATATTTGTAATAATAATAGTTTATATAGTATATGTAATAGTTTAAGTCAATTATCATTATCTGGTATATCGATGTTAAATGACCAGATATTATCGAGATTGCTAAAGCATTTCCAACGATCTTTAAAGTCGTTAAAGTTATCACATTGCACATTATTAGATGGTTCGTTCATTGCAAGTTTCAACCAGTCTGTTTTTAAATCGATAGAGTATCTTAATGTTCGTGGATGTATCTCTATGATACCAGATAACTTTTTGTATGTAAAAACACAAACATAACTTAACTATACTATTAAAGAAAAAATAACTTATGTTAAATTAATAATCTTGTAGATTGTTTAATAGATTTGTTAATATTAAAGAATTGATATTATCAAAGACGAATGTAACCAACGATGATCTGTCGATGTTGTATTTCATGAAGCAGTTGGAGTGTATAAAGTTAAACAAGTGTCATTATGTGTCGTCCGATGGCATTCAGTGTGTATCGTCACTGCCCAAGTTGCGTCAGCTCTATCTCAGTCATTGCACAGCGTTGCAAGAGGAAGACTCTATTCGATCGCTCGCACACAACAAGACGATCGAACATCTCGATCTCTCATTCTGTTTCATCGACGACCAATCGGTGGGACAAACACTCTTTGGCATGACAGCACTGAAATCACTGGCGATCCGATACAACCGACTGACACCGATATTCTTCAAGCATCTCTCGGCGTCGCCACTCAAACAGCGTATAACATCACTCGATCTAAGAGAATCAAACAATCTCACTTCAGAGTCTGCGCTCTGTCTCTATCCGGCACCGCAGCTCACCGAGCTCTACATCACCACTACGTACAACCGTCGTGCCAAACTCACACAGCAGGACATTCAGTGCATCGATCTCGAGGAACTCTATAAATCATTCAATGGGCTGACCATTAACAGCAGTAATCAACAGCGTTTGAATTGTTCGTCTCTTAGGAATTCGATCATCGAGAAGCAAGAACATTATCCGCTGATCTTGTTGGGCGAAGACGAGAAGTTTCAAGCGAGGATGGTCAAAAGCGTATTGGAGAGAAGAAACTTTGATGTTAGAATTGCGACCGATGGCAAGTCGGCATTCGAGATGTTCTGTGAGACACCGTTCTTTGTGCTGATCATGATGGATATATTCATGCCGATTCTCGATGGTCTCAGTTCGATTAGAATGATCCGACAATTTGAAAAGACAACCAATCGAAAGCGAACACCCATCATTATCTGTAGTGGCAACGAATCAACGTTACGTTCGAACGCATCAAACAACAGATACATCGAAAAAGATGATGAAGCTGGTGGTGATGTCTTTATATCAAAGCCATTCAGACCGAATCTAGTTGAACTAATTTTGAAAATGACAACTTCAAAGAATGATAACGATACAACAACACAACTTGAACACAAACAACAAAATCAACAACAACAACAACAACAAAATCTTTGTACACAAATTGTCAATTAACAAAAATTATAAACTATTATTATAATAAATAAATAAATTATGTATTGTTAAATTAGTCAATCTAAAAATATCAATGAGTCAAGTTTGATTGACAAACCTATTACTGAATGAGATAAATCAAGAAATAAATTATAATTAATCAATAATAATAATAAAATCTAATTAAATAAAAATAAAATTCTTTAATTTATTGCTTTTAAAAAAAAAAAAAAACAAGTTCAAACAATTAGTTTTGACTTCAATTTAAACTTTTTTAATAATAAACTAAATTATCACCAATCATTTCATATTATCTATTTAATTTATATTATTTATTTTAATTTTCTATTTTAGATTAAGCAAAATAAACAATATAAAGTAAAGATGAATCATAAAAAGACAACTGCACCAATGTCATCTGCACCGGGATCACGTGGTATCGGTGGAAGTGCTCCAAAGAAATTGGTTATCAAGAATCTAAAGACTGTTACCAATTCATTTGATAACTATGAGAGTGAATCTTGGTTGCAGTTAGAGAATGCTGTTAACTGTATACATATGAAACTATCTATACAATTAACTTTAGAGGATTTATATAGAGTATGTTAGTTATAATAAACAATCTAGTCAGTCTAATCAATCTAATATCAATCTAATATCAATCAACTTTTAATTAATTGCTATAGATGGTGGAGAATATATGTTTATCAGGAAATGCAACGAATTTATATAAGAAACTATCAGAACTCATTGAAAAGCATGTGAAGCATTCATTGAAGAGTCTAGTTGGTTCGACATCCGATCTCGTCGATTATCTAGGTTTATTAAATACATGTTGGAAAGATCACTCAAATAATTTAGTATGTGTTTGTTGCAAAATAATAATAATAATAGACTTTTGTCTTAAGTACTATGATTAACTAATATATTATTATCTGTCTGTCTGTCTGTTATATAATAGATTCTTATTATGAGTATATTCCTTACTCTAGATAGAACCTATGTTATTCAGAATGCAAACACTGTAAAATCGATATGGGATCTAGGATTACATTATTTCAGAGAGACATTGTTATCCACACCAGAGTTGGATAGAAAGTTAAAGGGTGGTCTATTGGTATCGATTGAAAGCGAGAGAAACGGTGAGACTGTCAACAGAGATTTACTATCGAGTTTAATTAAAATGATGAAATCATTGCATGTAAGTTTAAATCGATATTGCTTCTCATGTGAGAATAATACAACATTAAACTAACTAACTAACTATCATTTAATGATAAACATTACTGTGTAGATATACGATATATTTGAAAAGGATTTGGTTTCGGAGACAAGTACCTATTATTATAATGAGGGTAATAGGTTGGTGGTAGACTACGAGCTACCGAGATATCTCAAACATGTACAGACGAGATTGAACGAGGAATACGATAGATCGTTGAGATATCTCGATGTTGTCACCCGAAAGTTGATTGTTGCTATGGTCGAGAAGCATTTGATCGAGCGACACAGTAATGCATTGATTGCAAAGGGATTCGATCAGCTAATCGATTTGAATCGTATCGATGACTTGCAGTTGATGTACAGTATATTGGCAAGAGTAGGTGTACTCCAACAACTCAAGACTGCCTGGTCTAACTATATCAAAAAGACTGGTTTGGCAATGGTCACCGACACCGAGAAGGAATCGACACTCATTCAAGATCTCATTGCATTCAAATCAAAGTTGGATGTAATCCTAAGCGTATCCTATCAAAAGTCCGACCTAATGACATACTCACTCAAAGAGTCATTCGAGAACTTTATGAACAAAGGTGATAATAGATTAGCAGAGTTAATTGGTATGTTGATATAATATAGATAGATAGATAGATAGTTAAACAAACATTTCTAATTCTATTTCAATTTATACTTTAGCTAAATATATTGATTCAAAGTTGAGATCAGGTAATAAAGGAATGACAGAGGACGAGTTGGAGGATACATTAAGTAAGGCATTGATTCTCTTTAGATATATTCAAGGAAAGGATGTGTTTGAGGCATTCTACAAGATTGATTTATCTAGACGTTTGTTGTTGGAAAAGTCTACATCGATCGACGCAGAAAAGTCAATGGTTTCAAAGCTAAGAGCAGAGTGTGGAAACACATTCACTCAGAAACTCGAAGGAATGTTCCAGGACATTGAACTATCAGAGGAAATCATGCAAAATTTTAAACAATCAACATCACTTCCCATTACTATCAATGTTTTCGTCCTTACCGCTGGTAATTGGCCAACCTATACTCCAATGGAAGCATTATTACCAAAAGAGGTAAGATAATCACAATAGATAATATATAAATAATCATTACTAACGCTTTGAATTCTAATTATATAGTTCGTAGAACAACAAGAGTTGTTCACACAGTTTTACACCAAAAAGTATAGTAACAGAAAATTGTTATGGCAAAATCCATTGGCACATTGTATTCTGAAAGCTACTTTCCCATCTGTAAGTTATTTTATTAAATATTAAATATTATTAAAGAAGAAAATAGATTAACAAAATAATTATAATATTAAACAAATTATAGGGAAAGAAAGAATTATATGTATCTTTATTCCAGACACTCATTCTCAATCAATTTAATAATGCAGATGAATTGACATTTACACAGATCAAAGAGTTGACCGGTATAGAAGAGGAAACACTCAAAAAGAATATTAAACCATTGACGAGCTCAAAGACAAGAATACTCAATAGAAAATCAAAGACTAAATCAAAGTCGATCGAATCCGATGATCTCTTCTCTTTCAACAACGATTTCACACAAAAGTTGGTTCGTATCAAGGTCAATGCCATCCAATCACAAGAGACCGTTGAAGAGAACAAAAAGACAAACGATGGTGTCATTCAAGATCGTCATCAAAACATCGATGCTGCCGTAGTCAGAATCATGAAGGCCAGAAAGTCACTCACTCACAACCTCTTGATTGCCGAACTCATTCAACAACTCAAGTTTTCACCAAAGGTAAGTACCTCTGAAACAAATGTTATTCATTTATTAACTAATTTAATAACCATTTTTATTGTTCTTTCAAACACACAGCCAATGGATTTAAAGAAAAGAATAGAATCACTTATTGATAGAGAATATCTAGGTAGAGATCCAAATAATCCAATGGTTTATAATTACTTGGCATAATAAAATACAAATTAATTAATTGTGGAAATTAATATTTGATTTATTTTATTTAATTTTAAGATAATTTGAAAATATCTATTTTTTAAATTCTTTCCAACTTTTTTTTTATTCATTATTAATTCATGCACAAAACTACTTTTTTATATCTATTAAATAATAATTTTATAAATAAGATCATTTTTGATCATATTAGATTAAAACGATGTTGTTCTCATGATAGATGTTCAAAACATTTCAAATACAATGAAATGATTAAAAATCCTTATATGATGGCATACTATAATTATTTCAATTTGTTTGAAAAGTTTATGGAGGGAGCAAAGAGTAACAGTAATTTGGAGTGTACTACGGTCAATTCAAACCTGTTGTTTATCACTGCCACCAGAGTTGGAAATCTACCGATGATAAAGTATCTTATCGATTATTACGATCCATTCGATAACCAGTATACATTGAACAACATGTTGGTAGCGGCATGCCAGTTTGATCGATTCAACATCATCAAGTATTCTTTTGAAAAAGTTTAAATCTACGAAACGGATGAAATGGGACTTTTATCGAGCACTGGCATACACACCACTCTCTGGCAATATGAAACTTTTAAAATATATCCTGAAGAAAGCGATAAAAAGTCAGGTTGTTTCATCTCAAACTATGAATGCCCATGATTCTGCTGCATTGATGGGGAGGATCGACATGATAGAATACCTTACAAAGAACAAAGTGTTCACAATTGGTTCAAATGATATGTATCACAGTGCGATCAAAGGTGGACATCTTCATGTTATCGATTATCTTCTCAAGAACCCTGCCTATAGGCAGCATTTGAAAAAAGATGTCAGTTTACACGGAGACAATCTAATAGATATTGCAGTCAGAGAGAATCAATTAGAGATCATAGAAATGTTGTTTGACAATGGAATAAAGAAACATAGTCAATTTATATTGGATGAAATTGTTAAAACCGGTAATTTACAAATGATGCAATGGTTTCATAAGAATACCAATGGAAAATCTACTACCGAGTCAATGGATCTCGCTGCTTCCAATGGTGACATAAAAATGGTTCAATGGTTACACGAGAATACTACTGTCGGATGTACCACCTGGGCCATTGACAATTCTGCAAAGAATGGATATCTTAATGTTATATCTTATTTACATCTAAATAGAACAGAGTCTTGTACAAAAAAAGCTATGGATTATGCATCGATGAACAACCACTTTGACATTGTTAAATGGCTTCATTTCAATCGAACTGAAGGGTGTTCCAGCCTGGCCTTAACATACTCTATTAATAATGGTTCACTTGAGATGGTAAAATGGTTAACAGTGAACCGACCAGAATGCGACATACACTCAATCAATTTCGACAAACATGTGGATTTTCTATTTCAGAGTAATCATGCTACAATGATTGAATGGTTACTCAAATCGCTAGAAATACCTATAGAGAAAGCTAAAATCACCTATCAATCAGTAATAGATAAATATCATCTATTTCCAAACTCAACAGAGTCAATTAATGTATTAAATCGACATATATCACAATAATTTAAAATTAACAACTCTGTAATAAATATTTAAATTATCGGTTCTCTTTGTTTTAAGAATCAATTTTATTTTATAACTTTTGTTTCTTTAGGTTTCTGTTGTTTAAATCTTTAGAATTGGTTGTATTCTTTTTCTTTTCATCTTTTGGTGTTTTGGTGGCGGTGGTTTTTTCAACAACATCGTATTTCGGTTTGATATTAGGAAGTACTGGATTTATACAATTGATCATTAACTTTTGATCGTGTGCTTTTGAGTCATCAACAAAGATCTCTACGGTAACCATGTCGAATACACGGAATGTAAGGCTACCATTGGAGAGTGTTTGCTTTGTACAGTCATAGATAAAGTTGGTTGGTTGATTTGGTTCCGATACGTAGACTGTTCCTTCGAATCCATAACGTGGAACCAACACAACGAATGCATTTGCCTTTACACGAATAATATATGCGTTCTCTGTTGTCTTTCTACCCTTGAAGAAAATCAATGTATGGAGATTGGTACTGCCACGCGATGCAAACTGTGCCATTCTATGACGGAAATTGTAGTTATCACAGAGATTGCTTACTGTCTTGTTGTCCATTTTCAGTGAGACTGAAGTTACACCGATAGCCGATGCCAACAGACGATGAACGATTACATCTGGATAACGACGAATTGGTGAAGTGAAATGTGTATAGATCTCCGATGCCAAACCATAATGGAAATATTCTTCGTATGGAACCGATCCAGAACTGAAATATTGTGCTGGGAACATACATCTTGTTGTCATAATACGAAGGAGGGTATTAAAGTATGGATCGTCGGGAATGACACAGAGGTCTAAAGATTCCGCCAACAACTTAGATGTATCCGTTCGGAAATCGAATCCTTTTTGTTCGACGAGTTTCGAGAGTAGTTCGAAACTCGATGCTTTCGGAGTGGGATGGCGACGCAGCAATGCACAGCCAGGGAAATGTTTATGAATCTTTTTGGCCACCCAAATATTGGCGAGCAACATAAACTCTTCGATCATGGAATTGGTTTCACGCATCTGGTAGAGTTCGACATCCGATGGATCACCACCGACCTCCTCGGTTTTGAATTTGACTTGTGGCGACGCCAGAATGAGTGCACCGGCATCGAATCTCTTTGACTTTAGTTTCTTTGACAATGCCAGCATCAAACGCAAATTGGTTGCAACAATATCGTTCTGAGAGGCATCGTCAATCTTTATTTGTGCTTGCTCGTAGGTCATCGATGCAACTGAACGGATCAAACTCTTGGTATATTCAACGTCCAACACATTTCCATTGGGATCCATCTTCCAAATCACAGAGAATGAGAAACGATCGACATTGGACATCAACGAACAAAGATTACTCGAGAGTTCGCCAGGCAACATGTCAATACGACGATCGACAAGGTATACAGTGGTACCACGATGCGATGCTTCTTCATCGATAGCAGCGCCTTCTCTCACGAAATGCGAGACGTCGGCAATGTGGACACCAACCTCAAAGTTTCCGTCGGGTAGTCGCTTACAGTGAAGAGCATCATCGATATCGGTACAGCCAGGTGGATCCACCGAGAATATACATTCACCACGCAAGTCACGACGACCCAGCATATCGGCTGGACTAACATGATCCATAATATCGGGTGGTGGCAAACACTTCATCACCGACGCACCAAATGGATGATGTGGAATATCGAATTGCAAGAGCAACACCTGACTCTCTGTCTCACGGTCACCGAGCGGACCGAGATCCTTCACAAAATGTCCACTTGGATAGCGAGAGTGACGCTCCCAGCTATCGATCGCCACAACAATACGACGGCCAACAACACTGCTGACTTGACGCGATCTAATTCTAATCTTTGGAATACGTCTATCGATTGCAACAAACAACAGTTGCTGTTGTTGATTTGTCACGACGCTATTGATATCACCCTTAAATTCGACGGCACCACAATATGGCTTCCAATTTCTCTTGATGATTCCCACCACTCTTCCAGTGGGTTGACCGTCGCCAACCGCTGTCGAGACACTGCTAGCATCCTTTGCAATTGAATCATCGTCATCTTCAATCGCCTCAGTATCGAGAAGTACAACACCAGATGGTCGAGACCACTCTGCTTTCGGCAGCAGTTCAACGGCGACAATATCACCGTCGACCGCACGATTCATCGATTCCAAACCCTGTATGAGAATCTCTTGTTCCATCAGTGGACTATCAGTCTTTACCAATGCTTCTAAATAGTTGGAACGGTCGGTTCTAATGATACCTTGATAGATCTGACCTTGTTTCAATTGCTCGGTCAACAAAGACATCGGTCGATGCTCAGCAAACTGGAACTTCTTTGCATCAACGCTATTACTATGATCGTCATCATCCGGTGACGACAACTTATCGACCAAACTTGGATTGACATCACTCATCTCCATCACCAAATCCTGAATAGTTTTACCATCCAAACCCAAAGCTTTTGCTTTCGCCAAATTATCCCTATCGTTTGTCACCAACAAAACATTTACATTCAACTTTTTCAAATGAGCTCTATACCATTCCGTTGCAACTCGAATAGCTAAATAACAATCAATGTTAATAAAAATACAAGCATATATATTTTACATCATGATAATTGATTAGTTTAGATTACCTCTATCATTTCTATCGTTTGAAGTTTCACCATTATCTCTTGTGATTGCAGTGTATTTTGAATGTTCGTTAGAGTATACGTAGAATTGGCGTTGTTGATTCTTAATGATCTCTCTTAGTCTGTTGTAGATTGGGAAGTTCTGACTTTTCACTTCGTCTAGCACCGTTGTGAGAATGACTACGTTTTTGATGGTCGGATCCTCCAGTAGATCTATCTGATGAAGCACAACATTGGTATCGAGAATCAAAATCTTTTGAGAATCACCTTCACCAGTCAACTCTGAGTAGGTACTCTCTGCACGTTCACGTTCTTCAACGGTTCTATACAATCGTTTCTTTATCTCCAAACAACTCTGACATTTCTGATGACCACATATCAAATCATCTCTTAAATAAACTTCTCTAACAACTTTTATAATCTTTCCTCTTCTTGTAGCTCTATAATATTCTTTATTTGAATGTGACATTATTATTATTATTTATCTATAAAATAATAAATAATAAATATAAATTTTGATGAATTTTGTAAAAATTTATTAAAAAAAAACGAACGAATCTCAATTTTATTAAATTTTTTTCTGAACAAGTTATATAACTTGTTTGTAACAAATGATCATATTATTTTAATTAAATTTATAATATAAATAGAGACATTCTTCAAATTTGTTTTTTTTTTGAAAATAAACAAATTATACATTCATCATTAGTTATAGTTGAAAGAATATAGTTATGTATTTTATTTTATATTGAGCATTTCAATACTTTCGATTCCAACTTTTCGATATCTTTCAATCTTTGATCATCTTTATAAGCATCTTTGAAGGTAGCGAATTTACCTGGCGATTTCAAGAAATTATCCCGCGCACCTCGGAACCCTTTACCTAGTTTAATCATTGACGCCAATCCATCAATAATATCAAAGGATGCAGCTATCCAGGCTAATGGATCCTTTTCACCACCGATAGCCATAGGCAATATCGTCCAAGTTGCACCAATGACAGGACCGATTACAGGTATGGTGTAGGCACCTATCATAAAGAACGACTCGATCAGATCAAATAGGAACTGTACTTTCATTGCCTCTTCGTTACTAATGATCACAGCAGCTTGGTTCATGATCGATTCCATTGATTCCGCTGCATTCAGAAGACCGATGGTCACAGTCATTGCGGTATCAACGATCACGTATGGATCTTCCCATCCGCCACTGACAGAATCATCCATATACTTGGAAATCTCTTTAATCTTGCTGAGATCACCGAGTAGAGTGACAGGATTGAACACCACACTCTTTAGTAGATATGGGTATTTGTTGTAGACAATGGTAGCTTTTCTCTTGATGCAAGGTTTGTTGGGAATATCGCTGGCCTCACAGTATTCATAGTGTATCGTGTAGTCTTTATACTCAAAGTCATCTTTGGTGACATTATACTTGAGAGCATCGCTGGCAGCCTTGATGAAATCATCCATGTTTCTAACCTCCATATTTCCACTCTCACATTTGCCTTCGCAATCACCTTGCTCGATTGTACATCCACCGTCCGGGCACTTAAAGTATTTATCCATGTGGGTCGGTGTAAGGAAGTTGCCGTCTCGCTTGAACATCCAGGTGTTGAATTCATCGGTCATTCTGGTGAGCATATGTGGTACATAGATATCATCAAACACCTTGGAGAATGTACTATCGGTTACTTTTGCTGGACCTATCACTGGGAAATTTCCTTTGTATTCTTTGGCTTTGGTGCATCGAATTGGAACGGTATCCGAGCAATCGGGAGGAATTTGATAGGTGCCATTAATAATCTGGAACTTTTCAATCTTAAAGTTATTATAGATATCCTTATAGAATTGATCTGGTTTATCCCATTTCAGGAGAGCCGAACATCCATTCCTGGCTGATTTTCTTCCTGGACAACTGAAATAATCATCGAGATGAGCAAGTAACCAACTGTCAAAAGCCATCGAATCGATTGGACCTTTGGTAACAGGTGGTCCACCGTTTATCATTCGATCTATCTTGCCTAGCGCCTCCTTGGTAAGATCTCTCAGCTTTTGTGCCATATATTCGATAGCACAATCAGAACTATCGTCATCGCTGGCGGAATTAACGATATCACTAATTGATTTAGATGATATATCTACCTTTGGACATTCTTTGTATGCTGCACTTGGATCGTCTGCCAATGGTTTTGGATTATATGGTACACCATACTTGGTGGTTGCAGTTTGCAAATCGATTGCCCATTCCACAGTTCCCAGGAGATTCATCGATTTCGCTTTGGCAATACGATTTTTCATAATTGCTTGATCGGTATAGGCAATCCAATCGTTGGTATTGTAGGTCATAATAATAGAATCCGATAGCGCATCATATACTTTAGAACGAACCTGACCGTGTGCAATAATATCTTCAATTTCTGCCAGTGCCAAGTATCCACGTGTAGCAGTACATTTTCCAGGCGACGCACCATTGGCAGTGAATTGACAAGTTGGTGCGGAACAACCTGGATCAACTTGTTGGAATGATCTACCATACGATCCCAAACCCATTAGAACCTTGTTCGAAGGAACACCGGCATTGGTAATCATTGCCAATGCATCGACAGTCTCTGTCCAATTGACATGAGATCTCAAATAGGGACCAGTATATTTAATATTGTAATCCCACTGACCTCTAAAGTCATAGGTCATAAATACAATATAGTCCAAGAGTTTTGCCATATCTTGAATGGGGAATGCTCTAAGATACCAATAGGAAGCAGGAGCTGCCATACTAAGTGAGTATTTGCTTGGCAAAGCAGCTCTCAGACCTTTAAGGAATTCCAAATAATTTAAACCATCATCATCGGTATGTGTAGTACCTTTGATATCCCATGCTCCTGGATACCTTTAATAATAATTAAAAGTAGTATTAGTAAATTATATGTATGTTTATGAAATAGAAATATACATACTCCCAATCCATATCTACACCATCCAAATAGTTATCTTGAACAAAAGATACAACATTACTAATGAATTTCTGACGATTGGCAGCGGTCATCACACCTTGTGTTATAATATTTTGGGTTGCTGGCTCAGTACTGAAACCCCAACCACCAAAAGATAGAATACGCTTCACACCTGACAACGCTTTGAACTGACCCCAAACATCGATATCCTTTGGATCGATATATGGTTTGAATGAATTGTCAAGTAAACCAAATCCATAGTGAACATGTGTGTAGTTTCTTGTATCGATTTGCGAAGGTCTCATGTTTAAACAAGGTCTATTTTTAATCCAACTTTCGTAGTATCCAACTTTAAAGAAACTACTTGGTGGACCAGAGTTTGAATGATAACCTTGCGGACCACAAGCACCACTCTGACATCCAGTTCCTCTAACTGGTTTTCCAGCTACATTCTTTGTTGTACTGAAAGCACAAAACTCTTCACCGTATCCACAGAATCCCCATCTACTGCAACATGCTCGAAGCGGACATGTAGCATTTCTAACGGCGTTCGTTGCATTCGAGGGTACAGCATAGGTTCCCTTTACCAAAGTTTGCGATGCTTCACCACACTGAGCGTCATAGTTGATTGTAGGCAATGGAGGTTTTCCAGGACTAATACATATAGTTTGTTCACGTTGTACATTACCACAACCAATCCATTGGTATGTATCAGAATTGAAATCCTCCAATTTTGTATATGGAGTAATATGGAATTTACCAGCAATCACAGAACAGGAATCGTCTCTCTGGACTTTATAGGCAACACACGAACCGTTGGCATTCATCTTTGGTGAGAGATCCGGTAGCTTACCAAGACCACAACAGAGAAGTTGGCCAACTGCCAAAGCTCCACAAACCTTATCGGTATTACCGTCGAATGACATGAATTGTGGGGTGGTCACGGGAGTCGGACATCTTTGGGAGGCAGCCCAACAACCCTCACCAGACTTGACAGCAACGGTTACACATGTACCATCGGGGTTCTTTGGTGCACCTGCATCTGGCAGACCACCCGAACTACAACACACCATTTGATCTACTTGCAATGAGCCACAGAAAGAATTCTCTGTAACGCCATTGGAACCGATACCATTGTATTTATAAAAGTCGCTATCGGAAATACCACATGATCTTGCAAGACTCCAACAACTATTTCCAGACTCCACCCTTTTGGTTGTACAGGCAGCCTCCACCTCCCTTGCAATTACTGATAATAAAATAATAAATATTAAACCATATATATTTATAAATTTCATTTCCTATTTTAGAGAAGAAAAATGAATTATTAATATTTGAATTATGAGATAGAATTATTTTTCAATCTTAAAAATATTTGGAAAAATTATAATAATTAGTTACCTTTATATATAACTAAAAATAATAATAACTTTGATTTTATCAAAAAAAAAAAGGATATTGAAATAAAGAATGAAAATCAATAAGACAATAGTTTGGAAAATAGAAAGTGTTTAGTGAATTTAAAACATTTTATTATTAATCTTTTCTAAAATGGGGGGTCATTTTACTTATTCATATGATTGGTTCGGTGTTTAATAAAAATCATTTGGGTATTTACAACGATCTGGTGGGTGTTGAACTTGTATTTTAATATGTCAATAAAACACTTTGATAGATCATTACTATAATCTAAAGATCAAACACCACTCTAAAATCATATTCGTCATGATGATAAGTGTTCAATATAAGGTTGTAACATAATTATAATAAACTAATGGGAAATGGTAAGTAGTTTTGATTAAAGAAGATATCAATTTTATTATTATTGATTTTATAATATTATTATTGATATTTTATTTTTTTATTAAACTATTATTATTATTATAATTTTAAAAAATAATAATATAGAAATTAGAAATATTAATAATAATAATAATAATAATGTTAATAAAAAAGAATATTATTATCTTTTTAAATTTATTCTTACTGTCATTAATAATAGTTTACTATGGAAATGTTGTTGATGCAACGTTTGCTGTAAATTCAAGAGGAATTTTTGATGTAATTCTTCAGATGGAAGCAAAGAAAGGAGGTTTCGCAACATTGCCCGGTGTTAATGTTGATGAAGTCCTCGGTAACTTTATTGTTCAATATGATATCGTGGACAACAAGGTGGAGTTTTCCGGTGGAAATATCCCGATCTCAAAGAATGCCGATGGTCATTGGGTTTTCGATGCCAGTGCAACTCAAGCCACCGGAGAACAGGTAACCGAAGTATTGGACGAATGGGGAAAGAACTTGGGTCTCCAATCGGAGATGAGAAATCACTACAATAAAGATAAATGGTTGGGTGTTGATTTCGACCCAAGCAATCAAGACGCTCACAACAATGGGTTAAAGGATAATGCACTCTACACTTCAAAGAGCTACGGTAAGGAATTCCAAGACATCGCCAATAAGATCGGAGACATCAACAATCACGAGAGAGTCGGTGATGCATTGGATCTGGCGAGACAAGCTCGGTTGGTCGACGCGCAAGATCGTGCCAGAGAACTGGAGGAATCGTACGTAGCGAGAGATGCACTCGACGGTATCGGAGATCCCGCACAGCGACAAGCGATCTTTGAATCGAAACTACCCGGTGTTTTACCGGGTCTTGCAACGGATACTCCAGATATTGCCAATAAAAGAATTAAAACCTATTTAAGAGGTCTGAAACAAAGTTTCAAAAATCATCTTAAATCGTTCAACTATATGGAGAACATTAAATTGGCAATGGGAGGACATCCACAAGTCCCCGCTGCACATTTCGATCCCGCTTACTATCCAGGTGCTGAATTTGCAAGAGTTAGAGCTGATTGTACTTAACACATTTAAAATAAATATTTTACCAATTAAATGATAAATCATCTAAATATTACCTCATTCTTCTATATTTTTAATTTAAGATCTAAACTTAACGTTGATTGATCGTTGACATTCCAACTTCTTCATGATATATAAGTGCATATATATTGTGATTACCATTGTAAAATCTTCCTAGATCCTAAGGATATATGAGAACTGATTGATTTGTCTAATCATCATACATTAATCTAACACAAGCTTAAAAAAATTAAGCTTAATTTTACTAAACAAACGTGCGCCAAAATTAAATTTTTTTAAATGAAATTCGAAGAAAAATCGATTTTTTTAATGTACAACTTTTTCGTTTTTTTTTTAGAGTATTTTATATTATGTATATATATATAGAAACAGATAGATAGATAGATGGATGATGAAATACAAGAAATGATGAATGGCAATTTAAATGGTGGCGGGGAGAACGGAAATGGAAGACCAAAGAGAATTATTAAACAAATAGATAGATATTCAAATTTTCTTGTCAATAAGAATTTAGCTGAGACCGACGATGACGACCATGATAACAGTATGGATAACGATATTGAATTGACTGATAGTGACAGCGACTGGGGTGAGAGTAGTGATAATGATGATAATTATTCCGATAAGAAAAGTAATAATAAATCAAATAAAAACAAAAATAACAATAATAAAAAAAAGAATAATAATAATAATGATAATATAACAACAGATGATGAAATAGATCATGTATCAGAGACTGACTTGGAAGCAACACCTACAAAGAAAAAGAAGAAACTATCCCTATCAACAAGTAAAAAGATAAAGACAACAATAACACCGAACAAAAGTAAAAGTAAAAGTACAACTACAACTACAAAGAGTAATAATAATAATAATAATAATAATAATGGAAATGTTAAATTTTTTCAAAAGACAACAAATAATCAGCAATCGCTTGTTCATCCAAAGAATGATACTTCTAGTTGGACATCGAAACCACTGAAGAGTGAAGGTAGTTTTTCCGGTAGCCTTAGTGGTGCTGGTGGTGATCGTAATTTTTCACCTTTCAACAAGACCGGTCCTACTTTTGCTACTAGTTCCAAGGCAAGATTCGCAAACTTGAAATCAAGTGTAGCTACTGGTGGTAATCAGTCGAGTGGTGATTTCTTCCAACAGTTTCTATACAAGCCGAAACCAAAGGAAATAGACTTGTTGGACGATGATCTTCCACCTCTATCAAAATCAAATATTTCAATTGGCGATTCCAATCTAACGACAAACTCAACATCACAACCAACATCTGCATCAACTTCACCGGTATCATCTACAAGTAAAGGATTGAAAAAGATAAACATCGATGATAACAATAACAATCATAATCATAGTAATGGTAATGGTAAAGACAATACTAGTGATATAGTGGATATAGAAGATAATGAAAATGATGATATCAGTGGTTTCAAACTGCAGCTAGATAAAGATAAGAATAAGAAGAATAAAAGAGAACAGGTGGAAGATGATGAAGAGGAAGAGGACGATGAACCACCCATTGTCAATATGAAGAGAATACACAGACAGTCGAGACCACTGTTTCCAACGCTACCTACCACTCCAACCAAGCGTGAGAGTCACCTTGCACATCAGGTGGTGACAGTCGATCTCAATGAGATATTGAATGCCGATGACGATGAATCCACTGAAGACGAATTGCCATCTCTCATTAAACTGAGAACGAGTGGTGCATCTGGTTCTATCAATATTGATGAAGATGACGAATCAACTCAAGATGAAAAGGAAGTAAAGAAAGAGGAAGAGGAGGAAGGAGAAGAAGAAGAGAATGAAGTGGAATCTTTGATGAAAGGTTACGATGTGGATGAAGATAGTGACGAGGAGACATCACAGCTCGATAAACTTATTAAAGCTTGTGAGTTGTTCTCAAAGAGAATGTTAGAGATTCTCTCAAGTTTCCAAGAGAATAAAGAGGAGAATAATAATACATCGACAGCAGCAACAGCAATAACAGCACCATCTTCTTCAACAACCAATAGAAAACTTATTACTCAACCATCTATTATCAAGAGAACAATGAGATCATATCAATTGATTGGATTGAACTGGATGGGAATTCTATATCAAGAGAAAATAAGTGGAATTCTAGCTGATGAAAGTAAGTTTTAATTAATCGATTTTAAAATGATACTTCTTCAAAGATCTAATTAGATTATTCTATTTATTTATAAAGTGGGTCTTGGAAAGACAGTACAATCGATTTCATTACTTGCACATATTTATGAAAAGTATAAGGATACTGGTCCACATTTAATTATTGTACCAGCAACAAGTAAGTAGTATTGTTGTTTAGAGTTTAACATTAAGATATTAATTATTATTATTTTATTTAATCAGCCTATAGTAATTGGAAGAGAGAATTGGAGATGTGGTGTCCAACGTTAAAAGTTTACAGCTATTATGGAACGGCCAAAGAGAGAGAAATGATGAGATATGAATTGAGAAGTATGAAAGCTGGTGTCGATTTTAATATCATCATTACAACCTATAATATTTTATTTTCACAAATAGATAGAGGGTAACTATCGTTATAACCTTAAAACTATAACTTTATCAATTACTAACAAACAGTCTATCGTAACAACAATAATAATTAATATATAGATTCTTAAAGAGATATAATTATACATATCAACTTTTAGATGAAGCTCAAAATATTAAAAATAGTGATTCAAAGAGATATAAGAATCTATTTAAGATCACTGTAACTATCAATATACCAGATAATTTATCATTATTAAATCTAATTAGATTAATGTTTATTAATATTCATAACTCTACATAGGCAAAACATAGATTACTATTAACAGGTACACCATTGCAGAATAATATTCAGGAACTTTGGTCATTGTTAAACTTTATTATGCCACATATCTTTGGAAAGATTAAGAATAATTCGATGTTGGAGGAATTACTTTCGCATGCAGAGGGTAACAATGCTATCATTTCTAGGATGAAGAAGATTCTCTCACCTTTCTTCTTGAGAAGACTTAAGTCAGAGGTATCGTTGGAACTAAAGCCAAAGGAAGAGACTATAAATCGATGCAAGCTCACCGATGTTCAAAGTAAATTCTATGCTGATCTCGTTGCACGCAGTAAGAAGCAATTGGAAGCACGTTTAGAAGCAAAGCAAGACGCAAAAGATGCCAAAGAGAAAGCAAAGCAAGCGAAATTAAAAGCAAAAGAATTGTCGAGAAAGAGAAAATCATCAAAGACAATAGATGTAGATGATGAAGAAGTAGAGGAGGACGACGAAGAGGAAATGTTGGATTTGGATCAAATCGACTTGGTAGATGAAGAAAAGAAAGGAAAGAAGAAGAAGGAGAAAGCATTGACCACCAATCAAATGATGACAAATCTATTGATGGAGTTGCGAAAGATCAGTAATCATCCGTTGTTGTGCAAGAATTTCTATTACAAAGACGAGCAAATACGTGAAATCAAACAGATTCTCCGAATGAACGACAATGAATTCATTGGATACACTATGGAGGAGATGGATGAAATCTTCTTGGATTACTCTGACTATGAAATTCATTGTATTGCACAGAATCAGACGAGAAACCTCTTGGAGAAATACATCATTCCCGATACTTTTATTGTGGAGTGTTCTACAAAGTGTTTGAAACTCAATGAACTCTTGGATGCCGAGAGAAAGAAGGGTAACAAAGTTCTGGTTTTCTCGATGATGACCAGAGTTCTCGATATTCTCGAGGAGGTGTTGTCGATGCAAGACATATCGTTTTGCCGTCTCGACGGTACCACTCCGGTGAACGATCGTCAGGACATCATCGATCTATTCTCTGGCGACAAAACCATACCAGTGATGTTACTCTCGACGCTGGCAGGTGGTCTCGGTATCAATTTGACTTGTGCAAACGTTGTTATCTTCTACGATATCTCATTCAATCCTCAGGTTGAGAGACAGGCCGAGGACAGAGCACACAGACTCGGTCAAGAAAAGACAGTCTACATCCACAGAATCATCGTAGATGACTCTGTTGACAACAACATCCTCGAGATGTCCACAACCAAGAGAGAACTCAATGACTCTATGCTCGAAGAAGGTTCATACGCAGCGGCAAACGACAACAATTCCAAATTGGAATCTAAAAAGATTGTTAAACTCTTAACATCTATTTTAGCCTAAAATATATATTTAAATAAAAAAATTATTTACAAAAAAAAAAAACTAAAAACAAAAAGGTAATCGATTACTTTATCTATTTATTAATTTGTTGATGAATCATTAACTCGGATGATGCATCGTCATAACAAATTACCGAAAAGTTGAGAACAACATTACCATCATGATGATATAAGATTCTAAAAAAAGAGGTAGTGAGTCAACCCGCCAAAAAACAATACACCACTTTGACTTTTTTATTTTATTTTTTATAATTTTTAAATTTAATAATAAATGATAAACACATTGAACAACACCAATGACCAATTTAATTTAACTTTTTTTTCTCAATTTAATCATTTTTTATTTCTAAATTTAAACAAATATATAATACAAAACTTTTTTTTAAACAAAAATGTCAGTCATCAGATTAGTTTTGTGCTCATTCTACGCAGTTTTTGTAACATTGCTCTCTGCAGCAACTCTTAATTTATCTGTCATTGGATGGAATCATTTAGTAGAAGTCAGTATTCAATTCAGTAGAAGTAGTTCATTATTATTTACTAACCAAAACAAAATTTTAAATACATAGTTGTCAAAACCACATTTAGATACTAAATTGATGGCCATTCCAGCCACTTTTACTGCATTCAACTTGACCCATATTCTTTTATTCGCCATCATCATGGTTCTCCTTGCCACTGGAAGCAAATTGAGCTCCGTTCAAGCTCCAACTCAAGTTACATACGCAAAGAAGTCAAACTAAAAATAAATGATAAATAAATAAAATAAATTATTAATTATAAAAAAATAAAAACAATTTGATATCATTATCATTAATTATTATGATTTAAATAAAATATTTAGTGTTATTTTGAAAGTATATAATTTAAATTGACCAATGGTGATACTGGATCGGTTGAAATTAGACTGGCAGCAGCACATTTAGTTCCGATTGCCATTGATTGCTGAAGTGTTTGATTGTTGATGATCGACCAAATGATGCATCCCACCATTGAGTCACCGGCACCTGTTACATCGACGAGCTCTTCATCTTTGATATTGGGTGCATCGAAATGTTGGCTAACGAGTGCATTGTCGTTCGTTTCTTTGTTGAGTGACATCACAAAAACACCACTCTTACCGAATTTAACAAAGAGTGTTTGCATTCCTGCCTCCAAAAGAATATTTGAGTGTAACTCGATCGATTGTACTGACTTGTCTTTATGGTTACTCTTATCCACCTCTCTACAGAGTTGTTCTACCTTCTTTGAGTTGCTCACTCTCAAACAAACTTTCTTTGACATCTCCAACAGTTCATCTACATTTGGCGAACTATAGGTAATCATTGGAATAATATCGACGCCTGCTTTCTCGCTTGACAGCATTGGAATCGACGATTTCGGTACGGAAGTTGGTTCGAAAAACATTGGAATTGCGCTTTCCTTTGCCAGGGCTGCCAGTGAAACCATTGTCTCCAGTGGAATGTTGGCATCGAAAACAATCATCTTACTTTTTCTGATTTCCTCTTTAAATTGGGCAATGTAATCGGGTGTTATCTTTTTGAAGATATCCATAATTGAAATGGCGACTTCCAAATCACCGACTTCGTTCATAATTGCATTGTAGGTAGCTGTTGATGATCCACTGACTCGCTTTACTCCATCGGTTGAGATATTGACCGAACGGAAATGATCGTATATGATATTGGATTGTACATCATCACCGACCATACTGATAAACAAAGTCTCCAATTGCAATCGACTGATAATCTCTGCAACGTTCTTACCAACACCACCAACTTTTATATTCATTACACCTGGATTCGATGTCTTCATCTGTAGAGCATTATTTGGATGTGAAATTAAATCAATAACAGCACCTCCAACAACTGATATCACTGATTGTTTTCTTGTTGTAGTAGTAGTTGTTGTTGCTGTTACTTCTTTATTTTGACTAGTTGTTGTTTGTTGATTATTATTACTATTCTTTAATTTTGATAGTTCAACAGCAATCAATGCTCCAACTTTTGCATTCTCCTTTATTAAATGAATATCTAAAGAACAAAAACAACAATAATATTAATAACTTAACTTCATTCAATACTGTTTTTTCTCTTTTTATCAACTTACTTGATTCTAATGATTTTCCACCAGTTAATTCATTTACTCTTTTCAATAGGAAAGGTGTTATCTCTTTGCCAGCCACTTTAAGTGTTTCCGCTTCTTTTACAGCTTGTGAAATCGATTGGTCGAAATCGACGGTCGATGGGAATATGTTGGGTACGGTAATGACGATACCACTGTTGAGTTGAAGTCGATGATTGGCATCGATTACCTTTGCACACTCGAGATAGCTATCGAGACGATTCGGTGTTTTAAACTCACTCTTTGGTGTGAAGAACGATGGGAAGTAGTCGGAACCCAACGTAATCACGGTGACACCCTGAGTCTCGAGATACTCGAGAGTCTTACCGATGTCCAGTATCGATTTGACACCGGCCGACACCACCGTTATCTCGTTCTTACCGAGCTCTGTCAGATCGGCAGAGATGTCGAACGACTCTTCGGCACCGCGATGCACTCCACCCAGACCACCGGTAACAAACAGCTTGATACCGACGAGATTCGCAATGAAAATGGTTGCCGAGACAGTGGTGGAACCTGTTCTATCGGGTTGAGCCAACACCAGCGCGAGATCACGTCTCGATGTCTTTATCGCTGCTTTGCCAACCGACGACAAATGGTGAAGCGATTCTTTGTCGAGACCAACTCTTATAGTTCCATTGATGAGTGCAATCGTCGCCGGTATTGCACCATTACTACGAACAATATCCTCTACCTCCAAAGCTGTTTTATACTATCAAAATAATAATAATAATATTAGCGTTAATATAAGATATTAATTTAAGAAAATGTACATTTATAATTTATGTTATACATACATTTTGGGGGTATGGCATACCATGTGAAATGATTGTAGACTCTAGAGCAATCAGTGGTAATCCTCTTGCAATTGCATCTTTAACTTCGTCACTGTAAATAATGAACGATTCTAAACTAATTGATCTCTGATTTTGATTTTGATTGAATATTGTTATCGATGAGCTATGATCAGCAATTCCATAAAACAATTTGTAAATCAAAACCAAAAAGAAACCTATTGACATATATTTAATTGTATCTGACATCTTTTGATTCGATTCGATTTGATTGGTTGTATATATACACCACTATCTATCTATTAAACCAATCAATTTAAATAAAGTCGATAAACTCGAGTTGAATCTTCATCTTGAAAACAAAAAATAAAAATAAAAAAAATTATTGTTTGTGAACAAAACAAAAATGTAATGCTTATTTTTTGATCATCATATCCAACCAAATTAAGTGGATTGTAATATGTGTATATAAAATTGTTATTGTTGTTTTGTATTTATAGTGAGATATATTATATAATTAAATATAGAGAATGAGTCATTTAATAGATTCATATAAATTAATTTCAAATAAATTAAAGAAAAAGTAATATCAACAACAACAATAATTATAATAATTGGTTGAATACATATATATACTTACAAGATGATTTTATAAACTATTATTATTATTATTATTATTATTATTATAGAAAGTTCCCTTTAAGGAAACCAAACTATGCAGAAGCTATAGATCAATATGCACAGATTATGAATTCATTCAAGAGAGAAGGTAACTTGATGTATGCTGCATTCTGTTGTCTCTCAATAGGTAGATGTGAACAAGCAATAAAAAACTCTTCATCTGCAGAAGCATCTTGTTTTATTGATTCAGGTATAATATATAGTTATAAAATTAATAAGTAAAATGTCTAACTAAATCATTATATATATATATCAAGGTTATTTAATATGGGAAAATGAAATAAAAGCATTCGATAATGATTATATTAGCTTTGAAGAGAATGTAACAGAAGCAATCAATTGTTATCTTTTAGCAATAAAAGTATGTAGCAGGTGTTTACTATTTACCTATATTTTGATTACTTACTTATCATATGATATGATGTTCTAGATATATCAAAATTATAAGAGATTCAGTATAATGGGTACATTATTCTTTGAGTTGGCAACAATACTGAAAAAACTAAGAAAGTATGAAGAGAGTGCAGAGTATTTCAATAAAGCAGCAGAGATTATGCGAACAGAGAGTCCTATCACCGCGATCAATTCACTAAAAGAAGCGATTCAGTGTAAGATATTGGAGTGTGACTATAAGGGGGCATGCGACCTGCTGGATACCATCGTAACGATAGCATTAGAGTCGATGCCACAGGAGAATCGTTTGAATCAAACTATAATGGTGAATCACGAGCAATATGAAAATCACAGAGTGCCATCGTCGATCAGTCTATCGCTCTACCCGTATGCACTGATAGAGGCACGCGTCTCGCTGATACTACTGTACATCCTACAGGACTCATTCCTAAAGTCACAGTCGCATCTCGGTAAGCTGGTGAACGATATCAACGACAATGAAGGTCAATCATCTGATCTCACCGATGAAACGATTGCACTCTTAAACAATCTATTAGTAAGTAACATATATACTTTATTCAAGTGTAAACAAAACAAAACAAATAACTAATCAACAACAATTTTAATAATTTATTTGTTTATTTTTTTTATCATCACCAGATGGCATGTGAAAGAAAAGAAATAAATGGTTTACAAGCAATACAAAGAGAACTATGGAGTTCACTGACCGATATGCAAAACGATATTTTACAAAGAATTTGGTGTGCCAATAAAATGTTACTTTAATTTAAAATAATGATTATATTCATTCATTCAATTGATTGATTGGTTGGTTGGTTTATTAATTTTAAATTTAATCACTATTCTTTCTCTGGGGAGAATCTCAATTAGAAATTTTATACAATCTGGGGGAGATTGGAATAAGTCTTTGCAAAAACAAAAATAAAATTAAAAATAAAACAATTTTTGTAGATCTTTTTGTCTGTCAAATCAAAAAAAAAGGTTATAAAAACATTTTCTTTTATTTCTTTTTTGTTTAATTAATATATATATTTATAGTTTTTTTTTTTTAAATAAAAACAATATTAAAAATGGTATGTTACTTTTGTTGATGATGAAGACGATTGTGGGTATGAATAAAAACTGACAGATATTATGATAGATTCATTTCTTTTTAACATTCAATAGACAAGGTAAAATGAGGTTGTCAAGATGGTACTCTACCTATTCACCGAAAGAGAAGAGTAGATTCACAAAGGAGATCGCTGGTCAAGTACTGAGAAGACGTGAAAAAGATTGTAACTTTATTATTTGGAAAAACTATACATTGGTCTACAAGAGATACGCTAGCTTGTTCTTTTTAATGGCAATAGATAACAATGATAATGAACTAATCACATTGGAGCTAATTCATCGTTATGGTATGTTGTTAGTTAATATATTATCAACAACTTGTTAATTTCAAATCAAATCAAAGTTTATTTATTAATAATAATGCTTATATTTATAGTTGTAATATTAGATATGGTATTTGAAAATATATGTGAAATGGATTTAATCTATGAATTTGAAAAGGTAATATAATAGCATACTCTATAATAATAATAATAATAATATATTAACTTTAAAATATTTATATCAATGATAACATTAATAATAGGCATATTGTTTGTTGGATGAATATATATTGGGTGGTGAAATGCAAGAATCTGGTTTATTAGAGGTGGTAAATTCATTAACTGGTGGCGAGAAATGGGAAAAGGCTATGTATATCAATGAAGCTATATCAAACAACTTCTAAACTTTAATATAATAATAATAATAACAATAACACAATAAGGACTGTGATGTTTACTATAGCATTCCTCTATAGAAAGTATAATATGACACGTTCGCATGAGCATTTCACATATCACAGCACCCCATATTACAAATAAGTATTCATTTAGTGAATACTGCATCCTATGCTGTGATCAATCTTATTTTGTAAATCATATAAAACAACAACAACAACAACAACTAAAACAACTACATTACTTCAAAAGAGATGTAATAACACAATATATATAGAATTTAAATAAGAATAAAATTTTTTTGTAACTTTTGTGTGAGTTTACCAAAAATGGCCAATTTCAGGATGAAAGACCACCAATCAAAATTTATTAATAAAAAGAAATTAAATTTTCAATTCCTTAATTGTGTGTGTTCACTTTATTTTAAAACAATGATAAGTTATATAATGATTATACATGTAAATAGCATTACAAAAGCGAACTATTTATTGTTCATTTTTCATTAAAGTTTTAAGTAAGAAGAATATATACATAGATAACAAAAAGAAAAGAATAAGAATACAATGAATCCTAATAGAACTGTAGCTATTATTGGAGGTGGTCCTGCAGGATTGGTCAGTTGTAAATCGGCATTAGAGGCGGGTATGCTGCCAACACTCTTTGAGAAGAACCGAGACATTGGTGGAGTATGGTCGAAATCTAGTGGCTTTGTTTGGGACAGTCTCAGAGTCAACTTTGCCGTCTATGCAATGGTCTTCTCTGATTTCCCTTGGGAGGCAGATTGGCACACCGGAAACTATCCTCCACACGTACAGCTCAGCCAGTATCTAGAGAGATACGCCAATCACTTTAACCTCATGAAACACATCAAGTTTAACTCCACTGTCACCAGAGTGTACCAGGCGCCTGGCAGTCAGAGATGGACTGTCCAATACAACCAGGATCAGAGTGAAACATTCGACTGTGTAATTGTTGCCAGTGGCAAGTTTAATAATCCACGTACCCCTAATATTCCAGGAATAGAGTCATTCACTGGAACCTATATTCACAGTAGGGAATATAAGAATCGACAACAGTTCAGAGGACAATCGTTTCTGGTGGTAGGAGACAACCATAGTGGTGCAGAAATATCAGCGGATTTGGCAGGGAATCACGATGATGTATCCGTCACCCAATTGATGAAACGTCCGAAATGGATCATAAAAAGAGAACAACCGAGATATCTTTTGGATCCGACAAAGGAACCTGCCGTCGAAGAGGAAGAAGCACCATCGAAAGAGACCGTTCCCTACGAATTTATTCTCTATTGTAGAAAATCTATTGACTATGACAATGAGAAATACAAATCTCCTGAGGAACGATTCATACACAAGAACGAATGGCTCTCAAAGCTTTGTAGTAAACAACAAACCAATGAGAATCTCCGCAAACAACTTCCAATTCAAGATACACCGTCCTATACGATATCCGATGTCTACACTGACCTAGTCTTGAAAGGACGCATCACCATTGAAAGATCAGAAGTCATCAGAATCGATGGAAAAACAATCCACTTTTCCAAAGGAGAACCAAAGCAGTTCGATCACATTATCTTTGCAAACGGGTACTCCTATGAAATTTCATTTTTGGATAAAGATCTACTGGAGGATCTCCACTATGATCCGTCGAACCGACTCATACCGATTGCTCTTCACAAATCGGTGTTTCCACCTACGAAATGGCAGAATATTGCTTTTGTTGGCTGGTATGTTGGTGCTCTCTTTCCGGTGACAGAACTTCAGTCGCGTTGGGTATCGCAGGTACTCTCACAACAGATGAGTCCGCCAACCAGTGAGCAAATCAACGCTGGCATACTTGATGAGCTCGCCATTCGAAAGAATCGGTTCAATCTGAGACTCCCACATGCAAACATGGTGGTAATGGCCGATAAGATTGCCTCGCAATTCGGTGTACTTCCAGATTTCGAGAGAATCAAGCGTGAAGATCCCGATCTATACAAACTAATCTACAACAACTTCTCATCGCCTGCAATCTACCGACTGTCAGGTCCATATTCAAAGCCAGAACTTGCCAAACAAATATTATCAAACATCAACAAACAATTCTATGATATCTAAAATAATAATAGAACAAAAATAAATTGTAAATATATAAACAAAAATGTAATATAAAATTAAATTACAACATATTTTTATTGTGAATGAATGCTCATAATCATAGTTGTTACCCAATCACCTCAGATGTTGTGATCAGTTTGTATTTTTCGTTCCCGAGATCCTCTGACAAACTAAATGCATTTCCGACAACTATTTTTTTTTAATTAATTTATTTATTTTTATAATTTTTATTTTTGTTTTGTTTTTTTTAAAAATAAAAACTGCACAGTAATTAATTATTATTAAAAATTAAATATAGATAAATCTGTAAGATCTTTTAAATATATTTCATTGTCAACCATACACATTACAAAAAAAAAATAGAAAAATTATAAAAAAATTAAGTTCTTAAATATTAAAGTTGAAAAGGCAAGTTACTTGCATTGAAAGGATTTTTTAATTTTTTTCTAATTTATTTTTTATTTTGTTTTCCTTGAAACTATTAAATATATAAATAATTCAAATCAATTCAATTTAGTTTTTTTTTTTTTTTTTTTGTACTTCGATTGTATTTGAACACCTCATCTTCAAACAACAAAAACAAATCTTTAAAAATTATTTTAATTAATTAATTAAATTAAAAAAAAATAGAAAAAAAAAATATTTAATTGTTAAAGAATTTAAAAAAAAACTTGTGGTTATAAAATAAATAAAATAATACCGATAAGTTGTAATTTTTATTTTATTTTGTTTCTCAAGTTTAGTCACACAACAACAACAGTAAGCAGTAAGCAGTAAGCAGTAACAAATCATTGCCCTACATTACATAGTAACATAACAAAATTTAATATTAGTTTATTATATTACTATATCAGTGGTTCTTTTCTTTTCTTTTTTTTTTTTTATTAATAATTATATATTTTTAATGTCAGTCAATCAAACTAAATCATCACAATTAAATATTATTATCAATAACAATCAAAATCAAAAGGTACTTTCAACAGCTAGAGAGTTACGATTCAATCAATAGATAGATATACATACAAAATCATAGTTAGTTAAATTTAATAGTCACAGTAAAGCAAAACAAAACAAAATGGCTTCGAGCAACTATAATCTTTATACAGTTAACAGTAGAAGTACAACATCTCCACTCATTCCACAGGAATACTATGCCAACTATCAGATGCCATCTTCACTTTTAGGTAAGATCCCAATTGCTCAGCATATAAATAAATAATGGATGAATGAATGGAATAGGAATAACAAAACTAGATCAATCTCGACTCAATATACATCTATATCTTCATTTGCTTATTGAACGAACACCAACAACAAGTAATCACTCATTTACTCGTATCATATATCAGGATTATCATTATATTGATAGTAATTGATAATGAAACAAAACAAAACAAAGCGAACATACAAACAAACAAAAACAGATAAACTATAGCTCATTGGTAGTTTTAAATCATTGTCATGATAGTTTTTTTTATTTATTTATTTATTTTGTGTGAAAGAGTTTCAATCATGGACATACTTCTTCTATGTAACTACTCTATCACTTTCTTTCTCTTTCTCTCCCTAAACAATAATACATTCACCAGTAACATGAATCTATCTCACCACCCACCCCTTGTATTTCCAAACCAAGAAAATTTTATTTATAAACCAAAATTTAAAATAAAATATAAATTATCTTCACAAACAAATAAAACCGTATTAAGTATTTTCAACGAGTTCCCACTATGTTTATATAATTACTGATAATTCTAGTCTTTTTTTAAAATATATCACTTCCACACACCACATCGCAATATAACCTTATATGATCCTTTTATTACATTCATAATGTTTATCATGTATTGTATGTAAATCATCAAATTCAATACTATAGTAATTGTTATATAATCATTTATTTCCATAGGTAATATAGTATGTATGGTCCATAGTATAGGAATATTGTTTGTTGTTTTTAGAAAGTTTTTTTTTCCTTTGTCAATTTAAATTAAATAAATATATAACTCATTAAAATGTTTAAAACGGTTTTTTTGTTTGATATTTGTTTATTTCCAAATGTGTAATTTTAATAAAAACTGTAACCGCACATCATCAATGTCACTTTAAGATATATTGAATGTTCAACCAACGGATTTGGTCTGTGAAATTTCAAAAAGCGTCACCATCAATCGTCATTTATTATAACTACATAAAACAAGAACCACACACTCTCTTTTTTTGTTCTTTATTTTTTTATATTAAAAGATGATTTGCTATCTCGAGCATCCTAACTTCGCCCCCTATCAACAACGCACATCCAACCCAAAAACAACTTGTTCTTACTTTTGCTATTCACACACACGCTGTCTTTTAGCTATTGCTAAAGAATGGGTACCACCAATGGTTATACATCAGGCACTTTTGTTTGTCTGACATTTGCACTCTCACCCCACCAACATATCAATCAAAAAAGTACCTCAAAAACTAACCCCCAAAGAGACCACCAACCCATTTTTGTAATTTTAAAGATTTTATTTTAAAATGTGATTTATTTATTCTTTTAGTTTTTATTTTATTTTAAAGTGGCAATGCACTTCATTTATATTATTTTGGTTCGATATGGTAAACTCATCATAATGATCAAAATCAAACACCCACTCTCACACACTCACACTTTTGATTTATTGTATTTCAATCACAATACTGTTGTTTTTGGATTCTTTCCCATTTTTTTTTAATTAATTACCCCACCCCCTATATATAAACGTTCAAAATGCTTCGAGGAATCAAAATGATTCAAGAAGCACCAAAAACATATTCGAATTTCTCGTTAAAATCAATAGTTGGAATTTAATTTGTGCGATTCTTTTTTTTTGCAATTTTTTTTTTTTTTTTAACCACAACAACTATTTGTGTAACCCACACAAAGCAAACAAAAACAAATCAGAAATTTTTTGCATCTCACTACACATTAATCTCATTCTCACCCACCACTTCCACTTCCACCCCACTGTTTCTCTCTGCAGCAAACTCCAATCCAGAAACAAACAAAAAGAACCACACCTACTGGTCTTAACTAACCCTGCATCTCTATATAATTTTTAATTTTTCATTTTTCAAATTTTTTTAATTATAACTCAATCTATTTGTTTTCTGTTGTTTTTTCACCATATATTACACTAAAGATATATTTATCATTTTTTATATTACTATTTATTTAAATAAATCAAATTTGATCCAGACAACTTTTAATATTAAAAGTTCAAAATTACTCAAAACCACAATAATAATAATAACAATAACCACCACCGCCAACACCACAACCATCATACAAACTCTATTTAGTAACCACCATCTATATATTCTTCAAATCCAATCATCATAATAATTAGAATATATTTCCAAATTGTTATTCTACAACATTAATAATATTAGCAGGAACCAGTAATAGCCAACAGTTGCAATAATTTGAGTTTAAATAGAATAATATAATTCTATTTTTCAAAAAACGATCAAATTTAGAATTTACAAGCTATTATTTATTTATTTATTTATTTTATTTATTACTTGTTTAAATTAAATTGTCAAATTCAATTAATTTTAATAAAGATATAGTAAATTCCAATATATATTTATAATTATATTATATTATATAAGAAATCAATCACCATTCAACAATACACATAAACTTCACTTTTTGTTTAGTCAACTCAGAACCATTTCCCCTCTTTCAAAAGCAAACCTTGCACATTTCCCAGTCTTCTTTGCAAAACAAAAAAGGTCGTTTTAAATATTTTTAATTTTTGTCAAAATTTCAACGCTTCAGTTGTTGATTAAAAAAAAAATTTAGCAAGATGTATCTTACAAAACAACCCTCTCATTCATGTATGTTGCCAATAGTTTTTAATATTTTATTTGGTTTCGATCAATAAGCACATTAGGTTGTATGATTTTTGCTGCTCAAAAGTCATCATAACAATCTATTATGTAAAAAAAAAAAAAAAAGATCACTTAAAATATAATATATAATAGAGATTTATATTTATTCAATATAATTTCAAAATACTCACACAATTTTCTTCAATATTTTCTCTCTCTTCCTCTTTCTCTCTGTTTGTTTCAAAAAAAAAAAAAAAAAAAAAAAAAAAAAAAACAAAAAAACGAAAATAATAATATCTCACTCATTCCAACAACACACTCACATATTTATTTACAAATAATAATCAAATTACAATTAATAATTTTAATAATTAATTATTATTTTATTTTGAATTCAAATACATATATTTTTATTCTTCATCTCAATTTTTGGTGATAATTTATCAATTGCTTATTATAAAATAATAATAATAATCACAGTCAATAGAAATATTCCATTCAATCATCCAATTCACCAATCTTATCTTATTAACCCTCATTGCACAACAGGATCTTTAAGTAAAACAAAGTTAGACGACATCAACAACTCTAGCACCACTACAACCTGTTCAACTTCTACCACTACAACTTCGACTCTAGCAGACAGCATCGAAATGGATGATATTAATACCTTTGAGATCAAAACCTCTAACATTAGAGATCACATTAACAAATTTGTTTATAACCATGGAGTTGAAAAGGAATTTAATGTAAGTAATCAATTTATCTTTGATTAATGAATGTAAACATTCATATTAATTGATCATTGCATTAATCAATAAAATATTCTATACTATAGTATATTGAAAAGAAAACAGAAAAGGAAATTTTACATGGAGACTTTAAAACAGCATTAAAGGAGGAGAACAAGATGAAGAATAGATATAGTAATGTTTTGCCACGTGTGTATTTGCAAACAATTTGAAAAAAAACAAAAAAAATAATCTTTAAACTTCATTGACTAATTTCATAATCATTGTGTAATCATATTATAGCCGAACAATATAGAGTACCAATTTCAGTTGATTCCGATGATGAAGATGCAACCGATTACATTAATGCAAGCTATATTTCCGATCAGTATAGCAAGGAGAAGAAATACATTTGCACTCAGGGTCCACTTGAAAACACTTTTAATGATTTTTGGAGAATGGTTTGGGAGGTAAAGAGCAACGTAATCGTAATGCTAACGAGAGAAGAAGAGAACAACAAGAAAAAGTGCGACAGATACTGGATTGAAACTGGAAGCAAGGATTACGGAAACTATAGATTACATTTTGAAACAGTTATTACTCTAAATGAGCTGATACAGAGATATTTTGTTATTGAGAATATTGAGGTATGTTTCTTTCTTTTACATATTTTGTTGATTGGTTTCTCTAACTAACATTTTAAATCTTTTATTTATTTAGACAAAAGAAAAAAGAAAATTAGTTCACTACCAATATATTGCTTGGCCAGATCACGGTACTCCAGTTTCTATTAAAGGATTTTTAAGTTTAATTCAAGCAGTTGATAAAGATGTAAAAACAGGTCCAATTATTGTACATTGCAGGTATGTTTTATCTTTAAAGGCATCAATAGCTTTATCATCACTCTTTACTAAACTTGTATATCATTAATATAGTGCTGGTATAGGAAGATCAGGTACTTTTTGTGTTGTTCATTCAGTAGTTAACTATATAAAGCTGTTAGATTTTAAGCCAGATTGCCAAATCACTTTAAATATTCCAAAGATAATTATTAATTTTAGAAGTCAAAGACCTGGAATGGTTCAAACAAAAGAGCAATATAGATTTTGTTATTCGGCTATTGCTGAGGGAACCAGTCTGGAGCAACTACGCAAGGGCAGGAGATCACTCTCTTACTCAATTAATTAAATTATTATATAAATCAAAGAAAAAACAACAACAATAATAATAATAGCAGCACCACCACAAACAAATAACCAACTTATACATTTTAATCACCAGAAACAAACATCACAGTATTATCAAGTAGTAATAGTAGTAAATCCAATGATTTGTACAGACACAATATAATTTAAAATTTAAAACACATAATTTTTCTAAACACCGAAAAACCAAACTCTTTATTATTATTATTTGTTGTTAATATATTCTCGATTTATTTCTTTCGTTATTAGAATGCTGTATGACAAGGTTTGTTTTATTTAATAACTTGACATAACACACATGTGGAGATCGATTGTGTATAGTTAAATATTTGTGTGAAAATTTTATTTTTTTATTTGTGTGATTTTCAAAATCAGGATTGTCAAGAAAATTTCAATGACAACACCAAATAGGGTGAAAATAAGCTTGATACTCAATTGCAAGTATAGAGAATTTACAAAACTATTAATTCTTTTTGAAGATGTTTTAAAAATTAATAATATGGATCCTATAGAAAACTTTAATAATAATTCAACAAAGAAAATAGGATTACAAGATTATAGTGATTTATATTATAATGTTTCATTAAATGGAAAGAACGAAGGAGAATTAGATTATTATACAATCAATAATAAATCAGATGTCTTTGAAAATGAATTAGATAAAAATAATACTTTGTTTATACACCAAAACAATATTAATGGTGAATTTCTAAATAATAATAATACAAATTCTTTAGTTAGTATCATTGATAGTTTCGAAATTCAAACCAACAATGCAACATCAAAGATTGAAAATCTAGCACTAAATAGTCCAGACCCAACAAAAGTTGGAAATAAAGTGGAGGAAAATAAAGAAGGAACTAAATTAAATAAAAGAATAAAGGTAGGATTTTATTGACATTATGAAATAATTATAATTTATAATTAATATTTATTGTTTGTTTATTAGAAACTTAAAAGAGAAATAAAATTAAGACAAAAGTTATTGGATAAAGCAGTTTCAAAGAAAAAGGATGTAAAAGTAATTTCCAACAATGAAGATAATATAGGGTAAGTTTTTTTTTTTTTTTAAATATTTTTTCTTTTAGTTTTCTAACAACATTTTTTTTATAGTAATGGATTGTTACCTCTGCCCTCAAAGAATATATTATCCTATTCAATGCCAATGGTGTTCCCATCAAGTGAACCAAAAGTAATTAGTGAACAATATGTAAGTTTAAATCAATCTGCACCTGTTGTATTCAGTCCAACGGGATTATCAAATCAGCATACAGTTCTTCCTTTATCTCCATTGATTACAATTCAATCAATGTCAAATGTCCAGAATTTTAGTCCAAAAACTAAACAAGGATTATTGCCAAATCCTTATATCAATAGAGTCCAACCTATCTATCCTTATTATTCACCATACCAAAATCATAGATCTGTTAATACTTTCTCACAACAACATCATTACCACCATAATTATCAAATGCAAAAGATTCAACAACAGCAGCAGCTGACACAACATATAGCAAGCCAAAGAATTGACTACCAAAAGAAATAAAATTGTATATATAACTATAAATTATTTACAAAAGTATTTATTGAGTTGTATCGTTTTGTTGATTTGTCAGTGTAGATGGATCAAGTTCTGTAAATCTACAACTGTCTTGATTGAATATCAATGGAATAGTTCCAGTAAATCCGGTGAATCTATTTTTCTTAATATCCATATATCTATAATTCTTTCCACTCTGCATAATAATAACATTATCCGCTTCCTATCAGATTTGAAAAAATTTATTAGTATAAAATACAAGTGAATAAAATGAAAATTATAAGTATAATACATACTTGAGTTGCTTTTGCAGTACCAAATATATCGCTGATATTCAATGGTGTATCGGCATCCAACTGTTTTCTTGGGTGAATGACAAGTGTGATGTGAACATTCTTTTGAGTCGCAAACTTTCTTAATTTCTCTATGGATTCGTCCATTGTTTCGAATCGTTCAATTGCTTTTGTTTGACCGCTCAGCATGAATTGCAAATTGTCCAAGATGATATGCTCAACATCATGTACGTAGACAGCATATTCCATTGCATCCAAAACCTTGTCGACTTGAGTAGAACCAAAGAAACGCATGAAATACATTGGAAGTGCTGCGAAATCATCGGCAATCTTATTATAGTTGTCTACATGCTGTTCTAAATCTACACCTGCGTATTGTCCCATCATCTTCTTTGCTAGTCTCGAGACCTTGATCTCGAAGCTTCCCCATAGAGTTCGTGTGCCCTGTGTGGAAAAGTCTAACGAGAGCTGTGAAAGAAGCGTTGTCTTTCCAATACCAGTTGGACCAGAGAAGATTGTCAACTCTCCTTTTCTGTGTCCTTTCAGCAGCTTATTGAAAGTGGGGAACCATTGACTTTTGACGCCATTGACCGACGATGGGTTTCTCAGTTCACTGTGGATCGATGCTCTGACATCTGAGAAATCACAAATCTGGTCATGCGGGATATTAGATGCGGATTCCAATATCTTGTTCAGATCTCTGCCTTGAAGAAGTGCGTCGTTTGCATCCTTTGGTCCGTTGTCTTCACCCTGTTTGGTGCGCACAATGAATGTACGTTGGATACCCAGCTTCTCTGCAAACTTGGCTGCACCCTCCTGACCTGGAATATCGTCATCCATCCAGAGATAGATCTTTTCGAATCGCTCGAGCAACGGTAACAGTGCTATCGGTAATGAGTTTGCACCGTTTGGCAGAGAGATAGTTGGTTTTCCAGTGGATTGGTAAACAGCCATCGCATCGTATTCACCCTCTGTCAGCACTATCTCTTTTGCATCGAGAGGTACAGTGTGCCAACCAAAGAATCCCCACTTGCCACCCTTTGGCTCGATTCTCTGAAGTGCCTTTGATTCCAACGCTCTCAATTTACAACGATGGGTGATAACATTGCCCTTCTTATCGAGATTGGTCCAAGGGAATGTAATACATTTCTGTTCTTTCCATGAATCATCAACAAAGAACGATTGTGTTGTAACACCGATATTATAAAGTTTACATACATCCAGAGACAGACCTCTCTCACCTGCACCTTTACCTGTTAATCTTTGACTATTTAATTTATATAAGTTTAGCAATTGCTTGAAGTTAGAAACAGAATATAAACAATAAATCTAGAATATACATACATAACATCAGGATGATTATCTAATTCATGAGCGTATGTAGCCATTCTTTTAATATCAGCAATGGTAGTTGTGATTTCCTCCTCTGCAGGTGTAGAAGTTGCAGAACTAATCTGTTTCATTGACAAGTCACCAAGATTTGCCTTAAAATCGAACCAAGAACCCTTGTTTGAGCAACGGAAACAGTTGTATCCACTTGTCTCTCTAGATATATAGAGTTTCCAAAGATTATCTAGTTTACCTTTAGTGTCTGGACATAATGGACATTCTTTAACAATGATCTATTATAATATTATTGGATATGAATATATTTAATTATAATACTATTATAATATCTATATTTACCTCTTGACCAGATATTCTATATTGTAATTTCTTTCTCTCTAAATATTGCAATACTTGTTCTTCATTTACTTTATAATAAGATGATACAAATGTATTGCTATTACTATTGCTATTGTTATTGTTTGTTAGTTGTGGTGGTGGTGTTGATTTTATTGTCGTTGTCGATGATGATGTTGATGTTGTATTTGATTTATTATTTAATTTATTATAAACTCTATTTCTAATTTGATTAATATCTATTGGTGGTGTAGTAGTAATATCATTGTTTGGTATATTTGTTTTAAAGTTTGATTTTATGTTTTGTATGTTATTGTTTGTGATATTATTGCTGCTAACACTATTATTATTATTAGGAGTCGATGATATAACCTTTAACTTTGGTATCTTATTTATATTTGTGTTTGAAGTTGAATTTGTGTTTGATGTTATATTTGAAAAAGATCTAACATTCAATGATTTAATATTATAGTAGTGGTTTATGAAACCATTAAATAAACTACTATTACTAGTAGTATGACTCTTGATACAAGATCGGATCATTTCTCAAAATAAATAGATAATAATTAAAATTAAAAATAAAATTACAAAAAAAAGTGTACGATTTTTAAAAATTCATTCCTGGAATTAATTATAAATTAAATAATTTTTATATTGAATTAATCAGATAGATATATTATATTTATAATTGACAGACAACATTAAACATTTTTAGTATTAAATTAAATAATAAAAGGTAGGGGTATTAATAAATTAAAAATTTAAGTTTGTTTTTGTTTTTTTGTTTTTTTTTTTTTGTTTTTGTATCAGAAATGTGCCTCCCTCAAGATAACATGATCACCGCAATCATTTTTTTGTTTTATTTTCTATTTAAACGATAATGGATATCAAAAAACTATTTTTTAATGTTATAAAAATAAATCATTTGGCTCAGCTTATCTTTCATTCACCAATCAATGATAGTGATGCAACCTATCAAGAAAAAGTCCTATCGTTGAGCAAGTTCAAATACCATCATTGGACAGACCCAAAGGATATGATAGATCATGGTTACGTGTCACTATTGGTCGACAAGATCGAGCAGAAAAACATTATTCTTCAAACGTTTCAAAACCGATTGCCGTACATCTGTTTGAAGATCACTGACCTGGAGACTTTCAAAACCATTTACAACCAAACGAAAATTCAGTTTACATCATACAAAGATCAGCACGATCTAATCATGAATATCGTACAGGCAGGCAATGTGGAGATTCTCAAACTATTTCTTGGCAATTCTGTCTTTGATCCTCTAAATGGTTACAAATATATGTGGCTGGCTATCTCTTATGGTCATACGTCGATAGTGCATTACCTCTCTACGGTGAAAGGAGTTGAAATCAATTTCAGAATGATTCACATCCACTATGAAAGTCGTGAAATAAGTGTATCATATATCATGAATCTTTGGGTGAACGACGCCGACAACCATTATTGTAGAATGCTGGAAACATTTAAAGCCAATGACCAGTCTCATTTTTTAGAAAAATTGCACCATGAAATTAACTCACCTTATTGGTGTGATTTTCTAATTCTTGGAGATCCCTCTTTATATCGTCCAGGCAAATACGGTGATATCGGTGATAGGAATAATATCAAATTACCATTGATAGTGAGACACCCAATCAATATTAGAATTCAACTGTTGGCAACGGTTTTACTCTATGAAGAATCAGATTACTTTACCGATATCAACACTCGAATTTCAAATGTAATTGAAAGGACAAAAACAAAATATCCTCATCTACCAGAGACATTTGGAAGAGACAACAATATTGAACACTTGTATTACATATATTTGGCATTGTTGTTTGATTGCCGACACAGATTCGAGCAATGTATTGACTTTACCAATGTCATTCCAAAGTTGATTGAAAGAGAGTTGGCATTGGCATCAAACGAACCTTCAGCCATTCAACAAACATTGAACAACCTATTTACCTACCTCAACAATGATCGGTCCTTTGCCTACAGTAAATATATTCTCTATAAAAAAAGTGAAGCCAATTTTATTCTTGTTACCGCCATCGGAGAGGTTCGTAAACTATATCCTAGGATTTTAGCTCATATGATGAATGACAGGAATTTCGACGCGGCAATTGCAGTACAATTTGTATCATGGTATAAAAAACTAGATGGGTTTGTTCAGATTAATATAGAATTGGAATGTGCAACAGTTAAGTCTTTGGAATTTGTTCTCACAAATCATTCACATCTCGATGAGGTCTACGGTTCATTTACTATTTCCACAAAGAGTCTGCGCCATCTTCTTAACATTCCGTTTAATTGGCTGATAGAGAGGATCGATCACCAATTTTTGCAAAGAGTTTTATTCCCACGTTTATTTCAGAGTGCTGAATTTGTTGGCAATCTAAGTCATTTCGCGATCCGTTTGTTCTCATCACTACCTCTAGTTGGCATGGTTGATGTTGGTTCATTTGGATTTTCACATCACCATTTTTGTCATCTGGAAGCGTTAGCAAACAACATGAATGGTTCATTCGGCACCAATCTGAATTCATTAGATCTCGCACTCTCTGGATCCATTGAGATCTATAGGCATCTAAAAAATTGTGAAAATGATAACTTTAAAAAGATTTCGCTACCGACAAACTGGGAGAGTGAAACCCTCAAAGCTATTGGTCAATATAAAGCATTGGCAACACATAAGGAGCTCTATGAAGCACTAACAGCAAATCCTAATAATAATCTTATAAACCACGAGCCACAAAATATAGATATGGATCCACATGCAGCAGCAGGAGCTCTACCACCAGACCCATCCGAATTTACTCAACTAGATCAATGAATTAAAAATAAATCCAAATCAATGATTGGATGTATTGTTATATTTATATAAACTATCTACTGTTAAGTGAATACTATTTTTTGTCTTTTTATCAACAAGATGTGTGACATCTTTTTTGCTTAATCATTTAATGGATGAGAAATATAATTTTATTTTTCTTTTTTTTAAAATATCTTGGAGTTTGATTATTTTTTTGATTTAAAAATTAATTGATTAATTGTGATTTGATTGTGTGGAAAGATACATACAAAATAAACCCACTAGAATTTTGTTTCGAAAAAAAAAACAAACTTAAAAATTTAATTCCTATGGATTACTTTGCTATTTCATATTGAGAGATGATTCTCTTTTTTTTTTTGTTCAATCTATTTATGTTCTCTAATTAATAATGGATAATGAATTATTTAAAAGAGTTTTATTTGGAATCCAACCAATTAGAAGTATTATTTTTAATCACATTAATAATAACTTTGGTTTAATAGATGTTTATAAAAAGAAACTTTCTCTTGAAAAGTATAAACATGATCATTGGTCAAATCCAAAGGATATGTTAGAACATCATCATTTTAGATTATTATTGGAAAAGATTAAAAAAGAAGAAGTGAAAATTAATCCCAAATTAGTATCACTACTCTGTGAAAAAATAGATGATTTAGACATTTTCAACTCATTTTATCATCTATGGAAAAATCAAGTTTCGACTCCCTCTCACGAACTAATAACCAAGATAATTGGAAAAGGTAATGTGGAGATACTTCACATTTTTAAAAATCATCTTTTTGGCCAGTCCGAGGATCGTTTAGAGGAATATATGTACCAAGCTTTTATAAATGGAAATGTTTCTATAGTCTATTATCTTTGGAAGAATGGCGTGCCAATCAACTACATAGGAATATGTGAGAGAAACCAGAGTCGTTCAATTGGAGTACCATACATTGTAAATCTTTGGCTTAGTGATAGTGCATATGGTTTTAAGAGAATGCGAGAAATGTATAGTGTTGACAATCAATCGGATTTCTTTACAAATCTGTTGACAGAGTTTTCCAATAATAAACCGTACTGGTATGACTTTTTAGTTCTTGGAGTTCCTTCGATGTGGAATCTTAAGAATTATAAAGATGCCAGCCAATGGAAATCTACTCAGTTCGACCCAACTATGCTTGAGAGACATCCGATAGCTATTCGTATTCAACTTGTGGAGACTGTTTTGCAGTATGAAAACAAAAATGTATGTGCAGATATTGTTATAGAACAAACGAGACAGAGATGTGGAAAATATTTCGGTGGGATAGCTACGGATATGGAGCATATTTATCTCACACTCTTGTTTTCGTGTAGCTCCAATTTTACTAGTACCAAAGGATTTGATGGTCTAAGACATAGACTGATTGAAAGAGAGTTAGAATTGACAACTCACATGACAATTAATGATTCATTTGACTTTCTACATAATGACATGGGTTGTATGCCATCTTTGGTGTACAGCAAGATCATCCTCTATTCAGACTTTGATCCACTATCTATTCATCCTGCTCTATTTGATGAACAATATCCAATGGTGATAGTGGAGATATTAAGGGATGAGAACTTTAACTCTGTTAAAGCCACAGAGGTAATTCAGATGTACAATCCCGAGAGACCAATTGACCAACATACAAATCTCCAATGTTCAACACCAGATTCATTGAGGTTCGCCTTGCTCAAATATAAATACCTACAAACTGTATTTAGACATTTCACTTTGTTTGGTTTGGAAAATCTTTTAATCATTGGGCTCGAATGGATTCTAAAAATCGATCATGTCATTCTTGGGGAGATATTCTGTCCTCGGGTATTTTATACCTCGGATATTTATGGCGATCTTGGTCATTTGATTGTCGAAGTAGTCTCCAAACTCAAATTATCAAATCAATTGGACCAAGGAAATAATATATACACCCACAATCACTATTTTTATCTATCAGAATTTGCCAAACAATTTAGAAATCCAATCAGGGTTAGTGTTTCTACAGAGGAACTATCCTATTCAAGCTCTGATCAAATCTGCCAACTCTTAAAGAAACTAGAAAGTGGTGAAATGATTAAAATAGAACCTAGAGAATGGGAATCATTGGTAAACGAACATAAAAATAAATAAAAAGAATAATAATAATGAAAATAATAATAATAATAATAATAATAATAATAATAATAATAATAATGACAATAATAATAACAGTAATAATAATAATGACAATAATAATAATAATAATAATGACAATAATAATAACTGTAATAATAATAACTGTGATCAGTTTATGGATGCATGTGCATGATGATCAATTGATTGTATGAAGAAACAATCCGTAAAAAATAAACACGTAAAAAGATAAAAATTAAAAAAAATAAAAATTAAAAACCCATTTTTGAAATACCACCAGTGATTGATTGTTTTACACTTTTTTTTAAACAGTTATAATCACTTTAATTCAACTGTTTTTTCATTTAAATAAATATTTTAATTCAATGATAGATTATTAGTAATAATAGGATTATTTATTTAATTCGAATTAAGTTTTATTTAAAAAAATAATAGAGATGTCAACTTTATTACAAGGAACTAAAGAAACAAATATTGTAATTGATTACGACGGTAATAGCAGTGGAAATGATTTCGTAGCAAACCTGTTAAATCAGAGTAGCAATAGTAGTGCAGCTGCTGGCCAAGGTGTGTCGACGTCTTCATTTACATCATCGGTTACCACAGCAACCAACTCATTTGTGGCCGCACAGAATCTAAATAGAGAAGAGAAGGTCTACAATCTAATGAAGATATGCGAACCACATATTGATCGTCTCTACGAGTGTGAAATGTCCAATGGCATCAATAGCGATCTTTGTAATCAGTTCCAAATGAACCTACATAACTGCATGACTGGAAACCTTTGTCCAAGCGAACAGGAGCTTAAAGATGCCAACTGCGACCAACTTCATCTACGCTTTGGTGGTATCGACCAATTGAATCGTTGTCTACAACTAAATAAACGTCTTAACAATTGTCTTGATAATTCACTCAACACAATATGGTCTACACCTCTTAGCATACAACAACAACAACAACAACAACAACAACAAGCAACAATCAACAACAAATAATTGATTAGACAAACCCGTTAACATGTAAATAAAATATTAATATTAAAATTAAATTTTTATTCAGTTTTCTTTGTTTTGTTTCTCTTTCTAATGTTATCAACTGGATCACTGCTTGAAGAGTCTTCAGTCTTGTCAAGGGTTGTTCCATCTGAAACTTCTTTTTTCTTATCATTTTCGATAGCATCTGGAACTTGTTCGCCTTCATCTTCACCACCATAGTGTGATCTCTTATTGTCAACTGGGTAGATCCATCTTTGGTATAAATAAATAATGAAAACAATATCTAAATGAAAGAATAATAGAATTAGTTTGTTGTTTCATCGGTGTATTTAATGTATATTTATAAGATTATAAACATACCATCTCTTAAACAACTGAGTCTATGCATTAATGGCATCTTAATGATAAAGGCAAAGAGATCATCGATAAAGGTGTTGAGTGCACGATACATAAACACCTTGAATGGCAAACGTGATACCGACTTCAACTTGTAGTTGATAAAGAGCTGTGGTGTCATCATGATGAACTCAAAGGTGTATACTGTACGTACCAACGATGAAATCACCCAGGAGTACCATGACTTGTGTTCGTAGTTGTAGAGTGAGTAGATCGATGTACCGATAACCAGTGGGAACAGAGCCCATGACAAGTACTTCATAGCCATATCGTCGTATTTCTTGGTCTTTGAGATGTAGTCATCCTTGTTCTTGAAGGAGATGCTTGGAATTGGACCGTTCCAGGTGACAGTGACAATCATTGCCTTACCAATCTTCCAGACCTCAATCAGGATACCCAGACCACTGCTAAAGAGAATCATATAACTGGTATCATTGTCCAAGAGATAGAGGAATACAATCACCGAGCAGATTGCATGTAAAATGATAGTTCTAACCGATAGACCCTCCATCGATTTGTTATTCTTCCAGAATTGAATATCTAAATAGCGATTAATATTAGTATCTACTCTTCTCTCTTCAATCAAGTTTAAAATACAAACCATTCTTGAATGCTAAGAATTCAAATACAGTGTGAAGAGTGGTGACTAGTGCAGTGAGAGCCAATAGGAATGGGCTTGTCTCTGTAAGCATCTTCTTAAAGTCGTCACCTGTTTCTTCGGTACCACCGATCATCGATTGCATATCCAAAGACTTTTGCATCTGAATGTAGAGTTGCCACTTGAAAATACTGAGATGATAGTATGAGATAGCAAGACTTAATTCACTGACAGTCTCATTCACCAGAGAATATTGATCTCTATATACCCAGAAATCATTCATATAAATAACAGGACTATATTTATCATTTGTAATATTTAATACTATATAATAGATTCAAATTAATTTAAAAGTTAGCATATATTGATAAATTTTGTTTAATTTAATAAGTTAGTTAACTTACAAGGTAAAATTTCGGGTGGCACTGAACCTGGTGAGTATACAGTATTATCAACAACGATATTGACAGTTAACGATGGTTTGTAATAGGATACCAAAATAGATTTGTCATAGGGTATCTCCTCTTCTTCATTCTTTTCATTGGATAATAAATTCTTTCCTTTTGGCTTTGGTCTTGGTGCATAGACAATCAATGCTAAATAAATAGATCTATTAGATGATTATAATCTACTTATAAGATGATGATGATGATGATGATGATGATGATGATGATGATGATGATGATGATGAATTGACTTACGATGTATCGCATGTAATGAGAATTTAGAGTTTAATTTATTTTTAACCAAAACATGTGCAAATAGAGAACCATTGTTCTTCAATGACTCGGTAGTTGGGAATGTAATATTAGTTTCACGAGCGTTCGATTCTTCCCAGTCATAGGTTAATCCACTTTCATCAAAGATTAACCAATCGTTAAATGATGAATTCGATTCTGATAAATAAATTTGTAATGTCTTTTGTAGGTATTATAATAAGTATTATTGTATAACTATGATAATATATAATAATAACTTGTAATATTTACATAAGGAGTTGAAAAAGACCATGTATTTCTAAGAGTTAACTTTGATGCGGCAGCATTATTAATAATTGGTTCTGTTACGTTTGTTCCATTCAACAGAGTATTGTTGAGTACAACATTAGAACCAGTGTTACCACCACCACCAAAGAATCGAGATGCAATCGATGAAAACATATAATAAAAGAGTAAGAATCTAATACCTGTCGAAAGCCATGTCGGTATTATACCACCAGCTGCTTGCTGTTGTTGCTGTTGTGGTTGAGCAGGTGCTGCTACAGCTGTATCTGCCATTATTTATATAATTAAAAAAGTTATATAAAATATGAAAATAATAAATAATTAATTTAAATTTATTTATTTATAATTGGGAAGTCGTCTTTTGAATTTGAAAAATTGCAAAAAAAAAATTAATGAATCACCAAAAGATGTTCCAAAAAATCATGGACAACACTTTGAAGTCGAAAGTACAAGAGATAGTTTTTTATTATATATCACCAAATAAATTAAATTTATTAATAAATAAACAAAATCATATTATTGTTGCTTTATTGAATGTAATTCCTCTGATCTATCACTTGGAATAGCATGTTGTTTCATAATTCTAATGGTTGCCTCTTTTGCTTCTTCTTTATCCAATATTATTAAATATTCTAAATATCAAATTAAAAGTGTTAATATTAATTTTGATCAAACTATAATAATGATAATAATATTTCATTTAAAAAATTTCATACCATTTTCAAGTGTGATAACTACATGTGGTTTTGTAGTCTCTTCGATCAATTGAACGAGATGTGCTAAATTTCTAATGGGTGTACCGTTTACTTTTTTAACTTCTGAAAATCCAAAGGAACTATATCCATGATTGATTTTATCTATCAGAATCTGTGAAATGACCACAACTTGTGAGCTTGGTGATGTTATTCTTTCTATTTTTTCAAATACACGTCTGTAGGTCAATGCCAAATCCTCTGCAATCTCTGTCAGGAATGGATGTGTCACCGGTGTGAAGACGAATCCAGCGTAACAGAAATAACTTGGTCGTTTGTCGTAGGTCTGATATGGTACCATTCTGTGTTGTGGCACCAGTGGCACCGATAGATCCATTGACTGTCCCTCACGGAAAACAGTGACATTGATTTTGTCGCCAATGAAATGTGAAGAGAGTAAATATTCATAGGTGATTCTCTCACGTCTCCTGAAAGCAATCGATCCATCGTTGGCGATGGCAACACCATTGATATGAGTGATAATGTCGTTTTTACGCAGTATGTCTTTGGCGGCAGACAGTGGATGAAGTTCGTTGACCAAGAGTCCAGTGAGATCCTTTGGTATTCCAAAGTAGGAGCGTGGCACCGAGTCCAAGTACTGCGCCATCATTCCAATCATTGGTTCACCTGTAAACTTTCCGTTCTTCTCGACGTCATTGAGGAATCGATTGATAACCGGTGTTGGGATGATGAATCCAACCGAGCTGGCACCAGCCAGATTCTGGAATGCAATTCCGACGACTTGTCCACCCATAAGTGCCGGTCCACCAGAGTTTCCTGGGTTGATAGCGGCATCGATTTGAATAGAGAGCAGCTTACTCTCTGAATGTGCATATTGTTGAAGATCGATTCTCGAGACGACACCCTGTGTCACACAGATATTGGATCCACCCGTTGGGAATCCTACAACCGTAATGGTATCTTGCAACTCTGGAATATCGCCAAACTCCAATGGATCGATTCCATCAAAGAATGATTCATCTTCGACGGTGAGCAATGCCAAATCGTATTCATGTGCAATTCCCAATAGTTTTGCATGATATTTGTTGGGATTACCAAACTTGGTCAACATTATACTGGTTTGGTCGGCAACGACGTGAGCATTCGTCAGAATACGCTTACCAGTAATAACGAAACCACTGCCTGTAACTTCACGCTGTGGTTTCATCTGCCATGGAGTATAGTGATTGGGTGACGATAGCACAGAGAATACCTTGACCACTGGATCCAGAAGTGGATCAGAGTTTCCAGGGTTGATCTCAAAGTATGCTGGTTTCGGCTCCAATGGTGGAGCAACCGGTTGTTCACTCACCGATTTCTTGTGAATAAAAGATGGTTCAATAGGTTGAGACAGTGGTTGTACATCTTCTCTCTGTTCCAAAAAATTAAGAGTTGTATCAACAACTACCGATGATTTCGATGTGGATGCTGCTGAACAAAACCAACGATTCAATTGTTTACCATTACTGTTTAGATAATATTTATTTGATTTTAAAAAACTACCATTACTACCTGCTCTATATAAATATTTTGAAATATTATTCATCATAATTTTGATTTTATTTACTATATTATATTATTAATATATATATATTCTATGTTACTATTTACTAATGATACTAATTCGATACTAATACTAATGATTTGTATCTTTGAAACATCAACACTCTATTAAAAAATAAAAAAAAGAGATGATACAATAAATCGAGTGAAGATGTAATGATGTAGTATTACTATTACTTTTTATAATATTATATGAAACAATGACAAAGTGTCAAGAAACAATGAAAGGTAACTGACAAGTTTGTAGTTGTTAAAAAAATAAATAATCAAAATCTAAATAAATCTAAATTTGAAACGAAAAACAATGCCGTATGATTTTGTCACCCAACTTAACTTACTATCGAATGATTTTTTGTCGTTTTTTTTTTTTTTTAATGAAAACTGGTTTTGAAGTTGGTTAATTTAATTAAATTGTAATTATCTAATTTTTTTTTTAAATATTTCAAGAGTTTTTTTTCTTTAATATTAATTCTAAATTCATTTTCCTGAGTCAACTTTTGGGACATTAGTCACCTTGAGAACCATTGATTAAAGATTGAACTCAAAATGATTGTCTTTTACGAAATAATTAACTTTAAATAAATCAATTGGAATCTAGAATAAGAGAATAGAATCTCTAAAAGTAAAATCGCACAAAGAATCGATTTAAATAAAAGATGACTATTATTATTAAAGCAAAGACAATGAATTTATTGATTGCTTGTTCCAGAACAAATCTATGGAATCACAACAATAGCAAACTATTCTAGTGTAAAGAAATCATTTGAATATTTCATTTAATATATCATGTTTATAATTAATAAATAGTGTATTGGTTGTTTTTTTTTTATTATTGTAAATATGTATGTATAATATTTATTAATGTATAATTATTTACATCTTGTTTAGATTGTATGGGCAGCAAATTTGGTTGGAAGGCACTCTAGCAATCTAATAATACAAACCAAAATCCATTTGATTCAATTTCGTTGAATCTGTTGATTGGTTATTGTTGTTGTTGGTGAAAAATGTATTATCTGGAGGCAGAATGGAGGAGATACTCAGACCGTTGTTATCGAGTGATTTATTTCTCTTGCCCAGGAAATCAGATGATTGATTCAACATGAGATCGTTGTCCAATAGGAAGCTTTGAAGATCTTTAGCACTATTATCGTCAACGTTGATTGGCTCTTCTTTTACTGTGTAAGTTGGAATATAGTAGTTTTGTTGTTGTTGTTGTGTTTGTTGTTGTTGTTGTGGTTGATGTTGTTGTTGTTGTTGGATCGATGATTGATCATTGGTTGTATTACTATAACCATTGTTGGTCGACAAAATAGAATTATTGGTATTATTATTATTAAAGTTATTCATATTTTGATTGGGTGTTGATTGCAATTGACTTAGTGACATCGATGGTTGTTGATTTTGTTGTGGCTGTTGCAATTGTGAGAACAACAATGTATTTAACAAATTATTTTGTTGTTGAATAGTTTGTTGTTGCTGTTGTTGTTGTTGTTGTTGTTGTTGTTGTTGTTGTTGTTGTTGTTGTTGTTGTTGTTGTTGTGGTTGTGATTGTTGTTGTTGCTGTGGTTGTTGGAGTGTTTGTGGAATTGGTTGTTGCAATGTTTGTGGAGTACTCGATTGAGTAAGTATAACTTGAAGTGCAAGCAATTGTTGTGGAGTCAATGAATTGTTGTCTGGCTTGTTAAGGATTTGTTTAACCAAAGATAACAAGTTGTTATTCACTCCACTTGCACTGTTTATACTATTTGATGAACTGTTGGTACTGCTTGGTTGTTCAGGAGTAGCAAATTGTGGTGGTGTTGCTTGTGATGGAGTCTGGTAGTTATTTTGGATACTTGGTGATTGTTGTGGTGAGAGTTGTTGTGGTGCTTGTTGTTGTTGTTGTTGTTGCTGTGGAGATTGTTGTTGTTGCTGTGGAGCATTGTTATAGTTAGTGAATTGGAATTGTTGTGGTTGCTGTTGCTGTTGCTGTTGAATTGGTTGTTGAAGTGCAGCGGCATTTGCAAGAAGATTGTTTTGGGTTGGTGAGCTATTTAAGCTTGCACCCGAGAGCTCGGCCAATATGCTGTTTTGTTTGCTCTGCAAAGAGTTTGGTGAGAATGGTGGTTGTTGTGCGTTGTTTGCTGGCTGTTGGGTGTTTTGGATGATAGAGTTGCCCAGTATGGCTTTGGTCAACTTTAATACACGGTCCATGAGATTCTGATGGGACTGTTGAAGATTCTGGAATGCAAATTGCAATTGTGAATGCGAATCTTGAAGTTGGCTGTGCGAGAATTTCAAGTCGGTGTACTCGGTCTGTTGTTTGTTGTAGTTAAAGATGAGATTCTGTACCACAGTGTTACTGGGGTCGAACTGTTCAGTGCTGAACTTGACGTCACCGATCGGCGACTGAGCGGGTGTCGAATGACTAGAGTTTGGATTGACCGATTGCTGTGCCGATCCCGATGACACCGAGGGAATCGATATACTGGCGGGATAGGAAATCGGTTGTTCAAGGTCGTCGTCTTCGTCGGCGTAGGAATTTGATTGGGCGGCCGATGTTCTGTATTGATTTGGATTGTTATTGTTGACGGTCAACGATCTTCTTACACTCTTTCTTCTCTTGATGTTAATCATTAAATCAGGTTGATGTTTCTTAAAGAAATCGTTGGCAAATTCAAATATTCTTGCTTGTGACTCTGATGACTCATGATCAAGCTCCTCATTCTGTGCTGATTTCTCATCGTCTACCTTGTGAAATCCATAAATATTTAATTGTCTAAAAAAATAGAATAAAAAAATAAAAAACAACAATTAGATAAACAAATTAAATTATTGTGTTGTTTTATTCAAACATACCTAATAAAACTACAAAACTTTCCAGTCTTAAAGTATTTTGGTAACAATTTGGTTTCAAATTCAGCGCAGTTGGTTATTACAATACTTTCTCCGAGACGACCCCATCTTATAAGATGATTATTCTCTGTGGTCTCTAACATTTGAATTAAACTTTTAATGAATGGAGCAACTCCATCTCTTGTCAATGCAGTGGACATTGTTTGCTATTGATTATGTGTGTGTGAAAAATAAAAAATAAAAAAAGTGTAATTGAAAATTCTTTTTTACAAAACAAAATAGTATCTCTCTATTCTATTCCGTTCTATTCTAACAAAAATAAAATAAATAAATTTAATAAAATTATTAAACTTTACTTATATAAAAACCTAATAATAGTAATAGAATGAAATTGTTAATTTAATAAAATTTAAATCAACAAATAAAAAACAAGAAAAATAAAAACAAATTATTTGGTGTTAGATTTTTGCTATTGTTCTTCTTTCCTTCTTCTGTTTGTAAGTGAAGTGTGTGTTTTTGTTGTTGTGTTGTGTGTCTTATAGATGTAGATTTTGGTTGAATTGATATTGTATTGGCAATTATATTTATACTACTTCTATATATATATATATATATATATAAAATAATTGTATTTAATTTGATCAAATTTTATTTTATTACTAAATTTATTGATTTTATAATTTTATTTATTTTTATTTATGTTTACAACAAGAATGTGAATATCAGTTATGTGATAATATGTGTTGAAAATGAAAATAAGTTATTATTATTAACCAGAAATGAGACTACAATAAACTCGTAAAAATGTGTATTTATTGAAAAAAAAATTTTAATTTAAATATAATTAATTTATATTTATTTATTATAAATTTTTTTTTTTTTTTTTTTTTTTAAAGTTAAGGTTATTGTGTGTGCGCCCCTCAACAAAGGATTTTGGGTATTTATCAAAAATTTAATATCTAAAATGAGAGTTTGTATTTTTTTTTCATTTCATAAACTTTTTGTTGACCAAAGGAGCTGAATCACCACCGAATTTTTTGGTCATATCCATAAACCAAAAGTTTTTTTTTTTTTTTTGGTGAAGTTTGGGGGTTACAAGAGATGATTCTTTTTAAATTATGTTGACAGAATCATTGATGGAAGCTTTGCTAAAGTGATAAATTCTTCTATGGTCGATTTATTATTGTTTACATGATGGAATTCATTCAAAAAAATTTCGCAACTTTTTTAAATTATTTAATTAATTTTCGTTTTGATAATTACTCTGACTGTTGATGTTGTTGAGAGAGAACGTTCGGACCAAATGATTTTCGATCTTCAATAACCATTTCAAATTAATCAATCTTAATTACATAGTTAGTGCACTTACTTGCTCACTCATCACCATCACTCATGATGCCATAAATTCGATTTAATTGTATTGTTGTTCAAATTTCATGTCTCAAATAAGTTATACCCCCAGGTTTCGACTCATTGCCTAAACTATCATTAGTATTTTTTCATATTTAATAAAATCATTTTCATTGTTTTTTTAATTGTTTAAAAAAAAAAATAAATAAATAACTGTTATGTTCATTTATTGTACATCAAGTTTTGTTATTATTTTTAACACAATTGGTAATTAAAACAAAAAAAAGGTTAAGCTCTTTCACCTCTGATTCTTCTTGCCAATTGCATATCTTTTGGCATGATGGTGACTCTTTTAGCGTGGATTGCACATAAATTAGTATCTAGATAAACATGAATAGATCAATCAAAATTAAATAGTTAGTTTATCTCCTCCAATGGATAATAATAATAATAATAATAATAATTATAGTAATTGATCAAATATATACATACCTTCAAACAAACCAACAAGATATGCTTCAGAAGCTTCTTGTAATGCCTGTATGTGTAAAATAATTAAGATTCAAAAGTATGTTAGTAACGTTAATATCATGATACAGCCAAAAAATAATAAATAAATAAATAATTAATAAATAACATCAGCAATTGCAGATGATTGGAATCTCAAATCAGTTTTAAATTCTTGAGCAATCTCTCTCACCAAACGTTGGAATGGAAGTTTACGAATCAACAATTCACTTGTCTTTTGGTACTTTCTGATCTCTCTGAGTGCAACTGTTCCTGGCTTATATCTATGTGTTTTCTTTATACCTCCTAATTAATGTGATTGTATGTAAAATCATTTTTATAATTATAAAATAAATAATATTTAAAGTTATATTAATAAAATTAAATTTAAATAGATTCTAATAATAATATGATGATAACGTTACCACTGATATTCAGATTGGCATTCTTGAGGTGTTCCATTGGTCCAGTCTTTTGTGAGATCATTCTTCTTGGAACTTTACCTCCAGTTGTTTTACGTGCAGTGTTCTTAGTTCTTGCCATTTTCAATATTTATTAAATTGGATATGTTGTTTAAAAATAATAAGTATGAAAGTATATTTATTTATTTATTTATTTATTTATTTATATTTGTATGATTATATAATATTTTTGGAAATGAATGAAAACAACAACAAACAATCAGTATTTATAGTTGAATTGACAAGAAAATATAAAGAATGTTTTCAATTTAAATACCAATAATTATTGTCAAATTGATCGATTATTATTTGGTTTCTTTTAAAATCCCAATCGCAATTCAACAAAATGATATTACGCGATAGATCACATTAAATTCAACTAAAATTAATCATACAAAATCATCTCCAAACATATCTTTGAACTCCCCCAAAACCAATAATCAGCAAATGCAAAGATGAGCAAAGATATAATGGAGCATTATTTCCAATTAAATCATTTTATATGCAAAGTATTCAGAAATTTCCGATCCAACGACACTCTGGAAATATTGAATATTCCATTCATTTCATTCAAAACTTTCTATCTGTAACATCAAATTTCTTTATTTCTATTTCTATAAATATTTCTTACATATTCCATCATTTCTTTTGGAACAATGGAAATTTTGAAATTTTAAAAAAATTATACAAAAATATTTATTTCTACAAAATCATAAAACCAATATATCTTTTTATAAAATTATCCAAAACATTTAAAATATTTACAAATAAACTATAAAATATAACAAAGACTATAAAATAAATAGTTTTTATATTTATAATTAAATTCAATTTAAAAAAATAAATATATATTTAATTCCAAAAATATTATGTATCAAAAAAAAAAAATTCAAACTTTCTTAATAGTTGAAAATGAATATATAAATTTATGTTAAATTTATCTAGGTTAGGTTATTAATTGTAAATAATTTGGACAAATTACACAACAACGTTACTGATCCAATTGTTTTAACACAAACAAAATACTTTTCTTATTTTGTTTTTTTAATCCAAAATACAAAAAAAAAAATTATTAATTGATATTGATTCTCACAATATTAAACTAACTTTTATAGATTTAAGACTTTATTGAAAATAGATTTCCTTAATAATATTTAAAACATTTACAATCAATTGAATTTAAAATATGTACAATTTATTGATCAGCAGTCAATGGTTTGTTTGATGATGATTGTTCAACTTCATCGGCCTCCACCTGTAGGTACGGCTTTGATAGATCTCCCTCGAATATTAGTAGGTTAGGGTGGTTACTCATTGGCATTAGTTCTCCAATGAGATCACGCAATGTAATTACTCCCTGGGTCTTGAACATGTTGTCAACAATATACACGCGATGAACCGATTTAGATACGAATATCTCCAAGATATCCTCTAAAGAGCTCTCCACCGAACATGTAATCGGCTCTCTATCTATAAATTCAAACACAGGTTGGAACATTCTCTTCCAGTTCTCTCCATTCTTACCGATCTTCTTGATATCTCGAGATGAAAGATTACCAACAAGAGTTCCATCTTCTTTAATAACAGCTACACCTCCAACACCCATGATTTTGATGAGCTTGAATGCATCGATTACCTGTTCGTCCTCTAGAACCGACATTACATACTGGTTGGCTGCACTCATATCACCAACTTTTCGATAACGGCGACTTCCAAGTCTATCACAGTTCTCATAGACCCAATGGATTAGATCAAACTCTGTTATGATATCAATGATTTCATCTCTGTCATCAACCACAGCAATTCTATTAATTCCTTGCTTCGATAAAACTTCGAAAGCAGAGAACATTGTAGTACCAGGTGATAACTTTTGATACTTTATCGACTTTCCATAGGGATACTCTTTGCAAATCAAACATTATTAATATATTATAATTTGAAAGAATAATATCAATTTTCTTTACTTACCCATTATTTTACTAACTTTGGTAGTTTTAAACTCTTCCAAGTCAAATAAAGAAGTGATTTTCTTTAAATGTCCTGTTTTATTTAATTTAAAAAAAAAAACTATTAATGATTTGTTGGTCATTTTTTAATTTATCTACATTACTTTTTCCAACTTCGTCAACAATAAACTTAAGAATATCCAAAAGATCAATCATTCCATAAAACAATTCACCTTGTTTTAGAACAGGACAAGATAAAATATTATTATTTAATAATTTCTAGAAAAAAAATTATAATTAGAAATTTTAAATAAAGAATAAAAAGAAATAAGTATAAGTCTTTACATTAAAAATACTATGGAGTGATTCATCCTTGTGTGTCACAACAATTTCTCTTTTGGAAGCCAACTGTCCATCCAGAACTCTTCTTTTCTTATTTATTCCGGTATGCTCGAAACTCGAAATACTATTTTTTGTCAAAGACAAAATGAAATCATCAAATTGTTTATCTCTTGATTTCTCTTCATTTTCATGTTTCCTAGTTCTCTTTGTTGAGGTTGTATTTTTTGTCATCTTTCTTTCTTTATATAAATAATTATATCTTCATAATTTGCCAAGTAATAAATTTAAATTGACAAATATTTTGTGCCAAAACAAAAATAAAAAAAATTTTGAAAAGTGAAAAAAAAAACAACAAACAATTTTTTCCTAATCAGAGGTTTCTAGATTAAAAGAACAAGTTGATTAATGTTATCACAATAATTATATATAATTATATATATGATAAAAATCTTGGTGTCAAAAAATAAAAGTATGAATAAAAAATAAAAATGCAAGACAAGGTTTTTTTTTTTTTTTTTTTTTTTTTTTAATTTTATTATATCATAATTTAATATTATACTTTTATGTTTTTTTAGGTTGTTTTTGTTGAGTTTTATGATTTAAAAAGGGATTATTATTATTATTATTAAAACTATAAAGACAACATTTATACGTTTGGTACTAAGTTGGTACCTGGGCAGTACTCGTCATCGACGGAGGTCAAAAGAATACCGACGATCAAACCGTAAAGACCCAAAGCTTCAGAGAAAATGAGAATAAGCATCATAATAACGTACAACTTGGCTTGTTGACCGAAAGCACGGACACCAGAGTCACCAACAATACCAATAGCCATACCGGCAGCAAGACCACAGAGACCGACAGTCAAACCAGCACCGAGATCAGTGAATGACTTGAAGAGGGTGTAGTTCTTGTTTGGCTTAAGTTTACCAATGATAATGACACAAATAATCAAACCGTAAATAGCAATGACACCAGCGAAAATGACTGGAATGAAAGCTCTGATGACGAGATCTGGCTTCATGACACCCATATTTGAAATACCGACGGCTGACTTGGCAGTACCGTAAGCAGCACCCATAACTATATATTTAAAGAAAAAAAAAATTATATGGAAAAAAAAAAAAAAAAGAATTAGATATTTATAAGTTTGTAGATTTACTATAATAATTTATCTAATATATATCTTGTTGTTGTTGTTGTTTATATCAAACTATACTATTTATATTGCTACTATAGTTATGTATGATATATAACTATGTGTATATATAATTATCTTATATTATTTATCTCTATATATTATTATTTGTTTTATACATTACCTGTGAAGACGAGGGCAGCAGTGACACCCATAGCACCGAAGAATGGTGCATAGACTGGGCAAGCTGGAGTAATATAACGGACAATGGTGGCGAAAAGGGTAAGGAATTGAATCATTTTATATTATATATTTATTATATATATATGATCTGTATAGAACCTGTGGTAAAGAAAAAAAGTTTTGAAGGTGAGTTCAAGTGTTCCAACAAGAAAGGCGTCAAGTGAAAAAAAATATTTTAGTGCGAGAGTTTGAAAAAAAAATTGAAAAATAAAAATTTAAAAAAAAACAGAAAAAAAAAATTAGAAAAAAATAAAAATAAAAATAAAAAATATGTCGTTGGAAAAAGTTTCGTTATTGACTTGAGATGATTTTTTATGTATCAGGGCTTCCAACCCTGGTTATTTTTATGATATTGGAAAAAAAAAACAAAACACAAAAAATCTGAAACAAAATTAAAAATAAATAAATTAAAAATATCATATGTATATATTGGTGTCTGTTTTGATTGACTGATTGATTGATTTATTACTGCTGTTGTTGTTGTTGTTTATTATATTTGTTTGATTGAAACTTTCTGACAATTTATTCCAATTCATTTGCAATCCATATCATTTCATATTTGTTAAGTTGACTATTTATGTGAGTTGAATTGTTATATTGAAAGATAAGATTTGCTGTATAAATGAATGATTCTGATATATGGCGATGGTTGAGTGATTAGGTGATAAATCTAATCTAATCAATTCGTAAATCTTATCTTTTAGATATGTATCGGAGTAAAAGATATGTTATGAATGTATGATTGTTTGTGTTTATCTAAATTTTTTTTTTTTTTTTTATAAACAGATTTACATTTGAATAAGAACACATTCAATAGCAATTGAATGTGTTTATTGTTTGTAACAATAACAAAAGATAGAAAATAAAATGCTGTTCTAGAGTTGTAGTTGATTGTTAGACAAATAAAATTGAATATGATATGATATGATTTGATTTGTTTCAAACATATTTGATGGTAAAAGAAATACTTGAAACTCTGTCTAAATATCTATATTATCTATTTATCATACAAAGTCTATGCTTCAATTGCATATTTATATAATGATGTAATAATAGTTTACCTTTATATATGTTGTTTTGAAAAGAAGTGAAAAGGTGTGTGTAAAAGATAGAAACTATATTTATAAATATATATTTATTAGTTATATATTTATTCGATTAGTCGAGTAATAGTAATAGACAAAATGACCAGACAAACAAATTTGGAGTTTTATATCACTCACTTTATTTATTAAATATTGCAAAACGCCTGGGCCAGTGTAGGAAAGCTAATTTTGTGAGTGTTTAAAAAAATAATTAAAAAAAAAAACAAAAAAATATTCATAAAATCAAAACAACCATTTTTTTTTTGCTTGTTTATTATTATTTTTTTTTTTTTTTGTGAATGCGTTGTTTTTTTTGTTTTGTTGGTGTAATTCAACCTGGCTCGTAAAAATTTCGAAATAGTGTATTGTGGGGAGAGTTGATATGCCTATACGCCCTGGGCACATCAAAGAATATTTTTGTTTTTTTTCTGTCACTATCGATTATTATGAATTTTCCAATGATAAATACTCTTTTAAAAGTTCCGGCGATGCAATTTTTGAAACAATTTCTAACACTTGCTGTACTGGGGAGTGTTGATAGAGTTGTTGGAGACAAATTCAACCTGGTTAGACACTCGATAAGAGAAAAAAAATAAATTAAAACAAAAAAAAAACATGAGATCTACTTCTTTTCTTTCTCAATAAAAAACTAATATTATTAATAAATATCAAGTTTTTTTATTTTTATACTTGTCAGTCAGACCTCCCATATTAAATTATTGGTGCTGTTACCGTGTTCATACATTTCCAGCAACAACACGAAAACCAACATTAATTTTTAAAAAAAATTAAAAAAATTGTTGTTTTTTTTTTTTTCAAAAATTTTCAAAAAACAGACTAAAGTACAAAGTGGAAATAGATAATATTAGACTCTTGATTTTAGCGAATATACTTCTTAGCCTAAATTGTTAAATTAATTTAGTTGTAGCAGTATTAATATATATATATATAATAGATAGATTAAAATATGGATCAAGCACTTACATCTTCATCAGCTGAAGCTGCTAATTATTTCTTTGGTGGTTTCTTCGTATGTGTCGTTGTTAGATTTATCAAATCTTATCTTAACTATACTTTAAGAACTTAAATAATAATGATAGTAGTAGTAATAATAATAGTAATAGTTATAATAGTAGTAGTATAGTTAAATAATAATAAAGTTGATCTAATATATAGTTCACAACAGTAATCATAATAGTTTAAGTTCTTGGTATTTTAGAGAAGATTGTTGTTTCAACTAGTTACTAATTATATCTTATGTTTTGTTTGTATAGATTGCCACTGTAGCACCATCAACTTGGGCTGCCATTGGTTGTGGTCTCTCGATTGCTTTGTCAGTCGTAGGTTCTGCTTGGTATGAATCAATCACTCACTCACCATCACACACACGCATACACATATATAGGAAATATCAAAATAGTTATACTTTGAATACAGTCACAGATACAGCAAGAGGAAGAAAAAAAAAAACAAATAATATTATCAAAAAAAAAAAAAAGAGAGAAAATTATAGTTGTTTTTTTAATTGATCAATAGAATGGCAACAACAAAGAAAATAGAGAAAGATAGATTGTTTATATATTTATACATAGTAATACTAGATGATATTTCCATTGTATATTATAAAAATATTTAATAAAATATACTAACATTGTCTCGGTTCGTTATTATATGATTATAGGGGTATTTGGGTTACAGCTTCATCACTTATGGGAGCTGCAGTTGGAGAACCAAGAATTAGATCAAAGAACATTATTTCAATTATTTTCTGTGAAGCCGTAGCTATTTATGGTATTATTTTGGCTATTATCTTAAAGGGTCGTATGGAAGGACCACCAAATATCAGAGACCCAGCCGGTGATTACATGGCTGGTTACCTCATGTTTGCTTCAGGTATTACCGTCGGTTTTTGTAATGTATTCTCTGGTGTCAGTGTCGGTATTGCAGGTAGTGGTTGTGCTCTTGCTGATGCTCAAAACCCAGTACTCTTTGTAAAGATGCTTATTATTGAAATTTTCGCTGGTGCTCTCGGTTTGTACGGTGTCATCGTTGGTATTCTCATGTCTTCTTCAGTAACACTAGGTGCCAAAGTACATTAAATCAATCACAACCAGCTTGGACGTCTCAAAATGAACAATCTGGAAATAATAATAATAATAATTCATAATAATTTAAATATATAAAACAAAATCTAAAAAATTTAAACCAAAAAAAAAAAAAAAAAAAAAGAATAATAGTTTATAGATTAGATTCTATTAATTCATTTTTTTTTTGATTAGTTGATTAGATAGGATCAGATTGATTAGATGATGATGAAAACAAAACAAATAATTTATTTAAAATTAAGTTATGCAAGTGTTTGTTTCGGTCCTTCTTTCTTTTGACCTGTGACCGAACCTCTTTCTTTAAGGAAATTCTTATAGCTTTTGTTTATATTAATATTAGTTTAAACTTCATTATCTATTATAGCTAGTTATAATAATAGTCATTAACTTACATTTTTTCATATCTCTTTCTTTCTGAAAGTGGAACTGATGGTGAAGAGTCAGCTAGCGCTGCATCAAAGTGAGCAAGTTTAATTAATGGTGGTTTGTCATCTTGATTCTGTTTGTTCTTATCATTTGAATCTAGATTTGAATCCGATTGTAAATATTGTTGTTTAATCTCATCGATCTAGAATTAATTTAAATATTTTTGTTGATGTTAGTAGTCATGAATTCATTGTCAACAATAATTATTTTGTTACTTTTTTGAGTAGTTTCGATCTTTCTTCCATTGTCATTGGTTTCTCAGCTGATATATTGTCTTTGTTGTTTGGTTGAAATATAACAATGTTTGATCCATCGACATTATTGGATTCCTTTGACGCTTGTTCCTCTCTTTCTTTCTTCTTTCTCTCCTCACGTTCCTTCATGAATTCATGAATGGCCTTTAGTTGTGAGTTGTACATGAGAGCTCTTAGATCGGTACCGGTATAGTGTTCTGTTTTCTCAGCGAGTGAGACGAGTGATACTTCCTGGAGGTCAATATTCATCTTGGCAGCCAACTTCTCCAAGATCTCCAGTCTTTCATGTTGCTCCGGTATGTTGCAATAGAGACTCTTATCGAGACGACCGGGACGCAAGAGTGCTGGGTCGATTAGGTCCGGTCTGCTAGTGGCAGCGAGCACGTAGACACCGCGCAGTCCTTCGACACCATCAAGTTCAGTAAGGAATTGATTCACCACACGATCTGTAACACCGGTGCTATCGTGTCCTCTTCTGGGAGCAATCGAATCAAATTCGTCGAAAAACAAAACACAAGGTGTTGCCGATGAAGCACGTGTAAACATATCACGTACTGCCTGCTCACTGGAACCAATGTACTTGTTTAACAACTCTGGTCCTTTGACAGAGATGAAATTCAAACCGAATTCACCGGCAATCGAAGAAGCGAGCATCGTCTTTCCGCAACCTGGAGGACCGTACAGCAGCAAACCGGAACGCATACGAATCGGTGACGATTGGAACAGTCTTGGATATTTGGACGGCCATCCTACAGTCTCTTTCACCATAGCTCTAACATTGGCAAGTCCACCGATATCATTCCATTGCGCAGCATCGGATTCATGCAGCTTCACACCCTTCAAAGTAATAGGAGTGTATCCTTCTTTTGCCTCCTTGATATATGCCAACTTGATATATTTCAATGAGCATGTCAGAGAGGAGGAGTTGTTGCTGTTGCTGTTGTTTGGATCGATCGAGTTTGAATAGTCATTCAATGAATGAATGGAAGCAATATGTATACTACGTTCAACAAGAGCTTCCACATCGATTGGTAGATATCCTTCGAGTGTCGATGAGAATTTCAAGAGATGTTTCTGGTTAGACTCTGGATCGTTTGGATCCAACTCGAGTTGATGTAGTTTCAGATGAATCTTTAGAATATCGATACGTTCCTCTCTGGTTGGAGGTGGTATCTCAATGGTCATACCAAACAGATCGGGTGTTTGTATCTCCTTGTAGAGTACTTGTGTCGATTGAGCAGTGGCTACCATCACGATTGGGTGTTGCTGGTTGGAGGAGTCTGCAATTGCCAACTTCTTCAAAAATGATCCTATTTGATCGCATCTTATTTTACTTCCTGGATCTTGTTCATTTGGATTCGGTAGGATTGCATCGAGGTCTTCGAACAACAGAATCGATGGACGTGAATTCTCTACTTTTTCGAATGTCTTTGCTAGAATCTTTCTTATTTTCTCTACTTTTACTTCTTTTAACTCTGAACAATTTAATTTGACAACATCTATATAAATAATAATAATAAAATATTAGTTAATTTCCCCTTAGCTATTATAAATTAATTGAATTGATTGGTATTTACATGCTAATGAATTTGAATTCGATGCTAAATAAGATGATAGTGCAGTTGCAAGTAGTGTTTTACCACTTCCGTGTGGACCAGTGATAATGATTCCACCGAATCCAGGTGTACCAAGTCTTGTTCTAACAAGAGAATAGTCAGATCTCAACAATAGTGTCATATACTCTAATGATTCTTTAATCTTTTGTTGAATACCACCGACTCTATAAAATATATCACCAATCTCATAGAAATCATCTAATTTCAAAAGTTTCTCTAATCTTCCTATATTTATATCAGTCATAAATGAATCTGCACCAACCATATACAATCCATAATTCATTTGATACTTATTACTATTATTATCTATATTATTTGAATGTTGTTGTTGTTGTTGTTGTTGACTATTATTATTATTATTATTAATATTATTTTGATGTGAAGATGCAACAGCAGCAGATATATTATTATCATCTAATACACCACCTATTCTATTATTTATAGTACTGTTTAGATATGATGCAAAATCAGCTTTCTTATCTTTTGATTGTTGTTGTTGTTGTTGTTGTTGATTTTGTTGTTGTTGGTTAAATTGTATAAATAGATCGATGGTTGGTGTATTGTGTTTGGTAGATGGTGGAATAGAGAGGATCGATCCGTTCACCAATGGATATCTTGTGGATGACAAGAATTTAGCTGACCACTCGCGAACGATCTCTTTCAATACATGTGAAGGTAGAACCATTGATTTCGGTGTCTTTGCTGCAAATGGTATATGATTGCTTTGATAGATTACCTGGTGAAGGGTCATAGAGTGTATCGGACAGATCGGAAGTGAATGTGGTGGAATAAGTTTGACACGCACCTTTGAGTTTATAAAGATTGAACTAGTCAATCTTTGATTTCTTCCAATCAATATATGTTGATTCGATCTCGTTTGTGAACTAATATAAACTCTAGCATATATAGATCTTGCACCACCAATCTTTATCTTTTGAGCACCATCACCATTATTATTGGTTTTGTTGTTATGATGATCATTTTCATCAATATTATCATTATCATCATTAAACAAAGAATATCTCCTACTATTACTCTTATTATTACTATTCTTATTATTCTTATCACTACTATTGTTATTATTATTGTTATTACAATTATCGATTGTAATTTGTACGATGTCACCTTCATTCCAATGGAATTGTTGTAATGATTGACTTGAGATGTAGATGGTTGTTTGTGAGGTGGTTGGATCAACAGAGAGATCTTGTACGAGAAGAGTACGCGGTTTCAGTGATTCTGCGTTGTGTGTTGCTGTGGCAGCGGGTGCCGGTAGATTTCTAGGTTTTGGCGCGACCGCTATTTCCACTTGGTTCGTTAGTCTCACGATTTCACTGGGTGCAGTATCGACTATCTTTAGCTTGATTATGGTCGAATGGTGTATCCAAATCGGTACGATCTGACCACGTGTCATTACATTCACTTGATTCAATATCTGTTGTTCCAAGTACTCTTGGTGAAGTTCCAATATCTCCCAGTCGTCGGAGGTGAGTGGTTCCACCTGTACCGACGTTGCCTGTGGTACCGATCCTATCTGTGCTTTCACGGTGACACGTGTATGATCTGCAATTCCAATGGCATCGCCAAGCTCTGCATTCATCTCTATTGCATCGGGTCCACTCGACGGATCGGAAGCACCGCCCGACCACCCAACATTGATCTTCCTTTCCTTCTTTGTAGACTTGTCATACCAACTCAATTCCAAAGTCAATGAATTAACAGAGATTGCATTTTTCTATACATATTTACAATAATAATAATAATAGTTAGTTTACTACACCTTTTGTTTTTTAAGGTTATATTAATCATCATATGACTAACCTCTGCCAACAAGAAAAGAGAATGTACAATCTTTGGTGGTAAACAAACAAAGCAATTTGTACTATGTTTAAATGTTACATATAATTCCATTATATAATTGTGGAGTAATTAATAATGATGTAATAATATTTGTATAATCATTTAAAAAAAAAATAATATTTAAAATTTTCATAAAAAAAAAAAAAAAAAACAAACTTTGTTGTTCAAACAAAAGTTTATAAAGAATTTTTTAAGCGCGATTATTATTTGTTGTTTCTTTTATTTGTTTTTTTTAATATATATCAATATTTAATTGATAGTTATTGAAATAGTTATATAATTATCTATTTTGTAAAGGTTTCGGTTATTTGTGTACATTTTTTGTAGAATGAGAAATTTAAGAATACAGAATTTACAAATCCGCAAAACGGTGTTGACTTGTCACCGACGATCAAGTACAAGTCAGCTGCTAATCTTCGGATTTCAAAGGTGAATGTTGTATCCATAAGATGTTTGTAGTCAAAACGTATGAGTTTAACTGTGTCTGGTATCGATTCAATACGACAGTAGCTAAAGAAACGATTCGATATAACGAGTAGTTCCACTGACGACGGTATGAGACCAGGCATTATAGGGTGATTGTAATTCGAGAGGTCAAGGTATTTCAAGGTGTTTGGAAACACTCCTTCCCTGACCATCTGCGTACTATACTGATTGAAAGCAAACCATTCGATTCCCTTTGGAATCGACTCGATCCTAGAGTGATTGTACTTTGGTAAGACCAACTTTCGCACCGATTTCGGAATGAAGTTGCTACCCTCTTTGATTACGGGGTTCATTCCTTCACCGAATGAAAGCTCTTCTATGGATTCCGGTAGTTTGTTTCTATGGTTGATTTGACGCACCGAACCGAGATTCAATATCTTGATGGACGTAGGTATCAAGGCAAAGTCGACATCGATACAGTTGAAGCCAAAGTCAAGCGAGGTCAGAGTCGTTGGAATTTCACCGGCCTGAAGTGGTGGTAAGGGTAAGGGTGTCATAAGCTTTGGGGCACTGAGAGTGACCGTTGTCACGCATTGCGGTAGCTCGCCGAGCGAATGTCTCGGTAGATTGACGATAGTCTCCAAACGGATGGACGGTAGCATCTCACGTGTAATCTGTTGTTGGAAATGATGATCGAATGTTATAGATCTTAGGTTTGGAGGCAGCGTTCCTACCGTGAGGAAATCATTGTTGATGTATCCGCTGTTCGAGAGATCGAGATGTTCCAACGACTCTGGTAGCACACCGATCTGGAGTGTCTTTGGGTTGGACATTGTCAAGCTAGTCAAGTTTGGCGGTAGACAGCCAGGCTGCAGAGGACAAATATTGTGATAGAATTTCAATGTGCGAATATTGGGTGGCAGCGCACCAGGTTGTAAAACCTGTATGCAACGATTATATATAAAGGTATCAACATTCGATTTGGCAATTGCATCATAAATCAATTTCAAATTGATATCATTATGTAAATAGAATAAGTTTACTGACTTTGGTATTGTAAAATAATCTTTAATTTGATCTAAAAAAAAAAACAATAACAACAACCAATCAAAGAAAAAATGTAAGATTTCTTTTCTTTCTTTAGATATATATAAACATTATATCTTTTTTATTAACATACCAAAGAATACAAAATAATCGTTTGTATTGATTTTAAATTTTGGAATGAATGATTTACTGATGAGATGAAGATTGGTACCATTGATTGCATATTTTAAACGTGTTTTAACAGCAAGATTTCTTGATTGTTCAAATTGTTTTTTGAAGGAGATGAGACAGAATCCTTTGATATATTCAATCGATTGTACCTTGGGTAGTAATGAATTGTGATGATTCAGTGTAAGATAGCTATCCCTTTCATTGAGCCATCTCTTACACGTCAAAGCAAAGCATAATCTATCAATATCGAATTCAAGTAAATTTATGATATTTGATAACAAAAAATGAGGTAGTTGGACCAATCTATGTTTAACATTTACATTGCCTTCCATATATATAAATTTAATAATAGTAAAAAAATTAAAAAATTTAAATAAAAAAAAAAAACAAACAAAACAAAACAGTTACATTTTTTTTTTAAATTAAAAAAACAAAACAAGATTTTTTTTGATTCATTAGCACTAATTTAGGAATAACCATGTTTAATAACCAGCCTTTTTTTATTAATAATGTAGGTTTTGATCTTGTTTTGAAAATTTCTTGTTTGGGTAACGTAAATCTATTCTATTTTTACAAAATTGAAATTAACGTTTCATAGATCTAAGAGTTCGAGAATACAATTTAATAACCATCAAAATACTATTAAAGGAAAAGAAAGAGTTGTTTCTAAAAGGAATTAAGTTCTTCTTTGTTAAACTTCGAAATACGGATGATGAACTTTTAAACAGACAACACAAATGCTGTTTAAATAGTTTGTTATAATATAAAAAGTAATACATAACTTCATCATGTGTGTTGAAATTCATTGCGCATACTCAGATTTCGCGGTATTTCTTTTATTTTGATTATTTCCTAACTATAATCAATATTGACACTGTTGGGAGAGGAGTTCAATATGGTAAAGCAACCACACTCAACACAAAACTTTTTATACCAAAATACAATTTAAAAGTCATACTCACTCTCACGGCAACCAGTCATCACCAAGATGGTTTGGAAAGTTTCTTTCTTCTTTCAAACCATCTATTGTCACTGTGCTGTACTGTGTTCAAGTCGAAATTAGAAAAACCAATGATTGTTTATAGAATTATATCTAGGCGCCAGTTGATTGATATTTCCATTCAAGGTAGAGACATCCCCCCACTCTAAATGTGTCATCGATATGGTACGACATGTTGTTTATATAAAAAAAGTTTTCAAACTTCGAATTGAACCATGCAATCTACTGCGAATGGTAAGCATTAGTCTTTGTAACCCCACAGAAATTTATCTTAATTTTAAATCTATGTAAAAATGTTTTTGTTTTTTTGATTTTTCTAAATAATGAATGGTTAACCGACAACATAAAATTACAAAAACAATAATTGTATCACCATCAAATTATTATTTTAAACACATTCAGACTAACAACAAATAGAAAAAAAATAATTAAATTTGGTGCGCACCAAAATGAACGATGATTGTAATATATATTATTCTTGGGTTGATGATTCGAAACTTGGTCACCCAGAAATGACCGTCATCTTTACTAAAGTGGTAATCTGTAACTATTGTTGGTATATGGGATTTTAGTATCGATATTGTGTTGTTTTTTATTTCAAATTTTAACACACACAATCTAAGTTGGTGCACCTAAGAATAAAGAGAGACCCCCACTTCAAGGTCTCAATCACCTTTTTTGGTAAAAATCAAAACTTTCGGTTATTCACACACATTGAGATAAAAAAAAAATTGGAAAAAAAAAAAAACAAACTAAATTTTTCTAATGAGTGGACAAATTTTTCAATTTTATTTTCCTTTTCTCATAGGTGGATGGTTTGATTAGTTGTGTAGTGTGGGAAGCTGTTTTTGGAGTATTTCCAGGGATATATTAGAGAGTTTTTATATTTCAGTTGGCACACACTGAGAGGCCTTTGTACTATACACTCGAGTGTGTACATTTCATAATTCAAGTCTCAACGAAAACAAAAGAAAAAAAAAACAAAAAAAAAGTTTATGATACTTCTGATCCTAATCGATAGGATGCTTCCTATATATATAAAACTTTTGTTTGTTTAGATTTTCATATAAATATTTAACCACACACTACCTCTTAACGATCGTGTAGACCAACTGTAGAGAATATTAATATTTCTAAAAACAAATAACCTACACAGCTGACGATGAATTGAAACAGAAAATAAATGAATTAAACAAGCAAAACAAAAAACATTTTTTAAAATATAATTATATATATTTATTAATTAATAATAATAAAATTGTAGTAATATTAATTAATTATTACTATTGTTTTTCATTTATTTCTTTTTCTCAAATCAATAATAATAATAATAATAATTAAATGACAAAAGTAAAATAATTAATTCTTAAAATCGATATCTATTCAAAGTAAACATTTTCCTTCATTTATAAAAAGATTAAATCTTTATATAAATTTAAATCTAATAATTAAGTTTTTCGTATTTTTTTAAAAAAAACTTAATTTGTAAATATTAAATCTTATAAGTTCACTTTAATATTAAACCGACCATCATTAAACAATATCATTTTTCATTGTATTAGTTAAAATATCTATATTTATTAAATATTAATTTATATAGATACAATTTATAGTTTATATTAGCCAGAAAATATTTCTAAATTTCATTTAAAGTTTCATTATAAAAATTTTAAAAGATCCTATTTAATTATTTTTTATCGAGACACTTTCATTTTTTTTTCAACAATCATTTATATTATTTTTAAAGATACAACATTTTTTGGTAAATGAAGCAAATACTTATAAATTGTTGTTTTTTATTCATCTTTAATAATAATAATATCATTTTTATTACTCAATTTAATAAATCGCAATAATAAATTAGTTAAATCTATAGTTAGAGATTTAAAACCTCTTTCAATAACCAATCATAATCAAAGATACAAACAGTAATCAATTAAGATTTTTCCCGAATTTAGTAAGTATAATTTATTACATGACAAAAGTAATTGTTTTTTTTTATACTTTCAAATTGAAATTATTGGTTGATTTGTTTCTAAATTAATTAATTTAATTAAAAAAAATCTTTCTTTTTTTTTTTTGTTCATTTTTTGTTTTTTTTATAGTTTCAATTAATTTGAACCTTTTTAATTGTTTCTTTAGAAATAAACCAATAAAACTTCAACTCAAATCATTTTACTATTCAATTATAAATATTCAATTAATTTAAAGATTATAAAAAATTTCTTTTTTTACAAAAAACTATTATTATATTATTTTATTTTATTTTATTTTATTTTATTTTATTTTATTTTATCCTTTTTATATTACTATAAAAGGTAATTTCTCTCTCTTTTTTTAGTAAAATTTGTTTAAACCGCCACCACCACCATCACCACCAAATAACAATTAGAGTGTAATGTGTGATCTTCATGATCTTTAAATTCATTGTCATTATTATAACCCCACTTTTTTATTTTAAAAAATTTGTAACAAACCAAAAAACAAAAAAACAAAAATTGACACTCATTGTCACTGCTCTCTATTCTGATAATAGTTCTTTTAACACCGCTATTTCACTTTCATGTTAAAGAAGGTGTGTGGATTAATGATTTAAAAATGTTGATGTTAAAGTCTATCAACAACATAAAACAACAACAAAGACAGCAGTCCCCGCCTACACTACTATACTATTAGTTCTCTAATAAGTTTCAATCGAGACCTTACAAAATCATTTGAGCGAAATGAATCATCAGATTCTCATGTTGTTTTGTCAAACACGATTCTAAATTCAACAACAACACGCAACAACACACAACACAACATAACACACAACTTCTCTATTAATTTTGTGTAGCAGAATGTTGTTGTTGTTGTTGTTGTTGTTGAATTTTTTGTATTATCTTTTGATAATAAGAATACAAAAATAATAAGAAAGACTAAAAAGATTTCCTTTTTAAGTAAAATAACCAATTCTGTTATATTTATTTTTAAAAAGAAAAAAACTAAATTTTCATAATAACAACAACACATCAATATAATAAGCAAATCAACAATACGATAATGCAAATGACAACATCAACTGAATTAAAAAAAACAAAAAAAAACAAAAAATAAATACTTTAAATTCTAAAGATGTAATCGATTGGTAACATTTTTAAGAGCTCTTTTTAAATATATATTTGCAATATCTTTATAACACATAAAAACAAAAAAAACATTATTATAAAAAAAAAACAAAAAAAATTAAAAAAACACAAAAACAACAACCATACCAAATTCAATACTGCAATAACAATTACAAAAATTCACAAAAAAAAAAAAAAACAACAACAACAAATAAACCAACACCATTAATCAATACAACAAAACTCAATCCAAATGCAGGACACTTCTTATTTATGCACCATTTTTATACATCATCACTTTATAAATACAGCATTTAACATTAACAACCACAAAAAAAATTTTAATATTTAAATATTATTTCTATGTTCAGCGACAACCAACCCACCACACACGCACGCACGCACACACAAGTATCTTATACAACATATATTTATCCTCCTTTATAATTTTACTTAAGTAAATTAATTCTCTCTCACTAGTTTGCTCTATGCGCTTGAAGTTTTGACACTATTTGGTTTGGTACGGTTGTTTGTATTTCATTTCTTTCCATTTGTTTTTTTTTTTAAAAATCTTACTTGATTCCATTCATTATTACATTTATTTGTTCTGTTCTGTTCCTTCCTTCCTTCCTTCTTTCCTCATCTGTTTTTACAGTTCTTATCATATCAACTCAGTTTCTTTTGTCATCTTAAAATTGCTATATTAATTAATTATTTTAAATTTATCACTAACCTAAGAACCTTATTCTCTTTCTTTATTTTTTCCCTCATTTTTTTGTTCTTAAACAAAAATGAATTTATTGCATTTCCTGTCGATGTTTATAGATCGATTGGATATGATCGCACACCAAATGATTTTTGTCGACCTGCGCGATTGGATTACCTACACGGTGTTCGCCACTATTCTCTATTTTATAAGTAAACAACTGATACACTACTGTCTAAGTCATATATTTTTGAATCAACAACCAACTTCATTGGACATTGAATTCAACAACAACAACAACAATAATAATAATAATATAATTGATATAAATAATAATAAAAACAATAGTAGTAGTAGTAGTAGTAGTAATAGTAATGGATATGGTTCTTCAGAGTCGACTCAATTAATACCAAATCCAATTTTGACAGAAGATGAAATTAAAGATCTAGAAAGATTGGCATCTTCTGACAAATTTCCATCAGTAACGCCACCACGCTCTCCAAATCCTCCATCTTTGACAAATTCTCAAACAAACATGTCGAACAAAACCAATAACAGTGAAATCTCATCAATTGTCAACGATCCAATGGTTTTACTTTGCAATATATCTTTTGGAGGTGGGGTTATCATCGATCAAAATCTTCACATTGTTTTTGTACTGGAGGGAACCAAAGATATCTTTCCCGACTACCAACAACTCAACCAACAACACCCAAGCTTTCTTGAGCTCATTGAAGAGGACTACAGAGAGCAATTTGTACATTTTTTTCAGATATCAAACATACAACAACAAACCAGAATGATTAACAATAATAATAACAATCAATCGAGTCAACAACAACTCTCACCGCAACTCAATCGAGTCGATTCACTACATAACCTCAACCAACTTCATAATGAACCAATCATTCTACGTCTACAAAGTACTGGTTCGACATTCATCACCGTTGAACTTAAACTCACTGCTATCTATTACGACGATGGTATCTACTATTTTTTGGTCACTTCGCGACATCGGTAGACACAACAAGTTGGACCAAGTTGTCTCTCAGCTGCAGAGTGCAGTGGTCGACGATGAATCGAAAATCGACATTCTCTCGCACATCTCTCATGAACTACGTACACCAATCTCGAGTATCGTTGCTTCGGTTCAATTGTTTCGTGCCACCGAAGTCACTTCACTCCAACGTGAATATCTCTCGCTGATAGACTCATCGACTACCTCACTACTCGAGTTGATCAGCAACGTTCTCGACCACGACAAGATGGGTGCCGGCAAACTTTTATTGAACACCGTCGACTTTAACCTATCCACACTCATCGAAGATGTCTGTGCCATGGTCAGTACACAAGCACTTCGCAAGGGCATAGAAGTAGCATCCTATATTTTCACACATTGTCCATTGAGTATTTATGGAGATCCTGTAAGACTTAGACAAATTCTACGTAAGTATACAAAAACAATTATTCTAAAAAAATATAATCTAACCATCTATAATATATATATATTTATTGAACTAACATTATTTATAATAAAACCCATTCCAAAAAAAAAAAAAAAAAAAATATTAATGATATTGATTGATTTGTTTTAAATTTTATAAAACAATTACAATTTATCAATATTGTATCAAAAATTTTAAACTTTTACATCAATGGTACTCGATACTCAATAACAATACAGTGAATTTATTAAGTAATGGTATCAAGTTTACAGAAAAAGGTCAAGTTTTGGTGAGAGTTGAACCTTTGGAGGTATGTGATACAAGTTTAACTTTAAAGTTTGAAGTTAGAGATACTGGTATGGGTATTTCAAAAGAGAATCTTCCGAAACTATTCAAGAAATACTCACAATTCAATTCAAAGATGTCATCCGGTCATGGACTAGGTTTGGCTATTTCAAAAGGTAAGGACATATATAATATTGATATAATTATAAATATCCAAGTTTAACAATTATTATTATTATTATTATTATTATTTGTAATTCAGACTTGGTACAGTTAATGGGAGGAAAGATTTGGTGTGATAGTAAACCAGGAAATGGATGTTCGTTTTTCTTTACTTTGAAATTCGATACTCCTCAGAAACAACTACCATGTCCAGTTCCAAACTTTAACAAGTTGAATGTTCTCATTGTAGATCCAAATGAATCCATTCGTAGTGTGGTCACCGACTATCTCAGAGAGTGGAACTGCAAGACAGTGGAGACATCCGATGTAAGCAGAGCTATCAAAGAGATTAAATCTCGTAATGATGAGCATATCGAGTTGGTTATTGTTGACGTCGATAGTACAACACTAAAATCATTTCTAAAACTTAAAAGGATCATGGATATCGAGTACTCTGGAAAGATTGGCTTGATCATGATGTCAAAAGATCGATCGATGGTACATGGTATCGGTGTTGGAAACACTTCAAAGCTGACCAAGCCAATACGTCAATCACATTTGGTCGCCTGTATCCTTGCATCGATGCCAGAGTATCATTTGCAATCACCCGAACTCACCTCCTCGATGCCATCCAACACTAAGAAGCTACCGATCAAAGCATTCGACTCCCAACCACTCTATGATTATTCAAAACTATCGAGCTCCTCTCATTATCAAAAAGAGTTTTCCGCCAAGAACCTTGCCACTTGTATACCACCCTATTTGAAGTCCGATTCAGTGTCACCACTGTCATCCGATAGTCTGGGTAGTTCCTCCGAGTCGACCAGCTCACCAGACTTTGAAAGTCGTGCAGGTGGTAGTCACGACAGCCCCAACAACAACAGCCAGCTTGGAATGCGCAGGGTCACTCGTAGACACTCTATAGATATTGTTACATTCGATCACATTCAAAACCGAAATGCCTCACAAATCCGCAGTATTCATGAGAACAGTGGGCAACCAGCAATTGCTGATATCTCTCCTATTGTAAGTCCAAAACAATTCTCCATCGATCCAGCTTCGCAGCCGACAGCCAGTCCCCAAGATCATCAATACTTTCATTACCGACAGTCATCTGCTCCCCATAGGTTAGTACGCAGTCCCTCACAATTTAGAATCGATCCAATGAGCAACATTCGTGGTAGTAACTTTAGTGATGGAAGCACCAACGATCATGATAGTATGGATTTTGGCAATGGGAGTAGCAGCAGTAATATATCACCTCCCCACATGGAGATCAATGCAACACAAGTAATTCCTCAATGCAAAGATTCTCACCAACAACAACAACAACAAACAAACCAACAGCAACAACAACAACAACACTCGTCAAATCAAAATACCAACGAACCAACCATCCTAGTAGTTGACGATTGTTTAATCCATCTGAAACTTGTAAAGCGTGTACTTGAATCGTCGCTTGGATTGTCAGTGATATGTGTTGGATCGGGTGAAGAAGCACTTGAGCAATTCGAAAAGCACCAATTCGCAGCAATACTTATGGATTGCGAGATGTCCGGAATGGATGGATACACCTGCACCAAATTCATACGCCAAAGAGAAACCGAGAAGACAGTTGCATCGATTAAATCTGGGTTGACACCACACGTACCCATCATTGCGATGACAGCACATTCGCCCAACGATACAACCAACCGTACCAAATGTATATCTTCAGGTATGGACGACTACATCACCAAACCATTTGAAATCGATCATCTACTTTCGATTGTCAAGAAATGGTTTGAATTTTACAATGAACTAAACAGTCAGATGAACGAGCGAATTCAACGAACACATTTTACACCTCGAAATGATTCCGATACCGAATCAACATCATCACCCTCCGATGAAGACTCCACCGAAGATACCAAAGGTAGTCTAGCCTCGGCAACCAAATCACCGAAATCATATAATCATATACAATACCTTTTACAACATAAGAAAAAATCAAACCAACTTTACCAAAACAACCAACAAGAACAACACATATAATATCATCATTACTTCATCACAACACAAAACAACAACAACAACATCATCACGGTATACATTAACTAAAATTCACATTGTGTATAAATTTCTCACAATAAATGCTTAAATAATCATTTGGTTAATTACAAAGAGCTTGTAATGTACCAGAGTATTATTTAATATCTCTCAATGGTCATCAAATGATCAATGTTGATATCGATTAATAATTATAATCTAGACTAATCGCTCAGCTTCTTTAAGCAGAAGCAACATGAAATTATATATTAATATTGAACTCGATTTAAATTTGTTTTGATAAAAATACACTAGTGTATAATATATTTATTTATATTATCAACTAAATACTATTATTATTGTTATTGTTGTTGTTGATGCTGCTTGATTAATGATTGTTTATTACACAAAGATTGTAACGTTTTGTTTACAAAATAATGATGTCGACATTATCATGTACACGTTGCAACAAGATTTCACCATCGTAGGTAATCAACTTCTTTCTCTTGGCAGCCTTCAATGTTCCAAGCAAGGCTTCGAATGTGTTTGCAACTACGATCGTATAAATAATGAGTAAATATGTTAACATCGATCACACTTTTCAATAATATTATGTGATACTTACCAATATCATCATTGAACAAGACACCATATTTAACAACGATTTTACCATCTGGTCTCTTTGTACCGAGTCTTGTGATCTCTTCGATCAATCTGCTTACTTCTTCATCAACATTCATAGTCATTTTTTAAATTATAATAATGATTAAAAAAATCCATTTTCAAAGTTTTGTGTGGTGGAAATTTTTTTTTTTTTGGTAAAAAGGAAATTTTATTGATATCAATTTGAATTATTATTATCTTTAAAACTATTTTTGTATTCACATATTAGTAGTATTTAATATTATTAAATAATTATATTTATAGTAACGTTATTGTTTGAAATTGCTTGTCATCTTTTAATTTTATGGACAAATTTTGGTTTGTGTTAAAAACAATAGGAATGTAATGTGATTGTATAGTATCAGTACAAAAATAATATTTTCATATTATCTATTTTTTTTTTGAATTATATTTATTATTTTTTAAGAAATCTAACTTATAACAATTGAGATAAATAATTATTTAATTTATATATTCATTTTCAACTATTAAAGAAAAGTTTGTTTTATTTGAAAAGTTTAAAAAATATTTTACAAGTTTTGGGGAATAAAATATAATTAGTTTCTTTATCCAATAAATTTAATGATAAGTATAAAAACTATTTATTTTATAGTTTTTGTTATATATTATAGTTTATTTGTAAATATTTTAAATGTTTTGGATAATTTTATAAAAAGATATATTGGTTTTATGATTTTGTAGAAATAAATGTTTTTGTATAATTTTTTTAAAATTTCAAAATTTCCTTTGATCCAAAAGAAATGATGGAATATGTAATAAATATTTATAGAAATAGAAATAAAGAAATTTGATGTTACAGATAGAAAGTTTTGAATGAAATGAATGGAATATTCAATATTTCCAGAGTGTCGTTGGATCGGAAATTTCTGAATACTTTGCATATAAAATGATTTAATTGGAAATAATGCTCCATTATATCTTTGCTCATCTTTGCATTTGCTGATTATTGGTTTTGGGGGAGTTCAAAGATATGTTTGGAGATGATTTTGTATGATTAATTTTAGTTGAATTTAATGTGATCTATCGCGTAATATCATTTTGTTGAATTGCGATTGGGATTTTAAAAGAAACCAAATAATAATCGATCTATTTGACAATAATTATTGGTATTTAAATTGAAATCATTCTTTATATTTTCTTGTCAATTCAACTATAAATACTGATTGTTTGTTGTTGTTTTCATTCATTTCCAAAAATATTTTATAATCATACAAATATAAATAAATAAATAAATAAATAAATAAATATACTTTCATACTTATTATTTTTAAACAACATATCCAATTTAATAAATATTGAAAATGGCAAGAACCAAGAACACTGCACGTAAAACAACTGGAGGTAAAGTTCCAAGAAGAATGATCTCACAAAAGACTGGACCAATGGAACACCTCAAGAATGCCAATCTGAATATCAGTGGTAACGTTATCATCAAATTATTATTAGAATCTATTTAAATTTAATTTTATTAATATAACTTTAAATATTATTTATTTTATAATTATAAAAATGATTTTACATACAATCACATTAATTAGGAGGTATAAAGAAAACACATAGATATAAGCCAGGAACAGTTGCACTCAGAGAGATCAGAAAGTACCAAAAGACAAGTGAATTGTTGATTCGTAAACTTCCATTCCCAACGTTTGGTGAGAGAGATTGCTCAAGAATTTAAAACTGATTTGAGATTCCAATCATCTGCAATTGCTGTATGTTATTTATTAATTAATTAATTATTTATTTATTTATTATTTTTTAGCTGTATCATGATATTAACGTTACTAACACTTTACACATACATGCATTACAAGAAGCTTCTGAAGCATATCTTGTTGGTTTGTTTGAAGGTATGTATATATTTGATCAATTACTATTATTATTATTATTATTATTATTATTATTACTATTATTATTATTATTATTATCCATTGGAGGAGATAAACTAACTATTTAATTTTGATTGATCTATTCATGTTTATCTAGATACTAATTTATGTGCAATCCACGCTAAAAGAGTCACCATCATGCCAAAAGATATGCAATTGGCAAGAAGAATCAGAGGTGAAAGAGCTTAACCTTTTTTTGTGTATAAAAAAACAAAACTTAATGTACAACAAATAACAGTTTTTTTTTATTTAAAAAAAATAAATTAATAAAAAAATAAAAATAGATTTTATCATAAAAAATAAAGAAAAATTTGATCAAAAAAATTAAATAGCAGTGTTGTTCTATTTTTGATCACTTCACCCTTTGAAAGAAAATTAGTTTTTAAAAATCATTTAAAATTACAATGGTTTTATTAAATATAAATAGTAATAAAAATAATAATAATAATGTTGTATTGAACCTTGTAGATCTACCTTTTATCATTTTAAAAGAAATATTATCATTTAGATATGAATATACTATTATAGACTATATTTGTTTTAGTTTATCTTGTAGAAAGTTGTTTTATGAAAGAGATAGATATCTTTTATTTAACCCAGATCACCTGGTGATTAGAGATATCGATGCACTACCTAAATTCACATTAAACTCGTACAGATCCATCTTTCAGAAATCAATGAACAACCGTCAATCAACTAAAATGTTCATCAGTATGAGACGTTTTAAGAGTGACTTTGATGGTTATGACTATGACTATTATGAATATTTAGATGGTAGTGGTATGTATATTTATGAATGATAAACATTATTTCTATGATTAATAATATTAAACTTTTATTATAAACCATTAGATAATGACAACAATATAAAGATAGATCCAACTGTAACAACTTTAAAATTTGATAGAGATGTAAAATTTGATTTACAATCTCTTATTGATTTGCCAACTTCAAATGTTAAAACACTGGATATCTGTGATAATCACACAATCATTACGTGTGGATCGCTACCACACAGCTTGGAGTCACTTTTTCTAAATGATGTCATCGAGCAGAACTTCTTGAGAGTTGGAATTCTACCAAACACTCTGAGACATGTTGTCTTGCAGATCAAACAACCGTTGCCGCTCGGTGTTTTACCCGAGGGATTGCTCTCGGTGTACTACGACAATTACTCTGATAATGTACCGCCACTCGAAGGTATCTTCCCAGAGTCTGTCACCAGTCTTGAGTTTTGGAGTAATTGCAGCCGACTCTCTGATTTCAAACTCAGCAAATTCCCATCGTCCTTAAAGACACTGATACTGCGATCGTACTCGTGCGACTTTCACGAGTTGCCACAGTCATTGACCAGCCTTCAGATGACTGGCGACTTCAAATTTTCAGATCAGCAGCCAACTCTTAGCCATCTGTACAATCTCACTTCGCTTAAGGAGTTTCCAATCGAGTATATCGCATTGGTTCCACCATCGGTGACAACACTCTCGTTGTCTTCCACCGGCAAACAAGACCAGATCACCCTGTTCCAAGGAATGATTCCACCAACTGTTGAGTACTTGAAATTCTACACCATGTCCACGTTGAAGTTTGAACCGGATTGCATACCACCCAGTGTTAAAACACTAGATTTTGGATTCGCTTTCCACAATATTCAGTCGGGCAACGTTCCAAACACTGTCAAAGTGTTGCATCTTGGCTTTCATTTCAATCAGATTATAGAACCAAATGTGATTCCAGAGGGTGTTGAACATCTTGTTACAGGTGATGCTTTCTCTCAGACATTGACCGCAGACTGTCTACCAAAGTCACTACAAACACTGGTATTGGGTAACTACAAGACCCGATTGCAGCCTAGAGTGCTTCCTTCTTCTCTAAAGACGCTTCGCATATTGGAATATCCATTCAGCTTTGAATCAGGTGTTCTACCTTTTGGTTTGAAAAAGCTGAAAATCCACTCCTACTATCAGGATTACGAACATGATTTTACAACCGATACTATTCCAGCATCTCTAGAGAAACTGAAAATCAAGCGTTACTCTGGAAAGTTTACAAACGATTGTATAGCACCATCACCATCTGAACAGCTCCCTGCCAACCTCAAACTATATTTGAATCACACCTACCTTAGAGAAAAGAATTCTTTGAAAAACATACCAAATTCAATTCACTCTATCTATCTAAAGTATGGAAGAATCAATGAGAGTACAATCTGCTTTAGAAGGTATAGAAACAATGACAACTTATTTATAGTGAATTCTATGCTTCAAGGTGGGTTTATTTATTTATAATTCAAATACTCACATGTTGAGATTTCAATAAAAAATAATGTTTTGTTTGTTGTTATACATGTACATGTATATTTATAAATTTTAATTTTATATTTGTAGAGGAAGAGTCGATTTATTGACAACATTAGGTAAGGTTTTAATTCACAACTATTATACAATACAGCACAGTAACATTGATTTCAGGAGCAGTAAAGTGGTAACAGAGTAGTTCTTATAGGAAAGTTGAATTTAATGCAAAATGTTTCCTTTCGAAATGGTTTAAATCAAAGAATTTCTCGATTTTTAGTTAGATTTTGATAAAGAACTGTTTTTTTTTTTTTTTTTTTTTTTTTAAGAAGTAAAAATTTATTTATTAAGTAATATATTGGGATGGTGTAAACCATCGAACTCTTACATTTGAAAAAGATGGTCCTAAAACAGGTTACAAAGTGCTGACAGAACCTTTAGTTTGCTCCATTTTTTTCAAATTTTCTTTCAAACCGCATGCGGATACATGATTTATTAAAGGTTTTGGATTCGACATCTGCAGGATTCGAACCTGCGCCCCCGAAGGGATTTCCTTAGCAGGGAAACGCCTTAAAACCACTCGGCCAAGATGTCTTTTTGAAACTTGAAAAGATTTTATTAAAGTCATTCGGATTTTTTGTTAAATTTTTTTAAAAGATGATATTATTGGATATTTTGACAAAAGTGGTGTTGGTTATGATTTATTTCACATTTAATATTTAAATTTTAATCTACTACCTTTTCAATTTCTCCAATGTTTCGTTCGCTTAAATCTATTAACAAATTAAAAAAAAATTAAAAATATAAAAACTTTTTTCATAAACGCGAACCCTTTTTTGTTTTTCATATTACCAATTCACATTTGTATCACTAGATTGATTAGGTAGATAGATAGTAGAATAATGGATTTAGTTGTATCAGTTGGATCACCTTCTACTGAATATTGGAAGGAAGGAGATCAAGTTCGAGAGTTCTACTATAGCAGTCTAGGTGGTTGGCCATGTATCAGATCGGTAGATCCAGTCGGTAAGGGTTTCGAATTCGTATGGAAGAAACTGCAGCGTAAGGAACACGATACCGGTGTCTATGAAGATATCAACCAAGCCGACGACGATGAAGACGAAGAGGACAACGTCTCAGATGAGCACTTCAATGCGCTGAAGGAAAAGTACAAGAACAAATCAAAAGACTGGCTCAAGGACATTGATCACTACGAAATCATGGGTCTTGGTCATCTGCGCTGGCGTGCCACCGAGAACGACATCAAGGTTGCCTACAAAAAGATGATTTTAATTTGTCATCCCGATAAGAACGAAGGTGGAAGTGACGAAGCTTTCAAGACTCTCCAAAAGGCCTACGATGTCTTGGGTGATCCAAAGAAGAGAAGAACCTACGACTCAAAGGAACCGTTCGACGACACATTGCCATCATCGTACGAGGCGGACCGTGGTGATTTCTTCAAGGTGTTCGAACCAGTGTTTGAGATGAACTCGCGTTGGTCTAGCATCCAGCCAGCTCCAAAGATTGGAAACATGGAGACACCATACGAGAAGGTCTTGAAGTTCTACGACTTTTGGTGGGGTTTCAAGTCGTGGCGTGACTTTTCGTTTGACGATGACTACGATTTGGAGCAAGCAGAGTCACGTGATGAGAAGCGTTGGATGGAGAAACAAAACGAAAAGAAGCGTTCCAAGTTGAGAAAGGACGAGTCTTCGCGTATCTTGGAGCTTGCCAACATGGCCTACAAGAGAGATCCACGTATTCTAAAGAAACAACGTGACGAAGAGCAAGCCAGACAACAAGCCAAGCAAGCCAAGATCGACGCCAAGCTCAAGGCACAAGAGGAGAAAGAGAGAGCGGAACTCGAAGAGAAACAACGTCGTGAAGCAGAGGAGAAGCGTTTGAAGGAAGAGGAACTCGAAAAGAAGAACAAAAAGAAAGAGGAAACAAAGATTATCAACCGTGCCAAGAATGGATTCCGTAAGCTTTGCTACGGTCCACCAGAACCACTCTACATGCCATCGCCACCAACCATCGAGGAAGTCGAGTTCATCTGCGGTGAACTCTCACATTTGGAATTGGTTGAATACACTCAAGAGTTGAGTGCAATGGCCGCTGAAACCGAGAAGAAGAGGCAATCGTTCAAATCGAAATTCGAAGCTCTCCAAAGCGACAAGAAAGAACGTGAGAGAATCGCCAACGACAGCAAGAAAGCCAAACAAGAGGAGATTCAAAACGATAGGCTGTGGACTGACGATGAGTTGTCACAGTTGGCCAAAGCCATTCAAAAGTTCCCAGCCGGTTGCCAAAACAGATGGGAGAGTATCGCCACTATGGTTCCAACACGTTCTCTCAAGGAGGTCATCAACAAAGCAAAGGAGGCGCAACCCACCAAGGCATTTGCCAAGCCAGCCGTTCAAACTACATCGGCCTACGAGAAGTTCAAATCAAAGGTTGGTGAGAAACCAATTGCTTCGGATCTAACTTCGAGACAAGAGATCGATCCAACTGCGCCAGCTGCCGTTGCACTCAAGGTTGCCAAAGAAGCTGCACCATCAAAGGAATCATCTACAACAACAACAACATCAACAACAGCAACATCAACACCAGCTGCACCATCAAAGGAATCATCCACACCCAAAGAAGATAAGAAGAAGGAAGAGCAATGGAGTGTCGATGAGCAAAAACTACTTGAAGAAGGTTTACAAAAGTTTGACAAATCACTTGGTGATCGTTGGGATCAGATCGCAAAGAATGTTGGAACTAAATCAAAGAAAGAGTGTGTTGCTCGTTACAAATATTTAGTTGCTCTCTACAAATCAAAATAAAAATAAAACTAATTCATATCGTTCAATGTGAGTCTCATTTAAATTTTTATTTTTCACTGCAAGCAAAAAAATGCTTATTACTTTTTTTGTTAAAGGTGGGAGCATTGTTGCGGGCTGCCTGATTGGTCAGCCCGCTCAAAAAAAAAATAAAATAAAAAACATTGCTTTGCTTTGCAAGAAAAAAAAAATTAATCAATCAAATCAAACAAATTTACGCTTTTTTTATTTTAAATTATCTATATATCTTTTGTTATTATGTATTAGTAAAATTTTGAAAGTCCAATCTAAATAGTAATTAAATATCTTAACACACATAAAGTTTATTATTATCTAGATAACGATAAACAAATATTTATTACATTTTTTTCAAAGAAAACAAAAAGAGATGCATGAAGATAAAAATGTTCTGATATCCAATATATTTGTATTGGTATGCTATATATTATCGTTTATAGGTTGTCTGACAGTGATAGTACATTACTGTTGGATACCAGTACTACGGAAAAGTGTATCAAATATTATATTATGGCCGACTCTTTGTATACTTGTTTCAATTTTAACGACTTTTCCAACTTTTATTTCACCATCTTTATCTTTGTATATATTAAGTAAGTAGAGTAGTATAAAATAAAATATCTATTATCCACAATTGTCATAAACTTATCATACTAACAATCGTTTATAATCCTATAGGAAACACACCACTATGCTTTACACAAGCAGCAATCGTACAATTTACAATTTTAGCTAATTTCTTTTGGACATTAGCAATTTCTATAAAGTATGTTATGTTAATCACAATTGATTGATTGATTGATGGATGAAACTATGATAACTAACTACTAATGTTATTGTTTTTAGCTTATTATTTTTATGTTTTTCACCATCAAAAGATTTAAAAAAGAATAATATATTATATCATATTGGATGTTGGGGCATCTCCATTCTGATAGTTATTTTGACTCGCACACATTTGGGAGACGATGGCGATCGCTGTAGATATAGGAATCCAAACGATGACGTTCGATTTGTCATTGAAACATTTATACTGGGATCGATCACTCTTTTCAATGTGATCATCTTCTTTGTTACGATCAAGCAGATCGTCGGTGGCAATCTAATTCCGTACGAATCGACGCGGTCACTACTCTACACCAATGAAAAGATGATCAATACGAAGCGTATTGTCTGGCGAATCGTTTACTACCCATCGATTCTCACAGTGTGTTTTCTGATGCTACTGATACTCGACACCTACGAGTTCATCTCGATCAAGGTCGATATACACAACAAGCGCATCGAGCCAAACTTCCAAGACATCAACATCTACTATATATACGCACGTGGTATCTTTATGTTACAGGGATTCTTCAATGGTATCGTCTATCTACAATCATCGAAACTAAGAAACCAATATAGGAAATATTCTGTTTTCAAAAGAATATTCTGGTCACATGAATATAAATATGAAGCAATTGAACAGAAACAACAACAACAACAACAACAAGATAATAACAACGATAATGAAAACGATAATGAAAACGATCAAAGATATCAAAATGCAACATCATCATCATCATATTCATATTCATCACTGAATAATAATAATAATAAGAATAAGAATAATAAATAATTATTATATCCTTTTTTTTTTAAGTTACCATTAAAAAATAATTGTGTTTATTCAAAAAAAAAATAATAGTTTATTATTTTTTTAATTGTTACCGTTAAAAGTTTGCAATTTATTTTATTCTAAATTTTTTGTATATTATTACTATTTGAATGATTGGTGTGTTTTTTAATGATTATCATCAATCATTGAACATTCTTTAAAGACACTGAGTATAGATAGAGAGTAAATCGTATATAGATGGCTGCAAACTTTTGGGATTCAACTCATTGGAAATCTTGGATATTGGATAAATCAAAGTTAGAATACTCAAATGCAAAAGATAAACAATACATTACACATACCGAATTAAAAAGATTAAAGATACATTATTGTAAATGTAAGAAGAGAATATATCTTTATCAATTTATTTATTTATTAATAAATTTCGACTTCTTAGTGATACATCTTTTAGGATCAACATTGAAAATAAGACAAAGAGCGATTGCAACTGCTATCGTTTATTTTAAGAGATTTTATTTAAAGTGTGTAGATCGATTTGAATGAATGGATGAATGAATGAATGATGACAAAGTTGTTCTAACAAAAATACATTGTACAATTGAATGAATTATAGAAATAGCTTTATAGATTGTGAACCAAGACTGATAGCAACAACATGTCTGTATCTATCGTCAAAAGTAGAGGAATGTATAACACAAGCTAAAAAGTGTGCTATCAAGATGAAAGAGATCGATCCTTCCTACAATTTCACTATGAACGATATTTTGGAGTGTGAATTCTACGTACTTGAGGAGTTGAATTTCGAACTCATTATATATCATCCCTATAAGAGTTTACCTGCGTAACTATCAAATCCTTTAATAGAGATGAAATCATTGACTTTTAATACTTATCAATTCGCAACAACTTACTTATTAGGTATTTACAAAACTGTGGATTAGATTGTTTAGATTCAGTTTGGGGTATCGTTAATGATTCGTACAAAACTGATGTTTCATTACTTTATCCACCGTATGTAATTGCACTTGGTTGTATATATTTAGTTGCCTTTATTAAAAAGAAAGATTTAAAACAATGGTTCTCCGATTTAAATGTAGATATGAAAGAAGTATGTTGTTGTAGTAGTAGAATAATAAGAACAAAAGCAGATTAAAAAAAAAGCTAACCAATCATTGTTGTGATAATAATAATTCTATAGATTTGGGATGTAGCAAAAGAATTGTTAGATTATTATGAATTTGATAGAGTATTGATAACACCTGCAGAGGCACCAGAGGCAATATACGCAAAACTGCCTATAAGAGTAACCAGCACAACACCACCTGTACCAACACCTCCAGCAAGAAAATAAAAACTAATACAATCAATAAATCATTTCAAACAACCTATTGTTGTATTATAAAATCAATTACTATAAATATTAATAATTGTGTAAAGAACATTGTTTTTGTTTTTGTTTTTTTTTTATGTTTGTTGAATCGATTTGGTTTGAGGTGTATACAAACTATAAGAGGATCGATTTCCTCTTATTTGCTATCACTATCAAACAACAAATAATACTAAATGAAGTGTTTATTTTATACAAAGAATAAGGTAAAAAGCTTTTAACAAAGTAAGTTAATGTTTGGTTAAAGATGGTATGATAGGTGTTAAAAAATAATACAAATAAATAAATTGTTATGAATTATTGTTGTTGCTGTTGCTGTTGTTGTTGTTGTTGTTGTTGTTGGTTGTTGATTGGTTTGGTGATGATACGTTGATGATGACTATGCCTATTGCTGATCTCGATCGAAATTAAATAAATGTTATCTAAAATATCGAATTACTCTTGAGCATAATCTGGTTCATTCTCGTATGGATGTGGTAGAGTAGTTTGAGCCTCACCAAATGAATCTTTAACTAAATATTTCTCGTTGTCTTTCGATGGTTCCTGTAGATTAAACTCTATCAATGCCGATTGATTCAATGCTACGCTGTATGGTGTATGAGTTCCACATTCAGATGCACACATAACTAGAAAAAAAAAATAAAAAAAAGAAATAGTTAAAAATAATCTTTTCTTTAGTATTATAACTAAACTCTACTTACATAACTCTACTGGATAACTTCCTAGTGGGAATGATCCATTGTTCTTTGTTGAGAATGTGAACTGTACAGAGTAATTACCTGGATTATAATTTGCAAAAGTTTGGGTATACACTATTATATAGAATTATCAAAGTGTTAGACAATACATTCTCAAACTAAACATAGATAATAATTATACATACAATATTTAGATTGATTTACAATATAGTAGACAACGTAAGCAAATTGACCGGCACCGGTGGCATTGACCACAGTAAAGTTGAGTGAAATGGTAAAAGTGGAACCTGGAACTCCGACAGCCGGTAAGATGGCGACACCGTTAAAGTTGGCGGCTGGTGTCTCTGCTGTGGCGCAACTTGATATCAATTGACATGCATAGATTGGATTGATGTCGTCCAGCAAGAAGATCTTCCAAAACTTCTCGACACCGATGACGTCGCAAAGCACAGTGCAAGTGGTGGCTGCAGTGCTGTTTAGTAGCATACTGCAGATCTTTGAGCACGACTCGACCACACCATACTCGGTGACGATCTTTACGATCTCTGGAAGATAGGTGTCAAAGAACTCGACACAATCCAAACAGGTCTCTGCCGAACTGCTGAAGGGTGCAACCCAACGCTTCCAATCTTGAGTCTGTTGAACTGGTACTCTCTTTTGTTCGTTGGTCGGTGTCACCAGCGACAATCCATTCACAACTGTTGGTGTTAAATTATAAATACTTAACACCACCAATAAAATATAAAATATTTTATTATTATACATTATTGTAGTTTTTATATATATATATATTTATTATTATTATTTTTTTATTAATTTTTTTTAATGATTTTATGTCCAAACAGAATATTCTAAACCAAAAAACCTTGGAGATTTATGACTATTATGATTATTATGATGATAGTACTATAAAAATTTGTTGTATTATGAATGTTATTTCAACTTTGTATAAACTTTACTTAAAAAATATTGGTATTATTCTTATGTGACATAGAAACTAATAAAAAACAACAATGCACTGAAGAAGATTGTTTTTTTCTCAATAGAATTTAAGAGTGAGCCCAATTGCAAAAGGGCTAACACAAATTATTTCGGAGGATGATTTTTCACAAAATTTTTTTTAAATTAAAAAATAAAAATCAGATTTTGTTTTGTTTTTTTTTTTTTTCAAAAGTTTTTTTTTATTCATATCAATCATTGTTTTACAACAAAGAACAAGTCTATATATTATAAATGCAATTATGTTTGATTCATAGATAATATATATAAATAAAAAAAGTTTTTCAAATTTTGTAAAAAAACCATCTTTTAAACTATAATAATAATATGAAATTCATTTTTTGTAGTTAGGTCATTCTTATTTACTGAATTTCTATTTCAACCATCTCTTCAATCATTGAGAACAATGCACAAATCAGAAAGAAGTAATAATTTTGATTACGACATTGATTCAGATAATTCCGTTTTTTAAGGTGATCTTGCACTTTTGATTTTTTTATTTTTAATCTTAGGTTGGATTTACCTTCGCCATTGCACATGCAAAGACGAGTTGTTCAAGATTTGCGAAAAGGTTTTTTTTTTTTTTTTCCTTTTTTTTCAAAGATCATTACAAAAAAATCAGAACCAACCTTTAGTTCTCTAATTGATAAGAATAAAAGTGGTATCAGAATTTATCTTTATCTGTATTCCACAAAGAGTAAGTAACATTGATTGAGGAATCGGATTCTTTTAATTTTCACTTTCTTGTTCATTGGCTTTTTCCAATCCTTTTTCTGAATCTAAACTCATTGAATATGATGGAATATGGTATCAGATTATTTAAATAAAAAAGATCAAGATAATCGATGTTTAATTAAACAAAAAACCAATGTGCACATAGGTGAAACAAAATGATATGTTTAATAAAAATTTTTCAATAATAAATGTATGGTCGTAATCATTAGAAATATCAAATGATTTTTCAAATCAAACTGTTCACACTTGCTCTGTTGTGTGAGTTAAATTAAACTTCGCCAATAATTGATATCATATTAAACGGTTGTTAAATTAATAAAAAATATCAGCTTTCATTTTTTTTTTTTTTTTATTCTTATGCACATCATATATTAATAAAAACAATCCAATTTGATTGTTGATAATGTTTTTTTGATTTTTTGGGTGAAAAACAAAAAAAAACCAAAATATCTGATGCCAATTAACCGGTTCACCTCAAACAATGGCATGAATCATTGAAAATCAAAAAAAATTCCAAAAAAAAACATCGAAAATAAAAAAACAAACCCCCTAAATGGTATGCTGTATAATCAGAGTGCCTTCTATATTTGTCAATAAATCTGACAATCCACACAGAATGCCACATGGAAGTTGTGTGAACTTGTTTGTTTTTTTTGTTGGTGTATGATGATGATTTTGACAGTGACAATGGGGTATCCACTTTACCTTGGATTCTTAAGGTCTATCTACCAAACCTTCAATTCATATTAAAAAATGAGCAAAGAATGATGGGGGTCTATATCCACAAACTTAATAAATTTTAAAAAAAAGAGGAGTAATTGTTGATATTATATGATTTTTGGAGAGAATTTAATTTAATTTTAATTTTTAAATTTAATTTTTTGTTTTTAGAATGATTTAGATCATCAATATATAAAGGAGCAAGACTGGTTCTTTTATTTCAATTTAAAAATCAAACAATGAGAATAGTATTCCTCTTGGCTGTCATTGCCATTTGCTTGGCTGCACCAGCTCTTTCTACCTCACCATCATACAGAGATCACTCACTCTGGACTAAAACCACCAGAGCCAACCCACATGAAGTCATCAACTTCCGTGTTGCCTTGAAGCAAAACAACATCGATGTCTTGGAATCCGTCCTCCTCGACGTCTCCAACCCAAAATCACACAACTACGGTAAGTCATGATTTTGCAATTCCAATTCCTATTTCATAGGAATTAATAAATGCTTTTAATTTTTCATCTTATTAATTTTTTATTGATTTTTTTTCTTAATTTATAGGTAAGCACTGGTCTATTGAACGTATCTTGGACTTGATTGCCCCAGAAGCTCATTTGTCAACTGAAGTCGTCTTGTTCCTTGAGATGCACGGTGCCTTCAACGTTGAGAACCACCGTGATTACATCAAGGCCTCAGCCCGTGTTGAGGACATTGAAGCCATCTTCAAGGTTAACATGTTCAACTACAAGCACGTCTCCCGTCCAGACCGTATTGTCCGTTCCGGTGCTGTCTACACCATCCCATCTCAATTCCGTGACCTCATCCATATGGTTACCGGTATCTCTGAGTTGCCACACGTCAAGGCTCAACCAGCCCCACGTAAGTTGAAGGTCGGTGCTGCTGATTCTGGTATTGTTATTCCACAAACCATCCAAAACCTCTACGGTATCCCAACTGGTTACAATAACAACAAGAATACTTCCCTCTGTTTGGCTGAATTCCAAGATGATCAATCATTCAACAAGAAGGATCTCAACGTCTTTGCCACCAAGACTGCCACCCCACTCATCACCGTCACCAACATTGTTGGTCCATACTCTGGTTCTGACCCAGATTTAGAATCAACTCTTGATGTCCAATACGGTGGTGCCATCGCTGAAACCGCCAACGTCTGGTTCTGGACCGTCGAAGGTTGGATGTACGAGTTCGCCTCTGATTTCTTCGGTACCAAGGTTGTCCCATACGTTGTCTCCATGTCATGGGGATGGCCAGAGACCCTCCAATGCCAATCTGGTGTCGGTAACTGTCAAAACGGTGAAACCGCTGAACAATACGTTCAACGTGTCAACGCTGAATTCATCAAGATCGGTCTCCGTGGTGTCACTTTGTTGGCTGCCTCTGGTGATCAAGGTGCCCCAGGAGATGGTGATCCCGAATGTGGAAACAAGAAGAAGCCACTCTCAACCATCTTCCCAGGTGCTTCCCCATACGTCACCTCTGTCGGTGCCACTATGTTGCAAGCTCCATCCGCCGCCGATAAGCGTGCTGCCAAGAAGAACGTTGGTGCCAACCCACCAATTTGCACTGGTACCCCATGTGCTACCTCAACCACTGAAATCGTCTGTACCTACCCAGATGCTTTGATCACTACCGGTGGTGGTTTCTCTGATTACTCACCAGTCCCAGAGTGGCAACAAGCTCAAGTCTCTGCTTACTTGTCATCCGGTGTTCCATTACCAGCCTCCCAATACTTCAACTCAACCAACCGTGGTTTCCCAGATGTCTCTGCCCTCGGTCACAACTACGCTATCATTGCCTCCTCTCAAATTGAACAAGTCGATGGTACCTCATGTTCATCACCAGTCTTTGGTGCTGTTGTTGCCCTCCTCAACTCATACCGTTTGAACAACAACAAGCCAACCCTCGGTTTCATCAACCCACTCCTCTACTCTGCTCCATCATCTGCTTTCACTGATATCACTGCTGGTGACAACAAATGTACCGAATCATGTTGCTCCAAGTTTGGTTTCACCGCCACCAAGGGATGGGATCCAGTCACTGGTCTCGGAACTCCAGTCTTCAAGAACTTGTTGGCCTACGTCCAAACCTTGAACTAAATAATTTAATTACTATTATATAATATTTTAGCAATTTATAATAAAACCCTTAAAAAAAAATTAAAATTAAATATCATTATTATTTGTATAACCTTTTATATTATTGATTAAATGTTTTTAAACTCCGTTTGTTTCAAGTATGGCAATTAAGAGGGTGATATATAATGTTCTATGACGTCTGCTTGTTGCTGAGCTTTTTTTAAAATAATAACAATAATTTTGTTTTAATATGTACTGCTTTTCCTCTTGTGGTTAGCCTCTAACGGTATTGATATAGCAATAGTGTGTTTGAGTTCATCGATAATATCCATCTATACCTTGTTTTAGCATAATTTCTTAGTAAAAATTGATTTTAGAAAAAAAAATCCGAATGACTTTAATAAATTAATTGCAAATAAACAAAAGACATCTTGGCCGAGTGGTTTTAAGGCGTTTCCCTGCTAAGGAAATCCCTTCGGGGGCGCAGGTTCGAATCCTGCAGATGTCGAATATCAACCTTTAATAAACCGCATGCGGTTTGAAAGAAAACTTTAAAAAAATCGAGCAAACTTAAGGTTCTGTCAGCACATTGTAACCTGTTTTAGCACATCTTTTTAAAATGTAAGAGTGTTGTATAGTAACAGTTCTTTATCAAAATCTAACAAAAAATCGAGAGATTCTTTGATTTAAACCATTTCGAAAGGAAACATTTTTGCATTAAATTGAGCTTTCCTATACAAACTACTATGTATATTACCCACTTTATTGATGGTGTAGCATTCAATGCTGCGGGTGCTATACTGTGTGATGTTTGTTAATTAAAATACAAGATAACATCACATACCCATTAGCTCATGTAGTCAAGAAATCAGTTAACTCTTCCTCTACAGAAAAAGCTGATCGATATAACTTCATCACTTTTTAAATAGAATAGATTATAAAAATTAAATCAGTGTTGATGAGTTATAGAGTAGAGAAAGAATAAACCCAGTTGTAAGGATTTATAATTACGTACATCTCATTCAATTTAATCTACTCATCAAAGGGGATGATTATCTCTTGATCAATAGAGTTAGAATCTGATAAAATAAAATAACACAAAAATAAAAAATAAAATAATAGTGATCTTTATACATCTCATAACCATTGGTTAAATAAATACAAACTAGCATATATATCAATATCGAAATTTGTAGATCAGAAAATCTTGTAAATTTTGGTTTTTAAAAAAAAATAAAAAATAAAAATAGATCATTATTTTTTTAAATACCAGTATACTTATTAAAGTCTAAACAACCATTATCAAATCACTATTACTTAATTTTTTAAAGAAAACAATGTATTTCAACAAGAATGACATCTTCAATACTTTTAAAACATAACAGCTCTCATCACAATAAAGCTAGAGGAATCACAAATTTATCTTTTGTCATAATCAAAGAGATTCTATCGTTCAACAATAACTTGTCGATCTTGGATTATATATGCTTTAGTTTGACATGCAAGCATTTCTTTTACCAGAGAAATCGCTATCTATTATTCAATCCCGATGATCTAGTGATCAGAGATCTCGACACAATACAACAGTTTGCTTTCAATTCCTATCGAGAGATCTTCAATCGATCAATGCAACTTCGAACCGATACAATATTGACAATCTACGAAGAATTATTTCCTAGGAAGTATGAGGCGTATTCCAAAATAGATGAGTCATCTGATTATAATTTAATATTAAATGGTAAATATCTATCTATAATATATATTTATTAATTTTTCTTTAAACATATGTATATATTAACTTTACTATATTCATTACCATTATCATGTTTTTTTTTAGATGATATGGTTATACCGTCAACAGTGAAATCATTGAATTTTGATCATTCATATTATACCAACATTGAACGAATCAGTGGATTATCGAATTCAAACATTAAACAAATAACACTAAGCAATGACTATAACAAACAAGTTCAACCTGGTGTATTACCACAGACATTGGAATATCTCATGTTTCTAGAAGCTTTCAATCATCCAATAATCCCCGGGTCATTACCTCCGAGCATCAAGCAACTCTTTATCTCTAATGAGTTCACGCATCCTTTGACACAACCGATGCTACCTCGATATCTAGAGATATTGGATATCGAGAGCTTTGCAAAACCTCTCGTCCCTGGTGTATTCCCGGAATCGCTGACGGAACTCTCCATTCGATTATCTGAGGAATCCGAGGATTCCGGATACCTGCTCGTCCAAGGTGTACTGCCAAGCAATCTAAAGTATCTTAGTTTTCAGCATTTGCGATGTAATGCCTCCGATCTACCACCCTCTCTGACATATCTGCGATTGAGTGACCAATTTCAAATGACAGTGGAATGCAACTTGAATCATCTGACTGCATTAACAACACTTCTCTACTTCCCGATCGAATGCTTAGAGTTGGGCATACCAAAGAATGTTACAACACTCAGTTTGACGAAAAAGTCAGCCGATGGCAGTGGTGGCGATGAATTCCTTTTGAAGAGAGGTGTACTCCCCACAACCATCACTGATCTAAACTTTCTCTTTATAAGATCGTTGAGAATCGAGGAAGGATCGATTCCATCGAGCGTAAAGAAATTGCATCTCGGCATGTATTTCGATCAACAGTTGAAACCAGGTTGTATTTCAGAGGGCATAGAGTATCTTCATTTAGGACAGATCTTTAACTCCAAACTACAACCAGGTGACTTGCCCAACGGCATTAAAACTCTGTTTCTCAGTGACTGCTTCAGTAGTGTACTTGTACCGGATACCATACCAAATACCGTAGAGACATTGCATTTTGGCTACTACCTAGTTGCTCTACAACCAAATACACTGCCAAGCTCACTACTCTCACTTTCATTCTGGGAATATCGTCATACTTTTACATTTGGTGTGATTCCGCCCAATCTTAAGCGATTGGTAGTCGGCTCAGTTAAATACTCTTGTGATTTCGATAGCAACACCATACCATCATCAATTGAATATCTTAAATTTAGAAACATTTCTGGAACTCTCCAACCCGATTGTATTGTACCTACAACATCATCAGCGCAATCAAACAGAATTACTCTAAATATAAACCTTAGCTATTTTCAAAAGTACCATCCGAAAACCCTACCTCCGACCATACAAACAATCAATTTAAAAATTAACACATTTAAATGCAGATTGAGAAGATATGGTGATAACATTTTCATTGGTACCAAAGGAATGTTTAGAGGTGGATTCATAACAGGTGATAGATTACAAGAATTATTGATTGATTACAATCTATAAATTTAATAAAAATATAATCTTTTAAAAAGTTAATTTTTCAACAAGTTCTTTGATTAAAAACGATCTCATAGCAAAAGTGCAATAAACCTCTGTATCTACAACGTGCTGCTGGTTATATGCCACCCTTTTGCAATGTAAATCAAAAGATTTTTTATTTTTATATGATTTGTTTATGATTTTAAAATATTATTTTAAAATCCAACTATGAATTGATCTACCCAACCAAGGAATCAATAGATACACTCTCTAAATATCATCTCAACAAAGATAGTAACTTGAATCCGATGTTACATCGTTATGTAAATAGTGATGGTAAAGATTATTGAAACTAGAATCCAAGTTATTGGGACCGTCTTCGAACCTATACACTCCAACTGATGTTCATGAAATACAACATAGATAGATCATAGTATTATTATCATATAATAAACATATAGTTCTTTTTTATCGGTTGAATAGTAAATATGTTTTACATACAAAAATATTCTATCTGGTATCTATGAGATACATCAACACATATAATTTTAAGAATAATAATGATAAATAAAAATTGTATTCATTTGACTGAACTGCTCCCCTACATGAGAATATGATGAACAAAAATGAGGTGGTAAAGAAAATGATAGTCATTGTGTTTTATTTTTTTGTAATTTTTTTTTTTTTTATCTAATCGTTTTTTTTCAATATTTATTGAACATCAATATTTATATATATTTATATTGATCTATAATAGATAAATGAATCAATTATTAAAGAGTAGTTCAAATCTATTACTTAATATTACAAGTAATACTATTAGATATAATGGATTCAGTAGTGGTGTATCTTTGATGATTCATCAGTCTATCAGAAGCAGAACCTCTGGTTTCTTGATGAATAATAATGGTGCGCTACTTTCATCTGGTCGTATGATGATCAAGGTCAATCTGGAGGACGATGACGAATCAGTGGATGATGCCGCAGCAGTGGATCCCAATGCAAAGAAACAATTGACACCAGAGGAATTGGCAAAGAAGAAGGCACAGCGTAACGAAGACAAGAAAGAGCGTGACGCTCAAAAGAAAGAGAATCGTATAAAGATGATCGAACGCTCCAAAGCACAGCGCGAGAAGCAAGCAGAGAAAGAACAGAAATCAAAAGATAAACTACAGCAACAACAGCGTGAAAAAGAAATGAAAAATAGAAAAGCTTCGGTATTCGATCCAGATTACGAACCGGATTTCGACTATGAAATCGGAACCGCTGGTTCTGACTCGCTTTTACACAAAAGAGAAAAGAAAGAAAAAGTTAAACCAAACATCAAGAAACCAAATAACAATAAAAATTTTGTAAGATAATAGCATATAATAAAATTCTCAATAATAATTTAAAATATAAGTCATAACGATAAACTTCATGAATATATATATATATATCTTATCTTTTTTTTTGCAATATAATATTTTCAATTTGATCAAATTATTATATGAAGTGAATGAAATCATGCAAAGAAGATACAGAGACATATTTACTAAATTTAAATTAATTGTTTAAAAATAGATTAAATTAGATTGTTTGTTTGTTTTTGTGTTTTTGTTTTTGTTTTTGATTTTTGGTCGAGTTTGTGTATGGATTGCAAGACCCGCTCAAACAATGGATTTAGTAAAATGGATAGATTAGATTATGTTATTAGTAGTACTACTCAGTAATTAGTAATGTTGTCACAACAGGAAATCGGATGAATTAAAATAGAATTTATAAACCCGTCGACAAGTGTATTGCAGAGTATTTAGTATTTTACCATTTTCGTTTTTCAATTGATTTTGATTTGCTTTGGGTTTTTGGAGTTTTAAGATAAAACGATGGTATTTAGAATCGATATAACACAAACAACAACTTTATATTATCTTAAAATTCATAAGAGTAACACATAAAAAGAGATTCATGTGCAAACCAAAAACTGCAATACGCAGTGTCAATCGCATTAATCATCCATCCATGTGAGCAACACAAACAAAACACATGCTATTATCAACAACAACACAAAGATAGTGTGTGTGGATTTAAAAAAAGCAATGTGTACACAAAGTGTGCGTTTTAATAATCCACACAAAATTGTGTTTTTGGGGGATGAAAACAAAAAAAACACTTGAAAAAAAAAATTAAAATAAATTCTATTTTATTGGTTGAAATGCATTGCAATTTAATTTATTTTATGAATATTGTTTATCTTTATTGTCTAATAAATTAATATAAATAGAACACACAACCTCTTCACTCAAATTTTTAAAATTGTATGTATATATTCACTAAGAACACACCACTCCTACTACCACCACCAAACAACCACAAACACAATTTAACACACAACAAAAAAAAAAAAAAAAATAAATAATAAAAGTAATGAATTAACATACATTTTATAAATCTCTCTTTTTGAAGTAATAACAATTAACGAGTGTTATTTATTTCATTTACACCTATTGTATTACTTTGTTTTTAAAGAACACAACCACCACACCACCAACTCAACCCCAAATTGGTTACTTAACCAACAAACCAAAATATTCCAAACCAAAACCACAAAATCAACAAACACAACTGTTACTACAAGAATTAAAGTGAATACACAAAAATACAGAGTAGCAGTAGTATAAAACATCGAGACACACATCACAACACAAAAATAAGTACAACAAACTAAAAAAGAGTATTAATTAAACTAACAATCCAAATCATTCATATAATCAATGTTGTTATATAACTTGCTTTACTTTTGTCAAGAACATTTAATAGTACAATAAAACAACTTACCAGTTCATCATTAGACACCAGCATTCACACTTTTCTTCTACTCAATCCTACACACCCAACACTATACTAACCAGGACATATTCAAATTCCTATTTTAAATCAATTATAGAAAGCAACAACAACAACACAAATACAAAGATAATTAATATATATATATATTTATCAAATTAATTATACATATATAAATATATATTGAATTCAAATTTATTAAAATTATATATATATCTTAAATATAAGATCTTAATTAACAGTAATAAATAATTTATATATATTACTATATTTATTTATTATATTCATACATAAGCTTATTATATATTATAAAAGAATGGATTCAATTGAACAAGAGTTAACAAGTTTGATCTTGGAGGATAATGAAACTATTGACCAACATCAAACTATAATGAATCAGATGCGTGAGAAAAAGTTTCAGTTGCTGCAGCGAAGAGAACCAACTCGTGTATTGGTTCTCGAAAACCTCGATGCAGCAGCCAGCGATATGATTCTGCAACTAGTTTCCAAATACCAAGAAGACTCTTCAATGTCTTCTCTCGTTTTAACTAGATATATAAATATACTTCAATCACTTATAATGGTTTTCGTACATAGAAATGATGCACAACTTTGTAAACTATTAATACAAAGACAATCAATTATAAATATCGACAGTATTATAATTTATTTTGGAAAGGTAAGTTTTAAAGTTAAAAATGAAAATTAATAATTAATAATATTAACAATTTTATAATAATATGAATACAGGAATTATCAGACGACACAATTAAGAAACATCAATTACTTCCACCTTTCCCAGTTAGACAATATTTAATTTCACCACCTCTCTCACCACCAGAGGAATGGAGTGCACCTGGAGATGGAATGGAGCAGGCACCAACCAAAGAAGCATCATCACCATCATCATCATCACATAACTTTGGCTTCAACCCTGATACACTATCAGAGAAGCTTGTTATCTATCAATCAAAGGCTGACAGTGGGTTCCCATCGATCACTCTCGAATTTTGTACATAAAAAAACAATAGCACCAACATCAAGATAAATAGTGTATTCAAAACCATATATATATAGATGTATCTTTAGATAGAACACTCAACATCATTGTATTAATTTTATTTAGAAGTTTAAAAAGTCAATCTTCAACCAACCATTAATATTGATTAACTTACTGTTAATTATAAAACTACAAAAATACAAAACCTAAAACAAATTACAACTACAATATCAGAGATCGACACAAAAGAGTTCACTTGACTCTTCTCTTTATACAACAAACAAATAAATACTTTTTATTAAAAAATATATAAAAATAAATAAAAAAAAACAATTGAAATTTAATATTGTTTCATAGTTTAAATAAATAAAAATAATAATATTTAATATCAATTTTCGTGAGAGATCTTATCAATAAGTTCTTTATTTATTAATTTTTAAATAATAAAGAAATAATATTTTTAATAATAGGTCATAAAATTTCCAATGAATTCCTTTTATAAACATTAGATATAAAGAATTTTTAAAAAGTTTTTTCAAATAAAAATATTATTTCTTTATTATTTAAAAAATAAAAAATAAAAAAAAATCATAAATTAATTTAAATTACAAAATAAGATTTTAAATGTAATTGTATTTTTAATATAAAATATTGAATATCTATAGTAAAAGTAAAAGAAAAATATATAAACCTTTTACTTCCACAAAGTTGAATAATTCTTTCACTCTTTATCACATTTAAATTTTGAATCAAGACTTAAAAAAATAACATACAAATAAAAGAATGGACGGTCAACCAGAAAATAAACAAGATAATACAAATTCTCAAAACATGAATAACAATCCTTTTGAAAATAACTATTATCAAAACCCTCCACCTACTTACCAACATTTTCCTCATCAGCAACCATATTACCAACAAGGTAAATAATTTATTTACTTTTTTAAAACTACTCAGTTTGATAATATTCTAAATATTATTTTAATTCTAATAGATTATAGGTATCTACCACCAAACCAACAATATGTTGCCTATGCCCCTCAATCTTCACCACCAGGTTATATTCTAGTTAATGAAAAAGAAATTCAAGAGTGTGAAAAGAGTACTGATGCAACCTTTTCATTGTGTATCTTTATCTTTGGTTTCTTTTTCCCAATTGTGTGGATAGGTGGTTTTATTTATCTCAAATCACCAAGTAGAACTGCTAAAATATTATCTATAGCATCAATTACTTTGTTTTTCTTGACAACAATTATACTATTGATTGTATTATTAGTATCAATACATTAAAAAAATAGATTGGTTTTGGAGTTACCAAAAAAAAAAACAAAACACCAAAAATAGTCAACTTGTATAAAATAAATAATTCTCTATCATTTTTTAAAAAATAAATATAATTATCTTATTTTTTTCTATATTTTTTATTATTTATATTTCTAATTATTATTAACTGATGAATGTCTTTTTAATTTAGCTTGCATTTTCTTACTATCTTTTTTGAATTTTCTCTTTTTAATATAGAAAACTGCAGCTGCAACAGTCGATGCAATTAAAACTACTCCACCAACGACAACACCAGTGATAATCTTCCAAGTGTTTGAATCTTTCTTACCACAAGTCTTTTCTTTATAGTCAACATTTACCAATGCACTGAAATCTGGATCTACAAGACATTCCATACACTTGGGTACATTGATACCAATCAGAACATAGCTTTTATCGGTGTTTGGTTCAATGGTTTCATTGAGAAGCACTACAGAAGAATAAGTTGGTCTACCATCGGATACTGCAATATTTGTGAATCTACCAAAGAACTCTACATCACTACTCAATACTCTTATGTATTGAATTGTCATATTGTCTTTATCATGAATAGCAGATATAGGTAGGTTGGTGCATTGTTCTAGACTCAGTGGAGAGCGATATACTACTCTAAGAGTTGAAAGTGAACTTTGGTAACTCCAACCTGTGACATTGACTGAGATCTTGACGGAATTCGGTGCCAAGCTAATGGTTTCACCACCAAATCCAATGTCTGTCGAAGTTGTTGTATTGGTAATATAGAGTACAGATTGAACTGAAAGGCTAGGATATGGAATTGCCAAATTGTTTTTATCAAAAGTATAGTATACTGATGAAAGACCATCGACGTTTGTTATTTTATCTATGGTCCAATTACTGGTCATCGGTATTTCCTTTACAACATTTGACAATTCATCTATCTCTTGAATCGAAACAATCGAGAATTCAAACTTGAATCCTTTATAATCAATTGATGCTGATGGTGATGTGTTGTTGATGTTGACAGTAGGTCCAGGTGCAAGTTGTTGATCACATTTGATACCGAACCAACCACTACCAGGAAAGCATACACATTTACCATCTTGATTGCATTCTCCATGTCCTGTACAATTGGCATATGTTTTCTTACAGTACTCGAAGTTGTCTTCAGGGTCACCAAGCACAACGACAATAGATTTCGATACAAAATAAAATCCAGAGTCGGAGACATTCAACAATTGGTAACCAACTAACAACGGACCTTGGATGAAACAAGTTACAAAATGTGTACTATCCATTGTCTTGTTACAAAATCTACCGTCAATTGATATGGATGTATTTTCTTGACCACTGAACGTTCCACTCAAAGTGATGACACCACCACCCACAGCTAGAGGTGAAGCTGCTGTAACTACTGGCCACTCTAAAACAAGATTATACGTTGTATATACTGTGCTGTATGGATCTGTAATTGAAACATTCTTTAGACCACCTTTCGCTGGATTTGGGCATGTTATTGAATAATGAACAACACCAGGTACTCCAGTGGGTGGTGCCATAAATGAAGGTAACATAGGATAGCATTCTACTCCATCGATCATAAAATTCAAATACTGATTGAAACCAAGTGTCAAATTAAGCTCGGTAGAAATTTCAAGACCACCTGGATATTGAGATATTGATAAATCTAAAATTATAATACTCTCAATCTCCCAGGTGATATCAATTGCGACATTTGAGGAGTTGGATAGAACGATATGGGGAGATCTATTGGATAAATCAATATTATAAAGGAATTTCTTGTTGTACTCTAAGACTTTCAGTCTTGGGTCGAAATCATTTTGATATGCCCAACCTAGATTGTTACCAACTATAGTAATAGTAGCAGCATCATATGAAAGATAGTGTTTGGTATACGTAATAGCTACAAATAAATAAATAAAAATTAATATATTTTAAAATGATACTTTAAAAAATTCCCATTTTTATATACATACGACATTTATATGTTGATGGGTTGAAACTATTATAAATTGGTGTACCTCTAAAATCAGAGGCTTCATATATTCCTGATGAACCCCAATAACATTTAAAACAGTCTGGAAGATCTGTAAGTGATGTATCATCTGCCCAGACAGTTCTTATTCCACATGCATCGTTTGGCAAAAAATTAATACCAATATTATCACCAACATTTACAGACTTGAATATTGAATGGAAATATTCATTTGGAACTGCACCAGAAAGTTTATTATCGGAGAGAGTTAAATACGAAATCTGTCCAGAAACAGTTCCTTTGATAGTAAAATTAGGAAACTGAGTTATATTTGAATTTGTATAAGTTCTGGAAAAACAAAAGTATTAATGTAATTGTTTAAAATTTTATAAAAATATGTTTTACATACACTGTAAATGTATTATTGGGGATTATGCTGTATGGAAATTGGGCAAGTTGTTGATTTCTCATTCCAAAAGTACTAAGTTTTTAGAAAAACATATTAAAATTTTGATAAAAAAAATCGATTACATAAATTACTTACGTTAAGTTGTAAATAGAGAGATCATGTGGTAAAAGGTTGAGAGGACCACCTGTATCAATCATACCAAAATCGGATCCTTTTCCACTCAAAATAATAGTTGGAGCAATGTCTGTAAGAGAAATCTTACTAAAAACTTGACTGGTAACAAAATTATTAGAAAATATAATATAAACAACAATGAAATATAAATACTTACAGTGATCTCGAATTGGTAGTATCCAAATAAATAGTTGTATTTTTATTATATAGAGTTAAAATCCTTTTTTTTTTTTTGTTTAATACTTAATTAATAAAATAGAAAAAATGAATAGAATCAAATTGAAACTTACAATGTTAATGTAAATGTTTTACTTTGTCTAATAATAGATGAATTAAAAGTAACAAAAGTATCATTCATACCCAATCCAATATTTCTAAAAATAAAAAGGCATTAATATTATAAAATATATATAATAACAACTACTTACAAATAATAAATTGGTGAGTTTTGATTTGGAATGTAATCTAATTGTACAATAGGACTGTCTGGTAAACTATTTAAAATATAACTATTAATATTTTTAAATAGTAAAAATTGTTTTCTACTTACTTTAGACTACCTAATCCGTTTGATGGATGAAGTACATATGAAGGTAAAACAGTTAGAGATCTAGAATAGAGATATATTTGTTGAAGAAATTGAATTTGGAAAATGTGTTGAGGGATAGCTGTAGCATTGTGATCTCTGTGTGAGATATACTGAAGCAATGGAAATCCTGAAGGTTTTATAAAATCCAATAAATTTAGAGTTGGATCATAAAGAGAGATCACTTGTTGGTTCATGTAAAATGATTTTAATTTGGGAAAAATTAAAGTATTAATTGTAGCATTTGGTTGACCATGATCTACTTTAACACCTGCATCATAAAAAGTTCTAAATATAAAAAAATTTAATACTAGTTCATCGATAAACAATTAAATATGAATTTACATACATTTCGAAAATGGAACCACCCGAATCACAAGTTAAAGAAACACCACGTTGATTTGTATTACATGCTAATTCACTAATATTATAATCTATTCTATATTGTTGAACTACCCAAAAGACTGATGAAACTAGAAAAAATAAATAAATAAAAATTAATATTTAAAAAATATAAAAAAATAAATAAATTATATTTCTACTTACTTTCATCTTGAGATATTCCGACTGTATTTTTTATATTTAAAATTAAAAAGATAGAAAAAACAAATAAAAAATAGATATTATTTTTCATTTTAAAGATAAAATTTAAACTATCTTCAAATAATTTTTCTGCAAGATTGTTTGTTGATACAAACTGTTTAGAACCGAACAATTATTAATCTAGATATTATTGTTTTTATTTTTTTAGGAACCCAAAAAATTATGGTCAGAAAAAAAAAACCTCCGTTCGTGTTTTTATATAAAAATTGCTTCTCAAGCTTGGAAATTTAATAGCCTCCTTTGTGATTTACCACTTGAATTTTTTGATAGATTTTGATCAAATTTGCAAAAAAAAAATAAAAATAAGACTTTCGTTTTTGGGTTCCAAATCGATTTTTTGAAAAAAATAGTAAATTAATTTATTATTTTCGTTTGATTTTTTTTTTTTTTTGATCTTAAGATTTGTACAGGTTTGCAAAAGGTTATAAAAATATAAATATAAATTATATAGTGATTGGCAATTCATTGGTAATAAAGAAGCTTATTTCTTACTGACAATGCTTGGTCTTGGAATGGCACTCTGTCTTGGTGCTTTTAAACCACTGGTGGTTGATTTGGATTCGGTAGTACTGCTTACTGATGAGATTGGTCTTTTCAATAATGATGATGCTGTTGACGAGGTTAAAGTAGATGGTGTACGAGTTGGGATGGATGTTGAGCTTGAAGCGGTTGGTTTGATTGATGAAACGGTAGATGTAGTTGTAGAAGTGGCACCTCCTATTCTCTTTTCTCTCATTTCGGCCAATGCTTTTCTTCTTTCTTCCAGAGTCTTTGAACTGGCAGTGGATGATAAAGTTGGTTTTGAAATCTAAGTAAATAATAATTAAATTAGTGTTAAATGTTTTGTTTTTTTTTTTTGATTGTTTGAATGATTAAATAAATTTACCTTTGATGGTTCATTCACAACCTTTGTGGAGGTGGATGATTGCATTGAGGAGGATGAGGTGGAGGATGAGAGTGCATCAGCAATGGTTCTCTTTTGCTTGAGCTCACTGCTAGCGGTTGGTGTCATCAATCTCGATGAAATGGTTGGTTTGCCAGATGCAGCGCCAGAGGCAACCTTGTTCTTGAGCAAATTGATTCTACTTCTAAGGTCTGGTTTGGCAGCTGGCGAGGCGACGATGACTGGCTCCGACTCGAGTTGCTCAATGACCAATTCATTGTCATTCAACTTTTCTAATTGGTCGATCTTTTCTTGTTGTTCTTGATCAATGGCAGCGATACGCTCTTGCTCTTCTCTCTCTTGTGCCAATTGTTCTTGCTCGAGTACTCTCTCCTTCTCTTGTTCGGCAGCGAGGATCTCCATCTCTTCTCTCTCCCTTTCCTTTCTTTCTTTTTCAGCAAGTTCCTCAGCAGCGATACGTTCTTGCTCGAGCTTCTCGGCAGCGATACGTTCTTGTTCTACTCTCTCTTCAGCGGCAAGTATCTCCATCTCCTCTCTTTCTCTCTCTAATCTTTGTTCCTCAGCGACAATACGTTCTTGCTCTAATCTGGCATGCTCAGCAGCAATACGTTCTTGTTCGAGCTTCTCGGCAGCGATACGTTCTTGTTCAAGCTTCTCGGCAGCAATACGTTCCTGTTCAAGTTTCTCTGCAGCGATACGTTCTTGCTCCAACTTTTCGGCAGCGATACGTTCTTGTTCAAGCTTCTCGGCAGCGATACGCTCTTGCTCCATCTTTTCGGCAGCGATACGTTCTTCGGCGAGTTTCTCTGCAGCGATACGCTCTTCCTCCAACTTTTCGGCAGCGATACGTTCTTGTTCAAGTTTCTCGGCAGCAATACGTTCTTCTTCGGCGAGTTTCTCTGCAGCAATACGTTCTTGCTCCATCTTTTCGGCAGCGATACGTTCTTGTTCAAGCATCTCGGCAGCAATACGTTCTTCTTCGGCGAGTTTCTCTGCAGCAATACGCTCTTGCTCCAACTTTTCGGCGGCGATACGTTCTTGTTCAAGTTTCTCGGCAGCAAGTCGCTCTTGTTCATGCTTCTCGGTAGCAATACGTTCTTCTTCAGCCAGCTTCTCTGCAGCGATACGCTCTTGTTCCAACTTTTCGGCGGCGATACGTTCTTGCTCTAGTCTTTCATTTTCAATTCTCTCTTGTTCTAATCGTTCTTGTTCGAGTCGTTCCTTTTCAATTCTCTCTTGTTCTAATCGTTCTTGCTCCAATCTCTCCTTTTCAATTCTCTCTTGCTCCAATCTGACCTTTTCAAGTTTGATTTGTTGTAACTGTGAAAGGTAAGACTTTCTCTGGATTCTCATTCTAACCAACGATTGGATCTTGATGGCAGCACTTCTCTTGGTGAGGAACTCTGAACGTTGACGATGTGATCTGTAGACGGATTGGATGAGAACGGCAGCACTCTTCATCTTGATGAATCTATTTCTAGCGGCACGTGCCTTGACAGCACCAGTTATAATCGAGGCAGCAGTGTCACGAATTTGGCTATCTCTCTCGGCTTGGACGACGGCACTCGAGTTTGAGTCACGGATGAACAATGTATTTCTACGCTTACCGAGCTTCTTTACGACGTTGAGCTCTTCCTTGGTCACCTCGCCAGTAAAGATCTCACACGATGCTTTGGAACCGGCAACACCATTCAAATTGGCCTGTTGATTTAAACGATTGGCATTGTTCTCCTTGAGTGGAATAGCGATATTGAGTGCCTTTTGAACATAGTTTTTCATTGACTCTTTTGGATCGGTATTGCATCCATCGACCTGATTCTCCTTGTTATTCTCAATCAAACGAACATTTGTAACATTTGAAAACTTTACTGATTTCGATGGTGTTTGACTTGGTAATAATATTCTATCCATTATTCTATCTATCTATCTATCTATATATATATAATTAATTTGTACAAACTAACTGATTTACTATTCTTCTTTTTTTAAATATAAATAAATAACATGTAATAATTAAATATTTAATTAATTAATCTTTTTTTAAAAATAAAAATATATAGTAAAATAAAAATAAATAAGTTAGTATTATTATTATTATTAAGTTGTTTTTTTTTCTAGATAATGATTAATATTAGGTAATCAGATGTCAACTCAACTCAATATTTTCAATATTTGTTTATTGAACAACACATTTGATTCGCGCCATTTGAATTTCAAACTGTAAACTTTTGAAAATTTAAATATTTTGCAACGACCTTTTTTTTTTTGAAATTCGTTTTTTTTTTAAAAATTAAAAATCCATTGAAAATTTTTCGTTTAAAGATATTAACTTAATTATCTTTTTTTTTTTTTTTTGTTGACAATTATGTGATAAATTTGATATCTTATTATTATAAAAAGAAAATAAATATTTATATCATAATATGCCATTGTTACATGATGATAATAATAATAATAACAACAGTAATAATAGTAATCCATACCTATTTAATTTAAATAATATTGAAGATAATGAATATCTTACCAATATAAATAATAATAGTAATAATAATAACATGGATTATGATGATAATAGTAATAACAATAACAATAGTAATGATTTTTTAAAAGATTTAAAACAATTACAAAATAATAATAGTAGTAATAATAATACAATCGATTTATTTAACAATGATTATGCAACATTAATATTACAAGATCATCAACATAATCAACAACATCTACCAACTTCCAATTCAAACTCGATTGATGAAGATATTTTCGCTTCATTCTCCAATAGTAGCAGTAGTAGTAGTATAAACCATCATAGTGATCTATTTGGTGAAAATAATCATTCATCTTCACCTAATAATCATCATCATCATCATCTTCACCACCATCAACATTTAAATCCATTCGATCATCACTTTCAATCATCAGCATGTACAACATCTTCTTTACCATCACCACAGCAACAGCAACAGCAACAACAAAGATTACAAAAATCAACAACATTAACAAATCAAGAACCTGTCGTATTGAACTGCAAGAAATGCTTGATACCAATGGCACTCTACCATATCAATTTTGAAGAAAAGATATATTGTTGCACGGAATGCACCTTTCCACTTGACTCTGACGAGAATATCAATGACTATATCATTCCGTCCAATCTTTTCAAACCAAAGAACCAAAAACTTACTCAACAACAACAACAGTTTATATCAACATTAACATCATTCCCATAGAACCAACTAGTTTATGTTTATTTATTTATTACACTATATCTCTCTCTGTACACAAACCAACCAAATAACAAATTTTACTTTGCCTATGCTTTGGAAAATTCTTTGCCAATTTCTTTGGACAAAATTCACAAAAATTCCCAATAACATCAAACTTTTGGAATTCATAAAAATTAATTACAATAAATTAATATATTTTTACTATTGTTTATTGTTCCTTTTTTTTTTATTTTAACTTTTTTTATACTTATTTCTGAATTCCCTTTATGAGATATTTATTTATAATAAATCTTTGGGCATTTGCAGATTTTATTAAAATTGAGAGATCTTTTTTTTTAAAAATAGGAAATGGTGTTGCTTCAATTTCCAATGCGTGTTGTGAAGTTACAAAGCAAATCAATTTCGACATTGTCAAAGGAAAGTTCTTTCAACTAGTTTATTGATTTAAATGGATGGTAATGAGAAAAAACACCACTAACCTTTATCAATTGAGCCTAAGATTATATTTTCTCTTGCGAGATTTATTTTATGATTTGGGTATTGTTTTTGCTTTGTTTTTTTGTGGGTAATCATTTTAATGGATTTGAATTAATATCAAATAAATTGCGGTCAGCTGACATCAACAATTACATTAATTATGATAAAAAACACCATCTATTTTTTTTCTCTCCGTCAGAAACAATGTTTGGTTGTGAACCTATCATAAAACTCAAAAGACACTGATACAATCTTGGTACTTTTTTTTTTTTTTATATTTTGTGGTTGTTTTTAGTTGATATTCATCCAACAACATTCACATCAATATTAAACAGCAAAAAAAAAAAGAGGTGGATCTAAAGTGTTGTTTGCTGATTCTTGATCTGTCAAGGATTATTTTTTTTTTTGTTTTTTTTTTTCTGAATCCTTTTTCAATTTCTTTTTCTTTTGATGCCACATTGCAGTGATATGATGAAGCTTGAAAAACAAACAACAAAAAAAAAATTCTTTTGATTTTTCGGCATTTAAAAATGAAAATTTCTAAAGAAAAAAAGAAATTTCATTCGGAGCCACCTTCGTCATGTTGGACATGAAAATGAATAAAAAAAAATCAAGTCTTGATAAACTAAAATGGTGGTTTTGCTTTGAAATCATAAAATATCCAAAATAGCAGCTATTTTGAATAGTTTTAGGCAGTAGTTGGATAGTAGTTTTTCAGTAATTTTTCAAATTTTTGATTTGTTGGCAACCTTTTTTTTTTCGCAATTTTTTTTTCAACTGTAAAAGACCCACTTGATGAGAGTTTGGTAGCGCAAATGGCGAAGAAATCAAGATTTTGATTTAGTTTTTTCATTTTTTTTTTATTTTTTTTCTTCTCATCCGACGACGATGAATCCTACCTTGTATGAGCCCATCCCATCCCTCTCGTAAACCAACCAAGTCTCTCACAGCTGTGCTACTGTATGATATAAAAAGCATTGTACAATCTTTTTAAATTCATTCTAATATATATCATCTTTACAGATACAGATAACTAAAATGTTCTCTATTCGTGCTGTAGCTTTAGTTGCAAGCATTGTTTTATTGGCTGTTGCCAGCAATGCTGCCTTCACCGAACGTCAATACCAAGACTCTTTTGTTGCTTGGATGCAACAACACAACGTTAAGTACTCATCCGCTGAGTTCTCCCAACGTTTCACCATTTTCAAGAAGAACATGGATTTCGTCCAATCATGGAATGCCAAGGTAAAGATTAATTGAAAAAAAATAATCAAAATAATCAAATTTCCTCATAATAATAATTTTTTTCAAATATTAATATTGCAATTATTTTTTTTTTTAGGGGTTCATCAACTGTCCTCGGATTAAACATTTTCGCTGATATCTCCAACGAAGAGTACCAAAAGATCTACTTGGGTACCAAGATTGACGCCTCCTCATTGTACAACGCTCGTGCTCACGCCAACTTTGACCGTACTTTCAACCCACTCTCTTTGAACGCTACCGTCGATTGGAGAACCAAGGGTGCCGTAACCCCAATCAAGAACCAAGCCCAATGTGGTTCATGTTGGTCATTCTCTACCACCGGTTCCATTGAAGGTGTCCACGAACTTCAGACTGGTAATTTGGTTGCCCTCTCTGAGCAAAACTTGATCGATTGTTCCGTCGCCGAAGGTAACCAAGGTTGCAACGGTGGTCTCATGCCAAACGCTTTCGAATACGTCATCAAGAACGGTGGTATCGACACTGAAGCCTCATACCCATACACCGCCACTGGTCCAAACAAGTGCCGTTACAACCCAGCCAACATTGGTGCTACCATCTCCTCATACGTCAACGTCACCTCTAAATCCGAGTCTGCTTTGATGGCTGCTGCCAACCTTAACCCAGTTTCCGTTGCCATCGATGCCTCCCACAATTCCTTCCAATTGTACTCATACGGTATCTACTACGAACCAAAGTGCTCCCAAACTCAACTTGATCACGGTGTCCTCGTTGTTGGTTACGGTACTGGTCCACAATCCTCATCCACCACTGCCACCACCCTCTCTGGTACTGGTTCTGCCACCTCTGGTACTGTCACCTCATCTACCTCTGCCACTGGTTCCCAATCTGCCTCTGCCACCTCTGCCACCTCATCTGCCTCATCCTCTGCTTCTGGTACCTCTGCCAGCGGTAGCGGTAGCGGTTCAGCCTCGGGTTCATCATCGGGTTCATCATCTGCCTCTGGTTCTGCCTCCGGATCTGGATCTGGATCAGGAAACTCAACTGCCACCTCTGCCTCGGGTAGCGGTAGCGGTAGTGGTTCTGGTAGCGGTAGCGGTTCATCTGCCTCTGGTACCTCTGCTTCAGGTTCTGGTAACTCAACTGCCACCTCTGCCTCTGGTAGCGGTAGTGGTTCTGGTAGCGGTAGCGGTAGTGGTTCTGGTAGCGGTTCATCATCTGCTTCCTCATCTGCCTCCGGTTCATCATCTGCCTCCGGTTCATCATCTGCCTCCGGTTCTTCCTCAGCTTCAACTGGCACCACCACCACCACCACTTCACCATCTGGTAACGAAAACTACTGGATCGTTAAGAATTCATGGGGTCCAGCCTGGGGTCTCCAAGGTTACATCCTCATGTCCAAGGATAGAAACAACAATTGCGGGTATGTATTTTAAAATTTGTAAAAAAAAAAAAAAAAAAAAATACTTGAGGTGAAGAGATGCACACTGTTTTGAGTGAAAATGTATTTGTTTGTTAAAATTTAAATCAAAAATATTGTTTATATTATAATATGTAGTTTAAAACAATTAAATAGCATATTTTAAATTTGGTTTATTTTTTGCAATTTTCACTCATTAATTATTTTTTTTTATTTTTTTTTTACAATAATCAATATTTATGTATACATTTACTAATACTATCTTTTTCATTAATCATCAGTATCTCGACTATGGCTTCATATCCAGTTGCTTAAATTATATTATTTAAATAAAATAATAAACCAATATTATCTGTTATTCAATTGTATTTACACTTAGCACAAGAGAAAATTTTTTTATGTCCATGTTTTTCATTTTTTTATTTTTTTTTTCAATGCTTTTCCAGTAAAGTTAAAATAAAAACATGACCAATTAAAAGTATTAATATCTTGTTTCAATTGTTCAATTGTAAGAAATTAAGTTTAAATCTATGGCGCCAACAGAGAAGTAGAGATAGGATAACCCTGCTTAACTTCCCAATAAATATCGGACGGAATGGAAATGAATAGCACATAAGCAGAGGAACATCTGCGTTGACATAATTAGTTCTGGAATACCAACATAATTATTATCATATTAAAACAATGCATACCAACTATTTAATATCATCAATGCGCTCGGGCGACACCAGTATTATAGATTCACATTCATAATCACCAAACTTGAAAGAAGAACTCTATTAACAATAAGACGTTCTAAGAGTTATTCTACCAGACAAAGTCACCCGTTGCAACTCAATTTGAATAAGCTACTTGGTTATATATCGATGATGAGAAGATCAAGAGTGACAATATATCCGAAGTTCATCTCGCCATGGCTATCAACATCCTTCAAGTTAACATCTATGCACTCACATTATACTAATAGACATCAATCAACAGCTAAAAGTTTACAGTGCATTCTCATCTTCATCAACAAATCCACAACAGTCGAATAACTGTTAATGCTTCAATTGAACTAACTAACTAAAATGCATGCATACACATTAAAATATTATAAATTGGCCATAACTTTTTATTGTGATTTTTGATAAAATTTGTATATCACCATCACTTTTTATTTTATTTTATTATTTATTTTTGTCATAGTTAATATCTTCATTCTTATTGATTATATAAGTCAATAAGTCATAATACTCATTTAATTAGTATAGATGTTATCAATCATTCAATAGTAACAAAAAATAAAAAAAATAAAAGTATAAATTTAAACTAAAAAGAAAGCAGATATCCAACCATGTTATACTTCAAATAGTATCAATAGACCATTGTCATCAGTGGGATAAAAAAATATTTCTTTCATTCTATCATCATCGACACAGCAATCAAACAACAACAACATCAAAAACAATGTAAGTAACTTTGATAAAAATATAATCTTTTTTTTGATTAATGTTTATTAATATTCAAAATAGCAATCATCTACATTATTGTTTTCCAATGGTGTTAGTGGTCGATAGAATGTCGGCTTCAAGTGGCACTGCTGTCTGAGGAACTACACTGTACTAATAGCAGTTAAGTTGGTAGCAGAAGTATTGTAATGAATTCTAGATTCCGGGATCACCCATTCCACCAAGTTGAAAGTAAACTATTTCGTACAACCAACATCACAAAATTAAATATGTATCACAAATAAGCGAGCACATATATTGTTTGAATCAGTGCCGGTAAAAAGGTATAGACGCATTTTCAAATTTAGATGTTAGCATTCACTGGTTAATTATTTATTTATAGGTTTTAAATTTTATTGTAAAGAAAGATCATTGTATGTCAAAAGGACCATTCAGAGCACTCTTTAAAGATGAAGCTTTGAGAAAGCGTGAACATATGGATTAATTTTAGCAGCATAGGTCCAATCTGTTTGTAGAGACTCTCTCATGAATATCAGTATTCAAAACATGGTTTGTTCCTACAGGATGTGTGGCAAAGCTTGAAGGTAGCAAATAGATTATCAATTGAGATGCGGTAGTTCTGAGTTCTCTGGCCAGTTTGTACGGTAATAGAGCTGCTTGACTTCCCAACATGAACAAACATGTGCTTCCAATATATACAGTCATTCGACACAGAGTGAACGCTTGAGTATGTCGAATCGAATAGAATAATGATAGATTCCATGTTGCCGCTGTTTCATTGATCTCCTCAAGAGTATATTATTGTTATATATCAGTCTGCCAGGATGAAGCTGTTCTGGAAATCATTGGTGACATGACGTAAGACAGCTGTAAGTCTAGCACTAATCACATTGCTCAAAAGCTTGTAATCTGATAATAATAATTTCATTACTAACTAGTTAATTATTTATGTTGTAATTTGATACCAATAGGTTGGCTACCGATACCTCCAAACAATCAACATTGGAGTGAAGAGTTTTCAATCAACAATCAGAACAACACTCTTAAAGCACGACAGGACTTTAAGACAGCACCACAACAAACAGGAAGCTACATGAAATACTACCTTGAATCAGCTTTTTGGTCAGCTACACATCAAAACGATTACCAATACTGTAAAACACTGTTTTAGTAAATCACAAAAAAACCATAAAATATGAAAATATGAGAATCTTGCTGGGGTTCAAAAGTAACTACCTACTTTTACCATATATAGGCGCTTTATTTTCAATTATTTTTATAAAAATCATGCCAACAAAGTGTGAGATAGGGGTTTAAATCATTTTTTTAGACGTACGAGTCGCCGAAGTGTATGAAATAAAGAGAATAGTTTTATATATACGTTTTAATGTTCACTATTTTACAAATACATTCCATTGTAAGAAGGTTCATCAGTGTGATGGTTGTGGAGCAGATCATAATTAGTTAACTTCCCTTTTGGCTAGCGGGAAACCCATTGATTTTTTTTTTTTTTTTTTTTTTTTTGCAAAAAAAGATTTGTTGACTCATGATCAATCAACAAATTGCAGGTATTGATATTAACCTGCTAGTTCGTGTTTTATGTTATATTTACATTCTCACACAGGCCGTGAGAAATATAGCCAATAAAATGTTATTATTATTATTATTATTATTATTATAATTATTAATATTATTATTATTATTATTATTATAAATTATTAATTAATAAGTTGAGTAGTATTACGATAGAATAGATCTAACAGTAGTTGCGTGTTGATGAACAACAGTATAAAGTGGTGGCACGTAGTTGGAAGGATTAAGATTCCAATCAGATTTAAATTTACGCGTTAATGCAGAGCAATCGACAGTGACTCCTTGGGAGATTGAATTAGCGATCGTGAAGTTAAGCTTGTGGTAATTGGCATCGATTAATTTGGTGTAATGGGTGACTGCTCTCTTGACGGTATTTTCCAGCTTGTAATGGGTACCATCACCAAACATTTCACAGGACAGCGCCTGCCATAACGAATGTACGATAGCAGCAGTAAGGTACCCATTGATAATCCATCATCAACACGTTACGCATGCGGTATTAATGGGTTTATTGGTTTAAAATGCGTTGTCCGGGAATCGAACCCGGGTCTCCTGCTTGGTAGGCAAGAATTCTGCCACTAGACCAACAACGCTTGATGATGTGTTTTTTTAATCATTACTTTTTTAATTGAATTGTCTTAATTCCTTTACCCCTCTTCTCGACCCAAAAACTAGAGTGTCCTCAGGCAAATAATGAACCATCTTGTAAAGACACTTAAGCATTATGATTATCAACAAACATTTGTGATCATTGGCTGAATAAATCACACTTGTAAATGGAGAGTCAATGACTGAGCAACTGTACTTGAAAGCTATAGAATGTGATCCATCGAAATCCGGTGAATATAAAAACCTTTGAGTCACACTTTCAGGTGGTGAATCAATCAGCCTTAGTGATGGACAGTCAATGACAAAACAACAGCTATAGTTGAAAGCAATAGAATGTGATCCAACCAAATCCAACTATTACTCTAACCTTGCAACGTTGGTTTCAAGTGGTGAATTAATCACACTTAAAGATGGACAATCAATGACTGAGCAGCAACTATAATTGAAAGCATTATAATGTGATCCAACTGATTCTAACTATTTCTCTAGGATTGCATAGACACTTTCAAGTCGTAAAACAATCAATGACAAAAGACAACTATAGTTGAAATCAATAGAATGTGATCTAACCAATTCCGAACATTACTATGAGCTCGCAATGATTATTCTGGGAGGTGAATCAATCACACTAAACAATGGACAATCAATGACAAAACTACAACTATTATTGGAATCACTATTTTAGAATAAAAGTAATAACAATATTTTTCCAAAAAAAAATTCGATCTATAACTTCATTCTCTTCTTGCTATCCTTATACGATTTATTAACGAATACACTTATTGCTCAGTGACAAGTTGTAGTTAGAAAGTATGTTTTATTTATTTATTGTGTTTTCTTTCTATTTGATTTATTTACACCTCTAATGTATGCCTTGGAATAGAATGCTCCAAAGAGGAACAACATTGAGAACATGTAGATGATCATACCGTAGAACATCCAATGTGGGAATGGGCAATCGTTATACAATACATAGATCGATGAAAATAGATTAATAATAAATTGAATCAATTGTAATTGTGTTAGATAACGCTAGAAGAATGATAATTTAAAAAAAAAAAGAAATATTAGAAAATCAATGATAAGTTATATATTTTTAGAATCAATGGTTGAACATACCTTCCACCAAACATCAATCTTCAAAGCAGCCAATAGATAATAACCGTACATGACTACATGAATGAACGAGTTGATCATTGCAGAGAAATATGCATCACCACCTGGTGTCCAATTTGCACCGATCCACCACAAGAAGAAAATCGAGGAGTGGTGATAAACATGAAGGAACTGTTGTTATTAGAAATAGAATACATTAGTCACCAAAGTTATTTGGTATAGATTGATATGAGTTGTGAATCTACCTACTGATACTTGATCGAACTTCTTTCTTAAAATCATAAATACTGTATCCATCATCTCGATTGATTTCGAGAAAAAGAATAACCACAAGACTTTGGCCATCTGAATTTCTAATGATTAGTAATCTTCTTATGATGTTGAAACCAAACTAATCTAATCTCTAGATCCTATACTTACACCAATACCTTTATCAGAGTAATCGACAGCATTACACATCAAAGAGTAATCGTTGATGTATGCTTGATAAGCAGTTTCAATTGTGATGTAAATGCTTATCAGGAGGAGAATGAGATTGTGTAAAATGAGTGGGATTTTCAAATCGAATGGTTTTCTGTTGGCCATGATCTTTTTACCGACGACCACAAACACCAAATAGGCAGCGATCAGATAGAGCATCTCATTTGGTCTATTCAAGAATGGCCAATGCATAACTCTTTCATCTAAACAAATAAAAGTAGAGATAGTAGTGTATATTTAGAAATTAGATACTATCTCTAAATTGAATCATCCAATGATTTTTACAAACCTCTTCTGGCTAGATAATAATCATATCTTTCAACTAAAAAGTCAACATATTCCTTGACATATGTTGTAGCCATTTTTATCTATCTATCTAATTCAATCTTTATTGGGTAATAAAGTTTAATGAAATGATGAATAGAATTATGATTGAGTTGTTATTAAAATAAAAAAACAAAACATAAAAAAAAACTTAAAGCCTGGTAAAGATAAACAATGAAAAAAAACGAGTTGATCATTTTTTTTTTTCAAAAAAATCTTTTTTTTATAGACACATAAATCAGAACTTTCCTTTTTCGATCTAAATTGATGATCCAATAACAAAAAACAACAAAAAATTTTATGTTTGGAATTTAAATAATTCCGATATTATATTATAATATTCAAAAAAAAAATCTTTATTTCAAACAAAGATTTCAAAATAATATATAATTGAATAACTTTTATAAATTCAATCTTTAAGAAAGAAATAATTTGATTTTGTTTTTTTTTTAAAAAAAAGAAATTTCATTTTAATTATTTTTTATTTTATTTTTTTCTGTTGTGCCACTAAAAAAATATTGAAAATTTATTCTTTTTTTTCATTATTTTTTCATATATAATTATTAATTTAAAACACACACAATAACAACAAAAGATGTCAGATGGTCCAAAATTAAGAGACGCTGCCAAGTCTGGTGATGAGGAAAACGTTAGAAAGGTACCTAAAAATCTGCAGATACTGCACTTATTTTAATTTGTTTTAGGTGCTAACACTGTCATCTTAATAGTTAGCTGCAGGTGGTCCAGATGTTGTGAACTACAGAGATAAAGTTGGATACACTCCATTACACATGGCTGCAATGTATGAATCATTTTAAAACTATTTATAATCCATTAAAACATTCATACATACTACCATTCGAATATAATCGATCATTTATATTGAATCAACTCTTTAATCGAATCGAAATGGTGGTGATGAAAGGATGAAAGAAAGAAAGGAATGATAATCAGAGACGATCGATCATATTCTATTATTGTATGGATTTATAGTTCACAAGGTCATTAATCAATCTATTTGTAATTATAGGTTCGGACACTCAACTATCTGTCAAATTCTATTGGAAAATGGTGCTGATAAAACTATTCTTTCATCCGATAATGAAACCGCTGCTGATGTTGCAAAGGTAATTCATCTACTTTTTAAACTTAATTGATTCTCATATATTCTTACTAATAATCTTTCTTTTATGATAATATTTATTATATAATTTTATAGGGTCTCACTATTAGTAATATGATCAACAATTTCAAAAAGAACTAGAGATAATCGATTATTATATTTCATATCAATTAATAACAAACAAAACATCAACAAATACACCATGCACTTCGAATGTAAATCGCCGATCACCAATCAAACCAAATCAACAAAACCTAACATAATAAAACTCCTTTATGTTGTACTACTATTATAAAATCATTAAAATATATATAAACAAACAATAAAGAATTTTCTCTTTAAAAAGTTTATATTAAAACAACAAAAAGTATACTGTTTGTTATAATAAAATAATGAATATGATTATAAAAAATATTTTAATTAAAAATAGAATAGAAACTTTCATAGTTTATTTATGTTTTGTTTTAAAAAAAAAGAGGTGGATACCACAGCAATCAAATTATACCTAGTTGAAAACTGTTTTATGTTAAAGAATAAGATTAGTATAATATAATAAGATTAGATTTTACACATGTGTGTGGAAAGCAAATTAATAGTAAACAAATTGATGATATGATAATCTAAAGTCAGACATCTCCAGAAGAGAACTTTCAAATCTTATGAAGCTTTGAGTGGAAAAAGGGTTCAACTGATTCCAAACAAAGCCTAATAATAAACTGGTTCATCATTTTAGATTAAAACAACATCTTGTTCCACTGTCTATCTACACACATATTACTTAATCTTTACACTTACATTTTGTTAAAAACTACAATGAACGAAAAACATTGTAATCTTCTTATTTATCAGATCGTCAATCTCTAACTTTTCAGCTGAAAATTAATTTTTTAAAAAAAAAGGAAAAAATTTTAAAAAATAAATGTTACGTTACTGTTACTCTAAATTGAAGAACTTTTGCGAGTTGTTCAGTCGATTTAATAAAACCCCCAAATTCGTTCTTTTTGTGAATGACTAACCATCTATCGTCAACATCTATTCTCTTGATCTCAAATTGATCATCTTTATCATTCCTCTGATAGTGAATGATTTTAACGCTTTTTGGAATAGTTTTGAATTGCTCCAATGTGACACTCTGTGAAATGGTGAGTTGTTCAACACTGTTTGGTAGGAAGCTGAATCGGTGTTTGTAGTTCTTGAGGTGTATCGACCTGACTGAACGTGGTATGACATACATTGCCAGTGGTGCTGTCTGTAGAGAGATTTTGGTGTTCAGAATCAGAGTGGTCACTCCCTCTGGAATCGAACCTTCCTCGAAAGGTATGTTATAAGTATCTGGAAATTTCAACCATCTTATTGTGTTGGGAAGTATTTTTGGATAGAGGTATTGGTTGAATGCGTATCCTAGATTGAGTCGTTTCACAGAGTTTGGTATAAAGCCAAGTTCCAATTCTTTGTCGTAGAACCCAAGGTTCAATTTCTTTAGCGTCAAAGGCAGCAGTAATATCGAAGGTTTGAAGTCGAATCTGAACAGGCAAAGTGATGTTAGGTTCAATGGTATTGTGTAGTGGCAATTCTTCATGTTTTTCACTGGACTGAGACTGATATGTTTAATTGTTTTAGGCATTAGCTTATCGTCAATCAATACGGCGAAACCAATAATCTTTTCTATTTTAGGAGGAAGAGTGTCTGGTGTTACGCCAAAGTGGTAATTCATTATTGTACTTTTTAGCTTTCGAAGGTTGAGTGGAAGTGAACCGACACCAAATCCAACTGTAAAACTCTCTCCAAATGTAATTGATTGAAGTGAATCTGGAAGTTGACCGGGACTCAACCAACAGTTAAAACTACTACCAAACACCAGTTGCTCAAGATGTTTTGGTAATGAACCAATCTCCAAATTACAATTAAATTTATCGCCAAACGTTATATTTGTAATGTTTGAAGGAATTAAACTTGGTGGCAATCGGCAATTGAAATTCGTTGAGAAAACAAGGTTCGTGACAGTGGTATCATTACATACTTTCAGAATCTTTTCCATATCAATACCACTACAAAGGTAAAGATTTGTAATTGTTTTTGGGATTGTGATTATTGCTTTAGAGTTTATTAATGTATCGTCTAAAATAAAAAAAAAGATTGTGTTAAAATAAAATTAATATTTTGCCAATAGAAAAAAACTTTTTTTTTCCTAAAATAGCTATTTTTTTTGGGATGAAACTTACTAAAAATAACATAATCAAACTTTGAAATATCAATTTGAGACTCTTTACTGTTTTTTTGATAACAAAAAGTTGATTACTTTTCAACGGATTGAAGCTGGTGAGTGATGTATGTGTTAGTGATTTTGGAACTCTAGCGTGTACTATCTGTTGGTGAAAGGAATGTAAGTTGAAATCTTTGAGAAAATTTAAATTATATAGTTTAGGTGTATGATTAAAGTTGCAAAGTAAAAGATAACTATCTTTTTCAGTGAATAACTTTTTATTAATCAATGAGAGACATATCCTATCAAGGTCACTCTCAAGATATCCACAAATCTTTTGTAACAGAATATGTGGTAGACAAACCAAATTACTAAAACTATTAATATTGATATGGTTTAATCCCAACATTTTTTATAGTAAAAAATGGTTGAGCGAATGATGTAACATAAATACAATGAAAATTCTTCATTGTGAAGAAGAGGAAGATAAAAAAATATGAAAACACCATATTTATACATTTTTAATTAACTTGGATTAAATTTATCAATTGTTAATGAGAAAAAAAAAATCACCTGCTACAAAGATTTAAAATATGAGTGTATTTTTAGTTCATATTGAAGGTGAAACACTTTCTTTCAGTTAATAAGAGTCAATTCACTTTAAAAATTTTAAACAAAAACAAAATAATAGTAAATTTTAAATGATCATTTTTTTGTTTTTGATTTGTGGTGTTTTTGTTGATTGAAAAAAAAAAAAGAAAGAAAAAAACAGATAATTTTTCATCTTGATGTGGTTAAATTTGTGTTAATACCCCCAAAAAAATAATACTTTTTTCAATTTTTTTTTACTTTTTTCAACTATCAATTGATGAACCACTTGATCAAAAAAATAGATAGTTGATTGAATAATATTAATATCTTATCAATTTGGTAACCCTAGAAAAACAGTAATTTAGGACAAGTAAAATGGAACAATATAAATATTGGAATTGGAAACAACATAATTAGTAATCAAACACAATCAATTAATTATCCATCATCAATTTATCTATCTTGATTTGGTGTGTAAAATCATTCTATATATTTTATGCTTATTTATATTGTTTTTAGAATTTAAAATGTATTAATAACAATATCTAAAAACAATTAATCTAAAAAATAGTTTATTATAATTTAAACAAAAATGTTATTTAATATTAATAATAGTAATTTTAATCATAGATTAGTCCAATTTCCCCATATTCTTTTATCTAAAATAATCAATTTTATCGACTGTGACTTGGATCGTATTTGTTTTTCATTTGTTTGTAGAAAATGGTTTAATGATAGAGATCATTACTTGGTTTTTAAAGATCATAAGCCAAATTCAACACCAAAACTTCAATCTGTCGAATCTATATGGGAGTTTCATTTTTATTCCTTTAAAACTCAATTTAAATATTCCAGAAACATAAAGGAAGGTTCAAGTATTATTAACACTCTAAATGGTGCATCATTATATATTGTTGATCAAAATACTCCTTTAATTGATGATAGATATTTAAATGATTATTTTTTAAATTATGGTAAGAATAATTAATAATTATAAGATAATTTTAATTTCTTTAATAGTAAATCCTAAATTTTTTATTTTAATTTATTTATTTTTTAGAAACTATTTCAAAATCAAAAAATAATATATATATTCCAAAATCAGTTACAACTTTATATATTTATATAGATATTAATTTTTTAAAATCTATATACAATGCAATTTCAGAATCAAATGTAACATCTATAAAATTTTGTAATTTCACTCAAACCATTGTACCAGGATCAATACCTTCAAATATCAAATCAATTCATTTTGAAAACTATTTCAATTCTTTTGAAAAAAATGCACTTCCTCCATTCCTAGAGTCTCTGACATTAGCCAAAACCTACAGAGGATCTCTTAGACCAGGAGTTCTTCCACCTACACTTACCTATCTCAATGCTGGTGGTTTTAATAGAGACCTTGAAATTGGATCACTACCTCCAAAATTAAAGACTCTAATCCTTTCCAAGAAGTATAGAAGAGAGATAGCAAGAGATTTCCTACCCGATACTCTAGAGAATATCGTAAATTTCCCAATTCTCTATATCAGTCAACTACCAAATTCAGTGAAAACCATTTCATTGAAAACAACATCCAAGTCTGATTATCTTCACCATGGAGATATTCCAACAAGCATCACATCATTGACTTTTGGTAGATATCCCAAACATCTTGACCTGGCTATTGTACCACCATCTGTAAAATACCTAAAGCTAGGTGAAGTTTCCAAAGATCCTCGCTTTCTCAATCTTCCACCAACTGTTGAAGAACTTGATTTAGGTCAAACTAAATTTCGAAAACTAAAAGTTCAAGCATTATCTTCAATTAAAAAGATTACCCTATCGAATGTCAACGACCCATCTTTAGTTTGCAAACACAAGTATCCACCCGGGGTTGAGTCAATGACAATCAAATCCATTCGTAAAATACCATTTTCAACATCGTTTGTACCATTCACAGTTAAATACCTAGATATGAAGGATTTGGAGCCAGGAGCCATTGTCAATTCATCATCTATCCCAAGTTCAGTTGAAGAACTCACCATTTCAAACAACTTTTTCAAAAACTACACCAATAGAATAGAGTTGATTCCAACAACTGTGAAAACTATTAGAATGATATTAAAGAGATCAGAAAAGACACCGATTGTTTACGAAATCAGAAGGTTGAGTGATGATCAATTTATAATTCTTGCCGACTCGACATCTATTCATGGTGGTATTGCATCGCCGGAAACCATCAATTTCTTCTTTTTCACGGAATGTAACATTTTCAATCACTTTGATCTAGTCTTGAACAGTGTATTTATTAAATCCAAAAACAAATTATTTATGCACCAACTTTTTGGAAGAAGTTAACCTAACTTTATTATAACAACATTATTATTTTGTAACACCACCAATTATTTGTAACACCTATTATTATTTTGTAACATTAATTAAATTTCCAAACACATTAATGTTTGGAATTATAAATAAATAAATATTAATATTTTATTTAATCTTAATCTTTTATATTTATATATTTATAAATATTATGAAAGAATGAAGAATTTACAAAGCCTCCTTGTATGGTTGTTGAATCTCCAAGTATCAAGTATTGTAGATTACCACCACCATTATGAGCAACACGCTTGATATCATAAAACTGATAGTCACATATCAATCGAATTGTCTTGACAGAGTCAGAGATTATGTCAATGGAGTTGTTTTTAAAGAAATCCATCGAGATTGTGAGTACCTCTACTGTATCTGGTATGACATTTGGTTGCAGCTTGTGTACGAAATTTGGGATTTCAAGTGACTTTACACCGGATGGTACTACACTCTCCGAGAGGTCATAGTATTCACCCTTGAAAATCAACTCTTTCACAGTGGGTGGAATGATTCCAGGTGTAAGGTTTTCATTGAAACAGTAGTTGAACCTTAGCGACTCGACGCCATCTGGAATACTAGATGGTTCGAGTTTCTTGTTGAAATTATAAGAAAATCCAAGTGTTTTGATAGACTTTGGTAGGGTGTTTGGTTCGATCGTATTATTGTAAATTTCACCAAGTTCCAGCGATTCCACCGACTCTGGGATATGATCACTCTTTATTGGATAGTGATAGAAATTACCGAGGTTAAGTTCTTTGACAGAGCTTGGAATTACACCTGGCTCCAACGGTTGCCCGTAGTATCCGAGGTTAAGTGAAGTGATTGTATCGGGAATATCGCCCTCCGATAGAGCAGCGGGTGTCGGCGGTCGCGAGAAACTGACGGTTCTAACGGATGCCGGTAGCTGATCGAGATAGTTTATCGGATAGTTTCGAATGGTTTTAACATTCTTTGGTAGTATATCGCCTGTCAGTTTCATTTGATAGTCTCGACCAAACTCGATAATCTTTAGATTGGGAGGCAGCGAACCGACAACCAGTTGCTGATTGAAATGCCATCCAAAGCTAATGAGTTCCAGAGTAGATGGGAGGATACCTGGTGTTAACGGGTGATTAAAGTTTCTTCTGAAAAACAACTTCTCCAACTGTGATGGAAGACTCTTGTATTCCAAAGGTCGATTATAGTTTAACCCAAACCTTATTGTCTTTACAGATTCCGGAATGGTTCCTGGTTCGATCGGTTGATTATAGTCATCACCAAAGCAAATATAGGTTACATTTGATTGTGCCAATGCTTTTGCCAATATATCGATTCTCCTATTGAAACTATCGGAAAAATAGATGTTGGTAACCGATTTAGGTATAATTAAATTATTAGCAGTACCTAATTCATCTAAAATTAAATTAAAGAGTAAGTATTATTATTTTTGCTAATCATTAATTATTATTTACCATAGTTTAAAAAATAATCATTTAAATCAAATAGATTTCCAATGTTTAGATTATCCAACTCTTCACGATTACCAAAAAGTAGTGAACAATCAGCTTTACTATCTCTCGAGTATTCTATTTGTTTACGAAAAGAGTTTAATTTGAAATCTTTGAGATCATTAAGCGATACACTCTTTAATAGGTAGCTACTTTGAAATAAAAGATAATGATCTCTTTCAAAATAGAATCGCCTACATATCAAACTAAAACAAATCCTATCAATATTATCTTCTAAATTATTAATTATCTTTGTTAATAATATATGTGGTAGTTTTATAAAAAGATTATTATTATTGTTATTATTATTATTGTTGTTGTTTATCATTTTTGTAATAAAAATAAACTATTAATTATTTAACAAAAAATTAATAATGTACAATATTTGTCTTTATACATTCTTTTGAAATTCTCAAAAAGTGCACTAAATAATATAAAAAAATTTTAAAAATGTAAAATTAAGATCTTAATGTTTTGAAATTCTTAGAAAAAATATGTTTTTTTTTTAAATTGTCTTCAAATGAATGAATGAAAACCAAAATAATTAATAGAATTAAATTAATTTATAGTTTAGATATTATTCTTTTTTTTAAATAAATTGAAATGAATATATTGGATGATGATTTCGATGAAAAGTTAATTAGAGCATGTAGATCATCAGCATATCAACCATCATTCTCACAGTTATTGGCGGTGCCCGCTCAACATCAGACACTTTCACAGAGTACATTATCACAGTTGACCTCTGTCAATAATATAAATAGTAATAATAATCATAATAGTAATGAACAACTAGATGATCTACTTAAAGATGTTGATCAAAGTGCAATAGATGATTTCTTAATGAAAAGAATTGAATTATCAAAACCGATATTCGATTACTTGAAATCAATATTAAAAGCATATCAACAACATCAACAAATTATATTACAACAACAAAATCAGGACAATGAAGACAATGACGATGATCAACCTTCGAATAGTTCGTCATCTTTGAAATTCACAAGAGCCAACATTATATGTAACTTTTTACAAGTCATCATTGAATCTAATCATTCAAATCATATCAATGAAAAAGATTTAATACAATGTATAGATCTTATACTTTCAGAGGTAAAAACCACTATTTTTATAAAAGATAACAAACTTCAAAAAAAACTAATTCTTTTTTTTTTCTATTTAAATATATTAAGTGTGACTCTTTAGAAGTAAGAGAATTACAAGATATTATTAGTTTAATAACAAAGCATGTTGAAACTAATACAAAGTCACCAATCTATCTATTGTTGGCGAAATGTATGATGCTACGTGGTCAGTTAAAGTCAAACGATTCTTCAAACAATGAAGAACATATGGAGTATCAAACGAATACAATAACAAGTATAGTTTCTTCCAACTGGCCAAAACAAACATTTATTACAATCATTGAATCACTCAATGATCTTCCACTCTCAAAGAAACATTTAGAAGATATTATAAACAAAATTAAAGAGTATGTTTAATTTATAAAAATAATGATTAATATGTATTAAACAAATTACTAATCAAATCGATCTATATTATTATTTTTAATTTTCTTTTTTTTTTTAGTGATTTACCATCAATTGGATATCCAGATTTACCAAGTGTTTCACATCAATTATTATTATTATCATCACAAGGTTTGAAGGGAATGATTCTCAAAGTGATATGCGATCATTTCGTACAGGAAGAGACAACCAAGAATCCAGGCAATGAACAGCTTATGATGATAGAATCAACTGTTATTTTACAGATCAGCTTTGCTATTAAACAGGATATGGATATTGGAAAAGAGTATATCAAGATGAACCAAACACTATCACCATTTAACATTGCACTGCTTCTCACCATCTCAAAGATACCTAGATTCAAAGTACAGGTATTGAATACACTTAAATCACTACTGATGAATCATTATAAGTATGACCCGATGTTGGCAGAGCAGATATTGACTTCGACCGTTGCCAACACCTCTGTCAGTTGGCAACTCATAGTTGAACCACTAGTTTGGTTTGCAGTCTTTTTGATGGATTCCAATGCACTGGTTATCAACGATCAGATTCGAGGTATCAGAAGACTCGGTACGGAAATATTGTTCCAGCTGTTCACTATACATGAGAATGTAAGTGAGCGGGTAATCGATGAGATTATCGGTAGAATTCAGATGAAAGCTGACAACTTGCAGTGTTGGTTCAATTTGCTCAACAAGATCTGTACTCGTAGTCCACATGCCCTGATCAAGTCGGTACCAAAACTCAAAGAGTCGTTCGAGTACATTCAGTATTTCTCAACAAACACAGTGCAACAGCTGATCATGTCGTTCGATCTTTTGTTACCTTTGGTTCCGTCTTTTCTCGACTCTATCATTCTCACACTAAAGAAATCGATGTTCAAGCGTGAGTTGGAAGCGAGATCCAGTGCCATCGGTGGATTCCTACAGCTACTAAAGAACATCTCAAACAACAGACCACTCGATACTCTTGGTATTGAGATTCTCGGTATTATCAAGCGTGGACTGAACCAACAAGGTCCGATTCGTGCGCAGCTATACACTGGACTGAAGGATCTAGTTCAGGCACGTCCACATATCGGCGAGTATGTTTGTGATTTGCTTTTGTTACAGTTCTCCAATTACTTTGATGCCAACAACAAGACAACTCCACCTATATCTCTTGGAAGCTGCATAGAGTTGGGACAAGACAGTTGGACCATTGCAGAGCCAATCGACAAGCTTGTACATTGTATTCAACTGTGTCTCAGAGTAACACGTACCACCAGTCGACAAGCTGGCGAAAGTAGTCAACGATCTCAAGCTGCACTATCTTCCTCCTCGTCATTGGCACCGGTTAACAAGCACTCTTTTGAATTACTACGTGATGTATTCAACAAGTTTGCAAAGGAAATGATATCAACAGAGTTTAGCGAATATAGGGAGATATCTTCCAAGTCTGAAACTTCGAAAACCTGTGCTGGATTACTGATGGGTGTTATCGAGTCATTGATAGAGTATGCAGTCACCAAAGTATCGCTTACCAATACCAATGACAAGTTTGTAACGATTCTCAAATTGTTTGCTGTTTACACTCATGCCAAGTCTGAAGTAAACAGCGATGCAAACCAAACAAAGTCTGGTAAGGGTGGAAAGAAAGGAGGTGGTAGTAAAAAGAGAAAGATTGACGAGGATGAAGATGAATTCGATCCAGATGAAGAGATGAAGGATGTTGGAGCTAGTAAACCCAAATCAAAGAGTGGAGCAAGTAAAGGATCGAGTGCAAATTCAAAGGAATTGCTTAAAAGTACGCTGTCATCGGAATGTATAAAGGAACTTTTCAACTTTATGAAATCGATCGACACCTCTCAGATGAAATTACAAGAGCACGACAAATACGACAGTTTCTCACATTTCATTTATCAATCATGTTTGGAGTATCTCACAAAGATGTTTGTTGAATCAAAGCAATATTTGGATACCCACATTGAGTCTGCAAATCCAAGTGAGAACATTGTCAAACAGAATCTCAACTTTTGTCGTGCAGTTCTACCTCATTTGAACCATGGACTTAATAAAGGTGGATGGGAGGAACCAAAGTTAAACTCAAAGATAATACCTACTCATACATTAATATTATCTTGTTTAGATTTAATTGTAAGTCTATAGAAACAAATATAGATTAGAAATTAGTTTAGTTTATTAACTTTTTTAATTTATTAGTTTAAATTTATTAAAGATTTTGGAACTGAAAAGAATTTGGGTACATGTTTAACCAATGATCCATTACCAAAACCAAAACAAATAGAAGATGCTATCAAGAGTGAGATCAAACGTTTAGAGGATGTTTGTCAAGATACAGCAATTGCTCATGCATTCTGGGGTGATGCCGATATCATTATTGCAATCCTCTCAAAACTGTATCCCTATTTACCGGAACGTGATATTCCACAGCACCACCAGTTCATTCAAAGTCTCTATCAGATTGAAATGAAAGTAACTTCACCTACTTTTGCAGCAACTGTTGTCAGAACACTACTGGAACTCAGTAATATAGACAATGACACTATGAACATTGTCAACGATATTGCAAATCATCTGATACACAGTGAAGCTGATCAAGAAGAAGATATCGATGTCGATGACGATGATAACCTGGAGCCAAGAATATTGAACAGGAAAACTCATATTCAGGTGGAAGCAGAGTTTTTCAAACATATCAATAGTGAGATTGACAAGTCGAGAGATCTTATCGTTCAACTCAAGAAGGATTGGACACCCAATCTCACAGAGAATGCAGAGATCAAGTTGAATCGTATGAGGAATCGTATCTATGATTCGCTGTGTCTCTCTTGTCAAGCTATGGACAAACTGGCTAGAGATGTCACTCCCTATCAATTCTCTCCTCAGAGCTCTGATAAATTGTTAAAGACACTCAAGAAGCTCTTCACCATATTGACAACATTGGTATCTGCAATGACCACATTGAACTGTCATCCCAACGACAAACTGAAAACGCTAATCGAGAGCAGCTCTGAACTCTACACCAATGTACACAAGTCGATTACACAGTTTGACAATATCAACAAGAAAGACGGTTTGTCTCGATCAGAAAAAGCTAGGATTTACAGAGAAGCAAAGTTCTTACCACTTTTGGCATTCACCTTGGAGAAATACGAAGCAACCGTTATTCGCTATGAAAAGAAACTGAACATCAAAGAAAGACTGGGTCAACACTTTAAGAAAGCTGAAATCAGAGATTTCAAAATCGACAAGGAACAACTCAGACGTTTAGAAGAGAATGCAGAAGACGAAGAGGAAAAACAGAAGCCAAAGAAGAAAAAGTCAGCTCCCAAACCAAAGGCAACAGTTGTAAAGAAGAAAACACAAACTAAAAAGAAACCCACGGCACCAAAAGGAAGATTAACTTCAAAGAGAGGTGGTAGTAGAGGTGGTGCAACTAGAAGAAGAGGACGTAATGATGAAGATGAAGAGGGAGAAGATGAAGATCAATACAATAATGATGATGATGAAGATGATGATAACAATAACTATGATGATTAATACAATTTAAATAAATTAAAAAATTGATTTGACATGTAAGAGATTTTAAAAATGTAAGAAAGTTCATCTTTAGGATTTGTTTTTTTTTTTTAAGTATACTTGTACTACCATTACTGATAGTCAAGGTGTAGAGATTGATATTACCCTACATTTAGTGTTTATTTGTTGGAGCAGTTCAGCCACAGGCCGGCTGAAATTGCCTTAATTTTTGGATAAGGGATGTTCCCATTGACTTGGCAGACGGAGTTTAAGTAGTCCGCATGCGGAACCAACATGTTTAAAAGTTTAAGATGCGTTGTCCGGGAATCGAACCCGGGTCTCCTGCTTGGTAGGCAAGAATTCTGCCACTAGACCAACAACGCTTTGATTTTTAATGAATCAAAATTTTATTTATTTAAATGTCTCTGGTTTTTATTTCTAAACTTTTTTAGTTATTGAAAACCCACAAAATAATTAAAAAAAGATAATTAATAAATTGAATCTCATTAGGAATAAAATTGAATATCTCACTTCTCCCTTTTCAAATGCTATTGTCGATAATATAATTTAAATTATCTCTAAGTTTGGATGCAAATTTACAAAACCAGTTTTTAGTTGATCAAGTTGTCTCTAATTAAGTTTAAAACTATATTATACAAATTGACAATGTAGTCTATCCTTTATTTTATTTTTCTTATGAAAAATGTTTTCAATTTGCTAAAAAGTTAAGAATTATTTAATAATTTTAAAAAAGTTGTATTATTTTATGTAGCCAATTTAACCATAAAATAAAAAGAAGTTTTGGAATTTTATAAAAGAAAAAATTCTACATAATTTAATATACAAGAAAAAAAAAACAAATCATATAATAAAAAAGCTAAAATAACTAGTCGTTGCTACAAATTTTACAAAAATACACTAGAGTTTTCGCTATCAAGTTTTGAGCTTGCTCAGAAGAACTCTTACTTCGTGTAATAATCTCCTGAGGAAGATCACTTAGTTGTATTGATATTGCTTTGGAAATCACTGGTTACCAAAGTTTATCAATCAACAAAACAAAAACAATTTTAAAGAAAATAAAAAATTAGTGGACAGTCTAATTTAATGTTTAAATTTTTTAAATTAATTTGTTTATCTTTTAAAATTTATATTTAATTTTTATTATATCGATTTGATATTAAATTGGATTATCTTGATTTCTCATTATCTAATTTCATTTCTAAGCTTCTATTCTCATTATTGAATTTTCTTTTTTTGATAATGACAACTGCAGCTGTTCCTACTATAGCAACTCCCACTACACAACTAGCGACAATGATACCTATTTTAGCACTTTTTGACAATCCACCTGGTGAAGATTTACATGCTGATTTGGCATTCTCAGCATCATTCTCCAAGAGAACAGAAAAATCTGGATCTATTACCACCGACTGACTGTAGAATGGAATACCCATACCAACATAGGTATTGACTGTTTGGTTTTCTCTAGGGATTTCAAGTGAGGAGCCATCGAGAATTACGTTGGAAACCTGTGAGATACGGCCGTCAACGATTCCGACTGATAGGAAACGTCCATACAAACTCTTGTCGTTGATTTTAAGCTTGATCCATTGCAAGGTATTAGAGTTATCTTTGGAGTAACCATATTCGTTCATAGAGCAAGAGTTGTTTTCTGAAGATGCAGCAGTTGCTGTCATGACCATCTCTAGGGTATTCAAAATATTATCAAATTTATAGGGGGAGAGAGAAATCGAATACTTAATGGTGCCTGGCATCATTGTTGTATTTTGTCCAGCAAAAGAAAAATCGGTCATATTTTGGAAGAATTGTACGAATACTCTTACAACGGTGGTTTGATTGCCTCCAATTGGTGAACTGTATTGATATTGATAGTTGTCAACGTCAGAAAGATTTGTGAATGTCCAGTTTGAGAATTTGTATTCTTGGAAAATTGATTGGTCGGGTGTCTTCTCTCTGAGTGAAGCAATCGATACCACACTTGTAAAGATACCGGTAGAAGGATCATTGATAGTGCTATTTGTGGTTGGGGTATCATTTGGATCCAATGGATTGGGAACATTGATAGACTTGGAGTTGCAAGATTCTCCATACCATGGTAGTCTACAAACACAACCGTTGGCAGTGCAATCTCCATTACCAAAACATTTTGGTGTTCCTGGGCACGGATAGATTGGTTTTTGAGTTGGTGGTGGTGTTGGGCGTGGATATGGTTGTGGATTATATGGTTGAATAGTAAGTTCATTAGAAGGCACACCATTATTATAGTCAATTACAGTGATATTACTGTTGAATGCTTTGAGCTTAAGAGTAACAACTACATTGGTCGAGAAATCTGGGATGATAGTCTCATATCCTTTACCATAGTTGACCTTCCAGACAGATGAGGTAATATTTCCCATCTTATAACCACGAATGATTGCTCTGCCTCCAGAAGGTGGAACATTAGAGCACGACACTAGATAGGGTTGAACAAGATTGAACGATGTGTTTACATAATAAGGAAAACCAAGTGATTTCAAATCAACAGTACTGTAACCCATTACATTCTTGAAATTATCAGTAATACCATAGATATTGACCACCATCTTTCCAAAAATAATTCCATATCCAAATGGAAGTTGTTCATCTATTTTAAAAGTATAATTTGAACCAACCTGCCCAACAAACTTGGATCTTATTTGGTGGAAATACATAGTACCAGATACTAAATACAACACAGGTGAATTGTTTGGATATTTAGATATTCCAGAACCATATGGATTGTCTTCTACAACAATAGTTGCTTGGAATCTTCTATTAAGAGATCCAACATCTAATTCTCTGGTAAAATCAAGAGATACCAAATTTGGATTTATAACATCCTCAGGTGCTATAAATATTTGAAATATAAAAAATTAATTTTTAATTCTAATAGAAAGAATTTGATATAACCGATATATATAATTACCTTGACAAATAACATCAATTGTTAATAATGATTCTTTTGGAGTTCCGTTAATGTAGATAAAAGGTGAAGTAGATGGTGCATATTCTTTAAAGAAAGTAGTTGCCTTGTTATCATTGTAATCATATAAAATTAAATCTAATGTATATTCATCAGATCTACATTGACCATTGATAGGGAATGCAATTCTATAGGTACCAGAAAATTCATTTCCACTGATGGCATCAAATACACTAAATGAAATATTCAGTGGAGATTTGTCATATTTTGATGTAATAACAGCAACACCACTGCGGAATCCACTTGGTCTATCATCGATTACAATATTCCATCCAATGGTTGTATTCATACCTCTCTCCATTAAAATTTTCTTTTTAAATGGTTGAACATCAACGACAATTGGACCAAATTCATCAGCATCTAAATATAAAATAAAATTATTAATCATTAGTGTATTTTAAAATTATAAACACTACTTACATGAACAAGTAACATTTAAATATGCATTATCACCAACAAAAGATGAAATGAATCCACTTTCAAGTAATTTGTTACCAAACAAATAATAGGATAATCTTCTTGTGAATAGTAATGATTTAATTGTAATTGGAATCTTATACATTTTCAAATTTGGATCGTATTGACCAGTAAAGATTAATGTTTCATCGATAGTATCAGCAGGTGTAATTGGTGTTGGGAAATAAATTTGTGGTAAACCATTGACATCAACGTTAGATATATTGAAATGAAGTTCAGTATATCCAGGTCCATTTGAAACATCAACGGTATTTGGGAAGAATTTAAAAAATGTAATATCTTCTGCTGAAAAGTTCACTTATAAAAATAATTATAAATAATCAATGTATAAAGCTATTAATAAATTATAAACTTACTCTTAAAACCTGGTGGTACTAGTGGTAATACTTCTAAATTGGCATTGATCATGGTTGTATCATAAAAGTAGGTAGATAAACTACCCAAAGAATTGGTAACAAAGAATATTGGTTGTGTGGTGACAGCACTTGAAGGCAATACATAGGAGAATTCACATTCATATACTGAAGTATTGTTGTCGGTTTCTACCATATTGACTAATGTCATATCTTTATTGTACAGGTTCCAAACATTGAAAATACCATTGTTTTGAATACGTGTACGAATAACAAATGAATAGGAAGAGAATACTAAATACTCGATACTGATGATTGACTCTTGCTTTGGCGTTGGTAGTACTGGACTTGGTGATTGTACAGAGACTGAACCAAGTAGATTTTCAATGGATATTAAAATTATATAAAAATCGGTATATTTAGTACTGATAAAAGAATAACTATAGTTAAAACCACCATTGGTATTGTCAGTAATGTATCCCAAAGGGAAATCCATCTTGATCGATCTTCTAAGATAAACAGTATGGACATCGGAAAGATGATAGTTCATTTGTGATATTAGCTCCCCTACTTCAGAGTCGACCTCTGAATTTGCTTTAATGGAAAAAGTTGGATTTTGTTGGATTCCAAAAGTGAAATCGGTAATATGAGTGGAGTTTAAATCATTGCAATACAAACTAAATGTTGATGATGTACTAAATTCAATAGTGAAATACATATTGTATAATCCATTGTCATAACTACCAAGAAGTGGAATAAATTGTGAAACTGGAACAGTAGAACTATTTGAATAGATAATCAATCTTGAATTCACCTCGATAGCACTAACGATTGAATTTACAGATTGACTGTAAAACACACCAGTTTCCATAATTGTATTATTCTTTGGGAACGGATAAATATTTAAAATATTGGTTGTTCTAACGACTGTTAAAAAAAATTAAAAAATTAATTATAATTAATAATTTAAGATGTAATATATTTTCTTACAATTATCTGGATATGGGAAAGGTATACTAATGGTTTTTCTTAAAGTTGTATTTGTACTACCCATGATACCAATTGTAATGAATATTCCATCGGTGGATTGATAGTTTGGACGAGGTAAAAGCTCCATTCTATAGTAATCTTTAGAGTATTTGGCCAACTCATATGCTTGGATAGAATTGTTTGGATTTCTAATAATGATGAATTTTGCATTGGGCTGAGGGTTTGTAATACGCAGAAAAACACGACCAGGATACTTTGTGCCAAAATCGTTGATCCAAAAGAATGGTGTGATAGAATCGACTGCGGGTGGCTCCGTAACTGGCGAACATTTATAGGTATCTAAATAGACGGTGTACATGGCATTGTTGTCATCGGTGACATTCAAATACAGCGGGAAAGTACCTGGTTGAAATGAACTGAATTGGATTTGAACCGATTGGTATGGCATATTCACCAGAATTGACTTTGGTGATATATTAAACGGTTTCGATTGAAGTTTGTAAAAACTAATCGATACGTTATGATTGAACATAACATTATAATTTACAGTCGTACAAATGGTATCACTAACATAGTCGGGACCAATTAAAATAAATTTTTCAATAGTTAATCCATTTACCAAAACTAGAAAAAACAATATAAAATAAAAATTATTAATGATTAGAAATAAATTATCTAACAGTTATTAATTATTAATAAATTAATTTACCATTATTGAGATATAGAGAAAAAAATAACAATGATAGTAAATAATAAATTTTCATTTTTTAAAATTAAATAAAATAAAGAATGAACAAATAATCTTTTATCAATTATTTGAAATATTATTTAGATTTATGAATTAGAAAAGTGAAATGAAATATTTTGTCTTTCTGGATTGGATCAGACCATTAGTTCTAATAATGTCAAAAAAAATAGTGGTTGATTTTTCGATAGAACCCTTTTGATAGATATTTTGAATAAAAAAACTAGTGAGGAGGTGGATTGGTATGGATGGAGAAGAAAAAATATCAAAAGTCGGAATTTTTGATTTTTTTTTTTGATTGTTCCTCAAAAAGAGTGGAAATTATGGTTGGTGGGCCTAAAATAAAATCGAGAAATCTGAGGGATCTCATCTTACCATGGTCGTATTGCAAGTGTCAGGCAGTATCGAATAAAACCAATCTTATCAGACGCTGATACCAACTAATACGACTATTACTAGACACATTCTTTTTTGATCTTGCATGTAGAAAAAAAAAAAGACCTTATTTAATCGATAGTGATTGCGTTGCAAAAATAACAATAAAATTTTAACTTGAATTAAATAATATCTTTTCAATTTGAACTCGAAAAAAAAAGAAAAAGAAAATAAGTTTGTTTTTTATAGGTCGATTTTCTAATTTAATAGTTAATAGATAATAATGTTAGAATAATAATGGAAAAAAAAAAAAAAGAAAAAAAAAAGAAAAAAAAAACAAAACATAACATAACAAAATACCTCTTTTTTTTTCTCAAGAGGAGAAACTATTTTGAATATAACAAATATGAAGTTGTTGATAATTGATTATACTATAGATGATAATTTAATTAGTGATAACATTGTTTGCAAACAATGATTTATTCTTATGTGGTTTTCGCCAAAAAAAACGTGGTACCACCTCTTGCAAACAAAGATTAAGAAAAAAATGAAAAAAAAAAAATTTTATTTTCTATTTAGGCTTTTCGAAAAGTTGCTTTTAAAGTGTTTTTTATTTGAATATATTTATCTATTAATAAATTATATAATATTACAATCAATAACATGTTAAGATTAGAAAATTTTTGGGAAGATGAATGTCAACAACCATTGTTGCGTTTGGATCGTGGTTTCATCAAAGAAGAAGGTGTCGATAAGGTAATAATAATAATAATATCATAAATAGATAAATAATAGTTAGTTAGTTACTAGTTAGTTAGTTAGAGAGAGGTTGGTGAAATGATGAGAGTTGGTTATTTATTGTTTTTGAGAGTATATAGTTTTAATTTAACTCTATTTCTTTCTATCTAATTAGTAGTAGCAAAGTATTCAATAATATTAATAATAATAATAATAATACAATCTAGATTATAGAGAGAATGGGAAAATGGAGAGAACTCATTGGAATTAAAGACAGTGAAATTACACCAGTTGTCTATGGAACTGAAGAACCACAACGTATCTTTGTTCTCGATGCCGAAAGAACATTCCAAAACATTGATAGTAAAGCAAAATTAGTTAGAATCTTAAACTATTTAAATAAACAGTAAGTTAGTTATATAGTTATATAGAGAGATAAAGTTAAAAAGATTGATAAAAAGTATTGTTTGACTAACAAATACCATTTTCTTTCTATTTTTTTATTTTAAAAAGATTTGGAGATTATCAACAAGGTCTTTCATATGTAGCTAGCTTTTTGATGCTGGGTATGGACGAGCATCAAGCAATTGTAACACTTGAAGAGATCAATAAAATGTTGCCAGGCTATTGGAAGCATGAAGCAACCAATTTCGGTATTGAAGCATTTACATTCTATCATATATTGGGTGATTTCCATCCAGAGGTGAAGGCACATCTCACCAAGCACTTGATTGACCCAGCAACTTTTTGTCAACGTTGGTTCTCGGGATTGTGTGTCCACTGTCTGCCATTCCGTCAATTGTTCCGTTTCTACGACCAGTTCTTTGAGAACGGTCGTGAGTTCTTGTTGCGCTTCGGTATCTCGCTGATGGGTGTCTTCTCGAAACAGCTCTTGGCAGCAAACAGTTACAATCAGTTGTACAGTCTCTTGGTGTTGGACTACAAGGTTGTAGAGATCAGCGAGGACCAATACAACGCTATTTTCGACGAAGCATCAAACTATGACATCTCCAAGTACGATCTACCAACCATTCGCCAGGAGCAGTTTGATAAACACTTGAAAGCACGTTTCGAATCATCGGCAAAGGCACTTCAAGAGGTTGAAGCGATCGACGACTGTCAATGGTGTCTCGACAACCTTCCAGAACTCTATTGTATCGATTGTGCTGTTGTCATCTGCCAAGACTGTGTAGACGACGGTAAAGGTGACGAACACAATCACACAGACGAACATAAAGTCATCACACTCGAAGAATATGAAGATCGTCAAGCAGAACTCAAAAAGAAAAAGACCGACGATGATATCACAGCTAAATTGTCAAACTTATCAATTTAAAGAAATATAAAATTAAAATAAAAATAAATAAATAATAATAATACAATATATAATAATATCAAATATATAGATAAATTCATATATATATATAAGCAAATTTATGTTTATTTATTTAAAATATTCTTATTCTTATTCTTTCTCTTCTTCTTTAATCCTTCATTTTCAACATTACCAGATTCATTTATCTTATTATTATTGTTATTAAATTTGTTATTATTATTAGAATTGTTATTTGATTTGTTATTGGTTGTTGTTGTTGTTGATGTTGTTGATTTCTTATTGTCGGGTTTAGAAGCGAATCCAGATTTGGTGGGTTTGTTCTTGCCAGCCTTTGGAACAAAAGTCTTTTCTGACCAGGTATGATATTTGGATGCATGTGCAAATTGACGTTTGTGTTTGGTACCATCGGATTGACCACCAAACATTTGGTTGATGTATGGTGCCATCTTTTGGAGTGGAACCATTCTCTCAAGTTCTTTATCATCTTTCATCAGAATGTCATCCAATGACATACCGTAATCATCGGCATCAACTTTAGTATATTTAAATCTAACTGGTGTATCATCAATCTATAATAATAAATAATCATATCATTAATAAATATTATAATGAAAATAAATATTTAAATTAAAAGTTTACATACCATTTCTTGATAATCCATTCCATAGTAATTATCCAACATTGATTCCAATTCTTTCTTTTCACGCTGTATTCTTTCTTCATCCCAATCCTCTTCACCTTCATCGTCTTCATCATCGAAAATACCACTTTCAATAAGTTGATTTATACTGAATTGATTGTCACCACCTTCCTCATCGTTGTAGTTGTAGTCACCACCATCCTCTTCATTGTAATCACCTTCATCTTCATAATACTCTTGATCTTCATCATCATCATATTGTTGTTGTTGTTCCACTTTTTGTTTCTTTGATGACTTTATTTCCTTCATTAATACGGATGGATCCATCTTCTTGAGGTCAGCATCTGACATGTTGAATGCAGTAGATCCAGTGATTTCGTTGATCTCTTTCAATTTCTCGAGGATCTCTTTCTTCTTTTCGTTCTTGTACTTCTTTAGTTTCTCTTCGTTCTGTGTTTGCTCTTGCTCTTGACGTTCACGCTTCTTGGCACGCTTCTCTGCACGCTTCGAGGTGGTACGACGCATCGAGTCATCGACTTGACGTGGATTCGATACGATCACTGTAGAACCGGCCTCTTCGAAACGGAAATTGAATGACTTTTCATAGAGTGCCTGCTTGTCCAAGTCTTTCTCGTCCTGTTCCATCTCATCGACAATCTCCTCGTAGGTCGGCAACTTGGTCTTGTCGGTCATCCACTTTTGACTGAGAATGTAGTCACGAAGGAATTTCTCATCGTCATCGACCTTCTTGCTACGCCAGTAGTCATCGACAGCTTCGGTATCGACATATCCCTTCTCTGAAATTCTCTTTTTAAACTCTTCAAACTCCTCATTCTCTTTCTCTTCCTCTTGTTCGGTTCTCTTTTCTCTTTACGAGAAGTCCGTCGTCGCTGTCATCACTATCAGCATCATCACTATCCTCATCTTCATCGGCCAACTTGAAAGCATTCTTTAAATGTTCTTGTTTTCTATTGTATGACATCTCTTCGAAATCTTCTTCTTCTTCTTCTTCTTCCTCTTGTTCTTGATAGTTTCCTTCATCTTCCTCTTCTTCCTCTTCTTCATCATCCTCTTCATATTGATCTTTATCCATTGTTGATAAAATCTTATCTCTATTAATTTGTTGAAGAGTTATCTTTTGCTTTTGATTGTCTTTGTTGGCATCGGATGGATCTGCAATTGGACGGTCTTTCTCATCAAAGAATCTGAGTTCTTTGTTGTATAATGATTTATCCTTGTTCTTCAACATTGGCAACAGAGTCATAAAGTCATCATTCCATGTTTTCGAATCGAATTTAGCATCTTCATCTTCACTTTCTACTTCTGAATCAGTTTCATCTTCATATCCTATAGAGTTGTTATAATTTTAATTATAACAATAAGTTAGTTTAGTAACTAAACAAACGCATTATTTTTTTTCAAAACTTACTTTTTTGTTTTCTTTTATTTTTTTTAATTAGTATTCTTATTCTTTTTATCTTTATTTATTACATTCTTTTTTTGTTGGTTATCAGATTCTGATGAGACTTCTGATGATTCTGATGATTCCGATTCTGAAGATGAAATATCTTCTTTTTCTACTTTTTTATTTTTAGATGACATTTATTATTATTATCTTTTGATAAACTTCAAATTAGTAATAAATAAATAGAGGAAGTAATATAAAAAAAAAAAAAAAGAAACAATCGTTTTTTTTTTTTATAAAAAAAAAATTAAAAAAATTAAAAATAAATATTTTTTTAAAAAAGCGAATGTTTTGTTTTTTTGACGAAAGATAAAGTTATGTTTAGCTTCATAAATTTGATCTATTAATTAAATTAGTTGTTCTATTTTTTTTCTATTTATTTTATTTTTTAATTTGTTTATAAAAAATAGATATCAAAGATAAATAAATAAATAAATTAGATAAAAAAAACCAACCAAAAAACAATGAATTTATTAACTACCAATGGTGTAAAGATATTCAATGTCTCTGCTGGTAAATCATTACCTGAATGGTTATCAGAGAAGAAACGTGATGAATTAAGAAAGAATCAAGGTAATTTCAATATTTTATAAAATATAATCATTAATTTCAATTAATTAAAATAATGAATCAAACAAACAGAGTTTAGACAAAGAATAGAATTGATTCAAGATTTCTCATTTGAAACATCATCAAGAAGAGTAAAGATTACACCAGATGGACAATATCTTATGGCAACAGGAATCTATCCACCACAGATGAAAATCTTTGAGTTATCACAATTATCATCAAAGGTCACTCGTACAATGGATGCTCATGTTGTTCAATTCGAAGTGAGTATACATAGGTTTTATCTATTAATACATTGACTTGATTAATATACTTATCATATCTTATTATATTTATTTATAGATATTATCTGAGGATTATTCAAAACCAGTATTTTTAAGAGATGATAGATATATTGAATTTCATGCTAAATTCGGTACCTACTTCCAAACTAGAATTCCAAAGTTAGGTAGAGATATGACATATCATAAGCCGAGTTGTGATCTCTATGTTGGTGGTGCCGGCAATGAGGTGTACAGATTGAATTTGGAGGACGGTCGTTTCGTTGCACCGATGGTCACCGACTTGCCAGCGGTCAATGTCATCGCACAGAATCCAGTGCATCAGCTGATGATGTTTGGTGGTGAGAACGGTGTCATCGAGTGTTGGGATCCAAGACAACGTGAGAAGGTAGCCGCCATCAATGCCGGTGCAGCCGCTCCCAACTCTGAGTACGACGTCGAGATCAGTGCCGGTCGATTCGGTCCGGACGGTCTGTCGCTCGGTCTCGGAACGTCGACAGGCAGTGTCATTCTCTACGATATCCGTTCGCCCACTCCGCTGATGGTGAAACATCATCAATACCAACTCCCGATCAACTCTATCAATTTCCATACCTATGGAGGTGTGACACGTCTGTTGTCGGCAGACTCCAAGATCTTGAAGGTTTTCGACAAAGACACTGGAAAGATCTTTATGGTTCTCGAGCCAAAGAGTCCAATCAACGATGTAACAATCATCGATGGAACAGGTCTACTCTTGATGCCTGGAGAAACACAAAAGATTCAATCATACTACGTACCATCGCTTGGACCTGCACCCAAATGGTGTTCATTCCTTGACAATCTCACTGAAGAACTAGAAGAAGATAAACAACTAGTATATGAAGATTATAAGTTTATTACAAGAGATGAAGTTGAAAAGTAAGTAATAATAAGTTTGATTTTAATATATATATATTTATGTATACTAATGAATTTATTTGTAGGTTGAATATATCACATTTGATTGGTACAGGATTCTTAAAGGCATATATGCATGGATTCTTTATACATATTAAGTTGTATAATAAGTTCAAGTCATTGGTTGAGGTAGATGGTTATCAAGAGCATAGACAGAACAAGATTAAGGAAGAGTTGAACAATAAGATCGTATCGAGAGTATCGGTGCAAAAGAAGGAGACACTGGCCAAACCAATGGTTAATAGCAAGTTGGCAAACAGATTGCAAGCTATCAAGTTTACACATAGAGGTGACGAGATGGAGAGAAAGGTGGAAGAGAAAGAAGCACCTACAAAGGCATTGTCTGATACTAGATTCGGAAAGTTGTGGACAGACAAGGCATTCGAAGTCGACGATGAATCAACAGAGTTTAGAAGACATAATCCACGTGATAAACTAAAGAAATTAGATACTGCTATCGCCGATTATTTCGAAGCCGTAGATGAAGATGATTATGATGATGATGATGAAGAAGAACAACAAGTTAATATTAAACCAACAACAACAGCTAATAATAATAATAGAAAAGAATTGGATGAAATAGATGAAATTATGGGTGATGGTGAAGAAGAGGATGATAATGATTATGATGATGGAGAAGATATGTATATTGATACCAATAAATCGAAAAATAATAGAAATAATAATAATAGTAGTAATAGTAATAAGAATAAAGTTAATATGTTTGAAATTCAACAAGGTCATTCAATATCATCACTTTCCAACAAGAGTAAGAATAGTCAGATATTAAAGAATGCACCATTTTCGATTAGAGTGGATCGTGACGAAGGTAATGGAAAGTCTGGTTCACTAAGAGATGCTCAAGTAGTAACAAAAGATAGTGGTGATTTAGAAATATCTTTTGTTCCATCCAAGAAATCGGGTGGTGGTCGTGGTGGACGTGGTGGTAGCCGTGGAGGAAGTAGAGGTGGTAGTCGTGGAGGAAGTCGAGGTGGTAGCCGTGGTGGAAGTCGTGGTCGTGGTGGAAGGAAATAAGTAATAAAATTAAAAGATAGATAATAAAATAAAATAAAATAAAAATCATATATTTAAATTATAACATGTTTATTTATTTAATTTATAGTTTATTAATTGTAATTATACCATTATTTGAACCTGTAATGAATTGATTCTCAATCGATTTATTCCAATCTATTGATTTAATATAGTTTGGTTGATTGATATTTGATTCGATTGTTGATGTAACTGTTTGTTTTGTTGATAAATTGTAGATCTTATAGGTACGATCATCGGATACAGTTGATAACTGATCATTGTTGAATGGATTGAATTTAATTTGATTGATCGTTGCTCTATGATGTTGTTTAATTGTCGATTGTGTATAACAGTTGTTTCTAGTGTCTATCGATAGCAAGTCACCATTGTCCATTCCACACCAAACGATATTATCGGTGTTCCAATTGATTGATCTAACTGGTATATCTGCATGACGATGATTCGTCAGCTTCACTGTGGTAAACGATGACTTTGAACGGCTATCAGAGAGAACTACTCTGCCAGTTGACGAAGACACAAAGAGATCGGCATCTTTAGGGGACCATTGAATTGCATTCACCTCACTCGTATGCACATTGAATTGCATCGATTTACATCGATTTTCAATATCCCACAACTTTATAGTTCTATCATTGCTCGCAGTCAATAATCTATTAGAGTCATGATGATTTACATCGATACTACTGATTATATTATCATGTGCACAATTTAATAATATTTCAATAATATTATCTCTTCTTTTTTTTGGTACAGGTGGTTTATTTTTATTATTACTATCATTATCATTACTACTATTAGTTGTTGTTGTTGTTGATAGATAATTCAATATTTGTAGTGATGTATCATCGATTTTTAAAAGTGAAATAGCACCACTATCAGATGAGAATATTAAAGAATCATCAGATAACCATCTTAGACAAGTGTTACCAGAGTTGGTGTTGTATTCTAATGAAGATGACAGTGGTGTCTCTGTATTTAATATTGTGATTTGACCATTCCAATATGATCCTGTCAAGTTTGATAATGCAACACCTATATATCTATCACTTGGAGAATATGAGATAAAATCAACTGATTGATTTTTTATTATTTGATTATTTGTCATTGTAAAACTAACTCTTTTACTATAAAATTACAATGATCATCTGCAAAATCAAACAAATGTTTATTTTTACAAAAAAAAAAAAATTCTTAAAATAACCATTTTTTTTGTTAACATCATTAAAATTCTTTTAAAAAGACAAAACATAAATTTGATCACAAATAAAGATAGAAATAAAATATCAAATTCAGACTATTTTTGTGAAGGTTTAAATTATGTGGGTTTACAAATTAATCATTTTTTTTCATTAAAACTGTCAGATATTTGTTAAATTTAATTAAGTGGTGTGTGATGAAATTTTTTTTTTTAATTAATTTTTTGCAACATTGGAATTAAAAATAATATAGATAGAAATTGTTATAACAATGAAAGGTGGTTTTAATATACAACAATTAATTACACCTTTTTTTGTTTTAATTCTAATTTTAACAATTTATAATAATGATGTTGGTGTTTATGGAAAGGTTTCATCTACCAAATCAACAGGTTCATCATCATCATCATCATCAAAGACAATCAATGCATTCTTGATACCTCATAGTCATTGTGGTATGTTATTTACAAAGAAATACAATAAAAAAATTAAAAAAACACAATAAACAAAATTTTAATTTTATTCTTAAAAAAATAAAATAAAAAGATGTTGGATGGGTACAAACCTATGAACAATATTTCACAGAGAATGTTACTGTAATACTTAATAATGTTGTAAATGCATTATTAAAAGATCCATCAAAGAAATTTAATTGGGCTGAAATGTAAAGAAAGAAAGATTTAGTAATGTCAAACATTTTTATTAATATATATATATATTATTAATTTTAGTATCTATTTTAAAAGATGGTGGGATGAACAAACAGATTTCACACAATCGCAAGTACGTCAGTTGGTACAGAATAAGCAATTAGAGTTTGTTGGTGGTGGTTGGGCACAAAACGATGAAGCGGTAACTCATTATCAAGCTGTGCTAAACCAGATGACAATTGGACATCAATTCCTCTTGGGAACATTTGGTGTGGTTCCGGAATGTGGTTGGCAAATCGATCCGTTCGGTCCGTCCACTATCACTGCGATGCTCTTCAAGCTGATGGGTTTCAAATATCACATTATCAATCGTGTGGACGAGCGTATCAAGTACGTATTCAACACTACACCCGATATCGAGGGTTCGGGTTCGCTGATTACCGATCGTTCCTTTGAGTTTATGTGGTATCCTTCCCCCAGCTACGGAAAATCACTTTCGCTATTCACCCATATTCTCGATGACCACTACAATTCACCGCAGATCTGCTATCCCAATGCTACCAACCCGAATATTACTATCTGTACGGGTTTCGATTTCGAATCGGATCCATCGTCGAATCCACCAATCAACTCGAGCAACATTGCCGAACGTGCAGAGATCCTGGTTGGTATCATCAAGGAGCGTGTACTCTACTACCGTCACAACAACATGTTGCTTCCGTTCGGTAATGATTTCCGTTTCCAAGATTCAAATCTAGAGTTTGACAATATGGATCAGTTGATAGAGTATATCAACGCCAATAGTTCATTCAATGTAAATATCCGATATGCAACACTCAGTGAATACTTTGAAGCCGTAGAGGCAGAGACACAACCGACCGACTTTCCCGATATCAATGGTGAAGATTACTATACCTATACTATGTGTTTGGGTGTTGACTACCAAAATTTCAATACCTGTGTAAACTATTGGTCTGGTTATTTCAGTAGCTATCCACTGCTTAAGCAGACCATTAGAAACTCAGACACCTATCTCAGACACATCGAGACACTCTATTCATTGGCGAGTGCAACACCAAGTTCTAAATTCACTTTCAATAGTCAGGCGATATTCCAAGCACTTGCACTCCACCGAAATGTTAGTGGAATCCTTACACATCACGATGCAGTCACTGGAACAGCCAAAGAATATGTTCGTAACGATTATTTCAATATGTTGTGGAGTGCTCAAAATGCATCACTCGATGTTATTCCATCGATGATCTCATATCTATTGGCCAATGAATCGATAGAGTATGGATTCGACTATCAAGATGCTCTACTAAAGGGAATGACCATAGGACAAGTAGTTGTTGTATCACTGAGTAACAGTGTCGCATGGAATAGAGTAGAGTATGTGCACTTCCCAGTTGGTGTTCAAAACTATGCTGTCTATGATTTCAACCAACAGCCGATTACCTCCCAAATCATTCAACGATTCGACAAGGACAATGAATGGGAATTATATTTCGAAGCTACAGTGCCAGCCTTGGGTATCTCTACCTATTTTATCATGTGTATCGGTAATAGTAATGACCAACAATATAACTATGTACCAAACTCCAATGACTTGGAGTATCCAATTCCATCATATGTATCGAAACCAATTGAAATTAGACCGACCGAGGATCTTGATGTAGTGATTGGAAACACTCAATTTGAATTACATTTCCAACCGAATCCAGATAATAATTATCTTTTAGAGTTGAAATACTATGTTGATTTGAATCACAATGGCAATCGTATTGAACTAAATCAACAACTAGTAGAATACGACTCGATGACCGACGATTGCTATAAGTTTAGAACACATGGATACGCTCATCCTTTGGATGCAACTGCTGCCCAATTCTATCTTACCGAAGGACCAATTGCATCGATGGTAACCGTTATCTACCGTAACAATGTTACACAACTCTTTACCGTCTACAATACAACTTCAATGCAATCGGGATCGGGTGCACAGGAAGATCAATACTTTGAAATTGAAAACGTTGTCAGCGTTGGATTTGACCATGAAATATCGATGAGATTCAACTCATCCATTGACAATGGCAAGGTATTCTACACCAACAATGGTTTGGAAACCATTGAAAGAGTTTGGACCGAAAAGTATAATGATTCACATGTTTGGAGTTTGATAGCTGGTAATTTCTATCCAACTATAAACACTGGATTCATCACAGATGAAAATAGTGAATTGGTTGTGTTGAATCGTCAATCCATGGGAGCAAGTAGTCAGGCCAATGGACTATTGGAATTCCTCTTGATTCGTAGATCCAACTACACACAATGGTCTATCCACGAGACAATGAACGATACAAGCTCACCACGTATCAGATCGAGAATTCTAGTCGGACAGCCAAACACTGTAGAGCTACGTCGTACACCACATTCCATACTCCATGAGAATGAACTACTCAAGATGTTTGCTCCGGTCAAGGGTAACTCGATTCGTGAGTGGTGTCGCCAAATGCAAACCCAATATCTACCATTAAAAGGTGATCAATTCCCACAGAACCTTCATCTTTTAACACTCAATCGTCAATGGGATGATAACCAAGAGGTTTTAATGCGTCTTATCAACATCTATGAGATTGGCCAGAGCAATATTTACTCGAAACCATTAACTGTTACATTCCAAGAGATATTCACACAGTTTAACATTTCATCAGTTTTAGAAACAACACTAACTGCCAATGCAATAACCAATGCCACTCTCCCAATTGCAATTACACTCAATCCAATTGAAATTAAAACATTCACCATGTCATTCAATAGTCTACAACAATCAGAATCCAATCAACAAAATGACAATGAATTAAATCAAATCATTATAAATTAAATCTAATCTAAATAATAACATGTATTTCAAACTAAATAAATCATTATAAAATTGTAAAAAATTAAATTATTTAAACAATAAACATATGTGATCAACATTTATTTTATTTTAAAGCTTTATATTTACCCAAGGGAAATTAAAAGTATCTGGCATTCCTATATGTGATACATCTGGCCAATCAGACCAAGAAAATGGTGGACAATCAGATGTGACAGTCGGACCATTATATGCCATTACAGTGTATGTTTCAAACATGGCAGCATTCATAGCTTTACCATCGATTCCACCATGTGTTCCGTGATAGAACCAAGAGTATGGGTTCATCGGTGTAGCTGCAATATCATATCTAGCAGATATAGCATTTCCTGGATATCCATCACTGTAGATATCGGTCTTGTATTGATTATAGAGAATCATTGATTGAATGTCCTCTACTGATTCAACTGACGATTGATCACGACGGAATATATTTGCTCTGGGATTGTATTCATAGGTAAAAAGAGAACCATAGGTCTCGCTGTAATATGGATATCCAAGGAGATCGTAAACCTTGAGGAAATAGGGACGATTGAAAGATCCCCAGTATCCATGCTCTAAAAGTGAGAATGTGACATCGGCAGCTTCGTATCCACCTGGGTACTGTTCCACTATCCAAAGTAAACCTGGACCTGGCATTTGATTGGGTGTGAACAGCTTGTAGTCGACAACCATAAACTGGATATTGTTGGTTCCAGAGTTATTCTGAATATAATAGTAAACCCAATCAAATCCATTCGATGAAAGACGATTGGCCACTAAATTTCTGACCCAATACAATAGAGATTGAGGCTTAATTAGAGTGTAGAGTGTTTGGTTCAGAATGGAATTGAGTGTCTCTGTCAACATCAACTTGGATGGTCTGATCATGTAGAAATCATCGATAGATACCAATAGTCCTGGATAACTTGCAAAGAGTGTTTCATATCCATTAGGAGTAGAGGAAACTGGTATTATAATTCTCTTGTAGATACGAATCATATCACTATAGTCTGCCCAAGTGGTATGAGCAACTATCAAATCCGAGTAGTTGGAAGTCAACTTTATCAAGGCAGTACAATGACCACCAGTTGCCATATACTCCTCAACATCTGATCTTGACATTGGTTTAAATTCGTCATTGTTTCCAGTTGTAGCAGATATGATATCTCCAATATCACCATACAAATTTAATAAATAGATTTCTAAAAATGATAATTCCTAAAAAGCAAAAATAAGTTAAATATTAATTCTAAACATCTTTATAAAATTATATTTACTTACATAAATAGGATCTGAAATGGCAGTATTATAACCTTCGTATACTCCATTTAATTGGTCAAAAGCATTACTAACTTGATTCCAATAAATATCATTGCTATTGATGTTGGCTGCTATTTGAGTTTGCATATAATCAATGTTATCACTAACAAAGTTTACAACACCCATTGGGAATTCCTTTACATTAGAAGTATTGAAATTGGATTCAAAATAGTTGACGGAAAAGTTATAAATATATTTCCAAGTAAGATATCCTTCAAGATAACCGGCAGCTTTGAATGCAATGGACTCGTCACTGACCGATGATCGAGTTTCTACTGCCAACTTTCCCCATCCATCTAAAAACAATTCATCTTTGAACCAACCCTATTTTTTAAATTAATATGTTAATTAAATTTTAAAAAAAAATATTGTTATGAAATCTATTACCCAGGCTAGTGAATCATTAACATCCTTTCCTGGAATAACTTTAAAATCTGAAGTTAAAGAATACCATTGCTTATCTAGTTCATCTAAAAAAATATTATCATTAACAATATTATTATTTAGTGAAGATACAGAAGAGATAAATAAAATATATAACAAAGATATAAATAGTATTTGTTGATGTTGCTTCATTTTACTATTTGATTTTTACAAAATAAAATCTAAATAAAAATGTAGGATTTTTGGATCCCAAGATATTATTTTTATAAAGATTTAATCATTCAACAATTTTATAAAAAATGACCAGGGTTGAGATTTTTTTTTTGGTGGGTCTCAAGCATCCCCATAGGGATTTTTCAAGTTCCTTTTTCATCACTCTTGATATTTATAATCTTAAAAGTGTTTATACCATCCACTGATAATACAAATAATATATATAGGGACAAAAAAAATTTTGTATATTGTTTTTAAATGAAATGATATAGTTTTGAATAAATACTAGCATTAATCAATTTAGATTAATTAAATAATATAAAAAAATACAATGAGTAATAAGATGTCGATCTTACCGCGTCCTTTCTTTCGAAAGAAAGATTGTCTCCGTGTCTCATAAATGACACCAATAAAATAAACGTAAAATTTTTTTGTGATTTAGTTTTTTTTTTTTTTGGTGATCAAATTTCCAAACCAATTTATTTTGATTAATATTTTTATTTTTCAAGATATTTATCTATTTCTTCTTTAATTTCGAGGTCATTATGATTTCTTTTTAAAATTATTATTATTTCAAATTGAATTATCATTTAATATTTGATCTAACGTTTCAAAACCAAAAAAAAAATCATTAAATCAAATCACATTTATTTTATATATTAAAAAAAAAAAACAAGCACTAACCAAATAAATATCTGTGTGGTTTTCTTTAATGAAAAGGTGAATCAACACAGTTCACCAACTGAAACCTTCAATCAAAACAAAATAAAATAATAATTTAAAATAATAATATTATTAAATATACAGACAGGATAACAATAATAATTTAGATCGTCATTGATTATCAATCAAAACACATTGATTTAAAACATATGTAAATAAATTACATTGATTCATTTACATTAAAATGAATTTCTTTCAACAAGTAAGTGATAAATTACATTAATTATAAATTTCAAAATATTAATAATATCTTTTTTTTTTTTTTGTATTAGCTAAAAAAGAAGATATCATCAGATGATAATGAAGTATTCAATTCAACAGTTTCAGGATTTATGGGAATACTACCACCTCCACCTGGACTATCACCTATCAAACCTATTACAACAACAGACAATAGCAGTAGCAGTAGTAACAATAATAAATCAACAAAATCAAACAAGATCAATACAAAGTCGAATTTGAAACAATCAACAAACAATGCATCTTCTTTAGCAAGTTCAACTTCATCATCTAAATTGTCAAAGAGACATCACCACCATCATCATCATAATCACAACAATAGAAAAGCAGTTCCACATTGTAAGCTAGTGCCAGCACAGATTTCAGATTCACTCTTATCAATTGCAACTAAATTCAACATGACAGAAGAAGATCTTATGATATTGAATAGATTAACTTCAAGATATTTATATAATGGTCAAGTAAGTAATGAGAGAGAAAAGAAAAGAGGAATCATAAACATATTAACAATTTAAACTAATATTATTATTATTTATTAGATTATAATGACATGTTTAAATTTTAATATCAATACTATTATTAGACCTATTGTATATAGTAACTATAAAGCACCACCACCATTATCATTGAGCAGTAGTAGTAGTAATAGTAGTAGTAAGAGTGGATTGGATATTGAATTGTCAACATCTAGCAGTAGCATTGGCAAATCATCAAACTCTATTTTCCTACAGATGCATCAACAACTACAGCCACCATCATTAAACTCATCTACATCATCAACATCTACTCTCTCACCAATATCCACAAATGAATCAGACGAATATCTACAACATCAACTTTTACTACAACAACAACGTGAACAATATAAACAACTATTTGAATCTATTAAAATATCTTTTGATATCTTAACAACACCAACAACAACATCAACATCAACATTATCACAGCAACAACAACAACAACAAAATGTAAATAATCAACAACAAACACCACCAACAACAACAATAGATATTATTACATCATATAAATTATTTTTACCAGCACTTAGAGAAAAGAATGATTGGTATCCCTGTAGATTGTATGAGAATGAAACAAAACAAGATACTGCAGGTAATACAAGTGGTAATTACAGTGTTGATCTTTCAATGTCTTTCAATACAACACCGATGCCACTAATGAAAGATTCATTATTATCATTTAAAAATGTTATCTATTTCCTTGAAATGGATAGAATGGTATGTAGTAGCTAATTATAATAATAATATCTGATTGAAGAGAAAAAAGATTATATTAATATAATTATATAATAGCAAATACAATTACATGGTGTAATTGAGGTTAATAAGGAATTCTTGACATTTGCACCGATCTCTTCAAACTATTCATTCAATCGTATAGATATAGAGATATCTGATATTCTTGGATGGAAGTTTGATAGTTATCACAAGGATCATCTGTCATTGAATATCGATGTCGGTGCAAAGACTGGCAGTGCTGACCAAAAGAATATGATCACCGTATTTAAGATTTGGATAAAGTATGACGATGAGGAAGATGAGGAAGATGATTCCTCTGACGACGAGAGTAACAACGATATTATCAAGTACTTCAACGGTTTGACAAGCAACAGCAAGTCTGACAGTCGAAAAGAGTCTAGCATGGCCGACAGAAGCAGATCAGAACATGATAACAATCATCATACCGATGATGAAGATGAACAAGATGACGATGATGATGAAGATGAAGAAGATTTCGAAGAAAAGATATTTATAATCGATAGAACAGAGTATGTTATTTATTATAATGTTTTCTATATATATAAAGTTTATTAATATTATTTTATTTAATAATAATAATAATAATAATAGGATTGATATTGAGAATTATGAAACTATTTTAACTGGTATATTAGGTGCTCCAATCAACTCATTCTATCAACAGAAAACCAAAACAACAAATCAGACAAATGATAAGTCACCAGATGTAAACAAATCACCTACATCCACTGCTAAAGATATTGAGCATCCTCTACTAGCAAAGACTAGCTACTTGTTAGACAAAACACTAGCATCTACTTCACCCGATAAATCAAATCCATCAACTGCTTTACAATTAAATGCAAATAATCAACAACAACAACAGCAACAGCAACAACAAACACAAACACATCCTCTACATCATCTTCCTGGTAATTATAGTACAAGATTATTAAGTCTAAGAGATATTAAAGTATGTATTAAACTATCTATTATTAATTACCATATTTATTAACCATATATATATATATCTATTTGTTTGATTATAGCCAAGAGAAACAGAGATATTCAAAAAAGAGATACATTGTATATTCAACACAAGAAAGGTAAAGGGTATGTTGACACTTTTACCACATTGGGTTATCTTCCAAGGTGATCCAAAGGATGAGTATGTAAAAAAGGAAGGTAGTGTCAGATTCCAGTTGAACTACACAATGAATCAGGTATTGTCTTGCACAATGGACAGTAAATCAACAACCACCATAGCAGCATCACAACAACTCAAAGACAGCAGTGGTGATCTTCAATTTGGTATGGACTCTGATTCATCTTCACACCAGATATCCGATAATGAAGAATCAACAACAACAACAACAATAAATAATAATAATAATAATAATAATACAACAACAACATCATCATCATCACCACCACCATCACCAAACCTTTTCAACAGCAATAATATTAGTAATTCAATCACCACCACCGCCAATAACAACACTAACAACAGCAACACCAATGTTAATAATATTTCCAATGTTTTTATTACAATACAAATTACACCAACCATTGAAAAGACAATAGAGTTCCAATGTGAGAATGAAATGTAGGTATTTTAAACCATCTAATAGCAAGCACTATTATAAAGCTTTATAGTGGTTGTTTAAACAAGAATTAGCAAAAGGCAGAGGTGGTTTATTAATACTTCTAATAATATTTCTATTATAGTGCTGTATCAATATGTAATCAACTTAACATTTGGATGGCTGATGTAAAAATTAATAATACCGATGAATTGAGTGGTGTTGGCTCGAGTGCTACTATGATTTTGGATAACATCCTGCCATTACCACCCTTAATTAAACCAAACAGTCCTTCAACATTTGCAAAGACTCTTTTTAGATGGAATCGAACAGAATATGAATCAGACGAAGAAACAGAGTCTGACGAATACGATGAGCTTTTCATACCAAAACTATTTGGTGTATCTACATTTATTACTCCAGATGAAACTCTTCAGGTAAATAACTTATCATCATCATCATCATATATTTTTGATAATATTCCATGGACTTAAAATTTAATCAATTCTTTTTTTTTTTTTGATATTAGGTTATTCCTGATCTACCAGTTCTATATAGATTGTCAGATTGGGTATTGTTGTACAAGACTGAAAGAGATGGTATCTCAATGAAAACAATGTATGCAAAGACCTATTCACAGGGTGCATGTATAATTCTATTAAAAGATTTTAATAATAATGTATGTATCAATCAATCAATCAATCAATCAATATTATTTTGTTGGATCATTTTATTAATTTCTATTTATAATATTAGGTTTTTGGTGGATTTATTTCGGAATCTATCAAGGTTTCAAAATCATTCTATGGCTCAGGTGAATGTTTCTTAATGAAATTTAAACCAACCTATAAATCATATAAATGGACAAGAGAGAATAGATGTTTCGTACTCACAGAAGATAATTATATTTCAATGGGTGCTGGGTAAGATATATTGATTAATCAAACGATTTACTATAAATTTATATTAACGTTTCCAATAATTATTTTAGATTTAATGGAAAATATGGTTTGTGGTTAGACAGTGAATTTAACGAAGGAACATCATCTCGAAGTGAAACATTTGATAATGATCCACTTGCAAACGAAGAAGACTTCAAATGTGTTGGAATGGAGATTTGGGGATTTGTTTAAATTGTTTATTAAAAGTATTCAAGTAATAAAAAAAAACCAAAACTTTCCAAAGATAAATTTATTATCCAATTTTGCAAAACAATACAAATCTTTCTAGATTTTATTTGTATTTTTAATCAAGAGAATAGTCCAATAAAGGTATACGCATATAATTTTACTAATATAAATTTTATTTACTTCTTTATTATATTTCGTATGTCATTAATTTATGTTCAACATATCAGATAATTTTGTATGCCTACGACAAATTATTCTGGTATTACCGAATGTAAAAGATGAAGACTCCCATCTGGTTGTCACTCAATAATGATTAGTATACATTATTCAATTAATGTTTTACTAACTTATTTGATACAGACCAATCCGGCATTATAGGGTAGGCACACTATAAAACTATATATTTTAAAATGCACCACTTTAGAATATATAAAGGGCCGACTAGTCAATATTTCTAACTAAGGTGGTCAAGTTATTATATCGACTCAGCTACAATCTTTACAAATAAGATGTATGTAATTGAAAATCAATTTGGATAAACATTCTTACTCATTAACTATTTTGTTTTAAATAGAAAAATATTGTTGAGTAACAACAATAAAGGTGCATCGAACGAGCCACCCGGCTATCATGTATATTTTCTCCATTTTGATATGATAGTCGTGAATAATAATAGAATGGATTACCAGGGGCACACTCAGTGCAGGGAGTGGGTAAATAATCAAGTATATTCAAGATAACTAATTCAAATTTATTTTTCTCCAAAAAAGTATAGGTTAGTTTTGCCTTTAATTTGTTTATATATGGTATGTATCATTCTATAAATAAATAGATATAGGTAATACAATATAAGTACTGTATTAGTCCAGTGCACATTGTGCTGTCAACGCGTTACATATTTATATTCTTACACTATATTTCTATTTATTTACACTGCAGTGAATTAGCACCTAATTCACTTTCATTCTTCCATTCATCCATTCTTTCTTTCTTTCTTTCAATCTTTTATCCACCCATTCTTTCTTTCTTCCTTTCATACATTTATTTATTCATCCAGTAATTTATTTATTTCTCTATATATCTATTATATGTATTATATTTATTTATTTTTATTTATCTTAATATTTATATTTATTTATATTTATATTCATATATATTATTTTTATTCATTTATTCATTTATTAACTCACTTTCTTGTCAATCTACTATCATACAAAGTTGCTTTTTCGTATCGCTAACATTATACAATTGAATTTTATATGGTTATTGTTGATTTGATTGTGTTTGATTCAAATAAAAACCAAAAATTTAATATTTAGTGTAGATTGGCAAAGTGAAAGATTCCAGCTTTATATCCACTACTCAAGGAATAGATAGAAATTAAAGATCACATATCGTGTGTTGAACCATTTCTATTGATGTATGTGCTTTATTTAATCAGTAGGGTCCATTGTTAAATATCTATTTCGCTAGTTGCCAATCATTGATTTTCTCATATAAATTTCCCATATTACAATAACCATTTTTTGAACACCAATTTTTGATTGAAGATCTTTGAGAAATTGATTGAATCTTTCATAACATTGATAAATATGTCTGTCCCTGTATTCTTTGATCTCTCGGGTTCGTTGTAGCTTGCTCCGAACTCCGATGCAGATTGGACTCATTTTACCCATCGAAAAACAGAGGCCAAACTCTTTCAATTTTTTTTTAAAGAATAAAACAAACTTTATATTCTAAATCTACTATAAAAATACTTTCTATTTATCTAATTTTTATTAAAATCTAACAAGGTTTGATATTTTATTTTATTGTGAAAAAAAGCCACAACCACTATCATTGAAAAAAATTTAACAATGTTTAAAAAAAAAACACTTAACACATAGTGTTATTATTTTGTTTTTTTTGCAATTTTAGATTTTTTTATAAAACAAATAGTTATAAAAATGGGATCTATATTATCTATTTATAACAATAAAATAATAGCAATAGAGAATAGTAATCAAACAATACTTCCTGATATCACTTGGAGATATATAATAGAGTTATTAGCTGATCAACAGTCTAGATATCATCGACATGACTGGAATGTATTGACACTCTCATTGATATCACACTATTGGTTGGTGAAAATCATTGCAAAAGTGAATATAAGAATCACAACATTGACATCAAACACTGAATTCATTAAAAACTATCCACTTTCATATGAAAGATCATTATTAAAATTAAATAATAATAACAATAATAATAATAATAATAATAATAATAATAATAATAATAATAATAATAATAATAATAATAAAGGTTTAAAATTTAATCTAAGTAAATTAACATTAATATATGTAAATCATATCGATTCTTTTATACCTATATCTTCTTTATCTCAAAATGTAAAATTAAATCATTTCCGTTGGATAGAAGCCTACAATGATGCGTTGTCTAGATATTGGAGTGTAGATTCAATGACTATCATTAATCTACCTGGTGATCAGGGAGTCGAACAACTTTCAATCACCAGTGAACTTAGAGAGCTGAGAATCTACCTTTATGCTTCAACAGCCATAGTAGATGTAGCCAGTTTCCCTAAGCTTGAGAGATTCGCACTGAAACAAAAGTCTCAATATATAAAGAGCTCTTTCGATCTATCGAAAAAGTGCAATCTACTATCGCTGTCGCTGACCGGGAAATTCAATCATTACGATCTCTTTGAGAAAGCCGATCCTTCATGGTTCCATAGCATCCAATCATTCCAACTGAATCATGTTCAATGCAAATGGGATATCAAAACGAGTGCGCTCGATACGATGATCAAGATCGATCTATCGGCTTGCTTTATCAATGTTACACAACTGAAACTTGGTCATTCCTACCATAGAATTGCACTATACTATGCCATAACCAAGAACAACGGCAAGCCAATATCAATGTTAAGCGAACTGAGACATCTTAGATACCTATCGATTCGTGCCACTGTAAACAGTTTGTTATTTTTCCTCATGGACATGGCATCGATTGGTCATCAGCTTCACACTCTCAAGCTTAAAGTTGAGGAATCATATTTCGAACGTTATCTACTCTCTGCGTTCCGCCATCTATGCAACCTACAGAGACTGACCCTTGGGTTCTATCCTCTCAATGATCCAGCAATGATAACTCAAATATTGAAATATACTACACTCACTCGTCTATCAGCGAAAATTACAGATAACAGTATACTTGATTCATTAATAACAAATAACAAATCAATTATTTCATTAAAGATCTACAATCATCAGAATTCAGCGGAAAGACATCAACAACTTGTCAAGCTTTCTACAGAGAACGCAACCCTTCAGGACATTCGTTTGATGTGCAATGAAATCAACAATGACAGTGTCAACACATCGAAAATAACTTATATATTGCAAGATAAGAAATATAAATATCCAAAGAGTCTATGTGTTATCTGATTTATTCGATTCTTAAGTTCAAAGAGAAGATAGTTTAAGTATAACCACACTATGTTTTAATTTTTTTAAATAAAATGTTGTTTTATTAATCTTTTTTAAATAAATTCTAAACAGTGAGATCTTTAACTAATTAAAAAATGAAATTAAGAAATAGTTTTATATTTAATAAATTTATTTAATAAAATACGGTCCTCTCTATTACAAGTAGTAGATGAGACTCTAATAATAAGTTACCTGGTCATCTACCACTTGTAATAGAGGACTGTAAGATCCACATTCAGGCACCAAGCATTCACCTTCTCCAGGAACATAAATATCTTTTTCCAAGACAATGGAAATGGGTTACCAACCACCAATTTTGATTTTAGAAATTAGGAGAATAAGGCAATTAGACTTGTGACCCCATTGAATTCTTCTCAATGATAAGAATTCTGGATACCAAATTGATACAGTTTTGATTTTCTTTAATTTTTTTTGATTTCTTATTTTTATAATAATTTATTTTTTACAAAAAGATCAAAGTAACTAATTAATTATGAGTAAAGTGATACCAAATAATCAAACACCACTATCTGATATTATATGGAGATATAATAGAGTTACTAGCTGATAATAAATCGAGATATCATCGACATGACTGGAATGTATTGACACTCTCATTGATATCACACTATTGGTTGGTTAAAATCATAGCAAAAGCGAATCTAAGAATCACAACATTGACAACAAACACTGAATTCATTACCAACTTTCCACTTTCATATGAAAGATCATTATTAAAATTAAATAATAACATCAACTATTCGATCATCAGCAATAATCAGTATCACAGTAAAAATGATAATAATAATAATAACTACAAGTTCATTTTAACAAAGTTAACTATTATTTATGAACCTAGACTCTACTGTTGGATAGAAACTTATAATGACGCACTATACAAGTATTGGAAAGTTGATTCTATGACTTTTATTGATATACCTATCAAACAGAGCATAGGCGATCTCAAAGTAGCTGGTGAACTTCGAAAGCTAAGAGTTTACCGAGGAGTGATCAACTTCCAAATGTCAAGATTCCCAAAGCTAGAGAAGTTCTCATTGAAACAAACTGATGAACGCAACTCAAAATCATTTAATATCGATGATCAGAGTGATATCGATTCACTTCGATCACTTTCACTTGGCATTCATTTCAATACGCAGACTCCATTCAATCAAGCACAGCCATCTTGGTTCAATAAAATAGAGTCACTAGAACTTAACTACTTTGGATTTATAGACAAACCAATGATTGCCATCGATCTGTCGACTAGCTTTGCCAATGTTACACGATTGAAACTACATAATATCTATCCGAGAATAGTAAACTAGGCGATCGACTGCAACCGTGGTAAGATCGTTTCGATATTGGGCAGACTGAATCGACTGCGATATCTATCGATTTGCAGCTTCAAGCTTTTCAAATATCAAGCAAGTTTTGACACTTATTCCAACTCTACGTATGCTACCTTCCTGTTGGATCTACAATCGATCGGTCATCAACTTCACACACTGAAAATTCGAAGCAGTCGAATGGGTCTGTTTGACTCTCTTGACAATGCGTTTCCAGCGCTGATCAACCTAAAGAGACTGTCCATAAAGATCCACATGATCAGGGATTCATTGTTTGGTCAGATATTACACTCCAAAACCTTAATTCGACTTTCTTTCAATTCAAACTACAGCGACTCACTTGTTTCACTTATTAAAAATAGCAAATCAATACAAATCTTAAAGATAGAATGTTATTTTACACCAAACACCGAAATATGTAGAGAATTGGTAAAGATATCCAATGAAAATACAACTCTTCAGGAGATTCGATTAGTAAACACTCTAATCGATAGTATGAATATCAACTGCCAATCTAAACTTATATTCATAAGAATAGATGATAGTTATAAATCACCTAAAATTGAAAGTACCTAAATAATTGATTGTTTAGTGAATCAACAATAATATTAATAAATAATAAAAAGATTGTAAAATAAATAAAATAATATAAAATATATTGTTGTTGTTGTTGTTGTTGTTTAATGTCTCTTCTTCTTTGTTGCTCTGACTCTGAGTGCCTTCTTCTTTTCTTGATCGGCTGCAATGATCTCTGATGACTTTCTATCGATATAGTTCATAACCTTTTCATCTTCCATAATGTCACCGAGATTACCTCTCTTCTTTTCTCTGTTTGTAAATCTATTATAGTAATCTTCGTGATTATTGATGAAAGTACCGACTTCAAAGTATTTAGGTAGTTCTTTTGTGGCGTCTTTTGAACGCTTCTTTGTGTTATCTGCAAACGATTTCAATCTTATCAGCTCTGCCTCCAATTTCATCTCCTCTGTTATCTCACCCTCACCAAAACCGAACCATTTCTTATTCTCATGTACTGGTTTCTATGTATTTATTAAAATATTAATATTAACTATAATATTTATTTTATTCTATAATTATACATTACCTTAATAACTTTATTTGGTAAAACTGAATCTGATTCATTGATTGTCTTTATCTTATTTTTAGCATCTAATACTCTCTCATTTGATGCACCTTTTAACTCTTTCTTTGTAACTTTTTTTAATTCATTTTTTAGTACACCTTGTGTTGATAATCTAGAAATTGTATCAATCGATCAAAATATTAGTAGTGGTTTTTAAAGACATATAATGAGTGAATGTATTGCTTACAATTTCTGTTCGTTTACTAATTGACCTAAATGTAATGCTGCACTCTTTGCAAGTTGATCTATAAGTTTAAACTCGTCAAACGCTAAATTCTCTTGTTTTGAATCTGTATCACTACTATTATTTTCACTAAGTGAATATGATTCAAGTGATATTGACATTATTTATTATATATATTAAATCAAACTTATTATAAATTAATAAAAATAATAATAAAATTAAATCAATTTTTTGATATCAAAAAATTCAAAAAAAAAAAAAAAAAAACGAAACGAAAGAAATGAATTATTAAAATGAATTAATTTTTATTTATGCATACAATTATTATTATATGAAATCAATTTATAAAGCTTTAGATCAAGATAGTTTTCAATGTCAGATGAATCTGTTGAATCACAAGACTCGATATGTCTTCTAATCAATTCGATCTCCATCGGTTTGCTGATATTCTTTGTGTCAATATTGATCCCGATTCTCTTTAAAATCTTTGTTTTATAACATTGGTTAATGGGTGTTTCCGATTGACATACCGATTGATCGCTAAATGAAGAAAATCTACTTTGACTATCAATACTATTCTTTTCTATCATTGATTTCTCTGATTCTATGTTTGTGTTATTCTTTGTTATCGATACAGGATTAATTTCTATTAAACAACCATCCATTCCATAGTATTGTTTTATCTGATTTGCAAGATCTACATCATTCTTTAGAAATTCAACAATAAATGGATTCTCCATGATCATACTTGAAGTAGGTCTCTTTGATGGATCTTTATTCAACATTTGTTCAACCAATGAACTCAAAGCTCTATTATAACTATAAACTACTATAAGTATCTATTTTACATTTTCTTTAATCTCTACTTACTGTCCAGGAAGTACATCATATAATCCTTTTTTAATATTCTCTGCAATCTCATATTGGTTTCTACCTCTATTTTATTTATAATGTTAACAACAACATTATGATTTGTGGTTTAATATTATTATTAAATAATACTTACCCAAATGGACGTCTTCTCGCCATCAAAATATAAAGTACTACACCTAATATGATAATATAACAGTTAGATTATTATTAAAAACTATTAAGATTTATTTCAACATACCTAAAGACCAAATGTCAGTTGAAGATCCATAAGAATTACCGTTACATATCTCTGGACTAATAAAGTGAATTGAGCCAACAAAAGTTAGAGTATTCTTAGTCTCATCCAAAATCTTTGATAAACCGAAATCAGCCAATTTAACACATTTCGAATAATTGAATACCAAGATATTCTTTAACTTTATATCTCTGTGAATGATACCTTTACTATGCATATAGTTTATGGCTGAACAAATCTCAATAAAATATCTAATTATATCCTTATTTATAAATATTGCGAATAACCGTTAACATTTAACATAGTTAATTGTTGTTTTATTAATAAAAACATACATTTTCAGGTAGGAATGTCTTTGATTTAATATGATAATCTACCAATCTATCTAAATCATAGTGTTCAGCGTACTCCATGATAATTTTGATGCGTTGGTCCACTGAATAGGCATCTCGATAAGATACGATGAACGGATGTGATAGTTGTTTCAATATTTCGATTTCATTCAACGATTTCATTAGTTGTTTGTTACTATTGAAACTGATATCTTTTATACAAACTATTTCACCTGTATATCTATCTTGACAACGAAATACCTCACCATAGCTTCCATTTCCAACTTTTTCGAATACAATATACCTACTATCATCTACAGTACCACCAGTATGATTGATCATATTAATATTATCAAAAATACCAAATCTATTTTTACTATTATTTATATGTAACATTTGTTATTTCATTTTATAGGTTGGGTTTTTCTAACACAACTTTTTTTGTATTCTCGCATTATTTTTGTAAAATGCACACAAAAGCTGTGCAAAATTTTTTCATTTTTTGGGGAGGGATAAAATGAAATTACACATTCTTTTTGTTAAAAATAATCATTTGATCACATCTTTATAAAGCATTGTTATTTCACATTGTGTAACTAAAGGAAAATAAGAACAAATAATTAACACAGATTACCTGATTGACAACTTAAAATAATTTATCAGATTTATAAACAAAACTTTTTGAGAACATCAAAATTTGTTATAAATATAAAAATTGGTATAAAATGGGTTTTAAGAACTCTTTTAGAATGCTTCTTTTTAAAAGTCATTTGAATTTTCTGTATCCAATAAGAGATCTTTTTGACACTGTGTTTTTATTCACCCAATTAATTGGACATTTTTGATAAAAAAATAATTTGTTTTTTTTTAAACTTGTCAATTTTTTTTTTAGCACTGCACACTATTTGATTTATTTTCATTACATTAATAACTATTTATTATATTTTATTCTTGGTTTTATAAAACTAATAGTAATACATATAAATTAAACAAAGCTTTTAAAAACAAAAAAAACACAAAACAAATAATGTCTTTCTTTGCTGACATTCCTAAGTATGAGGAAGATTGCGAGGGTGGTGTATGAGCTCGTCCCACTCCTGCCAAGAACGTCAATACCAACCAAGATGATGAAACTGCTTTGCTCATGGAAAAGGATGATTGTTGCTCCACTGCCAACAATAACCTCTCCGATGAAGCCGATGAAAAAGTAAGAGAAGAATCAGACAAGGATAAGAAACCATTATACATGTAAGTTACAATAAACGATCATTTCACATAAATATACACCATTCAAATCTCTAATCATATCAATCAATTCCTAGTGCTATTCTCTCTGTACTCATTTCAATTCCAGCTTTGGTAGGAAGTTGATGTTGGCCACTTTTGGTGGCAAGCATTCTTGGTATTGCCGCTTCGCAAGGTGCCGTTGTAAGTATAAACTATAATATAACAAAAAGTAAATAGAAAAAAAATTAATGATAACTAATCATTTTATTATTATTATTTATTGTTTGTTATTTTAGGGCTTTGCACACGCCATTACATTTGCCATTTCACTCACAATTTTGAGTAATCTCTCACAATATCACTATCACAAGTGCTGCACACGTCGTAGTGATAAAGGTCATTGGTACAAGTTCGGACCATTCTATTTAACTGCAGTAGCTGTGCCGTTCGCTACTGTTGATATCCTGCGTCATATCCTAGTTGATAATGGTCTCTGGACAACTAAATCTCGTTGGAGTCCAGCTGCGTATGTATCTTTATACCATTTAAAATAACATTGCATTTCTTTTATTAATTTTTAATAATTTCCATAGTTATCGTCCAGGTTGTAATTCAGAAAGTATGAAGTGTCTGTCTGCTACTGGTTGGTTCTTTGTTGTTTTCTGTACCTACTTTGGATATATCCTATTGATGGTGGGTACCATTTGGTGTGCTGATCTACATTTGAAGATCAAGAAACTCTGGAAACAACTCCGTCCATCTAAATAACCAGCTAGAACCAATTGACATGCTATCGATTTCAGAGATCTTGTTTTAGTTAAACAGAGTATGAAGTCTAGTCTGTAGTTAGTAATTTGTTTAGGATTATTTTGTTTGGTCATCTAGATTCAGGTGTCTGGAGATTCAGAGTGTTGGATAGATTTGATTAGTTGATTGGACCACAGAATTCAATGCACTGTACCTATCGTCGGCAAATCGGTAGTATAGTAAGTATACCTTGCGAGATTTGAATTTCTGTTGGCAATCAACCTCGAACCATTTTAAATAGTGATGAATCCTATCGGCATAAACTTATAAAGTCGCTAATAGGATGATGTTTATTTAAAAATGGATTCGGATCAATTTTTGTCTAATACCTTTGTTTCTTTGTTGAATATTTGTTTAAAGATATTAAATAAATTAATCTTGTTTATAATTCTTTTCATGTGTAATTTATTCTGTATAAGGTGTTTTTTATGTTGAATCAACTATTTTTTTTTTAATTTTAGAACAATTGGAAAAATAAAAATAAAAACGGAAATATTAATTTGAAATTTCATCAAAGCGTTGTTGGTCTAGTGGCAGAATTCTTGCCTTCCAAGCAGGAGACCCGGGTTCGATTCCCGGACAACGCATCTAAAATCTCCTAAAAGAATGAACCGCTTGCGGTATAATTATTGTGTAAAAAAAAGAAGGAGTATGAACTTTACTAAGAAGGAAGGCCTCTTCGACCGCAAGTACCCCCGAGTCCGCCGTACTGAAGGTCAACTAACCATCCAGATTGGTCACTCTTTGGTTCTCCAATCCCAGTTCCTGCACATATCCAAGGTCAAAGCGCCTATGCTACGTAACAATACTTAAAAAGTTATTCAAATTTTACTTTATTTCAACTTTAAATAAAGATAAATATTATAACTTAATATATACTCATTTTTAAACTTAAATGTTGTAAAGTACAAAAGATATTAAATATTATATTTCATTCTTTATTCTTTATTTAACTTTATTACATTATCAAAGTGAGACAAAATATGACATATCCATTGAAATTAATTATACATATTAAAACCTAATTAAGTATAAGATAACTCCTTATAGTAATAGAGTATTCAGCGTGTTGAAAATTAATATAGAATAATATTAATCTATTGTTTGCAACCATTCTTTCTAATCGGGAAATTAATAATTAACAAGATTAGAATTTTTTTTAAATCTTCAATTCACCACACTTTTTGGCTTTGGATGTAATTTACTGTGTTTCTTACAAATTTTAAAGATATATATTTTTTAGTAGTAGATCAATTTTACTTGTTTTGTGATTTTCAGAATTTGATTTCATATTTTTTCTATTCTATTGCAGTTCTCAATTTATCTATATCTGGATGAATATATCTGGATGAATATATCTAGATAATGGTGTATATTTCATTGTGTCACAGCATCTATCCAAAATAGGAATAAAATTGGAAAATACATTAATCTAATATATTGTCCAAAAAAAGAAATAAAATGTTTATTTTGAATATGCTAACATATCCATTTATATTTTAAAATACGAATAATATTCCAATAATATGTATACACGGTGTATTTATATACATTAAAGACAAAGTTAATAAATATTGTAAAGATTTATGTATTAACTTTATTTGATCTTTAATGTATACAGATAATAACCTTTATCTTTATATGATTTTAAATGTAGAATACTTTAACAATTAAGATAAAGTTAATTGAATCTTTATGAGTATTGCTACGTAACAGCATATTCCGGCTGTACTCTCACACCTTCCCCATCAACCACAAGCGCACTGGTCATGTCTGTGAGTTCTGTGGGGACACCTTCACTGAACTCTGCAACCCACATGAACATTTCTTCTTTAAATGCAGGAATGTAGTCTCACAGCAGTTCCTTTCCTTTATCAAACATATATACCACAAGTACTGTAACTATAGACTTCGTAATTGGAAGCACTCGTGCATCAAGTTCGACGGTCCTATTCGTACTACTGTCCACTTCACCCACCTCACTGCTGCTATCGTACACTCGTTATGGCAGGCGCTGTCCTGTGAAATGTTTGGTGATGGTACCCATTACAAGCTGGAAAATACCGTCAAGAGAGCAGTCACCCATTACACCAAATTAATCGACGCCAATTACCACAAGCTTAACTTCACAATCGCTAATTCTATCTCCCAAGGAGTCACTGTCGATTGCGCTTTAACGCGTAAATTTAAATCTGATTGGAATCTAAATCCTTCCAACTACGTGCCACCACTTTATACTGTTGTTCATCAACACTCAACTGCTGTTAGATCTATCCTATCCTAATACTACTCAACTTATTAATTAATAATAACTATAAACAATAATAATAATAATAATAATATTTTATTGGCTATTTCTCACGGCCTGTGTGAGAATGTATATATAATATAAAACACGAACTAGCAGGTTAATATCAATACCTGCAATTTGTTGACTGATCATGAGTCAACAAATCTTTTTTTTGCAAAAAAAAAAAAAAAAAAAATAAAAAAAAAAAAAATAACTTCCCTTTCAAAATAGGTTTAGCAAATCTGATCTTGTTGTCCAGATGTTTGAGATGATCTGCCAATTGGTGCCACAGAGAATATATAATAATAATTTTTCTCAGTAAATTTTAGAATTAAAAATTTTTACTTTAAGTATTTACATTGCACTATCATTTTGAAATTTATCTTACAATATAGCAAAACAAGTATTAATCATCTTTGAGTGTTTGTTATTTCCAAAAATAATCACTTATAATTAATTGTAATATATTAATTGCAAAGAAATTTTTATTTTATATATAAGTGTATTCGTTTGAATTATTTAGAGATTGGCCTATATAGTAAGGAAGTTGTGTTGTTTGTGAAGTAAATGAAGACTGTTGTTGGTCAAGTGATTGTGATTGTACAATGTTGATGGTGCTTGGTACAAATAGGTTATGTTGTTGTGATTGTTGAAGAAGATAATCCTCGACCTGTGGCGTTGAATAACTAATTTGTTGTTGTTGTGGTTGTCCACTGGTAATATAACTATTTTGCTGTTGATGTTGTTGATATTTAAAATAGTTTTGTTGTTGTTGTGAATGTTGTTGATGTTGTTGTTGGTGTTGCAATTGTTGTGATTGTTGAAGTTCATATGAGTTTGAATCAACGCAATATTGAACACCATTGTGAGTAACGACAACTGTAGAACCACTCATATTTCCATGTGTATTATTGTTATTAGTATTGCTACCATTCTTTTGTAGATATGATGAGTAGAATGGGAAGTTTGGATCTGAAGGAGCAAGATTGGAAGTTAGTACCGGTACTACTTGATAGTCTTCGAAATTCTTTATGAACCCAGTGTTGCTCGAGGGACTGCCAGTTGAACTACTGCTATTACTATTGCTATTGCTATTGTTGAAGTTTAAACGATTTGTATCTTTTGGGGAATGGTTAGTTGACGATGATTGCTGATGGTCTTCACAATTGACACGTTTTTCAAGGCTATCATAGCTACTGTACATACTACTGCTACCAGAACCTGGCGTACTGTTACTACCTCCATTTACCATACTATTTTGGCCGTAGAAGGATGTCTTCGAGTAGTGAATGTTTGGTTCACTGTTTGACATGTTCTTTCGCTTAATGTTGAGTAGATTGTTTTGAATTCCAGAGAAGCTACGTTTCAATGGGTTAGTGAGAGTTGGTGATAGTTGTTTTGGACTATTGGTATTGGAATGAGCAGGTGATGAAAGTTGGTCTTGTTGGTAGAGATATAATTGTTGTTGTTGTTGTTGTTGTTGTTGTTGATTAGCTGAGTAATGAATCTTATCTTCCAGTTTTGGACATCCAATGGTATTGTTTTTCTTTAGAAAAGCAGAGGGAGAATTTTCTTGATTAACCATATTTAGTGGAATGGAAGCTTGTTGTAGTGGAGGTGATGAGGAGTATAGCTGAGATGATTTATTGTTGTTGTTGTTGTTGGAATTGGTCTTACTACTATTGTTGATACATGGAACTATATACATATTACAATTGGAAGAGGAAGAAGAGGATGAAGGTGACGATGTATTTTCGTTATAGGGAAAAATAGATGAGTAATGATATGATTGTTTACTATTGTTGTTGTTGTTATTGATGTTGTTACTATTGGTATTACTGTAGTTTTGTTGTTGAGTAGAGTTTGTTGAACTATTTAAAAAGTCTATTGGCTGCGAGCAAGGAACCATGTTGGTTGCTTCTTCGGTGTACTGTTTGTTTGATGAGTTATACAGTCTGAATCCATGATTGGGTGGCGTAGAAATATCAGAGTGTGGCGATGAACTAAAATTGTTGTTTGGAACTTGACTGGATATCAGTATTTTTGGTGGGGAGATTGATGCTTGTGTAGGAGGATGATAGATAGGATAGTTATTACTACTGTTCAAAGACATACCACCGATATTTGGACTGGAGATGGGTGTATTTCCTGAATATGATTTGATTGAAATGAAGCTACCACCATTGGCTGAATCGCTCGGCGAGGCACCGGGTGAATTGTTGGCGATAATTGCCGAGGCGCCATTGGGTGGTTGTTTGATCTTCTTTTCACGCTTCTTCCTTGGCAAATCATAACAGGTGTGACCAATCTCTTGCTTGACACATCTGGTACAAGGCCGCTGCTGATCACATGCTACCTTGGAATTTCTGCAATTGAGACACGCACGTCTAACTCTTTTTATCATTGCCCAGTTGGTTGTAGTTTACAATTGATAAAAAAACAATTTGAAAGTTGAGGTTTTTGTTGAAAACTATTGGTGGAATCCTCCAAATGGGATTTTAATAATAAAAAGGAAAACTCCAATTATCCTGGATTGGCTATCAGATTCAATGGAATTATAAATCTTTATACAACAATAAAACAATTCTTGTTGTGTGGCTATTAGAAAATGAAAAAATGATTAGTAAATAAGATTAGAAATACAGTCCATTTATGAATTGAATGACTTGTATGAAAAGACAATAAAAAAATAGAAAAAAGTAACAATTGGGAATTGTGTTTTAAGATATAGTTGGCAACTGAAGTGTCAGTTGATTGTCAGTGGTTGAAAAAGTTAGACTAAAAAAAAAAAAAGTTGAAAGTTAACTCTTTGATCCAACTTTAATCTCGGATATTTGTATTTAAAAACACAACCAATTCATTGTTTTTTTTTTCAACAAGATAAATAATTTTAAACTTATAAATAAATAAACTTGAACATATTAAGAGTTATTTAAAAAAAATTTAAAGTGAATGATTTAAAAAATAAAACGAAAAAAAGATTAAAAGTAAGTTATTAGGTGGTGGCTTTCATATTAATAGTAATTATATTTCAGCTATTAGTAGTTTTTAGAAAATTTTATCTCTAGATTAAAAAATTCTTACTGACAATGAACTGGATTTAAATTATTTTTAATTAAAAAATAAACAAGTGGTCACTTTGGATCTGAAATGTATAAAATCCACAGTGAATGTATAACAAAAACAAAAAAAAAATACAGATTCTTTTATTTGAATTTCTATATATCGTATCTTCATACTTTTTTTCAATATTAAAAAAAAACAAATTAATTGGAAGTGGAATTGGTTTATACTAATGCTAAGTTTGTGTTCGATTTTATGATGCTAATTAATTTTATTGTTTATTTATTAAATATTATATTTTTAGATATTGAGATAGATATATTTCTTTTAAAAGGAAGTTATTGACAATATGTTGTGAATGATATGAAATTGATATCTGAGTACTCAGATGCAACAACAAAAAAGCATATAAAAAAAAACAATACATTAACATTTAAAATACATCAAAAATAATGAAAGACGATCGAGTTAATTTGAAATTTTGTGTTTGAATATATGCAAACAGAATAAAATCAATAAATCCAAAAAAAAAGATAGGTATTTAATAAAAAATAAACCTATTTTTATGATGTTTTTGTTTTTTTGTGTGTGGATGAATATGTGTGTGTGTTTGAGGATGTGGTAATCAATATGATGTATTTGTTATTGAAGTGGTGTGTGAGTAAAGAGAATTGAGTGTAACATTTGGACATCTCACTATATGGAATAATCTATAAAGTTTTGTTTTGATTGTGGTAGAATCGAACATATAAAAAAGCACAAACCATATGCAGAGTGTTGATTGTTGTATATATACAACATAATGAGAGTGAAATAAAATGAATAATTTCCCTCCTGACATCAACAAAACAAATCTGACTTAATAAATAATTGTAAAATTAAATGATTGATGATTATTTTTTTTATTGATTGATTATATAATAGATAAAATTAGTCCAATCCTCATTGATAAGTTACTTTGTTTAATAATTATTTTATTCTATGTTGATGGGTTGGAGTTGAATGAAATATGAATAATACGAATCAAATAGTTATTTTTATACTTTTTTTCTAAATTTGTTTTTTATTTGTGATTAACTTATTGGTTGATTGATTCTATTTCGATTTGATTTATCAATTTACTAAAACGAATAAAAACATAAAAAAAAACATAAAAAATGGCACTTTTTACACTTTGCTTGGTTGTTGTTATTTGATTAAAAAAGTTGATTTTTACTAAAAAATTAAGAATATAAAAAATAATATAACTTTTATTTACTAAAATTATATATTTTGTTATTATATTGATGATATTTATAATTATAAAATATGATTGTTATTAAGTAGCACACCAAATCGACATTTAAATCTACATCAGTATAAAAACACAATTGAATGCAAGTTAAACAAAAGGAAAAAAAAAGAAAAATAAAAAACAAAAATAATAAAATCAATCTAAATTTACATGATAATTTTATAGGTAGACGCATCTCATAACATAAAATTAAACAACAACACAATTATAACAATAACAACATTAGAGGAGGATTGTCCAGTGTTATAGAGTCAACCAATGTGTCGGTCAGCCACCAGTTATATATATATTTGATTATCCAATCCTAATTGAAAAATGAAAAGTTCTATTGTTTATTAATTTATTTATGTTTTTTTTTGTCTTTATTTCTGTCGTCTGGATTAGCTGCTGTGTGATCCAGGACAAAGAGTCATTGTAAAACAGTAATAGAAACACAAAATAAATAAAAAAAAAGATAATAAATAAAAAATTGATTGTGTTTTGTTTTTGCTGTGGTAACTAGTTAATTAATTTCCTATCAAATTTTTTAACTGATTAAAGATAGATGGATTGAATAATAGACAGAATAAATATTCTAAACATTTGATAATTTAGAATGACAAGTGTGTGCGTGGTGTGTGTGTTGATTGATAGTTGATGTCAATCAGAATTTGATAATTAAAATGAGTAATTCGTAAGAATAAACCACTACTACAATAAAATGTAAAAATATATATACATATATGGTATACCATTTAAAATATATCCAACAACCACCACCACCACAAATTGAGTAATACCACATATTCAGAACACTTCTTCCACTTATCATAACACACCACAACTCACCACAACACACACCTATAAATTAAATCAAATCAAAACAAAAGAAATAATTCGATGAAATATAGTAGAGTTAAAAATATAAATAATTGCTTGATTGATTACACATTAAAAACACAACATATCTTATTATATAATATCGTAATAATAAATGAAAAAATGATTAACTAACCAATCTTCAATCTATAAATGAAAAATTGTACAAAATCTTAATTATTACTTTACATTTCCAGTGGTTCTTTGTTCTTCCTCCTCTTTATTTCATGCATGATGCTGTTGATTACAAGATGATGATAATGATGATGTGTTGATTGTAAACAATTGTTGCACTTGTAAATTGGCATACCATCGAAATACAAATACAACTTTTATGTTTGGGTGTTAAAAAATATTATAAACAAATACTAAGTTTGTTGGTTTGACTTTGAAATTGATTTGTTGAATCTGTTTCGTCTGGGTGAAGGTACCATCTTGTTTTGATTGTCGTCATCTTATTAAATTCAATCAATCAGTCAATCAAAGAGTCAATCATTAATTAATTCAACTGAATCGTTGAGCGTATGTGTTTATCAATTTTTAAACAATAAACATGTTTGAAATTGATCATAATTAATTAAGTATTTGTTTATTTTTTTGTTTTGTTTATTGTTTGTTGTTATTTGTGTGTTGTTGTTTTATTATTACATCTGAAAATATCATAACAATAAAGATCGACAGAGATAGATAGAATAATTGATACTCTCGATTTTAACTATTGTATTAAAGTACGTTTGATATTGATTATTTATTTCTATCGATGTGATCGTACTTTATTGATCGTTAAAATGGGTGATTAGATACTCCATAACAACAGTAGTTACAATAACAACAATATCAGACAATGTTATTGATAATTTAGATAACATCATCAATTTGAATGATAGTTTAAACTCGTGGTGTATTGTTGAGACGTACACTTTTTGAACAATAAAGTAAATCATAAGTGACCACGTATCATCATGCAAATGGGTTGAATTGAAAATTTTCCTTTTAAAGTAAAAGTAATTGAAATGAATGAATTATTATTATTATATGATTATTAATTTATATATATTAAGTAAACTAAATAATTTACCTTTTTTTTTTGTTTTTTTTTTTTGTTATATATTGATGATTAAGACGACTTTAGTCTTTAAAGATGGAATGTCCAGTTCTGATCATTTTTGTTTAAGGTTCTGTATCTATTGATTTCTTTTATACCTGCATCAACCTCAGATTGAAAGAGTTGTAACTTTTTTGGATTGGTTTCATTTCTATTTGCTCTGAAATCTTGATCATATATTAAATTACAAAATTAATATGAATTTAAATAATCATAAAAAAAACAAAGTTATTACCTTCTCTAACTAAAATCAATAATCTGTCTCTACTTCTTGATGGATATTTTGGAAGATGTTTAATAAGAAATCTATATTTATTTAACATTGTAGTCATTTTTATTGTTATATTATGAAGTTGAAAAATTTAATCAGAAAAAATTAAAAAAAAAAAATAAATAAAAAAAAAAAAAAAAAAAAAAACTAATTGAATTCAATTTATTTTGTTTTTAATTTTTTATCAAAAAAATCGAACGAAAAATTTTGGTTTACGCGTTTTTTATAAAGAATATAAAAAAAGAACTCTTAAGAATAGAATTAACATTTTATTTATTTATTTATTTATTAATCATATTAGATATATCAATTATTTTAATTAGTATAATAAAATAATAAATTTAACAAATAATAAATAAATGGAATTATCATTAGTTCAGCAATTCTTAGAGGCAAATGGATTCTCAAAAGCTTTGAACAGTTTAAAGGAAGAAGCTAAAAAACAAAATATTAAATTTGAAAACACCGATAAAGATGTTACCTTGAATCAACTTGTCAAGTTTTGGCAAGAGTAAGTAAATAAATAAAAATAAATAAATATTAAACTTTATATTAATTCGTTCGTTTGTTCCTTCGTTTTTTTAGAAATAAATCAAATAATAAAAGAAAGTTGGAGGATGAAGATGAAGAAAAGAAAGAAGATGAAAATCAAAAGAAACAAAAGGTAGATGAAAAAGATAGTGACAGCAGTGATAGCTCAGATTCAGATGATGAAAGCAGCAGTAGCAGCGATGACGACAGTAGCAGCGACGAGGCTGACTCTGAGTCAGAGGAAGATAAGAAGGAAGAGTCAGATGACGATAGCAGCAGCAGCGAAAGTGAAGACGAGAAGAAAAAGACATCCGATGTAGATTCAGATGAGCCAGCAACTGCCACCGCAACTGCCAAAGACGACAGCACCACCACAACAGAGAAATCCGAACAAAAGTCATATTCATCCGATTCATCCGATTCATCATCTTCAGATTCATCTGACTCTTCTGATTCATCATCATCAGAGTCAGAAGATGAAAAGAAGAAGAGTGATTCCTCATCATCAGAGTCCGAGGATGAAAAGAAGAAGAGTGATTCATCATCATCATCAGAGTCTGAAGATGAAAAGAAGAAAAAGGATAGTGATTCCTCATCATCAGAGTCTGAGGACGAAAAGAAGAAGAGTGATTCATCATCTGACTCCTCATCATCTGATTCGTCATCATCATCAGATTCCTCTTCATCAGAGTCATCAGAGTCTGAAGATGAGAAGAAGAAGAAGAAGAAGGATTCAGAGTCTGAATCAGAGGAGGAAATGAAAGTTGAAAAAGTTCCAGAAAAGAAAGTCGAGAAAGTTGAGCAAAAAGAAGAAGAAGATAAGATGGAAGTTGAAGAATACAACAACTCATATAGAAATAATAATAATAATAAATCAAATGGATATGGAAATAGCAACAACAACAACAACAATAATAATAATAAATTAAAACAACAACCAAACACACCATTTAGAAGAGTAAGAGAAGAAGATGTAGTCTTTGACAAGCATATGAAGGCAGCCCAGAATATCTTTACTGATGAATGGGGAAAGAAGATTAACAATCACATGGATAAATACCGTGGTAAAGGTTTCCGTACTGAGAAGACAAAGAAGAAGAGAGGTTATTCCAATTGTACAATCAGTCACGAGATTAGCAGCTACAAGTATCCAAGTGACGATGAATAAACAATTTTTAAAAAACTTTAAATAAAAAATAAATAAAATTAATTTAAAATATAATGACTTTTTTTATTTACTATAGTAACAATGATCATTATAGCTCTTCTTTTTGTTGATGAGCGGTAGTGCGAACTTTAAGTGATTTCAAAAAATTATCGACCAATTGATGTGGTTTTTCATCGCGTGCTGTAATTTTAGAGTTGATAGTGTCTTCCATTGCTAACATCTGTTGTTGTGTAAAGTAAAGTAAAGAAAAGTAAAAGTTGTTAGTTGATCAACTACGCTAACGATTATTAATTGATGTAATCTACTTACCATTGGTTTCAATGATTTACCAGATCTTTCATATTGTTCAAAGATCAGGAATATATCGTGGTCCAAAATGTGTGAAACAAAGTTATTGCAGTAGGTCTCTGACATTGATGGTTCGTGTAAGAATCCTTTTGCTCTCTTGTAGCACTTATCACGAAGAGTGTTACCAATGAGAACCAACTCATTGGTGTGATCACCTTCCATCACCACTGAATTTGATGATTTGAATGGTTTAAGCTGTGTTTTTACAATATACAAACACGCTACTATTGATACACAAACTAAAAATACAACTATTATCTTTTTCATCTCTTTACTTTTTAATAAATTATTCAATCGATATATATCTAAAAATCCCCGAATCTGATCGTGGTCTTTCAGATTTTTTTTTTGCAAATTTTTATTGTTTATTTTTTTTAAAAGTTATCAACAGATTAATCGTTATATAACAAACTACAGTTAGTAAACCACAAAATCCAGACATACTTCAGACACATTGTTTTAACCCTCAGCTATTTTACCTTAAGCAATGGAAGCCGAGATCTTGAAGCAATTGGTATTTCGACAATTTGCTACTATTTAATCACAGAACAATCTACTTTCGCACTCTCAAGAGTCGTAGCGGCTGAGTGTCCACCTGCTTTGTGGAGTATCTTTCATGGTCGACGTCTTTTATCTGCTGCTCTCAGAAAGGAGATTATGATCAACTTCAAAGGTGAACCAACAGATGACTATCAAACCTGTTTAGCACTCCGATTGGAAAATTTTTTTTGGGATAAATTTCCAAAAACTAAAACTATCATTCAAATTCTCTTCCCCGCAAGGTGCAATTTATTTCTAAACGAGCACCCAAGATGATAAGAAGCTTAAATCTAAAAGAAGGACCACTTTAGTAAACCAAGAGGTCGATGGCACCATTTATGGATTTTTGATAATCATTCAAATGACACCTTAGCCAAGTGGTTACGGCGATTGACTAGAAATCAATTCCCTTCGGGGGCGCAGGTTCGAATCCTGCAGGTGTCGACAACACTAAATCATAGTTGGTTCGCATGCGGAGATGCTCTTCTATCACTTCTATCTTGAATCGCCCACACCTGATCAAATCAAGCTTGTCAACAGACTTATCGCTTGGTTCTTCACCAGTGCACCTGATGCCAAAGCAACACCTTCACTGAACTCTGCAACCCACATGAACATTTCTTCTTCAAATGCAGGATTGTAGTCTCACAGCAGTTCCTTTCCTTTATCAAACGTATATACCACAAGTACTGTAACTATAGACTTCGTAATTGGAAGCACTCGTGCATCAAGTTCGACGGTCCTACTCGTACTACTGTCCACTTCACCCACCTTACTGCTGCTATCGTACATTCGTTATGGCAGGCGCTGTCCTGTGAAATGTTTGGTGATGGTACCCATTACAAGCTGGAAAATACCGTCAAGAGAGCAGTCACCCATTACACCAAATTAATCGATGCCAATTACCACAAGCTTAACTTCACGATCGCTAATTCTATCTCCCAAGGAGTCACTGTCGATTGCTCTGCATTAACGCGTAAATTTAAATCTGATTGGAATCTTAATCCTTCCAACTACGTGCCACCACTTTATACTGTTGTTCATCAACACGCAACTACTGTTAGATCTATTCTATCCTAATACTACTCAACTTATTAATTAATAATTTATAACAATAATAATAATAATAATAATCATAATAATAATAATAATAATAATAATAACATTTTATTGGCTATATTTCTCACGGCCTGTGTGAGAATGAAAATATAATATAAAACACGAACTAGCAGGTTAATATCAATACCTGCAATTTGTTGACTGATCATGAGTCAACAAATCTTTTTTTGCAAAAAAAAAAAATGCGGAGAGAATATCTCATTGAAATCTATATCTTTTAATGCCTACTTTTCAAAGAATTCAATTTAAATTCGAATTTTAAATATATCAATTAGTGAAACTAACTAACTCTGTTGTAGAAAAAACTAAAATTATCAAAGCTAACTCTCCCTCTTCTGTTCTGGTGAACGGTTTCAAAACCAAGACTTTTTTCATTTATAAAGGCACCCAGCAAGGTGATCCCCTTTCTCCTACTCTCTTAGTCCTCACGATTGAGTGTTTGGCGAGAGCGATCATCGCTGATTCTCATATAGTTGGACTACTTTGTTCTACTCCAATCAAACTTAAACAAAAGAGATTGTTAAATAGAACACTTTAATTTATAGTTAATCACCCCTTTTAAAAGAGATTTGTATTGAAGTATCTACCGCTCAAAAGAATCAAGTTGCTCATGTTCGCGGATGAGTCATCCATTGGTTTAACCTGTTCAAACTATCAACCCTTGAGGACGTTAACTCTGGTAAATCGCTTATCATTCCGCTCGGTAACACTCTCACTACTAACCACCCGTTCCCTTTCTCCACCGTCCCTGAAAGATACCTAGGTGTAAACTTCAACCCAGATGGTCATTGCTCTAAACTGGCAAGTATCATCAATCTCATTAAAGTTAACCTACAGAAAAAATCTGAGAAACAGGACAGGGTATCAATAGTATCAAAAAGATACATTTATTTGTTATAGAAAGTAAGAAATATGTTCTAAGATAGATCTTTGTAAATGATTAATAATTAAAAAAAAATTGATTCATTTATCATTTTAAAAAAAAATAAAAAAAATAAAAGATAAAATTTAATTTGTGCAATATTTTGGAAGTAATAAACTATTTTTTATTATAGTACTTCAAGAATGAATACTTAACTAAATTTGATATACAAACCTGTCAGGACCTGAATGTTTTTTAAAATTCTTGGGTATTCATGAGATAAATATATATACTAGATGCTATTCATTCTAAACTCAAAGGAGCTCTTAAATAATGTTAATGGTGGTGATATGAAATGACACCTGCTTATTGCCAAAAACCCTATGAATCTTTATGAAACAAATTGAATCAAATAATCATCATCTAGGTATCTTAATCATATTTATTGATTTTTAAGAAAGTAAATTTATATCTATAAAAACAAAAAGTATTTTATTCCTTTAGAAATATTGCACAAATAATTTTTGTTTTTTATTTTTTTTATTTTTATTTAAAAAGTTAAATGTCTCAATTTTTTTATAAATACTAATCATTTTCAAAGATCTATACTCCCATATATTTGTTACTTTCTAAAACAAATAAATGAATATGTGTCTGATGATTTGATACATTGTTTTTTAATTTATATTCAACCCTTATGTCCTGTTTCTCAGATTTTTGCTGTAGCTCTGTATAAAGTTTATACTCTTAGAGCGACATCAATCATCATTAAATCTTATATACTTCCCATGTTCTTCTATAACTTCTATCTTGAATCACCCACACCTGATCAAATCAAGCTTGTCAACAGACTTATTGCTTGGTTCTTCACCAGTGCACCTGATGTCAAAGCAAAGTTTACTGCTTTGATGTCTTTGGGTCTTGCTTTCACTGGAATGATGGTGGTCTAAATTTGTGGGATCTACTCTTCGTTCTGCTGCTTATAAGATATGGGTCTTTAATAGATTCCTGTTGTTAAGTAGAAGCAACTCATTTGGTTACTTCAAAACTTGGTCATCCATGCTTGATTGTGCAAAAAATTTTCTAACCCAACCTCTTCACCTTCAAACTATTCCATTGGTCTTGGATGGATTTTAGAAAAAATCACTTCTCCAGAGTCATACCGGGCAATCTCATCCTTACTGGTGATGGTAGTCTCTTTTCTCTGAAGGAAATCTATTCTGTCCTATTCAACCACAAGTACCCCCTGTGTCCGCCGTACTGAAGGTCAACTAACCATATTGGTCACTCTTTGGTTCTCCAATCTCAGTTCCTGCATATATCCAAGGTCAAAGCGCCTATGCTACGTAACAGCATATTCCGGCTGTACTCTCACACCTTCCATCAACCACAAGCGCACAGGTCATGTCTGTGAGTTCTTGTGACACCTTCACTGAACTCTGCAACCCACATGAGCACTTCTTCTTCAAATGCAGGAATGTAGTTTCACAGCAGTTCCTATCCTTTATCAAACATATATACCACAAGTACTGTAACTATAGACTTCGCAATTGGAAGCACTCGTGGATCAAGTTCGACGGTCCTATTCGTACTACTGTCCACTTCACCCACCTTACTGCTGCTATCTTACAATCGTTATGGAAGGCGCTGTCCTATAAAATGTTTGTGATGGTACCCAATACAAGCTGGAAAATACCGTCAAGAGAGAAGTCACCCATTACACCAAATTAATAGATGCCAATTACCTCAAGCTTAACCTCACGATCGCTAATTCTATCTCCCAAGGAGTCACTGTCGATTGCTCTGCAATAACGCGTAATTTAAATCTGATTGGAATCTAAATCCTTCCAACTACGAGCCACCACTTTATACTGTTGTTCACCAACACTCAACTACTGTATTGATAATTAAGAATACAGAATTTTGATATTGACGGTAGAGTTAATATCAATACCTGCAATTTGTTGACTGATCATGAATCAAAAAATCTTTTTTTGAAAAAAAAAAAAAAAAAAATTAAATATATTCAAATTATTAAAATAAAATACAAAAGATCTAAATTGTTTGTAAAAATGATTTTTCCAAAAGTTTATTCTTTTAGTTTTTTTGATTAACATTAACTTTATACTTAGTATTTTATTAAATATTTTGTAATTTTAAAGGTTTCTATTTGGTTTATTAATGTATTATTAAAATTATCTTTTTTAAATCATAGATAACCAAATTACCAATATAAAAGCATACTGACCCATCCACTGATATCTAACAGTGCTGATCTTGCATTCATATATATGTATAAATGATAAAGTATACTTTGAAGATACTACCAACTTTCCACAGACAAGATTAATTCAAATCAGAGTTAGAATTTCCTTTTTTATATTTAATAATCCTTTTTCTAAATCAAGATCATATAGAATAGATATGATTTGAATGGTGTTTTTATTCTTTAATTTCTATACAACACTGTATTCTATGCACTAGTTCATATCCAATCTAATGAAACAAAAAAAATATAATGTACCTATGAAAATTTTAAAAGAGATTTTACAAGAAAAAAATCATCTGATGACAAAATGTGTAATTAAAATTAAGGGTTTTTTAATTCTGTTTTTCCATGGAATTAAACATATAGAAATTTTTTTTTTTTTTTCATTTAAAACAAGCAACCACATTATATATTTTTTTGTATCATTAGTACCAAAATTAGTTAATATTATTAATAAAATAAACAAATGGAGAGTTTAGAAGATGATAAGATCTCTAAAATGAGATTAAGTTTGAACGATTTCTATTCAGGTGATAATCAAAAAGTGCTACAAGCAACCAAACACATTAGAACTATCTCATCAACAGTAAGTCTTTTTTATTTTATTTTTTTCGACTCTTTCGAGTGAACTTTGAATCTGATTTGTTCTTAACTGTGCAAACTCATAGGAATCATTAGAACATATGCAATTAATCATTGACTATGGATTGATAGCCAGACTTTTAGAAATCGTTCAGATTGGAATTGATGAAATCAAATTTGAAAGTGCATGGGCATTAACAAATGTATGTAAATATAAAGACAAAGTGAAATAATAGGATTATTAATCTAATAACTAACTTTTATTTATTAAAAGATTGCTGCTGGCTCAACTGAACAGACAACAGCTGCTGTTGAACAAGGATGTATACCAATGTATCTATCGATCATTCTATGAATGTATCTTTTTATGATATGGTTTTAATATATCTTTATATAATATTGTCTATCTTGTAGATTTATAGAGTTATTGAAATCGCCAAATATTAACTTGGCAGAGCAAGCATTATGGTGTCTTGGAAACATATCTGCAGAAAATATTGAAATGCGAGATTTGGTTATTTCCGAAAACACAATAGATAGAATAGTGAGTTTGTTATCGAATCCTTATACCACAACAGTGTTTATACAAAAAGGCATATGGACATTTTCTAATTTTACAAGATTAAAACCAATTCCTCCCAAACATCAGGTAATATTACATTGCGAATGAATATGAATGATCATTTTTGAACACAATCTAACTATGAATATCATCATAGGTTGAAAAGTATCTTCCATTCATATCTATTGGTCTAAGCGATAATGATCAAGAAGTATTGATTGATTCAATGTGTACTTTAATGCATCTCTCTGATGAAGCAAACGATTGGATTTTCGAGCATTTCATCGATTTAAAAGTAATACCAAGAATAGTGAAATACTTGGATTCAAGCTATTTAAATTCGTATGTTTTTAAATTTTATTTGGATTGAATTAAAAAAAAATTACTAAACTCTGTCTCTCTAATAAAAGAATTGTACTACCAGCCATCAAAATAATTGGAAATATGGTATCATCAGATGATGAAAAGGTAACACAACATGTATTGGACAGTGATGTAGTTCCACACTTAAAGTCTATCATTAATCATAAGAAAACAAGCATTAGAAAATATGTTTTCTTTTCGATATCCAACATTTCAGCTGGTACAAAAACACAAGTTGATACACTCATTCAATCCGATATTTTGAAATTAGTTATTAATCACGTTGAATCAGCTTCAGCAGTCAAAACAGTAAATATAAAAAATAATCATTTATCATTTTAAATTCATTAAAAAAGTTTATCATTGTTTATAAATATTTGTAGGAAATGGTTTGGGCAATAATAAATGTTACACAAAACAGAGATCCTCATCATATTAAATATCTTTTGGAAATTGGAATAATACCATTTTTGAACTATCATTTAAGCAACTCAAGAGACACAAGGATATTATATGCGATTCTTAACGCCACTACCAACATTTTGAGCTTAAATGAAATTAATCCAGACCTCAAGATCACAAAACAATTTATTCAGAGCGGCTTTTTTAAAATTTTGGAAAATAGAGGTTTGATTTCTAATCTAAAGAATGAGGTTACCGACATTTATGCACTGAAAGAGATATTAAAAATTGAAGGTAGGTGATTATTTTCAATTGGAATAACAATGAGAAAATAACTAATAAATTGTCCTATAGGTTATTATTAAATAAATTTAAAAAATTACCAATCTTGTTAGATCGATATAAGATAATTATTATTGATTAGTAATTAATTGAAATAGATAATAAAGTAGTGAATAGTATTTAGATGGTAGAGTATTTATTAAAATTGAATTGTTATATTCTATATATTTTTTATTTGATGATTACCTTTTATTTTATTAGTTTGGATCTTCATGATAGAAGCAAAATAGGTCGACCAAGTAGTGATGAAGAAATGGGTGCCAAAGAGAATGCATATCATTGTCCTAAATAAAGAACCTTCTTGCATCAACATATGGTTTGAATATCAGTATATCACGAATTGGGAGTATACTAAGAGAGGAAGGTTTGGCGTATAAAATTTTATCTCGAAAGTTTGATCTAACAGCAAAACAACTCGAGATAAGATTGGATTTCGCTATGGCTCCAGTGTGCCATGGACAGTAGAGTAATGGAAACAACTGGTGATGACGAGTCAACAATTGAATCAAATTTCAAAAACTACCGAAAGTTTAGTTGAGTTTTTTTTATTCAAAATGGAAGATTTGGTATAGGATACAACGTGGAAAGTCGTTCAATCTCTGAGGGTGTATTACCAAATCAGGAGAGGGTTTTCTAATCAAAATAGAAGGTACCCTCAGGCAGGAACAATACACAGAGATTCTCAGAGATGCATACATTCTACAGCAAAAATCTGAGAAACAGGACAGAGGTATCAAATCATAAGACATATATTAATTCATTAATTGTTTTAGAAAGTAACATATATATATGGGAGTATAGATCTTTGAAAAAGATTAGTATTTATAAAAAAATTTGAGATATTTAATAATAATAACAAACAAAAATTATTTGTGCAATATTTCTCAAGGAATAAAATACTTTTTGTTTTTATAGATATAAATTTACTTTCTTAAAAATCAATAAATATGATTAAGATATACCTAGATGATGATTATTTGAAACAAATTGTTTCATAAAGATTCATAGGGTTTTTGACAGTAACCATGTGTCATTTCATATCACCACTATTAACATTATTTAAGAACTCTATTGAGTTTAGAATGAATGGCATCTAGTATATATATTTATCTCAAGAATACCCAAGAATTTTAAAAAACATTCAGGTCCTGACTGGTTTGTTTATATATCAAATTTAGTTAAGAATACATTTTAAGTAAAAAATATTATGAGTTTTAGTATATTGATGACAAGTGAGATATCTTGTACAGTTGTGGAATATACTAAAATTAGTTAAACAATATTATTTATTCGTCGATCTATATCATACTCTAAAATTTCTAAAAAATCTGGGAATCTAGAGCTTAAGATGGATTGTCTAAGTATCCAGTTCCATATTAAATTAATTAGAGAAAAGATTGAATTTGAATCTATCACTCCTTTAAAGAATAACCTTTCTTTATACTATACTCTCCTTGTTGTATTTTCGTTTCATCTGTTAAATTACTTTTCTAAAAAAACAATATCCTTGTTTATTGTAAAATCAGTTCAAAACCTTTACATTTTGAATATGAAGAAGAGTCTAAAAGGTTTTTTTTTGTATTATTTCTGAAAGTAATTCCTTAATCCTTTATTATTCTTCTAATAATGTTATTGATTTATCATTTTAAAAATGTATTGATCTCCTTTTTTTTTTAATGATTTAATTTTTTTTTAAAAATTTTTTTAAATTTTATTTTAAATATAATTGTAATCTTTTGAATATACTCTTTTTATACATATAGTATTTGGGTTCAGTGCTGAGTTTGTTTTTGCTTAGTATTTCTTTAGTCTTGAAACTGTTGAAAATTAGAATTGTATTTTAAACCAATAACTTCTTGTGCCGTTCAGTAATCCAAATCAAGTATTCCACAAATCTTTTATCTTTCTGTTAACATTTTACTTGGTATCATTCTTATATATGATATAATTAAATATTTAAAAATAAATTAAAAAGTACTATAATAAAAAATATTTTATTACTTCAGAAATATTGCACAAATTAATTTTATCTTTTATTTTTTTTATTTTTTTTTAAAATGATAAATGATTCAATTTCTTTTAATTATTAATCATTTACAAAGATATATCTTAGAATATATTTATTAGTTTCTATAATAAATAAATGTATTACTGTTTGATATTTTGAAACCTCTGTCCGGTTTCACAGATTTTTGCTGTAATACTATCATACGCCCATATTATTGTTTAAACAATGCAAAATATAATGATAATTCATTGCAATACGAACAAGTTGTGATGAATTTAGATTAGATTTCTTGTCAGTATCATCTATAGATGTAACACTCTTCTTGATGAGAAATGTGGATATAGTTTAGTATGCTTGTTCAAAACGTGAAAAAATTTTGCAGATGAGCGGATTTGTTTTTGCAAAAAAAAAAATTAAAAAAAAAATACCTTTGTTGATTCTTGATTTTTTATTTTTTAATTTTTTTTTATTTTTTATCTCGATTGATAATTTCCACGAATTTTCATCGAAATTTAGTCGATTATGGGCTTTTAAAAGTTATTTCTTTATATGGACTAGAAGGGTATCGATCCCTTTACCTCTCGCCTGCTAAGCGAGCGCTCTACCATCTGAGCTACAAGCCCTTTGTTTTTTGGTATTCTCAATTTTAAAATTATAAATCTTTTTTAATATAGTAAATCATGATTTTCAAACAAACGAATGATTTCAATAAAAATAAAACATAATATAACTCGAGATTCAATATTCTAACCACTGAGCTACATTATACACTTTAAATGCATAAAATAGAGTGGAAATCACTTTTTTTTTATAAGCAATGACATTGTGTATGAAGATTCGAGCAGTTAAAGTTCTATTTTATTTACATTTGTGTGGTTACGAATAATACAAGAGAATGAAAAAGATAAATTAAACATAGAATGAATAAATTTAATAATTTTCTTATTTGACAAATTATTGATTTTATTTGTTTAAACAGTTAACTCTTTTTATTTTTAAATGAAATAAAAAAAAAAACAACAGGTTTCATTTTTGAATTCAATAAAAAATAAATTATATCCAGGTTTGTTTAATCTTTTTTAATAATTGATGAAATGGAAGAGAATAAAATTGTTAACTATTTTAACTGACCTTAAAAAAAAGACCCCGAAAGTGAGCAAAAACTAATTTGAACTAAATTGGTAATCTACAAAAAAAGATATTTGTTAATTTTTTTTGTAAAAATTAATATTCACCCAAGTTTAGATTAATAAGGAAGAGTTTGATTAAAAAAAACAAAACATAGTAACGAATGGATGGTATAGAGATAGGTAAAATTATACAAAGAAATATTTAAATATAAAGTTATTAATAAATATTGTTAAGATTTGTCACTTTGTGGATTTTGTAGAGATAAAATCGAGCCAGGAGTCGAAAGATATCGCTGTTCAGAGTGTGTTGGACTATTCCTTTGTACAAAATGTTACCACTCCCCTCAATCGAATTTAGCTCACACTGATAAAGCACCATTACCTCATTTTTGTAATATTGAAACAAGTAAGTTGACAACTGGCGTACCCACTTTTTAATATTAACTTTTCTTTTCTATTACATTTAGAATCTGATATAAACTATTGGAGCTTTATTAAATGCGATACAGTCTATCAAAGTTTTGTGTATGCTTATATTTCTTTTTTCTTTGCTCTAATATTAATTATTATTATTACTTTTTTTTAGCAATTCATTCACTTCATTTTCAAAAAGAAGATGTATTGGTGTACGAAATGAAAATTCAACAACTAATCCAATCAACTGGTTGACCTATGAAGAGATTTATGATAAATCACAAAGATTTGGCACTAGTTTAACAAAATATATTCCAAGGGTATATTTAAATATATTGCTCTTTGTTTTGTTTCTTTACTAAAATTTTTAAAACCTTAATCATCTTTATATAGGAATCAAAAGTTGGTACTATGTTGGAAAGTTTACCAGAATGGTATTACGTTGAATTTGCATGTTTATATTATGGATTCACAATGATCACAATAAATCAACATCTAAGTATGTAAAAAGAATACTCTTTAAAAGATTATTGAACTCAAATAATCTTTTTTTTTTCAAATTTATAGATAAAGCTCAACTTCCAATTATTCTTAACAATGGAGAACCATCAGTTTTAGTTGTTTCAAAATATACACTACCAAGATTGATAGATGTTATTGATCAATATTCTAAATTGACCATGGTGGTTCATGTTGGTGATGAATTCGATGAGAATCTTATATCCAAATTACCACAAAACGTTCAATTCAAAATGATGTCTGAATTAATCGATCAAACACCAACAGATCAAATTGGTTCACACTCTCCTCTGGTTGATGGAATATTGGCATTAGGTATTATACTATTTCGTATTAATAACATTTATCAAATTCTAATCATTTGTTAATAGTTTACTCGAGCGGGTCAACAGGTATTCCAAAGGGTCAAATACAAACAAATAGACAACTATTGAATGTTTTGCAAAAGACCTATACCCCTGAACTTTATTTCTTAACAATGAGTTTTTTGTCTTTATGTAAGTTAAATAAAAAAAATAAAAAATTACACATTTACTAACACTCTAATAACAATAGCTCATGCTCAAAGAATATTCGATCTATGTACAATTCTTAATGGTGGAAAGATAGTTGTTTACAGATCAACAAATTTGGATTCATACTTAAAGGATGTTATTTATATCAGACCAACCTATTTCTGGGGCTTACCTTCGTAAGTTGTACTTTTAAAAAACTGTTCAAATGTTAAAATATATTTACAAAAGAAATACTTGTTTTTTTTAGATTTTGGAATCAGTTTTACACAAGATATCAATATCAACTTCAATCAATTAAAGATAACAATCCACAACTATCAGAGTTGGAATTGAAAGAACTTGCTATCAATGAATCAAGATCTATGTTAGGTGATAGAGTTCAATTGGTTGTCACAGGTGGTTCTGTGATCTCTCAAGATATTTTACATTTTATGAAAGATTGTTGGGCTGACAAGGTAATAAATCTCTATGGTTCCACAGAGTGCTATCATATAACCGTCAACGATGTTTTAAATCCAGATGTCCAACACAAAATCATTCCTATTCCAGAGCATCCAAACTCCGGTCAACATCCAGTTGGAGAATTGGTTGTCTTGTCTCCAAGAGTAATCAAAGGTTATTATAGAAATGAAGAAGCAAACATATGCTTTCAAGATGGATGGTTCTACACTGGTGATATTGTAGAAGAGTATGAACCAAGAAAAATAAGAATTCTTGATAGAGTTAAAAATTCATTTAAAGGTCCTCAAGCAAAATATGTCTGGTAAGTTTATGTATTTATATTTCCAACAATTATATGTTACTAAACTTATATTTCTAAACAAAACAATTAAATAGTCCTGAAACAATTGAAAGTTATTTCTACACCTCTTCGCTAATCAGAAATATCTTTTTATACGGAGATTCTTATCATGAATTTTTGGTAGCAATTGTCATTCCATCCGATGAAGCATTGGAAAGATTCAATGCTTCGATTAAAGATTCAAATCTAAATGATAATGTTAAACTTAGAAATTATATTTTAGAGGATATAAAACTAATTACAAATCAAAAGAGTGTAAATATCAAACTTTATTTATTTAAATTGATCACCTCTATTAATAACAGATTATATAATTTCTTTCTAATTAGATTGCATTCTGGGAGTCACCGCGCGTCATTAAACTAGACAACACAATCTGGTCACCTGAAAACAACCTCTATACTGGAACCTCTAAGTATAACAGACCAGAACTCAAAAATTATTATAAAACATCCATTGAACAATTATTGAATGAAGGAAAACCCGCAAATAATAATAACTTTTTATAAACGATTTTCTCTACAAAACGTTTTAAAAAAATAAAATAATAATAATAATAAATAAAGAGAATATATTAAGTTAAAACAATATCTTACAAACTAATTTTTGATCACAAAAAAAAAAAAAATTAAAAAAAAAATTGAAAAATAAGAATAAAATTTAATTAAAGTGATCATTCTGGTTAAAGCCGACAGAATACAGAGTATATAGTAAAAAATACAGGATGGATCAAGTAATTGATCTTCTCACAAGCTATCTCGAACAACCATTCGATGAACAAAATGATAGTTCTAATATAAACAACCCAACTTATGATATACTCTTGGCACCATTAAAGGTATCAACACTCGATCAAATCTCATCTATTGCTACCAACCTCATTAAGAATGAACCTATTATGCAATTGATAATAAAGAAGATATGTTCGAAAGGCTTTGCTCAAACTGTATGTAAAACAACAACAACAACAATAACAACAACAACAAACCAAATTTCATTAACATTCGTTTGTTAACAAATCATCATATTATAGAAGAATGAATTACTTTGTCAATGGTTTTACACTTGGTATAATCTAGAGTCTATCACAGCAAAGAGATTCGTTCTAGCATTTGTACCAGCATTCCTATGGGTGTTCTTGTATGGTCCAAGTCCAACTACACATATCGGCATAGAGACATGCATGATTGGCATATACAACCATGAATTGGTTGATCGCGAAGGCAACGACAATGTGTTCCAACCAGTCTCTGTTACTATGCCCTCTTTTATATTCAAGTCGGTCACACCGGATGCAGAGTCTGCTCTGACTGAATCGACATTGAAGCAGCTGAATCTACAGTCTGTACCGGTGATGGTTGAGCGTGCACTCACCAGAATCGACGCAGTGACCACTGCCAATCGCACACAGATTCTGCGGACCAACATTAAAGTATACAACGCAAATCTAACATATATGCCAGAGATATCGAGAACCATGTTTTGTGAGATGTGTATTCGTGTATCGGCAACTGGCTATCCATTCTTACCATTGGCACAAGACTCACCATCTCAACACCATCATCATAACAATAACAACAACAACAACAACATCAACGAACAAAGTAGCAGTAGTCTTGCAAGCATGGTCAAGTCGAGTGATGCGCTATTTGAGGAGAGTGCACCATTGTCACAGTCAGAGAATCTTATTGAAAGACAAAGAAAAGAAAGAGAATCTCGTAAACAATTTAGAATGACATCCTACTTGGAGTTGGACTACCAATTGCAGAGTCATCACAATCAACATCTCACCAATGGCAATGGAAACACTACACATCAGCACACTACCATCACCACCACCACCACTAACAACAGTAAAATAGTTAAACGATTATATATAACAGAGAGTGTCTACAGGGAATTGATCACCGGTTTGACCTACTGTGCATTCCAAGACTCTACAAAGTCAATGGCAACCATTGCACTTAAATCGATTAACCAGAGAGCAAGTCACGATCTGGTACCAGAGATAATGCTATATTCAAACTCTGTAATCAATGTACTACAACATCAACATCAAAATTAAATCTATTATTATATTATTACATTACCAGTTAATATTAATATTAAATAAAATATCGAAAATCACTACTACTACTACTAGTACTTTTATAGTGCAGAATTTATTAAACTATTGGTGTTACAAGGGTTATTTACAATTAAACCATCACTGTTTGTTATGATTGGCGTTGATGATGATGATAAAACGGGTATACTGTTATTACTGGATGATAAAATCGATCTTGGTGGTGATGATGATAACGATTCAATTGGTATTGGTGAGGAAATAGCGGTTGGTTTGTTGTTGCCGTGTATTTGTGCAGAGTACTCTTTTAGTGCCTTTGAGAATCCAAAGTTTGGTTGTATGATACCACGTCTCTCTTTGACATATTTTCTGGCATCATCGTATGTGTAACCTAGCTCTTTAATTAGATAAGCAATCACAGCAGTGGTACTTCTACTGACACCCATAGCACAATGCACTAGTACACGTCCATTCTTCCTCTTACAATCGTTTATAAAATCGATAACCGGTTGGAAGTGTTTGACAATGTCCGCACGAAAGTTATCCTCCAGATCTGCTCTATAATATTTAAAGATATGTGGATAACAATCCTCCAATTCCACCGCCATATTAACTATATGTGTAATTTCTATTGAACAACCAATTTGGTTAGTTTGATTAAATGGATTTTAATTGCTAGCAGGAGACTTACTTAAATTCTTTAGCTGTTTGATATTGGATGCTGATTCATACGCACCAAGATACAGGAAATTCTCCAGAATTTCAGATGGATACAAAGCCAACTCCAATGGTGACTTGGTTGGCGTCGATGAACTTAGACAAAGGAATGGATACTTCTCTTGGAATGGAATGTAGCCATCTTTGTAGACGGTTATTACGGTTCTCTTGGAACGTGCCAACATAAAGTGTAATACAAAGTTCCTCCCATCGATCGGTATCGAGGTTGAAAGGGTGGCTGTCGGTCAAGCTGTGTGTATCCAGACTGTTTTGGTCCATCTGGAAATGAAACTGTGAGTCTGCATATACAATGACACGCTGTGATGTCAAGTTCCAGTACTTGACACCGGTGTGAGTGCTTATGTACTTGGTGAGATTGAATTTGTTGTTGTCATCGAAATGCTCTGATTCCTTTGAGGGTGGCGGTAAGTTGACAGCCGTGCTAATGTGTGAGGCATTCCACTGTGCTGATGGTCTCAAATCAATGACGAGCTTGGAGAATGAAATGTCTTGCAGTGCATTATACATCTGGGTGTTCGAGTCAATATACAACAGCTGGTAGGCAGAACTGTCTAGTCCATGCACTGGTTCTGCTATCAAATCTCTCTGCTTTCCTGTCCATGCTTGAAATATATTATGATAGATCGGTGTTATTGGTGGTGGTATTGGTGGAGGTGGTGGAGAGCCAGCCGCAAGTGGACAACGTTCATCCTCAATAAGACCAAGAACAACATTATTATTATTATTATCCAACTGTGTCATATCTTAATTGTTACTAACTTTTAATTTTACAATAAATAAAAATGATATAAACAAAATAAATATGTAAATCTTAATTAAATAGATTTAAATAAAAACAGGTGTAATAAAAAAATTTTAAAAAATTAAAAAAATTATAATAATTTTCGTTGAAATTTATAACAATAAAATTATATCATAGATATTGATCAATAGTTCTATTTAGATTCAATATCTTTCTTCTATTTATTTGATTTTGTGGGTTACTGTGTAGCTTTAATGATAACTTTATTGGGTTTGTTTGGGTTTGGTTTATAATGTTTAACAGAAAAAAAACAGTCAAAATTGTAGAAAAAAGATTAATGAAAACAAGACTACTACCTATATTTGATTTTGATTGGTTGATTGATTAATTAATTAGACAATTCTCTTTTCGATATTGAAGAAGACGATGTTTGATTATGATTAAAAAAGCGAAAAATAAATAAAAAAATAAAAAAAATGAAAAATTGCAAGTGGTATCCCTGTTGGGTGGTGAAGTTAGAATTTTTGAGAGAAAATAAGGTTGTATCCTTTATCTGTTTATCGTATCTTTACATAATAGTTAAGAGAATCTCGATCGATTAGAGGTATCCTTGATAGTACAGTCACAAAAAGATGTCAGACACAGAACAAGAACAAATTCAACAGGATGATCACAATCAGTTGCTCGACGTCGACTTGTCGACTCTGAGTACACCAGAGAAGATGGAATTGATCACCAACATTATTGCAGACTCTTACAATATTAATATTGCACAGAAATTAGAGCAATTCCTCGACATTCAGATCAACGAGAACATCTATCACTTCCAAGCCAACTCTACTTTGCTCAAGCTCTATCAATTCAACCCTTCTGCACTCAACAAAGACTACATCGCCAAGATGTTGGCCAAGGCTTTGATGAACTTGCCATCAAATGACTTTTTATTCTTATCATATATGATTCCTTTCTCAATGGTATGTTTATTTAATTTTATATTTAATATTTACTATCATTATTTTAATTTACTAATTATTTTTAAAATATAATCAATTAATAATAATAAATAATCAATAATTAATAATTAATAATAATTTAATAATATTTAGCAAAAGGAAGAACCATTATTAAAGTTATTCGTATTGAACAATTTGCTCGAGACATGTAAATTTAAGGAAGCATGGGAACACATTCAAAATAATCAAGCATTCTTCTCTGTTATTCCAAGCTTTGTCGATAGTGTTAGAAATTGTAGGTTCACCACTCACTCATCAGTTAGAATAAAATCTTAAACATAATAGATAACAGACACCTCAACTTTGATAAAATTATGCGATAAACAAATTAAATTTTTAAAAAGGTTGATTGGAGTTTATAGATAAAAATAGATATTGAAAGAACAGATAGACAATAATAAATATAATATATAGATTGATGAAACGATAGAAATGAATTAATAGATCGAATAATAATGATAGATGAAGCGAGATATAATAGAATTAGGTGTATGATTTATAATAGTAAAATTAAAGATAGACTAATAACGATTGATGTAGAGCTTAAATTTGTTATCATTCTATCGAAAAACAAATATGTAGATACAAACTCTATTAGATTACTAATATTACTCTTTTTATGTTCAATAAATAGTCGTATCAAATGTTTTATCAATTACCTATCAAACCATTACCATTACAATGTTGGTAGAATTGTTGAATATTCAACAAGGTGGATTAGATGAGTTTATGTCAACAAAGCCATCATGGAAATCAAATGGTACTACTGTATCTTTACAAAGCGATAGCGTCAAGCAAAAGAAATCAGATATCTTTACTTTCGATCGTATGTATATTCTATCATTTAAGAGTCACACAGTTTATTCATATATTAATACAATCACCTATCATTATTGTTATTCATTTTAGAATTATCACGAATCTTGCCAACTATGATGAAATAAAAGAATCATCATTTTCCGTAAACAAAAAAAAAAAAACAAAATAATATAACTATAGTATAATACTAAATAAATAAAAGTATTTATATGATATATAAAAAGATTTGTAATAGACAGACAGAGAGAGGGAGGTGTTTTGATTTATATTCTCAATGAATTTTAAACATTTACACTTTTTTTATTGTTGTTGTTTCTTATGGTGGTTTGATTCTTTTCATTGTCTTTTTTGAATAGTTTATGTGCTAGATCTACAACTTTCTTATCGAGTGGTTTAAGCATAAAGTCATCGCAGCCGGCCTCGAGACAACACTTCTTATGACCCTCTTCGGTATCGGCAGTCTGCATGATGACAGGTGTTCTCTTTAATCCTCTTTCTCTTTCGTAGTCTCTGATCAACATGGTCGCAGTCAATCCATCCATGATTGGCATAATGATATCCATGAGGATCAATTCATATTTAGGGTTCGATTTATACATATCCAATGCCATCTGTCCATTGGATGCCACTTCAACTTCAAAATTATTTCTCTCCATTATCTTTGTAATCAAAGTAACTTGCATTGCATTATCTTCCACCAGTAATACCAATGGTCTATGTTTAACTATGAGTTACAAAAGAAACAAAGTTAAAAACAAAGAAATAAATAAACTTAACTAGTTGTGCTCGACATACCTTTAATTAATAATCTGTTACAACCGATAATGCCTAGTGATGTTAGATCACTCAATCCACCGGTCAAAGTAGCAACACCAGTATCAGTTAGGTTTGAGTTGAAATTTAAATTTAATCTTGTGATTTGAGTGAGGTTTTTGAGGTGTTCCAGTGCCTCGTCGGTTAAAGCTGTACACATAGAGAGGTCGAGGGCAGTAAGCGATGTCAACTTGCTTATATGAGCAGCACCGACATCGCTGAATGGATTATTGATTAGGGTGAGTGTTTTGAGTTCAGTGAGTCCACTGATGAATGCCATCTCTTGGTCCTCAATTCCACAATCGGATGCTTGAAGAGTTTGTAGTTTCGAAAGTTGCTGTATATACTGAAAGCCGGCATGAGTGATATTCCGACAGCCACTGATGTCGAGATCCCTCAGAGTGGAGATTGCACTGATATGTTGGATGCCGAGTGCATTGATGTCATTGTTGTTGCTGATATCGAGTTGTGTGAGTGAGCGTAGCTGTTTCAGTGGCGCACACAGCACATTCGAGAGTCTGACCGACGATATATTTAGCGAGTCGAGTTGTGGGAATTGCGAAAGCAACTCGAGACACCGTGCAATATCAATGTTCAAACAGCCCTGTAGGTTGATCTTTTGCAATGGTACTTCGCTCTCCACCAACTTTGCCAAGCCATCCCCTTGAATCGAATCGCAATAGCTTATATCGAGTGAATTCAACTTGCGCAGATGAGAGAGGTTCGCTATTCCTTCGTCTGTGATTTTGATGTTCTTTGAGAGGTTGATCGTCACCAGTGTACTACTCATTGCACCCTTTGTAATCGACAGCCAATCGTCATGGATCTGCACTTCCTTACCAAGGAAATCCAACTTGGTCAACTTTGAGTTCTTAAAGAGTGATAGTGTCTGTTGATTCAACAGTTTAGATCTCTGGAATATCGATATCAGAGTCTGACATAGTTCGTCAGGTAGCTTCTCCAGTGATTCTATTTGATCGATATTCTTTACCAATGCACCAAAGCAGAGATCTATCAGACGATATACCCTCTTTCCTCCTGCAATAGGTGCTTTCGATAACTGTTGTTGTTGTTGTTGTTGTTGCTGCTGTTGCTGTGTTGCTACGGATGCTGATGCTGATGTCGTTGTCAATTGTTGTTGTTCATCTTCTTCTTTTTTCTGAACTTTAATCGCTGCTTGTTGTTGTGATTGACCTGAACTACAACAGTTGCCTGACTTTCCATTGTGTTTATCTTGATATTCAGTTTGTTCTATTTTTCTTTTATTATTGTTATTATTATTATTATTATTGCAATTGTTTTTACTGGTGTTGGTTTTATCGGTGGTATTATTTGTTGTGGTTGGTGTATCTGCAGTGGTTGCTGCAGTTGCTGCCGGTAATGTTGGTGGTGAAGAAGATGAAGGTATTGTTGAAGGTGATGACGTACTATATACACAATCGTTGTTATCTAAATGAATATCATTGTTACTACTGTAATCTTCCCCATAATCAGTGGTAGCAACAATTTTGACACTCATACCATGATTGATATTATCCATTCTATTCATTAACTGTTTAAGAGATAAATAAAAATGAATAATTTGATTATTATTATTATTATTATATTATTATTATTATTGAACAAAGTTAAACTACTATATGCATATAACAACAAAAGTTTGATATGAGGAGTAGCTGGAATTCCTCCTTGAAGACATGTAGGTTTTAATCAAAAATAATATATTATTATTATCTAATTATAATTTATAAAAATATAAAAATAATCTGATAAAATCTAAAACTAATGAGTTTGATGCAACTAAACTAAACTAAATTAATCTAATGCGTTTTGCTTGTATAATTGTTTAGTAAGAGTTGTTTTATCTTTGATATTTATAAATAATGATGTTATTAATTACTATATTATTTATTTGAAATTCTATTTAGGAGGTGGTAGCTTGACAGTCAGTAAGTGTCAGTCCAAGAGAAATGTAAAATTTTTTTTTTTTTTTTTTTTTTTTTTTTGTTATTTTCCTATTCTGTAATTGTTTGAGATACAATAAGGGGGTTGTTGGATAATAGATGAAGGGGTGTTTTATCTACTGAATTAAGTGATTATTCATAAAATGAACTTTTTATTGTTTTTTATTGTTTTTCCCTTTTTGTATTCACTTGTGGTTTTGTTTTTTGAAAAATTCAGATAGATGCAAAAACAAAAATCCGATTCCAAAGTTTGTAGCGATGTTGACTTGTTGTTGTTAGTTCTTAACTTTAAATCGACTGGTAATGATATAGGTGAAAAATAGAATGAAAGATAAGATAATAATAAAGATAGTTTAAACTTTAAATGAAAGAGTAAAAGAATTTCATATATCTTTGTTCAGTAAAAAAAAAATATAAAATTTGACCAAAAAAAAAGAAACAACAACAAAATTTTTTTTGCAGGTATTAATTAATGCCTGCAAAAAAGACGAACAATAACAACAAACCATTTATTATATTGTGTGTGGTTGTTGGCTGCAAAAAAAAAAAAAGCAATGTTTGAAGAGGAGAGATGTAAAAAATATTACTTTACTTTTGAATGTGTTGTGGTCAATTTTTGATTTTTTTTTTTTCACACAAAATTGGAGTGTTTAATATAAACAGGGGGTACCTAATTGAAGTAACACACACAAAGTGCGAATACTTTTGATACAATAGTAACAAATTATAATTACCTTTATTATATATGTAGATTTAATGAACAAACTTGGCTCTTCTCTTTACTTATTATCTTTATTTATCTTCACTTCTTCTTCTATACTCGACTATGCTCTACTCTACTCTCCTCAATAAAACATGCTGTGCGATGTCGAACTATATTCTATTATTATTTATTTTTATTTTTTCTGTATGAGTATGAACACTCACTCCAATTGTTGTTGTTGTTGTTGTTGTTGGTAGTATCTCGAGATTACTTTTCTTTTCTTTATTTTTTTTTTTTGTTCTATTTGTTATTTTCTTCTGTTTGTTGAAGTGAGTGACTAACAATACATTAATTAATATATCGATAGGGTAGTGGGTATTTAATTAATTATACTAAATTGTACTAAAATTATAAATAAATAAGTAAATAAATAGAAAACATATCAATAAAACAACAAATAAAGTAACCCACAACGACAATAATAAATAAATTTAATATATTAATAAAAATCCAAAGTCACCAACTTTTGAACAAATGTATAATATCTCTATATTTTTGTATCTATCTCTATATCTTTGTGCTGTATCTATGTTATTTTGTTATCTTTAATATCTAAGCTTGATGTACATAAAATTTAAATTTAAACTGAATTAATAATAGAATAAATCAATAATAAATAACTGATGAAATATATATAAATACATAAATAATTGTATGTGTGTTTTTTATTTATAAATATTCGATAGATTAAAAATATTTTCAAGTTTATTGAATGTTAGATCTTGACCCCCCTCTTTTTTCCAATCCCAAACACCAAACAAAGGGATATTTCTATCAAAACCATAAATGGTTTGATCTGTGATTAAATTAAACAACACACTATTTAATTAAAAAAAAAAAAAAGATAGTGTGATGATGATGATGATGGGGTGGTCATTGAACACAACACAATTATGAATAATAGAACTACTTTATATTTATATTTACTTACAGCAATTTGTTTCATAATATATTCTCTTTCTCTTTCTCTTTCTCTCAGTTAAAACTAAATAAAATAACAATAAAGTTAAAACTTAAAGAAATAGAGAAGGACACTACATTAAAATTGACGCCGAAGTGTGTTAGTTGTTGTTAAAATATGGTTCGACATTAATTAAACCAATCCAATCGGCACAATCTGCCTTTAATAGCAAACAAAAGATGGCAGAGCTCTTTGTTGTTGGTTTCTCAAATGTTGTTAGTTTTAGAACATTGTGTTGACTGTTGCATCTATAAATCTATCATTCTTCTATTATTATTTTTCTCCACCATTCAGTTGTATTTGATTATGTAATGGTGTTTGATGATGATGATTATGATGCACCCATCTCATGAGTGGTGAAGATGAATTATCATAAAAAGTGGTGCTGTTGGTGACAAAAAACACCACCAAAAGTTCACAGATCTTTATAGATCTACAAGCCACCACTATTTTGAAGGTGTTTTGAGCGATTTTAGGCAAAAATAGTGGCAAGTTTAAATTTAGTTTTTATTTATTGTTGTTGATGTTTATTTTCTTTGATAAAAATACATATATCCAAATTCCTTTGGTGGTTCAACAGAGTGCTGTACCTGTCGATCATTAAACTTTATCCACTCACCATCCTTCTTGACGTGACAAATATAGTGTCCAATGTGAACGTTGCTTCCAAGATGGGAGATGAATCCAACTAATTCATATTCTATTTAAAGAGAAAAATAAATAAATTGTTAGTATACGGATAGGGTTAATATTTGTTTTTTTTTTTTTTTGTTTAAAAAAAACACTATATTTATAAATAATGTTAACACTTACTTCCTTCTCCATCTTTAACTTTTTTGGTCAAATTGTCAACAGTGTTTGTTGATTTTGGTGCTGGGGCTGCTGATGACGATTCACTTTGAGCAAGCAATTGATCCAGATCATCCATATGAGAGAGTAGCCAATCAGCAGCTCTCTCGACATTGTTGTTTGTATTTTTAAGTGCAAGTTTGGCTTGTTTGTCGTTGAAACCCATTGCTTCCAACATCATGAGGTCGTCGGCATTGAATGACATTGAAGCAGCAGCAGGCTTGGCAGCAGAAGGAGCTGGGAGTGGATCGTCAACACCTGGATCTTCACCATGTTCCAATGCCCAGTTCATAGCAGAGTCAGCATCAGAGTTGTTGACAGCCAAAGCAGCTCTTGCAGCTCTATTCTTTGGGAATCCCATAGCAGTCAACATCTCGACGATCTCACTATTTGGAACTGGTGCAGCAGCTTGTACTTCTTGTTCAGGTAATTCTTCTTCATTCGGTTTCTTACCAGTACCTCTCAGGTATGAAATATCGAGATTATCTGGTGCATCAATACAGATATCTATAGCAAACATATTAGTATCATTTAAATGATAATGATCAAAAACAACATACTTAATTTCTTTGGTACCCAATCATCTCCAATCACATATTTTCTTAAATGAATAACTAAAATATCTGGGAAACTTGCTAATCTTGTTGAACTAATAATAATTGGATAAATTTATGTTAGTGATTAAATTATCATGTAAAGATATTGTTTTAAGTTACATACTTGATTGAGAATGTTTTACCACCGATTGCTGTGCTCATAAAATCAGAGACTTTATAGGATTCGGCAAAGTTGTCTAGACATGCTTGAAGTGGAACGATGGGTCTGATTTCTTCTTGACCAGCAGGTGGTTTTCCACCGTTACTAGCTACCAATGATTCGTAGATTTGAACTTCCTCCTTGTTGGTCACTGCCTCCATTGGTATGCCAAGTGACAAGACATTCTCGATTCTATTGGTGTATTTAACCTTACCACTTGAACCACATTCGATTCTCTCCTCTAGGACATAGGTGAATGCCTTGGTTGGGTCTTCCGAACGAATCCAGCTGGGACGTGTTTTCTCATTACGCTCGATCCACTGCAACATGAACTGGAAGAATTCAAGAGTATCTTGTTGTTGATAGGTTGCAAAGATCGACGAGTTCTTTCCGACCAAACTCTTGAAAATCTTTGGAGTAATACCAATTTGTGATGCTTTTACTTGTTCCTGTTCATTTTTGGGTTGGTTGACCTCCTCTGGCTTTGCATAGTCACCACTCTCCAAACCATGAGCCAACTTTGACATTTGAATCTCAAAAGATGATGTTGGATCCTGTGTAATCTCTTTGAATGAATGTTCTCTCTGACTGATATATCTATCCTTGAAATGACGTGTTGCAAATAACATTTGCAATACAGATGACATATAGCAACTAAAAAAATAATTAAAGTTAATCAACTATAATAGTAATAAAAAAAAAGAAAAGAATATTGAACTGTTCATTTGATTGACTTACGTATTTCCAAGATTTTCAATACCTGTCTTTCCACTACCGAATGCATTCTTTAGTTCTCTTCCCTTCTCAGAGAGTTTTCCAAATTCGAAATTGAGATTCTGGTCGAGTTCCAATTCAGCCATTGACTTTTCTGTTTTGCTCATCTGGAAGATGTTGATACCAAAGTGTGCTAGATGTTCGGCAAGTTTTGGATCGGAAACCATTTCGTCCTCTGGATAGGAATAGACGTCGGCGGTTCCCTCCTTGGTGATGGTTCCCAGCTTGACCGAAAGCGGATATTTTGTTTTATCGTAGTGAGTGAGTGCGTGGCCATTTCCACCGGTTCCATCGGCGTAGCGACGACCGCATCCAATGTTACCATCTGTAAGATTGAGCCAGAGATTCGACTCGGAACGATCACAGCCTGGCTCGTTACAACGCCAGCCTGTTGGTGGCACGCGAACACCATTGTCCAGCTGCTTCAAGTCGTCGGCATACTTTGAGGGAAATACCTGTTCTGCCGACCAACCGACGATCTCTTCCTTGCGAGACACTGAATTGGCTTTGATTACGCCCTCTGCCGACTCTCTGATGGCGGATGGCACAGTCGGGTCATTCAACTCGAAGTGCTTGTCTATCGGATAAAAATAGATAGAGTAACGATCCTCGTACTTTGGTGAGTCATCGTCGTTGAATCCACCTTCGACACCGATGGCCAACTTCTTTGGTGGAGGTGGATTCGAAGTATCACTATCTGTCTTTGGTGAGGTAGGTAGAATTACCTTTCGAATATTTAAATACACTGAATGTTTAGTCTTTTCATAGTTCAACTGTAAGAATGTTTTTGAAATTGAAATAAAACTATTTAAATCAACAAATAAACCATCTTTCATATCCTATATATGTATGTATTTATATATTAGTATTATTAATTATATATATATATATATATATATATATGATATGGTTATTACATACAGTTCTATCAAAAGAATAACTACATTCATCTTTCCAAACTTGTGAATTAGCATTTGGAATTCTTACTTGATTCACAAATTGATCAAGTTCACCCATCTTTATCGAAATAATATAAAATAATATATGTATATAAATATAAATCTAAAAATAAAGTAATAATAACACAATGACAGTTTAATATTAGTTTTAAATTAATCAATTCCCCAATCATAATTAACTTCACAAAAAAAAAAAACAAAAAAAAAAAATTGGATTTTAATTAAATTTTTAATGTTTTTTTTTTTTTTTTTTTTTGATTATCTTTAATATTTATTAGCTCTAGATTTAAATTATATATGTAATGTAGTGGAGGATATATATATTGGATTGGTGGATGGATTTAGATTGGTTTTCTTTTTTTTTTTAGAAATAACCAAAGTATCTTAAAAATGCGCTAGTTATAATTAGAAGACCTGAAAAGAAGATTAGAGAGTGATTAAATTGTGGTCCTGATTTTAGTGGTTCGAAATTCTTTGGTGGATTGACGAGTGCTTCGTGCATCAATGATCTTGTTTTTTCTAAAAGTGAATCTACATTATCGTTTGGTCCAATTTCAAATGGTGGTAAATATCTAACACTATTGATTGAATGGTTGGTTGATTGATTAGTAAGTTTGTTTAGAAATAAAAGAAATAAAAATAATAGTTACTGAACAGTTCCATTGTTTGGTAATAAATCTTTGGTTGGCCATAGTTCATGATTACCAAATAGACATACTGGTGCGATGACAGCCTTTGATTGAATGGCCATGTGGAATGGTCCTTTTTTGAATGGCTGTAGAATGCCGTCAGCAGATCTAGTACCCTCAGGACTGATGACAACACAAAGCTTGTTATCTTTGACGTTGGCAGCTGCAATGTTGATCGATTCGAATGCAGACTGACGCTTCTTACGATTGATTGGAATATGTCCGATAATATAGGCCAGGTAGAAGATATATGGAACGAAAAAGAGGAGTTCCTTCTTGAAGATGAAACGTGTAGTGATCGGAGTGTAGCCCATCAGAATGATTGGATCGATATTCGAAGCGTGACTGTACATTAAAATCGTTGACTTTGTATTGCATTGCTTGACATAGTGATCATCCTCGATAATAACATTGACATTGACCACCCAGAGAATAACTCTTGCCCAGACTCTGCTCAATACATCGAGAGGACTGTCACGTAACCAACGCTTGCTACCCAAAGCCTTTAAAATCGGTTTCAATATAACAATAAATGGTAATACCACCCACATAACAGCTGTATTTAATAATATCCAAATTCAATCAAATTAATAAATTAATCAATCAGTTTTTTTTTGTTCTCTTTTTTCCCTAATATTAGAATCATAAAAATAAAATAAAGTATACTATCTATCTATCTACTATCTATAAATAAATACTTACAAGTGATTATAATTGCCCATGAAAATCCAATGATTCCTCTAAATGTTTTCAAAAAGAAGGTATCTGTACGTTTTTTATAGACTGCTTGTTTCTTTACATTGGAACAGCTTTCGTCGACAGACTCTGTAGTGGTGGTGTTGGAGGTGTTAGTTACCGACTTTCTCTTTACAACACTTTCATTGCTTTCCATTTCTTTAATTTAACTGTTACTGATCTAATAATATTATTAGCAATATTATTTGTAAAGTTACAAAATAAGTTTAAAACAAAAATGAATTTTTTTTTAAATAAACAAGGCCAAAAAACACTATAAAGTTAGTGGGAATTTTCCAACGACAAAAAAAAAAACCCCTCTGCATTAATTTTCCAACACATAGGAACAAAATTTTATTTTTTTATTTTGCTTTTTATTTAGATTTTTTTTATTTGATTTTTTTTTTTTTTTAACTTTTGAGTTCAACGAATAAATATTAATCAATTTGTTTTATTATTTTTATCAAACTTATATAAAATACATTTAATTATATGTAGTTTCTAATCTTCCAAGATCTCTGTAAACCATTCTAAATTTGGATTTTTTTATATTAGTTCAACCATTGATGATTTTTGTTATTTTTTTTTGTATGTTCATGAGCATCATTCTTTTACCAAATATATTGTCATTATCGCCCAAAATAATAAATTATTACCACCACAATTCAATTAATCACTAATATCCAGTTATTATTATTTTTTACTCTTATCACACACAAGTTTTTTTTCATTTGATAGTATAACCCGATAAAACATTTATCAAATATTCATAGGATCATTGTCGCAAGCATACCACTGTGCCGATTGATGGTTCCTTTTTTGAATTAATTTATCTGTATCCATCGAGTTCATTAGATGTTTGTTCTCAAAGTTAGATGTTAAAATGCCGTAAATAACATTGTAGTGTTCCCTTTATTAAATGAACTACCAATCTGTAAATGTACTAATTATTCAGATAAGATGAAAGTTTTGACTACATTTTTGTTTTTTTGTTATTTTATGAATTGTTTATATTAAAATCTTTCAACTTCAAACTTGCAACAATGATCATATATTATGTTTTGTGTTTATCTTGCTTTGTTAATATTTTATCTTTAAATAAAATTTATAAAAATGAAATTTATCTTGATTTCTATTTTTATTTTATTTTTTTATTATTTTGGAATAAATCATTCAATGATTGTAAAGAATGGAGACAACAATATTTTCATTGACTATGAATTAAATCCCACTCTATATGTTAACAAAACAAATTACAATATACATTTTATATGTCATTCACATCTTGATGCTGGCTGGTTAAGAACTATTGATGTATGTATCAATATTCCAAAATAATTTGTTATTTTTTTTTTGGTGATTTCTAATTTGTTTATATAGGCTTATTATAAAATATGTGTAAAAAGTATTTTACAAGGTATTGTTCCTGAATTAATAAACAATGAAAAAAGAAAATTTGTTTGGGCAGAAATGTATGTACTATTATTTTAAAGTTCTATTTTCTTTGTCTTTTTAATTTTATAAATAGAGGTTATCTTGAAAGATACTGGAATAATGATGCTACAGCAGATTGGAAAGCACAATTCAAATCATTAGTTTTATCACGTAGAATAGAGTTTGTAGGAGGTGGTTTTGTTCAGGCTGATGAAGGATGCACATCATCAGAAGGTTTCCTTTTTAATATTGAAGTTGGATACAAATTTATTGTTGACAATTTCGGTGAAAATTATTTACCAGATACGTAAGTATTATTTTAAATTTATTAAAAAATACCAAATTAAAAATAAATAAAAAATCTAGAGCATGGCAAATTGATCCATTTGGATATACTAAAAAGGGTTCAATCATGGAAGCCTATAGTAAGAGTACCAATCTTGTTCTACACAGAATCGGTGAAGGTTTAAGGGAGAGATTAAAGTTGAATAGGGATATCAATTTTCTCTGGAGACCCAATGGCAAAAATAGTTCCGAACTTTTTGTTACTATTTTACAAGATAGTTATACTTGGCCTCCTACTTGGATGGCTCCACTTGATTCATTTTCACCTATCAATATTTCACAATTTTTGACCGTTGCATTGAAAACTATTGAAGATAAAATTCCAAATACCAATACAAACAATATCTTTATGGTTGTAGGTGGTGATTTCACATTTAATGTCCCTAAAAACTCTTTTTCTAAAATAGATGACCTAATGAGTATATATCTTCATGTAAATATTTTTTAAAGAAAAAATCTAATTTTAAAACATTATCTTTTTAGATATTATAAACTCGGATCCAATTTTATCAACCAAATTTAATGCTAGGTATAGTACTGTTTCTGATTACATTACTGATTCCAAGCAATATTACATTTTGAACAAGGAGAAAGCAAAGATAAAATTATACTACGAACAAGATTTTATGTATTATTCTCAACTTGATGAATCATATTGGGTGGTAATATTTATATTATTAGTACAATTCAATTAAGAAAATCTAATTTAATGAATTCACTTTTTTCTATAGGGATACTATACCTCAAAGCCAAATTTGAAAAGGAGTATAAGTTATACTATTCGACAGACTATGGGAGTACAAACTTTAATAGCAATGAGATTGGACAAAGGTGGAGATATGAACATGTTATCTGATATTATAAGAGTATTTAAATTTTATAAAAAATAGTTTTAATATTTATACATAGATTGTTTACTGCTTATTTTTTAGAATACTACTTATTTAATGCATCATGATGCAATCACTGGAACCTGTAGACAAGATGTGCTATTAGACTATCAGAAAAGAATTGACTATGCCAACAACCAAACAACAACTTTGCTGAGAGATTTCATAAAATATTCAACAGGAAATACTGTAGAGAGAGTTACCAATACCACAATTAACCATAATATTTTGGAAACTAGATATAGAAGGTTGGTACTGTTGAATCCTACTGGTTGGACCAAAAAGCAAATTGTAACCCTCAAGGTAAATGCATTATACCGAGATTTCTGTCCATTTACCATTACAAACACTAGTTTGAAGGTGCTACAGCTCGACTGTGTATATGACTCTTTAAACCATTATTATATTTTGGAATTCTTTATAAATATGAGACCATTCTCCACAAAGAGTGTATATCTAAAGTCAATCTTATTACCTTCACCTTTTTCCAACTATAAGATTTTCCAAAATACAAGAGGACCATGTAAGTAAACAATAATTATGAATTTTGAGATCTCTTATCTAATTTTTGAAACAAAGATTTTGGTGTTAGTCAATATGAAGTGGCTTTTAATGAATCAACCAAGCTACTTGATTATATTTTAATAAAATCAAATAATAATCAAAGGGTTGAATTGAATCAAAAAGTAAGATTTAATAAATTGAACATCTACCATTTACTTACTAATTTAAAAATTATTTTGAAGATTATAAACTATCTTGGTGCGTTTAACAATGGTGCATACATATTTAAGCCTTGGGGACCGGGTATTGAAGTGAATGATATTAACGCTACATCCCAATTGATTATTGGTTGGAATACAATAGAATACCGTTCCAATCGTTTTGATGCCAATGTAACATCTAGATTCTTTACTTCTGGTGACCAAGAGTTTGATCTAAATATCGATTTTACTTATGAACTGACAGTACCACGGAATGTCGACAAGATGGTCAGGTTTGAAACCAACATTAACAACACAAATCTCTATTCCGATGATGGTTTATCGTACGTCCAGCGAAGCATTACCAACAACAAACTAACTCAAATGCCACAAAAGTTTTTCTATCCTTCTGTCACTTCATCCACAATCTTTGATAACATAACTTCATTTGTTGTATGTAATAACTTGTTATTATTATTATTAGTATTAACAAATCAAACTCTAGTGTTATAGTGATAGAAGTAAAGGTGTTTCTGGATTGGATGTAGGATTTATGGAGTTTGCATTGCATAGGAATTCAGAGTATGACGATAACAAAGGCTTGGGAGAACCTCCCATTGATGATTCAAAAGCGGTGATTCAGCATCGATGTAGATTCGATAACCAAACTCAAATCTTTAAGAACTACTGGAGACGCTCAAGAGATTTCCTAAATGCTGTTGAGGTTTTCGATACCAACTCCTATTTCCTACAGGCTGGAACAGAGCCAGACTGGAAACCACCAATTTCAGACTTCCAGAATACCGATATTCAGCTGCTCACACTCAAAAGGATCCGAAACGATACACTCCACCTAACATTATACAACAGTTCACCAAACCTTACAGACACTTGCTATTTCGATCTAACTTCATTCTTTAGAGCGATAGAAGTCAAAAGTATTCAAGAAGTTAGCATAAGTGGTTATGGTTGTAAGTATAATTCTATTGAATTCGAACCTTTTTTTTCTAATATATATTTAATAAAAGCTGCAAATGCTAGGAAATCAAACTGTTTGAATATGAATTGCGACTATTCGAAAACTCTAACAGGAGATCAAACACCACCGGCTCTACCCATCCAAGATTGCTTTCCCATTTTTGAAGGAATCGTTTTTATTTGCCCAGGTGCTATCAAAACATTTTTAGTTACCTTTACTTGATGTTAAAATAAAGCTATATATAACTCTTTTTAGTTAAAAGATTTTTTGTAAACAAAAAACAGATAAAAAAGTTCAAAGAAAAAAAAGATATCTTTTTTTTTCAATCAAGATTTAACAAAAACTAAATGATCAAAAAATACAAAAATAGATCTATTTTTTAAAGGAATTTTTTGATTTGAAAGTTTTTTGTTGACAAAAATTTGCATTCTTTCATTTTTTTTATTTATTTTTAAACACACATAATTTTTTTACAAATTATCATTTTTTTTTTTCATCAATATTTAAATTGATTAAAAATAAACTAGTATTTCATAATAATAATATTTTACATATATATTTATATTTATATCATTCAAAGTTATGAGTGAAATTAGTAGTAATAGTGGAAGTAGTAATGGTAGTAGTTCAGCACTAAGCAGGAAACGTGTTACAGTCTTTCCGAATGGAAAGAGATTGGGTGGCAAAGCTATCAGTATTCCCAAGAAATGGAGTGAATTTCTAAAGATTGTTTCTAAAAAGCTGTTGATACCAGTCACCAGAATCTATAATGAAGACGGTGGTGAGATCGATGAGATCGACTTGTTGGTGCCGAAAGAGGTGTTGTTCGCTTCATGTGGAGAATCTTTTATAAAACCAGGTGAACTTACCAACACTCTTAGCCCAATAGTCAGCAACACCAGCAATAACAATAATAATAACAACAGCAACAACAACAACAATAATAATACTATACCTACATTTTTATATCATGATAACGTGTCAACTACAACTAGTGCAGGTGTTTCAAGAATTCGATCGACTACACTCGATTATGATGCTTCGGATTGGGTGACACTCAATGTTGGCGGACGTATCTTCTCGACTACGCGATCTACACTACTCAAAGACAAAGACAGCATGTTGGCAAAGATGTTTGGCGAAAGCTGGGATTCCACTAGAGATATCAATGGAAACTATCTGATCGATCGTTCACCAGAGTATTTCGCACCGATCATCAACTTTTTGCGATGTGGTAACTTGATTATCGATGACGGTGTCAACGTGGAGGGTGTCTATCTCGAGGCACGCTTCTTCAATATCACAGGAATGCTCGATAGACTGTCTGCGATGGTCGAACGCAAGATGCAAACCGACGTATTCACAAGAAAGGATGTCATATCGATACTGCTGACGTCGTCGTCCAACTCTAGTCTTCGTTGTCAAGGACTGAATCTCTCGGGAGTCGACCTCTCGAAGCTCGACCTCCGTAACATCAACTTCAAAATGACAAACTTTAGAGAAACCAATCTTTCAAAGTGCAATCTCGACAATGCACTGCTGCAAGAGGCCGACCTCTCCTATGCTAATCTATGTGGTGCATCATTAAGAGGTGCTAATCTATCAGGTGCTAATCTTGAACATTGTATATTAAAAGTATGTATAGAGAGAGAGAGAGCGAGAGAGCGAGAGTAGTACATGTTTTGGAATTTAAAATATTAATATTAATTTGATATTTATTATTAGGGAACGAATTTTGAAGATAGAGGTGGACAAAGAGCAACTCTGGAGAGTTGTAATTTCAAGAATGCAATTTTAGAGGAAGCAAACTTTAGTGGTGCCAATTTAAGAGTTGCAAATTTCAAAGGTGCCAATTTAGAGAATTGTAATTTCCGTGGTGCTGATTTGGCTGGTGCCAATCTCGAAGATACAAATCTCAGAGGTGCCAATCTTCACAAAGCAAATTTAATTGGTGTAAATTTAAGAGGTGCAAATTTTGATATTAGAACCGTTAGTTCAAGGTAGTCTAATAGCTTAAACTTTTATTTTTTTTTTGTAATATTAAATTCAAAACTAAAAATGTTTCAACTGTATAAATAATCATATGATAAAATACTTTTTTTACTTTTATTACTTATTTTCATTCACTATCATTCAACTACATTCACAAATTGAATTCTTTAATTAGTTAGTTGCCATCTTATTAGATGGTGATATAAATTCATCATTAAAACTCTATCTGTTATATTAATGAACAATTCAAAATTAAAAGGTTAGGTTCTATCCATGAGACAAAAGAATTTGATTAAAATTATTTTATTTCAACTGATCAGATAGATGATTCATTTTATTTTAATTTAAATGTTTTTATTCACTCCAATCATGACATGAAAATAAATATAACCTCATTTCATCGATGGTGTCTGGTGGATTCTCGGTTGAGAGATGAGGCCAAAACGATTCGATAAGTTGACAGGTTTTACCTTTATATTGCTGGTAGAGTATCTTTTTCTGTGATGAGAGGATGAGTATTTCAGAGTTGTGAAGTGTGCTCATGATCTGTGTAAGACTATCGAGATCACCTCGTGGATCGATGACGCTGATCGATCGTGTTGAATTGAGTGGAATCGTCATGAGATGTTCGGGTGGCATGTATGTCTTAAAGTAAATTACACTGACTGGCAGATCTTGTGGTTGTTGTGCCTGTGAGTGCAGAACGGAATGCGTCAGCGAGCTGATGTCATTGTTGACGACGAGATGCTTCTGGAGGTAGATGAGCGATGGTACTACTCCACCTTGATGCAAGAATCCAAAGAATATAGTAATACACATATTGAACAATATCCACGAGCTGGCTAGACACTTTGACGAGAAACTTGGCAAGTAAAAGTAGCGGTACGAAAGTATGGCCAATGGGAAAAACAAGGGTAGCAAGAACCTTGCTTCTTGGTGTGGTGCCATCGAGAGGAGGAACAAACCAAACACAATAACCGATAGAAGTAATGCTCTGGTTTTCAGTGGTAGAATATCGGCTACTGCATTTGACTGATTTTGATTAGAGTTGGACTTGTGGTGATGGTGGTGGTGGTGGTGATGAGTATGATGATGACTATTGGTGGAAAACAATGCTGTTCCCACTTGAATAACTTCCAAAAACAATATGATGACTAATGGTCCTACCATTATCGGGAAATTAACGACCAAGTGAGTCAAACGATTATGTATTCCGTGGAGAGCAAGGTTCTTTGGATCGAGATTATAGAGGAAACTGTTCATCGGTGTGAATGTCAGACTGCCATTGAAAGTGAGTGGTGAATCATCGCCAGGCATTGGATTGTAGAGTGCAGTGAACAACTCTGCTGGATTATCGAATTCTTTTATGTTTACGTGTAGATATCCAAAGTAAATGGAATCGACTATCACAAAGAGTACTGTGGCGACAATGAATCCGGTGGCGACTGTCGCCACCTTCAGCAGCAGACGTATGCCAACCGACAGCTTGTGGTGCAGCTGATAGATAAAGTAGATGCCAATCGGTGCAGCAAAGAAAAGGAATGTGAATCGTGCAAACAATCCAAACGCCACCAACACTCCAATGAGAAAGTCCTTCCACGCCACTGTTGGTAGACGTCTGGGACTCGAGCGCTTCGGCACGTCGTAGAGCACCACTATAGTCAGGAGAGTAGCAACAACCAGCGACTCCGTAGTGTTTGAGAATGTTCGTGAATGGAATATAATTATGAGCCAGCACGACGATAGAACCGACAAAGCTTTGGAAATCGACAAATTAAACTTTTTACATATCAGAATCGTATAGTAATCCAATAAAAATGAGGAACACACTGCGAAAAACCTTGGGAATATCAATAATGTATAACCATTTACAATTGATCCTGATAATAATAATAATTAAGATAGAAAAATATAGAGATTAATTTTGAATCTATTTGTTGAGAAAGTGTTGTTGTCGTTGTTGTCGTTGTTGTTGATGTTTATTAAAGATTAAAAAGAGATCTATTACCTTGAAAACCAATAAATCTAAGTAAATTCTGTAAATTTGATAATAATAAAAATGGTATACCTGTATTTAAAATACTTGATGATAAAGATTGTTGTATGTATGTAAGTGTATTTGTTAGAATCAACAATTAATGGTCATTGTAAGGTTATGAAATATAAAGACATACGGTATAATAATTGATCTACATGGATTCAATGGATCAAATTCCCATGGTATCAATGTTTTAATGTGAAAGAGAGAGGTCGATGTAATCTCTGGTGATTGAAAGTATTCATCTGGATGTATATAGCCAGTCGATGATATTCCAACAAGAAATCTGATGATCAAACATATGAAATACGATGCTGGTAACTCTGAGAATTTATATAATGCTAATTGTTGTTGTTGTAACTGATCTTGTTTATCTTGATCTTGTTGTTGTTTTGATTTACCAACATTACTATTATTACTACTATTGCCACTACTATTGTTACTATTATTACTACCGTTATATTTATTTCTATTGGTGACAATAGCACCACTATTATTATTATTATTGTTGTTGTTTGAAGATCTATGGCTTTCCATCATATCAATTCAAATCAATTCGATTCAATTCAATTCAAATCAAATCAATGTATTTTGACAAAATTAAATGAATTTTAATGAATGGTGTGATGTTCAAAAAATTAAAACACATATGCTTGTTTTGATCTCATCAGCACAGCAGAGTCAAACATAAAAATAAAAAAATTAAAAAAAAATAAAAAACATTTTAAAATAATTGAAATATATGTGTTTATAGTTATAAATAACTATATAATAGTTATATCTATTCTATTGCTTTTCATTGATATAAATAACATATCTCAAATGATTATAACTATGAAACAAGATTTTTTTTTTTTTAAAGAAAAAACAAAAATAATTTATAAAAAAATTTTAATTAAAAATTTTTTAAGAAATTTGAGAAAAAAAAAAAAAAAAGTTTGATGATCAACATCTTTTTATTATTATTTTGAATTTATATTATATTATTATCTTTTGTTATTTCTTGTTGTATTCTATTCATTCTCACATATATATAGTTGTAGATTTGATATAAAAAATAATGTCACAATCAGCAACAGACGCACTCAAGAGATTCGAGGTTGAAAACAACATTCAATCTGTTGAACATGACTCTATCTTTAAATACGATCCATCACAATATCAAGATTTCTTAAAAGCAAAACCATGGGCAAAAGAGTATGTTATTAAATATTAATAGTAATAACAAATCAATATTATTAAATATTTGTTAATAACTAATTATATATATAAATATTTGTTATTAACACATGTTTCTAATTATTATTTTTGTTATTATTATTATTATCATTAGTCCACATTATTTCAAGAGTGTAAAGATTTCAGCTATTGCATTGTTAAAGATGGTTATGCACGCTAGATCCGGTGGAAAGTTAGAGGTTATGGGTCTTTTGATGGGAAAGGTTGAGGCACACACCATGATTATCATGGACTCTTTTGCTTTGCCAGTCGAAGGTACAGAGACAAGAGTCAATGCACAGGCAGAAGCATACGAATACATGGTCGAGTATCTCGATCTCATCAAGAAGACCGGTCGTCTTGAGAATGCCCTCGGTTGGTATCACTCTCATCCGGGTTATGGTTGTTGGTTGTCCGGTATCGACGTTAGCACTCAAATGGTTAATCAACAATACAGTGAACCATGGTTGGGTATTGTTGTAAGTACTAATCACACATACCTATATCATCATCATCATCATCTTCATCATCATTATGATAATAACTATAATAATAATAATAATACTAATATACATACATGTTTTATATCTTTTCAAACAATCATTTGTATATAGATTGATCCAACACGTACTATCTCTGCAGGTAAAGTCGAGATTGGTGCATTCAGAACATATCCACAAGGATACAAGCCACCCAATGAAGGTCCATCCGAGTACCAAACTATTCCAATCTCAAAGATTGAGGATTTCGGTGTACATTGTAAACAGTATGTATTGTTGTTGTTGTTGTTGTTGATGAGATTGTTAGTTATATTTAATAACCATTGACACTAATTGTTCTTTTTCGTAACTATTATTAATCAATTAGATACTACCCACTCGAAATCTCATACTTCAAATCATCTTTAGACTCACAGTTGTTGGATAAACTATGGAATAAATATTGGGTCAACACATTATCGTCATCACCAATATTCGCTGTAGGTTTTAAAATCAATTCACTTTTATATATTGTTCATTTATTAATCATCTATTTAAAACACACCATTATCTACCTATTTAGAATCGTGATTATATTACTGGTCAAATCGGTGATCTCAGTGAGAAACTAGAGCAAGCCGAGTCACAAGTATCCAACTCCAAGTCACTTCTTTTCCACGATAAGAAGAAAGAAGAAAGTCAACTCGATAGAATTACAAGAGACAGGTAAATAGTTAAATATAATCAAAAACCAATTTGGTATTTGTTAAAGATATTAATATTATTTTATTTTTACAACAACACACCAACAATAGCTCAAAGGTAACAATTGAACAACTTCAAGGTATTATGTCACAAGTTATGAAGAACATGGTATTCAACACCTCATGCAGACCAACTCCTGCCCCGGCCAAATAAAAAAAAAAAAACTGATAAAGAAGAAATGATGATGCTCATGTTTATCATTAAATAAATTGTTAAATTTAAACAAAATTTAAATTAAATGAATTGAGTTGTTGGTGATGAACATGAACATGAACATGAACATGCTGAACATGAACATTTCAGTTGTGTAGCATGATACATAATAGATAGGTGTACTAAAATTAAAGATCATAGGAGATTCTACGGAATTAAAACATACAATAACACAATCGTACCTAAATTGGATTCAATTGATTCTTGGCAGGTTATGAAGTGGGAATTACCAGAATTATGATCATTCTCATACACCAACTGGACTGAACATGGAATTAGTGCAAAAACCACGCCAACGATTTCTTTTGTTTGATTACATTCAACAAAAAAAATTGTATTCTTTTTGTATTTTTTTTTTTTTGAATAAACATGGTTCAATTTAATCACCCGATAATTAATAAAACAAACAAAGATCTTTATTATATTTATCTTGATTATATATTAATTATCATCTACCAACACTTTATTTTAACACCAAATTGTGGATCTACTTTTTTTTTTTTATTTGGTAAATATAAAATTACCAAGTGCTGGTTTTTTGTAATCATCTTTGTTTGCTCTCCCTCCGTCCCTGGTAACAAAATACTAAAAGAGGTATTTTTTCACTTATTTTTACAATATGATTTGTTTTGGATCGGATACAAAATTACGGAGTTTAGTTGAGTTTTTTGTTTTTTTTTTTTTTTTTTTCAGTCATCGATGTGGTCAACGAAAGTGGTCATTATCATATCAAAAAGTTAGTTATGAATATGAGGTCGGAATTTTCAAATAAAGTTTCTATTTACTTTTAAAAAAACTTTTTTTAAGAGTTTTCGAAACCCATAGTTTTTGGGATTGTTATTATTGTGTGGGTAGTATTTCCAATGAACACCATAATAATAACTCAGGAACCACTTTTTCAATGCTCAAAGTTACGAACGTGGTGAGTTTTCTCAAATCTATCTAACTAGACAAAATTCACAATAAATACAATTGTTTGTGAGAATTGTGATCTTGGGCGCCATTAAACCAAGGATCTAAGAAAATATTAATTTGCGCACCACTTTGTTTTTTTATAGTATATAATGCCCTGATGGGCATTGTTTTTCATTTGAATAGATGAAATTTTATTTTTGGTTTTTTTTTTTGCCACAATTCCGATGATCACAAAAAAATCAAAAAACAAAAGCAATATTTTTGTAGGTTTTTAGTTTTTTGAATTTTTTTATTTATTGTTTTTGCTTTTAATATGATATTTGTCGGCACCCACCTTGGATTGAAAGTTTGACTTTTAACCCACATCTTCATCACCATCATAGTAATTGTTTTGCAAACATGTTATATATTGTATATTTTGTAGTTCTCGAGTCGTCTTAAAAAAAGGATGGCTATTCGGAAAGCTAACGGGACTAATCGTTGAACCTTTACATCAACAAATCATCGTCAACTACAAAACAAATTAAAAAGAGTAGATTAGGTGGGTGTTGTAAGCGAATTCAGCAAAAACAACAACCCTCAGTAAACAACAACAGGAACCAGCATTTTAAAGGCTTTATTTTCAACAACACCACAAAGCATTTTAGCACCTCTATAAATGTGTCACCTACCCCCAAAGCGCAACAATATTGCAACAACACTATTAATGAGTTTGTTTTTTTTTTTGTTTTTTTTTTTGACACTGGGATCCATCAGATGATTGTTTAGGCTATTCGAGTTTTTAATTTGTGATGGTGGTGAACATTTTATTCTTGCTAATAAACACATCAATCAAACAAACCTTACGGATTGATCAATCAATACACAACCCACACATACTATTCATTTGTAGGACTACCCAACCAAATTGCTGATCCCATCCGAAGGTATCGTCTCTTTACCACAACAAAAAAATCATAAAAACCAAACTATTAATTTTTAAAAAAAATCATTTAAATTTTTATTTTTTTCAAATTAAAGTTGGGTTTGAATCGCATCAACAAAACTCCTCTTATAGTATTGAATTTACTTTTCGTTGACATATTCGTTAACATTTCATTTATCTCTTTCTACAACTTTTTTATAGTTATTTTAGGAATAGGTAGTTCAATAGCCCATTAATTTATAGTAGACACATTCTATCAAAAACTATTTTTATATCTTTATTGTATTTAATCTCCAATATCATTCGATCCATATATCCTAAGTTTAATCAATGTTTTCATTTTATTCTTATCATAGGTATTGATATACATATTTTAAAGGTAAAAATCATAATACAATAATATAAAATTCAACCCACATTAATTAGGAACTACTGTAAGTAAGATGATTTCAATTGACATATTGAATCGATTGGCATTTAAATACAAAAAAAAAAAGTTTTTATTGAAAACGATCCAATCAAATTCATTTTTCATTCTCAGTTTCATCAAAATTTGTAACATCCACTGATTTTTTTTCCTTTTTTGGTGATTCCCTTGATCTCGTTGTGGTTCAAGGTGGTTTCAAAATTTAAACAAATCACCATTATCATACCTGATTAAATACCTCATATACATAGAATATTTAAATATATTCAATTTTTTTTTAAAAAATTAACCTGCAACTTCTTTTTCTTTATCCAATGAGTTTCCAACATTATTCACAAATTCATCAACACACCAATTATTTAACTCTTGGCGTTGAAAACTGCAAATTTTTTTTAAATGCTAAAAAGTTTTCTTTTTTTTTTTTGTTATACACATAATGTTGTTATAATGATGTCTGGGTTGCATCTAGCTCCGGGGTTGTAGACATCTTTTTGTAGTAGATGAAAATATAGTGTTTTTTGTTCCTATGCAATTTATTGTAATTTTTTTCAATCTAAACTTTCGTCTTTTGTCCTTTTTAACCAACATTATCTACACTTTAAAATATCTTTTTGCAAATTTCCAGTTTCTCACCACACTGGAACCCACTCCAAACCATTCTAAATGGAAACTTGAAATCATCAAACACATCTCAAAATTGATTTCATTTCAATAGATATTCTTGGTGGTATTGTGTCCATAATGATGACACCTTAAATTTTTTTATTTTTTATTTTTTTAATGCCTTGGGGCTTTCAGGTTGTTGATTAAGAAAATATTACCATTCCTGTAAAAAGAAACAACCTAAAAACTAGTGATCAAATTTACAACTAATTTAATTTTGATTCAAAAATTAAAATTGTGATCTCCAAACATATTTTCTACATTCTACAATTCAACAAAACGAAGTTTTCAAACAAACATTTTATCGATGACTATTTATATTTAATAAAAGTTAATTATATTTATAAAATTACAACAACTAATAATATTTAGAATTTTTTTTTATTCACTAGGCATAAATTAACTAATTTTTGGTATGTTATAATAGTACTTCAGTATCATTTCCCACAACCATCACATCATAGTATTTTCTTTTTTCAATTTAAACCATCCAATCAAAAAAAATTGAAGATCCCAAAAGGTTCAATGAAAAAACATTGTATCTTTTTTTGACTTTATTTGGTTAAAAAAGCAGAATTTTTTGGAATATTCCCTTTTTTTTTTTCTTGTTTTTTCTTTTTAGCGGTTTCACTTTATTTGTGTAATTATGTCAGTTCTTTACTTTCTTTGTACACAACACAATGATTTTTCAGGATGATGAAGAGTCAGAGCCTAAAAATATGACAATGTTGTTAACAATTTTTTTTTATTTATTTATACGAGGTCCGATGAAATGCATTGGTCTCTCTGTCACTTCATTGGAAAACATTGTTGATTATCATTTATTCGTTCTGTTCTTGTTCTGAAATTCATAATATTCAAATATTGTACAATTTTAATTTTTGTATATTTTTTTATACCTATTTTTAACATTATTATTCATGTTATCATTCCAATAATATTTTCACATCACTTCAATAGCAAAAAGGCATATCCATACCAATTTATACAAACAAAGTAATGTCTGTTGATTTCGAAGTATTTGTATTACATTTATTTTTTTTAACCAATAATAATTCATTAATACACCATTTATATATCCAGGGGAATGAACAATTTATGCCAGTAATCAATTAATATTTGATTACTTGTTCCCTTTTTTTTTATTACATGTTTCCACTGGAGAACATATACTAATCAAAACAAAAAAAAATAAGATTTTATTTTTGGTAATATATGAAATGACTGATATGTCGCACGTCACACAAGTGTTTGAGATCAGTTATCACACTCTTTAATACAATATCTCACCACAATCATTGCTAATTTTTCCAATACATATAATACATATTTTCGAATTGAGAAAAATAAGCACTGTATATCCGTATTTGAAGGATCATATATACCAATATACACTATTTAATACAACAAATAAGAAGCAGAATATTAATATGACACAAAATTGAAAAGTTACTGCTATATAGTTGTAGACATGATAGATCATTTTAAAAATAATAATAATAGTAATAGTTTGTTGATCAAAAATAATCTTCGTTACCTCTATAAGTATAACTGCTAATTCCACCACCCACTTATCAACATCACACAATGTTTGTTAACAACGAATTAAAATTGGAAAAAAGCAATAACCAAACAACACTTAAACTTGGTTTTTTTTTATTATGATTTTTTTTTATTTATGATTTTTTTTTTTTTTATATTTTTGATTTTGTTTGTAAGTGATTTTCACTACAATATATCCATTCATCGGTTAATCACTTTGAATTCAATCAACAACTCAAAAGAAACAAATAGCTACCTAGTTTTCACTTTTCAACAAGTAGTGGTTTTTTAATGATTCGTTTACTATTGGCAATAATCATAATTCTGGATATTTATTTTTTAAAAAAACAATTAAATATTTATCCCTATATGTATATACGAATCTTCTCAAAATGTACATTTTTTTTTTTTCATCACACTCACCTTTGTAATAAATTAATTCGGATTTTTTCGAATATAATTTAAGCGCACACACACACATACAAATAAATAATATAAGCACACTTCAAATTGATCATTCAAACATTCTACCACCAACCAAAACACTTATATTTATTGTTAGTGTTATCGACCATAATGGTCGAATATGGATAGCTAAATCTATTTTTAATCATATATATTGTTTTGATGATTTATTATTTAGTAATTATTGTTTTGTCATTTCAATCATCAATAAAATCACTCTTATGTGAATCCAAAAGCCCCACGTTGATCAATCAAATCAATCAAATCAATCAATCTATATATCTATCTATACATCTGTATATCTATCAATCAATCAATATCTATCGTCACTGTAGTTCAGCAAGCAGTAGCATGCGACACACCACCACATCCAAATCATTATAATAATAATAATAAGGAAATATTATCTAGTACCCTAGTTAGATGTGATCTAACTTTTTTTGATATTCTCTATTCTTTCACATCCAACTTTAATATTGTTTATTTTTGTTCATTTTTGGTTAAAAGTCAATTTCAATTCCAGAAAAACAGCACTTATATATATATGTACATCAATGTCAACAATTACATACCCACTACCACCACCATTCACCACCCACCAACACTGATACTATTATCTTTCCCTAGTATCGTGTTGGACACCTTATCAACTCTTACCACCCACCATATTCTCGATTGAAGAGAGATATCAGTTTTAATGAATGAATAACAACAATGTTGTTGATGTGGTTGTTGTTATTGCTAATATTCGTTAATAGCAATAATTAATAATAACCATCAATCAAAATCAACTACTCCTCACTTTATAATATTTTAGAGGGTTATTGTTGTACTCCTAGGATTAAATATTTACTATATACGCTTATGTACACTTCACCAATTTACTGTCCATAAATGCATGACTATCGATATCACCACAAACGTCAAAACAAAAACAAATATATACCAGAATCAATACTATCATTACCATTACCAGTATCAACATCAAACATAGAATTGTTGTTGTTGTTGGTTTGATTTGGTTTAGTTTTGTTTTGTCTGATTGTTTGATTGATTGAAAGATTGATTGACAAGTAATATTACTACACCTATTATTCATGACTCTTCTCTCTTCTAATTCCCTTCCTTACCTCATCATCACTGATACACTAAGATTCTCAATTGAGTGTTTTAATTGTTTTATTGTTGCTGTTGTTTTCAAACTTAATCATATTTCTTAATTTATTTAATTTTTATATTATTTATTTTAATGTTCTAACATAAATTTAGTAATTATTTTTTCCTTCATCAACATCATCATCATCGTCATCATAACATAAATCTTCATTAGCAACAAAAATAATATCATCTTCTTCTTTCTCCTCCGCAATAATTTATTATCAATATCTGCTACCCAACCAGTTGATTGCACTCTCAAAATTTAAATTTTATTTTAAAATATTATAAAAATATATTTATTTATTTATTTATAGAGAGATTAATTAATTGATGGTTTCCAATCCAGGAAACCAAAATACCTAACACTGAAATTCATTTCAATATCTCTTCTTGTTTATGTAATTATAGTTATTTTTATTTATTTTTTTATTTCTATCAAAATTTAAATAATTTTTTTTTTTTCCAATATTACCAAAACAGTCCACACCTCACGATTTTTCACTTAAATACGTCAGTGATTAATTTGCAAAACATCAAACTATATTATCACTTTTAAAACAAAAAAAGCCATTCGAATATTGTAAAACTATGATATTGTTATAATTTTAAGAAATAAAAATCCATCAAAAAAAAAAATAAATGTAATGTAAATAATAATAATATATAAATTAGTACTATACAACAAACAAAAATTAAATAATATCATCATTTATCATTGTTGTTTTTTAAAAAAAAATTATTTGTTTTTTTTTTTATTTAACAAATTCATTGTCATTATATATCATGTCGACTTTGATATATATCAAGTGATCTCATATTAAAATTTTAAAATAATCTATTCATACCATGTAATCTCATCTTATCTTATATCTTATGTATTTTAAATCTTAGTAGATCTATATATATTACCTTTTTTTTTGTTGTAATAGTTTTTTATTTTTTTTGTTTTTTTTTCAAAAAATTTATTCTTGTATACAAAACTTATACTATTATTTTACTTAATGATACATCATTGTATTTTTAACGAACAACAAGTATTTTTCAAAATTAAAAAACAGAGAATTTCTTTTCTTGTGTTTTTTTAAATAATTCGACAAGAATATTCATATTCTGTCTAATTGTTTTTTGTGTGTGTGTGAAATTCACAGATAAAATATATTTCAAAAGATTTTTTTTTTTTTATGTGCTATTTTTTTTTAACCACCACAACTCCTACTTATATATCAGTAGATATTGTTGGACATGGTGATTGTGTATATTATCGGTCTCTATTTTTCAAAATAATAATAATATGAATCAAAAAAATTCATAAAACACATTGAACAACCACCCACACCTCACACAAGATTCACACGCTATAGAAAATGACCCATCTTTTCACTAACTTCTTGTTCAACACCACAGCCTACCTTTAATAATATTTCAATGACATCTTTGCTGCACTCTAACTATCATTCTCACACTCAGATAACTACTACAATATTGTTTTCCGACTTACACTATATATATTGTCCATACGACCTCCAACAAAAACTATATTTAAATATAAGGGTCATTCAATTTGAACCTTCTTTCTTTCAATACTCAACAACAACCAAACTTTCAAATAAAAAGATAAGGAGCAATATTAATATTGATTTCATTTTAATAAATTTAGAACATTAGTTAACAAAGATATTTATTGTGGCGTTCAATAATAACCAAACAAGTAATAGTAATTTAAAGTACAACCATATTTATATATATATATATATTTATATAATACGATATATTTGAAAAAAAAGTAGTAAGATAAATATAAGGATTCGTTTGTTTAGCAATTCAATTATAATAATATAATAATCATAATAGTACTAAAGCTGTGAGAGTGTTTGTTTTGAGTCAGTTAGTTAGTTATATATAATAGGTTCCAACCCAACAACAAACAAACAAACAAACATTCCACAATTAATATCCAACTACAAAAAAAATACAAACAGGTATGTACTTTAGAGTTACTGTAACTACTATCATATCATTATACATCTGCCATTCACTCAGCACACTGCTACACTACCAATACAATCTCTACAACATTTTTTAAACATAGATTACATTGTTATTATTATTGTTGTTGTTGTTATAAACCATTGGTTTTATATTTTGATAACAATCTGACTTACAACTCTAATGCAACACACAAAGCTCACCCACCACTTACTTGAGCTCAAGCTGTTTATTTACCTTCTCCAAGTTTGAAGTCATCTTTCACTTCCTCTTCTTTTTAATTTTATTTTGGAACTAATTAACCTACAACATTACAGCCAACCAAAATACTTTAGTTTTCAACGGGTATTTTAACCAATACTATATTTTATCTATCTATTAGTAATCCATAGTTTTCAAATCTCTCACACTCACTCATTGCACAAAACCAACTACTCTGAATTGTTCTTTTAATTGAATTTCAACGGGTAACAAACAGAGTTTCAAAATAATAATATATAAAAAAACAATGCCAATTCCAATCTCTAATATTACCAAAGCAGAGTCACGCTTTGGATTCACCAATAGCAATATATTTCAACATCAAACTTTACTTTATATACCTTCCACTGGCATTCACTCTGAGTGTTTTTCATTTTCCACTCTCCCTCACACACACCCTCCTAAACACAACACTTCTTCCCAAACCCGTAAAACTAACCACACCAATTCATATGACATTTCTACCACCATTCACCACACCCATATACACACACACACACACACACTTCTATTTACTTCTACCACCAAACGGTAGTATAGAATGGATATTTAATTAAAAAAAAAAAAAAAAAAAAAAACTAAATACAAATAATTAATTAAATAATAATAATAATTCAATGATTCAAAAAATATATATAAATTTTGAATAATAATAGTTTTGAGTATCAAATTGTTTTGTAACAAATTGGATAAACCAACACAAATTAGTTGTTTGCAATTATATTAATACCAAAAAAAAAAACATACAATTTTGTCAAACTAATATCCTGTTTCCTTGTAAATCTAACCTTTCATTCAACCAAAAGACAAATTTGGAAACTATTTATATTCTATCTATATCTAAATAATAGCAATAATAATTGTCTCTCTGTTGTGATCCTAACTAAAGAATAGTGATCATTCAGCATCATATTTTCTTACAAACAAGATAAATTAGTTTTTTTTTATCACAAAAACACTAAAAACTCAAATTTTGCACTTCATCTTCACTCATACTCTCACTAACCATCTAATCTCAAAGATTTTCATTTTCACCACCAACCATTTTTGGTTTGTTATTTTATTTTTGACACTCCACTTCGTCAAATAAACAGATTGTTGTCTTTTTTATTATTATTCGTATTGATATCTATCTACTATTTTTTACTATATATACATAAATTCAAATAATATTTAATTATATAATTACTATTATTTTTTTTTTCATTGGTAGTTGATATCTTTTAGTAATTTAATTAATCAATAGAATATATGTTTTTTTTTTTTTTGATTTTAATATATTTATATATTAATTAATTTTTATTAACTTTTTTACTTTGACTAAAAGGGATAATGAATATTGTATCTACACAAGGAATAGTTAATTTTTCATCAACTATGAACTCATATCCAATTAGCAATGAGTCCATATTTTCATTCAACGGAAATGTTAATCTTACCAATGAAACAACTTTTGACAACCAAAACGTTCTAAACCTAGACAACAATGAATCAATTCTACCAAATGATTTCTATTTACAAAACTCTGGTGAAAGTTCTTTCATTGATCATAATGATGTAAGTAATCTTTTAGAATCATATCAATCGATAACAATTTATTGAAAAAATATATGTATAAATATCTTTTAGGAATCATATTTACATACAGATCAATGTGATAATCTATTGAAAGATCCGGAATGGAATGAAAAGGACACAATGGCTTTGATAGAGTTGGTTGGTGCACTTGGATTCAATTGGATCGAAGTTGGAAAGCGTCTTAATAAGAAAGCCGAAGACTGTCATAGACGATACGATTTGGTTATCAAAGTGTTTGAAAGCAAGCCTAGAGATCCATCGATTCAATCGAGTAGCTCCTCTCCCATTCAGTCTCCGTCACTCAACAGCTCTCTTCCTTCACCACCCGAGGATTTCCAGAGCGATGACAAGACATTCGATGGTAGCCGCAGGAGAAAGTCGACAACCATGATGGACTCAAACATAAAGAAACGTCATAGAAGAACTGCCTCTGAGATCGATCGTTCCTTCAAGTGCTATATCCCCACCTGCAGCAAATCCTATGGAACAGAAGGTGCACTGAAGATGCATATCAAGTTGAAGCACCCCGGTGCCAAGATTCCAAACTCATATTTAACATCGCCAACACTCTGTGGATCCCAGTTCTACTCACCTCGTATGTTGACGCCATATTTGTCGCCACACATGTTGGGAATGGCCGGGGATATTCCAAAAGAGCTCGTATATAACAATTCACAACCAAATGGCTCATTTATTCCTTTGGGAGCACCTAGCAACTCTTATCCTCAAATTCCAATATATACTAAATCACCACGCACCATCCTACCAAATAATATTTCAACGTCTGCACCATCCATTCCAACACCAATCTCCAACTCTGCAAACAACATTCCACTAATGCATCAGCAACCATCACCAGCGGCACAAGCTCAATTACTCCAACAACATATCGATCAATCTAATTTGCAGCAACAACTTCAGCAGCAGCAACAACAACAACAGCAACAACAACAACAAGATATCAATCAATCTCAAGTTGTTGATACACAATCATCAATGGCTAATCCGACAGTAGCACTCCAAAACAATCCATCCAGTAGCGCATCATCACCATCGTCACCACAAGTCTTTAAATTTTCAGATCTACCTGCTATCTCCTTGAAGATTGGAACCTGGGAAAAGGTATCTAGTTTCTGTGGTGATTTAGTTGCAAGATTCTCCTACACCGAGCGCAAATTTATGTGGGAGGTATTCAACATTGGACTATCATTGAGAAAGATGGAAATATTTTTTGATGACATCTCTTTGATGGAGTTGGTTCAATTGCCGGACGGTCGAATCGAAATTGGTTTCACCATAAAGAGATCTCCACTCTTTTTTGAGGCAAAACTTGAACAAAACACCACAATGACATATAAGCCATGCTCTGACTTTACCGGTGGTCAAGCAACAACAAACAAAAAGCACACACTCTGCTTCATCCAGAATGCCCTCACCAATCCACTCGAGGCATTGAGCGCAACCGATCCAAAGTTCAAAATGTTCATTGAATCATCAAAGATTAACTTTGTTGATACTGCAACTTCAATTAAGCAACCACAACTACAACAACAAGACCACAATCAACAACATCAACAACCATATCTTGTTAATCTTTCACAGTCCACTCCAGTTCCATATCTTGAGTTGGAGCCAAACAACAATAACAACAACAGCATCAACAATACTAATAATAACGCATCCAACCCCTCTTCTGTTGATGTCAATAATAGTACGATTATATCCTCAAATGGATTAGAATGCTCCCAACTTATTAAAGATTCGTTATTGACACAAAATATTATCGGAGTTAATGGCGGAATCATTAATCAAGCACAACAACAACAAATTCAACAACACCCAACCCAAATATATTATAAACAGCCAATTCCAACTCATTCACTATACACTCCAATCTTCAATAATTCTGCTGCCGATCTCTTACCAGAAATATCAAACGAACCATTACCTCTAAATTTCTCTGGAAATGAAATTCCTCAACAACAACAACAACAACAACAACAACAACAACCCCCAATGCCAATGTATAGTTCGACATCAGATTTGAACAAATGTTTCAATGATATTGCATTGTGTAGTCCTGTGATTACTGGTCTCTCAACCAACCCAATATCAAATATGTCTCAAAATCCCAACCCAAACAATCAAGCATTGTAAAATCCAGTTGAGCCACCTTTAATATATTTATATATATCAACAATTGGTCTTTCTTCCTCAATCAAGCAATCGTCATAAAAGAGTAATCCTCAATCATATAAAATTAATCAGCAATATCTCAAACAGTTTCATAATACAAAAACATGGTAGATTGTTGAAACTGGAATTCTTTTTACCAACCCACTAGCTATCAACGAGCTATGTATGCGACTCCAACAATATAATTCAACCTTTCTTCAAAGCAAAAAAAAAAAAAAAAAAACCTACAACGCGATTACACATATAATATTTATTTTCCCACCTTTAATAAAATATCACTGTAAATACTCCCTTTAAAATTATTTAGTATCTTATAAAATCCAAGAGGATGAAGACCAGATAGATATAATCATCCAATAAAAAATAAAATTTTTTAAAATTATCTTTTATTTTAAATATTATTTTTTTTTTTTTTTTGAATTATTTAAAAAAATAATAAATTAACTTGATAATGTGTTTAAATTTTTATTTTTATTTTTAATTTAATTTTGTATTTTTTTTAAAAGATGGGAGGATTATTTTGTTATCCAGCAGAGAAATCATATACACTTAACAATAGAAAATATACTGTATCTAGACTACTAGGTGAAGGTGGATTCTCTTTTGTATATTTAGTTAAAGGTACCTATCTTATTACTCAAACTGTGTGCATCGCTATATACTAATTGTTTGTATCTCAATCTATCTAGATAGTTCTGGTAGGAAATATGCATTAAAATCAATGTTATGCCAAACACCTGAAGCTTTGAATGTAATAATAATATGTTTTATTTATCTTTAATTAATTCTAAAAAAGTAGTTAACTCTTCTATCATCGTTTTTTAATGATATATTTAGACAGGCAATAGAGAAATCTCTATATTTAAAAAGTTTGATCACCCAAATATATTACGATTAATCGATCATGCAACTATTAAATCAAAAACTGTACCGGATGCTCAGGAAATACTGATATTGATGCCTTTCATTAAGGATGGCACTCTACAAGATATATTAGATAGACAAAGAACCGTTCATGGTAAAGAGTGTACTACCAGTGTATTTAATCAACGACAATCACTCACAATGTTTAGACAGATATGTGAGGGCATAGCACAATTTCATCATAGCGATCCACCTCTTGCACATAGAGATATCAAACCAGGCAATGTTTTGCTAGCAGATAGTAATAATAACAACAACAACAACAACAGTAGTAATAGTAGTAGTAGCAGTAATAAGATACCTATTTTAATGGATTTTGGATCGACTGGACCTGCAAGACTGACGGTTACCTCTAGAAAACAAGCATTGGAGATACAAGAGGATGCAGATCAACATTCGACACCTTTATATCGTGCACCAGAACTCTTTGATGTTTCATCAGACTGTCAGTTAGATGAAAGAACTGATATCTGGGCATTGGGATGTTTGCTCTACTCAATGGCATTCAACAAATCTCCATTTGAATCGTCGTCGGAAGATAAATCAGGTAGTATCGCACTCTCTGTAATCTCTGGTCAATTCGAAATACCAAAATCACACTCATTCTCCAAAGAGCTGATAGACTTGATTAGATCAATGCTACAACTTAACATCCAAGATAGACCATCTATCGATCATGTAATATCAAACATAACCCAACTATTAAATAGCGACAATATATGAGGAAATCGCAATAAAGATAAGCTGTTCTTTCATCCAATTTACTAGACTCAAAAGACTAAAAAAAAAAAAACAGTTAAATCATCCACACTTGCTAACAACAACAACCGATAATTACCTAAAAAAAACTAAATTATATTTATTGTGTGAAGTTTAAATAATATCATATTGATGTTTAAAGATGGTATTCTAAAAACAGTTAGATATTGGTGAATGAGTACATTGTCCAGTGGCTATATTGCAAGAGTCTTTCGTGCATCTATCGTTATCGAAACAATTCTTTTGTATGTGTGCACAGGCCTGTGTTGAGGAATCACAAACATCTAATGTACATGGGTTACCATCGTCACAGTTTGGTGATGAGGCAACGCATCCTCCTTGTATCGGATCGCATTTCCAAATGGTGCAGAAAGTCGAAACTCCACAGTTCTTTCGAGTGTATTGGCATTCTCCAGATGTAGAGTTCATAGTGTCGATGGTACACCTGTTGTTGTCTTCGCAGGTGTTAGCGGCATGGTGAACGCATCCAATCTTGATATGACATTCGTCGATCGTGTTGGGATTGTTGTCGTCGCAGGAAATCGGTGTGTGGACACACTCATTTCCGTTGACCGCATTAGAATTACAGGTGTCTAGTGTACACATATTGTTGTCATCACATGACTTGGCGGTGAATTGGCAGAGACCCGTGGTCGATGAACATTGGTCGATGGTACATGGATTATTATCATTACATGTGACTGGAGTGTGTTGGCATCCGCCTCCAGAGCAACTATCGTCGGTGCACGGATTGTAGTCGTCACAGTCAAGACTCTCATGTTGGCAGCATTGTCCAGCCGAATTTATAAATTGAGTGACACAAGGATTGGTATTATTTGGACAAACGGAACTTGTTGAACAAATAAATGGTAGATTAATGCAGCCCGATTGACTAATACACAAATCCACAGTACTGGGATTGTTGTCATCACAGCTCTTTGGTGTTTCAATACATCCAAGTGAAGGATGGCAACTATAATTAATACACTTATCATTTCCAGAGCAATTTATTTGTTCATGTTTGCATCCATTTGCCATACTACAACTATCCTTATAACATTTATCATTACTATTACATGATGCACAGATATTCAAGAATGCTCCACTTCCCAATTGACCTACAGTTTTTAATATTAGATATTTATTTTTATTTGGTTTTTTTAAATAAATATTTACCATCCACAATATTAATAATAATAGTACAGTAACAAATTAAAGTAATAATTGTTAATTTGTAATTAAAATACATGATTTTTATATTTATTAATAATATTTATACTAAAAAATAAAATTACAAACAAAGTTTTGAGTTTTGAATGTATTAACTATGTCGATGAATAATATTGTTATACAAATATGTATTTTTATGTAACTGTTAATGTAGTATTATATATTTTGAATTTGATTGAAATATGTAAACCGGCAATCAGATTTGTGCGATGAGTGAAATCCGGTACGGAGGGTGGTTTTTGTGGGTGTGATAGATTATATGATGGTATTAATAATAATTATTTATATTAAATTAAATTAATTATTGATATTAAACTTGTTCAGGATTAAGGTAATTTTGAGGTTGATATTATGTGAAAGGAAATTTTTAAGATTAATTAATTAATTAATTACGATTATTATATTTGAGTAGATTTCATTAATGAAACATCAAATTTATAATAATTGTTCTTTAAAGAGTAAAGGTGTCTTACTAGAAGTAAAAATTAAATATTAAATATATGATTTCAAAATGCCGGATATAAATATAACACTATCTACTTATTGCCCACAATAGATGTTTTATCAAAAAAAAATCAACTTTGATGAGCACAATATAACATTGGTGAATGCAAAGGTTTTGTTATGATATTACTACCGGTACATACTTTTTTCATTGACCTTAATGATTTAATCATATCTTAACCAAAGTAGATGTAATTCTTTTAAATAAAGTAAAAAAATGAAATATTGAAGGTTTGATCAAAATAACCTACTTTTTTGTTTTTTTTTAATCTAAAAAAGAGGTGTATATATAAAGTAGCCGTACCCTTTGTTTTTATTTGCATACAATGGTATCACAAGAATCAGGTTAGTTTGCTAAAGTTAATTGTGTTATCTCTAGGGTGGTGGGTTGTTTTAATTATAAATCATTGGAAACAATGTTTAATCTCAAATATTTGATAGTTGATTAGAAGTGCCGACTTGTTGATAGCACCATTCTCTGGATCTCAATTGTCACACAGTTATCGACTATAACAAATTAAACACAAAGTGATCACTTTCATGGAATCATTTATTAATACATCCACTTTTCAACTGAAGTTGTTTTTTTCTCTTGATTGATTGTGTTGTTTGTGGGGTGTTTTTGTGAGTGTTGTTCAATTAATATTAAATCTCAGTGTTGTGGTAATTTTCAAAAATCGTGCGCTTTGGATCAAATAAGTGATCACTTATTTGGAAATATTTCGCCATCGATAAGAATACTAGGTTGTTGTGATTATAGAAAGTTATATCAAATCGAATATCTTTAAAACTGATCATCTTTCTATCAACTGTTTCGTCTCGAACACAATTTTTTACATCTCAAAGTGATATTTTGTAATGTACATTCAATCCGATCATAATTACCTAAACTAAATAAATAAATAAAAACTACAAAATAATATAATATTATTACTATTAAAATTCAGTTTAGTTAACTATATACTTGTTCTAATTGAACAATAAACTGTGACAATGACAACAGTTTATCGCGTTCAGAATGAGCAAAAATGATAAAACAAAAAACTTTGTACTAAACTTCGAACTTCACAAATCTTTTGAATTGTTTTTTTTGTTCTAATTTTTTTTTATGTGCATTTATTTTTTAATTTTTTTTTGTTAAGTTAGAATTGATTGCGTATTAATCATCATAGTGTGTCCAATAAGGTAGGTGTCGACTCGTTATTATTATGTGTTTATCATTCAATTGTGAAGAATGTCATTATCAATAATGAAATAAAAGATGTTCTTTTTTTCATGATATATGTTTGATTATCATTAAATCATCTATAATTGTAATTTAAATAATCTTTATTATTTTATTTCACATACAGCAAGCAGCAAAACAGAAAATAGCATGAAAGAATCTGCAACAACAATACTAAAGACAACAAAGGAAGAGGATAGATAATAATATAACAATAATTATGATATTCATATAAACAGATTTTGTAGACTTGTTGAAAAAAAAAAAATAAACAAACGAATAATATATACAAGTTAGAATAAGAAGAATATGGACAAACAAAATCGGTGGTTGATTTGGTATCATTAAAACAAACAAAATAGAAATGCAACAAAATACAAAAACCTGTGGGTTTATTGGTTCATCTAAAATCAAACAATACAATTTATTATTTATTTAATTTACAATTATAAATTTTATCTTTTATTTTTATTTTTTTGTTTATTTGTTTAATTTATTTTTAGCTTTAAATAAATAAGAAAACTAAATATTTAAATTTAATTATTTATATTAAAGTAAGATTTACAAATTTTGTTTTCTCTCTTTTTTTTTTTAAAAAAAAACAACATTCCTATCTAATTCACAATTGTGTTTGAAACCGAATATTTATTTATTTATTTATTTATTTTTATTTTTGTTGTTGCAAGCAATTAATTAAAAAAAACCAAAAAGTATAAATAACTTCAAAACAAGGGGTATCAACTTTTTAGTTTTAATTAATTTAATCGGTTTTATTTAGCAAAAAGTAATAATAATAATTATAGTTTTATTGTGATATTAAATTTCTAGAGAATTTTAGAATACTTTTATTAATAATCAAATTTTATATTTAAAATTAACATTAATTTAGCAAGTTTAGTACAAAATGCCTAAGAATAAGGGAAAGGGTGGTAAGAATCGTAGAAGAGGAAAGAACGAGAATGAGCAAAAGAGAGAGTTGCAGTTCAAGGAAGATGGTCAAGAATACGCTCAAGTAATCAAGATGCTTGGTAATGGTCGTCTCGAAGCACAATGTTTCGACGGTGCAAAGCGTTTGTGTCACATCAGTGGTCGTTTGAGAAAGAAGGAGTGGATCAACTCTGGTGATATCATTCTCTTACAGTTGCGTGACTATCAAGATGACAAGGCTGATGTAGTTCTTCGTTACACTATCGACGAAGCTCGTAGTCTTAAGACTCTTGGTGAGTTGCCAGAGACCGCTAAAATCAACGAAGCCGATACCTTTGATGAAATGGACGGTGAAATTCCATTCGAATTCGTTGCTGACAATGATGATATTGGTAAGTTCATTATTACTATCTTAACAATCAAATATGAATATTTACTAATACACTTTACCACTTATCCACTTACTCTCAATTTTGTTAAAACTAACAGATGTCGACGACCTCTAAACGAGACATTATATTCAAATCATCACCCCGTTTTACTTTTTTTTTTAAATCTACGAGTTTTATCATTATAGATATATATTATATAATAGTTATAATCTCTTCAACACTTCATTTAGACATACATATACACGCTTCCTTAATCAATCCATAGATAAACAAAAATAAAAAAAAAATATATAAATAACAATGATCAATTATATGGATGACATACACACTTTCACAACAACACCTTCGCATACACACACACACATTAAAACAAAGATTAACTTTTCCAACGACGATAATAACAACAACAACTACAACTACCACAACAAAATCCAGAACGATTCGATAATCTTTGAACGATAAAACAAAATTTAAAAGAAAGATCAAGATAATCCCAACATCAAGTAATATATGTTTGTAAAGCCCACGAATATATTGTATACCTAATTAGCCAGCTCCCCATCTTTTTTCTTTCTACCAACATTTTGTAAAATAATAAATTTTATTTATCTAAAGGTTGGTTCTAATTATTATTATTATTTTGATATGTACAATACTTTATTTGTTTCAAGTTTCAACAATCATCAAGTAGTTCATCGAAAAGATTAGATGCTGAAACACCTGTGTTGTCAAAGAATTTAGATGATCCCGTTGTTGGTTTCTTTGTTGGTGTTGATTTATGGTTATAATTTGAAGTAGTTGTTGTTGTTGTCGTCGTCGTTAAATTCTTATCATTACTCGGTTTATATCTTTTTCTTACAACATTAGGTACCTTTACATTATCATCTGTGCCCAATAGATCTAATGACATTGGATTTAAACTTAGCAACGATGTTGTTTGATGACCGCTCTTTCCTTCAATTGATTTTCTCTTTTTTTCAACCGATGTATTTGGTGATAATGATAATCTACTACTATTATTATTATGATTATGTTTATTATGTTTATTATTTACAGTGGATGTTGTTGTTGATGCTGTCGGTGGTGGTGGTGGTGGTAATAAAGTTAAAGTGTTTGCAGCTAAAAGACAGATAACAGTAGTTAGTAAGAGAATTCAGTTTGATAATTATTCACACTAACTATCAATACATACTCTTTATTAGATCTCTAATCTTATTCTTTTTCTCATTAAGTATGATAGTGAATTTATTGTAGAGATCGACTTCCAATTGATGTTTCTCCTCTGTCAGTCTCTCAATGACAGAAATCGATTGGTTGAATTCTTGTTGTAATGTATCATTCTGTTGTTTCAACTGTTTATTCTGTTCACCGAGTGCATCGTACTTGTTTATCAGCCATTCAAAATAATCTTGTAATGATGATGCTGAATCATTACTTCTTGAGAAGATCAAAGATGTTTTTACCTTTATTAATTAACTAATTAAATTAGTATATCATTATATATGATTATATTAAATCGATACATACAGAGATATCAGATGTTTGTAATTTAATATTAATGGTAAGTTCAATGCTATTTGGTCTGCTACTACTGCTGCTGCTACCTCCATTAGTATTACTTCCACCGGATGATTTAGAGGAAGATGCTCTCAGCTTATAAGTGAAAATCTCACCAGTTAGATCTTGTTGAACTAATGCTGACTTTAATAGAGAAACGTAATGCTCAATTGACATTCCATTTGGTTTTAAAACATTCTCTATATATTTTGTTGTTGCTATAAAAAATGATTGTAATTAAATTAGAGATTGAATTTATATTATGTATTGATAGATACTACCATTTGAAATCCAAACGTTTCTTGTATCAGATAAAAGTAATTCAAATGAGTTGTCATCTTTAAACCATCTACTCTTTAAATAGTAGCTATCATTTGTACCATTGCTCCTTGGAAATTGAAATCTTGCTATGGATTCATCTTCTGTGCTTCTTTGTGATATATATTTATCCATCTACTATTGGAATCAATAGAAAAAATCATGTTTGAAATTCAATGCTTGTTAAAAGTAATTTAAATTTTTGATCCAAAAAAAAAGGAGGGAAAATGGAAAGTCTGGTATTTTTCCACTAAATGAATAATAACTCACAATTAATAAATCAAAAATAACAACAAATAAGTACAAGATTATCTTGACAATTAATAAAATGATAAAAAAAGATCTACTTATTGTTATATTTGTTGACAAGCAAGACAACCATTCTTCAAATAATTGTTGTTTTCAATAATAGAATATTTTAAAGTAAATATCTTATAGATATGAGACATATGTGAAAGATAAAGTATACTTTTTTTTTAAAAATAGATATTTTTTTCATTCTTTGTCGATTTTAGGAATACTCAGAATTTGATTGTAAGTTTGTAACAGTTATTTAGATCGATATGTAAAGTTCCAAATTTGATACATAAAGCGCCAGAACAAAAATAACTTATTCCTTCATGTTATTGATTTTTTTAATCTTTTCTGTGTTTTAACTTTGTATTTGCTTGACCCGAATTCGAAATTTTTAAACATTAATTTAATGTGGTTTAAAGTTTTTTGTTCTCATTCTAGAGGTGGGTGTTTGTGGTGAAGTGCACCAAAAAAGATTTTACTTTTTTTTTTTTACCACTATATCGATGAATATGATAGTGGGATAATGGCAAAATACTAAAAACAAAATAAAAAAATTAATTTAATTTTTAAACACACAGAACTGCTTGTTTTCCTTCTGGAGTTTAAAATGTGAGTGTGAAGTGCACTAACCCACCTCTCACAGTGGAGTTTGTTTATTATTTATTAACACACCCTGACTTGTCAAATAAATATATAATATATAATTTAATTTAATTTAATTTAATATCACTATTATTATATATATATATAATATTCTTTTTTTTTTTTTTTTTTTCAATTTAATTAATAGTTAGTTTACAAAAAAAGATGTCTTCAGATATTGGTTTAATTGGTTTAGCCGTTATGGGTGAGAACTTGGTTCTCAATATGGAGAGCAAGGGATTCACTTGTTCGGTTTACAACAGAACTACCGCAAAGGTCGACGAGTTTGTCAATGGACGTGGTAAGGGAAAGAAGTTTGTCGGTTGCCACTCAATGGAAGACCTCGTCAAGTCACTCAAGACACCACGTATTGTCATGCTCATGGTAAAGGCAGGTGATGTAGTCGACCACTTTATCAACCAACTCGTACCATTGTTGAGCCAAGGTGACATCATCATCGATGGTGGAAACTCGCTCTACACTGACTCTGACCGTCGTGTAAAGGATCTCGATAAGAAGGGTATCAACTTTATTGGTACTGGTGTATCTGGTGGTGAGGAAGGTGCTTTGCACGGTCCATCCATTATGCCTGGTGGTAATCCAAAGGTAATTTAACAAAACTAAATTATAATTATCAACAATAGATTAATTCTCTAATAATTCAATTCTTTTTTATATTTATAATTAATAATATATTTAATTAGGCATGGGAAGCCGTTAAACCAATTTTACAAGCTATTGCTGCTAAAGTTGAAGGTGGACAACCATGTTGTGATTGGGTTGGAGATGGTGGTGCTGGTCACTACGTAAAGATGGTACACAATGGTATTGAGTATGGAGATATGCAATTGATCAGCGAAGCCTACTTCATTTTGAAGAATTACATTGGTTTGAGCAACTCTGAGATTCAACAAGTATTCCTCGAGTGGAACAAAGGTGATTTGGATTCATACTTGATCGAGATCTCTGCCGATATCTTTGGAAAGAAGGAGGAGAACGGTCAATACGTTGTCGATAACATTCTCGATAGTGCCGGTCAAAAGGGTACTGGAAAGTGGACTGCCATCAACGCACTCGACCTCGGTGTACCCGTCACTTTGATTGGTGAGGCTGTCTTTGCCCGTTGTCTCTCCTCTTTGAAGGATCAACGTGTTTCCGCCGCCAAGATTCTTCCAGGTCCAGTCGCTTCCGAAGCCCACAACAACTTCAAGGGTGACAAGAAGCAATTCATTGAGTACATCAGACAAGCTTTGTTTGCCTCAAAGTTGGTTTCATACGCTCAAGGTTTCACCATGATGAAGGCTGCCGCCAAGGAATACTCATGGAATCTCAACTATGGTAACATTGCTTTGTTGTGGAGAGGTGGTTGCATCATTCGCTCCACCTTCTTGGGTAAGATCAAGGATGCCTATGAACGTGATCCAAACTTGGATAACTTGCTCACCGACAAATGGTTCACAGAGAAGATCGGTGCTTGTGAGGTCGGTTGGCGTCAAGTAACTGCTGCCTCCATCTTGAACGGTATCCCATCGCCAGCTTTCACCACTGCCCTCTCATACTTTGACGGTTACCGTTGCCCAATGTTGCCAGCCAACTTGATCCAAGCTCAAAGAGATTACTTTGGTGCTCACACCTACGAGAAGCTCAACGGAAAGAGAGGTGAATTCTTCCACACCAATTGGACAGGTAGAGGTGGTAACACTCACAGTACCTCATACAATGCTTAAAAATCAAAACATTTTAAATAAAAATAAAAATAAAATGCATTGCATTGAATCATAAACAAGTTCACCAACATTCGTCATCAAAAAAAAAAAATTGTAATTTCCGATTTTTAATATTTTTTGGTAAGAATAAATATCTGATGATTCTTTAATAATTTTTTGTATTTTTTTATTTTCTTTTTTATTGTATTTTAGGATTTTTAATATCTTTTATTTAAAATCTACTTTAAACTAGTTGTATTTATATATATATATTTTTGTTGTTGTATATAAATATGGATAATACAAAGTTGGTAGTTGCTACAGCAGTTGGTGTAACAACTGCGGTCGCTGCAAATTTATTAATCAATTATGTTACGGATACTTATCATGTCGGTGAAGATTCGGTCGTCTTTAACTTTGACAAGCAAGCATCTGGTGGTGATTTGGTTGCCAAAGTATTAAAGAGTCAGGGTGTAAAGTTTATTTTCACTTTGATCGGTGGACACATCTCTCCAATTCTGATTAGTTGCGATCGTGAAGGTGTTCGTGTAATCGATGTTCGTCATGAAGTTACTGCTGTGTTTGCTGCCGATGCTGTCTCGCGTATCTCTGGCATTCCAGGTGTCGCTGCTGTAACCGCTGGACCAGGTCTGACCAACACTGTCACCGCCGTCAAGAATGCTCAGATGGCACAGAGTCCACTGATTCTCCTGGGTGGTGCCACCTCTGACTTGCTCAAAGGCAAAGGTTCTCTGCAAGATATCGATCAATTCGCACTGCTAACCCCGCATTGCAAGTGGACTAAACACGTCAGTCGTGTCGAACAAATCGTTCCAGCACTGGAGTATGCTTTCCACATTGCCCAGTCCGGAACACCAGGACCGGTATTTATCGAATTCCCCATTGATACTCTCTATCCTCAGCCTATTGCTTCTGGCTGGTATCTCAAATCCAAGCAGGACAATGCTTCGATTGCCAATCGTGTTATCAATGCCTACATGTCTTATCATCTCGGTCGTATCTTTTCCTGTCTCGACAAGAATATTACCATTCACAAGCCAGCGAAAATCAGTGTTACACTGCCATCTAGCTCATGGGTTAGCAAGACAGTTCGTATACTCAGAGAAGCACAACATCCAGTGTTGTTGGTAGGTGCACAGGCTCTACTGCTTGGCAGTGGATCGATCAAGCCAGAACAACTTCAACTCGCTGTCCAATCACTCAATATTCCAACGTTTACATCGAATATGGCACGTGGACTGCTTGGTCCAACACATCCAAATCTCTTCCGTCATTGTCGTGCTCATGCATTGCGTAATGCAGATGTTGTTATTCTGGCGGGTGTCGTTTGTGACTTCCGATTGAGTTATGGACAATCCATCAACAGAAATGCTACTGTCATCTCTATCAACAGAGACAAGACCGACCTTTACAAGAATCGTTCACCCACCTACGCCTACAATGCCGATCCAGCCACATTCTTGGTGGAGTTGGCACGTTCAATGGAATCTGCAAAACTCAGTTGGCGAAGCTGGGAGGACGATTTGTCGAGACGTGACATCCAACGTTCCAACGAAATCAACGCCAAAGCATCAGAGAATGTTGAATCGTCGGATGGATTCCTCAATCCACTCGCAGTTCTCCAGAAGTTCGATCAACTCTTACCACAAAAGTCAGTGATGGTTGCTGACGGTGGTGACTTTGTCGGTTCCGCCGCTTATATCGTGCGTCCAAGAGGACCGTTGTGCTGGTTGGATCCAGGTCCCTTTGGAACACTGGGTGTTGGCGCTGGATTTGCTCTCGGTGCCAAACTATGTCGTCCAGACCACGATGTTTGGGTGATCTTTGGTGACGGTGCATGCGGTTACAGCATTCCAGAGTACGACACATTCGTCAGACACAAGATAGCGGTCGGTGCACTCGTCGGAAACGATGCATGTTGGATGCAAATCATGAGAGAACAAGCGGAATCACTCAAGAGTGAGGTTGCATGTAACTTGGCTTACACCAACTACGATCAAGTCGTCAAGGCATTCGGTGGTGAAGGTTTCAAAGTCAACACTATCCAACAACTCACCGACGCCATGGTTTCAGCAAAGACCTATATGGATACTCAAAGTTTACCAGTTTTAATCAATTGCATTATTGCTAGAACTGATTTTAGAAAGGGTTCCATTTCTGTTTAAAAAAAATAAAATAAAAAAAATAGATGACAAACAAATAAAAAATATTTGAAAGGAAAGCCCGCCAAACTTCTCAAAATCATTGATTTCATTTCCAAGAAATGCGAGACATTCAATAATATTATTACTTTTTATATTATATTTCTATATTTATTTCAATTTAAATATCACGTAAATTATAGTGATCTCTTTTTCTTTATTTATTTGTTATAATAATAAAAATGAAGAGAACTATAGAGCAGTGCAATGACACTTCAACTACAACTATAAATTGTTCGACCACCACCACCACTACTTCTAGTGATGAATTTACAATCGATCTAATCGATACTGATAAAGACGATACTGATGATGATCTATTTAATGATTTCTTTTTGGATACATCTACTGAGTTACAACCGACAACAACATTAACAACAAATATAAATAATAATAATATTAGTAACAATAAAAGTAACAACAATAATAATAATGGTAGTGGTCGTTTAACTCCGATATCATCTTCAACTTCACCAATTATCACAGGAAATCAATTAATACCTAAATCACAACAATCACAGTCATCACAACAGCAGCAACCTCATCAACCTACTACACCAACTAAAAGCAATATAATCAAACCATTATTAAACCATCGTTGTGGTGGAAGTAATAACAACAATAATAGCGCTAAAATAGATAAATTTAAAGAGGTAGAGTGTCCATTTTGTTTTAAAATGTTTTTAGCTTATAATATCAACGATCATATTCCTCATTGTCAAAACTCATCGTCAACTCCCAAAAAAAAACCTAATATCACGCCACCAAATACCAACGCCAACAACAACAATAAAATAAATAGTTTCTTTGTACCTAAAAATAATCATGCCTCTCAAACCAACAATAATACAATTAATAATTATTTTATAAATAATAAAACAAATAATAATAATAATAATCATAATAATGATAATAATAATCATCAATCAGATAATTTAAGTAATAATAATTATAGTAGTAGTAGTAATAATAATAATAGTAATAATGATAATGATAATCAATTTCAAGTAGTTGGAAATAATAAAAATGGTTTGGATGAAATAGAGAAAGCACATTCAGCTTTGTTCAAAAAAGGTATTCCATTGTCTGAGAAGATGAGACCGTTGTCACTTGATTTTTTTATTGGACAGGAAGAACTTTTGAATGGATCGATGTTTTATGAAATGATAAAGTCTGGTGCACCACCTTCCTTCATTCTTTGGGGTCCTCCGGGATCAGGAAAGACAACCATAGCTAAACTGGTCGAAAAGAACACTAGTTCTCATTTTGTTATGCTCTCTGCAGTGCACAGTGGTGTTGCTGACATGAAACAAGTAGTTACTCAAGCCATTGCAAGAGAATCTGGATTATTAAAACAAAAAACTATATTATTTATTGATGAAGTAATTATTATCACAAGTGTTTTGTAAAAAACTAGTTTTTTTTTTTCTTACATATCTTTTATCTTTCTACCTCTCTCTCTCTATAGATTCATAGGTTTACAAAATCACAACAAGATTTCCTGTTACCTTATGTGGAGAATGGTACATTTACATTGATTGGTGCTACAACAGAGAATCCATCTTTCGAGGTGAACGGTGCGTTATTGAGTAGATGTCGAGTGTTTAAATTGCAAAAACTATCGCAACAACACATCCAAACCATTTTAAAGAGAGCTATCGATAGCTATTGTAAATATACATCAAAAAAAATAACAGTCGACGAACAAGGTCTCGACTCTTTATCTAGCTTTTCGGATGGTGATGCAAGAACTGCTTTAAATGTAATTGAAAGTATGTAGTTTTAGCTATATCACTGACCAATACAATCAACTAACAATGTTCATTCAATAACCAGTGGTAATTAAAGGAACACCTGGTGATACCATTCACATTTCAAAAGAAAAGTTGAGCGAACTAACACAAACTAAAACATTCTTACATGATAAGTAAAGTATTAAAAGTTAATTTAATTAATACTTTTTTAATTCAATGACTAATGATTATATATTTTAGAAAAGGAGAAAGTCATTACAATATGATAAGTGCTTTGCATAAGAGTGTTAGAGGAAGGTATGTATTTTAATTTATTCAATTAGCAATTCAATTATTGATTTATTAATAATTCTTTTTGTTTTTTATTTTTTAAAGTGATGCAAATGCTTCTACTTATTGGTTAACTAGAATGTTGGAATCAGGAACAGAAGTAATTATCTATTTGAATCTGTTTTTTTTTATTATTTAAAACAACGATTGTATTAACTTTATTTTAAATTATAGCCTTTGTTTATAGCAAGAAGAATGATAAGAATGGCAAGTGAAGACATTGGATTGGCAGACCCATTGGCAATGGGAATAACAGTTGCTGCTTTTCAGGCTGTTCAGTTTGTTGGAATGCCAGAGGCAGCACTCAGTTTATTGCAAGCAGCAGTGTATCTTGCTCAAGCACCAAAGTCTAATTCTCTCGAGTTGGCCTATATGAAGACAAGAGAATTTCTACTGTCTAATCAGAGTCCTCCTGTACCACTACATATTTGCAATGCTCCTACTGACCTGATGAGTAAGCTTGGATATGCACAAGGCTATCAGTACAACCATGCCTATGAAAATCAATCGGAAGTTACTCAAACCTATCTACCAGAATCAATTGCCAATGAAGTATTCTTTCAATACAAACAGACATGCAAAGGTACTGAAAGACCAACACATCCAAGTGTATCAGCTCCACCTGCTATTGCCGACCAATCTGTATATAAATACCCAACTGATGAACATGACAAATTATTAGGTAATGACAATGTTTCAAAAGCAAAACCTGTAAATGGACTATTACCACTGTTTAAACATTAACAAAGTGTTTGATAAATAAATGATGTCACAAAACAAAAGAATAAATTTTAATACAGTGATTAAAGTATGATCAGTCAACAAATTGCAGGTATTGATATTAACCTGCTAGTTCGTGTTTTATATTATATATACATTCAACCTCTGATACATGTACAGCAAAAATCTGTGAAAACGGACAGAGGTTTCAAAATATCAAACAGTAATACATTTATTTGTTATAGAAACTAATAAATATATTCTAAGATAGATCTTTGTTAAAGATTAATTATTAGAAAAAAATTGAAACATTTACAATTTCCCTACAAAATATCATTGTATTTAACATACCAAAAAAAGCAAAAAAAATGAAAAATTTAATTAAATTTTATTTATTTCGATTTTTCATTGGTCAACTCACTTTCAACCTCGATATATTAGGAATGTAAATGCAAATGATATTTTAGAGGGTTAAAAAAAAAAAAAAAAAAAATATAAAACAAAAATTAACTGTAATATATTATTTATAAATAAAAAGTGATTTTCTATTAACCAATGAGTTTTCCCGCTATGCCAAAAGGGATATTAATTATGATCTCTGCCAAGATCATCACTATAAACATGATAAACATTATGCGCGCAAAATGGAATCTTGTGTCATTTAAAAAGATCGCTCCTGGTTGGGGATCGAACCAACGACCATTCGGTTAACAGCCGAATGCTCTGCCTACTGAGCCACAGAAGCTCTATTATGCTCACTTTTTATTATTAAAAATCCTCCCACTACAATAAAGAATCATAAACAAATATACAGGGGAAACCCTCGACTGTGAGTTGGACATCCTCAAGATGACAAACAATAACGAGCTACATCGAAACGTTATTGCTATCGTACTACACCAGGTCTGGATTCTCCACTGCAAACTCGCTCACAACTCCCCCATCACACCGACCACCTTCTATCACACAACAACCAACAACATCAACAGACTAGCTAAACTAGAATACCACAAACTAATCAGAAATCAAAACAAGACTTCGGTCGAAACAACTCAAACATTAAAGCATATCAATCTGTTCCAGATGCGTTTCAAACCTGGAACTTCCCAACGCCATCCCACCTCACTAGCAAATAAACAAATAAAAATAAAATCCATTTGAGTATTCTTCAAGATACGAGAATACTTTGCAAAAAAAAAAAAAAAACGTTTTAATCGCCCATGAGGTTTGACTAAAGTGGTCATTCTTTAGCCTTATCATCCTTGGGTGCTGGTTTCGAATTTCTCGCAGCTCACTTATACATCATAAATTGAAAAGTTACCATATTTAGTGAAATAGCTGTATGACTTTGACGTTGGAATGTTGGTCTATTGTGAATTTTGTTACTCTTCAAGAGGCTCAAGGAAAGACCTGAATGGTTTAGAGAAATAGTTGAAGTATTCCTTGGACACGATTATGACATTGTTATAATCCTTGATTGCAGTGATACTATCGCTTAGTCTTTTGTTTGTTGGGATGAAGACATGTAACCAAAAGGCACATCAGAACTTGGTTGATTGGAGCCCTCAGAACTATTAGGGACCAAGTTCTTATGGGCTTCTTCGCATTTCTTCAAGACTGGCTTGACCACTGAATTGAAATCCAAGATTTTGTCGTCACTTGTAAACTTGGCGTCTCCCAGTATCCATATCCAAGTCCAATTGTTGTTGATCCAGATCTTTCTGCGAAGAACAAAGTCAACCAAGGCTCCTTTTGAATTAGACAGAGAATATCCTTTTTCCAATTGATTCTTGAAGGTATTCTTTTCCCACTCTTCGCAACTCTCTGGATACCTCTTAGGAGCAAAGATATGTGCTCCAGCTGTAAAGAATTTAGGTTAGAATTGTTATCTTGTTGAGTTGCAGCGGGTACTTACAATTGATGCATTTCATACGCCGTCATGATATAGACAAAAGTACCTTTCTCCAACAGAACAGATGGTGTTGAGATCCCAGTTGTTGTTGTGTCTTGCTTGCTTCCACTTAATGACAACAATTCCAATATAACATTCTTGATGTATGACCTCCTGATATGATGATCATATGATTCAATGAGTGCTTTCTGAAATTCATCCAAAGCTATCAAGACCATTATCTGTTGTTGTTTGCCAGTTTGCCAATTGTTCCTTGTCATTGACAATGTCAATGTCCGGTGAGATTGTTAATCTGTAGTGCTCGACAATGATAGACAATGCCAAAGATGGAGTGAGATCTCTCAACACGAACTTGGTTTCGAGTTGGCGAATAAAGTGATTGAAGTTGACACCAAGTCCTCCAATAAAGTAACTATACAGCATTCGTGTGGATATGGCGACTCCAGCAGACATCTCTGTAGACTGTAAAGGTGTATCATTGCTGAAGGAGATAGCAACCGTGATCTGATGTTTCGGTAGCTCAGCAGCTGATATCAAGTGCCGAGGGACTTCTTGTAGGATACGACTCTTTCCAATTCCAGGGGGACCAGCAATCACCACCATGCTCTGGTCACTCTTTATTTTTGATGTCATGGTCTTAAATCGCATACAAACTGCATTTACGGATTTGATTAATATTTATTTTGTCGGCCAATAAATTGAGTAAAGTTATAGGTGAACTAAATGAAATGTAAGTTAGATGTTATAGTGCGCATCGTACGATGATGTCAGAGGTGCAGCACCAATAACTAAATGAGTGAAAAAAAAGATTAATCAAAACATTTGTTTTTTATTTTTCAACTATGATACTTACCGACTTTGTTTTATCAACAGATTCTTTGGCAGCTTTTCGACATTTAAAAGGGATTTGTACCAATAAACTGTGATTGCATTGGAGAACTTTGTAATAATATAACATCAGTAAATCGTTTGAAATTGTTGGTTTGTCCACAATGTAAACACTCCCATCTACCTCTTTTATTATTCTCTAAAAAGAATGAAAGTGTTTATATCAGTATTAATGAACTGTTTTAATTTGAAAAATAACCAAAAGTTTACTACTTATTTGATTTCTTTCGGGGTTTCGGATGATTGTCTTTGTCTTCATAGCTATCGATAGACTTCTTGTCTGTAGTATTGTCGGTCTTCTTGGACTTCTTTTTTGTTTGAAGATCCGGTGGTGAGGGAGTGGGTGGTGTCACCTTCGCACTTTATTTCGATTTTTCATTGGTAAACTCACTTTCAACCTCGATATATTAGGAATATAAATACAAATTTTTTTTTTTACAACAAAACTGGCTCCTAACAACTTTCGCCTGCGCATTAATTTTAAAAAAAAGTAAAAATTAGTGGATTTATGTGATCTGTGGTTTTTTTATTTTATTCGATTTTTGGTTACAAGCAAGAGCCAATTTTGTTTTGAGTAGTAAAAATTGATTTATTAAGTTTTATATTGGGATGGTGTAAACCATCAAATTTTTCTTTTTTTTTTTTTTTACAGTTTTTACTTTTTCATAATTCTGCAAATTGATTGCTATTATGATTATTATTATAATTCTTTTAGTTATTGTTATATTATAGATTATTAAGTTGATGAGAATACTGATGATTGAATTAGTTAATTGAAAATAAAGAAATGAATAAGAGGAAGTATAGTTGGCTGACATTTGAGTGGTTATTGGTTATTTAAGTTTAGATTGTAAGTTCTGATTGATGGTATAGCAGATCTGATCTTGTTGTATAGATGTTTGAGATGAACTGCCAATTGGTGCCACAGAGTGTAGAATAGATTGAGATATGGCGAGGTGATAGATATTTTAGAGCTCCTACAAGGGTTCAACCTCAACCGCATGCGGTTTGATCATCATTAAAGTCCGACTTGCCAGACTCGAACTAGCAACCTTTTGATATCTCTTTTGATTATAACTACAGTCAAACACTCTACCACTTGAGTTAAAGTCGGATGATGAGGACCAAAGTTATCATAAAATGAAATCCATGTTTTTGGACCGATTTTTTATAAATATATCGTAGAAATCAATAGAAATCGCCACCTTTTGGTACAAAAAGCTCATTTGCACAAAAAACCCAGATTGTTACTCAAATATCAACAGTATATAGAAGAGATCGATGTTGTCAAACTTTTAGGATTTTTATTCAGCTTTTTAAAAATATAGGTATTTATTTAAATATGAATTAATCTTTTATTTTTCGAAAACTACAGAAGGACAGTATGATCTTGAGAAAATATCATCTTTATGGAACTCTTCCCACTTATTGGTTTGCACTGAATAAATGTGATTTTTGTATTCCTCTCCACCAAAGAGGTAAATGTAGCACTCCTCTTCCGAGACTCTGTGGTAGGTCATTGATGAATAATCATCCAAGTAGAAACTAATAGGTGAAAGATTGGTAATATCGGTTGTCTCTACATTAATTCGGATGAATCTTTTATCGTTTGAGAGTAGATAGATGTTTCCACTTCCATCGGTACATGCCGAATGTGTTAGCTTAAATAATTTTGAAGAGTAAAGTTCTTCAACCGATTGTTTGGTTGGATTGTAGACGACAATTGAATTTCTATCCATTGGAATGGAATAGATCATACCTTTATGAAAGACAGATAGTACATGAGTACCCGGTACATCCAATAATACAGGTCTTTTTTCAAACTTTTGAGTGTTGATATTGAAAGTATCGAATCTTGCTTGTCCTGCACTGTTGACCAAATAGATATGATCACGACCATCGTAGCATGCTGAGATCCAACAACCTTCATTGATACCTTTCATTTCAAAGAGAGTGAACGATTTTTTTGAGATTGAATATCTGAGATATCTGTTTTTGTGAGAACGACTACCAAACACATAGATATAATCACCAACTACGACTGTCGAGTTTGGAGTAGAAGTGAAATCATATCCGACATGAATCTCCTCAAAGGAATAGTTGTTATTGATATCAATCAATGTTATTCCACTGGATCTGTGTGCGGCGAAAATATATGTTTGCTTTGAATTTGGTGATATAGAGGTTGTGGTTGGAGTTGTTGCTGATGATGATTGTGGAGAAGGTGATTTGATAGATAGTTTAATTGATTGATTCAACAGTTCATCGAATTTAGTTGTATCTATTTCTTTAGTATCTAATGAATAGTCTACTATACTATCATTATTATTAGGTTGATTGGCTGCTGATAATGATTTAAATTGATTACTATACTTGAAAACCGAATCGAGGATCAATGAATCAATTTCGTTGTCGTAGAATGATAATCTCTCTGTATATCTATTATTATTTTGATTACATTGATTGAATAACGTATCGCTATTTGATTTGACGAATGAGTTGAGTGTTGAAGATGAACTGATTGACTTCATAATAGCAGCTGAAGAATATCTATCTGTTGTATCTTCTAATGCGGTTGTTGAACTATCATTATCGTCACTGTCACTATTGGATTCGGTATCATCGTTTCTGGTATCTGTACCATTTAAATGAATGATATCTACTAGATCTCTCAACTCTCTGATATTGTCAATGAGATGGCTATTAATAGTATCTTTATCTTTGATGATCGGATTCTTTAACTTTTGTTCTTCAACGACCAGATACTCGTGTAGCTTATGAAAATGATCTGATATCTCTTTCTCTGTTGACGACAGTCTCTGATATTGTTCTGTCGATGATTTAATTATTGTCCAAATTGTTGTTATTCTCTCCCCAATATGACAGCTTATGTTATTTTCATCTTTACTATTATTATTATTATTATTATTGTTGTTGGTATTATTTTCTAACAATATTTTATTTAGTGATTGCCTAATGTCATCAATATGATCACAATTTTGATGACTAGTTTCTTTAATATGAGTTGTTGAGCATCTAGAACACATCAACTTGCTGCATTGATAACAAATGATTTCAAACACTCTACCATGCTCCAAGCATCTAAAATTTACACATTTATCTTTTTGATTCATTATATAAATGAAAAACAGTCAAATAGATTTTTTTTTTTTAACCCCTACCCTCTCCTTTAAAGTAATTTTATTTCTTTTTATTTTCTTTTTTTTATTTTTAATAGAAATTTTTACAAAAAATCTATTTGATCAACAGAAAGTCACAAAAAGTAATAGTAAGAAAAATTAATTATTTGTTTTCATTTAATGTATCGTTTTTTATTATATTATTTTATATTTTTAATCACTATTTTCAGTTACTTGTTCATTTCTGATTTATGAAGATGAAAATAAAATAAATGTGTGGGGTATTTATGGGGAATAAATTGATCTTGATCAGATGTAAATAATTAAGATAACAATTTTTATTTTTTTATATTTAATTAAACAAATGGCTGGTGTTTATTATTCAGTTTCATAATTAAATTTAGTTATTAATTAAAAATGAAAAATATTTATACTTTTATAGTTTTTTTATTACTCTTATCAATAGCTTTGAGTAAAAATGGATGTATAAAGGAAGAGAAGAACAAAGATGGGTCAGTCAGTGCTCTTAGTTGTCCGGAATTCCAAATACCACCTAATTCAAAATGCAAGAGAAAAGAAGGTGATCCAAAAAAGCCGTATCCACATTGTTGTCCTTATCCTGATTGCCCAAAGTAAAAGTTTACAAAATATGTTTAAAAAAGATAATAATATTGTTCTTTTACAACATGTTTTCAAACTAATAATGTTATCTCTAAAGAGATTTAAATAAATTTTTAAGGGATTGGTTAATTAATTTACCTTTCCTAAACTTTAAAATAGTGTTATTATTCAAACTTGAATCAAAATAATTAATGAAAAAGATCATTTTGTTGAATTTACATAAATTGTTTTTTTTTTAAATAAAGATAATGATTTTTGTAAGAAAAAGAGAATATAAGTGATAAATCTACTTATTTGAAATATCAATTAGTGAGTTGAGACTTTATATTTATTATTTTGAACTAACACTTCTATCTAATAAACAAATAAACAAAGAAGACTTAGGATCATTTTTCTTGGTATTAAATTAATTTTATTCTAAATGGTTTAAATTCGATAGAATTGGTAATTGTTACAGATTATATAATTAGTTTTGAAATCAATTTCTTAATATTTTGTTTTATTATCTATAGATGCTGGAATTAATTTATATTTCAATTTAAACTATACAAAACATTCTTGAAATTAATTATCTAAAGATATAATATTTTATTTTATTTTACCCTCTTTAAGATATCTATGTTTTAATCAATATTGTACAAAGTAGGAGATCGTGCTTTGAATTTTTCAGTTAAAGAGTTTAAAGACAATGAAATGATTCCTTAGAATGTATGAATTAAGAATGATGTTTATTGGGTATCGATTTAAGTATTTATACTGATTGGTTTCGGTTATTATATAGCTTCGCGATAGTCAGTTGGTGTTCTTCATCCATTGTCAATGTTAGTCGTCGAGGGTCTTCTTATATATAGTCGTGGCGGGTTCTCTTAACAGTTCTCTTTACAAGAGTTGTAATAATATATATTATTATTTTTCAAGAGATTAATATTTTGAATATTTTGGTGAAGTGTTGATGTTGAATATTATTGATTCTTATCACAGTATTTTGTTTAATGTTCAAGGGATTTATCTACTTGGACAGAGGTATCAATAGTATCTGACAGATATACATTTATTTGTTATAGAAAGTAAGAAATATATTCTAAGATAGATCTTTGAAAATGATTTATAATTAAAAAAAATTGAATCATTTATCATTTTAAAAAAAAATAAAAAAAATAAAAGATTAAATAAATTTATGCGATATTTCTGAAGTAATTTAATATTTTTTATTATATTACTTTTTAAATTTATTTTGAAATATTTATAAGAATGATACAAAGTAAAATGTTAACAGAAAGATAAAAGATTTTTGGAATACTTGATTTGGATTACTGAATGTCACAAGAAGCTATTGGTTTAAAAATACAATTCTAATGTTCAACTGTTTCAAGACAAAAGAAAAACTAAGCAAAAACAAACTCAGCACAGAACACAAATACTATTTGTATAAAAAGAGTATATTATTTTAAAAATAATTGTAATCTTTTAAAGAATAATAGAATTACTTTTAGAAATAATACAAAAAAAAAAAAACTTTTTAGACTCTTCTTAATTAATGAGAGTAAAGATTGAATTTGAATCTACCACTTTCAACTTAAAGATAGAATATTAGTTGTTCTATAATCAGAACTCCTTTAAAGAATAACCTTTCTTTATACTATACTCTCCTTGTTATATTTTCGTTTCATCTTGTTAAAATACTTTTCTAAAAAAACAATATCCTTGTTTATGTAAAAATCAGTTAAAAACCTTTACATTTTGAATTTAATATTGAACTGGATACTTAGACAAACTATCTTAAGTTCTAGATTCCCAGATTTTTTGGAAATTATAGAGAATGATATAGATTGACTAATAAATAATTTTGTTTAACTAATTTTAGTATATTCCACAACTGTACAAGATATCTCACTTGTCATCAATATACTAAAACTCATAATATTTTTTACTGAAAATGCATTCTCAACTAAATTTGATAAATAAACAAATCAGTCAGGACCTGAATGATTTTTAAAATTCTTGGGTATTTATGAGATAAATATATAATACTAGATGCCGTTCATTCTAAACTCAATAGAGCTCTTAAATAATACTATTAGTGGTGATATGAAATGACACCTGCTTATTTCCAAAAAACCCTATGAATCTTTATGAAACAATTTGAATCAATATCATAATCCTATTATTTGATTTTTATTTTTCAGTTTGTTTTTATTGTTATTTTAATGTGTTATTTTTTATAAAATAATAAATAACTGACTGAGTGTTTAATCTGATTGATTGACATTATAAATAACATTGGATCAAGATTATTATTGTATCAGTATTTATATAGTTCGATATTCTGATTTCCTGGAATTGCTGGTCATTTCCTGGAAATGAATTCCTGATATCTTAACTCTTTTTCAAATGCGCGCTTTATGGGTATTATTGTTTTAAAAGGTATCGACACCTGCAGGATTCGAACCTGCGCCCCCGAAGGGAATTGATTTCTAGTCAATCGCCGTAACCACTTGGCTAAGGTGTCTTTGAATGATGATGATGAAAATCCAATAATGGTGCCATTTGGGGGTTTAACTTTCTCATAGTGTGGAGCTCCAATCACCTTACTTACTTGGCCATTGATCAAATCCCAGAGTAATTTTCAATTTGGGAATTTTTATACAATAACTCAAATAAAAAATAGCACCAGCTGTTATTTTACAATTGCCAATGGATTTGATTTATTTACATTTTTAATAATAATAGTTATTGTTTGTTGGAATAACTTTCCAAGAATTATAATACTTCTGAGCATCATCAATCAAAGATCTTTGTGTTGGTTTCCAATCAAGTTTGATTTTAGCTTTGGAGTTGGATGCACGTTGATTGAGTGCTAAACAGGCTTGATAGTCATCTGTTGGTGCACCTTTGTAGGTGATCTTAATCTCCTTACCGAGAGCAGCAGCGATACCTTTGACGACATCAGAAACCTTGTGAACATGATCTGCGGCAATGAATGATTCTCCACGAAGCAAATGGGCACGCTCAGCCGCTGCAACGTACATCGATGCAATGTCGATATAATGAATATAGGTTTGGTATTGATCTTCAGAGAACAAGGTGATCTCACCCTTCTCGATGGAACGGAAGTAATGTGCAGAGTGTGCTCCACTTCCACCGTAGACCAAGGAAGGCAGAATGAGAATGGCACCCAGTGCGATATACTTGGATCCGAGAGCGATACGATTCTTGACAAGTGCCGGTGCATTGGAAAGAGTAGAGTGTTCGGTGATTAAATCGTTGCTGCTGCCATACTGCCAGATACCATTGGTATAGATGATAGTGATATTTGGATTGCTCTTTGCAATACGGTGGATCTCTTGATAGACTACATGCTCTACTTCATAGTCGGAATAATCAGCAATTGCCTCGACAATAATATCAGCCTTGGTGGCGATTGCTGACCAAATTTCAACATCTTTTCCAGAGGCAATAACTGGTTTAACTTTTATTTACAAAGATTGGTATATTAGTTACAAACAGAAAACACTCAATCAAACTATTTTACTATACATACTTTCAACTCTTTTTAATTGGTTAGCTTTCTCTTCAGTTCTTGCAAGTCCATATACTTCATAACCTTTTCTTATAAACTGAAGTGCAACTTCATTCCCAATTAAACCTGTACAACCTAATACGAATACAACTGGCATTTTTAAAATAATTTTAAATAACAAAAAAACAAATAAAATACAAAGTATATTAAATAAAGATCTAGAGTTTAGATATTTTTAAATGATGATCATTCCCAAATGTCTTTAAAGACATTTATATAAGTTCATCCTTCGGAAAAAAAACTAAAAATTAATTGAAAAAAAATATAAATAAAAATTAATCTGATGACAAATGTATGAGTTCAAAAGAATAAAAAAAAAGTTTCTGGAATTCAAGTAAAAAGTATTGTTAGGAATAATAATAATTTTGTTATTAGGAACAACAGTCTACTTCCTGGAAAGTTTGTTTTTTTGATTACATTTTTTGAAATTATATAAAATAACCAATTTGTAATTACTAATTATTTTATATGTGTGCAATTTAATATTTGATTTGAAGATCAATCAACTCCTCAACCACCTATGCCATTCTTTCAATAATATGTACACCTGAATCTGTTGATACAATATCACTTAATTGACCTACTTGTAATGAAAATCTAGAACAATAAGATAAATAATGGTTAGCTATTATTATTAATATGTTTTGTTTTTCTATTGTGCACAACTTACGACATATCTTCGAATGGCTTTTGCATTTGACCTCTGGTGAATGCGTCTAACATTCCACCGTGTTTGGCACTACTGCAATCGGAAAACTGTTTAGCGAGTGATTCGAAACTGTTTTGACCTGTTTGAATTTGATTTCTATATTCTTGAAGTTGTTTGATTGCCTCTTCTTTGGTGATAGTGATATTGTCTTGACGCCATGATCTTGGATTTCTTGACTCACGATGTTTCACCAAGAGATGTCTGACCGATACTTTTGATGGTCCTGCTGGTTTACTGCTGTTGTTGCTACTGCCAGAGATACCTTTCAAAACGTAAGTTCTCGATGATGAACCAAACGAAAACTTGAATCCCTCTTTTACTGAAACCGGTTGATTCTCTTTGATTCTTTCACCATTTACAAATGTACCCATAGCTAAAGTAAGTAAAAGTAGTTTCTTTGTATTAATATCTCTTTACGAATGATATAGCTAATTAGCAACTAAATTACCTGATTGTAAATCTATAAGATAGAATCTGTCATTGGCACCATGATATACCAAAGCAGCATGTCTTCTCGATACTGAAGGATGATCCAATGTTATCTGTGAAAACTCACCGCTTCTACCAAAGACATGTGATTTGTTTGTATTTAGCTTGATTGTTTCTATTACTTCTTTATTCTTTGATACTTCTAGATATGCATTATAAGGTGGAACTGTTCCCCTATTTTTCAATTAAACATGTTCAACAAACATTTAGTAACTAATATATATCATCTGAATATAAACAATCTCTCGAAGTAATACATACCAATCAGGACATTTAAATTGAGGAATTATTTCATTATCATCATTTGCTGTATCACTCATATTATAATCTAAACTAATATTTAAAAAAAAAAAAGATGTGAGGTTTTAAAAAAAAATTTTGAAAAGATTAAAAATATTTGATTGTGTAGCAAAAAAAAAAACACAAACTGATATATTTGTTTTTTTAAAGGTTAAATATTATATTTTATGTTTGGTTTTTTTTATTTATTTTTATATTTTTGATTTAAAATGTTAAAGTAATAATATTATTTTTTGTAAAAAAAACTATTATTGTTTCAATTTTTCAACAAAGATTAATTGAAATATTGGAATTACATTGCTACCAGATTCTTGTTTGTTTGTTTGTTGTTGTTTTTTTGGTTGGACCATATTAATTAATACAAACACTTCGTATAATTTAATGATGGTTTATCGGATGTTACCCTTATCGATTATTGGGTATTTATGAAATTTTAAAGTATTATTATTATTATTTTGATTCTATTTGATTATATATCATCTATTGCAAACATTAATTGATCTAAAAAAAAAAAAAAAGAGAGTTAATATTTAATATAAAAATTAATTATAGTTTTTGAATATTTACCATCTGGACAAAATGTGGGAGCACCAGCACAATATCTATAATCATCTTCATCTTTGATGTATGATGGACCTCTGGACATGGGTGTATCTAAAGGATAGCTATCATCAAAGTGATTGATCATAAACTTTTTGGGAGAGAATCTCTGGTTTGAGTTTTGTAGCATAAACGATGGGAATTGACCTCCATTTGAATTTTTTGATTGTACTTGGAAATTATAATTTAATAAATATGCCATTATTATATATTATATATTTCTAGTTGTAAAGTTTACTATATAGTTGTTGTTTTTTTAATTTGATTGGTATTTAAATAAATAAACAGTGGAAATCTAAATTTCATGAAATTTAGAATTGGTGAGAAGAAATTGATGATATAAATAATAAATAATGAAAAAAAGGGGTTAGTGACTCTTGATTTTTTAATTCAATTTGAATAATTAAAAATATAATGGGATGATTCTATAGTAGTACTATATAAATTATTAAAACTAAAAAAGTAACAAGCAAAAAAAAACTATATTATTCTTATTATTATTTGTATTTTTGATGTCTTATGGAAAATAACAACAAAATGAATATTTATATATATCAGACACACACTTATCATCATTGATATATATTTTAAAAATGGGGTAAATTTCAAATTTAATAGACAAAGAAACAGAGAGATACTCTTAAATTAAAATTTAGAGTGAATGAATGAGTGGGTGAAATGGGAAAGGTGTTGGGGATAGCATAGATGGTTGGTTGGCATCCAGTTTGATGCAAGTTAGGTAGTTAAAGAAGGAATACAGTATATGTTGTTGTGGATTCCATTAGAATATATTGCTATATTGTATTTTTTGAGACTACTTCATATGGAGTGTGTTTTTATTTCTGTTTGGGAGTTGTTGGTGTTTAAATTTTTAGTGCTGGTGAAGGAATGCAGTTGTTCTTCATGTTGTAGGAATGATGTGGATGAGTGGATCTCTCACACCCACACACAATAATATAGTTAAAACACAACTTGTCATTACATCAATTAACTCACTCCATTATAATTATTATTCAGAATTTACTGTGTGTATGTGTCTATAGTAGGGGAGACATGAATATATTTATGTGACTGTTTGAAAAAGATTTGATTTATCTCCCTTCTTCTTTTTATCATCTTCTCTTCTTTACGATTCAATTTAGGAATTGAATGACTATATATATATTTGTTTTTATGATTTAATTTCAGGGTGTGTTTTGTTTATACACCAGAAAACAAATTTTATATTATTTATTTTTTGTTTTGGTGGTGTTTGATTTGGAGTGGTTATGTTTATATCAATCATATCCGCAGAAATAATTATATATAAATAAAATTGTTTTAGACAGCAGTTGCTATTGTCAATTTTCACAAATTTAAATTAATTAAAAACCAAAAATAATCTTTGATCTGAAAGATTTTGTTGGTTTGTGTTCTGATGAAGATTGTCATCAATGACAGTATTATCATAAAGAAAGTAAATGATGTGATGAGTAGCTAGCTCATGATTTGATTGATATTGGTTGTATCGATGATAATGTGAAAATAATAAAAATACTACTAAAATATCCAAATCGTATTTATAATTTTTGCTTACATATTAACTGCTAACCATAAATCACAATATTGGTATTCTTTCCAAAGAGTACAAGTACAGATTTGATATTGGATATATATATAATACCTTTTTTGATTTAGATAAATAAATATATATAAATAATTTTGTTTTTTTTTTCTAAATCAATTTTAATTATAAATTAAATGAATTATAAAAAAAAATTATTGATTGCAATAGGTTGAAGTGGTAGATAAAAAAATCAATTGATTCAATTTCAATTGTTCAAATAGAATATAATAGTATAAGAGTTATATGCTATTGTATGATTATTATTGGTTGTTGGTATAATTTTGAAATTGAATGAATTTCAATATTAACTTTCAGTACTCCAATTAATTAAATTGAATACATGTTGTAAATTAAATTTCATTTTTTTTTTTTGTTTTTTTATTTAATATTGTTAAATTTACCACCAATATGACAGTGAGGAGTATATCATTGAAGATAATAATTATTTTTGAGTGTGGTTTGCTATTAATGAAAAGGTGTGTGTGTTTACATGGGAAATATGTGTGTGTGAGTTTGTTGTTTGTTTTAGAGTGTGGGGTAAAACTCAGTATTTGGAAAGTGTGTGTTTTTTAGTTACCACTAAACTATTCTCCATCTTACACTTTGATTACGATTATTGTTAATAAAAAGAGTTAAGTTTTTAATTATTGGGGATTGATTAAATTTCGATTATTATTATTTCATGAACATAGTGGATTAATAAAAATTAGTTTTGGCTATATTAATAGGATCTTTGAGAAAGATGTAACATTGGATAAAAAAGATTTATAAAATTCATTAAAACCTGTGAAAAACTCCAAAAACAAAATGGGTGATTCTTATTTTAGTTTTATTGACCTTTCTAATTCAATACTTTAGGATCCTATATTAATTACAACGAAAAACTAATTTTCATTTGAACAACTAAAAACATTTAAATTCTAATTTTAGAATATGCTTGCACTTTTATCTTAACATTGAGTTGGTTGAATATGAATAAAAAAGTTTAATTTAACTCGGAAACGACCAAAAATGTGAATGTGTGAGGTTTAAATAGTTTTTAATGAACAAAAAATATCAATTACTTACAATTTACGAATTATAACTATATTGTTCAAACAAATTTTGTTTTATTTTTTATTGTTGTTGTTACTTGAACTTTTATTTGATATTTAATATTGTATATACATAAATAGTAAAGTATGGTTCTTGAAATGTAATTGTAATTGTCATTAAGATATTAAGAAATGAAAAAGGTAAAGAAAGATTGGAAATTCTAATGTTTTTAAATTGACTTTCAATTTAATTAAAAAAAAAAAGAAAATAAATGATACAATAATTAATATAAAAGGAATGATGTTAATTATGATGTTGATGGTTTTTTTATTTTTTTGGTAGAAAATTATGTGATGTTATAAACTCTAGTTTTTTTTTTTTTTATTAAACTAAAAAGTAGAGTTGTATTAGTAGTAAAGTAGTTTTGCAATAGTTAACTGTAAAATAAAAAATAAAGTAATTATTTGTTCATTGTTGCTGATGATGATAAGCTGCTCCCTGTTGGTCTTCTTCGATGATGTTGATTCTTTAAGAAAGGTAGTTAAATATCGCATTTGGAAGACTATAAGAATTTTAATTTAACTTTTTAATTTACCCACACATTTTTTGACAGGGGGCACTAGTGCTACTTCTTTGCAATGCAAAGGGAACTTTAGGGTGGTTTGAAAAAACAACAAAAAAAAGTTAAATAAAGGTGGGGTGTGGTGGGGGGTTTGAGGCTAATGAAAAAACTTCATCTTTGTGAAACAAAAAATGTTGATTGGTGATTTTATAGTGGTGTGGGTGTTCTAAATTGAAAGTGTTTTTAAGTTCCCTTTGATTTTGGCACATTTTCCCTAAAAGGAAAAAAGATTAATTGATATTTTTTTTAAATTGTTTAAGTCACAAAAAACAACTTTGTTTGATTAAAAAAACACTTTGATTTTTTGAAACAAAAAAACCAATAATCATTGAAACAATCTCGTATTCAAAGTGATTGAAATAAAACAAAAGTATTTAAGTTGTTAACAACAAACCTTAACATCAACAACTATAATGATTTTGGTGTTTTTTAATTAAAGTGTGACACCTCACACCCACAAAAAAACACTCTATTGATTTTTTTTTTTTCAAAAACATAACATGTCAATGATCAAAAGGCTATTGGTGAATGATAGAATTATTGAGATAAATACTAGAACCAATTGTTAACTCATTGTCTTGAACACAAAAACACTGCAAAATGGATGTCTGATAGAAAACTTTACAATCAACTTTTAAAATATCTTTAAAAATAGTACTCTTAAAGAGAGATAATACTATTAAATAGTTTGAAAATGTTTAGATATTAACTGATATCTAAAAAGGGTGAATATTTATTTATTCATCATATATGTAATATTAATAAAGATGATTATTTCAAATTTCTATCTTGTGTGTCAATGTTTTTACATTGAAAAAATTTAGAGTTAAGAAATGTTATAATATTATATAATATAAAAAAAAAATTCAATAACATTTATTTGTGTTGTTTTTATGAAAGTATGTTTTTTCATTTATCTTCCAATTGGATAGATGTAATATTAGGTATATTTCGCTGCAATAGATTATTATTAATAAATTAAATATATATATTTACAGAAATAATTCTATTTATACAAGCAAGAAAACAATGTAATATATTATTTATTTCTATAATTATAATTATAATTTCAATCAAAATCAAAATACTATACAACTAAATATATAAAGAAGAACAATGGATAATTTTTTTAAGAAATTGGAAGAGGATATCGAAGGTTTGAAGCAAAGAGTTGAAGCTCTTGAGAAGAAGGGTACCACCACTGCTCCAACTACTACAACCACAACAACTACTGCTGCTGCTACTACTTCTGCTGCTGTAAACGAAGAGGTTGAGAAGGCAAGTACAACTGCCGCCGATACCACTGCTGCAGTTACACAGGAAGCAACTGGTAATCCAATTTCCAACTTTAAGAGCAATGTTACCACCGATGTAAAGAAAGACGTAAATACACTCACTGACAGTGTCAAGCAGAACTTGAATATCGGTAATCAAACAGCAGAGACTCAACCAGCACAGGCTCCACAATCTTCATTAAAGTCAGAGTTGATTACAATGCTCGGTGGAACTCCAAATACTAACGCAGCTGCTCCACAACCAAAATCAACAAAGTCAATTGGTGCTCGTCTAGGTGGATTCCTTAACTGAAAAAATCCTCTATCATCTAAATATCAAAACTATTCTAGATTACTGTTTTCTATATTTTTTGTTCCACCCTTTTACATTGTTGTTGATCTTTATAAAATAAAATGATTACTTTATGTTTTTAATTCTACTCAAAAGTGTAATATTATTGCACGTCTTAAGTACTACTAAATATTAATATTACAAAATTTATAGATTAATCAATTTCAACTTGTTATATATAAATTGATTGATTGAATATTATTATTATTATTATTTAATATTTATATTTGGTTGAGAAATCTTTTGGTGAAATGACTAAACCTTTTCCTTTACGGGCACCTCTATACACAGTTTCAATTACATCTATCATATCCTGTTTGTTTGTCAGTGGCCAATTAACTATATAGTTATTTGAAAAAGTGTTAGTAAGATAATGCTTTCGTCTAATTAATCAATTGATTGATTGATTGATTGATACATACTTTTATTATTGTTACCAGTACCTAAATCTATCATTATATGTTTATTTCTATAGAAAAACATTGTTGTACAAGGATCATATAATTCATACATCTTATTAAAATCGTTTACTTCTGTAATATCAACCTATATTGGTCAAGTTATTAAATACAGTTAGTTAATATGATAATTAGATATTGGTACCAGATCTTTTGATGATAATTGATATTAATGATACATACAACATAAATAACAGCCATATTCTTTACTTTCTCTGCAATTGCAAACAGAGTTTCATCTTGTTTAATACAGTCTGGATCCCAATCATGTCCGAATCTCATAATGACCACTCTATCTTCTTCCATTACGATTGCTTGATCTACAGCCCAACCACTCTTTAAATGAGGTAATAGAAAAGACATTCTTATGATATATGTTTGTTATTATTTCTATGTATATAAATAGATAAGTAGATAAATAGTAGTGTAGTTAATTCTAATAAAAATGATTCGTTAAAAATTTTTTTTTTAAATATTAATATGTTTTTTCCCTCTTTTTTTAAATTTTCATCAATCAAAAAATTGTGTGTGTTTATTAATTAATTATTATATATATCATTACAACGTTGTTGATATTTATTTATTAGTTTGTTAAGAAGAAGAGATAGAGAAAGATAGAGAGATGAGGCATAGCAATAATAATAATAATAGTAGTATTGATGAAGATTCAGATTTAGATTTGGTGAATGAAGACTTTGATGATGATGATGATGATGATGATGACGACGATGAAGACGATGACGATGATATCATTACGGAGGACGAAGATGACGACGATTTCGAAGTGAATCATTCAAACACTGTCTCATCCTCCAGTGGTGGCGGCAGTGGTAGAGGTGGTAGAGGTGGTCGACCACCTAAAGCAAAGAGAGTACAATCATCATCAAAGAGAAGATCATCTTCAAAATCAAACAACGCGTCATCATCTTCACAGAGCAATAGTAAATCAAATACCAATACCGGAAGAAAGAGACCACATCTAGATGATGATGATGCCGATATCAGTGAAGATATGTCGAATATCGATGACGACGACGATGACGATGCCGACATTGAAGATACAAACAACAGTAGATCAAATACAAGCTTGTCTACCTCTACCATCTTGGAAGACAATACCTTTGATATAATGAATGAAATTGACTTTATCAATCCAACTAGCACCACCACTACCTCCAGTTCGACAAATCAAGGTAAACCAAGTGGTGGTGGTGGTGGTAGTACAACACCAAACAAGAAGAAACAAAAACAACAAACAACATCACCAACAAACAACATTCTAAGTAATACAAATAGTCCAAAGTTAAGCTCACCCACCAACAATAGACGAAGTGCAGCAGCGGCAGCGGCAACAGCAGCAACAGTGGTAGTCGAAGAAGATAAACCAAATGCCATTCAATATCATTGTGATTATTGTCAGAAGGATATCAGTAACGTAGTTCGTATTCGTTGTTCGGTCTGTGAGGATTTCGATCTATGTGTGGAGTGCTTCAGTGTCGGTGTGGAGATCTCACCACACAAGAACGACCATGACTACCACGTTATCGACAACATGCACTTCCCAATGTTCACCGAGGATTGGGGTGCTGACGAAGAGTTGCTCCTCCTAGAAGCAGTAGAGATGTTTGGAATGGGCAATTGGAATGAAGTCTCTGAGAATGTCGGTCATAAATCACCTATGGAATGTAAATCACATTATTTCACATATTATTTAAATACATCAACATCTCCAATGCCTGTAAGTATAAATTAATCATATTACTACTATTATTATTATTATTTTTATTTTCGTCGTTGGTTTTTACTTATACTTACCTCCTTTCTTTCGACATTCTATCTTTATCTTTATTATTAATAATTAAAGGATACAAGTAAAGTACTGACAACAAGCGAGAATGTACACTTTAAAAGAGCCAAATCAACCAATTATAATCCAAATGGTAGTACTTACTATTATACTTATATTGCACAATCACCTTTAAAACCAACACATCAATCATCTTTAACTTCATCATCATCATCATCTTTATCATCAACTACAAAAACCAGCACAACAACTACAACAACTACATCAACCACATCAACCACAACTACAACAACTACAACAACTACAACCAATGTATCTACAATTCTATCAATATAACAGTTGATATGAATCTATTTGAATAAATATTACTAAAAAAAAGTTAAACAATTTAAACTAATTTTGTTATTCATTATGATATTGTTATTATAGATCGCAAGAATAAACCATCTTCTGCACCAGACACAACGGAAGGACCATCGGGACCAGTTACTGATTCCGTAGGTTTCATGAAGAATCGTGGTCAATTTGAAAGTGAATTTGATAATGATGCTGAAGTCGTTGTTAAAGATCTTGTATTTGAACAAGATGATACTCCATCCGATAGAGGTATATTAATATTTATTTAAATTAATAATTAATTAATATATTTACTAATCTTTTTTAAATAATAATCATAATAATAATAATAATAGAAATTAAATTACAAGTATTGGAAACTTATAATCAAAGATTGGATGAACGAATTAGAAGAAGAAACTTTATTACAGAGAAAGGTTTATTAGAGTATAAACGCATTGAAAGAAAAAGATGTAAGAATGACAAGGAGATATATAATTCGTTAAAGGTGTTTCTACAGGCAATGTCAAAGGAGGATCATGAAAAATTGGTCAATGGTATCATCGTAGAGCGTACCGTGAGAGAGAGAATCGAACAACTGCAACATTACCGTGCGAATGGTATCAGAACACTCGAGGAAGCCAACCAATACGATGAAGAGAAACGAAAGCGTGACACCGAGAAGAATATGAGAAAGTCGAAATCGGAGCTGTCCTACCACAATGAGAAACCCACTGTATTCAAATCGATGAAACAACAGACCAAAGAGAAAGAAGAACTGTTCTTGGGCATTGGAAAGGGTGCCAACGAGCGGAAATCTCTCAAGATCAGAAAGAATGCATCGCTTGAAATGGAAGGTTTGCCAAGTGTAGATAATCTGTCGAATAAGGAGAAGCAACTGTGCGCTCAAATCAAACTACTACCACAACAGTATCTCATTATCAAGGAGCTACTGATAGCAGAGTCACTCAAGAACAACGGCAAACTAAAGTTGAGTCAAGCTCTGAAACTTGTCAAACTGGAATCGTCCAAGTCTGCCAAGATCTACGAATTCTTTGAAGTAAACGGTTGGATCAAGAGAGATACAATATCACCTTCGCAAGGATCATCAGCATCTTCAAGCATAACATCTCCCATTCAAAATATAACTACATCACAACAACAACAATAACCATAATAATAATAAGATGTATGAACACTGTAAATAAATGAATGATTGATGGCTGTTATAACAGCTGTGAATATTATTTAATTTAAATAATAATAAAATAATGAAATTTAAAAGAATCTAACTTTATAAATCTGGAATTTCTGATATGGTGGCATACAGGAAACTGTGTACCAGGTTAAGAACATGGGCCTCCACAACTAGCGTGTGTCGACTCCAGTACAATAGAAAGCTCGAAGAAGATACTATGAATCTAAATCGTTAGCACCTTTCCAATATAATTACTATTATATAGTTAGTTTCTTTTATATTTTATCTTTTATTATTATTTATTATTTTTTGGTCTTTCTTGTTCAACTTTGATAGCAAGATCTTGGAATATAGGATGTTTAAATCTATTACGAGTAGAGTCAAAAAATGATTGTAAATCTTTACCTTGTGATTTCTCATACTCCAAAGCTTGCAAAATCATTTCAAACTTATCGAAATCTTTCACCAGCAATGCTTCACATGTAGTTGCTTCTTCGTATTCCAACCATAACTTGTAAATCTCTTCACCAGCATCATTATTTAATGTGCTCTTTATTTTTAACATAGCATTCTAATAATTATAAATAAACAAAGCATTAGCAACTAGTTGAGATTATTTATTTATCTAGATGATGGTATATAGTTTACTTGTTCTAAATTGAATTTCTCTTCTTTTGTTATTTTATCGTGTGGAGTAAAGTCACCAACGAGTGACTCACCTAGATCATGAACCAATGCCATTTTCATACATTTCATTCTATCTATTGGTTTGCCATCAGTACCCAGCGTGTTGTCACCGAGCGACATTGCAAACATTGACATTCTATACATGTGATCAGAGATTGACTCTGGTAAATGAATGCCATTGTTAACCCATCCCGTTCTCTTTGTTGTCTTTAATAATCCACAGATCTTATAAAACTCTAAAAAATTATGATTATTCATTTTGGCGAATGAAGATCAATTTAATGAATCGATTAAATGTTGTTGAACTTTAGTTTAAGTTTTTAAATGTGTTTCAAAATAAAAACCAAAAAGGAAATTTTAAAAAAATTAACTATTTTTTTATTTAATACATTTTTGATAAATTGTTTACAATGATTAACATTCTAAATCTATCTATCTATAGATCAATTAATTTCGATTATTGTTTAATGGAATAATACTTTGTAAAATCACCGTAAGGACTGGAGTAATCAGTTTGGTATTGAGGTTGAGTATTATTATTATTATTATTATAGACTGTTGTTACATTGGGCAATGATTGTGCGTGCATCATTGGATAAGAAGCTTGTTGTTGTGGATAAGGTGGTTGTTGATAGGTTGTCTGTTGATAGATAGATTGATATGGATTTGGTTGCATAGAACCCATTGAACTCATTGAACCCATTGAACTACTATATTGGTAATAAGTTGGTTGTTGATGTTGTTGTTGTTGTGGATGTGACTGTTGTGACGATGATTGTAGATTATTTTGTTGGTAAAAAGTATAACCAAATGTGCTAGGTTGTGTTGTTTGTGGTTGTGTATTGTTGTTTTGTTGAATAATAGGCGATGGCAATGGTGCTGACAATGATGAAGTCGGTGTTGAAGTAGCACTATTTGGTTGACTACCATTACCATTACCATTACTGTTCAAATTATTGTTGGATGTTGAATAGCTCTGTATTTTTGTTGGATCATATTTATAGAATGGTTCTTGTTGTTGATTATGTACAATGCTTGCACCGTTTGGCTGGACTGCAGGTGCGTGATATTTATAGGTGGATTGTTGCTGCTGTTGTTGTTGGTTGACACTACTCGATGGTACCATATAACTTTGAACGGTTGTGGTGGTTGTCGATACCGATGCAGTGGTGCTACTTGGAGTACTGTTCACTCTTGCAATATAAGAGTGAGAGGTGACTGTTGTTGGAATTACCACTGGACTGCCATCTCTTCCAGTGGCGAGCTTCAACAATGAAATCCATTCCGATGCATCCTTGGCGGTCGGTGCCGATAGAAATATTGTCTTTAAATCTCTAGTGGTAATTGAAATTGCAAACTTTATGATTCCAGAATGTTCAACTCTTGCATCTGTCAAATCCAAAGTACTTGTTGGAATAACTGATTTTGATCCCTATGTTTTTTTTTTTTTTGTGTAAAATAAAAAAATAATTAATAAATTATCATAAAAAAAGTAAAACACATTGTTAAATTTACTTACAGGTTTCTTTTTGTATCTCAATAGTAGATTGGTTTGTAAAATATAGTATCTCTTTACCCAATTTGAAGATACCTTACTGCCCTGTTTAAATAGAAAACCTTCGATTGCGACACTCATCGTTTGTTCCACTTAATGAACACCAGTTTTTTCGCCTGACAAACAACTATTAATGGATGATTAAGTTAAAATTAATAAAATAAAATAAAGTTTGATAATTATTATAAAAATAAAATCTAATGAATAAATGAATTTAAATTAAACAAATATTATTATATATTTGATTTATTTTTAAAGCAGACAAACAAACAAAAACAACAACAACTTCTATTTTATTTTATTATTAGGATTGTATTAGAATGGGAGAGACACAACAAAAATAATACAACACATCACACAATCTGAAAAAAAAAATTAAAATTTTAAAAAACAAAAAATAGTATTTATTTGAATTGGATTATTTATGTTAAAATCAAGATAAAAAAAAACACTATTAATTCATTGGTAAAGAAATTTTAATGAATGAATTGTTGTGTGTTAATTAATTAAAAACAAAGGTGTGATCTATAGAAAAAAAATAGAAAATTACCTTTCAGAGCATTAAACGAGTATTTAAATAAAGTGTGATTTATAGAAAAAAATAAAAATGTAAAACGAATAATTATATGTGATAAATTTGCAAGTGATTTATCAGTTTTGATCTAAAAATTTTTTTTTACAAAAATGTCTTTTTTTTTAATTTTTTTTTAAAAATGGTTCAAAAAAAAAAAGTAGTTTGAAAAAAAATAAAATAAAAAAAGAAGCAATTTATTTATTTGTCACTGAAGAATTCAGAGAAGAATCGATTCATTAAAACTATAAAAGATAATCAACAATCAATAGATTTAGATTAGATAGATTTAGATATATATATTAAAAATATGGATAGAGAATCAAATACACCAGCTAAGAAATCATTCTCTAGCAAAATCAAATCGATATTCCAACTACCAAACTCTGTCAAGGGAAAGATGGTCGGAATTGCTAATGTTACATTCTTCTCATTGCGCTACGTTTTGAATGCAGCATGGGTACTCGGTACACTCGTCATTATTTTCTCAACACCAATGATCAGATGTATCGAATACGAACGTTTAGTTAGAGCCACCGACAAGAAGAGAGAAGCTGAATCAAATCAAACTCAAGGAAAGATCGCTCAAACTCTTCCAAGAGTTTTGAATGAATAAATTTAATAATAACATATAAATAGTTTTTTTTACAATTAAATAATAACAACAATAATATATATATAAAAACAACAATCACATTTCACAACACAATACAATTACAACAACAAACGACACCCACAATCAAATCAAATCAAATCAAACAAACAATCACCAAAGATATTATTAATTTAACAAGATAGTAATATCTTATTAAAACAAGAATGAATGCACTTCAAGCAAGCCAAGCTTGTCAACATAGAATGATCATAGACTGGCCACTCACTCAACCAAAACCACGATAGAATAAGAAGAGATAACATAATACAACAAAAGATAATACAACAAAACGAGAATAATCGAACTATAAAGAAGCATTCATTCATCAACTCAGTGCAGAAATGAAGAAACAAGTGGTGGTCAATCAAAAATCATTAGATTCAAAACAAATAAACTTTACAGCCAATGGAATTCAATAATTCCAATGTATATGTGATTTTTAAATCCAAATATATATATTTGTTACATGGATGATTTGTTTTTTTAAGCAATCAAACTTTATTGATTTAATTTTTAAAATATTGTGTATTTTTTTGATTCGTTCGGTTTTTTTTTCTATTATTTTTATTTATTTTTATAATATTTCGTTTTATTAAATTAGTTTATTATTTTCTTTATTTTTTACAACAATTATTATTATTTAAATATATATATATTTTAAACTAAAATATGGGAAGATATAAAGGATTTGGTGGTACACATACCAAGAATAAACAATATAAAAAAGCAAGAAAGACTGCTAGAAGAGGAAAAGGTAAGCTTTCACTTTTATCAATTAATCTACTTTTTTGATTTATATGTTCTGAAGATTTGTTGAACTTATATCAATTGTTATAAATTATAGATATAGATCAAGTTTGGGATGATGTTCAACCAGATAAAATAGAGAAGGCATCAAAACATGATATAGATCCAGAGTTACCAGGTTTAGGTCAATTCTACTGTGTACATTGCGCTAAATATTTCGTTGCTCAATCAGATTTAGATACACATCTTACAGGAAAGAAACACAAGAGAAGAGTTAAAGATTTGAAAGTTAAACCATATACTGTTGAAGATTCACAACTTCCAATTGACAATGGAAAGAAACTAAGACCAACACCAACACCAATGATCGAAGATAACACTGATATTTCAACTACTTCTACTGCTGCTGCTGCATCAACGTCAGTTTGAGCACAACTCTTAAATAAAAATAAAATAATCTTTTCAAAAAAAAACAAAAAATATAAACAAACAAACAAACAAACAAACAAATAGACATGTTGTTGTTTAATAATAAGGGTAAACAAAACAAAACAATAGTACAGATATAAATTAAATATTTTAAGTTAAAGAAAGTATTTTAATTTATTTAAATTTGCAATCACACGGCGATGTGAGAGAAATGTAATGGTAAGATTATTTGATTGTGTTAATTTTTGATTGTTTTGTTTCAGAAAGTGATATATGATTAGCACTGCAGTTTTGATTCCCTGAATGTATTTAGAATTTCCAAAGAGCATCGAAACCATCTTTCTTATCGGTGATTAGATGTTCAAAGTTATTGAATTCCAAAGGTACTGATCCAGTCTTCTTTGCGGTGCTTTCGAATAACGATTGGTAGGTGCTCGATGCAAAGTCAGAGCTGCTAACAGTTCCTTTGAGTCCGGCATCAAAGAGTGTTGCTAACTTTCTAATCTCTGGGAAGTAGTGTTGACGCAATAACTGTATCTCCCAAAGTGAACTCTTGAGTGCATTGCACTTGGCTGGATCGGCTTCCATTGGCAAATAAGGATCTTCACCATATAATGCTGTAACTTGTTTCTTTCTATCGGATTCAATTAACAATCCTGATTCTATCGTAGTTATTATTAATAGATCGCGTTTAGTTAATATAGTATCAATCAAAAAGTACTATTATTATTTTAGTTAAATATACATACTTGAATTGAAAGTATTTGATTTAGCGGTAGCAGTGATATTGTTAATGAGTGAATGACAGTTTGGATGTCTTTGGAGAAGTGTGAATATCAATGGCAATAGAATTAAACTACCGAAAGGCGGAGTGATCAAACATAGATAGCTAGCTCTCTTTAGGAAGGCAGCAACCAAGTAGTTTGGAAGATAGTTGCTACTCAAAAACAACTCTGCCAAATTAAAGAATTTACTACGATACTTGGCATAGATGATACCTGGTTGGAACAATGAATATAACTTTTTATAGAAATCTGGAAACTCTCTGTATTAATAATAATAATATTATTATAAAGATTAGTTAAACATTCATTTATAGTATATCAATTTAAATATACAAGATTACATAATACTTACAAATTATATTTATGAATCAAAATAAAAAGACCATTCAATGCTAAAATACTATGAATTCCACCTAGATCATATGACTTTGAGAAGAAATCCATTAAAAGTGTTGGGTTTGAAAGATGTGGCATAACTTGATCTGGTAAACCTAGTAAAACCTATATATATATAATAAACATGTTAGTTATCAATCTGTTAATATCAGGTTATGATATATATATATTATAGTTACATGTTTATAAATTGAATTTGGTAATGGTAAACTAAGGAATGCTAACCAAAGTTTACCAAAGATCTGTTTGTATGATGAGATGGTTGTTACTTTAATCCAATAATCTTGTTGCTCGGTGAATTCCGTGGCAGTTGGTAGAGTGGCATCGCTTCTCTTCTCTTTGTTCTTCTTTCTCATTGTCTTGACGTCTTTGATCATCGATGCAATCGGTTCACCAACGAGGAACTTCCACTCGGCTGGCACCTCCTCCATCACCTCAAAGACGACGAGCAAATCAAAGATGTTCTCTACGTACTTGTTGGTGGTGAATGTCGGTTCTTTGAATTCGTAGTGACTGGCGACGACACCGGCAGTATCGACACTCGATCGTTGAATCATTGTGGTCATCGCGGACATCAGTGAGTGTTGAACGTCGTGATACTGAATGAATCGCGATTGGAGGTGTTCGATCAACTTGGAATTGAGGTGAACGTTGTAGATGAGTGGTTCCAACAGGTTGGCACGAACGAATTGCTCTGCCAAACGGTTGTAGAATCCTGCTGGCACCGACTTGTTCTCACCGACCTGTTTCTGACGTTGCTGACCAAAGATCTTTGACTGCACTGTCAACATTGCGAAAAGACTGTTCAACGTTGGAATCTGAATCGATGGATCTTCATAGCGAATCAATCTTCTCAAAAGTTTCAAATAGGATTGATAGATCTCTAAAATCCACTTTGTATATAATTTGAAAGCATCTACATTCTTATCGTCACTCTTATTGCTATTCTTTTTTGTTGCTGTTTTACTATTATTATTTATCTTTTTCTTATTATCAGTATTCTCTTTTGTATTATTATTATTTAGATTATTTAACTCTTCAATAAAGTATTGACATAGTAAATCGTTTGATGAATCTAATCTTTGAATGAAAATACGTTCCAACGATTTAATAGTTTGGAATATAATCTCCAAGTTTTGAATGTTCTCTTCCTGTTTTATTGTTAATAATAATTATTAATATGATAATCATGATAATGATAATACAAATTAAATAATACATACTTTATTACAAATAGCAATGATTTCAATTATCTTATTTGTATTATCCAATGATTCGAGTACTTCTTTCTCTAGCGATCTAATTAAATCTACTGGCTCTATTTTGATTGCTTTAGAAGTAACAGCACTTGTTTCAGCTGCAGCAACTACAGAAGTAGAGTCATCTTCAAACTTTCTCTTCTTATCAAATGTTGATTCTCTTTTTTGTTTCTTTGTACTCATTTTTATATATAAGTAATAAATAAATAAAAAATATAAATAAATTTAAATTTAAAAAAAAAAAAAAAAACGAAAACGAAAACGAAAGAAAAAAAAAAAGTTTTTTTTTTAATTGACTAAAAATTTTTATAATAATGATAATGTGTCATTACATATTAAATTTGATATTAAGATTATAATATTTTATTAATAAGAAGTGGTAAATCATATTCAGTAAAAGTTGATACAAAAATTAGAATTGCTTAGAATTTATTTATAGTGTGTTTATTAAGTTTTTACCAAAAACCTTTAGTTAACCAAAATTCATCTCTAACAGTGTTTGATGTGGTATTGATGAATTGGTATTGGAGATGAGTGTTGTTTGCAAATGAAACGACACCATATCCAACATCCAACAATCTTTCACCGGTTGACCAAATTGGTGCTGGTTGTTGCCATCCAGGATCTAATTATTATTGGAATACAACAATTGTGTTAGTTATGTAATGTCTTTAAATATCAAGTTATATCATAGTATATTTACCTGGACCTTCTTGACATCCACCAGTTCCAACTACAAGATGTACAGTTGCTTTTGGAGCATCATAGGTACCATAGTTGGCAACATTTCCAGCATAAACTGGGAGTGTTCTCTCATAGCTATGAGCATGACCACCAATGAATAAATCAACATTGTATTCAAATAATAAATATTCCAAACTGTCTTGTAACATAACTAAATGAAATGAAATAAAAAGTTAACAAAAATAATAGAAAATTCAATTAATAATAATCATTTGTTAATTTACCTTTATAATCATCCTTTACACAATAACTCCAAGAGGTACTGCAGTAGAATGGTCTGTGAGCGTATAATACAATCCAACCACCTGGGTTCTTCATACGGTAGGTCTTCAAATCGTTCTCTAACCAATCGTGTTGTGGTGACAATGGGAGAATCAAATGCTCTGTCGAATATGATACAAAGTGGACACCATTGTAATCGAATGAATACCATGAGTCTTCAAGAGATGGTGCTGGCATATTGAAGGTACGACGATAGATACCAAAGTTAATGAAAAAGATATCGTGGTTTCCTGGACAAACCATGTATGGGATGTGTGAGGACACTGGATTAATCATATCCAAAAATTCATTCCAAACAGTCTCATTTCCAACATCCTTTGAAGCTTTGGTAACATCTGCATATGCCTGATGAAAAAAGCCAAAACAATTAATATTTATTATTATCATTTTCAAATAAAATATAATTTTTAAAATTAACTTACAATATCACCAACATGGATGGCAAATTTAAAGTCATCAAGACGGTCAACGATACGAGCCAATGTACGATGACTACCACCGTAGATACCCATATCACCGTACACGACAATGGAGAATGGATCTACATTCTCAGAGTAGTCAGCGGCGGCTGTTGTGAAATTGTAGACATCGCTGAAGAGTTGTTCGTTCTTCTCACCGACGGCATAGAAGTAGGTGGTAAGTGGCAACAGTCCCGAAAGCAATGCGGTATTGGTGTATCCACTCCAATCGACACTGATAAGATCTTCGATGGTGGCAACGACACTCTGTTCATAGATTGAATTATTGGCAACGAATGGACTTGTTCCGAATAAGACGATCGGTGAGGAACCCTTGCTTGGAGTGTACCAAGTAACTCTCATCTCAGACACCTTTTGTGTGAGAGAAAGCTTGATACTGGATGGAGTCAAATTATTGGCAGCAGTGGCCACCAAACAACATCCATTTATAATTAACAATAAACATATTGTCAAAGATATATATTTCATTGAAAACATTCTTTTTTTTTTTACTTATATATTTCAATATACAGAGATATAAAAATAACAAATAAAAAAAAAATGAAACCGTTCTAAAATAAAAATGAAATTTAATTAGATATGTTGATAACTTTAAAGTTGTTGTTATCATTATTTGCAAAAATCTTTTTAAATTTTAAGAAGATATCGGCTATTTAGAGAAAAAGAGCACTTTTCGATAACCAGATTTTTGATTTATAAACCCGAAAAAAAGTAAAATAGTAAATTTGAAAATGATCACGAAAATATCGAAAAGATGATGTTTTTTTATAACAACACCAGATATTATCTTTAATTTTTATAATTTTTATAAAATAGGGTGCCCTTAATTTTGAAACTTCATAACCAACCAAAAAATCTAATCAAACTTTGTGTAAAGGTAAATCAAACCAAACAATGATGCAATTTAATAATTTAATTTATTTAAATTGAAATTAAAGTACAAGCACAAGTATCTCTTGATGTTTGAGTATCATTCTCATAGAATGGTTTCCACAGATTCTCTTCCACTGAATAACGTTGATTGTTGTGCAATCCACCGAGTATATAGATGTAGTTTTCATAGGAGTTGATGTGATAATAGTTCATTGAGATGTAGCTGTGTCTGATGATTACGTCGCAGAGTGGCTTGACTTGCATTGTTTCAATGTTAAGTCGAGCGAATGTGTTGTTTCTCGAGAGAATATAGACATTTCCATTGCCGTCGGTGCATGCCGACGAGCTACGAGCGATCGTGTCGGGCAGATCTTTCTCTGTGAACTTCTTGGTGGCGGGATCGAATATCAAGAGTTTGTTCTTATAGCTACCGGGCAACAAGTACATCAAACCCTTATAGTGAAAAGTCAACAGTAGATAGCAACTGTCTTTGTTCTCCATTTGATAGTATTTCTCAAAATCCATTGTGTGAATGTTGAACCGGTCGATCCTATTGAGAAATCCTTCGTTGTCGATTTGTTTGTATCCGTTCGACAGGTAGATATGATCTTTTCCATCGTAGCAAGCGGATATACCGTAGGCACCCTCTATCACTTCGATGTCAGAGATAATATCGATCCTCTTTGTGGTCATTGAGAATCTGAGGAATTTGTTGGGTTGACTGTAACCGCCAAAGATAAAGACGATATCACCAACAGCTACAATCGATGCATACGTAAAGTAACTATCGAAATTCAATAGGGTATCATTTATTGTAACATTATCGCGATTGGAAATATCGATGATGGTGGCAGACTTTCCAAAGGTTGAAAAAAGATAGGTTGATTTCTGAATTGCCATTGTTTTAATTGAAGCACAATGTAATTGACATGTTTGCTCGTATAAATCTCTAAATTGATTCATATTGCCTTTGTTTACTATGAATTTATAGAGAGTGTCTATTGCTTGTTCATAGTCACCCGCTGAACTGGTACCAGACGACTTTAATTGTTGGTTGTACTTGTAGATCGTATCTAATATCATTGAATCTGTATCGTTATCATAGTATGATAGTTGATCTGATATACTAATTGCGTCACCCTGACAATCGAATAAAGAATCACTATTTTCCTGAATGAATGATTCTAATGTTTTACATAATCTAATTGATTCCATGATTGTTGGTGTTTGATATCTTTCTGTAATATCTTTGTTTGTTGATGGATCATCATTGTTGTATTCTTTACTATCTTTATCATTATTACTGTTATTATTATTATTAATATTGATTAGATTTACTAAATGTTTCAATTCATTGATATCAATATCCATTTGATTGAATATGATATCTTTGGAATTGATGATCGGTTTCTTTAATCTCTGTTCTTCAGCGATGAGATAGTCATGTAGATGACGAAAGTGTTGTGTTATTTCATTCTCTGTTGATTCCAAAGATTGGTACTGTGTTGTAGATGATTGTAATTTAGTCCATAGTCTTGATAGTCTATCTTTTATATTATTATTATTATTAGAACTGTGTTCACTAGTGTTGTTGTTATTATCGATATCACCAATTGATAAATTATTAAGTGATTGTTTAATTAAATCGATATGATCATAATATTTAGAATGATCATCAGTATGATCAGAGCAACATTTTGAACACATCAACTTATTACATTGATTACAAATGATTTTATATACTATTTGGTGATTTGGACATTGAAACTTTATTATATCTTTTTGATTATCCATTTCTATAAACAAAATGTAATGATATCAATTAAAATATAAAAAAAAATTATTTAGTTCAACCGACACTTGGTGATTGGGAACAAGATCGATCGAAAAATATCAAGATTTTGATATTTGGAAATAATAGTGATTGGATTTCTATATTTTATCTTGCTTTTTTATTTAAACGACGTTCTAAATATAAATAATTAAAAAATAAAAAGAATATTACCAAGTTAAAATATTGGTTGAATTCCAATTCTATTGTCAACACCATCCCGGTAGAATCTTTGAACCAAATAAAAGAACTATGCTACAAAAGAGTGTGTTTTGTTTATATATTACAAATTTAAATAGATTTATTCTTTTTCTTTATGTTTGTTTTTTTAGAAAATGCGAATCGTAAAACAATATTATTTAATAGAATTCAATTGACCCTGTACAAACTCCAAACCTTCTAACATTGTATTAATAGTCTGTTTGTTCAATTCGAAAATGACAGTGTTTGTTGGTTGTTTACCATCTTCACCTTTTTGTTTTGAACGATCCTCGACCTATAAAATGAAGAAACAAATCTTTACAATTAGTAATCATTGTGTTATGCTGATGATCATTTATTAAAGATGTTTAATCTTTACCTCAAGTTTGAATAGTACAGTTGGTACAGCCATTCTTGACATTACATCTGATGAGGTCTTTACATCCATTCTCCAATCTAAATCTACCATTCTTGGCAATGAAACACCATTGCCACTACTACTATTACTTGTTGTTTGTTGTTGTTGTTGTTGTGACATCTTATAATTGTATACTATATATCGTTATTTGTAATATAAGAGTTTGAGACTAATGTGATTAAAGATAATATGAAAAATGATCAAAATATAATATCTTTTTTGTTGTAAAAAAATTAATAATAAATTTCTGATCATTTTTCAAAAAACATTGAAAACATAAAAAAACAGTTTGTGTGAATGTGATCCATTTTATTTTATATATTTTTAATTTTGTTTTTTAATATTACATATTAATAAATGTCTAACAAAGAACAACCAGTAGACCAGCTCTTTAAAGAGTTGGATGAAAACATTCAACAATCACAATATAAGAAAGCTCTTAGAGTTTGTAATAAAAGTTGGTATTATCTTCATATCATTATTATTGTTATTGTTTAGTTTTATACTTTTTTTGTTTAAATTTTGATGATCAATTGAATTTATATTAACACATCATATTTTATATATAATTATTATTATAGTTCTTTTAATTAACAAAGCAGATGTAGAAGCATTCCAATGTAAAGTGATCTGTTTGATGTTCAACTCTAGTTTCCAAGAGGCATTGGATTGTTTGAAGAATGCAGCATCACCATCCACTCAAAGCGAACCAATGTTGTTCGAGAAGGCCTATTGTCTCTACTCTCTTGCCAAATACAATGAGGCATTAGAGTTGATCGATAAGTTGAAACAACAGAAGACACTTAGAGTTCAGGAATTAGAAGCTCAAATTGTAATTATTGCACTATAATTATTATTTTAATCAAATTCTAATTGTCTCTTTTTGTTAATTTATTCTAGTATTATAAATTAGAAAAGTATCAAAAGACTATTGCAATTTATGAAGCTTTATTAAAGGAACCAGGTTATGTATGTATACATAAATACTAAAGAAGTTAATCTAATTGATAAATATCTAACATTAGATGTGATTATACCTACTTTTATAAAAACAAACAAACAAACAAACAAACAAACAAACAAACAAACAAACAAACAAGCAGAGTGACTCTGGTGAATTCTTAACCAATCTTTGTGCTGCGTATATCGATGCAGGTAAAATTCAAGAGTGTCAAGACTTGATCAATAAGAACAAGTCTTTAATGTCAAAGACCTATGAGTTTGCATTCAATGCTGCATGTCTTGCTTTATACAAAAAAGATATCAAGACTGCTGAAACTCAATTAAAGTTGGCAAAGAGTAAGTAGTTTTATTTAGTTTTATATAGTTATTTATAAATTATTAGATATCTAATAAGTAAATGTTATATTTTATTTTTATAGAGGTTTGTGTTGAAACATTAAAGAAGGATGGATTCAGTGAAGAGGAGATTCAAGAGGAAGCATCGTCTGTCATTGTTCAGATCGGTTACTGTCAACAGTTGAGCGGTAATATGGAGGAGGCGTTAGAGTCGTACCAGAGCATCATCGACTTGTCGATTGGTGATAGTGCTTCTTTGATCGCCTTGAACAACAGTGTTGCAATTCGTAGCGCCACCAGTGGTACCGAGAAGGAAGACTATCAAACCAGCTTGGACCAAATCAAATCGATCATCACCGAGCAAACAGAGAACAAGTTGACCACCGCTCAAAAGTGCACTGTCAATTTCAATCACATCAGTTTGATGTTACACCTCAAGAAGGTCGGTCAATGCGAAGAAATGGTTCGTTCTCTCAAGGCAAAATACAAAGACTCCACCCAATTCACTGCCGAGCTCAACGAAGATCTTGACCTCATCGTTGCAACCCTACTCACCAAAGACAAGAAATGGCGTGAAGCAGAAGAGATTTTAAAGGTAAAACTAAAACAAAACAAAACAAAAACAAAACATATGATTACTAACGTAAATAATAATCTTTCAGAAAAACAAATCATTAAAATCACAACTGTCATTGGCACAATTGTATTTGTTGGAGAATAACAATATTGAAAAGACTTTGGGTTGTTTTAAAGTCGTTGGAATCATCGGTACAATCAAAGCCAGGTATTGTTGCAACTATGGTCGCTCTTTACGAAAAGTCTGGTGATATGGAGAAGGCTGTATCCTGTTTGGACACTTTGATCACCTCGTTAGAGAACAAGAAGAGCAAGACCGAGAAGGAAGAAGACTCCTACATCAGTTTGTTGAAATTGAACGGAAACTTCAATATGAAGCATCTCAAATACAAAGAAGCTGCCTCGTGCTATGAGAAGATCCTAAAGATCAATGCTAACGATCTTTTTGCCTTGCCATCATTCATTGTCGCCACTGCCCACTTTGACCCAACCATCGCCCAGAAATACGAAGGTAAACTTCCACCACTCAAGTTCAACGACAAGATTGATGTTGATGCAATTGATAAACTTGGATTATCATTTGATAAGTAAGTTATTATTTATAACAAAATGTTAAATAATATTTTAATATTAATTTTTATTTTATTTTTATTAGGAATGAGAAAGCAGCTGCTACAACTTCAACTACCAATGTTACTGCTGCTAAAAAGTCGAACGAAAAAGCAAAGGCACCAGTAGTTCCTGTACAACCAAAGAAACCAAAGAGATTACCAAAGAACTACAATCCGGATGTCAAACCAGACCCAGAGAGATGGCTACCAAAATGGCAACGTTCAAGCAACCGTGGAAAGAGAGGTCCAAAGGGAAAGAAACAAGATACTCTTTCCAGAGGTCCACAAGGTGTGGTTTCACAACAACAAGCTTCACAATTGGCTGCCTCATCCACATCTGCTCCCAAGTTTGAGCAACCAGCTCAACAAGCTGCCGCAAATAAGCCAAGAAATATCAACAAAAAGAAGAAAGGAAAGAAATAAATGATCAATCACCCCACATTTAAATTTAATTTTAAAATAAATTTAAACCACAAACCCACCTTTGAACATTATTTCATTTTAAACACACACTCTCATATTATCATTTACTTCATTCACTTTCTAAATTATTACTAGTAAAGAAGATGTTTAATAACAAAGATACAATTAACTTATCATGTCTCCATAATACCATTCAATCATGGGCAGACGATGATCAATCAGGTTTTCTAACTCATTTTGATAAGGAGAAGGATACATTTATCACTTATACAAGATGTCAATTTAAAGAGAAATACCAAAGATTTAGAGATATATTTCGAAAGGAAAAGTTAGATTATATTGTATTGGTTATGGATCAAAATATTGATAGTTTTGCAATTGTCATTTCACTATTATCAATTGGATGTACAGTTTCACTTACAGCTGAAGATCCAATAGATGATCTTCAAGATTTGGTTGATAAAGTTAAACCAATTCATATTTTAGTACCATCACAAGTCATATGGAATGGTCCATTTAGTGAAAATATTTTAATGAAGAATCCAGAATTTACAATTCTAAAAACAAGTTATAATGAAAATAGAGTTAAATCTGAAGGTATTATGGAATCAACATTTGCTTTACAAACTACTGGGTAAGTATTAAAAGAAAAAAAAATTAATGTTTTATTAATAACTTTATTTAATTTAATATTTTAGATCAACTTATATTTATTCAAAGATTGTATTTAGAAAAGTAATTGGTTGTATAACAGAAGTATATGGAATTATGGAAATTTTAAATTGTTCCTCTACTGATGTCTGTTATATCAATACTGGATTAGCTCATGGATATGGATTCATTGTTTCACTTGTTTCACTATTATCTGGATCACATTTGGTATTATTAAGATATAATGAAATTAAGTTTCCAATTCAAGCACCTTCACCAACTATTCTATTTGGTCTAAATGGTACATATGAATGGCTAAGTGTAAATCAACCAAAGAACTTTAATTTTAAATCTATTAGACATGCCTTTGGATGTTGTGCTGTTTTACCAAAAAAACTAAGTGAGATAGTTTATGAAAAGTATGGTTTCCATGTTGGTCAGTTCTATGGCACAACAGAAATGGGTGGATGTTCTTTCGATATTAGACAAGGAGTTGAAAAATACCCATCCACTCGTATTTTTGTATTACCTCATTACAAATGGAAATTGGTACCTCATCCAATAGGTGGTAGTGAATTGTGGGTTAAATCAGATGTATCGGTTGGTCTTGGATATATGTTAAAAGATCCAAATCTTCCAATTTCAAAAATAACTGATGATGAAGGATGGTATCATACAGGTGACAGAGTAGAGTTAATAGATGATATGGACGAACCAGGTAAATTAATTTTAAGTTATGTTTCAAGATTTAAAATTGGAAAGACATCAAAAGGTGATTTTGATTTAAACAAATTGGAAGAACAAATTCTTGGATCTCTTGGTTTAGATATTTTGGAAAGAATAGTAATAGTTGAACCAGGATTCTATTTAATTGCATTAATCAAGAATACTTGCAAATTGGATAATTTAAATTTTATCTCTTTAGAGAATACAATTATTCAACATATACAAGAACATTATTCCTATTTAAATCCAATTAAAATATCAATAGTAGATAAATTACCATTACATGGTTCAGGCAAATTATTATACCGTGACGTATTAGAATTATTTGGAGATCTACAAGCAGCAATTGATAAAGATTCATCAAATATATAAATTTTTTTTAATAACCCAACACTTATTAAAAAAAACTTTTAACTTTTAATAAAAATAAATAAATTAATAGTAATTTTCAAATTTCTCCCAGATTTTTAAATTTATATAGTTTAATCTTACAATAACCTAATCTTTTAAAGTATAACTTTGCCACTAAAGAAAGACAAAAACAAATGATTTTTCTAAAAATTTTCATATTCTGCAAAATCTACTTATTCTAATTGCTGATTTTGTAGTTGTATCTTTTTTGACATTGTAGAATTATTCCATACCTCAATGGTAGCATGCATTGCATTTGTTATATTGAAAATTCTGTTGACAAATCCAATATCCATAATAATATACAACTGAAAAAATAAATTGAAATTAATATTTTTTTATTAAATTAAATTAAATTAATTTAATTTTAATACATACTCTCAAAGGTCAAAGAAAGTTGATTTTCTGTGAATGGTCTTTCTTCATTAAAATAGATAGATTCTTCAATATGAGGAATTGGATTTGGAGGGAGAAGTGGAAATCTGGATACCCAAATAAAGGTGTTTATTATCAAATTTTTGTAATTTTGGTTAAGGTTTGTTTATTGAAACTTGAACACCATCATTTTATAATATAAAATTAAATTTAAAATGTAAAGAAAGTGTTAAATTTTAGAATATATATAAATCGTGTTTGTTAGTTTTATTAGTTTTAACAATTATAAAATTTCTGTTAATATTTTTATCTTTATGAAATTATTAACTAATAATTATAAAACTAATATATATTTATTAGTTAGAATTTAAATTCTGAAATTAAACTTTTTAAATTGTCCTCCAGTAAAATATTTCTGTGATGTTGTATTGGTATTCAAATGACTAATAAAAAAATAAAAAGTGCAAAGATGGGCTTATTTTATTTATTTTATCTAATTATTTTAGTTACAAAAATCCTCTTAAAACTCCTATGTATAAAAATTTGTCAGATTTGATCTCCAATTCCTTTAAAGTTTATTTTTTACAGATATTGGATTTGACCTGTAACTTTACTGATTTTTAATTTATAACAACATCTCTATAAAATTATTTTTATATTGTTATTGATGAAGATCCACACCAACCTCTTCGTTTTTTATCATCTGTAAAGAAAGGTTCAGATTGATCGGATTCAATGCAGTATTTGAAATTGCGAAAGACTGCACCACCAAAGGAATAGATAAAACTTGATTCTGATGATTCTTGATGATACATTAAAAAAACATAACCATCTTTGGCGGGTATGCGATTGAGATTGGTGGTTTGTTTGGTAATAACGTTATATTTGATGTACTTATCATCAATGGAATGAATGTAGAAATTACCATTGTTATCATGACAAGCGGACCACGGCAAGATATCTATTTGATGATCTATAACGGTATTCTTTGCTAAGCTGTATTCAAATAGCTTCTTTTGTTTAACTGATACTGAATAGAGTGTTCCGTTGATGATCATAGATGATAGCTGTTGGCCGTATTGATCTGATAGTTGATATAGTTTCTCAAATGTATTTGTCTTTATGTTGAATCTATCAATCCTATTGGTCCTACAGCCATTAACCAAATAGATATGATCTTGACCATCATAGCAAACCGAGATATGATAGTCACCATCTACTCCTACTATTTCGCCAATATCTTCGATGGTTCTAGATTTGATTGAAAATTTAAACCATTTGAATGCACTAGAGCTACATCCGAATATATAGATATCTTTGCCAACAGTAATCATAGAGCCGTAGGTACGAGTGAAATCAAAATTGGTATCCAACTCTTCAGTTGAATTGTCTGATAGATTAATAAGTGTAACTCCACTTCCACTATGAGTTGATAATATATAAGAGTGTTTCTTATTACTATTATTGTTATTAATACTATTGATATCAATATTGGTGTTTGATAGTGTAATTGTTTGATTTATAATTGTACTGAGTTGATTAAGATCAGGTTGTTTGGTTGTGAGTTGATATTCAATCATTTGAGATGAATTATTATTACAAGTGTGGGTGAAATGGTTGTGATATTTCTGGAGAATACTCAACAATAAGGAATCGGATGAATTATTTTGTTGTTGAAGTTGAACTTTCATTTGGAATAACTCGTGGTATTGGTTGAACAATGTTTGGCTATTATCGTTAATAAACGATTGTAACGATGTGCTTGATGATACAGACTTAATAATAGCGGCGGCAGAGTATTGATCAGAGGTATCTTCTACGTCATTATTGTTATTATTATTGTTGTTATTGATGCTACTATTATCGCTATTGATATTATCATCATCAAGTTTATTATTTATTTTAATAAAGTTTACCAAATATTTCAATTGATTAATGTTTTGATCGATTTGATTGGTGATTATGTCTTTATCGCTGATGATTACTTTCTTTAACTTATGTTCTTCAATGACTAGATATTGATGAAACTTTTCAAAATGTTTTGATATTTCATCTTCTGTCTTTGTTAAATTCTGATATCGATCAGAGGCTGATTTTAGACTTTCCCAAATAGAGGCTATCGTTTGATTTACTTTCGAATACAATTTACTTTCATTATTATTGCTATTTTCATTATTTAATTTGCTACTATCATTTAGATCTATATTATTTAATGATTGTCTAATGTCATCGATGTGATCGTATTGTTTCACATGTTCTGGATAATCATTATTATGTGTGGTTATACATCTTGAACACATTAATTTATTACATTGATAACAAATAAACTCGTGTAATCTGGAATGTTCTGTACACTTAGTTGTCATCTTTCAATATAAATATTTGAATAAAAATACTGTTATTTTTGGATAGAAGTTCCCTCAAAGTTATTTTCAATATAAAAGAAAATCAAAAAAAAAAAAATCGTGAACTTAAAGTTTTAGTTAATGGGCCACTGAGATATTTTTAAAATGTTACAAATAACAATAATAAAAAACAATTGTTATTTTATTTAAATATCAAAATAGATATATAAAAATGATCAAAATAAAAAATAACCAAACCATTCACCAATGAACATCTCAATTCTATTGTTTCTCTCTTGTAACGAATCTTTACTCTATACCAACTATTTTAATATAAATTAATATATTATAACCTATTTTAATAATAGTAGATAATCTTGTTACTTACATTTGGTTCGTAGGAAAGAATCTTGGCTTTCAACAAAGAATCTTATTAAACTATGATATGAATACTCTCAGTAATAGAGTCTAAAATGTTGTGATAGAAAGAAAAAAATAAAATAAAAAAAAAATAAATCATTTTTCAAAGATCTCTTATTAATTTAAATATCCAATTTAAAATAAAAGTGTAGACAAAATAAAGATTGTTGACAAAATTAAAATAGAAATGATACAAGTGAATTTGGTGGCACCTGATGTTGTAGATTCTAAAATGATATCATCCATATGTTCAATATTTTGTAATTCAATGGTGTATCTGAGATTTCTCTTTACACTTGATGTTGTTGTTGTTGTTGTCTCTTATCCAATTTTTGAAATTCATAGAAATATGATGTTACAACCTTTGTTACTGATTAACAATAAGTTGAGTTTGTTTAAGTGTTTGTAATAACGATTGAATTAAATGTTGCTTTGGTTGTTAATGTTTCCGTTGTTGTTAAATAGTTATCAGAAGATGATCTTGTTGTTACTGTTTCTTCAATACACCACTCCCATAGTATAAAACACCACAACACACAAACACAGTTTTAAACAAAAAAGGTTTAAACTTTAAATCTAGTTTTTTGTTTATATTTTTTATAAAAATTATTGTTGTGAATGAAACCTATTAATTAATATTCAATTTTTGACCAAGGGTAAATATCTATTGATTTAATGGTGAATGTTTAATTCTTTAAGAGTGGTTGTACTGGTCCCTTTGGAGCTTCCGACTTTGGAATTTGGACTCTGATGAAATCACTTCCTGGATAATTTGGGAAGGTGACTTCAACTCCATTAAGGAATCCTCCGTTGCCTCTTAATTCGATATCAACACTGTACAGGTAATCGATGAAGTCAAACTTGACGGTGATAAAGGAACTAGCTCTTTTTTGATTATATTGGAGCAACCATTCTTCATAGTAATAGCTCATTCTATCTCCTCTGACACAACCATCATTCAAACCCGGGGTAGTATCAAGAGTCATAACTTTTCTACCATTAAGATAAAGATCCCATTCACTACCTAGACGTGAGTCATAGATTGCAAAGGTGACTGTCAAATAATAAAAGAATACACCATTTCTTTGAATTGTATATTTTGGACCATCTTTAAAATAGATAATTAATAAATGATGAGATGAGTTTGAAATTTAAATAAAATACTTACAGATGGATCCAAATTGAAGATATGTGGGGTTATATCCAGATACAGTATCAAAATGAGGGTCCTTATTAACTGTATTTTTACTTATTGATGGGTCAAACTTGAATACAGTACGAGCATAGGGTGGGGTTGGATCATAGCATTGGAAATTACCATTGGAATCGGGATCGATACAAATGACTGGATTTTTGGGATCATACACAAAGAAATCTAGATTATTGATTTGCGAGAATAATTTATATCCATCATCTGGAAGATCTATAAATAAATTAAATTGTTATAGTTTTTGATGATGATTTTAAATATATTAATTAATATTTGATAAATTAAAGAACCTCCTCTTAATTTCAGTATTAAATAATACATACTAATTGCTGGATATATACTAACTGCTGGTTTAATGAGTTCCAATTCATAGTATAAGTTGCATCTTGCAAGATAGTAATGGAAATCTTGGGTTTTATCATGAAGAGTTTCCTCCAAACCTTTTACATCACCATTTCTATTATATTTTTTTATAAATTTTTGATGTTCGAACTAATATTTAATTTCTTGTTGTTATAAACACTTACCCATAAACATAATCTGGTGGGAATCCCCATGCTGAACCTTGGAAACAAGCATCTCTCATGAGATTCGAATAAAGCAACATGGTCATTCCATAAAGACTACCAAGGATACGAGCATACAATGGTTGTGAGAAGTTAATTAGAGCACCTACAGAAATGTGATAAGAAAAAAAGAGAAGACTTAATTTAACTATAACTATATTTAAATATATAATTTTTATATTTACCTTCTAAAAAGTTACGATAATCTAAGAATTGACTTCTAATCATTTGAAGAAGAGTGTCATCATCGAGTTCAAGCAAGTGAGCAGGTGGTTCAACTCTATAATCTACATTCTTGTTTGGGATAAAACCAACTTTTGATTGATGTCTATCAACGAATAGAGTGAGAAGATCATTGAAATTGTTTCCACGGTTTTGACAATCGTTGAACATGGCAGTACATCGATTGATTTCACTGGCATCCAATTGCTCGTTGAGTAGAGTTTCAATCTTTTGATATAAAGATGCCATCGATGATTGGAATTGATCTTGGGTGATGTATTGACCATCTTTTGAGAAGATTTTTCCCCAAACAATCTAAATCGTCAAAAAGATATATATTAGCAATCTTTTCGAATTCTAATAAATAATTACAATAAAAATACATACTCCAAAACCAACTTTAAGGAAAGAACCAACGTAAGGAGTGAAACTAAGGACCAATCCAATGATTTGACCCCAATCTGTCGAATTGAGGAAATCACCATCTTTTTGTTTTGGCTTTTCGAGGGCATCAAGTCTTTGATTAATGGACTCTTTTTCGGCATCAGTTAAATCACCAATAAGAACTCTCTTACCTGTTTTTTGGTACTTCTTGATTGCTTTTTCCATTTGTTCTTTAGTTGCCCTTTTGATTTGAGGAATTGGGTGATGTTTATCATGATGATGATCATGATGATGATGGTGGTGAGGTTGGATTTCAGTTGACATTTTTTAATTATTTTATACAAACTATATTATTTGTTTAGTTTAGAATATTTAAATTAATGAATTCTGTTTGTTCCTGTCAACTTTAAATACTTATCGAGAATACAAAACATTGACTGGAATCCAGTTAAGAACAAACCTGTGATGTTTCGTTTATTTGTGGGGTCTGTGATGGTCAAGCCCAATCAGATTGCACCTCACAAGCCCAATCACAAAAAATCAAAAAAAAAAAAAGTTTATGAAAATTTTTTTCAAACAAATATTAAGTCACAGGTTTTGGTGATCATTAAAAAGTTAAACTTAATTGTTGTTTTAATTAAGTTTTTTTCAAAAAAAAATCTAATCTAAACTATACACAAAATTAATAAACAACAGTTTGTACAATATTTGAAAGTGATACACACACTTGATTAGAAATCTCAACCCAAGCCCAAGAATGAGTACTTGGGTTGAGATTTCTAATCAAAAATCTTGTATGTGCAAATATAAATAAATAAATGATTTTGATAGGTGATTGTATAGGTCATAGTTTTGTTGTATTTTAAATGTGTATGAGGTGTGTTGTGATCACTACTTTTGATATTAATGTTTCCATTTTTGGAATGATTTAGATAGTTGTAAATTCGCAAATCAGGAGGGTGATTTATATCAAAACTGATTTTTGGGCTTGGGAATCCAACCAGACAAGAAGAAATTGTCGAAGTTGGTTGGATTCCCAAGCCCAAAAATGAGTTTTGATATTACAATTGTTTTTGTACAAATATAAATAATTATATGAATTTGATAGGATAGAGATAATGTATAGGTCATAGTTTTGTTGTATTTTAAATGTGTATGAAGGGTGTGTGTTGGGATCACTGCTTCTTAGATTAGAAGTAAGCCCAAAAGTCATTTCCAAAGCCTCTTGATATTAATGTATTCCATTTTTGGACCGTTTTAGATAGTCTTAAATTCGAAAATCAGGGGGTCATATATCATTTTCACTTAAAGTCAAAAAAGATATTTAAAAAATTAATGTTGTTTTAATTGTAGTTTATTGGTTTAATATTGTCTGGTGTAACCTCACAAATTCTATCAAATACATCTTCCCAATCTAATGAATTGATGTATTTGAACAAGTGAAAAGAACCTATGTTTTGTGATGTTTAGATAATTGAATTTCAATGTATCATATAAAACCAAATCAATACAACTATTGCTTTTAGTGACTGGAGTGTACTTCTACACCATAGTGTAAATACAATGTGTCATTTTAAATTCTATAAACTATTATTTAAACAAAGAGAGATCTAAATATAATATCTTTGATTATTATTATTTATTTTTTTTAAACAAATCTAAATTGAATGAGTGAAGCATATGTTTATCTTCTTCTAATTAAATACTAATAACATTTAACGTTTTTGTTTCTAAAACATTTATCACAAAGATTTTTAGACAAATCTAAGGCAAGATTATATCCAGTATCAGATCTAACCAACAATTTACCTAATGAGTTTGATATTTGTTTGTTTCCATGTCTCCTCCAATCTTTTTATTATTTTTATCCACACCTTCATTTTTAGTTACACCAAATAAAAATTGTTTTAGTTCGTACGATTACACAGTTAGACTTCTATAATAAATGAATTAATAAAATATAATACGAAACTTATTGGTTTTAAAACCAACTTTCGAATATGAAATATGTTCAAAATTAAACCAAAAGTTATTTCAATCGGTAGATCAATGGACCAAACTAGAAACACTGAAATTCTACTTGGTGCACTGTTCGAAAACCATAGGTAATACCTACTATCGATTCTTGATTCGTGCGAGGTTAGACGCTGTTGCGTGTGGTCGTCTGGATTTGGTGAGATGTCTCGATCATGTTCAACCGGTTGTTATCGCTAAACACTCAGCCTCTGGAGATAGCGATTCAATATAACCGCTACAATGTAGCAGAGTTTATCATCACTCGAAAGATTGACAGTCAAACACATCTAAGTATGATCTGGTCAACTGTCATCACTATGATCGTGGCGAGATGCTTGAATACATCATCAAACACCAACAACACCCAAGAATCATGCAAGGTAATCACTCGATAGGAATGTTAGACAGAGATGCCGTCGCCAAATTCAAATTCTCGTGTCTAACCGTGATACTACAATACAAACTTGAAACACCGTTAATCATAGAGGTCAATTCAAAAAAGTTAATAAAAAAAATAATTGTCTTTTAACAAAATATTTTTTTAAACATAAAATAAAAAATTAAGAAAAATTAAAAGATAACAAAAATTTATTTCCAATCCAAAAAACAATTTCAAAATCAACCGGTTAATTATGTTTATATTATTGATAAGAATTTAACTTTCTTTAAATATTATTTCTATAAAATTTTTTCTGATGTCGTTTGAAGATTTTTTTGTATTTTTTCGAAAAATTTTAGAAAAATATTAAATTAATTTGGATGGGGGTTAGCTGACGACACACTTACCAAACAAGACTCTTTCTTTAATCATTCTTGAAACATTTTTAAGATGACAACAAACAACAGTAGCACCACTGCCAATGAGTTAGGAGATCAAGAAAAGACATTGGCAATTTCAAAGGATGAGGCTGCAAAAGTAAGTATAACTTTAGAATCAATCAATCAACTTTGGTATAGAGAACAAGTTCTTTGCTGTCGTCACCACCCATTTCCGAGCTTGAACTCTTAAAGATGTTGTGAATCGCTATTCATTCATGGTATTAAAATAATAATAAACAAATGTTTCCGTATATTCCACTACCGCAACAACAACATCAGCAAAAATCAAGAAACATAGAAAACTAAGAACAACTTTTAATTTAATTAACGACTCTTCAATAACAATCATGATACTTATTATCATTATTATATTAAACTTAAATAATAACAAAATCATTTTTTGTAAATACATCATCTTCTATCTCTACTTTCTATCTGTACATTTATTTATTTATCTATGTTATCAAGTATTAAAATGTGGTCAAATAATATACCAGCACCATCATCATCAAAGTCTAGGTCTAACTTTAATGAGTTAGAACCTTTACCTCACTCTATATTTCGTAATAATAATAATGTACAAACAACAAATCGACAACATCATAACCAACTTCCAAACCTTAACAATGAAATGATATCGAGTGCATCAGAAGCATCGAAACTATTACCATCGATCGCTAACCTTCTTTTCTCAATAAAGATACAACAATGCATAGAAAAGTGTTTCACTCTCTACCTGACAAGAACAGAGATTATCATTACCCTACAGAATCAATTCGGTGTTAATCCCTCTTTTTCAGAAGCAAGTAAGTAAGAAGAAGATTTTTACTTTTTTTTTTTTTTTTTTTTTTTGAAGTTTTGTTTACAAAGAGTTCTAACTTTTTATACTTCTCTTTTCTTTTCATTTATAATAAAAGTGTTATTGAATTTAGAAGCAAAGAATCCAGATTTCTTTGATATCTACTATAAGAGATTGAAGATCAAAGAGCAAATCATTGAATTCAATCATTTGGCTAGTTTACAATTAAAGTCATTGGTCAATAGAAACAATAACCCTCTGACAAATAATAATAATAATAATAATAACAATGGTAATAATGTAAATGGAAATGGTAATTCACTGCAACAACCATTGAATACCCAAATACCACTGACGTCCAACGATAACTTTACATTCCAACACCACCACCACCACGATCCACTTTTAATCAACACAAACTTTGAGAGCAACGATGCCACCTCAACGACAACAACCACTGCAACATCACTTGCAAACCTTCAAGATCCAAACAACAATAACTCAACCAACTTGGATACATCAAATAACAACAATACTAATAATAATAATAACAATGTAAATAGACAAATCTTCCAACAATCAACTACTGATGTTTTATCTTTATTCTCAAGTACTTCTGCAACTAATAATAATAGTACGTATAGAATGAAAAAAAAAAAAAAGTGTAAAAAAACAAAGAAAACAATATCTTATTTACTTAATGTTTATTATAGATTTTGGACTTACAGACACATCAAATGTATTTGATCAATCAGGCTTTGGTATGGGTCCAATCGATTTCTCATCGATACCACTGAATTCATCATTTTCATTTGCACTAGGTGGCAATGACATGAAAAACAGTCATATGAACAATGGTTCCGACACTGACAAATCAAACACCAATGGCATGACTGCTGGTCAAAACGATCTTAGAAAATCAAACCTCTCCTTAAATATATCGATAGGTGGTGAATTAGACTTTTTTGATTCTAATAAACTATAAAAAAGCAAGCAATTTGTAAATTAAATAAATAATGTAATTAAAAAAACATCTTACAAAACAAAACAAACTTAATCTACTATTATTAATGAATATAATATATACAACTCCTACTATTTTATTTCTTTTTTGTTTCTTTAACTTGTTGTTTTGGTTTCTGTTGTTTTTGTTGGGATGATGGTTGTTGTTTAGATTGCTGTTGTTTAGGTGGTTGCTTAGATTGTTGTTGTTTAGGTTTTTGTTTATCATTGTTTGTATCCATGCTATCAATAGATTCATCATGATTATTTATATTATTATTATTATCGTTGTTGCTATTGATAAGGTCATCGTCATCGTTATTATCACGATCATCGAAACCATCGTCTTCATTATCAGACTCTGTAAGATTAAGTTCTATTCCCTGTTGTTGAGATTGTTGATTATCTATATTGCCACTACTAATGCTACTGCTGCTGTTTATATTATATAGTTCATTCATTGCAACTAGAGGATCGAATGATTTAACGAGTAGTGGCTTTCCATATTCTTTCAAAACAGACTTTTGACATGACTTTAGTGAACCACCGACATGCAACACTCTAAAATAAGTGAGAAAACCGCAACACTCTGTTATCATTGATAGTACAGTCCAAAGATTCCGATATTGTTCGAAATTACATCTTAATATCATTGTATTAGTTATTGAATTACAATAAATGACTATAGAAGTAGTAGTAGTAGTAGTTCAGTTATTAATATCATATATTTCTATACAATTCAATTGATTGATTCATTTTATAATTACTCTTTAATGACTTTATATAGGCTTGAGTTGTTAGAGCACCTATCAGTTCTCTTGATTTCTGCTCTATCCAATTGTGAATCCACGATAACGATAGTGTTGGTCTAACAGTACCATCTTCGAGTACCTCTTGATGCCAAATCACTTCAACCATCAAATATCTAGTCTTTAATCTCACCATTTCACTCTATTCTACACTCTACCTACTTTTTAAAAATAATATGATATCTTTTAGTTTTTGTTCATTTTTTTTCAAATAATCTCATTGCAATGATAAACAATTTTTATTTTTATTTTAATTTGTAACATTTTCAAAATGTTAAGATCGATCTTTATAAATAAATCAAATCATCAAATTAATTAATAAATTTATTTTACTTTTATAAAAATTAACAAGATTTAAATAGGTATCTTTAAATATCTATATCTATATCTATATCTCAATAATATTTGAAGTTAATGTGTGTGATTGAGGGAGTCAGTTTCTTGAAATCAAAAATACATTATAATGTCGGTTGTTTTAAAATAAATAAACTTCTGCTATTGATTATGACTATTGCGAAAAATTCTATTAACCATATTAAATTTGGTTTGAAAGGATACATCGTTTCAAGAAATTTTTTTTTATTATCATAAAAAAAAAAATTGACCAACCCAATTTAAGATTAATCAATGGGTTTTGCCTCTGCTTGTGTGATTATTTTTTTTTAAATTTCTGTCAATTTAGATATTTTGTTAAAATTAAAAATGGAATACTTGTTTATTCCCTCTATTGTCACCATCTAATCAGTCAAATAATCAATCAATCATTCAATCAACCAAAAAACCAATCATATACTTGTAATATTTATTTATTTATTTATTTATTTGTAAATTATATATTTTTAATCCAAGTATGTACTATATTAATATTTATTTTTATATTGTTGATTTCTTTTTTTATTCTTATTAACTTTGAAAATAATTAACTAAATTAATTTTTAGTAAAATGTCAGCACCAGTCAATTGTGAAGAATGCCAAAAGAAAGTCTACCCATTGGAGGCTCATACTGCAGTTGGTAAATCATGGCACAAGCACTGTTACAAGTGTTTCGAGTGCAAGCAAGTATTGAACTTGAAGACCGCTCAACCACACCAAGCCTCCCAACGTATCTATTGTAACACTCATTATCCAAAGGAAAAAGCTACCCAAGTCGCTGACTCTTTGGCAGTCAAGAATGCCACAAACGCACCAAAGGTTAATTTGGTAAACAACCAAAAGCGTGGAGACGACATGGAGAATCCAATTCAAACCTCTGACACAATGCAACTTAACAATGCTAGAAGTAATTATTATAAATATAATTGGAAAAGAGTGAGATGAGAGAGAGGTTCGTGTGTGGTTAGGTTAGATTGAGAGTGAGAGTGAAAGTGAAAGTGAGTGGAAAATTGAGTCAAATTAGAAAAAAAACAAACATTAATAATAATTAAAATATTTATTAATTATCAATTAATAATTCTATAGATGCACCAAAGGTTGAACGTCTTCCACCACATCAAAGAGATGATCAACATGTTAAACCAATTGGAACTTTGGATATGGCACATTTGAATGCCATCAATGCTCCAAAGGTCGGTACTGTCAACGATCAAGTTAGAAATGTAGATGCACCAATCGGTGGTATCGATGTCACTCTCAAGAATGCCATCAACGCACCAAAGGTCGGTACTGTCAACGATCAAGTTAGAAATGTAGATGCACCAATTGGTGGTATCGATATGGCTACCCAGACCGCTATCAACGCACCTAAGGTCTCTGCTTACAACGAGCAAATCAGAGGTACTGGTGATGCTCCATCCCAAGCCATCGATCTCAAGCTTCAAAATGCCATCAACGCTCCAAAACTGGACACATACAACAACGAGATTAAATCAATCGAACGTGATGTTTAAAATAAATAATAAACATTTCAATAATCGATATCCGACTATTATTCGAAAAACAAATACATTATTATTTAAAATGATTTAATACTATTTAAATCAAAACCAAATATATTTAAAGACAATAAATTAATCAAGAGAGTTCATGTCCATTCTAAAAATATTGGAGATATTCTTTTATTCTATTCCATTTATATACAAAAATAATATTATTTATATGAAAGAAAAATGGTTAACATTTATTTAAATGATTTATTTTTTGAACTTCTATTTTTTGACCCCCCTTGTTTAATTTTTTTTAAAGTGATTATAAAGGTACCAAATTTGGATCATGATTTAAACTAAATTTAGTTTTATTTTATTTTATTTTTTAAAACTAAACTTATATTGTTACTTACAGATAATGTCAAAACATCGAAATGATCATTTTAAAGATAATTCAGATCCTGTCGATGATGGTGATGATGAACTTACCAATGAAGATGACGATGATGATCATATCTCTGTAGATTCAATCGTACAAAAAAGAAAATCAAGACATCTCAACAATAGAAATAGTAGTAGTAATAACAAGAATAAACATGATAAAAATAATAACAAAATTAATATCGATAATAAATTTAATAGTAGAAATCTTGGTATATTTGAATATCTAAAAACAGAGGTTGAATCTTTAGGTTCTATTGTAGCTGATATAGTATTAGATTTCTTTAAAAATACAAAGTTTGTTATTTTACTATCGATACTAGTTCATTTTGCAGCCATCTATCTTTTATTTACATTGCCAACAATGGGTAACTATCACCCTATTCAAAATTATCAATAATCGTTACCAAAAGAATTACAACTAATCTAAATAAATCAATTATAAGGCTCAAATACTTATGTTTCAGAAAAGAATCTTCAATGTACAGTTAAACCATTTATTACTTCTGATTTCTCAGAAAATGCAATCGAATATGCCAATCAATTTAATACTATAGTAAGTTTGAATGATTTGATAAATAAGTCTGGTTGGTTGTATTAATGTTGTTGTTGTTGTTAGTTTCCATCTAGTAGATCAGTTGGTAGTATAAATAATATAAATAGTGCAATGTGGATAAGAGACGAGATTGAAAAGATGGGTGTAGAAACACAGCTACATTATTTCAATAGTTCATTTGGCAATGTTGGAGTGAATGTTATCGGTGTGAATAGGGCACCAAGATCACTTGGAACAGAGTGTTTTGTTCTGACAACATCGTTTGACCAGTGGCACAGTGGTGGTTCAGTTGGATTCTTACTGGCATTCCTCAGCTATCTACAAACCACATCGTGGCAAGCGAGAGATGTTTTGTTTGTATTTACAAGTGAAGGTGGTGAGAGTAATGGTGGCTCGATGATGGACATAAGTGGTATCTCTGTTTGGTTGAATGACTACAATCAGCCGCCCATAGGTTGGACAGGTTCTGGTGCACCGCTGCTGCGTGCCGGTCAAATCTACGGAGCAATTTCACTCGATCGCATTGGAAATAAGATTATGGAGAAATTAGTAATATACCCCGAGGGACTGAGCGGAGCACTCTCGAATCTCGATATCATCAATGTTGTCACTACCACTTCGTATCTCAATGAGATACCCGCTGGAATAATCACTCAGTTTGGCGAGGAGGATGACGACGGTTCTGTCAATGGACTTCTAGTATTCATGTGGAATTCAGCACTTTCAATGCCACGTTCCAATCACGCTATCTTTACTCGCTATGGTATCAACGCTGTTGGTGTCAGTACCTATTCTAATCACACTGTTTGGGATATGGATTTCTTAAATAATCCACTTCATAAAGAATATAATAGAATTGGAAATGAGTAAGTAACTATTACATATATTTTTACAATATTCTTTATGTCGAAAGATTGACTAATAAAGTGAACACTTTTGTTGTAAATAGTGATTTTATAAATCTTAGTAATGAAACTATGTATAATATGGGAAAGATTATTGAAACATCATTGAGACATCTACATAATGCTGATGAACAGTTACATCAGAGTTTCACATGGTATATGATGGCAGGTGCCGTTTTCTTTATTGATTTGGGACAGGCCTTGTTACCTCTTATAGTTTTTTCAGCATCGTTGGGATTGATATTGATTTCTATGATGGCTTCGTTTGATGGTCTCAACTACAGTGTAATCTATTCATTACCATGGACATTTTCACTTATTACATTCTGTTTGATGGAACTTCAACTACCTAAAATATTTTCGAAACTTCATTTGATACCATCAAACAAAAATTTAATTGTAAATATCATCATTAAAAATCAACCTATTAAACAAACTTTATATTAATCTATTTATTTAGCCAGCAAATTTACAAACAACAGGAATACTCAGTGGATATACTATTGAAGATCAAATTATTATAGTTGCAGCTCTATATATTTTAGCATGTATTTTATTTTACTTTACAATTCTATTGCCACTATCGAATTACCTGACATCAATCGTTTCAAAGTTTAATGGTAAACCAAAGAATCAATGGGCTGGATTACATTCCATTCTTATTGCTTGTAAGTAGTGTTGTTAACAACCGATAAGTTTTAAAATGTAACATCATATTAATTAAAATCATGATTTAGACTACTCTTTATTAAGTTTAATGGGAATGATGTTAAATAATCAGTTCTCATGTCTATTTATTGTCATTTCGATACCAACATTACACTTTACAACCTATATACTGATAAAGAGATCATCTGTATTCATTAGATCACTCTGGATGGTATTGTGTCTGCTGTCACATCCATTATTTTTGGTATTTGAATGGTGGGGAACTAGTTCTGTTGGCTGGAAGCGAACATTCATTGGAATAATCATTGGTAATGAATGGGGATTCCTCTTTTGGCCATACTTTATATTATTACTACAACCAATGTGGTTGGGAATGTTTAAATTACTATTCCTAACGCCACCAAATGATGAACAACAACAACAGGAGAAACACAATGCTTATAAGCATCATAAATCAAATAAACTAAAACATAAATAAAATAATCTAACGTAGATTATTAAAACAAAACAAATTTTTTTTTATTTTTTAAATTAATTGTTTATTTGGTTTGTTCTTTTGCACCTTCGACGGTCATCTTTCTAAGTTTGATTGCTTTTTCATCTTTAGAATCTTCATCTTCCTTAACTTCTTCTTGAACCTCTGGTTCATCTTCTTGTTCTTCATCATCCTCACCATCATCTTTGCTGTCTGCTTTCTCTCTCTTGTTGAGTGTCAAATACTTTTTGTATTGAATCTTCATCAAGAATTTGAATGATTGCAAATTGTTAACGGGTGCAAAGCTGTGTGTATTGATTTTCTCTACGAATGCTTGGTCGAGAGAGTTGGTAGCTGTGTCGAATGCCAACAACAATGGTGTTGACTCTTCACTGGTGATGGTTGGCACCAACAATCTGCTACCTACAACAACGCAGTAGGACAATGGTTGTGCTGGAAGGTCAACAGTTGGTAGTTGCTCCAAGTTGTTGGTCTCTCCATTGAATTTATAACAATATAACGATGATTTACCTTCGATCGATAGGTATAGAGTGTTGTTTACGATTGCCAACGGTAAGGTAATAACTTCATCGACGGCTTGACCGGCTTGCTTCAAATCTAACGATTGCAAAACCTCACCGCTCTTCCAATTCCAAACTTTGACAGTACCATCACCAGAACCTGAAACAATAATCTCTGGCTTGCTTGGATTGAATATGAATTTTGATACGAATCTAAATTGAACAAGATTATTGTTAGTTTCAATGAACTTCATAGGCAGATATTAAAGTTTAGTTTATCAACTTACAAAGTATGTCCAAGACAGAAGTTATTGATATCAAAAGTATTTGGATAGTTACTAACTCTGATCTTCTCATCACGATCCGATGTAAGTAAATAATTGTAACATGGTGAGAATTGCTAAATATTTAAAAGTAAGTATATCAATATAATGCTATATATATATATTTATGCTTTTCAGTTTAACTTTATAAAACTTACTGTATCGGTAATAGCAGAGAAATGACCAAGTAACTCTGTTCCATCTTGATTATCTGGACCATCTAGTTTATAGGAGAGAACATCACCAGTCTTATCTGTCAAAATAATTGTTTTGTTATCTTTTGGTAAAACAGATGACAATATCTTTAATTTAGTTGAGCTGAATTCAAAAAAAAAAAAAAAAAAAAAAGTTAAATATTCTTAGGTGTCTATCTGAACGATCTAAAATATGTGACCTACACTTGAAGAGATTGAATCCATTTGTCATTGATGTTTTGTGGTTTCTTCCAGATTGTAAATGTCTTTACTTTCGATGCTGTGGTGATGATAGCTGATGAATCATGAGTGAATGAAACTGAATTTAAACTCTCGTTTTGAGCGATTTCATTTAATGAACTATCACTATCATAGGCGGGAAAAGTAAAAAGTTAGTATTTAAAATGCTTTACTCAAATTAACATGTTAAACAACAACTAAATACCTAAGATTGAAGGAATATAAGATATCACCGACAGAGAATACTACAATGTTCAAAACACTTGAGTATTGGATAGTTGAAATCGGTGCTTTAGCAAAATTATATGGGATCAAGGTTTGATCATTATAATGATTGTTTTTTTCTTTTTTAACGTTATTTTCTTTATTATCGTTGTTTTCTTTGTTGTTATTTTTAGGTTTCATTGCTGGAGCAAGCTTTCTTACTGTTTGTTTTGTTCTTGCCATTCTTTAAAATTATAATAAGTTCTATCTATTAATAATCAAAAGTAATTTAAATCTAATAAAAAAAAGTAATAAAGTAGTTTCAAAAAAAAAACGATCAAAAATTTAAAATTTTAAAAATAAAAAAAAACGAAAATCAAGTTCAAATATATATTAGTTTTATTGAAAAATTATCTGATAATTATATAATTAAAAACAACAACAACAACGATGGTGTCTAAAAAAGAAATTATTACAATCTATAGATCTATTTTAAGAAAAGCAAATAGAGATTTACAATTTTCAAATTATGAATATTTCAGATTCAGATTATCAAAGTCTTTTAAAGAGCCTGTTCCAAACAAATATATCTTAACTAGAAAATATCAAGTATGTATACATGATACTATTGTTTTTTATTGAATTTAAAACTAATCATAAAATATTTTAAAAAAGGATGCATTATACCTTCAATCAAATTTGGGTAATTTGATGTAAGAAATAAACATATATATAATAAATACTATAGATTGTAAATAAAAATTAAAGAATGAAAAGAAATTATTATAGTCATTTATTTAATTATTATTAGTTTGGTGTTGTTAATTTCTTAATTTGATTCTTAATGAGTACTGTATTTTCGTTGGTTTCACCATAACATATAACTGCGCATTCGTATGCTTTCTGTAGGTATCTGTTCGATTGCATGAGATTGTCTTTCATTGCTTTGTTGGATGCGATTGTTGCTTGTGCTTCGCTTTCATTCATCATTGACTGTACCTCCTCCATCTTTGAACCGATCTGGCTAATGAATAGTTTCTCGTAGAGATCGGCAACCAGCTCGTAACACTCGACTAGCTCACCGGTCTGTGCGCGCAATATCTTCTTGACGATCTTCTTTACCTGTTTGCAATGATGAATGGCATCACGGAATCTCTCCAGCTTATCGAGACAATTGGTCATGTTCAAATGATGTTGCAGTCTGAGTACGTGGTTAGTGTGTAGTTGCTCGAGTGTCGCAGTGTACTGTGGCTGCTCTACCTGCTCCAAATAGGCATTGGGATCGACTCTCCATTTCTTCTCATTGATTGTCTGTTTGAGTTGATCGATACCTTTGAGTTGTTGAATGATACGGTCGTTCTGTTCTTGACGACAACCCAGACAACGCCAGAGACGTGCCAACACATTGTCTTTCTCATTGTAGCTGATAATTGGTGAAACCCAACCCTCTTGACAACTCGGACATTTGAACGACGACAAATAACGACCACACTCTGTCGGATCTTGACAACGTTCACATCTACAATAGAAATGCTTGGATTGCAACAACACCTGTTGTCTTTCAAAGGTCGGTTCCAACAAATCTACATAACTATCAAATATATCTCCACCTTGCTCAATATCCTGAATACATCTCATCTGTAATTGATTATCTGTAAACAAACATTGTTGTTGTTAGCATTTTCAACAATCGTTAAATATAAAGTTGTTGTATTCTTAATTTATCAAAACTTACTTTGAATGGAATAGAATGTATTTGGTTGACAACTATGATTGAGTAGTGCAGCTTCATAGAAGAATCCGTTCGATACGATAATAGAGTTCTTGGTGGATGCGAATGAGTTGACCATTGTGGCGCAGGCAGTGTTGATGATCTCCTGTTTGGTGAAGAATGAGAGGAGTGTTGGATCAATATGTTTGTCCTCTTGGAGTAACTCGATGAATCTATCGGCAAAACGACTGGTCTGTTCGAGCCATTGTGGTGCACGCTTCTCGAATTCCTGTTGCTGCACCGATAGTGTACCGACACCGCCATTGTAGAGCTCAGACAGTATGTTCTTCTTTAGCAAGATTCTCAATACCAACAGTGAATGTGAGAGGTCATTCTGCACATCGACCGTTGCTTGTGCAACCTTTACAACGAATGAGCACTCCAATTGATGAACCATATCATTACAACAGCTATCGCTACAGAACCACAATCCACATCCATAAGAACATTGTACTCTTGCAATAGTAACTTTATTTTCATTACCCTCATTATTATTATTATTATTATTATTATTATTTGATGTATTATTATTATCTACAGATGAATTACCAGTTGTTGTTGCTGCTGCAGTTGTTGTGTTTGGTACTTGTTTCATCTCCTTACAACAAAGTGAGCACATAGATGCATTTGCAATGTATTTTGTGACTGGTATCGAAGCGAATGAAGTCTCTTTGAATAGGAGATCTCCCTTCTTCAATGATTGACAAGCAACTACATGTCTACCAATGAATCTATCACTATTATCTATTATCCTGTATTTATTTATTGACATATTATATTGTAAATAGTTAACAAAAAAAAAAAAAAAAAAGAAAGAAAATGATCTTGCTTGACCGACAGCAAGAAAACGAAAAACGATCGATTTTTTGATTAAAAAAAAAAAAAAAATTAAAGTCTCTGTCTCTTTTTATTATTACAATCATTGTTGTCAGATTTCCTTTTAGTATCGATATTCTTTAATCTACTTAGTATATTACTATCTTGTATTTGTGATGTGAATTTAGTTATAGTACCATGTTCTGTTATGATTGTGTAGAATCGACTTGCAATGATGAGATCAACAACGACTAGATGTCCTGAGTTTAGATAGCTAGTGATTGTATTTACTAGATTATCATTAACATCGCTTCCAACAGATTCCAAAATTTCTAACAATAATTCAATTATACCTATTTCTACCATGTAATCTATATATTCATTCTTTTCCATTGTAATAGAGAACATAGAGAATATATCCTATGAATAGCAATAAACAAAAATATAATTAGTACATATAATTATTTCATTCATTTATATGTTCTTGTTCTTCTTCTTCTTCATACATCATTATCTTGAATAATTAGATGTCTACAATGATTTAGTACCAATCTTAGAATATTAGATTTGACAGCCAAGTGGAACGGTGCATTGGCTATCACTAAGATAGCAATCCTTCTAATATTTTCATTACTGTGAGTTATCAACGGTTTTGTACACTCTAACAATGACTCATCAACTATTGAATGACTTTTATATTTCGATGCAATCTGTTTATTAATATAATATAAAGAATATAAAACTTTTTCAATTATTCTAAAAATTTAACATATAAAAGTTATTGTTCTGTAATTAGTATTAATTTCTAATATAAAACATTTACTTATGTCATACCCTGTTGATAGATTAGGTGTTAAGAACTTGATGAATCGATTCGATATATCTAAAGTTGATAAAAATTTGCATAGTTTATTGTTAGCCGTGAGTACAACCCTTTCAAGTATGAAAAGTATATCGACGGCTATGTTGAAATCTGATATTGTATCCATACATCCTATTAAAACAGGTAGAATCGTTTCAAACTAAATAGGTAATGTGTTTATAATTATAATTAATAGATTGTAATATTTAATTAGTATTAATTTAACGACAACTTACGTGAGGAGGTATATCTGGGTCATTAAATATATGCGATGATGATAATATCTTGATACAAAGTCCAACATAATCGGTATGATTGATGCCCTTTTTAATTAGACCAATTATCTTTTTGTCGAATTCACTATTTGAAAAGCTTAATGTATTATAAGATTCGAATGTAGTATCTCTTAGAAACTTAAATGAAATATTCATGCATTCCAGTGATTTCGTTGCCAACTCCAAGTTTGGTAATGTTGAAAGTTCAAGTAACCTTTATTTAGATAATATTTATATTAATATCTACAACAAACTAGCCTTTTAAATCATCATCATTAACATTCTAAAACCTACACATCAGCAATATTATATGCTAGGAAAATATCTCTTGATATGTTTGCATGTTCTTTAATTGCTAACTAATAATATTAACATTATTTTCATTATTTAGATCAAGATAAATAAATATAATCAAAAATAGGATAATTACATTTGTGATGATCGATAGTATTTCATATTTAGATTGAAAAGAGTATTGTCCAAATTGTAGTATATCAAAGAGTCGTGAGAAAACTTGAAAACTATTCATTTCATCAATCATTCTAACTTTGATTCTCCAATCCTAATTAGATTACAATAATATTAGTCACAATGACTTTATTTGGTGTTAAATTAAATTACATACTGCATCTTGAAAAAGTAATCTGACATCTTTTAGTGATTTCTCAAGTGTATGTATATCCTCTGAAAATAAATCATTAATATAAAAAGACAGTGATGTCATATTATTATTATTATTATTATTTTACTGTTGTATTATATATAAATAAATCATCTCAAAAAAAACAAATAAATTTGATTATACATTCATTCTTTCTTTCCAAAAATAAATCCGAGGAAAATGCAAACAATCTTTGTTTTGATAAAAAAAAACTTCCAACAAAAAGTTTATTTTTTAATTTAGGATTAACAGATCTATTATTATTATTATTATTATTGTTAATAAATATTATTAAGTGTTGACTTTGTAAATATAATATATATTATATTTACTTAAGTATCTGAATATGTTTAGGTTAAAAAAAAATAGGTGGTCAATAAAATAATCTTTAAAATCAAAGATAATAGAATAAATTCCACAAATATCTTTATTTTTCTTTTTTTTTAATTTTTATAAAAAAATTTGAAGACAACCAACAACAATTTTTTTTTTCAATTTTTAATTAATTGTGTTCACTCCAACAGATTATCAATATTTAATAAAAATATCGAATAATATTATATATATATAAATAACAATGAACTCAGGAAAATACGTCGGTCTTGGTCCAAGAGATACCTCGGAATCACCATTCCCAGATACTTATTTAAATTGGAGAGAATTGATTTACTTTAGGTATGTTTCTGAATTCAATTGACAATTATTGTCATTAAGATTATTATCATTATAATAATTCACTGTGTACTAATAATAATAATACAATTGTTAAATATTTATTTGTACACCTATAAACATATTATATATAGATCATGGCAAGCAGCAGGTTTAATTCCATTTTTCTATTATTTCTGTTTGATTTTGGCAGTATTCTTCTTTTTGAGTGAGATTATTATATTTACTATTGCATCTGGTGCTGGTGGATTCTTCTTGGGTCTTCTTTATGGAACATTACAGTTGTTGGCCACCATTTTCGCAGCAAGAATCGGTTGTGAAGTGTTGCTCTCAATCTTTGACATCAGAGACAACATCTACAAGAGCTCTGTCAACTCTTCCGCACCAATCTCACACCACCAACCAACCTCCTCATTCCCATCATCATCTTCCTCCTCTGACTACAACGCCCAACAAAACAAATACCAAGAGCCATACAACTCTGGTGCACCATACCAAAACAACCTCTAAACTAAAACAAAACAACAATCAATATTAAAATGATAATAAAATTGCATAAATAATATTATTAATATATTATATTATCTATTTACCTATACAATACTTCTATGATCATAACTTAACATAACATAACAAATAAAACAATCTATGAACTTATATCTTAAGAATATTAATATAAAATATCAATATTAATCTTTTAAACTATTTTTTTATTTTATTGATTATTATTATTATTATTATTATTATTATTATTCTAATGTTGATGGTATCCAGAATGAAAGAGTTGAACAAGCAGATGCAGCCATCATCATCTTTGGGTTCCATTGTACACAACCTACCTTCGAGGTATGACCACCCCACACAGCGACTTCCTCGCCGGTCAGTGTTCGCCAGACGTGAATGGTACCGTCTTCACTACCTGCAATGACGTACTGTGTGTCGGGTGTGAAAGATGCTTCCATTACCGATGCATTGTCATTGGTGAACGATGTGAATGTCTGTACAGTCTGTCCGTAGAACGAATCGATGAGGAATATAGTGTTCTCGGTGGTGGTCAACAGTATGTATTTACCGTCGTTCGAGAACTTCATCGAGGTCCACTCCACCGGGTTATTATACTGAATGACAAACGACATGAAGGGTCCACGATCATAGTTACGTGCATCAAACAGCTTTATAGTGTTGGCAGAGACTGCCGTAGCCAGAATCAGACCCTCTGGGTCATACGAGACTGCCGGTCTATTGTTTCTTCTCATGATACCTTGACATGTACTAGTTCTCAAATCCCACAATCTAATAGTATCATCCAATGATCCAGACATAAACGTATCTTCTTTCGGTGACATTGATAAAGATACAACTCTTTAAATAAAAACATTATATAAGATCGATTATTAGTCTATCATCTATAAATATCTATCAACCTAATCTAATCTATCTAATCTATCTTTACCTATTTCTATGACCTTTAAAGTATCTAATATATTTATTATCATGTAATGAAAGATATCTAAGTGATTCTAAATTGAGAGAGTGTGATATTTAGTATGAAATGATTATATATATTTGATAAAAGAGATTAGATGAATCATTTACCATCCCAAGCATTCTTTGATGCACATAAAATAGCATTATTATGATGTGTAAATCTTATTAAATCTACACCATACTTTTTACTAAATATACTTTTTTGAGTGCTGTTGTCGAAGATGATGATGATGATGATGATGTTAGTGATCGTTATACTATTTTGTAGGTTTTTCATATTGAACAATGTTTGATTGGTACTCACTCTCCAGAGTTTATATTATACAAGTGAATTGATTCATCATCTGATGCTGTTACTAATAGTGTACCATCTTTATAGAAATCCATTGAGTTTATAGGTGCTGTCTATAAATATATATATATATATATATATATATATATAATGTACATTTTATATATATATTATAATCAAATGATGTGATCGTTTATTTTATTAAAATGAACAGTCAAATTATAACTTGATGAGTGAAAGATATGATATACATACGTTATCTTCTTTAAATAGTTTACCTATACCCATAGAGGATATAGATACATCTGTAATTTTCATCTTTTATTATTTTAAATATATAGATAGGTTTTTTTAAAAAATACAATTAGTTTGATTGATATTCATTTATTTAAAACTGAAAAGTAACAATCAAATCAATTCAATCATATGATAATCAATCAAACTTCAACAAATTTGGATATTATCGACAGATTTTCAATGAAATTTCTGAAAATAACAATACAATTATTATGGTATTACACATTTATTAATAATACATTATTAGATACAACATATAAGTATACAAATAATAAATATTTACAAATACGATGATATTTCTTTCAATTCAAGTTTTGTTTTTGTTATTAACCTTTAATTAAATAAATTAATTCTAGAATTCTTAGTAGGGGAAATTTATTTATCTAGGTTTGCTTTGCTATTAAAAATCTTTAAATTACCATTTTTCGAAAATTAATTTATAACTTCATCAAAATAAAATTAGAAATAAATTTTAAAATTTAAATCAAAATTCTTTGATCATTTTTAGCACTTTTGAGAACGGTTTGAAGTGTTTTTGATCAATCCATTAGTTCCAAAAATGTAGCAAAGAAAGATCTTTTCCCCATTTCTATTGAGATCACTTAACACCTCATCATCAACCCATTATTTTATTCTCAAAAGAGTTGTTAATAGATAGATAGATAAAAGACAATAAATAATAACTATATAATAATATTATTATTATTGTTTTATATTATTCTTTTTTTTTCTTTATATTAGAAGTAGAAAATAACAATGGATTATATTAGTATAGTTGGTGATAAAGGTGTCGGTAAATTATCTTTTTTCGAGATGATACCTAATTTCAATAGTAGTCAACATCGATTTTTCTCAAAGAGTGTAAAGAACTTGGTGTCGATCAACCATTTTTCTAATTTTTACTATCACCTCACTTTCAATCTGCGTAACATCACTCATAATAATACGGAAGGCTACAAGCTCGGAAATGCGTTCATCGTTATGTTTGACCTCTCGAAACGATCGAGCTTTGATTCAATCTACAAACACTACGAGTATATCCGTCGCTTTTCGAATCCCACCCTTAGACAACCACCAACCATTCTCCTCGGAAATAAAAGTGATCTGCCGCGTGCCGTCTCCAAAGGCGAAGCGATAGCGTTCGCACAGAAAATGGGCTCGATGGCATACTATGAGACACACCGTGGAAATGAAAATCAAGAGTTTCTACTACGCACGATTCTCTCTTACTTCATGCTTGCCAAAGATCTGTCGATGGCCACACCAATTTCCAGCTATAAAACGGTGCTATCGAACCTCGGAGCCTATCCACTGGACATGACCATTAAAGCATTGTTGGCAGACAATAGCAATGCCGATGATATCACCGTACTGTACCAACAGCAATTCCAAAAGGAAATGCAACAACAACAACAGATTTCCGGTCGCCAAACCCCGATTGAACCACTTAGAAAAATCCTAAACAATGTGGTTATCAGAAAGATAGTGTTCACCCAAATCAAGACTATTCATCTTAGAATCGGAGCAAAGAAATTTGGAAACGATGATTACCATCTACTTTACAATGGTTATTATACCGACTTTTCAAAGAGAGTGGCCAACGGTGAGAATGTAGTCGTTTCCACTGGACACCCTGGATTCTATATGTTTATTCGTATGTGTCAGGACAGAGAACTGGTCAGACATGTTCTACACCACATTGTCAATCATGATAACGATGCACCATTTCAACGTATTCTAGATCAATGTTGTATAGTTGGTGATTTCGAAACCATTCAATGGATATTTAAAGTAAAGAAAATATTACCATCTGTATGTGTATCTTATATAAGAAGAATAATAATAATAATAATTTATAATTAGCAATAATTATTAACTTAAAAGTATGTAATTTATATTTATAGGTTGTTGGATTAAGATATTCAGCTTTATTTGGACATCTTTCTATTTTATCATTCATGATCGATAGGTTGATATATGATTCAAAGTCTAATTGGGATGAGGACGAAAAGAATCATTTAATCAACCTTACCATTCAATTTAATCGATTCGATGTCAAAGGTTACTTACAGCACTTCCTCAAAAAGAAAGCAAACATATCAGTTCTTAAAAGAGTAAAGTTTTTTTTTAAATCCTCCAATACCAGAAGAGCACTATCCAATCTCAAAAAGAACACGGAAATTCCAAGTTTTAAACATCGACCACAACGGACTGCTATTGTCAGAGGTGATAATACAGTTGTAATTTAAATCAATTCAAAATTGTAATTTTATAAATAATCAAACCAATGTATATTTTTTTTACTTTTTCACTTTTAAAAACAAGATCTTGATTATTTCCTTTTTTATCAAAATATCTGCTTATGTGATGGTTGTATATATAACCAAAAACAATCAAGAAAAATTCTCAGAAAAAAAATAAATTTGAACAAAGTGATCATATGATTTTCAAAAAAATAAACGATTAATAGTTTATTCATCACAATATTGTATTTTTTTAAACAATATGATATGTTGAAAGATAAGAAATGAATAACAGCAATAATAATAAAATAGATCTATTATTTCGATGTATATTTAATAATATAATCTTAAATCGAAAGATAATTTCATTTATTCATGTCAACAATAAATACAATTTAAAATACAATGAAGTTTTACAATCGTCAAAGGAGTTGATCTATCATGGTTACCTCAACCAACTAATACAACTCATTGAATCATATGAATCTAGACAATTCATTGGTATCTACACTGTCTACATTGAACCATACTTAAAATTTACAACAAGACATTTAAATATCTTTTTATATATATATCAAAAGTTTTTTGTTATTAATAACAACGATAAAAGTATATTTTCAGATCAACAAATATTATCAGATAGAACAATCATTTATGCAACAAATAATAACAATTTACAAGTATTGAAATATTTATTGGAAAATATATTTATAATAAAGAAAAATAATAATATAAATATCAGTAGCAATAATAATAATATTTTGGTTGATGAGAATACCATTTTGTCAATAAAGAAAAAGATTGAGCTCTCTTTGATAACTGCTATCACAAATGGATATATAAATATTGTTAGATATCTTTATGAAGACGGATTCATTGCAGAGTGTAACATTGACAGGAAGGAGATATCGTTGGCTGTTGACAAAGCATGTGCAAATGGGTATTTAGAGGTCTTGACTTTTATATTTGAAAACGAAAGAGATTCATTCGATACTCATATGATAATATCATTATTAGATGTTGTTAGTTCGAATAATCATATAAACATTGTCCACTTTCTGTTTGACATTGTCATTAAGGATAAACAAAACAACTACTATATCAGCGCCAAAACATTTCAAGCAATATGTAAATACGGTCACCTGGATATGTTTAAACAATTAATACAATACCATAGATCAATCAATGGCAATATGTCTTTAGGTAGTTTAATTGACTCTGCTGCTCTTCATGGTCATCTCGATGTAATACAATTTATTAGTCAGCAAACTGATATCGTTCAGAGTTGCAGCAGTGACGCTTTGGATAAAGCATCAGAAAATGGTTGGATTGACGTTGTGCAGTGGCTTCATCAAAACAAAACACAAGGATGCACAAATAATGCTATGACATCGGCTGCTGCCAATGGATTCTTGGACGTCGTTATTTATCTTCACGAGAATAGAACAGAGGGTATAAAAATTTCCGCAATGGAGAGAGCAGCGCTTCATGGTAATTTGGATGTTGTGAAATTCATTCATTTCCAACGAAAGGAGGGTGGAAACGCTTCGGCTATGAAGTCGGCAGCTCACTGTGGACACCTACCAACAGTTCAATTTCTTCAACAGGAACGATCGTTTGAGGAGAATCGTCCGTTTGAAGCGTTTCAAGAAGCAGTTAAAACTGGCCATTTCGAGGTAGCAAAGTATCTTTACGATCATAATCATCAACTCTTTCCACAGGATCAAGTGTATTTGGCATTGTTTTCACCAAACTATGATATTGTCAAGTATTTGTTTATCGAGAAGAACTTGTCATTGGCGGAACTCCGAGTGTTTCAAGTGAAAAAGTTGGCGGAACATACAACCATCGATCATTTGAGACTAATTAGAAATCAAATGCCTCATATGTTTAAACCGGACCTCATTGACTACGCTGCCAAGAATGGACACATCGAAATGACAAAGTATCTTCTCGATTGTTTCAACGGTGCGAAGTTCAGCAATGCTCTTTGCAAGGCACTGTCGAACGATCATTTCGTCATGGTTGAATATCTCATTTCGCAATGTGACTATGGTCCTTCTTTGCAAATAGATTTGGTTGGTATTATCAACCATGCCGTTAGAACGAAAAAGCTTGCACTAGTCGATCGACTCATTCGCAGATTGTTGGAAGCGAATCTCGTCAAACAACGATATGTTCTAAACTATTTGGAGCCGTATGTTGATAACCTGATTCGAGAAGGTCATTTGTGGGCATTCATCCTACTCCTCAACCACAAAGTTATTACAACTCTTTCCAGAACCCTATTGGATAAAATATTAAGATGTAAACACTATCATCTTGTCAAGTTTTTCAGGATCAATCTTCCGCATATCTGCACAGAATCAACCTTGACTGCAGCAGTTGGAAATTTCGAAATTTTGAAATACATCTTCTATGAATATCGCGATCGAGTCTCATTCAACTATACCAATGTTCTCAGGGAAGCAATCAATGTTGGATCGACAGATATTGTAAAATTCTTGCATGACTATAATGATGGCTATAATGTTATCTTCAAAAAAGAGTGTATGGATTACGCCGCTGAACTTGGTCGACTCGATATAATTAAATTCTTACATGAGAATCGAACAGAAGGATGTTCAACAAAAGCAATGGATTTAGCTTCGATGAACGGCCATTTAGACACAGTTAAATTCTTACACGCGAATCGAACAGAAGGATGTACAAATAAAGCGGTCGACAATGCATCAGTCTATGGGCATTTCGAGATTTTAAAGTTTCTCCACGCGAATAGAACGGAAGGCTGGACATTTGTAGCATACACAGTACCTAGTTCTAGAATTCCAAGTCAATGGATAAAAGATAATCTTTACCCAAAATAAACTATAAATTTAAGCATTTAATATTTGGCTTGACTGTTTGTTTATAACAAAAATAAAATGTTCATAATTTATTCATTAATTATAAGTATATTCTTGTAATCAATAAAAAAGAGAAATAATTATTATTATAATTTGAAAAAAAAACAAACTAAAGATAGAATAGATTTGTTAAAAAAAAATACCCAAAAAATAATTGTGATGAGATGCAAAGCCAAAAAAATTCAAATAATCCATCTCTTTGAAAGCCACTCAAAAAAAATTTTTTGTCAACATTTTGGGTCTCATCATCTTCACTAAAATAGTAAACAGCATAATTTTTTTTTCCACAAAAATCATTTAATAATAAAGTTGTAATTTTAAATAAAAAATCAATATTAATAATTTGTAATAATAAATAAATAAAATATATATAAAGAGATGTCAGACGAACAATGGGTAGTAAATAACAGATTGATCGACGCTGCCAAGCGTGGTGAAGAAGATAGTTTGGAGGCATTCATTTTGGATCAAGAGAATAAAGTAAATATCAATGCAAAGGATGCTGTTGGACAGACCGCTATGCATTGGGCAGCACGTAATGGACACGACGGAATCATCAAGATTCTCATCAAGTACCGTGCAGGTCTCAATGTTGTCGATCCACAAGGTGAATCACCAGTTTTCAAAGCCGCATTCAAAGACCACGTCGATTGCATTCGTCTACTGGTTGCGACCGGTAAGATTGATTTGACCCTAAAGAATAAAGATGGTCAAACACCATTAAACATTGCCAAATCCGAAGGTGCTCGTAAATTATTAGTACCAAAAGCTATTATCAGTATGTTTTTAATCAACAATGAATGTGTTACATATTTATCAAAACTCTAATTATTAACAATCTATTTTATTTTTTCTTTAGCATCTGATGATGAAGATGAAAGTGATCCAGAAGATAGTGATAGAGAAGATTAAACGATAGCAATAATAATATAACAAAACAGAGAATATAATACATATATAATAGAGCATTAGATATTTGATAGCTAGTTCTTTTCTTACTTTTTTTTTTTGAATGAAAAAAAAACACTTCTTTCTAAATCTTCATTTATTCTATCAATCAACTTCCTCAAAAAAAGGTATAAAACTAACTGTACTTTTATAATAAAGTGATAAAAACAAGATTTTATTTATCATTATTATTTATTATAATTTATAATATCCACCATAACTTGTACATCGATGGTTAAAGTTTAAAACTCCTTATTGGTTTGTGTGTTTTACTTGTAAATATACATTATTTCTTTATCTCTTTTTGTTTGGTAAAGGGTTCATCGGTGCCCAATGTATACATTTAGGATCGATTCTAGATGATTGCTTTGCATATATCTTTAAATGTTCTTCTATAGCCTTCGGTGTAACAGAGATAATATGTTGACCTTTCCAATATCTAATTAAATTGAGTGATTGTAATGTACTAATAATATCTTCAGTCTAAAAAGTGATTGATTGAAATATAATTAGTTAGTCAGTTAGTTTGTTATCAACTTTTTACATATATATATATCATACTCTTATTGATGTCATATTTGATATATCAAGAATAGATAGATTTCCTTTATGTTTACGTAGAATCTCCAAGAGTACTTGTGTCCAATACGATCTGAAACTCAACAGACCCAAGTCGGATAGTGGCTTCTCGGGTGCACCTATTTTATGCTCTTTCTTTGAGAGCTCATAGGAGAATGAAATCAACAGTTTACCGAAACCTTTACGTTGGAATGGAGGTAGCGTTAGGATACACGCGAGATTGTAGCCGTCCGGTGAATCTTTCTCCTTTGAAAAGTAACCGACCATATGACATCCACGTGCATCACACTCGGTCATAATGTAAAAGAGAAACGGTTCGACGTCGTAGTAGAGTGTCTTGTGGTCGAGGAACAGCTTCGAGAGCAAACAGAGATTCTGACAGTAGATCTTGTTCTTCTTGCCGTCGACTTCGAACATCGAGATGTTCCCACTACGATAGATCTCATTGCCAGGCGGATGGCGGAGATCGCACTTCAGTTGGTGACGATTGAGCGTCGACTTTTTCTTCATGTACTTTAGGCAAAACTCGCAGAGAAACAGCTTGTCGCACTTGGCAAACTCCTCGGGATAAGGCGAGAAGTACCAGGTATCTATTTCGTAACGACCGAGCTCCACCACATTGATATTCTTGACCTTGGTGATTTCTTCATGCTCCTTTTCGAGTGGTGACAATTTGGTGTGGTCGTGGTGGTCGTTTCCACCACTCTGAGCGGTGGCATCGTTCTTACGCTTCCAGCCTCTGGTTTTTATCACTGGAGGACCCTCTGGTGCCTCTGGTGCCGGCTGTGCTTTGCCTGGTTCGTTCTCTATACGTGAAAAATCCAAGTTTGACTCGTGAACCCACTCATCCAAACGACGATTGAATCCAGGATAATGTACATAGTAATCATAGGTTCCAGGTTGTGATTCCGATTCTTTTTTCTCGACAATTTCACATAGTCCTATTTTTTACAAAAAAAAAAAAAAAAATGATTAGTTTTCAAAAAAATTACATTATTATAAATCAACAACTTTATATAAAATAAATACATACTATATTGATCTCTCCATTTACAATAGATATTTGTACCGTTATCCAAAACCTTTCTTAAACCATTTCCCTCTGAACTTTCATTTCCATTTGAGTCATTTTCATTTTTATCTTTTGAATCGTCTGTGGTGGTTGGTGTTGTTGGTTCTGTTTCCTCTTCTTCCTGTTCATTTTGTGTTGAAACATCTGGAATTGATGGATCTTCTGCAGTGGTCATTTTTTATGTGGGTTTAAAAAAAAATTTCAAAAATTTTCACAAAAACAATAATTTAAAGGTGTTACAATATATTTTACTAATAAATATGTTATAAATGTTTAATATTTGAGTAAATAAAGTTGATTGCTTTTAAATAAATAATAATAAATCTATATGATTAGTGTAGAAAGTGAATGAATGTTTCAGTTTAATGTTTATGAAATGATTTTAGTTTTTTGTTTTTTTTTAAATACTTGATAAATTAAAAAAAAAAAATTTTAAAAAAAAGATAAAGTTATGATGATTATGTACAATGAATGTGTTTTAAATATTAACTCTAGATTAACTTGATTATAAATATTAATTAAGATAGTTTTATAAAACTTTTTATGTACATATAGAATTTTTTCAAAAATACACAAACAAAAATTTTGAAATTTGTTCAAAAAAAAAAAAAAAATTAAAAAAAAAACTACCTTCATTTTTTTTTTTTATTCCTTCAGACAAACAATTTCAAACATGTTAATTCTATTGTTTCAAGTAGTTTAAACATGTTGATCCTTCATCAAATAAATATTAAACCAAGAATGATTGTTTGTATCAAAATAATTATATTGGAGGATACCGAAATTTTTTGAATATTAATTTGAATTTTCAACACTTTTTTATCCTCATGTTGATTGATCTTTGACAATCACAAATTTATAAAAAACAAAGATAATCAACAATCATTACCTTTTTTGGTTTTGTATGAAAACTCTAAACATATGTTAAATAAAAAAAAACAAAATATTATTCCAAAAAATAAACACACAAATATCACAATATAAAAAACAAAAAGGGTTGTGTCAATAATAATTAAAATTAATCAATAACAACTAGTTATCTAACTTTTTATTTTGTTATTAAATATTATTATTAATTATATTAATTTATTAATTAAATACTAACTGCACTGCAAAAATAAAAAAATTATCAAATATTTGATTTGATCAAAATTTTATAAAACAAACAAAATAAATAAGCTTTACAATTTTTTTTTATACCAAAATAATAAAAAGAAAAGACATGTCTGATAAAGTTCATATTACAGCACAATCAAGTAGTGTAGATCATTCTTTAGAGGTAATTATCACTTTCAAATAATCCAAATAATGATTAGGTGATGTCCGACGGCGATACTAATTTTAGCTTTCTTTTCATTTTTTTGTATTATTATTATTATTATAGGCATTGGGTCATGTAAGATATTAGTTATACATTTTAGAGGAAACATAGAACATAGATATTAATATTAGTATTGTTTGTTGTTTTTTATTTATTTTTTATTATTAAAAGGCAATTGCTGGTGGTCTTGCTGGTATGTCAACCATTGCATTGACTTATCCATTCTCAACAGTCTCTACTAGATTACAAGGTAAGTTGCTATAGCATTGAATTTGATAGATCTATCAAGTTGTTGATATGACATAGTTACCTAAAAGATGATGATGATGATGATGTTAACATGTTTCTTTTCTTATTTAGTACAACAAAAACAAGCAAATAAACAACAACAGAATCCACAACAAGTATTACCGGTTCCCTACAAAGGAACATTGGATGCATTCCAGAGAATCATTGCAGAGGAACACTGGACTTCATTGTACAACGGTTTGAAATCCGCTTTGATCGGAATCGGTTGTTCATCATTCGTCTACTACTATTGGTACTCTCTCTTAAAATCAATCTCACTCAAATTCCAAAACAAATCGGAACTCGGTACTTTAGAGAATCTTTTGATTGCTGCTCTATCTGGTAAGTTGTTTTATTTATTAGTGATTTGTTTATTTATTAGAATCATTTACTAATAATAAAATCATCAATTGTTTAGGTGCTGCCAATGTTATTACAACACTACCAATATGGGTTGTAAATACACGTCTTCAATTAAAGTCAAACAAAGGAATCGTTGACCAATTCAAAACTATTATCAGAGACGAAGGTGTCGGAGGATTATACAATGGTTTGATTCCAGCACTCATTCTCGTTTCAAATCCATCTGTCCAATTTGTATCCTACGAGAAGTTGAGATCTATTTGGAAGAGATACAAGGGTACTTCCAAGTTGGTAAGTTATATTCTTTTTTTTTAAAAATGTTTTTCTATCATATCATTAATGTGTTTTTTTTTTTTTTAGAATTCTCTTGAAATATTTGTACTTGGTGCAATTGCCAAGTTGATTGCTGGTGTAGTTACATATCCATACCTCTTGGTAAAGAGTAGACTTCAAGCAACAGCAAGCTCAGAGTCACCATATAAGGGAACTTTCGATGCCATCACTAAAATTTTCAAATCTGATGGATTCCTCGGATTCTTTAAGGGTATGCCATCAAAGATGGTCCAAACTGTTTTGGGTGCTGCATTCATGTTTTTGGTCAAAGAAAAGATTGTTTACTACACAGTTTATGTATTGTTTTATTTGAAGAGAAGGTTGACTCTAAACAGATCAAACAAACTCCTTCATTGAAATATCAATAATTCAAAATATAATAAAAAAACAATTCATGAAAGTTATATTTTAAAATCAAAACGAACAAACGATTGTTTGCATTAAAATTATAGTATTTAAAATGATTAAAAGCAATAGATTGTTTATTATTAGAGGAAATTAATACAGAGTATAACATCATAAAGTATTTCCCTTCTGTACCTTACCATTGAAAGCTATGGCACCTTGGGTGTTGTGATTCTAAAAAAAAAGATAGGTAAAAAATAGTAGAATTGTTACAAATTACCACTGAGTGGAGATATCTTGATTTCTAGTATTTAGATCACTTTTTAACACTTTTTTTGATATGGGCCTTAAGAACGGAGAAACATGGGAAGGAAACTCATCGAATGGTGACATAGCTCAGTGGTAGAGTAGAGGACTGCAAATCCTTTGGTCGACGGTTCAATCCCGCCTGTTACCTTTATAAAAAAATGATGTCCGCAAGCGGTAATGTAAAAAAAAAAAAAAAAAAAAAGGAAATCAACTTCGCAATGCACAACATGTGGATATTCAACAAAAAAAAAAAAAAAAAAAAAGTTTGTTAATATACCAGTTGGATATCTCAAATCCAAAGCAGATCTATCACCTCGCCATATCTCAATCTATTCTACACTCTGTGGCACGAATTGGCAGTTCATCTCAAGCATCTGGACAACAAAATCAGATCTGATAAAAATATTCTGATAGATGGTCTACCACCCACTCTGAAGCTAATCTAGGACCACCTATTGATCATCAAACATGGACTCCGCCACTAACTGATAGTCAGTTCCAACTATCTCTACCACCAACCAAAAACAAAGAATGTGAACTGTGCTTCACATACTGCTCTGATCCATATCTCCATACATTCTTTAATTGTCGAGCAGTTATGCAGATTCAATCTTAACTCTATTCTTGAATCCTTACAGCTTTTAGGTGGTCAACGATTAGATTGGACTAAGGAAGATGTGTATCAGTTGGTAAGAAGAAAGGACAACATCATTTCTCTCGCTTCACCTGTCTTTCATCAAATCTGGAAATTCTATTGTAAATCTTATTTTGGCGGTATTCCTCTCGGCGAAAACAACCTACTATCTAACGAATCTATAATAAATGAATATATACAGCACATATCAGTAATAAAATTAATTATTAATAACAGTATCAGTAACTTACAATCCAAACTTAAATAACCAGTAACCACTCAAATGTCAGCCAACTATTATTTCCTCTTCTTTATTTCTTCATTACCTATAAGTTATATGTTAGAAGTTTAGATGAATGAATATAACTTAATATATCAATCACTACCATATAACATATAAATCTATAATTAGTATAAAATATAAATTATATATATTTTATTATATCCAGTTGTTGTAGATTTAGTGAAGTAGAAATGGTTTGAAGAATAAGAAATTTGGAAATTGAATAAAACACTTTAAAGTATAAAAAAAATATTTATATAACTATTCCTCAGTTTCTTGATTATAGAGAAACTTGGAAGAATTGTATTCTCTAATCTATACTAAGTTTAAAAATATAAAAAAGAATTGGAATAAACAAGATGTTTGGTTTTGTATGTGACTGACCTTACTTTGGTTGACAATCTGGTTTTTTGGTGACATTCTACTGATGTCAATTGTCTTCGAGTCTAAAAACAAACTTTATCACTACTATTAGCCTTCCATACAATATTAATTAATTATATAACTGAATGAAATTGAAGTCTAAAGAAGAAGAGAAAATTATTGAAATTAAATCAATAAATATGTTGAATATTTATATATTTCAAAGTATTTTAAATATTCAATGAATCAATTAATTATACTTTTAAAAATAAGTAACTAATGAATTTCAAAATACATTAATAATGACTGTTAAATTTCAAGACTTATTAATTATTTAATCCTAATAATACTATTATTATTATTATTTAAATGAGAACAGATTTTTTATTTTATTAAAAAGTTAATTAACTTTAAACCAATTCAAGAGTGAAAAATATTGAAAATTGTTGTTTTTTACTTTTGGACAGGATCTTTGTACTTTAATCATCTACCCATCTCCAAGTAGGATATCCCATAAAAGAACTATATTCAATATGTCTTGTTGTTTTGTTTCCTTCCTGTATAATTAAATGATTGTCTTTAGAACCAACCCCAATAATATCTTTTTGAATACTTGAATTCAAAGATGAATTCAAACCACCTAGTTTAGTTAGATTTCCTATTAAAAAAAAAAAAAAAAGAAATGACATTAAATAAATTTTCTTTAGATATAGTTTTTTTAAACTACTTACTTATTAGAGTCATTTTTTATTTGTTTTTTTTCTTTGTTTGATTAAATAGAGATATATTTTAGTACTAGTGATCACCTCTATTTATACATTCCAAAATCTCATTGAGATAAATATTCATCATATAAAATCCATTCTTATTGACAATGAATAATCTTTTAATATTTTAATTGGTATTAAAAACATTATCTCTCATTGAGTTATACTAAATCAAGTTACTTTTTATTTATAAAAAGTGTTAAACTTAAAATCATAAAGTGTGATCAGCAACACCACAAGTATTAGATAACCACAAAAAAAAGTAATGTATTTATTTTTTGCGAACCATGCAATGATAATCTAAATTGTGTATTACTAATTCATTATGAACACATGTTGTTACCTTCAGATTGTTCAATTTAGTAAAAATAATAAAATTTAATATATTGTGGTGAGTTAATTTTTTTTTGGTAGCTACAAGTATTTAAATGTATTCTGATTTATTTTCAACTTGACCAATAGTAGTAGAGTGTTTTTATACCATCTGTTTTGGTTTAAACTAAATAAAGAATGATTTTTTTTAAAGATTTCTTATATATAATAAAGCAGGTAGCGATAAAAGTGGTGAAACAATGAGGAGGTAAAGATGTTCAAAAAAACTTTCGATCTACACAATTTTATTACAACCCATTAATATATGAGTATAAAATTATTTAAAAAAACATATGGTTGATAATAAATCAGATAGAGAAACTTAGAACAGATTTACTGTACAACTTCTTAAGAAATCGGACTGGGAGGTATTAAATTTGTAAAAAGAGTGTGTACATTTTGCTTATTAAAAGAGGATAACATATACAATGATAAGTCGATATGTGCAATGAATTTAAAAGCATTTTATAAAAGCTGTTATGCTTGTTATGATTTCACAAAAAAATCAAGTTGTTACAGAGGTGTTATCTGGGTGGTTGTTATTAAATCCCAAAGATGAGTATGCTGTTGAATCATTTTTTTTTGCTTGATATTCAGTTGGTATTGAATCAATCTGATTTGTAAGTATGATGTTGACAGTCTATATATTTTAATTGATTTCTCCCTTACAGTACTGCAATTCTAAAGGTTTGATAAAGTGTTAATTCTTGTTTTGTACTTCAATAAGATCGTACATGTTTAAATTGTAACTTGCCTGATGATTTTCAAATCCCATTAACAAGAAGTACAGTATCTGGAGTTGGTATGGGATTTATAAGTTTTAATGGTTTTTTATAAAGTGTATTCTCATACTCAAATATATTTTATTGTTATTCGTTTATTGGATATAGTGAGGTGGGATATCTAAGAGACTTGGTATTGATTTTTTTTTTTTGTTGAAGTATTCACATATCTTGAAGAATACTCAAATGGATTTTATTGCTTGGTTTGAGATGGTTTGGAATGGTTAATTGCTTACTATTGAGATGGTTGAGATGGTTGAGATGGTTGAGATTGTTTGGATTGGTTAATTGCTTAGTATTGAGATGGTTTGAGGTTGTTTGGATTGGCTTGGCTAATTCCTTAGCCTGAGATGGTTGAGATGGTTTGAGATTGTTTGGATTGGTTAATTGCTTAGCTTGAGATGGTTGAGATGGTTGAGATTGTTTGGATTGGTTAATTGCTTAGTATTGAGATGGTTTGGGTTGTTTGGATTGGCTTGGCTAATTGCTTAGCTTGAGATGGTTTGAGATGGTTTGGCTTGGCTAATTGCGTAGCCTGAGATGGTTATTTTGGGTTTGATTTGTCAGCACAGGTTTTGATTTTGGATCCATCGGTTCGGCGTTCTCGGTAAATGGGAAACTTTTCCTTGTTCTTGTAGATTAGTAGGTGAATCTAAGAACTTTGGTTATCCAATTGTTAATCTAGTTCTATCAGAGTGCAAGCGCGGGCATGTAGGTCTCCACTCCTCATGGTTAGCGTCTAAGCAGGTTCACAACTCCTGCCAGTAAGAAGGGTCGCTGCCAGTTGGCCAGACTGGGTAGGCGTACACATATCTAGACATAACAGACCTGAAGAAAAAGAGGTAGAAAAGGGGAGAAAAAAGAAAAAAGATTTAAATTCGAAAATAAAAGAAAGAAATGGGTTTGGGTGCGAAAAACGACTTTACGAAAAAATTTTTTAAAAACTTTTTAAGCAAGTATTAAAATAACTAACTAAAAGTACAAGTATTAAAATAACCATCTTTATACAGAATTTAGAAGCCTGGTTTAGAGATTCAATCAGAAAAAATGACAGCTTAGCCAAGTGGTTACGGCGACAGACTTGAAATCTGTTCCCTTCGGGGGCGCAGGTTCGAACCCTGCAGTTGTCGATATATTTTAATAGAATTTTAATCCCCGCTTGCGTTCAGAAGATCAGTTTTAAAAAAAGTGATTTTAGTATGTCGAATAGCAAACAATCTTTTATTGATAAGTCCACTTATCGCTCGACAACTGCAGGGTTCGGATAACATTCTCTATTGGCACTAGTGGTTGTCTAATTCCAATCCTTTCACTGATAAAACAGAATGAAAAAGAACTATGTGGTACAATGATAGTTGCGTGGTGGCATCTCCATTTGAGATATCCAACTTCGTAACGATACCCTAAAGGTGTGGATATTCAATAGATTTCTTTTGTCATCGTCAGAAATATTAAAAGTTGATAAAGTTTGTACTACATTAGTTGGCAATCACAGACTAAGAAAGCTCTGTTTCATCCGTTTCTCAATCTTGCGACAAGTATTACACCCTATGGAGCTCGATAGCAGTCCACCTCAAGTATCTATACAACATGTTTAAATCAATTCTGCAATTCTGAAAGATGGTCTACCACTCACTCTGAAGTAAATCTACGTTAATACCTAGGAGCTCTGACGGTCAATACCAATTTTCAATTCCAAAATTAATTCCACTATACATCTTAGGCTTATGACAACATCTTCACCTATATATTTGGCGATAAAACACCAGCAAGGTTGAAAAAGTATCATTCAGGTTCTTTACACCAGCATGGTTGAAAAAGTATTAACCATTTCTAAATATATCGCTCGAGCTTGGCTAATTTCCGGTTCAATATAGCAGTCTATACCGTTCTTTAATGGTGTACAAGTTAATATCTGACATATATATAAGAGTCTAAATCCTTCCAACCTCACACTTCCTCTCAACTCTTGTATGATACAATATACTTTTTTACTATCTATTCTTATAATAATCATAAAAGAAATATTAATGTTCTTTCTATATCTCCTTGCCTATATGAGATTGTATATATCACAAACTAGGTAAATGACTGATGATCATCTTAAGATTGTTGTTCAAATCTTTTTAAAAAAAAAATATATATTTTGATCGTAGACTACCTTACATATATGACTAACCATTTCTTAAAAAACATTTATTTATTTACATTACTATATCAGGTTTAATTATTTACAAAGACCAAAAGATCGATATACTCTTGATCAAAAATTATAAATGTTGAATATCGCTATCTATCTATCTGAGGTAAAGATGTAGTTCACTGTAACCGGTAGGACTAGATCTTCCTGTTGCGAAATTTCCTAGTCCTTGTGGTCTGCTTCCAGTCACTCTCTTCACTACACAAGTTTCAAGCTTAACGTAGGCCTCGTATCCTTGATCGATAGCAGAGTGACGAACTCTTCTGAGTATTTCCTTCAAGGTTCTCTCATCTTGATCACCTGTGAAGTAGTGAGCCACCAAATTTTTGAATAGCTTTTGAGATCCTCTACCAATGTTAATATGTATTTCTGTGCAGGGAAAGTCTTCACGTGGGAATGCTTGGCTAAAGAAGGTTCTGTCTTTACTAAGTGAGATACGATACATTCCAGTGTCGGCATGAGGGTGTTCTTTGTTCTCATACAGAGTGAATGGGATTCCATCATGATATCTATTGAATTCCGTAACTATATCCTTTAGAAAGATTACAGCTTTTATGTATTGAGACATTATTATTTCTTTTATTTAAATATGTTTGTTGTTTATATCTATCTTATTTTTATTAGATAACTAAAAGTTGTAGTGTATAAAAAGATGAGATATTTTTGTATTTTTATAGTCGACTGATTCTTCAATCAATCATCGCCAGTTACAAAACTTCATTATTTAATTTAATCATTACTTGAATTCAAAACCCCAATATTTAATTTGCTGATATATTCTTGAATTATTGTTGTATCCAATACCATACGATACAAGAGAACCTAAAAATTAAACTCCTACATTCTTGTGAAATTCCCTGGGCAAATTAGTATCACATTAGAGAAAAACAAAGTAAATAAAAACAAGTTATTGTACAATTTTTACTGTAAATTTTAAGTTTCGAAAACGTATTTTTGGAACTTTCAAAGAAAATAAGAAAAAAAAAAATATTCATTAATTTTATTCAATTTTTTTATTTTTAATTTATTTTAAATAAATCATATATCGAATAAAAGCATAGACTATATTAAACAGCAGCAGTAGTATTCCCAAGTTTATAGAGTGAAGCAAGCCAATGATAAATATTCCCAAAAGAAAAAACATTGGGTGATATAGGTAGCTCGACAGTTTCTTTTTGCTATTAGTTAAATAGGATATAGATTTCGATTGATTCTTTGTTGTTGTGTTTAGGCTGTCTAATGATTTCGATCGTTTGCTCTTTGAGGATTTCGATTTTTTCATTGGAATGGGTGATGTCGGTAACGATTGGATCGATCGAAACAATTGTTCATCGTCAGAGAAACTAGATTCACTTGCTCCATTATCCATTTTGATCTGATTCTCCAGTGACGAGATAAACTCTGACCATTGTAACTTTGGTGTGTTATTTCCCAGCCAATAACCAACAGAAAACATCATATTGAAGAATCTAGTGGTCATTTTCGATCTCTTCAAATCATTCAATGTTATCCTATTTCCTTTAATATTTAACATATCAACTCTAATAAAAGAGAAAATGAAAAAGTTTGAATTAATAAATATGTAAGTTATTATTAATCAAGTTATAACCATACATTTGACAAAGAGTATCTCTAAACATTGGCGATTCGTCATCTCTTGACATTTGTTTTTGTATCTCCTCGAAAAAGCATTCCAATTCAAAGAAGCTGATGAATCCATCGTTGTCGGTATCGAGTACGCTGAACCAGAAGTGAATCGATGACATTCTGTGTTTGTCGATATCCGAGAGTAGGTACCAGAGAAAGTTTCTGAATGAGAGAGCTGAGCATTTAGATTGAGGAAACACAGGACAGTCAACTACACGCTTCAGACATTTGGAGGTGGACAGCCCATTTGAGAATTGAATGATGTCGTTGGCTACCAGGAATCCATCGTTGTCGGTATCCAACAGCTCAAACAATCTCGACAATACTCTGAACTGTCGCAGCGAGAAATGACTGGTATCACTTGAGAGATCATCGTAAGAATCCAATATTCTCAGAGTGATCAGTAGATTACTAACTTTCAAATCGGACAGTGTAATTCGACCGACATGTTTGAACGACAATGAGTGAAGCAGTCGGATAATAACAACATCGATGTAGTGTGATTGATATTTCTTTGCTACCGAGTGTAGCTGTTTCAAACCTGGGTGGTAATCGATCAGTGTTTGAACGAGTGGGACTAAACTGCTGAAATCTAACCACTGTTGATTGCTGTTCGCCACCAGCAGATTGAAAAGTATAGTATCACCATCTTTGTTTGCCAAGTACTTTGACCAAAGTGCAATAAAATTTAGTTTACTAATTTCCAATTGTGATTCTGTTACCTTTTTGTAGAGCAATCGAACTACCACACTAGGCAAACTGACCAACCTCTCTGTTAAGCTATGAAATTGATGATATGTCTTTATGAAACCACCATACTTTTTAAATTTCTTTTCAATTGTTCTATATTCTAGAATTTGACTTTCAATTTGACTGTTATTATTATTATTATTACTATTGCTATTACTATTATTACATTTATTATAAAATAAATATTGATCTAACTTTTTATCATGTTTTTCCAAATATAATTTCCTGTTTTATTTTTGATGATCATCAGTTAATTAAAAAAAAATTCTGATTTACAACTTTTTTTTATGAAAATTTTTTCTTTTAAACACTTACAGTTTCTCTGTATCTATTATAAATTGTGGATTAACAACATTATCATTATTTATATTTTCAACTAATATAGGTTCCATATTTTTAAAATTTAAACTATTTTGTTATTTAGATTTAGATATTATTATTCTATGATTTATAATTTAAACAATAAAGAATTAATATTTTAGTATATATGGTTTATAATTAATAATAAAAAAAAAGTATAGATTGAATAACATTATCTTTTTAATCCAATTTATGAATTCAATAATTTTGCAATACTACTTGTAAACTGTATGCGTACAGTGAGTATGCTGATATGCCATTTAGTCATTCTATTCAATTGATATAAAAAAATAACACAAAACAATCAAATATAGATGCTATATAATTTTCACAGATAATTATTTATAGTTGATAATCAAACAAGCACACTAGAAATCAAATCAACCACATTATTCTCATTACACACACGCTCATATATATTAGAATATAAATAATTCAATTTGATTTTGATGGAATATGACCACACACACACACATTGTCATTCCAAACAATACAACAACAAACAATATATATAGAGAGGACAGGATTTTCAGAAAACAGAATCAAAAACGATATACAATATAATATAATCATTGGATTTATAGATGAATCAAAAATTAATATTGTCATTCTATACAATTGATAATCTACAACTTTATATATTTAAATTATAATATTCAAACATATATTATAATAAGATTGGTTGTCTATGGTATTGTTTTTTTTATTATGATTGTTTTGATATGAAATCGATTATTCCTTTTGTTCCATTTCTTCTCAATTCTCTTGGTATTTTCATTTGAAACGGCGTTTTTGAAATATTGAACTCCTTTAGCCATGTCATTGTTGAGATGTCGCCAGCAACCGATGACAGTGGATTGTTGCTCAGCTCGATCTGATAGAGTGTCTTTATCTGTGAGAATGTAGATTTTGGTATACTTTCTATTTCGTTGTTTGAGATATCGAGTGTCATCAGCTGTGTCATCTCCTTGATTTCCAAAGGTATCTGTTTGATCTGATTGAACGCACACGACAACTTGGAAAGCGCCGTCAAATGGCAGAGCGCTTCAATGTCCGACAGTAGATTGCAATTCAAATACAACTCCTCGAGCGAGCTATTCAAAGAACGTCTACAACTGAATGGCAAAGTACTTAGTTGATTACCATCGAGATAGAGAATAGCCAACATTGGTATATCGTTAAGAGTGTCATCCAACTTGGTCAACTTATTCTTTGAGAGTATAAGCGTGTGTAAACGAGTTTGATGTGCTCCAAATCCACAGTTGTTCAATGACTCTAGTTGATTTGACTCCAAGTTAAGCTGAACCAGTTGGCGATATCTAGAAAAGAATCCTTCACTAATAGTAGTTATCTTATTATATGATAAATTGATTATCTCCAATAAGAAATCGGTTGCTGTTGTTACTGTTGCTGTTGAAATGTTATCTAAATGTTCAATACTGTTGTGTGATAAATCCAATTGCTGTAATCTGTTCAACGCCAAAATAGAATCCGGTAACTTTGACAGCTTATTGTGTGATATCGATAGATGCATCAAAGATACTGGTAAAGGACCAACCACTTCCACAATCTGATTACGATCCAATACTAACTTTTCCAATAGATTCAAACCAGATAGATCTGGTATTGTTATGAGTTGATTCGAACTTAATAATAATATTCTTAATGATTTGAGTGTATTTAATGATAATCTTGGAGATAAATTTATATTATTATTATTATTATCATTATTATCTTCTATTTGATTGTTATTGTCTGATTGTTGTTGTTGTTGTTGTTGTTGTTGTTGTTGTTGTTGTTGTTGTTGTTGTTGTTGTTGTTGTTGTTGTTGTTGTTGTTGTTGTTGTTGTTGTTGTACTATATGATGTAAAGACTCTATTCTATTTTGAGATAATACAAGTTTCTGAAGATTCTTTAAATTTCCAATATGACTTGGAATGGTAACCATATGATTATCATAGATATTTAATGACTCTAGATTGGAACAATACACAATCCAACTTGGGATGTCAACGATCTGATTATGTGAAATATCTATTCTCTTTATAAAACCAAGTCCGATTGGGAATTCATTTGTAACTGGCCATTCTATACCATTTAATTCTTTATAACTTATAATAACAAAGATAAATAAACATTAGAATTAACTGTGTATAGATTCGAAATCATTCTTTAAATTAATTAATTACCTCCAATCTATATCTATACTATTACTAATATCTTCATTTGTATTTGTACTTGAAGTGTTTGATATTTGTTTAAGTAAAGATTGTATTAATGGTTGTCTTATCATGCTATTATTGTTATTGCTATTTGTATTGTCAAGTGATGATGTAGTTGAAATGCTATTGTCATCTGATATGACCATATTTTGTAGTGCTGAGTCATTTGGAGACTTTATCTGTTGTAGTTGACTATCATGAGAGTTACCCATACACTTTCCAACCGAGTTTGGTAGTGACTTTGAATAGTAGAGAGCATTTGCCTCTGGTGAATTGGGTGGTACCGATAGATTCAATGGTGATGTTGATAATGAATTCGATTGATTACTATTGTTATTGTTGCTTTCATTATTATTGTTGCTGTTGCTATTATCACTGTTACTTGATTTATTATTATATTTTGATTTATTATTATTTTTTTGATTTGATGAGACCGTTGTCGATTTAGAAGTATTTAAATGATTATTGTTATTATTATCATAGGTGTTGTTGGCTATACTATTTGATTTTTGATGTTTTTTAGATTTAGATGAATCATTATTTATATGAAGGTTATTGGGAGATAAAAACAATTCTTTTTGACCAGAATCAGAGGAAGTTCTTGTTTTTCTTGTTTTGGGTATCGTCAAATTATTATTATTATTTGATCTACTACTATTATTACCCATTATATTAATCAATCAACTAAACAAACCAATTGAATCGATCAATTGGATTATTTTATATTTTTTATTAATCTATTAAATCTTATCTTTTATTATATCTATTATTCTTTTTTTTTTTTATTATTTTATTCTTTATTTTATAAAAAAATGTCAAAAGTAGTAAGTAACTAAGTGTTTGTTGTTGTTGCTGATAACTGATGTTTTAATTGATGTAAATAAATATTCTCATATTATTAAGATTTTAATATTATTACTATTGGTCAAAATACTAATGTTGAATGATTGGTGGTTGATGAAAAGTAATACTAATTATTATTATTAGTAAAAACAAAACAATAATAACAATTTAAATAAACAAACACAACACATTTGATTAAAATTTTTAGTTAACACACACATATATATTTATATTCAATTCAAAATAATCATCATTTTAAAAGATGTAGTTAAAATTTATTTATTGTGTTTCATAGTCAAGAATATATTTAAGTTCATTCATTGAAAATCAACAAAATTAATTAAAAACTAAAATTGAAGATTACATTGTATGTCGTTATTTCATTGACACACACATGCAAATAAAATAACATCCAACAACAACATCGACAACACCAGGCAACATCTATATAAATAATTTTATTTTAGTATTTTTTTTTAAACAATAGATAGACAGATAGATCATCATTATCATCAACAACATCAACACCCAACATCATCCATCTATGAAAATAATAGAAACATGGAGAACGAAAATAATAATCGATTCGGTGATTTAGGTGGAATACCTAATTATATTCCTGTAGATGCTGTTCATGAAAATAATAATGTTCAGCAAGAGGAAGAACAACAACAACAACAACATCATTTTAGACACAGGTTTGGTTTACGTAGGGGTGTAATGCCTAATCCATTGGCAGTTACAAAGACATCACCTTTCGTATCGCTCATTGTAATTCTCGTTATATTTTGGCTACTTGTATTCCTCTTTGATGTACCATACGATATCGATGTATACCGTCACTATGTAATAGGCACTTGTTTCTTTCATCATTTCTATCACCTTGATTGGTTTCAATACGATGAATCATCATATAGTTTTCAAGCAACTGCCGAGGTAATTTGTTTAAATTACGAACATCAATCTATTACTATTACTAACAACATATGGTTATATAATAGGTACTTGTAAATACAAATAAAAATACAAAGAAAGAATTAAAAGAATTATATCCTAGTTTTGTAATAACGTCAACAACAGATTATGAATCGAATAAATTACAAGAACAACAACAACAAAAACAACAGAATATACAATATAATAATTTAGATATTAATAATAATAATTTAGAGAACAACAATAATAATAATTTTAAACAATATTTATATTTACCATTTAAAACGAATATAAGTATTGATCAGAATATTGGAGAGTTAACTTATAACGCTAGAAAACCACCTTATGAAGTTAGTAGAGGATCACCCTATAGCCATCCACATCGATGTTTCTTCCACCCGGTGACAAAGGATGTTACCACTACGAGGTCGGTACTACCGCTGTTTTGTGTGGCGTTGTTGGGCTTGGTGACAGTTGCCTCTAGTTTTCTGGTGTTATCACACTCACTAAGACAGCGATTCAATCAGATTCCACTGATATTCATCATCTATATAGTTCTACAAATAATATCACTGGCATTCCTTGACACTGTCGACTATACATTCTATGACCTTGCGCATCAGATAGTAACACGAATCATTGTCTTTGGCATAGCTGACCTTGCCTACGAGTTCCTCACCAATTCACAACAAGAACGTGCCACTTTTCATATTTTCGTATTCGTATTATATATTGCTGGATACTATCATATAATCGTATAAACTTAACTTCACCATCTTCATTTTTTAAAACAAAACAAAACAAAATTAAAAACAACCAACCAACTAAACATATTTGATACACATATAAATAATGTATCATCCTATAATAAAATTTCATTTGCATTGTTCAAACAAATTGGTTTATTGGTGGTAACTTTGTGGGTGATATTTTAATATTACCAATTATATAATCTGACTCTTTATTTTTTTAATTAATTATATATTAGTATTACTTTCTTATTTTATTGTTATCTTTATCTTTTGTTTACTTATTTTGTTTGTTGTTTTAATTTTAGTTAAAATGAATTATAATTATATTCTAGTTATAGTTATTTTGATAGTTTATTGTTTTTGTTTTGAGTTTGTCGAAAGCTCAATAACTTCAAGCTCAATATCAAACAATGCTAATGGTAACACTGTTTATGAAGCTGTAAAGAGTAGAATACTATGGGCTTTAATTCTTGCCACTGCTATTGCTAGTCGTGGCTATAAAAAGAAATCGTTGTCAAATGACGGTGCGATTGTTGCTTGGTGTATAGGTGTTGTCATTGTAGTGTCGGGCTGGATATTCGCCGTTTTAATGTTATCTTTCTACTTTTCCTCTTCCTATCTCACTAAATACAAGTCAGCAATCAAAAAGAAGGTGGAGGAAGATCATCGAGATGGTGGTCAGCGAAACTACATTCAGGTACTATCAAACAGCTTGACGGGTGCCACCTTTGGGTTACTCTATTTACTGGTTGCAACCAATTCCACAGTCACCTATATATATTCCTCTTCCAGGTACTTGGAAATATTCTTACTATGTGCAGCACTAGGACATTACGCTGCTTGTAACGGCGATACTTGGGCATCAGAGTTGGGTGTACTCAACAAGAGACAACCGATACTTGTCACCACCTTCAAAACAGTGCCTGCAGGCACCAATGGTGGTATCAGTCCAATAGGTACACTTGCATCGATTGTCGGTGGTACATTCATTGGTCTATCTTATTATCTATGTTGTTTCCTGCTGAACCGAGATTGGCCAACACAATCGCAATTACCAATCGTATTCTTAGGTACTTTTGCTGGATTCTTTGGATCATTAGTATGTTGTTGTTATGAGTGAATAGCAAATGATAAAATAATTAACTAAATACGTTATATAATAGCTTGATTCTATATTAGGTGCAACATTACAATATTCAGGTTGGAATTCAAAGAAAATGGTTGTAACTAATCATCCTCCTAACAACCCTTCAAATACCGATGATATAAAACACATCACTGGAAGTGATATTCTAGATAATCATCAAGTTAATTTCTTATCATCTTTTATAACGTCTATAATTTGTGGATTCGTTGGTTGTTATATATTTTAATAAATAAATGATTTGAAATCAAATATCGTTCGTTTTTTAAAAATTAAAACATTTTATTTTAATTAATTAAACAAAAATGGAAAACAATAATAAAGATAGAGATGATATTATAGAAGAACAAGATCTAGATGATATAAATGATGATAATATAGATACAGAATGTAATATTACTGATGATATAAAGAGAGTTTCAATATATAATAATAATAATAATAATGATAACAATGATGATAATAATAAAAAGACACTTCTTGAAAGAGTAAATAATGGAGAATTTATGAAGATTGCTGCACCTATGGTTAGATTCAGTAGATTACCCTTTAGATTACTATGTAAAAAGTGGGGTTGCGATATAACCTATTCACCAATGATTCTTGCTGAAGCATTCAATAGAAGTGCATATGCAAGAGATTCTGACTTTTCAACAAATATATGTATGTATAAATTTATTATTGTTATTATCTGGTGATTTCTATCAATAATTATTAAACTAAACATTTATTATTATCCTCTCTATAATTATTATAGTTGATGATTCTTTAATTGTACAATTTGCTGCGAATTCAGCTGAAGAGTTGGCAGCTGCTGCCGAAAAAGTGGCGAAACACTGTCAGGGTGTCGATATAAACTGTGGATGTCCTCAGAAATGGGTGATGAAAGAAGGTTACGGTGCGAATCTATTGCAACATCCTCAAAAGATAACGGACATGGTGAAACAGGTAAACAATCGTGTCGGCATTCCCTGTTCAATAAAGATTCGTGTCGATAAGAACTTGCAAAAGACGGTGGAACTGGTGAGACAAGCCGAAGCATCGGGTGTGTCGTGGCTGGCAGTACACGGACGTACCTCTTCGCAGCGTAGTTCTCACCCGGTAGACTACGAAGCTATCAAGCTGGTGAAGGAGTCGGTTTCGATACCGGTGTTTGCTAACGGTGATATCTTCACGCTGGAGCAAGCGAACGAGGTGAGAGAGCGCACCAAAGTCAACGGTGTAATGACGGCGAGAGGTATCCTATGCAATCCTGCGCTCTTCAAAGGCTACAACGTCACGCCACCCGAATGCATCTCCGACTTCCTCGATATCTACACAGAGTACGGTGGATTGCATCCCAACATCTTTCACCGACATCTTATGTATATGCTTTTCGATGTCCACAACAAGAATGGTAACTATTATTAACAAATTTGAATTTGAAATCAAATCAACAACAAACATATCAATCAAATAACTAACATTAACAAAAACCAAAAACACCAGAGAAACTAGAATTTAATAGATTAAACACAACAACAGGAATTATAGATTATTTAAAAGATAAATATTTGTTTGAAGAATAATTATAATAATAGTAGTTTATATAAATCAGATATTCAAATACAATTTATTATTACATAGATAATGTGTTTGTAAAAATCAACTATGATGTTGTTAGTTTAGTTTGTTTAGTTTTGTATTATTATTATTTAGTTTAGAATGATGATGAATAAAGCATGCTTTAGTTTGATTTTTTTTTTTTTTTTGATAAATATATTACATGTATCCACAACATTTATTCATACTTTCAGCATTCTTCATGAATGCTTTACTTTGGAAACTTAGATCGTCACTCTTTGATGCAAGATCTTCGAGCTTGGCACCACGCTGTCCGAGTTGTTCAACTGTTTTCTTTACGATTGAAATTGTCTCATCGAGATTCTTCTGTAGGCTGAGCATTGGATCAGCTTCGTGTGGATTCTGGTATTTAACTATGGTCTGCTCGAGTTGTGGTGTCGACATGTCGACGTCGGCCGTCGCCGACTTCCACTTGTCACCGTGAGCCGCTGTGAATTGATCCATGGCAACTCTCGTCAGTACGTGTGCAACACGATCTGGATACTCGCCGTCGGTCAACACCGCACAAGCCAAGCCATTGGAGACAAGCGTTGCATGACACACCTTCTTGCTGGCTTCGTGCAACACACTGAGTCGCTCATTCACATTGATACGCTCGACAGTCTCTCTCGAAACGAACAGAGCAATCTCCTTGACCGACGATCTCTGGAAGAATCCAAACGACGACAACTCATATACTATATTTAAAAGAACCGGTTTCTGACCTGGAACCACCTTAAAAAGTCCAATTGAATATACAATCATCTTTGCTATATCTATATATCTCTATTCTATCTTGTAATGTTTGTTTCTAAACTTTATTTTCTTTCTCTAACTTTCTCTAATAACTTTCTTAATTAATTTGATCTATTTAATCTCTAAATTAATAAAGTTTTTTGTTTAATAAATAAATAAATATATATAATAAAAAAACTAGTTTAACACTTTTTAAATAAATTAGGTAATATAATTTTATGTATGTTTTTTTGTTTTTTATTTTTTTATTTTTGTTTTTTATTTTTATGTGTTTGCAACAACACGTGGTTATTAACTTGAAAAATATTCTCTTTTTTCAAAGACCGTTTCAAAGATAAAATTAGATATCAGGAAATTAATTTAGAAAGTTACTAAACTTTTACTTTTTCTTATTTAATTTTAGATCTGTTTATTTTTTTTTGATTGTTAGTTGTAAAAAAAATAAGAAACATTTATAATAATTTTTAAATAAATTTAATGAATGGACCTTTTTGTTAGATTAACTAACGATAACAATAAGAATGTTTAATATTGATATCTGGTGTGATGTGCAGACACACAAAAAAAAAAAAACTATAACGTTAACAAAAAAATTCAAAAATTCAAATTTTTTACATGTTGAACTCATTGAATGTCATAATAAAAAAAATCACACAAAACTAAACCAAGATAACAAAGTGGTTGCTTTCCGATAATATTAGAACATCTATCTATTAATCGATTAAATTAACGAATAATAATAACATTAATATTAGTAAAAGTTTATTTTAGTTAGTTTCTTAGATATTACTTCTTTTATTGACTTTTCGAAAACAAAAACAAATCAATCAATCACCCTTTGATATACATATACATTGAATATATAGACAAAAATGACTGTAAACTATCATAACAATCAAAAGAAATTAATCATCTTATTCAATCGAACAACAACAACAACAATAGGTCAACCATCAATTACATTTTTCAATCTATGAACATGACTGACTTGTATTATTATGACTCATAGAGGATATATAAGAAGAGAAAAAAAAAAGAGTTAGATAGATAGATCATCATTAAAATAACAAAATGATGATGAATTATTTAGACACAGGAATTTGTATCATATATCAATTAAAGAAAGAAAAACGAACGAATGAATGCATTTGAATAATTTATAGATTTGATTTAGTTTGGTGGAATGTTGAATTAATTTGGTTGATCTATATATATATATAATTGCAAAAGATGAATGATGATAATATATATATTAAAAAGAAGACAAGAATAACTAATATAATTTTTATTTAACAATTATTATAGAGTCAATTACAACCAGTTCCAATTTATCAAGAGAATGCTTCAGAGGAGAGAGGTGAAGTTGCACGTCTCTCATCTTTTGTCGGTGCCATTGCACTGACTGATTTGGTAAAGACAACACTCGGACCAAAAGGTATGGATAAGATCTTGGCCTCTATGAGCAATCCCAACGAGATTACAGTGACCAACGATGGTGCTACCATCCTCACAAAGATCTATATCGACAATCCAGCTGCCAAGATCTTGGTAGACATCTCACGTACACAAGACGACGAAGTCGGTGACGGTACCACCTCTGTTTGCGTATTGGCAGGTGAACTCCTCAGAGAAGGTGAGCGTTTAGTCGCACAAAAAGTACATCCACAAACAATCATCAACGGTTGGCGTTTAGCTTTGGATACCGCACGTTCAACCCTCGTCGCATCAGCAATCGATCATTCATCAGACAAAGGTAAACATACACAGCAAAGTGCAATAACAATTTAGTGGTACAAAATGATTAACAATCTCCTTAAAATCAAATAATCACACAGATAAATTCAGACAAGATTTAATCAATATAGCAAAAACAACATTGAGCTCAAAGATTTTACATACAGAGAAGGAACATTTTGCAACGATCGTTGTGGATGCCATTCTTAGATTGAAGGGTAATAATAATTTAGAGAATATTCATATCATTAAGAAGTCGGGTGGATCGTTGCGTGACTCCTACCTCGAGGATGGTTTCATCTTGGAGAAGCGTATCGGTGTCGGTTGTCCAAAGCGTATGGAGAATGCAAAGATTTTGATTGCCAACACTGCAATGGACACCGATAAGATTAAGATTTTCGGTGGAAAGGTCGTTGTCGAGTCGATGAACGAGTTGTCGAAGCTCGAGGATGCCGAAAAGACAAAGATGCTCGAGAAGTGCAAGAAGATCGTCGACCACGGAATCAACTGTTTCATCAATCGTCAGTTGATCTACAACTTGCCAGAGCAATACTTTGCCGAGCACGGAGTCTTGTCGATTGAGCACGCCGACTTTGAGGGTGTCGAGCGTCTCGCCTTGGTCACCGGTGCCGAAATCGTGTCGACCTTTGACCATCCAGAGCTCGTCAAGATCGGTACTTGCAAGTTGATCGAGGAGGTCATCATCGGTGAGGACAAGGTCATCAAGTTCTCCGGACTTCCAGACAGCCAAGCCTGCACTATCGTGTTGCGTGGTGCCACCTCACACATGTTGGAGGAGGCAGAACGTTCGATCCACGACGCTCTCTGCGTCTTGTCGGTGACTGTCGGTGAGACACGTACCGTTTTGGGTGGTGGTTGTGTCGAGATGGAAATGGCCCAGGCCGTCGACAAGCTCGCTGCCAACACTCCAGGAAAGAAGGCATTGGCTATCGAGTCATTCGCCAAGGCACTCCGTCAAATCCCAACTATCATTGCCAACAATGCCGGTTACGACAGCTCAGAGCTCGTCGCTCAACTCAAGGCTGCCCACTACCAAGGTAAATCGCAAATGGGTCTCAACATGAAGGAAGGATGTATAGGAAATATTGTAGATTTGGGAATTATCGAATCATTCAAAGTTAAACAACAAGTACTCGTATCTGCACACGAAGCCGCTGAAATGATCATGAGAGTCGACGACATTTTGAGAGCCGCCCCAAGAAAGAGAGAACCAATGGGACGTCATTAAATGATTATATCAAATCAAAAAATAAAATAAAAAAAAAAAAAAAAAACATTACACCAAATTAATCGATGCCAATTACCACAAGCTTAACTTCACAATACCTAATTCTATCTCCCAAGGAATCAATGCCAATTGCTCTGCAATAACTCGTAAATATAAATCCGATTGGAATCTAAATCCTTTCAACTACGTGCCACCACTTTATACTGTTGATCATCAACACTCAACTACTGTTAGATCTATTCTATCCTAATACTATGCAACTTATTAATTAATTATAACTATAAACAATAATAATAATAATAATAATAATATTTTATTGGCTATTTCTCACGGTCTGTGTGATAAATATTTAATATAAAAAACGAACTAGCAGGTTTATATCAATACCTGCAATTTGTTGACTGATCATGAGTCAAGGACAAGGAAGATGAACATAGATTTTATCCAAGAATTGAAATCACTAAGACATCTTCTTACAATGAACTCTCTGATGACTTGAAGAATACCCTCTCTATTTCCTAGTACTTTGAGAGACAAGAGGAACTTTGGTCTCAAATTGGATTACAAAGATTACCAAGATTACCTTTAATTAAAGGATGTACAAGTTTAAAAAAGGTTAAACAAACAATATTTATAAACTATTTGAGAATCATTTACTAATTGTTTATTATTTAAAGATATGTTGGTTTGGGCGAGCATTTTGGGAAAAAATAAGTGATTTTTTTTTTGGAAGTTTTTTTATTGTTTATTTGTTACTATCACATAATCTCTTTTACAGATTTTAATTTGATACACAAATAGATCCCAGAATTGTATAAGTTTTTATTTCTTTTCTACATTGCAAATGATATCTATAATGGTATTTCGACAGTTCGTCAACTTGATACTCATCGTATCTGTACCCAAGTCTGTCTACTAGATCGGCCACGATTCATCCTTTTGGTTGGGGTAAAGTACAATGTTCAGCTTCTTTCTGATTAGATCAACAAATTGCTTTTTGGCTCCTCTGTTGGCCGACTTTGCTTGTTGGCCTTCTTAACTTCCTTGGCCTTCATCAACACATTTTCATATTCGCTCTCCAATGCCAGATTTGCCAAAATAGACTCTCAGTTCGTATACTTGACTGTTAATAAAGAATAGTTATTGTGGAAGAAAAAAGGTGCGATTTTTATTTTTTTTCAATTGTTGGATTTATTTTAATTAAATAATATGGGTTAACCATGGTGGAAAAACAAAAAATGATTTATTCTCTTGAGAAACAGAAAAAAAGTTAATCAAATTGGTAATCTTTTTCTGCAATATTTAGTCCTACTGCACCTAAAATACTTACCCAAAAGCCTATTGCGTATGTTTTTACCATTTTATATTAATTATATAGATGTGATTGCCCATCTAAGTGCATATCTAATGTCATTCTATTGTGGACTAAAATTTTTCATACCGAATCAACCAAAGCTATTGGATAGAGTATCAGGTAAATATCTACACTCTCGCATTTACTGGAGATTCAAAGGAACTGGTCAAAGATTGTGAAATATTGATGATCAAGACCATTTGGTTGACGATTGATCAGAATATGGTTGATGCCTTTTGTGAAATTAGGAAGTTTCTCGGACTTCTGTTGTTTCCTCTTCCTCACCTCCTTTTGATCCTTTTCTTGTTCAATATCTTCCTCTTCTTCTTGCCCTTGATTCTCATCGGTCTCCATGTTATCTTCCATTGGTGTTTGAGTTTCGTCTTCCCAACCGGTGGAGGAAAGGAATTTCTTCATCGTAGTCGGAGTGAGGCATTTGTTGGGATGTAGAACGGAAACATATTTCTTTTGGTCGATATCCAATATTGAAGCAAGTTTGACTTCACGACAATTGTACAGTTCTCGATCCTTGATGGTATCGTTGGAATTTGTGAATTTCATAGAGTTGAAAAGATATTGGACTGTGTCCAGATCTGAAGATCGTACAGAAACGTCGACAAGTCCACCTGGAGCATTGAGAACAAGAGAGAAATTGTCCATTGATCTTGTTGATTCCGGTTCATGGCGAGGTGCCTCGATATAGGTCGTGTTGTTACTAACATGGAATGTAGTACCTCGGAGTCGATTGGGATAGTAGCTTGCATCTATGCCAAAAAGTTCTTGGAGAGTGATTGGTTGGGGAGAAAGAGTCTTGGAATTGAGAGAGTGATATGGTGTCTTGATAAAATGGAATGCTGTCATCCTTGCGACGAGATAGTGACCTGCGAGTTTTTCAAACTGAGCAAATGAGTAATCTCCGTCTTGGACAATATTGAGAGCAAGCTTCAGATGATGGTACATGGTTGGAACGTGGTTTGGATAGAAATTATGTGGCTGATAATCGATATAGTTGTAAATGAAGTAGAGTGGAAGCTTGACAACATTCTCAGGGCCGAGAGACAGTAGACCATTGCTCTGTAGTTGTTCTAAGGTATATGAAGAGTCACCTGATTGTAATCTGGTGCCTTCAGCGTTACTGACTCCACATATCGAATAGGCAATGATTGATGGATAGAAGTTTTTATTGATTGTGCCATAGTCGTATTGAAAGGAGGTTTTGCATTGTGCAAGGATCTCGCTTGTTTTGTTGTTCAGATTGAAGCTTTCTTTCTTGATATGCCTAATCATGATATCCAATGGTCGTGGCCATCCTCCTGTGAATTCGAGGGCTCTCATGATGTCTCTGGTTTGGAATTTGGGTTCAAGAGAGTTAATGATGCTCTTCAGGGCTCCAGAGGAGAGAAATTGTAGTGAGAGCGGTATGTAGCCATGAGATGATTCCTCGTGAATGATCTCGGAGATTTCGCCAATGTGTATACCAGCCAGAGAGATATTGAAAAAGAATGATGAGAATGACGAAACATGGAGAGTTGCTAGCTCCTCTCGAATGATTGCTTTGAGCTTGGATCTTCTCATTTCTAGATCCGAATCTGATGTAAGAGTTCTTTGAAACTCATCAATGCCAAAGTTGACCAATATTACATCATTCTCTGCAATGGGAGTCTCCAAACTGTCATTGAAAGTTTGATCTTCTTGTTGTTTCCAAAGCCTTATACAACGGAAGCAGAGCTCGGTAGTTATCTTTTCGTGAATAAATGATTCTAAGAGGTCGTTGACAAAACCATCGAATGACGTAATGTTGGAGCCATCGACAAAGTATCTGAAGAGGATTCGAGTGCACAAACTGAGTCTTGCTGAGGATTCCACGATGCTATTGGGTTTGTACGGTGTTTTGCTGCCGAAAGAAATGTTGATATTGATCTGGCGTGTAGGTAGCTTGGATGACTTTCTTGTATAATCGCCAATGCTCTCAAGGATACGTGTCTTGCCAATGCCTGGAGCACCATAGATGACGTTGAATGGATGATTATTCTTGTTTCCATCTCCGAGGAATGCGATTCGAGTGAGCACATTGCCAATGATCTTATTGAGTTCGTTGTCTCTTCCTTCCAATGGCAAGGAGTGAGAGGTAAAGGGTGGCGGCTCACGGGGATTGCCATATCTCCTGATCAGCCATGAAAGTACAAGCTCAGCTGTTGGTACCACTAAAAAAAGAAAAAAAGTAAACGAATGCAGAGGAAATATGCCGTATGTAAAGAGTTGAATAGAAGGATAGTGACAAAGATAAAAGAAATGAGAATGAGAATATATATATATATATAATAATGTGTTAGCAATATATTGAAAGAGGTTAGGGAATATAAGCTAAAAGGATAATATTTCAAATAAATTGTTTAAACTTACGTATTTGTTGACCTGCAATGAACAAGGAAGGTAGAAAAAGAAGTTATAGAGAGTTCGGAAGGATGTTTAGGTTTGATGGGTAATAGTGTTTTGTTGATGTAGATGTATGTGTGTATGTAGGAAACGATTGAAGTAATATGATTGGTAGGGTAATGAGCGGTGTGAGAGGCGAGAAGAAAGAGAAGGAGAAGAAGAAAGTGTAAATATAGTACAAGACAAGATAACAAAAGGGAGAAGGAGAATATGAGGAGTGGGCTGGTTAGTATCATAGGTGGTTGGTTTGTAGACTTGAAGGTAGATGTACTTACCTTGCTGTGGTTGAGTGGTGGCGACATAGATTCGCTGAAGATTCCTATCGACTGGAGTCTCAACATCAAGTTGAATGGTCTTGGCTGCATCAGAGAACAAATCGATAGAACCGTAACCTACAGAGAGTTGTTTGGAACCTCTGATGACAGGGATGAGACGATTATAGTTGGCGGTGTTCTCGAAGGTGAGTTTGTCTTTCTTGTTACTAAACTCTACCCAACAAGTGAACGGTGGGTGTTGTTGTTGCGACATTATGAAAGCAGCAAAGAATAATATATAGATGGATAAAGTAAAGGAGAATGAATCGAAAGAAATAAATAGCTACTGATAAGGATGAGAGTGTATGAGTAACAATGAAAGATGAAAAGATAGTATATGTTGTGATAGAAAGTGATAATGATGTAGTTTGAGTATTGAAGATGAAGAAATAGTAATTGTGTGAGCTGAATAGAAATAAAATGAAATGAAGTGAATCTATAAAAACTCAAAATAAACAAGTAATAAATATTTAGGGTGGTTATTCAAGAACAAAATGATATTTTTAATTTTGTGAATTTTTTTAAATGAAGTCAATTAATTCACCTTCAGATAATTGTTCTGTGAAACATTTTTTTTAGTTTGAATAAGATGTAATGATCCTCCTCTACCATATCGTAGTGGTTAAGATGATTCCTTGTCCATAGTAAGATTCCAAGATAACATATAACACATCTATCGAAATTAATTTTACATAATGCATGTAAAACCTTGGGGGATACCTGGGACTACTTTTATGGAATCATTTATTACTACTAACGTTAGTAAAGGCACTACTACTATTCAGAGAGTGCAGTAGTCAACATAACACCTGCTAATCTCCATTAGATACTTATATTCTTTGATATCTCACTCTCAATCGTATTATCTTTAGCATCTCATGTACCTCACTGTTTGATATCATTGCATAGGTATATCCCTGTAATCTCATCCTTTCTTGGTTGCAACATGTTCAATGACATTGCATACACCTCCAAATCCAACAATTACAAACCTATCAATTCCTTTATTATCAATAATCATGTTCAACTTGTCAATCCATTCATCAGGAGTCTCTTCCTTTCTCTTCTTCAATGGCAGTTCTTTTTTCAACCATGACAGGTCATGATAATACTGGATGATACGCTTCTCTTGTTCTCTTCTTCTATCTGATCTTCATTCGCCTGGTCATCATCAACCATGTCAAGGTTATCATCTTCAACCATGGAATCATCATCATCAGATGACATGTATGGATGATTATCACTGGCGTCTGGATCACATGTATTGGTGACAACAGGTTTTGACAATGTAATCACTTAAATGTCATCAACTTCAACAGGTATGTCATCAATAACATACTCAACCCGGTTTACCAACATGTCATGGTCTGCTACTTGCTTTGTTGTCGATGACCTGTTCCCAACATAGGTTGTTATCCATGTTCTTGACATGCCTGGTACATCTATTTCCTTTGCTCTTTCCACGTTTAAACACTTGTTGGCATACATTTGCCATGCTTTCACTCTCTCTTTTTAACAACAGGAAATAGCAATGCACTTACAACATAAAGTTAAAAAATTTATCATATGATTTGTCTCTTTTATTAGTCAATATAATATTTTATTTTTTTAATAATAAGAATATTAGTGATCAGTGTTGATAAATGAATCGATATAAATAAATAGATTTCTTTTAATAATTAATTTTGTTTAGATTTTTTTTTCTGTTAATTACCGCCTTTTGAGACCAGAATTCAACCAATCTTTAAATGTGGTTGTCAAAAAATAGTATCGAAAAAAGATGAAAAAATCTAAAAACTAAAAAAAACCAGATATTTTTAATCGTCATCTAATCAACTGACATTTTTGCAAAAAAAGAAAAAAAAAAAAGTAAATAATCTTGATTAGATGTGGGGCAGTTGATTTTCGAAACTTTTAAAAAAAAAATCAAAATATTTGCCCCAGCAAAGCATGTTGGGAACCATCCAAAAATGTTCCCTCTCCAAGTTGTTGTCATGTTGTTTTTGCTCCTTGAAGATGGGTCAACATCACATTATGCAAGGATAACAACAACAATATTAAACAAAAAAAAAAAAAAAATCAAACAACAAAAACAAAAATATTATTATACATCTTATACCAAATTGTGTACCGTTTTTTTTTTCTCTTTAATGATCTTTGTTGTGACATGAACCGAAATAACTTGTTGTTTTGTTAAATGTATAAACAATTTCATACTGACTAGCACTTGACCACCTTTATTTTTTTCAAATCACCCATCCACAAAAACCACAATTATCTTTGGAGCCCGGAACAACCAACTACTCTTCTATTAGATTTCTACAGACTACACTTTTTTTAGCCATCATAAATCCCCCACCACCAATAATCTGCGATTCTTTTCTTTTCTTTTCTTTCCATTCATTTATTATTATCATTAATCATTCACAAATAGATATTCAAAGTATTTATTTACTTTTCTATATATATATATATCTATAAATAAAATTTAAAATAATATTTTCTTGTATAATAGTAGTAGTAAATTATTATATATATTTTTATTTTATTTTGGTTAATAGTTAATAATTAATAAGTAAGCTAGATAGATATAATAATGATAAATAACTCGTATACGAGTTGTCTTAGACAACTGATAGTGTTGGCACTATCAATCACTGTAATATATAGTACAATCGCCAACGCCCAAACCGAACAAGAATATTTCGATAACATCGATAGGATGTTGAGTTGTAACTCATCGCAGCCAGCCTCAGAACAGATCCGTATCGGTATGATCATGCCACAAGGTGATCCAGAGTACTATCAATACAGATACACTTCGAATCTCATGATGATTCAATATCTCAGTATTTTCCAAGGATTCGGAAAGACCCTCTGTAGAATCGATATCCCAGAGTACGACCAATTGGTTCTCGACTCTTTCGATTTGGCAAACGGTGTCGCCGGAAAGTACGATAAGGTTCACGCCGTCATTGGTCCAGCCTATTCATCGTCTGGTACCACAGCCAGTTTGATTTTGGGTGCCTATGGTGTTCCAAACATTGGATTCTTTGCATCTGCAGCCGCTCTTTCCAATTCCGGTACCTACCCGGCATACAATCGTGTTTTCCCATCGGACGACTATCAGGTCAAGGCCATTTTGGAGTTGGTTAAGCACTACGGATGGACTCGTATTTCCTGTGTGCACACTCGTGAGGACTATGGAAATGGTGGTGCCACTATTCTCTCACAAAGAGCTGCTCTCCAGGGAATTACCGTTGACACCATTCAGGCTGTCGAGCCAATTGGTTCTACCTCTCCATCTGAAGCCGACTACGATATGATCTTCAACAACTTGGAGGATGCTCGTGCCAGAATCATCGTTACCTACGCTATTTTCCCACAGGATTGCATTGGACTTTGGAATCACTCTCTGAGACACAACTACTTGGAAAAAGGTATTCTCTGGATTGTAACTGACGGTTGCGCAGAGATGGTTGATGTCAACCCAGACTACCAAGGTATCATCTCATTCTTCCCCAACTACAATAGCAACGGATATGCCAATCTCGTTAAGAATGTCACCAGCTACAAGCTGTTGCTCCAAGACAGCTTACAAAGCGAAGTCGGAAAGATCTTCTATAAGGGTGCAGCATTCTCATCGGACGCAACCGAGGCATTGATGATTGCATTTAAGAACATCCTTACAACCAATAGAAATGCCGATCTTCTCGATAGAGCTATGGTACTCGAGCAACTTAGATCGGTTTCATTCCAAGGTTACTCTGGTCCCGTCGAACTCGACGCCAATACAGGTGACCGTAAGAACCCAGTCTTTGTTATCTCCAACTACATCAAGAACAATGGAACCTATTCGTTTGTAAATGTTGCTTCAGTCGCACTTCAAGATGAAGAGAGTGTCGTTACATTTAAGCGTCCAATTGAATTCATGGGTGGTACTTTCGACCCACCTTCAGATCGTATGTATATTTTTAACAAACCAATTAACACAAATCTATTTACATATCAACTAACAATATAATAATAATAATAATATAGACAAGGTTGTTAAATTCTCAGTTCCATTAAACTCTGCACTCGGTGCAGTAACAGGTGTTTGTATTATTTTAGTTTTATTCATTGGTATCACAATCGTTATTCAATGGAGAAAGTTCAGATATTCATCACCACTTTTCTGTTGTTTGATTATTCTTGGTGTAAGTTTGCTTATAAATTCAAACAAAGAAACAATAACTAGTTTACTAATCTAGATTTATCAATTTTTATCTTCTTTTATCTTTTTTTCTTCCTTCTTTTCCAGTCATTATTTGGATTTATTTCCATTTTAACATTGTTACCAGAACCAAATGATGCACTTTGTACATCATTCCCATGGTTACTTGGTTATGGTTATGTCATTATGTTTGGTACATTGTTCACAAAGACATGGAGAACATGGCGTTTATTCGCAAATGCCAGAAAGTTCAAGATCATCAAGATTTCAAACAAGATGATTTTCTCTGTTGTAGGTGCATTCCTCTTGATTGAAAGTGCATTCCTCGTCATCTGGACCATCGTAGATCGTCCCAAGGTCAGTGCTGAACCAATCTACCGTAACGGTGAGGCACAGAACCAATGTGTAACCGACTCTCTCGCCTGGTGGTATGTATTCTGTCTCTCCAAGGTGTTCTACGTCATCGTCGGTGTCTTCCTCGCCTACAAGACACGTGACGTCGTCGACTCTTTGAACGAATCGAAACCAATCTCTATGGCACTCTACAACATGGTGTTCGTCATGTTGGTCGCCATTCCAATCGGTTTCCTTCTCACCGACTACCCAACTGCAGTCATCGTAATCGAAGTCGTTGCCATCCTCTTGGCATTCACTGCAACCGTTGGTTTGCTCTTCTTGCCAAAGGTCTGGTTGATTGTCAGTGGTCAACAAAAGTCGATCGATACACGCGATAGCTCAAGCAACAGCTACCACTCTGAGATGCAAACACGTCCATCTCACAGCAGCAGCGGAAACAACAACAGTAACAACAACAACAACAGCAGCAGCAACGGCACCAAACAATCTTCGATGCGTGTGCGTGACAGCGACAAGATCCAGAACGAGATTACTGCATCTAACAATTCTAGCAGCGGAAACAATGCAGGTTCTGTTGGATTCGTATACACCGGTGGTGATCCTCTACCAAAAACAACTTCACTAGAAGCATCAACAACCCCACTCACAAACAATGATGTATAATAATAATAATAATAGAACACAATATGATATAATATAAATTCATTAATTTAAATTGCACAAACTCTCTAAATATATATATATTTAGTTATAGTTATAATTTTATAACTTATAGCCCGACTATTATCAAACTTATATTAGAATACATTACAAAGTATAATATAACAAAACATAACAAATAAAAAACAAAACATTTTTAAAAAAAAAAAAAAAAAGAAGAAACAAAAAAAGGTAAATTATTATTCATAAATTTATTTGAACTCAATTCCTTTAACCCAATGAAGATTCATAAAATTATATATAATTTGATATAGATTCAGTATGATGTGGGATGTGGTAAATGTGGTGATATAAAATTGGCAATGAATTGAATCTCTATAAAAAAACTCGTTGGATCATGAATGTTGATATCAATGTGGTAATGATAGAACGTCACAAGTTACAATTTATATAATAACTAAAAAAATAAAATTTTATATTAGTTATTATATAAATTGTAACTTGCCTCCACTACTGTGAACAGTTAAACTGCCAATTATGATATTTCATTTTATTTCTCAAATTATTCAAGCACCAAAATGAAAACAAGTCTATATAATTTTCTCATATAATTAAAATTGCCAAATGCGAAAATTCCATTGTACATTAGGAGATAATCACATTTATTCTAATAACAATAGAATTCTATATCCTAATTTGTTGTTGGTATGTACTTTGAAAATAAAAAGATTCTTCTTTGCAACCAAAAGAATTATCTTGGAAACATTAAAATTTTAAAAATTGAGCGAATCGTCCAAAAATGGATGGTTTGATTTTAATTGAACACACACAATGTCGACTCGAACACACCAACAACAAAAGTTCTAGATTCACTGGTTTAGGTCCTTTTTGCCACCATCTTTTGTTTTGGTTTTTCATTTTTTTAAAATTTTTTGAATTGATTACGAACTTAAATCACTGACAAAATCTATCTGAACCCACATTTTTTAAAAATTTCAAAATTAATTAATTTTTGTTGTAACCTTTTTACTCGGTGGGGTGTCGACACTTGGAGTGATATTGAATCAATAGACCAAGGGTCACAAACACTCACAATTAAGAAATCGCAACTGTTTTTTTCTTTCTGTTTTAGTATCATTAGCAACACACACAACGAATAAAATGAATAAAAAAGAAGATCTAATACTGGGTCACACTACCTTCTGTAGTTACATTCCCAATGTTTTGTTTACAACATAAAAATTTCATAAACATACTTTTGTAGATTAACTCATATAATAAATAATAATAATAAATAATAATATAGTTTTTATATAATAAATATTTTCTTATAAGAAATTTTAGTTTACTCTTAATAAATAAATATTTATATTTTAACAAATATTTATATTTAAATAAAACGAACGTCTTGATAATGATATAGTACTTTATCGTATTTTTATTTAAAATGTATGTTTATAAATTCGTAATAGAGCAACCCAAACCACAAAAAAAAAAAAAACAAAAACTACCCCAAAACACAAACAACCACATTATAATAACGAATTACTCATCATAATCCAAAGTCTATTTATATTTTTATTTTATGAAAATAAATATGTTCACCACCCTTTCACTCAGATATAATGAATGATATATGTTAATTTTCACCAAAAATGCATGACTTTATCATAATTTTTAAAGTAATTTTAAATTTATCTGGAAATTATATTTTTTTAATTAATTACTTTTATTTTTTATTTTAAAAAAAGTGATTTATATTGTTATGATTTGTTGTTATTTGATTCAATTTTAAATTTAATTATATTTATGACAGGTAATCTTAATATATCTTGTAATATTATTGATCTATTTAGATCTTTTATCAAATTATTTGTATTTTGTGTTGTTTTTTTTTTAACCACTTCATTTTGGATAGATTTAACTTTATTTATACATTCGATCAAAAAGTTATGTAATCAATAATTGTTTTTTACCACGTAATCAATCACCCCCACTGGATATTAAGGATAATTTCATCATTTATGGAAATATTGGTTGATATTTATAGATTATATGTCAATTTATTTATTTTTTATATAGATAATCGGCAGGATTGTAATCATAAATCTATAGATCTAACAAATTCCAGATCATTTTATTATATATCATTATATTTAATATCTTATAAATTACAATGTAAATATTATTACAATTAACTCTACCATTAACTAGTTTTATTTAATTCAATATTGAACTCCTTGGAGTTACTCATACCCTAAAAAAGGTAAAGTTTATTTATTTGTTTGAAATTTAATCAAATACATATCCATAAATAAATAAACCAATCATCAATTGTTTACTTTTGAAATTGCAATAGTTATATAAATTTGTTTTTTTTTTTTTTGATTTGAAAAATGTTGTTGTTGTAAAATTTCACTGTGCTATGGTATTGCTGTTGGGTGTCATTTACATCTTGATTTATTAAATTTGAATTGGTCATATTAATTAATCCTTTTTATTAATTTTAAAATACGATTTATTAGATGGATAGTAATAATAATAATAATCATAATATCGGCAGTGATGGTAAAAAAGACAAATCAATTATCAACAATAATAATAATGATAATAATATAGAACATATTGATAATCAAAATTCAGTTTCAGGTAGTTCCAATAGTTGGAGTACTTGTTCTACTGTCAGTGATAATTCATTTGTCTTAAATTACTTTGATCCAATCTATGCCATTTCAGACGACCAAGAATACATGGATCCATACAGTCCTTCGCTCGACCAGAAGTTGACCTTCAAGTTTAATGAGAATATCCATTCTCTCAGTTCTTCAAGTCATGTTCCAATTGTCTCAATAGTTCAAACCAACAACGGTTCATCAAATAATCAAATTAATGATTATCAAAAACAATTTAAAAATGTTGAGAATAATCAAACCAATTTTGAATCAATAGTAGATAATAATAATAATAATCATATTCATCCAAATAATATTGTTTTGGAAAAAGTTAAAGATAATGATAGTGAAAGAAAAGTAATTTTTACAACACCAAAATATGTTTATACACAAATAGCTTTGGATAATCATCAACACTCTCCGGAGCAACATTCACTAACTATTAATAGTGTAGAGTTGATTCCAGATGGAACTCAGAAAGCAAATCTACAATACATGCATACTCCACTGCCCAAGAGTGTTTATGATAATCTACAATCCAATTCAGAAGGCAACTGTCCATTGAAATCAGTTACAATCATTCAATCCCCAAAATCATCGGTCAATGTAATTACAAGTGAACCAACCAATAAACAATCGACTCAGCCCGCACATCAACACCAACACAACAACCCACTGAACCAACCTCAAATCATCCCCATCGTCAATACTGTCCAAACCAAAGAGCATTTACAACACCATTCACAAACTCTTAAGGAACTTCCAGAATATCATGAGTTATCACCAAAGAAACAAGTTCATATCGAACCGACCCAACAAAACATTCAACACCCAGCATCGAAATCGACTTCTCTGGGTATTCCGTTCAACTCTAACAAGTATAGGGACCTGAGGAAATCGACACAGTATCTCGATTTGAAGAACATGTGTTCCATCTCCAAAGCCCAGGAAGAAGAGATTGAAATGCTCTCAGACGAAAGATATGAATATCAACTGACCGACGACGATCCAACTCAACACAATATATTAGAGATGAAACCTGGTGCAATGAAAGAGTCTGGAGTTTTGTTTGGTACCACTGCTGAGGAACCAATACCAACCTCGCCATCTACTTCAGTATCTACAGATGTATTTGACTCTACTCCATTGACATCACCAATATCATCACCTGTTTTCTCAAGCCTCACATTGTCACCAGAGTTGGAGATTAACAGACAGTCACCATTGGCCACCGGTGAGACAAGAATCATTGCCGAGGTGAATGATTTGGGTAAATTCAGTCCACAGACATGTACAATAGAAAAAGATACTAAAAAAGAAAAGAAACATTTCTTTCAGAAAAAGAAGAAACAAGCTGTACCTGATAAACAGAAATCATGTGAAGAAGTATTATCTGATGAAGGGTAAGTCAATTAATTATTATTTAATATAATACAATATATATTAACTGTTAATATTATAACTTAGCAAACATTCAATGAAAGTTATTTCAGAATTATTAAATAAATTGTTTGGAAAGAAAAAGTATGGAACCCTTACTATTTTTATGGGTTTAGCTTTATTACATAGTAAGTATAATATTAATATTCAATTTAAAAGAGTAATATATTAATTTTTTTTAATTTAAATATAGGTTATTATAAGGAACTTTTAATAAGAAATTATAATTGTATTAATAATAAGATGTTGATGGAAGAAGCTTTCAGATATCAAAAGTTTTGTACTGCCTCCTATGGAAGAAAATTGTATTATGGTGTGATGGGTTCGAAAACAGCTATGCATTTGTTCAAGGGAATTGCCGGTACTGATGCAATCAATGTAAAGGTAGTCATTAAACATACTGGAATCAAGAAGCAAGATATAGTTTGTTCAAAGTGGTATAGTTCCAAGTATAGTCCTGGTCACTTTGTTGCAATCGATCATCAAACCAAGTCAGTGGTTTTGGCAATTCGTGGAACCTTCAACCATTTCGATGTAATAACAGATCTGGTGGCAAAAACCTCTAGATACGCTGGTCCTACTGGACGATGGAAATCTGCTCACATTCATCTGGGAATGTTGTTGTGTGGTCATAAGAAGATGAAAGAAGTAGAGGCTGTCCTTCTAAAGTCGCTACATGAAAATCCTGGATACAGATTGGTTGTGACCGGTCATTCCTTGGGTGCTGGTGTTGCTTCGATCTTTACATTCCTCTTTTACGATGCACATCCAGAGATACCAATTCACTGTTACTCATTCGGTCCACCCTGTATCCTTAATTACGAAGCTGCTACCAATGAGATTGTCAAGTCACTGGTAACATCGTTTGCTATGAATGATGACATTGTTCCACGATTGTCTTTTAATTCATTGTTCTATTTAAGAGAGGTGTTGGATTCTGTTCTCTCGCAGAGTAAGACCAAGATCCAGAGAGGTTTCCACATTGTTTCGGCTGGAAATGGTTTGGGTGAGAAACTGACCAAGAAGATCAGTAAGATACTCAAGGTTTCTCCAACGATCGATCTTTCACATGTTGAGCACAATCCAAGTGGTGAAATGCCAATGTATCCACCTGGCAAGCTAGTGAGAATGGTAAAAGTTGCAAAAGGTCAATATGTAGCAGAGAGCGTAGAAACTAGTTCATTCGATAAGATCATTGTGTCGGTACAGATGTTCACAGATCACATGCCAAACAAATATGAGAAAGGATTGAAATCTGCGATTGAAAACGTAGGCAATGCCAAGCTGCTGACTCCTCCACAAGGTGCCAACCTGGTAGAGGGTCTTCCTGCTGGTGAAGAAAACGCTATCAATATACCCGAAATGATATTGCCAAAGGATGCACAACCTCAAGCAGCTGCTTCACTCATTCCAACTTCACTTAAAGCATCATACAACACAATGGCTGAAGCTCCTCAAAATTAATACAATCTACTTAATAATAAAATAAAAGAATTGTTGTAGAATTTATAGTAAGAGAAAAGTTGTGAATCTATTATTGGTTGGTGTAATTTATTTATATTATAATGATACAATTATTTAGTTTGTGATTGAAGTGATTCTATTGTACAAAGATATTCTCTTTTTTTCTTTAGATTCTCCAATATTGAATGGTAGTAAGTGTTTTTCGATGATTGGATGACAGAGTCGATGCTTTGAGAATTAAGATGAACACAATTACTGAGTAACCAATCAATTGATTTAGATTGACCATTTTCAACGGCGGTTAATATAAATTCTAGATCACGGTTGATTGATTTATCTAGTCTGTTATATAAATAGTCAATCATTTCAATCTTGCTACTCCTGATTGCCGAGTAAAGAGATGTTTCAATGGAGATCTCTGTTCGATTCTCCACTAAAAACTTTGCCATTCCCAAATTACCACAATGAGCAGCATTGTTTAAAGACTTGTATGTACAGCCTTCTGTTCGATTGTAGTGTAACCAAGTTAATAGATCCAAATTATTTGATTGCGCGGCATTATCCATACATTCAACAGTGCAACCTTCGCTTCTATTTGCATGCAGCCACTTTACCATCCTAGGATTATTTGTTGCCAAATCCATCGATGAAGGTGTACATCCTTCACTTCTATTTTCATGCAAAAACAATAGGATTTTGAAATGATTTTTCATAATAGCATTATGCATCGCTTGCTTTGTACATCCTTCAGTTCTATTTTCATGAAGGAACTTTACGATCTGTAAACTCTCATTTTCACTTTGTCCAGCACAAGCACGATCTATAGCAGCGGTTGTACAGCCTTCATTTCTAACCACATGGAGGAATATTAAAATTTCCAACTTTCCATGCTCGGCGGCAGTGTCCATGGTAGTCTTGCCAAATACATTGGTAACACGATTCAGTATTTCACTTTTCTTTGAGTCATGCAACATCTGATGGTAGAGTTTAATTAAATCCAATTCTCCTTCGCCAATTGCTCTCTTTACAATTTGATTGTGATTGAGTTCACTAAACTTTTTAGATTGTCTCTTATTAAACTGTTCATTGTCACAGTATGCTTCCAATATCAGTTTATACACCGATAGTCTTGTTAGTGACATATTAAGAGTGTTTAAGCTAAACATATTTAATTTGTGACTTGTAACAAACTTGATTAGGTTGAAATTGCTTTTGGAAATTGCATCATCCAAGATAAATCCCTCAAACTCGATGATCTCTTGATGTCTGATGAATAGATGAATATATGGATGTTTGTCGTCCAAGTAAATGGTGTTTGGATGTTCCAATTTTAACTTGAAATGACTGGTGTCTTTTGAATAGAATTTCCTGATAAATCTATCCAAGTATTGTATTCTGGTGTGATCAGCTTTGTAAAGAGATCCACAAGTCCATTGAAGCATAGGATCGATGATGATAACCACTCTTTGGGTTTGTTGTTTCCGATTATACAACTCGATGGTGCGTTCAATAAGGTCAAAGTGTTGGTTGATATATGCTTTACGAAAGACAGAGTTGAAAATCTTGTTGAAATCAGCCAGTTTAACTCTATCCAAGAGATATTCTATTAATTTGATATTACCTCTTTGTGCAGCAAGATAGATAATCGATGCAAAATTGGCTGAATTTTCCAATAAATTCAATGCATAGATAAGAGAATCAGTATAGCCATATTCAATCATCTTGACAATAATTTCGCTGATATGAAATGGAATTGATTTTTCCACTGAAAGATATTGGATGATATCGATATTTGGAGTTATAAAGGCCAAAGAGAATAGTGCCTTTGGTGGGAAACCAATGTCTTCTCTTTCAAAGAAATAGCGGACCACGTTTAGATGACCATTGTTTGCTGCTGCTATTACAGGTTCAAATACTCGGTAGTTTTGTTTGGATTGGACATGCAAGAATTGTACAATATCCAAATGTCCATAACGAGCAGCTCCTTCAATTGCTTTTTGTAACTTGTTCTTATGTTGACAATTAAAGTAGAGATACTTTAAAGCTTCTAAATGGCCATACTTAGCAGCACGTATAATTCCTTCCATTGAACAACCTTCACTTCGATTCTGGTGGAGGAAATGTAAAACATCTACGTGTCCATTCATTGCGGCGTTATTCATGGCATTAAAAGTTGCACCTTCACTACGGTTACGATGGAGGTATTTTATGACGTTCAAATGACCTCTTTCTGCTGCTTGATCAATGGCCTGAGTGGTGCAACATTGAGTAATGAGCTTATTACTATGGATATACTCGATCAAATCCAAATGACCATGAGTAGCTGCGTAATCAATAACAGAGCCAACACTGACCATTCGATTGCCGTTGGTATGATATTCTATCATTTTCTTGAACAAATCGATTCGACCGACTTTACAGACTGATTTGTATGTTTGTTTGTTAAAATTGACTTGAAGATCAATCTTGACTACTATATCCAAAAGGAACTCGATTATGTCCATATGATTATTTGAAGACGCACTATCCAATAGAATGCTTACTGAATTGATATCGAACAGGTCCTTCCTTATTTTGAAAAGGAAGTTCAATATTTCCAATTGACCGTACGTAGCAGCTATTTTCAATGCATCTACCATCCTATGAACAGGGTATGATTTAAATAGCTTATTGACAATCATCATATTACCATTTCTAACAGAGACTTCGAATGCTGTTTCCAACTTTTGGTAATCAACACCAAATCCGACATAATCATCACTTTGATCATCCACTAATAATTTAACAACTTGGAGGTTTTCATATTTCGATGCATAAATAATTAGATTGTCAGGCCATTCTCTTATTGTTTCTTTATTATTATTATTATTATTATTGTTTTTGTTGTTATTGGTGGGAGTTTTGAAAAACCTTTGACGAATATATAAAAACATATTGAGGTGTCTTGTTGAATACTTGAGATATGGTTCAATGTAAACTTTGAAAATATCAAAGTCGAGTTGTTTCTTCTCTAATGATTGGATGAATTGATCAAGTAAATCTACATAGCCATAGTACATTAATGCAGATGGTGATTCAATGAGCTCCGGCCATTGTAATGGAACAATAAATCTACCACTCTTTTGATATCTATTTGGATCATAACGTACATATGAAAATATATGATTCTTCAATATTGTGTTATGGAAAATTAAACTAAATAATCGATTATTAGATTCTCTATTTTTGATTCTCTCTACTTCCATTTTTAAAATAAAAATAATAAAGAAGAAATTGAAGTGAAAAAAAGTAGATTACACATTTTTCTTTTTTTTTTCTCGCTGTGACTACACAAAAAAAATATCTTTTTTTTCCTTTTTTTTTATAAAAGTAAATTTATTATAAATATAGATAATAATAAATTCTTTGCAAAATGAATGTGTTCTATTGGGAGAAAAAATTAGTGATTTGCTATTTCAAAAAAAAAAACTTAACTGATGAAAGCTATTCATCAGCCACCAAATTACTATCGTCGCATTTCCTCAGCCGTATTTGACTCACCTCTTTTTGCAATGAGTAGAGTCAATCTTCGTCCATTTTTGTTTAATGACATTCGAACTGACATACCTGCCGATAGATGCTTTGCTATTGTTTTATTTTTTTTGAGTGTCATTTTGTGGACTTTGTTGTTCAAAAAAAAAAAAAAAAAAAATTTGATTTTCAAATGATTAATTTTTTAATGTTTTTATTGATTTATGTATTGTTCATTTTTATTTACTTTAAATCATAGTATAAGAGTTGTGGGAAGAGAGAGGTTTTGAGAAAGAGATATTGATATTTTATCTATTATATCATATTGTTTAAATTTAAAAAGTTGTTAGTTTTTTTTATTTTTATATTTATTTTTTTATTTAAAAATAGAGCGTTTAATTAATATTTATAATAGTAATAGTAATATATATATAATATAATAATATATAGTTATTAGGTGATAATGGACTTGTTACGTGCATTGGATGTTTTGTCAACTTCACCAATCGACACAGATGATCACTCACTTAGAAAAGAAAAGATAGAGGCATGCAGAACTATAGCAGAACAGATATGCTCGCCTTCCATCAGAAATAACTCTGACTTTCCGAGATTCCTTTCCATTGCTATCTCACTACTGCTTCGTGCACACGGTGACAAAGATCTAAACGTATACTCTGTTGCTGAAGAGAGTTTAAATAGAACCATCAAAGTAATTGTTAACATTACATTCAAACTAACTTAATTACTTACTTACTTACTTACCTTAATTAAATTCAATACATTTACACCTATTATTACTATCATCTTATTTAGATATTAATCTATACATATCATGAGAGAATATTGTTTGAGTTGTTTCGTGTGCTCAAAGGTAGATCAGTGGATAAGAAGTCGACTGGCAGTCCGAATAACAATCAGATGTCAAGTAGCTTTTATACGAGTGGAAGCGATCCTAGTGGAAGTGGTTTATTCGTTTCCTCGACTACCAGTAGTGGAAGTGGTAGCGGTAGTGGCAGTGGTTCGACAAGCGGGAATACCAACTCACCAAACTATCAAAACGTTATCTCCACAGCGAATATAATACTGAGTAAGCCTTTCCCAATTAAATCACAGCGTATTGCACTGACAAAGTTTGGTGAGGTCTGCCAGTTTATTCGGCCGGCTAAATCACGCAAGTATATCACTTCGCTGTTGGCGCCAATCAACCAGCTGCTGGCTATGGGTTCGGACGAAGCATTGCAAGAGTCGATTGCCATCGCAATGGAGTCAATCTCGCGAGTATTGATATCCTATTTAAAGGAACAAGAAGTCACTCAGTTCATCGACGTCTTCACCAAGAATCTCTCGCATCACTCTGCGGCGGTGCGTCGTTCCGCTTCCTTCTGTATAGTCTCCATCTGTAGATATTACCCTAAACCACTCTACGAAAGAACAATAGATACTCTCCATACTCTAATTTCATCGTCATCAACATCATCAACATCATCAACAGTATCACCAACTTCACCAACAGCGTCATCTCCATCAATAGAACATAATAATATAAACAGTAATAATAGCAATAATAGCAATAGGACACTGGGTGTTTTGTTTTCTTATTTACAATTGGTGAAACTATCCGATGAGTATATACAGAATGGAAGTGGCGGTGGTAGTTCCAGTGGCGGTGGTAACAGTGGAAATTTTACAGGTTCGAATAGCAGTGGTGCGAATGGTGGAAGTGGAAATGGTGCCGATGGCTACGGATGTAATGTGATGCAGTCATTGTCGATCGAGGATTACTTTGTGGAGAAGCTGTCGTTTTTCGTGCAGTTCATTGTCAAGCAGATGAAGATGGTCGATCAGGAGATCTACGACCACAATGTTGTCGGTGCCAGTTTGGAGCTACTTCAACAGCTGCTGGTAAGTTTCGGTAGGTTCGACTACGCTTGGCCAAAGCCGCTAGTCCAGCAGGCAATAAGTCAGCTCCGCTCGATGGCATTCAACGCCACTTCGAATATACGTGTCAGTCTGAAAGCGGTGGTCATCAACTGTCTGGCACAGAGTGTCAAATACTTCCCACGTCTATTCTACGAAGAGTTTTACGAGGGACAACCACCGGTATCGATGGTCAGCAATCTCAGCATCTCTGACATTTCATTCAAGTTGTATTCCGATACATCTGCTGCTGCTGCTGCTGATGGACAACACCACCAACAACAAGTAAATCGACTTGGATTATCAACATCTACACAATCCACACAATCTTTTACATTGGATTCCATTCCCAAAGAGGAATTCCTACAGTATCTCAGTGATTCAGATCCACTGCTAAGAGGATCGACTGCACTTCTCATCGGTTGTTTACTTCGTGGATTTCTAGAGGCAGATCATATCACAAGCAATAGTATCTATCCTGGAAATCAACATTTACTTCAAGACTATCTTTGTGTCCCCTATTTAATGGCATATCTTCTTCGTTCGCTACTGGATAGTTCGTCGATTACAGCGAAGCTGGCATGTACAGGTGTTGGCGAGTGTCTTCCAACACTCTCATTGTCGCGTTTCTCTGACTGGGCACTAGTTGCACTCCGACACTTACTGTGTGTCAGCTCCTCCACGTACTGGCTGGTTAAACTTGAGATTCTAGAGACTCTGTCCAAGATTGATTATGTAGTGATTGAATTCCTCGAGCAAAACATTCAACAAAAGGCACATATTCTCTGTACGACAGCACCAGCCGACAAAGAGCCCGAGTCTGGCGGTGCCATAGCAATACCAATACAACCAAAGGTTCTCGATTTCCTCATTGAACAACTTGGCGACAACGACTTTCGTGTTCGAAACAGTGCTGGCAATGCACTTGTAAACATCATTCCAAAACTTGTATTTACAGCACCACTTGAAAGAAGATCGATGAAAGGAATTGCATCAAAAGTAAGAGAGACATTCGATGCACCAGGTTATGAAAATATTGTAAGTTTGAAAGAAACATTAGAATTTAATGTTTGTTAAATGTACTTACTTTTTTTATTTTCTTATAGATTACAAAGAAAACAAAGATATTAGCAAATCTATCACATGTAATCAGTTTAATTTGTTCGAAACTATCGAATCCACATCCTGAGGATATGATAAGAGGATGTTATCATGCTCTCAAATTAATTTGTCAACAATATTCATTCCCTCTATTTACACCGGATAGCTGTAAGAGTCTAACTTCAACTCTACCGAATCAGATGTTGTCGTTTGTCGGAGATATTCTACCGTTGGCTTTGGATCGTGTTGGAATTGTCACTTGGATGGCAACCGACTTTGATTTGCATATCGATATCATTGAGATTCTTGCATACTTGTCGAGGGGTGCCGAGAATGTGCTGGGTGCCTACTGTCAGAATGTTCTGCGCCACATCTGTAGAATGATAAATATCATGTCAAACATTGTTCAATTCCGTCCGACTCCACCTCTGAAAGAAGTGAAGCCAGTGTCTTCCGCCAGTGCCGGACTGGGTTCGAGCTCGCCACTCGTCAAAGCACCGGCACATCTCGGTGCATTCACACACAGTATCCACTACATCAAAGTCTATTCGAAACTCTTTTTGGTGCGTCAGAATTCAATCACTATTTTCGGTGTTGACAAATTCTCGCAGTTGAGGCAATCGTGTTTCGATGCTCTGGCTGTCATTTTGAGATGCTCTGGCAAGGCTGTACTGCCATACACCGAGGAAATACTCGGCTATTTGACCTCGCATTTTGAGCAGGAACCACTGGCAGTAACCAATTGTATAACTGAGTTGTTTTTAGTGACTTTCAAACCGACGCCAATCGTTTCGATGAGCAACCTGTCGTTGCAACCCCGACTCTCAAAGGAGTATAACCCCAACCCTGGATCGACATCGATGGCACCTCGCGCCATTGAAACAACTCACTCTCAGAATACACACGATGAGATGTTTAACAATGAGAAGTCGGTGTTCTCTTCGTTTTTGACCATGGGAAGTTCAGTGGTACACCAATACTACGAACAGACCGACCTACCATCCTCACACTCACTCAACTACAGCTACAGCAGTCAGGAAGTCGCACGTATTACTTCATCCGATGAGAAACGTCTCGTCTTTAAACAATTCGAAGCGTTGATTCGTAGTTGTCTCGTCGAGTATCAGAGTACTCACAACCTGGAATTGAAAAAGTCGATCCTCTCCATGTTGGCAAAGTTTGCACGTTTCGGTTTGGATCTGTCGCAATTCGATAAGGATCCATTCTTTGCTTCCTATTTGCTGGAGGAGTTGAAAGAAACACAGTGTTTGATGTTGAATCCAGTTGACCAACTTCCATATGTTATGGATGCCGTAGGATCAATGTTCCTCACTCGAAAGATGGCACCAGAGATATTCAATGCCGAGGAAATTAAAAAGGTGACATACGACATCGATCCTATCGCTACGGTTGCGAAGCATCCTCCATCATACTCGACTGCAACCATCATCGGCAGTTGCCATTCTTTGGTTCGCTACCTCTACGATCCGAGCGACAAGTATCCCGACCAAGATCTCCGTGATGGATTCCTCAAGTTTATGCTTGCCAATCTGCATCAACCTCAAACCGTTGAGCTAGCACTGACATTGATCAACAATGTGCGTAACAACAACGCACTCTACACCAAATGCTCTCAAGCGATCGTTCCTAGATTATTTGCTGGACTGGCATTGAATGAGACACCCTACTTTGTTGTGACATCGATTCGTGATGTTCACCGTATTTACACGCTGATTGACAGACTTCATCCATCGGCTGTGACACCGGTGCGTTGGGCCGATGCACTCCTCTCTGTGTCACCTGAATTCGTGGCAACTGGCTCCATCACAAATTTGAGAAACGATCCACTGAAATCGAAACGTACTCTATTGATACGTGAACGTCTACTCGAGGAGTTTGATCTTCGCTGGCTACCAGTGTTTGTTATCCTACTTCGAACCGGTGTCAAGATTCCAGAGGAAACAAGAATCTCTGCTGCCAGACAATCGATCTACTTGCCATCACACGATAACAAACATAATCCATCGCCAGCAGCCAACATCATTTCGCAAATCATATTCAAACTACTGAGAAACGCCGTCTCAACATTTGCCAAGCACAAACCAAGCTATCCTATATTCTCAGAGTTGATCAATCATATGCTCTACTATGCCGGTTTGTTCTTCAATCGTAATCTCATTCCCAACAATCCAAAACCTCACCTTTTCCTTCAGTCTTTCAAGTCGGTAATCGACCCATCGTTGGTCTCTGATATCATCCATCCACTCTTGAATTTCGGTGGAACCTCTGTAAGTATTCATGCAGTGCGCTTCCTCATGTTGTTGGGTCGTGAACACGAAGATCTGACTGGCTATGCAATGTCACCTCGTTGGCAAGTTGCTGGATGCGAACACTTCCTCACCCATCATGTCATATTCCTCCAGTTCTGCCAATCGATTATCATCAACCGTCAGATATCAGCAAGTGTACTGACAGAGTCGGTACTCGACAAAATGGTACTGCTAATCAATGAACCCACTGTCAAACGACTGGTCGACACCGCCAAAGATGACTCGCGTCTAGCTGCCGTCCTCAGCGATCATCTCTCAAAGATATTCAACAAGAATCAATCGTTGGACTTGAGACGTAAGCAGAAACTGTTGCGACTACTCTCCTATCTGCCAACGACACGCGACACCATTGAGATGTTGATCATTCACTTTTTGCAAACCGACGATATCTCATTGCAGATCGCAGGAGAGCGTATACTCAACCTCTCCATCAATCGATTGATAGACAACACAAAGACTGTCACCGATTCACTCGAGATAATCCAACAACTCTACAAGTTGTTCATGTCCAATTTCTTTAGCTCAACTACCAATCTTGCGATTCAATCGACATTCATAAAGTTGATCAAGAATCTATCGACACCAACACCGTTGCAAACCACTGGTAGCACTGTTTCCAGTCCTATCATCAACAACACTCCAAGCAATGGTTTCGATATAACAAAACTTCAGAAACCAATCGTCAAGCAAGTCGATGGCGTTCCAATGGGATTCGAGAATCTCTGCACCATCGCCTACTCCGACTTGATTGAACTACTGAAATCACAATACTACTCTACCAATCATCGTTCGTTCACTCAGCTTTGTGTTCTCGCTCAAATCGATAGAGATGCAGTCACTGAACTGTTGGAATCAAACAAACTCGATAGTTCCCTCATTCCAAGTTTCATTGCGTCACCATACTCGACCAACTTTGAACTGGCAATACAAGAACACCTTGAACGCAAGATATCTGCATTGCTCTCCAACTCACTCGGTGAAATCGGAAGCGATCCACTCAGAAATGGTCCGCCACTCTTGAGCGATGCCGTCTGGGAGGAGCTGCGTGAGACAACTCGCTGCCTGTCTTCTTTCATCAACAAATTCGGTTCGGCATCACTCCATGAAGCACAGCTACTAAAGATTTCCATTTGGACCTATGTTGAATCGTTCCGTCGTTGGCGTGCCGAGGTGATCAATCCCTACGATTTCAAACTGGTTCTTGAACTCTCGCGTTCCATCATCTTTAAGAGTTCAGCATCGATTCTCACTATCACCGATGACTTTTCGTGGTGTTCACTCTTACTTTGTCTCTACAAATTCTACTGTTTGGTGATTCGTCCTCACTTTGGTTATATTCTCGGACAACGTGAACTCGAAGAGAACTACAGCCAGGATCCAACACAAATATCATTGACACAATCGAATGAAATGGTTAAATTCTTGGTATCGCTGCTCTGCAATCAATCCGCTTACAAACCAATGAATGGTTCGCATATCGGACAATTCATTTTCGATTCGTTCATTCGTGCAATCTCACCGCTATCCACCAAAGCCATAGAGTTCGTCTATCCAGCACTGAGCCAAACCACTGCAGAGGAAGCGGAATACGGTGGTGGAATCATTCCAAACTGTCCACTCTTTGCAAATGCACTCTCTCCAGAACAGAATCTCGAAGCATTCATTCGATACATCAAGTTTGTTGGTATTCCCGACGACTACCAATTCAACAAGATCTGGGAGATATTGGAACCAATCTTTTTTGCACCGCTCGGTGACGCCGAGATGGGATCCGATGAGATCACAGAGGAATCAAAGTGTCTGGCACTCAACGGTATCACAATGATGATTATCAAAGCGTGCTTTGAAACATCGGATTTGAACGCACCGGTCAACCTGCTGGAGACTTCCAACATTCCATCGGCATCGTACAACCATATTCCTCGTGAGAAAGATATCATTTTCCTCAGTACCAACAGTGGTAAGAAGTTGAATCGTCTGCTCTCCATCATCTATGGATCGATGCCACAATCGGAACTACCACTGGGTGGTTCCATCGAGTTGAGCACTCCTACTGACGGCAACTCTGACTCGATCTCCAGCTACCACTTTAACATTGAACGTTCATTCTCTAACCTTCAATACACAAGCGGTCAGATTTCACTGGCAGATCTCCGTCAATTCAGAACACCCGTTCATCTTGGAATCAACTTTACACCGATCATTGAGAAATTGAAGCATGCATTCGAAACGTTCATCATCAATGCAATGTGTCCACCGCTACTCAGAAAAGAGATACTGAAAACAGTGATTCTCCTCTCTGATCTATTCAATCGAGAGCAATTCACATGGATGTATCGTATCTTCCAGGCAATCTATAACAACTTGGAGGATAACGACGATTTCCTCTTGAAGCAACACCTGGTCCTCGGAATTTGTAAGGGATTGGCTGTGATTCAACCGGACAACACAACCACCGACCCGCAATACCCCCAACAGGTATTCGAGATTCTCAAGCAATCACTCGAACATCCCAATATTTCTGTACAACAATCGGCACTCGATGGCATTCTCTATCTCCTCGAAGGTAAAGTGAACCGATTCATTCAAGGACCGCTCCTCCAATTCCTGTTCCGCTGGATCCCAGCACGTCTTTCCACCTCTCCTTTCCCACCCATTCCACTGACACTGCGTGTACTCGCCACCATGTTCCTGCTGATCGAGCAATACTCGCGTGAATCCGAAGAGAATTCATTCACGAAACGTGCAGTTGTAATCTGCACAACCCTCGGTCAAAACTCGATTCCCCTACCCATTGTCTACGGTATCTTCAGAGGTCTCGATCGTCTGCTAGTTTCATTCTCGCTGTCCCACTCGCAACGTGAGTACATCTCACACTTTGCAATGAAATCACTCCCGCTTGACAATCCAATTCGTTCACTCATGGGACTGGCACTGATGGTGACATGCATGTACACAGGCGACGAAACTGGCTCATCGACAATGACCCCATCGATCAACGGAAAGAACCCCATGATGGCATCGCCCAACTCATCATCCAACTCATTGGCATTCTCTGGCGGCGCACCATTTGAAATGTCGCCAACACTCTCATTCTCCTCAGACAGTGGTTTGTTCGAACAGGAAGATAGCATGTTCAACATCGACAGCACAGAACGCCAACACTTCTCTCAAGTCAACAACATGGAGAAAGTAAAGATGCTCTTTGATAAAATCAAACTTGTATCTCATTATTCCTATGAAACCTATGTATTATCAGAGTATGTAAATTCAACATAATTATTTTGAAAAACATATGTAGAAAATCAATAATAACTTACCAATCCAATTCAATCCTTTTTTTTAAATATTATTACAGAGTAATACCAACTGTAATTGTAGATTTATATCCTTCAGTCGATCAAATTCTCTCGTTTATTCTTGGAGAATTCTTGAAACAAAGCAAATCTAATCCCAAACTGATGTGTCAGATCATATCAAAGGTATTTGATCTCTTAGTTGAGAAGTCAGAAACCAATCAAATATTGATCTACCACTGGATTATCATATGCTTGGAGAACTTCTTCCAAATTCAGAATCCAGTTCATTGTCAGTGGGCACTTACCTATTTATTCTTAACATCATCACCAATCAAACCGTTTAAATTAATGTAAGTAACAATCTATATTTATATATCATATCCTCTTTTTGAAAGTAATTTACTAATTAACCAAATCATTAATTAATCAAATCATTTTTAAAGTGCAAATGAACTCACATCAAAGATACAACCAAATGATCAACTATTTAGTATAGCAGCATCGGAATTCTATAATAACAATCCACCTGATAACCAAAAGAATTTTGCAGCATCTTTCTCAAAGTTAAAATATAATCTGTACAATTTAAATTCACAATAACCAAATAAAAAAGCTAACATCAATTATTCTCTTCTACATAAATAAATAGAATAATATTATTATACAAAAAATGTGTTTGATAGATTATTATCCAAATTAAACTTTTCAATTCTGAAAATCAATCACTTCTTACTTTTATTTTATCAATTCATTCCATTCTTATTATTTGAAGATATTATTTTTATTTATTTATTTTATATTACCTCGATAGAAAAAGGTCTGCAAAAAAAAATAAATTAGTTTTTTGTTTTTACAAAAAAAATCTGGTTCCAAAAAGGTTATTGGGCTATAATTCTGTGAATCAAAAAATCGATAAATTTTTACAATAATAATATTTTTTTTCTTGTTTTTTTATTTTTTTGCAAAAACTAAAACAGTTTGATTGATTTCATTTTACTTAAAAGATTATTATTAATTTAAAGAAAGTGATTTAATATAGTTATACAATTAATTAATTAATTAATTCAGAAAAGTTCAGTTAAGATTGTTAGAGAGTTAGTTGGATTAGGAGTAAATAAGAAACAAAAAAAAAAAAAAAAAAAAGGTATTCATTCATTGTGAATAATTTATTTTATTATTAGATGATTATCACACAGCAGAAATTTCGAATCAATCAATCAATCAGATTTAATCAAATAGTAAAGGAATTGACACTCAAACAAAAAAAACAATTAATAAACAGGTGTTGTGTTGACCATGAATTATCATCGACAATGATTGATTGATTGGTTGGTAATTGAAGGATATTTACTTTTGTTTTACGCCAACAATCACAAGCATCAATTTAAAAACAAATTAAATATAATTGTATAGGTATTATTATCAATATCGATACTATACAATACAATCAAAAAATATCATGGTGATTAATATTTATATATAATACAGATAATATATAAAGTGTTCAAAAGATTAATTGTATCATATCATAATCATTTCATACTACTAAAATTGTGGTTTTAGTGTTATTTTCTTTGTTTCTTTGTTGTTTGGTGTGTTGTGTGTGTGTGCGTGTGATTCAATCAATCAGTCAGTAAATCTTCTAACGTTTTATTTTATTCACTATTGTGATCACTATTTTAATAAACACAACTTAGATGAACAAATAAACAGACAAAAGACAACAAAATTAATACTATCTGTACAACACAAATCAAAACAATCATTGTTTTGTTTTATTAATTTCACTTTAAACACTTATCTTTAACTTTTGGTATCAAAAAATCATATCTATTTTTCTTTGTATTAATAATAATAACAATAATAATAATAATTGATTAATCTATCAATCATTCACTCTAACTCTATAGATGTCTTTTATATAACTCAACCATTTCATTGTAGTTTGCATGTTGTTAATACATTCAATACCCCCCACTATCACTCTCTTTAACAGTAATTTAGAATTAAATAGATTAAATAGTTAATAGATAAATCTAAACTATTATAAATATTAACTTAATTTTTGAATCAACAACAATCTAGGTTGACTAGTCAATATATATATTATATTATTTATTTATTTTAGATTAATAGTCCCTACTTTAGGAGGAAAATAAAAAAAGAGTCACCCACATCAAAGTGTTTGCTACACTTACAACAACAAAAAATCTGGAAATAATAGTAATAATAAAAAAAATAACAAACTGCAAAGTAAATAACAAAAACCAATAACCAATAAGGAAATAGTTAAATTGGTTTAGGAGTTTATATTATAATACAACCAACACAATGAAAGATCCTGCAACTAATGAGGTAATTATCAAAATTATATTTATAAACAAACTTATCAGTCAACTTAATACAACTCAACACAACACAATACAACAATAATAATAGTAATAATAACAACACACCTATACGTATTTCTTGTTGATGTTTGACATCTCATATTATTATTATTATTATTTGGACTACTTCTAGCAATAGTAATTACATTCTCTACCACCTTTGGTCCTATATTTGTTTGAATCAAAATACAACCAGTAACACATCAACCATACCATTCACATTCCTTTCCTTTCTTCTCCATATTATTTAAACATATATTAAAAAACAACAAATGACTAATATACTTTTTTAAACTTTTAAACACTTTCTTTTAAACAAATTCATAACCTACTTTGAAAATATAAACCAATTACCAACTATTATTAATATTTTAATCTATATTTCATATTTATATTATATTACTAAAATATCTATATTTAATTAAATTAATGATACATATCAATGCGCACTTGATATGATCGATCTAATTATATTATTTATAACAAATACAACTCTATTCATATTGCTTATCATGTTTATGATATACCCATTGGACCTCTTCCTAAAATCGAAATTGATATTACAACAAAAGGCTGCTGCCACTGTCATACAGAGATTCGTAAGAGGATGGCTGGTACGACGAAAACATTCAGAGTTTTGTAGGTTTTAAAATATGAAACTAAATGCAAAAAATCATTGCTAATATTTTTGATAAATCAATCATTCACACCACATATATAGTTAGGAAGATAAAATATAGAAAGTTTATTATTAGAGAGATTATAAATTTCGAACAGACCTATATCAACAAGTTGAATCTTTTAGTGGAGAACCTCAAGAAACCTCTGATAGAGGATGAGTTTTACAGGGGCATCATATCGATCGACAAAGTAAATCAATTGTTTTCAAATATCGAGGAGATTCTAGAGTTACATAGAAAGATTTTATCGACATTCTCCAAACCACCTCCACATCTTATTGGAAAAATTTATATAGAATATGTATGTATCATGATCATGAAATGAATCAGTCATACAACCAAAATTTATAACTTTTCTAACAATTTATTTTGTATAATTATAATAGTTACCACTTTTTTCAACTTATTTACCATATGTAAAGAATTATAATAATGCTTTTAAAATCTATTCATCTTTGGTCGACAATGAAACGTTCTCAGAGTTGATTTCATTGTTTGGATATCTACCGAGTTATCTCATTCTACCGATTCAGCAAACACCTCGATATGTATTGTTGTTCTCGGATTTGCTCAAGAACACAAATCCACAGAATGAGGACTATGACAATCTTGGCAAACTTTTAGAAATGGTGAGAACCACTGCATCCAATATCAATCAATGTATTACTTCGCAAGAGAGTGAAGCCGACGAAGAGGAGCAAGTCGCCAACAACACTGGTGTCGCCAGCAGTCCAAAGCGACCAGCATCGGCATCATCAAAGCGAAAGCCACGCAACAGCATCTCTATGCACAAAAAGGCTATCGACGCCGTTCTCTCCAACAGCGACAACTTCCACGATAACTACTCAAATGTACCCTCCTATTTAAGACCGACGATCGCCTCCAGTGGTTGGTCTCGATCGAAAGTGACAGAACCGCAGTCGCCGCTGCCTCGCTGGAAGTACACCACTCACATCGACCACAACCAACTGTATAACATTCCTCCCTCACCATCATCGCTACTGAACAACACCGCATCACCTCTACCATCACCATCGAAACCGACAATTGTAACTCCCACCAAACAATGGCAACGACCATCGACACCCTCACAACGCTATCACGATGTACACAAAATGACTAAAGCTTTCCCTCACCGTCCACCTTCACCTCTTCCCAAACCCAATTTCTACGGTACATTCCCTTTGAATAGTTGTAGCACGACACCAACCAGCAGCAGCAACAGTGAATCGGCCACATCATCTCCGACCTCATCAACACCCATCAAATTAACAAAATCAAACAAAACCATATCATCAGGATCACTCACAACCATTACCAGCACAACTTTTAGCAATCAATCTCCTGCCACTACAACATCTCCCGCCACTACACCCAGAGGAAATGATACTTCGTCGATTACCATTGAAATTTCATCCTCTACTTGAAAAAAATAAAAAAATAAAATTATTTAAAGACGAAATATTTATTAACAATTAACTATAGATATTTGATATTTCCACAAATATAAAAGTGATTAATATAAAATTGATTTGTTTCCAATAATATTATTAATAAAACATTGATTAAATAATGAGAAACATTAGATTTTTTAGAAAATTCAAACTTAATTAAATACATTTGGATGATGTAAAATTTATCCTGTTCATAATATTTATAAATTTTTTTAAGATCCAACGATAAATAATTTTGTAAAATTAATGTGTGGTTCTGAATATGCTACTAGTTGTATAATTTAAAAGATATATATGGAAAAAAAAATTTATTGAATATTAGTATGACAAATTTAGCTACACATGTGATATACAAATTAAAACTAATAGATTTGAAATCATATTACCATTTTTTTTGATTTTGAATTCCCATAACCGTCATGAAAAATGAATGAATTATCAAAATATCTTACAGTCAATAGCATCCATCAAAATTTTAACACTTTCGAAGACTCAATAGTTGTAATCCTTGACATGATGGACGTTGGGTTCAAATCAAGTGTAACAGAGACCTCCTCACATACAATCTTTTTATACTTGAAAATGATTTTGTTTGAAATGAATAGTAATTGTATTGGAGAACATCCTAACATATCATTAAAATATTAAAAAATAAAAAACCGAACGAGTAAAAAAAAAAATTATTATTACCAAAAAATCATAATCAACTTTCTTAATCTTTTGCTAAGCAATGATATTAGTCTCTTTTTTAAGTACTAAAGTCTGTTTTTCTGACAAATATCCATCGATACAATCTGATATTTATTATATTATGTGAGTACTATAATATATATTTCAGTCATATCTATATCATTCTTGCTACTATATGCTTCTTTGCTCTTTTCCTTTCATATCAATTGACATGATCTTTTATAAAAAAAATTTCCAATTTAAAACTTATTACAAAGTTATCATTCTAATAGAAAGATCATCCTCAAATATTTTAATCTTTATATCATCAAATGAACACTTTAACTCATTGATATGAATTCAAGCTGATTTCATCGTCTCTTCAAGGACCTATCTTTTCTATTCCTTAAACTCATTAACTTCACTCGTTTCTTTGATTATTGATAAAATTAATCAATTCAATTACAAAAAAATTGCAAAAAAAAAAAAGAGACAGATTTGAACTTCATGATTTTTCCAAAACAAAAATGACCAATCCTGCAAACCACATCAACAAAAAATTAATAAATTAAATAAAAAAAATAATAAAATGAGGGTTGTAAAATTTGAATGTATGTATGATTGTTTGTGTTTATCTAGTTTTTTTTTTTTTTTATAAATATCTTTTTGTATTTTGTTTACATTTAATTCCTATCTATAGATACATACACAATCTATCTCATCTCATCTATTTTTTTATCTATTAGACTATTATTAATAATATTAATTTAATAATAATCCATAATTTGTAATTTTTTTTTTTTTTTAGGAATTAAACTTTGACATTTCCTATTACTTTTTTAATTTATTTATTTATATAATATAATAATAATCAAGAATAAGAATAAGAATATATAGTATATAATATAATATAATATGGAGGCAATTGTATTGAAAGTACTTAAAAAGTACTTGAAGTTGTTTATAAAGAACTTCACTCCTGATAACTTCTCACTGTCATTGCTTAAAGGTGAGGGTCAATTGGTAGATTTACATTTGAATGAGAATGTAATTCAAGAGTTGCTATTGATTCCACCACAGTTGCGTGTCATACAAGCTAGTTGTGACACACTTACCGCCAAAGTACCATGGACATCCTACCGTAAAGATCCAATAACAATGTCAATGCAAACCATATCTATTCAACTCAAAGAACCAGAGATTGTCACTGCATTACAACCTCAATTCAAAAAGTATGACAAAAATAATAATAATAATAATAATAATAATCAGAACCAAGAAGAAAGGATCAGACAAACAAACAAATACACTTACTGATGACTGATTAACTAACGACAATCATCAAAAATAGGTTTAAAAAGAAGAATAAGAATAAGAGAAATGAGGTAACAGAGAATATGCAGGAGTTAAGAAGTTACTTACAGGTGTCAGTTTCGACAAGCAGAGGTGATTCTTTGATTTTGGAGGTGGATGATGTGTTGGTTCAATCGACAAACTCTGGATTCCAACCAGTCGATCTCACACAGATAAAGACAATCGACAAGGAGCAAGGTATAGAGTCACTCCACAAGTTGATCACTGCCAAATCGATATCCATCAAAATTCAAGATATCGGTGGAATGTCCTATAATGTTATTGAGAATATGCCACTTAAAGTATTGGTATGTTAGTTTTAACAAAAACAAAACTATCTATAGATAGTTTACAAGTTTGTTCTTCTTCTCTAGTTAATTAGTACTAAATGATAGAATACAATTACAATTACAATTATATTTAGTTTTCATCGAAAAGAAGAATTAAAGATTGGTCACAACTAAGTGCTAAAGTAGAGATTTTGATGGGATTCTTGAATTTGAATTGGACACTGACTCAATGGCATTTAATATCCGATTTGTTCACCAGTTTCCAGGAGATTTTGGCAAGAGCAGCACCACCACCCGCTGCCATTGCAGAGCCAGAGTCAAAGAGCAGCAAAAAGAAGAAGGAAAAGAAGGAAAAGAAAGACAAAGAGGATTTAAAGAAGGAGGGTAGCACACTTTCACCAGGTTCTATGAATGGTTCACCATTGTTAGGATCGTCACCATCTCCAATCAAGAGATCAACTTCACCCGGTGATCTGGAGCCACTTAACAATCCAGCATCGCCATCAACTGAACCTGACGTACCACTTCCAAAGCATTCAGAGTAAGTAGCCAAACATGTTATCAAACTATTCTTTACCAATATATATATTAATCAATCTATCAATCAATTCAATAGTGTTACATATGATTTTCATATTGATAAATGGAGATTGGAATTGGTTGATAGTCATACGAGTGATAGTAATTTCGATAGTGGATTCCAATTCCAAGGTGATGGATTGCATTTTGGATTTACCTCGACCAATGTCAATTATAAACCGACCAATGAAGACGGTGTAGTTATCTACTCTCTTCCGATTAGAGAGAGTATTGTATCGGTGGTTATGAATAGCTTGCAGATACAGGAGATCGAGTCATTCAAGAGCCGTAAGGTCAAACACGAGTTGTGTGGAAACAATGAGGAGAGTCCGCGTCCCGCCGCCCGAAAGTACGACCACTCGATTACATCGATCAGTTCCGATGGCATCAGTGAGCGTATTCAGATTCACCACTATCAAGGTCCCTACTTGATGAAAGGTAACTTTATCTTCCGTAAACCGATCGTTACCGATGAGAATCCAGATCCTCTCTCAAAGCTGGTGTCCACCGATGGCAAACCACTACCGCCACTGATTGGACTGGAGTTGAATCTTCATCTCTCTCACTTTATGTTGTATGGAGATCGTCGCTCCTGGAAGAAGCTGATCTCCTTCTTGATGCCACCAGAGCAGGATCTTGAGACTGATTCCGAGAGTGATTCTTCGGTGATCGATCCAACCAGTCCGTCGAAATCGGTCGATGGAAGCAGTAGCACTCTTCAGGAGATTGATATTGGCAATGGCAACGGATCGGTAGCCAATGTTTCAGCAGCGGAAAACAATGAGACCGGAGGAAAGGTAATCGATCCTGCAGCACTCAAGAAGAAAGTCGTCGAGACTGGCAAGAAAACCATCTCTAAATTCAAGAGAAAATTCAAGCTCGGTAGCAATTGGAAGAATCAAATCAAGATCATCGTAAAAGCAACCGAGACACTAATTTTCATTCCAGAGGATCCAAACGAAGAACGATTCAAAGGTTCAACCATGAAGTTAAAGTTGGGATCATTCGTAATGCGTAATCATTCGGAATGGAAGAATGTTCCACATCTATATGAAGGTCTTCAACTGATCGACTCATCTGCTGTGCCAGATCCAATAACATTATCTGGATTGGATCATAGATTTTCAGTAAGTGTTTAAATATGATTTGACAACTTAAACATTATTTTATACTAATAATATATTATCTAGTTCAAAATGGAAAATATATCATGTATTATAAATGAAAATAGTAATAGTACAGATGTATTACTACCAACAACTATTAGTTTGTTTTTAAGAGCATCTCGTTCACAATTTTTGTTAAATGAAAAGGTAGATAGCTATTTCCACTGTTTTTTTTGAAAATGTTTCTAGATGACTAACTTTATTTATTTCTAATTTTTATAAAAACAGAGAATTCCAAAGATTGATTTAACATTTATCTCTAGTGATTTCAATTTTAGAATTACTAAAGATCAATCAGAGTATTTGGATTACATTGGCAAGAAGTATTTGTCGCCAGACAAGATGAAAGCTTTATTGCAATCGAGAATAAAGTCAATCAAATCGGTTGCCAAGAAGAAGTTGAACACTTTGAAGGAGAAGCATATCGATAGAACTCTGACTATCAAGAAGAAGGTCGAGAAGACTCTTCAACAATACCATTGGTCGGTGTACATTTGCATTCAGAAGGGTGTATTCTTCCTGCCACTCCAACATCTCTTGGAGCCAAAGACAATGGTTGGTGATATTGTCGATACTACTGTCACATCGGATGGCAGTGCACTGAGTGAATTCAAGGTTGAATCGATGGGACTGGCATTGGTCAATAACGCTACCGGTCAGAATATTGTATTCAAGGTTGGAACGTTCGAAGCCACCGGTATCGAGCATCCAAAACTCACTACATCCACCACTCTTCGTCCACTTCCTGTTCCCGAAGATGAATACATTCCTTCGCGTCAAGCCGACAATACCAACTTGTTGGTTGCCTATCGTCGTCGTCAAAAGAAAGATTCGACAACTGCTATTGCCGTCGACTCTGAACTCAACGACTGGATTGCAGAGGTCAATGTCAGACTCCAAGGAACACAAGTGATGGTAGTCAAGAAAAAGGGTAGCTCATCAAAGAAATCCGGACTCAAAATACCAGATATCCAAAACTTTATCACCAAGCTTGTCAATACCATCGAACAAAAGAAAGAGGATATCGATAATCTAAAGAAAGGAATTAAAAAAGTTAAATTAGGTAAATGATCATTATATATCGGTGAATAATAAATTATTTACTAACCTTTTTTTTTTAATTTTTGTATAGATATTGTTTGGAGTCTGGAACTTGGAAATTGTGAAATTCTGATGGGAAATAAATCAAAGGGTTCTGATGCCTACAGACCAAAAGGTATTGTTAGAATCACCGATACAAACAGAAAGACAAATGCCAAGGCATACAAGGATATCGAAGAGGAACTTCTTAAAAAGACATTAGAGTCTGCTCAATCGGAAGAGGAGAAGGATTATTTCAACAACAAGATCAACCAACTCACAGCTGAACTAGAGAATATCAAGAAACAGTCGAACCAAGAGCTGTTGACCTTGAAACAAGAATATATGACGTTGGAGTCGAAATTCATCCAGACTAAAATGACAATGGCAGAGATGGAGAATGAAAACGATTCACTTAAATACGAAATGAAAAAACTACAAAAGAAATAGAAAAACAAACATAAATAGTACACATACACAACTTTAATTTAAAATATCATAATAAATAAATAATGTTCTATAGTTCAAATAAAATTGTATATTTATTTCCTATTCTTGATGAAAAAAATGAAAAGCCCAAACTAACTTTTTTCTTGTTTCCCAAGTTGTGGGAAAAGAGAGGTTGTGAGAAAGAGAGATTGATATTGATATAATATGAGTTAAATTTTCAAAAAAAAATAAAATAAAATAAAATATAAATAAACGTAATATAAGCCATATATAATAAACTAAATTTTGAACTACATAGAACATATATAGGAAAATAATTGTATACAATTTATTTCTTATTGTTTTGGCCTAGATCTAATTCAAGAGATGTGAAAAAGATTTCTTATAAACCAAGCATATCGCATGCCAACTTGGTTCCTTGAATTCTTGCTCTAATCTTTGCAAATGCAGTTTCACGAGAAGTTGATTTGTCATCAGCGAATGGAGAGAATCCACAATCATCACATGTTCCAAATCTATCAACTGGGATATGTCTTGCAATCTCCAGCACTCTGTCTCTTACTTCTTCAGGAGTCTCAACACGAGGATCATTTACATCGATAACACCCAAGAAAACCTTGCAATTTTCTCGAAGATGACTTGAAATGATTGATAACACTCTTTCTCTATCGATTTCTGCTGCCAACTCCATGTAGAATCTTCCAGCGTTGATTTTGAAAAGTGTTGGGATAAGTTCTGCATAATCAACATCAAGAGAATGGGTTGCATCTTGATCAGCACCTGGACATGTGTGAATTCCAATCAAAGCTCTTTGGGCAGGGGTGAATTTCTCCAAAACTTTGTTGATAAGATCAACGAATTCTCTGAGTACTGAACCACTTGGATCTAGTTTAAGTGCAAGACGTAGTTCAGTACAGTCAATTTGGACAGAAGATGCACCACCATCCAAGCATTTTCTGATATCCAATACCGATTGGTCAATAACATCGGCAATGAATTGATCACGAGTATAGTTGGGGATTCCACTTGAAGGATAGAGCAATGCCATGGCACTTGGTGAGATAACAGCTTGTTTGATTGGACATGAGGTTAATTTCTTTGCCTCCAAAAGAAATTCAGAGGCAAAGTGAGTGTAGGCAAATTTACCGCTGGCTGATGGAAGTTGACGGGTGTGTCCATCGGCGAATGGGATAGTGACACCACCTGGAACAATGGATTTTGAACCATCAATGGCATAGGTAACAAATGATGGTTTGGATTGCTCTCCATCGGTAATAACTGGCGAGCCAATTTCCTCTAATCTACGAATTGTTTCCAAGGTGGCTTTATCCATTGTTGCCTTTAATTCTGCAGCTGTTAGATTGCCTGCTCCAAATTGTTGCATAGCATTTAACAGGTAGTCCGGACGAGGAATCGAACCAATCGTTTCAGTTGGAATTGAAATACCACTCTTGCTCATTGTTGAAAATAATATTATTAGTTGATTTTTATGAATTTGAATGAATGAAATGAATTAAGTGAATTCTACAAGTTAATCCACATACATTTATTAATGTTTTTAAATTAATAAATTAAATTTGATTTTAAATTATTTTGTAAGTGTGCTTAAAGTTCATTTTTAACAATTTGTAGTCTGCTAATGGAATTAAATCTCCAGTTTGTAAATCTATTTCACTGGAGATTAACACATTTCAGATTTTTGTTTTTAATTTTTTTTTTTTAAATGTATTTTAAGAGAGTGGGTACGCAAGCAATAGTATGGTTGATACAAAGAATATTTTAAAATTTATTGATTTTCAATAACACAGTGACTTTGAAAATAATTGACAAATGAAAGTGAGCTTAACGTAATTAAAAAAAACAACCTCATATTAAACTATTCAAATTCCCACCATAGGGCTGATAAAAATAAAGATTTGTTTGATCCCTCTGTGCGATTAATGATTATGTGTTTTTGTTTTTTGCATTAAAAAATAACCAAAAAACAAATTAATCATCTTCAATGAGAAGAGTTGATCAAATTTGCTTTTTGAATGAAATGAATAGATTTTTAAATAAATCAACTTTATTGTTGGTGAATAATAATTTTAGAGTAACAGGATCAAGAAGATGTTATAGTGGTGTTGGTAGTGGTGATTCACTTAATAATACACAGCCAATCAAGCAAGAGCAACAACACTATGATGTTGTGATTGTTGGTGGTGGTTTGGTTGGCTCGTCGATGGCGTGTGCTCTCGGATCAACAGAGAGCACCAAACATCTTCGCGTTGCACTGATCGAGAGTGCACCGGTGCAGCCACTGTATCCGTTGACTGCCGAGCCAGACCTTCGTACTCTCTCATTCAATCATACGTCGGTGGGACTGTTCGATGCGATCGGTGCGTGGTCACTCATCAAAGACACCAAGAGAACCGCTGCTTTCAATCAGCTAAAGGTATGGGATGCCAGTGGCGGTGGTGGCATACACTTCCAAGACAACACAGAGTCGATGGGATATATCTTGGAGAACAGGCTTGTTACATCGGCATTGCTAGAGGCATCGAAACAGTACGAATCTATCACCATAAAATCACCTGCTTCCGTCAAGTCAGTTCAACTTCAATCTACAACACAACAACAAACTACAGTTACACTTGCAAACAATGAACAATTAACAACTGATTTAATTGTAAGATTTTCTAAAAATGTACATTTCTAAAGATTAGTTTGCTAATGTTTGTTTGCTTATTCAAATCAATTTAGATTGCAGCAGATGGAGGTAACTCTATTATAAAGAAGCAATTGAATCTAGAGAGTCTAGGAAAGAGTTACAACCAAAAAGCAGTTGTATGTACAATTAAATTGGCACCAGGATACCAAACAACAACTTTATATCAAAGATTCTTACCGACTGGACCAATCGCAATGTTACCAGTATGTATATCAACAACATTTAAACGATTAAATCATATGTTAATAAGTCATTGTTATTGTTATAGCTTGCAGATGGATATGCATCGATTATTTGGTCAACGAATGTTGCACATGCAAACTATTTGTTGGAGTTGGACGACGATAGCTTTATGGTACAGATGAAACACGCATGGTTGTCAGGTGCAAAGACAAACGGTAACAACAGTATTGTCGATCTACTACACAATGTGTTAAGTACGAATCCAGAACGACTCTCGGGCAATGAGATTTCAATTCCACCCATCGAGAGAGTCTCTTCGAAGCGTGCATCGTTCCCTCTGCGATTGGAACACACTAAATCATATACACAACGTGGACTATGTCTGATTGGCGATGCTGCTCACGTAGTTCATCCAATGGCCGGCCAAGGTGTGAATCTTGGATTGGCCGATGTCATTGCACTCACACAGATACTGTCGGAGGGTCAAGCCACCGGTTACAACGTTGGCAACGAGATGATGTTGGAGCGTTACCAAGAGAATAGAAAACTAGAGAACATCAAGATGATGGCATCCATAGACACACTGTTCCATCTCTTTGGTAGCAGCTCACTTCCAATCACTGCCATTCGTAATCTCGGTCTGACATTACTCGACAATCTCTCACCACTCAAATCATTAATCATGTCAATATCGAAAGGAACTTCAAACTTACAAGGTATTGGTAGTAACAACAAAACTAACAATACTGATAATAATAAACAATCAATATAATAAACAATATAATATTATATTTATAACTGTAGTTCATAACAAAAAACAAACAAACAAAAAAAAAAAGAATGTTTTTTTACCAATTAATTGTGATAATTTGATTAACAAATCAATCTTATAAGTAAGAATCAAACAACAATATATAACATATTAAATCTGACTTATTATAATTGATTAAAATTTATAATTATTAAATTTATAAAAAAATGATAACATTTTAATCATTTTTGTAAATTGTTTGAAAAAGATTATTATAAAATTTGTAGAATCTATTCGATCAATTGATTGATCTGTTTAAACTTTAAGTTGTGCATGAATGCTCATTGACTTTGTTATCTCCCACCTATTAATGTCGAAATTATAGATGGTTGGTTGGGTTTGTCTAACTGACTCAAATCTAGTTAAAAACAGATATTTATCTTTATTTTTATTTAAAAGAAGAAAAATTTAAGGAAATCCTTCAGTAGTAAAAGGTTGTACTGATTCATTCCATCAGTTTCAATCTATATCATTTGAAACGTTATCATTTTTAAAACGTTATCGTTTTTAAAGATATCATTCTAAAAACTTTGAACTATATCTCCAAAAAGTCAACTAATAGATTCTCTAATTTGTACAAATGATATAATTCTCTCACTACACAGTTTAGTATATCTATTATTATTGTAATAAATATCAAACACATTTATTTTTTTTGATTTGTGTTTATATATGTTTAGTAAATGTTAAAGTTAAATGACGATATCTTTTAAAAAGTGAAAAGAAATATGTCATCACCAAACCAATGCATATATAATCACTTAAAACAAATGTTAAATAAACAAAGAAAAAAAATATTTAAAATTAATAATTCTTTAAAGTAATGATAAGATTTGTTTGTTTTGTTCGAACTGTGGTTGTATGTTTATGAATACATATAGATAATAGTTAGTATGGTGTTTAGTGTTAAAAAAAAACAAACAAACAAATATCAATAGAATAAAGAGATAAATTGTTGTTGGATATGTGAAAAATAGTAAGTATGTATATCTTTTCTTTTCTTCTTTTAGTCAAATCATGTCTGATATGGAAGGTAGTAAATGGGTTGTGTGGTTTGGTTGATACAATTGGGTTGAACTTAACTCTGAATACATCTATATAGAATATCTATATACACACAACAAAAAAAAAACTAACAAACAAACTCAACTTTTCAAAAATAATAATGGTAGCGAAACAACATTGATAGAATTAAGTTTTTCCCACAATTGTTTTTATTTTTCCTAATGAGTTAATATATACTCATAAAATCCATCCAATCCATCCATCAGTACATCATACCACACCACACCACACAAACACACAAAACACTAAAAAAACAAATAATAACCAACCCAATTAAATCAGTGTATATTATTTCTCTTGACATTGTTGTTTTTGTTGTTGGTTTTGTCTCAAAGCAGAGGTTGTGTGTGTTAAGTTACGTCGTAATGGTATTGGAATTCGTAGATAACATGCAAATATGTAACAAATAAGAACAAACTACACAAAAATCATCTTTTAATTTCCATATTAGATATCAAATAAAAATAATCAAAAACAAGAGTACATTTGTTTGCCAAAAACAACAACAACAACAAACAACAAATAATAACAATAAAAAAAGAATAACAAACAAATAACTATTTTTAATTACTCTATCTCTTCAGCCACATAACTCTTGTTTTTACTATTTAAAATGATTAAACCAGTAAAAATAGAAGCAATATACAATTAATTTTATGTATAGTATTTCATTCATCTTACTCTCTCTCTAAAACCAAACACCAATACCACTCCACATAAAACAACAACAACAACAAATTTGACACCTGCAAAACTCTCTGTTTGGGAAACCACACTTGTCCTTAAACAACAGTATCACAAAACCTTATGATATATATTGGAAGATATATCAAATTGTTTTAAACTTTTTTGTCTCTGATATTTTTTAGTATCATCGTTATTGCATAATTAAAAAGACATCCACTAATTTGTTGGTGTGTGGTATGAGCGTGAATGAATCAATGTTGTTTGTTGTCTAATAAATTTTAATATTTCCAGTGTTTTCAATATTTAAATATAATAAAAAGTAAATAAAAAAAATACAAAACAAATAGAATTCTACCAATAAACAAACAAAACCAACCAAACAACTAAAGTAAATCCAATACCAAATATATAAATTTATATATATATATATATATAATTTATTGTTATTAATTAATTAACCCATAATCAATTCATTACAATTATCATCATCCAAAATAGATTAGTTTTTTTTTTATTCAAAATTTAATTTAATTTAAACAAATATAAATAAATTAATAATTATATCAAAAAATAAATGTTTTAATCAAAACAATATATATATATTAAAAAAACATAATTGTTATATTACATGATTTTCTATTTTTTGTAAAGTAAAATCATCATCATCATATAATTATTTTTTTCTATCTTTTTTTTTTTTGGGTTATTTGTTTTTAAATCTCACCATTCATTTTCTATCAAGTTAAATAATAAATATATCATCACGCGGATTTTTCAAATATAATGTCAATCTAGATTATTTTGACATGCACTAAAAATAACCAAACCTATAAATCATATAGAACATAAATTATACAATTTCTACAAATTAATAGTATTAGGTACAATACTACTATTTTGTTCATTCACCACACACATTTATTATAATAATAAAATCAAGATAATTAATTTAATTTAATTATTATATCAAAAACAAAGACAGAATATTAACAACTCTAATCAAAATCCAGTATTCTAAAAAAATAAATACAAACAAAAATGTCTCCCAAAGATAAAAATGAAAAAAGTAGTCCTACACCTTTGGAAATTAATAATAATAATATAGAAAATAATAGTAATAATAATAATAATATTCCGACACCAAAATTATTAGTAAATGATATTGTAATAAATATAAATAGTAATAGCAATAATAAAAGTAATAAAAATAGTAATAATAATAATAGTATTAAAAAAAATAATGAATATATTGATAGTGATAGCGATAGTGATATAGAAATACAATGTAAAAGTAGTGTTTTATTTGTTAGTCCAAAGCTGACACCTGTAAATAATAATAGTAGTAGTAGTAGTAATTTTAGTGATAAAACTCAACCGTCACCACCAATACAAATAACAAGCGATGAGAGTACAAGTGATAGCGATAGTGAATTCGAAATGGCTGAAAATGAAGAATTAGAACCACCTTGTATAATCGATTATTCAGACCAGATGGTTTCAATTGCTATACCGGTATTCTTCACCATGGTTGTGGTGACAGCGGTTATTCGTGCAATTTCAGTGCCCGACAACCAGTCTTCACCACCACCTGCCAATCGTATTGATATTCCAGCGGGCTTCAAGTATGATACAGACCCCAACATCCAACAAGTCTTCCTCAACACATTGATCAATTCACTCATCTTTCTTGGTGTAGTGGTACTGAGCACTGTGATCATGGTCATTTTGTACAAATTTAAATTCATGAAAGCATTGTATGGGTGGTTAATGGCTACCTCTATATTACTACTTGGTGTATTTGGTGGATTTTTGTTTATGTAAATATCTATTGTTTTTTATATATGTCTGTTTAATAATATTAATCTTTGTTTGGTTTTTCAGATTGATTTTAACATATGTAAATATAGCATTGGATTATCTTACATTTGTTTTTGTAGTATGGAATTTCAGTGCTGGCGGTATCGTTTGTATATTTTGGTTTTGTCCAAAATACTTGAATCAAGCATATCTAATTTGCTTAAGTGCATTTTTAGTACGTAATAGTCTTAAATAGAAACGTTACTAAATAAATACTAACAAATTGTTTTTTTTTTTTTTCTGTAGGCTTTGTTTTTGGCAAGATTCCCATCTTGGACAACTTGGGCAATTTTGGTGTTGGTTTCTATCTATGATATTTTTGCCGTGTTATGTCCAGGTGGTCCACTACAACAATTGATTGAAACTGCAAGAAAAAGAGGTGAGAGTATACCTGCTCTTATCTACAATGCATCTGTTTTCATTGGTATGGCTGAATCGGAATCAATTGAAATGAATACAACAACAACAGCAACACAACAACAACTACTACAGAATAATACTAATAATAGTCAAAAACCATCACCATTCCCAACACCTACTAGTATACCAATCAATCTTCCATCGCAATCAGAGATGATAGAACCAAAGAGTTCTCCAAATAGCGAGAGTATGTCTACAGGTGTTTCAACATCGGAACTCTCTGAATCAACTGACTCGGTCACACTTGAGAAAGGCAGAGGAATCAAACTTGGTCTTGGTGATTTCGTATTCTACAGTGTCTTGGTTGGAAGAGCTGCCTATAAAGAAATCATTCTTGTTTTCATTTGTTTCGTAGCTATTTTAACTGTATGTATAAAAGAGTAATAATAATTAAACCTATTAATGAATATATAACTAATATCTTTTATTATATTATTATTTAGGGTTTATTCATTACACTGTTATTGTTGGCTGTTTATAAAAGAGCATTGCCTGCATTGCCTATCAGTATTGCCCTCGGAATTCTGTACTATTTTATTTCGGATATCTTCCTAATACCATTTTTGCACTATTTGACTGTCGAACAAATATTTATATAATAAAATAGTAGTATTATTATGCTTGTATATGTTGGATCGAGATGAAATGCAAAAAAAAAAAAAAAAAAAAAAAAAAAAAGTTTATTTCTTTTTTCATTTCTTTAATGAACTTCGTTGATTATCATTCAAAAGAAAAACATATTATGTTAGTTTCATCACCATAACAATAATATTGTGAACTTTAATCATTTTCAACTAAATTAAGATATTTATATATTGATTGATTCAAAGAATTTCGCAAATCAAAATCCAAATCTCATCGACCAAAAAAAATGATGATCATTTTTTTTTTTTGTTGTTTTTTTTTTTTTTGTTTTCATTTGTATTTGTATGATATGACCCTAAGCGAATTAAGTTTAATTAATTTTGATTTATTTGGAAACGACGAGTAAATAAGATTCGAAAAGCTATCGATTTGAACACAGCCGAACCATGATCTACAATACGACCTCTATTTACTTAATTCTAATTTCTAGAAGAGATTTAAATATTAAAAGATAGATAAATTCTTACTTTAATCTTTTTTTTTTTACTAATAGAAATGAAATTTAATAAACTATTGTTAGTTTCAATATTATTGATAGTTCATTTATTTCACAAAACAAATGCATTTACTATTACCAGAATATCAGAGAGGTTGGGATATACCGATGGTGGCAATCTATTCAGAATAGAATCACCAGATTTCCCAGTTCTACTACCAACTTTGAAAGTTATTAATGGTAATAAGGAAGCTGTTTTCGCTTATAGAGGTCTTGTTGCTACCAATATTTATGAATGGGTAGTACCTGCAAAACCAATGGATTTGACTATATTAAAAAAAAGAGGAAGAGATAATAATGATCAACAAGTAAGGCTTCATATAATATTAGCTAATACACCTAATCCACTTTATCAATATGATTTTAACTATGTCAGTAAGTATATTGTCATATTTCTAATTACTTTTAAAGATTTCCAATCAACTAATAAAAAATATAAAAATAAAAAAATAATTATTATTAAAAATATTATAAATAGCACCTGTAATCGATGATTTCAAACCAAAAAGTAATTATCTTCATCAAGCTGGAACATCGGTAACAATCTCTGGTAATTACTTCAAGTTACACGACTATGACACGGATCCAGAGGTTCGATTCGATGGTGTTCAGGCTGTTGTTACATCGGCAAGTGGTTTTAAAATTATTTGTGTTGCACCAACTGCTGTCGCTGTTAACGATTTAGTGCTTAAAGTTAGGCTTGCCACTGGAAAAGAAATTAAAGCTGATTTTCTATTCCAAAACATCATGCCAATTGTCGATGATGTTTCACCTAATAAAGCTGTCAGCCAAGTCAGTAAGAACATCAAGATCTACGGTAAGGAAGATTCAATCATACCAGAGGCTGACCAACCCGCCACCACTATTGCTATTGGTGGTCAACCGTGTACCAACGTCAGATTCCTTCAAAAAGGTGTCATTTCTTGTGATACACCTCTGCTTACAGTAGCCGCTGGATTATCAACACCATTTGATATTACTATTCAAATCAGAGCAACAGTATTTACTCATGTTCCCAAGTTTATTGTTTATAGTAAGTAATTTATTTATTTAATATTGTTTGTCATTTTCTTTTTATTAATTATTTATTATCATTTATATATTATAGCTCCTGTAATTTCCAACTTTTTACCTAAATTCAGTTTGGCTGCTGGTGGTACCAGAGTAGTTGTTAGTGGTAGACATTTAAATGATATCGATGCCATAAGAATAGGTGATTCTAATTGTGTTGTGGATTATAATTCTTACAATAAGGATGCAAATACTGAGGTCGAATCTATTTCTTGTACAGCAGCTTCCTGTGATATGGGAGGGTTATCCGAAAAAGTCAATAACTTCAATGTCATCGTTGATGGTCAGATCTTTAATGCCGGTTTAAATCCAACTTTCACTTACTATGTTCCTGCCATCAAGTCTATAGAACCAGAATCCATCACCGAAGCCATCAGAAAATCAATTGTAATCCGTGCAAATTATGTTAATTCAGTTACCAAAGTAACCATAGGTGGAGTCGATCACATACCAAGTTCCGTTTTACATAATAATATGATCATTGTTGAGATCAATGCTGCCAGTTATCAACCTGGATCCTACGATGTCACAGTTGTTGCTGAAAATATCTTGACCAACAAATTGAATTTGGATATTGGACCACCTGATATTATTGATCTCAATATCAAGAAAGGATTCATCAACTCTTACACTCCAGTGACCTTCCGAGTTCGTAGTTTTCCAGTTGTTCCACTTGAAGATATGGACACTGTCATTGCCTTCAAAATTGGTACTCAATTCTGTGAATATTTAGAAAGAACATCCAACACTGAATATACATGCTCCGTCCCACCAAAAGGTATTGTTTCTACTGACCTCATTTCATTAGTTATCAACGGTGTCGAGAAAATAACAGGGTTTGGTTTCAGTTATGCCATTCCAACAGTTACTGGTCAGACTCAATCTTCCAACATTCCAATGGGTGGAGGTAATCTTGTTATAGATGGACTTGGATTGAACTTTGTAACCTCTATCAAATTTGCCACCTCGGAAATCAAGATTTCAAGTTGCGCAGTAAATGGAGAAGTCAAAATTACATGTCCAATTCCGAGATTTAAAGTAGGAAACTATCCAGTTTCTTTGGTTGTCAATATCAATGGCGTTGATTACTCTTATTTAACTGGACAGAGTCTTGCCTATGTCGGTCCATCCCTTACCTCTGTTAGACCAAGTCAATCAACAAAGGAACGTGCTCATGTAATTACTTTAACCGGTACTGGATTTGGAACATCAGCTGCATTAATATCTATCAATATTGGTGCAACTGCATGTACTAATATCGTCATTATTAATAATAATGCAAATGTATCATGTAGTATTGCCAAGTTGGCATTTGGAACGTATCCTGTCACTATCACTGTACAACCCAACGTCCTTTCTGCCGGTGTTGTATCTTCCGATACTGTTACTTATAGTTCGACCAAATTGTCTTGCTTGGGACCTGCTCTTCCAGACAAAACCAACAATCCAGTGGACTGGTGGTTTATTTATAAGATCAAAGGAGAACTCGACGAATATTTGTATATCGACTCTACAATGGATAGATTCCAGAGACACAGAGATCTTCAGAACCATGGTGATACTGCAAGTATGATGACTCCAATGGAAGCTACCTTCAAGGTATCCTATGCCAACTACTACTTTATGTTTTTCAATGATCAACCCAATTCCAGAACTGATCAAGGAAAGAGAGGAAAAAGTGATTCTGGATTCACCAGTATGAGAAAAAATAGCGATGGAAAATCAGCCCATGGTCATTTCAAGACTATGGTTTTTTTTGACGACCCTGATCCAGCTACAAACTTATCTCCTGGTATTCATATTGCTCATTCAAATCCAGGTATTTAATTTATCTAAATAATTTTTTTTAAAAGGTACAATATTAATAATTTTTATTTTTTAGCATTTCCATCAAATAAAAATGCAAATGCCTATAATGGTCCGGCTGATGGAATCAAATTCCTCGGTGCAGCAGATTTCAATCAACATTTCTTTTGTTATGCGTTCGACAATATAGAAACTGCGATGGAATATGTGATAAAAAATGATGGCAATCTTCAAAGTGAAATTCATTTGTTTCCAAATGTAGCTGGATGGAATCAAGCTGAAATGAATCGATATCCATACTTCTATGATTACGTTTCTCACTACCTTAATTACCCAGCACGTGTACCAGCTGTCAACACTCCACCAAGAAAGACACCAGTGGATTTCATTAAGGCTTGTGATAGCATTGTTGCAAACATCGCGGGACAGACACTGGAAAATGTGTGTTATTGGAAAAAGAATCCGATTGTCATACCCGGTAATATGAACCTTATTTACTTTATGAAGATTGGAAATAGTTATTCGGATAATAGATCTCCATTCAAAGATCTTTCCTCAGCCCAATTGAATCAAATTTCGCAATTCGTTGTATGGAAAGAAAAAAAAATCGATGGCATAGATATTTGGTTAGTTGTTGCTGATACACTCCGAAAGAAATATTTTGTTGAATTTTTCTTTGCAATGTCATCTGTTCAAATGAAAGTTACAGAGAAAATCTTAAATGTAGCTTGTTTCGACTTACCTCCCAACTATGCTAAATTGGATGGATCAACAATATTTACTGATTATCATTTCAGTGGAAGAAAGAAAGTATGTAACATAATTAGGCTATTAAAATTATCCTTTACTAATTATTTTCAAAATTTAAATAAAATTAGGAACATGCAAAAATGGGATTTCCAGTCTATCCAACTTTTGGTGCTAATGCACTTGGACCAAATGGTATAAATATAATTTGATTAATAATTTCTAAATCTATTAAATTGACAAATCTGTTTTCTTTTATTATTAAAATAGAAAATTATTTCTGCGTTGGTGATAGCAATAGACATAATGGTCAAGGTAATTTATTTTTTAAAAAGATAATTTAAATTTAGAAAATAATTAATTAACAAAAAAATAAATTAAAAAACAATTAGGTTATCGTGGTGGAGGAGTAATCTGTATACAAAATCCATATTTAGTTTATTTCTTTAATAGAATGGTTAGACAATACAATACCATGGATATAAATAATGTAATAACAGACAAAATTGACAGTATTGGTTTATTCTATGGAGTTACTCAACCAATTAAGGTAAATAGGGGTGCTTGGACAAAGACATTCGAAGTTGAAGTCAAGGATTACATAAATGGAAACCACTACTCAAAGCTCCCTAAAGAAATATATCCAATACTTGCTAGTACACGAACCGCTGCTACAGATGTTAATGCAAAGTTCAATGCGCTTAGAACTAGAAAAACCCATGCCGTTGGTGTCAATGGTGAAAGATCAGTTGTTCCAGTTCCACCAACTCTACCAAACGAACCGGATATTTTGAACTATGTTTCCAATGATTTGCTATCGCTCCATTACATTGGGTATGACCAAACAGTCGGAGCCATTTGTGATTACGATGCAGCAGCGACCGAATGTACCAAAGCCATTGCCAGAACCACCATAATTCCCACTCTACCCAATTATGTTAGACCCATTTTCCCAACTGTTTATGAACATGTATATGCTGGTGCGCAACCATTGGTTACCTATGACCTGACACAGAACGACCATTTCAAATTAATCAAATTCACCTCTGAATTTATTACGAAGCTTCCAAATGCCAAGAGAAACTTTTATCAATTTCAAATTGCCCCCGTACCAGCTTTGGCCAACCCTCAATTCCGACCACCATTTATCATTCGACAAGCCGATGCTGTATGTGAAGAGGAAGTTGCTTACTTTATGACACTTCACTATATCTATTATCAATCCGGTGCATTAGATCCTGCATTACTCATATATAAGATTGGTACTGATGCACCCAATTGGGCCAATGGTGTAATCTTGGCAATCTCCAAAAAACTCTATAGTGTAATTATTTTAATTTCTCTATTACTTGTTGGAATATGGATTATTAACAAACTAAATTTATTTCTATAGGAATTACGACCAAGTTTAACACCTGCTGTTTTCAATGGTTGTATGAATAACATTTTCCCAGATTTCCCAAATATTGATACTTACAGAGAGTATGTTTATTGTAACATTCATTATTGATTGATGACCTTTGTTATTAATATTTTTTTGCAAATATATATACATATTTTAGAATTAATTATGATATGGCCAATCCAAGTAATGATAAACTTGTTAGAAGAAGTGCTGGTGCTGCTTGGGATTGGATGGAAACTTCATATACAAATGGATATGGTGGTAAAATCGATAGAGTAAATAATGACCAACGTATTCTTGTTGCTGATTTATTGGAGGCGATGATCAAGGCCAGACAGAATGGACGTATTCTAACAATGAAGAACCTCCTGCGATTCATTAATAGAAAGTATATTCCAGGTGAAAACTTTGATGCTATTCTCGTCAATAACTATATCATTCCAAGACCACTACCCGTTCTAAGACCATTGCAAATGTTATTTATGATGAATCCATCATCATTTTCACATTCTCAATCATTATTGACTTCATCAAATTCAACAAATCCTCTCGGTCAGAGACCATTTATTGTTCAAGATGAACGATCTCTACAACCTGGAGTTCAGCAATTATTTTCAGTTCCATCAAGCTCAATCAATTCAACTGATATTCTATCACTAACAGCTTATCAAATTCAGAAATTGGAATTATCATTTGATAAATGGATTAATGTCAACGGACAAAGCCAAGCAATCCAAACACTTATTTTGGATCCAACCAACCAGGTTAACAATCAACCAATTTTGTTTATCGATGAACTGAATCGTGATTTCGATGGAAATGCAGTTGATCTTAAATATCAGGATATTGGCTCCACTGGAACAAGAGCAACCATCGCTTCACCATTATCGATTGTTTCGATTACTTTCTTCCTGGAGAGTATTATCATAAGTAAATCAATTAGCAAATCACAGTTTGGTGATTTCGAAGTTTATTATCTTCCAAAGAAAAGCAACTACAATGGTGTAATCTCTTCAGATCTCAATGGAATGATAATCTCGACTTTGAACTCACAATTGTGTGATATTCAAATGAATAGTGAATCGAACTTCCTTTCAAATAACTTTGACACTATTTGTTCTGGTATTGGTCCTGTTATTACATCAGTAAATCAATTAAGTGGATCAACCAATGGTGGATACATGATAACTGTCAGTGGAATTAGATTCAACTCAACAATGACCATTCTCATTGGTACAAATGAATGTGACTCCACTCAATTCATTTCATCGAGTAAATTGGCTTGTCAAGTACCCAAAGGTGTTGGTAAAAACAATGATATTCTATTGTCAACTCCTCAAATGATATTCAATCTTCAGCGTACCAAATATTTGTTCAACTACGATTCACCAATAATCACCAGTGTCCAACCAGATATTATCAACAGTTATGGAAGTGATTTAATGACAATCTACGGATCAAACTTTGGTGATGATGTAACCAATGTTAAAGTTCTAATTGATGAAAGATTGGATTGTTCCCCCATTGTTAGCTTAACATCAGATTCAGTGGCTTGTCTAACACCATCTGCTATTGGTGATCATAGATCCATCACAGTTATTGTCAAAGATCAATCAACAAAATTGAATCTCAACACATTGGAAACACAATCATTTAGCTTCAGTGGTCCTCAAATTCTTAGTTTTATTCCATCGTCCGGTGACCCAACCGATCGTATTAGAATTCTTGGTGATGGATTTGGACATGAAGAAGATTCAGACCTACCTCCAATCTTATTCATTGGTGACAATATGGTTGAAATCACCAACTTTACCAACCAATTTATTGAGTTCCAATTGGAATACGAAAATACCAATCAACCGTTAATTATTCAATCCGGAGACCAATCCATACAAACAGAATTCACTTACTATCCTCCTCTTGTAACATTTATCAACAACTCTATTGTCAGTACAAGTGGTGGATTAATTCAACTGGGAGGATATGGTCTTAGTCTTGCATCTAATGACTTTAACTTCAAATTAAATTCTCAAGATATCGATTGTAATCCATTCGATCTCTTCATTGAATGTTTTGTTCCACCAGGTATCGGATCCAACTACCTTTTATCTGCCACCCAATCCAGTGGTGAATCAATTGAATTTGTAGAGAATTTCACCATTTCCTATTCAGCTCCAAAAATCACAAGTCACATTCTCCTCGACTCTTCAATTCAAATAATTGGAAGCAATTTCGTACCGTTGGAATATGGCTTATCATTCAACACCAGCACGTCATTTATTCGATTGAATTATCAAGATATTCACTATGACGATTGCACAACATTCGAATCAAGCAAACTAGCAGTATGTTCATTCATAGAATTACCTCAATCAATTCAAATCTTTGTATCCGGACAATCCTCAAACATTTATTCTTTTAATTGAAATAAAATGAATTCAACAAATAAGAATAATCATTACTTTTTTGAATTTTATTTTAAGATTGTAAAACAAAAATCAAATATAAAAGATTTTACAAAGAAATTTTTTAGATAGTTTTTTATATTAAAGGTTTGTAATTCCAAACTCAATATGAATGAACTTCGTTCATGGTTGAATGTTTTATTCTAATTCAACAGGAGAATTAAAAATTGTTGGTTTTATTTTAATTTTTGTTTTTACATTCAGAAAACAAACAAAATTAAACAAATCTACAAAAACATCTTCCAGTGGACAACCAATAACAATTTAGATTCGATCTACAGGCCACGTCATTATGAATATTATTACAAGTCTGTTGACCTATAGAAAAAAATATATTTTTTAATTTTTATTTTTTTTTAAAAAGAGACAAATACTTACAAGTAAGTGCATCTTCATTGGCATGAGCAACCATACAAATCATGCTGATCATTAGAACTACCAAAACAACTAATAAAGTTTTATTATTCATTTTATAAGATATTAAATATTTTAAATTTAGAATTATAAATATATATTTTCAAATAAAGTTGAACTTTATTTATATGTTTCGCTTTTGAATTAATTTTTGAAGAGATAAATTCAAATAAAAATTGAAAAAGATTAATTGGTTGTTAAATTTAAAATAATTACGAGGTTATATCTATTTTTTAAGTTAATAATACCCAATGTCGAAAATATTTCTAATGCAAAAATCAATTTAAAATATGACAAACTGAAAATCAATTGGAGAAATCTTTTAAGACAGATTTTATATTATATTAAGATTAATTTATTGGGTTTTAGATTAACTATTCTATTATGATGATTTTCCAAATTTGATATTTTATAACTTTGAAATAATTCTAAAAACAATTCTTTTGAAAAGAAAAAAATTGGTGTCCTCTAAACTTAAGTAGGTGAGTAAAAAAAAGTAAATTTCGATCAGTACAAATACCAATGTATTCCCAATTGGGCACCAATAAATATTGACATAATTGATTAAATTGTTCCAACTACCTTCAATTATCAATACAATCCAGTAGTGAATCAGTTGCTTTATATATTCTAATCAAAAATAATAATTACCAAGACAGCTATAAAGGTTTTAAAAAATAAAATTTGAAAATTATTTATATGTTTAGAGTTTGAATTCCATTTTTTTTTAAATATCCTCAAAATAATAAAAAAAAGAAATCTAATTGGTTATTAAAATTAAAATTGTTCTGAGGTTATATCTTACACTTTAATACTAGTACTATGGTGTTTTTTAATTAATTTATTAAGAAAAAAAAAAATAGAAAAAATAAAATCTGTTATAACACTTAATTCTTTGTTAATTGTGAAAGAGAAGAAAAAAGAGAAGTAACGAGTTTGGTTCTTGATCTATTTAAAAACAAATTCTCAAAGATTAAAAACAAAAAAATAGAACTATTGACACAGAAAAAAGTTGATTATGTAAAGGTGTCAAGTAACACGTCTGTCAAAGCCAACCAGACACAAAAAAATTTATTAATGTCTATTTATTTTACTGAAATGATATGTTGTTGATAAGTTTATAAATTCAACATTCTTAGTTTTGCTATGAATGTATTGTGAAGATTGTTGCCACAGCATGTTGACCAGCGATGGTTTCTCCATGTCATCTTTGACCTCTATCGATATTGTATCGATAGAGTGATTGTTTGATTGCAAAAGTTTCATAAAGTGCTCGATATCACTGATTGAACTACATATTGTCTCGTTGATTGTTAAGCTACGTTGTCGATTCTTATTATTATTGTTGTTGTCGATATTGAAGAGTTGGTTAAACAAAAGATCGGTAGTAGCATTCTCTATTGTTATGGGCGCTGTAAGTTTCAAACTAAACAAAGATAATTGTGAACTACCGAGTGTCTTTATCCACTGATTCTGGTGAGTACCAGCGAGCATTGGTATCTCCAAGTGCTGTAGATTAACTAGGTATTTAGTTGGATTCAACATAATAGTGTATTTATCTAGGTCGGTCTGTAACTCGTTTCTCTCATTGATTACCAACTTTCTTAACGATCGATTGATCATTTCACTTGGTTGTTGGCTTTTGAATTGTTGAGTGTATTGAGTGAGAATACTTGATGTTTCCAGTGTATGACTGTACTTATGATCAAAAATAACTAGTTTCGTTATGTTTGAGTTCAAAAGGATTGGTGATAAAGTTGCATCCTCAGCATTGAAACCTACTGATACTGTTTTCAAAGTCTGACTAGTATTGATAAACAGTAGTATCGAAAGAATATCTGAATCACTAACCATTGAGAATTTTACTTTACAAAGTCTATTGCAGAGTTGAAGGTACTTAATTATAGAATCTTGTATTTCGAAACCATACGAAATCAATGAAAACGAACAAATTGATTGTGTCGATGCTCTGGGAATGTGTGATATATCCAAAGGTAGGGTAACTCCACACTCTATTGATTCAAGTCGTTCATTCCATATCTTATCTATTGGCACCTTCTTTGAATAATTCTCCTCCTCTTCTTCTGGTTCAAGGTAGGTGCCGATTGGTGGTTCAAATAAATGAGACATATCAAAGAGAGAAAATGATATGATAGGTACTTTTAAGCGATTCAGCAATTGGTTTGAAGATATTATCACTCCTATTGGTTTGTTGTGTTGATTGAGGGCACCAGCTATACCTTCTACGAGTTTAGCATTGTTTCTATAGTAGCAACCTATGATAGCTCGATCAAAAATCTCCAAAGCTTGACTAAATAATGACATGAAAGGTTGATACTCGAAATCCAATAGCTGGTAGGTTGCCGATATCTTCAAAGCAATGGTTCTACTGTAACGTAGAATACAATACTTATTGTTTACCAAACGATATAAATCAATATCTACCATTTTAACTCCATACTCTAATATATAACTGCATCTCAACTTGAACGACAAAGCAACACTAGATCGCATGAACTCAAACCATTTCTTTGAAACTAAATTCAATGATAACCTCCATTTAAAACTATATAACCTATCATTAAAAAGTTCTAAAAAAATAATTGTTTGTATTTGATGATTCATTCTAAAAATTATTATAGTTATTCTCTATATGAATTACAAAACAGTTTATAAAAATCTTTTAAAATAAAATATAAAAAATTATTCAATTCTATTTGCCAATACTTCTCTTTTTGGCAAACAATATTTATCGTTGTTTTCCTTTATTAGATGAACAATAACGTTGTAAACTTACCAAATATTTTATTAGCAAAGATTATCAATGAACTTAAAGACAATCTAGATAAACTATACCTTACTTTAGTTTGTAAAAGATGGTTTGATATTAGAGATTCGATTCTATCGTTTGATTGTCAAGATTGTTATCTTGTCAAATTCGAACAGAAGAGGTTCTTTCTAAAATCTTACATCAGTACATTCAACCATTCGTATATGAGAAAAGATAATGGTGCGCTTTTATTTGGTAGCTCTTTAGCTGGTAAAAGATTTCACTATCGATTAAACTACCGTAAGTACTTGTCACTTCATTGCTTTGATTCGATATTAATAACTAACTAATTAAAAATGAAAAGATGTTTTATTTATAACAAGCAAATATAGAGTACCAAACTCTACAAGAGAGATCTACTTTGATGCGGAATTCAATTTGAATATCGATAACATGCTAATGAAGTTGTCGATGTCGAATGTTACACACATTTACTTTAACGACAATTTCAAGCAACCAATTGCAAAAGGTTTATTCCCTCCTACGATAAAGCTAATCAGTTTCGGTTACTATTGGAATCACCCGATAGATGAAGGAGTTCTACCAGCACACTTGGAGAGTTTAAGTTTTATCGGATGTTTCAATCAACCGATCAATGAGAAAAGCTTGCCATCTACCATCAAACATTTGAAACTTTCAGTACTCTTTGACTATAAACACCTATTTGCCAACGATAAGCTACTACCTTGTAATCTACAGTCGCTAGACATACCACGTTCCAACAAAGAATTAATACCCCCTGGTTTTCTACCGGCCAATCTCACCGAGATCAAATCGCTCTTTGTCGATGAACTATTATTACCTTCAGTACTTCCATCTTCAATACGATCGATCTCTCTAGATATAGGTAGTCAAACTAATCGGCTCGCCATTCCCATCGGTGTTACTTCACTTACTATCGATTCATCTTCAAACGGTTGGCGTTTGAAGAATGTAGATCTACCGACTACTTTGAGATGTCTGACTCTTGAAGATTACAATCACCAACTAGAGGAGAATGATCTACCAAATGATATTGAAGAGTTGACTTTAGTTAACTATCATATTAATAACCTACCAATTGTAAATTCAAAATCGATCAAGACATTGAAATTACTCCTTACCTACGTTAATACACCGTTGGAAATTGGTTGTATTCCACAGGGTGTAGAACAATTGACTTTTGATCTACTAAATGGCATACCATTAGCACCTCATATAATACCCGATAGTGTAAGAGATCTGTCGTTCCCTACTGGCCGCGTAAAACTGGTGGTCGGTTCACTACCGCCAGCGTTACAATCACTCACTTTCGATGGCGATGTTGTGACACCTTTACTAAGCAACGACTTGCTACCTCCAAGTCTTGAGAGACTTACCATCAGTATCCAACAAGCCAAGACATCACTAAACTTGGACATCAATACATTATTCTTAACCACCAAGATCAATACAATGAAGATAATGTCTCGTTCTAATATCTATTGGTATATCATTAGAAGATTGGATCAATCACACGCCATACTCTCAGGTGGTCAATCGAATACCGAGTATGGAATAATCAAAATTACACAACTTAACACTACAATATCAAACAAACTATCAACAGAAAGTGATTTTTAAAACTATACAATAAAATATTATTTTTATTGTATTTTTAAATTAATTAAAAGCTATTATATTATTACTTATTGATTAAAACTATTATACTATTATTATTTAAATATATATATATATATATATATATAATCGATCGATATATCTTTTTTTTTTTTTTTTAACCTAATTTATATGCAACCATTGTATCAACTTTGTGAATCTATTTTGGTAAATTAATAAACATTGTTTAGATGTTAGTTGATCTTTGATGCTTACAATCAATTTGATTTAGTAAATATTTTTAATTTTAATACATACTGTTGTTGTAAATGAACGAAGTCTAACGTGTTGACTGTTTGTAATGTATTGTGGATCACTCTCTTCCCATTTCTGTGGCACGCTGATATCTTTGTTGGTGTAGACCAACAGATCGAATGTACAAGCACTTGGAAGCAGTGGTAGAAAAGTAACACTTGCTGTGATTTGTCTAATAATCGCTTGAATTTCATTCATTATCTCTTTCTCTGGTTTAACTCTTGGTGCTCTAAATTTATATATATTTATTAATCAACTATATATAATTTTAGCTATTTCTTTCTATTTTTCACTTACTCTGATTGATTTGGTAGATCGGTTTGTACATCGAATACCCATCTTTCTAGAACGTCTTTGGTCACGACATCGGTGATGACCAGTACCAACTTTTGGACGTCACCAGTCATCAGCCACTGTGAGAGTTGCTTCAAAACGTTGTCAAGATAGTCTTTCAAACCTTGGTCTGTAGTAACGAGTATAGACAAACCATATTTAGCTACTCTCGAGAAAGTCTCTGGTGGATATACTCCTCTTTGAAATAGAATACTATTAATACTATATGCTAATATTTAATAATAATAATAATAATAATAATAGAGTTAATTTAATTGATAACAACCGAAGAAAGTCAATCATCTTTATCATCAATATTATTACTATTCAACAAAATGTTGTAATAATATAAAGATGTAAAGACAGATCTATTATTTGATTGAAGAGATAGTTACAAAAGAATTCAGTTACAATGTCTGTTGATCCTTTAAGTGTAATATTATTTTTTGTTGCTAAAGATTGCATCATTTTTTTGGTTTTTAATTTATCTATTTATCTATTTGATTAATGTTTAATTTTTGATCTTTATAAATAGTATAAAAGAGGGTTGGCGCCTTTTTTTCAAGTGGAATTCAAATTTTTGCTGCCAAGTCATGACTTATTTCTTTCGTTAAATATTTACAAACATAAAAGTCAGTTATAATTTTATTTGCTTGGTACACAGTTATATAAATTCAGTTAGTATATCAGTTGTAGAATTTGATTATCAAAGAATATTTGAAAAAATACTTTTTTTTTTTATTTTTTATTTTGAAAACAATTATTATTAAACAACGATGAATTATATAAGTTGATTGAAAAGATAGTAAAATCTATCTAATAATATAAAACTATATAGACTCAAGAAGTTATAAACTTATTGGATAGTATAAATACTGTACTTTTTAATTAATTTGGTATGTTAGATACACAACCGGGTGAAGAAGAACTATGCATAACAACTCTTCACTGTTGACAATATTTATAAAATGATCAATTGTAATATGAATATTTTCAATATTGGTAAGGTTTTTTGTATTTTTTTTGTCAGAAGATTTAAAATTAATAAATCTTCTTTTTTCACTATTCTTATTGTAATAGAAAATGTTATATAAACTCAAATCAGACTTTCATTTAATATAATTTAATATTTATTATTTATTGTTTGTTTATTTATTTGCTGTCTTTCTGTAAAAATGTTATTAAGTAAGTTTCTTCTTCTTTCTTTTCTTTATGATTATTAAAAAATCTAGTTTGCTTATATTCTTTTGTTTCTTATTTTTTTAGTGAATATAAGTAAATTTAATTTTAACATTGATCTGGCAAGTTTAAGCTGTACAGCTATACAACAGAGCATCAATGTGGAAGAAACCGAACAAAGCGATCATTTAATGACGAGTGTTGTTTTTATTCCAGAAGATCCATTCTCCACATTTTCATATATACCTCTAAGAAGAAGATAAAACATATTCTAAAAATAAGATGTGTCAAATAATTGTAAAAATTTGTATAAAAAAATAAACCCACACCCCAATGTCATAACAATCACAAATTTCTTCGGTTTTATTTGCTTTTTTTTATTTAAGTAGATTTGTTTGAGATTTGATTGAAATAATAAATAGATAGAACTATCAATTAAAAAGTAATAGAATCAAATAACACGATCATTTTGCGCATTAATCAAACGCTTGTCAGACTGCATGCACCGAGTAGCGGGGAAAAAACGCACATCAATGATTTTATGATTGATGTTTTTTTTTGCTTTAGCAACTTTTTTGAATTTTGATTTTATGGTTCAACGGTCTACTCTTGTCAGAAGCCTCTTAGATATAATATCTTCTTTTTTTTTAGTTATTTTATTTATTAGTTTTGTATTTATTTGATCATAATATTAAAAATCTAGTTTGACTTACACAAAATGATACTTTGTGAAAAAAAAAAAAAAGCATTTTATATGTAGGAAATAAATACATCATCATGATTCATTAACATTCAAATAAAAAAATTAACTTGATTAAAAGTGACAATCATTCAAGTTGACAACAACAATATTTAGAACAATATTTGCTTTTCATTTCAGTAAAAATTCAAGATTTGATATTGAACAGAACATAAATAAGTGCACTCACCCACACATATATATTATACAGAGAACATGTCTCAACAGCAACAACAGTTTCAACCAAAGAATCTAAAGAACAGAAATCTAAGAATAGGATTGGTGATCACTGGTTTCATAGCACTTGCATTTTCATATCCTATCTATTTCGTAGTGTCCCACCAAAAACAAAAGAGAGATCCAAATGATGCATACTCTAGAAATGCTTCGATCAGAGGTACCTTCTTAAATGCTGGTTCAAGAGTATGCAAATTGATAATCATTAACAATGATAGTGTTGTTTGCTTGTTTGTTTTTACTAACTCTTTTGAAATATTAATTAACAAAACAGGATATTGGTAGTGATAAATCATATATTGGTAATATAAGAAAAGAAAATAACAATAATAACAATAATGAAAGTTAATAGAAATATATAATATAAGCTTTTTTGTATCATTTTAAAGTTATTACTTTTATTTTATTTTGATTTGATTGATTTACATAATATGTAGATAGTTAGATAGTTTTAAAACTAACTAATCTTACATATGTACATGATGATTTATATTTATATTTATATTTATTATATTTTTATTTACCTAATAATTGTTTAATTAGGTTATCGGCTTTGGTAAGATCTATTTTGTTGATATCAAAGTTTGCTTCTTTCACCAACTCTGAGAGGATCTGTTGGTTAATGAGACCGATACGTTGTGCTTCGCTATAGGGTGTGGTTGAGAATGAGATGAGTTCATAACGAGAGATGTAACGAAGTTGGAATTTCTCTTCCAAGAGATGCTCTACCTTTTTCTTAAAGACAAACATCTCATCGGCAACTTTGTCACGCATTTCGATAAAGTTCTCTACTGCCATCTCTGCAATGGCGTCAGAGTTCTTCTTTCTGTTGATTTGATAGCGTCGGTAGGCAGCGGTGAACGCCTCATTGCTAAACTCCACCGAGCCTTTCGATTCTTCGATGATGCATTGGTAGAGATCTAAGACGTCTTCAAAGGCGGCGTTCATACCCTGGCCGTAGAACGGCACGATGGCGTGTGCGGCATCACCGATCAACACTGCTTTGGAACCGACCGACCATGGATAGGTCTTTACGGTGACGAGCGAGCTAGTTGGATTGGCGTCGAAATCGTCGAGCAGTGTTGGCATGACTGCATAGGCGTCGGGGAAAATGGTCTTGAAAAAGTTGTCGACTTTCTCGCGCGAGTTGAGCGCGGCGAACGAGTTGGTTTCACCTTCGAACGGGAAGAACAAAGTGCATGTGAAACTACCATCGATGTTTGGAAGCGCGATCATCATGTATGCTCCACGCGGCCAAATGTGAAGACATTCGCGTTCCAACAGGAATGTTCCGTTGGGACCGGCCGGAATGCAGAGTTCTTTGTAGCCGTGCTCCAAGAACGACTGTGAGTATTCCTGACGGTCTTGACGTGTCATTGCTTGACGCACCGCTGAGAAAGCACCGTCCGATCCGACCAATGTGTTTGTAGTGATTCTCTTTGATTCTTTGGTTTCATTGTTGACCAGGGTGAAGCTGTTGTCACGGAAGTTGACGTCACGACAGCTGACGTCATAGTGGAACTTGATGCGGTCGCCCGACTTGCGCTCGGCGTAGTCACGCATCTTCTCGTTGAGCAACTGACGCGAGACACTGAGAAGATGCTTGTCAGAGTTTGAGGAGTACGGCTGGAAGTTGGTCTTGGAGTCGATCGAATGAATCATACGGCCCTTCATTGGAATGGCGATCTTCTCGATCTCGTCGATGACACCGGCAGCCTTGAGAGTCTTGATACCACGATCAGACAAAGCCAAATTGATAGATCTCGCACGATTCTGTGGAAGTGTTTGATCGGTCTCTCTTGGACGCTTCTCATAGACATTGATATTGCTGAATCCGTGATTCGACAGAAGCACTGACAATGCAGAACCAGCCAAACCAGCACCTATAATTGAAATCGATTCGTTCATCGCTACAGTTGATATCATTGAATATAATATTACTAGATTAACTACTAAACTAACTATTTATTTATTTTAAGAAAATAAAATAAAAAAGAAAAAAGAAAATGTTTAATTAAAAACAAAAAAAATCAAACAAAACTAAAGTCGGGGTAAAAATTTGCATAATGATTTGATTATGTGGCTTGAAATTTCAATAAATTTAGATATTTAAAAATAGTGGTATATTTCGTCTTCCAATGACTTTCATTTGTTGTTTATCTTTATGTATTATGACCATAGGAGGATGGAATAGTTTTTTTTTTTTTTTTTTCGGGTCTCCACAACTCTGCTTTAAATAGATTATTTGTATTGCATTGCATTACAAAGTTTTTAACTTTGTTTTTTTTTAGAGAAAGAAATCTTATTAGTGTTGTGATTTACTTCTTACTTTTAGAAATAAAATAAAAATAACTAAAAAAAAAAAAAAAAAACGAAAAAAAAAAAAAAAAAAAAAAGCATATCTTATTAAAAATTAATCATTACATGTTTGATTTGATAATTAAACGATGATAAGCAGTACATCAAGATTATTACTTAAAAATAGATCAGTCATATATAAAAGTTGTTTAAAAAGTAATAATGGAAACAATTATTACATAAATCAAATAAATAATATAAATAATAATGTCGAAATATTGAAATCAAAAAGATTCAATCAAAATGGAAGTGCTGATAATCAATGTAGGAATAGTTTATTAAGTACAACTTTTTTAATAAATAATAGAACGAATCAATTAAATAGTTATAGATATTCAACAACCAACAACAATGATGATTATTCATTCAGTTCACCATATTTCTCAACGACATTATCGACCGCTTTACAAAATAAATTAAAGATGATGTCAAATAAATATACAACTTTGAAGAGTTTAATGGAGTCTGTAAGTTAAATACAAACTACTACTACTACTACTCAAAATAATCAGTTAAACTTACTTATTTTAATACAATCTAATATTATTAGCAAACATTATCACAAGAAGATATAAAGAGAACATCGAATGATGCTCAACAGATAGAGGAGAGTGTCCAATTGTTTAGGCAATATGTAAATGAAATTGGGAATATCAAAGAGTTAAAGATGATGTTGGATATGGAGAAAGAAGAAGCATCGAGGGAAATGATTATTGAAGATCTCAAGGCGATGGGCGAACAACTCGCAGCTCTTGAAAAGTCGTTGATCTACAGTTTGTTGCCGGCCGATAAAGACGATGATGGTAACGCCATCATTGAAATTCGTGCCGGTACCGGTGGTGGCGAAGCACAGTTGTTTGCACACGAGATGTTTCGCATGTACGAAGGCTATGCCGCCACGAAAGGCTGGCGTTTCGAATCACTCGATATCTCCTACACCGATGTCGGCGGTTGTCGTGAAGCATCGGCAGCCATCTCTGGCAAAGGAGTGTTCGGTTTCCTCAAGAATGAATCGGGTGTGCATCGTGTCCAGCGAATTCCAGACACCGAGACACAAGGTCGTATTCACACGTCGACGACTACGGTCGCCATCATGCCGGAACCCAAGGAAGTGGACATCAAGATCAACGATCGTGATCTGAAGATCGATGTCTTCCGTAGTTCAGGAAACGGTGGTCAGTCTGTGAACACCACTGACTCGGCGGTGCGTATCGTTCATCTGCCTACGGGTATCACCGTGTCGATGCAAGACGAACGTTCACAACTCCAGAACAAATCGAAAGCCATGAAAGTACTGAGGGCGCGTCTCTACGAGATGGAGAGAGTGCGTCTGCAGACCGAGCGATCCGCCGAGAGAAACTCACAGATCGGTGGTGCCACTCGTTCCGAGCGTATTCGTACCTACAACTTCCCACAGGATCGTGTTACCGATCATCGTGTCAACATTACGACCAACGACATCGATGCAATCATGACCGGTGAAACTTTAGGTGATTTCATAGAGGATATCATGTTACAATTTCAAACTAAAGATCTCAATAATCTTATGGATATAAAAGAATAATAAAATAATGATAATAATAAAAATGACCATTTTTATTTTTTGATGTTATGAAATTTAATATTAAATTTTAGTGAATGCAAATTTAATTTGATCACTTTTAATTAATCACTTATATATCTGTAACCCCTACAATTGTTCAGCTATCTTTTTTTTTTAAATAAATTTGATTATAGATATGTCACAACTCTCAAGCTCAACCGATAATGTTGGATTGTCAAAGAGTCAAGAGTTCCCATTGTCAATATCAACGATGTTAGGTGTATCAACAACAAATGCAACTGCAAACCAACAACAACAACAACATGCCTATACAAATTCATTATCATCGGTATCCGAAGAGAATGATAATAATAATATGAATAACTATTATTGTTTAATGATAAAAGAATATTCATCATCACCTGCAGATAATAATAATAATAATAATGATAATAATAATAATAATCAAAATCAATCATTTACTTTAAATATTGTACATACCAATGCAACAAATATACAAACACATAATATTAAATCATTTATATTATCTAAATTACTAAAGAATCTAATATTTAAAAGAGGTTCAATTGGTAGAATTGAAGATACAAGTTTAGCTTCATCTTCAAACTCTTTAAATACAAATGTAATAGATAGTTTGTTAGGAGGATCACTACCATCATCATCCTCTAACAACAAAAACAATGAAATATCATGTTATTATACATTAATAGAAGTACAAGAACCAACAAATACATCAACAACCACAACAACAACAACAAGTATTAATAATAATTTAACAACTAGTTCATCTTCATCTTCAAATACAACAACCAAAACAACTACTACAACAACAACAACAACATCAGATTTAACAGGTACAAATTCAACATCGGATGATACTCTAGACAATACAAATTCACCACTGGTTCAAACAGATATAGAGAACCTTGATTTCAGTATCAATATCAATGACAATCAAATTCTGTTATCAGAGATAGAGAACTGTGGAAACATTATCAAAGAGTATTACTTGTGTCTATGCTACGAACATCCAGAGTCACAGGTTAACAACATCGATACTTTTCATTTGGAACTTGGTGATTTCTGTTATGACATTGGTTATCTTATTAAATCATCAAATCAAGAGATTCTTACCAATACTCTATCGAATTGGTATTCATTATGTGTATGTATAGAGTGTTCTATTTCTCATATATCTAATATGAAACAATTAAACAACTAATATATATTCATTCTTAAAATAATAGATAAATTATTTAACAAGAACAATTGATATGTTCAATGACAAGATATCATTGTTATTACATTCATCACTCTCTGGCTATGCTTATAATATTGAAACACCAAATGATTTAATAGCTAAAGATATTATACAGTAAGTAATATATCTTTATATATCTCTAATTTAAACTAATCAAAATATATATATATATATATATATATACATATAGTTTCTTAAGATCTATTTCAATTCCAAATCTAACAGTTATAAAGACATCATCTGAAAGCGACTCAACTTTATTCAAATATGAATTGAATCCAGAGAGTGTAAACTCTATTGATACAATAGTTAATATTACAGTAACTAAAGAGAATACATTGATTTTAAATTATAAAGGTAAAGTTTAATAGATATCTATCTTAACTGCAACTATTCTAATTGATTTAAACATGTTTATTAGGTACCAATGGATTCTGTAGAAAATGGTGTAGAATATTCTTGGATGCAAAAGCAGATTCGCTCAGACTACGTAATCTAGCGGAAGAATTCAAACTAAAGGTTATTCAAGAGTTGAATCATTTCAGAAGAATGGTTGATTCCTCAAAGAACAACAACTATCTTTTGTACAAGTCTTTTCTATTCCTCGTTGGCAGTGATAACAGTGACATTCTCTTTGATCTCCTAAAGAAGGACAACGATGATCCTGCCGTCAAAGAAATTCTAAATATTCTACAATTACAACTACAACAACAACTACAACAATAAAAAAAGATATCATTGTTTATTAGTATTAGTACTAATTAATGAAAGCATATCAGATCTAAACAAAATATTTTTAATATTATTATTATTAGTTTATTTAAGTACGATAACATAGATTATCAATGATGAATGTATCATCTACGATTCCACCATTTTCTATCACTGATTTTATTTCAATGAGCAACAGATATTTCCTGGGTGATATACGCTTCAAGTAGTATATTATGTTTCCTGCGTAAAGAATGATGGTTTGTACGGTTTGTGGAACCGATTTGATATCTTTCGCCAAATAGCAATTTCCAAAGATCAACACTTCCACTGAACCTATAATGACGCCTGGCTTTAATTTGAATGCAGCATTGGAGTTGAATGTCAACTTTTTTAGACCAGGTGGAAGAGCTGATGCCCGAAGTGGATATTTCTCAAACGAGCAATTGAAGGTCAACTTTCTAACTGTTTTGGGTATTACTTTTGATTTTAATTTCTTATTGAAACCGGCTCCAAACGTAAGCGATTCCAAGCCACGAGGTAATGACTTTTCGCTGAGCTTCTGATTGAACTTAGATGATAGCTTTAGTTTTGTGAGTGATTGAGGGAAATCCTCGGATTTCAGCGGGAGGTTGTAAAAGTAACCCAAATCCAACTTCTTTAAGCCATCTGGGAATGTCAAGTTCTTCAAGCTGTGAGACCAGTTCTCTGGCAACAATAGCTTCCTTAGATTCGGTGGGAATACAATCGTTCTGTCAAAGATAAGTATTGTTCTATTACAATTTCGTAAATCTAATTCGACAATTGTCAAAGGAAAATCGATAATTTTCTTGGTGAGGTGATTTTCCATATCTGGATTACAGTATCTTGTACTAAAATATTGTAATGACTTGCAACTTGTCCATTTGATACCTGTTGCGAGATAATTTGGTAGATTCTCTAATCTCACCAGTGATTCAAGACAGTTGTCTTGATCATAGTCAACAATCGATGTATTGTGCCCGAGATCTTTCTGTGCGAATCTAAGTAACTTGAGTTTGGGTGGAAGTCCTTTCATTGATAGTTTTTCAAGTCCCTCTCCGTATATAAGAGATTCCAAATTGTCAGGCAGTATACCACTTGTATCGATCAGCTGTTTGAAATCTCTGCCAAACTCTAGAGATTTCAGTCCAACCGGAAAGCAGCCAACAAGCAATGGTTGGTTGAACTTCTCTCCGAAAACCAACTTCTTTATGGTTTGAGGAAAGAAGTTTGGTGGAATGGGTTGATTAAAAAGTTGATTGAAATGGATCGTTGTAATATTGGACAGTCCAACCGATCTCATAAAACTATCGTCAATAGGCACTCTGTAATGATCGGTGAAATAAAGATTTTCAATCTGATCTTGAAAAGTTATTAAACCGTCATTATCAATGTTGTTGTTGTTATTAGGCTCATTATTATGGTTTGTACGAAGTAGATATCTATGAAGTGTGTAGTTTGGTTGAGAAATCGATGTTATACAGATAGAGTTATAATGTGCAGCGTTATTTGCCTGTAATATATATTTATTATAAGAGTTTAAAAAGGTATCACTATATTCAGTATCGAAACTTCTGAATTGTGTAGTGTATAACACAAGATATTTATCTCTATTGATGAACCAATTTTTACAAACCAAAGTAAAAGCAATCCTATCTATATTGAGCTCGATATAATTTATAATTTTTGCTAATAATGTGTGAGGTAATTTAGTAAATAGATCTGCCATTATTTTTGATTGGATTGTACAATTATTTGATTAAGAGAAAATATTTAAATGTTTTGCTTAAATTTGTGTGATCAGAAAGAATCTAACACAAAAAAAAGTTGAGTTTTTTTTTTTGGTTCAAGGTTTCTTTGAAATAAATATAATATCTTTAATTTTGTTCAAGGTAACCAACCTAGGTATAATCATCATACCATTTTAATTGTAAGAATGCATTTAGTTTGATAGTTGTTTATCAATTACTTTATTAATTAAAAAACCAATATTATGACAGATAGTGAATCAGGACAATTTATAAAAGATTTTATCGCATGGAGATTGAACAAGATTAAAGCGATACTCAATCCAATTCCTGCTCAATCGACGTTAACTGCCGAAGCCTATGTTGCATTGACAACTTTCAAAGATGGCGCTGATGTAGTTCAAGCAACAGCCGATGCATATTTAGCTGATCTCTCGACCTACCACCAATCAGACTTGGCTCTGAAGGCAATAAACAAAACAAGACCGTCTCTCTCTGCTGATCTAACAGAGTTGATCCAAGACACCAAAGTTGTCGAACTCTACAAATCATATGCCCAACTTGCATTGCTCCAATCACTTCAAAGCACCACCGAGACCGATGCCTACCGATACAAGATCAAGATCAATGTTGTTGAAGCAGATCTGAAGAGCCTAACATCGACCACATTGTTCACCGACCAAACAATGAAGCTTACTTTCCTGTCAATGAAGACAACGGCACCACAATTCTTCCCATATCTAGTGTATGCCAAGAATCTCATTCCAAAAGTCAAGGAGTATCTTTTGAAAACGGAAACTCTCAACAAATGGATTGAAGATGCTGCAAACTTCCAGATTGCCAACAAAGATAACAAGGATGAGGTTGACCAGATTAGATACAATGAATTGAAAACCAAATTGGATCTTTTAGATCCAACATTGGGTCTCTCCAATGCAGTTCTTCCAATGTATAACTATGGTTTATTTGCATACTATACAACACACAATATCAAAGATACACCACTCAATCGAAAGATTTTCCTCGCCAATATCACCAGACAGTTAAACAATATCGCCAAGAATCCCAAGAATGAATTCTACTCTGTTGTTTCCTCATTGAAAGCCAATAGCGGTGGTTTGGTTAGTATTGCACATAAACTTTCATCAGGTTTCTTTACCTTTATGAATAAAGAATCGATAAAAGCTGCAGAACTTTCTTCGAATCATGTATTCACCGTGGAAGATGTCAAATTGATTACCAAAATGAATGATCTCGGAAAAGCAACCGAAGCATACTCAATGATGAAAAACAATGCAGTTTTCTTCAAGTTTGCCAATGGTCTATTGTTCAGTTGTCAACTCGCAGCCATTGCCTATGGTTTTATGAACTATGATAAACTTACGACTTTTGACAAAGCACTTCTATATACTGGTACTGGTCTGTCAGTTGTACATGTCGCTACATCAGTTGTTGGAAAGAAGATCTTTTATTATATGGCCACAGAGATATCGTACTATCTCAAAAGATATGCCGATATTGCCATTGTCAAAAGTATCTCACTGGTAATGGAAGCTTTACCAAAGATTATCACCAAGACGATCATGCAGTTGGCATCCAAATTGACGCCGGTATTCCTTCTCATCTCAATTGGATTCTCATTGTATGATGCTTTCACCAGCGCCAAGGAAGGCAACTGGGGAGTATTCGTTCTATCGCTTCTCGAAGTAGCAGCAGCAGTTGGATATGGACTTTGTCTTATTTTCGCAACAACCTGTTGGGCTGGACCATTATCATTGATCTTGGGTGGTGTTCTCATCGTTTTGGCGCTTGTCAAAGTTCTCTGGTCATTCTTGGCTTCACTTTTCACTGGTGACCCCGTCATTAACTATATCAATTCAGTTGATTCCAAATATGTCTACACTGAAAAAGAAGAATTCGATCTCCAATGGGTAGCACAACATGGAGCTGGCTCCATAGGAACACCAGAGTATTTAAAACAATACCTGTTTGAATTTGATTTCGAAGCCTATATTAGAAGATATAATCCATAGGAATTATATCTAAATATTAATTCTTTATTAAATCTCAAAACGGCGTTAATTTTGCAAAATAAGATGTAAATCAGGGCAAAATCCAATTATTTCTTGTTAAAATAAAAGAAACAATGAATGTGGGTTTAAATATATATAGATATAAAAATTGAATGGTTTCGTTAAATATTTTAATAATAAAAAACAGTATAGAAATGTGATGTATTCTTGTGTTGAAGCATGATTAATTGAATTTGTTTTTTAATATTTTTTTATTTCATTACCACAATATTAAACCATTAAAAGAATAGATAATAATAAAACTTTTTAATAATGTCAAAAAAAAATGATGATTCTCCTGAACCCAAAAGTGATGAAGAGTGTCTAGATGAATAGACTTTAATATGACAGAGGAAGATTTTGATAGATATTATCAAGAGGCTGGTATGTATACTAATTTACTATTTTTTTTAAATAATTAAGTTATAAGTTAAAAAATTGAAATTAACAGTTTTTTTTGTAGATGAAATATTTAAATATTTTAAAAAGAAACAGAAATCAGAATTGTCGGAGATTGCAAAGAAAAACTAGATAAAGATCAGTGACCCTATCTCAAAAGAAGAACTTATTAATAGATTGTTACGATATGAACCGAAAAGTACCAATAAAAACTGGAATTTTGAAGATTTTTGTCCAAATACAGGTAGATTCCAACCAAAAAGACCTGATAAACATGGCAGTGCGCCAATCGATTATTTTATGCTTTTTTTATGAATCGATACTATCGACGATCCTCTATCAAACTAAGCTATACATAATTAAAAAGAATAAAGAAAATTGAACAATAATATCACAACAAACCCAACTCCAAAACCAAAAGAAAAACTCGGAACTCAAGTCGTCATGGATTTAATATCTCTATACCTCTAACTTCTTCACTTCAATAGATCTCTACAAAGATCTTCTCAATTTAAAAGTGTTTGCTTGTGGAACCATCAAATCAAATAGAACTATCTTCCCTGAATTCATTTATGAGCGTCCACTCAAAAAACATCAATAAACAAATGTATAAATGATGATCACATTTGTTTATTGATGTTTTTTTTCACTATTTTGATCACTAAAAAAAAAAATCCAACTCATTTAAATCAGTTTTGAGATTTAAAAATATTTTAATACATTAACAATTCATTAATAAAATAATAAAATGTCACAAAGAAATAAGAAAGTAAAGGAAGATACAGACTCAGAGATAGAAGAAGAAGAAGAAGAGTCAGATGTTGATGATTTCAGAAATACAGAAGAGGAGGATGAACGTATGTCTTGTAATAGTGTAAGTAATAATTACAAATATATTAGATAACCTATTATTAATATTTTTTTAAAAACATTAGTTAACACTCTCGTTCGGCGAATTCGTAGATATCGATAAATACTTACGTACACCAGTCAAAGATCGTAAGAAAAGTAATAGATTGGATAATCTTATTGCCGAGAATGGTATCGTCTTGAACGAATGTCCACTCGAAATTTCGCAAGTGGTGTCCGGGCAATTTCTTGGTGGTAATTTTATCGTGGATCTCAAGGCAAGAGCACAAACGGCCGCGTATGTCAAATTCTTGGTATATCGCAAATCGGACATCAGTAAACTACTCTGGAATATCCATATGTATGGTTACGAGACCGATCCACATTGTATTAGAAGTAAGATAAAGAAATTTATGACTCAATACAACTTCTACACAGCCGAATATTCGAAATCAGTCACAAATTTTAGTTGTGATGATTGTGCAAATAGTAAAAAGAATATAAGCAGTGAGGATATTAAAGGCTCGAGCGGAACGTGCCAAGCAATACAAGAAAGTCAAATCATCCAGTAATAATAATAATAATAATAATAATAATAATAATAATACTTCAGCTACAGTAGTTCAACAACAGATGGAGAAGGTAATACACACAATAACAGATAGACTTTTAGAGATAGAAAAAACAATATCAGAAATCAAAACACAGCAACATCAACAACAACAACCAACAAAACATTATGTACAAGTTGAGAGATTGGATATCACGACAGATATTAATATTATAGACGATGATATTAAAGGAATCAGTGATGATCGTTGGTTAAATGACAATTGCATTAATGGGTTAATAGTTAAATTTATGCAACACCGCTTTACTTCGGAGTATGATCATCATCTGATTCGAGTGTTTGATAGTTTATCGTTTAGTAGACCAGTTCAACCGCTGTACGACAATAGCACATTGTTTTCAATTATTCCATTCAACGCCAACAACAATCACTGGGTTTTGTATTTGGCAAAACGAACCAGAGACAAAGAGACACGATTGGTTGGTCATCAGATCTTTTGTCATGACTCACTCGGTGGTAAGAGCCCATTGCCAGATTCAATCAAGTCGTTTTTCAAGACTGGTCAAGTGAATCATTTGTCTATTTTCCGACAAGTAGATACTATCAACAGTGGTGTATATGTTCTCATGTTAGTTGAATATTTAATAAATAACTACAGTCAACTGGGAGAACATACAGACATCGAACATTTTTTCTATGATATAGATGCATCAGCATATGACACCAAGCAGTACAGAGAAAGACTTGTTGATATCATTAGAAATGGTGCAGTGACATCCGAGTATCCTTGTTTATCTGTAGCTATGGAGAATGATGGTTATTCGTTTGACTGTGGTTCATCTGACCATGAGACAACAACCACCACCACCACACCAGTTAGTCGAGAAGAGAAGAAGAGCAGTAAATCAACGAAAGTGGTTCCTAAACGCAAACATGAGTCAGATCCGGAAGAAGGAAGACGAAGATGAAGTGTTGATTGTGAAAAGATTTTTTTTATAAGAGTAAGACACCTAATCCTTTTTTTGTTTGTAAACGATAAAGAAAAAACAAAAAAAAAAAAGAAAGGTAAAAAACAAGTCTCCAATTTATCTCCACTCCTCATACCAGCACAGCTGTAATAAAGACAAAAATTAATTCGGCTAGCTTTGGGTTAAGTGGAATTTATACTTGAGGTAGTATGATATTGTTGTTTTTTTTTTTTTATTTTAAGCTGCTGGCTGGGCAACAACAGGTGGTATATTAACCAATAAATCAAGGGCTTTTTGAACATCTAAATTGGAACGTTCATAAAGTGATTCCCAATCACCATGATCTTCAAAATCCTCAGTTTCATTGTCATAGTCAACCCTGAAATAGGATGGAAGTGCTTTGATGTAATCTGCCAATAAATCAGGTGCTTCAGTTGGAGGATTTGATGATTGAATCATTTCCTTTAGCATCTTAAAACCACTAAACGTTGGGGTCAAGTATTTACGGAGTGAAAGACCAAACATAGCACCTCCCAAATACAACACATAGGGTGAACTGAATGATGTACCTCTCAAGACTGTCATCACTGGTTTGACTAATTTTCTTTCAAGGTTTGGAATGGTAATTGCCAATGAACCTGATTTTTGATCTTTTGGCTTTGTGAAAATATCACAGGAAATCGAATCTTTGGTGAGTACAAACAACATTGGAATCATGTTTCCTATCAATGAATGTGCTACTGGATCAACGTAATTTGGAACAAACTGGCTGAATGCATTGATAACTCTAACTGGATCGTTGATTCTCTTGGTAAAGTCGCGGATGAATTCACCCATTCTCTGATAGATTCGATTCTGTGCAACTGCATCTATATATTCATCTACATACAAAGCCTGACCAGCATATAACACTGACAAATCAAAGTGATCCAATGATGGGTTGAATAGACCATAGGCAATGGTCCCCAATACACAGGTACAGTATAATCCATTGATGAATTGATAAAAAGCAGGGTTGGTTCTGTAGGTGATGAAAGCGGCATCGACATTGGCAGCTTTGATTGGAAGTGCCGATGCCTTGGTCATAAATAACAAGGTGTTAATGTTTTTGATTGAATTGACTGGTTCTAATGTAACTTTGAAGAACATCTGAGATATAACTTCTGTAGTCTTGACAACATCTCCTGCTTGTAAATTAGCAATTCCAGTGGCAATCGCATTATATTTGTTGTCTGGATTTTTGAGAATTCTCTTTAGAACTTTGAGAATTGTATTATAATAGATTGACTTGACAGACGGACAGTTCTTCATATTACTGGAAATGTAGAATGCTAAACCAGCGAAAATATAAGAACTCAAGATATCATTGGAAAGTCTATAGGTTGGATTCAACAAATCAAGTTTGGATTTGAGTTCATTGAATCTGAATTGGTCGTACTCTCCATGGACGTTGACATTGGCTAGATGGGACTTCATTGCTTGGAATGCCAATTGTTGATTTTGGGCTGCCTCCAAGAGGTAGGTTCTTAACTTGATATTGAATGTCTTGTGGTGGTAGATGAACGGAAGTATTTGTGGGACCAACTCTTTCAATGCAATGTAATAGATCATCATTGTTTGTTTGGCAAGTGTGGCACTGTATGCAATATCCTTGAGTTCTCTCTCAAGACGACCACCGCGGATGGTTGACTTGTACTCTATGGTCTCATCTGCATGGTAAATTGATTGAACGAACCAGATTTTGGCATAGTCTTTATAGAACTGAGCTGATTTTTCATCGACAATCAGTTCTTTGAGATCAGCAGGAAGCTCCTCCGCTACCATTCCTATCGAAAAGCTCAATAGATCAGTAAAGTATTTCTCTGCTCTCTCTTTGACAATATCAACTTTGGAATTTGGGTCGAATGTTGATATCGCCAAGAAGTTCTGTGGAGTCAAAGTGTCGGGTGACAAAGTTGGAATGTTTGGAAATTGTGCTGCAATCTTGGCATCTCTCCATGCTATGAAATCATCCAAGAACTTTCCTCCTAGTTTAACTGGTTCTTCTACCTCTGACATTTTTGATTTATATATTTAAATATATTAAAGTAAATATTAAATATAAGGTTGTAAAATAAAAGAGGCTGAGAACTAACTATCTAATATTTTATTTTTTTTTGTAGCGAAATAAATTAATCATAAAGATATTTTTTAATGCTTTACACACAAATTTTGAACCCCTTAAAGGTCACCAATTTTGTGAAAGGGTGTCATTTGATCACAGCAAATATCGATTTTTTTTTTTTTTTTTTAGTGATTGGACCAAAACCATTCAAAAAATTTTCATATAAAAATCACCAACTATGTTCACCTAAGATCAGTTAGTCCGTGTTCGATTATTACTAATACAATATTAAAAAAAATGTTGATATAATAATAAATAATTTAATATTCAAATGAGTTTAGGCCATATCATTTCCATTCAATTATAAGCATTAAAACAAGTCATTAAATTTACACGAATTATATATATTTAGGGAGTAAAAATGTACAAATATTAATAAATTAATTTTATTGAGGGAGGATAGATAGTGTGATATAAATAAATTATAATGAGGAAAGGGGAGGCAAATCGATCCACTGATTCAAAATGACATCTGAAAGAGTTTTACCATGACGATCAACTCTTCGACTGACACATACACCACCGTCCAATGCATAACTTAGCACGATGTTGAAACCTTTGATACCTGGAAGTTGGTATATGTTCACTTTGGATTCGTTCTTTAATAGATTCTTATATACACTCATCACCCACTCTGGTGTGATAACTTTCTGAAGACGAGGGTAGTCCGCTGGATTATAGGGAATCAGTGAGACATTGGCAATGTCACCCTTGTCACCACTACGAGAATGTGCGATATTATAGAGTAACACTCTTCCTGACTGTCTAGAGGTGTCGATAATCGAGTAGACAGTGTTCTTCCAGCTCTTGTCGATGTTATAGGCAATCTGGTGATTGTTTTGAGTAGTGAAAGGTTTATCAAAGTCTTGAAGAGTATTGCTACTGCTGTTATTGTTGTTATTGTTGTTGAGAGCAATACGACTCGAAGAATTGGTGGTTCTTTTGATAGTACCTCCACGATTACTCTTTGAAACTCGACTATTTGTAAACACATAGGTATTCCATGTGACAAGCTCGCGCTTTACAAACTGTCTGACCAGACGAATATCTTTTCTAATGCCAAAGGCAAAACCACCACCACCTGCAGGTCCACAAAGACCTAATCCCTGCAGCTCCATTCCCAGTGTTTCGGCATCTTCCCGACTCTCAAACAGACCATCGAAACGAAGTCGGACCTCAGGTGGATAACCAGATGCCGACCAGTTGGCACCATCGTAGCCATCTGGAATGGTCGAGGGCAGCGAGCTAGGTGGAATCTGGAAGCGCGAACCATGCTGTAGATACAGACTGTTGTAACCAACCAAATAAGTCATCATATTCTTGGTGATTCCCTTCTTTTTATCCTCCATCCATTTGTGCACCAATCGACTGGCCCATTGCGCCCGCTCCACACAACCCAGTCCACCATAGGACACCTCAGCCCACGATTTATATCCAGCGCTCTTGGCGAGCAATCTCAGTAGATCCTTTGGCCTGGAGTATCCTTTTGCACCCCTGGCAATCACACTGTTCTCCGAGAGCTCCACGAATTCGACCTGACTAAAATTAACAATGACATCCGGAGTGATATACTCCTTGGGATCACCAATCTCATAGGTCAACTGTTGTTTACATGTTCGTTCAGATAGTTCACCACCGCTGCCCTCGATCTTTCCAATAACAATATTACCGTTCCTATCGATATCACAGAACGGGAGCGAGAGATCCGCCAGCTTTTCAAACGATGTGTTTCTTCCTAAAGGATGTGCAAAATAACCACCTGTCAAATGGCATCCACACTCTAATAAATGGCCTGCAAGAGTAGCTTGAGCAACTAAATTGAAATCTTTTGTTAAATCCCAACCAAATGTATAGGCAATTGGAGCAACAAATAGACTCGGATCAGCAACTCTACCTGCAATCTAATAATTGATGATGATTAACAATGAAATTAATATTAAACACTGTGGCATATGAGATAGTGAAATGAATGACTAGTTATATATTTATACATACAACTAAATCAGCACCAAGTTTAAGAGCGTCAATCAATGCATCTGCACCAAGATAGGTACATCCAATCTCCCAATTTTCATTCTCCTCTTCGTTCAGTGAGTTGTCCATGACAGAGAATCCATTGGAACTCGGAATGGCAACCAACTTTGATTGCGAAGAATTGTTTACGGAATTCTTTTTGTAGACTGTTGTTGTGGGTGTGTTGGTGGTGGTGGTGGTGTCGGGAGAGTCGCTGTTTGCGGTGGTCTGTTCACAAACAACGACAATACGAATGTCGATACCGAGTGAATTGGCAATATCCAATGCCTCTTCACCTGCGCCTTTGGGATCGGCCGCACCCATGTTTGTAATGATGGTGACGTTATTTCTGTGAGCGGCGGGCAACAGTGCTTCCAGCCACTCTTTCAGACGAGTATCGTATCCTTTTCCACCGTTTCGCATTCTCCTGATGCTGTCGGTGAGTGTTCTCTCCGCCAGACACTCCAACACCAGATAATCGAGTTTCGCTTCATTCACCAACTTTACTGCCGGTGGTACTCTATCACCTTGATATCCAGAACCACTACCAACTCTAATGATTTTTTGATTCATCATTATTATTTTTGATTTGTTTGTTGATTGTTTGTTGATTTGTTTTTGTTTTTGTTTTTTGACCAAAAGAAACTATTAGACTGACTGTCTATTATAATTCGAAACAAAACCAGAAACTATCTCTTTAAATATGTAATTGGTGATCAATTAATATAGTATTAGCAAATATTTAAAGTGAATCACTATTTATAACGAGACGGAGAGGGTAGAGTGTTAATGAATAGTAGTTAAACGGTCAACCACAATCAATGAAAGAAACTGATAATAAACTACTACTACTATTAATTAATGAATTAATTGATTAATATAAAAAGTTAGTAACCAATATTAAATGAATAATAAGTTGTGATGATTGAGATTGATGACAATAACTATCGAAATCTGAAAATCAAAACGCAAAAAGTTTTGAATACCAATTTCTCTGTTCGGTGTGATTATTAAAAGGTTGGTTGTACATACTGATTGATACTGTGCACTTATGTTTTGTTATGCTTATGTTTTGTTGTTCAACAACATAAATACTACTTTAAGATAAAGAAAATGTTATTGTTACGATTTGATATATAATTATATCGTAAATCAAAAGATTGATTTCAGTGTTTTTTGGGTTTTTAATCTATAAATAGCAATAGTATTGTGCAAATCAAATCTGTCGTAGGATTTTTCGATTGTTTACCGGTATAAATCGATCGATTTTATATTGATATCGTTAAACTATTTTATTGATGATTAATCGTTCGATTATAATGTGATTGATGGCAGAAAATAAATAAAAAATAACTAAAAGTAAGTATATTATAATAACTTTTATTGTGTATGCTATATTCTTAGAAATAAATATTATGATATTAAATAGGTTTTGTGTATATAGATATTGTTATGTTATTTATGGTAGGTATAGATGAATTTTAAAGAAATAAAAATTGTTATAGATAAAAAAAAAGAATGTCGGAATGCAAAAAAAACCAAGCAATTGTGTAAGGTGAAGTAGAAGTAAATGGTAGAGTGGTTTATTTTTGTACTGTTACTACTACTCTCGTATTATTATTATTATTATTATTATTATTTTAAAACAAAAATGTAATGTTATGTTAAGTAACAATATTTGATTTGATTTGATTTGAATTGATTTGTTATGTTTTGGTAAGTTTTAACAAAATTAAATCAATTGGAGTAACAAAAGTAATATTATTTTGATATTATAAACAATTATTTGTTTTTCTTAGTTTTAAATATTATTAACATAACAAAAAAAGGAAAAGGATAAAAAAATGACTGTTCAACAACATTCCTTTATTTGAGTTTAACAATTGTTTATGTTTTGGTTTTTGTTTTTATTTTTATTTATGTTATTGTTGTTGTTACATCATGAGATTGCTTATCACACCAAGTCACATCATTTCAACAGACAAGAATAATAATAATTCTATTTTATTTTTAATTTGGATTTGACAGTAAATCACTCACCACTAAATTCTTTAATAATAAAAATAAACAAAATAAATTTTGTGATAAATTGGATGAGCGTGTGAGTAACACAACACATTTTCACCACCACCACCGTCTTCCCTCTGAAATAATGACTGTTAGTATATAGACAGAAACACATTTGCTTATATATAAAGTCAATAACAGTATGAAAATATCAGATTTTAATAAAAGTCGGGGAAGTGAGTGATGATGGTGAATGTTACATTGTATGAGTGAGTGTGTCTCTTTTAAAATATTTCCAAAAGTTATTTTTAGTTTAACAATTGTTTTTGCTTTTTCTAACTTGAGAATATAGATTATTGTTGTTTGTGATGCTATGAGTATAGCGGTGTATGTAGGCAGCTGATTTGTATTCAATTGAAATAAATTGGACTGATCAGTCCAACTTAAGAAATATAAAACAAGATGTGAAACGAAAGTGAGATATACATATAAATATAGACTTATTGTTTTATTTTAACATCTATAGTAATAATTACCTATCGTATCGTTGTTGATTATTTCAAAAGTTTTATCGTTGTTTGGTTTTTTATTTTATTAACTTATTATTATTATTTAATATTGTCTAAAAAAACTATACTATTATTATATTATTTATTTATAAAAACAAAATTATTATTATTTTAAATTTAAATTTATATATTATCAATATAAATTAAGAAATAAATAATAAAATTTGAAAAATATAAATAAATAGATAGATAGTAATAGTTTTATAAAAATAATTAAATAAGTTCTTGATTATAAAAAATAATTATTATTATTACTGACTAATTGTTGTTGCTATTTATCTAGAAAGATATATATAACAACCAAATTTAATGGTCATCAGTGTTGTTAATAAATAAATGGTTTGAATTTATTTAAAAATGAATGGTAAAACCCGCTTTTTATGCTGAACATGATATTTTTGATCATACAATACCATTTTGAATTGAATTAATTATTTTGCAAAGAAAACAAAAAAAGTTTTTTAGATTTTTTTTTTTTTAAGATTTTTTTACTTTTTTTTTTTTATTTTTCCATTTTTTTATTAATTATTTTTATCTTTCATTTATATCTTAAAAAATAAAAATTATTGAAGGATAAATCAATCAATTATTATTGATCGATCTTAATATTAGAAGTCTAATATATTTATAAATTCAATAGAAGCTTTTTTTTTTTTTGAAATGTTTGTATTTCCAAATCTTAATAACAATATAAAATAAAACTTTATAATTAGAACCGGCTACTTTGTTTTGATATTATAGAAAAACAGGAATAAATAACTAAATAGCGAATAGAAAAAAAAAAAGAGAGTTCTAATTTTGATTCAACAACAAAACAAACAAACAAACAAACCAAACAACACAAAATTAATCAAAAATTCAATTTTTAAAAAAAAATCAACAACAAATATATAATTTTTTTTAAAAAAACCAGTTTTACTTATAAAGATCTTTATTTATTTAGAAATACAAATATATAATATAGGATATAAAGATGTCACTAAATTTAGATCATTGTATCGAAAAGTTACAGAAATGCGAAATACTATCAGAGACAACCGTTAAAGAGATCACCGATAGAATGAAAGAGATATTGATCAACGAAGCAAATGTACAATCTATTAGAGCACCCGTTACCGTTGTAGGTGATGTTCATGGGTATGAATTTATAGTTTATCAAACAACAACAACAACAAGCAACACGCAACAACGAAACAAATCAAATCATTAATAATACTTACTAATACAATTACAAATCAAAATCAAACTATAATAATTTAGTCAATTTTATGATGTTTTAGAGATATTCAAGATTGGTGGTAAATGTCCAGATACAAACTACCTGTTCTTGGGTGATTATGTAGATAGAGGTTATCATAGTGTTGAAACGATTACACTTTTATCATGTTTGAAATTGAGGTATGTAGACAGAGAATAGATGAACACTTGTATTGCGCGTGGATGTTAATGTTAATGTTAATGTTTGTTGTTGTTGTTGTTCTTAGATATCCATCTAGAGTTACATTGTTGAGAGGAAATCATGAATCGAGACAGATTACACAGGTATATGGATTCTATGGAGAGTGTATGAGAAAGTATGGCAATGCCAACGTTTGGAAGTATTTCACAGAGATGTTTGACTATCTGCCAGTGGCGGCTATCATCGAGGATAACATCTATTGCGTACACGGTGGACTCTCACCATCGGCACCGTCGATCGATCAGATTAGAGTGCTCGATCGTTTCCAAGAGGTGCCACACGAAGGCCCGTTGGCCGACTTGATGTGGTCCGATCCCGACCCCGATCGCGACGGATTCGTCGAGTCGCAGCGTGGCGCCGGTTACACGTTCGGTCAGGACACCGTCGCCAAGTTCCTGCAGATCAACAAGATGCATCACATCTTGCGTGCACATCAGATGTGTATGGATGGCTACCAAGTACTTTTCAAGCGAACACTCTCCACCATTTGGTCGGCACCGAACTACTCGTACCGTTGCGGTAATATGGCATCGATTTTGGAGATCAACGAATCATCGGAACACTATTTCAACACCTACTCTGCCGCACCAGAGAGTTTACACAACAAACCACAACAAGATACCACCAAAGAATTACCAGATTATTTCCTTTAAGAAAAAAAAAACAAAACGATAACAATAACAACAACAATACAAAACTAAAATCAAATAGTATTCGAACTACTTAAATAACTCTCATAATAACAATAATAATTAGTTAAAATAATAACAATTCAATCATTTGGCAATAATAATAATATCATCAATCAAATCAATCACAATAATCCTTTTTCTTTATTTCATTTCAACACTTCACTTTTCAACAATCAATGTAATATACTATTATTATTATGTTATTGAATTCAAATAAATAACTTCCATTTAAAAAAAAAAAAAAAGTAAACTTTTTGTTTTATTTGATACTACTTTCTTTTAAAAAAAAATAAATATGTGTCTTTATATTTATTCATATGACAGTCAGATAATTAAAACTTAAATAATCAATACAAACGTGTGATTGATGATCACAAAAAAAAAAAAAAAAGCAAATGAAATTATTAATATTTATGTTTTTCTTTTTTAATTAATAATAATAATATAGAACAAAGATGTTTTCCGATATAGATAGAAAGAAAGCAAATAAAGTTAGAACGATTACCTCGATTTTACAAAAAACACCTGTTGGTATATACTAAATCAATCTTCATTCACTCTCTGAAATTGAGTATATATATCTGACTGATAATTGTTTATTTACATAATCATAACAATTAGATTGATATAGATGCACTTAGAAAATGTGCAGTTACAGAGTTTGGTTTTGTTAATAATATTCAAAGATCTGCTGTTTGGCCAATATTGATTGATGTAGACAAACAAGATGAAAAGAGATATCATAGAAGTATAATATCAATCATACATAAATAGATAGATAGATAGATTAATAACATTATTCATCACATTTTATATAGATATGGATCGTGAACATAGAGATATAGATCAAGTTGCAAAAGATGTAGATAGGTCAATGTGGAGATTCACAAGGGGAAAGTCAAAGTTAAGGTAGGTAGATCTAAGATATCAATGAATTCAATTATAATCATCCATCATCATCATCATCAAGAATAATAATAATAACAAACAAAGAAAGAAAGAGTGTACTAACAACAACAACAACAACATATCATAAATATTAAATTATTATTACAATCATTAGAAATACAAAGAGAGAAGAGTTGACACGTATTATCAATGCAATTTTAGCATCACATCCACAGTTACATTACTTCCAAGGATATCATGAAATCGGTAGTATATTGTTGTTAGTCACCAATGAACCAACATCGTTCCGACTTCTCGAGAGGCTGAGTCTGAATCATATCTCTGATTGTATGAAACCTTCATTCGCAGAGGTATCAAAGATACTCAATTTACTATTCCCATTATTATTATTAATGGATAAAGATGTAAGTTATCAATTGATTTATGCAACAATTATTTATATCCACACAAACAAACCAACTAACGAACTTCCAACAAACTCTTTTAAACATATTTATTATAGGTATATCGATTTTTAATTGATTCAAATGTACAACCTATGTTTGCAATAAGTTGGATCATCACTTGGTTTTCACATAATTTCGAAGAGTTGGAGCCGACTGCTAGATTGTTTGACTATTTCCTTTCGACTCATCCACTTGCACCATTATATTTTTCGGCAGTTGTAGGTATAATAATGTTACTGTTTTTTATTAGAATAATGATAGCTAAATAACTAACTAATTTCAATATCATCATATCATTACTTAGTTGATTGTTCATTTAAAAGATGATCTATTGAAGTTACCTTGTGCATATGATACAGTTCACAACTATTTTACTAATCTACCAGAGGAATTACCATTGGATCACTTGATAAAACAAACACAATCACTACTCGTAAAGATACCACCAAAGAAATTACAAGATGAAGCAAAAATACAATTAGATAAAGAGTAAGCAGCATCACATCGGATATGAATACGAATCAACTACAATCGTTGTTTATTGATATCAATTTCTTTTTCTTTTTTTTTTTTTTAATTATCAACTAGTTCACCAATGACAAATTATCCATTCTCTTGGATGACAAAAGGAAAGAGTCAATTACAAAAGCCAACAATATTTAAACTATCATTCTTCTTGGTGTTTGGAACCATTTGTATATTAAGTTTGTCAGTGTTCATTCAGTTAATGAAACAATCCAACAGTGCCATTGCCTATGGTGATCTCACCAACTACCTCAAATCCATCAATCAACCAATTTTTAAACATGCAAGCAGTCTATACTCTGGATTAAGATCACTTGTAAAGCATTATATTGGATATTAATTAATATATATTAAAGGAAATAAAAAAATTATAGTATAAGTTATTATTATTATTATTATTTGTTTTGATTTGATTTGTTTTTGTTTGGCGATTTATTAGTTAATTAGTTAATTAGTTCTTGGACGTCTATTCCAAAGTATTACGGTACCGGTGGAATCTGCAGATGCCAACAACGATTCATCAGTGTTCCAATCGATGTTTACCACTGTTGATGCATGTCCCATCAGTTGATTGAGTGGTGACTTCTTGGTGCTCTGTGTATCAAAGAGATTGACGACGCCATCGGCCGTTCCAGTGACACAGTAGAGTCCATCACGATCTTTCAACGTCGGACAGAATATACTCTTCACTTGCAATTGTGGATGTGTCGCTGACTTTAGCGGTAATCCATACTCTCGCGTAACAGCCATAACACCGGATTGCAAACTACTGATATTAATTACACGCATCACATTATCTTTACAATTGGCAAGCATCGACAGATTCAACTTCTCACCGGATTTCCAATATTGTGATACCAAAGAACTTATCGGTGCCTTTGATATCTGTGCTTTTGATATGGGAATCAATGTTTCTTTAAAATTATAAATATTAATATATCCCTATAATAATAATTGTTATTAATAATTGACGATAAATAGAATAAAAAAAGTTAATATAATATTTGAATATTGTAAATTAAACATTATTATTATTATTAATTACCATTGAATCACCAACAAATAAATAATTTCCTCTTGATTCGAATTGCATTGTTGTAATTTGATTCATTGCTTTTAGAGGTTTACCAACCCAGGTTGCACTCTTTATATCGTATGACTTTATGATATTCTTGTCAGAGACGAATACTATTGTTGGTTTCAAAGGATGATTGGTTATCGCTGTACAAACACCAGCATCTTTTACTAGTTTCTCTGGTTTTGCTGTTTTTACATTCCATATTATCATTGTTGAATCTAATCCAATTGTTATGATATAATCATTATTATTTGTCCATATAAAATCTATAAACGATAATCATAATCTTTAATTAGTAATAATTATATATTAAATAGATGAGAGTGTTATAATATATAAATACCTATGATTGGTGAATTGCTATGTCCGTTTAATACAGATATTACAGATGGTTTAAGTGAATTACATATAGAGAGTGTACCGTCATCCGATGAGAATGCTAAAAGATCACGATCATTGTTTGCAAATCTAACTCTTGATATTGACTTTTTATGTGAATCAAAGATATGATGCATTCCCGAGAATGAAAAGTCATTGTTTGCTATTGGTCCTGCTGCTGCTGTTGTTGTTGTTGTTGAGGATGACGACACTGGTTGTTGTGCAACTTTAACTGATGATGGTATTGGTGAACTTTGATTATTATTATTATTAGCATTAGTTGTTGGTACAGTTAGATTGTGTGTTTTATTATTGGTAGTAGTGGAAGTTGGTTTTGTTGTTGATGTAGGTGTCTTTGTTTGATTGTTATTGTTGGTCTTATTATTTGTTGAAGATGAAGAAGTAGTGGTAGTAGTTGTTGTAGTAGTAGTAGGTGAGGTTGTATTCTTTCTTTTATCTGAAGAAACTCTGTTGTTGTTTTTAAAATAGATAGATCGATAGATAGATTGCGTTAGTCTAGTCTAGTTTAGTTTACTTTCTTAATTATCTTTTTTGTAATTACTTTGATTTCTTATGATATTTTGAATCTAATAATTGAAATCTTGTTTGTAAGTAGGTATCTCTTCTATCTCCTACATCCTATTTTTATCATTCAATAAAAAATTTGTTAATATAATATTATATTATAAGTTGGTTCTAGCTAGATTGTTAGTTATATTTACTCTTTGAATTAGTTTCGAGTTGTTTCCTTTCTCTTTTAAGAGTTGATATCTCATCGCCAAGTATAGATCAGCATTCCAATCGGTGGTTCTCTCTATTTTAGCTATACGTTCATCAATATAACTATCTTCAATAGCAAACACATTATTAATTATATTATTTTGAACTAATTTCTCCATTTTTCTATTTATACAGCAATAATTAATTAATCAAATTAATTGATCATTTATGTAAAAGCGATGATCAAAATATCAACTAATTAAAAAAAAAAATATTGTTTTTTATTTTTATTTTTTAATTTTATTTACCAGGGTTCATTCAAGATCTAACCTTGCAACAAATTAAATCAACACTTTAATAAATTTCAACTTATTAATAAAACAAACCTTTACTTTTATTGTTTTTTTTTATACTTATAAATGTATCATATACATATTAATAATTTCTTAATACTTAAAACAAAAAATCAGTTCTCAGAAAAAATGTGGAAACTGTGTTGTTGATACTTTCTAGAAAAAAGAAAAAAGGTAAAGACAAACAAATAAGAAAGTGTTGACGACCACTATTTTGGATGAAAAGAATGAATAAACATATATTTATATTAGTGTTTAATAATTATATTTTAAAGAGATTAATTTTTAGATTTATTAGCTCTATAAATTCATTAAAAGCCGGTAGATATCGTTACAAATGGAGTGAAGTTATCATTAGACCATGTGTATTGATTGCACACAACTATATCGATGACTTAAAATTGTGTTTAGAGCAAAGGAGTTTCGAGAATAACTATGATAGGCGAGGAAATAGTTCAATAGATAGCATTCCAAAGATATTCAAAGTTGCCATGAAAACCAAGAGTGATCTTCAATTGATACGATATCTTGCCGACCATTATCAAGATGAATTGGTAAAGCAAAGCGTTGATCAACGATCTGGATATATGTCATCGTCGATAGCATTCATCAATATCAATAGAATCATAGCGAATGCAGCGAAATTCGATAGATTCGATATCATTGATTATCTTTTAAGTAGATTCGCGTCGTTCAGCCAATGGGATTGGTATTCGGCAATGGTTAAAGCACCGCTTTCCAACAATTTTGAACTACTAAAGTATTTTGTGATAGAGTGTAATAACAACGGTGGATACGACACCAAACAAATGTCAAATCACAAAAAGACAGTGTTGGACAATGCCGCGCTAATTGGAAGCATTGAAATGCTAGAGTATGTTATCGATACTCGTAGACAGGATCTCCAACAGAGTACGATGTTTAGATATGCAATCCAAGGCGGTAGAATGAATGTATTTAAATATCTATTGAAGAAGTTTAAACATCGGCTTGCCGTTGAGAGGGATCACCTCTTGGAAGTGGCATCGGCGCACAATCAATTCGAAATGGCAAAGATCTTAATGGATCACGGTGTGGTAGCTAATTATTCTATTGCAATGGCCAATTCCATTAGAAATGGCAATCTCACAATGCTCCAGTGGTTTCACGATCATGGCGATGGTTTTAAAAGTTTTTTGAATACCGAATCAATGTTCTACGCGGTGATAAACGGTGACTTTGAAATGGTTCGATGGATTCACTGTAACACTACTATTGAACCAACAACAGAGATGTTCGATACGGCTGCCAGACTCGGATATCTAAAGATTCTAAGATATTTCCATGCGAATTTCCCAAATACAAACTGTAGTTATGAAGCGTTCGATGACGCCGCTGCCAACGGCCACCTGGACGTCCTCGAATTTCTAAATGAGAATAGCAATGTAGGTTGTTCTATACAGGCAATGAATGAAGCCTCAAGAAACGATAGACTCGATGTTATTAAATGGTTACATAATAATAGGAGTGAAGGATGTAGTAAAAAATGTATGGACTATGCTGCTAGAAATTCGAATTTGCATATTGTCAAGTGGTTACATCAAAATCGTACTGAAGGTTGTACCACCGATTCTCTAGATCATGCTATTTTCAACGAAGATTTAGAGATGGTAAAATGGTTTTATCAGAATAGAACTGAAGGGTCTACTTACAAAGTAGAAGAAGTCATTGCACAAGGAAACAAGGAATTAATTCAATTTATATTAACCAAAAATAAATAAAAATATCATATAAAACAGATTGATTTTTAAACATTGTAAATGTGAACTTCACTTCACCCAACAAATCGATAAACCCGAATATTTAATTTACACACATTTTTTTATTTTATTAAGTCTTACCACTTTTTTTTTTTTTTTTTCATTTACTTTTACAATCAATCCAACAAATATATACATATGTTTATTTATTATATTTATTTAGACTAATAATAATAATAATAATAATGGATGTTAGAAGTGATAATTTAGGATTTCAATGTTCTACTCATAAACGAGTATATGAAAACATTTGTCATAAATGTAATAAGCTATTGTGTGGAAGATGTATTACTATTCACAATAAAGAGTTTGATCATATAAAGTATTGTGATCATATCGATGATCTAAAATTGAATCTTAATCATCAGTTTGGAAGTGATGTAAACAATAATATTAATAGCTATAGTGATTGCTTCACCGCTATCAATAATAATAATCATCTCAATCAGAGAATCGAAACGATTTGGTCAACTATAAAGTCATCGGCACACTATCATCAATCGTTAGCTACCACCGAGACCGATATTACCAATCATTTCCTTGAGCTGCATCAATATCTTATCGTTGAGGAGCAGAAGCTAAAGAGACCGATCATCCAGAGCAAAGAAGATGTCAACACCACCATTGATTGCAAGCTCAAAGAGTTGAAATTCCTTGTCAACACAATCAACAATCATAATCTATTTGTAAAGTATAACGGTGACATCAAAAAAGAATACGCTCAAAAGAATAATCATAATAGTAATAATGATAATTTAGAGTATTCATCGACTTGTTCAGATTCAACAGATTGTTATTCCATTCCAAAGATAATGGCATCAATACTATCTTGTTCAACACTCTCATCTTTTATTCAATCTAATAATAATACATTGTTTTGTCAGTACACCGAAAATAATAATTTCGACATGAGAGATCTTCTTGCACAGTATAATAATAATATCGATTCCTATACATTGGATACAATCTACAAGTATAATAGTCAATTTAAAACATCGGGAGATAGCCTGTCCAATGGAAATCAAGATCACTATGAGTTGGAAATTAATAAATTCGATACTAACAAACTAAATGAACTTCTAACTCAGTCAATTAAGATGTCAACTGTATCGTTACCACCTGTTATTCATACGGACAATGTTCTACCGACAAAATATCCATTCATCTTTACCACTCACACAAGCAAAGGTGCAACACTAATAGATATTAACAACAAGATTATCGATGAGATTCAATCTAAAAAATACGACTTCAACGGTACCTACAATTCCATGGTAAAAGTCGGTGACATCATCTACATATTCGGTGGTTTCAAGAATAAGACCAAGTATTTTAGATATTCGACATTGAATGGATCCATTGAGGTATGTGATATGGATGGTATAGAAGGTGGTCGTTGGATATCGGTTTGCTACGACGGTATCGATCATATCTACATGATCAATCGTGATGTACACTCCAGATTGGACAGATACAACATCAAGACTGAAAAGTTTGAGAAAATCGATACTTTTGGTGTTGGTGGTGTCCAGATTCTATCGCTCTTCTACAAAGGATTGATCTACTCATTCTCATCGGCTGCTAATACCATCAATATCTATGACGTCGGCAAACACAATCTCCAAGAGTTGAAAATCGATAAACTTTTCAATGCCACCATAGCTGCATGCACCGACGGCAATGGAAATGTCTACCTACACAGTAAAGATAACCTTTTCATTCGATTCAATATCGAAACAAATGATACTATCGAACTTCAACCACTCGGATACTTTGAACAAGCATTGTCAATGACCTACCAAAAGATTTCTAGTTCCGAGAGTTATATCTACTTGCTTGGTGGTGTTCGATACAATAATCACCGTTATTCCATTAAAAACAATCAATGGGAGAATATCTTTGACGATGAAAAGTATGAAAGAATCTATTGTTCATCCACTATCTTTGATTCCACTTATCAATTATCATATCAAGCTTAGAATAATATAATTTCGAAAACAAAACAAAATAAAATGTAAATAAATAAAATTGTTATTATTATTATATCTTTTTATTTAGTTTATTTTTCTTACATTCCAATGATTGTATCTGGTTCAAACTTATATCTATATTCAAGTTCATATTCACAACTTAAAAAAAAAAAAAAAGAAATTCTTTTGCTTGTTATGAATATAATAAATTGTGTTTATTATGATTTAGATACCAAATTTCTTCATATAACCTTCAAGATCAAACACATGCATATATGCAACTCTATATTCTCCGGAATCAGATGATCCAGCACCATGTTTTGCTTCCCAATTGAGTTTGAATTCTTCTTTTTCAGTGTAGACATACTTGGCATCAACTGAGTTGATATATTTGAGGACTGGGTCACCAGTGAACAATGTGGCCAAGAATCCCCAAAGAACTTTGACAAGCGCCAAAACGATGAGAGCTCCACCCAAGATCAATGATAATGGTCCAGCCCAACAGGTTGTTGCGAAAATAAGACAAAGTCCATATCCAACTGCTGCTGCTACTTCGAGAAGCGATAGTACGAATATTCCCCAATTGCCTTCCTTGGCGCTAGTGATAGCATCATACAATGAGAATCCAATTGAGATGAGAAGGAATACTGGCATCAATTTAGAAGCAATACCCATAAAACTCTTGGTGATAATCTTTGGTAAACCCTTGAACACAGCAGTAATTGTTTTGGAAATAGCGGTGTTGGAGTAATGTCTGAGGATATCTTTAATCTCTTGGGCCATATAGTAAAAGATCTTCTTTCCAACAACTGATGTAGCGACATCTACCACAGAGAGAGCTGTACCGGTATAAAGGAGTGACTTGTCAAAAGTCGTAAGTTTATCATAGTTCATAAAACCATAGGCAATGGCTGCGAGTTGACAACTGAACAATAGACCATTGGCAAACTTGTAGAATACTGCATTATCTTTCAACATTGAGTATGCTTGGGTTGCTTTTCCGAGATCATCCATTTTGACAATAAATCTGAAATCTTCCACGGTGAAAACATGATTTGAAGAAAGTTGTGCAGCTGCGATAGACTCTTTGTTCATAAATGTAAAATAACCAGATGAAAGTTTATGTGATAGCTTTACCAAACTACCGCTATTGGCTTTCAAGGTGGAAACGACAGAGTAGAACTCATTTGTAGAATCCTTGTTGATCTTCTTGAGTTCTCTAGTAATGTTGTGTTGGAATATTTTACGATTCATTGGTGAATCCTTGATGTTGTGTGTTGAAAAATATGCAAAGAGAGCATAGTTGTAGAGTGGTAGAATATCATTGGAGAGACCCAATGTTGGATCTAAAAGATCCAATTTGGTTTTCAATTCATTATATCTAACTTGGTCGATCTCCTCTTTGTTATCTTTATTTGTCCATTGGAAGGTGGCGGCTTCTCCTACCCATTTATTAAGAGTTTCAAGCTTAAGATAATACTCCTTGACCTTTGGAATGAGATTCTTGGCATACAAGATGTATGGGAAGAATTGTGGTGCTGTGGTCTTCATTGACAGGAAAGTAAGCTTCATTGTTTGGTCGGTGAACAAAGTGGTCGAAGTTACATTCTTGAGTTCAGATTCGACAACATCGAGCTTGATCTTGTATCGGTAAGCATCGGAATCTTTACTACTCTGGAGAGACTGGAGCAATGCGAGCTGAGCATAGGATTTATACATATCACCGACCTTGGTGTCTGTAAGTAACTCTGTGAGGTCGGCAGAGAGGGTTGGCTTGGTTTTGTTAATTGCTGTCAGAGCCAAATCGGTTTGGTGGTAGGTCGAGAGATCAGACAGATATTTATCGGTGGTGGCTTGAACGACATCGACCTTGTCTTTAAAAGTAGTCAGAGCAGCATAACCTTCAGCAGTCAAGGTAGATTCAGCAGGAATTGGGTCGAGAATAGCTTTGATCTTTGTTTCTCTCCAAGTGATAAAGTCTTGGATAAATTGTCCAGCTAGTTTAGTTGTTTCAGTCATTTTTATATACAAATAATTTGAAATATTATAAAGATAAATAAATTTATAATTAATAATTTGCAATTGATTAATAAATTTATGATTCTTTTGAAAGATTTATCATCTATTTTTTTTTTTAACTGATAAATGTTGTGAAGATATTTTACTACCTAACACAATAAATTGTTAGTTACCCGAAGTTTGAACGTTGGGATTTAAATATAAAAATAGATGATCATTCGTTTAACAAACATCGATTGAGCTCTGAAAGTATGAAATTCGATCAAATTAATCACCCAATCAACGAACCGGTTTATAGATATTTAATTTTTAGTTCTTTTTGGTCGAAATTCAAGTAAAAACAGGTTCACAAACTTGAGCTCATTTGTTCAGATTAAAGAAACTGATTTGCGAGTGCAAAAAAAACCCCATTAAAAAAATCTTTCGAACCAGATGAACTTTTCTAATTTTTTTTAATTTTTTTTAATTAATTTTATAGATTTTATTCAAAATAAAACCTGGATTAATCAATCGTTTGATAATTATTATTTAAAATCAAAAAAATATAGTTATATATTTATTTATATAAATTTAATATGTCTTCTGCACCAATTAAACTAGGAGGAAAGTTCTTGGATGATTTCCAAGCTTGGAGAGATGCCAAGATTGCAGCACAATTTCCAAACATTCCAACATTGTCACCCGACACTTTGACTCCACAGAACTTCTTGGCGATATCAACATTCGACCCAAATTCCAAAGTTGATATTGTCAAAGACAGAGCCGAGAAATACTTTACCGATCTATTGAACTTTTCGATTGGCATGTTCCCCGGTGTGCTCTCTGATGATCTCAAAGAACTGCTTGCCGATGAAAAATCTGCCGAGTTCTACTCAGATTATTCCAAGATGTGGTTCATTCAGACCATCTACCACACTGATGCTACACTCGAGTACAAGTCAACTATCCGTTGTGGTCGTCTTGAGAGAGAGATCAACGATATTGCATACAGTGCTACACTTGCCAAACAAACAATGATGATCTATTACATTGCATTGAAAGAGTTGGTCCCACAAATACTTCCGTTCATCTACCATAGAAATACGTTCAATCCCAAGCTGAGAGCGTTCATGCTAGAGGCAGTTCAAAATCAACAAATGGCATTTAATGCATTGAAGTCCCATGTAGCTAATGTCAACGTCCCTGGAGAGTATGACCAATTCAGATTCAATGAACTCAAATCCAAACTTGATTTGTTGAATCCAACCTATAAGCTTTCCAATGATATCTTGAGTTCCTACGTTTTTGGTGGAATGGCATACTATATTTCTGGTAATATTAGAAACTGTCCATCGGTAAAGTCAATCTATTATAATACAATTCTCAAAGTTCTAAAGAGAATTCGTAAGAATCCAACAAACAAATACAATGAAATGGTCGGATTAATCACCAACACCCAAGCCGGTGATGTTGTCAAAGCCTCTACAGTTATCTCTCAGATGTTCAACAAAGTAACTTTGGAGCCACTCAATGCATTCAAAAACATAAATACACTTCAATTTTTGACCAAGGCAACTGTACTTCCTTTCAAAGCAACCAATGTAGATCCAGCTTTCAACGACCTCAAAGCCAATGCTGTATTCCTCCAATTCATCAATGCATTATACTGTGCATGTGTAATGGGTACTATTGCCTATGGTCTTTTCAATCAATCACTTGAAGTTTTCGATCTCTCTGTGTTGTATGCCGGATCAGCATTGTTTGTAGATGAATATGTCCAAGCAGTTGCACAGAACCGAATCTTCCAGAGAATGGGTGAATTCATCCGTGACTTTACAAAGAAAATCAACGATCCAGTCAAAGTTGCCAATGCATTCCAGAATATGATCCCTCATTTCATTGATAAGGCCGCTCAAGATTTGATTTCAAACATGATTCCTATGGTGTTTATGATTTCAAAGGATGCCGTTTCCTTTAATGTGTTCACCAACGTAAAGAAAAGAAAATCAGGATCGTTGTCAATTACCATTTCAAACATCGATAAAAGATTGGTGAGTCCAGTGATGACAATCCTTAGAGGTTCATCGTTCAGTTCTACCTATGCGTTGTATTTGGGAGGTGCAATGTTTGGTCTTTCACTTCGTAAATACATGAATCAATCACTTATTGGTTACATTACTTTAAGGAATATGGTTCGTGCATCGAACCCTAACGCACCAGATCAATTGGCAAACTACATCGAGACAATTCCATCATATTACAGAGTGGATTATGACAATGAAACTGAAGAGTTTGACGATCGTGCCGATTGGGAATCATTTTATGAAATATCCGAAAATGATTATCAAAAGGCACTAGATTTACTGGTTAATATTCCAAAAACAGTTGTTGCTTAATATTTAATTTAAATAAACATTAATTAACACTGATATTCAGTTTACTTATTTAGTTTTATTTGATTGAAGAAAATTATGAATCTTTTGATTAAGATAATTGGTAAATTCAGAGTATTTATTAAAGAATATTTAAAAAATAAAATACATAGTTTCAAAAATAGAGAGTCTTCAAAAACATCATTTGATGAGGTACTATCTATTGAAGATTCTGATTCTTGAAATTCGAGTTAACAAAATTCAACCGTTTCAGGGGTACTGATCCTACACTTTTTTGAATATCTAAAAGATCTATTTATTTTTTAAATTTCTTTAATAAATTCATTTTCAAATATATCATTTGTCGAGGGTCTTTTAGTTGGATTAACATTTAGCATTTGTTTGACCAAGGAATGATTTACTATTTAAAACAAAAGTGTAAAAATTGTGATATTTATAAATAAATAGAGAATGATACTTACTTTCCTGGAATTTCTTCATAATCTCCCACGATAATCTTTTCCATTTATTGTCGCGCCAAAGATTTTTTGTTGCGGAAAATTGGATCCTCATTAATTTAAAAAATTTGTTGATTCTTTATTTTATTATTTTTCATTTATATAATGATTTATTTTGAAAAAAACGGTTTAATAAAGAATGGTTGGTTATTCCACCTTCTAAATTTATATTACTTCCTAATATTAGATACCGATCATTCTCTAGTCTTCGAAGATCGTGATAAAATATCTCTATCTGTGCGTCTTGAATTCTTATATTTCTTATCGCTTTCGGCAATGCATTGATTTTATAAATATTGAAGTAATCGATTGGAATAATGAGTTGTTGAACAGTATCCGGTATTACACCATTTTCTAGTTTCCCAGAGAATCTCGAGAAACTTAATATATTTACAGAGGGTGGAATAGATCCGACAGAAAGTCCATCAGTGTCTTTCAAGTGCAAGTGTTTAACGCTGTTTGGTATCACTCCTGGGCGTATCTGATCAGGATATATGCAGTTGAGTTTAAGTGATTCCACAGATGACGGTATACATCCTTTCGCCAACGGTTGATTGAGCTGATACCGTAGATTCAGTGTCTTGATCGATGTTGGAAGTATATTCGGTTCGAGTGGTTCACTGTGTTTGTAGGCTAGCTCTAGATATTCGACTGCCGGTGGAATCGTATCGATTTTCAATGGCTGTGAGAATGAACCTAGTTTCAACTTCCTGACGGTCGCGGGCAGCGCGCCACACTCTTGGAGTGTGAAACAATGTCTGAAATCAACTTTGGTGATTGTCGTTGGAAAGTCACTTAGTTTCAACCGATGGTTACTATGGGATATGGAGAAGCTAATCTTCTTTACGGTGGTCGGTACATTCTCGAGCGATTGAATCGGAAGATTCTTGAGGCTCTCTACGGTTGCAGGGATTACACCTTTCTCAATGGGGAGGTGGTATGAACCTCCTAAAAACAAATGCTTTAAACGCGGTGGCAGTGTATTGACTTGCAACGGCTGGCTGTATTTAGCACCAAGATCTAGGTGTGTCAGACTGTTTGGCAAGGAATTTGGCTGCAGTGGCTGGTTGAAAGATCCACCTAAAACTAGCGATGTTAGAGATGCCGGTAGACAATCGGGTGGCAGTGGTTGATTAAATGAACGACCGAAATTAATTGAATCGATCTTTGAATCAACGAAACAACCTGGTATCAAAGGTTGATTGAAAGAGAAAGCAAAGAACAGTTTGGTAACATTCGAATAGCTAATAATACTCATCAATTTATCTAAAGATTGATTGAATCCCTCCGAAAATCTAACGGTTGTAATTGATTCATTGATTTCTGTTTCGTCATTGATATCATCTAGAATTATGATTAAAATATAATAAAATTAGTTAGTTGTAATATGAACATAAAATATACATAGAAATTAAAAATAGATAGATAGATCGATAGTTTTACCATAATTAATCATATTATCTGATAGTATAGATTGATTATTTAATAGTCTTTTGAAATCTTTTGTGTCCTCTGGCGAAGAACCTGTAATGTAGATGGTTGATTGTTGATCTGAAACTGATCTTACAACTCTAGAGTGTTCGAAATGTCGTTTATATGAATTGAAATGTAAATCAGTTATATAGAATATCGATTGATCTATTGGTAGATTTCTACTATTAAATTGTAAATAACTATCTCTCTGGTAGAACCATCTTTTACAAACTAAAGTAAAACAAATCCTGTCTATATTGTCTGGTAAATAATCAATAATTTTAGATAACAATAAATGTGATAATTGAATAAATATATGTTTAGAATTATCTATATTGATATTATTATTTTTTTATTTGTTACTGTTGATGGTAATACACCAAGATGATCAACACTATTATTATCTTTTACATTACGATCATCATCATCATCATTATTATTGTCATGTTTGTTAAATAAATGAACTTTAATAAATCTATAATTAATATTAAAGAATTCTATAATACAATTAAATATATATTTTAATAAATAAATGATCATCTTATTGCGTTATAAAAAGGTTGTGATCACAACATCAAATGATAAATCATTTTACTTTTTTTATTTATTTTTTTACTTTTTTTATTGTTGTTGTTCACTTGTTGTTAAGAATGATGGATGCAAAAATGAATAACATCTTTTTGCTACTTTGTTCATCTGATCGTCACAGAGAGTTGGATTAGAACTGTTGACAACATTACAAAGTGGACATCTTGTTAGAGTACTTGGTACTGCGAATGCTGATTCGTCGAAATCTGGTTTGGATGCGAAATGTGCTGTCGACATTCTATCGTTATTATTGATTGTTGATGCTGTACGTGCACTATTGTTGTTGTTGTTGTTGTTGTTTGCTACACCAACAAAAGAAGGTGTTTCTTCGCCATTAAATATCAGATATTCCTGTAGGTGAAGTAACGATATCAAAAACGAATAGATCAATGAGTAATCGTCATCTCTATTGCACATATCAATAGAGTCCATTAATCTATTCTCAAGTAATTTAATTGAATTACTTGTGAAATTATTATTATTATTGTTATTAATATTATTATCATTATCATTATTATTTATAGGATCAATATGAATCGATTCAAAATTATCATTTTGTTGTAATCCATTGAAGAATACAGACATCCAACCACGTGCCATCATTATTGTTAGATTGACAATGGTGATGTTGTTGATGTCTGCGCCACCAAGCAAGAGTTTCTTCCACCATGCCGATCCCTTGATGTGTAGATTGATGGGACGAATGGCAACCTCATCGTTTTGCTTTGATATCCAATCACGATAAAAGTAGCGGAATACAATATTAACACGCTTAATCGAGTATATAAAGTTCTGCCAGTGGAACAGATAGTATTGTATGAGTGGACGTCCATTTGGAATGCTAGCCGACTCTATTAGCAGACTAGAGAGATGGTTGTGCGTGCACTCCACCATCATGCGATAGAGATTGGAAGGTGGAAGCGACGCTCCTCTCATTCGGTAGTTGACAATACACAACTGAAAGACGATGGTGTACATCGACATCATCGCCTTCCTATTGAACTCAAGAGGAAACGCTATCAATGTCGACAACAAATGGTAGAACTCCTCCATTCCACCCTCCTGGACGATTTGCTTTCGCTCCTTGTACAACAGTTTCCAGATGCGTTGCTCTGTGATCTCGGGTGGTGTCTGCATCTTGGGCGTGAACAGCTTGTAGATCTTCTTGTGCAAGGCGAACTGCGTCGTCGGCTGCACCGCGCAGTAGTCGAGCTGCTGAATCGGATGCAGGTTATAGATTTTTACATAGGAAGTCGGCTGGCTCGACAAACAATTGGCGCGAATCGACATGCAGTTGTAGTCGGTGGGATCGACCATCAAACGATTTCGATGCGGTAGCGTAACGACATTCCATTTTTTCAAATAAAGTGGTTTCCACAAAAAATTGTCTTGCGACAAATTATAGAGGAAAACATCGACATACGATATGTTAGACAAGTCGGCTTCCGTCAAGTATCCGAGAATGAGAATCCAAACTTCTCTTGGCAACATTGGTCTGTAATTACTATCATTATTATTATTTTGTGTAAAACCAATTCCAGACTCTCTATCATATTGAGTTTGCTGTTGCTGTTGTTGTTGCTGCTGCTGCTGCTGTGTGAATTTCGAACTATATTTATAATCAACAAAGGAATTTATTACTTCTAAATCCATTTCTTTTTTCTCTTCTTCCTTCTTCTTTTTCCTTCCTTTTTTTCTAGTTTCCAAAAATAATAATTATTATTATTATTTATTTTATTTTTGAATGATTGATTGATTGATTAACAAACTAAACTAAAATAACAAAACAAAATTTATTCAATTCACTCAGCAGTGTTGTTGTATTATAAACAAAATTTTAATTAATTTTTATATATATGTAAAATTATATTTTTTTTGATGTCTGTTTTTTTTTTTATAATAAGTGATCAAAACTACTCTTTGTCTGTAAATTATGGTGGGATAGAATACTACAATAACAAGATAATATCATCAAAAACGATAAAAATACCAAACAAACAAAACAATCACCATTTATCGATACAGAATCAACATATCTTGTTATTATTTTTTTGATGAGTGAATTTATTTTGAAAAATATAAATATAACTGTGATAAATTTTTTATATTCAAAAATAATAATAATAATATATATATATATATATATATATAACAAAAAATGATAATTTAAACTAATGGTGTTATTAACAACACACAAAAACAAAAAACGAGGGGTAATGTTTTTGAACAACAAATTTAATTAAAGTTTGGTTTATTTATTTCCATTTTGATCAAAAAAATACTGTGTTTTTTTTCAATCTAATAATTATTAATTTTTTCTATATAAGTAAAAAAAGTAATCTTCCATCTTCATCAAAAAAAACAAAAAATAAATAAAACTAATATACAAATCTTGAAGAATTTAATTTTAAGTGTTTTATTTAGCTCAAGTTTTATTGAGATTTAAAGATGTGTGTCTGTTTGTTTTGTTTTTTAAAAATAGAAATTGTGTCATTTATATATTTTGGATCATAGATGAATTATACAGATCAGATATAGAATAATGATAATAATTTTTAATGTTTTGTAGGTAGTTTATTTTTATTTTTTTTATTTACTCCAAATAACAGGGTGTTTTTGATATGTGGATTTAATGAAAACATTCTGAGCACCAAGCGCTGCAAAATCTGAGGACGATGTCTTTTTATATCTACCATCGGGCAACATGAACCAGGCATTTGGATCGTTGCAATATACATCGATCACATGTCTCAATTCCTTGATATTGTTTGGATCCTCGACAGGTACCAAAGTCTCAACTCTTCTCTTTAGATTTCTATGGAGCCAATCTGCACTGGCAATAAATGCCTTTGGTGTTCCTCCATTACAGAAATAATAGATTCTACTATGTTCCAAGAATCTACCTAAAATACTTATAACTAAAAAAATATATTATATATATATATTATATATATTAATAACATATTAATATTAAAGATAATTAAATATGAAAACTAAAGTTACAACATACCTTGAATATTATGAGAGATACCTGGAATACCTGGTAAAATTCGACATCTACCTCTTACAACCAATTTAATGGTTACACCGGCAACGGATGCATGATAGAGTGCATTCACAATCTTCTTATCATCCAATCCGTTCATGACTGCCAGGATCGATGCTTCTTTGCCTTCTCTGGCATTCTGTGCCTCTGTTTCAATGAGTTGAATCAATGTTGATCTCATGTTCATTGGCGCAATCAGTAGTTTTCTGAATGAGGTGATTCTGCTGTAGCCAGTTAGGTAGTTGAAGAGATCACACATGTCGGCACCAAGCTGTTGGTCACAGCTAAACAATCCCATGTCTGCATAGATGTCAGCGGTACTGGCATTGTAGTTTCCAGTGGAGTAGTGATTGTACATGCGCAGTCCGTTCTCCTCCTCTCTGACGACCATTGCAATCTTGGCGTGTGTCTTCAGTCCAACCAGACCGTAGCTGACATGACAACCGGCTTGCTCAAGCAGTCTGGCATACTTGGTATTCTGCTCTTCGTCACCCGATGCCTTGAGATCGACCAACACACTGACCTCCTTGTGTGAAGCCGCTTCACAGAGCGAACGAATCAACTGAGAGTTCGAGCTGGTACGATAGATGGCAATCTTGATCGCCAACACCTTGGGATCTTTCACAGCCGATTCAATAAAGAACTGAACACTGCTGTTGAAGCTGACATACGGTAGATTGATAAGTAACTCGCCTTTTCTGATGACACTGAAAATATCTTGGCTGGGGATCTTTGAGAGATTCGCCAGTCTGTTGGGGATATGTGGAACCCATGGCTCGAATTTTAGATGTGGAAGATTCAACTTGCACAGTTCAAACAGATCGGCCAGACCGAGTGGACCGTTGATAATATAGACATCGGCTTCATCCAGACGAAGTTGAATTCTGAGCATTTCAATGATGTTCTTTGGCATTGTCGAAGACACCTCCAACCGAACCATTGGCGCGAATTTACGTTTGTGAAGCTCGGTCTTGATCAACTCGAGTAGATCGTTGGCTTCGTCTTCGTTCAACTTTAGGTCGTAGTGACGAGTCACTCTGAACAATGATTTAGTGAGAATCTTTGTATTGGGGAACAAAGTATCGAGGTTGGCAAGGATGATCTCTTCCATTGGAATCAAAGAGTAGTTGGAGCGTTGTTTGATATGAACGAATCTCGGTATCTTTAGAGGCACCTTGATTCTTACGAATCTCGTATGACCTTCCTCGTCATGCTGCAGAATGACACCGACATTCAAACTTAGATTACTTAGATTGGGGAAAGGATGACCGGCATCAACTACCAACGGTGTCATCAATGGGAATACATGTTGTAAAAAGAATGCTCTTAACTGGAATTTTTCAGAATCTTGTAAATCTTTATAACTATAGATATATAGTTAGTATCATGATATTTTGGAAATATAATTATTTAGATCTACTACTAAATTACCTTAATAAAAATACATTGTTGGCAGCCAATTCTGGTAACAATATATTATTAAATAAATTGTATTTGTCATTTATCAGATTTCTAGTGGTATTTAAAACCATGTTTATATATCTTTCCTCTGGTTTCAATGATTTTCTAGTTGAAATATATCCTAATCGTAACTAATTATTTAAAGAAATTGGTTAATTGATTTGGCATGTAGCATATGCTAATATTTAAAGGATATCATACTTTTAATGCTCTTTTACAGAAATACATATCTAAGTTCTGTGAGGTGATTGCCAAGAATCTAATTTTCTCTAAAACTGGTGCGGCTTGGTTGTACCCTTCATAAAGAATTCTATAGAAATAAATCAACTCTGTCAACTCTCTATTGAAATAAATGCGTGATCCACTTAGTTGCAATATCTTTAAATCCATTGGTAAATCTTCAGTCAGATCATTCTCATTGTTATTATTGGTGGTAGTTGTTGTTTCTTCATTGTTGTTTGTAGGTTTTAGTTGTGATTTGGGAAGGTGTGAGCTTGATGCCAATCCATTGGTTTTAGTGTAGTCTGACGATGATGATGATGGCGGTTGTAGATGATACGAAGTTGGCTGTCCGATATCAGAGTTTGATGCCGATGGAACGAGACGTGGTGTGCCGCCGGACGGCGTCGACAGATAGTTGCCAGGATTGGTCTGTGGCAGTACAATGTCGGTGAATAGATTTTCAGTGTCGAGAATCGGATAGTTGCAACAGGGCACAATGAAATGATCGTCGTCGGTCTGTACCTTCTGGAGGTAGTCAGAGTCGGGCAGAGTGTTTCCGACGGGCGGTGCAATTGAGAATACCATTGGATTCGACGGTAGATTGTTGGACGACGGAATCACCTGAGGATTCTGTACAGAGAGCAAGTTGGAAGCGCCCAGATTTCTGAATCCCATAAGACTACTCGTGAGATTATGTATCTGTGTGCCAACGGTTGGTTGAATATTGTTGGTCGACGATTTAACAAATTCAGTCGGTGAGAACAGTGGCGATTGTCCGCATTCCGCGCGCAGACTAGACAGCTTCTTGTCGTGAGCGAAATGCTCTGTAGTTGAAGCGTCACCTTTATGATGATCCTTGTCCTTCTCCTTCTCCTTCTCACGCTCCTTCAACTTGTCCTTGAAGGAAAGGTGTTTCTTCTTTGATTTACTGGCATTGCTTCCACTGCTACCACCACTGTGGTTACCGCCACCATTGAGCTTGAGCAATCTTTCCTTCTCCTTTGACGAACGCTTGGGCATGTTGGAATTTATTACTTTTCTCGGTATAGCATTGGTGTTGTCGTAGTTGTCACTGTCCGAGAGATCACTACTGTCGGTACTGGCATCCTCGTAGTCGTTCATCGACTCATTGGTTACACACGGCGATGAAAACGATGGCTGAGTGGTCTTCTCGTCGTCACTCTCAATGTCAGACTCTTCCGTCTTGACACTACCTCCATTCTCATGGTGGTAGTCATCATCATCGTCATGATTACTATGATGATGGTGATGGTGATGATTACCATTTCCATTGTGATTCATAAACTGAGTGATCTCTTCATCGATCGATGACTGTGGAGATACTCTATTCTCACGATGATTGGTATTGTCATTGACAGAGAGATGATTGATAGAGTTACCGATGTGATTGACGGAACTTGCATCTTCTACCAATCGTCGATTCAAGTCGTCGTTGATGATTGCCGCCAGATTGTTGGCACTGTCAGTCGTCGAAGTAGTGGTGGTGGTTGAAGTGTTGGTACCATTGCTTGCCTCACTATTTATGCTATCTGATGATACTGTCGTATCGATCGATTTGAAAGGTGAAATATTTTCTGTTTTTTGATTTTCAACTAAAAAAATTGCATTTGCAAAAAATAAATTTAGACAATTTTAATTAATTTGATAAATTTCCAAAAATAGAAATGAAATTCATTTCTTTCTTATTAATTAATATATTTTCTACATACCATTTAATGATGATTTCATTATATGTTTAAAATCATTGGAGTATTCAGATGAAACATTCTTATCATCTGGTGTTGTTTTATTATCCATTTTAAATGAAAAATGATATAAAAAATAAAAAAATAGTAATGTAATTACTATTAAAATAATTAGCTCTTTAATTCTATTAATAATAATTATAAATATATGTTATAATTAATTTGGTTAAATTCTATGATATATCAATATAATAATATATATTGTCTTTGTTTTGCTTTTGTTTGTTTTTGTATTTTTTTCTAAAACAAATAAATAACAATTTAAATGATAAAAAAATAATTATATATATCTGTGTAATTGAATATTAATCTAAAAATATTTAATAAATATTTTCAAACACACACAATTTAAATTTATATGAAAAAATGATCAAACCACAATAAAAAAAAGAATAACAATAATAGAAATAAAAAAAACCAAAAACCAAAAAATTAATATATTAAATAAAAAAAGAAATATTTTTCCTAAATTAAACTATAGTTTAATTAATAGTTAAATTTTGAGATATCTATGTTCCTGTGGTTTGCTGTGCTTTTTATTTATTGCAATATGAGAGTGTGTTGTTGTTGCTGCCACTTTTGTTGTGCGGTACCGAAATAAAAAAGGTTACCTCTTGTTGAAATCTTTCTACAACAACATACATCCAAATAATCAAGATGAAAAAACAACAAAAAACAAGAAAAAAAAAAAGAAATGAATTTAATTTATTATTTGATAATAATGACTGGAGGTCAATAATAGTTTTTGTTTATTTAGTTAGATTTTGGAGACTTGACATAAATTTTTAGTTAGTTAAACACATTTATCAAAAAAAGTGAAAATTTTTGGAGCTTTAATGGAGAATCTGAGTGTGTGTTTATTTGTTTATTTGGTTTTGATAGATGGTGTGGGTGTTGTTTTTGTTTTTCATTCATTCAAATATGTTACATACAATTGAATTTAAATCGTGTGTGTTTAAATTTAATTATTTGTGTGTTGTTTTTTGTTTGTGTGTGTACCTATTAATAAAAAGAGGTCTTTCAACAAAAAATGAAAGAAAAAGAAAAAGAGGCAGGTAACCTTAACCTCTACCCCCAACACCAATATCATTAGATAGTTACCAAACTACATTTGAACACTTTCTGTTTTTGCTCTTAATTTGTACTTTTCAAGTAAATAATGATAATATTAGAATCCTTCAAGGTTAGATTATTAGTGTTGGATTTAAACGAATAATACATCATGCCAATCATTTTTGGAACTAATGAAATTACTGAATGACACACATGACATCAACACATTGAGCATAAATGTAAATCTAATTGATTTAAATCATTAAGAAAACTGTCAAATACCTTTTTTTAAACATTAAATCGAATGCACCAATCTTAACCTACACCAAAATAAAATTAAATTCAATTATATTAAAAAATATTATATAAAGATAAATTTAACTAGAGATAATTATTCATACCAAATACAATAAATTATTAAATTAAAAAAATATATATTTATATTGTTTATAGTTATGTGTGAGGTTACACCCAAAAACTGACATGTTGTGTCTCAACTGGTAAAGACAACAAACACACAATTGTGCTATGAGTTTGTTTGTTTTTTGTTTTTGTTTTTTTTTTTCATTTTTGATCAAATAAATTAATTTAAACAACAATACAATTCTACTACTACTATTTATATCTTTATAGTTTTATTTTGTTTGATTATTATTATTATTATTATTATTATTTTCTTTATTTATCTTGAGGTTGGTGGTGAAGATGTAGAGAGCTCTTGAGATAATCCACGATAGATAATGTAACAGTTGAAAGCTGAGATTTTGAGGTCGACTAATAAGAGGTAGAATGCGCTGAATCCAGCTTGCAATTTGAGGTAGTTCAAGACAGTGGGTAATGTGAGATAGATCAATACGGAGAATGAGGAGGAGGTTGCTGTCGCCAGGAAGTCGTTGAACAACGATGTGATCGAACGGTTTGAACCGCTGTTCTTTGATGACGACGAGGAGGAACGACGCGATGCCGACGCCAGTAGCAATACGATGGCAACGGTGTGTGCGCAGTTAACGTTGGATTGGAGCGATCCGATCAGTTGGTTGGCGTCAAACTCGAGTGGCAGCGCACCGACCCACAACGAAAAGAATCGTGGGAGGACATCGGCGATCACCCAGCCCAGACCGATACCGAATGCACGCACATCCTTCGGTGCGTGAGACATCTGCAACAACGTGTAAATTGAAAACAAATCGATCAACACATTCACCAATCTAACCAACTCTTGTAATACACTGAAGATCGTCGAATCAAAAGATGGCAAGAATGTAGCTAAAAACATCATCTTTGCTAGTTGTGTCAAGATATTACCAATCAATCCATATCCAACTGTTGAGAGTGCTTTGAATTCACCACTAAAAAAGAAAAAGTTATTTTATGAATTTTATTATTATTATAAGTATCAATTAATCTAATATTCATTCATTTTATTTCTTGTTCTATTTGTTATCTAATTGATATCAATGATTATCTATCTGTCTTCTTTTTTAAACACATACACTTTAGTTGATTTATAAGCAATATATAATGGGATATATGTAATGGATACACAACTTAAAAAGTGTAATACTGTCATTTTTGTATTACTTTCGAATCAAAATAAATAAATATAATAAATATATATAAAGTATATGAAGGTATGAAGTGATCGATGATCAAAAGAACTTCATTAAACTAAAATTTAAATTTTAACCCCCTTTTTAAAAAATTAAAAAAAATAAGCAAAATTTTTGTCGATTTTTGAGTTTTCATGAATGACCCTAAAATAAATTAAAATAAACATTTGATTTTTTATTTCTTATTATTTTGTTTGTTTATTATCATTATTATTATTATTATTAAATATATTTATTTTTAGAATAGTAATAATAATTAGTTTAATAAATTTAATATAAATAAACAATAATAATTATTAAAAAGAAAAAGATGGCAGTTGAACAACAAGATAATATTGGTAGCGATTTTAATGACGATGAAGATGATTTCTTTAGACAAATCAATGAGATTCAGAACGATTACGAACGTGGTAGACCAAGAAACAGAGAGGAAATCAAAGAGGAGAAAAGAACTAGAAAAAACAAGTGGGAACCTGAAAAGACTCAATTGGGTCTACCGGGTGTACCTAAATCCTTACCACCAGGTTTAACAGATGATCAATTAGCATCTTTAATAAGTATGTTTATAATTTATCATTATTAATGAACAATAACAAGAACAACAACAATATTAAACCTTTTTATTATTATTATTATTATTATTTTAATAGTTCGTATTAGAATTGATGAAATCACAAAAAAGTTAACAACAGGACCAATCGATATCGATACCAAAGACGATAGATCAAGATCACCTACACCAGTATACGATAATACCGGTAAGAGAACAAATACAAGAGAACAAAGAGCAAAAGATAAGATATCAAAGGAAAGACATAACTTGATTACTCAAGCACAACAGATTAATCCTCAATTCAGAGTATGTATCATCATCATCATTATTGACTTTTAGATAAATACATTATTATTATTATTATTGGTATACTAAAAATAATCATATTTTTATATATAGCCACCAGCAGATTATCAACCACCAAATGAAAAGAAGACAATGAAGATTTATATTCCTGTGAAGGATCATCCAGAGTATAATTTCATTGGATTGATTATTGGACCAAGAGGAAATACACAGAAGAAGATGGAAAAGGAGAGCGGTGCCAAGATTGCAATTCGTGGAAAGGGTTCGATGAAAGATGGAAAGTCGACGAAGCCACAGTACAACGAGAATGATGAGCTGCATGTCCTGTTGACAGGTGACACTCAGGAGCAGTTGGAGAAGGCTGCAGTGCTCGTACGACAGTACTTGGTGCCCGTAGAGGAAGGAAAGAACGAACACAAACGTCAGCAACTCAGAGAGCTGGCAGAGATGAATGGAACACTGAGAGAACGTCCCACTTTCTTTGGCGCTGGCGGAAAGAGCTGGCAGCCAGTCGACATCAAGTGTATTCACTGTGGTGAAGTTTCGCATCCTTCAAGCGATTGTCCGCTCAAGGGTCAGGATCACAACATGCATATCATAGAAGCAGAGTATCTAAAGTTCATCGAGGAAGTCAAAGATCTTATTGATCTCAATGATAGAGTTGTAGATCCATATGATGAGTTGAAAGCATCTATCAATAACAATAACAATGGAAATGGAAATGTACAGAATGAAAATAATAATAATCAATATCAACATCAACAACAACAACAACAACAACATTCATCACCACCAAATCACCAACAACAATGGAATCAATATAGTAATAATAATAATAATAATAATAACAATAATCAATATCAACAGCAACAACATCATTCATCACCACCCTATGAACAACAACAGCAACAACAACAACATTGGAATCAACAACAGCAACAACAACAAGGTGGATATCAACAGCAACAACATCATCATCACCAACAACAATGGAATCAACCAAAGCAACATTTTAACCAAAATAACAATTCATCACCCTATGGTCCACAATCATCCTATTATTAATCTAAAAATCAAAATCAATCAACCTAACCAACTACCTTTTTTATTTAAATATCTCTACTACTAACCTGCCTAATAATAAAAACATATATGTTTTTTGTATGTAAAGTTTGACAATCATTATTGGTTGTTGTTTTTTTTTTTTAACAGATAATAGTTAAGATTGTTCCACACAAATAACTAACGAATTTGAAAGAATAGAAATACTTATTGATACAAGCTTTTTTGTTAAATCCAGATATAATTCTGAATGTTGAGTTTAATTTTAAAATAATACATATTAATTTCAAAAGGTAGAAACTGTTCTATAGATTCTGCCTATTTTTGAAATGCTCTTGCTTGTTGTGTTGTTGTTTTTTTTTTTTTGATAAAAGATGATCCAAACATCTATATATCATATCTATAAATACTGTATGTTATTGTTATATAACCATTCGATTGCTCCAACCAAACACTTTTACTGCACCTGTTGATTTAATCTTTTCTACCATTTATCTTATCGATTAGATGTTGTAATGGTGCCATCTCTTTCTTATCTACCAAATTGAATTCTTTGATAAATAAATAAAAGTGCTATTCAATTAAATAGGATTTTAATGTTAGATTTCATCAATCAATTAATCAATCAATCAATAACAGAAAACAACTAACCAACTTACTCTAAAACAAGTATTTAAATGAGCTTCAACTCCTAATGGACCTACTCTATCCATGTGTGAATAATAAATATGTGCGTACACTCTAAACAATCTCTTAAAAATAGTCTTTACGGTCGGTAAGAAATTCTTTGGCATTTCAACCTCTGGATGAATAATAACAAGTAAGTAAAGTATACTAAACACGCGGTGAATTAGTTAACCAACTAAAAGTAATCAAATAAACTAACCTTGTTTCAATGGGAATATCTCTTCATCCTCCAAAGTGTTTTGTATCCAAGTCATCAGATAATCGATGTACACAGGTGCAGCCACTCTAACAGGTTTCTTTATGTCTTTGCCGTCTGCCCACAAGAATTCGTATTGTGGTCCGGCAGACATCACTGGACACACTTTAGTTGTACAAAACTCTGTGATCGATCCATACAACAGATTAGCTTGATTGAAAAAGTCTATAGCTATAATGATGATGATTTACAAATAATATTAAAACTTTGTTGTTTTGCAAGTCAACAACAATAAGCAACACTATGTTGTTTCTACATACTATTTACAGCTAACCACTCATGTAAAGTTTCATTGGGTGGTAATTTGATTGCATCTCTTAGGTCACCTGATCCAAGAGTTTCTTTTATTTTTTGATGTAATTCATATTGTTTGGTACCCTTTTTAATTGATTTCTTGGGTTTGAATGTTTGTGCTTTCGATGCACTATATTAATAGATTCGAGATCAAGATGATGATATTTACAGTAACATGCATGTCAATACTTTATTTTTTGTTCTATGATATTTTATTTAAAAAATAACATTGTAGTTGTTGGTTTTAATTAAAACTTACAAAATTTTAAACATTTGTTAATCTATACTAAATAATACCTGTATTATACAAATTTAAACTAAATACTTTTTTGAAAACTGAGACTTTAAAAAAATATGATGATTATTATAATACAAATTGTTTAATAAATAAATAAATAAATAAATAAATAAGGTGATGATAGGTTGATTGATTTCAATATAAAACAAAAAATTGATAGCTATGAACTCGTTAATCTAGGCCTAGCTATTCAAAGTTTATGTATTTATTTCTCAAATTTTTTTTTATTTTTTTTATTTTTATTTGTTGATTTATTGGGTGTGTTTAAGTTTGTGTTTGGTAGTTTTAGTAATAAATCCTTGATGGATGGGTGTCAATCATCAAAAAACAAAACACTATCAATTTTCATGAAAAAAAAAACAAAACAAAAATTCTTTAAAAAAATGAAATATCTGGGTAAAGTGTGAAATTCGCACACTGTTGTTTTTTTGTTTGATTGGAAATTTTAAAAAAAAAAAATTAATTAATATTATTATTGTTGTTGATGTTAATTTAAGCCATGATTTCTCTGGCCTTTTCATATAATACGAAACAGGCAGCGTTGGCAGGGAACGAACGAATGAAACAAGGTGTGAAACCTTTGTAGAATCCAGCGATACCTTGTTGCTTATATATCTTTGAGGCGCAGTCCATCATGTTGGCGTAACGACGCTGACTTGGAACGATACTGTCGGTTTGGATCGACGACTTGATGACATCGACCGGGTAGGTGAGTGTCCAGTAGGACATACCACCGATACCACCGGCCAACATCACCTTCCACGCTGGCAACTGCTCGAGACGTTGTCCTTCGCTGAGGAAGAAACGACGCGATAGCTCATACACTCCAAAGTAGGTGGCGTTGGCTGGCACGTCACGAACCAGTGTTGCACCCAAACCCTGGTAGATTCCACGCACTCCACGCTGTTGGAAGATCTTGGTGGCGCAGTCCAGTAAACCATTGTATTGCTTGTTGCCAGCGTATTGAACTTGTAGTTGAGATTTGAACAAGTCGACTGGCGACTCTACGAATGCAATAGTGAAACCTGCGACGGCACCGGCCTTGGTCAACTCGGCGACACTCAACTCACGATTGGAGTCGCCCTGAATAATCTTCTTGGCCTGACCGTAAGAAAGGAACATCACTGCATTCATAACACATAGACCTACCAATGGTGATGCTACACCTTTATATAATCCTGCAAACTACATAAATCCAAACAAACCTATCAATATGAATAAACTCTTATTTCTTCTCCAACAACAATCATTCTAATATAACATACACCTTCTTCAGCAATAGTCTTTTTCAAACAGTCTAATGTACCAGAGTAGAGTGGTGCACCTACTGGTTGTGTTTGAAGTCTGACTTTGATGGTGTCCAATGGGTGACCTGTGAAGACTTGACCAACACCACCGATCGATCCAGCCAAAATATCCTTGAGGGCGATCATCAAAGGCGATTCTCTTTTTTCACTCGACATCTCTTAAATATTATTATACTAGAAAATATTAATTTAAAATTTTTTACAATTCGACCAAATGAAAAGGTAAAGAGCCTCTCAAAAATGATCATTAAAGATCAATTGACAAAAAAATCAAAATATTTTATTTTATTTTTTTAAAAATTGAAATTTTTTTTTGGTTTTGATGATGATCAGATTCTAAGGTCTTACTTTTGATAATAATAATTTTTAAAAAATGGAGATGGAAATGTATAATGTTGGAAGTGGTGCTTCAGAGTTATTTTTAAAACTTCCTCATATTTTGTTAACAAAAATAGTCAGGCAATTAGAGAATAACTTGGATAGAATCTGTCTTTCATTAGTTTGTAGAAAATTTTATGATGAAAGAGACTCTTATCTTTCATTCAATTCCGACTTTATCGCAAAATGCACCCCATTTGCCAATCAACCTGTCATGTTCTCAAGATCCTATCAAAAACAATTCAATGACCAAATCAATTCAGAGCCAAAAAACAGTCTTTTGTTTATTAGCAGTTCAGAAATTCAACCATTTGGAAGCGGTGCCTTTAATCAGATTTTCAATGATAGTAATTACAATTTACAAATATTTATAATTAATCTTTATTTTTTTTTTAATATTATTTTTATTATTTTTAAAATACACAGTGCATGATAAAATAAATAATTTTAAGATTTTAGATTCAATTGAAAAGATCTATTTTGCAGATAATTTTAAATGGGATCTAAATCTGTACACTAAATTAATTGGCAACAGTAATGTCAAAACGATTCAATTGGGTTGGAATTTCAATGATTCTATTCCACCCAGTTCGATTCCATCAAACATTGAAACTATTATTTTTGGATTCAATTTCAACAAAGAACTTGAAGTTGGCTCACTTCCTCCCAATCTAAAGAAGATCATTTTCGAAGGATACTTCAATAAGGTATTTCAACCTGGTGTGCTTCCAAACTCTCTGGAAGAAATACGCTTCGGTTCACACTACCAAATGGAGTTCATTGTTGGGTCGCTTCCAGCGAATTTGAAAGTCATGGAGTTCACTAACGACTATGACCCACCTCTTAGTACAGTGACTCTACCACCAACTCTGGAAAGAATAACCAAGTTAAGAGCTAGAGATTTACCACAGCTACCTTCATCGATCAAATCGATTTCTATCAATGGTTCCGGAACCATTGGACAACTACCGAATGGCCTTGAAGAGCTGACACTATGTGGAATGGTTTTCTCACTCCCTAAAGGATGGATACCAAACACAGTTACAAAACTAGAGTTTCAACAGAAAGTTAGATATTCATTGGAAGGCGTTATACCGAATTCTGTGAAACATCTCTCCTTTGAGAAGAATGCAAGGGTGTTGGCACCAGGAACCATCCCAAGCTCCGTCACCACATTGAAAATTCACAATTGTAAACAAGCCTCTGCTAATATCATTCCGAAATCGGTGGAGACATTGTATGTCAACGAGAATTTCATTGATATTAATAATCTTCATTCTCTACCCTCGAGTGTTAGAAACATCATTGTTATGCGCACCAATGATCCTACGAGAGAATTCCACCTGAAGCCAATCGATAATGATAATTTCATTCTAATGCGGTTACAGAAATTTTCAGTGCAATGTGGTTTCACACACATTGACCAATTACCAAACCTAATAAAATCTGCTCGACCACCAAAGTTTTAAACAAGAAAAAATAGAGAATTAAATATTTGGTAATTAAATTTAATCATTAAGTTAAAGTAAAATTTAATACTTAGTTTTAATCTAAACAAGTCATTAATAACTTTAAATTGTGTTTTCAAAAAAAAAAAAAAATCTTGGTCATCTTAAATTAATTTTTTTCAAACGAAAGTTAACTTTCTTTGTTTTAATAAAATCGAATAAGAATAGAATCAAATTACATTAAAGATATTATATTATATATAAATATGGGTGATATTATTAAATCATATAATGTATGTTTTAGTTTTTTATAGAAAAGTGTTAGATACAGTTTTTTTTTTAATAAGATTATTAAATAATAACTATTGTAAATAATACTTGTTAATTAGAATGAAGAGAATCAAATATTAGGATGTCAACACTACCCTAGGAATTGTATGATCAAAGCAGAGTGCTGTGGTAAATGGTTCGTTTGTAGATTTTGTCATAACGAAGCTACTCGTACACACGAGATAGATAGATTCGCAACCAAGATTATTAAATGTATGCTATGTGCAAAAGAACAACCAGTCGGTGAAAAATGTATTGGTTGCAACACGGCTTTCGCAACTTACTTTTGTCAACACTGTAAATTCTACGATAGTACACCCAATAAATTGATATTCCATTGCGACGGTTGTAAAATATGTAGAGTCGGTAACAAAAATGATTTCAAACATTGCTTTAAATGTAATGTAAGTATCAGTATGATCACTTTCTTCAATCGATCATTCAATCAATCTTACATACATCAATATGCTACAGGGTTGTTTAAGTGCTAGTGGATTCGAAAAGCATAAATGTTTAGAGAACAAGTTTGAAAATTGTCCGATTTGTCTAGAGGATATGTTTAGTAGTAGAGATCCACCGGTTACACTCAAGTGTGGACATGCACTTCACGAAAGTTGTTATAAATCATTGTTGCAATCAACTCAATCCAATTGTCCAATCTGTAAAAAGTAAGTACTTATTAAAGAGTGTGAATAAAGATAAAGAGATAGATACTAATATTGTTTTATTTTATTTTTTAGACTTATATATGATGATGTAAATTGGTCGAAATTCGATGATATTATTAGAAGACAACCGATGCCAGCAGTCTATAGGGGTTCGACATGCTCTATATTCTGTAATGACTGCGAGGCTCGATCGATGGACATTGAATTTCATTTCCTTGGTAACAAATGTACAAAGTGTGGCAGCTACAACACTACTATTTTATCAAAGAATATGAAGATCGATGAGAATGCAAGAGATGAACCAACTGACAATAACAACAACAACAATAATAATAATGAAGACGGTGAAGATTTAGAAGACGACGACGACGACGAAGATGAAGATGGTGAAGAATTTAGTTTTGTAGTAGATGAAGAAGATGACGATGATATGGAAGATGAAGAAGAAGAAGATGAGGATAATCAAGATGTTTCAGCAGATTGAAATAAATAATACAGAATCAAGTAAATAATATCAAATTCATTTAAACTTCTTATCTTTTAATCTATTTAACATTATTTGTAGCAAACTGTTGTTTCTTCATTTTGTTTTAAGTCGATCTAATTCTTGTAAAAAGAAGAAGAAGAAGAAAAAAAAGAAGAATTGACCTTATATATTTTTCGATGTAATTATCAAACCACTCACTCTATTTGTTTTAGATTTGTTCAAACGTTGTTAATATTATCCGCACAGGTGGACCGTGGTTCTATTCTTATTGTTTTGAATATCCAAAGAAGAAAGATCGTATTAAAGGCAGATAAAAAAACAGATATTTTGGTGAAAATCAAGAATCAAAGGGTTTTCCTTGTTGTTTTTGAGAGGTTTGTTTTTTTTTTTCTTTTGTTTTGTTTTTTGGTTTGCAGATCTCGATTAAAAAATTGGGCACCACAGTATAAAACTTTTGGTAAAACAGCTTTAAAAAAAAAAAAACAATAATTTCAGTTCCATGCCAAAGACCGAAGACTTGTGGGTGGAATAGTTTTATTCCTGGTTTTTTTATTTTATTTCTAATTTTACAAAAGCTAATGGAACTTTTAAATCATTTTCACCAAAAAGTAAAATAAAAATTTAAAGCAATTTATTATTCTTTTCAAAACTCTCACTCCTCACACAATCAATCAATCATTTATATTATTATTTTATTTACTTTATCATTATCATCATAAAGAGAGTGCTATTGATTTTAATAATAACTTAACTTGATGTACATTATTAAACTGTAACATTCATATAATTATTGTATCAAACAAACCAATTTTAAGCAGATAGAAAACAGATCTAACAGATAGCAAGTGAAGTGAGTGAGAGAGAAATCAAGTGGCACTTGTAATACAACAACAAAACACAACACATCAACTTCAATTTAGAGTGAACATCTAATAGTGTCAATAAATCAAATATTAACGCAACTACACAACACAATACACTCAGAAATCATTCCTAACAGTATTGGTCGATCCGAACTATTTTTATTTCATTTAGTGGTGTCAATTGTTTTTATTTTTTCACAAGGGAATAGACAACCAACACACAATCAAGTATTTTTGTGATTCTCATATTATATATAGCACACTCCAAACAACAAACTTCTTAGTTTTAACAACCACAACACAACAAAAAACCACAAACCAACACCCAAGCTGTCAATTAATTAATAATTACAAACAACATCCAACATCCTAAAGTATTAAAAACAAAACAAAAAAAATAGAAAAAAAAAAAAATAGTGGCACACCACTACCACCAATCAGTTAATAAGTCAATCAAAAAACACACATCAATATTAATTCAATTTAATATTTGTTTGGTTCCAACATTACTTTCCCTCTTATTTATTTTGCATTAAATATATTCAACATTCATCTACCTATACATATATATTTCAATAAATATACCAACAACAGCAACAATAACAACAACTATTTCTACTTGTTATAATCCTTCCTTCCCTCTACTTTTTTTATCCTACACTTTTTTCCCCTCCAACTACAACCCCTCCACTCCAATTCTCTACTTCTTTTTTTTTATATAGTAATAATAATAAATATTTTCATTCACTTTTTTGAATCTATTTATCATCACCAATAGAAGAATAATATAATTCAATATAAACAAATCCTCAAATTTTCATCAGCAAACCAACATCAACAATAACAATATATCATTGTTGTCATACCGTTTCCAATTTAAAACAATTTTTTTTTTTTTATCAATAAAAATAGTTTAATATTTGTCAGTTTCAGTTTGACTTCAAAAATCAATTTCTCAAAACTCTCTTTGTATTAGTAATCAATATTAATATCTACAATCTCATCATTATTTATTTAGTCCATTCACACCCTCTCTTCTATTTGTTTCAATTTTTTACTTTAAAACTTTTTCTTCCCTCTTTTCTGACACAAATATAATCACTCCACTGCAGTGTTTAACAATCAAGTCGTCAAGTCTCTATCAACCATCGATTCCGTTCAACAGTTTAAACACAACACTTGGTACCCAATCACATTCCAACATTTGTAAATTCATTAGAATATCCCAATATATATCAACAACATACAATAATAAAAATATAACAACAATCAACAACAATTTCAAATTCAAAAATTCTCTCAGTTATCATTTAATATTGTTTATTCTGTCACTTATAACTTTAACCAACACACGTTATTTGTATCACTAAATCACAAAAACAATAAACACACATTTTCAACATCAACACAAAAAGGATAATAATTATCTTAAACCAATACCACATTTAAACAACAGCATCATCATCATCATCAACAACAACAATAACAATAAATAGACAATAATTTCTCTTAGAAAATTAATAATAGTAATAGTAATAGTAATTTAAAATAGATATAACATAAGTAAATAGTATAGATAAAATAAATATTCACATTAGAAATTGTTTAAAATAGAGTATAAATAATAATAAAATAATGAGACTTTCACTTTCACAATGGAGAAGAAATTTCCACTCCCATCAACAACAGCAACAGCAGCAACAACAACAACAACAACAAAATGTAAATAATCAAAATAATAATGGAAGAACTTCAAATAATGGTCAACTCGAACATTGGCAAAAAAATGATGAAATGGAAGAAGCTGCTCCACAATTGACAGAGAATGAAATGTTAACTATTGAAGAATTTATATTTACTTTAAATAGATATGTATGTTCATTTATCTCCTCATTGACACGCTAATATTGATTCATATTAATTCTTTTTATATTCCTAATACTATTAGGAAGCAGAAAATGAAAATATACCACAAAACGAACATCATATGATGACTGTCGAGGAATTCATATTGAGCTGCAAAGAACCAAATGTAAATTTAATAAATCGATCGGAATCAACCGATATCATACAGGAAGAGGAGCTAATGACAGTAGAAGAATTTATTTATACATCCGAAAGAAGAGATAACTCCAACGATATGCTAACAATTGGTGAGTTCATTTCACAATCTAGTCGAAGGTATGTCTATACTCTATTTATTTATTTAAAACTAAAAATATAATATTAATTTTGAACTTAAACAAATTGAAATCTTTTTTTTAGAAAAAATCCAATCATTCAAAAAACAACCAACACAACAAGAATGAATGAAATTATTTTTAATTAAATAAAATAAATTAATTTATCTTAAAAAAAAAAATACTAATCCAAATTTTAATTATTTGAAAATTGCAATTAATTTTTATTGGTTTTTTTCATATGTTTGTGAGTGTTCATTGCCAAAAAAAATAGAGGACAGAATTTCCCAAAAAAAGATTATTATTTATTTATTTAATTTTTTTCATTGTATTTTATTATTTTTTTTGCTTTGATCTTATCTATCATTTCGGTGTCTTTATAAATTAATTTCAATTATTATTTTATATTATTTTTAAAAAACAACTCATCTTATCTGTGTTTATATCAATATTCACTTAAACACAAAATATAAAATATATATATACTAAATTCATTCACAGACACAGATAAAAATATTTAATCTTGATCTATCTGTGGTTTTTTTTTTTTCAATTACTATATCTATATATTTGCGCCATAAATTCATTTCACAATTTGTTTTATGCTATAACAGACAACAAAACTAAAGTCAACTTTTTTTATTTATTTTATAAGTTAAAGTTAATAATACTGTAAATATTATCATTATCATTATTATTTGTATATAAATTTCGATTGTTATAAAAAAAAGTATGTATCATTATTGCTATTTGTTTTTATTTATTTTGATACTAATTATAGATTTTTTTTGATCAATTTAAAGAATGTCAAATTCATTGATTGATTTAGATTTCGAGACGACTACATCCAACCCTTCACCTCAAACACTACCATTAACTGGAGAAGCTCTTATTGGATACAGTTCACCTAATGCAGGAAGAAAGAAGAAGAGTATTGAAAAAACAAGTGGCGAATCAAATATTTTCGACGAATTGGGAATGAATGACCCAACTAAAAAGAGCGAATCCAAACCAGAACCACCAGTTTTAGATAGTTCCTCTGATTGTCTGATCGATTTTTCATCTCCTCCACTTCCAAAGAAATAGAAACTCAATAATATTAAATATTTAATAATAATACTATATTTAAACTTTGTAAATTCAAACTTAATAAAAATGTATTAATTTAAAGAACAACTATCATTATTAACAATTTTCTTAACTATTAAAAAATATTAAATATTAAATTAAAATTAAATAAAAAACAAATTCAATTAATATTTAATAATTTCATATGTTTCATCATTAACTGTTGATACAAAATTGAATCTATATTGACTTTTTCCTATTTTGAACAGTTTAGATAAACAATAAAACTAATTTTAGAATTAAAAAAAAAAGATAAAAAAGTAAGGAAAAACAATGAAATTAACAAAACACCCACATTTGGTAAATTTCCTTTTCTATCGATACACGAATATTGGTAATACTAAATATCTTATCATAATGTATTGGATAGGATCTATCTATTTTATAATGGGTGAAATCATCAACAAAAAGTTTTGAAACTATTGACAATCTATTTCTCAGCCAAAGACATCATTCTTTTAAAGGATTTTCAAAAAAAATACCAATATTTAGTTTAGATATTACGAATTTATTTAAATAAAATAAAATAAATCTTTAAATTAAAATTTAAACAAGAAAAACTTTTAAAATTAAAGCTAAATATTTAATTAAATATATTTTGATACCGAATAATATTATTTTTTAATAATAATAATAAATAATTTATATATATACACAACAATAATTTCAGGTTTTATTTTAATTATTTTTAAAAAATTAATTTTTATTAAATTTAAAGGTAAAATTATAATATAATTATAAATATAAATAATAAAGAGATTTTGAAAGAATTAGAAATGAAAATTAAAACATTTTGGATATATTTGGAATTTAGATGAAATAAAAATGAATTAGTTTTTTATATATAACAATTCAATAATATTAATATTTTTTATTTTATTTTTTATTATGAATAGTTCCAAAAATAATAAGATAAATAATGGGAAAAGGAGATACAGCTAAGACTGAAGTAAGGAACGCTTCAAATGAGATGAAGCATGACTTTGAAGCTTTGTCAAATGATGGCAAGTCAATGGCAACCGATGTTAAGAAATCGATGGAACACAAAGCCAAAGAGGTCAAGAATGAGGTCAAGAATGCAATGGCACCAAACAAGGAGACAAAGAAGGATATAAATCAAGCAAAGGACAAGATTGCTGAAGGTGCCACTCAAATGAAGGAAGGTTTGAGGCAAGGCGCTCAATCCATCCAGAAAGACGCTGAAGGCAAGATGGAAGCCGCCAAAGACAAGATCTCTGACACTGCCTCCAGTATCAAGAAGGATGCAGATGCCAAGGTCGGTGCCGCTAAAGACAAGATTGCTGAGGGTGCCCAAAACTTGAAGGAGGGAGCTCAGAATCTCAAGAAAGATGCCGAAGTCAAGATGGAGGCTGCCAAGGAGAAGTTTGCTGAGGGCTATGAGTATGCCAAGGAGAAGGTTGCCGAAGGTGCAGAGAAGTTCAAGAACTTTGTTCCAACACTCGGTCAAGATCCAAATCTCAAGCAGGAATGGTCTGAGCTTGAGAAGAAGGCCAGGAGCGCTGCTGGAACTTTCGGTGCTGACATTGGTGGTCCCAAGACTATTGCTTCGGAATCTCAGAATAGTCAATTCAACTACGGCAGAAAATACTTTGGATCGGGATGGCATATCGATAGACCCACCAGAAACAGTGACCAAGACTTTGTCGATGGTAAACTCGTTCACGATGACTTTGGCAGTGGCAGTTTTGTCATGGTCGAGGAGCTATCTAAATTCCAACCACTCAGCAGAAACGTCAATGAATCGTTCATTGACAACCGTCGTCACACTGAATTCAAAGGTCCAGAGATGGAAATGATGAGCAAGGGTGGTTTCGACCGTAGTGACTTTGAAGCTATGCAAAGTGCCGATCTCCACCATGGAATCAGAGATCTCAAGGACTACATTCACCAATCCGGAGGCATAATCCAAGAGCAAGTCAGCAGAGGTGGAAAGAACTTGGAAAGCCAATTGAATCGTGGAATCGAAGATCTCAAGAAGGGATCGATGTCGTTCCAAGGTGAAGTCCACAAGAATGCATCGGTTCTCCAAGACCAACTCAACCAAGGAACATTCGAGCTTGAGAACCAAATCCGTCTTGGTACACTCGACCTCCAGGATCAACTCAAGAAAGACACCCATGCCTTTAAGAAATCAATCAAGCAAGGAGCGTTCGACCTACAAGACAGACTCAATCAAAACACCAGCCAACTTCATGGAAAGATCAACCAAGAGATTGACAGTATCGCCACCAACGTCCGTGTCACTGAGAACTTTGATGGACTCAGATCAAAGGTCAACAGCGGTATCAAAACAATGGAAGGTGAAGCCGGTAAACTCCAACACAATCTCGAAGTTGGATCGATCTCGATCGAGAAGAATGCCTCTAATCTCCACAATGAAATTGAATCTGGTCTTGCCAAACTCCGTAACGACGCCAAGATTCTCCAAGACAAGGCAGCCATGGGTGTCGGCGGTCTCAAAGAAGAAGCCATCAAGTTGCAATCGGAAGCCGAATACGGTGTCAATAATCTCAAGAAGAAAGCATTCGATCTCCAACAACAAGCTCAACATGATCTTGACAACTACCAAGTTCAACTCCGTAAGGAATGGGAGAGCAACTTGAACAAGTTCAATGACATCCAAGGAAAGATCAACCAAGGCACTGCCGAACTCCACAATCAAGTGCTCAGCGGAACCAAAGACCTACAGGACCAAATCAAGAAGGGTGCTGCCAACCTTCAGAATCTTGCCAATGTCAGTGGCGACATTCTAGACTCTCACGCCAAGCAGGGTATCGACCTTTTGAACAAGGAGGCACAACAAGGAGTGAACAGCTTCCAACGTAACCTCAAGTACACTCCACCATCGACCAATGTACAGTTCAATGCCGGTCAAGACCAATGGGGTAGCGGTGAAGGTTGGTTCAGCAACTTTATCGGCACCACTCAGAACAAGTTGAACGATCTCTTCAACTACACCAAGGGTCAGAGTGAATACATCGAGGGAAGCACCAGAAACTCGTGGCTCAACCTCGAGAGCTGGGGATGGCCAACCAAGAACACATCAGAGTCCTCAGTCACCTACACCAATAGCAGCGTATTCAATCCAAACCTCACTGGTGACTTTATGCATGAAACACGTGTCGTCGGCGAGAAAGTAAAAGAAGATGCCCAGCGTTTCGGAAATAAACTCAAAGACGAAGCCTACTACGTAAGAGACCAACTCAAGAGTGACGCCAGCGACGCCAAGTCCAAGACTGAAGGATTCTTCTCCGATGTAAAGGAGAAGACTCAAAACACCTTGGAGTCCATCCAGAGATCCACCAATGAGACCTACCAAGAATCGATGGATGCCTTGCGTAATCTACCATCCAAACTCGGTGAAGTCAGTGACAACATGGCCAGCGAGACCAACTCAAGCATCCGTAGACTCAACAGTGACTTCTGGAACGAGTTTGATCAGTTGAACCACAGAGCCGGTGCTCTCTACGCTGGTATCGGTGGTATTGGTGGTGCCATTGGAAGTAGCTACCTCTTTGCCAACACTAAATCTGCTGCTGCTCGTTGGGGTATCATCTTGGGTATGGCTGGTCTTGGTGGATACTATGGATTACATAGACCAATCCAAAGAAATGAATTGAGAAGAAGACAACATTTCCAAAAGTGATTAAATTGATCATTTAATCAAAAAATAAGTTGTTAAAGACAACAAATCTTCAAAAAAAAAAAAAAAACTTTAAAAAATTTTTAGTAAATAAAAAAATAAATTTTAATATTAATTTAAGTTAATTAATTATCTCAATCAATCAACCATCATCACATTACCTATAACTTAGGCTATAAGTTATTTTTCTCAATAAGTTTTACTAATATTAAATTAAAAAAAATAATTGTGTTTTTGTTTTAAAAAGTTTAAAGAGTTTATTAAATTCCTTTTGAGTCAATGTAGATAAAAAGGAAAAAAAGAAATAATTACAAATTGACTACTACTACTATTAGAGTTGTTGTTGTTGAAGGTAAATTGGTTGGGTTTGTTATTTATACAAGATCGATGCACTATCAATGACTACCAATTTGAAGAAGATATCATCGGATTTATGGAATATTATTATTATTATTTTTAGAAACTTTCTCTGGATTGATTAATTATTATTATAATAATTAACTAAATTAATTATTATTTTACTACTAATTATTATTACTATTTTAACTCTTTTTCTTTCCTTTCCTTTCTTTTTTTGTTTTTTTTTTTTTTTTTTTTACTATTAATATTAAAAAAGTTTATAAATTGTTTGTTGATTATTAATTTTTTGTTCCTTTTTTTTTTTCTTTTTGTTTATAAAATGATTAACTACTATTATTATTATTATTGTTGTTTGTTTATTCTATTATAGAATAGTACAATCACCTTTAAGCTTTGAAATGGCACCCTTAATAGATTTCTTTTCTTTTTTGTTTCTTCCTGGTTCTTTGAGTGATTTCTTGATCTCTCTTACTACATCAAAGAAACATTCGTCGACGTTTTGACGCTTCTTGGCAGAGGTCTCCAAGAATGGACATCCGAAACTCTTGGCCAACTCTTCACCTTCACCCGCTGTCACCTCTCTCTGATTTTCAAGATCGCATTTGTTACCAACCAAAACGATTGGAACTCTCTCGTTGTCCTTAACTCTAATAATTTGATCTCTTACTACATTAATCTCTTCAAATGATGTTCTCGATGTTACATCGTATACACAAAGAAAACCTTGACCCTAAAAGTATTTTATTATCAATGAATATCGATTAGTTGGTGTTGATGATGATGAAATGAATCAAAAATACTTACGGTCCTCATATATTGATCACGCATAGCTGAGTAATCATCTTGTCCAGCTGTATCTAAAATATCTAATAAACATGTATCATCGTCAACCTGACACTGTCGACGATAACTGTCTTCGATGGTTGGATCGTACTCTTCAATAAAATGATTTTGAATAAACTGTATAGTCAAGGCTGATTTACTGATTTGATTATGAAAATAATATTAATATGATTTTCAAAAATGTATAAATCGTTTTGATGATCTAACATACCCTACACCACCACCACCCATTACGACTAATTTATATTCATTGGCTACTGTTGTTGTCATTTTTTTTTTTGATGCTATTTATTTGTTTTGTTTTGTTTTATTTTTCTATTTCGTATATATGTATAATCTAATGTATGTATGTATAATGTTTTCTGTTTTGCTATTTTTTTTTTTATTTGCTTTTGTTGTCTAATGATTAAAAAAGGTAACGCGTATAATCTAAATATAAATAAATAAAAATAACAAACTAATAAATAAATAATAAATAAATAATTAAACTACTACGACTACTAAATTGGATAAGTTAATAAAGAGAGTTAGTTAAGTTAATTAGATAGAGTGTTGAAAACTAAAAGAGAGATCAAAGGAAAAAGGTAAAGTTATTAAGAAGAGATTTAATGATTTCCGATTTATTGATTGTTAATGGGAAATAAAAATAATAATTATAATGTATTTTTGGAATATAGATGTAAGAGTAAGAGTAATAATAATAATAATAATATATTTGTTTCAATTGATTAATTAAAATAAATATAATCACAGTAATAGTAATGTTTGATTGATTGTGATTATTTGTGTGTTGTTATTATTGTTATTATTTATTTTTATTTTTATTTTTTGTGTGTGTGTTTGATGGTGGCAGTGTTTTTTTTTTTTTTTTTGGTTGATATATTTTTATTATTTGATTTTTGATTTGTGTATGTATGAGTGTGATCGTGTTTGTTTGTTTATTTTTTTTTTGTTTATTTTAATTGGTAATAATAGATACAATTCAATAGTATTTTGTTTGTGTTGTTGTATATCCTGAAATTCACTAGAGGAGCGACAGTTTGAATTCCAAAAGTGATGATTTTTGCAATACAATCAATCTCTGATGATAATATTATAAGGTGTTGTTTGTTTGTATTCTTTAATATTGTGTTTGTAGCGAGTGTGAGAAATTGGCTTGGCATATTAATGTGTGTTTGCGATGTTTGACTAGTTGATGTTATTGAATTCAATTCAATTCTATCTATTATCTTTTCCTCTTTCTTCTCTCTCTTCCTAATTAATTACAACATTTCATCATCATCATCATAATCATCACACATAACAATAATAACAATATTAATAATAATAACAAAAATAATAATTTCTTACTTTGTTTAATTGAACGAAACTATTTTTATAAACTAAGCAAAATTGGTTGCTTATAATTGTGATTTGTGATGGGTTGTTGTTTAAATTGGTTTGGTTTGGTTTGGTTTGTTTAGATTTTTTTTTTTTTTTTTTTTTTTTAATTAATGTTATAAATATAAATTCTATATTATTATAGTAAGATAACAAGAGAAACTATAATAATTGTTTGATATCTAAAGTGTGTCGATGTTAAAGCTGGCAATAGGTAGATTGATTTTTTTTATTTTCACCATTTTTTTTGTTTTTTTTTGCTTTGATTTTTTTATTTTATCAAAAAAATATAAAAAAATATGGAGTGATGAAAATGAGTCCTTTTTTTGAGAATGACAATAGGGCAAAAAAACACAAACTTTGCATAGTTATTTGAAATTTAGTTAAATAAAGGAAAAGCCAAGTGTGGTCTTTGTTGTTGGTGTGTTTTACCCGATTGACACCTCTTGCCAAAGGTGACCAATCAATAAATGATGTTCAAACAAACAAACAAACAAACAAAACAAACAAAACAAACAAACAATTATTTTTAAACAAAAAAAATTTAATAAAAAATGACAATCGTAAATAAATATATGGTGTTTAAATAAATAACAAAAAAAAAATTGTGTACTCTTAATATGTTTTAATATTCTTACAATATAACAATGTTCTGGTTTGTTTAATTATTTTATTTTTATATATTGTTTGTTACTGGTAATGGAATCTTATATACAATGAAATCAATTTTAGTCAAATAAAATTATCTTATTTAAATATTAAAAAAAAATCACTAAAAATAAATTGGTTAAAATTGTGAAATTTTTTTGTTGAATTTTTTTTTTTGATCAGTCACACAAGCAAAAAATTGAAAAAAATATCTATTAAATTTAAATTAGGAAGATTTTGGGTGTTTAAAAATGGCAAAATTGATTTATACTTTATGTTTAGATAATCTAAAGTTGTATCTTTTTTTTTTCAAAACTTGTATAAATGGAATAATTTCAGAATAAAGTTTAATTGTTGAATTTTTATTTTAGTTTATTTAATCATAAATTCATAATTTATTATTAAGGAGAAATATAATTCATTGCAAAAAAATTTAAATCATTTTGTTTTGACCCTGACAAAATTTTAAAAGTAAGGCAAAGATTTATTTTTGATTGACAAAGATATATGTCTTTGCCTACACAAAAAAATGAAAAATTCCTTTTTAAAAAAAAAATCATATCGAAATCAAATCAAAAAAAAAACAAAAAAAGAATCTTGTTTTTTTATCAAACAATTCAGAGTATTGGATTTTTGTAAACCGAAAATAGATTGATTTGATTGTATGTGGAACTGTGCGAATCATAACACGATCACTAAATCGCCAAGTGTTCGTTCATTGTCTCTTTGTTAAAAGGCTGCACTCGCTTTCATTTTTTTCTTTTTCACTTCATTTTCACTTCATTTTCACCTGGAGTTATTCAACATTCGACATCCAACATAGAAACAGGATAATTATTTATTTCATAATATCACTTATTCATTCATTTTTAATAGGTAGTAATAATAAAATTGAGTTAAATAGCTATTGTCAAATCATTATTTATAATACAACAGTCAACTACATTAACATCAGCAACAATATATCTCAATAGATCAACAACAACATTACAAAAACAAAGTCAAACATTGTAACACTAGAGTTCATTCATTCAACATAGATTCAAAGTCAAATTAAATAAACAACCCACCTCTCATATCACACCAGATACACACATCAAAAAAAAAAAAATTTCACTGCATTTTTCATTACCATACACTCAAAGGAGGTGTGTGCAACTAAATTTAATCACCAATTTCACTTGCAATATTAAAATTATTCATCATAGTTGCAATTCATTTTTGTTTAAAGTAAAATAATCATAAACATAAATCATTTTTCAATTTACATATCATTAAAAAAGTTTAATTTGTTTACTTCATTTTCATTTCTCATTCAATTATAATTTATTTGTTGTTGCTTTTTATTATTTATCAAAAATAATCAAAATATGGACACTCCAATATTACCAACTAAACCACCAGTTTTAACTTCATCTTCGTTGGCTGGAGCAAACAATGTTTTGTTTAGCTTTGAAAAGAATGAATCATCGTCAAAATCCAAACCAAAACCAAAACCAAAGCCACAGGAACCACCAGTAGTGAAGCCAAAGACTTGTAAAACATGCCAAAAGAAAGGTCACTCTTGGAAGGAATGTCCCACCCCAGATATCAACAAGAAATGTTCAAACTGCCAAAAGATTGGACACACATCCCAAAACTGTAAATTCATCATTCTAAGCTTTGCCAAATATCAACCACCAAAACCAGAACCACGTCCACCAAGAAATCAGAATTCCACTGACAACAAAGATCAACAACAATCAAGAGATCAAAATAAAAGTAAATATAAAAATAATAATAATGAAAATCAACAACCAGAGGAATCAACAACTACAACAACAACAACAACAACCACCAATGTTACATCAGACATTGTTGTTACAAATGGATCACCAAAACAAGATTCATCAGCATCACCAAAGAATTCATCATCACCAAAATTAAATTCCACCAAGCCAAATTCAGTTCCACAACCTATGGTAGCTGAACAAAATAAAGTTAATCAAGGATGTTTTATCCCGACAGTTATTCATTGTAAATCCATCATCTGGATGGACAATTCCAGACAACCTACCAGAAATCGCCAGACAATCGGCAGCGACCTCAGTATGCCTGCCAGCCATCATCAAGGATGGCAAACTCGATAGCTCAGTCACAAAGTGTATAAAGTCACTACATGCCTATGGAATCCAAGCACCGCTCTCCTTTGAGATCGACAACAGTGCACTGTTGGCAGAACATCCAGAGTGGTGTGCAGCCGATGAGTCGCAACCAACCAAAGTACTCTCTGTTGCCAACACAGAGTTCCAAGCTTATTTCACCAAGCTTTTTGGTGATTGTCTCAAACAATTGATTGAGTCAAAGAGTGACATTGGACCGATGGATGGATTCTACATTGAATTGCCAATCAATGAGGCAGAGGATGAATCAATCAACAATTTCAAACAGAATCTCATCTTTATGATCAAGGACATCAACACAATAGATAAAACAAAGAAACAACCAGCCAACAAACCAATTCACCAAATTGTATTTTTCACATCAAAAAAACCAGAAAAGACATCAAATTTATTTAAACTTTCATACAATTCAGAGTATGTAAATGTATTCCATACTATGACAGTAACAATTATACTAATTAATTAATCTATTACAGAAATGAATTTGCAATTTCATCAAGATATCAATATCAAATTCCAGTTATTGGTGAAATCTCAATGAATTTATTAAATTCAAATACATTCAAAACCTATGATACTATTTGGTTTGAATGTACAACATCTTTAATTTTATCAAATCGTTTCTCAGTTAGGTATGTTAATTTTGATTGATTATCAATTTTTTAATTTTATATTAACTTTTATTATTTTCAGATTAAATGCTTCACAACTTTCAAATAAATATTGTTTACCAATGGTGGAGAAACTTTTTAAATCGATGGTTGACAAAGAGATATATTGTAAGAATGCAAGGTTGATATGTGATGTCGGTGTAATTACCACTGGTATAACTTCACAGTCGCTACTGAATTCATTGACTTGTTTGTTGGAAGAGTTTAACTATCAATACAATTTCATTCAACAACCCATCAATACAATGGATTTCACCGAACTCTCGAGATATCGTTTGTTGATTCTCGCCGATCAGCCATGTCTTTCTGGCGATGCATGGGTAACCCTCCAGAAATTCGTTAGCCAAGGTGGATCTATTCTTGTTACTGGCGATGCAGCACTCGATAGTTTGACCTCCAACTTTTCAATTTCAACTGCCGGCATCAAATACACCAAGCAATCGGATTTGCCAACTACCGATTCACTCAGTGTCGTTGAGAAGAAAAACAAATCGCAATCGATTCAAGACTCTAATTTCAACTTGTCGATGCTACAACTCACTGGAAGAAACGGTATGGTTGAATCGACCTCCAACGACACCGTTTCACTCTTGAATATTTCTGCTGCTGACATTGAGGAGTCTGCTGCCATTTTATACTCCAATGCCCAACGTACTATCTACTGTGCACATCCATTGTTCACACAATATTGGCAACAGGGAGACCGTGCTATTTGTGATATTTTCAGATCGATGATGCGTATCCTTCTGCCGGATCCAGTGGTAAATCTTGGAGTACAGCCAATCCGTAGTTTGAGTGCATTTGTGACACACCAGCAGCTTGCACGCACCAAGACGGTCGATGGATACAACCGATACATTGTACATCTTTTGAATGCCGATTCTTTCACCATTGGAAATAATAATCAATGTCATGAAGTTGCCAAAGACATCAAACACCTCTCGCTCACAGTAAATCTTCCAAAAGATCAGAGTGTCGACAGTGTTGTAGCTGCAGGTGACATTGACAAGGAGATCAAACACAAAGTCAAAGGAAATCAATTAACCATTGAAATTTCAACTTTGACCAAGCATTCAATAATTGTTATTAATTTCAAACAATAAATAATAAAATACAAAAAACCTTCTCACAAATATATGTATTTTATCTTTATTCCACACCAAATTTTACAACAATAATTTTAATATGATACTCCTACGATTGGTGATATATTTTTTGATTATTTTAAATAATAAAATGAATGATTCAAACGTAAATTACAACTTGAAATTGAATCAATGTAAAATGATATAAAATTATTGTAAACTTTAAATCTTTACATTTTAATTATTTTTATATTTAAAAAGACAAATCTGTTTTTTTTTAAAAGATATTTTATTTTAAATCAATAAAAAGTTATAAGTTATTTATAAATTAATCTTACTCTAAAATGGTAATAAAGTAATTAGTATTTTTATTTTAATAGATCATATGAAAATTAGTATAGAGTTTGATCATTTCATATTATTATAATAAAATTCAAGTAAAAAACTCTCTGATCATCTAATACTTATTCATATATTAAAAATTTCAATTATAGATATAATTATTATAGGTTTTATTAACTCTCTTTTAGAGATGTTATATCTATTAAAAAAATATTAATATTGTTATTAATATGAAAAATTTTTAAAAAATGTAAATTAATTTGTAGATTTGGATTTAGTCAAACACTCATCCACACACATCATCATTATTTATTTCTTTCCAAATATATTCTTTCTATCTTTTTTTTTGGTAAAAATAGTATATTTAAAATACTATCACCCATATATATTATGTTAATGTTTTTTAATTAATTATATAATAAATATAGTAGATGTTAGTTTTAATTGTAATAAATAAGTGTAGAATGGATATTCAACTGATCGAATAGATAGGATTGTAAGAAATGAATGATTGACGTTATTACCAACAATGCTTGCTGAACAATCATTATTAATAATAAAAATGATCCCATAAACCACGCCTGGAGCTTTGAAAAGAGGATAGCGATTTATGATGACGAAATCAATTGGATCGATACCTCTATTCTTCATATCAAATATCGGGTACTCTTTATTTTTAGAACAACTCTCTTACAACCTACTTTACCAACATCACATTATTATCATCATCACTATTTATTATTAAGCAAATTCTATTGGTTAATAAGTGTGATCATATAATTATGATTGGAGTTAACATCACACAACAATACTAAATTCAATCACACAAGTTTAACAACAATAACAACAACAACAACAATTATTTATATTTTAAATATAAATTCAGTTAGAATCAATTGTTGTTGTTTGGTAGTTAGATTGGGTGTTGGAATGTTTTTTGATTGGTTCAGATTGATTTAGTGTTGGTATTGAATAAATAGATAGAGATATCCATACACATCATATAGTAAGATATAGATAACTTTAATGACAATAATGTAATATCTGTCGTTTGCATTTTCGTTAGATTACTTTTTTAACTATTCACTCAAATTGACACTATCAAGACTAAAAATCAGAGAAAAACTAAATTATCACAATCAGTTTTGAATATCTGTATGTTTTGTTTTGATTATCTATTGCCAATCTAATATTGTTTGTTGTTGTTATTGTTGCTTTTATTATTTTATTATGATGTTATAGGTGGTTGTAGGTGGATTCATTCTATTAAAATAAACATCATGATTATTGTTATTGCTAAAAGTATTATTGGTTTTTGGTTTGTTGCCAACACATGTGTTTGAAACAAATAAAAAAACTTAATAACTCTGAATATTATTCAATTTCCAAAATTGGAAATGTAATAGAATGTAGAGTGTGATGTGGATTGTGGATTGTGGAGGTGGTGTGAGAGAGTAAAAGAAGAATAGGAAAAAGAATCCTATATATATCATATAACACATATATTGATTTTGGTCAAAGATTAAAGATAAATAGATAAGTAGTATATATACAAAATGAGGGGAGTGGTGCTATATAGATATAAGTTAATATAACAATATTTTATTTCTAAAATAAACATAACGCACACACATCACTCACTCACTCATTTTTTATTTTGGTTGTGTATGGATTATTGCTTCTGCACCTGGAAGTAATAGTATTCTATTCTCAATATCTGAACACTACATCCTTTTATATAAGGAATATGTGATTAGTTTAATTGGGTTGTATCTATTTGATTATTTTTTTGTTATGTTTTGTTTTGCAATCCGCTTGGGTGGTATTGGGTTGATGGAGTGTACTGTTGTTGTTTAATGTCGTAATGACAACCAAAGAGACAAGTGGACTGTGTTCGTGAAAAACATCAATCAATGTTTAGTGTTGTGAGTTTGGGTAGTGTATTTGTGGGTGGTCAACGGACAAGTGATCCACCGAATACCAAAAATCACAAAGCAGATAAGTAAAAGCATAGATTTTGACCAAACTATAAATATCGATTGTTGCTTATCATCAAAGGTCATCAAATCAACAAATTTAATAAACATCAACATCAACAACAAATTTCAAACTAAAAAACTTTATTTTCAAACAATAAAGAAATTTCAAATTAAAAACAAAAAATGAACAAACTATTTGTTTTGTCAACTCTTCTATTGGTCACAGTGGCAATTGCCAATGCCGACTACAGTGTCGGAAATTCTCCAGTTTCCATCTCACAGACTCTTATGTCCTCATGGTCCGATGACACCGGTAGCTACACAGTCTGGCAAGCAATCATCACCAACAAATCAGATTTCACCATCTTTGATGCCTCAATCATTGCTGACCGTGGAACCCTCGAATTGAGACAACCAACCGATCTCTGGGCACTTCGTAGAAAGTATGACAACGTCTACGGATTCCCAACTTACAACACTGATTACGGAGTTGCATCTGGAGGTTCTTTCAAATTTGGGTAAGTGATTTAATTAAATTATTCTTCTTTTAAAAAATTGTTTTTTTTTGTAAAAAAATATTAATATTATTTAAATTTAATTAGTTATATTAATCGTAGTACTCATCCAGCAAGATGGACTATTGCAGATGTCAGATTCAAATCTGAATCACAATCATAAATACCATTAATCACCATATAGAAACCATTTAATCACAAGTACAATAACAACAACAACAAAGACACCAAACCAAATTATTTAATTCAAAATTACAATATTGTAATAATACAAAACCATCTTAATATTAAGGTTGGAAAATCTGAAATAAACAAAAAAACCAAAACAAAAAAATGTATTATAAATAAAACTACTACTTCTAATTTATTATATTATTTATATAATAAATACAATCAATTAATAACTATTTATTTCTTTTTTAAAGTAGCTTTTACTTTACTATGTATCTCTTTTGTCAATAATTTCTTTTCTTTTTTACCTTGGAAATCTGATTTTTTATGTTTTTTTCTATTTGTTTTTAAAATTAAATAAATAATGATTAATTATTTGATTGGAGATAATATTAATAGTATTTGTGTTTCACAAACTAGTTAATAGCAATCCAAAAAACAACAGTTATTTTTTATCAATCAAATATTTACCTTTCAACTTTTAAATCGGCTATTTCTTTTCTTAATTTTAAATTTTCAAGCATTCTATTTAGATATAAAGTTAGTTTGTTTTTTTCTATTTCTATAATACAATCTTAACTCTTTTTTTAATATTACTTTTCTTTATGTGTTAATTTCTTTTTGTTTCCCTTTTCTTCATCATCTCCATTATCTTCGGTTTCTTCGTTATCTTCAATTGCATCGACTTGTTCTTCTTCATTCATATCTTGGTCATCTTGGTTTTCATTAAGATCAGGATGATTCTTTAGTAGATCTGTATTGCTATCCAACTTTGAAACATCTACTTTTAACTTGTTTTGTTTTCTTCCCATTCTTATCTATTAATGATTATAAATAAAAACAAATTATCTTTTTCTCTTTAAGAGTATATATTATAAATTGATAACTAATGTAACTTAGAAGTAAATAATATTGTTTATTTCGTTTCTTTCACTTTTGTTTCATTTAATTAATCGAAATTCTAACGAATAAAGTAACGTTTTTTGCAATAAATTTGAAAAATGAAAAATGCCTGATTTTGTTTTTTGTGTGAATGACGATCATTGATCACTTGATAATATATATCAAAAATACTCTTATTTATTAAATAGTAATATAAACACAAATGGGAGGACATCACACACCATTCCACGTTCCAAAACACCATAGATACCTTTCTGTTGCATTGGGTACCACCATGTGGTTCTGGGTATTCTATAGAGCAAAGAAGGATTGGAAGACTACTTTAGTATGTCATCACTATAATCATCATAATCATCATCTTAAATGATGGTCAAATTTAATAGTAGTACAGTAATAGTAGAAGATATTAATATGTTTTTTAAATTAACTAATCAATAGGGTTTCCAATATCCATGGGATCACGATCATGGTCATGGACATGCAGATGCTGGTCATTCAAATGCAGGTCACCATTAAATAAGAAAATAATAATTAGATAGATAGATAGAGATAGATTAAAAAAACATAATAATATAATAGAGAATGATAAAACTGGCAGAGACATTGAAGAGAGAACATTATTGTATAATAGGAAAGCTTTGTTCAATTGGATCTATCAAGGAAATCATCAATCACATCAATCACTTCTAAATCAAAATAGAGTAAACATTTGTAACAACCGCCAAAAACATCAACAAACAATAACAAAACAATACAAACAATAGCTTAATAAATATATTCTATTGTCTTCTTGACTCAACAAACAAATCGAAAACAATCAATCAAAAAAAACAAAACAAAACAAAACAAAATAAATCCTTTAATATTTCAGAGGAGTGTAAATTTATTTACAAATATGTTATGTTTCATTCTTTCAGTACTTTGACTATTATTATTTATTATTATTATTATTATTTATATTAATATTTTTGATCAATATTTAATGTGTTAATAATACTAAGATTCAGAATCAAGCAACAATAAGAATCTAATCAATCCGAAAACAAAAACGGTTCTATGGGATCAATGTCATGTTACACATTCTCGCAAGAGGTTACAACAACAAAATTATTATTGAGTTTTTTGTTTTTCTTCCCTGTTTTGTTTATCTACAATATCAATATTCTTAAAATTTTAGAAAAAAATAAAATAAACCACGCAATTTTAAAAATAAACAAACGTAACATAATACAATAACATATTATATTATTCAGTAATAAAAATAAACTGATAGAAAAATCAGATATAGATATTTTAAAAGGAGCTCCGAAAAAAAAAAATAACAAAAAAAAAAAAACAATATCTTTTTTTAATTAATTAAAAAAATTGGGAATTTAGTTTTTATTATTAATTGTTTGGTTTAGATTAAATATTATTGTTATTATTATAGTTGTAATTTTATAAACAAGATATTTAATTAACTAATGAATTGTTTTTAGAAAATGGTAAGTAAATAAATGCTTTATTTTAAGCAACTTTGTCGATTATAATCAATGATTATTAATAATATAATGATAATGATAATTATAGAGTCAACCTATATCATCACCCACTGCTTCGACACAAAACTATCTGCTGTCGTTGATACCGAATTACTCGTTGGAAAATGATTATATTACACAATCGTCAACGGGATTGACGTCAAGTCCGAATCCATTAGAACAAAAACCTCCACCACCTCCACAACGACCAACACAACAGGTACAACAACAACAACAACAACAAACTCAACAATCAAATAATATATACACAACAGTTGCAACAACAACAACAGCTACTTATTCAACAACAGAAACAGTATAGTCAGCATTATTATTATCAACAGAATCAACAACAGCATCAACAACAGCGTCAACAGCTACAACAACAATTACAACAGCATCAACAACCACAACAGCTACAACAACAGACTCAACAGCTACAACAACAACAACAACAAACTCAACAATATCAACAGCAACAACAGTACCAACAACAACCACAAATACAACAATATAATTATCCTTATCAACAACCACAACCTTATCAGCTACCTCAACAACAACAGCAACAACAACAACAACAACAACAACAAAGAACACTATCCCCACCATTGTCACCATTACAACAGGCATATCAGCAGACTACTAGTCCACATCCACCAGCGTCACCGCCTCCACCTTACCAACCGAAAGGTCAATATACTCCACACACTCAGACAACACAAGTAAATAATAATATCTTGCAATATGCATATCCATATGCACCACCGACCTATAATTCAGCGACACAGCAACAACAGCAACAACAGGCATATAATGGATATCCTTCTTACTATTCGCAACAGCAACAACCACAACAAACAACTACACCAACCTATAGTTCAGTTTCAAATCAACCAATGACCTCACAATATCTTTACCAAAATAATAACAACAATCACAATAATAATAATGCATACAACAATAACAACAATTTAATAAACCATAGAGCCGCACCAAATCCACCAATGTCACCACTGTTAGTTTCACAACAATCAACGACAACCACCAATAGCAATAAAAATACTAATCAATATCCATCACAACAATATCAACAACAACAACAATTATCATCATCGTCATCATCAGTAGATCATAAGAGACAATCAAGTCAAGATACATCAAGTTTTATCGATTCAATTAAACAATTTGTTGAGAAAATAGATCAGCAATTCAGTGATGAAGAAAAGATAACAAACGATTACTATGGTATATTGAATAATAATAATAATAACAACAACAAGAAGACTGACAATAGTTCGAATTCAAAAGATAACAAATCAAAGAATGATAATGTAAATAATAATAATAATAATAATGACAATATGAATAAAAGTAGAGATAAGACCAATCAGAGATATCAAGATAGTTATCAGAACTACCAGAAACATGCAAATGAAATCGATTTTCAACGTCAGTTCCAATTGACCACTCCAAATGCTGCACTGAAGCAACAGGAAAAGAGTGCAGTCACCACTGAAGGTCTATTGTATTATAATGTGGTCGATATGGGTAGACAGCGTGGTTCTATCAACGATCGTCGTTGGTTCATCTTGCGTGAGCACATGTTGTTCAACCATGTATCGAAGGACTTGGATCCATCCGATGTAATCGACCTAAGAAGACTGATGATCAACAGTGATATTAGATTCATCGATGAGACTGGCATGTTTAGATACGGTGTAAGACTGAACAGTCCAAACAACTCGATCTCTCACTACATCTGGTCGGACGATCCCAAGCAAATCATCATGTGGATCGTAGCCATCGGTTCGTTCACCATCAACTTTTCACCAGAGAATGAAATGCAAATGATCACTCAAATTCTGGAGATTTCACAACCAGAATCGAAACCAAATCTAGTTTTAATGTATGTATACAATACAATAATAGTTGTTGTTGTTTAACTAACAAATGTATTTATTTATCAAAAAAGTAATGAGAATGATACTCTAGAGATTGAAAGACAATTCCATATTTTAGAAATACAACAAAAGCAGAATCAAGAGAATAAAGATAAAGAGAACAAAGAAAACAAAGAGAGAGCTGAAAGACAAGAAAGACAACAATCGCCAGGACTGAGAAAGAATGGTTCATCGCCATCATTCTTTGATGACATATTCGATCCTCAGAGAAAACTATTCAAACAACTTGGAAAGAGTGCAAACAGTCAACAAGATGTTATGAAATATGTACCTATAATCTTAAAGTAAGTTTAAAAGCAAAACAATATAGATAATGATTAGATGACTTGTTATTAACACTTTGTTACTTTATAAATTACAGTCAAAAAGAATTTGAAATCGGTAGATTGTTTGAAGATAGAATCAAATTCATTGGTAATAAGATAACCAAGAGTGATAGCGGTGCGGCTGGCGATGATAAAGAGATGCTCAAAGAGTTGATCACAGAGATCATCAATGAATTCTCAGAGATCCTGCTGAACAGAGTGCCGGAACTGGCAAGAACCGAAGAGAGTATCAACTACTGCAAACTCGGTGTTGAGAAATGTCTGTTTGAACATATTCACTCACTGCTATTCGAGCAGTACGTCAAGAAATATGCCGCCGAAGACGAAGAGCACAACGCCAAGACTCAGCAATTCCTTACACTGACACCACTGCATCTTTCTATTCCTCAGAAGTTCTGGCTGATCGACCAAGAAGTTCAAGACACCGTTCCCTACCAAAACGCAATTGAACTCCTCCGAAAACTGCATACCTACCACTCGCCATCCGAGAAGATACAGTGTCTGATCGACACCTCCGAAGCCATCTGCGAAGCCATCAAAAACTTTTGGAGTTCTAAAAAAGATAAACCATCAAGTTTAGTTTTGTAAGTAACAAATAACTTATTATTATTATTATTATTATTATTACTACTATATTATCATTAATATTAACCATTATCATTATTTTCAACAATATACAGAGGTGCAGATGATTTACTCCCACTATTTACATTTGTTATTATAAAATCAAAACTACCTCATATGTACTCAGAGAGTATGTTCTTACAAGTAAGTATTCAACGAAATAACAGTTATTTCTAATAGTTGTTAATGAATGATTTATTAATTACTATTTATTGAACAGGACTTTTTAGATGATTCTTTAAGCTCAAAAGTACAAGGATACTTCTTGGTTACATTCCAAACATGTCTTTCATTGCTGTGTGTATGGGAGATTAACGAACTCTTGATGAATGCCTCGAAACACTTTGAGAAGGAAACAAACTCTCCCATTCATGACCCTAATGGTAAAAGCTTGGAAGCCAATGAAAACGATGATTCTCTAATATAACTATAGTATACTCCCTCCTCCTCCTCCTTTTTTTATTTATTTAAATCTAGATTAAAACAATCAAACAAAATAAAGAATAATCATTCTTTATTTTTATTTCTTAAAATTATAATGAAAAAAGAAGAAAGAAAAAACATTCATTAGTATTTTGTTATTACTTATATTGACGATCTAATGTAATATAATATTTATATGTAGTTTGTTTTTTTTTTTTTTTTTTTTTTTATCAGAAACAGTCAATCCAATCTTGAAAAGGTAGGCATATATTGTAACTCGTGGTTTAGCATATCGAAGATCAGTAACTGATTCATCTTTACAGCACGAATTTATATATGGTAGCTTATTCTTGAAAGGATCGATTGTCTTCCCTAAGATAGGCATCATCGTTTTCTTCCTCAACGCAAGGATGGATGTTTCATCATTTAAAAAAGAAAAAAAAAGTACAAACAATTTATAAGACAGTCATACTCTACACATTAATCTTTTAATTTAATTAAACATATATTGCAAATCATTGCTAATAAAAGGTTTGTTTAGTCGCGATTTTAATTAAAATTTGCAACAAACAAACGAACAACATTAATAAACTAAAAGTGTTTAATGGTATGATATATAAGGAGATTGTTTGTTGTTATGCTGGTGGTGGTGGTTATCTGTCTGTCTTTGTAACGATGATCGATTTATTATTATTATAAAATAATAACTTACCAAACGTTTTTAGATCATTCTGTTCAGAGGATTATTGATTGAATTTGAATGCAACAACAGGTTGTTGTCCGTCCATCGGATGTTGGGTAAAGTTTACCCACCGGTTCATTTGGATGAAACTATAAGGAACTGCAACTACGAAATCCTACATTACATTATAATTGGATTACCACAGTATGATACTATTTGTTTGATTGCTTTTGGTTGATGATGTTACCAAAAAAGAGATTAAAATTAGGCTTCAATTTGGATCTGAGATGATCGATGATGCCAGCTTTTTTTTTAGAAATCATAAAAATAAAATGAAAAAAGAAAAAATAATTGAAAAAACCTTTTTTATGATTTTTTTTGTTTGAAGATTTTTAAAAACAAAATAAACCCATACAACCTACATGGATTATTTTTAATTTTTGCTTGTTTTTTTTTTTGTTGTTTTTCAAAAAAAAAAACTGTCATTTGTCAAACCACATTTACCAATCAAAAAAAAAAGTTGGCAAGATTCGAATTGACCATCGCATAAAGTAGTGTTGCTTTGTGATGAAAAAAAAAATTTCAAAAAAAAAAAAAAATCATTGTATAAATAACAAATAATAAATATAAATAGATAATAGTATAAAATTTAGCGATTTTACAGCAGCAATAGTGTTAACAACAAAGACAAACAGATAAATTTTAGGTATAGATCTAATTCTTTTTCCCACTATCTTTTCTTTGTGCAAATTATTATATTGTATTTTTATTTTTCTATGAGAGTAAAACAAATAACTTAGCATTTTAAACATCAAAGAAATAAAGAAAAAGAAAACAAAATAAACAAAGCAACAATAATAAATAGGATAATGAATCAGCTATAGCAAGAATAGAATAGAACAACAATAATTTAAAATTTTAGTTAAAGAGCTGTAGTCAAATAATTTGTGACAGGAAATAATAATAACCAGACTTTTCTTTGGTATTTTGATTTTAACAACTTGAGAGCCTCAGAACTTGTGTCCTTTGATTATTTTGTTTTGTTTTTTATTTTTTATTTTTTTTTATGTGTTTGGAGTGTGATTGGAACCACACACCTCCTCTCTATTTGTTGCTAACACAACGATTTCGGTTTCCATTTCACACTTTTAGAAGGAAACATTATCGAAAACACCCAATATCTTCACTCTCACCATCATAATCATTTCATTTTTGCACTATTTAAATAAAATATCTATATATATAGTATACACATAACATCTTTTCACAAGAAATCATATTACATAATAGTAAACATTTATGTAAACATAGGTAGATATCTTTGATATATAATAAAATAAAAAGAATAAAACGAACAAACAATACAAAAAAATCAAAACTATTACAATAATAATAAAATTGTTGAAATTTACTTAAAAATACAATCACGTGCATAATATTGTTTGTTGTTGCTGCTAAATGTTTACATGAAGTAAATAATAAAGAGTAGTTTCAACAATTTATCTGTCTTTCACATCAACGCCAAAAGATTTGTCGATTTTTAATTGAGTGGAGTAGAATGTTGTAACATCTTCTAAAATTATATCATCTTTTAAAACTCCGATCAAACAATAACAACAGATCAAAAAGAACACACACAACTTCACCCAACCCACTAGCAACAACAACAACTACCATTACCACTACTCTTTTTGATTTTTTTTATATTAATATAAATTGCTTAAAACGACACATCATTAAAGTGGTTTGTTTGTGCTTTTTAGAGTAAAACTAAAACCTCTCACCATATCTACCTACCTCTTTTTTTGTTTTGATTTTAATTTTAATTTTGGTCAACTATTATTATCACTACACAATTCAATTCAATTATAATATGTTATCACATTTCATTCTTAATTGATTAATTGATGGTTGTTGTTGATTTGGTTTTGGTTTGGTTTTGTTTACTGTTTTTGTGAGTTGAGTTGTTGTTGTGAGTGAGTGAGTGTGTTTTTTGTTTTGTTATCACTAAATCTAAAATCCACTACTACACATAACAAAATATAACAAGAAGCTACTACTAAAATAAATAGAATGTGGTATAACAACAACAAAAATAATAGCACTTTTATCATGTTATAACATTATCCAAAGGTGAAATCATTTTCATGTCTATCTCTTAACGATATCTCATTCACAATTTAAATTAAAATTAAAACAATTAATTTTAAAAATAAATATTTTATTTAATAAATCATTAATTTTAATAAAATAGAGCAACCAACAAAATAATAATAATAATAAAAATAAATAAATTAACAACAACTAAACTATACAATTTTATTTTGTTATTGTTGTTGGTTGTTTTTGTTTTCATAACCAATTAAGATACAGAGCAAAAAAAAAGTAAAAAAAATAATACAGCAATAATACAATTAAAAAAACAAAAAGGAAAAAAATTCAAAGTTCAAAAAAAAAAACAACAATAACAAAGCAAATATAACCAAAAGCAAAAGAAAAAAACAAACAACATTTCATGTTTTTGTTAACAGAATAATCTCACATTCTTTGTTCACGCCTCTACTTTTTGTTAATTTTTTCAATTTTTATACAAACTATAATAGACAGCACAAATTCATTCAAAAAAAACAAATACAATTCACCCTCTAATTGTTTTTTATCCCAATTATCTGTTTTTTTTTAATTTTTTTAATTTTATTTTTCACGTTGAGTATACCTTTTGTTGCTCTTTACACTTCATTTCGACAACTTTGTTTTAGCTACGGTTATTTTTAAAATCTTCTCACTTTGGTCTCAAATACTCTCGTATCGCCTTTTTTTTTTGATTCAACTAAAAATATCTATATTTATATATATATAAATATCTAGAATATCAACCACAAACTAATAAACTCATTTAATAGACACCAATTCATATATCCAGGAATAGACAGCAGCAACAGCAGCAGAGGAATAGAAATCATTCATTGTAATTTTAAACAAAAATAATATAGTAGTAGTGATAGCAACAGAAATATAGATATCGAAAAGCTATATCAACGATATAATAGACACAACTTGTACAATTGTAATTATTAAGATTAAAAGGAGATTTATTGAAAACAACAACAACGAAAAAACAATAGAGAAAGAAACAACATTAGCTCAAAGAATATTTCAATATGGATAGTAAAGGTAGGAATGAATTAGATCGTGATTTGAAAACACGTACAACCATCTAGATGATTATTATTAACATTGTTTAATTCGACAACCTATTACATAAAACAGTTGAAAATGGAAATAAAAACCAAAGAGTTTCAATGATGAGAGAGAAATTTGAGGCACAGTCGTACGAAGCCGATTCATCACCACCCCCAACTAGACGTCCACCTCAACCAATAAAGCAAAAGACTTTGGGTGTTCCAGCTCCATCACAACCACTCTCCTCATCACAGAATGGATCATATCAGAACGGTGGTGGCAGTGGTAGTCTGTCGTCGAGTGGCAACAGCATCGCACCTGCCATTCCAAAACGTCCACCCGCACCAGGCGGTAAGAAAGCACCACCCTTACCAACTCAGCCACGTCCAAACGTTGGCACCAACGGATTTAGCAATGGATACAGCAGTGGCGCACCATCTACATACGACAACTCTGATTATAACCAACCACCTCCATCACAGCAACCACAACAGCAGCAACAGCGTTTACCACCTCGACCAGCCTCACCAGTGGTAACACTGACAGCACCCACCTCACCGGTTGCCTCATCCGCTCAATATAACAATAACAACGGTATTCAACCACCACCACCACCTCCACAACCACCCTCAAACAAAGGTGCTACACCAGTCAAGAAGTTGGCACCCACTGCAATTCCATCAAATCTCGGTAATATTTTGGCCAACAGCGGAGGTATTCCACCCAAAGTCCAAACTGCCCCAATGACACCAAGTTCACCATCAATACTATCAACACCACAACCGGCACCAATCGTTCAATTGGCATCATCGCCACCCAACCCATCAATGATAGCACCACCATCGCCACCTCCACAACACCACGACAGAAAAGAACCCGAAGAAAAGAAAGAAAAAGGTTTCTTTACTGGTTTGTTTACCAGTAAAAAGAATAGTATGTAAACAATAATTAACTTGCCAACTACAGATCTGTTAGAGTTGACTAACTTTTCCATCATCATTTTTTTTTTGATAATAACCATTAGAAAAAAGAGAACCAGAAGTTGGTGTACCATTTAATGTTAAACATAATGTACATGTAGATTATAACTCGATTACAGGTTTTGAGGGTCTTCCAAAGGAATGGGAGATTGTCCTTCAATCATCTGGTATTACTAAAGAAGATGTAGTAGAGCAACCACAGGCAGTATTGGATGTATTGGACTTCCATATGGGTCCAATAACAAATCAACACGCTCAACTACAGGGTGCACCACCAAAACCACCTCAAATGCCACAAAGAGAACTACCAAAGCCACAACAATACCAACAACCACCACCACCACAACCAGTTCAACCACAACAAGATCAATATTTAGCATTAGAGGGCGATGATTACGATTTAGTCAACCAAAGTGCGCCAATACCAGAGGAAACAAATGTATCATTAAGTAAGTAAATGAAAGATCTATATAAATATTTATTATAATACTAATAATTTATTATTATTTATTTATTTAGATGATCTTATTAGTCAAGACGATCCATCTAAATTATATGGTGACGGTTCAATGAAGATTGGTGAAGGTGCTGCAGGTGAAGTGTTTGTAGTCAACAGATTGAAGAACAATACAAAGGTTGCTATCAAGAAGATGCCACTCAACCAACAAAATATGAAGTTGCTCATCACAGAGATTGGTATCATGAGATCATGTAAACACCCAAATATTATCGAATATATTGACAGTTACCTAGTTGGTGACTCCCTCTGGGTGGCAATGGAATTCATGGGTGGAGGTTGTCTTACCGAGGTTTTAGAGCAATTTAGTGCTGTTAAATTAACTGAAGCTCAAATTGCCTTTGTTTGTTTAGAGGTAAATATATCGATCGATTTTGATATCGTTGTATTGGTGGTTGTCATTTTATTAATTTTATTTACCTATCTATATAGTCTCTTAAAGGTTTAGCTTATATTCATAATCAATATCGTATTCATAGAGATATTAAGAGTGATAATATTTTGCTGGGTTCTGACGGCTCTGTAAAATTAGCTGATTTTGGTTATGCTGCACAACTCACAAAGAATAAGCAAAAGAGAGTTACAATTGTTGGTACTCCATATTGGATGGCACCAGAGTTGATCCGTGGACAAAACTACGATCGTAAAGTTGATATTTGGAGTCTTGGTATTATGGCAATGGAGATGGCCGAGTCTGAACCACCCTACATGTCGTTCCCACCATTGCGTGCACTCTTCTTGATCACCACCAAAGGTATTCCAGATTTGAAGGATCAACACAAATGGTCGGACGAATTTAAGGATTTTGTAAAGAAATGTTTGGAGAAGGACCCAGAGAACAGACCAGACGCTCAAGTACTTTTGAAACATCCATTCCTCAAGCAAGCATGTAATAACAGTGGTCTCGTACCAGCAATTTTAGAAGCCAAGAAAGCTAAAGAGGCTCAAAGTAAATTTTCATTACATTGAACCTTTTTAAAAATATATAATATTCATAATATATATAACAACCTTTTATCATTACACCTAAAAGTCTCGACTTTTTTTTTTCCATCACTTATCAACTTTGTTATAATAAAAAATTCCAATGTCTTTGACAAAACAAAAGAAAAAAACCTATATCTAATATCTTCTTATTATTGGAACTATTATTCTTTGTTCTTTCTCTTAAAGATTTTCTGTTTCTGGAACAATAATAAAACTAAAACAAAAGCTCTTCATTCTATGGCTTTTATTTAGCAACTAAATGAATATAAACATATAGATACATTAAAAAATGTTTGAAAATGTTACTACTACACAATTTTTTTATTATTATTTTTTATTTGTTTAAAATGATATAATTGCTGAGCCACAATAATTTCTATTGTGATCATCTGATGTATAAAATCTTTCCCACTTGTTTTCTAAAATGGAATACCGGTGGTTTCTATAATTTGAGCCACCCAGAAGATAGATAAAGCTTTGGTTCTCTGATACTTTTTGGTAGACCATCGATAGGCATGCCATACTATCTGAACCAATTGATTTGAGTGTGTCCAATTTCTTAGATTCCACATTGAATTTAACAAATTTTCTTGATTGATAAAGGTAAATATTTCCATTGCCATCAGTACACGCTGATGAAGATAATGCTTGTAGATCTATATTGTTTAGTTTATATTCAAGTAGCGATTGGTCCGCTGGATTGAATATGTGGAGCAAGCTATCCTCTTGTGACATCGAATATAACAACCCTTTATAGAAAAATGAAATGATTTGAACTTTAGAGCTTTCACTCAATCTATGAGGAGTTTTCTCAAACTTGAATGTTTTGATGTTGAATCTATCGGTTCTTGAGAGAGCATGGCCGTTTACCAGATAGATATGGTCCATTCCGTCATAGCAAGCTGATATCCATATTCCTCCTTCCACATCAGTGATATCACCAATCTTATCAAGAGTTTTTGATTGTATTGAGAATCGACAAAATTTGGCTCCATTGTTGAGTCCTCCGAAAATAAAGATGTGCTGTCCAACACTAACCACAGAGTTGTGAGTAGAAGTGAAATTATAACCTAAATCTATCTCGGTTATGGTGTTTTCACCTATTAGCGTAGCACCTTGCCCACGATGAGTGGCGAAAATATAGGTTTCTTTTTTGTTATTTGTTGTTGTTGTTGTTGTTGTTGAATTAACTGTTGTGTCTGTTGTTGTCATTGTAGTTGATGTAGTTGTTGTTGTTGCTGTTGTCTTATTATCTGTTATTGGAACAACTGTTATAGTTTGTTGGATTGCCTCCATCAGTTTGTTTAAACCTGATGGATCTATAGATACTCTGTAGTTCTCTAATGGTTTAAAATCTCCGGAGATTGTTCTTAATTTATAAAACTTGTAAACTAAATCCAAAATAAGAGCATCCGAATTATTCTTGTATTGTTCTAGCAATTCCGCTATATTAATACCGTGTGTGGTGACATGATTGTTATTTATATTGAAAAGACTGTTTGTGTTTGACTGAATAAAAGGAATAAGTGTTGAATGAGCTGCTATCGATGATATGATAGTTGGATTTGTTGTTGTTGAATGTTCGTCGTTGGCAGATGATATCGTACGATTGTCGCTGCTACTGTGATTGGCGTTTTGATTGTGAATTGATTTGTTTATATTGGCAATACTGACTAAATGTTTTAAATCGGCGAGTTTACTATCTAGTTGATTTTCAATGGTATCCATCGTCTCTGAGATTGGCTTTTTTAATCGGTGCTCCTCGATCGTTAGTTTTTCGTGTGCTTGGGTAAAGTGTTGAACTATTTCATTCTGTGATGCTGCTAATGATTGGTGTTTGGCTGCCAACTCTTTAATCGATACCCACAAGGCAGAGAACTGGTCACTGATATGTTGACTTCCTGGTTGTTCAAAACTTTCATCTTCACCACTCTCACTCTGGCCTTCATTGCAACGAACTTTATTATTAACTATTTGATCAAAAGTGAATTTGATAACATCAATATTGTCACAGTACTGAATATGATCAAACTCTCTGTTGTGTGTGGTTATACAACTTGAACACAATAACACATAGCACTTGAAGCATATGAATTCAGGTACTTTTGTACTATGTAAACACTTTTTTATAAAAGACATATTTAAGTATTTTGAGATGTTATATATGTGCAAATGAGGAAAAAGTAAAATCAGAATGATTGCACTCCCATTCCTTTTTGTTGTTGTGGGTTAAAACTCAATTGTTTGATTTTGGGTTAAGAATATTTGTGATTTTTAAAAAAACTTAAAAATATAATATTTGTTTTGATAGATATTAATTAGTATTCAATGAAAATGATAATCAAACATAAACTTTCCAGTGATTTAAATAGAAAGTTTAGATTAAATTCATATGATTTTTTTTAATTTTTTTGTTTTAGTTTATTTATCCTTAAGTCATTATAGCCAATGTCAATTTAGAAAGTCTTTGGTTTTGAGGCCTTGAAGGTTGACTTGAATTGTGGTAACTTTCTTGGTACACGGTGAGTGAGTGGGAATCTGATGGCAGAGTCGTGGAATTGCTTGGTGTTGGCACGACGGGCTTGGGCAGCCTTGATTTCCTTGATCTCAATGATGTGAATAGTCTTCTCACGAGCAGAGTGACGGGAGGCCATTTCGTCGTACATTTGAGCAACAGCACCAACACGGGTGGTGTCACGGTACTCCTTGTAGATGTTATGGGTACCACTACGGGAGTTGTATCTGATGAAAATACCAAAGTTCTTGACTTGCAATGGCTTCTCTTCGAAGATCTATGTTTTGTTGATTGATTGATGTCTATTAATTTCGCATTCTCTTTACTAAACCTAACCTGTTTTTCAATAGATAACTTACCTCAGTGACGTTGAGGATCTCACCGGTGGCCTTCTTCATCTTTTGGATCTTTGATAAGAAATACCAGAATCTGCTCTTGGCATGGACTGAGGTCTTAGCGAAGAGTCTCATTCTGAAAAGCTTTGGGTGAGCTTCTCTTTCAGTTGGAACGTGACGACCAACAACCTGGAATTCGTGGAAAGGCTAAAGTATAGATAGAAAGCGGAAAGTGAGAGAGAGAGAGAGTAGGTGGAGGGAGTAGGTGTAGGTACTATGTATCAGTCATAATATTCTATTGATATCTTCTATAATCGTAGTTATCTATTTCTATCATACCATTGTGACTTAGGACGTGGATGAGTCTGATGAGGAACCTCTCTTACACTTGAATCAACTCTCGTTTCAGCAGTCAGTCCACCACTGACCAGCGACCCACCAATCCTCCACCACCAACCCACACAATTTCAAAAAATAAAAAAAAATTAATTTAATTTGAAAATTTAAAAATTTCAAAACGAGACGAACTTCCTCAAAATCTCATAGCTCAAATAATAATCGTTTGTTTTATTTTTTAATAAATCTAAAGATAAATATAATATAATATGATTGATATTCTAATAATTTTATTTACCACTATATTTATCACTTTGTTGTAATTCATATAAAGTTTTAAAGTGACTCTTTGATTCATCATCCAATGTCTTAAACAATTGTTCTTGTCTATATATAGAAAAAAAAAAAAATATAAAAAAATAATTGTTTTTTTAAAATTAATATATCTAATCTTATTTATGCAAAAATATATGAATACATACATTGTTTTTTCTATATTTGAGAATACAGCAATTAAACCAGGTTGTAGAGATTTTCTTATTTCAGTTGTTAAATAATATTGTACTGGTTTGTATTTGATGTTGTTGGTTGTAGTTGTTTGTTGGTTCAACTTTGATTGTGGTGGTTGGTATGTAAGAATTCTAATGTAATCCAAAATGATATGGTGAAGATAACTCTTTACTTCTTTATGTTTACTAAACTCTTCAAGTAGACGTGATAGAGCTCTTGCACATCTTTCATCTAATTTGAAATCATCATTTGCCAAACCAAATAACAAACCTAAAATCATTAAAAGTAATTAGTTGCATATTGACAAACTATTGTAGTTGTTGTAGTTGTTGTAGCTAATAACTTACATCTTAAACAACTGATGAATGGTGATAATAGTTTTATAAAGTTCTTTGATCTTGTTTTTTGAACAAAGAACAATAATCTACATAGATTATTATATGATTCACTGTCCAATGGCAATCCTTTGGTGTTGTAGTTGTTTTCGCTATTGTATGTAGTTGTAGTTGTAGTTGTAGTTGTAGTTGTAGTTGTTTGTTGTTGAAGTGAAATGATTTCCATTGGCAACATATCGAATGTGTCTTCCGATGTTTGGTAGCCGGTAAGTGCTCTTGGCTGTGAGTAGACGAATGCTCCTTCGAATACCATCACCGATGTCAATATGTTGAGTAGTGATTCTTGTTTGAGCGAATGGTCTCCAATGTAGTCGATCAACTTGGAGAGTAGTACAATGGTTGAGTTCAGTACCGATTTGTTTTCCTTGACTTGCTGTGAGTCGGTAGAGCCAAGTGCAATAGTAGATGAATGTACAACATTCTTTACACATGCATTGATAAGATTGCTTGTGGAAATAGGGGTGATTGTAATTCCCAAGTTTAGCAGCTGATTGATGATTGCAATGAGTTGGCCACGATGCAAGTTGACTCTGTCACTCTCTAGGATGCTGGCCAATAGCGGTATGAATTGGTCGGATTGATTGTGTTGACCAAAGTGTACCACTGACGACATGGTACGTTGTCCAAGACGAGACTGAGCTGGATAGCAACTGGCAAGGTGAATCATCATGGCAATCAAACGGGCAGTGTCATCGTGTGACATAAACTTGTTGAGCAGGAGATTGGTGGAGACACGTACATGCAACTCAAAGAGCGATACCAGTGAAGATTGTAAAGAGATGGTCACTACTCTTTCTAGACTATCTTTACTTTGTTTCTGAACGAATGGATATACTGCCTTGAGTAGTCGGTTCAACAGGTCAGCGGTATCTTTAGAAATGTCTTGACGTTCTACACGGTGAACAGAGTTGGTTTGGTTCGAGGTCGCGATGGATGTGTACCACAGGTAGTAGGTAATGGTATCCAATCGATCGGAGCATTGTTCATCGAATTGATGAACTAAAGTATCGATAAGCTTGACAATGGAGTTGACTACTTTTTTATCGTGTAGTTTATCCAGGGAAGTAGTGGCACTCTGTCTGTTTCCATTCTCAATGCTCTCAACGACAGGCTTTAGCAGTACACCTACAGACTCTACACCAAGCTTTTGATAGATCGAATCGAATATAGTAGAGAAGTGTTCTGGATGATTCTCCCATAGATCCTTTGCAATCAACCATTTGATTTCATTGTCATATTGCTTAAGGATGTTCTTTGAATCTAGATTGATAATACTGTTGTTGTTGTTGTTGTTCTTTGTTGATGGCATCAAGAATAGGTAATCTATCCAAAGATCTAATGGTGCCATATTGGCAATGGAGTGATCTCTTTGCAGACAATATATCAATAGCTTCTTATTGGATAGATGACTATTGTATATTGTTGTTGCTATTTGCTTGTTGGTGATATCTGTGTACTCTAGTTTGCTAATGAACATCTCAACGATGATGGAGATCATGGCGATACAGGCAATATTGTTTTGTTCGATATAACTTGAATTCAACGCTGGCACAAGCGATAGCAGATACGACAAATCATTCCATTGTGAAACCGATGATGCTGAATATGATATTGGTGTAACAAATGACAATGTAGATACAATTTGTTGGACAGCTTTGGAGAATGGCTTGTTTTTGTTGTTGGTATCGCTATTTTCAATGTAGTCATGAAGATGTTTGAATGCAGAGCTAATTGAAAGTGTCTTTGACTTGGAATGTGGGTATAGGATGTCCAAGGTGTTATTGATCTCCTGTGCCAATGTAGAGGGTAGTTGTTGACGAAGTGGTATGAGTTCGTAGAACTGTGAGTTGGTAAGCACCAAAGAGAAACAAGTATCACGATACGCAGGTGATATAATTCTGGCTAGTATTTGCTGTATCTGTAGCTTAGAGGTATAGCCACTCCAAATACAAATGTTCTCAAGGATGAAGTTCCATTGATTATCTAGCTGCTTGTTGGTGAACATTGTCTTCAGCATTAGCTCGACCAAGTAGCATAGTTCCTGGTTTACGTCAGTAGGCGAGCACTTGGCAAGTGAAGAAACAACCAGAGATTTGCTATTGGAGATTGCAGGAATTGGATTACTACATGACGAAAGCAAGGAATTCAACTGTTGAATTCTATAGACTATCATTTTTATAGTTGTTTGTTGTAATGATTGGATTGATGTTGCTGTTGTTGTTGTTTGGTCAGCTGGGGTTATAATCTGTTCACAAAGATAATCCATCAACTTTGAGACTTCAAGTTGCTCTTCGTACAGCTGATAGTAATGGAAATGTTGACGATGATAGTTGTACTCATTGATTCCCTGTTCCTCTGTTGCAATGGTCAAACGATGGATATAGGAGTGTAGTTGTGCGTAGCTAGAGTAAACCAAGAGCAATGACGATAGAATACGGTGATCGACTTCGACATGTTCGTTTTTAACTGATTTCTTCTTGTTGTCTTGTTGTTGTTGTTGTTTCTTTAGTTTGGAAATGATATTCAACACAGGATCTACTAAAAGTGTATAGGAGTTCTCCAGTAGTTGGCCGAGTTTCTGAGTGGCAAACGTTGTCATCTGTATGTTATCTAGGAACTTTGACCAAACACTAGTGAAGCAAACCAATCTATCTACAAGTATAGGATCACGCATATCTAAATCCTCACTCAATTGGAATGTAAAGTAATCTCTCCATACATCAATAAACTGATTCCAAATGAGTGGTACTTGACCAAATGGTAAACCATTGAAATGATTTGATAAACTATTATAACAATAAAAAGTATAAGTAATCTTTAGTCGAGACATAATTAAACTAAACAAAACAAAACCAATATTAAAAAACTTACCTTGATTGTATTGTATTGCTTAATAATCTATTGATTTGAATTGATCTTGTTTTACCAGAGATCAAATTATTGATTAACTTTTCCAAAAGGTTATCACTTTGACGAATAGATAGATACGTATCGAGTATTGTTGATAAAAGTTCATCGGAATGATTCTATTTTTAATAAACAATAGTAGTAGTAGTGGTAGACAGATGTTCATATATTAGTATTAGTATTATTAATATTTATAATAATAATAATAACGATGATGACAATTGAATTGTTAACTTACAGATTTTAATGGTGATACTAATATTTGATGTAAGATTGTTTCTAATTTATCATCAACGATGACATGACTGATCTTGACGAATGACGATAGTAACTTGTAGATTCCTTGCTCCACAGTTTCACTCTTGTTGTTCTGTACTACTTTCACAGCGGTATCGAGCTGACTCTGTAGGAATTTGACTTGTTGCTCGTTGTCTTGGTAGAAGATATTGAGTGATGCCAATGTTGATAGTAGATTAGCCAATGCTTCGAAATAAGGTAATGGATGGCCAGCTATTAGGTTCTGTTTGAATTGATTATGCTTATCATTGAGGAACAAAAGGTATAATCTACGGAAGTAAGCAAATTCAATGATTCTCTCTGATTTAAAACCTTGACTATTACTATTACTATTGTTATTACTTTTACCACTACTAGTACTAGTAATCATATCATTGGTAATATGCTTCTTTCCAAAACTATTGAATTGAATAGTGAATAGTTGAAGTAACAAAGGTAAACTATCTAGTATGACATGTGATAGTGGAATATCTTTATATGTCTGAACGATGGTTGCTAGTTGTTCATTGGAGATTAGTTGTTCGATTTGCTCTAAAATAATCTGTGATTGGAATTGACTCTTTTCTTTTGCAGCTGGTTGCTTCTGATCTTGTTTGTTGTTGTTCTCTTTTAATATCCAACCATTTAAAAGTACTGCTGGATATGACTTCCAGTGAGAATCTGGATGGTAGAGTGACCATTGCAATAATGAACAGATCGTTGTAATAGAGTTATCGGTAACTGTTGATTTACATCTGGATTGCTCTTGTTGTTCTTGTTGTTGTTGTTTAAGTGAGTGTCGGTATGACAATAGATATGGCAATAGATTGACAACCAACGATTGAAGTTGTTTAGAGTTATTTCCAAGTTTAATTTGATCGAAACAAATATTCAAATAGTTGATTAATTGTTAATAATATAATTTCTAAATGTTGTTGTTGTTGTTGTTGTTGTTCTAGTTCTAGCTGTTGCTGTTCACCCGATAACGTCTTTATCAAGCTTGGATGTATTGCTTCGAAAAATAGAGAGATCTCACGGTAGATGTCAACAGGCAAGAACAATCCTATCGATAGATTCAACACTTCTCTTACTACTGTAGTGATTTCAAAAGGTGGAGGTGAAGAGTTGGATAATTGATATTTCTTAATCTTATTATTATTATTATTATTATTATCGGTTGAAGTTGTGCTAATTGATAGGATTGAATTTAATACTATTTCTAACATTGAAATTAGATAATCACTTGATAGTTGTATATTTATATTGTTGTCGATTCGTTCGAGCAGTCTTTTCAGGAGCTGCCAATATCGCATGTCGTAGCAAAGTGGAACTATATTGGGTGTGGGACGTCTACGCCAGTTTCCATAGGAACTTGAAATCTTTTCGAATGTCCAATTCAAAAGATATCCAATCTTCTCTGTGAATCCTGTTATCTTATTGTCAAATAGATACTCTGCAACTATGATTCTTAAATCAAAGTTTTTACCTATAAATAATAATAATAATAATAATAATAATAATAATAATAATAATAATAATAATAATAATAATAATAATAATAATAATAATAATAATGATACTTTATTAATAAACTAAAACTACAATATATATATATTTAATTGTAATATTACCATTTAAAGTAGCAATAAGTTCACCAAGAGTTAAAGATTGAATTGGACTGATACCATCCCATCCACTAACATTATCATTTAAAACAAACATTGAATTGTTGTCATTCTTTTTGTTTTTTATTTGGTTGTGATTGCTGTTGTTGTTGTTGTGGTGGTATCGATGACTGTTTATTATTATCATTATTATTATCATTATTTTCAAGAGTTGTTGTCTTTCTCTTGTTTTCTGTTTTTTTTTGAGGAGTTTCCTCTTTCTTTTTATCTTTTTTCGATTCTACTTTTGATTCTTCATTCTTTCTATCATTTGTTTTTGATGATGATGTCTTTTTTGAAGAATCAACTTTTGATTTTGACATCATTTAACAAACTAAATAGAGAAATTTGAAGCTAAAGTTAACAGATATAATTCGATCAAAATATCATTCGTCTTTTAATTGACTTTCGTTTTTGTTGAATTTAATTTAATTTTTTTTTAACTTTTTTTTTACAACCATTTTTTTTCTATCAAATGTTATTTTTAAAATATATATAATTGACCAACCAATAATAAAGAGATGTTGTTTACAGGTGATGATATTAATTATTATAGTAAGTTGCACATGTGCTCAAAGTAACATCATAGGCACCTTTGTTAGAGAGATGTTCAACAGCTGAATTCAGATCATAAGCTTATCTTTCAGATTAAATAACAAGTACACTGGTGTAATGAAATAGATTTGGTTTGTTCAATATCTATTCACATTTAAATCAGGTGATAGAATGAAAAACAAATGGAGTTTGGTGGTGGTTGTATTATTTTTGTTACTACTCTGTTTTACAATAGAATTAAACAAAAAAAAAAAAATTAACAAAGGAATAAATAAACAGTAATCATTTTTTAGAATATTCTTTGAGTTGTCATAACATTTAGTTAAAAATCATGTCTTGCCCATCATCATCAGTATTGATCTTAAATATCTTAAAACTACTTAAAATGGGTTTTTGGTATTGGAATAGGAGTCGAATATATATTTTTATATATGTTTACAAAAAATTAATCAAATCAAGTTATAATAAAACAACTTTACTTTTGATTACTATAAAATATTTTACTGCTTTTAGTAAAAACGTACAAGAGATCAATGTTTAATAAAGTGAATAACAATGGGAGTTGTTGGGTGGTACTCCGAGAAATAAAATAAAAATAGATAAGATCTATCAACAGCAACAGTGTCATCTCACATGTGTTTTAAATCTACAGTAACATTTATTTGTTTTTTTTTGATTATATTCCATTTAAAGTAAGTTGTTGTAATAAACATCTTTAAATAAATTTAACTATTTATATCCAATAAAATTTATTTTAAATATTCTACTTTTAAACATTATCATTCATTCTTAATGAGCAAAAATGACAAAATAAATTCAACCAAACTTAATCAAATCAATATTTATATGATTATCATTACTGAAAATCTGTAAATAAAATTAACATTGAATAAGTAAAAGTGTTTATATGTCGATAAATAATTTTAAAATAGACACCCACGTATCATTCACCCTAATCGATGTTGAATATTATAAATTATTTATTTTTAAACTGTTTAGTTTCCAAGTGGTTATATATTTTTAAAAAGGAAATAAAGATACTGTCTTTCCCCCTTACTAAACATTAAAATAAAACTCTACTGTTTTGTAAATTAATACCACCATATAATATATCATGAATTTGGAACTTGAAAAATGATTTGATTGACCTACATGAAACTTAATAAATAATGTTTTTTTTTTGTTTCTTTGGATTTCTTCTGATGTTGTTTGTTTCCTTTTAAAAAAAAAAGACATAGATTTTCTTAAAAGAAAGTCAAAAATTTGATATGAAAAAAAAAGATATATATCTTTTAATCTATATTTATATCTCTTAAATATTAATTTGATAAATACATATAACACATTAAATCATTAAACTTTATTTGATAATCAAAAAAATAATAGTGAAATCAACCACATCTGTATTTGCTTTTTGTTTTGATTGGATAGCGTGCCACTGTAATTTTTGTTGATATCAATAAATTTTATCGATTATGTTTCAAAACACACCCACACTTTTTAAATTTATCACCATTTTGATTATTAATGATCACACATAACCACCTAAATTTATAAATATCTCATCTACCCTTTATTGCTTTAATTTATCAACTAGTTATTTACATTATTACCACCACCCATAACAACGATAACAACCAAGTGATATATGTTTGAGATAAAGAGAAAAATCAAAATAGATGAAATTTTCACCTTTATTCTTCTTTTCATGTTTTATAAATGTTGTTGATTATCAACAAGTTTTACAACAAAATCAAAAAAATGTTATCGATTCTGTTTCTGATGCAAACAAAACAATTCAAAACAGCAAACAAATAAACAAACAAACAAACAAAGAATATTAAATAGATAGCATTCGTTACATCATCATTCTCACCATCAGCCATGTGATTAAAATTGGATCAATCCATATTGTATCCGCTGGGAAATGAATAATCAGGAATTTAAAGTCTGTAACAATTAACTATTATTACTGTTTCAACAACATGCAATCAATAACAACATTTCTGCTACTTCCTCTACTTTCCTTTGCTTCCCACTCCCTTTGTTTTGCTTACCATTCCACTCTCCCTCTTCATTTACCAGAAACTAATGAATCAATTAAACCAATTTCATCATTATATAAATTATTGCCATCAGCAACAACATCTTTAACAACAACAACAACTATATCTTCATCATCAACAACAACCACTGCTGTAGCAACAGAATATGCTGCAGCACCACTCACCTACTTGTTGACATGACCAACAGTAAATACTTACAATACCAGTTATAGAATGAAAAGCCGGTGGATATAAGATTAAATGGTTAAGTGGGTTTTTATGTGTTTAATTTAAACATGGCAAATATACGATCACATTGTTTATGGGTGTATCTTTTGCTCTTTCTTTCAAATCCTATACTTAAAAAATATTAATATTGATTGGTTACATCATCATCAATAATCATTTAATAATATCCATTAAAAATATAAAATTTACAACATCTATATTTAAAAAAATCAACAACATTCTTTAATATTAAAAACTCAAGTTGATAGTTGTTAATGATTTCTTCTTTAATGGCAATAATTATTAAAACAATTTTTTTTTATTGTATAAATTAATTCTATATATTTCAAAATACTTTACACTTAAATTAACTATCAGACCAACAACCACAATCAACACCAAACTACATCGAATTTATATTTATTTATTCTTTGTATTAGAATCAAATTTACAAATAGTTTTTATAAATATATTCTTTTATTAAAATGATAGAAACTGGAAGTTTTCTGGATAGCATCGTAATTAGAGAATATCAAACAAAGGATAAGCATTGGTTATCGAAAATATGTAGATTGCCTGCCAATTGTGATATTTTTTCATTGAAAGCCTATTCTTTTTGTGAAGGTAAAATTGATTTAATAGTAAATATGAAATACAATAAGAATTAATATTGATTTATCTATAGATTACTCAATTAGAAGAAGTATGACACAAAATGGATTTATTTGGGTTGCAGAAGATCAATCGAACCAGACAGTAGTCGGTGGTATCTGTGTATCTGAGAAACTTTTGAAAATCAATGGAAAAGAAAGAATATTTTTCTATCCTTTCGATGCATGTGTCGATCCAAAGTACAGAGCTTGCAAAGTATTAAAGAGACTATCCGATAGAGCCACCGATGTATATATGCAACACAGTGAAATGGGTCCTATCATTTACACCTCTACCGCTTGTACCAATGGTGCAATGGGTACTTTTTATAAAGATTCAGTCATGCAAACTATGGCTCAACAAGTACAACATGCCTGGCATGTAAAAAATCCAGTAACAAACATTAACTATCCAAACGACAAGAGAATTAGAATATGGAAAGAGCGAAACCCTGATATTGTCAAAGCAAAATTCTCGATTGCTTTTCAAAACTATGAAATGGTACCAGTAGATTTTGATGATTTAATTTTAAATAGATTTTGGAAATATTCATATTTTGCTCAATACAAGGGTAAATAGAGAGTTTAAAATATTTTTAACCACAATCAATGATTATCTAACTAAGAATATTTTTATAGTAAACGATACACTTTATGAAGCATCAATTAGTATTTGGGATCAAAATAAAGTTTGTAAATTGATAAACTTGGCACAACCCAACTCTAAAAGACAACAAAAAAACGATGAATCATTTAGCCGACTTAGTGGAAATTTCTTCCAACTATTTGGTTGTTATTCAACCGAAAAAGATAATGATTATTTATTCACCGAACTTTTGAAATATGTTCACAATGATTGTTTTGAGGTAAGTTAAAACAAATTAATTTATTTATTTTATTTCTAAAATATTAATTAAAATTTAATTTATAATAATAGATGGGTATTGAATATTTATTTGCTGGATTTGCCAAAACTGACCCAGCAGAGAAATATTTCCCATTATTACCGGGATTGAAGAGTCTAAAATTTCAACTTATGTTTTGCATTGGTTCTGAAGAAGAGAAGAAACTTTTGGAAATTAAAAATCGTCCGTTCTTCCAAGATCCAAGAGACTATGGAATTCTCTTGTTGTATCAAGATGAACCAATCGCAATAGGAAACAATCCAAACGATACACAATCATTGATTGCCAAACTTTAAATAGTTTTTTTTTATTATTTCCTCCCATTTCACATATAATATAAACTATAGTTATTTATTTAATTTTTTTTTCCAAATCAAAATAAAGACAATTTGTCTGTCGACTTTAAATAATTTTATAAAACAAACAAAAAGCTATGTACACAATTTCTTTTTCTTTAAAGTTGAGTTGGTAGAGGTTGTTCTTGTTTTACAGATTTACAAGAAGTGTAACGTGTTACCAACTCGTCGATCAACTTGAATTGTGAATCCCATTTGGTGTTGTAGAGGAATGGACGGTGGTCATAACGATTGTCATCGGGTGAATATGCCTCAGCATGATAGGATGGTGTGATTGTTGTCATTTTGTGTCTATTGATGGCATAATAATAAAAGAATCGCTTCACCTTTTCAGCCACAATCTCTGGTTTCAAATGATTCCAATCGGCTACCAAACGCTCAAACATTGTGACTGGTCCACAACGATTGATCTTTCTAAGTCTTCCAAACTCATTGAGCTCCTCGTAGGTCATACCCATATCGACCTCATCGGATTGCACATAGTTTTCAGTGGTTGGTTCCAACTCGGCGGTTGGTGTGGCCGTGAGGACATCGAGTAGAGCTGGCAGATTCTTATGTTCGGCTGCCCATTTCAAGAAGCGTTTCAAATCAACTTTGGAGATGCCACCAATTGGGTTAATGTCGGCACTCGAACAGTCATACTTGGTCATGTAGCCACGCAGACTTTCATCGACATTCGCACTGCCCAGAACAAGCAGTGAACCTTCTCTTCCAGCTTCCCAGAGCAGCAGTGTTGCCAAATGATAGGACATCACCATTCTCGCTCTGGCCTGTACGTTTTGCAATGCCAAATTCTCACGATTGCTTCCTCCCTGTACTTTGAACTTTGGAATCTTGTTGGTTATTGTTGAGAATGCCTGTCCGAACGAGTCTGTAATCTGGTCAATCTCGACAACTTTGTGAATAGCACCGACCTGTGAAGCAATCAGAGCAGCACGATCACGTGTCTCTTTGGAACTGTTTTTCGTTGCCAGATAGGCGGTGAAGAATATTCTGCTTGCCAACTCTTTGGCGTCGGTTGGGATGTAGTTTTTATCGTTGGTGATTCTCTGAACATCGCGAATAACCTGCTCCGACTTTTTGCTCACATCCATCACTACCAGCTGACACATTATAGCAACGATTGCTGCTGTTGCAGCGCTGTCAGCGCCACCCGACAATGGGAGATAGTAACCGTTCAAACCGGAACGTCTGAGGTAGTCCCACAACCAACAAGCTGGACCATATCCAATCTCTTCAACTGGCGAAATATAGTGTATCGGGGTGACGCGGTCGAGACGCGGTGGACATTCATTCGGTGCATTCGACATACGAATGAGACAACGCACACGAGGGAACTCCTCGGTGAGTGTTGCCTGTGAGCAACGACTCATGAAACTGGCACGGAAAGAACGCACGTCGTCGAGGTCGAGTGTGGCAATGATGACTTCGACGTCGTTCAACGAGAACTGACTGCCCTGTGCAACGCAATCACCGTTGATCATCACCATGCAACAGCCGTCGTAGTAAAGACGTCCACCATCACATCCCTGCTGATTGGCATACAAGTAGATTCCACCGGATTTCGAGGTGGCCGACTTTATCAGGTCGACACGTGTACACAGCTTTCTCAACTGATGATGTGAACCCGAGCCGTTTGTGATGATTTCAACGCCGTCCAGTCCCATCTCGATATGCGGTGAGTTTGGAAGGAACAGTTCCTCGCAGGTCTCCGAAGCGATCGCAGTGTCGAGCGTCGAGATGATCGCGTCACCAATCGGACAACTCTCTTGTCCCGTTATATCACTGATAGACTTTGGCAAGTAGTATGTCTCTAGAGTACGTGGTTTCAGCCACGGAGTGAACCAACGATTCTCACGATAGTTGCCATCCATTGCCAGTGCCTTTTTCGGTGTGATCAACACAATCTGTTTGTTATAGAGTATCACTCTACAATTGTATCTAACGCCCTTATGTAAGACAGGCATTCCAACATCCACAATAATATCATTAGTCAAATCGCTATCCAACAGAGTGGCAACCGACATCCAACTATGAATATGTGTATCTTGTTCATAGAAATGATCTTCACAACCATAACCAGAAATTTCAAGCTCTGGTCCTAATCTATATTTTGCTCTGTTTTAAAATTATATTTAAATTATATTAATAAAATATTACACCTTTTTTATTGTTGTTGTTAATATACCCATTATTTTTAGCAATCTTGATCGATTCAATAATTCTTTCTAGATTACCTTTAAAATCTAATGCCCATTGATTTAGATTACAAGTTGCGAGTGTAACTGCTTTTACCATATTTATAATAAACTATTAATTATTACAAATACAAATAAATATATATCTAATTATTATTTATCTATTAGTTTTTGTCTTAAAAAAATATATATAAAAATTAAAAAAAATTGAAATTAATTAAAAATTTCTGATAAAAATTTGGTGTTCAACATTTTTAAAAAAAAAATCCCAAAAATGGAAAAGCTTCAAAATTTACTCTCTTCGTGGAAAATTTGATCAAGATTTTTTGATCCCTCACCTTTTATTTTAAATTCAAATTTTGTTGCTGTTATTAAATCATTTTTGTTATTAGCTTTTTTTTATTTAAAACATCATTATTATATATATTTCTTCAATTATAAACTTTACCCGATATTTATTTTAAAATTTTTCTATTTATATAATTAGAGAATGATATTTGTATTAATTAAATCACCAAACAATGTTTTCAGTGTTCAAGTGGAGGAGAACGATACCATTTTGACATTGAGAAAGAAGGTTGCAGAGAGAACAGAGAATCTCTATCAACTCTTCCAATTCGAGTTGAATTTCAATGGAAAGACTCTCTCTGACTCTAGCACTGTAAGTGCTGAGGGTATTCTCATGGAAACTCTTGTCGACATGGTTGTCATCAGAGAACTCAAATACACTGTCGAATACAAATCGGCATCACATGAAATTACCATTGCCAACAATCAAGGTTTGAAAGTTGCTCATCTCATCAAGTAAGTTGGTTTTTGTTGTTGGATTTTAAACTTTTTCCACCGATTAGTAATTTAACTTTTTTTTTTTTTTTTTTATTCAGTCATATTAAGGAGGTTTTGAAATTATCAAATGATTTGGGATTGACATTGAATAAGAAAAGGACAGAGCATTGTTTTACCAAACAATTTGTTGCAAGATGTCTTGGCAAATCATGATGTTTTGGAGTTGAATGAAGTCACCACTCCAACTGTTGCTGGCGCTGCAGCTATGACTGATGGCGAGCGTGATTTGTTGTCCAATTTCGTTGATACTGCTGTGTCGTCGGACGTCGAGATTGTATTTGTTTTCGATACCACTGGTTCGATGTCATCGATTATCGCCAACGTCAAATCTCAGGTTGAAGCAACCATCACCAGACTCACCAAAGACATTCCAAATATCAAGATCGGTATTATGGGTTTGGGTGACTTCTGCGACGGACAAAACGTGTTGAAAACACTCGATTTGACTGATGACAAAACCAAGTTGATCAACTTTATCAAAAAGGTGCCGATGACCGGTGGTGGTGACGCCCCAGAAGCCTACGAATTCGCACTGTACATGGCCAACTCACTGTCGTGGAGCGCACACACCTCCAAAGCTTTGGTTATGATTGGAGACGAAGGTCCCCATCCACCTTCGACCACCGACCTCAAAATCAACTGGATCCAACAAGCCGATGACCTCGCTGCCAAGGGTGTCAAGATCTACGGTATCCGTGCCAAGTGTAGTCAACCGGCTTTCTACAATGAAATCGCCGAAAGAACCGGAGGTATTGCAATCGATTTCGATCGTTTCAATTTGATCACCGAAATGTTTATGGCGATCTGCTATCGTGAGACCTCTGCCAGAAAGTTCCAGGCATTCCAAAACGAGGTATTTAGCAATACCAACGGTATTCCAGTTGAGATGACTCGTATTTTCGATGATCTCAACAAAGAGAATTTCGCTCGTGAAGATAGCCATGAAATTCCAGCTGCTGCCACCACCACTACCACCACTACAACAACTGCGGATGCCACCACTCCAGCCGCCAGCGACGCCTCTCCAAAGAAAGTATATGGACAACCTTTAACTCCATTGAAATCGACTGCTTCATGGTTCAATATCAGCGCTGACAATGGTCTTCCCAGCTACTACTTCAATTCAACAACTGGATACTTTACCACCTATAAATCAGGTACCACCGGAGTACCAACTCCAATCTCCGCTGCTCCAAAGACTATCACTCCATTGGCTGTAACCTTTGCCAAGCCAGCTGCTCCCGCTCCAAAGAAAGCCGCTGCCAAACCAGCTCCAAAGAAGGAAAACAAGAAGAAGTTGGAGAAGGTCAAGGTTCAAATGGAGACCAGACTCAGAAAGAAGGCAAGAGAATCGCTGGACTTTATTGCCGGCTCCAAGCAGAGACAAGAGAGTTTGTTCAATCTTTTGGGTAAGGACTACACTGGTCCAACCGAACAAGAATTGGAAATGATCTTCCGTGTCTTTGATACAAACAATGACGGTAGAATTACCGCCGCTGAACTCGGTGCCGTCTTGCAATCGATGGGTAAGCGTGCCGTCACCAAGAGAATCGACAAGATTCTCTCGGAAATCGATGAGAATCACACTGGTTACGTTGAGATGGAAGACTTTGTTACCTACATGCAAGCCAAAGCCTACAAGAAAGCAACTCAAATGGGATTGATCGAAGAGGAATCCGATGAAGATGAAGAGGAGGAAGAGGAAGAAGAAGAGGGTGGAGATACCGATGAAGAGATGGATGAGAAGCCAGTTCGTAAGGCAAAGAGCACCACCGCCAAGAGAAAGAGAACCACCACAACCACCACTCCAAAGAAGAAGACAACCGCCGAGAAGAAGTCACCAGCTTCCAAGGAGAAGAAAGCACCAGCTGCCACCACTACAGCTACTCCAGCTGCTCCAACCGCTCCAGCTGCTCTCAAGAAACAGCCATCCTACTTTGGTGCACTCAAGAGAGGTGCCAGCTTGTGTCACTACTACACTGACAATGCCGGAAAACACAACGCACTCTTGGTGTCCAATCCAGTCGGACCACAATTCGATCTTGGTCTAGACGATGCTTTCCTCGATTTCAATGTTTTGGTTCAGTTGCCAGCTGGTGATACCAAGTTGGAGAGCGTCTTGAATCAATTTGTCAAGACAAAGGGATTCAATATGACCTATGTCCACGACGACGAAAGTGTCGTCAAGCAATTAACTGGCACCACCGGTAAAGACATTGATATCTTGGTCGTTATTTCCAGTGACAATGCCTCTACCACTGCTGCCCCATCCGCTGCCTACAACAAGGCCGTCGTCGACTTTAACCACTCTGGTAAGGGACTTTTCATCCTCTCTGACAAGTCTGCTTTCGCACAAGCCAACTCTATTGTTACCACTCTCTACGGAGAAGGATTCCAAGTAAGAGATATCGCAACTGCCGAATCAGCACCAGCTACCGAATCCGAGAAGGTCGTATTGGAATACTCTGACGGAAAGAATACCGTCGCCAAACAATTCAAAGGACATTTGATCACCACCGGTCTGGTCAAATTGGATCAAGGTGAATCGCCATCGCAACTCTCTGGCTGTCCAACTCAATTGGATCCACTGGCAATCTCCTCACAAAACACCGCCACCATTCTCCACTCGAACGACACCAACCCTGATAACTATGGTCGTGTCGTAGTCGATACCTCCTACAAGAAGATCGACGCCAACAACACCGTTGGTCACGACGATATCGAGCGTTACCTCTGCAATGTCTTGGTGTGGTTGTTGGGTATCGATCACCGTTTCAGACACAACTTGCCAGTCAAGGGTGGATTGCGTATGCGTGAGGTTGTCACCTGGCAATACCTCCACGGTTCATGGCTTAACTACGATCAAGAAGCCAGTAGCATCTGTGAAGAGGCTTACCAAGATTGGAAGAAGAATCCAGGTGTCGACGTTCGTTCCGTCAAATCTGGACTCTGGTCATACCAAGTCAACTTTAAGGATCTCCTCCAAACCAATGTACTTCATTCCGCTCACACTCAACGTCCAGTTCGTCGTTTCGTCCAACAAATTGTAAACAACAACTAAATAAAACAAAAAAACAAATGAAACAATAAAAAAAAAACAATATAAATCAAAAAAAAAAAAAAGTTAAAATGTCCTCATCATCATATTAATTATTTGTTTATTCTTTTTGAAAAAATCAGTTGTTCTGGATCCAAATATTGATCAAAATAATCTAATCAGATAACTATAAATGTTAATGATAAAGATATATAAATAATTGATAAAAACGAAACAACAGACAAATTAATATAATTGTTAATTGCAACCTCCACAATATTATATAAATGCGGAAGTCATAAATTTATTCATATTTTTTTTTTTGTTGGTTGTTTAACCTGGTTTTTTAGTGTTGTTTGTTTATTGTTTGCCAACCTGGTTCGTTTTTTTATAAATCGAAAAAAAAATAGTTCAAAAGAAATTCATTTCACTTTTTCTCGACCCAGGGTCATCATGTAATAACAAAAACTAGTGAGAGAGGGGGTTGTTTTTATCATTGATTTTTTGCTTTTGATATTTTTCAATATTTTTTTGTCAATTCTTTTATGCACTCATTTTGACCATTAGTGTTTAGTTTTTGTTTTTTTTTTTCTATTTCCTACATTATTTTATTTATAAATATAATAATAATTTTGTTGTTGAAACTTATTAAATATTTATTTATAACAATATAATTTATATTTATTTGTTTATTTAGTTTAGTTTTTTTGTAAGATTATTATTATTATTATTTTTGGTATGTATTATTTCAATATTTGACCCTCTATTTTCTTTTCTTCAACACTGGGTGGCAGATATTATCAATTTTTTTTTATCAAAACAACTTCTTTTTCAATTTTTTTTAAAATTAGTTTTTTTCCAAAATTCTTTTTTTTTTTTTTTGTTAGGCTTGGTCACTATTTTTCTGTTTTTCATTACGATCATACCATTTATTTCATCATCCTACATATCTCTCTTCTTATTAATATTATTAATATTTAATCAAATTAATTAATATTTTTGTATATTAGATATATAGATAGGTTAGATATAAAATGTCATCTGCTTTTCAAGAACATGTCGCTGCTGTGACTAGAAATTACTATGTCAACCCACGTCTTGGTATGTAGATAGTTACTGATACATTTATAATGATGATTCACAGTTTAGTTTACTAATATTCAAATCTATAGACTACAGAACTGTAACTGGTGTCAATGGTCCATTGGTTATTTTGGATAACATCAAAGTAGGTCTTTAAATCAACTTTTACCACACACTTCAACAAACAAACAAACAAATACAGGAACAACAACTATTAGCTATTTTTCAACTTTCAACAATACTACTATAATTAGCAAAAGAAAGCATACAGATCTAAATATATTGTAGATATAGACACATAAAGAAAATTACATTGTTTTGATGGATTAATAGGATATTAAGTTGTTGATAGTCATTTGAATAAAAAAAAAAAAAAAAAAAAAGGATAAAAAGATAGATATTATATTACCAGCACATCTTTTATATAGATACAATACAATACAATCAAATCTACACATTAATTATATCAAACTATATATTGTTATTTAGATATTAATATAATTCTATTTTATTTTCATTTTTTATTTTTATTTTTAATATTTTATAGGGACCAAAGTTCTCTGAAATTGTAACTTTGACTTTGGGTGACGGTACCCAACGTAAGGGTCAAGTACTCGAAATCAGTGGTAAGAGAGCTGTCGTACAGGTTTTCGAAGGTACCATCGGTATTGATGCCAAGCACACTCGTTGCGAGTTCTCTGGTGACATTTTGAAGATGCCAGTATCTGAGGATTCTTTGGGTCGTATTTTCAACGGTTCTGGTAAGCCAGTCGACAAGGGTCCACCAGTTTTGGCAGAAGACTATTTGGATATTCAAGGTCAACCAATCAATCCATCCGTTCGTGTCTACCCAAGAGAGATGATTCAAACCGGTATCTCTGCTATCGACACTATGAATTCCGTAGCTCGTGGTCAAAAGATTCCAATTTTCTCTGCTGCCGGTCTTCCACACAATGAAATTGCCGCTCAGATCTGTCGTCAAGCCGGTCTCGTCAAGCGTTCCGGTAAGGGTGTCAACGACGACCACGATGACAATTTCGCTATCGTTTTCGCAGCTATGGGTGTCAATATGGAGACTGCCTCTTTCTTCAAGCGTGACTTTGAGGAGTCTGGTTCCATGGAGAGAACTACACTCTTCCTCAATCTTGCCGATCATCCAACCATCGAGCGTATCATTACACCACGTCTCGCCTTGACCACCGCCGAGTACTTGGCTTACCAATGCGAGAAGCACGTCTTGGTTATCTTGACTGATATGTCTTCGTATGCCGATGCGCTTCGTGAGGTATCTGCTGCTCGTGAAGAGGTGCCAGGTCGTCGTGGTTACCCAGGTTATATGTATACTGATCTTTCCACCATCTACGAACGTGCCGGTCGTATCAATGGTCGTAACGGTTCCATCACTCAAATTCCAATTTTGACTATGCCAAACGACGATATTACCCATCCAATTCCAGATCTTACTGGTTACATTACTGAGGGTCAAATCTACGTCGATCGTCAAATCAACAACAGACAAATCTACCCACCCATCAACGTATTGCCATCGCTCTCTCGTCTGATGAAGTCGGCTATTGGTGACGACATGACACGTAACGATCACTCTGAAGTTTCCAATCAAATGTATGCCAACTATGCCATCGGTAAGGACGTTCAAGCCATGAAGGCTGTCGTTGGTGAGGAAGCTTTGTCCTCTGAAGACAGACTCTATTTGGAGTTCTTGGAGAAGTTTGAAAGTAAATTTATTGGTCAAAGCCATTATGAGAATCGTGATATTTTCCAATCTCTAGAGTTGGGATGGAACTTGTATGTATAAAATTAATTTAATTTTATTGATCTATAATCCTCAGATTAACTAACAATTATCATCACTTTTTTAATTCTCTATTTATTGCTTTTCATTAAAGACTTCGTACTTTCCCACCAACTATGCTCAAACGTATCACTGAGAAAACTATCAAGCAATATTACTCAAGACAAGGAGATAAAGGAACAATTGACAACAACTAAACCAATAGTTTGCTAATATTAATTAAAAACATCATCACCATCACCATTTAATAAATAAACAAATAAATAATATATACTTTTACTTTATATCTTTTGTTTTCTTTCTATTCATTCACTTTATTGAAATATTTGTTTTTAAATCTTTTGTTGTATCACTCAATGAAACAATCAGAGTTGGATTCATTAATATTATTGAGTTTAATTAAATAACAAAAAAAAAACAAATCTCATAACATAACATATATCCAAGTCACAGAAGTCATTAAAATAAAGTATAAAGTATTTTATAGATTAACTAGAAAAAAAGATTTATTAATAAAAAAAACTTCCACATTGTTTTTTTTTTCCAGTAAATCAAACTCTTTTATGAATTAATAAACGAAATAGTACATACTATGAACCAAAATAGATATGCAATATTTATAAATTTATGAATCAAGAATCATCATTATTCAATAGAGAACAACAACAGTATCAAGCAAATGAGAATGATTATAAATTAGACGAAAGTATATTGTTAACTGCTGCTACTGTATCACCTTTAGATAATGGTGGTGTTAATTTTGATAATTATGGTAAAACTACTAGCGTAGATAATAATAATAATAATAATAAAGATCAAGAGCAACAACAACAACAACAATCATCATCATCACCAAAATCAAATACATTCTTTAGTATTAGAATAGTTGATATAGACTTTTATTTAGCCAAACCGACTGTCCCTCTTGATGTAACACATTCACCACTTGACAATTCACCTATTCCACTTGTACCAATTGTAAGGGTGTTTGGTTCTACACCTGCAGGTCAGAAAGCATGCCTTCATCTTCACAAGTTGTTTCCTTACTTCTTTATTGAATACTCTGAGAAGTTACCTTTAGATTTAGATTATGGTAATGTTAATCTCTATAGCATATTATCTTTTATTTAAAATTCTAATAATAATGGATTGTTTATATTGATATCAATCAATAGTTAATACATATATTAGAAAATTAATATCAAGTATAAATATGGCAATGAAATCACCTTATTCTAATCAACAAGCACAAGTACAAGCACAACAGAAACAACAACAACAACAAACACAAGAACAACAACACGTTTTCAATGCAAGATTGACTAGAGGTAGACCTTTCTATGGTTATTATCCGCAAGATAAAATATTTATAAAGATATTCTTGTAAGTTTAATCAAAATCAAATCAAAACCAAATTATAATGTTAATCATTAATATTAATATTATTTTCTTTAATAATATTATTAGATATAATCCAGATAATTTAAATAGAATAGCTAATCTTTTAAGAAATGGATCGATTATGGGTGTAAAGTTTGATGTTTACGAAGCACATATTCCATTTATGTTACAGGTGTTCTTGGATTACAATCTAGCAGGAATGTCATTCATTGATTTCACAAAGATTCTATTCAGAGGACCACTTCCATCTGCCAAGAGAATGTGGGGATCCTATGAACATGATCGTTCTCAAAATTCAGGTAATTAATTATTACTTGATCAAAGTTTAGTTTGTTTGTACAATGTTATTAATATCAAATTCATTAATAATAATAATAATAATATAATAGCACCGGATCATAAGAATATTGAATTTAGAAAATGGTTCAGTGAATATTGTGGTAGTGATTTCAAGTATTGGTCACCTATACAATCGAGAAAGACAACCTGTGAGTTGGAGGTGGACGGTGATATCTTTGATACCACCAATATCAATTATAATAACTATACTCCAATTGTACAGTCGGATGTAGAGCAAAAGTTGGTACAGTCACTCAACTCTATTTGGAACGATGAGATCGAGCGACGTAGAAACAACGGTATGCCAACGCAATTCACTCAGGTACAGAGTCAACCTCGTCGTCCTTTTCAAATGGGTTACTTTGTACAGCCACTTGCTCACAAAAAGATTGAATCAATCATTGAAAAAGAGAATCAAATTATAAAGAATCATTTAGATAAATTAGATAACAATAATAATAATAATAACAATAATCAACAACAACAACAACAATCAATATTGATAAATTCACAACCTTCAATTAATATGAATCAATCTTTGATAGATAAACAATTGTTATCACAACAATATTTTCAAGCGATTCCACCCTCGAATTCAACGAATATCTCTATTGAATCGGAACCATCGATGAAAGATGACATCAACTTGGATATCAATATTAGATTCGAACAGCTAGAGTATGAGAGAGAGCAACAGCAATTGAAAGAGCAACAGCAATTGTTGGATGAATTCGAATTTGATATCTCTGGAACAACTGCAACAACAACAACAACTATAGCAACATCTTTACCAGCACAACAAACAACAGTAGCAGCACCAAATAAAACTACAACTAAAGATCAATTGATTAAATATAATCGAGATAGTAATAATGAAGAAGATGATGACGACAGTGATCAAGATAACGATCAAATCAAATCACAAAGAGAGATAAAAGACATATTGGCATCGTCACAACCACCACCATCACAACATATCTTTTCTCAAACTGAGTATTGTTGGTCAGATGTCGAGGATGAAGTTGAAGAAAAAGATAATAGTCAAAGTTCATTAGGAAAGAGAAAGCTCTCAGTCAATAGTAATAACAACAACGATGAGGAGCCGCATATTGAAGAATTGGATGATTCTATTCCACAGTTTGATGGTGGAACCGATCCTAAAAAGAAAAACAAACAAATCAATAATAATAGTAATAGTAATAATAATGTTAATCAACAACAAGAATCAACACTTTTATCAAAGTATAGAAACAGTTTTCATTCTATGTATGATGATATTGATGACCCTATTATTACATCACAACAGAATAGTCGTAAATCAACTGCAACAACCTCTTCCTCTAAATACAAATTGAAAACAACTCAAGCTTTAGTTTTCAACAAAGATAGCAATAGCAATAGTAATAATAATAATAATAATAATAACAATGGATTTAAATCAACTTCATTGTTAAAGGTTAATAGTAATAATCCAATTGATATCGAGTATGAAGATAGTTCCTCTTCTCCTGTTTCTAAAGCGCAAGCCAATGAAATCACCCTGGTTCCTTCAACATTTCCTTATCTAGATGAACAGCAAAAAGAGAGTAGCCAACAACAACAACAATATCAACTCCAAGCAACACCACCAAAACCACTTAAATCATGTTTCAAGAAAACCAACAAACATTTTATTAGCAATCCAGTCAATCTTACTCCACCAAAGAAGACAGTTCGATTCTTTATACCATCACCAGAGTTTGTACCGGAAACACAATTCGATGAACCACCAGCTACCCACAATACACCCATGTACATAACAGAGACACCAACGGGCACCACTACCACCAAGGTATCACCTCCGATCGTTAGTCCAATTGCATTCTCATCTTCCTTTTTCGAACCTTCGTTATCGTCGATTCCCACCAATCAACAGGAATCACAAATTTTACAATCCAATCAAATGATTGAAGTTTCGCCAACTAGTACCAACAACAACAACAACAATACTAGTATTCTTTTCAAAATTGAATCATCTTCATCGTCATCTATCACACCTCCACGTCAATCACCACAAGTTGTTACTAACAACAACAACAACAACAACAGTCCAAATACATCACCTCATACTCCACCACCACCAATTGTACAAAAAGATTCACCAACACCGCCTCCACCTCTAAAGTTTTCAGATTCACCAATTAAGCCTGCTTATATACCACCAAAACAAGCGGTTTCCACACCACTACCGACACCTCCAACTCCAGAGACACCACCTTCTACACCACCACCTCCCCCACCGATCTCTCCAGATGAACAAGTTAAATTAAATAGAGTTTATACCGATATTGTACCATTGGTCCAATCACCACTCTCACCTCCACCACCATTTTATGAACCAGAGATAAGGCAGGCGACACCCATCAACAGTAAATCACCAACGGACAACGAGCCATCCCAAACGTTCTCAGACCTTTCATCAATTTCAATAAGAATGGATGACAGCAATCAGAGTAATTATGATTTCACTGTAATGGAACTTGATTCACCTGCTGAAGTCGATCAATTTGAATATGAGGAAATGGTAACAGATCAACAATCACAAGAACAAGAAGAGAAAATAGGTATTCTCCAAAAAGAAAAAGAAGAGGATGTTAAAGAGGAAGAAGAAGAAGATGGTGATGAAATGTTTATGATGGATGGTAGTCCAATGATTTTCATTCGAGATAACAGTGATAGTGAACATGTTAATGATAATCACACCGCCACTACCACCACCACCAACAACAACAACAACAACAACAACAACAACAACAATAACAATAACAATAACAATAATCTCGAATTGAATAATGAATCATTTTGCTATTCATTCCCAGATAATGGACCTGATTATGATGATCTTCATAATCAAAACAATAATAATAATAGTAACAACAATAATATTATTAATAATAATTTGGTTGTGGAGACCTTGGTTCAGAAAAATGATAATAATAATAATAACCAAAAAGAAGATATAATGAAAGATTTTCCAACAACCAGATATATTCAGCATTATGATGACAGTATGAATGTGTTTAGACCTTTACATCCACCTCCAACCAATCAGGAAATCATAGAGGAGATTCATAACTCTATGAATCCTATTACAGTCTACAAAGATCTTTACTATTCCAATCAAGACGACTCTGAAAGGAAAAAGGTCTTTGAGACACCTGTGTTCAAGTCTGGTATCGGTGATCTTAAGGGTATCAGTTATTGGAAGAGACTGGATGTTCAATCACAGCTCAAACCAACATTGCGTATATTCACACCATCGATTCCACCTCCTTCACCCAAATCGTTATTGGAGTCATACAAACGAACCAAGAATATAGACAATTCCAACGATTTGGCAGGTGCACATCCAACAAGCAGTAATAATGAACAGCGACAACAACAACAAAAGAACAAACAACCTTTGGATTATTCACAGTTGTCACAATCAACACCAACCTTTAGTTATTTGTCCAAGTTGAATCCACATTCACAGAATGCACAAAAGGAGTTGAGTAACAATCTGAACCAATTCCTTACACTTCTTAGTGTAGAGCTACACATCAACACAAGAGGCGATTTGAATCCAGATCCGGAGATCGATGGTATCAAAGCGATTATCTATTGTTGCAGAGATGAAGGTGCTATAGAATCTCAAACCGAGAACTACAAGGATCTCTTTGGTATTCTAATGATTGATCCAGCCAAACAACCGGATCAGATCAACAATAATAGATTTGGACTGGAGTGCACCGTAAATTGCTATACCAATGAGTATCAGTTGTTAAAGGCATTCTGTGAACTGGTGCGTAGTTTTGACGTTGATATTTTCGTTGGATATGAAATTCAGATGCTTTCACTTGGCTACATGATAGAGCGCGCCAGACATCTCGGTATTTCACTGTGTGACGAAATCAGTAGAATCATCACACCGGTGACCAACAACCAGTACAACATGAAATCCGACAACTTTTTCTCCAGAGAGTTGGATCGGTTCGGATATGACCATTCTTCTGGTATTCAAATCATCGGTCGTATTGTCATAAATATTTGGCGTTTACTCAGACATGAAATAACTATCGATATTTATACCTATCAGAATATTTGTTTCCATCGACTTAAACGAAGAATTCCTGAATACTCCCCGAAAACACTGACCGATTGGTACAATAGTGGCTGTCAAACTTGGAGAACACTGTCATTCTATCTCGAGCATTGCAAGGGTAATTTTGATCTCCTCTACAGTTTCGATATCATTGGTAGAACCAGTGAATTGGCCAGAGTCTATGGTATCGATTTCTTTAGTGTTTTGTCAAGAGGTTCACAGTTTCGAGTGGAATCAATGCTGCTGCGTTTGACAAAGCCTGAAAACTATATAATGTACTCACCTTCGAGAGACCAGACAACGAATCAACCTATGCCAGAAAGTATTCCGCTGGTAATGGATCCAATTTCCAAGATGTTCAATTCACCAGTTGTAGTTCTCGATTTCCAATCACTGTACCCATCGATCATGATTGCCTATAACTATTGCTATTCCACATGTCTTGGAAGAGTGATTCCAACCGATCCAGTCAGTCATGACAAGAATCTTGGCTCTGGTAAAATCAATATTAAACCAGGATTACTTCGATTACTTGGCGACAATGTATCAGTGTCTCCTAATGAGGTTATGTATACAAATACACAAACTAGAAAGGGACTGTTCCCAAAGCTGCTTACCGAGGTACTGGAGACCAGAATCATGATCAAGAAAGCAATGAAAAAGTATAGAGACAACAAGAAGATCTATAACATGTTGGATGCTCGGCAACTGGCATTGAAAATGATGGCCAATGTATCGTTTGGATATACTGCGGCCACCTTTTCTGGTAGAATGTCATGTATTGAAATTGCCGATAGTATCGTCCAGACTGCGAGAGAAACACTGGAGGCTGCAATCAGGATAGCAGAGACCTCCAAAGAGTGGCGTGCCAAAGTGATCTATGGAGATACTGACAGTCTTTTTGTGCTGCTACCGGGTGTTTCCAGGGAGGAAGCTTTCGTTATTGGCCAAAAGATTGCAGATAAAGTGACATCAATGAATCCAAAGCCAGTCAAGCTAATCTTTGAAAAGGTTTACCATCCCACTCTACTGGCAAACAAGAAGCGTTATGTTGGCTACAAATATGAGAGTCCGACACAGACCGAGCCAATATTCGATGCCAAGGGCATAGAGACTGTCAGAAGAGATCAATGCAAGTTGGTATCGAAAATCATGGAGAAATCTATTCGTACTCTCTTTGAGAAGAAAGATCTCTCGTTGGTCAAATCATACATGACGCGGCAGTGGCAAAAGATATTCCAAGAGCGAGTATCTCTGAAAGATTTCATCTTCGCCAAAGCGGTGAAGCTAGGAAACTACTCTACGAATGGTCCACTTCCGGCAGCTGCTCAACTTGCCCAGAGAATCATGGAGAAAGATCCAAGAGGTGAGCCGCGATACGGTGAGAGAGTCAGGTTTGTTGTGGTCTATGGAACACCGAATTCAAGGCTGTGCGACCTCGTTGTCACACCACACGAGTACATGACCAACAAGACACTGAGAATCAATATATTCTACTACATTACCAAACAGATTCTACCGGCAATGGATAGAATTTTAAAACTGGTTGGAATCAACATACACAAGTGGTTCGCTGCCTTCCCAAAGCAATATGTGACCACTCCCAATCAGCGTATCAATCTGTTCTTCAATAACAATCATCATCTTGGTCAAGAACAACAACGATTGATCGCTCAACAGCAACAACATAAAAATCCAGAGCAACAACGTCAACAATATACAATCGATCAATTCTATTACAGTAGAAATTGCTTTGTTTGTGGATTGAAAATGGCAAATGAAATTCATACCAAAGATACCATTCCTGAACAGAATAGCCCGTTAGCTCTACCTATGTGTGAAAACTGTGAAAGTGACAAGCAAATACAACACTACACTCTAGTGAACAGAATGAACTATCTGGAATTACAAAAGAATAAGATGTTAGAGATTTGTCATACATGCATCGGACAACAAACCTATTCAAATGATATCGAGTGTCAATCATTGGATTGTGATACATTCTATGAAAGAATTAAACTGTTAAATCTTTTTAAGAATATGAACATTTGGTTTGAAAGTACTCTTGATCAAATAAAAAAAAAACAACCAATATTTTTTTATTTTTTTTTTAACGAGCTTTGTAATTATTAAAGAAAAATGTATTATGTATGTCTATTTTAATCAATTAAAAATAAAATTAAATCATTTTACTACTCATGAATATAATTGTTATTATTGATTCGTCATTTGATTTATAAATTCCGAATCAATGGTCTATATAATAAGTTTTTTTTTTATTTTTTTTATTTTTTTATTCTGTACAATAAATATAATATCAACAAATAATTAAATGATAATCCATAACTATAAATCTCATTTTTAAAATAACTTTCTTTGTAATCTTAATCTTGGGTTTGGTTGTTCCGATTTCTAAAATATATAAAAAGTTAATTAATATCAACTCCAATAGCAAACTGTATTATCAATACAATTAATCTTACCTTTTTAATCTCCAAAATTTCCTTAACTTTGGGCAAATTCAAAATACCAAGGATGTTGATTCTTTTTAGTGGATCTGAGCTCATCATTGATGAAATTAAATCTTTCAGGTCATTGGAAATGCTAATGTTTTGTGGGAACGGAATATTCCCTTCTCTTAGGTTTCTCCACCATTGGCCTTGTGACGGTAGTTGATAACCTGTTATACATTCATAAATTGTAATACCAAAACTAAAAATATCTGCAGACTGTGTGTAATTCTCATCGAGTAGCTCCGGTGCCATATAAATTTGATCGCCCTCTGTATCTCCATTGGTCACACTGACACCAAAGTCACAGATCTTGAGTGATCCTTCATTTGAAAACAAGAGATTCTCTGGCTTAATATCGAGATGTATGATTCCATTTGAGTGAACATGTTCGAGACCACGCGATATATCTGCAATATAATTCCAAAGCAGAGTCTCATCGATGGCACCGTCTGTCTGATTTAGCTTATCTTTTAGACTGCCTTTCTCGCAAAGCTCCATCTGTATATATAAATGACCACCTTCCTCCCAGGCAGCCATAACTGTTGCAATGTTGGGATGATATCCCAATCGCATGCCTTTCTCGATTTCCTGGAGCTGATGACTACGCTCATTCGTCTCCCAGATTGGCTTTTTAGATTTCTTTACTGCATAGAGATGATCGTCCAGAAAGCTCTTTGCTTTCCAAACCTCACCAAAACAACCTTCACCCAGTTTCACCAAGTATTGGAAATGTGTACTCGATGATTTGGCACGTTTACGTTGTGTAAGAAAATGTACACCATGAAAATTAGGATCGATACCGCCACCTCCACTGCTATTGATTGCTTTCTCGTTGATTGATATCTTTGTCACCAATGGCTTTGAGCTCATGTCCGTGTATTGTGTACGAGCCGGTGATCTAAGTGGTGTTTTCGAGGGCGCTTTAGGGCAAACCAAAGGCGTCGATGGTGTTGCAATGATAACTGCTTCCTCGAATGGATTAGATGTTGGTGGTGTTGCCGGTGGTGTTGCTGGAGGTGTCAATGGAGTTGCCGGTGTAAATGGTGTATCTTTCTTTTGTCTCTTTAGAACCATAGTTGGTTCTTCAAAAGCTAGTTGATCTGGTATTGGTCTACCTGTCATTATTATTGTAATTTTACTCTTATTTTAAATTTATCTCTATGAAACAAAAATTATTTCTTATATTTCTTTATTTCCTATAAATCTGTGAAACTGTTTTTTTTTTTATGTAATACTAAATTGCGAAACAATAACAATGACCATTCAAATTTTGATTTAATTTTATTATTATTATTATTTAAAAATTTCTTCTAAAACAGAAACAATTCCAGAAAAAAAAAACAAATTATAACAGCTAAAAATTTAAATTTTTCAAAAAAAGGCGGGTTGCAATTTTGATTAAGGTGATACACATGAATTTCAATCTTTATTGTCTATTGGATACTTTGTTATATGGGAAATAGCTATTTCCTGGTGTACTTAGATAGAATTTCGTTATTACTATACCTACTATTAATCCGACTAGTAGGGAAATCGGTACAAAGACACCAAGGAATATCTTCAAACTCTCTACTTGACTTTTATCAGAGTTGATGTTGTTACTTTGGACATTACAATAAGTTGTCCAATTAAATGATAGTGCTTCAGTAAATACTGATTTAAATTGATTATAGTCACAATAGATATTATCACAACCAGGTATTTGAACACCCTATTAAAAAAAAATAAAATAAAAAATGAATAAAAAATAAAAAAAAATAGAATAATGATTGGTTAATTTAACAATCCAATGTGCGATAATAGTAAATATAGATTCTTACAACTTCATTATGATCAACTCTAATCTTAAAGGTATTATCGTTACATTGGTAGAGTAACAAAGCAACGTTAGCAGCATAAGGTGAAATTACGCTGGATCTCCATGTTCGGTTGTTGATTTGCTCTTGTGTGAGGTTTGCAAGTAATGGATATGGATCCTTATATAGTCCCAACAATGAAATAAAAGGTATAATAGTTTCGGCATGACCAAATCTCAATACATTTGTTGCATTATAAGTCTCTGTATCATTAATGTAAGTATCAAATCCATTTATCATATCCTATAAAACAACAATATAATTAGTATGAATTTCATATAACTATTTAGATTATAACATACTTGGAATAAAACAGAACTAATAATATAATTTTGTTTATGACCATAACTCTTTTGCCAGTAGTTTGATAAATCCTCTGCGTATTCCCATTGTAGGATATCTTGTTCGTTGAAGAGACTGCACCAATGATCGGTTACACCAAGAATCGATAAATCATAGGAACATGCTGAGAAAATGGTGGAAACCAATGAAGATGTTGGCTCCCAGATATCTTGCAATCCGAGCTTCGTAGCGATATCGTTTGCGATAGTTGGGAATGTAGTACTGATGTATTCATTCTTTTGGTCCGCGTTGATATAGTTGCTATTCTCCAGATCAGTATACGATTGACAAGTATCAAAGAATCGAAGGAGGTAGTCTTGATCGGCCGATTGCATCTCAATGAACACCGGTTGGAATTTTTGTGGTCCGAGTTCACCCATATCTTCGAATAGACCGTAGGTGAATGCACCGGCACTGATACCTGTTCTACTGACATAGGTAGCAGAGACATCGTACAAATAGGGTTGGTATGGTTGGAAATAACCAGGGAATCTCTCGAGGAATCGCTTCGAGATGTTGTAGTGTTCGTATTGACCCTGTAGAATCAAGAGACCGGCAGTGCTAGTCGGATATGGCACTGTCCAATTAAGAATCCACTGGTAGTCCGCCGAGATGTTACCGGTGTAGGGCGCCAGTGATTGCGCTAGTTCCTGCAACGAAACGATATTGGATCTCACTGGATTACGAGATCCGTGTCTCGCCAACAAATCGATCGAACCCAACTGACAGCCTGCGGGTGGCGGCGGTGTATTATCATTCAACGAGTTTGAATCCGGTATCCAATACGGAGTTTTCGTGCTCAAATGATGATATATATTAAACGACGGATCGGCAGGTCGCTTCGAAACGACGGAACCGACAGCGACAATTGCAAAAATCGTCGTAATAAATATAAAGAAGTTATTATTATAGTTTTTATACATATTTTTTTTATAATACAAATGAAAAGAGATACAATATATATATGTTGTTACAAATAAAATAAAAAAAGAAAAAAAATATTTAAAATCGGCTTTTTAGCAAAGAATACATAAATAAAGTTGTGGAAGTGGACAATAGCAATAACTTCTTAATTAAATTATTAATAATTATGAATTTTTCTCTTTTTGTGAGTAACTAGTTCGGGTTTAAAAAAAAAAAAATCTCCTCACAATATTTGCAAATATTTAATCAATTTTTTTTTTTTTATTTTAACCAACACAGAGATATCACTTTTCTTAAACTTTTTTTAAAGAGTATTGACCCGAGTTGTGTTGAACAAAAAATTAATTAAATGAAATCTCATTGTGTTGGGGATATATTAATAAATATAATATTATTATAATTTAATTTATTTTTATTTTAATTTTTTTTTTGTTTTTATTTTTTAGTGCTCCATTTCAGACTTTTGAACTAATGAATAGAAAATACTTGTGGTACGGTTTCTCAATACATCTGGTGAATCGAATTCAATCAGCTCACCTTTATCCAAAACCATAACTTTGTCACTGTCGATGATGGTGTTGATTCTGTGAGCAATGGTAAGTACTGTGCAATCAGCAAACTCTGTTCTGATGGTCTTTTGAATGAGTGCGTCGGTTTCGATATCGATGGCGGCAGTTGCTTCGTCGAGTACGATGATCTTTGCTCGCTTGAGTAACGCTCTACCCATACAGAGCAACTGACGTTGTCCAACTGAGAAGTTCTCACCGTTCTCTTGTACTGGCGAATCGATTCCACCAGTCAACTCTTGGATGGCTGTCTTTAAGTGAGCACGCTCCAACGACTCCCAGATCTGTAGATCGGTGTATTTGTTGAACGGGTCGAGATTGCTACGAACGGTACCGGCAAACAGTACTGGGTCCTGTGGAATGATGGCTATACGACTACGTAGATCGTTCAATCCCAACTCACGGATGTTGATTCCGTCGATTTCGATGGTTCCGTCGAGTGGTTCGACCAATCTGAACAAAGCTTGAGTCAAAGACGATTTACCGGCACCGGTTCTACCGACGATACCAATCTTGTTCTTTGGTTCGATACGACAATTGATACCACGGAGAACTGGGTCCAATCCCTCTCTGTAGGCGAGCCAGAGATTACGGAATACGATGGCACCTTGATCTGGCCAGTTGCTTGAGATTCTCTTGTCGTTGTGTAGTGCAGCTTCGCTTGGAAGCATTGTGTACTCTTGAATTCTCTCGACAGATACGACAGAGTTTTCCATATCACACGACATTCTGACCATCCAATTCATGTTGGAGGTGATGGCGAGTGCATAGGTGATGACCAAACCAGCGGTACCGGCTTCAATATGATGACCAATCGATGCCAAAACTGCATACAAAACAGTGCAGGTTACAATGCAAGCACCGAGGAACTCTAAACGAAGAGCCAACCATCTGTTGGCACTGGTATTGATATAGTAACACTTTTGGTTCTCATCCAATAGACGTTCGTTCTCCTCAACGAATCTTGTGGTTTCACCGAAAGCACGGATAGTAGAGACACCAGAGAGTGTTTCACCAAAGTGAGAGTAGATTGGCGAACGTGAAATCGATTCGAGACGAGTCAACTCACGAGAGCTGTTGAGATAGTATCTCTGAATATAATAAAAGAGAGCGGCAATCGGAATCATTGCTAGAATAACAAATGGCGAGACCGCTGCAATAACAATGATCGATCCAAACACCTGACAGAAGGTGTTCAAGAACATACCGAGAGTTCTGCTAATGGATTCATCGATGACCATCTGATCCTTGGCGAAACGATTGATAATTCTACCGAGGGGAGTGGTGTCAAAGAATGACATTGGTGAACGAATGACAGCGTTGAACATCTTTTCGTGGAACATCTTGGAACCCTTGATCGAAGCGAAAACCATACTGTAGGAACGGAAGAAAGTTGCAACGACGGCACCCATGGACAAACCAATGTAAATGTAGAGATAGTATCTACCATCGTCTGAGTCGGAATTGGTCCACTGAGAAAGCCACCAATTTGCTAAAATACTGAGAGCTTGAACAATGACGTAGATCACCAAAATGAAACCGGACAATACCCAACCGATTGCTCTAAAGTATGATAAATATACCTTCATTGAGATCTTTCCTTCTTGACGAGTCTCGGCAGCGATCAGCTTGTCTTTGTCTTGAGTGGTGTTGTTCTTTGGTTCCACCTCCTTGGCCGATGTAGCAACCTTTGAGTTACTGGCTCTAATTGAATTGCTTGACTTTCTTATCTTCTTGCCTGAGCTACTACGAATGTTGGTTGATGATGTCGATGAAGTTGAGGTGATCAAACGTTGACGATCGTTTTCATTGTCAGCGGATGAACCTTGATCCTCACTGATTGGAATATCTTCCAAATCAGAGTGTTCCTTCTCTTCGATAACCTCCTCGATAATCTCATCAACATTCTCAGCTTCCTCTTCGTTGGCTTCTGATTCTTCGGATTGTTCATCTTCTTTCTTTGCATTGTCGTGATGTTTCATCAAATTTGAGAATTGTCCATCGATACTCATCAAGTATTCGTAGGTACCTTCCTCAGCGATTCTACCATCTTTCATCATAACGATTCTATCGACAAATGGTAAATAGTGTACACCATGTGTAACAAGTAATCTGGTCTTATCGGCTAAGAATCCACCCTTACCAATTACATTTTGGAAGATTGCTTTTCCGACATGCGCATCGACTGCCGACAATGGATCATCAAATAAATAAATATCTGCATTATGATAAACAGCTCTTGCAATACTAACCTATAAATAAAAAATAGATAACAATAATTTTACTGTTAATGAATGTCGATTTAGTTTTGTTTGTTTGACACTAAAGCTTACTCTTTGTTTTTGACCACCAGATAAATTTATACCTTTTTCACCGATTTCAGTTTGATCTCCACCTGGAAGAATCTTTATATCTGGAATGAGATTACAACTGTCAATGACACGTTGGTATTTGTCTTCGTCTAGTTCAGAGGTGAAAATAATGTTGTTTTTGAGTGTAGCGTTTTGGATCCAAGCTTGTTGGGCAACCAATGCAATCGATCCATTGATACCAATGTAACCTTGTGGATTATCGAGATCTCCTACCAATGAGCTGACCAACGATGACTTTCCACTACCGACGTGACCGACGACTGCTACCAACTCTCCCTTCTTAACGGTGAGATTGATGTTTTTGAGGGTTTCTCTTCCGGTCTCCCACTCCATGGTGGCATTTTCAATCTTGATGGCTACGTCTGGCTCTCTTATATCGTGCTTTACAACATTTGGATCGAGATCCTTCTTGAGAAGGAAGTTTTGAAGACGGGTAACACTAACACTTGCTTCAATAATGTTGCTGACTACCATTGGTAACATATTGATTGGGAATTGCATGACGTTGAACAAAGAGAGTGCTGGGAATGCAATGGAAGCAGTGAGCTTACCATTGAGTGCAATGAACACACCGAACGATGTAACGGACACAAAGATTGGACTCATCGACCAGAGCAAAAGCGAGAAACCTTGAATGTACTTGATCACAGTCATGATACCCAACTCGTTGTTTCTGATCTCGTTGACATGATCCATGAATGATTGCTCCCAAGAGTAAAGCTTGATTACCTTGATACCATTGAGTACTTCATTGACAGCCTTGATTCTCTTGTCCTTTAGCTTCATGGCCATACCAGTTCTCTTCTTGGCCATGTTGGAAACGGCCAAATTCAGAGGAATAATCAAAATCAACACTGCCAAACCAGCGAAAATACCTACATTGATCTCACGATACAAAAGGAAGATGGCAACTGCAATCTGGAAGAAAGCCGACCAGATCATATGAAGATATGGACAGAGATCCATGAAACGTTGTGCGTCCACCGACATGAGATTGACAATCTCACCGACGGTTGTACCCTCACGCAAACTGATACGCAACGCCTTCTTGTAGACTGCAGTTACAACGGCAGAACGCAACCACATTCCGACACGGTAACAACGATGGAAGTACTGGTGAAGTGTGAGCGACTGGATGACCGGTGTCAAAAAGTAAAAGAGAACAAAGAGCATACCGTTGTAGGTATCACGAGTGTCGCTGTCACTCTTGACGAATGTCAACACTTGTTTCAACAGGAGAGGACCGACAAACAACAGTGAATCTTGCACGATCTTAAAGAAAGCGGCCACATAGAAATGTGGACCGAATGCCTTGGAGAGTGCTTTGATCAACGATGGTTTCGGTTGAGTCAATTGGTATTCCCAAGCGGCTTCGAACTTCTCAGAGAGATTGTGTGCCCAATCGATCTCGGTGAGCGATGGCACATCCTTCATATCCAACGGATCTTTATATCCCTTTCTAAGAACTGGATTGATCCACCAGAATGTGATTCTAGAGAAAAGATTTGCATTCTTTTCTCCCTGCAACGGTGTCAATCTTGAATATGAGAAATTGTTTTCGTAGAACAAAACACCGGTAACTGATAAAATTAAAATCAAGATATATCCACCCAAAAATGATAAATATTCAATGAATCTTACTTCTCTATCTGATTTCTAAGAGGGTATCAATAGTTAGTTAGTCAGGTCAACAACTATAGTTGTTGTATTTTGATAGATAGTTACATGAAAGATACCAAGTGTAAGAGTACGCATTTTAATGGTGGCAACTAAAAAGGCAACGATCCAAAATACTCTGATTTTCCATGACCGAGATACACCTTTTTTGAGCTCTGTGAAAACGAGGTATGCACTGAATGCCCACTGCAAGAGTGTGATGATGGTGTACACCCATTTGTATGGAGCACGAACGATCGATATTTCAACGACCATAAATAACAGTTTCCATGCTACGAGTAACAATGAAACTATAATCTCCAACTGTAAAGAACGCTTCCAAGTACGGAACTCTCCGTACATCTGCTGGTAGTTTGTCAGGTTTGGCTTGAGCGCCAGCTTCCAAAGCTGGACACCTCCAAACACCAATATAAACAATGCTGGTATCAGCATTAGAACTGTATCTTCAAAACAAATATTGAAATCTCCATTATGCCATACTGAGAACCCTTCGTCACCACAAAATGGTGTAGTTGAACTACTCATCTTTCTAATATACTATATTATATATAAATAAAAATATCTATTATTATTTAATTAAAAAATAATATACATCAATAATATATATATTAGATATAGATATTTATTTTGTTGTTTTTGTTGTTTTGTTACTTTAACTAGTTAAATAAAGCCGACAAAACTAAAAACTAAAACAATTTTTGTAAAAATTAAAAAAAAAAAAAACTAAAAATTAAGAGTTTTTTGGTTTTCGCTAATAAATAAATAAGGTAAAGGTGCAAAAATAAATAAATGAAATGAATCTAATATTTATTTAATTAAAAATAAATAGATTTTCGATTTTGTTTATATTTGTTTTTTTTGTAAAATGATTTGATATTTTTTTTTGATATTCAGCGAGAATGGTATTTATAAAAAGAACAACTTTAAAGTTGTTGTTGAAATTTAGAATCAATTAAAATTTTTTTACATAATAATGATAATACATACATCTGCAGATTATTTTTGGAAGAACACACAAAACAAAAATTTAAACCAAAAAAAAAAATAGAACACCCACATTAAAAAAAAAGAATGTCGTTCCATTATTAGGTTGGAGTTCCATGCAAAAAAAACCATCGATTTCCAAGTATTGCTGATGACCAGACTCTACACACTGACTTTCACCTCGAAGCAACAACGAAAACTCATTGAGATTTAATGTAAATTAAATAATAAATAATCACAATTAATTTAAATTAATTAAATCAATTAATTTGGTATTTGATTTAGCGGTTTTTTTTTTGGATTTTGTGAACATACATAGTAATAATAATAGTAATGCAATCTTCATGCAAACAATAAGAACAAGAAGACAAAGATTAATAGATAGATATATAATTCTATAAGATTAGAAATTGTTAGCAATTGCAGCACTATCTCGATACTACCATATAGACCACAACCACTTCAGAAGTTGTTGTTTGGTTTGAATCGATCGATTATTGGTTTCTTTAATGATCGTTCTGACAGAATCTTTTGTTTAACTCTGTTAATACTCTGTTATATATTCAATTCTCTCTTGAATAACAATTTTCTTATATTATTATTCTTAATTTTCCAATTGTGTTTTTTATCATTATCAGAGTGATTGAATCAATTTGATAGTTTAATGTAATCTGAAGTGTACGATTTTGATTATCTATTCTGAAGTAGAAGTCCAATTAAATAGATCACCTGACATTCTGATTCTTGTTTAATAAGTATCTATCTATTTTGTTTTGTTTTTTCGACAATTTGGCTTCTCTATATTAGTAAGTAATCTGTGATTATTCATATAAACATAAGAAAGGATTTTCCAAGGATACTCAAATTAGTTCGTGTAGAATTAAATACAATCCAGCTGCATATGCTTTGTGGATTCAATTTTCGTTACTTGTATTGGAATCGATATGGTACTCTACGAAGACTCAAAAATGATATCGAATCCAATACAAGTAACGAAAATTGAATGAGTGTGGGAAAAAGTTACTTGACTGTGATATGTAATATCAAGATCTGTATCTTGGTTTCTACGAAGGATTTTCAATCAAAGAACTATTGACAATGATTGTGTGATAGACAGGATTTGTTTGTTTGATAAAAGCCGAAAAATCTCAACCATATCACAAAACCAAAAAATTTGTTTTTTGACGGTCATTGCAAATTCTTTGCGTATGGCACCATTTCGTATAACTTGCATTCGATTTATGCTATAATCACCAGATATTTTCTTTTTTTACACAACATTTATGTTATTCATTGAATAGATACACGAAGAAGATCATGTGATGGGTATACTGATCAAAAAAAAAAACAAAAAAAACAAAAAAAACAAAATTTCTTTATAAATACAATCTAGATCATTTTTATTTTAGAATAGAAAGAAATACACACCATTCAAATATATATAAAATATAATTCATAGAATGTCTATAGATAGATTCAATTGGACATTTCCAACAAAAGTTGAGACTACTTATTTAAAAAATTCAGTCGCAATGACTGAATATGATTGTTCTACATACAATCTCAAATATCTTGTGATGTTTTTTCAAGGAAGTAAGTATAATATTTTATTAATATAACAGTGAGCATTGTAATGATATATCACTTAAATTTATGAATTTATCATCTTTAACAGTAAATTAATCAACTATTACAATATTCTATAGCAAATGGCGCAATGTATTTTAATTCAACCTTTGTTTATGGACCCCAAAAAGTTGGAGGTGTAGGCACATCATATTATCCAAGTGCCACACAATTCTACAAAGATGATAGTATTTATGTATTCCATCATGGTAAAGAGTATGTATTTTTGAATTGATTTTATTTGTTAAATTAATATATTTATTGATTACCCTATTATACTTATTTTAACATTTTAGTTCAAACGGTCAGTTGTGGTATTTTCAATACAAACACAAAACTGGTTTTAGCCATGAAACTCAAATTAGTACATGTAAAATTAAATATAGTCCAGCTGCTTATGCTTTATGGGATTCTATTTTTGTTACTTGTATTGGAACCGATAATTGTGTATATTGGCTCAAAACTCAAGATGGAAAGAATTGGACCTATCCAATAAAGATATCTAATGAAACAACCGATTGTGGTCCAACTTTATGCAATAACAGCAATACTTTGGTTTGTTTTATTAAAGGTCAAGGTGGTATATTGAAAATGTCTACCTTTGACCGTAGTCTAAATAGCTGGAGTGAATTTACTACACCTACCTATTATTGGGCATACAAAGGTGGATATGTTCCAATTAATCTTGATACAGCTCCAACATCGGTCTATCTCCCCAATGGTAAAGTAATGGTACTCTGGCAAGACCCAAGCGATGACAACTACATTACATATTCAACATTTGATGGTAAGAGTTGGGCCTTACCAGTTGTGGTTGGTACTGGCACATATGAAAAAACACCTTATCCAGTTGGTGTTTCACGATGGAATAAACAAATTGCGGTTGGTTATAATGATACTACCTGCAAAAATCAAATGAACTTACTATATGGAGATCTCATAGTCCCAAAAATTTAAAGAATAAAAAGTAATATAATTTATAGTTAAAAGATAGATTGTAATATTAATAGAAATAAACATTTTCACTCTATAAAAATAATTACAATACTATCAATGATTTGAAAAAACAAATATAATAAATGGACTTATTTGAAAAATAAATAAAAAATACTGTAATAAAGAATAAGTTTATTTATTTAAATTTAGATATGATATCGACAAGTTTGAAATAGTACATTATTTTAATCCTACCATAAGAGTTCGAATTTTTATATCTTTTATCTTTGACCACTGTTGTGATGGACAATAAATTTCTTTTCTTTGTATCCTCAGATTAACAATCCTCACTTTTTTAATTCTCAGTTTATTAATAATTCTTTTAGTCAAATAAATATTGTAAAACCTATTTATTTTGAAATGGATGATGTATTTTTTATTACAGATTCGGTTTTTCCAAAATTATCAAACATGTAAATATTCTGTGGTTTTCATTAATAGTTTAGTTTATAAATTCTTCCTACTCTTAAAATGTCTATTTCAATTAAGTTTAACTGTGTCATAAGAAAAACTATTTATTAAGTTTAGCTTTAATGATTTGTGAGATTTTCTTTTCTGCTTCCTCACTAGCTCTCCTTTTCTTTATTGTTGGTGCAGCATCACTTTGAGCATCTCTGATTGTTTTTGTAGTAGACTTTGGTTTGTTTACAGATGTAGCAACGACAGGTTCAACTTTCTGTTTCTCTTTGGCTTTCTCCGCTGTGGTGCCTTTATCATCGTTGACAACAAGCGACTTTGAAATAAATTGACTCCATCGATTTTTTTTCTCGACGATATCAGCATCCTCTTGATTGGATGTAATTGCAACGACCAGGTCGTTCAAATGTTGCAACTTACAAAAATAAATAGTATGGTTGCTCTTCTTACTGAAAAGCTTAATTGCCTCTGTACACTTTGATAAACAGAGATGACAGATGTGATCTTTAGTACCTGTGCTATGAGGAGCGACGTCTTCGGCTATTCCTAATATCTTGGCTAGATTCTCACCATTATTCTTGAGATGATAGTAAGTGCACAAGTGGTAAGAGACATCCAAAACCTTTAGAATATAACGATATGGTTTTTTATTACAACTGTTGGAATCTTCATTAGAATTCGAAAAAACACAAGCAGTACCTGTATTGCTTGTATTCAGTTTAGGTGCTACTAATTCCCCGATCTTTCCAATAGTATTGACATTTGGTTGTGATTGAAGTGGATTATTAATATTGGCCGGAGATGATGATGATGATGAATCATGTATTTGTTTAGATAAACCTATCATCTCTAAACCTAAAATATTTTCAATTTTAGAATCAATCTAATAAAGAAAAGAAAAAAACATATCATTAATAAGTGTATACTTTATTGATCAAAAGATCTCTATACTTTTGACATACATCGATACCATAGACTTCTTGATAGTATCCTCGTAAGACTTTGATGTTACTTATGAAACATTTGATAAAATGATTGATAAAGGTATGCATAGATACCTTTTCTTTACAAAAGTAACATGAATCTTCACAATTATATAGACGAAGCATTATAGCTTGTTCTTTCTCATCCAATTTAGTAATGTATTCTTTATCCTGCTTAGAGTAATCATCAGACGCTAATATATCTTTGAGTGTTTTCATTTATCTATTTATTGTTCTATTAAATAATTATCAGAATTGAAACAGCTGTTATTAATAGTTTGGAAAAGATTTGTTATTTTTGGATTCTTGAAAAGAATCCAATTTTTGTGAAGATCATGATCACCAATTTTTTTTATTTTTTTTTGTTATTGTCAATCAAGAAAAATAGCTAATAATATTTACAACTATACATAAAGTTGATTCTTAGATCAAACCATCTTTTTTCTTGTTTCTCAGAACACTTCACTCGTTTGGCTGTCAAAGTGTAAGTGAGCTCATGGAAGAGAGATACAGAATCCTTGGAGAAGGATAATATTAATTTGAAGGTAATTTTGACCGAACTTCTATTGCTATCACACTTGCTATGACTCAGCCAGAATGAATAATGGAATGCGAACAACTACTCAGCTTTGTGGAGAGAGAAATTGGCAAAAAGTGAGTCAGCATCGATCTTGCAACTGAAAACCTTAATGATAGGAGCAGACAGCTTAGCAAAATCCCTAGAAGGGATTCTGTGGGCAAAGAAGAAACTAAAGGCATCCGGTGTGAGCCAAACCTCGGTGAAATTGAAACGGTGCTCTTCCGGAACCAAATTGTGAATAGAGTCGCCCAGGAATAGATGTCGTCACCCAACTTGAATTTCGGAATGGAGCCAATCACCACTTTGTTTGCGTTGAGCCACCTATGAAAACTGGATGAATTTGGATCGGCAGCAAAGGTAGCAGTGGTCCATTCGTAAGCTTCCTTTTGGGAGATGGCATACATGGAGTATACCTTTACAAAGAAATCGCAGAAATTCTTTTGGGTTGATTTAAGAGGACCTTTCCTTCAAAGGAAATCGGCAACTGAAAACATAGTATTAGCGTAGCCATGGGGTTGTTCCTCACGTTTATTCAGATTGGCAGGGGTCTTGTAGGCTTAGTAGGTTCCTTTTGAGGTAGGGACAGAGCCTGCTGAGTCCACCATGTTGCTTACTGAATTAAGTTGTAACAGTAAATACATATATATAGTAAGTATTATATTAAATATGTATTAAAATTCTGTGTATTTCATATTATCAAAGGTTAATATTAATTGGTTCAATAAATTAGAATATGGAAAAGGGGTAAGATATGTTCATTAAGTTGATGTGGAAGTCGAAGATTTCTTTTCGGTCCTTATTTAAATAAATAAACAAAAAATTAAATTTAATTTTTTGAAAAAAAAAAAAAAAAACGAATAAAAATTAAATTAAAAATAAAAAAAAACTATTATTTTTAATATTTGTTCTATCTATCCATATCTTTTAATAAATAAACGAGAAAAGAATGACAGAAACAGAGACACTTGCAAATATTAATAAGATTCAGGCAGAGATCGATGCTATCAGTGAGCAGACCAAGAAGAAGATCGTGTTGATCGAGAAGAACTACGCCAAGCAATTGCAGAGTGAATACGAGAAGCGAGATGCTATGATCGCCAAGTCTGGCGTACCAATGTTTTGGGGTACCGTTATCGAGCGTGGTCTCATCGATATGTTTGACAGTCTCGATCAACAGGTGATTGGATACATCGAGGAGTTCACTGCCAGCTCAGAGTTCACCGAAGATGCCGTCATCAAGAAAATCACCTTCAAATTCAAAGAGAATCCATTCTTTACCAACAAAGAATTGAGCAGAACCGTATCTATGAGCACCAAAGACAGTGATTCCGATTTCAATATTACACCTGCCATCATCGATTGGAAATCACCACAATCCGATAAGAAACCAGAGAAATCAGAGGTTAGTACATTTAAAACTATAGATTGTAATAATAAGAAACAACACTTACTTACTTACTTATTAATTAATTCAATTAACTATAGAATAATAAGAAGAGAAAAGAACAATCAAATATTAAAGAAAATAGTTTCATTTTAAAGTTGTTGGCCAATGCAGAAGAGGATGTTGAGTGGTTTGAAGAATTAATGAGAATGTACCAAGATCCATTCAGTATTTTAATTGATGACGATGAAGAAGAGGAAGGTGGTTTCGATTTTGGTGAAGACAGTGGAGAAGATGAAGATGAGGATGAGGAAGAAGTAGAAGAAGTTGCACCAAAGAAATCAGCTGCTCCAAAACAACAACAACAAAAAAAGAAGAAATAAAATAATTATATAAATATCAATCGAATCAAATCAAAACTAAATCAATCAAAAAAAGAAAAATATATATATAATATAAGATAATACTTTTTTTTTTTTTTGGGAAGGGAGTTTAAAAAATATATATTTTTTATTTTATAAATATTGTTATTTTAAAAATATTTGAAATGTTGTTGTTGTTGTTATAAAACTATTATTATTATTCTGTTACTATTATTATTATCTTGTTATTATTCAGATGAATCTCTATTTATTAATGATTCAGATTCTGGATTAACTTTTCTTTTGAATAGTTTGTTTTTGATGGTCTGCAGCCAACTGTTGTCTTTCGAGTAGTATTTGTTGGCAGAGTACATCCAGTTCTTTGAGCTGTTGGCAAACTCTTGGACACCTTCGGTGGCTGTGTTGGCGGGCGTAGTAGCGTTCGTCGATGAAATATCGATGGGTTCCATCGATTTCTTGAGTTCGTCGCTCCATGGCGCACTCGAGAGATCGAACGCATGGTACTGCAGTGAGTTCTGAACGTGTTCGTTCTCCACTCTGAAGATCGCCCATGTGAATCTACGGAATATTTCGACTGTAGCCAGAATCGTTACGAACAACTCGTTGTTGATACCGATGTTGAACTCTAGCGGTGTGATAGTGAGCGTCCAGGCGAAACGGAATATGAAATTACTGAAAATGACATAGTAGTACGCCCAGATGTATCGCTTGTAGATCAAGTGTTGTCTGAGCAACGGACGTGGAGTACCCATCCACATCAATCGCCAATCCACCAACACATCCCATGTATACATATAGAGTGTTGCAAGAATGAAACAAATACACCATAGAATTCTACCGGGTGTCCATGGTTCCGGGTAATCTGCACAAGTAGTTAACATATTAATAATCACAAAGTTACAAGTAACTTACTTCCACTTCCACCTCTACTTACTTGAATAGTTTCCATTCAATGCAGAGAACAATACAACGGTGAAACCAACACCATATTTTGTTGTGTTTCCAAGATGTATCTTTCTTTTTGTTGCTTTATAAACGAGTGCACATTGCATCATTCTCCATAGCAATGGTAAACCTGAAATAATTGGAAGAGCAATATTGTTTACTTTGTTACATCTAGCACCATCTGTTGTTTTTTTTTTAAAAAGAAAAAGGAAATAATGGAATATTAGTACTGACTCTCAAATTCTTGAGGTTAATTTGGTTGTTTAAACAAACACTTACCATTGGTAATCCAATCACCAGTGAAGAAATAACAAGCGGTGTACTCCCAATCGAAAATGGTTTTGACCATCGATGTCAAGACATCACCGAGGAACAACGCTCTGAATTTGGTACTACCGAACGGTGTTATGATGACATTACCCAGTGTTTTGAAGAGCATCAGCCGCGACTTGCGATGGAAGAATCTAAAGGGGAAGAATACGACGATCAAAAAGAAAATGACGAGCGCCAGTGGATAGACCTGTGCGGGCATATCGAGGAATTTGAAATTACCCATGATCGTTCCGCAAAACAAGAGGTACGTAAACAACCAGATCGAAGAGAGCGCAGATGCCGTCTTGAAAATACGACGACTGTCGACGGTGGTACGCGGATCAAATCCGAAAATCAATATATAGTTGACACGTTGTTTCTCCCAGATGAACACACAGACACCCCACAACCAAACCGCCAGAATCGGAATACCGACACCACGGAAAATGGGAACGACCGAAACGAAACGACCCCAATCCGGATCAGAACCGACCGCACCACTAATAAATAATATAATCAAAAATGCCAGCGCTGCCAAACTACTGCCGATGGCCAGACCCAACTTCATCATATGCCAATCGGTTGAATTCGACATCGATACCGGTCTTAACTTGTGTCTTGCAGTTGTTAACTTGTCTATTTTAAATATCTTACAAAATAATAACTAACCATAATAATAGCAATAACAACAATAATTAATAAAATGACCAACACAGTTAACCAAATACATTATATATAAATAATATTAGTTTTACATACTTCTACATCCTCTTTCATATTCTTCCATATTTTAGAAGAATAGAAAGTCTCTTTTTCAATCAAAGCCATATGAGCTTCTCTTATACTTTTACAGGTGTGTCTGTCAAACTTTTTCAGTATCTTTGTGAAACCTGTATGATTCAATCGGACGTAGTTTTCCAACATTGTCAAACCTTGATACAGCTCTAAAAATGCTCTGTGTATATTCTTTAATAACTTTGGATTTGGATTTTGATCTTTCAATATCTATTGAAATAGATAATATCATTAGTTGTTTGATATTATCAAGTGGTGATTGTTGTTGTGTTTGTTTTGATATAAATATTTACCATCGATGCATGTTCCGTCAGTTTGTTATAATGAATAATCAAATCCTTCTCTTTAGAAATAAAGAAATCGTTGATCTTCTTCAACTCTTCGTTCAACTTGTTAAAGAACAGTTTCTCTTTGTCCGCTTTACTCAAGAATGTATGTGTATCATCTGCCTGCATCACTTCTTTCATATCGATCCTACCAAGACTACTATGTCTACTATCTACACCATCTAATATTTGTCCATGTGGATGTTGTTGTTGTTGCTGCTGCTGTTGTAGATGTTGTAGCTGTTGTAAATGTTGTTGATGTTGTTGTTGATCATGAACAACATTTGGTGGTTGCTGTTGTTGAGGCTGTTGTTGCTGTGGTTGTTGATGTTGAAGTTGCTGTGGTTGTTGTTGCTGTTGAGGCTGTGGTTGTTGTTGATGCTGTGGTTGATCTGGATGTATATTTGGGAATTGAGTTGACATCATTGGCTGTGATTCATCACCAACTGGAACAATGATATAGTTTGGCGCATTCTTTCCCGAGTTTAACAACGATCGCTTTCTCAGCTCATCGGGCGGTGTCTTTGAAGTCACAGGAGTATACAGATACCGAAGATACTTCTTTAGCTTTCCATATGAAATGTATTTACTTCTCCACTCTGAAACACATTCATATCGAAGTTGTTTACCAAATTTCATCTTTTAATACAACTCTATTAAAAGATATATATGATTATCTATCTATCTCTATGATATCTATACTATCTATACTATCTATATAAACTATCTATCTAATCTTAATATTTCACTGGTAAAACTGTTGTAATTAAATTCTGAAAAAAAAAACAATAAATATCTGAATAATCTTTATATCTAAAATATCTATAACTATCTGTGATGTTGTTTAATTTCTTTCTTGATCGGGTGGGTGCTGCTTTGACTAATTTCTAGCAGTCGCGACTGTTGTTGTTTTTTTTTTGTTGAAATAATTCGTTCGCAATTTTTGCAGATTGGTATTCGAAATTTCAAATAATCTTATCACTAATGAATGTTGCTAATTAAATAATAATACCTGATAACTGATGATTGTTTTTAAATATTATTAGTTTTGTTTTTTTAAATAATTATTTACTATTTTTTTTTATTTTTTATTTAATGATTGTATACGATAATAAGTAAAGTATATAGGATTGTAAAATGACTGAAGAGAAAATAAAAATGTGAATTTGATATTACACTACTACACTTCTATTAGAATCGAAAAGTGGAACAAACAACAAAAAACAACAAACAACAAATAACAAAATTATAATAAATAAATTATGGATGTTAAAATTAAACACAATAATCTCTCCAACTAAATAAACATTTTAACCATATCAAAACCACAAACTAAATTAATTCTCTTTTTTTTTTTTTTGTCTGATTGGTTTTTTTTTTTTTTTTTTAACACATATAACAAGCATTATAATAGAATTTTGTATATAAATTTCTCTCTAAATTAAATATACTCACTAAATTTTTTTCAATATAAAATAAAATCTAATCTAACATAAATAAAATAAAAACTTATATTAAATTTTGTCGTATCATATGATTTCTTTTCTTTCTTTGAAATAATAATTATTATTCTTAAAAAAAAATAAAAAAAAAATGAAGATTATTTTATAAATATTACCTTTGGGATATTTCAATATCTGGAAAATGAAAGAAAAGATATGACAAAAAATATGTTTGTTGGTTTGTTAAGTTGATCAGTTTTTGTCAAACTCAAACTTTAGATAGATTTCAACAAGCAGTACAAATAGAGAAATCAAAACAAAAAATCATTTTAAAATTTTGATCAAATGTTTTCGTGCCTACCGATATGAAACTTTTCATTTTACTAAACAAAGTTTAACTATCTCCATAGTTGTAGGGGTACTTTTTTGCCCAGTTTTTCGAAAATCAAAAAACAAAAAAACATTTTTTTTCGCAAATAAAAGACTTCATCCCTGGTCAACTGTGTTTTAATCAATAAGATTTAAGCCTTGTTCCAGTTGGTGTTGACCAAGAGATTTTTTGTAAAAAACAATGAAAATCACTTTGTTGTTCCTATGCATGCAAATAAAATCGATTACAAACAATTATTATTACTGTTCATTTAGATTCTTTTTTTTCTTGTTCCTGGTGGTAAAGAGGGAGGAATCAAATGAAAAAATTACAATTATTCATTCAATTTCCTTAATAAGAACAGAAATGTCATTGATGACATCCCTATCCTTTTTATCAATCAAACAAAGAGGCTTTTTTTAAATGAGTGGCTTGTTTCAATTGTTTGTATTGGGCAGTGCAGGTTTGTGATTATTACACTTTTTTTTTTATTATTGAAATTTCCCATTACGATTGTTGAAACGTTTTAAAACACCACGCTCAACAACCACATTTAAAAGAAAAGGTTGTAAAGAGTCACCCAGAGTTAAGAATGTTTCCGACACCATTAGAAAATCAAAAAAAATACAAAAAAAGTTTACAACAATCATGTAAAGATCCAAGAAGTGAACCTTTTAGCTGAACAACATGAATAGATTAATTAGCCGTAGTAGGAGAAATAAAATGATCAAATAAAATTGATGAATAATACTCCAATCAAAGAGAAGAAGAATTATTATAATATTATTGATTGTCTAGTTTTATTTATTTTCTTTTGTTGTTTGATTTCTTGTTATTTGTTTGAGGTTGTTTCTTTGCTGGTGGTGATTGAGTTTGGATTTGTTTTTTTGCGATGTTGTTATTTGATTTATTATTATTCTTCTTTGGTGGTGGTGTTGGTGGAAGTTCCTCTTCCTCTTCCTCTTCCTCTTCCTCTTCCTCTTCAAATTCAACTTCATCTTCATCATCTTCATCTTCTAGTTGAAGTAATGACTCGTCCAACTCTTCTTCCTCTCCATCATCTTCATCTTCATCCTCACCTTCCAACTCTTCTAAATCTTCATCATCTTCTAACTCCTCATCCAACTCTTCATCACCATCTTCTAATTCTTCATCATCATCATCGCCTTCTGGTTGATCGATAATATTTCCTTCATCATCGACAAAGTTTTCATCTATCAAGTTATCAGCTGACTCTTCCAAATCCTTAAGTTTCTTTGCAGTAGCTTCAAATCTATTGCTCAAATTGAATAACAATTTTCTATTCTCTGCTTTAGTTTTCCTTTTTAAATTAATAAAAAACAGTTAGTATTACTTTTAAAATTGAGCAATCTGAAAGATAGATGTAATAGTTACTTTGAGGAGGCAATAGCTAAAAATAACTTTGATAACATTTTATAATCGGTTGGGAAGATAGTTTGAACGAGTTCACCGTTCTCGTCATACTCCTCTTCTACCATCCATGGATCACGCTCATCGAACGGCGAGAAGGTGGTCATGATACGGTGGAACACACGATCTCTGATACGCAAGGCGGCAACGTCGTCCTCGGACTTGGCGAGGTAGTTGATGAATGGCATCAACAGCTTGTTGAGATAGGAAGCATCGATGTATCCCTCTGACACCTTGTAGAGTTCGACCAAGTAGATATCAGAGATGTGCAGAACGAGACCGTTGGTCTCGGCAGTGGTGGTGGGGGTCGACGATGGATTCAAACAGGTCTCTTTGAGCACATCGATAAAGTCTTGCAGTAGGATGACGCCCTGACCGTTCGGTGCATCTTGGTACTTCAAGAGGAACTTGAACGACTTTCTCAACATCTTTCTGACCAACGAGTAATACTTATCCAAACGATAACGATCGATCAAATGCCACTTTTGGAACATCGTAACAAAGAACGCTCTGATAAATTGCAATGACATATCGGTCTTGTGGAAGATACCAATCAAATCTGAAATCTTTTCATTCAATTTCTCTTGCCATAATGGTTTATCTGCTCCCCATACATCTATTATAATAAAATAGTAATAAAATAAAGTACTATTAGTAAAAAGTATACACTTTTTGTATTTATTAATAGCTACTTACATGTAAATAATGCTTTCCAAATTTGTAGTAATTCAAGTTCAGTAAAGAGTGTGTTATGATTGATTAATGTTTTTAGTTGAGTGAGATGTGCTAGTCTTGTCTTTGGATCTTCTGATACGAGACCTTCAGCAATCTCTTTGATTGGGTAAACCTTTACTTTTCTTTGTTTCTTTATTTCTTCTCTCTCGATTTCATCTTGAGTTCTCTTCTTTGTCTTTACAAGTTTATAGTTTGTTGAATCACCACCTCCTTTAATAACCATGATTCTTTCTATATTATAATATTAATATTTTATTAATAATAATTAAAATTTTAACAATCAAAAAAGTACATAAAAAAAATTTCGTTCGTTTTTTTTTAAAAATTTATTTATTATTTTTAAATGAAAACTATTTTTTTTTTTTTTGGACTGCAATCAGAAAATTTATAAGAATTTAATGAATGAATAATTAATTAATATTTATTACATACTAAAATGAATAGTTTAAATAATACCATAGATATGAATGATTTTGTTTGTTTAGATCATTTGAAAACTTTTGAAATCATTTGTCATCAATGTAATCTATTATTGTGTGCAAGATGCTCCACCAATCATAATAAACAACATGAACACAATAAATTTTGTGATCATATCGATGATATCAAACAATCTTTATATAAATATCAATCAAATACACAAAAACAATTTAAAAAACAAAAAACAACCCATATCAGTACTGACAATAATAACAATAATAATAGTAGCAGTATATTTGAGAATAGTAGAATATTAGAACTGTGGGAAACAATCAAATCATCAAATTTATATTTCAGAAAGTTAGAATCAACTGAATCAGAGATCAAGAATCACTTTCATAAGATGCATCAATATCTGGTTGTTGAAGAGCAACGTTATCAGAAACCGATTCAAGAGAGTAAATCAAAGACACTCGATACAATCAAGAATAATATTGAAGAGTTAAAACATATCGTTAATATCATCAATTTAGAGGATCGTGAGAGTGATAGCGAAGATAATAATAATAACTCTGCAGATACAACCTCCAGCTATTCAATAGAATCAATCATGGAATCACTGAATAAAAGCAATTCACTTTTATCATTTATCGAATCAAAAGATAAAACAGTTTTCAATATCAGTGCATTCACCAATGACAAATCATCATACAAAGATCTAGAGTCATTGATTCTCGATTCAATTCACAAATACAATCAACAATTTAAGAAATCATTAATCAAATCCAACAAACCAGATACACCTCCTGACTACCAATTGAAAACTGAATCAATCAATACAACCATGATCAAAGAAATGGTGAATCAATCAATCCATCTTTCAATTAAACAAACCACTCAATCGCATAGTCAAAATACCCCACAATCTACAAAAAACAAACTCTTATTTATTCATCGCACATCAAAATAATGGAGCTTTTATCATTGATTTTAAAAGAAATTCCTACAAGAATCATATTCTTGGTTATGATTTTACCAATACTCAAAGTTCAATTGTTTCGGTTGGCAATAATCTCTATGTATTTGGTGGCTCTAAAAACCCAGATAAATACATGATATTCTCAAAAAAACAACTTTACAACAAATACATATCTTACCTCGCCTTCTTATTAACCAACCTTGGATTCCGACATTTTTTTTGGAGAAGATTACCCAAAAAAAATGTGTCCTTCTTGATCAAATTTAATTTATCTTTATCAAGAAAATTTCTTTTATAAATAAAAAATATTAAAATAATTGCTTACATATAATAATTTCGTTATTGATAATATATATATTTTATTTAGATTATATGCTTTAAAATAAATATTATTACTATTATTATTTGTTTTTAATTATCACATGATGGTCCAGTTGCACCTGCAAAGCATGAACAACTTAGAATATATCCGTCATCATTGATTTGAGCAACACCATTAAAACATGAACCAATTACACCTATTGCCTTATACTAATTATTATTATTATATAGTTTTTAATTAATATTAAATATTTAGATATCAAATAATAAATGTTTTGATTAAAGTTAAACTTACATATGAAAACGATTGTTCATCATAAATAGTTACAAAATATGGTTCGTGTGCGTATGGAAGAGTAATGTTGGCTTTGTTTACTCCTTGAACAGATAGAGAATAGAAAGTGTATGAACCTGGCTCGTTGGAAATAGAGTTGACGAATTGACCTCCGATCAATTGTTTTGGATATCCCAGGAAATATAAACCACCGGCATAGTTACCAGCAGTGTTACGATCTAGTATAGTTCCGTATAAATTAACCATAAATGGTCCTTCTAGTGAGTTCAATTGGTACAAATACTGAATATTAAAAAAATAAATAGTTTCTTCATATTAATTATCATTGGATACCATGATGAGGGTATATTAAAAAGTACTTACGATTGCACCACCATCTAGAGCAGCATAATTATCTGTTAATAATGAGTTAATAATATCTACTTGGGCAATGTCTGATCTATAACCTATATACAGGGCACCACCAGAGTTATTTGCATTGTTGTAAGTGAATACACATCCTGTTAAGAAGATAGAGGTTTGAATTGTGTAAATAGCACCACCAATACCATCAGCAGAGTTTTGATCGAATGTTGAATTGACAACGACCATTTGAATTGGGTTTTCGGCATCAGCATATACAGCTCCTCCAGCACCACTAAACTGAGCCTGGTTACCTTGGAAGCTGGACAAACCAATGGTGATATTGATTCCAAAAATAGCTCCACCATTTCCAGCGCTATTATATTGGAAGGTAGAACCGTAGACATTGATACCGTTCAAAGAGTATATGGCACCACCTGTGAAAGAACAATGATTTTCAATAAATGTTGAATTGACTACATCCATAAGGTAAATAGTAGCGACTGCTCCTGCCATATAAGCGTTGTTACCGATAAAGGTAGAGTTGATCAGGTTTGCAGATGACGAATAAATAGCTCCACCCTCTTCATCGTAAATAGTGTTTTGATAGTAGTTGGATTGTATTGACACGACTTGACCGTAGGGAGCACTGATAACACCACCTCCACTCTGTGCGGTGTTTCCAGCAAAGGTACTGTTGAGTACGTAGACTTTGCCGAATGAGCAGTATGCAAATCCACCATATCCACCGGCATAACTACCATTGGAAATAACATTACTGAAAAGAAGAGTAGAGGCCAAAGCACTCCTTGAATTACCACCGATAGCAATAGCACCTCCATTGTATTCGGCCTTTCCTTTAATAGATAAATTGTCAAACATAATGTCAATTGGATTAGATCCAACATTCAATGTCAAAAATTGTGACTATAAAAAATTAAGTAGTTAGTAAATTGACATTTCAATGTTAATGTTATTATTAGAATGAATTTAACTAAAGTAACTTACTGAACCACATTGGATATCGACTAGACCATTGTAACCAATAAAAGAAATAGAGCCAGGGAATTGGAGCACTCCTAAATATCCTGGGCAATCATTTGGTCCATATGATCCAGCTGAAATTAAAACTTGGTAGTTTTGAGTTTGTTGACTTTGATTGAATAATCTTATACAAGAAATAATAGATGGACATCTTTAAAAAGGTAATTTTAAATTAAAAAATTAATTAACTATTTATTATAAAGAATTAAAAAAACAACTTAATTTAGTAAAAAACTTACACATATGCATTGGGTGTAGATGAACAAGATGAAACTTTATTATTTACTACACATGTTGCGACTGAACCTGTAGTGAACTTCTCTTTTATCTCTTGTTCAACAGAAGTAATGCTCATACAATTGATTGTTGCAATAGAAATTGCAATAAGTAAAATTGAATATAATAATTTCATTTTAATTATTATATGTATCTATATAAAGTTTTTTGTAAATAAAATGATTGATATTAACATCGCTTATATAAAAGCTTTTGATTGACACATCAGCTTGGGTTTTGAGAAAAAATAAACGATTATATGTAGTATCTTGATTCTTGAAATTTGCAAATCCGACCCTATAATATCTTTGAAAAAATCTTAAAAATTTGTAGCTCCAAACAAGTTTTTTTTACAAAAATCTATTGAGAAGATTGATGACATTTTCTAATTTTTAGGATTTTTTTTTAAATGATCAATATCGTCATTAATCTTTGTTGTAGTTAACCTATTAGTTTAGGACAAATAAAAAAAATGAATATAAATTGATTTCTAAAAAGAAATTTCAGATAAATATAAACAGTTCTACAAAAGATCTTGCTTGCTTAAAAATCAATCATTTTATTAATATTTTATTGTTTTTATGCTGACATTCCATATGGAATTAATATAACAGAATAGGTCATTACTCATTACTACTGAATAGTTAGTTAATTTTGTTTATTGGTAAACAAATTGTCTACATAGTGATATTAATTAATTTGTGTCTAGGTCTAGATACTAAATAAATACATGATCGTCGTTCTTCCTTTGTATAAAATAAAAGTTAAATTAGTTTGGTTTTATATATGTTTTTTTTTTTTTAAGTTTATTATTATTTTTATTCACTGTTTGAAGATTTAAATATGTTGAAACCTTCATAGGCAGTGGTAATGGCGACATGTGGAATTTGTGGATGCCAATGAACTTCTTTGACATCGTGTTGACCTTGGTGAATAAAGAAAAGTTGTGGTGGAACTTGATAGTCGTCGGTTTCTTCGGTACCCTCAAACTCTTCGGTATCCTCTTCCAGTGAGAAGTCCCATACTGTGACTTGATTGTCGTTCGAAGCGACAATCACTTGAGATTCATCGAATGGATTCCATTGGAGTGAAGAGATCGGACCGTTGTGATAGGTAAAGTTGGAGACTGGTGAGTCGTTCTTAAAGTTACGCAAATCCCAGACACGGAAAGAACCGTCGTCGCCACCGGACACCATGAGATAGCCAACCTTTCGACTCCAAGAGATTACGTTGACATCCGATTCGTGGGCATGCACTGAAATCGCTGGTTTTCTCGAACGGATATCCCACACCTTGATCGTTTGATCGCTACTGCAACTTGCAAAGACATTGACTTCGCTCGGACTCCATTGAATGTCCTCAACCGATGCTTCGTGTCCTTTGTAGGGTGCGGTGTCTGTCTTCCATGTTGCACCGGCTGCGTTTGTAACGTAGATCATATTGCTACAGTCACCACTTGCCAGTCGACCAACGGTGGTTGGTGACCAATCGAGTGCGTAACCCTCATCACTATGTGAAGTGACAACGTGAATCGGTGATGATTGATTCTTCAGTTGTTTATTCTCACCGTCCAACTCCTTCAAATTATTATGTATATTCCAAATGAAAACCTGTCTGCTATCGGACCATGTTGCAACTATATTTGGTTGTTGTTCCATTGCCTAGGTAGAATAAAAAGGGTGGTGAAGAAAATTAATAAATATTTCTAGAGTGGAGTGGAGTGTTTTTCAAATGTTAATTTTAACATACCCTGATTCTATTTACAGCTCCATTGTGATTGATAAAATTAGTTTGTAAATCTACTTCCTTGTCAAAGTCTTCGTCTTCATCATCTTCTTCATCAGATGATTCAGCGTCGGAATCATCTTCATCATGTTTAGTTTTGCACAGTGACGATACTTTCATCACTAAAATCTTATTATTCTTTGCTTGATCTGCTTGAGTACCTGCAACCATATACATTGTATGTGGATACTAATAATGATAAAAAATGACTAATTAGTAAATACTATTTTTTCTATTAAAAAATAAAGTAATTTAGTTACTTTTGATCTATTTAAACCTAAATTATCTCTTAATGGTTGGAAACTCAAACATGGCCATTCAACGGTCATTGTGTGCATCATGTCGTAGGCAGATGAATCGTAGATCAGCTCTTCATCTTCATCCATTGCATCTACACCGGGTCTCCATACTCTGAGATTTGAACGATCATCTTCATCCTCTTCTTCGTCTTCTTGTTCTATCTCTTGATCGTTGTTCTCCTCTTCATCTTCATCATTCATCTCATGATAATCTTCTTCCTCATCTTGCTCCTCTTCAATTTGATCATTCTCCTCTTGATCATCATCAAACTCTATATCATCATCACGTTCTCTCTTTGACATGATCTGCTTTCTATATATATTTCCTAATATAAATATATATATATTACTGAAAATAAAATCAAATCAATAAATAAATAAATAAATTATTAATAAAACCTTTTAGTTTTTTTTTTCGTTTTGTTTTTGTCGTTTTTTCAAAAATTATAAATATAAAATTAAATCAAATGTTTTTTGTTTTTTTATATTAAAAAAATAAAAATAAAGAAGAATGTTGGAAAGGTATTTGTTCAAAAAAAAAAAAAGAATAACTCTTCTTGTATGTATGTTTGTTTTGTATTTATTTCAATTTTATAATTTATTCAATAAATAAATAGCTACCAATCTAAAATATATAAAAAACTAAAATAAATTTATAAATTCTATCTAAAAAGAAATTATTATTTGAGTTATGATAAAACTTAAAACTAGAAGATGTGAATAAAACAATTAATAGTTAACTCTTAAGAATTGAGCTACAATCTTATTCATTTAAACAAACTAATATCTTTTAAAATTTTTGAAAAAAAAAATGATTAAAATTTAAAAAATCAAAAAAAAATAATCAAGTTCATTGATTTTACATTATTAATAATTATATATTATGCAACTATGCAATCAATAAGATGTACAAATTATCATTTAATAAATAAAGAACCATATGGAAATGATATAATAAAATATAGTTGTGAATGCTCAAAAGCTTATAATCTCACTGAACTCTATTTTTGTAATGGTTGTCAGAACTTAAATTGTAGATATTGTATTCATGAGGAGATAGATTGTTATTTTTGTCCAAATTGTTTAGATCATGTTTCTGTTGCTGAAGCAAGTTTATATGGTAATAGGTATGTAACACAACAATATCATAATAATAAACAATTTAATTAATTACAATCATTTTTTTTAAGATGTAAGAAATGTTATGATTGTCCAATTTGTTTTGGAACTTTAAATTATCAACAACAACAACAACAGCAACAAGGAACTACAACAACTACAACAACAGGTACAGAAGTATTCTTTTTAAATTGTGCTTTCTGTAAGTGGAATTCATTGGATTCCGAAGCAAAGGTTGATATACAAATCGGTAGAGTAACAAGAGAGGTAACACCTCAACAGACCGAGGTGACAAGAGTACTCGATGCACTACAGAAAGAGATGGCAGAGATGTCCACTCCATCGAAAGACAATGGTGCTAGATCTGTCAATCGATTAAAGATGGCTATGAAGCAGTTCTTCAATCCACAATTGTCTGCTTCGTCGTCGTCTTCGTCTTCCAGTCAACAGAGTGGAAGTGGTTCAAGTGGTAGTGGATCAGCAGCAAACAGTGCATCTCACGATGAGCGTTGGAGTATGAACAAATCGGTCGCACAACCACAACCAAGCAACCCTCTAATGCCACCCGGTAATCAGCTACTTGGAAAGGTCGCCATCAAGAAGCGTGTCAATCCTATCACCTCCACCGACACTGACAATATGATACAACAACGTATCGATGCTCGTTCATTCAAAACAACCGAACAACAACAACAACAACAAGAAGATAGTGTCAATAACGATGACGAGATATCAGAGTCGTTGCTAAATATGAGTGACAGCTCGATTGCCAGTGGTATCAACCAGCGACTTGCATCGATCAATACACAGTCACCGCTACTCTCAAAGTTGACACCTCAACACCGACAACTTATGACGAGACGTTCCAAGCGTTGCAAACGTTGCGACAAACTCTTGGTGAAGCCAGATATCAACCCGTCAAAGACCGAGTTCAAACGTCAGCACTTTGCATTCACCTATGTACCGCGTATCACTATAACCAAGGCAGTCTGGCTAGCCAAAGATCTCTTTGATCTGTACATCACATTCACCAATCCACTGCACTCGTTCCTCTTTATGTCGTTCCCACAAGAGTTTGACAGCAGTGTCATCTCGGTCGATGACAACTCGCGCGTTGCCAACGTCATCAAGGAGACCTACATCGTTGGTCTACTCGACGAGACAGACGATCAAGTCAACGAAGCATTGAAACACCTCAAAGAACAAGAAAAGTTCATTGTAGAGCGTAAAGACAACAAACTGACACTCAAAGTAATGGTAAAAGTCACTGGTGGTAGTGCAATCACCGAAGACTCAACTTCAACTGCAGTCGTCCAACAAAATTCAAATGAAAGATTTGAATCTTCATTTGATAATCTAAAGGTAAGTTCGAATAGAAATCAACATGATACAACAATCATTTCTAACCAAAGATAATCGATTATCTAGTTTACATTATTCTTTGAATTTAGTACAAATAGTTCTTTAATCTTGAATCTTGGTGGTGGTGACAATGCAACACCCACTCCGGTAGCAACACCGACAACACCATCCTCTGTATCAGTAGTTCCAAAATCGACACCAATGAAAATATTATTTAACATTCCTGCATCACTCTTTGAAAATACTAGTATCCTTAAATAAATAATTTATATCTATAATATCTATAATAATCATTACTACTACTACTATCATCTTATTAATATTAAAAGTTAATTTCTTGCAGGATCGGATTTATTTGCAAATTGTATGACTGGGTCTTTGACGGTGAATGATTCACCACAACCACAAGTATTGGTTGCATTAGGATTGATGAATATAAACTCTTTCTTTATAGGTTCTTCTATGTAATCCATTTCAGTGCCTATCACTGACATTAATGCTTTAGAATCTACAACTACTGTTACACCTGTGTGTTATTTGTTTTGTAAAGTAAATATGTATAAATATATATTGATCATCATTGTAGAAATAGTTATATTTTCGATAGATACCTTTATCGGTTACAACTTCATCTAGTTTATTGGGTGGTTGGTTTGTGAAATCTAGAGTATATGCTAAACCTGAACAACCTTTTTGTTTGACACCGAGTTTCATACCTAAAAAGTTCTCTTTTCCTTCTTGTTTCATTAACTCTCTAATTTTATTTACAGCTGAGTCGGTCTATTATAATATAATAATGTGTTAATATTACTATTATTTCAATGTGAAATATGATGTTCATTGCAATCAATTAATTGTTTACCATTGAAAAGATAGCTTTTCTCGATGGTTTTCCTAATCTAACAACACCTGATATAGACATGATTTACTACTTGTTTTCTCGGAAATAAATAATATATGTGTAATAATAATAATAATAGAATAATAATCAAATTATATCAATAGTTAAAATATATAATAAATAATAATAAATAAACGGTTAATTAATTAATGAATCATTCAATGACACAGAAATTACTCAAAAAAAATGATTTTTAGTAAAAACAAAAATAAAAAAACAACATGCTTTTTTTTTTTCCAATTCTTTTTTTGGATGCAAAAGAATTTCAAACATCATAATTACTCGAAGAGGTATTATTATCCCTGGAGAAATTTCAAATTTTATATAATTTTTTAGATCAAAACAATTTTTAAAGTATTAGAGAAAGGTTTTTAAAAAAAAAAAATATAGTAAGTTATTAAGTGTTTATTATTATATTTTTGGTGTGTTATGTTAAAATAAAATTTAATCATATCTTTTTTTTGGGTGTTCAACACTGAGGTCCTAATTTTAGTTGGAAAGATCTGTAATTTATCTTTTTTTTTTTTTTTTAAACCTTCAGTAAAATGTTTTTTTTTTTTGCTTCATCAAACTTTTTTGGAATGAAGTTGATTGTTCACTAAATTAATAATATAATTATATAAACATTATAAAATGGATACAGATACTCCGTTTGTATGTATGGCACACAATAAAAAAAGTTTTGAGATTCTTTGTTTCAGGTGTAATACTCTATTGTGCCCAAGATGTTGTGCCTCACACAATCACGAAGACACCACTAAAAATCATTATAATCATGTGGATGACATCAAGCTGTCTCTTCAAAGACATCTAACCAATAACTATGATATCAATAATAATAATAATAATAATAATAATAATAATAATAATAATAATAATAATAATAATTATAGTGACAGTGATAGTAACAATAATAATCAAGTTAATAGTGAAGGACGTAGTAAAGAATGTGATGGTACTACAACTGATTTTATTTTACAAAAGACCAAAGCAATATGGACAGACTTGAAATCATCGACCATCAGATACCAATCGTTGACATCCACCGAGAAAAGAATCATTAGCTACTTTCAGCGTATAACTCAGCTACTTAACAAGCAGGGAAATATTCTAATGGAGCCAATCGTCAAAGAAAAAGAGACCATCTTCGAAAATTTCCAAAAGAGTATCAAAGAACTACAACAATTAGTACAAGTATCGAATCTATGTAAGCTTGACAACAGTGAATTTGTCGATCGATCCAATGAACAGAGTGCATTAGACCATCAGAAAAACACTGGCAATGGAAGATACAGGATAGAGGAAACTATGGAATCAGTCAAGAACTGTCAAACACTTTTGAAATTCATACAACTCGAGACTGACTTGTTTCCTAAACACTGTGAAAACAGTGAGGATCTAACTTCACCATATCAAGGCGATATAAATTCTGCGGTGTTGGATAATCTCACAAAAATCTTTATGAAGGAAGAAACCGCTAAAACGCGTATGCAATTGTTGGACTACCTCCTTGAAAACAATATGGATACCAGTGGATATGAAGAGTTGATAGAGCAATCGATTAGAATCACTACAAAGCCAATTGAAAAGCCAAGATCCTATATTTTATCAACACTAGCAGAAACCGGTGCAACTCTGATTGATGTTTCCAGCAATTCAGTAGAGGAACTGAGCTCACAATACAACCTATGTGGTGCAATGGTAAAGGCCGGAGATTCCATTTATGTATTCGGTGGTGGCGGTGAGAATCAAAAGGATGAGAATAAATACTTTAAATTCTCTACTCAGACAATGTCGTTGGTAGCTGCCCAAGAAATGAAAGAAGTTTATCTCGGGGAAATGCTTTCTGCCTGCTATGATGGACATGACCATATTTACATTATCAGTAACTTCAACAAAACCAGTATCCACAGGTTCAATATTAAAACATCGAAATATGAATGTTGCCACAAACCCTTCGCCATAGGAGATCTATCCAAGGTAATTCTATCGTTCTTCTATAAAGGAATGCTGTACATTTTACCAAAGGATACACACACTCTCCAATTCTTCAATCCTACAGGACTAAAAAGAAGGTTAGAGGATTGTCACACATTCTCAAACGGTGGAGATAAGCCAGTGGCAGCCTGTACCGATGGTCATGGAAATATCTATATTTTCTACCCCAAGGATTTCATTAGATTCAATATCGACACAAAGGTCAAAAGCCAGATTAACTCAATATTAAAATATTCCATTGATGCTAAATTGTCATTGACCTATCACTCTAATCCAAAAGAGATTGGTGGCGAATGTATTTATATTGTTGGTGAAGGTGTTATCAGGTATTCAATAGAATCAAAACAATTTACACAAATTATAGGTGATTTTCAATATAGTAGAAGTGTTTGTTCATCCATTATTATAGATCAAAAGAATTAATAAAATGTAAAATAAACTTTTTTTTTTTGTATTTTAATAAAATTGCCCAATAAAAAAATATCTTTTTTGACCTCAAAAATTAAACTTAAAGTTTAATTTTTGTCCAGAGGACCTTGCATGGTCCTTCACAAAAGAAATTTACTTATTCTTTAATTTTATTGTTGATCATTTTATTTTTTACTTATTTAAATGGAAAGAGATAATTTTTTAGGATTAGAGTGTAATCACTTTAAGAAATATAAAATTCTTTGTACTGAGTGCAAACAAATAATGTGCTCATGTTGTTACACTCTTCATAATAATAGAATTAAACATGAAACAAATAACTATAGCAATCATATTAATACAATTATTGAATCACTTCAAAAACATTTCAGTACCGATTTAAATAATAATAATTTTAAGAATGATAATAATGAAAAAAGTCGAGGTAGTAGTAAAGTAGATAGTTCAACCAACCGTGACTATATAACAGAGAGAAGAAATTTACTCTGGAATACTTTGAAATCTTCTACAAGTAGATATCAGTCATTGACGTCAACCGAGAAAAGGATCTCACAATATTTCAGGGATGTTGTAAATGCTATTGTTGCAGAGGAAAAAAAAATAAGTGGTCCTATCGGTAAAGAAAAAGATGACATCATCAAGGAAATCAACCATTCTATCAATGAATTGAAATACCTAGTAAACATTGCCAATCTCTGTCTTATTGAACCAATTGACCAAGAGAATGAATCGCAATCCTCCACATTCAACAGTGAAATACAACCATTTCATGTCAATGAACAGCCGGACTCCAATGGTCGATATTTGGCAGAGGGTATAATGAATTCAATAAAAGAGTGTCAAACACTTCGCTCCTTTCTCCACTCCAACAGAGACTCGCTCTTTAATGAATACAGCTACAATCTTGCCGACCTGACCTCCATTTATCAAGGTGATATCAGAGCGATGATAATGGATAATATCAACAAATATTGTAGTTATTTCGACTTTCCCAAAGAATCAGAGTTGTCTCCGGTGAATTACAATGTAGAGACCAATCTGGATATCGATCGCTTCGTAGAACTGATGCAATCGTCAATCAAACTATCACAACCAAAGGAGAATAACTCATATATTTTCTCGACACTAGATACAACTGGTGCAACACTGATCCACATGAAATCCAACACCGTCGAAGAGATTCCAACTCATTCAAACTTGAGCGGAGCGCTGGTGCCAGTTGGTGATACTATCTATATTTTCGGAGGAACCGACCACTTGAGTATGAATAAGTTCTTTAGATTCTCAGTGGACTTTAATAAAACATTGGTGGCCGGAGAGATGAAGAATATCGATCTTGAAAGAGGCATTTCAGCGTGCTACGATGGCAAAGAACATATCTATATCCTAAGTAACTTTAACGACACCGGTATACATCGATTCAATACCCAAACAATGATCTTTGAAAGATGTGATTCACATGATAAATACAATGGTTTTATCATTCTGTCATTCTTTTACAAAGAAAAACTATATTTCATTACCAAAGAGGATTGCGCAATTAGAACACTAGATCCAAAGAATGGAAAGATTGAACTTTTTAATAGCTTCCCTAGTTTCCTTAGACTCAACCCAGTGGCAGCATGTACCGATGGTCATGGAAACATCTATATCTATGAAATAGACATGTTCTTTTGCTTCAATGTCGATTCGAAATCGAGTGCCGATCTTAAATTTCAAAAAATTCCTCTTCCATTGTCGTTGGCTTACCACCAAGACGGGTATATTTACGTTGTCGGTAATGGCTGTATCAGATATTCAATTGAATACAACGAATGGGTACAGATACTATCGGAGACTGACTATAATAGAAATGTTTGGTCATCTACTATCATTGTACTATAATAAAATAATTATAACTTTGTAATAAATAATAATTTTTATGTTTTTTTTCATTTTTTCAACCAATTAATTATTTCTCGAAACTTTAACACAACGGTGGTGGTCAAATTCAAATTATTATTTTTCTTTCTCTCTGTTCAATTTAATTGTATACATATTTTTAAGATTCATTTGTTATTTTATTTTTTTGTACAGATTTATATAGTAGTAGTAGTAATAGATGAATACATTGAAATTACATTTATCACCAACATTAGATGCATATGATCATTTTGAATGTGTATCAAAGTTATCGAATGACGTAGATTTAAAACAGTTGGCCACTTTGTTTTCAAAAGATCAAATTGGACAATGGAAGATACCAACTAAATATATCAATAGTAGAAGAGATCTAAAAGTATTTCAATCGAGTACACTCTATAATGAATTATTAAAGTTTATCATTCAACTATCATTAAGTGTACAAGGAATGCCTAATGATAAAGATATACAAATATCAGACGTATGTATCAATCAATCGAACAAGTAAACAAACAATCAATCAAATCTAATCAATAGTTTATAAATACAATAGAATGTAAATAGATTTAAACAATTATTAGATAAACTATTAGGTTTCATAAATGAAATTCCACCAAAACCAAAAAGAACTAGATTTGGAAATGAATCATTTGTTGAATGGTTCGATAAATTAGAGAAAGTAAGTTTAGCTCAAAATCAATCAATGGAAATGTTAATGATTGAATGTGAAAATTAACTTTCTGTTGTTTGTTTAATGAAATGAATCTTAGGAATCACCTGTTTTATGTAGAGATTTAATTGGTGGTGCTGTCGATGATCTTTGGTTATCAGAGAATCCAGAGAATCATGTACATACGTACGATGAGTTGGCAGTGTATCTGTTGAATAGCTTTGGCGATAGAACGCGTATCGACTATGGCAGTGGCCACGAGTTGAATTTCATTTGTTTGTTGCTCGGTCTCGTTCGTATCGGTTTCTTCAGTGCAACAGACTATCCCGCTATAGTTCTCAAGCTGTTCTACGGCTACATCGATCTGATGCGTCGTCTCCAGCAGGTCTACTGGCTAGAGCCAGCGGGCTCACACGGTGTCTGGGGACTGGACGACTACCACTTCCTGCCGTTCCTCTTTGGCTCGTCGCAACTCATCGAACACTCACACATCCGTCCCAAGTCGATACGAAACGAAGAGACTGTCGCCTCGTTTTCGCAGCTCTACATGTATCTGCAGTGCATCCACTTTATCAACCAGGTCAAGACCGGATCGCTCATGGAGCACTCGCCAATGCTCGTCGATATCAGCGGCGTCAAGAACTGGTCCAAGGTGAACGAGGGAATGATCAAAATGTACAAAAAAGAACTGCTTGGCAAGCTGCCGGTAATGCAACACTTTTTCACGGGAACGCTTCTCGAGTTTGTCGATGACCCGTCGGTGGTCGACGACGAACCACCTGCGCCACGTGTCATGAAAGTACATTCATTCGCATGTTGTGGTTGTACCGACAAAGTTCCATCGATGTTTGCAATGTCCTCTGGTGTTCCTGCTTCAGCCCCAACCACCACCACCCCCCCATCAGCATGACCACGATCAAAACCATAACCACGATCAAAACCATATTCATAACGGGGATTGTTGTGATAAACAACAATAAAAATATTCACAAAAAAAGAAAAAAACCAAAAAAGAAAACAAACAAAGAATGGTGAATCAACCAAACACACACCCCAACTATTATTACCAGATTTAGTATTTTTATCAAAATGTCAGTTGGTAACTTGATTTTATAGATCATTTTAATCTTGATACCAAAGTGTTAACGAACAATTTTTATTATTAGAGAACATGTTTGAGGTTGATTAAACAACCAACACACCAATTAACATCGACATGTTAATTCAATAATGAAAAAAAGTCAACATCAAATTGAAAGCCGTTGGTTAGGCAGCAAGTTTTTTTTTTTTTTCAAATCCTCAGTCACAGTTCTCAATTTATTTAATTAATTTTTTTGGATTTTTTTTTTTTTTTGGTTTAAAATGCGAATTCCCAAAAAAGGATTTTAAAAAAAAAAAAACAAAATAGAAATAGAAATTGTCCAATTTTATTAATTTTCTGTGTAACTCAACCTCTCAGTAGACAACAAAAATTTCGTGAAAAAATAAAAAGAACAACAACAATTTTTGGGAAAATCAATCATTATTATAGTATGAAATACACATAGATAGATTGTCTTGTTTACCAATAGATTCAACAATTATTTTTTTTTGTTTTTTTAAATTAATTTTACATTTGTCGAAGTTGTTTTTTTTTTTTTTTTTTTAGAGACCCTCCTCTTTAAAACTTTTTTTTTATTTTTGGTTTTTTTTTTTTTTAATTTTCAAAAAGTTATTATTGTTTTTTCTAACATCAACAACAGTGTAAAGAGAAAGTTTAATATAATTATATATATATAGTTTAAAAGTAGTAGTAGTAATATAATTTAATAATTTGTATATAATTTTAGTAGTTTGTATTTTGTTTTATTCTATTTAAGTAAGGATCTTTATAATCTATCTTTCTTTTTGGCTTATTTTGTTTTTTAAAAGAAAAGTAAAGAATCTTATAAACTAAAATCTTTAAAAGAACAAAAATAAATAACACACAACGACACACATAGCACAAACACACACACAACATAAATACAATAGAGAGAGAAATAAAGAGATTTTAGATTTAATAAAAAACAACAAAAGAACAATAACAAGCAATATTTTTCAATTTGGAGATCGAAACACCCATCAAACAACATAACGAGAGCAGCGATATATTCAAAACTATAGGAACACATCAACAACAGGCTAGTGTGTATTAAAAATAGTTCCAACATTTTAGCACTGCATGTTTTTTGCAAAAAAAGGTAAAAATAACAAGTAACCCCGCATCAACTATGCCCAAAAACACTTTGAAACTACAGATAATATTAAATTCTCTTCACCTAGCTTGTTTGTTGAAATAATAATTAAACTACCAATCAATTAAAAAAAAACATAAAAAGAAAAAAAACAATTTAATCTTAAAGTTAAATTTGCTTTTAAAGTCTATTGCTATTATTTCCATTGTGTTATTGTAACTTTTAAAATTTAACAAATTCCAAAAGAGAGAGAGAGAGAAAGGAAGGAAGGAATAAACTTGGATATCTCATCACATCATCATCATCAACAACACCACAGCAACGACAATAACAATAACTCCAAAACAAACACCAAAAAAATATAGTTTTAAGGAAGTAGTAAGTTACTTAAAGATTAAAGAGCCGATCAAAATAAACAAAACAAACCAAAAAAAAAAGATAATAATATTATAATAATTTAAAGAAAGAAATATTACTTTGCATATTGAGAGTTGAAGATTGAAATTATAGTTGTTCAAAAGTAAAAAAAGAGGTATTACTCTATATTTATTTATAATATTCATATCATCCATTACTCTTCAAACGGAGATACTCGAAATTTCAAACAACTTAACATCCAAAAAAACATTCAAAAAAAAACATTTGAATTCAAAGTTTGTTTTTTGTTTTGTTCAAATTTAGAACACATTAATTGGTTATATTTGTTTTTGGGTCATAACATTAATTTTGAGAATATTGCTATTGTTAGTTATCAAGTATTATTTAGAAGAGAATAGTAGACACACACACACACACGCGCGCACATATCAAATTGATTGATTTGGATTGAATTTAATTTAATTTAAACAATTTTGTTTTATTAGCGCTAAAATTATAAATCTTAATGTTCAAATCATAAATTCATAAATGGTCAATATATTCATATCAAAACTGCATCATCATCATCATCATCATCAATTAACATCACATTTTTTTACAAATAATATAATCTGCTATAACTTAACTATCATTCAATTTTTGTTGTTGTTGTTAAGTTTGTTTTTGTAGCTAACGACAACACGATCAACTCTCTTCTCTTACTCCCTTCCCTTCCCTTCCCTCACCTATTGTCACAAATTATTTAATATAACATCGCTTTGAAGTGCAGGTATAAAAGTGTGTGCTGTGTGAATATCAAAATGACAACCATTAGATAATTAGCAGTTCAACAATACCACCACTCTTACCACCAACAGACACTTTGCAACAATTTACTTTTTTAATGCATATCCAAAAAAAAAAAACAAACAATAAGCAACAACAAAATTATTCAAATTTAAATACTAATCTATTTTTTTTTTGTTTTATTTTAACAATAACAGGTTCAAAAGATATTACCCTTTTTTATTCTTAAATCTTCTTTTTTTTAATTTTTATTCTTAAATTATTTATCTAAATATTATAATAAGGAGTCAGTTAGTAGTAATAGCACAACAACAACATTGTTCTTTTCTTATTTTTTTAAAAGTACAAAATTTATTTATATAATATACATATTTATATTGTTAGTTTTAAGCTAACAACAGTTACAGTAATAATTCGATCGTGGATTTGTAAATAAGATTGATAGATAGCTAGATAGATATCGATATCCAATCAACAACCGACATAGATCACACCAGTAGAGAATGAGTAGTTCTCCTCAATCGCCAAACAATATGAACGGTGTCGAACCCATATCTTCGCCAACCACTACAACATCGAACCAGCCACCAACTCCTCAGAATTGGAAGTTCAAACCTCAGACACCCACCGACTTTAGTAACAACATGGGCAGAAGGAGAAGAAGAAATTCAGAGCCTGGGATCGTCGTGCAAAAGTCGACCTATAAAAATTTTGTCACCCACTGGAAACTCGATGCTAAAAAACCACCAAAAGCAAATGCAAACAGTCCAAGCACAACAGGCAACACAGGCAAACAGCAACCACAACAACAGTCACAGCTACCTCAACAACAACAACAGCCACTCACTCAGCAACAACAACAGCAAAAGATATCAAACCTCGCACCCTCTGTCAATAAGCAACAACAACAACAACAACAGCAACAACAACAAGCAAAACAACAATCACTTTCACCCTCAGCTGCCATCCCACCAACTTTTCCATCGCCATCATCTGCATTTACATCTATAAAATCACCAAATGGACTGCCTGCACCCTATAAAATGCCACAACAACATCATCATCCACAGCATCACGACGACCTTGGCGACTATCACTATGGAAACTACCACCACCACCTGCCACCCCCACCCACACAGTCACACCAAAGCTATCAACATCTTCGAAAGAATTCGCTCGGCGATGATTCATCGTACAAATTCCATCCCTATGGATCGAACAAGCATCAGAATATTGATATGAATTGTATTAATAATAATAATAGTAGTAATAATATGCCAAGTGACATCATTGAAGAGCATCTGGCAAACGAACCACTGCCCAGTCACTACAGTCGGCTGTCACACAGAAGAGTTTCACTCCCAAATCTCACCAACAAATCACATACTTATTCACCGGAGCGATCTCTCTCGCCAATCCACGAGCGTTCGCTACACGGACACGACCAAACATTCAACCAACTTTATCAAAACCCCTCATCTTTACAGAACGGCCTATACCTCCCACAACCCAAGTTTAACCATGATTTCATTCACAGCAGTAGCAAACACATTTCATCACAACAATCGTCGTCATCGTCGTCGTCATCGTCGCAATCGATATACTCCTCATCACCATCGTCCTACTCGTCCTCGCCAACCACCTCATCAATGCATCACCACCACGATAAGAAGTTTCAACCTTTACAGCACCCCATTTCAAGATCATCGACTCTCGACGCGCCTCTATCACCCACCGAAATCATCAGCAATACTAGTACTAGCAGCGGTGGTGGTAGTGGTGGTGTAGTCAACGATAACTTTATCAATACATTCAATCAACTGAAATCAAGTAGCAGCGGTAGATTACCATCAATTCAAGCACTACTCAATGATGTTGAAAGTGTATCCATTACAGAGAATAACAATAATAATAACAGTAATAATAATGTATATCAAATTGAAAGCTATCACTCACAACCAACAAGAACAAACAGCAAAGAAAACATCCACTACCAACAACAACAACAACATCAACAGCAACAACCAAAACAATCAAACTCAAATCCATCATCCCCAAACTTAAGAAACCCCCCGATTTCCCAAACATCACCAGCAACCAAAATGTCAGTAATGAATTTACTCGATGTGTAAAATCTAGTTATAAAATAAAAACGAAAAAAACAAAAAAAATAACAAAAAAAAAAAAGTTATTTATAATCTATTTAAAATCTAGTATGTCATTTCTTTTATTTATCCTCATTCATTATTATTATTTGTTCTCACTTTTGATATTATATATATATATATATTCTTTTAAAATTCCGAAATTAAACATAAGGATCGGAATTAATTAATCTTTATACGATCGTTGGTTCAATGAAAACAATAAACAATGATAGAACAACAATATTGTGAATAAAGTCAAATCTAATTTTGGAGTGACAATATTAATATCAAATCAAAACATTTAATTCAAAAAAATGTTTTCAACAAAATTTTTTAAGATGCTTTTTTTTTTTTTTAATGTTTTTTTTTTAAAAAAATTGTGGATTTTATAAAGTTGATTAACAACTATTATTAAACAACACAAAAACAAATATATAATTATATCTAGTTTAAACTTTGGTATAATAAGTGTAATAACTCATCAATTGTAAATATTAATAATAACATTCGTAAGTAAATATCTAAATTTAACTATCTATGTTTTTTAAATATATTCATTTTTGGAATATTATTGTTATTTTAATATTTTTTTTTAAAACAAAATTTTTTTATTATTGTCAAAATCAATTTTGTTTATTTGAAAAAAAAAAAAAAACAAAAAAACAAAATAAAAATTAAAAATTAGAAAAAAACAAAAAATAAAAAATTGGTTTTTTTCTCTCTTATTTTTTTATAGTTAGCCATATATTTATCTTAAATTTTGTTTGTTTGTTCCCTCTCAAAAAAAAAAAAAACAACAAAAATCAAATATAATTAGATCGTTCATCATCACACAAATATATAGTTATTCTATACTGTCTTATCTATCAACCAAACTTTATTTTTATTAATAAAATCTCTTTTTTTATTTATTTATTTTATTTATTTTACTTTACTTTTAGAGAAAAGAAAGAAAGATTAAGAGATCAAGTTTAGTTTTTAGAAGTAGTAGTAGTAGTAGTATTAGTAGTTAGTAGTAGTAACAATAGTAGATAGTTTTTTTGTAGAAATAAATAGATAGTCAGTGTATTGTAAATAAACAAAAAGAAGAAGAACAAGAAAAAGAATATAAAGGCGCTTTTCATATTCATTTAAACTACTACTTCTTTCACCCACATTATTATTATTATTTCTAGTTACATTGGTAAGATATCAATTCAATCACTTACTCTATTATAACCAACAAATCACTTCTACTACTATTTTGGATATTTTTATATCAAAAATTCAAATATATTTATTTTATTTACTTTCACACCCTCTTTTCACCTCTTATTTTTTTTTAATTTTTTTCCTTTATTTATTTCTTTATATATATATTGATTGTGAACAAACTTGATCAAGAATATATAAATAAATAATACAAACAAATCAAAGATTATTAATGATTATATTTATTTTTTAATTATTTTTTTTATTTTTACATAGTAATTTTAGATAAAGATTAATAACAAAAGATGCAATCAATTAAATTGGTAGTTGTAGGTGATGGTGCTGTAGGTAAGACCTGCCTACTTATCTCATACACCTCAAACTCTTTCCCAACCGAATATGTACCAACTGTTTTTGATAATTATTCAGGTATTTATTGTTATTTTTTAATTATAATTTTCGATGATTTATATATATATATTGATATTGATTGTTATGTTATGTTTTATCTTTTAGCAAATGTGATGGTTGACAATAAAACAGTTTCTCTTGGTCTTTGGGATACTGCAGGTCAAGAGGATTACGATCGTCTTCGTCCATTGTCATATCCACAAACCGATGTATTCCTTATTTGCTTTGCCATTATAAGTCAAACCTCATACACCAATGTAAAGTCGAAATGGTATCCCGAGGTTAACCACCATTGCCCAAACAGCACAATCATCTTGGTCGGAACTAAATGTGATTTAAGAGATGACAGAGAGGCTTTAGAGAAACTTAAAGAGAAGAATCAAACTCCACTCACCCCACAACAAGGTGAGCAAATGGCTAAAGATATTAAAGCTTTCTGTTATTTAGAATGTTCTGCTCTCACTCAAAAAGGTAAATGATCAACACAGAACTAAAGTGAATAGAATCACTTTTCATATAGTCGACCACCTACAGTTTTATTAACATATTATTACTACTACTACTACTACTATTATAATTAGGTCTTAAGCAAGTATTTGATGAGGCTATTAAGGCTGTGATTTTCCCAGATAGAGACAAGTCAAACAAATCTAGCAAATCAAAATGCACCATACTATAGATCTATTAATCTGTTAAATTTAAAAATCAAAATAGTTTTTTTTTTTTTTAATTCACCTTACCATATTAAAAACTCATTCCAACAACAAAAACATTGCTTTACATAATTATAACAACCACAACAACAATAACAACCTCTCAACATTAATAACATTATAAACTATAACCTATCTCATACTCAATCATATGAGAAGTTGCTCTTCAAAAATTAGATAACAATATTATAAATATAAAATAAAATAAAAAAACAATATTAAAAAAAAACAAAAAAAAAAAAACAACTATTAACACAATCATTAAACAAATAATTATAGTTATTATTATTAAAGTTTTATTTATTTGATGATGTATTTACAGATAATCGTTATTCAGTTTAACATCTTCTTCTTCTTCTTCTACTTCTTCCCATTAGTGAACCTACACCTACACCGACCATCATAGCGGGTAACATTGATTGTTGTCTAGGAGGTGCAGTGTGCACTACTTGTGCTGGTGGTGGTTGTTGTTGTTGAATAATAATAGGTGTTGGTTGTTGTACGATTACAGGTTGTTGGGCTGCTGTTCCTACCGATTGTGCGCTATAATGGTAGTAACTAGATCCTGCTGATGGAGGTGGAGCATATCCTTGTTGAGGAGGAAGAGGTTGTGGAGGCGGGTGATATCCTTGTTGTGGTGGATAGTGATATACCTGTTGTGGTGGAGGTGGAGCATATCCTTGTTGAGGAGGAAGAGGTTGTGGTTCTTGATGATAACCTTGTTGTTGGGGTGGATAATGGTAGACTTGTTGTGGAGCCACTATCATAAAAAAAACAAAAAAACAAACAAGTATTAATATATTTTTAAAATTATAATCTTTTTAAATTTATTTACCTGAAGTGTTTTGGGCAGAGTAAGTACTGGTAGTATAGGTTCCAGGTGGTAAAGGTTTTCCAAGAGGGTCTAACATTTTTATTTATATCAAGATATTTATAATAAATAGTATTATTATTTAAATATATATATATATTGTTTAAGATTTATATTATTGATCAAGAAATAATAATACAAAAAAATCTTTCATTTGTAACAAAATTTAATTTGTTTATTATTTTTTCTTAATAAGGAAATGTTTCTAATTTTGGAATAGGAAGATGGTAATTCATATTTTTTGGAATTTAAATTAAACTTTATAAAGTTTTGAACTTCATTCGGAAAGTAACTTCTATTTATTAATATTATTTAAATCTTATGAATAAATTGATTTTACTGATATAATAGATTATTAAAATTTCAACAATTAAAAATTATTTATTTTTTTTTTTGTTTATTTGAGTTTATTGAGATGTTATTATTCATTTGTTTTTATAATCTGTAAAATGAGTACTAGCAATAATAATAGACAAATAATAAATATAAATAAAGTAAATGAGCAAGAGGAAGAAGACGAGCAAGATAAATCTGTAGTTTTAGAGGAGGAGAAATATGTAGATTCTTTATCGCGTATCATTCAGAGGGATTACTTCCCTGATTTACCAAATCTAAAGAGTCAGTTGGAGTGGATCGATGCAGTAGAGTCTAACGATATATCAAGAATGCAATCCATTCAATTGCAATCAATAAGAAGACTAAACACATCGATAAGACAACAAAACAGTGTTAGACAACGTTTGCATACCAACCAATCGTTTGATACTCCTTCAACTTTTGGTGATTCAACACCCAGTAGTAATAACATTCAACAAACACCTTTAAATAGTAATAATAATAATGTAAATAGTAATAATAGTATACAACAACAACAACAACAACAACATGAACAAAAAGATATAATAGATGGTATTAGTTTAGATCAATTCGTTGCGAATTACAAGAGTGAAGATGATGCTAGTTATAATGAAATAGCAAAGAAAAACAAGTTAGAGAATAATCAAAAGTATAAATGGATGGAAGATGCATCTTTGAAGCAGAATCAACAATTGTTGTTACTGGAGGATAACGCCAAGAATGCACCTGACACATGGAATCATACGGTTCGAAACAGATTGATGTACTACCCAGAGGGCAAAACAAAGTCAACAGTCGATCCTTCAAATATTATGGGTCCACCGAAAGAGATTGTTCGTGAGAATACAAGAATATCAGTAGATTTGAAAGAACGACAGAAGGCGGCAGCTCAGAAGCAGGCCGACGCCACACCGTTCCACTCACTGTCGCTACCCGAACAGTTGGCTCGACTACAAAGAATGGAACAAGACGGACACAAAGTAGATGCATCCACTCTTGGATTGCTGTCAACACCACAGCTGACGCCAAGCAATCTCCAAGCGGACTATGGTGAGTCGCCTCTCATGACTTGGGGACACATCGATGGAACACCGCTACTCCTCCCTAATAATCCAATATCAACACCACTCAACATAACAGGTTCATCAAGAGGATCATTTAAAATACCAGAGACACAACTTAGAGAGAAGATTGCACATTCATTAGCTGATAAATCAACAAATAACAACAATAATAATAATAACAAGACAAGAACAACAACAACACCGGGAACATCAATAACATCACTTTCACCAGCAGCTCAAAAACTACTATCGATTAGATCACCTCACCTTTTAAATAAATCACCGTTACTGAAAGATCAACAACTTAGAAAGAGTTACCAACAATCACCAAAAAATAGTACACCTAGTAAACAAAAGAATCTATTAACGCCAACACCCAATCGATCATCATCAACAAAGTCATCATTGTCAACACCCAAACAAGATATAAATTCAACACCAAAGAGAGAGAAACATATCACAGATGATCTTTTAAATTTCTAATGAATAATAATAATATTTATTAATAAAAAAATGTAAGATAATTTGTTTTTTTTTATTTAAAAAAAATAAGATAATTGATAATTGTTTAAAGAGTATTCAATTCAAGATAAAGACCAGGACAAAGTTGATCGATTTTTTTTTCCATTTTTTTTGGTGGGTAGTCTGATATTGTGCTCGTAATCTTTCAATTTTGTGACTCCGTTCGGCAAAAATCACAACATTGAGTTTTCTAAACACGTTTAGAAAATTACAAAATATCTTTATTATGACAACATCTTATTATACTCCTTTTTTTTTAGTTTTTTTTATTTTATTAATTAATTTAATTTTTACTTTTTTCGTAATCAAATCAATCATTGTAATCTCGAAAAAAATATTAAGCACATTTCACAATCATCATAAAATATAAAAATCTTTCATCTTACACTTTGTAAATATAAAGTAAGAATAGATTATATTAAAATGATGAAATTATTATATTTAACATTAATAGCCATTGTTTTATTACAATCATTAACTTTTGTTGTAAGTTAATTTTATTTTTAAAATAATTATTATTTATTTTTTTAAAATTGTATTTTGATAATTAATATTAATATTCTATTTAGAATGGTGATGATCAAGTTTTTGGAAATCAAATTAATATAGGACCATGTAAATTCAATAGTTTGGTACAATTGAATTTCAGTTATGTTCCAATGCCAACTGGAAGCTATGATATCAGTGGTATTCAAATTATGCTTTTGAATGAAACCAGTGGTAAACCATATCAAAAGGATCTGCTAAAGATTCTATCGGTTGATGTCATCGTTGACAAACCCGTTGTAAAGAAGATATTCTCTTTCACCTTGTCCAATATTGTGACACCAATTGTATTGCCATCGCCATACGTTGTTTCGATTTTCGATAATACATCGACAACCATCCAATTGAGCTATTTCTCTTTGGACAATAGTACTATTGATCCAGTCGAATTGCACTTGGCATACTTTATCAAATATACTCCATCGAACGAGAGTAGATCGGTGCCAGTCATGAGAACTGCCAGTTCAGCAACCGCCAACTTTGGACCATTCAATGTTCCAGGCAAGGGTGGTTTGTTCCGTCAACAAAACAGTGCCAAGTGGCTTCAGGACTTGGATGCCGTCTACTTCCAGACTTCCGCTTCTACTGGTGTCGTCAATATCACATTCACCAACAACGCCACTGGAGAGGTCATTTGTAAATCTACACCAATCTACAAGGCTGGTAAATTGTACTCCATGTCGCCCTGTGACGCTGTCGTACCAATCACCAAAGGTACCACCTACAACACTATTGCCTATTACTCCAATGCCAAGCCTTTGAAGAGTGTATATGCATTCTTTAGCATCTATGTATCGAATATACTTGCTCCAACCACAACCACTGGATCAACAGCTTCATCTTCTGGATCATCTACCAGTGGATCAACAGTTACCTCCACAACAGGTACCTCAACATCCACTACCTCAACTGGAAATGATACTACTATAGGTACTACCATCACTGGTCCATCAGTTGGAACTACAATTGGTACTACTATTACTACTACAACTACTACTACTGACTCAACAACTTCAACCACCTCAACAACTGGTACTACAACTTCTACTACTTCCACTGGTCCATCTGTTGGAACTACCATCGGAACAACATCAACAACCACTAGTACTACTGATACACCAACCATCACTACATCTACAACAGGTCCAGCTGTTGTAACTACTGTATCTACAACAGCAACCACAGGTACAACTGTCAACCCAACTTCAACTCATGTTGTAACTTCTACTGGTCAAACCACTACCACCGTCATTCCAACTACAACTCATGTTGCCACTACAACTGGTCAAACTACAACCACTGTAAATCCAACAACGACTCATGTTGTAACTTCTACTGGTCAAACAACAACAACAACAACCATCAATCCAACTACAACTCATGTTGTTACTACAACTGGTCAAACTACTACCGTCAATCCAACAACTCATGTTGTAACCTCAACTGGTCAAACTACTATTTCACCAACCTCAACACATGTAGCTACTTCTGTTTCTACTGCCTCAACCACACACGAACCAATTACCGCTCTTTTGACATCCCTTGTTAGTACAGCAACCCATAGCAACACAGGTCCTGCTACTCATGGTACTACTTCAGGTCCAGCCACCCATGGTACTACTGGTGGTCCAGCAACATCAGGTGGTTCTTCTGGAAAGACATCAGGTGGCTCATCAGGTGGTTCCTCAGGAAAGACATCTGGCGGTTCATCCGGTAAAACTCATGGAGGTACCCACGGAGGTTCTCAAGGTGGTAGTGCAGGTTCAGGTGGTCACAGTTCATCATCGACCACCCAATCAGGTACTTCAGGATCATCCGGTTCACAATCAGGTTCACAATCAGGTTCACAATCAGGCTCACAATCAGGATCGCAGTCTGGAACATCAGGTTCACAATCAGGATCACAATCAGGATCACAGTCAGGTTCACAATCAGGATCACAATCTGGTTCATCTGGATTCATCACCACTCATACAGGATCTGGAACTGGTTCACAATCTGGTTCTTCATCTCAACCAACTGGTGCTGCCTCTGGAGTTACTGGATCATCATCACAACCAACCACCTCTGGAATCACTGGATCAGGTAGTACTGGAACAAGTTCGACCGGTAGAACCTCTGGAGATTCTAGTGGTCAGACTACTGGAACTGCTTCGACAAGCGGTCAATCCACTGGTACTTCAGATACTTCATCATCGACAAGTGGCCAAACTACAGGATCTGCATCGACTAGCGGACAAACTACAGGATCTGCATCGACTAGTGGACAATCTACAGGTACTTCAGATACTTCATCATCGACAAGTGGCCAAACTACAGGATCTGCATCGACAAGCGGACAAACCACAGGAACTGCTTCGACAAGTGGTCAGTCCACAGGTACCTCAGATACCTCATCATCGACAAGTGGTCAAACCACAGGATCTGCTTCAACAAGCGGACAAACTACAGGTTCTGCATCGACTAGCGGACAATCTACAGGTACCTCAGATACCTCATCATCGACAAGTGGTCAAACTACAGGTTCTGCATCGACTAGCGGACAAACTACTGGATCTGCTTCAACCAGCGGTCAAACAACAGGATCAGCATCAAGTGGATCTTCAACTGGTGGCGAAACAACTGGATATACTTCAGGTGGATTGGCAGAGGATGCCAAATTCAATTTCAAATCGAATAATAAGAGATTAAGAATGAAATTCTATTAAATTAATAAATCTAAACTTTTTAAAATTTCAAAAACAAAAAATTAAATGAGCAATATTTTCACAAAGACAAAGGTTGGATATTGAATATTCCAGAGAAATAACATGGATGAAATTTTATCATTCCAAATATTTTGCAAATAATTAAAGATTTTTATTAATATGGTATGAAGAGATGTAATGAAGGAACATTAAATTTGATAGGTAATCGTAGGACACAGACTGTTTTTATATATTTGGTAACTGGAAAAAACATCGGGTAACCATGTATTTGTTTCGATTGAATATCTTTGAGTTGAAGGTGAACCAAAAAGGAAAATGAAGTGCTCTTTGTCAGATGATCTGTAATAGGTCATTGAAAGTGTTTGTGGCTTGGCTGCATTGTCCTGTACTTTACTATTAATTTTGACAGGCGAAAGAGTAAATAATTTCATATGATCAAGATTTATACGAATGAATAATTCTTCAGAGTGAAGAAAGACATTGCCAACGCCATCGGTGCATGCTGCCAGTGTTTCCTTAAATTTGAGTGTCTTAAAGAATTTATGTGTTCCTTTGATTGGATCGAGTATCAATATGTTATCCTGATTTTTCGAGAACGAATAAAACAATCCATTATAAAAAACGGACATAATTTGAGAATTTGCACCAATAAATCTGTGTTGTTGTTCAAATTTCATTGATTTTATATCATAGAGAGTGATAGTCATCATTTGTAATTTTGGCAATGTCTTGACAAGATATATGTGATTCTTGCCATCATGGCATGCTGATATCCAAGAGTTGCTACTATCATCAAGAGGTAACATGTGTATTTTGCCTTTTAATGTTTTTTTTGAGATTATCATGTATTTATCAAGATTGTTTGAACCACCAAAAACATAGAGATGCTCACCAACTGATACGATTGAACTTTGAGTATTGGTAAAATCAAAGTCAAAGTGAAGGTATTTTGAAGTTTTACTTCTAAAATCCCAGATAATAGCTCCTTTGTCTTGATGTGCGAAGAATAAATGGGTGTCTGGTAGTAACGGTGGTGAATGTACAAAACCTGGTATACTGTATATATTTTTCAAGTGAGATGGTTGTTTAATTGAAAGATTGATTGATTGATCTACCACTTGTTTGATCATGGTCGTATTGATTGGTTCAGTGTACAATTGGTAGTCGGGAGGTGGATTGGGTTTGACATATGATTTCTTAAACTGTTGATTATACATTTGAATTGAATGTAGAATCAGTGACTCTATATCTTTGTATGATGACCTGCCATTGCACCCACTAATATCGAATACTGTTTTATCTTTTGATTCGATAAAACATAAAAGTGAATGGTTACGATCAAGTGACTCCATGATTGATTCTATTGAATAGCTGTCTGTTGTATCTGCAGAGTTATTATAATCATCTTCATCACTCTTGTCACTAGATTGATCAATATCGGACTCATATCTGGTACTACCTTCTAAATTGATGATATTAACGATATGTTTTAACTCTTCAATATTATTCTTGATTGTCTCGAGTGTCTTTGATTTACTTTCTTGGATTGGTTGCTGATAACGTTGCTCTTCAACAACCAGATATTGATGCATCTGATGAAAGTGGTCCTTGATCTCTGATTCAGTTGATTCTAACTTTCTGAAATATGAATTTGATGATTTGATTGTTTCCCATACTTCTAATATTCTATTTTTTTCAAATATACTTTTACTATTATTATTTTTGTTATTATTATTTTCAGTTGTTAGTTTTTCTAATAATAATGACTCTGAATGTGATTGATATTTATATAATGATTGTTTGATATCATTGATATGATCACAAAAGCTATTGTGTTCATATTGTTTATTATGATCTGTGGAGCATTTTGAACACAATAATAGATTACATTGATGACAAATGATTTCAAATGTTTTTCTATGATCTAAACAAACAAAGTCATTGTCATCTGTATCTATATCTATTGAAATATTTAGACTACTCATTTTAGTTTATAACTAAATGTTAATTATAATTAAAATTTCTTTAAATAAAAAATCAGTCATTTGGTATCTGAGGGGAGAAAAAAAAAATTTCTTTTTTAATTAACACAAATTTTAAAGCTTTTCAACAATTGCTTAAAAGTTGGATGAAGTTAGTGGTCACTCAAGAAATGGGAAGGTGGGTTCATACAATGAGGTTGTTTTACTTATTGTAAGTTTTTATAACTTTTTATTTTCTTTTAGATATTTTCTTTTGTCTTGATTGATTTGGTTTCTTTGATTTGTTATTCATCTTCTTTTCAACCTTTTTATTCTTCTTGCTATTATCTGTGCTATTACTATTTGTTTTATTATTGTTATTCTTTTCGGCCTCTTTCTTTTCTTTCTTTTCTTCTTTTTCTTTCTTTTCCGCTTCTTTCTGTTCTTTCATTTCCAATTCAATCTGACGTTCCAAGTCTTCATCTTCCTTATCAAACTTATTCTTTGAAATCTTGCCACGCTTGAGTTTTTTGTGTAATTTAAAATCTTCGTCAATCTCTTCCAAATCCTTTTGATGTTGAATCTCCTCTCTCTGTCTCTTTGTCAACAAATTCTTTTCATTACTAGCCGCTTCCTTTTCCTTTTCCTCCTTTTCCTTTTCCTTTTGTAATTCTTTTTCTTTTTCCAATTCTTTCTTTTCTTCTTGTTCTTTTAATTTCTCTTGTTTCTTATCTTTTTGTTTTTCTTTTTCTCTATATTAAATAATAATAATAATAATAATAATAATAATAATAATAATTAGTAAATAAATTAATATAAATGATAAATATTATAGATTATTTTTACATACTGTTTTAACTTTGATTTTCTATGTTTTTCACGTTTCTTATCTTTATATGGAATACGTTCTATTTGCTCAAGTGTTACTCCACTCGACCACTCGAGTGACTCTGGTTTATCTTTGAATTCAGGCATTGCCGGTAGACGTAGGAGTGCGTAACCATGAGCGAGTTTATACATGTCTTGTCGGTGTGGAACGAAAATATATGAACATTGATGCTCATTGTATGCACGAGCATGTGAAACGAATGCAATTGTTCCCTTCTCCATTGTGTCACGATCGGTCATAACAATCTTTTTCGCCTGTGCAAGATAGTCTTCTGCCGGTGTCTCAATCGGTCGCTCTTCCAATGGCACCTTTCTGAGCTTGTTGAACTCAATGTAGGTGTCTTCCTCGCGCGTCAAGAACAACAGTGCATTTCCATCGCGACCAATTCTAGCGGTTCTACCGATTCTATGAACGAATGCCTTTGGATCCTGAGGAGCGTCGTACTGCACCACCCAATCGATATTGGGAATATCGATACCACGCGACGCCAAGTCAGTGGCCATCAACACACCGCTCTTACACTTGCCATACTCGTTGAAGATCAGCTGTCGTTTCTCGTGTGGCGCCTTTCCATGCAGTGAAAACACCGACTTGTCTTTCATGCACTTCAAATCGCGAACCAACCGATAGAAGTAATCGACGTCTGCACAGGTCAAGAAGTAAACGATGATCTTGTATTGATCGATGTGATGCACCAAGAAGTGAACCAACTGATTGAACTTCTCCTCGAGTGTGCAGATCGTATAGAGATTCTTGAGTGTCGAGGGAATCGACTGCACTTCCAGTGTATCCTTTTGCTGGACGGTGATAGACACCTTCACTGGATTTCTCATACCGGTACGCGCCAGTTCCTTGACATCGCTTGTCTGTGTGGCAGAGAACAGTCCTGTACGTCGTTGCTTTGGTATTCTATTGAGAATGGAATTGATCGTCAAATGAAAACCCATATCCAACAGACGGTCCGCTTCATCGAGAATCAACACTTCGAATTGCTTCACCTTGAGTTGATCCTTATCGATTCTACTCATAAACTCATCGATTCTGCCAGGAGTACCAACGATAATATTTCCACCTTCTCTATTGAATCGTTGAATATCATCGTAGATCGGTGTACCTCCAATCAATAATATCGATGTCAATATCTGTTTGAATGATGGTTCATCCGATTCATCTGATTCATTTGTTGATAAAGTAGAAGAAGGTGCTGTCAAATGAGTTGCAATCTCTGGAGAAATGAATTTCTGTAAAACTTGAAATGTTTGTGTTGCTAATTCTCTATTGATTTTTTTTTTTTTTGACGTTTCTTAATATTTAGATATTTCAATTTTGTATCATAGTAACAATATTAGTAATTACCTTGTTGGAGATATGATAATAGATGCAATATCAGTCTTCTTTAGTGGATCGGAACGTTTTTTAATGATTTCAACTATTGGAATGATAAATGCCAATGTCTTACCGGAACCGGTGCAAGCTTCTACGAGTACATCCTTATTGGTAAGAAACAACGGAATCGATGATGATTGCACTGGTGTCATATAGGTAAATCCAAGACTCTCAATGGTTTTCATTGTATCGCTTGAGAGTGTTGGACTAAATTGATCCCATTCTAAACCACCACCTATCAAATTCATTTTTTACTATCTATTCTAAAATCTAAATCTAAAGTATAAATAAAAATGAATAAATAAATAAAATAAAAATGATTGACCGTATTGTGTTTATTATTATAATAATAATAAAAGGGTATGAATTTCTCAAACCAGAAAAGAGTGTTTCGTCGTTTTTCTTGTTTTTTAATAAAATCATTTTTTTAATTTTTAAAAAAACTAATATTTTTTTTTTTTTTTTTTTGATTTTTTTGATTTTTTCATGAAATCAGAATAAATGGTCATGCAGAATTAAACCAATTGTTTTATTGTTTTTGGTGGTTGGTTTTAGGAACCTGTTTTAAGAGTAGCAGTAATTAGTATAAATCAGATTTATTATTAGATATTATTTGTTTTTTTTTTTTTTAATTTATTTATTTTTGTATTTTTAATATCTTGTCAAAATTACTTTTTAAAATCATATATATCTATCATCAATAGAATGATGGAACCAATATCACATTTCAATAATCTAACATTACAAGTGATATCGATTCGAGACGTTCAGAGTAAAGGCAAATTCGGTTCGTCAAAGATTAAGAAAGTGTTTGATCTACATGTTGCCTATGACAATGATACATCTTTCACCATTGAGATCACTCAATCGAAATTACAAAAACTTATTACAGAGGTTTGTTAAATTATTTAATTATTATTAATTGTTTTTATTAGAAATTAATAAATATTAAAAAAAAAATTTTTTTTAATTATCATTATTATTATTTTTAATAGATTAAAAAAGAATTATATAATATATCAATATCAAGTGTAACAATCAATTCCAATGCAACCAATGATTTGACAACATTGTTTCAAACATTCAGTAGTAATCCAAAGATTGCGAAATCAAACAGTTTGGCAAAGTTTTTAGAGTCAGAGGGTAACAAAGTACTCTCTCGAAAATTCATCACAGAAGAGTTTATGAAAGATATCAATCATCAAGGTGTATTACAAAAGATCAAGAACAAACATAATCTAACAAAGAAAGAGAGAATCTGTTTCATTAAATATCATAGAATATTATATTATTATACTCCATCAAAAGTAAGTAAATATTAAACATCTCAGTTAGATACAAATTTAATATTGATATCACTAACGAAAATACTATTTAAAGCAATGTAAAGGAGCAATTTGTTTAGATGAATGTGTTGTTTCGAAAACAAAAGACGCTCAAACCTTTGAATTACAAACACCGAGTGCAGGCACTTATCTGTTTTGTGCTCAGTCAGCGATGGAATGCGATCAATGGATCACTTGTTTGAAGAAATGTTTGGAGGTATGTCAGAGTGCCAAGATCAAAGTGAATGGACAACTCTCTGGTACTATCATTAAAGGTCGTGACTTTGCAAAGAAGGACTTGAATGGCTATGCCGATCCCTTTGCCATTACAAGAATCGAGAGACAACAAATTAGAACTCCAACCATCTACAAGACATTGAATCCAATATGGAATGAACAATTCTATTTGTAAGTTGTGTTTAATTAACAATCTAAATTGAATGGAATTGGAATATTCTAATCTTTTACTCTTTAAAATTTCAGTGATATAACAAAGAATGAAGGATATTTTTATTTATTGGTTTGGGATGAAGATAAGTTTAGTGCAGCAGACTTTATGGGCAAGATTATAATCCCGCTTACTGCACTCCCACCAGGTCAGGAGCTGCAGATGCATCTTCCGCTAATACCAAAGACCTCAAAGAACAAAGTAACAGGTGATGTATTTGTAAAACTAAAGTATATTTATACCACCGACACACCGATCTCCAATGGCGTCTCTATCTTTGGACAGAGTCTTTCATCGTTTGAATCGAGACCGGAATCAAAGGATGGATTGCCAGGCATACTCTTTGATTTTATCAACTTTTTCGAACAGTACGGACTCAAAGAGGAAGGTCTCTTTAGAATCTGTGGTTCCAATCTCGATATCAAGAGTCATAAACAACAAATCGATTCCGGTCAAACCATTCTATTCACTCCCGACAAGATTCATACACTTGCCGGTGTATTTAAATTATTCTTTAGAGAATTACCCGAACCTATTTTAACTTTTGGTATGTTATTGTTAAAATTTTAATTTTAATTTATCAGAACAAATCAATTGATTCTAACATACTAATTAATTAATTAATTAATAAATTATCATTACATTCTTCAGAAAAATATGATGCATTCTTATCAATCTCAACAAACAATGCAAATGTAAAACAAATAACAACACTCATCAAATCATTACCAAAAGTCAATCAAAAACTATTGCAATTACTACTTCCATTCTTTTATAACATTGGTAGAGTAGAGAATTCTAAATATAATATGATGAACTTTTCGAATCTTGCAATAGTTTTTGGACCGGCAATGCTAAGACAAGCAGTGGAAACCGATGACAGTATATTAAAGTTGAATTCTATCAATGATGTCACTCGTCGACTAATAGAATTCGCTCCATCCATCTTTGTAGAATAATATAAAACAATAAGCTAAAGCGAACCATATTCTATCTATTTATATTCTAAAATAAAATTTATGTATTATTACAAACAAATTAAAAAGTATGCAATATAAGTTACGATACATATGAAACAATGACCAGGTATAAGTGTGAAATATAAGTAATCATCTATATTCTCGACATATGGAATGGAGATTGCCTTCTCAATAGAAGACTATACATTTAGAGAAGGATTGGATAGGGACCTTTCATTCATTGGACAACCTGTTACATACTACGAAGATCCGTTCTACTTGTATTTTTTTGGCAAATCACGAGAAACAGATGAGAATACAATGTCGATACAATAGAGTATGTGACTGTGAATCCAAACTATTGTATACTTGACTTTCTGGAAGCTGTTAAGTTGTGCGACTTTGGGACGTGAGTTTTGTTCGGGTATCAAGGTGCTGGCAGCTTTAGCTTTAACAGATAATTTTGAAATTTAATTATAGATTAATAAATCATAAATCATTAATAGCTAAGCTGGAAACGATCACCTCTGAAGCATAAAGGGTTTCTTTCATATCATATACAATGAAAATAAGACAACTTTAAAACAAAAAATACACTATGAAATAAGCATTTTATTATTGTTTTCCAATTTAAAAAGCTGGCAATCCTTTCAAGTTTGGTGTGGCCCAAGCACAGTCTAATTCGATACCCAAGTTTTCGAATGGACTACCTCTGACGATTCTGAAGAAACCTTGCTCTCCGTAGTACATTCCCCATGAATTTCTGACAATCCAATATGATTCACCATTCTCTTCTCCCCAACCAACAATACTGACGATGTGATTTGGAATTGGAACTGCTACAAACTCTTTAAAAATACCACCAGTGTAACTTTCTAATTTATCTGTGGCATCAATAGAGCATGCCACTGGTCCTGTAAATACAATATATTAGCACTAATATTTAAATAAACAACATAACTAACCAATTAACTTACCTCTTGCATAAACTTCAGCCATAATTTCCTTCTCACCACTTACTTTACCAACCTCATCGACGGTAATATTGGTATATCTTTGAATGGCAACGCATGTACCATCTGGGTTGCAGGTTTTACAAGCTGGAGTACAGGCAAGTCCATTTACAGCTTGATATGGTTGACAGGTTTCGTCGACAATACCACTTTCAGCCATGAATTCATAAGCAGCACGGGGGTCTTTTTGAAAATGGATTGGATTAAGTCAATTTATATCGATATAGTAACAATTATAATATACTTACCACCACCATCACAAGTTCCACCACCATTACAATTGATCAAATGTTGTGGAGCCAAATTAACTTGAGGCCAAACAGCACGACGGATAATATTGATTCTGTCACTAAGGGCAGATGTGGAAGCGAAAGCCCAACAGCCACCACTGGATGCATCCGTATTATAATGATTAATTCATTGAATTAAGAAATAGTTAGTAAAACATATTCATAAAAAAATTGGATGAAAAAAGGAAAAAAAAATTGGAAAATGGAAAATAGAAAAGAGATAGATAAGGATACTTTATCCATCAATAGATAGTTGTAGCTGCTAGCCCTGTCTATACATCTCCATCATAGGTGATAAAGTATACTTTATCATAAAATTTTCCAAAGTTGGTAAAGTTTGAGATATGTAGTTATGTAGAAGGATATGAATTGATATTGATACTAACCAATACTAGAATTAACTATTAATAATTGTGTTTATAATATCTTTATAAATATTTAACTTACTTGTGGAATGTGCTGATTTCTGTTCATGGTCAAGTAGTTAACACCAGATACATTTGCCCAACTATTAAAAGTAGAAAAAGATATTATAAATATTAATATTAAAATTTAAAATATTTAAATATTCTACATACTTCCAAGAAGTTGGTACTTCAGTGATATATTCACTTGGAAGTGGTGATTTGATTCTGTCTTGGAAGATTTCAGAACTCTTCTTGTAACACTTTTGACGAAGGCTACCACTGAAGACGTTGGTTTGTTGGTGCTCTTGAATGGCAGAGGCAACAACAGCTAATGCTACAACAGATACTAATAAATAAGCAGCAAATCTCATTTTTAAAATAATATTTATTTTGTATATGAAAAAATAATGTTTAAAAGTGTCATGTGATTGTTTGACAACACACAATCCAAAAAAAATCAGACAGTTGAAAAAAAAATTTTAAATTTTTTTTATTTTTTTTTTTTTACAATAGAATCGGAATTGTTCAACAGAGAAGAAAAAAACGGCGAAGAACAAATCTATTTTTCCAACAACTTTTACCAAACAACATGATCATTTTGGAATTTCAAATGTCGTTGAACAAATCCAACAATATCGTCTGATTATTAAAAAAAACATACAATTAATATACATAAAATAAATATTTATTATTAGTTAAAATTGAACAATCGATTGATGTTATAAACTTTAATTAATTGCAATATATTTGTATAACACCTCATTATTATTTATTTTAATTTTTAAATATTAATTTTTGTAAATAGAACAACACCTGTCAGATCGTACTAGTGTAAAGATAGGAGTGATCACATTACAAGTAATTTAGATATTACTTTCTTTTCTTGACTGGCTAATACCATTATCGTCATCATTGTACTTGTTTGTCATTTTTCTTTCTCTTGATTGATTTCTTTGTTGCTTCTTGAAACGGTGATCATCTTAATCATCATCACCACCATCAAACTGAGTCGATTATAATCGACAACTTGGGCAACATCATGGTTTGATATTTTCTACATACTAGCCATTATTTGATACACTGACGAGAATGGAATCTGTTGAAAGGCCATACATGACATGATAATCTTGATTGTTGTTAGCTATTGCTCTTTATGATTATTATTATTTAAACTAATATAAAAAAATCTAGATTCACCTATAATAATAATAAAGTTAGTAATATTGCAACAAGTTCAGTAATACGAAAAGATTAGAGTTCACAAAAAATACCTTAAAAAAGTAAGAAAAATATTAAATAATTTTATTTATTTTGTTTCTTGTTTTGCTTCTTGTATTCTATCATCTTATTCATGATTCGTCCTCCGGTCACCCATCTTTGAGGAAGGTTATCGGTCAAATGAAAGAACAAGTTCAAAATCAATCACCAATTCTCTACCTCAAACTGATGCAATATGATAATTGAATCTCTTAGAATTCGTAGGCAACTGTTTGGACATCAACAAGTTAATTCATTTCCAAACAGGAAATGGATCAGCAACATAATTCATTACATGAGCAACATAATTCTTTGAAATAGAGAATTGGTAATTGATTTGAACTTGTTCTTTTATTTGACCGATAGGTACATTGAGTATGAGGGCAACTAACTGTAGATTAGTTCTTATCTTTCGTCTGTGGAACAGGATCGGTGGTATGGATGGAGCAAGAACATTCTTTTGAAGTTTGCTCATTGACAAACTCAATCTTGTTATTTCTTCAAAATCAATATTTGATGCTAATAATGATTCCGAATCTGTCTTTGTAAAATAATTCAAAATAGAATTCTTTGAAAGATTTGATTGAGAGCTGTTTGAAGTTAACTACTCTAAGCTATCTTTTCTCCAGAGTTTGAATTATTTTCTCTTCTCTTTCTCTTATAATAATAATAATTATTATTATGAAATAATATAAAATCAATAATAAAAAAAAATAATAGAATGTTTGTTTTTACAAAAATAATATTTAATTTAATTTTCTACATAAGAAGAAATTTTCCATTTTGACATATGTTAGAAATTTAGAGTCTGTAAGTTTATTTTTTCAAGTCACAACCATGTTTTCAAGTGTGAAAAATTAAAATTTTGATAAGTTATCTTGCTGCATTTAAATCAATCATTCTTCTCTTTACCTATAGTAAACTATAGATAACTTATCAAAATTTTAATTTTTCACTATGTACTATAGAAATCTCTATTTGATCAATAGAATCTTGATAGTTTTGTTGTTAATTGGACATTCCTTTCTTGGAATACATTTTTTCTTTACTTTAATCTCTTTCTTATTTATTATTTATATTCAACATAAAAATAATACTCAAGAATTATTTTAAAAAAAAATATAACTTCAACACTGCAAAATGTGTTATCATTTTACAGGTTGGGTTTTTTTTTTGCACAGCTTTTTTTGAATTCTCGCATTATTTTTGCAAAAGCACACAAAAGCTATGCAAAATTTTTTCATTTTTTGGATGAAATTACACATATAAATACAACAATATCATTTGATTGTATTTGAATATCAACACCATATTATTATTTTTTTATTTTTACTCTTTTTTAAATATCACTGTCCTATTTTACTGTACTCTAATTATTTATACCAAAGATTTTATAATTTGGGGGTTTGTAATAAAATGATTTTCATTAATGATTTCACACAAAAAAAAAAAAAACAAAACAATGATCACCTGCAATGAATTTACAATTACATTATTAAAAATAAATTGTATTAATCATATTAAATTTAATAACAAATTATGATTAAAAAGATGATTCATTGTATAATTTATTTATACTTACTTATCTAGCTGTATAAAAAAATAAATAAATGTTTAGATTATTATACTTTCTATTGATAGTATCAATAACTATTGGTGGCATTTTATCATATGAGGACAAGATAGATAAGTCGTCATCATATCCGCCAGGTTTATTTTATTATTGTGGTAAATAAAATACATTTATTAATTCAAGTAATAGATTTTTAATAAATAAAAAATAGATCCATCAAGGCCAACTTATTGTTTCTGGGTGGGTCGTCCAGGTGCAGATCAAACAATACCTCCAACCACATCTTTTAACCAACCACCATCATTTAATGGTAACCAATACATCCCACAATTACCATCGATCAACCTTGGTGGTTTTGATACTCTATCGCTGGTTAGAGAGCTTCTAAAACAATTGATTGACCAGATTTTATTGAGCAAAGGTTGGACTCACTCTGTGGTAGAAACCTATTCTCCACCAACATCTGAAGGATCTACTTTTACCATAGGTGCAAGTGGTACTAGTACTTCATTTACATCTTCTGGATCCTCATTCTCATCGTCTTCACTCGGATCATCTTCCTCTTCAAGATCAGGTGGTGAAGGATCAACTCCAGCATTTCAGACAACTCCAGTGAACGGAAGAGTACCTGTTCAATACCAAGCATCGATCACAGGCTTTATAGGAGGAACATCGCCATCCATTCAAGATAGTTCGCCACCAGCCATTCAGTCGCGTTTCTATCCAAGTCAGTTGTTCCCACCTCAGGAAATAGATACTGATTCCGAATTTGATGATTTCGAAAAATCACTTCCGCCATCACAAATCTGGCAAGGTCCTGGTAATGGTGATGAGCACCAATCAAGTCTATCAACTGAATCTGATCAGCCATCAAGTCTATCAACTGAATCTGATCAACCATCAAGTCTATCAACTGAATCTGATCAACCAATTGATAATGAAACTTTCGGTGGTCAACTATTAGGTAATTTAATTGATAATTAAAAAGAAATTAAAAAAAAAAAAGAAAAAGAAAAAGTAAACTTTATAAACAAATAAACAAAAATAATTTAATATATAAAGATATTTTATTATTATTATTATTATTATTATTATAATTGTTATTTTTAACAATATGGTAGATATGTCATTATTGGTAATTGTATTACATCAGATGTTCCAATATTACAAAAACTTATTCTAACTTTGGTGTATGGACCACAGAGTTGTCCGTCCAACAAGATGTCGAATGGTTTCTTTCGTTCGTCTTTTTGACATTCAATTTCGATGGCGTTCATAGTAAATAGTGTTGGATCTTCGCTCTTGGCTCTCTTCTTTTTGGCATCGAATTCGATGAGACCTAGTTCCATGAGTGCTGGTGATGTATCTTTGGTCGATGTTTTACTGGTGAATTTCGGTAGTTGGTTGACAATCGATATCTCATAGTAGGTCTTAAAATCTAGTACGATCTGTTGAATTTGTGTTCCCAGTGGATTGACTATACCAATCTTGGCAGAGAGTGAGGCCGGTGGATATTTTGCCATACGATTGTTCAGCGTGCTTTCAATGATCGCTTGATCACCGGTGCCCTGACAGTAGGCATTCAAACCAATCTCGGCACGATGGAAGAAAGGTATGGTTTGATAGTTATCATCATTCCAACCCTCACATTTCATCAATGGAATATCAAGCTTAAACGATGCTTCACGGAACAAGTATTCTACCTCTGACATGATGATAGCAGAAGGTGTACGAGTCAATGTCGAATCTGCTTCAGTCGATTGTTGTTGTTGTTGTTGCTGTTGTTGAGAAGCTTGTTGTAATGAATGAAAACTCATACTCTTTCTATCTTCTCTTAAACCAGACATTGATTCAATAACAGATTGATCCGATTGATTGTTTGATGATGGTTTAAATGTTGGAATGATTTCATATAATGAACTAAATATAAATAAATTGGTTTTATTCATATGTTAGTTATTGTTTTGATTTTGATTTGATTTTCAAATTGTTATGATTTGTTTTTTTTTTTTTTAATAACTTACTTTAATATAGTTGATACTTGTCTTTGATACCAATTATCAAATGTAGATACAAAGTCAGTGAATTTACAATTATTACCGGCAGGAATTAAATAGAATTGAATATCGAGATCACTGAATAACTCTGGTGAATGATACTTTAGATAGACATAGGATCCTACTAAATGGTGTACTGATGCATCATTACCAACAATACATATCTTTATGGTTTGAGAGTATTGCTCCTCTTGGTAGTTTGACAATAGATTCACCAAGATATTCATTGTCTTTTTATAAACAGGTATATTGAATTGTGTAGATAGTTCATCTGGTTTCTTATTCTTTATACTCATTCTATAAAGTGATGAAAAATGATAATATAAATTTGGTAATCTATAATCATAAAAAAAAAGATAATTAATATATTATAATTGTAAAATCTATTTTTTTTTTTATACAAACATTGTAGGTTGTGGAATATGTTTAAATAATGTCTTTTTAGATAATTTAATAATCTCTTCTCTAATTATACTCAATTCTTTCATTCTAATTGATTTACATTCATTTTCATCTCTAAATAATTATATGGTTATTATTAGTAAATGGTTTGAACGATTGATATGATAAACTTACAAAATCATTGTTTTGTTTAATATATCTATAATTTTAAGATGAATATGTGAAATATCGTTTGGTTCAACAAATTCTAATCCTAATGCTGAATTATCTATACCCATTATACGTTGATATACATCTATTGATAAAATATAAAAGTTTGTTTTGTATTAATATGAATGATTTTTTATAACTTATTATTATTATTATTATTATAACTTACTTGCAATTATATTTGATTGTAATTGTGTAATGGATGGAGTTGAACTATTTTTAATGTTATGTTCAAATATCTCTTGAATCGATAGTGCATCTGAATTGTAACGATCTATTAACATATGAACGATTGGTCTATTCTTCATTTGATAGATTGACGATGTTATCGATGAGACTACGTTGGTTGCAACATTCGATGTGGAGGCTGGTGCTGGTGGTGTGGTCGATGCAGAGAGTGTCTGCATCACTGCAGGCATCTCATATGCCAACATGGCACGGTAGTAGCTTCCAGGACATTGGTGTTCCATTGTGAGTGTCTCCAAGATGTCATTGGCAAAGTCACAGTAGGGACGTGGCCACATGTAATAAGTCTTTACAATGGACAATGCCATAGAGATAATCGAAGGAGGAACAATCGGTGCTACCAAAAGATAGTGTTTCAACATCTGTAAAAAGTAGAGCATACGTTTCTCAAGAAGAAGTGGGTGTTTGAGAAAGAGAAAGAGATTTTCAAATATCATCTTTGTCTTTTGTAATGATTGTATTGGTTGTGGAATAGCTATAGGTTGTTGTTGTTGCTGTGTTGTTTGTTGTAACTGTTGTGGTTGTTGTTGTGGTTGTTGTTGTTGTTGCTGTTGTTGTGTTGATTGTGCTTGCTGTGGTTGTTGTTGTTGCACAATGATTGATTGTTGTTGTAATGTATTGGTAATGGCAGTGTTTAACCAACTTTTAATACTCTTTTGTGGCTCTGTTACATTGGATAGGTCAGAACAACGATCGATAAGGTAGAATATATAGTCGTTGGAATCTTTGAAACCTGGTGATAGAAGCTTTAACATATCAGAGGTATTGGCATCTCTTGACATCAAATCACTGTATTTACCAAGAATAAACTTCAATGCTGGATTGTTAGAGTTGAAATTGTTAAACAGAGCAATAAAGGTAAGACTTGTAATGATCGATAGCTTCATAGAGTCAATCTCTTTCTGTTCCTCTGGAGACAAGACAGGTTGTTGAGTAACTATGGTTTGTGCTTGTGTTTGCGAAGATATCGAATTTGGTGTATTAGGATTGGATGTTGGTGTTGAATTTGAAGTTGAAGTTGTTGTAGTTGTAGTTGTTGTTGTTGTAGAATTGGTAGAAGATTGTAAGGATATAGAAGGTATCTGTGGAGATGTAACTGTTGGTGATAAAACAACATTATTATTATTATTATTGTTGTTGTTGTTATTGTTATTATTTTGAGATGTAGTAGTTGGAGTTGATCCGTTTGGTGTAGAGGATAATAATAAAGATGGAATGGTACTATTGATTGTCAATGGCACTGTTGGTATGATATTATTATTGTTTGCATTCGATTGTTGAGTGGATGGATCTATTGGTTCGATTGTGATTATTGGTTCTTTGGAGGATGGTGAGTTTGTAATCGAGTAAACATTGTTGCCAATGATTAGTTGTTGATGAATGATCTGTTGTGTCGGTTGGTTACCACTCACTGCCGACATCATTGTCATCAATGCTCTTGGACTGAGATCTTCATCACTACTACCGACCAACTCATCGGAATTGTTATTATCATCGCCATCATCAACACTATTATCACCAGAAGCCGAAACAGGTACATTTGAAATACTATTTAAATCTAATGTTGACATTGATGTGGTTAATGTTGTATTATTACTACTATTATTAATGTTATTATTATTTGTATTTGTATTTGATGTTAATATTGACATTAATATTGAAATGAGTGGAGTTGAACGTTTATCGAGCATGGTTGTAAGTTGAATATATTTTGTCAAGAGTATTGAGATTATAAGTGAAATGATATCAGGATTGCATTCTACATTATGCATTAGAGTATCCCAGACAACAGAGTGTGTAGATACTGAAGAACATAGTTTTAATTCAACTGAATGTTGTAATATTTCAGATATCTGCATTAATGTTGGATGTGGTGAGAATGTACTATTATTATTATTACTATTACTACCATTATTATTATTAATAATAGTGTTCTTTGTTGATTGATGTGTTGGTGAATTTAATAATGTTACAGTTACATTATTACTATTATTACTATTATTATTAGTATCATCTAAACTATTCTTTTTAATATTATTATTAGTTCCATTAGTATTACTTTTTACATTATTATTATTATCTATATCTTGATTCATCTTTTAAGATTGAATGATTATATTTTGATCAATCACTAATAAAATTAAGATATAGAATATTGATTAATCAATGAAAATAAAAAAAAGCATATTATTTTTTTTTGATTGGGGTAGACCCATTGGTTTTATTTTCACCCACCATCTCTTTTGCCATATTTAAATAAGATTTTTATTCAGTTATTTTTGTTGATTTTTTTTTTTTTTGACTATCAAATTATTATTTTATATTTATATTTTATAATTTATTTATTTATACATTTTTTATACAATGTGGAATACCATTAATAAATGATTTGATTCCGTCACATTCTAGACAATCATCACCAAAGAAACCTATAATACATTTACAGTAGCTACTTGGTGGTGGTGTGATTACCGTACTATTGTTATTGTTGTTATTAATATTATCATTTGTTGTGGAACTTGGAGATAATGATGTTGTAGTTGTACTAATACTATTTATTTTAATTATTCCTTTCTCTGCTATTGGTAATAATACAGTGTTGTTGGCAAGACTCATGGTTGAAGCTGGCCAAACTACTTTATTCAACTTTCCATCTATCAACTCTTCGATAGTAGTCTTGTTTCTCATGATGATCGTCCTGTTGTCGTCAAATATCAACATGTTGCTAATGTCGTTGTTGCTATGAATCAGTTGATTGAATCCACCATTCACCGTATCGATCCAGTAGATTCCTTTGTTTGTCAATATATAAAGACTGTCCTTGTGAAACTCGATCTGTTTGATGCTTGCCGAGTTTGATGTTTCGGTGTATCCATCTGCCTTGTTGATGTCCGACGGTGTTATATCTATGGCGACATTGGAATTGCCATAGGCGTCACCACATTTCAAACAAGCGAAAAACAACTTGTTGTCCTCGACCCAGAAGATATCCTTCTCAGAGATGGTCAGTGCCGAGCAAGTATTGTTGGTGTTGTACAACTTGATTTGCTTGACAAACATGTCCAACTCGTCATAGTTGTTCTTGACAATGGAGCTATTGGAACACGAGTAGAATTCATTGCTATACAATGTACCAGCTGGCGACATACCGAATGAAGATCGTGCATAGTATTCGCCATTCGACAAGACGTGAATCGATGAGCTTTGAGTATTGTTGACACCACTGACAAAATATTTATTGTAACCTGGTCGTCTGGCTCGGCTTGGATTTTCAGGCTCATCAACACTATTGACCACATCTACACTGACTAGAAATTCCACTGGCAAATCAATGACCGATTCAAACACCAGAGGCTTATCTGATTCGTAACTGACTGAAACTATCTGGTTATCATGGCAACTCAACAAAAAGAAGGTTGTATTCTCAAAGGATGCCAATCCACCTACCAACTTACAATCATCCAAAGCCAACGTTTTCAGTTTAATTGATGAATCTACTACTTTACCTTTGGAATTGGTTGCAATACTATTAGTAGTAGATGTTGTAGTTGAAATTATATTTATGGTTGTATTTGTTTTTCTAATACTACTGGGTGGCACTACACATACACGATATGGATAATTTGGACACTCCCAATCATCTGTACAACTGGAATTCGTTTTCGATATCAATAATAAAAGTATAAAATAACTGATAAAAATAGTATTATTATTTCTAAAAACAAACATAGTTAATTAATTTTACAAAAAAAAAAAAAAAACTAATATTAAATATTAGTTTTTTATAGATTTAATATTAAATTGACGGTGTTATAATAATCTTTCAATCTAATCTACATTTTTATTTTATCAACATTTCAAGTCGGATCAACTTTTGGGTAAATAAATTCGTTAACCATATAATTAATTAAATTATAAAAGTAGATTTAAAATTTAATAAATATATATATAGATAAAATATATCTATATCAGATATTTCCTTTTTATATTTGTGTATTAAAAAAATATGTTGTTATTTATCTATCCATTTATATGAATAAACGTATTTAATTTTCAAACCACTCTATATCAAAAATTCATGAATGATTGTGTGGGGTGGGAAATATCAGAAAGTTAATTTCATGCCCATTCATGTTTAATTTTCGACAACCTGTTGTATATTGAAGTTGAAAAAAAAAAATTGTTTACCCCTATAAGTTTAAACGAAATAGTATTTTTTCTTTTTTTTTTTTTGGTTTATATATCAAAAAAGGAAATATTTAGGTTTTTTTTTTTATTTGTTTTTTTTTTTTATTGAAAGGTCATTTGAATCCACAACCGTATAAATATGATTTTTAATTTGTATTGATTTTGTTTTGAAAACCTTTTGTTTTTTAATTAGAAACCATATTGATTAAAAATTTAATATAAAGAATTGAAATCAACCAGATAGAAAACCAACTTTTGAAAAAACTTACTAAAGTTGAAATTTCAGTTAGCAAACCAAATTCAATAGGCATCAACACATCATAGCCATCAAAAATCAATGACAAAAATGTAATTAAAAAAAAAAACATTGGTTTCTTTAAATTAAGTTTGAGTTTTAGTTATCTATTAGAAAAATCATCGAATGTTGTTTTTTAATTAGAATATACATAGAAAGTATACTTATATATTATATTCTTATTTTTTGTGTTCATTCTGCAATTCTTTGTAACACCACAACTCATGTTAAAAAGTACTTATAATCTAATCAACAAACATTTTAAAATCAAAATTTCAAACACACACACAAACCCATAGACAAATAATAAAATAGAATAGAAATAAATTTATTAAATAAATAAAAATAAAAATTAAACAAATAATTCAACTTGAATAATAACAACAAATCATAAATAAAACAAAAATCTAAAATAGTTGGTTAAAGAATAATAATAAAAAAGATAAATTTAGATGAGAAACCAATCACGATATAAACTACTACAACCACAAAACCTACTGTAACAACCAGATTGAAAAAATAAAATAATTCAAATATAGATTCGATTCATAAATAATACATATATTTTACTTTAATTTCAAGAAAAATCATCAAATTCGAAATAACCACCCTTGAATCTTTTTTTAAAAATAACTCAACTCTCACATTGTGAAATACAAAGAATTTATTTTCACATTTCAAACCACAAAGCAGTAACTCATCACCACCAAGATCAACCACAAAACGTTTCAGATATTTTAAGAAACAGTTGGTAATAATACGATAACATATAAGTAAATTATTTTCAATTCCATTCCCATTTCAAATACGATTTTATAATAAATCTTAAAGTATAAATAAAATAATAAATATTAACAATAAAAAATTTAATTTTTAGTTAAAATAGTTAGATTAAAAATAATTTTAAGAAGTAAAAATAATATAACATTACATAAATAAATCCAAAAATGTTTTCCAAAGTAAATATTAAAATATTATTAAATGGAAATTAGAAATAAACTAATTAATTAATATATAGGGAACTACACTTTTAGCAAAGGATATTGTATCAACTTCAGCACTTAGATTAACACAAAGAAGAGGCTCTACAGAACTAAATAGAGGTATTTCAATTAGAAGAAATTCAATATGTGGTCCATGTGATTCAACACCAAATTTAACCAACTTATGTACAGCCACAAAATATGGACAATATCATACCGCCTCTAATCAACATATTTTTCACGAGAGTGACATCCCAACCATTTTGGAAAATGGAAAAGCAATTCTGGAAAGTACCGATGATTCTCTCAATCCAATAAAGAGAAGATCATCTTTCTCTGATCACATGGTAAATCCAACCGGTAGAAGATATTCTATGGAAATGGGTATGTGTTTAAATTTAAATACAAAATTTTTTTTTTTAACTATTATATTGATAATTTATATTATATATTACTTTTCTTTATATATAAAAAAAAGGTATTAACCAACTAAATAATCATTTTTCAGAGATTTCAAAGGTTAAAGATATATTTCATTTGGATAATGAATTCAAAAATGTATACTTGCCTAATAAAATAAGATGTAAGATTATATAATATTTAAAAAAAAATATATTGATTTTTTACTTACCAATAAAATAATAATAGCTCAAAAATCAGTTGTTCAACTTGATGCAGAAAGAACATTTGAAGCTGTTTGGGCACAACTTTCAACAAAGTACGGTGTGGAGAATCTAGATTTCCCAAAAGAAGTAACATTCTTATTGGGGGGACCAGGTGCAGGCAAAGGAACCAACACCAAAATTCTCCAAGAATCACTGAATGTAACATCGGAACCGATTGTTGTCAGCTCATTGCTCAACTCACCAGAGTGTGCAGAGATCAAGAAACAAGGAGGTCTTGTCAACGATAAGACAGTGTTGGAACTACTCTTGACGAAACTGGGCAAACCCGACTTTTTGGGTGGCAGCAAGAAGCCACAGAGCGTGATCATCGATGGATTCCCAAGAAACGAAAAACAAGTAAAGTTTGTCGAGTTGCTCTACGAGAAGTTGGCATCGCTCCGTCAACGTGTCAATCCACACGCCACACTCCCAAAGTTTAGAATGACAGTGCTACACGTCTCCGAGGCAGAGTCTGTCGCTCGTCAACTCTATCGTGGTGCTAAAACCATGGAGGAAAACGCCGTGCGTAGATCAAAGCAACTACCGGAGCTCGAAGTAAGAGACACCGATGTCGACCCTGCCGCATGCAAGAAGAGATACGATATCTACATGTCGCAATACAATCAAATCAAATCATTATCTGACCGCTTCCAATACGATGAAATCGATGCAAACGGTAATCTTTCAGAGGTAGAGTCTGAAATTAAAAGCATCTATAATATATAATATAATATAATTTTAAAAAATTAAATAAAATAAAAATATAAATATTTATAAAGAATACAAATAAATATAAAAATAGAAAATAAATCATGATGAACTTACGAAATGATGATCAAAATTAAATATATATTTTTAGAGAAAGATTTGAAATGTTTCATTTACACACAATTTATTCGATATTAGTTATAGATCGATGTGTGTGGTATGAAAGTCATAGTATTCTTCTGTTAATAAAATTCCAAGAATCGTTTCTTTATACATCGGTAAGTTCTTCATCATTAATTAACCCGGGGGTCAATGAACATACAAAAAGCTTTGTTTTGAACAAAACAAAAAAATAGAATCGAGAAACACATTCTTTGGGGTGTGTAAAATAATAAAAAAATAATTAAAAAAAACCTGTAGAATTCGATACTTGGTTGGAAGGTTACAAAACCCCCACAAACCAATACATCTTTTGCATTTATAAATGTCTTTAAATATTAATTAAGACCTCCAAATTAATCATCATTTTAAAAATAAACAAATAATAATTAAATTTTTTTAGTTGTAAACTAAAAAAACATAAAAATAACTAAATAATTAATAAAGTAATCAAAAACTATTTTTATATGTTAAATATCTAAAAATAAATATTTTAAATATTTTAAATAAAATTTTTTTAAATCATGGAAACATCAATAACAACAACAACATTAAATACCTCAGTGGAAATAATAAATTTTAATCATAGTAATTTTCATTTGAAAGGATGGCAATGGGCACACTTGACTATACATAGATTGTTTGATATGATAGATAATAAGCTGACGTCCTGGAAACCAAATCCACATGATGTTAGAAAAGTGATTAAAGCAATTAGAATGGTATCAGATTATTTAGACAGTCATCATAAACAAGAAGACCAGGAAGTTTGGCCATTCCTCATTTCACACAATCCAGAAGTAAAAGAACATTTAGATTTTCTGGATACACAACACGCCAAATGGCATCAGCTAAGCGACGAGATGAATGAAATCATGACTAAATTAGAAACAATCAAGATTTGTACATTGGAACAACGATCACAACTGACGGCCAAATTTAAAGAGGCCAAAGAACATCTGTATACTCATTTAGCCGACGAAGAGCGTTTACTCTTACCATATGTATTAACAATTTCAAAAGAAGAACAAGATAGATTAAGTAATATTATTTTTGTAAGTATTGAAATGTCAGAGTGTGATGTGAGAGAGTGAGAGTAGTAGTGAATGAACATGAGGTGGGTGGTGGAAGTGTTTTAAAATCATTTTAAAATAGGAAATTAACCAGTTCTCTCAATAGAACATGGCAAGAAGTGAATCAAATTACCGGTTTGGTTTATGCGCAATGTATGATACATCGGTTCACAACAACGAAATGAAATCATTCCAAAAAGAAGTTCCAACACTTGTAAGATACACAATAATACCTATATTTTTTAAATTAGATTATAATTGGTTTTTAAAAGCTCTACATATATAAAAACACTTTTAAAAATAAATAAATAAATTATTTGTACATATGTATAATCAAAAAAAAAAAAAAAAAAAAAAGAAATAGAAATTTGATCAAATGAATTGAGCAAGCAACAAAAAAAAAGATGTTATTTTTATTGGTTAAAGTTGACAGTGTGATAAAAATTCATTATCATTATAGTTGTTTTATTCTAGAATAACAGAATCATACATTAATGGGTGATATGATTATTAGTAATAATAACAACAATATCAATGATGAGGATAGAGATCTATTGCTCTATCTCGAGTCGATAGACCCGGTGTTTAAGAGGATTCATACACATCTAAAGACCAGTTGTTTTATTTGTGGTATCACATTTTATTTTAAGGAGGCTGCTCGAACGCATATGAAAATATGTGCACCGAAAGTCACTCAGTACTATTCGTTTGTAGATGACTATGAAAGACTGTACAAACCCAAACTGCCGCCAGTTTCTCCTGTTTTATCACAAGAATTTCATCTTGAACTTCCTTATCATCAAGATAAACAACAACAGCATTCACATCAATCACACCAATCACCATCACAATTCATACAACAATCACCACAATTATCACATCAATCACAACAATCACCATCACAATTCATACAATCACCGCAACAACCAAGGCAATCACAACAAGAATATCACCAACAACAACAACAACAACATTATAGTCAACAACAACAATATAGTCAACAACAATATAGTCAACAGCAATATAGTCAGCAACAAAGACAATCCATTTATGAAGCTTCTTTTTCACCTATAAACTCACCGACAACAACAACAACTACGACTACTACAAGTTTAACAAATTCACAACCGCAATCACAAACACAACCTCATCACAATATAAACAATATAAATAATATTTCACAGGTAAATGGTCATATTCCAATTCAATTACAGCAAGAGAAACTACAACAACCACCAACACCAACACCAACACCAACACCAACACCAACACCAACACCAACACCAACACCAACACCAACACCAACACCAACCTCATCTTTAAAAACAACCGAAAGTAAATTTTCACCAAATAAAAACCCATCAGATCTCAATAACACATCTGCAATCCCTATTGACTCAACTGACCCTTCACCTAAAAGACCAAAAAGAGTAGCAGCAGACGATGCATTAAAGAAAATCAGTACTTTAATTAATGTAAAGAAAGAACCAGAGACTACTCATATCGATAACATTGTCATTAATCTAGATGATGATGAAGAAGTATTTTTAAATACCAACAACAACAACAACAATAATAATAATCATGATAACAATGTTGTAAACAACTTGGTTAATTCACCAAATGAAGTACCCGACAACACTCCACCAATCGCGACATCATCGATGCAGTTTATACCAACCACTGAATCTCAGCATGATACCATGATGAATGACAATGACTATGACTTTGGAGGTGGTTTTGGCACACCGGAAAGCAGTGAACCAGAAACGTTAGAGATAGAGGAAGACAATGTTGTGATTCCACCAAAGCCAAAAACCTATGCCAGGAAATCAGTGATTGCTCCCAAAGCACCTGGAACACCAAAACCAACAGCAGTTCCAGAAGCCGTACCCTCACCAACTTCTTCACTCCTCAGACCCTCGCAATTCGACTCTGTTACCCAACCTACCAGTCTTTCTCATGTCGCCTCACATAAGAATAAGCTGGAGCAAAACAATATCGACACACCTCTCAAGAGGCCTAGAATTTCCACACCATTTGGACCCAGTCGTAATGTGGATTTTGCAATTAAAATCAAGCCGGCAGCATTGAACCCTATGAACACTTCAATAGTAGTCTACCAGCAAGAAGGAGGAGTTGACTGCTACCCAATAACAACAGCAGATCTGTTAGAAGATATGAGCGAATTTCAGGCAAAAGTAACAGAGATCATCGACAAACTGAAAGAACAAGAATTCTCCAATGCATTTATCAACCTAAGGAAATCCGACTACTTTTCCAACAATGCACAGGAATATAGGTACTACTACAAAGAGATTACGGCACCAATGACACTGTCGATGATAAAAAACAAACTTCTAATGAACCTCTACAATGACTCTGTCAGAGAGATTTCTGCCGATTTTCTGAGGCTAATAGATAATGAAGCTAAATTCAAGAAAAGACCAGATATCATTAAGAAAAGTCCTGATACTACAAAAGAAGCAATTGAATTAAATGTAATTATAAATACTTTATAACTTTATATTATCTTTTTAAACTAACTAACTAAATATATAAAAATAAATCCTATGAATTACCCTTAGCAACATTGGCTAGAAGATGTAAAGTCTATATTTGGAGATGGTGCATTTTATTTATTAAATGATTATCAAGCTAAACTAAAACAATATCAAGAGGATCATAATCAATAAACAAAACATATGTTGATTTTATTTTATTTACAAAAAAAAGATTTATTAATTTATTTGAAATAAATTTAAAAGTTCTCGCTTATCTACTGTTTGATTAGGGTGAAAATGGAAATGAGGCATAGAAGATTGGTGAGCGTGATGATCGTTGTTGCTGTAATCGTTGTTGTAGTTACCATACTGGAAGCTGTAGGGTTGATGTTGTTGCTGTGATACCTTGGAGCGATTGCCTCGTAGATAGGTACGATAATTGGTATTGTCAACGATCTTTATATACTGAATCTTTGAGCATCCATCCAAAATACTATTGATAAAATCATCCGATATCATATTTCTGTACATGAGAGAAGCGGTATTGCTCGACGATGATGATGGTGAGTGAGGTTCAATCGTGATCGGTGTGACAGAGATGAATTTATCAATCTCTGAAGCCGATATCTCGAATACCTTTAGATTGGTTTGTGAAAGAATAAACATTTTCAACTCCTTCTCTGATATCATGTCATATCCAATATTATCTGGATCCAACTTTAATCTTGCCCAAATAGGTCTACAAACTCTTGAATCCAATCCATTCTTTAATACAAAATGTTTTAAATTTAGCTAATAATCATAATAAAGAGTTGTTAGCAATTTAAAAAATTAAAATTAAATTATTGTAAACACTTACCTTTCCAAATGATTTAAGTGAGGAATCTGATAGATTTGAAAGCCAACCTTCAAATGAAAAGTGTGTCAAGTTTGGACATTTGGTGGCTAGTAGCTCAACCATTGAATCTTCGAGTTTTCTATCCCTGTGTGAAAAGGAAGTCGAGTATTTTATACCGTTACAAGTTGTGAATCGAATACCAAGCTCTTTGAGTTTGGTACCAAAGATGCCAGTGATATCTTCGAATAGCTTCACCAAGTCATGATTCCAAACAGATAGATGAAGTCCTTCAAGACTAGGTAAATGACTGTTAAAATTATTAAATACATTCTTATCTATGGTGGTCGTCACTAGATACAATCTTCTAAGATTAATAAATGTGAGAGGTGATGCGAATAAAGTTGAAAAAACTTTATCCAATATAGTTTGACTAGTTTTACATGCTGCACTGAAACTAAATTATAAATAACAATAATAGTGGAAAAGTTAATTAATTTTCAAATTCGAAATAAAATTATTAATAATATTATAATTTGTTGTTACCTTGGATCTAAAGGATCATGAGTGAGTAATCCAATTTCAGAGAGATTTTCTACTTTTACAATTTTTTTGAAATAGTCGTCTTCCTTTTTCTTTGAATAAGGTAGATCGATACAAACTCGTATTTTCAGTTCCTTAATCTTGCTGTTCAATAGAGATGAGAGAATGGAGAGAGGAATGACAGCACCAAGATCGTGGAACGGCAGTGCCAGTGGCTTCTCCAAGTCAAAGAAGTGGCTGCGTTGCTGTTGATAGTCACGAGAGAATCCATGATTGACGGTGCATTCGTGTTGGAGTTGTGGTGTAAGATTTGCATATGCAGGATCTGTAGAGGTGCATGTCGAAGCGGTTTGGCTGGTCAGTGGTGAGCTGCTTTGGTTGATGATTGTAGCTGCCGCTGCTGTTGCTGGAGGTGGTTGCTCCGGTGTGGAGTTGTGAAACACCCTGAGTGTCACCTTTGATAGGTCGCTTGAGAAACATGCAGGTTCGAGATAGTCGATCCACTTTTTGAGGAACTGGTAGGGATCGTTGTGGAAATAACAGAAGTTGCATGAACATGGTGCAATGGTGATATTGAGTGAATTGATAATGTGTCGAATCGGAAGAAGTTTGCGTTCAGGTGGTGGTTGGTGCAATGAGATCATGCAATTCTCCAACAACGGATTGGGTGTCATCATCAACGTACATCGCCATGTTGTACAAACCCATGCACATGTACATCTATCAGTATATGATAGTTGTGAAAATATTAAATCTAAAACATCTATAGGTAATAATACTGAGTTGTTATAATAATAGAAAAATGTTGTTAATATTTTTTATATAATAGGTATCAATATTTATATATTTACTTTCTTCTCCTCGATTGGAGTCATTGGAAATACTAAGGTAATATTCATCAGAGTCGGAGGAGACTGATTTATGAATGGCAGCAGCATGTGGTTGCGCTAGTTGTTTCCCACTGTTTGGTGAGATTGGAATAAAGGTAGTGGGTGCCAACTTGTGTGATTTTGGTGAGTGAATTTGGTAGGATGGGCGTGGTGCTTTGCTTGGTATCGTCGAAAGACAGTGATGGTCGTGATCGAGTGTTGGAATTGGTGCGTTAGACCCTACTATTGCCGAGTTTACTGATTTATATGATTGATAAGGTGAAAATTGTTGTTGTTGTTGTTGTTGTTGTTTTTGTTGTTGTTGTTGTTGTTGCTTATGATGATATTGATATTGCTGTTGCTGTTGTTTTAAATCCTCTAAATGATCATTCGAATAATAAAAATCTGATTGTAAACGTTTTTTACTTTTACTACTACTATTATTATTATTATTATAATTTAAATCTATATTTCTATTATTATTATTTTTATTACAATTATTCTTCTTGCTACTGTTATTATTATTACTATCTATTGGTGAAGATAAAGATTGATTTTGTGGTGAAAAATGTGGAGATTGTGGTTGAGATGGAGGTTGAGATGGAATTCTATTATTTTTTATAATTAAACTCGGAGATGTACTATTATTTATTGTTGTTGAACAGGAATTTGTTGTAGTTGTTGTGGTTTTGGACAACGACTTGTATTCGATTTTTGGTTGCATAAACTATAGGATCCAAAGCCAAAACAATTTTTTTCAAACAAAAATAAAAATAAAAAATTAATAAAAAAATATTAAATTAAAAAATTAATAAATAAATATCCTTTATTTTTATTTTTTTTTTTGAAACCATATAAAACAAAATAATAAAGATTAACAAAGTTTTTTAGATTTAGATTACAAAAAGAAGAAGAAAATAAACAACAAACAACAACAACAATGATATCTAGAGTACAATGAACTTTAAATTTTAATAAATAGATTTTAATAAATAGATTTTGATTAAACTGAATAGAAAAATTTATTAACAAAAAAAAAAGATAGAATGTGAAAGAAGGCAGTTAAAAATTAAACAGTTGTTGTAAATAATTAATTAAACAATGTGAGATTAAAATTGCAATGGTTGAGGTACAAGTACTTGTTATAGGTGAGATTGAATTTTTTTGATCAAGGAAATACAAGAAGATTTAAATTTGATTCTTTTCAATTAAAAAAATAAAATCATTCAAAAAATAATAAATATCCTGCTTCCTTATAAATTGTGATGTTTTTTGTTATTCATGATAATTGAACGACCCACATACCCAAAAAAAAAAATATTAACACCATATCCCAATATAAAAAAGAAAAACACACCACAAAATATTTTGATTTTGCACATTATGAGTAAAAGAACTTGGAAAGTGCACAAAAAAATTGGTATTAACCAAAATGTTAAATTGTTCTAAAGAAAAATCAAACATTTGGTTTATTTACAAAGTTTTTGAATACTATCTAATGAATCGTGGGCAGTGTAATGATTTTGATGTTTGATAGATTTAATGATTTTTGAATTCTAATTAGGAAAGGTTATTTCAATATTAATTTATACCATGAGCAAAAATCTTACTTAAAAGATTTAATAAAAATATACATTCATTGTTAAATTCTAAAAAAATGTGAAATATTTGTGTATTTTCTATCAAATAATATGGCCACTTACTTTTTAAAATTTTAATCCTCCTTATGGAGGTAATATTAATCAATTTCCCAATGGTGTATTTAGTTCTATTTTTACTCCTATTACTTTAAAATAGTTGTTATTAATTTATCCTAAATATTATTATTGTTTCCTTATTATTAGTATTTAAAAATAATTTATTATTTAATGTCTAAATATCCAAAAATTTTTACAAAGAATATTATAGTGAATATTTGTCGTAATTTAAAATATTATTTATTATTCTTTTTAATGAAAAATGATTTAAAATTTAATTTTATATAGATTTTTTTTTGAAAATAAAAATTTAATAAAAGGAAGATGAGAGAACGAGTTAAAGATGTCACATGTCAATCAAAAGTAGGAAAAAGTCTTGTTTTTTTTAACTAAAATTGAAACCAAAAATAAACTGATATTTTTTAAATTTCTATTTATGATTGGTTGATAGCACTAATTTGAAAGAGTCGTTGTCTTTAAATTAAAAAATATATGGTATTAGACATTGGATCAAACACAAACAGTGGAAATATACTTTTTTGTTTATTTTTTTTTTTGTTTTGGTGTATAATAAATAAATAAATAAATAAATAAATAAAAATTGAAAATAGAATTCTAATATTATATTTTTAAAGTTTAAAAACAAGTCGACTATAAAACTAATTTATTTTTTTTGTAACAAAATAATTAAAATGAATGGTTTTTGTGGTTGAGATTCCATTTTCTTTTTTTGGAATATTGAATAAATAGTTTTTTTTATAAACTGGTCAATGCTGGAAAAAAAGGTCATTTATTTTACATTTTTTTTTTTGGATATGTAGATCTTAATATTTGTTTGTAATAAACAAAAATGAATTATTTAATTTTCTGTGATATTAATTTACTTGTTATAAAATTTGTTGTTGTCTTTGTTTTGTTTGTTTTCTATATCCATCTTATCTGTATACTAACTTTATGATAATAATTATTATTATTATTGTTAATTTAAAACTTTTATTATTATTATTATTATTATTATTTATTGATAGCAATTTATTTATCTTTTACAATACCACCTATGAGTCCATCTCTTTTAGCTAGTCTAGAGTGATAGATATTTCTTTTCTCTTTAAATTGTTTTTTGAATTCCTTGAGATCGATTGTTCCTTCTAAAAAGTCGTTGGCAATGTCGTCCGACTCAGTTTCTGCAGTCGATGCTAGCTCTGTGAGTTTGTCGATGAGCACGCCTGTGGAGAGTGCCTTTTGAATTTCATCTCTTCGCTTCTGTTTGCTATCGAGTTCCGATTTGAGTTGGTTGTAGAGCTGTGTTTGTTCCTCGAGATGTGACTTGAGTTCGATTATCTTTTCTTTCTTTGGGTTGATCGGAGTTGACAACCGCTCGTTGGTCGTCTTCAAATTGTCGCGGTGGTCACCCATTGCCGAGACTTCGTCGAGTGAGAACATTAGAATCTCAATCTCACCAGAACTCAACAGTGCCTCCAACTCTTCCTTTGACTTTGATTCCAACTCTGGGAATTTATAAGGAATCGATGGTATATTTGGTTTCTGTACATTGTTGTTGGAAGATGCCGACTTGTTATCTTGTTGCTTCAAAGAAGAAGAAGAAGAAGAAGTAGAAGAAGAAGAATATGGAGGTGGTGGTTGTCCTTGTTGTGATGATACTATATTATTATTGCTATTGCTATTATTTGATACATTGTTGTTGCTATTGCTGTTACCGCTATTACTGTTGTTATTATTGTTGTTATTATTAAAATAAGAGGGTGGTGGAGAGTAATGTTGAAACTGTGGTGGATTCTTGCTGTAGTATTCGATGTATTCCATTGTAACCTTGGCTAGTGAAGTCATCTGTGTCCACTCTGCCGGTGGTTTCACCGAGATTGTCTGACCATCTGGTGACTCTAAAAAGTATACTGGTGGTAAATTTGGAAAGTTTACAGGCAATGATCTAGTTTTCATGATGATGATTATTAATATTCAGCTAGATATCTAGATATTCAATCAAATAAATAAACATACATAACAATATGATTACCACCTAACAATGGTATTTTATAGGTTGAGTCTTTTGATAACTCTTTAATCGTTGGATATCTGCTCTTTAAAACTTCAATCTGTTTAAGTTTTCTAGGTATCCGATTGATTGTTAATATGAAAATCAAAGCAATTCAATAGTATTTTATTATATTATTACTTACAGTGATAACAAGTTTGACATTTGTTTATATTTAGATAACAAAGACTAACCTTTAAAAAATAAATAAAATAACAATAATAAAATTAAAATTTTAAAAAAAAACTGAATAATTGAAAAAAAAAATCATTATTACCCAATTAATCAAGAAAATATATTTTATTTTTGCTATTTAATTTATATTTGCATTCATGGAGTAGATAGAGATAAAAACAGGTGAATAAATTTATTGTTTAGTATTGTTTACTACTACTACCACTACTATGAATTATTAAATAAAATCTTATTTTATAACAATTCCTCAATTAATTGTTTTTTTTGTAAGCAATAATTCTGGATATGCTTTTACATTTGTGTTTAATACATTGTTTGACTTTGGTATCTCATGATTAGACTTCAACTCTGTAAAGGCACTTACAAATGAGGTAAACAATACAATTATAGAAATAAAGGGTAACCAATAAAATGACCATAAAAAAATAAAAATAAAAAAATGAAAAAAATTGGCAGTGATCATAAAAAAAACACGATTTACAGTTAGTTGATTTTTCACAGATAGATAGATAAAGAAAATGACAGCAGATAACATACCAAAAGTAACCATCGAGAAGCATTTACCAGAAGGCTTCGAGAAACTTCTCGGTACCTATGAACAAGAGTTTACAAAGAAATACCAATTCATCAAGGAATCAAATGCAAAGAAAGTTGAAATTAGAACTTATCAAGATATATTAGTATGTTTTCTATTTTTTAACATCATATATATATATATATAATAATAGCTACATATGTTTTATGATAATAGCATAGCTATTACTATAATTATTATTGCTATTCATATATATTATAACTTTAGTGATGGTTCTAAGTGTTCAATAATGTTAGAATAGCGATAATAACACATGTGTGATATAATAATAAAAGTTTAATAGTTACTACTTTTATTGTTATGCTATGCTCTATATACTTTTTTTATAAGATTTACTAATCAACCTTCTCAATTAATCAATTAACTAATATAATAAACAGGGAGAATGTTTCTTTACTCAAAAACAAAACTATATGATGAATTGTAGAACTATTGCTTTGGAATATTTAGAGTTGATTAAATACCCAGCTCAACACAAAATGTAATCACACAACATAATATAATAATAATAATAGAATAGAACAACAATAATAATCATCAGAATAACAATAGATATCTTTTTTTTATTTATTTATATTGTCGCAACCGAAAAAAAGAAACAAGTAGAGGAATAATTATAATCAACAGTTAAATCCTCAATTTATCGATAAAAAGATAAATAAAATCATTTATGTACTAAACAAACAAATATATATAATTAATTATTTTGTTATTACATGTTTTTTTTTTAATTTATTTATATTTTATATGTTAATTTAATTAGATGTTGTTGTCGATGTTGTTGTTGTTGTTGTCGATGTAGTTGTAGCGAATGCATTGTTTGGTGCAGCAGTTTGTTGAGCAGTGGCAGCCAACATTGAGAAAACTAAAGATACTTTATCGTCACCGGCAGTCACCAGAGTTGCACCGTCGTTTGTCATATCGAAATCTAAAATAACATCTTGATGTCCTTTGAATTGTTTGATGAGCTGACCGTTACGCTCGTCCCAAAGACAAATAGTCTTATCGGTCGACGAACTATATAAAATCGGTTGTGTAGGATGTACCATCAACTTTGTAATACCACATCCCTCTTTATGTTTCATTGTTGAACGTGGTTGCATTGTCTGTATATCCCATACTTTAACAGTACCATCCATAGATCCAGTAAAACAGAAACTATACCATTCATATTAATAGATAGACAAACATCGGTTAAACAACTATAATACTACTACCTCTTCTTACTTTCAGCAATCTGAATCTTCCTTTTTTTTACTTACTTTGGATTGTTATTACTGAATGCTATAGCTTCGATTGTATCTGTATGACCCATTAGTTTACCTACGACTTTGTTGGTGTTGATGTTTGAGATACATGCGTAGTTGTCTTCTCCGGCGGTGAGAGCGAGAACACCATCGGAACGAATGGCAACTCTGTTGATTGGCGACTCGTGGAATCCGTGACCGCTAATGACACCGGCTACACTACCATCCTTTGGATTCCAACAACGTAGTGTTTGATCTTCAGAGATGGTGACTACTTTCTTTCCATCGGGTGTGAATGTACCGTCTGCAACGATGCCGCTGTGTCCTGCGAATGTCGAGAGTAGATCACCTTTGAGTGTCGACCACATGAATGCACAGCAATCAGCAGATCCTGCCAAAAGCAAGTTTCCTCTTGGATGCCATTGAATCCACTCGATTGCTTCGGATGGACCTTCCAATGTTACCTTTAGTTCACCGGTTGCAACGTCCCAGACACGAACGACACCGTCCATTCCACCGGTGGCGACGAGTGTTCCGTCAAAGTTGAAGCCGACCGAGCAGACAGAGTCGGTGTGACCCTTGAGAGTGTATACTTTGTTGCCGTCTTCACGATTCCAAAGATAAGCGAGATCGTCACCACCACCGGTGACAATGATATCGTTGTGTTGACGATTGATAGCGACGCAATAGACAGAGTCGGTGTGTTCAAAGAATCCTTGTACCGATTCATCTTCAAAGTCTTCGTCCATCTCTACGTCGTCACCTTCCTTCATGTCTTCATCACCACCAGCTTCGATATCATCGGCATCGTCATCGTCATCCATCATAGCATTCTCTTTTGAATCTAAAACCAACTCTTGAACAGCATCATTTGGATCAATGAATGCTTCTTCATCTTGTTGTTGTTGTTGATTATTTTCCATTCTTTATTATATTATATTCTTTTTGTATATGTTATGAATAAAACTATAATATATATTATTATTTATTTATTTATCTATATTAAATGAATTAAAACAAATCACAACAATCTATTTAATTAGTACTACTAATCGAGAAGGAGTTAAATTAAAAAAAATAAAAGAATCAATCAAAAAAAAATAAAAAGAGGAATATATATTGTTGTGGAATGTCGTTCGTTTTTTTTTTCAAAACAAATTTTATTTATTCTTTTTTGCTTCTATATTTTTTTGTGTACACAATATATATATTTATTTTGATTATACACACTTATTATGATTAATAAGTTTTTCCTTTTATTTAAAATACCAATTTTCGTTTATACAATGGGATTTTATGATACTGGGTTTTGATTTCTTCTAGGTGTCGGCATGCCTGTCTGGTCGAATGGTCGGTTTTACTGTGGTAGGGTCGATTTTGTAGTGGATTTATATATTGATTGCTATTTACAATACTACATTTCATTTTTACAGACCAAAATGACGCTTCATAATGGCAATGGATTCATTTGCAAATCTAATCATTGTTTGGATCATCTAAAATATAAATGTGGTGAGATAAATTTATATTAATAAAACTAATTTTAAAATTTTGAGAAAAATAATGTTGTTTTGTTTGTATACTTACAACCATACATTCATCTAAGGATACATCTTGTTCCAATTGAATTTGAATTGAGGTGAGTTGTGTTGACATTTCGGTATTTATAAATAAAAGGTTGTTGTTGTGTTGATTGAATATCTTGATGAGGTCTCTAATGAGTTGTTTGCTCTTGCTGCTGTCCTTTTGGTTGAAAGAGGTGAGCAACTGGTCGAGTATATTGATAATTTGAATTTCAATGCCGAGCATTGGGATGATCTGTTTGATCGAGTTGATCAAGTGTCCGTGTTTGTCGCGGTGATTCTGGTCCAAGCCATTCAAGATCTTGACGACCTTCAAGTGAATGGTGGCTTGGTCTCTGTTGATCTCATCGAGTGTCTTGACATAGTAGTTGATCTTTTCGATCACTGGTTGCTTGTTGGAGATGGCGATACGAGTAAAGTGCTCAAAGTACGACTTGATCGATTGGAGTGTAAGTGCGATACGTGTAATCACTTGACGGTACTCTGTAATGGTGACCAAGTCGTAGGTGTCACCGATATTACTGACGTCTTCAATGAGTTCGTCAAGTGAGTTGGTAATTGGTCTGATATCGATTGGTACCTCCTTATTATTATTATTATTGTTATTGCTAGTTTTCTTGGCAGCAGCGAGTGAAAAAGTGCCTGTACGACCTGGAAATGAACGTTCTGAAGTTCCTCCACTAGAATGCATTCCATTGGCATTGGAGTCTGGTGATGATCCATTGTTATTGTTGGTTGAGATATCTCTCAATCTTTCAAAGCTTGGCGAAATTGGTTGAATAATTCCTGACATCATTTATGGATGTAAATTATTAAGTCTTGACTGACTAACTACTGACTTGTAGCTTAATTGAATAACACTAAGTTATTTCTAATTGATATATTAATATTAATTTATATACTATTTTTTTTTTTTAAAAATAAAAAATAAATAATAGATAGATAATCTACTTTACTAAAATATGGTTTTTACTAAAATGATTTGAAAGTCTATCGATCTGATTATTATATATACAATGTATCTACAAATATTGATAAATTTCTGTTTCTAATTTATTTCTCTAAGGTTTTTGATTTATTTGATTGATTATAATCATGCGGTGATCAATCCAAACCCCTAAACATTTTAAAAAGGTGAAAAAAAAAAATTAATTAAAAAAAAATAAAAATAAAAAAATAAAAAAATCAATTTAATTAAATGTTTTGGTGTGCCAAGGAACCTGGGAGTAAACCACACAACAGTTCATCACAGGTCGGTTCTATTTGTTTGTGGGCTTCAAGATTCAGAGTGTCTCACAAAAGTTCGTCACCCCAAAAAAAAAAATAGTTTTTAAATTAATACAATTCTTAAGAATACTTTCAATTTTTTATTAAAAGAAATAATATCATTATAATTTAATTATTATTTTAACATAACATAATTGTTAAAAATAAAAATAAAATAAAATAATTATTACAAAAAAAACAAAAAAAAAAAAAAAAAACCAATTATGTCGACATCAATTTCACACTATTTGAAAGAAAAACTTGTTGCTGAGACAATCATAACAAGATTTATTTCCATTTCTTAGAAAAAATAATGAAATCATAATTATATTGTTTTGAACAAATATGTTCTATTGTTATTAGCAAAAATAAATAAAAAAAAAATGAATTTATTTGTTTTAGATAAAAATAGTAAAAAGAGTGTAAGATATCATTGTGATAAGCATGTCGTAAAGTTGATATTGGAAGCTGTACAGATGTTGTATTGTGCCTATCATGTTTTGGAGGCTGACGATGACGCGTGGAAAGCATCTTCACCTACACCTTTGAAGCTGACTCACAAGAACCATCCAATCAATAAGTGGGTGAGAACCAATGCAAGTTCTTATGACTTTACTGTTGACTATGCAGCGAATCTGCTGGACGAGTATACTTTACGTTATGGAAAGATACACTCATACAAAGAACATGTCGATTGGCTATCGAAAAACAAACCGTCGAAACTTGACAAATCTAATCAGCTGACTCTGATGCCTGTAGCTATGCCTGAGGAGTATCGTGTACAACCAATGAATGATTGGGATGATGTTGTTAAATCGTATCGAACCTACTACATTAAAGAGAAACTTAGATTTTGCTCTTATAAAGGTGTTGAATGGCCTGACTGGTTACCAGATAAATCAACTTTTATCGCCCCAGTTTCTTCACCAAAAAAATCAAAAACTAAAAGCAATTCATCATCAACAACAACAACCTCAAGAAAAGCAAAATTAAATGCAACTAAATAATAACCATGGTTTTTATTGTAAATAAATTATTATGAAATATTGTTCAGATATTAATTATTAATTTCAAGGTTTAAAATAATCACAGCCTAGTAGATAATTTTAAAGATATCTAACTTTCAATACATTTATATCTTTTTTTATCTTTACAGAACAACACATTTATTGGCATAATTTTATCTAAAAGGTTGATTTTTACATAATACCTATTAAATTATAATGGAATATCACATATTGTGGAGAACACCCTTGAAAACCAAACACAAACATTCAATGTTTTTCTTTGGTATTTCAAACCACTTACCTATTATCTAATCACTTAACAATCAATCTTGATCAAAAATTTTTAACAGCAAATGTGTTAAATAATATTTTGGAATATAATAAAAAATAGCACTAATATGTAAAAACAACATCAACACAATAATTATTTTTTTTTTATTTTTTGTTAAATATTCAAGTTGATAATATCAATTAATTTCGTAGCATTTTGCTATAAAATTATTGAAACATATATCAAGCGATTATTGTAGATTAAAATACTCTTTTTATTGATTCTAATTGAAAAAAATAATGAATGATTTTGTTAGGGGAGTATGAAAATTACTTTTCATTTGTAAATAATTAACAAATTTATTTTTATTTTTTAGTATAAAAGGGAATTATTTTTAAATGAAATTTTGTTTTAAAATTAAATTATTATTTATTTTTTCTTTGATTTTATTGTCAATCATAAATGAAGTAAACTCTTCAAAACAAAAAAATAATGTAATAAATGAATTGATGAAAATAGTAGAAGAATCTCAGTCAAAGTAAGATTAAAATTTTATTACTAAATTATCAAATTATTTTATTAATAATTCTTAGGATTTCACAAAAGTATTCTTTTTTAGAGAGATGGGAAACTAAAAAAGGTTTATTTCCGTCTGAGCTTCACTTTAACTTTAATGGTAATGAATGGATGACTAAAATGAGAAGAGTGTTTGCACTCCCAGATACAAATATGTTTGTCACTGTTTTTATTTTATATTCATTGATAGAAGTAAGTAATCAAAAAGAATGAAAATATAATATTTTAATTAAAGAAATTTCTTTTAGGCAGAGAAAAATGGTGTTAATCTTAATAAAGAGATAGTTGATATGGGAGCTGAAGCCATGTCCGAATATAGGGATAAAAATTTAGATAGAGATTCAGGATTGTATTGTTTTTGGCAACAAACTAGAAATGAAACTTCTAATCATTATTTTTCGTATCCTTCAAATTTGAATGGCCCACTAGATGATTTTCCAAATTTATCAAAGTCTCCCATATCAATTTTATTGAAGGCTTTTAAAATTGACTTTTCCAAGGTAGCTACATTATTTCATCAACTATCATTGTTTCTTAGAGTTTCTCCAGATTCTGATGATACAAGTGTAATTCTTGCATTGAATGCACAAATTGACAATTCAGCATTTAAATATCCAGAAACCAACTTTAAGATGAAGGCCTCTAATCCAAATATCAACAAAACAATTGAATCACTGACCTATTACACTTATAGACCTTTTTCTGAAGATAAAAAAAGAAATGCTGTTAATCCAAGGACATATTTTGTTATCCACCAATTTATTGAAGATTGGGTATCAAATGGTAGAAACCAAGAGGACTTGGTACTACCTTTTACTTGGATGATGGATTTCCCTTTTAGATCAGACCAATATCCATTTACAAACCTTGTGATTTCTTCAAATGATATAGATTTTTGTGTTGCAATCAATACATTTTATGGATTGGCATCATCTATCATACAACATGGAAACAGTATCATCAGTTTAGAAGTCAAAAGAATGCTGAGTTCTATTGCTTATTTAATAGAATGGGGAATCAATAGTGAATTAGTATATGATCGTAAAGATTTGGCATTAGTATACTATCCATCTATCTATACATTCTCATGGTTTGTTTCGCGTGTAGTCGATTTTCTTGAAACTGAAAATCAAAAATCACAAAACCAAATGCCATCTATTGTATGTATAACATTAGAAAATTATTATTAAAAAGCTATTTATTAACATTAAATTTATTTATTATATATCTAAAGTTGAACGATTCACTTGTTTTATTACGTGATGCAATGATGAATGGTGGAACCAATCAAATGTTAAAGAGAATGAAAAGTGATGGAAATGGAGGTGTCTATTGGGAAGATTTCCTTGGCAATGCGGACACTCTTCAAGGTGTTAAAAAGGAATATGGTGAAGATAGATTCTATAGTAGTGCACTTGCATTGAATGTATTGATTGATACATGGACTATTACTTGTGGAGATACTGTAAATCGTAGATGGCGTGATAATACACCACACCCTGTAAAGGCTGCTGTCAATAATGGAATATCATTTATAGTTGATAATATACTTGAAAACCCAACACAAACATTCAATGCTTTCTTTGATATGTCTTTCAGAGGACCATCAACATATCCTACTTCTTACCCTATAAACTATTGTTATGACAACAATGGAATTGAATGCAAGTTTACTCCATCAAATCCAGAGGGCGTCATGGGTGTAGTCAGTGGTATCATTCCACACACTAAATACCAAGAGATGTTGAAAATGAAATGGGCAAACAATACTGTTCCAACCACTTGGTCAGGATCATTTAATCCCGTTGTAATACCATATTTTTCATCACAACCACTTACCTATTCAGTCAGTATACTCGCATTATCTAAATCACTTAACATTCAAACTTAATAAACTTGATAATAATGTTTTTTTTTGCAATAAATGTAAAGGAATTAATTAAAATAAATATTAGAACAAAAGAAGAGAACATTATAGATAGATAATTAATAATTAATAATTAATAATTAATTATCTATTTTTCATTATCTATTATTATAATTCATAACTATTTGAAATTTTATTTTTTTCTGATTTTTTTTTTCATCTTAACACACATGTATGTTGTGGGGATATAAATATATTTCTTTTGGTTACAATAAACAAAATTTTTTTAATTTATTATTTATAAAAATGAAATTATATATTATATTAAAAACTATCATTTTTCTATATATATTTTTGATAACTTGTGAAGCAATAACTTTTAAAAATGAAAATAATGTGATCAATCAGTTGATAGAAAGAATTGGAAATTCACAAACAAAGTGATTATTAATATTTCTAAATTTTCAACTAAAATTATTTCTAACAAAAATTTGTTCTCAGAAAATCACAAAAATATTCCTTTTTAGAAAGTTGGGAAACAAAAAAAGGTTTATTTCAATCTGAAATTAAATATAGTTTTAATGGAGATGAAATGATAACTAAAATGAGAAGAATCATAGGAATTCCTGATACCAATATGTTTGTTACTGAAATTATATTATATTGTTTATTAGAAGTAAGAATTTAATTTTTTAAACTTTTTCAATAGATTTTAATATTTAATTTTTTTTTTTATATAGTCCCAGGCAAATGGAATTGTTCTTGATAAAAGGATGATAGATTTAGGAATGGATTCCATTCTAGAGTTTCGTGATAAGAATTTTGATAATGATTTGGGAATCTATGGTTTTTGGAGTCAGTCAAGAAATGAATCATCAAATCAACTATTTACAAATTCTGCCAATATACTAGGTCCATTGAATGATTTAGAAAGGTTGATGATGTCACCGGTAGTGGGGATGATGCTGAAATCTTTAAACATTGATTTGTCGAATGTTGCAGCTTTCTCTAATGTTATCAAAAACAATTTTAAAATCCCTTCAGATAATGATGATACCTGTGGAAATCTATTATTAGGAATGAAACTGAGAAACTCTGTAAATACTGAAATCTACAAAAAATGGGAAGAAAACAATCAAAACATCAAAAAAACAATAGAAATAATAACTTTTAATTCATATCAACCTTTTTCTAAAGATGTCAAAAAAAATGTTATTGATTCAAGATCATACTATTTTGTGCACGAATTTATTCAAGATTGGATTTCCAATGGAAGAAAACAAGATGATTTTGTACTACCTTTTACTTGGTTTGTTGATTTTCCTTTAGGAACAAATCCCAATGCATTTAAAACTATACCAACTACATATAATAGTGTTGATCTTGTAGTTGTTATCAATACATTCTATGCATTGTCAACATCATTAATTGTACATGGAGATTCTATTTTAAATCAAGATGTTGAAAGAATGATGAGATCAATTATATATTTCTTTGAATGGGGATTTAAAAGTGGATTTGTGTATGATCGCTATGATGTTGGAAGTGTTTTTTATCCATCTATCTATACATTCTCATGGTCAATTTCAAGAGTTGTTGATTTTCTTGAAACTCAGAGTCAAACATTACCAAATCATTTACCATCTATGGCAAGTATATTGTATTAATCCAATTTTAGTAATTATTAACATTCATTTTAATATATTTAGTTGAACGATTCACTTGTTTTATTGCGTGATATAATGATGAATGTTGGAACAAATCAAATATTGCAAAGAATGAAAAGTGATGGAAATGGAGGTGTCTATTGGGAAGATTTCCTTGGCAATGCGGACACTCTTCAAGGTGTTAAAAAGGAATATGGTGAAGATAGATTCTATAGTAGTGCACTTGCATTGAATGTATTGATTGATACATGGACTATTACTTGTGGAGATACTGTAAATCGTAGATGGCGTGATAATACACCACAACCTGTAAAGTCTGCTGTCAATAATGGAATATCATATATAGTTGAAAATATCTTTGACAATCCAACACAAACATTCAATGCTTTCTTTGATATGGGTGAAAGAGGACCATCAACACAAGCAACATCATATCCGATAAACTATTGTTATGACAAGATTGGTGTGGAGTGTAAATTCTCACCTTCAAATCCAGAAGGTGTTGTGGGTGCTGTTAGTGGTGTCATTCCAGACAACCAATACCAAGAGATGTTGAAAATGAAATGGGCAAACAATACTGTTCCGACCACATGGTCAGGGTCGTTCAATGGCTCCTCATTGGTATTTTGGTCATCACAACCACTTACCTATTCAGTCAGTTTACTTGCATTATCTAAATCACTTAACATTCAAACTTTGAAAACGTGAAAAAAAATACAAACAAATCGCACACAATATTTGCACAAATACACAAATTTAATAAAATAATTTTAATTTGCTTTTTCAAAAAAAAAAAAACTGGTTACGAAAAACATGCAAAGAGTTTCTTAGAATCTGCGTTGTTCTTTGGAATGCAAAAATAAAAATAAAAATAAACGGTTGCATAAAATGAAATTATAATAATCAATTTGAACAAACACAAAGACATATTTGGGTGTTTATTTTAACTAAAATTGTGCAAAAAAGTGTGGTTAGTATTAATTTTTTTGATAATATGTGTGTTTGCAAACAACAACATCAGGTTCCATTTCTTAAACTTTGAGACTTTAATTGGGTTATGACACTCAATATGATAATAAATCTTGAGCACACTTTAAAATAAAATTTATTTTTAAATAAATTAAAATTTAAATTATAATCAGGAGTGAAGTTAATATTTATTGGTAAAAAAAAAATCAATTGCTTAGTCAATCAACCTACCAACAAACCAATCAATCAATCAGAACTAATAAACCAAAATATATATATTTTGTATTAAAATCAAAGTGATCATTTTATAAAGTAATATTTTTTTCAATATATAAATTATTTAAAGCAAAACATCAAAATGGGAGCATGTGAAAGAATTTGTTTATTGATTCTATGTTTTATCCTTCCACCACTTGCAGTGTTGATTAAGAAGGGTATGTATTTACCAAAGATATTAAGATATTAAGAATAGAAATTTCGATATTAATACAATTCAAAATAATATATATATATAAAAAATAAAATAAATAATAAAATAAAAAAATAAAAAAAAATATTAGGTTGCTCGGGTACTTTCTGGCTTAATGTTCTTTTGACAATCTTAGGTATTATCCCTGGAATAATTCACGGAATATTCGTCGTTTTAGATTAGATTAGACTAGATTTGAAACCAATAAAGGTAAAAAATAAAGCCACAATGTAGATAAGATACTATTTATTCACATCTTCAGTTTAAATAAACTTTTAAAATTAAATCCATGAATCAATTATTTTACTATTATTCATCTGTTGTGAGTGTCAATCCTAACTATTTAATAAATTAGTCAAAAGATTAAACTCCTTTTTAATAATTCATTCATGACCAATTAAGAGGTAATAGTTAACTTTGAGGGCATGTACTATAGACAATAATTCTTTCTCAAGCACAGTAATATTAATTTCACTTATGGTTAACTTTCTTGATCCTTATGAAATAATACATCTATTAAGTTCATTATCTTTATGACTTGGAACAACACATGTCCAATTCCCAATTTAGAAGTGTTTCATTCTAAATGAAATGGTATAATCGCGAGCAACCAGATGAGTTACTTTCTTTACTTCATCTTTTAATAATTTAAAAGCATCCAGATGAAATCATTCTTTTTTTTAATCATTTCTAATAAAGGTGCTTCAATGGAAGATACATTACTAATAAACGTCTGTAGTACCCAACAAGACCAATAAATGATCTCATTTCACTTTTAGATTTTGGTTTTTTCAATTAATAATTGATTTAATCTTGTAATTTAATGGTTTTATCATACAATATCCAAGAAATTCCATTTTGCGTCTAGAAAATTTACATTTTAATAACTTTACTTTTAAATTATGTTTCTGTAATATATCATTCAGATCAGCTGAAGATGTCTTTATTCGAATATCATCAATGTAAAAGCAAATCTTTTGCGCAAGTATTAATAATTGGAATATGTGATCTATCAGGCGCTGAAAAATTTCACCGCTCCTGATAGATATCTTATTAAGTTCTCTCGTCAACACATAAACGTCATGTGCCTTCAGGTTTTGATAAAAAAAGAATAGGGATCCTGAATTGGGATTAGGATCTTCTAATCCACCCTTTCTTTAACCGATTATTGATCTGTGTTTTCAGTTCTTCAAGATGTGCAATTGGCACAGGATATAACTTTGATTTAGGTACACTATCGGTCTTCAGCGGTATAGTTAGATCAAATTTCTTTCCTCTGGTTGGAGGCAAACCGTTGTGTGGTTCGAATACTTCTGGGTATTTTTCTTTTAGAATTTTAATTACTTTATCTTCGTATTCATTCGTATCATTGTCTTGCTCATCGTTATTATTGTTATCTTTATTAGTTGAACCGTCAGCATCGCTTTTTAAGTCTTCGTATGCTTCAGACACGTTAACATATGCGAAAATGGGTGTAAAATCATTCTCAATTCGAGAACATTCTTTTAATTCATTAATAAAATTCCAAACCTACTATTAGATAAGGTAAGTCATTAGATCTTTCACACAAAACCAATAAATATAGTTCAAATATTGCGATTTTTTTTTTAATCATCACTCAAAACGGTATTCTTAAGATGTATTGTCTTTATTAAAGATCAATTATAAGACAAATTTATTATTTTTAAGAAGAAGAATCTCTATAATCTTTGTTATTCAAAATATCTTTTTATAGAGTAATATTTTTTTCAATAAATAAATTAATTAAAGTTCTTTTGTTGATTTAATTTATTATACATTTTATTGTTCACTCTTTGTTACAATATCAATCAATTGTGATTAACTTAATAGATCAAAACAGTATTAATAGATAGTTTAGTAAAGAGTTTAAAATAGTAATAGTATTTTATTTATTTAATTTAATATTAATCAACTTGTCTAATCAGACACAAAACCAACTTTAGAAAGTGCCAGAGTCCAGACTGTACCAACTCAGTTTAGTGTAATACTGAAACCTCCACCAAAGCAATTGCCACAATAGTGTTAATGGATGTTTTGGTGAAGTAGATAAGAAAGATACAAATTGTCCCTTCTCTTAGAAAGTCTGGAAACATTGGTACAATGACGTGATGGTACTTCGATGGAAGATCTTCAAATTGAACTGGCAAAGTGTAGAATGGTACATGCGTCATGCCATTTAGATATAACTAGAGAGTAACTGAGTTGGTACAGTCTGGACTCTGGTTTTGGTTATTTTATTGTGTTCCTATTCACTATTTAGAATTGATAGAAATGAGTTTGTTAATATTCATTAAAACTTTGTGTTTGTTAGTATTTATTTAGTATGACCTACATAATATTAAAACTAACGATAATATTAAATTTAAATATTTCAAACTTGATAAATGTATCTATCTCTATTTCTCTAAAAGAAATTTGTTTTAACAATAACTCAAAGAATGATAGAAAATATCCATCGTTTGGAATTAGACAAAGTTCACAGTAACACATCTTTTCATATTCATGATGTGGTTAGGGTGAATTGATTCCAAAGGGGTATTTACTTATAAGTATTCACCCTCAGTTTTTTTTTGATACTCATTAAATATATACTGTGGTAGTGTATTTTCATATTTAAAGTTATTAAGGTTTTAAAAAGTTCACTCTCAAATAGTATTTTAAGTTATATTCCTTTTAAAACTTTATATAGTACATTTTTAAAAATATTTATAATTTATAACATATCGATATTATTATTTAATGGTAATAGATACAAGAAAAGTATCTAAAATTATTTGTTCATATAATTTCGCATTCCTAAAAATAAATCAACAACATCTTGAATTTATTTATCAGTTTATGATTGATTGCAACTTATTTATAGGTTTGAATAAATAAGAAACATATATATTTCTTTGGGTTACCACACACAAATTAACAATTTACCCCACTGTGGTATACAGTTCACAACCACACCTAATCTCATCTCTACTATTGTTTAAGTAGAATCTCTCAATTTAGGAAAAATTAAAATACACCTATTGTGAGTCATTAGTATTTATATTTATATTTATTAAAGTTGGTTTATAAAGATGATTTAATAATAAAAATCGTTCAACATAATTTTAGAAAAGTGTCTTTTCAAAAATGTAATTAAAAAAAACTATTAGGTTGTTTTTCAGATAATAATGACAAGAGAAAGTTATTTATCAAGTGGAATTAATTAACTCTTAAATTAATTAAATATAATGAATTTGATATTATTTTATATTAAAAATGAAATCAAACTTTTGTTTATGCAAAAAGGGTTAACAGTGAACCCTAAGAAAGAATTCTGATGATTCATAGAGTTGGCTGTTGTTGAGTTGCACAAACACAAGCAAGAGCCAGTTTTGTTTTGTGAAGGATGTCATAAATAAATTAAACGAGTAATATGTCGGTGACTATTTTAAAGATTAAAAAATAAATAAGTTATTTGCAATATATAATTATACTTTAATTTGATATATAATTCATAATGAATTATTAAATTTAGTATATGAATAGCTTGTGATTTTTTTTTTTTTTGACATTAAAAATCAAAGTAGAATTTCTCAAGTAGTTTTTTAAAAATACCTAACATAGGTCACAATAAATCACAAAAACCACAAAATTTTTTTTTTTTTTGAAAATTCGCGGGCTTTGGTGTTAAATTTCTCTGAAAACTTATTGCCTCATATTAATTTTTGAATGATGATTTGATTTATGAAGCAATTGCGCAAAAAAATTTGAATTGTGACTTGTACCGCCATTAAGGTCATATTCTTAATACTATTATTAATTAACTTAATATTTTAAATTGTTTTTTTAAAAAATTAGATATATAATAGTTAAGAATAAGTAGTAACTATAGATTTTTATTTTAATTATTTAATAATAAGGAAAATATTATCAAGAAAAAACATATCTTTCCATCCACAATTTTCTTTTCCTTTGCTATATTCTGGAATATATAGAATTCTTTTACCATTCTCGTTAATGCAGGTGTGTCTTCATCTTCATCTTGTTCATCTGAACTATTCCACGTAAGTACATCTTTCCTAAAAGATTCGATGATGACTTAATCTCTTCTAGAGATACGACAACAATATTTACATCCAATTTTCGTTGAATAGAATAACCAGATGATTTAAAGCAAGCACCATCAATATCTTGCTATATTGGCATTGGAAATCGTTGAATTCCATCAATTTCTTTGTCCTTACCATCGAGTTGTTTAACAAACACTAACAATCATCTTCACTTGCTAATGCAGTATTGCTTGTATAGTTTTCATCCATAGGGAGCAAACCAGAAGTAGGTTCTCCTTCATCCAAGAACGTCGTCAGATTGGTGGTAGTAGTTGGCATAGGCATCGTAGTAGTTGGCACAGGCGTCGAGATCTGTAGATTGGCAACCATTGTTCAATTTTACCAGCATTAAAGCATGATCTACTTGATCATCATCATCACCTTCCTCTCGAATGTTTCTTCAATTGTAGATTCACTGTCGGCATCATTGTCTGGTGAGCATTGATTTCGATGTCAGTACTGGTCGGGAAATACTTACTGTCGGTACTTGTTGGGAATTGGTTGGTCTTGTTGGATGTGCGCGATTCTGTTCTAGCACAAAGTAACTATCTATTGAGCTTATCCGATTACCTCTGAATAGATCCGGGATACATAAGAAGATATATAAGCGTAGGATCTTTTCATGTAGTTCCTGGGCAATACCACCATTGTTAGTTGAACCCATTCTATTTACTCTATTTATTCTACGTGTGAACCTAAGAGATATATTAACAATTGTTATTTTTTTTTTTAAAATTTATAGACATATACGAACATTCAATCGCAAAGTTGGAATACCGATCAAGACAATCATACTTTTCCAAATAGAAGCCAACATAATATACTAAGCATCGTAAGTATGAGGTTACCTTCTTGCTAGAATATACACTTACAAAATTCTTGCCATAACTTTACTTTACTTTAGCCAATCTGCTTGACTTGTAGGTGATTTCTTTGCAATACATATTCCAAAAAAAAGCAATATTTGTTTCCACAAGATCCTTACCTGGAATAGCAGAGTTGTTAATTTAACACATATCTATTGTAAATAGCATAATTACCGATTTTATATGATTGTCACCATCACCACAATACTTTGCATTCCTTCCCTACTGTAATTAATAAAAGTAAATATGACCTATAAAATAGTTAATATTTTAATCTTTTGACTAATTTATTAAATAGTTAGGATTGACACTCACAACTGATGAATAATAGTAAAATAATTGATTCATGGATTTAATTTTAAAAGTTTATTTAAACTGAAGATGTGAATAAATAGTATCTTATCTACATTGTGGCTTTATTTTTTACCTTTATTGGTTTCAATTCTAGTCTAATCTAATCTAAAACGACGAATATTCCGTGAATTAAAGGGAATATATTTTTTTACCCTAAGATTGTCAAGAGAACATTTAGCCAGAAAGTACCCGAACAACCTTAATAATTATATTATATTATATTTTATTTATTTTATTATATTATTTTATATTATATTATATTATATTATATTATATTATATTATATTATAATGTATTGTATTGTAAAATATCGAAATTTCTATTCTTAATATCTTAAAATCTTTGGTAAATACATACCCTTCTTAATCAACACAGCAAGTGGTTGAAGGTAAAAACATTGAATCAATAAACAAACTCTTTCACATGATCTCGAGATAAGTTAATAAGAGAATTATAGAATCTAAATGTGTAACCTATATCTTTATTTCCTATTAAAATGCTGAGTTATTGATGACTAGTTGATTCATGGTCGTTTGTATTATTATATTTCAATGATTATGGTTTTATTCAACAGCTTAACACATTTTACACTCTGATCTTATTTCAGATAAGCTTAGCTCTATGATTTCTAACTGTTTAACTCTTTCAATTTATCTATCTGTCTAAACTTGATCTGTTGCATAACCTTTCTATTTCACCAAATGTTGCTGCGCTTCATGAACACACGATGTCCAATGATTCTTGATTCTCTGTTACTGGACATGATCCTTCTTGTTCTGTTATTCAATTGTCTTTCACTATAGATTGATATCCGTCTTAGTTTCTATGATTATTAACTTGATTATTTTACTAATTTTTATATAATTTATTCTTCATCTCTTACTTCTTGACTACACTATCTATATAAGCTATATTTCTACATTTACATTACTTTTTACACTTTAACTTCTGTTAATCTCTTTCCCAAAACATACTCATATGCGATTATAGTCGCCAATAATCAGAGTAGATATTTAATCTTGACAGGCAGATAAATCTGTAAGTTTAAAGTTTGAGTAAGAATTAGCTTGAGAATGAATTAGATATAAAGTGTTATGATAGTGGAGTTCTTGCGTGGCATAGTATATCACCTCGTAAATCTTAAAGTAATTTCGGTAACAATTGTGATCACCACAACAAAGAAGTTAGAAGTTAGAATATAAAGATTTATTAATTTAAAAGAAAAATATCGCAAAATTAATCGCCAAACATGAAGATGGGGGTATACAAAAATATAAATAAAAATGAAAATGAAAATAATTTTACTCCATAGTATGCTTGGGTAATGAAGCTATTGTACATGCATTAAAAGTTAATTACTATCATTTAATTGGTCATGATGTTACGGTTATGATTTAGAATCTAAAATGATAGAGAATAACGAAATTAAATTACAAAAGTTATATAATAGTAAAAAGATTATTTTTATTGACGGTATTAAATATATAAATGGTAAAATAATCGTTCCTAATGTTAGACATATTGTCAACTCAATATTGAGCTTGTATCATAGCTCCACCACCTCGGCACATGTCAATGCTTTCACCATGTCAGAATTGATATCCAGCAAGTATGTTTGGGATACAATGAAAGCAGACATAACCAAGTATTGCAATAGATGTATTGTATGTTGTAGATATAACGATTATTACCACAAGAGAAGAGGTTTGCTAAAGCCTTTACCTGTAATGAGTGACAAGTTTGTTGCTATATCATGTGACTTCATAACCAATTTAAAAGAAGTTGAAGACGACAATGGAAATGTATATAATCAAATTTGGGTAATTGTCGATCGTTTCTCTAAATATGTCACATTGATTCCAACTCATAATACCTATAAATCTGAAGATTTGTATAATCTGTTTATGTCAAATTATGTTAAATATTTTGGTGTACCACGTGAAATTACTAGTGATAGAGATAGTAAACTTACATCAAAGGTTTGGCGTACTTTCGCCGACAAGATGAAGGTGAAGTTAAATTTCACCACCGCTGACCATCAACAAGCAAACGGTCAAGCTGAGATTGTTATTAAAGCTATTAAAAATACTTTAAGAAAGTTATTATTAGACGACAAGTTTAACGATTTAGATAAGAATTGGTACGAACATTTAAGTACAATTCAAATCTCTTTAAATAACACGAAATCTCATTCTACAGATTACACACCTTTCTTTGTCACATATGGAAAGAATCCTAATACTGTTGCTGATATTAATTTAAATAGTAAAGATTGGGGTATTGATGAAAATGATCCAAATGAAATTCAAATTTTTAATTTTATTAAAAATATTCAAGAAATTAATATTGCTGTAAAATATAATTTAATAAAAACAAGAAATAAGATGCTTGCTAATTTTAACAAAGACAAAAAGGATAATGACTTTAAAGTCGGTGATATGGTATACGTTAAAGAGAAAAGACCTTCTAAGAAATGGAACAAGTTAGCTCCAATTTATGCAGGTCCGTATGAAATAATTAACGTTGACAAATATATAATATTACTATTAAAGATTATGTATCTGGTGTAACAAGAATTAGTACTAAATCTAAGATTTTAAATTCTAAATACTTTAAGCACGCTGAAATAGAAGATTTAGAAAATTCAGTTGTTAACAAAGATACTTCCGTTCTAGACAAGACAGATGGTGTTGTCTCAGATAATGATACATCAGTCAGTAGTGACGATGATGATGAAATGTCAACAGATAACGATGACGACGTGATGTCGGTCAATGACAGTGATGAAGATACCAATCACTCAGTAGAAGACGGTATGGATTTAGTCGAAACTAGTCAAAACAATCACAGTGAAGTGAAGCAGAATATGACTACCAACGAAACAAACGAGACTGAAATAGATTCGTCTCTCATGCCTACCGGTATCGTTTCAGATTTTATGAAATCAGATGTAATAAAAAGCAAGAACACTCATGAAGAAGTATTACATGTTTTAGAAAGCAACAAGGATTCAAATCTCAAATACATTAAATTGTTAAGAGAGTTGATAGAAAACGAGAAAGATTTAGATCAGAGAAATAAAGTATCCGATAAGTCGAATCTCCTCGTCCGTTCGCTGATGAAATCTAAATTACATCCATCTATCTTCAAAATCATGCAGAAGAGAAGTTTTGTAATTTCAGCGAAAAGAAGTATTCCTTTTGTTGAGTACTTAGTTAAGATCAGTCATACTGTTGGTTGGGTTCCATCCTCCGAAATGATTGGTGCCACCAAAGAAGTCTCTAGTTTCAATTCAATTGTTGGAAAGTTGAGCGCTGCAGTAACAAAGCCTGTCCAAATTAACATGTTACGTGCTAGAAGATCGAACGTCTACAGTTCCTTAAAGTCATGTTATGACAAAGCTCAAATCAATCGTCTACACTTCAAGTTACACCGAATCCAATCCCAGCTAGAGTCTGCTTTACAAATGTAAACCATCAACCTTTTTCTTTAGGAGGAAGAGTGTTGTCCGTCTAAGGACAATAAGGTAGCCGCCAAGGCAATGCCGGCACCTATCAATCAACATTAATAATATACACCAGCCAACATATAGTAATAGTCAATTATAATTAATTAAATTAATTAAATCAACTAAATAAGTAATAGTTCCAAACAACAGATCGAAATTAGAATCTGTTGTTTCTGAATTAAGTATTCAACACTCAGCCGTCAAGCTTCTCAATAATGAATATATTGAGTTTAACGCGACGTTAAAGATTCATTCAGTTTTATTCAATTCATTCAATCTATTACAAGAATTAATTAGATTATTAGAACAAAGATTAATAAATAAACAAAAGATAAAATAAGAATTAAATTTAAATTATATAAAGACATTATTAAAAACATTATTTTATATTATTAATTATTATTTGAATAAGAAATGTCAGATCCAACCGATCAAACAACAACAACAACCACAACAACCAGTAGTGCAGCAGCACCTACTGATACAACAACCACAACAAATGATCTTACGATGAATGATCTCGAGAGCAAAAATGATAATGATTCAATCCCATCAACCTCTATGTTATTCCCGGATGTTACTCCCAACAACACTCATCCTGATCCACTCCCATCCGATTTATTCCTAGCAACTCTAGCTGCATCTAAGATACCGATCTCTTCTTCCATCGCTTCAGGTCAACCCGAGAACAAACAATTTTCAAGATTGGGGATATACAGACCTGGATATGTAATGAAAGCAGAAGGAGGAATCAACAATTAGAATTTGCAAAAGAGTAATAGTCAGGGAAAGTAATACGGATATCAATCTATAGTAAAAGTTCAAGACAATCGAAAAACAGAACAAGAAGGATCATGTCCAGTAACAGAGAATCAAGAATGGTCATTCTGAGTGTAAATTGGAAGCAATCATTGGACATCGTGTGTTCATGAAGCGCAGCAACATTTGGTGAAATAGAAAGGATGTAGATCAAGCTTAGACAGATAGATAAATTGAAAGAGTTAAAAAGTTAGGAATCATAGAGCTAAGCGTATCTGAAATAAGATCAGAGTGTAAAACACCGTAGCAGTGTTAAGAGGTTGAATAAAACCATAATCATTGAAATATAAAAATACAAGAGATCATGAATCAACTAGTCATCAATAACTCAACATTTAAATAGGAAATAAAGTTATAGGTTACACATTTAGATTTCTATAATTCTCTTATTAAATAATAAATTTTATTGTTCACTCTTTGTTACAATATCAATCAATTGTGATTAACTTAATAGATCAAAACAGTATTAATAGATAGTTTAGTAAAGAGTTAAATATAGTAATAGTATTTTATTTTAATATTAATTTATCTTGTCTAATCATCAGATATCTGTCTCATACGTCGATGGTAATTTGTTGTCACAATATATATTATTTATGATGTCTACCAAACTATCGATTGACAATTCAGCTTTAGGATCATTGAATGGATATACGGAAATCACATAGTAAGCTTTTCTTCGGTTGTTTGGTTCCGCAGCCACCTTTGGACATTTTAAAATCTCCTTCAATAAAAGAAAATGTTAAAATCCGTGAAACGTTTAGGCATCTGTGTGTTGTAAGAGTTAGTATTATACCTTTTAAATTGGAAAACGTTAATAATATAAATAATTACCCTTGGTGAACCCTCTGGAATAGTTACTTTGATTTGATTTTATATTCATTGACTGGGTTAATCAAATGCTTGTTCGTTTTTCTAAATGTACCAATAGACGACTTGAGAGAAGAATGTGGAGCTGAGTACAAGTTGATGAGTTTTGTATATATTTGATTCTACCCTATAATCATAATAGATTTAACAGCAAGACGTGTTAGTATATTGACAAATGAGTACTAATAGTAACAAAATAAAAATTCATTCAGATAAAAAACCAATGAGTTTGATGTATTTATTTTATATTGACCTACAATTTAAAATAACGGTAATATATGGTGAAAACAAATTACCATCGATGTATGATACAGATACATCTGACAATTAAGATAAATTAATATGAAAATCTTGAATAAATATCTCTATCTCTATTTCACTATCTCTATCTATTGACTATGAATATTTTATTTTTAAATAACTCAAAGGATGAGAGACAATACCCATCTTTTGTCATTCGATAGATGTATTCTGTAACACGTTAGATTAAAATGAATTTAAAAATAAAATAAAAAAAGATAGAAAAACAGAATTCAAGATGAGGGGTAATTGGAATGATTTTAGCTTAACAAATGTATAAATTTATTTAAATAATAAAGATTTTCTTTAATATCTTATTGCTCTTTTTTTTAAATTATATTTATTCTATCTCTTATTTTTTTATAATATTCGAATATTTAGTTATAGAATATAATCTAAAGAAATATATGACTACAAATAAAGGAATGAGTTTAGATTATTTGAAAAAAATAATAATTTATAAAATCTGCGAATTCGCCTCTTCAATTATACTTTCAATCAATTCCTATGACTTTTCTTAATCAATATTTTTCTTCAACTATAAATTAATAAATAAGTATTAAAGTATTTTATTAAAGTTTGATTTATAAGATGAATTTAAATAAAATAAAAAAATTAACAAAAAAATAGGTCTTGGTATCAATAATTTTAAGCAGAAGAGTCATTGGAACGATTATCATTGTTATCATCTTCATTAGCTTTAACCAAAGCAATAGATGTAATTAAAGAAGCAGGCTAATAAATAAAAGTTAATATTTCTATTTTTAAAAATTAATAATCAGATTTTGTTTTTTAATACATACCAAAACGAAAATATTGAAGCACCAGAAAACAGCTAAAGAGATTCCAAGGTATTTCTCGAGATCATAACAGAATGAATTCCATCCGAAATCACCATTACATTCTTTACGGATGTATCTGTGGACCAAACCAGAATAGATGATATACAATACTATTGCCTCGAGGAAGACAAAGAGATTCAAAACAGCATACAATTTGTAACAAATAGCGACAAACGGACAAAATACAACTGAAAGTCCAAAGAGTCCGAGAATAACACAAAAGATACCGTTTATAAGAATACCCCAGGTATGACGAACATGTAAATCGTCTTTTTGGGTGGCAACTGCAATCTGGGCAATACCAAAAGCTAAAATAATAAAGGCAATCATAAACATTAGTCCGGATAAACCGGACATATTTCTCAATCTTGATTTTCTACGATTGCTGTCATTGCTATTGTTATTGTTATCATTGTTATTGGATGAAGAGGCTTCTTGAGATTCTCCTACTTTGGCTGGACTACTTTCGGCAACTGGAGAAGATGGTTTCTCTTTATTTTCATTGATCTCAACATTTTCAAAATGTTCTTTCTTTGGAGATGATGGATTACTCATTTTGTTTTATTTTTTTTGTAAATTACAAACTAATTTAATTAATTAATAAATCAAAAACATTATTAATTTTAAAAATAAAAGAAATTTTTATTATTCTTACCTTTTTTTTTTTAAAAGAAGAAATGAATTCTAATAATAATAAATAAATTGTAGTTTGGTATTTTTAATTTATGTTAAACAAACAAATAGGACAACATTGTGCTATGATTAAATATTAATATTTAACAATGTTATCAAGAGTAAAAAGAATATAATATTCCTTCTATTAAAAGATTTTAGTTTCCAAAAAGTTAGAGATAGTAGTTCATCAAAAGATACATGGGTATTTGAGAGAATCCAATTATTAATACACTTTGAAAATTGAAACAAAATGTAACTTGTTTTCAACAATGTTTGAGTTACAAGTAAACAATTCAGTATTGTCCAATAGAAAAAATTCAATAGATGTAATTTTTACACTACAACAATAACAATAGAAAATATAACAATTGTTGTTTTTAAATAATAATAATGACAATAGTAATCACCAACTTTCAATTATTATCAATAATTTAAAAGGTCTTAGTAAAAGTATGAAATTATTTTTTTTACAACCCGAATAAAAAGGAATTGAAAATAGATAGTAAAGATTGGGTATTATTATTTATTGTTAAAAAATGAATATTTTAAAAGATGATAATATTATCTTTTAAAAATAATAATGTTTATAAACACTAACACACAAAATATATAAACTCTTTGAGATAATTGAATAATAATCAATAACAAAGTTGTTTAAAAAAAACACCACAAACAAATTATTTTAATATTTTATTTTAAATTTGAAAAAAATAATATAAAAAATTCAAAAAAAGATATTTATATATGTAACCTTATTTGTAAAACATTGATAATAAAATCTAAAAATATAACTTTAAGCCCAAAGTAAGGCCTTACTTACCCTTTGACATTCGATTGCTTTTCTCTCTCCGAAATTGATACCTATGAAGAATGATCATTATGTTTTTTTTAATTTTTATTCATTTTTTAAATTTTTATTTCTTTTTTTTTCAATAATTTTTTTATATGTTTGTTTTTTTTATTTTTTTTTTTCTTTCAACCTTTCATTGAGACATAATTTTAGTTTCAAAATCAAACACGTTTAATTAATTTTATGCATATTTAGTTAGATCTTGATTTTTTTTTTTTCACTGTTTTGTCTCTTGTCTTTTTTTTTTTTTTTTTTTTTTATTCATATTTTTTTTATTTATTTATCTACAATAAGAATAATAATTCAAAAAAGTAATAATATAATAGTAGTAATTAAAGAGAGATTGTGTTGTTGGTTTATGTCTGTTTGTTTTTTTTTTTGTGTCACAACAACATCGACAACAGCTTAAAAGATGAGCAGACGTAAACTGCTTATCAATCTTACAAGACTGAGAGATGAAAACGAGTTTCAAATTCTACCAACAGCAGAATTTTCAGTACACACCTTTAAGAATGAATTGGATGCACAAAAAGTAGATAAGATACTACGAAATAGGTATCTCTATATCTTTCTAAACGGTCTTATCGGTGTAGCTCTCATGATCATCGAGTTACAACTCTCTTGGAATGAAAAAGAAATCATCATCAACAGTTCAACAAAAGCAATTAGAATCGTTATGTTTATATTAAATTTAATTTTATGTAAGAAAAATCACTTTCGAATAGAAAACATAAAAAGATAAATACAAATAGTATTATTTACTAAATATACTAATTTAACATGTTTCTATTCAATTTATTTAATAAATTAACTATTAGTATGTCAACTAATGGACTATTATCGGTTGTTGCTATCTAATGTTACTCACGGTTGGCTTACAAAGAGAGCGAGAGGATTTAGAGTGACGCCAATCAATGTGCTAAGGTCCACTACATTGGCACCTTTGTTTTGGGCAGAGGTTGTAATATGTATGATCATGCCTGTTCCATTCACAGATGGACCGGTTCGCTTCTATAATGATCCAAAGTGGGGACTACTTATGTGGCTACGTATTTATATGTTTGCACGTGTCTACAGAGATTTCTCACATGTATATAAATCAAGACATAGTCTAGCATCAAAGTAAGTTGATAATCAATATAACTATAATAAGAATAAATGTAATACTAACTAACGGATAAAACCATTTAATAAAATATCTATCATTTAGATATAGAGCAAAGAATGAAGTACCACCTAAATTCAATTGGGCATTAAGTTTAAAGACATTATTGTATCAACGGCCACTGATGACATTCATACCGTTCACAACACTTATTATATTTATATGCTCACATATTATCTACGTATTCGAGAGAGAAGCACTCGCTGGATTCTCCTATGCAGTCTCACTCTACATTTCATTTATAAGCATGGCTACTGGTTGGCCAACCGATACCTACGATATCTACAATCCATCCACTTTCTTTGGAAGATTTGGTGCAATTGTAAGTATAATCGTTGTTATTATTACTATTGAAATGGTTCTAACAACGTTGCTAATCACATTCTAGATGTCATCTGTTTTGGGTCTTTTTACTTTGGCTTGTTTGATTGAACAATTTAGCAATCTTACACATCCAACTGCTCACCAGAAACCAATTCTCAATTATATTTATCTCCTAGAGTGTCAAGAGCGTGAGAGAAACTCGGCGGCAAAGCTGATACAAGTCGTTTGGAAACGTCATCGTTGGCAACACTCTCATAGCTTCTCGGCGAACCGAACGGTTTACAACACACAGGAAGCCTATTTCTGTATGAAATACATAGAGGCAGTAAAGAACTTTGGAAGAGAACGTCGCTACAAGAAACAGATACGCGCACTCGTTTCTTCGGATCGCGCCGAAAACGAAGACACTGCTGACAAGACCAAGGAGGTCGAGTTGAAACAGATGCTCGAAACTGAAAAGAAAGCACGTATAGCTATGGAAACAAAGTTGAAAACAATCGAAGAATATAATATATACATCTCAAATCAATTGAATTTAATCTTACACAATCAACAATCTCAATTTTTACAACAAATCAATAATAATAATAGTAACGCACAATCTTCATCTAATCAATTTTTTAACAACAATAATAATAATATTTAGCTAAAGTACTAATATACTAATAATAATAAAAAGGTAGGCGCAAATACAATTTTGTAAATTTTTTTTTTTTAATTAAAACAACTAAACTATTTTATAAAGTTATTTTTTTCATAAATTTAATCATCAATCAAGAGATATGTTTTTTTTTTTATTGTTATCATTGTTATTGTATATCTGATAATCAAAATCGGAATTGTGTTTTTTTTTTTTTAATAGTTTGTTGGTTGATAGTTGTGGGTGTTTCTTTGTTGTTTGTTACTAAAAGTCACCCAATAAAAATAGCTATCAAGCTAATGCTAATCTGATAACATGCCTCCTATCTTTTTTGTTGAATAAATCAAAACAATTACAATAAATCAAGTTGTTTGAAATTTAGTTGGAGTTTTGTGCAAAGTGACGGTTGGATTTAAACAAAAAAGTGACCTTTTCAAATTAGATATTATTTAAAAATATAAAAAAAAATAAAATTCGTTAGATTTAATTTAATTTTTTTTTTTAGAATTAAAAAACCTCATTCAATTTATAACCTATTAATAATATTATTACTTAATATATAACATTATATCTATATCAACATAACTGACTTTATTTTACTTTACTTTAAAGTTCAACACATAAAAATAAAGTAAAAGAAAAAATAAAGAATTGTAAAACAAACACATATTTAGAAGGTCTTATAAAATTACAAGAAAAACTCAATTATTATTTAAATAATAAAAAGAACAAAAAGTAAACATTCAAAAAAATATATATTCAGATAGTTGTAGTAATAATATCAGAAAACAAAAAGGTAAAATGTTTATTCAATTTCAGATTTTCCATTATTTTTTTCGATAAGCTAGTCAGATTCATCTAGAGAGGAATCATTTCATCTCTTACTTTTATTATGATAATTATGCTTCAATTAATAGACAAATAATAAACATGTAATCAATAGATATATTTTAGAATGTTATTATATTGTTTTATGTAAATCATTAATTCGAACGAAATATAATGTCTTTTGTTTCACTCATTTTTCTCAAAAGTACAAAGTACATAAAAAGGTATTAATGTTCTTGTTTTACAATAAATTAACAAAAAAAAAAACTACCTCTTTTGAAAGCATGTGATATATAGATATAGTTTAGTTTTTTTTCAATTTATATAACTTCACTATTATTAATTGTTGCAACAAAACAAACTCACCACACACTTGGTTTTTTTTTTTAATTATTTTCATGTGAATTGGTAAAAGGTGTGGTCAATCCCTACCTTTTATGCAAATTATATCTTTTCTTTTGTTATTTTTATTCTGCTCAGTGAATGAACACACTCCTGACTTTAGGTGAGAGAGTTCACAACTGGAAAGAACAAACCTTTTCTTAATCATCAGCTACAACAACATTAACCAGAGGGTTTAGTACTATCGTCGTTATTGAAAGTTTATACTTTTATATTCATTTTGTTGTTGTTATGAAACAAAGTCTTCCACTAATATTCAAAAAAAAACACATACAACATATATTTTATAAAACAACATTAAAAAAAAAAAATTGTTTACAAATATATAAATATTTTTGAAAGCACTGCATGTTTTATTATTTATTACTTTTTTGCTGTTTTTATTCTTTTAAAAATAATAACCTTGGAGCTATTAGAATAAATAGTTGTAAAAAGGTTTGTAGATATTTTCTATCTTTTATTTATTTTTAGTATGTATATGTTAAAATTGGTTTGTTGTTTTGTTTATTTTGTGGTCAGTGAAAAGGAAAAATGATAATATTGCAATTATAGTAAAAATAGTAGTAATAGAGTAATAATTAGACTACATTGATTCATTTTATTTTATTTTTTTGTAATAGTTCTCAGGTGATAATAAAACTATTCTATTATCACTATTATCTGTCTTTGATCATAGATATCGATACCAAACCACAACAAGACAATGCAAAAGAAAAGACATACATATTAGTTTATTCTTTTTCGACCACTTTCTTCAACATGAAAAACAACAATAAAAAAATAACCAATAGATTCACCACATACATCTCCAACTAATGCCAACAACATGGTAATAAACTCTGATTATTATTTTTCATCTAATACAAAAAAAATAGTTTAGTTCAATCTAAATCTATAATCTGTCAATAAATTAATTACAAAAGTCATTGTGTTTGTCTACAACTACAATACAATATCATCTTCCAAAATAATTTAACAGAATATTTAATTTTTTATTATCGTTTTTACTTTCCAACACACATATATACCACTACCCCTCACAAAACACAAACACTCATACCGAGACATTCGACAATCATATAATAAATGTGATAGAAATTAAATAAAATTTTGTTGGCGCGCTCATTTTTCTCTTATTCTCTCTCTTTCTACTTCTCTATGGTCAAACAATGTTACAATATCTTTTTATCTCAATCTCTTAATATCAAATTTTATCATTAGATACCAACCAACCAACCAAGACTAAACTAAACTAAAACAAACTAAAATAAACTATTCTTAAATAAAATCATAATCATACCTATTTATATAAATACATTTGTATAAACCTATTGCCTCACATTGAATAAAAAAAAAACAACATTAAAAACCAGGAATCTTAATTCTTATTCTTGATACAGAACAAAAAGTGTATTTTTAATCAATAAAATGTAACTCGTTACAATTCAATGCAAGAATTGCCAACCTAAATAATTCAATTGAAAATAAATAATCAACCACCAGTGTACGCACAGATTACCACCAATAGCTCCACACCACCACACTCACACATTTTGTGATTATTGTTTGTTTGAATAACTATTCTGGAAATCTATTTAATATCAGCAATATAAAATATTTTTAAAATAATATTTATGATTCTGTGTAGTGTTGGTTGTTGTTGTTGTTGTTGCTGCTGCTGCTATTGTTGTTGTTTATTTATTAGGTCAGGTGACCGCTTATATTTTAAAATAAAGTGAGATAAATTATTAAATTCTTTGTAATAACTTCCAACTAGTTGCTCTACAATCAAGATAGATAGGTAGGAACTAATAATAAATAATAAAATTTTATCAAATTATATTAGGAGGATGAATAGTAGTAATTGTAATTGTAGTAGTATCGCTGTGTAGTTATACACCAATATTGCCATCACACTATCATAACCATCAACGATCAAAAAATTTGATGGTTCCTCAAAAAATTATTAATAATAATTTTTAATAAAATTATAAAAACAAAAAAAAATAGTAAAAAAAAAAAACAAAAACAAAACCAAGGAATCTCAGTTTTTTATTTGTTATTTGTTGCTATTTGTTTTTGCTGTTTGTTTGTGTTGTTTGTTTTGATTGCGGTCAATTATTAATTGTTACAATATTATAATAATAATAATAATAATAAAATACTTAATCTATATTGTATTCGTAAAATATAAAAAAAACTAAATCTTTAGATAGTTTTTTTCTTATTTTCTAATATTATTATCATTATTATAAAACTTTACAATTTTCTAATATTATTATTATTATAAATATTTCGTTTTTTATTTTTTATTAATATTATTATATTATATTAGTTAGTTATTCTTTTTATAAAAAGAATTAATTTCTTGGTATCAACTCGATTCTTGCAAAGCTAGCATCGCATCAACAGCAGAATAATAACAAATCAATCATCATCGATGGAAACAGACATTTTGGTAGATTACTCCTCACCTTCGACCCCTCCAGCTCCCCGATCGGCAAACAAACGTCGTTTAAGAATCCTCTGTCTTCATGGATACAAGCAAAACGGTACAGTTTTCAAGAGTAAAACTGCAGTTCTAAGGTAATTAGTGAAACATCATCATTACATTTCACCTTCAGTCTGAACTCAGTGTTGAGTTTACCTTTTATTTTGATCAAAAAAAAAAAAAGAACATACCTCTAATATGATTCTTCTACTATTTTATCTATTTTTGATAACAATAGGAAATCTTTAGATGATATTGCAGAGTTTGGTAAGTAAAAAGTTAAAATGTTTCTCTTTTTTTTATTTTTATGATTTGATTATCTAATTATCAATTATCTATTAGTCTACGTAGACGCTCCACACGTCATCGATGAAACCAAAGGAACTTCTTCATGGTGGAGAGTTTCTGGAGATGGAAAGGAATACAAAGGTTGGGAACAAACTCTCGATTATCTGAGAAATATTTTTATAAAAAAGGTAACACCTTAAAGACTATGAAAGATAAGATAATAATCATGATATTAATATTTTCTATCTATTTTTTTTTTTTTTTAATTAGGGACCATTTGATGGTATCATGGGATTCTCTCAAGGAGCAGTTCTTAGTAGCTTACTTTGCTCTATTTCTTCGTTGAATTCCGATCCATCAGAGAATGGCGATTGCTACAGAGACATCTCATTCCAATTTGGACTTTTGTTTAGTGGATTCCAAAGCAGAGCAACACTTCACCAATCGTTCTATCCTTGCCAACAAAACCATCAACAAGCAGATGCCGCCGAATCTGCAGCAAACAGCCATCCAAACTCACCACACTATCCCCACAACAAAATCACCATTCCATCGCTTCACATTTGGGGTAAGGCTGATGAATTGGTAGCTGCATCCAACTGCGAATCATTATCACTTCAATTTTCACATCCCCAATGTTATGTCCACGAACACGGTCATCTGATGCCAACCTCAAAGAAAGATATTGAACACTATAGATCATTTTTATTACAATTCGTAGACGTATTGGAATAACATTCAGCTTCTCTTATTTATATTTGAATATTTATTAATTTAAAAATATAATAATTGAATAAAGTTTTTTTTATTATAAAAATCAAACAAACAGCCGCCGCCACCACAACCACCCAACAATAGAAAGAAAATATAATCAAAACAAATTACAATTGTTAGAACAGTCGCTTAAGGTAGAACTCTACATTGGTCATCTAACCTTGCTTTTTTTTTTTTTTTTTCAACCACCCAAATGACAGTTTTGTTTCCATTACATCCTGGGATGACAACTAGTAGTAGTCGTCGTTGATGTTATGGTTTGTACAAACTAACCGAAAGAAATCAACAAACAACTATTTACTAATATAGAGCGAACTTTAATTGTCGCTCAACCCTCAATCTCAATAACAAACCGTGTCTAATTCAGCCAAAGAATGGTTTTGCAGAATTAATTGATAATAAATCATTACTTTTGATCGCTAGTCTTTTTGATGCGATTGAAAAAAATAAATCAAAATCAAAATTGTTGTTATGAACAGACGAATTCAAATAAGATGATTTGCAACCACCCAAATGACAGTTTTGATGATCTTAAAATGTTAGATATTTTAATGTTGCCATTATAAATAAACATGGTTTCTTTTTTTCATGCTTCAACGTCTGCAAATAATTCAACAAAAAGGAAAAAAAAAAAAATTTGTATTTTTTTTCACACCTGATATCATTGTTGTCTAAACAAATTTTTTTGATAAACACAACACACCCCTATTTTTTTTTGTTTTTGATTTTTATTATTCAAAAAATAGCCTGATTTGTACAAACATATTTATTTTAATTTTCATATTTCTAAACGATGTGACATCTACAAGACATTTAAAGGATTCGTTTTAAAGTATTTCAAGCATTACATTACTAAATTAGTTATCTACATATTTATTGTTATATTCATCTTAAAAGATAATAATAATAAATAAAACGACAATGATGAAATCAACTATCATTCTTTTCATAGTTGGTATGTTGGTTGTTTGCAATGCACTTACATTGACACAACTCAAAGCCCAACTCTCCGGTAAGGTTATCGGTCAAAGAGATCCCGGTTATAATGATGTTCGTACTGGTAAGTAATTAATTAAACATTCTATAGAATAAATTTATTATTCTTGATATAAAAAAAGAGATATATAAAAATATTCATTCATTCTTTTCCACACTATTTTTTTTTTAAACAACTTTTTTTTTTTTTTCCACCTTTTTATTAATTATAGGATATAATTCACGTTACTCTAGACTACCAACATTGATTGTCCAACCATACAACACTGCTGACGTTGTATTGGCATTGGAATATGCTCAATCAAATGGTCTCCAAGTTTCGGTAAAGTCTGGTGGTCATTCCGCTTCTTTGCTCTCGGTTCTCGATGACCGTGTCGTCATTGATTTCTCTCAGATGAAAGGAAAGACCTTTGACAATGCCTCGATGACAATCACCGCTCAACCAGGTAACCGTTGGGTTGACTTTTACAATTACTCTATCAACACCTACGGTGTCGCCACTCCAGGTGGAAATTGTCCATCCGTTGGTATCGGTGGTCTCTCACTCGGTGGTGGTGCCAACGAGTTGGCATCTGTCTATGGTGCTGCCGTCGACAACATCCTCGAAATCGAAATTGTTTTGGCCAACCGTTCCGTTGTAACTGCATCTGCCACCACTAACCCCGACTTGTTCTGGGCATTGCGTGGAGCCGGTCACCAATCTTATGGTGTCGTCACCCAATTGAAATACCGTGTATACAATATCCGTCCAACCTACTACAGTGCCTGGATCACCTACAAATGGGCTGACTTTGAAAAGGTTCTCTACTTTGTCGGTCAATACTCCAAGACCATGCCGAACGACGTCAATCTCTACTTTACCGGTTGGCGTTCCGGTAACGCCACCACCCCATCGGTAGCTCTCTCTTGCTTCTCCAATGGTTTGCCAGAGAATGGAGAGTCACTCTGTGGTGTTTTCCGTAACATCTCTGGAGCCGTTCCACTCAGTTTCGATTTCACCGTCCAATCTTACTACACAACAGTCTCCACTGGTTCCGATCCAAAGGCACGTCGTTCCTACACCAAGAACACTTTCCTCCGTGATTTGACACCACTCACCATTAGAACTATCCGTCGTTCACTCGAAGCATCACCAATCTCACCATTCAACTACAACACTGCACGTCTCAATCTCTACTGGACTGGAGGTGCCGTACTCGACAAGCCACGTAACTACACTGCCTTTGTCCACCGTACCTACCCATGGAATGCCGTCTGGCTCTCCAGTTGGGCATCCGGTGACAAATCCGATGCCTACCACGATTGGATCTTGGGTACCTACGGTGCTATGCGTCTCTTCTCCGTTAGAGAGGCCTACCAAAACTATCAAGACGACGAACTCAGAGACTGGGAGCAACTTTACTACGCTGAGAACTACCCACAACTCCGTGTTATCAAATCTAAATACGACCCAATGAACTACTTCTCATATCTTCAATCCGTTAGACCAGTTGGTGCTGAATATGAATGGGATTTCTATTAAAAAAAATATATAATCTACAAAAAATAACAAACAACATTTCACCCATGTTTGAAATAATACATATAATTTTTTTAAGAATAAAATTTAAATTTTAAAACCAAAAGACTTTAGTTCTTTATTATAATTAAAAATTAATATAAAGAATAATTACAAACTTATTATATTACTCAATTATAATAAGTTTCTAACTTATTGCTTGTACAAGTATTTCTGTCTTGAGATTCATGTTAGTATCCAAGTTTGTTTTGCATTTTCAAAAAATTGGTTTTTAGAAGAAATTAACTGAGGGTTGTCAAAAATTTTAATTTCATCATCTGTAAAGCTTTATTATCATAACCTGTAGAAAAGTAATGAAGCTAGTTTATAATGAATATGGTTGTCTTTAAGGATTTGACTACGAAGATAGATGGTTTAAGGAAATATATTAATAGCAATTATTATCATGATCAAATATTACAAGATTTCTTAAGATCTTTTGGTAAGATCAATATCATCCATCATTATCATTATCATTATTATTATTTTAAAAAGATTGGTTAATTTGATTACTAATTCTTCTATTTATGTATGATCTATTGTATAGATGAAATAATAGCAGCACAGAATAAGCAAAATGGTAAATCAAAAGTTATCGATTTAGATCTTGACGCACAGAGGAAGATCAACGCAAATGGTTATTATAACTTTGATGACGATGATGATAACACCACTTTTTATAAACATATCGATGATTTGTTAGATCAAAAGAAGGAATCTACCACAACGACAACAACTACAACCACAACGACCAGTTCAACTCCTTCAAAAACTGTTGCAATCACTGATACTGATAGTGATAATGTAACTATTGTTTCACCTATTAAAAAGAAATTAAATGGTTTTGATAATTTTAACAATAATAATAATAATAATAATAATAATAATAATAATAATAGAAGTAATTCAGTAATTGATATAGATGAGAATCAAAGTAATACAATTGTTGTATCATCTAGAAAGAGGAAACAACCTATATTTATTGGTGGTAAAGAGGATGACATTAAGAATGATGATCATGAAGAGATATCTTTGATGAGTGATGACGATGATAGTATATCAATCAATAGTAATAATGATAATAATAATAATAAGAGTATAGATAGTTATCATAATAATATTGATAAAGAAATTGTAAATAAGAAACAAAAGACAATCGTTGTTAGTGTAAATAACAATAATAATAATAATAGTAATGATAATGAAACATCGATATCAAGTTTAACTAAACAGTATTCAGCATCATCAACCGATACTGAAGGTACACAAGTCGATAGTATTGAAGATATAATTCCAGCACATCTTTTGGAGGATGACAAACCAGCTGTTCAACAAAAGACGATCGAGTGTTTCGTCTGTTTGTCCGATGTCAACGAAGATGAAGCACATAGAATACAAAAGTGTCAACATGAACTTTGCAGAGGTTGTTTACAGACTTATTTAGTTGGTAAAATCGAAGAGAGAGATTTCCCTATTAATGTAACTATTAAATGAAAGAAGAAACAATTAATAATTGTTATAAATACTAATCTAGATTATCACTCTTATTATTATTATTATTATTATTATTATTATTATTATTATTATTATTATTATTATTAAAGTGTCCATTCTATAAATGTACAGTTGAAATTGAAATGGATGATATGGAGTTACTTTTTGGATCACGATTTAATAACGAAATACACAGATTATTCTTTTGATAAAGCGATCGATTTGGACCCAGACAAGTTTTCTTTCTGTCCCACTGGTGATTGTGGTTATGTTTTCTTCTGGGAGGCTGGTGACAGCACTGACTTTGTGTAAGTACACTCTATTATTAGTAACAACTTGTTATCATCCGATTTGCTAATCACTTCTTTAAAGATGTCCGAAATGTAATAAGCGTTATTGTTTCAAATGTAGAGCTGATTATCATACCGGATCGACCTGTGAGCAATTCAGACAATGGCAAAAAGAGAATGGTCAGGGTGATGATCTCTTTGAAGAGTTTGTTTCAAGACAAAACTTTAAAAAGGTAAGTAAACTTTGTTGTTAAAAGTTTCTATACAGATATCATTTGAACTATTGACTAACAAACCTTGTTTTTATCATATATATATTTAATACACACAGTGTCCAAAGTGTGCTAGATGGGTTGAAAAGATCGTTGGTTGTAATCATATAGTTTGTAGATGTAAACATAAATTGTAAATATCATATTCTTTATTTGGTTGTTTATTGTCTTTTTTTTTCAGATAAACTAATTAACTATCTTTTTCTTTGGTAATCAGTTGTTATAATTGTGGTAATTCCTACCCTTGTACTTGTGGTGGCGATCCTCATGTGGTCAATCAGCCACAGTTGCAACAGATGGCAATGCAGCAAATGGGAATGCAGTTTCCAATGCAAATGCCAGTACCAGCACCACCACCACCTGTTAGAGGTAGAAGAAGGCGTGGTAACGCACAACAGCAACAAATGATGCAACTATATCAGCAACAACTGCAACAGCAGCAACAACAACAACAGTTACAACAACTCCAGCAACTGCAACAACATCAGCAACAATATCCTCCTCCTCAACAACAACAACAACAATACCCCCAACCCCAACAATATCCTCCTCAACAACAGCAACAGCAACAACAACAACATCAACATCAATATTTTGTAAACTATAATGGTCCACAAATGTTGAATGTCCCACAGCAACATCAAGTGCCATATCGAGTAACTTTTAATGGGTTAGCCGTACAACACCAACAACCACAACCTCTCCCAATACCGCAACAACAACAGCAATATAAACCACCACCACAACAACAGCAACAACAACAGAATCCACAGAATAATAATAATATCCAACATAGAAATAAAAGACGATCATAACATTACTGATTGTTAATACAAATCAGTTGTAATTAATAAATATCTATTTCATTATATTTTTCTCTTTATAATTTATAGGTATCATATAAATATGCAAGAATTCTATTTATATCTATTTTCGACAAAAATAAGATTGATTAAAAAAAAACAAGTATTTTTTTATTTTCTTTTAGTTGTTATTTTTTTAATCAGTGTTTCAACTTTAAACTCTGAGATTTATTTAAAAAGAAATATGAGCGAAATAAATACAGATAATAGTAAAAATAAGAATTGTGATCAAGATCATTGTAATTCTCATAGTGATGAGCATTCAAATGTAAATAAAAACAAAAAAGATATTGAAAGTAGTAAAGATCAACAAACAGACAATAAATCGGATAAACAGACAAAAGAATCAGAAGATCAATCAACTAAATCAGTAGAGTCTGAATTAAAGTCAGATAGTAATGTTAAGCATATAGAGATACCAACTATAATTGAAAATAATGATATCGTAGCGCAAGAAGAAAAAGAAAAAGAAAAAGAGGAAACAAAAGAAGAAATAAAGAAAGATGATAAAGCTGGAGATAAAGATGAAAAGGAAACAACAGATTCAAAAGAGAATATTGAACAACAAGTAAAGAATGACAATGAAGAAAAGGAATTGATTGAAAAGGTAGAAAAAGAATTGGTATTGACACCAAAGAAAGAAACAACAACAAAAACAACAACCACAACAACTACAAGCAGCACTCCTACAGCAAATAAAGATAAAGATCATATTATTATACCAGCTACACAAAGAGCCGATGGCACTTGGAGAAAGGAAATCAAAGTTAGAGCTGGCTATATACCACCAGAAGAAGTTCCCAAGTACATTCCACCACATCAAAGAGAGAGCACACCTACAAAAGATCTTTCAAATTCACCATCTGGAGTTAGAACAACGAAAGGTCGTGGTCAATTCAAATCATCATCATCTTCTTCTTCTTCTTCTTATTCAGAATCACCTATTGACAATAGTAATGATGACTATGATCCCGATGTCAACAATTCATATTCAGACAGAGAAGATAGATTAGATAGTAGATCCAACAACAACAATAATAATAATAATAATAATAATAATACATCACCAACTAATTATTATAATAATAGTAATCAATCTTCATATAGAAATAACAATAGCTATAACAATAACAATAATAGTAATTACAATAGAGCACCTTTTTCAACATATTCAAAGCCAAGAGATAATGATGATAATAACAATACTGGTAGATATTCAAATGATAGTGATAATAGAAATAGTTGGCGTAGCTCACCATCGAGAGGAACAGAAACATATACACCTCCATCCTATACATCTTCACCATCTCATTATTCTTCTTCTTCCTCTTCTCCTTTTTCATCTGGTAAGAGTCCAAAACCTTCATATCGAGACAACAACAACAACACCTATGACAGTAATGATAGATACCAATCATCACCACAACAAACACAACAGCAGTCATCACCTAACTATAACACAAGAGGTGGTAGTAGTACTCCTAATCGTGGAGGTAGAGGTGGATATGGTTCTGGCAGTAGTAGCAGTGGCAGAGGTGGAAAGAGTCCATCAAGAGGTGGAAGTAGTTCTGGTGGTGGTTTACAATGGACACACGATAAGTTTTATGAAAACTATGATCAATAAATTTTAATTAAATTGTATAATAATAACTTGTAACAAAATCAATATTTTTTTTTTGTGATTCGATTCAAACCATTTTTTTACCCACCAAACAACAAACCCAAAACCACACCACAAAATATCTTGTTTTGTTGATCAAGATTTAATAATCTAATAATGTAAATGTTCACCTTTTAATTGATTAACATTTTTTTATTTATTTATTTATTTGTATTATTATTATTTATTATTATTATTGGTTGTATTATTATTATAGAGTTTGTTATAACAACTTTCAAATCAAATTAAATTAAAAATAAATTAAGATATGAGTGATTTCAAAAGATATGGAAGTAGTGTAGGAGCTAACTCTGCTTCAGGAAAAACAACATCCGATGCTCATCTTTATGTTTCAACAACTGGACCCTCTGCAATCACTGTCGACAAACATCACCATAAACATAAAGAACATAAACACAAGCATAAAGAACATAAAGAGCATAAGGAACATAAAGTGCACAAAGAACACAAGGAACATAAGCACAAAGAAAAACCAGGTTTCTTTGATAAATTGCTTGATGGTATCAGAGAGAATCCAAAACCAAAAACAATAGAACAACAAGTTGATGGATCTCATCATCATCATCATACAACACATTCTCATCCACATACAGTAACAACACATAGTACTCATCACCATACAACACATTCTCATCATCATCATCATCCATCGTCGTCATCCACCAAGATTGCGACACATGATACTGGTTTCCGAAAAACTGGAAGTTCTGTTGGACCTGGATGCGAACCAAAACCAGTCACCAAAGTTGTTGTTACACATCACCATGTATCTGTATCACCTTCCCACTCTAACTTTTGTTCTAATTGTGGTACAAAAGTTCCTAGTGTTCAATCGAATTTCTGTGTACAATGTGGTCGTCGTGTTTAGTTGAATCAATATCAATTTCTTTGATAACAAAAAAAAAAAAAAACAATTCAATCAATAGATATTAATTTATATTACCATATCTTACTAGTGGTCATAACTAAATAATAAAGATACATTTGATTTATTTTCATTTTTACCTACTATTATAAGGAAACAACAACAAACCATCTAAAAATCAAATTTAATTTTTTGAATAATACAAAACATGTTAGTTATACATACCCCATAATTATATGTAATTATGACAATGTTACCAATTATAAATATATTATTGGATTATTATTGAAAAATTATTATAAATTACTTTTGGTAACACCACGATGTTTAATGATTGTCTACTCAACTTCACACATTGGTATAAAAACATCAAACTTCACAACCACACATTCATTTTCATTTTTTTCACATCTGATTGATATAATAAGAAATATAATAGGTTGTTTCAATCTATTTTGGTGATGGTCGCGCTACCAATATTATTATAGTTAATATATACCCAAAAAATTGGTGGTATGGTTATAGACGCATATACATTTCCTAAATCACCAGGGGAAACTAATAATTGTTGTTGTTCTTCATGTGTCAACATATATATTTTAAATTTAATAATAAAATATTTACAATTATAAATATTTGATATTTTATTTACTATTTATTAATTATATAAATAAAAAAATAGAAAACTATTAACTTATTTCATTTTATTTTTTCCAAGATAAATAATAAAATGAAGATTTATATAAATTTATCAATAGCCTTATTATTACTCTTGTTTTGCTCAAGCGCTTTGGGGTTCGATGAGGTGAGACCAGATATCCAGAATGTCACTGATGAAGATATAGAAAAACATCACCGTTGCCATGACAACAAAAAAGGTTATGAATCTGCTTACGCTGTAACCTCATTCAATGGTCTCTTCCCAAGTGGAAATGGTACATATGTACCAACATCATTCCAAGAATGTAAGTTATTATTATTTGTTTAATATTTCTTTGAATACTAATAAATTTCTTTGTTTGTAAAAATTTATAGTTGGTTTCTTATCTGTAGATTTCCATCAAAGAAGAATGATGATTCGTTATTTCTTCCGTATGTCCGATGGTTGTTTCAATGGAACTATCTGGGCATTCAACAAGACCAACACCATGTATCTTTACCAAGATGGTAGTTGCAAGAAGTTACCATTATCCTTTGAGGTTCCGGGTGGATTCCCAAAGCACCATGTTCACTACTGGGGCAAAACTCATCTCGGAGCTTTCCCAGTGATCTTGTTGAGAGTAGATGCAAGCGTATCACAGAATCTAGTCAATCAAACCGTAATATTCGATCCTCACGGATGTGCACCGGTCACTACCATCTCCAAGAATCTCGATCCAAAACATGTCGGTTACTCCAACATGGAGTTCTTTGAGTACAAGAGCAACTTTGACAGCAAACACTTCAAACTTCCGTCAGAGTGTAACGCTGACGATGAAGGAATCGACAACAACAATGACTTTATCTCTGTATCACACAACAAGAACAATCATCATGAACAAGATGAACATGAACATACCAAGAAGACACCACTTTCCTCAATTGTAAACATTGCTCAATACCTCTAAAGTTATCTTTTTTTTTATTTTATTTTTTTCTCTTTAACAAACTTTATAAAATTACTTTATAAAAATAATTAAATAAATAAATTAAAAGAGAAAATCTAGGTTGAAAAAAAAACATGTACTTTAAAAGGAAAATCGTTTGGGTCGTTGAAAGAACTCAAAAATTGTGTGCTTTTCAAGCAAAGTTGAATTCAAATAAACTGAGATGATTTTTTTTTTTTTTCCAAAATAAAAATTAAAAAAAAATTAAGATTTATCAATGTGTCGTGGGGATCAAAATTTATCGTGATGTAATAATAATAATACGAATTAATAGCTAATAGTAAATTTCTTATTATATGTAATAATAGTAGTAATATTTGCAATATTGAATTAATTAATTAATTAGACTTCAAAGTTTGCAACAATTGTATATTTTTATCTTTTTTTTTTTTATTTCTTTTTTTTATTAATAACGCGTTAATAGTGGTCATATTACTTATTTATAAATAAAGATTATTCTTCAAGTAAAGATTGTATTTAAAGAGTTTTTCATTCAAATAAGTGTATGTATTAAAAGCACATTTCATAACGGTTTGAAGTTTCCATTTCAACACATTCACACTTTATATCTTTGATCCACACACTATTGTTGTTTTTAAAAAAAGCAAAAACAAAAAGTACATTTAAAGAAAATCTGAAGATTAAAACAGTTATCCCTATTATTAGATAATCTTATCACCTTGTGTATGAATAACAATAATATATCTTACAACTGTTGTTCGATTGTTGTTGTTTTTAAAGTAATCTTATTTATTAAATAATTTGCTTTTTTTTTTTTGTTTGTTATTTTTCAAGGATTAGGTAACTGATCAACTACACTTTGTGTCGTGTGTTGTTTTTATATTTTTTTTATTGGGAATTATTATCTAGATTGATATAAGAAATTAGGAGGAGTGTTAGCCCAATAACTAAAAAAAACCACAAATTTATCAGGTTATTTTTATTCAGGCGCTACATTTTTTTATCATTGATAATCAACAGTCGATTTAATAATCATTCTCCAGTATTTCTTAGCAGTTGCGCAGTGGAGATAACTAAATAATCAATAATCGATATATTTGTATCTATACAACCTGCAAATTATTCAATTCCAAAGCAAAATTTAAAAACAGAGCACTCTTTTTCATGCGATTCTAAACAAAATAGTTTTCTTTAGGTAGATAGATTAAAACTTTAAAAAAGTTTGGAATCCTATAAGCAACATCACCATCATCCACCCTTTACTTGCATATGCAATCACATCTATTGCTTACATATAAATAATTGCAAGCCAAAACAAGTTAGATGCCATGAATCAACTTTACTTTCCACATTGTTAGTATTTTTCTTTATTTGTTTTGTATATTTTTTAAAAATTACAACCAAATAAAGAGATAATCGCACCATCTGTTAACTTTATTAATTATCACGGCATCAAGAAATCAGTACCTATTTTCACATGATCATTTCGCTACCCACTACACCATCAATTAATACAATACCCACCCACACACACACTTTTTTTTTAGTAGTATGAATCTTTTGCTTATTATTAGTAATAAATAATCACATCATTCACATGTGAATTGATAGTTGCTGATGATATTGATTAGGAATAAGAAAATAGGAGGGAAGTGAAGACTGTTAATTACATTTCAAATTCAAATAATCATATTGTTATGAATAGAGGTGCACCTCCTTTTTTCACTTCTTTTAGATAATAATAGGTTGATTTTATTTATTTATTTAATTAACAAATAGTATTATTTATTTGGTTGTTATTGTTGTTGATTCACCAGTTTAGTTGGCAATTGTAAATTAAAAACAGGTAATATATATAAAATTACTTTTTACGAATATTTTATTACCTTTGCAATTCCCTCCATACCCAACAACAGCAATTCCAATATCACAATACGAATAATCATCGGAACAACTATCATTAGCTTTAATAGGATTGTAGATTAACAGTAACAAAAAAAAAAAAAAAAAAAAAAAACAAAATCATCACATGATGTACAAACAAAATTAGTAATATGCATGATATATTGTAAATACCTATTTACCAAAATCAGCTATTGTCCATACAAAATAATGATTAACAACAACATGCAGTGGATTTTAAGATTAGAGCTGTAATATGATCATAATAGAAAACAAACAACTTGATCACTGGTAGTTTAATAATTGGTTATCATTTTAATCTATCAATCAATCAATCAAACATTCACACTTCTTGGTTATTTTAATCATAGCAGGTGGTAATCAACTATTGACATGGTACCAATTTCCTGCGAAATTAATAACACACCACCATCACTCACCTCACTTTGTGTGATGCAACAACGCAAAACACAAACCACAACCATCAATAAAACATAATAGATATCATACCTACCACACACACATGTATTTATATATACAATCATTCATGTGCTGCAAATCAAACAAAGAAATTTGAAAAAAAAAATCTTTGCTCTACAACCCATTAATCTTTAAATCTAAATAATATCTAACTCAATTGAGTGTTTTTTTACCCCTGCATATTGGTGGTGATTGGTGCCATTGTCGTATTTTTTTTTAATTAAATTTAATTTAATTTTATTCACCACACATCCGATTTTTATTCATCAATCAATCTGATTCAAACTAAAACCACCCGCCTATTAATCTTTATCTTTACTTTCAGTCGTTTTATTCAAATTGATAACAATTATTATTATTGTTATTATTATTATTATCTTATCTTCCTCATACTTACTTAGTAAGGAAGTAACAATCTACTCCTTTATTGTGTGAGTCATAAAAAAAAAAAAAAAAAAAAACAATTTGAAGAGTAACTCAAACACACACACACCAAATATTTATTAAAAAGTCGTCATTCTTTTACATATTACCCCATAAAAATATGCAAATTAACTAGTTTTACTCTTTTGGTTACCACATTATTTCACGCTTAAATATTAATATCATCATTTATTTAAATTTGAAAGAAAGAAACAAACAACTCACACCACACTTAATTGTTATATATTATTCCAAAATCAATTGATTGACAACAGCAAATTATCAATAACTTGTTTATATTTGTTAATATTGTCTTGTTTTTGCTTTGTTTTGTTTGTTGTATTTGACAATAATAATCATCACATCAAGAATAAACTATTAGACTAAATATTATTTATTTTGATACTTTACTAATTTATACAATCAATCAAACATCAAACAGTAATTAGGCTATCAAACAAAAAAGAAATACAATATCAAAAAAAAAAAAAGAGTTGATATTAAATCAGTCAAATATCATAAAACATTATAATAATAATAATATTCAGACAGAACTCATAAGAATAATAATAATTGACAAGTTACAGCGCTGATCATATACAAAATAGCAATAAAACAATATAATATCATTCGAACCAATGATCAAAATAGTAATTAGTTAGTTTAGTTATTAATAGTAATAGTAATAATAATAATATTAGTCAATAGATATTATTTCATTCCTTCTTTCTTTTTTCGTTTTTTTATTTCCATATATTATATATAGTTAAAAACTATGGAACCAACAGGTTTTGGTAATAGTCATAGTCATAGTAATGCCGGTGGTATGACAAGCAGTATATCATCAGAAGACATTCTTTCACAATCGAATCATCCAAATAGCAGAAGAAGTCCATTTCAAGCATTGAAACATACAAATGGATCTAATCATATCAATGGATTATCTTTTTCGATCAGTCATTCCACCAATGGTCATTCATCAAGTCCGACACTAAACGGTCACAGTTCATTAAACTCGAGTGGAGTACACGCTCAAACACCAGAGATTCGTGTAAAGAGTCCACATCAATTTAAACCATATAGATCTTCCTCTCCATGTGTATTCTGTGGTGAGAATGTAAGTTCAAATCAAATCAAAATCAATCAGATAGATTAAAATTAATTTTTATTAATATATTATCGGTTCATTTAGATCGGTCAAGTTTGGATACCATTTACAAGTCATTCATATAAATGTTCACAGTGTGGAATTGTTTGCCACAAGAAATGTATGGATTTGATGAATACAATATCGTGTTCAAATACAATACAAAAGAAGATTGTTCCTTCTTCTGGAAAGAATAGAAGTCCATCGATGATGGGTACATCACAGTCAGCACCTGCACTCTCAGTGGCAACGATGGCAGTTTCAGCATCACCAACGCTACTCACCAACTCTAATAGCTCACCGAGTTGCACCAGCTCGGCAGCATCCACACCACTGTCAGGATCATCCGGTGATTTGATGAAACCACCCACTCCAACATCGACAAGTACACCTAGCGAGAGCACAGCATTCGTGAAATCAATGGGAAATACTACTATTACAGGTGCGATGCCTGCCGATGAGAGAATCATCGATTCGATGTTTGAAGCACTGGCGAAAGAGCGTGGATTGCCAGAAAAGATGAATTGGACCAAAGAGAGAAAGTGGTTGTTGATCACACAGCATGGCCAATTGCACCAGGAACACAGTCCAGAGAGCAATGGCAATGCATCGAGTGACTCCAATCATTCCAATGGCACACCGGAATACTTTATAAATGCACTGCGCAATGAGCCAAGCAAAGAACTGATGTTGTCGCTGCTTGTCCAGCTGCGTTCCAAGACATTCAGCTGGTTGACGAGCTTCATCGAGATGGACGGTATCACACTGATATTCAATCTGCTGCAATCGAAAAAGAAAGAGACTCGCGAGGAGTGTATAAGGGCAATCGCCACTTTTATGAATAGTACTCACGGACTAAAGTCTGTGACTTCGTTGCCGTTTGCCGCCAAGCGACTGGCGATGGTTTTGACATCACAGCAATTTACACTAAAGAGTCGTGCTATTGTTATTGAACTTCTCACTGTTATGTGTATGGAGAAATGGGTACCCGGTGGATACAGCATGGTACTGAAAGCATTGACCAATCTCAAAGAGAAGAAACGTTTCACCAACTTTGTAAAGTTTATCAAAGAGAACAGCTCGCTCGAGATGAAGACGAAAGCACTCTGTTTCATCAATGTATTGATTCACGAACCCGAGGAAACATCGGTGCGTGTCAATATACGTGGTGAGTTTTTGCGGCTGGGACTGTACGACTATCTGAAGCCGCTCAAGCCAACACTGTCGCCAGACGAGAACCTCTATTTGCAAATCGAGATTTTTGAAGATATGATGATGGAGGATAATCAAGAGTTGGATCACAAGCTAGAGGAGCTAAAGAAGAAGTTGGGTGTCGATATCGAGAATCTAGATGCTTTGTTCAAGGCACTGAAATCGAGTGCCTCGAAATCTGGATTGACTAAATCATTGTTGTCTGTGATGCAGAATCTGTTGGTTCTACACTCTGATTCCGATGGTATTAAATATTGGTTGTTGATCGACCAATTGGTACGACAGATTTCAATGCAACGAAATTCACTGGATGGCAACGATACGATCGATATGAAGAGTCTGCTACAGAATGTAGATGCGCAAACCAAGGAGGTAACACTGACCAGAAAGATGGAGGAGCTCGAGAAACAAAATATAGACAAGGCTGCGATTATACAGGAGAAAGACATGAGTATTAAACAACTTTTGGATTTAGTGAAACAAATCAAACTAGCGGGAGGAGACGTCAGTCCTGCACTCCAAAAACAAATCGAAGAAGCCATCAAGAATTTAGATGTTCCAGCAGCGGTTGTAGTTGTGCCAACTGAAACCATTGAAATAACACCACCTCCACCACCTCCACCTATTTCTACAAATATACCAACAACCCCAGAACCTGCAGTCGATGCTCCACCTCCACCTCCACCTCCCCCAATGTTGGGTGGCGGAGGTGGTCCACCACCACCACCTCCACCTCCAATGGGTGGAAAGAAGAATCCAGCTGCCATTAAAACACGTCCACCTCCAAAGGTTCCCAAACCAGCACATCCATTGAAAGCACTGCAGTGGACAAAGATGCCACCAGCCAAACTCAACGAATCCGTATTCGATAAGCTCGGCGAGATGAACGATATTCACTTGCCATGGAAAACAATCGAACAAGAGTTTGCTGCCAAAGTTATCGTTCGTAAGGAGAAACCTCTGAGGAAATTAGGTCCAATGCAAGTGATCGACGCCAAACTCGGTCAGAACATCTCTATTTTCCTGTCACAGTTCAAGACGGTTCCAGTGCGTGAGCTTATCGACGCCGTCCAGAAACAAGACGAAGCTAGACTCTCGAAAGAACAAATCCGACAGATGGCCAAGCTTCTCCCCTCGAAAGACGATATGGCAGCGCTCTCTGATTTCCTAAAAGTAGAGGACCGTTCCAAGCTGGCTGCTGCCGATCAATTCTGTATTGACGTAGGTAACTTCTCGTTCATGGGTGACAAACTTGCTCTCTTCCAACTACGTGCCGAGTTTCAGCAACGTGCATCCGAGCTACGTCCAGAGATTGCTGCCGTTTCACTTGCATGCAACGAGTTGCTCAAGAGTAATAACCTAAAACGTTTGTTTGAAATCGTTTTGGTACTTGGAAACTTTATCAACTATGGAACGGTGCGTGGTGATCAATCCGGTTACAAAGTGGACTGTATGATAAAACTGGCCGACACCAAATCGGCCGATCTCCAATCGAATCTTATTCACACACTCGTCGAGTATTGCGAAGAGAAGGAACCATCGTTGTTGGCGTTTGCCGACGAGTTGCCATCGCTCGATGTCGCCAAGCGTGTCGTCTGGTCGGGTGTCGTCGCCGATCTCTCGATGTTGTCACGTGAATTTTCGCTGTGTAAATCGATTGTCGACCAATTCCAAAAATCCAACGAACCATTCTGCGAAACCATGGTGCCATTCCTCGAGTTGGCAGCGATCGAGCTCGACAAACTAAAGAAACTCCAAGCAAACACCGAAGAGAGTTTCAAGAAACTATGTATATACTTGGGTGAGGACAGCACCAAGATCACACCAGACGAAATATTCGAATTGTTCTCGAGATTCGCTACATTGTTCGAAGCGGGTCTCTTGTTACTCCAACAGATTCGCGAGCAACAGGAGAAAGACTCGAAGCGCGAACAACAAAAGTTGCTCCGTGCAGAACTCAAACTCAAACTCGCTGGCAAGATCCAAGCGAACAACCCACAGAAAAAAGACGATCAAGACGAGGACATTGTAAATGATTTATTATTGGCAGTACGTGACGGTGATGTTTTCAGAAAAGGTAGAAGAAAGGTAGTTTTAAACAGAGCCGATTCAAATCATCTTTCACAATTATCACCTGCAAAGTAAAAAGGAAAAAAAAACTAAAAATAAAAAAAACAACTTATCTTTATTTATCTAATCAAAAAAAAAATCATATTTAATCTTTATTTAATTAAAGATATTATTAATTAATAATTATTAAGCTTTTTGACAGCTGTCAAACAAACAATTAATTCAATTGAATTATTAATCACATCATCATTGATTTTAAAACAATTCTGTGAAATCAAATCCGGATATTTCTGTGTTTTAAAAAAAGAAACAAAAAATTTGCCTGATCCAATTGGTGATCGATTGATTTATTTAATTTTTATTTTTTTCACCAAAAAAACAAGACTGGTAAAGGTCGTTTAACTATCAGATCTATAAAAATATTTTTTTAAAAAAATCAAATTGATCCAAAGGTCAAACAAAATAATAATTTTATCAGATATACTTTATTTATTTTACAATAAATCTATATAAAACAATAGTCTACCAGTATTTATCTTACAGTAAGTTAATATTAAAAATAATAAATTTTAAGTTTACTTTATTTCGTCATTGTATTTAAAATTCGAATTCTAATTTATCAAAATTACGAGACGAGTCGATTGTATTTATTAAAATTCTGATAGCTTTTGTGAGACAAATTGTTTGTTTAAAATAGATAGATCTCAAAATCTACGTATTTGTCTTTCTTTCACACTTTTTGACTCCAAAAACATATTTTTTTTAACAGCCCACATTTTTTTGTTTATTTTTGTTTTATTTTTAATCAATCAACCATGTGATTAATCACAATCATCTTAAGTATATAGTTACTTAAGATCTCAAATATCTAATATGTTTTGATCGGCAAATAAATACTTTTTCTATCTTCAAAAGCAAATCTAATAATTATAGTAAGTAAATAAATGTTTGCACACTTCAAATATGAGGTTAGATTAATTTAGGTTTACAACATCAAAACAAAACAAATCACACAAATATTATTATATAAAGATCTATATATAAAATATTAACGGATGACATCTTTTACCCACAAGATAGACCACTCACTTTGCTAATACATTGATTTTTGTAAAAAACAAGTGACACACACCTCCTATTCAATACAAACAATACAGTAAAGTGTCACTTTTGATCGATACGCAATTTACTGATGTAAAAGTAATATATTTAAAAGCATTTTAACTCTACTCATTTGTTTGTTAGTCAATTAGAAAAAATATATTATTTTTTATTTTTGATTATCGTGTTGTTATTGTTTGTTATTTATTAAATAAGAAATATGTTCAACTTATTCTATCGAAAAACATTATTTTATAATTATTTATAACTGCCTTTTTATTTATTTAAAATTCACTAACAGTAAAGTACTTCCAAACATTTTAGATTAAATTTATTTATTATTCAGAAACTGGATTGTATTTTTAAAAAAATATAACTTTGGAAATAATAATAATAATAATAATCTGATACGAATCAATTTCTGTATATAAGCAGCGAAGAAGTTAATCAACAGTTTTCAACTCTAAAAACACACCGAAAATGGTTAGAGTAAACTGTGATTATATTCCAGCTTGGCCAATTGTCTATTATAAAAATACATCAAAGACAATCTTACATATTCTATGGCCATTAATTACATGGTAAATATAAACAAAAATTAATTGATAATCGAAAAGTTTAATAATAATTATATTTAATTAATAATTATATTTTAATAGGAGTGAATCTGCATCTGGAAATAAAGTATTTGCATTATTATATTTCCTATTTAGATTGGCATGGAAAGAGAGATCTTCTACCCAGTATGTCGACTTTTTCTGGCCAATTATACATCTCGAATTTAATGACAATGGATTTAGATTTGGAATACGTCCATTGTTTTGGATTATATCTACCGATCGAACGTTTAAACTATCCATATTGGGTATTATCAATATATTCTCAAAGGACAGCGGTGATGACGTATGGGTAGTACTGTTTCCATTCTTTTGGTATCGATACAAGAATGGAAAGGTATTCTATACGATACCACCGATTCTCTGGGTTTCCGGAGATGGCGATGACAAACTAAAGGTGGTACTACTGCCACTCGGTGTACTCAGTAAGGGTAGCAGTGGATGGTGGCTAAACGTTGCATTCTTTTTCCACCTGGCGATACGCGACAGTGGCGATAAAGTATATTTCCATCTTCTGCCGTTCCTCGTCGTCAAGAAAGCGAGAAATCTGAATATCAACATCTGTGGTCTGATTCACTATCAGCTAAAGCACAACGATAAGTATTTCTTTATGTTTACGCCGTTGTTCTTGATGTTTGGTGGTAATGATAGTCATTTCTCACTGTATATGATTCCACTGCTGGTGTATCGACGTACCGCTTCATCGTCGCTCTTCATCTTTATGTTCATTTTCTATAGGATAAAGAATAGCAGTAGGTTGATATCGATGTTGATTCCACTGTATTTCTATAGAGAGTGGGATCAGAAGCGATCTCGTTATCTCAATATTATGGGACTTTACAATTTCCGTCGGTTGTACAGCGAAAACTTGGTACACATTATTTTAGCACCGATTCTATGGATCAGAATAGCAAAGGGTACCTCATTCACATTCCATCTTTGGCCAGCATTTGGTTTCAAGATCTCACAGAAATCCAGAGGATTCAACATCTACGTCCTCTATCCGTTGATTATTTACAAGAACAAACGTAATGGTGACTTTAAACGATTCATGTTTATCTATCCGCTCTGTCACTATTACCACGATAAACAAGAAAAAACTAGAATTCGGTCATTCCTTCCAGTATTTTATTATAAATCACAGCCATCGGGAGTGTTTGGTTTCTTCCTTCTCTATTTCTGGTATAAAGACCGTACCAATAGCAATCAAATCAGTATGGATGTCATTCGAAGAGCCGATGAACCAACCCCAGAGATCGATCCAGAGTTACGCGATGTACCAGTTCCACCACCTGCAAAACAAGTACCAGAAGTTGAATATCAAATTCGTGGATTTCTTCCATTCTTTTACTTTGTTTCCAAGAGATCAGAGAATCTTGTCATCCTATTACCTTTATTCTTTGTCAAATGGAACACTCAAATGGTCGACTCGAAATTCGTATCGTTAATATACTATCAATCGAAATACGAAGATCATTTCTTGGTGCGTTGGTTGCTACCGGTGTTCTACCAGAAACACACATCAGAGAAAACACTGGTACTCTCACCGGTCTACTATTACTACAGCAGAGGAACCAGACGATTCCGTCTCATTCTCCCGGTATTTATTGACTTTATCAAAGGAGAGACACACTTTATCTATTGTTTCCCAACATTCATTCACTACCGAAAGTCTATCTTTAAGTTCACTTCGTTCTTCCCAATCTATTTCCGAACCCAAGATGCTACCAAGAACGAGTTGTTCACTTACTACTTCCCAATTTGGGGCAGTGGATCGCAAGGATCAAAGTCGAATACTTACTACTTTTTGTTCCCTCTGTTTGGATATAAATATGACCGCGAGACTCACGCCAAACGCATCGATATATTATTCCCATTGTTCCACTTTGACCGTGACCCCGAATCGTATTCGTTGCGTCTGCTTCCAATTTTCTGGCGTTCCTACAACGAACGTAATGAATTCCTTTTGGTTATGCCATTCTACTGGAAGTTTGTCACCGACAAAGATACACGTGCACAAATCAACACTTTGTTCATACCATTCTATTTCAAACGTGACTCTGCCCAATATTTGTTCACATTTGCATCGCCGGCGCTGCTACCACCCTACTATATTCACTACCACCGTGAAGCAAGCCAGGTTGAGCAAACTTATGTATTCCCATTCTTTGCTCACAAGATAAAGGGACTGGATCATCTGCGATGGTTCCTTCTCTATGTGTACCGACACACTTGGCGTGACTTTAGCGATGAGATGTACATGAATGTATTGCTTTACTTCAAGTTAAACAATCCAAAATATCGTATATCCGGTTTCATTCCTCTCTATATTGAATGGTTTGCCAAAGAAACTCAAAAGTATCATCTAAGAACCCTTTTCCTTTTGGCATACGACCGTATAAAGACAGACCTTAGACGTCAGAAACGTATTTGTCTCTTCTATCTCATCTCGAATCGTGTTACTCTTTTCCTCTGGAAGAAAACAAAGAAGTCTTCAACTGGACACGTTGTTAGTAGTACACCGGCACAAGGCGCAGATGAAGAAGGAAGTTTGGGTACTGACATTGATCGACCAGCTCCTCCTAAACCTCATTTCGATCACCACTCAAAGAAGATATTCCTATTCCCGATTTTCCATTACTGCTCATCGAGCACTGATAAATATTATCAACTCTGTTTCCTTTGGTTCGTTAAGCCATGGTTATCATTTATCTACCGCTTCAAGAGTGAAACTGAGAGTTGCTTCCAAGTACTCTTTGCCTTCTACTACAATTGTTCGTCTACATTGAAGCAGCTTGCTATTATCTGGTTCTTCAATCCCAATGTTGGATTGTTCCTCTACGAAAAGACACCGTTCGTTGTGATCAAGAGAATATTCCCATTATTCTGGAGAATGTCAACACCAAAGAAATTCGAATCGGTCGAAGAGATGAAAGAAGAAACCGAGCAATCTACGAGCTCTGGCAGTGAGATATCAATTCTCTCAATCCTCTATATTATTCCAAGCTACGGTCTCTATAACTATCGTTACAACAGCGCCAAGAATAAGAAATCACATTACCTGTTCCCATTGTACTACCACTCGAAATCAGAACGTCAGACAACAACATCGGTACTATACGCCGGTCATCCTGTGGTATCATTCTTCCATAGATCCAAGCATGGCTCCAATCTCATTCTTAGAATATTCCCACTGTTCTATTACTACTCTGATACTGATTCGTCGCTTCCCGTTAGTGGTCTATCCATTCTTTGGATTGGACATCCAGATGTTGCTTTCTACCGTACCTACAAATCTAGTCGTAGTTCAATCGTTTCTATATTCCCATTGTTCTGGTCCAAGACATCGTATGCCAATAAGAGTTATCAACTTTCAATCATTTATGTGGTTCGTAAATTTGGTTTGATAGACTATTACACCGAGAGTGAAGCCGACATTTTCCGTTTCTATATATTCCCATTCTTCCATGTGTCGCATTCGCCAGGTGATACACGAGTCGGAATTCTCTATGCTGGACATCCAAAAGGATCGGTATTCTCTGGTTACTTCACAGAAACACACTCCAAGTTCTTTGTATTCTTGTTCTTCTACTACCTTAGAGATACCGCCGAGCAGAAAACTAAATTCTCATTGCTCTGGATTGCAGATCCACGAGCCAGTCTCATTGGATATTGGTCACACGGTCGTCAGTCACACTTCCATGTACTCTTTGTCATTTGGGTGGCAACCGCCGAAGAATATCTACAATGGGGATTGTTTTGGATTGCTTGGGCTAAATCCGAAGTCTATCCATCTAGCTTCCTCAATCAAGAGGCAAGCGGAAGTGATCCAATCATCAGAAATATCTACTATCCTGTATCACTTTTCCTCTCTTACAACGACGGTGCCTATTCGACACATCACTTTATGCCTATCTATAGATACACCAACAAGGTGGTCAAAGAGCAAGAGAAACTCTGGGCATTGTTTGGAATGTTCTATTTGGTAACCAGAAAAGACTACACTGAAGTCCGTTGGTGTTACCGTTGGATTCGTGTTAAATCCAGTCCATCTGTATATTTGGTCGAAGTCAATCCATTCGTTTCCTACAAACGTAAACACAATGCCAGTAGATTATTATTTTTGGGTGGAATGTGTGGATATGATGATAGACTTTCCGATAGTACTTGCAGAATTTGTTGCATTGAAATTTAATAATAAACTTTTATTTAAAGAAACTCAACAACAACAATTTGTTTATGTTATGTTTATCAATTCGGTTGAAACATTTTTATTTTAAGATGGTTATTTACAAATAAATTCTTTTATATATGATGAATTATTTTCTTGATCAATTAATTGGTGAAATAAATAGGGTTTGTCGGATGATCATTTTGATAATCTATTTCTTTAAGGGTGGCTCTGGACATGACTCCTCTTGTGTTGGACTCTGGGTATTACTGTCATCACCAAAGAATAAACGTTTGCCTTTACTCTTATTGGAACTACTGTTATTGTTATTGTTGTAAGAGTTATTATTATTGTCAATGGTATTTGCCTCGCTGTTACTAATGTTTTCGTTAAAGTCGGACGAGGACGATGATGATGAAAGAACAGGAGATACATTTGACGATGAGCTTGTGGATGATACTGATGACGATGGTGTTGATGAGGAATTAGAGATGTGAGTGGATTTAGAGGGTGTGCCAAACATTCCTAAAGTGGTCGTGCTAACTCCACCAATGTTGCTACTACTACTGTTGTTGATGTTCATGTTGATCACCTTCAACTCTTTTGATGGTGTTCTTCCTATGCTATAAGAGAGTTTCGATGGTGTTAAATTGATGTTGTTGGATGTTCGAGAAACCATTGGAGAGAAAGTAATGTTCTTTTGTTGTAGCGGGAGTGGAGATGGTCTTGGTGACGAAGGTACAAGCTTGGTTGGAGTACTTATATTTTTAAGATATTGGCACTTCTCAGCAGCTTGGTGAATCGTTGCATCCATAGTCGGTAAGTATAGTTCATTATAGAAAGCAACTATATCTCCTGTTCCATTTGTCAATGGGATATCTTTGTAAACCTGTTGAAAATTAAATAAAATTAATATTTCTTTTTTTTTTTTTTTTTTGGTATAATTACTTTGGTTGGAATAGAAGTGCTTTCAATGATGGTTTTGTATGTCTTGGCAATGGAATTAAGTTTACAAATTGCATAGATAGTACTGATTGCAATAATATCCAATGATCTATTCTTTAGAAGCTCGGTATGTTCTATAATTAAATTGATTGATGCCCATAGTATCTGGTGTAAAACATCATTTGGTAATGATAATGCCATACAAAAGTTTTTACATTTTCCTCTTATTAAATTTAATACTTTTCTAAAGAAATTCTATAATAATAATCTTTATGTAAGTATATATTTGTTTTTAAAAATAAATTTTTAAACTTACAATTAATACAATAGATGTTCTTGATTTTGGACCTGGTGATTGCATTTTACTTCCGTATGATGTAGGTGTAGCTATCAATGGAGTTGGCTTGGCAGTTGGTTTGGTTGGAGTGGAAAAGTTTTGTATGAAATTGGTAAATGCTGGTGTGTTGCTGGCGTGTGAGGGTGTCGAAGGTGGTTTCAATGGTGTTGAGGTCGATGTTGATGATGCAGCGTACGGTGACAGGGTTCGGAGGTGTTCTTTGGAGCTTTCAATCAGTGCGAAAACAGTGGATCCTTCAGTCCATGCATATTGCTCGACAATACGCTCTTCAATGGAGAGCAAGTGTGTCACCAAGAGATGAGGCATCGAGTCATCGATCTTTACAATGCTATCGATGATTCTGTAATAGCTGAATGGATGCAAGCCAAATAGCTTTACGAAATGTGGGAATAGCAGACTGTCGAGTTTGTGTGAGTATGCAACCATTTCAAAACTGGTGGCTAAAAGTGATCGATGGAATTCTTTATGGCTGATAATGCCCTGTACCTGAGAGCTAGATCCGACACGTGCCTTTTCAAAGCTGATCACTTTGAAGAGTAGTGAATAGTAGAGCTTGACTCCGTAGGACCTACGCTTTGTGAGAATGGCTTGTTCGTCAGAGGTGATCAACTCGTCCGACAAATAAAGATTATCGATTCCATCGGTGAGTTCACTGACCAACTTGGCAATCATATCGAGTGAATCCTGTGCATTAGGTCCACAACATTCCTTGATCAGCTGACTCACAGAATCTATAATATCGTTGTTTCCAACGGTTTGTTTGATCCAACTAACCATGGTGACTGTTGCCGACACTGGTGTCTGAGGTGGATACTGTCTAGAGTGTTGTTCATTATTTAAATGTTTACTTGGTGTAGTTGGATATCCAGATAGACTGCTATTGTTGTTATTATTTAAACTTTGATTGCTGCTACTACTACTACTACTACTACTACTTATTGAATCGTTGGCACCGGTGCCAAATAAGGGTTGTCTTATTCTGCCTTGATGGTGTTGTTGATGCTGATTCTCTGAAATCAGATTTGATTTACGAATTGATGAACTGGACTTGAATGGAGTACCAACTATTTCCTTATCAAACAAGAATACTCTCTCGTCAATGTCTCCGCTTGAATAATATTGATGCTCATATAGTTTGTTTAGATGTAAAAAGTTGGTAGTCAACAGTGATATATTTGAGAAATAGTCATCTCCATCCGATGTCTTTAATGTATGATTATTTACCATCTTAAAAAAAAAATTAAAACAAAATATTTCGATTAATAACATTATATACAGTCACTTTTTTTATATTGCTACTTACATCAGTAATGATGGTTGAAAATATTTTTTGATTTGTATTTACAAGTTCCTTCAAATTGCCGTTGATTGACTTTGATAAGAATTCTAGTATTTTCTTATTGTCACTGCTAGATTCGCTTTTGTCATCGTTATCTTTGTTGTCTGTGTTGTTTTCGTTGTTGTTATTGCTATTGTTATTGTTGTTGCTGCTGTTATTGTTAAATGTAAGTTTCCGGTTGGTAGATGGTGATTTAAGATAGAGAAGATTCAAACAACATAGAATGATATGTATCGATTGTAGGAGATCTGGTGTGTCGTTGAATAGCTTGCTCTTGCAGTGTAGGTAGAGTAGCCATCCAACGCTAAAGAGATACTCTTCGGTGGAGTGTTGTTTGCTCGAACCACTGTTGATTGTCTTGATGGAGGAGGTGGCAGGCGACCACTTAAAGATCAGTTGGAACAGTTCTTCGTACTTGCGATAGATAATGTTCAGTATGACAAAACTCTGTGAGAGTTTCTTGAATTGCGAGTCGATGGCGCGCGACACCTCGCTATTCATAAGCGACACCATAAAAGGTGCTGCCGAGTCGAAAAACTGCAGCAATGGGACATTGGTCGATTTCAAAAGCTGCGACAAATAAACACTATTCAACGGAATGTCAGAACTGCCGCCACTCAGCAAACAATTAAACTTTCTATTTCCTGCGATAAACAATGATGTTATAACACAATATTTAATATCTGATTCCGTTGCCTGTTTAATAGTTTTATGTTTTGTTTGTTAATATATATATATATATATACAATATGTTTAAAATATAGTTTTGTTGTTTTAACTTTACTTACATCACTTGATAATTGTATACTCTCTAATAACTCTAATGCAGTGGATAGAGTTGATTCGTCTATGTTCAAGGTGCATGCAATGCTATTCAATCGTTGTTTGATATCTTCTGGTGGCATGAGAGTTTGTTCGCCGCGGAGTGAATCGACAGCGGCAACCAACTCATCCATGGAACCACCTTGACTCTGTATTATAGTATCGTCCTCCATGGAACTACAACTGTTACTTCTACTCAAGTCAGGTAGAGGTCTGCCACGTTTCACTACTTGATCTACAAATTTAATAATTATTTAATGAATGATAACATTTTAGTATTTACAATCAATATCTTATTTTATTCAATTGAATAATAAGAGTAATTACCTTGACTAATATCCATTTTTTATTATATTATATTGCGCAGAAAAAAAATTGTAAAAAAATAAATAAATAAAAATAATAATAATAATAATTTGAAAACAAATAACTATATGTATATAATATTTATATGTTCTAAATAACTAAACAAACAAAACTATTATTAAATAGTAATTTATATATATAAATATATATATTTTTTGAAGAAAATAATTGAATATATATAATTAAAACTAATAATATGTAAAAATATTTGTATGAAAATTGTATTTATCTGTATTCTGTCTAATTAAGAATGAGTGAAGTTAAGCTATGTATAATAAATATTTAAATGATTATAAAGTAAACATTTCACTTTATTAAGATGTTGAAAAACAAAGTAGTAATCTGAATATTTATGAAAACTAATTCCTATTATGAGTAAATAAATAATTATCAGGTTAATAAAACAACAAAAAAAGGCGCCATTAATTTCACCACATGTTGTTTTTTTTTTTTTCGATTTTTTTTTTTTTTTTTTGGTGAAATTTAAATCAGTTTTGAAAAGGTACAATTTAACTTACAACATGATCTAAACTTAACCTATCGGTGTTTTTGGATACAATTGTTGCACTTTGTAAAGATTTCTTTTATATATCTTCTTCATTTACTTGAATCTTAAAGAAAATGATCAATGTTTGCAGTTTATTAAAAACAAATAATTGAAGAAGAAGAAGAGGATTTAGAGTCGACTGAAGAGGACAATTATCCTGATCGTCAAGCTAAAGTAAATATAGAATTTTAAATATTGTTTTTAAACTTTCTTTTATTAATATTCTATTTGATATACTATTTGATTCTATAGAAGTTGCAGAATATCTCTACTAGATCTGATAATGACTCTGATTTATCCGATTTCGAAGCATCCAGTGATGAACTTGACAGTGATGATGCGGTGGAAGCCAAGAAAAAATCTTATCGTCCAAGATTATGTCCAGTTTGCCATAAACCAAAGAAAGCCAAACGCTTCTTGACACCTTCCAAGAGGGCCACAGCAGAACACGACTGCAAGGGTCCGTGCAAGTCCTTTACTATATATATATGTGGCCGTGAAGATAAACATCCAGCCGAATACAAGAAGGCCAAAGAGGCCACCAAATACTAAAGAAGTCCATTGAGGAGAATACCAACGGTAAGATTACACTTGTAATTAGTACTAGTTAAAATAATTTAATTTATATTAACATCTTATATGTACTCTTATATAGATGAGGTCATGGAGATAATAGACCACATGGACCGACTTACCAACGAGAGAGCTGGCTCTACTACCCCTGCCAATGCCAAGAGCAACTATACCGCTAAGACCACCATCTTTGTCAAATCTCAGAACAACACACTCAATCTTTGCAAAGTGCAACACTTGTATCCAAAAATCGGTAAGATCATCATCATCATCATCATCATCATCATCATCATCATCATCAAAGCCAAGAGAAGTCAGATGAAGTGAAAAAGTAAAGAGACTATTAACTTGGCACAATTGTTAAACAATTCAAAAATAATAATAGTATGTATAATTATTAGATTTTAATTAATTCTGCAAATAATAATTAATCAACAATTCTATTCTATTCTTTTTATCTTAGAGGAATGAACATTCTATCTGAATGACTTTGACTTTGTCACATGCATTCTCAACTACTATTAATCAATAAATTTAGAAAAATGATATTTTTGATCTATAGAAACAGAACCAATAGGTTGTTTTTTTTTGTTTTGTTTTGTTTTGTTTTGTTTTTAATAAATTGTATTCAAAATCTATCAACTGTGTCCTGTCATGTGATTTTGATTATTGGTGTTTTGGTCATTGGACATTGTTGCTGATGCATCTGGTTGTTGTTGTTTTGTCAATGGATTGAGTGTATTTTGACTGTTGCTTCCCCAGTCGAGATTGAAATTTGGATTTGACCAATCGATGTTTCCAACACCCTGAGTCGAATTGATGTCATTGTTGGTCGTAAAATACTGAGTTGGATCAATATCCAAATTGATATCTGGATAGAATGAATTGTCTGTCAGACCACTATTATATTGCTGTTGATGCTGATTGAACTGTGGAAAACTATCTGTCAATATACTACTGAAACTTGTATTTAAATCTGAAATTGAATTACTATTACTACTGGAAATATCATTACTATTATTTAAATTTGATGTAGAAATGATTGGAGGTGGTGGTTGAGGTTGTGGTTGTATTATTACATTATTATTGTTATTATGATTGAAATGATTGTTATTGTTGCTGTTAAGTGGTGTGTTTGTTGTTGTTGTTGTTGTTGAGGTTGTAGATGGTGATTTAATGTTTGGTGAAATGATTGGATCTGTTGACATTGGTGTAGCAGGTGATTCGTGAATGCGATTTGAATTGATTATAGAAGATAGTGGGGTGCCAGGAGGAGTGCCATCGTCCATCGTACTGATGGAACCTTTCGATGTCAAACACGACCCAGTTGAACTGTTGGTGAGCTGTCTAAATCGTTGGTTATTATTAAAGTTTAGATAGAACTCCTTTGGTACTATGTCAGGACTGAGCAGTCGACAGTGTACAACATCGCAAATCGGTCTGCCATCGTGATCAAATATAAATGTATGATTATCCAATGAATGATATACTGTTCCATGCTATTATTATCATAATATCAAATCAAAACAAAAGTTAGAGAAAACATCATCAGATATAATGTAAAACTATATTTGAACATTATTTGTTATTACTTACTTTACTCTTATAACACTGAGTCATTTCAACAGTGTTTCCAGTTAGATTCCTCTGGTTGAATACTTTCATTGTACTCTCTATTAACTCTGGTTGTATTATCTGTGTCCATGGTATACCAATGATTTCATTCTATTGTTTGTTTGTTTGTTTGTTTGTTAGTTTTGAATAGGATTGAATAGGATAGATTTGATAACTTACTTTACTATAACCTAGTAGCTTGAAGAATGCAGGTGATGCATCTACTACGGTTGGTGGATTCTTTGATATGTCGAATACAATGAATAGATTGGCATGAGGATAGTAATCACAGACTTCTTTTATGTTTCTTGGGTAAGTGATTGCATTGTCAGTGGTTGGAGTTGCCTGTGGTGAAGTAGGACTGCTGTTCAAATTCAAATTCATCATACTCAACTTTGACACTAGATTCTCATTGACCATCTCTAACTTTTCGCTTTTCTCTCTTAAATACAATATTTCATCATATAACTTCTTTTGTCCTTCTTTTATCTCTCTTAATTCATTCAACATATATTGATTTATATTTATATCACTATTATTGTTATTATTGTTATTATTGATATTACTATATAACTAAAAAACAAAGTTAAGTAAAGTTAAGAAAAGTTAGTTAAAAAAGATATAAACTAATTTGTTGTTTAGTTTAACATACATGATTGGCAGTTGGATGTTTAATTATATCACCTGTGAATGTGTATGGTTGTTGACTTGGTGAGGAATATGATGTTGATGACGATGTTGTTGATGTTGTTGAAGTAGGCATTGCAGTTGCAGTGGTTGTAGATGTTGATGATGTAGGATTTTGATATTGTAGTTGTTGCTGATGCTGATATGCATTGTTATTAAATAAGTTGTTATTATTGTTATTGCTGTTGCTGTTCTGTAGTAATGATGTATTTGTATTGAATGGATTGTTTATATTGTTCTGTTCTGTCGATATCTTTTGTGAAGGTCTATCGGAAGTCGTGTGACTCGGGAAATAACACATCTGAGGCTGACCTTTCTGTACACATCGCGAACAAGGATGATTCTCATCACACAACCCATTGTCCAACTGACACATGAAGCATGCTTTCTCTGACTTTCTCTTTGTAGTAGTTCTATTATTATTATTATTACTCATCACTGCTGCTGCTTCTGTAAAAATATTAAAAGATAGAATCTAGATCTTTGTTTTGTTTTGATTTGTTTTGTCTATAACTTTACTTATAGAAAGTATTGCTATTTATATATAACTATCTTCTTTGTATTAAAATATATAAATGAAATGATGAGTATGTATGGTTGTTAGATTGGGTAACGAAATATGATTAGTTTTATATTAAATTTTTTATTTTTAAAGGAAATGAACTGAAAAACAAATAAAAAAAAAAAAAAAATCTTGAAAATTTTCATTTTTTTACTCACAAAGAGATAAACAGATATAAAAATCTACCATTACATAATATTAGAATAACAATAAAATATTTCAGAGTTGATGTCAAGGCGATTGATTCCAGTACATAGAAAAAGGTTATGGTATTTTCTGCTATGTTTGTATAGTTAGCTTGAGACTTTGAATATCCAATCCGCCTATTAGAATATTATTTTATTCTCTTTGTATTGTTCTCAAATGTTTTTAAAAAGATATTCTTCCCATTCTATAGTTCAAATTTCCTTTTAGTAATAATATATATTTCTTGGAAAATGATTTTTTATAAATTAATACATTTATTAAAATAATAAAAATACCATTAGCTATAGATAAAAGAACTTAAATTAATATTAGAAGAATAAGCTTATACAAATTTGGAAAACAAAATTCAAATTTATTTTAATCAAAAACAAATCTGTTAGTTCAAACTCTTATGCATCTGAAAATTTAAATATTGATGAATATTCTATTTCTAAACATTAGATATGCTATAAATAACCAACAACTGACACCAATAACATTTGATAATAAATAAAGTGTATGAGTTATTGGATTACTAATGATTTGTTAAAAAAAAAAGATATAAATTAGTTATTCATTTTTTTGTTTGAAATAATTATATAAGGTGAGTTACTAGGTGAATATTATACTTACATATAAAATGAGAATGGGAAATACCCACCTAGAATTTCATGACCCATATAAATGGTGATTGGATTCATTCCGACGTAGATGAATGGTGCACCATTCCAGAGTTTCTTGAGATCAATAAAAATGTACATAAATGATAATACAAAGAATCCAAAGCCAGAGAGCAGTAGAACAAACGATGGTGTCCAAAGATTCTTGTTGATTGGCAACCATCCGTTGTTTTGCGACATGCCACAAAGACCTGCTGCAATTCCACAGAGTACGACACCCCATATGCTCCAACGGATGAGTCGGCACGATGCCTTCTTGAACGCCAGAATCGTTCTTCCACACTGGACACCGAGGAAACACATGAAAATCGATGTGATGTAACCGAGTGTTCCCTCAGGGTCGTACGAACCGGTGTTGTAGATTGTCTGACAAGTCGGTGTCTGGTAGATGTGATTCTCACCAAAAATCTTGAGATCTACATAACGCGCTGCTCCACCAGTGCAATTGGCATACTGTCCTTGCGAACCGATTCCACCCGGGCCAATATAGCCAGTGGGACAGCCTGGCACCGGCAACAAGAAGGTAACCAAAAACCAGACGGACAACAACATCAGTGCAACCACCCACTGAATCCAATAGGGCAGAATATCGGCAAACATTCTTGGATAGCGTGATCTAATTCTGTCTTGAATCGATCCGCCACCGTAGAGTGGCTGCTGCTCCTCAGAGAGGTCGTCGAGCTGGCGATATCGCCACACCGGAACAAACATCATAATGAGTCCGGTGACAAGATAAGATATACCAAATCGCTGGAGAACACCAAGAATTCGCCAGTGTTGCAAGTCGTTTCCGTTGTTCAGGAACATACCCAGAGCGAATAGGGTAATCGATCGACGAACCAGTTTGATAACAATCGTCTTCTTGGGGACGCCACGTGATTCCAGTGCGTTGAATGACATCGGCATGGCACAACCCATGATGAATACGAACCAGGGGAATACAAGATCGGCAACGGTCAGACCGTTCCAGTAGGAGTGGTTGAAGAACCAGTAACCACCGCCACCATAGTTGACGAAAATCATAATGGTGATCGAGAGACCACGGAAGACGTCGAGCGACTTCATACGATCCTTCTTTGGGTCGTTCGACTCCAAGTGATGCAACTGGTATTCGAGTGACTCTGACTTTGACTTTTTGTAGTAGTGAACGGCGATCGGCCAGAGAATGGCGATACCCGCCGCAATTCCAAACGCCACCGCTATTGGAATGAATGGATTGATGGGATCCTTCAACTTGGCAACCTCGTGTATCATTGCCTTTGCATTGTGATCGAGAATCGCAGTGATCCTAATCTCATAGACACCATTCTCACCAAACTGATAAACCATTGAATCGGTCTGCAATATCTTTCCATTGTCATCATAAACTGTGAAATTAAATTTATATCCAAACTCTGTTGACAATGTAAAGAATTCTGTTGATTGACTATATAAAATATAAACAAAAAAAAAACAGGTTAATTTCACAACAATTAATTAATTTGAAGTTGCAAAAACCATTGCACAAATGTAATGTTTTTTTTTGTTTGTTTATGATTGATTTGGTTGGTTGGCTGATTTAGTTGGTTGATTTGGTTGATTTGGTTGATTGAATGATTGTACTTACTTTGTTAGTGAAACTAACTCTTGATATGCACAGTCATAACATGCATCGAATTGATACATTATTACTAGTGGAGATTGTTCACTGACTGTGAAGTTGGTTGTAACTCTGAGTAGACAGAGGTCATAGTCAAGTTTGGAGGTTGAGGGGATTGTGATATTATCTTTGACAACATAGGGAACCGATGCAATCTTTTGAGTATTAGAGACTACTCTCCTACCATCGATTCCCGATGTGAACATCGACAACGACACCAACAACACTATCAATAGTAGTTTAGTTATAGTAAACACTATTGAATTATATGTATTTGTCATTTATTAAAAGTTTGCTTTTCACTCACTCTCTTATAGTTTTTTTATTTCTCTAATGTATATAATAAACTAAATAATGATGATAAAATTTAAAGATAAAAACCAATTATTACTAATGCTATTATTATTATTATTATTATTACTGAATGATTGACCAATCAATTCATACAACAGAATTTTCAATTGCTTTTTAAATGATATTGAAAAAAAGAAAAAAATAGCAAATTAAATTTTTTAAAGGGGTGTGTCAAAAAACTTGGGGTGGATGGTGAGGAGTCGGAGTTTAAACAGGGTTTAGAAACTTTAATCAAATAGGTTACATTTAAATATTTGGATGGTTTATTTTGAAAAATAAAAATCTATTTTGTTGGTATTGAATTGAAATCCGAGATATCTGAAAAGAATATTATTTTAAAATTAAATAGAATTTGTTTTTTTTTTTAAAAAAAATTAGAAAAAAGATATGTTGACTTTTGAATGTATCTATCTAAAAATGTGATTGTTTATTATCAACTAATCACTTTAAAAAAGTCAAAGATGTCATGGGTCTAATAAACTTATTGGTAATTCTTTTCAAATATTATTATCAAGAACTTCTTTTGAAAAAAAAAAAGCTCAAAAAAAAAAAAAATCTTAAAAATAAAAAATAAAAATGGTTTAAGGTTTGGACGATCATTTTTTGACCATCCAAATTATTATTATATTTTGTAAAATTACACTCGTCGTTTTTTTTCTATTCTAAAAAAAGAAAAGAATAGAATCAAGACTATAAACATAAATCCAACAACAATAGTATTATTAGTATCAACTTAAAAAATAGTTTTAAGCAAAAAGTAGTCGAATTAAAAAAGTTTCTTCCTATTATTATTTGAAAGAAAAGAACATAATATAAAAATGAACATCTTCAAGTATGTACAATAAAATCAAAGTTTGCTATATATTGTAATGACGAATGAATGAAGAATACCAATATTATTATTATTATCATAAACACAAAATTATTCATTCACGTAAACTTTTGGCTTTTTTTTCCAATCTAGATTGAGTTTGTGTGTTTTTTTTTGATTTTATTTTGTTTTTTTTTTTTTTTATAAATTAATCAATCAAAAAAAAAAAAAAAAACAAAAAAAAAAAGTAGTATTTTTAATTTAATCAGTCAATCAATAAATCAATAGATCAAAACAAAAAAGATATATAAATAATATATCTAAAATATAAATAAAGAAACAAAAAAAGGAAAAAAAGAAACAATATTTATATATTATTTAAAACTCGATATTTTTTTTAGCTGCTGTTTCAAAAAAGAAAAAGAAAAAGAACAAACAACTAATATTTAATAATGTTTAGTAAAAAGAGTCAGACATTCAAACCAAAAAAGAATATTCAAGAGGGATCGAAGCAATATCAATTGAAACAATATGCAGAGGCAACACTTGGCAGTGGAAATCTGAGGTTGGCAGTCTCGTTGCCCGCCGGTGAAGATCTCAATGAGTGGCTGGCGGTCAATACAGTGGATTTCTTCAATCAGATCAATATGTTGTACGGTACGATCACAGAGTTTTGCACACCGTCAGAGTGTCCGGTGATGTCGGCCGGCAACAAATATGAATATCACTGGGCCGACGGAACCACCGTGAAGAAGGCCATCAAGGTGTCGGCACCAGAGTACGTCGACTACCTGATGACCTGGGTGCAATCGCAGCTCGACGACGAAACTATATTCCCTTCAAAGATCGGTGTCATGTTCCCAAAGAACTTCCAATCGATCGTCAAGACCATTTTCAAGCGTTTGTTCCGTGTCTACGCACACATCTATCACTCTCACTTCCAAAAGATCGTCAACCTCGGTGAGGAAGCTCATCTCAACACCTCTCTCAAACACTTTATCTTTTTCATTCAAGAGTTTAACTTGGTAGACAAGAAAGAATTAGGTCCTCTAGCTGAATTAATAGATACTTTAATTAAGAATTAAAATAGTTAGTTTATAATTAAAATAAAATAACTTAAAAATAATAATAACAACAAATCATCAACAATAATAATAATAATAATAATAACAACAATAGTAGTAATAATTAATAATAATAATAATAATAACAATAACAATGATATAATAGTATATAATATAGGGATTAGATTGTCAAAGTAGCAGTAGATAGATTCAAAAGTTTGGTTGATTACCCAATGTATCGATTAGGTAATCGATATTCGCAATGTATAATAATTATAATCTATAGTCTAGTCGCACAACTATCATACTTTTGGTAAAACCAACAAACCAGCAAACCAACCAACAAAACCAACAACAGTAAAACATATTTTGTATAAATAGAATGAGATATTATTTAAAGATATTCAATAAAAGAATTTTGTAAAGTCGAGTTAACTATAGTTAAACATAACAAACAAACAAAAAAAAAGAAAGCAAACAGCCATTATATATGTTATATTATATTTATTTAGCATATGGATTTGATCTTGTTGTATTTGATTTCTATATTGGTTTATTAGGAGATTGTACTAATTAGTAACGATCGATATTATATAACTAGCATATTATTATGTATGTTATGTTACAGTCTAGACACTTACAGTTATTTTGCTTTGATTTCTTGTCGATGGTGATTGTTGTAATTCATTTTTAAAATCGGTTTGATTTATCCAAAAACATAATCTACCATCTTCACCTGTTGTCATTATATGATCCTTCTGTTGTAAATGTATGAAATGATATGGTATTGTTGTTAGTGACTTATTAGTTGCATATGCATTGTTATTATTTTTATTATTATTATTATTATGTGAGGTGTTGATACAAACATCTTTATTCCATGTCATTGTTCTAATTAATTCTGTGTGTCCGTTTTGTAGTCTACCAATTGGTAGGACTTGATCGTCGGTCACTTGGAATAGTAAACCGGTACCAGAAAAATCACCACCAAACAAATAGAGATTGTTGCTAGGTTGATCGTAGTAGCATGTAATGAAATAATTTACTTCGAGTTGGTTGTTCTTCTCTGCCAAAATAGTTCTGAGATCACCGTATTCTCTCAGTCTTGTTCCTTCCTCCACACTCCAAATAGAGAGTCGCTCCGTTGTTGAAAGTGACCAAATCAACTGATTACTGGCACCAAAGAATCCAAACGTAGAAACAGAGTGTTCACCATTCATAACTATATTACAAATATTATTAATAATAAAGAAATAAATAATTAAAAGTTAGTTATATTTGTTTTTGAATCATCATCATCACCACCACTTTTCATCAAACTTACCATATAAAATTGCATCATCATCGTCTTGAATTGAAAGATCATAGAGATTGATTAGACCATCCATACTGCATGAAAACAGTTTGTTTGGTGCATTTGGATGGAACATAACACGAGTGACATCACCAGTATGACAATCGAAGCAACGAATCTGTTTCCATGTTTTTGTATCGAGAATGACTACTGTCAATCCAGCAGCCACTGCCATAATATCACCTGAAATATCAAAGGAGAATACTTCTTCTTTTTCTATATATATATTTATTGTATTAGAATGAGTATTAATATGAATCAAATATCAATATATATTTATTTGATTTTCAATATTATTATTATTATTAAGACATACGTTGAATACATTTAATTTGAGTTGCAGTATCACAATTGAATATTCTAATGGTACGATCTGATGAACATGTAATGAGGGTGCTGTCATCTATGAATTTCGCTTGGTGAATGGTGTCGGTGTGTCCTTTTAACACTGATATGATGCTGTGTGATGTCTGGTCGTAGAGCTTCACAATATTGTTGGATCCTACTGCTGCAATATACTTTGATGATCTACTATCACATTGTGTAATATAACATACGTCTTCATTCTCAATAGAATGAATAACTGATGATTGTAAATGATATTCCATTCGATAATGAATATATACTTATAAATAGATAAAGAAGAAAAAAATGATGAAAAAACGAATTAAAAAAAAATATTAAAATTTAATGTTAAATTAAAAAAAAACGAAGAAATTAACTTTTGATTTATTTTCGCATTCCGCTTTACAACATGTTATTAATCTCCATATATATATGTCAATATATTGACGATCAAATAATGATAATAATATTAGAATGTTTTTAATATAAATGAAAAGTAAAGTACTTTTATTTATTTATTTTTGAGTATTATTCTTTCAATTGATATTCAACTAAGAATTTGAACTCTTTCTTCTTTTTGAATTAGCTTGTTGCTGTTTCTTTGAAATGGTTTCGATCTCTTCGTTCAATCTTTGATTTAGATACTCTGTTTGTTTGAGGTTATTCTCTTGTTCGATGGTGGGGAGTGGTGGTAATCTAACGGATTTTCTTAACTCTTCCAATGAATCTTTGATGGGTGATGCCACTTCATGTAATTGATTGATATGTTTCTGTATTTTATTCTTTTCGCTATTTCTTTCCTTTATGATTCCATCAACCTTATTTTTTTTTTATTTTTGATTTTTAATAACCATTAGTTTTACTATGTATGAATGTATTTAAATCTCCAACTACTTCTACGATCATACATACATGATGAATATCATTTTTTATATCTTTAAGAATTGCTTCAAACTTGTTAAACTCTTGCACCAATAGATTTCTCTCTTTTAGTAAATCATTTAGTAGAAGATCTTCATTCCTTAGTGAAGCAGTTTCCTGTAAAATATTTGATTTGATTTTTTGATATTCTCTATCCTTTACATTTATACTATTCAAAATAGATAAGTTTTTCAAATATTTAACTTTATCATCATCATCACTATTATTATTACTATTACTATTATTATTACTACTATTAGTTGAATTAACTAAATTCTCAGAGTTGTTTTCATTGTTTACAGAAGATTCTTGTTCATTTGATTCACTGGAAATGACAGGTGTTGCAGTAGCATCAGTAGTCAATGTTGTAACTTTATCTATATTATCTTTATCTCTATCAACATGATTGATATTATCATTACTATTTTGACTGATCTCCATTTAAATTGTTTAATAAAAATGATCAAAATGATTTTTAAAAAAAATTAAAAAAAATTGTTTTTTGAAAAAACAAAAAACCGATCAATAATGACAATGAATGATCACTACCGTATATCATTGATTCTGTTTACTTGTGTATTTATTTATTAAATTAAAATATCAGCAATTACAGCTATGTAAGTTAAATAAACTATATAATAGATCATATTTTAATTACATCTACAAAGAAACTAATAAACGTTTACTTTTTATTAGTTAGATTCTAGAATTCAAAAAACAAAAAGACAATCAATCAAATTGATAAATACAATCTATTTAGAAAGATAGATAGAGAATTAATAGTTTATTAGTTAATTAGATCGATATTATAGATAAATAAATAGATAGACAGGATAGCAAAATGATTTCAAAGATTATGGATATTTTGGGTAGAAGTCAGAAGATTCTGAGAGGAACAGTAATCTCAAAGACTCATACAAAGACAGCAATGATCGAAGTTGTCAAGGTATTCTTTGACAGAAGTAAATATGCAAGTGTCACCAAGCAAAAGACTAAATATATGATTCACGACCCATCTGACGAGTGTATCGTTGGTGACTACGTCAACTTCACACCATGTAAACCAGTTTCAAAAAGAAAATCACACGTACTTGTAAAGATTGCAAAGAGACCACAAACAACTGAATTCATCCTCAAGAATCCACAATACACCGTCACCGCCAAAGAAATCAAAGAACAAAAGGAAAAAGACAAGATCAAATATACTTTTATTTCTGACCTCCAATAAATATAAATAAACAATCAATCAACATATATATATACATAAATTTAATTAAAATAATAATAGCTATATTTTAATAATTATTAAAAAGTTTAAAAGAAATGAAACGAAAAAGAAAAGAATTTATTATTCATTCAATACAAGCATCTAGATGGTTTATTTAAACAAGATGATCGAGATGGTTGATGATTATTAAAATTGAAGAAGGTTATTTTTAAATGGAAACTTTAAAATCTATCTATAGTTATTCAACATGTCAAAAACGTCACTTTTATCAATAACTCAAGGGTTGTTCTAGAAGATATTTTTATGATCATACACACATGTTGTTGCTGTTGTAGTTGTTTTACTTCTTAAATGTGAATAATCCAAATATGCATTGAAAATAGTATGATGACACTTGATTCAATAGAACCCCCATTTCACTAATTCACCACTTTGGTGAAACTTTGAAAATAAAAAAAATATCTATCGTTTGAAAAAAAAAAACCAATACCCAATAACATAAGTATCTCAAACAAAGAGACACTCATGAACATCTTTTTATTTATAATCTCATGATATGGACGTTTTCTAACTGATTGTTCAAAGTTTTTAATAATAAAATGTCGCCACATGAACGAATTGATGAATCAATATCCACATTACTCATCTTTTAATGATGACGAAACAAAAAGGAAAATGTGGAATATTTCTATGGAATTCTCTCTAAAAAAAACCTGGTATTGATACAGTTGCCGATTTATATTTAAAAGGTCAATAGATTTAAAAATTGGTATTGAAATGCAATCATATAATTAATTATTTATTGTTTGGTCAAATTTCTAATGTGGGGGTACGATTTACCTCAAGACCATCTTTGGTTGCAAAAAAATAGGACAATGAAAAAAAAACGAATAAAACCATACAATGACCTAAAATTAACGATGAATGTCGAGGATTGCATTGTTTTTTTACAATGGGATGATTTTTAATGAATTTTTTGAAAAAATAGATTTTTTTAAAAAAAAAAATTCATGAAATTTGATGCTTTTGGTCACCTTGAACGAGATCGTTAGGTTCTGAATTGTGTCACCAAACCATGGTTTGGTTGTTGTTTTTGTTGTTGGTTCTGAAGCAACAATGATGGAGGTATAACTATTAGATCATAGGGGGTAGAACCACTACAGAATGTGTGATAGTACCAAGAGTTTTTTTTTTTTTTTACTTCATCAAATATGTTTGCTATTTCTTTTTTGTTTTGATTTGTTTTTTTTTTAAAATTAGTTTTTTTTTTTTCATTCTTTACCAGAGATGGAATTTGAGTTCAAGTAGAATTGCGATGATAATAAGTATTTCCTTCCTTTACTTTCGCCGGATTTCTTTTTACTCCGGATACTCTCATCTATCCCTTCCTTCACACAAACAAAAACATTCATACACAAGCCTTTTTTAACATTTTGTGTTTGACACTCTCACTACACAACACTCACACACACACAAACACAGAGACCAAAACAACAACGATATTGTATGATATAGAATATCATCACACTTTTGGCGTCCATCCAACTTTATTAATACCAATCCTATCTTTATACCCACCAACTTTTAAAATATTAATAAATTTGTTTTTGATATTTTCAAATACTGTTTTATTTTTATTTTTAATTTAATCAACTTTTGACACCTTTGATTTAGTAATTGACACACCATACACAAGCAAAATCAAATTTACTTCCACCAGATAATTAATTAATTTCAAGATACAAAACCTATAACATCGATTCCACCTAGTTGGAATATTCTAAATAATTCAAATTGTAAGTTCTCAATCTACATTATCACTATATTTTTTTTGTTGTTAAACAAGTTTTCTAGATGTTTGTTTTATAAATTTTATCTGTGGGTCTGCGGATTCTATCCACAATTTAAGATCAAAAAAATAGATAGTAGTTTTGTTTGTATCACAGAGTAAATCATCAAACAAGTCAAATCATTGAAATGATTCAATTTGAACCCAAATTAATAATTAAGTGACAACAAATTAATACCAATTTTTAATATCGTAAGGGGCGGTATTATTATTATTTTTTATTAAATTTGCAAAAATCTCAAATGTGTGTGACATCTATTCCAAAACTAAATTTTGACACACCCTAAACAATCGACTTGTCTTTGTTTTTTTTTTCACACAAAAGGAAATATTAACAAAACCCCACCAAACAACTATTGTATCATCACGAATCATGACCACCACTATCAAAAAAAAAACTCTAGTTTTGAACGAATTTTAGTGGGATTTACAAACGACCTAAAATGCTGATCAAAAAAAAAACAAAAAACAAAAAACAAAAAAAATACAATTTTTTTTTTAAAAATGAATATTTTATTTAGGAGTTGGAGCCTCTAAATAATCAAAGGAATCAGGGTTACAGCCCACCCTTCTTAATTTATGAGTTTTTTCAAAAAGCAATACCAGCGAGAATTAATAGCAGTAATTCTGTATAATTAATACTAAAAGCACAACTAAACACACTCAATTCACTAACACACATAATAGACAACTTACTTATAAACGAAACAACATCAAGTTGAGTTCTATTCTATTTTTATTTATTTTAAACTAGTCGTTGTTTATCAAATCTTTATTAATTTATTTATTTATAAAAAGATATAATTCAGTCAGTCAGCCAAAATATTACATTTATCTATCTTCACTTCACTTCACTTCACTTCATCATAATCTAATCCAATTGGGACTCAGCTTAAGATCAGCTCAACAATTTAAAAGTGTAATAGTAGTAATAGTAGTAATATAATCAAAAGATAAATCAGATTGAGACAGTTTACAAACTTGTGAATGTTGAAGGTTAGTAGTCATATCATCTTCATAATGTTTATTCATCAAATAATCTCAATCCCCTTTGGATGTCTCATCAATCAAAATCAAAATTTGTAGTAGAGTGTGGTGTGCTGAAACAGCTTGAACTGCCTCTGACCGCAGTTGGAAATTAACAAATTTAATCCAAAACAAGTTTAAAATTCGTTGTAATTCAGAAACACACTCTCCAAAAACAACACACTCTGATCAGAGAAACTCTTTTATCTGTAGTATCAATCACCACATCGTATCACTGACCATAAGTCATCTCAGTTGCACCTTTACATTAACACACACCAGGTTTTATCCCAAAACTCAATTAATTATAACACACTGTTTTTTTTACCTTTTTTTTTATTAATTGCAATTTTTTTCATTCTTTTCCATTCACGATCGCACTAAATAGCATCAAGAAAACCAAATCACAACTCCACAGTTAGACAAGTGTAACAAAACTTTTTGTTCAGTTTTTATTTTTTTTTTTTTGTTTTTTTTAAACTAAGACAAAAGGTAAGAGGATTAGCACCCTTCTTCTAAAAAAAAAAAAAAAAGTGGTGAATTGATGATGGATCTCTGACTGAGTAATTTCAATAACATCGGATTTACAATCTCTTTGCTACACAAACATGTATAATCACTTTCCGTACACAAATTAAGTATTTTTTTATTTTTTTCTATTCACCTTTTTATTTTATTTTTTCTTTTCTATATTCTCTTTCTTTTCCCCTTATTCATAAATCATACTGGAATAATACAAAAAAAAAAAAGAGATATAAAATAAAACATTTAATATCAATTTAACATCTAAAACCAATTTTTGCACCACCCAAAAAAAAAATACATCACAATCATTTTCCAATTTCAAAATCTTCTTCTTTTTCTTCTTCTCATAAAATTAATTTTAGAATTGCAAAGATCTTAATTCTAAATTAGATTGTCTTTGCTGTGTTTGTTTTGAAAGGTCTTTCTTTGCACATCTTGAATTTCACTAAATATCTTTTTTGTTTTTGTTTTTTTTTTGTTTTTACTCAAACTTTTTTATATTTTTATATTTTTTGTGACCTCATCCACAAGCACACTCACACACACTTTTTTAATTATCTGGATTACAATTAACCATATATATAAATATACATATATTTTTACTCTTTAATAGTTCAATAGTCAAAAATCAAAAGAACTGCAGTTTATATAAAGTGGTGGATTGTTTAATCATCCAAAAATTTCATTTATAAATACAATACAATATGTCTAAGAGGACACCTCCTTCTTCGCCTTTGGAGAAGGACAGAGATTTGCCGCCACTTCAACCATTGATAAAGAAAGAACAGTTGTCTGGACTCGAAGGTTATAGAGTTGGAATTGAACGTGACGGATCGAGTATCAGCAACAGTAGTAGTAGTAGTAGTAGTAGTAATTCAACCAACGTTCCAACTAGAGTCAACACTGGAAATGGCCAAATTTCAAATATATTATCATCATCGCCATCGTCACCATCTTCAGAATCCTCCATCTCAACGCCATCGTCTTCACCACCAAACGAAGGAGGCAGCGACAAACAACGTATTAGCATAATGTCACCGACACTCTTAAACCAATTTGCAGATATTTCATCGAGTTTGCAACATCAACAAGAACACTCTCATAATCATCTTCATCATCATCACCATAATCATTCTTCGACATCGCAATGTTGTAGTATTAAAAGAAAAACACCAGAAACCAAATCTGAATTCAACAAAACAGATCACCCCATGGAGATGGAGGGACCACCATCGTCAACCATCACAACATCACCATCCAATCACATCAACAACAATAACACTACACTCGAAAGTATTTTAGAGGTTATGAATTCCACAATCGATTCACCCATTCCCCAAATTAAATTCCCAAGAGATCAGTTTTTTAATTTTATCTGTACATATAAAGGTAAAGAAACATCTTCATATATATATATATATATAGATTTCTTTCAATTCAGATCTAACCAATATTTTATTAATTATATAGGTTGTAGCCATCCAATTAGAAATAAATCATTGGATCAGCTCATTGTTCATATGAGAATCCATGAAGCACTAGGGCACGAGTTACTTGAAGACCTGCTGTTTAAAGATAGATACTCATCGTTCCAGGAAGACGAGAACCTGGAAGATCATATTTTACACGAGGCAATTGGATTTGCACAGGAATCGCTCGGTCGTTTCCAGAATATTTTTGCATACTATGACGAACAACCGTCTTCTCTGACAAGTAGTGGTGGCAACTTGGATACGTCACCACTTACATCTCCAAACAAAGATGCCAAAGAATTGAAACGTCAGCGTCGACCTGACTTGAGTGCCACTCCAGGTGGTCGTTCAAGCAGTGAGGAAGACGACAGCTTCGATATGTCCTCCAACAATTCCATGAGTATAGATTCACTCTCACTGAATAGTTCCAACGGAAGACTGTCAGTTCCTTCGCCCATTGGAAGTAACAGCAACTACAAATCGCCAACCAACCAGAACAATTCTTCATTCCTGCACCAACAATCTTCCGGCAGCTTTGGATCGTCGACGAGTAATGGATATCCAGTTCCTTCGCCATCTGGATCGGGCAGTCTGGAGTCGGACGACCTCGAAAAGTATGCCATTCCAACACGTTACAGTTCGCGTGGTGTCCAGCTCAGGGAACAAATGATAAAGTACGGACTTAAGCTGTTTCGTATGGACTCTGAGAATAAATATATCTGTTTTTTCCAGGGATGTAGTCTGCATATGATTACAAACTTTTCGCGTCATGTCGCCAAACACGAGAAAGTTGGTGATATTATTAAACCAGAGTTGTTTCACTTGAGTAATTTCTACCAACCTCAACAACAACAACAAATCATTCAACAACAAATCCAACAACAGCAACAGCAACAACAACAATTCCAACAAAAACAACAACAACAGCAACAGCAACAACAACATTTACTTCAACAACAACTGATACAACAGCAACAGCAGCAACAACAACATATACGTCAAATGATGCAGCAACAACAACAACAACAACAGCAACAACAAAAATTATCATTTACCACATCATCACCTACATATCCAATTTCAATGGCAGTAGCCACATCCAAAAAGAAAACAAAGTCTGAGGAATATTTACAATCTCAACCACCGATCAATGCGCAAAACCAGTGGTAGCAATAGCTTTTCATTAAAGATTTACAAGACTATGGTAATCATAGTCAGCAACAACAGCAACAACAACAACAACAACAACAACAGCCATCATTTATGAACCCAACCAATGAAATCGACAACAATTACTTCAAATCCAATCCATCACCTATCAATGGCAACAATCAAAGAAACACTTCAATGCAATTCCCATCATCGAATTCACTGTCAACAGTCAACAGTTTGCCAAACCACCCCTCAGCTGCAACCTCAAGCAAACACCTCTCAATTTCAGCACCAATTCCCCAACATCCATTTTTACCGAATCAAGCACAACAATCAAACATTGGCGCCAGTGGAAATCCATATAATTCTTCACCATTTTCACAGATCAGCAGTAACAACCACTTTAGTAACAGCAATACAAACATCGACACTCAAATGCTTCAAAGTAAATTCAATCAACTGGCTCGGCCTTCATCGCCTGTGCAAATGAAGTCACAGTCCATTTCAATTCCAAACAACTCTGTTTCATCCAACAACAACGATGATTCCGAAATCAATTGGGTTTTCAAAAAGAAAATGCCAAAATAACATGTTAACCACTACACAATCTAAATTATCATTAATTTTTTATTATTTTAACAATCAATCACAACTACCTCTGCAATAATACTACCGTTACCATTATTATTATTACAATATTATCGACATCATCAACACAAACTCACTCAACCAACCAATGAATATATCATTATGTAAAGATATAGAAGTTTCAAAAAAAGAAAACAAAATAATAACAATCTTATAATTTGTATTACTTCCCCTTACACTCTACTTTTTATTTTTATTACAAATGCTAGTATCAAATAATATATTCTCTAAATGGATAAACTGAAAAATGTATATAAAAATTATGTTTCCATTTAAAATTTGAAATAAAATAAAAGAAGTTACTCTTATTTATTTGTTAAAATATCCTTTAGTGACCCAAACCTCATCTTTAACTTGGTTTTTCGAGTTTTCAATAAATTGCCATTGGAGATGTGTTTCATTTGCGAAATTTATCACACCAAATCCATTCTTTTCAATTCGTGGTCCATCAGACCAAACAGGTACCTTCTCCCATCCTTTTACATTTCCACTTCTATTTCCTGCAGTTCCAATGATAAAATGTACAGTTGCTTTAGGGTTGTCATAAGTACCATGTACTTCTTGATTATAAACTGGTAAAGTACCTATTTTTAAAAGAAATATTAGAATAGTTTTAAAATAAATTTTTGTTATTTAATTTACTTACGTTCATAACTATGAGTGTGAGCTGATACAAAGATATCAACATTATATTTTCTAAACAGATGGTCATAGATTTTCGCATAGTATAAACGATTTTCGTCATGTGAACACCATTTCTTCGAGCTTGAACAATAAAGAGGACGATGAGCCCAAACAACTAGCCAACCATCTGGATTTTCGGCTCTGAAATGTTTCAGATCTTTTTCAATCCATTTGTATTGGTGAGATCCTTCCAAATGGTCATCTTCTGTAGAAAAAGAAACATAGTGGATTCCATTTATATTATAGGAATAACTGTTGTGTTTGCCTGGCATGTTGAAAGTTTGCTTATAGACCACACCCTTGGCGAAAGTATCATGATTTCCTGGACAGACCATGTAAGGGACATGTGATGAGATTGGGTTGATTTGGTTGAGGAAGCTATCCCAAGTAGATTGGTGTCCTTTCTTGGAGCTGTCAGCATAGGCAATATCACCAATATGAAGCACCATTGAATAGTTGTCGATATTCTGCATGATATTTTGAATCGTCTCTTCGTTTCCACCAGCATCTCCCATATCTCCATAGCACACTATACTATGTGGATTTACACTTCTTTGGTACACTAAGACTCCAGTTGTGAAATTGTAGGTTGGAGACCAAATATCTTGATTCTTATCACCCACTGCATAATAGTAGGTGGTGTAAGATTCCAGACCTCTTAAAACTCCTGTATTTACATAACCACTCCAACCCTTGTTAATTGAATAGGTATCTGAAGTACCCTCCACTCCAATGAAAATTTCATCGCCATTTGGTGTAAAATATTCTGTAGCAAACAATATAGAAGGGGTTTGGGAAATATCTACTGTGTTCCAAGTGATTCTAAGATCACCATCATTTCCAGTAAAGGAAAGTTTAACACTAGATGGATTTATGTCATTTCCACTAATGAAAATAAAAAGTAATGATACAAAAGTAATAACTAATTTTAACATCATCTGGTCTATTTGGTTTTTTTTAAAACTAATATCTTGAAATATAATTTGTGATTGTTTTATTTTAAAACACTGATCATTTTAAAAATATTTAAAATAAAACATATTAAACGATGAATTAAAGTAGTCTAAACAGTGTGGTCAGAAGATTGGTATAATATCTAGATTTTAATACTATTGTTTCTGGTTTGAGTATGAAAATTTAAGTGTCAAAAAAAAAAAAGTGATTTTTCAATACCAGGAGAAAATCTTTTCAGCCCAGCTTTATAATTTTTGGTCCAAAGATGGAAAAAAAATTCATTAGAATTGTTTTTTTGAAATATTAAAAACAAATTAATTTTTTTTAAAAGATTTAGTTATCTTTATAAGGAAATTTAGAATCATTCAATCAACTTTCTTTTTAAGTTTTAAAATGACGAAAGGATTTATTTATGTAGATAAAAATTTAATATTCCTTAGTATCTCTGATTTTCTAACTTTAAATTTGAATTTCGTAAAAAAATTAAATTAAATATTTATTTTGAACTTTTTACAAGCCCAAATTACAAATATTTTCTCAATAAAAGAAATTATTAGTTTATAACTATTTACTTTTTGGATTCTAAAAATACCATCGAAGAGTTATTTTTGAAGATAATCAATTACTTTTTTCTTACTCCGTATCACACCCCCATCTCATAACACATACCATCAAAAATTTTGAATGACTATAATCAGATATAATTCTTATGTATCTGTATTGAATTAAAAAATAAAATCAAATTATTGTATACATTATAATTAACCCATTATTTATGATTTGAATTTGACACTCTGGTTTATTGTTAACAACCATCATCGCTTACGGGTGTTGTTATGTATGATGTGATGATGTGTCACATAGTGAAAAATAGGGAATGGTAATCGGTATATCTCAAAGGGAAAAACTTTGAAGTAAAATTGGTAAAATAAATATAAATGTATAATAGTAGTAGTCTATATATTAAACTTCAAATTCAAAATGTTTTATATCTTAATGTCTAGTTTACAAATAATTGATGATGAGGTTTAAAAATAGTACTATCTCTGGCTATTTGTAGTGTTCTATTGTACTTTTACCATACTAAAACAACTCTGTTAATGGTAATAACCAATATTAACTTTGTTTTTAATATTACACACCAACACACAACACTAATTTACCCCAATACTCACCCCCAAACTATTATTACAACTTCCTATTAACTTAATATAATTTTAACTAAAATAGTAGTAATGAAATGACAACCACCTTGCTAAAACAACTGCAACCTTTACACTCTCCTACGGTTTGTTTTACATCTAACACTCAAAATTGTCGCACTAAACAAACAGAACCTGAATTCACAATAACAAAAAAGTAAATAAATATATATGTATATAATTAACCTCAAAATTCAACCAATCTATCCAATCAAATCTTTTTTCTATAAAAATAATATACCACAAGACATTGTTAACCCTACCCAACAACACTTCACAATAAATTTATTGATTAAACACCCCAAATCAGTGTGCTCACAAACAATCACACAAAAAGATATGGGTTTTACATCTTGATTTTTTAAATAAATAATATAATCATTCTCCAGTTAGTATTTGCTTCCTATAAATAAGTTGACGATTGCCAGTCTTTTTTGGTTTTTCTATTGTTGTTAAAAAACTAACTTCTTATTTTGTTAGTACTGACTCACCTATACATAGGAATCTATAGAATAAAATATTAATATTTTATCCTATACATTTCCCAAAACGATATTTATAAATATAAATCAAATCAAATTAAATCACATCAAAAATAGATTTTATTTATTATAGGTGTTTTAAAATCTGTTTTATTTATATCTACCAATCAATAAAATATTTATTTATATATAATTTTTATTTAACCATTGTCGAAACTTAACTTTATATATATATATCTATTTATTCAACATATAGATTGTACCATTATTAATACAAAAACAAAATGAAATTCTTAAATCTATTCAGTAATTCTAAAAAGAAGGAAATTCTTAAAGATGAATCGTGTGTATCCGAAACATCACCTTCAACCTCGCCAAAAAATATAAGTATAAAGCTGACGACCAGTCCGACCAACAATGGAGTCAATCATTTAAACAGCTCTGGATGTAATGTAAACTCTGGAATCTCACACAATAGACTGAGTAGCAGTTGCGGAAACCTCCAGAACATAATTCCACAGAAATCACCTCAATTAAGAAAAGCTAATACACTGGACAGTAGCCATTTCGATACGATGTGTAGAGATTACTTCCCAAAAGCAACCATTTCCAAGTCCTCGGGATATAAATTAAGAAAAGCTGCATCCTATTCCATAGACGATGAAGATGACGAAGAGAGAGTATGCACTTTTGGCATGGGAAGTGTTCTAGTTGGTTGTTTCGATAGCTATGCAAACCACAATGTATCACGATAAATTTAAATTAACTATTATAATAAAATACTTTTTAATATTTATGACACTAAAATTTAAAGATTATTTTGGATTATTTCTTATGAAATCTCTAACTTTTTCCAAAGTTTGGCCAAGCATATTTTTACCAGTGCCATCACCACCATCACCCCAATATGAATCATTCTTAGTGTGCTCAACTAGGGTTGCATCTTCAGTATCCAAAAGAACTGATTGTTTAGTTAAAAAGAAGTATAAGTTATCTATGAATAATATCATATTTGATACATATAGTATCTAAAGGTGTGATGTAACATACGCTTTTGAATATCTTTGTGTTGTTGGAATTTGGCAAGACAAACATCAAACATTACTTTATCTTTGATGTCCTCCCAGTCTTTTCTCAATGGATGTGCTCTTGAACGACCCATCGAAGCGCTGTCACCTGATAGTTTAATGAATATGATAGAACATTAATGTTTGGTCAAAGAGAGAGAGTTAATGATGAGATCAAACCTACCTGGTGTCTTTGCTTCTCTAATTGCATGATAGTAGTTGATATCTGTTGTTTCAAATTTTACAGCCTAATGATGAATCAAACAAAACTTTAAGGTTAATAAAGGCAGTAGAATAGAAAACAATGACCGATCGATAATGATATACTTGAAAATAGTGCTCGGATGTAGGCCAAACAAAACCTGCAAGATGGACTTTATGACGTGAAAAATTACTAAAACATCCAAACGAATCGCCAGCTCTATAAAAATTGATTACAACTTGTTTGTTGTCCATCTTATCGTTATTGATTTGAGTTGTGTCAGACATACTTTGAGTCACTAGTGAGAATTATACTTATTAACAATGAAATTTATTGTTTGAAAAAAACTATTTAAAAATACCAATTATAGGAAATAATTAAGATTCTTGAGAATTTTTTACAAACACTTTTTTTATTTTTTTAGTGGAAAAAATGTTGCAATATGTATCATAATAACGTATCTTGAAACTCTTTCACTATTTTCTGACATGATTGACACTGTTTTAATATTACCTCTAATGACGAAAATGTAATCGAATTGTTTTTGAATAGTTCGATATGATGTTGAAGTAAAAAAGATAGCAATGGTTGGTAGCAACTCTTGATTGTTTTAAGAATATGCTCTTTGATCTCGTGAATCCCATATTTATAGTTGTGATAGAAGAAATTGATTATTTCCACATGACCGCCGAAATCCAAAGCCAAGTCTATCTTTTTTCTCATAGCTTCATTTTGATGGTTTGTGAGATTCTCACTGAGAAACTCTGTTCTGTTCTGCATCAGGAAATCCAAGATCTCTAATTTGTTGCTACGAACTGCGTTCTCGAATGCTTTGAGAGTGCAACCTTCACTACGATTCTCATGCAGCCATCGCACAAGTTCAAAACTGTGGAAACAAGCACCATCCATCGCATCGGTAGTACATCCTTTATCTGTATTTTCGTGTAACCAAATCACCACTGAAAGATATCCTCTGCTAGCTGCGTTGTCTATTGCCTTGGAGGAACATCCTTCACTTCTATTTTCATGCATCCACTGTAGTATTTCTAGATCGCCCAGCATTGCAATATAATCCATAGTACCTGTCCAGCCAATATCGATGTTATCTATATTGTTTTTGTGAAGCCATTTCATCATCTCAAACCTACGTTGTGTCGCAGGGTAGTTCATAGTTAGCAAACCACCCAACCTGAATATATCGATGTTTCTACTTTTTAACCATTCGGCTATGTGGACATGACCACCCATCAATATATTATAAATAGCCTTTCGATCGATAATAGTATTCAAGTCGAGACTGAACCTATCTAATAACCATTGAATCATATCTGTTCGTCCACTCTTTTAAATTTCAATAATGTTAATAACTAACTAACAAACTGAATGTTATTGGTTATATTGACATACCTTGGCAGCAGCAATGATAGTCATTCCAAATATCTCGCTTAGAGGTCTATCACCTTTTTTGAAAGACTTTTGTACTTTACCCACAAGGAATTCGAATACTTGGAAGTTCTTTCCGTATGGTGATTGAAGCAATGCGAATTTATAGTTCCAGTTATTGTAAGGAAGTGTCATCAAGTAGTTTACGATATCCATTCTGCCTCGTGTTGCACTTCTTGTAAGCATGGAACTGAGATCGACTTTTTGTTCAAGATGATCTATCAAGAACTTTAGTATCTGCCGATTGTTACAATCGATGGCGGTAAACATTGTATCCTGGATCTCGTAGTCATAGGTGAAAACAATCTTATTCTTATTCTTCTCTTTGTATCGCCCGATAAAGTATTGCTCTAACTCAGCTTGACGGTTATAGAGAACCATAAACCTTGGTTTGAGCAATAGTTGATTCCAATTCAAACTCTCTAACTTTAAAAGTGAATGAATTGCTCTCAATTCTTTCAGTATTATATTCCTGATAATATTATTACTAAAAACGATTAGAAATAATTTTTTATCAAACATTTTCTGTAGAAATAATTAAAACACGTTATAATGATTAATGTTGTTTTTACTTTGAGTAAAGTGGTTGATATTATAAAAAATAATGTCTTGATTCATTTTCCAGATAATTAAAAAAATATCTAATATTTATTACTTTTTAATAAGAATTAAAGCCAAAACTAAAAAATATTGCTCAAAAAGTCATTAGAAGAAAGTCCTGAAAAGAATAAAGAAATGATATTTAAAGTAAAAAATAAATATGAATAAAGACAAATGAGATATGTAAAGTCATGAAAATAGTATATATTCTATTTTGGATATTTTTTTTTATAAAATTAAAAAAATTAGTTTCTATCTAAATTATTATTGTCTATAAATGAAATTTCAATATCAGTATGGATATCTAGATAAAGGGTGAATGCAAAAAAGTATGTTTGCTGAGCTGTTGGTTTTTATATTATTGTTATTATTTTAAATTGGTTTTTTTTGTTATTATTTGTTTTGTTCTTGGATCTTTTTTTTTCTTTGTAATAAATTTAATATTATTGCTATATTATTTTATATAAATAATTGTTCAATTGAATTGGTAAGTGAAGAGAAGAAACCGTTGGATCCGGATTTCTTTACTATGTAGATTCTGTTTAGTGTGTCATTGGTTGCGGATTTGTCTACCTCGATATCACATTCGTAGAGCGTAGAGTGACCGGCACCGTCTTGCATTGTGTTGTTGTTGGTGTTGTACGATGTGGATACTGTGCTTGACGTCGGGTATTTCAAACTGTATGATATCTGTGAGTGATTACTCTTCAGCTTCCACTCGATGCCAAGCTTTGTGAAGACTTTCTCGAGGTTGACAACAATCAGACTGCTGTCGATTCTGGTTTCCACTACCAATGTTGGTGTCGCTGGTGCACCACCACTGGAAGTCGTTGTCGTTGTTGTTGTTGTCGCTCCATTGGCGCCGCCGTTCATCATCGATGAAGAAGATTGGCTCTTGAGATTGTTGCTACTGCTTCCCTTAGAGAAGAAGTAAGAGAACCACGACTTCTTTGGACTGGAGCCGATGATTGGCGAGTTGGGTGTGGCCGACTCTTGCAGCTTGAGCTTACGAACCTTGGTGATTTCAATGGGTGACGATGTCTTTCCACGATGCGAAATAGTTGGGCTGGTCGCTGGGTTGGAGGTCGCTGTCATAGAGCCACGCCTCTGAATTGGCTCCTTGGGTGTGGAGGGTGGTGGAATTGCCTGACTCAGAGAGAGTGGAGGTACAATATTCTTGGGTGCAGTATTGCTTGGATAATGGATACTGTTTGGACTATTATTAATGTGTAGTGTTTGAATAGAAGGCAGCTTATCACTAACAGAGATGGAAAGAGGTGATGAACCATATGTATTTTGTTGTTGTTGTTGTTGTTGTTGTTGGTGATATTGTTGATGATGTTGTTGCTGTTGATGATGATGCTGTTGGAGTGCTTGTTTAAGTAATCCTTCTGATGATGATATCTGTTGTCTTGGTGATTGCTGTTGTTGTTGTGATGATGGCTGTTGTTGTGATGGCTGTTGTTGAGATATACTGTTATTGGAATTCGAGAGGTTGAGTGGAGGTGGTATTCCGTTTGGATGATGAGGTGATGGTGGATTGATGTCTGTTGCACTCTTTTGTTTTCCAAACATACGACGCAACGAGAGTTCTGATGCACTGTTTCTTCTCTTATCGTTGCCAGAGGCAGACTTTGCAATTTTAACTCCATACTTATTTCCTTCGGTATCATATTTCTTTCTTTCCTCAAGCAGTCTATAATATACAAGTATTTGTGATTTTCTAGAAAGAAAAGATTAGTTGATTTTGTCGAAATGAAATGAAAAGATTTGACTGTTTGTTTTTGATATCGAATAACATACTCATTACTAACTAAAGCTTTTTTAACTTCATCAACAGAACCCAGTCCCAGTACCATTAAACTTCTAAATATTTCATCGTCTAGAACAGAGAGATCGGGCAATGGCGTTGATACAATTTCATCGACTGGGATTGATTTCTGAATTTGAACTGTATTCGAGAGGAACCATGGATGCTTTTTGATATCCTTGATAGAAATTCTCTTCTTTGGATCGACAATTAACATTTTTGTTAATAAATCTTGTGCATCCTTGTGAATGTAAGCTGGCATAACAAAATCACCACTCTTTACTTTGCTCAATAATCTTCTAATATTATCATCATCGAATGGAAGTCGTCCCTAGAAAAAAATAAAAAGATAATGATAATTAGAATAAATCCTGTTTTCTTCTTCTTTTCTTTTGTAATGATATTATATATTTACAGTTAACAATGCATATAAAATAACACCACAACTCCAAACATCAGTCTTTTGTCCATCGTAATCAATTCCAGAAACCACTTCAGGACTGGCATAATGAGGTGAACCACAACTAGTGTGTAAAAGACTGTCTTTCTTTATAATCGAACCCATTCCAAAATCACAAATCTTTATCTTTTTGTCTCCGCTTAACAATAAATTCTCTGGTTTTAAATCTCTATGACTTCATATTTATATGTTAATTAAAAAAAAAAAATCAGTATTTCAAATTCCGACTGCTGTTGTTCTCTGACAAATATTTGACGATAATTACCATATATTTCTACTATGACAATAATCTAAACCACCTATAATTTGTTGGAAGAAAAACAAAGCTTCTCCACTTTCCAAACCACCTTTTTCCACTAGATAATCAAATAACTCTCCACCTTCTACATATTCTAAAATTAGGAATCTATCATAATTTAAGATGGTTAATTTAACTTTTAATTGGAAAATATTAATATACTCTTATCTTTTACATACAAATAATTTGAAGTTTCATATACTTCATACATCTTTAAGGCATTTGGATGGTCTATTAGTTTCATAAGTACAACCTCTCTCTCGATCTTTCTTCTCATAGATGGTTTATTATTGAGTAAATCTTTGTTGATAATTTTGATTCCAACTTTGAATCCAGTATCCTTATGAAATCCAAGCTTCACTTTGCCTGTTGTACCCTGACCCAGGGTTTTACCAATAATAAACGGACCAACACTATGTATTTCCATTCTTTTCTCTACCATATATTATATATAATATGAAAATAAATAAATAAATAAATAAGAAGCTATAAGTTTATATATATATAAGTGAAGGACTACAACAACAACTTTAAAAAAAAAAACAACAACAATTTCAAATATAATTTGACTGGATTGTTGTTAACTAATTAAGTTGTTTGTTGATAATGAACTGTTTGAATTCAATTCAATTCAATTCAATTCTTTCTACTATATAAGGTGCTTTCTACTTTTGTTTCAAACTGAACCAATCAATCAAATCTAGATGGATCTATCTTTTTTTTTTTTATTAATAGAAAGGTAAAATTAATATGGATTTCAAAAAGTAAGTTTCTTTAGTTGTCTATTGTGTGTTTTGTGTTTTGTGTTTGTTTGTGTGTATTGTGTGCTTGTTTTTAAATATAGTGATGATTAAAAGTGTGATAGAGATATGCGGTTTTGTGATTCGCTTTTGTGATTTGTGTGATATATAAAATTACATTTGTTTGTGTTAATTTTGGGTGTTTCAGATTTATGTTTGGTCAAACTCACCCAATTTTTAGTGTAGTTTATAACATATATTTGTTTTAAAAAGTACAAAAGTATAATAAACCAAAACCTGTGTAGAAGATAGAGGTGAGGTTGTTTGATTTATTAAAAAGAGACAATATTATGATTTTTAATTTTCTTTTTTAAATCTTAAAATTATCCTTCGTCTTTTTTTTAAAAAAAAAAATAATTTTTTTGTTTTTTATGGATCGTCTGACGATGAGTTTGATCGTTGGGTGCTTATTTACTTTTTCGATTATTATTTTAAGCAAAAAAAAAAAAAAAAAATGGTTTGGATTTGTTTGATTGACTCTGCAAAGAGTGAGAAGTGAAAAATGATTGATAGATCGGGTTTTTGATTTAAGCGCTAAAATATTGTGACAACTCTAAAATTTGAAAGTAATTACTTTTTTGTGATTTAATGGTCAAGCACTTGACTCAATATTCTACTCGACCACGTAGTATTATTATTATTTTTATTATGGAGGAACAAAGTGGCCGACTGATCGTGAATAGTGTTACAGATTGATTTGTTTTAAAATATAACTTTAAACATACATGTACTATCACAGTGTAATACTTATGTATAAAGATAATAAATGAACAAAACTGAACTAACTAAACAAAAATAATAATAACTTCAGCAATACAACTGCCAAAAATGTAATGTAACATCTCCCACTGTCTAATTCAATGACCAATCCGGCAAAAGAAACGAAAGTGTGTTGTGTGTTATAAAATCGCAAAAATAAAAAAATTCGATTGCGCTGCTGTGAATGAATGATGATGGTGGTGTTGTTGAATATATTTTTAGTGTTAGCAGTAACAATCATTAAAAGTGTATGATGGGGAGTGTATTCTGATTGAAATGCAATGAATCAATGATTTTCAATTGGTTGGCTGATGGCTTTGTTCGTTTGTTTTATAGTGATGAGGGATGGTGAATAGTTGGCTGATTATTATTATTGTTTGATAATTGAGGTGCTTAATTGTTTGTTTCTTCTTAAAAAATGTTATAATTAATTAATTACTTTTTATAATATTCAATCTCTTCAAGAAATAATTGATAATTAATTAAGTAAGTAAGACCTATATTTAATTCTCACTGGTTATCAAAGTGATGGTTGTTGGTTTCTATCCTACTGATGTGTGGGTGTGTGAGTGGGGAAATCAATCAGAAATATGATTGGCTCACTGGTGAACTTAATTTTGAAATTGAGTGTCAAAGAAAAGTGTGGTTGGTTGATGTGTGTTGTGTGATTTGATGCTTTCAACACCTCTGCTGTGGATTAGAGAGTGTGAGATATGAATGAGAGTGAGTGCGTTCGTGGCTTATAACAATAGATATGAATCTAAAAGTATAAGTAAATAGTAATGTAAATATATCTACTACCGACTCTGTCTGTTTGTCTAACCTAACTATTACTATCTTGCACCTGCAATTTGCAAAAACAAAACATAACAAAAAAAAAACTATGATATTACCACCACCAATCACCACCACCAAACACCTCTCAAAAAAAGTAACACCCTTTTTTGAATTGTGCATTTTTTTGATTAAATTTATTTTTTTTTACTTTTTTTTAGAAAACTAGTTTTTTTATGATCAAAAAGATGATGGTTGTTTTTAGATATTGGATTTGCACCACACACTTGCAAATAAAAATATCTTAGCAAGTTGTTTTTATATTAATTCGAAAATTTGGTTAATGTGAATGCGCGACATCTATCTCATTTTTTGTTTTTCGATTGGTGGGGGTCGAAGACCACTTCCAGAATTTTTGCACTTTGTGGACAAAAGAATGCAAAAACAAAAAAAAAAAGATATATTTGCTTAAAAAATAAAAACAAAAACATAACAAAAAAGAGATTCTATTGGTGGGAAACTATAAATACCTTCTATTCCAAATCGATTTAATAGTTTCTCTGAAAAACCTGTGGTCCTTGTTGTTTTATTGGTTCTACCTTTTGTCACTATTCTTTTACTTTTGATCTAATTATACTATAGATCTTTTTATTTTTATGATTGCAGAGTTGAGATTTTATTCAAGTTACTTTTTAAATAATCATTATATTATTAAAAATTTATAGAACTGAAATTGGATTGAACTTCCCTTCCTCTTAGTTTTTTTATCAACTTATTATTATTAAAACTTCACTTTGTTTTGTTTAAAATGTAATTGACAAGATTACCTTTCATGCAACAAAAACAAATACCTCCTAAGTTTGTATGATTGGAAAATGATTGATGATATGAATGAAATTTAAATGTTTGACAAAGTCCAAATGAATAAAATAAATATAAAATAACAAGTAAGTAAAGTAGAATTAATAAGAATTAGATTGAAAATCAAATTTTATCTTTTTACGGACTTGTATTAAACAAACCAACCCAATCAATACAACAATATATTAAATGAAAAAATAAAAAATAATAATAACAAATGTATAACTAATAGATAGATAATTTCATGAATTGGATAATCATGAATTTTGGTGTGGTAATATAGTGTTGATGGACTGAAAAATTGTGAGTAAGAGTGTGTGATTGTTAGTCAGTGTGTTATTGTTTGTGTTTGTTGGAAGTATAGCGAACGTTGTAAGTGTTTGGAGAATAGTGTGTTAGTAGTAGAGTTTTCTTTTCAAAAACAAAAAAAAGAAAAACAAAAGTAATATCGATTGATTGATTGGTTTATTTTGATTTATTGATTGTCTGATTTAATAAATTACTATATAAATGTGTTGGTGTGATTGATTTAATTTGTTTGATGTGAATAGGTAGAAAGTGAGTAATTTAATAATTATAGTGAGGTGGATTCTAGTCGACATTTATCCTTCATTCAAGTTTAATCTTGTTGATTTTTGTAACTACAATAATTTTCTAGGTTCTACAAGATTTTTACAACCCTACTTTTTCATTTAGAATGTATTTAGGATTTTAATTCAAAAAAAATAATAGTTAATAGATACCCACCCTCATATTCAAATACATATTAGATTAACCTTTGGTAATATATAGAAAATATCAACACATAAATGACTGCCTATTTAGGAACAAAAACAATTGTTTATAACTATCTTTTTTGTTTTTTCATAAAAAAAGTATACCAGAGTAAAATAACAATTTTATTCTTAATTAATTATATGTATATTAAATTATATATCAAGTGAGAGAGATAGTAATTTTTTAATTTATTGATAAATGGTGTAAATTAAATGTGTTTTATTTTTATTTATTTGTCAGTTTGATTTTGAAAAGTTTAATAGTTAATAATGTAGAGGATAGTTACTTCAAAAAAAAATAATAAATTAATTATTATTAAGTATGTAAAAAAAAAAAAAATGAAATATTTGAACAAAATATTGAATGATATTCAAAAGGTTGAATCTGATAATCAACACTTTTGTAATTACTTTAAGATAATCCATGTTTTGTCCATTAATTTAATTTTTATTTTTTCTATGAACAATTTTAAATATTAAAATATTATTAAACAAAATTTAAAAAATAAATTAAAGTTTTACTTTACAAAGCTTTCTACAAATTAATTGTCATTTTATCTCACACACCTCCAGCTCATCAAGTACATATTAAATATTCTATCCAATTTTTAAAAATTGATACCGGTATTATATAAATCAAATTCAACCATAATCTTCATCACTTTGATGAAATTGATCAATACATTTATCACAAATGAGAAATGAAATGATGTCACAGATTTGTGTTATTATTATGTTGTTAACAAAATCAATAATCATTATCATCATCTTGTGTCAGATTAGAATCGACAGACTTTTTTAATCAAGTGACACCTCACTATAATAAATAGATTTATTGTTTTAAAATAAAAAGTAACAATATTAAGTAGTTGAATTCAACCACAAAATTCTGTTGATTTCAAAAGTTGTAAATTCTTAAGTCTAAAGATGTTTTTCAAGAGTATCAGATGTTACTTTCTCTCTTCGACACATCAGTTATTTCCATTGATCCCAAACTACAATATTATCAAACTACCAAAAAGATGAAATCTATTAATTTCTTGGTAATTTATAAATTTTAAATATTTAATTTTGATATCTGTTAAGTTTTGTTTTGCACCGACTTTACTTGGCATTTCTCTCTCTTTCATTATTAATCATAATACTTAAATATTATTATTACTTACTTATTATTCTTAATTTGGTTATTATTGATTTGATTTGGAGTTTGATTACTTTATATATATTATATTATATATAATTAACTGATAAAATATATCTTTTTTTTTTTATTTCATCATTTATTTTCTTTTTTTTTTTTAGATTTATCATGAGTATGGATGATAGACTGGTCTACCACCATAGCCTCTGAATCCTCTTCCACCTCTCACGCCTCTTGCACCTCTTGCTCTTCCTCTTCCTCCTCTTCCACCTCTCATATAAGCTGGTAAGTTTGTTCTCTTTGCTGTTACTTTGATCTGACGATTATTAAAAGTTGTATCATTGAGTACCAATGCATTCTGTACTGATTCTCTATCTACAAATTCGACATAACAACATCTAAATTGATCGATTTGAATTTAATAGATTAGTATGTAAAGATGATAAATAAACATAGTATGATTTCTTCAAATTACATACCCTTTTGGATGTCCAGTTGTCTTATCATTTAAAATAGTGATTCTATTTACTGTACCACAAGACTGAAAGTATGCCAAGATGTCCTCTTGAGTCGATGTGTATTCTACATTACCTACATATACTGATCGAGCATCTATTTCCTCTTGATCTCCAAAGCCATTCGAGTCGACGCTATTCTGTAATTCATTCAACTTTTTAGTTTCCTCTTCCATTTCTTTATATCTTCTTTTCATTTCCTCTAATTCCTAAAGTGTTTATCATTTGGAATTTAACTTTTTTGTTAATATATATATATATATAGATTTGACACACAGAACGTTCAACCGATTTGGTTATTCATATTCATTAATAGAATTGTTGTTGTTACTACTACTATTGTTGAATGAATGATGATGAGCGATTGATTGAACTGAATGATTGAACTACATACAGGATCTATAGCTTCATCTGTATTTGTGGTTGCTTCCGATTCATTTTCAACTCCATTCTCTTCAATTTGATCTTCAAGTTGCTCGGTGCTTTGTTCGTCTATCTCTGTTGATTCTACTGGTGTATCCGACATCTTATATACTCTCCTAATCTAATGTACTATAAATAAACAGTAACAGCTCAAATCTAATAATTTAATAAATAAATATAAATAATAATTATACGAGTTTTTTTCGTTTTTCAAAATGCGATCAATTTTTTTGAAAAACAGCTTTCACACTTCATTTAATTTTTTTTTTTTTAACGGTCATCAATTAAACATTTCAAATTTTAGTGTGTGATTTATATAAGATAATTATTTTTTTTATTAGATAATTATTTTTTTATTTATATGTTTTTTAAATACTCTTTCTTGGGTTTTTTTTTTATTTATTTTTTTGAATCATTGTTTGGTTTAATTTTGAATATTTAAATATTTATAACTATTATTTCTTTTCTTTTCTCTTCTAATTTTTTTAGATAATGTTTACCGATTTACATTATGGTGAATTCAATTCCTTTGACTCTTTAAATCACCAAGCTCAGAGTATGTATTATTGTACAATTTTTGTTTTAATAAATGACCTTTCATTGATGAAACCAAAGGTAACATATTTTTTTTTGAAAAAAAAAAAAAAACACAAATAAAATAACATCACCACATCTATAGATTCACCCACCTCACATACACCCGATGATCAACAAAATTCTAAATTCGACTATTTTTTACCTAGTTGTTGTTAATTTTTTATTTATAAATTAATTGAACGGAAATAGCACAGAAAATAGGAAAGATCAATAATTAACATTCCTTTACTCTTTATAATAATATTACTTTTAAAATTTTTTGCAAATAAATAGTAGATTTATTAATTAATAATATTGTTATATTATAAATATTTTTAATATTGCAATATTCAGTTTTGTTTTGTTTTAATTTTATTGTTAATAAAATTAAGAATACACAAACACTTTTTGTGTAGAGAAATAAATTATACAAGGCAATAGCACACAATTCACTCAACAACAAACAACATCAGCAATAGCAACAGCAACAACAACAACAATCCTCATCATTTGAATTGATCCATTCTAACACTATCCTCATGAGTGATCCAATAAAAAGTTCAACAAGAGCATCATAACTGTATTAATATAATTGTATAATTACTTCTGCTACGACTTGGCTATTTCTTCAATCAAAAAATATTATATATTTCAATAGGATAAATAATAAATAAACAATTTCCATATTTGTACAGTGGTACACTTTTTCTTTTTCACTCCAATTGATTAAACCATTATCATATCACTGCCATCAATATCAGCAGAAATAAATCATTTCAACAACACAGTCCTATTACTATAGCTACCACCACCAATATCATTGTACATAGATAAATATATTCACACCACAATAGTAACTTCAATTTTTCACACCAAAAATAACTTTAATTTAAAAAATTAAATATTACATTCAAAAAAAAAAAAAGAATTTAAAATTAGAGATTGCAACGAATATAAACAATAATACAGTCAACATTGGAAAAATATACATAAATCAAACTTAATATATGTCAATTTTTATACATATATCATATATAATAGATAAAAAATCAAAAATTTGAAAATAAAGGAGAAAGTAAATTTAGATGTTTTTGTTTGATTTGATTTGGTTTGGATTGGTTCAATCAATATTGTTTTAAATTATCAGACCACTATTTATTATACATATATATTCATATATTATTTCATAAACCATTTTTAGTTATATATATCATAATGTCACCTTTATCTATAGTTAAATTATTAATACCATCAAAAAACAACCAAGATGTAACTAAAATTTCACAAAACCTAATTATTTGTACAGAACTATTGGAACAAAAGGGAAAACAATTAAAAGATGTTTTCCTAAAGTGTAAACAACTTCATAAAGATAAAAAATTGAAAAATAGTATGTATCATTCATTAGGAATATCTTCGGGAAACTACTACTTTCCCTCCATTTTTTTGAATTTTTTTTTGGTAAACAAATTAATAAATTATTGAAATAAATATAGTTGACTTTTCAAAGATCAATTGTAGTAGTTCACCTTATCAAGTTGCCAATGCAATTCGATTGATTCTAAAGGAATATGAACTGATAGATAGTGAAACATTTTCATGGCTATCGCTTTCACTCACCATAATGAATGACAAACTCTCACTGTTTGTCATGAGAACCATTCTTTGTTCTCTTCCAGTGCCAGTTTTCTCAATCATTGAACATCTGTTTGCTTTTCTCTTTCGATTCTCGATGCTGTCGGGCTCCTCAATTCATTCGATATCGGAGCGATTCGCCAAGTGGTTATATCACGACGGCGATATCACCAAGCAGATCACGAGAATATCAAACACCATCAGTGAACTCCTGAGAAACTACGATTCCTGTTTCAAACGATGCCCAACCACAGGTCGTCCCGTTTCCATAGCAACTATATTCTTCAATCCACAGTTCTCGCCCAGTCTGTCATTTGAGAGTCTCACAGACACCGAACTGGAAGACAACATCGGTGCTGCCTTCAAGGAGATTAAATCAGAGTCAATCGATATCACTATAGCCAACTATTTTTTGAAGCTCTGTATCTCCAATCAATCGAGAGCTGCCAATATATTTTCGAATTCTGAAAATCACGGAGAGCAAACCAATCATATGGATCTAGTAATTCGATTCCTCCAGAACACTTCAAGATTTGCTTATGATCCAGCCAACATCATCAGTGGTAGTACTGATAGTTTGAGTAGTTTAGAGAGTCTGGCCCAAAGTAGATCCAACAGCACCAGCAGTAATTGTAGTATTGGTTCAACTTTAGGAACAAAGTTTGATATTTTAGTTGGTATGTTAAATTTACTTGATAATTTAAATAGTTTATTTCCCTAATTAATTTAATTTAATTTTAATTTCTAATTAGATCGAAGAAGATTTAAATTGAAAATATCTATTGATTCTAAGGTTTCTTTGATTGTAAGAGAATGTATAAATCTATCATATCATATTGATGGCCATTGTCCGTTGGAAATGTTGGAAACAGCTGCACTAATGGTTGATGTCGTTACCGATGAACTTGGTAAACTGATTATTAATAATCTGATTGTAAAGGAAAGTGAATTACACCCAATATTTTCATCGATGGACCACAGAAACATTGGTTCGATTGCCAGAGAAATATCGGATAGAGTTCGATCCTTACCAACATACTTCGATAAGCTAAAGAAAGAAGCAAGTGATTTGGTAATGAATTTCTTGCAAGTGGAGAACAACGAAGCACTTCCCAAACTTTCCGCCATGCAAGAGGTACTCGAGAAGGTGTTGAACCACATCGGTGAGATCACCAAACTCTGGACACCAATAATAGATTTCGATCGTCAGAATCAACCATCCAATCATCTACATGCTGAAGTATCGACCGGTTATACCCTGATCGATTATGCCATAAGAGAGATCGAGCATACACTAGTGCAGAACGTCGGATCCAATCATCTCGTGAGTCTGTCGAAGCTGATGAAACAATTGTTGGAAATGTCGAAACTAAGGTTGGAGGAATTTGAAAGTCTGAATACTCCAGATCCCGATGATATCCTCTATAACGGACCTGTCCAGTCGCTTTGTGTTCGAGACAAGAAATTGATGGTTGCAAGTATTTTCTTGCAATTGGACGAACTGAAACAATATATTAAGCAAACCAGTCGAATTCTTCACCCAAGATCATCGGGTCAATTGATTGCCAGACATTCATACAGAACCAATCTTATGATATTACTTTTCTCTATGGTACCAAGCTATCGATCCTACCTAGGCGGTGTCCCAGTGTCAGGATCTAGCTTGAATTTAAATTTGGCAAACAAACGAGGTAAATCAGGTAGAGTTACAAGCGTAAATGTTCCAAGATTAAACACAAAGATCAAAAGCTTAGTTGATGGATTAAATAATTATTTAATACCTTCTTAAATAAAACAATGTATATATTTATATTTATAATGTAATTGAAATTATATTTATTTAATATTGATCAATCCATTTTTTTAGAAGTAAATAAATTGGATGTATTTCCAAGGTTGGTTATCGAATCAACACAATCAGTTGGTATGTAAATGGAGGTTACAAATACTTTCTTTTGATTTATATGTTCAAAAGTAATCATATTTATATTTCCGTACTGTGCGATGCATGGACATTTCAATTGCTTTGGCTTAGCAGTTCCATAGCTGATCGTGTCATAGTCGAATCCTGTCCAGCTGCTGGCTCTGCAAGCAATAGGATTAGCTTTACCATTTCCAAATTGATGGGGATTCTGTTTGTAGTGCTGAGCGTAGTGCATCCATGTTGTTTCTTTTTTCATTCCGTCTAATGATAGCTTTGCTAGACACTCTCTATTGGCAATGGCCAGCTCCAAGATCGATTTGTTTCTCATATCCCTGACCTTGACGATGAAACAGTCACCATAGACTATATTACCAATGGATTCTTCACCCAAATTACTTAGCTTTCTCATATTACAATTGTATTTAAGGCAAAAGTCATCGTCGTCACCGTATGATGGATTGAATGAGTACATTTTCAACAATACACCATGAATGATATCGTTTGTCGACAAATATTTATCGGTCTGTTTCTTCAATTTGTCAAACTCCTCCGTATTAAAATAAATATCAAGTACTAGACTTTCCAAAGGAGTTGAAGATGCTTGATCGTTTGCTGCTGTTGCATTCTTATAATAATATCCAAGTTCCTCTCCCAATGTTTTGAACTGTTCGATGGAATCCACTTGATAATCCTTTGAAACCAAGAAATCCAAACTAACAAGTTCAGGCTTCTTCAGTTTCATCTTATCCTTTCCATAGGTATAGATATGTGATTGATACTTTAGGAAATAAAAGATACTCGATTGATCAAAGTATGCATGATTGAAATAGTAGCCAATGAGGAAACCATCCTTTGCACGTGAAAGCTTGAATGAGACAATCGGTAGTCCATCAACGGTCGGAGCGAATCCAAACATTCTTTGATCGATATTCTTTGTTGGTAGATAATCGTTGATAGAAAAGACCGATTCGTTTAATCTCTCTTCGATCTGAAGTGTAACTACATTCTTACTGGTTGCAGGTGATGGATACTTTGCGATATTGTTATCAAGATCCAAATCTACAAACATAAAGTCACAATCTGCCAATGCTTCGCTCATTGCCTCTAGGAAACGGTCGACATCGACAGATTCACCTTCGAAATACATTCCACCTCTTGTGTAATATACAGCAAAAAAATACTCTATTCCATTTAACTTGTGTTCATAACTTTGACCCGAAGGTTTAAATGTAACAATCGAATCTTCTTTATTAAATGTAAAAAGTGTATTATCTAAAAATGATTTTAAATATTAATATGGAAATAAATAAATAAACCATTTATTTGTTCAAATACATACTTGTGTCCATTGTGATCGAATTTACTTTGGCAAAAGAAATTTTGAAAATGAACAAAAATCAAATTTTTTAAAAGATGAGAAATTTTAGGAAAAATCGCAGATTTGTCAATAAATACTGTATAAATTAGTAAATAGATTTAAATTGTTTGAAGAATTTAAAAAAGTAATTCTTTGTTCTACTTAAAAAAAATTGAAAGAGATTCCCTTTCTTTGAAGAGAAAAATTTACCGTCTAGATATAAAGAGATAAGATACAATTTGTATGATTGTTTTAACAATTCCAATCTTCCATTTCTAACAGCAAGATTCATTACCGCTTCTGTAACTCCAAAGGTTGTTATACGTAGTAGCATTTTCATAAGCTCCACACTACATTGTAAGCAGCATACTCAAGTGACTTGTAAGAGAATCCTTCCGATCTATTGGCAATTAACCAATTTACAATATCTAGTTACTCCATTTTATTGGCAGAGTCAAACGCTTGATTGGTACAACCTTCATTCCTATTTCGATGTAGAAATACCATCGTTTTGAAATGGCCATTGGCCGCGACAAGATCCATTGCGCGAAAGGTCGCTCCTTCAGTTCTATTAAAGAGTAAATATCTAACAATATCCAACCGCCCAAGTTTAGCAACCAGATCCAAAGCACTAGCATCAGTCGTACATGTAGTATTATTATTTGTCCATTTCAACAAATCCAAGTTGCATTCTCCGCCACTTCAACGATTGCTTTCGGCGAGTAGAAAAGATTCTTACCTATCGATGAAACCAATAGTTTAAATATGTCAAACCGATCCTTCCTTATGGCGAGCAGTATAAGATCTCTAGTGTTGGTAAGACCTAATTGAATACACTGTAGTACTAGATATTCGAGTACATGAAGATGTCCAGCTACCACTGCCTTCTATACATTGTTAGATAGCACTTTTCTCGGATCGACCAATTTGCATCGAGCCATTTGATGATCCCGATATTTCCTACAAAACGGCAGTATCAAATATATTATTTTTTGCCTCTAAATATGGTTTTGCTCCACTCAATTCAAATTTACCAGCCAAATACTTTAGTAGTTCTAAATTCTCTGAGAAAATAGATTCTACCATCGCAGTGTAGAACGACCAAGATTCTTAACATCATTTTAAGTTCTTAATTGAAGAGATATTTAGAGTATGATTATTATTATAAGATTTAGTATTGTTATTATTATTTATAACTAATTAACTTTATTTAAATAGATATCGAAAATCAAATTATGAAGAAAGCATATATATAAATCAAATATTTGAAGGTGATTTATCACAGACATCGGTGATTTTGATAAACAGGGAAATATCTAGTCAGTAAAGACACACAATGAAAAGTTTGTAAATATAATACTACCGGTCAAAGGCTTCATTTCTTTCGTTGAATGTCTATCAGCACAATATCGAGGTGTTTGGCAATAATTCTTTTGAGACTATCATCACGTTTGAGAATATGCCCGATACCTTTATCATATTATATATACAAAATTGTATCGAAAAATCAAAGTAGACACTTACAAATAAATCTATCGAAATAATTTTGTTTAATTTTCAAAGGATAGATTCTCCACTGTATATACTTACTTTTTTTGAAATGTAATATGTTTTTTGTAATCTCCTTTGGATCATGCATTAGCATTAGTAAATATTATCTAAAAGTAAATATATGGAATTCCAGGTTTAAAGATATAATTTAAGATTAATGGGATTAAATATTATTTTTTTGAATTAAAATAATGTAAAAATGGTGGAATATTTAAAAAACAAGATACCTTTGACTTTATTCTCATTTTTTTTTGAATCTAATCATTTTTTTTTTATTAACAAAAGTATTAAAGATCTACACCTAAATCTACATTCAAAGCTGGTGGATGACATGTACTATTTCCTGGTCTTTCACAAGTTAGTCCTTTATCATTCCATTCTAAATCAACTGCACATGGCATTACATATAACAGTCCTCCATCATTACATTGAATAAAAGTGTTACAATTATCTGGATCCGGTTTCATACAATGACGAGGACCGGGGCAACCTTTTGCTACTTCGTCACAATCACAACGAGGATCACATCCCTGAGAATTTACTAAAAGTTGAATTATTTAATTATAATTTTAAATTTTGGTTCATTAAAATGGTTAACTTTAAAAGTTGATTTCAATTTCAATATTTACCAAAAATAACTATTGTAAAAAATAAAAATAATAAAACTATCTTTGCTGTCATTTTTAAAAAGAAATATTTTTAGTAATCTAATTGATACTATTAAAGTGAAATACTTTAAAATGATTTAATCTAGAATGAATTATATTTATATTTGTGTAATTTCATTTTATCCTCCCCCAAAAAATGAAAAAATTTTGCGAGAATACAAAAAAAACCCAACCTATAAAATGAAAGAACACAAATATATAATATGAAGAGATCTAAATCGGTTGTAAATCAAAATAAATAAATCTTTTTGTATAGTAGGAAAAGTCATTTTTTAAAAACTTTTATTCCAAATTACAAAATGGTGACCCTTCAAATGAGAAATCCAAATATAAATATATCTTTTTGTGTTGTAAATAAAGTGAGTTTTTACCACTTTTATTCCAATTTACAAAAAGTAGCCCTGCAAATTGAATAAGACAATTATACACAACAATTTTTTTTTTGCTCCAATTGTGAAATCGATATGTAAAAAAAAAAAAGTGAAAAAAAAAATAAAAAAAATCGTCACACTATTTTTGATTTAATAAAAACCATTTCACATTTGGAGCAAAAAAAATTGGTCATAGATTGTTTATTGTTTAAATTGGTAATAGTCATTATAAAGTAATAATTTGTCAAATGTGAATCTGAGAATGATCTATGCGGGGATGAGGGCATGCAGGTTGAAATAGATAAGAGCGAACCAACTAAAGAGAATAAACTAAAGATAGAGAAAAATAAGTCTAAGAAAAGGAAAGCCAAAGAGTTAGAAACAATATTAATAGATGCACAAGAAAAATATGTTAATAGTGACTTACCTCCGTTTGAAAAAAGGGCAGTTCGATTTTGTCTTGAAAATAGTCTGTAGAATTGATCTGTAATGTGCATTCTATCTTGTTCAAACAACTTTTTGTAGTCTGCACTCGATCGATTCCTTGGTACCAAGTAAATACATGTCTCGTAATGACCAAGCAACCTCTCTTTGCCTGACATGGGTTTCTTGCAGTGTTTACAAGTATATATGGTTTTATCTTTGCCACTTCTGGATGGCTTCTCACAAGTGTGAATCCCACCCTCTTGAAATGACAACCTGACTGGCAATGATGGTTTGTCTTTTCGTGCTTCTCCACCCTGGATTTAAATTTATTCTCGTAAAGAGAAGGACAAAATGCATGCCTGCACTTCTGTTCAGTAAAGTTTTTAATCGTGTGTTGACGGACAAAAGAAGTCTCTCAGAGAACACTGCAACTTCCTGGATCTTCAAAGTACAGTTGATTGCAAAGTTTGAGAAATTCAAACAGCTAAACTTGTTTGAAAGTAAAGATGGAAAGGAGTGCTATGGAGTTTACATTGATCATATTAAAGAGGTACAGGAAATGGTAGCTAAATATTTGAAAGATAATCCTAAAGTAAGTAAACGGTGAAGATAAACATTGTATCAAATGTATGTATTCCTATTATTGTTTCTCTTGCGTCGCGGAAACGATTTGTACTGTGATACAACTAAGGATGGAGTCAATCATTGGATATTGGTAGTGTTGAACAAGACAAGCAACGACGACAAACAATACATGTTGAATTTATATTGTAGCTTGCATCTCGAAAGCTACAATATTATTAAAGACAATGTTAAGAAGTACTTACTTTTCTGAAGTGTATGGAGTGAAGAAATGGTGAAAAACTTTGTCAAACAAACAGATGGAGTCAGTTGTGGTGTATATACATGCTTGTTTATTGATAAAATAATAGATAAAAAAAACTGTTGTGTATATACTTTTTTAATTTGAAAGAATAAAAAATAAATTTATCACTTTTCATCTATTTCTTCTAATTTTATGTAATGATATTTTTTCCAAACATACTTAGAAACTTTCAAAAAAACAACTTCCAAATAGTTTATAAAGATAACCATTAACTGTGTAAAATTAAAGTATTGAATTATTATATAAATAAAAACAAACAATAAAGTATTTTATTTTCTTAAATAATAAAAGTAAAAATTCAAGATAAATAAATATTAGAGAAGCATGATCTTTACAATTATTTTGAAACAATTTTTTTTTATTCTTCATTTTATTTGTTTTTTGCTTTTGATTATTTTATTTAATATTCTGAAATTGTAAAGTTCCCTAACCCCATTGAATCTAATTTAATTGATATTCGGTTAGTATTACTTCCTTTACAATATATGACAATTGTAAATCTAGTTCTTCTTAATCTTAACAGGCTGGATCCATATCATCGAATTTTCCTTTTATTCCATAAAAGTATTCATTTGGAGAATGATTACCTCCTCTACTGATAGGGTTTGAACCAAACTTTGGTTTCTTTAAAGTTTGTTGGTGCAAAATTCTTTGCAACTGTATAAAATATATTAGAGATATTATGGAATTCATAGAAAGATTATTGTCAGAGAAAGATATAATAAAATATTTTAAATTCTATTAATTTAATATTTTTCTAAAGTTTTAATGACTTTACTAAAACAAACTATATCCTTGAAAAAGATAGATATAATAAAGGTTTATAACAATTTATATTATTATTTCTTTATTTCTTTATAACTAAAGATTGCAAAATTCCTTGGTGATATTGTATCTTTGAATATTGGAATAATATAGGAGTGCAGTTGTTGATTGGGGTATGTTGTTGAGTTATCATTGAGATAAAGCCATCTATCCATTATAATAATCGACTCTAGTATCGGTGCCAATAAACCTCTGAGAAGTAAGAATATATTGATCTTTTGTTGGTCTCCTTGGAATTCATTGTACGTCTGAATAATCTGTTCCAGAGGTGGAATATCACCTAATATCTTTGTATTCTCTTGTTGTTGCTGCTGCTGTTTAGATTGTTGTTGTGAATGCATTCTTTTCAGTGCAGTCTTGGCATATTGCTCAAAGGTCGATGCATTGGCACGCGATATACATCGAATCGTATAGTTGTGAGGACGGTCGTTATTGTATCGCCGCAGTGCAGTCTCGACGATGACACGATAGAAATGTACTCGCATACTATATTTAAATTCATCGACGTCGTCATTCGATATTCCATAGGAGGAGTCGGCAGCTTCGCAACTTAGCTTGAGAGCAGCAGGACCTAGAGCAACTCCAAACTTCTTTCCACAATCTGATTGATATCTATACAATGATTGGTTATCGTTATCATTATCGTTATTATTATTATCATCGCTTGTTGTTGTTGTTGTTGCTGATGTTGTAGGTATTCTGTAATAACAACAACCAACATCAACTATACTATTGATTCGATTGCATTGTACATAGTTTGAGAGCATAGTGGATGCCAACGCGCCACATGTATGTAAACCAATCATCATGATAGATTCGTATCTCTTTGAGGCATCGTGCTTCACCAGCAGATCAATGAAATCGTCGTTCTTCATATCTGGCGATATCATAGCAACACACATATTCGGTCCTGAAACATCGATTGTCTCCAACAACTTCTTTCTCTTTTCCGCCAGCTCTTGTTTCTTTTGTTTTGCCAGTTTACTTTGTTCCTCTTCGCTTAGCTTCTTTTTATTCTTTTTTGGTAGTTCTTCTTCTTGTTTTTGCTCTTGTCCTTGTTCTTCTTCTTCTTGTTGTTGTTGCTGTTGTTGTTGTTGTTGTTGTTGTTGTTGTTGTTGTTGTTGTTGTTTCTGTTTAGCTGGTTGTTTCTCCATCTTTAATAGTATTGATACTCTTTCCTTTTCTATTTGATTTTGTCTTTTGATTGCACCGTCAATGAATGACTCTGAGCAATCAACAGCACTAAGACTGTAGTTGTATTGATGTGAGAGTACCTGTGTGAGATAACCTTCGCCAGAACCGATATCGACGATTTCATCGGGTTTCAAAACGGTTGCAATATCATTGATAATCTCTGACATTCTTTGTATCTCGTGTATCTTCTTGTCGGACATCTTCAACTTGAGCGAAGGCAATGAGAACGGCTGCATCTTCCATTGATCGTCGGGTCGTCTCACCGACTTTGGCATCCAGAGTGACACGGCATCATTGATAAACTCTCTCAACGACAGTGGCCAATTCTCTTTACACACAGCACCGGTGGTGAATCGCAAACACTCGGTATCATTCATTGAGAGCAACGCCTCTTCCCATTCAGTGGGGACCATCGACCAAACATTCTTCAAATAGAAATCTATAGTTCTCTCACTATACAACCATTTATATTTATCAACGAATAAACATAATTCTTTGAAATATATTTCTTCTAAACTATCAACATTTTCATTACAACCATTACTACTATTATTATTATTACTATTCTTAAATTTATTTGGAGTATTCCATTTTAGAGTGTTATCACCACCCAAATACTCTCTTATTAATTGCTCCATTTTGCAAGCAAAAAATGAAAAAAAAATTAAAACCACACAGATGTTTGTAAACAACTTTAACGACTTTTGTCAGAAATTAACACCTTTTTTGTTTTATTTTTTTAATTTTGTTTTTACAACAAAGAGGTGCCCATATAATATTTTTTCAAAGAAGTTGGGGAAAAAAAAACAAAAGGTATGATAAATCAATCATACTTACCAATACCTACACAACAAAATATCTGTAACAATAATAATATATTATATAATAGTATGGATGATATTACTACTACAAAAACAAGTAACAATAATAATAATAACAATGAAACAAATACCGATATTATAAATAACAATGGATTTGATCATTCCTTTATTGTACATAATTGGAAATTAAAAGTATTTACAACACTTGTATGTATTATATTATATTATATTATACTATATCTTTGTTTAAACTATAATAACTATATTAATATTTATATATATATATTAGACATTTTGTGATCATTGTGGGGGATTGATATTCTCTTTGATGTGTCAACAAGGATATCAATGTCAGACATGCAATTTCAGTTCACATTCAAAGTGTGCATCGTTGGTTACTTCAAAGTGTCGCGACGATCAGAATGATAACGATGATCATGGGATGCTACACTCACCGGAGATCGATAGAAAAGCACTACACACTAAACCAGCATCACACAGATTCCATGTGGCTTCTAAATCGATTCGAAAGTTCTGTAACTACTGTAGAGACACTACATTCACTATTAGCAATCAGTGCTATGCTTGCAGTGACTGTAGGTACGTTGCACACGACGTCTGTCGTGAGAAGGCACCGCACAACTGCAGAGTGACCTATCATCGCACCATCCAGTGTGACACGACCACCAATCTCTCGGCGGATGGCGTGCGATACGACCGACACCACTGGATCGAAGGCAATCTCAAAGAGATCAAACCGTGTCTGCACTGCAAGCAGAAGGTGGACGTTGCGTTCTCGCTGGCGCACTACCGTTGCGCTTGGTGTCACCAACATGCACACAGCGAATGCGCTGACAAACACTCGATTCACTGTGATTTCGGTGAGTTGGCAGACATGATACTTCCACCATCCTGTGTCTCATTACTTCCTTCTTCCAACAACAACAACAACAACAACAATAATAATAATAATGAAGAAGATATTGGTGCAAGTACAACTCACACTAGCAATAACAACAAACAGAATTTAGTAAATTGGAGATTGGAATCACCTATTCCTTCTAAACTATTGATGATATTCATCAACTCAAAGAGTGGTGGTCAAATGGGAACTAAATTCCTCAAGAAATTCTCGTCGATTGTCAACCCATTGCAAATTATCGATTTAATACACCATGGTCCCGATCATGGAGTACAAATCATACAACGATACCTCGAAGAGAATCCAGGTGATGTAGAAAGATTTAGATTACTTGTGTGTGGTGGTGATGGAACCGTTGGTTGGGTACTCCAGATTCTCAAGAAATACAACCTTCCACCCATTCCAATCGCCATCATTCCACTTGGCACTGGAAACGACATGTCCAGATCACTTGGCTGGGGACCAGGTTACAACAATGAAAATCTAAAACTAATTTTAAAATCAATATCTGAAGCGAAACTAACTCATTTAGATACGTAAGTTTTAATACTTTTTGATAATAATAATAATATGAAATGGAAATATGACTAATTTTGCTTTAATCTCTTTTTTTATAAAGATTCACTGTAAATATTAAACAAGATATGAAAGGAATCAATACAATTGTAATGAATAATTATTTTAGTATTGGTTTAGATGCGAATATTGCTTTGGGTTTCCACGAAGCAAGGAATGCAAATCCACATCTATTCACTGGAAGAACTATTAATAAGATTTGGTATGGTAAGATCGGTTTGGAGGAATTTGTTACGCGAAGTTTCCCTTCGATGTCTGAGATCTTGGAGATTACCATCGATGGCCAACCACTGAAGCTGGAGAAATCGATCGAAGGAATCATGATCATCAATGTAAATAACTATGCCGGTGGTGTTCGATTGTGGAAGAAATCATCCAGTAAATTCAAAGCTCAAAAGATTGACGATGGCGTGCTCGAGTTGGTTGGTGTCACTGGTGTGCCGCACTTGGGTTCGATCATCAGTGGCGTAGCTTCACCACTGAAATTGGCACAGGGCTCGCATATCCTCATCAAACATAGAACCAAGAAGCAACCGACTACCGCCGTTCAGGTTGACGGTGAACCATTTAGCGTGGAGTCCTGCGAGATTGAAATTAAATTCGAAAGAAAGGTACTGATGTTGGCACAAAAAGATTACAAAACGAAATCATCAGAGTTTGATCCAGTTTTAATTCCAAACGTTGGAATATCGACGTCTCCAAACACCATCTCCAATATATCATCATCAACAACAACAACAGCAACAACTACAACAACAAATACTACCTTTTTACCATCACCAGACATTTTAAATACACCTTCATCAGTAATGACATCTCCTGAAACAACGACAATTACAACAACAGAGACAGAGACATCACCAACAAACACAAACGAAAATGAAAACAAAGAGAAAATGGAAATTATCAAAATAACGAATTCTGATGATGACGAAATGGATGGAACTCAATTAAACTAGTTAGTTACAAATCAATTTAAATATTTAATTATAACAGATGTAATTTTAAAATAGAGAAATAAACTTAAAGATCCTTTTTTTTGTTTTGATGTAATATATATAATAAGATGATGTTTTTTGTTATATTTTTTTATTATGTTGGTTGGGTGACGATGAGATGATGTTTGTTGATGTTGTTATTTGTTATTGCTAAATTTAGTTGATTCTTAGCTTATGCAGTGTTGTTGGAGCTTGTGTTGTCAATGTATAAAACGTCTTGTTGTTGTTGGATAGGGAAAAATCTTGTGTTGTTGTTGGTTGGGGAATTTGATTTATGAAATCATACGGGGGATCGGAAAGTCAGGCTTGGGTTTAAATGTGTTGTGTGAGTTGTTGTTGTTGTTGTCGTATATTAGTTTAGGCTTTCCTGGTATGTAAAGATATTATACAGGGCACTATCTGATTATTCATTGACAGCATGTCTACCGCGTGCTAGAGGAGAAAAGAAATAAGAAAATGTGGTTAAGGGGATTATTTTGTTATGCAATTGATGGGTTAGGGTTTGGTTTTGAAGAAATACACAACAAGATTATTGTTGGTATTTTTCTTTGTTTAAAAGGATATTATATCTGTTTTCTGGGACTTGGATTCCGAGTTTACCAAAGAATTGGTTTCTAAGGTGCTCTGGCGACTTTGGTTCGATCAAAGGTCTGCGTAATGGACCTGCTGGTAATACCTATAAATAAATAAGTAGATAGATAATAAATTTGTAGTAAAAGAGAAGAAATAGTTGTATTAATATACATAGGTTATTTTATAGAAAATACAAAAGAAAGTGTTTGTTGTTGTTGTTTTGTTACTTACTTCAACACCGGCTGGACCTAAACCTGGAATAACTTTAACCTCTCCATCCTCACCGGATTGTTTGGCCTTGATCATAGAACCTATACGATATCCAACAAGACCTAGCAAAATAATAATAAGACCTGCAACTGACAGACCAGAGAAAGCTTGGTAGATGGAAACTGGGACGATGAATTTGAGAGAGAAAACAATGTTAGTCAATGGGAGACGAAGAGTGTTGGCGATCGAGTAGACGGTGGCACCGGCATGCTTGATAACCAAAAGAATGAAAACGTTGTAGACAATGTTGATTGTCATGTAAATGATGATGATGATGTAGGCGTTGTGACAGTTGTCGCATGGGAAGTCGGTGGTTGGCAAATCGCAGGTGTTGTTGGAGCTGGCCATGGTGATGGTGTTGGTTCCGGCGAGACACTCGGCACCGTCACGGAGCGATGGAATGATGTCCTTGAACTTGATACCTCCTGGTGGTGGCAACCAATTGTTGATGGGGAAGAGGAAGGTACCGACGATACCCTGGAACAAGGAATCGTAGAACTGAAGGTACCAGACGTCCATGTCCTGTACCGATTGGAAACCGATGTCCTTGTAGATGTTGGAGAGCGCAAATGGAATCATAGAGATCAAATAGAACAAGTTCCAGAAGACCTTGTTGTTGGCGTCGGATTTACCGGTGAGTGATGGAATCAACGATACAACGACACCAGCAATAATAACCAAAGCACCAGTGACCTGAATCCACGAGTATCTCATCTTCAAAAAGACGAGCGATGATAACATTGTGAATGGAATGATTGCTTGATTCAACAATTGTTGTAATGGACCTGATGTTGAAATACCACCAATAACTACAAAATAACCAGTGACTGCATCCAAAGCACCCTGTTGTTATTATTATTTTATTAATGATCATATTCGATTTAGTCAATCATCATACTCTAACAACAAAACAATAATAATAATAATAATAATAATAACTGATTTACTTACCATAATTAAGAACTTATACTTTGGGAAATCACGTGTTTCTTGTGGAATATCGTTAGTGAACATAATTTTATATGCAACTACGGCACCAAAAATTGGAATGAAACCATAGTTTGTCAATTGACTATTATTTAAATAGAATGTTAGTTAATAGATGTTCAATTTGTTATTCGTTTGATTTGATTAGATTTGATTCGATTTGATTTGTTGTTGTTGTTGTTTGGAATTGATTTGTATTGATTTGATAAATGGATTGTTTGTTTGTTTTGTTTTGTTTCAACAACACATACTTTAAGAAGAAACCATAATTTTGGAAAGAATTCATAGTCAACTTTAGCAAAATACTGTTAATTACACCAGAGATGACGTAACAAACAGAGTAGATGAGTACGGTCAACATTTCCTTCTTGAGCATTGATCTACCAAATGATCTCAACTTTTCCTTCCAACCAGATTCTTGTGGTTGGTCGATACCTATTTCACTCTCCTCATCTTGGAGAAGAGGTTGTTTCTCTGATTTTCCCATTACTTGTAATAATAAAATTTACTTTTTGATTTGATTGATTTGATTTAAAATGTTTACAAATATGAATACAGAGATCTTATTATAATTACTATTATTATTATTAATTATTATTTATAATTATATTAAATAAATATATTTAAAAGGCGCAAATAAAAAAAATAAATAAATATATAATATCTTTTTTTTTTTTTGTTTTTTTTGTTGATTTTTTTTTCTTTGACTCTCGAGAGTTTTGTTTGTTTGTTTGTTTGTTTGATTACAGAAAGAAAGAAAGAAGTGATTATAGTAGCTGTTGTTCGTATTGAATATAAATATTATAAATAAAACTAAACTAAACTGACTAAAAACACTATTTGATTATTTCTTCTATGAATGACAGACAACTCTAAATAATGACTCTAATTCCCAATCAAATGTAATAAAAACAAAAAAAAAACCTGTTTATTTTGACTTTGACGTTTTTGATGCTTTATTTTTTTATAAAAAAAATCAAAAATCAAAAAATTGTTTTTTTTTATTATTTTTTTTTTTTAATTATTTTGTTGTTTTTTTTACAATATGATTAGATTATCTGATTGGTCACTATTTATTTATTTATAAAATAATATTTGGAAAATGGATAAATAGAGTGTAGATAAATAAATATTTATAAAAATAAATGGGAATGAATAGTAATATTATCTAGATATCAAAAAAATACTAAAAAAAAAATTAAATATTTGAAAAATAATGTGAAACGAAAAATATAAACCAAAAGGTTTTTTTGAATTATAAAAAGAATTTTCTAATGTTGTGTGTGGAAGCACAGAACTTTTTTTCAGGCTATGATTTTTTGCTGCTGTTCTATGTGATGCTTCTTTCTTTTTATTGTTTATTTTTTTAATGTGTATTATTTTTATCACTATTATTATATTATTATTTTAAAATATAAGACTAATCTTTGATTTGAAATTATAAATTGATCAACTAGTTAATTATTTTTTTTTAAATTTAAATTTAAATTTGGAATACCAATTTGAAAAAAAAAACATGATTGTGGTGAATCAATGGTTTCAAAACCTGTTTGACCATTTAAGATTCTGGGGCAATTAATATTTACCACTGTCAACCGTCAACATTCATAAATGAGTTCTCTGATTGACTGGCATTAAAAATTATTTTCAACCAGTCATATATCAATATAGAACAGAGATTTCTTTTACACTTTTGGAAAGTTAAGTGGTAACAATGTTTTATTTTTTAATTTAAAACAACTTTGATTCATTTAGATAAGATTTGATTAAAATGATGATGCTCTCCACTAGCGATTAAATTTAATATTGACCAACATTTCATATACTTTTAGATAAATAGAATAGGATGGTCAGTTTTTACTTATTAATTTTAATCAGATTAATAGTTACAGATATTTTTTACAAAAACAAAAAAACAAAACTATGATTTCTTTTTATCTCAAAATTCAGAGAGTTTCGCGAAAAAATATTCAAACTATAATTAATTTATCTGACCATTTACCAGGCAAGACAAGGAGACATCATTAATTAAAGGTTCAACAACAAATTGTTGATCACGAAAGTGTTGCTGCTTGCTTGTTTTTTCACACCTTGTGATAAGTGAAATTTCAGGTTGAAGGTGTGACATTAAATAGTACATGATTTATTTCACAAAAATTAAATACATTCATTGTTACTCATATTCTTGGGGTTTGTGATGGTTCTTAATAACCAAGACAAAAATTAATAAAACAAATTGATCAAATTATTAAAAAAAAAAAAAAATTAATTCAAAAAAAAAAATTAAATAAATTCAAAAGGCAAAAAAAAAAAAACCAAATTTATTTATTTAATTTTAGTGCAAAAATTTTTTGTATATATTTCCTGAAGATAGTAATTAAACATAATCAACAACAACAACAACAACAATACCTACTCAACCCTATAAGATTAAGTTTTTAATTTTTAATTTATTATTATTATACAACTTTATTTTATTTATTTATTGTGTTAGTTTTTTAAAAAAGTATTTATTTTTAAAAGTACTGTTATTTTATAATTAAGATATTATTATTGTGTGCATATAGAAATAAAGTAGATATTGATAGAGATAGATAGATAGATAGATAGATAGTAGTAAAGCAAAAAAAGATGTCAATGTTTACTTCAATACAACAATCGATTCATAAAGCATATGTGAAGACTGTTGAGAAGGTGACACCAACACTTTCAACATCAAAGTTTTTAGATGAAGGTGTTTTGACACCAGAGGAATTTGTACAGGCAGGTGATCTTTTGACTCATATGTGTCCCACTTGGACTTGGTATGTCATATCATATAACATTTAACCAACATCAATCGAATCTAACTAACTAATACTTTAATAATATTAGGGAATCAGGTGATCCATCAAGAAATGTTAATTTTTTACCAAAAGAAAAGCAGTTTCTTTTAACTAGAAATGGTAAGTTTTAAAAACAACATATAATCAAATTTGATTGTTTGTTAGTGTTAATTAATAGATATTAACTTTCAATATAATATATATATATATATATATATATAAATAGTACCATGTTACTCTAGAGTTAAATCATTGGAGAATGAATCTAGAGCATCTATTTCAGATATATTACAGTTGGAGGGAGAGGACGATGAAGAATGGGTTGCACCAAAATCTGGTAATCCAGATGGAGTCATCGAACAAGATTTACAAAAGGATATGTCGGGACTCAAAGTATCACAATCAAACAACACTACAACCACAACCACCACAAAACCAACCACTATAGATAATACAAAGCCAACTTCTGACGATGACGATGAAGATGAAGACGGTGACATTCCAGATATGGAGGATTTCCAAGATGATAATTTAGTTGAAGATGATCCCGTAAGTTTGTTTTGCTTCTCAATCATCATCACCACCACCACATCATCAAATATCATATTAACATAGATAATTATTTTGTTTTATAGTCTACTTTGAAATCAAATCAACAAACCAATAACAACAATAACAATAATAATAATAGTAATAATAATGTATCTTTAGAAAGTTCAACTGGCAATGCAAATAGCAATAGCAGTGTCGGTGATGATGATAATATTCTGCGTACTCGTACCTATGACATCAGTATTACATATGATAAGTACTATCAGACTCCAAGAGTATGGTTATTTGGTTACGATGAAAATAGAAAGCCATTAAAGGTATGTGTGTGATTTCGAATGAAATGAAATTGTTTTTATAATGATGATGATATTAACTTAACTTTATATTTATTATTATTTTTAGCCAGAGGAAATATTTGAAGATATCTCTGAGGATCATGCTCACAAGACAGTGACAATTGATTCACATCCACATCTTGGTATCAGTTTCGCCTATATTCATCCATGCAGACATGCCTCTGTCATGAAAAAGTTGATCACCAAACAATCTGAAAACGGAAAAGAACCAAGAGTCGATCAATATTTATTCTTGTTCCTTAAATTTATCTCTGTTGTCATCCCAACCATCGAATATGATTTCACTTTGGAGTTTGATACATAATTGAACGGCATTACCACCTCATCATCCCACCAGTGATGGATGCCAACAATAAATATAATTTTATATAAAAATTCAAAAAAACTATCATAACAACAAAAACAAACAAACAAACAAACAACTAAATAAATAAAAAATAAAAAAAGATTAATAAATAAATCTTTGTTTGTTTTTTAATTTATTTTTGCATTAAAATTTTCGATGAAATCGTGATCACGTTTGATCAACTGCATTTTTAATCTTTTACAAAAATGAATAGATTTACCTATTCTCTAAATAATTATTATAAATCAACATCATCATCATCACTAAAATGTTATAATAATATATTAGTTGGTAGTCTAAGATTTTATAGTACAACTCATTATCATGGAATAAAATTGGCTGGTAATAATAATAATAACAACAGCAGCAGCAATAATAGAGATGGTGTTTCAGAAAGAAGAAACTATCTATTGGGATTATCAGATGATCAATTAGCAGATAGATTGATAGAGATGAGAAAGTCTTTGGAGAAAAGTAAAGAGCACTTGGATGAGATTGAAAAGATATCAAAGTTTTTAAATATACCGCTGGCCGATGTTGTTTCTTCACCTTTTAATCTTAGATCGTCGATTTTAGCAATGAATGCAGGTGTTTCTTTTAGTCATCACGAGCTTCGTAAAGTGATTACGCCAATGGATGACTATGAGAGGTTGAAGCGCAAAGAGCAGTTGGAGCGACAATCAAAGTCACCGACTAGATCACGTGGTATGACAGCTTCCACCGAACAAGAGCTGGCGGTAAAGGCAGAGCAGGATGAACGTACCTGCCAAGAGTTGATGAAAACAGCACCTCAATGGGTGATGGGTGAGTTGGAAATGCCGAAATACTCAAGTTTCCACCAGGAGGATCAGCTCGCCACCTACAATCCTGCCCACGTGTCAAAGTGGACCGCACATGAAATGATTCACAGATGGTGTCGTTTCTATTGGTGTTCCGATCAGACAAAGTATCAGATGTATTTGGGTGCGAAGCTGAACGAACTGCTGCCAGTTATTCATTGGCATGCGTTGGAATTGTTGGATTGGTCCGATGACGCTAATGTGAAGGATGTTGCCAAGCGAATTAAAGGAGCAATTAGCTATTTCAATGGCGAATTGGAGTTGTTGGAACAAGAGATTTTCAAAGGATTGAATTCGTTAGACAAACATGGAGTGGAGGCAGACGACCTTATGCATCATCCAACGGCTGTTCTCGATTGGAGCCAATTGAACTCTGTCACCGACACAATGCTATACGTGAAATCACATCACTCCAGATTGCAATCGGAGCCATTCGTTACAGTATTGGAGGCACTCTCGAAAATCAATGGAAATCAACAACAATACTTCATCGATACGATCAGAGGCTATCGAGCATACATTGAAAAGTGTTTCGACCAATTGCTATTCGACACACTGGAGCTGGATACAAAGTTATCGTTACAAAACAGAGATAATAGGTTGAAGGTTGATTTACTGATGAGAGAAGCAAATCGTCAGTTCCAGGTGTACTATCAATATGGTATGAGTGGTGACAAGTCGGCAGCGAGTGACCTTTCACGGTTGGAACATCTCTGTAGATCACTCCAAAAGAAACCGACCAAAGAATTCATGCTGGAGGCGAAAAACTATTTAAATCCGTCTATGCTCGCCAACGGTTTCAATATCAATCAAGATCCAAAAGCAGAGTTGCTCTCATCGAAACAGGTTCACGAAGGTCTGATATCATGTATTCCTGCTACAGCCACAATGATAGAATATTGTATTGAAAGAAAGCTTTTAATGTTGCCAAACATCCAATCAATGGATGAACTTATACTTCATTTTTCCAACTCAACCTTTTTCTACCAGAGAAAGTCGATTTCCAACAGATTTAATCAATTTTTAAACTCTCTAACAGATACATTACCAATTATTTTTAAACATTTAATAGATTTTGAAAATGTATGTATCTAACTAATCAATTACGAAAATATCATTTATATAACTAACATATAATTATGTATCACTTATTAAAGTTAATAGTTCAACAAACAAAAGATTCAATGGATTATTGGATTGAAGAATTGTCTGTTTCCATAGATGAGGAGTTAGATAGTGATGAAATGGCTTTGTTTACATTCATTCCATCGAGATCTTACAGAATTATTGAAATCAATCATTCATTACTCTCACAACTACATAAAACATTTTCAGAGGATATCGATGCCAAGATTCAAGAGTTGGAAGTATCGTATAATAACAAAAAAATCATTGAGAGAGAAATTCAAAAGTTACACGATGGTCTTGAAAAGTTGGTTTCACAGTCATTCAACCAGGAAATATATGACCATCCAACGATTTATTTGGTTGGATTGTTCGACGGTCAGTTCTACTCACTGGACATGCTTTTCGAGTGGAAAAAGATATGGAATTTCTTGAAATCCAATGAGAATGGATTGAAGTACAACGATCTTAAATCACATTCCATCAAACTATTCGAAGAGTCTGGCAAGAAGTTCAACGAAAAAGAATTTATATCAACACTACTCGAGTTAAATCAATATGGTGCAGTTGGAATGTTTCCAGAGATAGAGTAGATTAGAATTACAATACATTAGAATAGAATAAATAATTGATGATTTGATTTGATTTGATTTGTTTTTTTTAAATTAAATATTTTAATTATTTTTGTTGAATACAAGAAAGAATAAAAAAACACTAATCACTTTGTTGTTGATCAATCTCTTTTTTCTTCTCTCTAATCCACTCATTTGCCAGCTCTCTGTCAGGAATCGATAATGAGTACCAAGTTTGTCCTGAATGTTTTTCCCACTGGAAAATGAAATAGATACACTCGTTTATTAACATCAAAAAATAAAATAAAATACTTTAATATATTATAACTTACCATTCTGACATCTTTCACTGAAAACATTCTAGGTTCATAACTAGATTTATTAAACTTTTTATTATGTTGGGCTTTAAAAATATTGGTATACCAATTAAATAAAAGTCAGTTAATTTAATAATTTAATCAATTCATTCTTTTTAAGAATAGAATAGCTTTGCAAAAACTTACCAAGTAATGCTTTCAAACTATCATCCATATCATCGTCTTTTTTAGATGATTTCGAAGTTGTTGTTGTTGTTTTCTTGGGTTTAATTACAGGTGGTTTATTGGCAGTGGTGGTGGTTGTTGTTTGTGTTGCTATTGGTTTGTGTAATGTTGTAGGTTTTAAAAGAGGTTTTGCTGAAAATGGTGGTTTTGTTATTGTTGATGTTGTTGTCGTAGAACAATGTGAATTCGAATCTTCCTTCTTTGAGGATAGTGTTGTTGTTGTTGTTGATACAATGTTAATATTATTTTCCTTATTATTTAAACTAAATCTCTTGGTTCTATCACTATTTATATTTAAACTTGATCTCTTTAAAGTTGTTGTTGATTTATTGGTTGTTCCAACACCACCACTATATATTGGCTTTAATAAAGATGATGATGTTGTTGATGATGATGATGGTGTAGTTGAGTTTGGTGGTGTTAAAATTTTAGAAGATCTTCTTATACTACTAATTCTCTTTCCCATACTATTCTTTGGTGTTATATTATTATTATTATTATTGTTGGTATGAGTATTGCTACCTAAATCATTCTCATTACCTATATTACTACTATTATTATTATTGCTATTACTATTATTACTATCTAATATTCGTTGTTTTTCGTGTAATGGATGTGTGAGAGAAAACCAATCATTCAGTTCACTCTCTACTTTTTCATCGTATGTAAATGTATCACCTTTCAGTAGATTGATTTGCTCAGACCAATTGACACTAGTATTGCTGCTGGCTTCGCTATAACTATTTTGTTGGTCATCGATGTTTGATATTTGGAAATCAAAGAACTGTGGTGCATCAAACTCGAATGCATTATCCATATTCTCTGTATTGGAAGAGGAGGTGGAAGAGGAGGTGATAGTACTACCAGAGCCAGAACCAGAACTGCCAACACTACTACTACTACTTCCTCTTCTCCTAATACTATTTAAACTACTATATTTACTCTGACTACCACCACCACCACCAGTCATAGTACTAGTATTGATCTGACTATGATGATTGCTACTATTAATATTTGGTTTATTCTTTGTAACTATGGTGGTTGTACTACTGCTGCTACTATTGGTAGTTGTAGTTGGAATAACATTTGATTTCATTTCATTTATAAAATTCCAATGACTTTGCAAAGTACTAACTAATATAATAAATAAATAAATATTTAAATTTCAAATAAATATAAATATTGTAAATAAAGGTAATATTTAATAATGTGATTGATCAGAACATCACTCACTGTGTCAAAGGCAAATTAAAAAATCATTTTAATTTTTAAAAAAACATGAATGAACCGTTACAAAAATTTTAAATTCAAAAAAAAATTTGAAAAAGGGCGTCAAACCAACTAACATTATTGAATTGACTGACTGTGAAGCTCCTCAAACCAAATAAAATAAAATAAAATAAAAGATGAGCCAATATCACTGCAACTTCAAAATAAATACATACTTTAAATTTGTTTCTTAAAAAGATCTTTATCTAATAAAACAATTTTTTTTTCAAATTCATTACAAAACTAATATTAATTGCTCCTCAATGGCACCATTATATTGTTGGTCTTATTTAAAATAAAACTATAACCCGATTGGCTATTTTAATTGTATATATATTCAAATTACATTAATCAAATAGAAAATGAGATATGAATGAAATCTTACCATTGTCTCATTTCAAAACGATTCAGAAAAAAAAATCATTTAAAAAAAAACAAGAAAAAATACAAAAAAAATTATAAAAAGGGAAAAAAATGTTGCTATTAATTTTTTTATCAATTGTGCTTTTTTTTTTTTTTACCAAACAACGTTTGTTTAATTGCAATACTACATTTTGCGTGTTGTTTCTATTGTATTTGTGTTGTTAATTCATCAAAAATTCAGATAGATTAATTATTTTACCAAAAAATAAATCAAAAAACATACAAATAATATCAAAAAACAAAACAAAATTTTGACGATTTTAGTAAAATAATAATAATAATAATAAAAAGATAGATTTGTTGAATTCAACTCAACAATCATTTAATATATATATATATAGAAAATAATCATGGATAATGATGTTAAATATTTAGCAAACAGTTTGAATATTGTGGTGGATGACGATGAAATCATAGAGGAGAACTTGCGATATGAAGTACAACAACAACAACAGAAACTAAAGATGACACCCTTGCATCAACAACAGATGCAATCGAAGGACATCAACGATCCACAACGTGTGGTTGACACAGTGTTGAAGACGGTGGTCGATGTGTTCCGCGATTGTATCGAGCGTATCGATAATGGCGCGGCGAAAGACGCCATCGATCTGTTCCAACCATATATTTCAGAGGAGCAATTCCGTTCGCTGCGTGACATGTCACAGAAGATCAGTGGCGATGCCGCACAGCAACTCGATTGCGTCAACGAGACGATGCTCGCCGCCAACCTCAACAACTACTTGATGCCACAGGGTGTCGCTGCCAAGCTCACCAAGCTCAAAGCCGCCAAGTCGCTGCCACGTCAGGCTGCACCGATCCACATTAATAAAGCTGCATCGTACAACTCCAATGGACAGCCAGCAACTGGTGGTGGTAGCAGCGGTGGTTCGTCTTCGCGTCGTCGTGAGAGCAAAGAAGGATTCCCTCTCAATATGGGTGCGATCATTGGAATGGCAGCCAACATGAATCTCGATCAGATCAAATCGATGATGAACGTACTGATCATGATCCTCACACACACACCAATCCCAGTGATTCTCAGAGAGTTCCACCGATTCCGTATGCTCACCTCTGTATTTTTCGATCTCATTGTAGCGATCTACCGTTTCGACGTCAAAGAAATCGCATCACTCTTAATCATCACCATACTCAACGTAATCTCATTCATGAACAAGAAAGATAAAAATTTAATCACTGGTAAGATCGATCGCTCAGACATAACTAATTGTAAAAACAACTAACTAACTATCATTCATTTATAACAAACGAAATAGCGGTCTCTGTTGCTAAATATATTCATAGTTTTGGAAATAAGAAGAGATTTGGATTTTTGAGATTGTCAACTCTTATTCTCTATCTTTCATACCTCTACAAAGTAATCAATCCACCACCCATGACACCATCAGATCTTATTAACTTTGCAAAAGCTTACATGGCATCAAAACTATAAAGTATTCAAAGAAAATATTATAGCTAATAATAATAATAATTAAAAAGAGATTAGAAACGTAACTAGTCTCTACATTATGAATAATAATAATAATAATAATAATAGAAGTTAATGAATAATAATAATAATAATAATAATAATAACTAAAAAAAATATATCATTTTTTTGTAATTTTGTTTAATAAATAATAAATAATAATAATAATAATAGATAGATCTATCTCCAATTTTAAAGAAAAAAAGAAAAGAAAAAAAGAAAGAGAATTGATTTGATTCTATATAATCTCTATATATATATTTATTGTTGATTACTTTTTATTTACATTTTATATTATATTAATTATTTATTGTATTATCTTTAAACCTTGAATGATATCAGGATTCTTTAAAGTACCTCTTTTATATTCCTCGAGTGATATCATACCATCACCATTGTCATCCATCTTCTCGAAAAAGTCATCGATCATATCTTGTTGATCGAGTCGCTTTCCACTGCATGTTACGAACGGTCCAACCAACCTGTACATACTCTCCAATATTGATTCCATCTCCTTCTTTGTTATATATCCATTACCATCTAAATCGTACAATGAAAATGCAACTAATTATCAAATGTAATTTTTAATAAGTACTTATTCATTTCATTTTCATTGTCATTTAATAAGTTAAACTTACACTCTATTTTCTCTTCTGGAGTACCTCTTGTTATAACTGATAATCCACAAACTAATAATAATAAAGTTTAAAGAGTTAGTTAATCATTTTTCTCTTTTTGATTATTATAGGTATAAACTTACCAAACTCTTGAAAATTGATTGTATTATCTTTGTTTTTATCGAAAACATTGAATAGTAGTTCGTGTAAGAATGTATCAGCAATACCCATTTGTGTCATGATGTCTCTAAACTCTGTTTTACCGATGACACCACCACCAGGTGAATCCTTTTTAAAGTCTTTAAACAATGATTTCAATTCTTTGGCATCAACTAAATGATCATCAAGAATACACACATTCAATAGTTAGTTTTGTATTGTTTATACTATCTCTTGGAATGAATTAACAAACTAAATACATACAATGTGAGGATGATACAAGTTGTTCGACCTCCTCTTTCTTTAGACTGCCTATATGATTTCCCATGATTAACTTTTCAAAGTATTTTAGAAGCATTTGATTGATTGATTGTTTGATTGTTTAGTTTAGATAATATGTAAATAATAATCAAGAGTTAAATAAGAGAGAGAGAAAAGAGAAATAAATAATGAAATACAATGAATTTGAAAATAAAAATAAAAAAAAGGTAGTGTGAGAAATAGCTAGCTAATTTAACTAATCTTTCTGAATAACTATTATTATTAACAATTGTTATTTCATTTGTATTTAAATACTTTTTATTTTTATAAGTGTTTGGTTATATTTATTTGTTTTTTATTATTGTATTGTTGTTTAATTTATAACCATAGTTTTTTATTTAACACTGGTTATATTTATTGATTAGTTTCGTTTACTTGTTAATCTTTGTTTATTAAGCTGTTTTACAAAAATAGACAACCCAAAATAACTATGCTCAAAATTGCTAAACCTTATCATTAATATTCACATTTTTTTAATTTTTAATTTCAATAAAAAAAAACTGAATGTCTTTCAGACTTTAACTCCTGACTTGATATTTGCTTTTTATAACAAATAGAAAGATATATTTTATTGATTGAACAATCAATTATAATTTATAAAAAAATTGAAAGACAACAAGTTTGTTTTTGTTTCAATAGTGGATATGTTTGATTTTAAATCATTCGAATATGGAGATTAATATGAACATTTTTGATAAATGGTAACTCTCCTTTCCTGAGAAACATGATATGGTCGAGATTGTGTCAAAAGGAATTGATTCTATTTTAAAAAAATGCTTTTGGAAAAATCAAATTAAATTATCCAAGTCTTCTTGACTTGATAAATATCTTCAAACTTTATTTTTTCTTAAAATATCATTGGCATGAGTTAGAAGCTATCCAATTTTAGAAAGAATTCTTTTGAATTGAAATGTTAAAATTTGTTCATAATAAACCAAAATTGAAAACATGTGGCATCTTATTTAAATTGTTTGGAACTTATTAAATTATTTAAGTTCCCCCATCCTTCCATGGAACATCTTGTCCCCCAAAATGGTCTATTTTTTGAAAATTTTAATACATAAAATAATTGAATATTCCTCAAATTAATCAATTTTAATAATTGTTCCCTATTTAGGTAAAAAAGATTTTGGAGAAAAAATAAAAAAATGTTTTGACTAATATATCTAAGCACTGAGCATCTTCCATATATTATAAATACAATATTAATTAACACCTCAAAGCAATAACAATCAAAAATACTTGAAAAATTAATATTTATAAACAAAATAGTATTATTATAATAATTAAAAAAAAATAGATTATATAATAAATAAAATAATTTGTAAATAATAAATATTTATATATATTTATATTGATAGGACAGAGAGGTAGTTAGATATACTTTTATTTCTCTGAAGAAAGGGTAATATTATAAAATAATTATTTGTTTTATTAGTCATTTTGTAGATTCACTATTAAATCCATTTTCTATTTATATATTATTTATTTTTTTTTATATAAATTATATTTTTTTCGGGAAGTCATCTAAAATAAATTTATATTTCAATTTAATCTAAATCTATTTGGTTTTAAATAATCTATGATTCAGTCATTAATGCAATAACACACTGTTGACAATCATCTCATTTCACCTGTCAATTAATAATAACAATGAATTTTTAATTTTCCCTAGTGTCATAATAATTGATTCTATTGTTCAATACCTATCTACTATCGAGATAGCATCTTTATTTTAACAATTACTCGCTATTCATTCGTTGATAGTTTACAAATATCTATATTTAAAATAAAGACATACATCTGTTAAAAACAAAAAAGATGATTCATACATTCAATCATTTTTAGAAATATATGTTATATAACTTTCATTACTACTACTACTGTTATTATTTTAAAATTATTTTATTTACGAAAAAAAAAATGAACAGTTCACCTTATACACACAACTTTTATATTTTTCCATAAAAGATTAACATTCCCACACTTACACTACCACCACATACACACACTCTTACACCACCAACACTATTCTTGAAAGAGTGTTCAATAACTCTTTTCATAATTAACATAAAAAGTTCATTTTTCATATATCCAATGATTTTCAAGTACCTTTTACATTCATTCATCTATTTATTTTTAATATAAATTGTAAAAATATTTATACCCAATTTAATTAAAGCGAGTGAAAACATTTAATTAAGTAAGGATAACATCAAACACTAACACCAACGAAACAAACATTTAGACACCAGAATTAAAGAAAGGATATTACTTCAACACTACTTTTGTGAGTAACAACTAATTGTATTGAATTTAACTTAAGTTCAACAAAAGTGTAGTCATCCATTAGTGAAAAAACAACAAAACTAAATTGGCAGCATCAGGCAAGAAACCAAATAATATACATATCAACAACAACAACAACAATAAGCAACTTTTGTAAATAATATTCTAGTGAGGAGTGAGTCGCCACCTTCTTGCTTATTACACAAACAACAAACAACAACAACAACAATTAATAATTAAAATTATTTTTTTATTAATTAAAATAATATTCTGAAATAAGAAGTAAATTGATCTAAAATCTTTTCTATTACCATATTTATAATAATAATCATTCATTTACTTTAACCTTTCGCTTTTCTCTAAATTAATAATTCAAAACATCTTATTATAAAACTTTTATTTACAAATTAAGTTTGACTATAAAAAGATAACTTTTGTAGGTATTCTTACATCATTATATTCTAAATATATATAAACAAAACTAGAAACAAAAACAACTAAAACTAATTTATTTAATCTTTTTATTAATATTTATAATAATATATATAAACTTCTATCTTTTCATTTTTCTTTTTCTTTTTTTAAAATTTCAAAGAAATAATTCTTTTTCGAAAATGAATTCACTTAATAAATCTGTATTTGGTTCAATTAGAACATATGTCACTGGAAGACAAACATTAAAGAATATAGGACAAAAGAGAGGAAAAGGTAGATATTGAAAAAATAAATATTTGTTATCCAATAAAAATAACATTTTACTAATACATTATTATTTGTAATAATACATTTTGAAAATAGATGGAAGATTATTCACTGTACCACCAAAGGCATGGGATGAGTCACTGTCCTCTCAAAGTGAAGCCATTATTAAAGCTGAGCAAAGTGGACACCAATCATTTGAACAAATGCAAAAGATGAGTGTCAAAAAGATTCAAGAGGAATTCAAACCAAGAAGAACCAATTTGAATGCTTAGTTGTAAATAAAAATCCTTTAAATTTTTTGTATAGTACCTTAAAAAAAAAAAAAAAGTTTTAAAAACTAAATTATTTTTTAATAATCTTTATCTGTTATTAGTAATTGTGATATCACACCATTCTTTTTTTGTTTTAGAACAAAACAACAATCAATTCAATGTTGTTTTTGGTAAAAAAAAACCAAATAAAAAATAAAATAAAAAATCAAAAATTTGTTTTTGTTTAATTCAATTCCCCTTTTTTCGTGAACATCATTATTAAACTGCTGCTGTAAAATATAATACATATAACTATTTCACAGGTTAACTTTTTGAATTTATAATTATAACAAATTCGTCATTATTATTATTGTTTATTTATTTATATCATTAATATTTGTAATCTAGTTTTTGATAATATTGTAAAAAAGTAGTACTTTTTATTTTATTTTATTTTATTTTTTATTTATTTATTATCTATAATATATATAAATGATAAATATAAGTAGAATTAGAGATTTGAAGAAATGTGTTATACCTTTAACATCTAGATCCATCTTAAAAGTAAGTGGACCGGATGCTGTGAAGTTGGTTCAAGGATTAACTACCAATAATATGGGTAGATTGGTGGACAGTCAAGCACCGTCGCCTACCTCACTCTATACAGGATTTCTCTCGTCGACCGGACGTCTCTTGTTTGATGCAGTGGTTTTCCATCAGCAAAATGTGGAGGTGATCTCTTCTTCGGCGTCGAGAGTCGCTAAATCCGATGGCAGCAGCGGTGAGCAGCAACTCTTTATCGATGTCGACTCGGAGGTGGCATCACGAGCAATCGAGCATCTTCACTACTACAAAATCAGAAACAAGGCAACAATAGAAAATGTCACTGAGGAGTTCGCACTGTTCTCAGTGCTCGACAAGACATACAAATCCGTGAGAAACGACCAACTCTTTGAGCATCTCAAACAACAGAAATGCACCGTAATGATGGATCCAAGACACGACGCAATGGGTCTAAGAATTTTAGTTCCATCATCAAAGAATTCAAGTATGTAGAAAAATATATATAATGATAAGAAAGAAATATTTATCAAGATAAACAATTTGTGATTAATGGTTTGTTTTATTTTGTTTCACTTAAGTGAAAAATGAAGTTTTGTCAAACTACCCAGAAGAGAAAGAAGATGTTTATAATCTCTATCGTGTACAGAATGGTATCCCACAGGGTGTAAAAGATTACTCCTATGATAAGGTTATTCCATTGGAATATAATTTCGATCTTCTGAATGGTGTTGACTTCCATAAGGGTTGCTATTTGGGTCAGGAGTTGACGTCGAGAACTCACTACACCGGTTTGATCAGAAAGAGACTGTTCCCAGTGGTTATGTCGTCCGATTCTCCTAAAGAACACTCTGTCAAAAAAGAACATCATCTGCTTTTCTCACAGAGTGTAGTTGATTCTCTCGATGTCCAGGCACCACCAGCCGATACAGAGTTGAAGATTACCATCCTCACCGGATCGACTTCACCATTCAACGAAAAGCAACCACATCAACATAGCAACACACCACCTCCACCACCATCAAGAACAACAGAGAAAGTTATCTCATCATACAACAACATCGGTTTGGCTATTGTCAAAGTTGACCATATTGATTCAGCATCGTTCAAATCCACCAACATCAAAGATCCTAAAGGAAGATCATTGGAGCTATTGGAACCATGTTGGTGGTCAAAAGTTGTTGGTATTCAAGTGCCAACCCAACAGGTTAGCTGAGGAATTAGGTAGATGAAAGAGAATGATTCAACCAATACCATACCAATTATCCAATTAATGTATTACATTAATAAAATAACACATTAAAACCATTTAACATCATATTGTCGCACAATAATATTATTTACTTATTTGTTTGTTGAAATGATCATTTTTATTTTGTTTTCATTAGATATACAGACTTTTTGAGAAATTTACAACACTTCTAAATAAGTTCAATCAAAAAAATATGTTTTAAAACAATATATTGTTGTGTGGTCAATAATTCTAGTGTTGAAAGAAAAGTGTAGAATGAAAATAACACACCATTCTATTCAAAAAGGAAATTTTATTAGAATTCAACAGTAATATGATTATCCATTTAAAATCTAACCAAAATATTATTGGATATATCTAGACCCCATATATTTTATTGGAACTAATATGGGTTCCGTTGAATTTATCTTTAAGAAAATTAAAAACAAGAAAACTATAAATAGTGAATCATTTGTTGGAAAGATATCAAATCAAAAACAAAATCAAACAACAAGACAAATTTAAATAATTGTACTTATAAATCTTTGTAAACTATTAATAAATTCTAAAAAATGACTTTAATCAGTAAGTTAATTAAAAAAATAATATTGTCCAAAAATAAAAAATTAATAAATAAAAATAAACAGAGGCTATTTCTTTTTTGGGTAACTCTTTCTCTTTGAAATCATCCACCACAAGTTTAATTTCCTCTTCTGGATCGAATGGTGCTTCTCAAGGATCAAACCAAGTTAGCTGTGGTGGATACTCTGGATGTTCAGGATGCTACGGATGCCCAGGTTGCCCAGGTTGCTGTGGTCAACAACAATTTGGAAACGGTGGTGGATTCTATGGAAACAATTGTGGACCATGGGGATGTGGTAATTAAATTGTGAACGAACCAGCAACAAAACTAAAACTCATCAGCTTTATTCAATTCACTCTACACCAATAACCACAACAACAACTGGGATGTCATAATTAAGTAAATTGTAAATTAATAAAATATGTATTCTACCCAAATATTGTTCCTTTTTTGTCTGTTATTGATTTGTTTAATTATTTATGTATTATTTATGTCTAACTTTTTTTTTTTTTTAAAGTTTCTTTTCAGCCTTTAATTTTTCATATAAAAACAATGAGGATAGTGTCTTTCCATCTGGACTCTTCTTCCAGAGATCTTCAAGTGGAACGATGTCGAGAGTGATCGATTCATTTTCCTCAAGTGCACCAGTGCATTTGTTTTGAAGTTCGTCGATCTTTGATTGCTCCAAGGTGTCACGGAAGAGGAACAAACGAATGAATTCGTCGCATCCACCTGGTGATGGGTACATTCCCTCTGCAGTGTCACCATAGGCCAGCTGAGTGAGATCTACCAGCTTGTCTTCGGTTACTTCGATACCGGTCTCTTCTTTCATCTCCTTGGCAGCGACACCAACGAAATGACCGCTACCGTCCAACATACCGGCTGGAATCTCACTGTAAGCGAATCTAGCTACTGGTACACGAGATTGAACAGTGAGAACACTGTACTGACGACCTGTCTCTTTTGAGGTGAGGATAACTAAGATAGCTACCGAACCACCTCTACAAAAGATGATTCCTGGTACTGGTCTGTTCTCTGGCAAAGCTACAACTTCAGCTTTGAACTTGAGGAAACCAACATTCTTACCAAACATATCGATCGATTGCACTTGAATTGAATTTACTTTAAGTTTATCTTGTGTTTCCATTCTTTTGGTCCATTTTACAAAGTTTGGTGCGCTGAGTGCCTAATTAATAAGTGATGTATATACATACAATAGTACTATCAGCATCAATCAACCAAACAAACATTCGAAAAATTAAAAAAACAACAACAATTTATACATACAGTTTCAGCAGGTATATCAGATGCAAATGTAACAGGTACTGTATTACCTCTAATTGTAATTGTTGACATTATTGATCTATAATTATTTATCTTCTTAAAATATTTTAACATATAACAGAATATATTAATTTAATCTATATTTAAATCTTCACCAACAACCATGATCTAAAAATTTGTGCAAAAAAAAATCACAAATTTATTTAAATTTTAATTAAAATTTGGGTCACTGTTTTCTCAGAATTAAAAAAGAATTACACCTAAAATAAAACATAATCAAGTGATAATATCTGTTAACAGATAAAGATTGTTAAGTAATAGAATTAAATTAAGTGATCCTTGGTCATAGCAGAAAGAACAAGCTTTTTTTGACCATTGTTTAATAGAAGAGTTCTTTTTTTTTTTTTCGTTTCTAAGTTTGATATCTTGATTTATTTAGTTATTTGTTATTTTTTTCATTATTATATAGTGAATCTACAATTTAGTGGTTGTTATACTTAATTATTTGTTTTGAATATCCAAATGTGAGTGGTTTATAACTGAATATTGATTTAAACATTGATGACACGAGATAACTTTTGGACTCTGTTTAATAAATTATCACTTTGTTGCAATGTTTGTTTATACATGGAGTTCTTTGAATCTGATCTTGTTGTCTCTACAACACCAGAGACTCTATCGATTTTACAACTGATTCTTCCTGCAGAGATGAAACGTGATAACTCTCTGTTAAAAACGAGTTGATTTAAATTGTTATTAGTTATTTGTAAATTCAATCAAACAATCAACAAATCATTATTTACCTATCAATAAAATCAAAAGATACACCGAATTGATTGGACATTGATTCTAAACGTACACTAGAGTATGACTCCAAGTATTGGTTGTAACTGAGGATTCTGAGTTCTCTGGTCAAGAAACGAGAGTGAGCGGCGAGATAACGGTCGTTCTTGGTCGATTCGGAAAAGTGTGCCAAGTGTACAAAGTATTGGTTGTACTCACCGTCGTAGTAGCTGTGGAGCAGCTCACTGAGGTGTGGAACGTCGCCAATCACCGAGAGTACGTCGGGCGAATCGATGACCTTGGTCTTCAACGAGACACGATCCAAATGCAACATCGAGGTCAACACGAGATACTCTACAAAGATCGGGTAGTCGATGAACTCGACCGAGGTGAACGATGCCAGTGTATCCAAGTACAACTCGGAGGCCTCCTTGAATTTACGAATCGACATTAAATATACAGCTTCATAGGTCTTCAAACGGTTCTTACGGTCCCAGTCACCGCCTTCCTCCACCAACGATTTGGCCTTCTCCAAGTTACGTGTGATAATATCGTGATCCATCCAGAAGATACCCATACGAATCACTGTAAATATCAAATCCAACTTCTGACCGAGTGGTACTGTCTTTTCATAGGTTTGTCTATAACTTGAGTATGCTTTATCCTATTATTATTATTATTATTATTATTATTCAGAAAAATGGCAATATAATATTAGAAATCATCGTTATAACTTTTTAAAATATTGATCAATAAGTCTGGTATGATTATTTACTTTATCACCAATTCTACAATAGTAATCAGATTTCGCTAGGAATGCTTCTCTGATTTCAGACTCACCAAAGTTTTCTTCGGCATCTTTTATCTTGAAATTCAACTCTGTCAACTCCTTTTCGTTTTCCACTCTTAATTTCTCTGATAACTGACGATCCTCTTCCCATTTCAATTGTTCAACTAATTTCTTATAAAGTGGTAACATTTCTAAAAAAATAATTATTAAAAAAAAATAATAACAAATTAACTTTCAATGATTCTATTCTACTCTATTCCATTTCAATAATAAAATAGCCTGTAGTACATACGATATTTTTCAATCTCTACAAGTAAATCTTTCTTTACTACAGCATTACTTGGTTGTTGTGTTGCAAGGAATACCAATTCAGATACACGCAAATCTGGTAACTTTTTAATCTCTTCTTCCATTTCTATTTTGTTGTTTTATTTTAAATAAAAACAACTATAATAATAATATTGAAAAACAAACTTTTTTGAAAAAATAATATAACTGACTAATATTAATAATAATATATAAATTAAAATGTACACAAAAAATAAAATAAAAATGGATGTGATGTTGATCTTCACTTGGAAGAAAAAAAACTAAAATCAAATTAAAAAAAAAAAATTAATTAAAATTTTTAAAAAAAATTAAAAAAATTTGATCAGTTTAATTAAAAACTGTGTGTAGCAAAAAAAGTAGAAAATAATACTACTTTAAAGACTACATTTAATACACAAATATTCTAAACTATTCTTTTTACTTTGATGTTGATTTGTTAGAGTATGACAAGTTTGCTTTATTGTCCTTGAATTTATAAAGAGAGAAAGGATAATAAAATATTAAAAGTGAAGTCAAAATTTTTTTCAATAAAACAGTTGTTTGTTGTCGAAAGAAAGATGACTTTCTTTATTTTCAATGAGAACAAGTTATCAAGTATTAAAGAGATACTTACTCTCTTCAAAAATGTGTTCTTTGTTATTCACAATTTTTTATCAAAAAAAAAAAAATTTTAATTTTAAATTAAATTTTTTGTAATATATTTTTTCATTTGTTTGCAAAACCAGTTCAGTTATTTATAAATAAGTTTATTTCAGAATATTTAAAGATAAATATATTTGATGATGTCGGAAGAGAAAGTGATTTTGGTCACCGGTGGAACTGGTTTGGTTGGTAAAGGTATCGCTGAGTATATCAGACAACAAGGCGAAGCACGTACCAATGAAAAGTGGATCTTTTTAAAATCTTCTGATGGTGACTTAAGGTAGGTAATTGCTATTTGGTAGTTTGTTTGTTTGTTTGTTTGTTTTTTGTTCTTCATATATGTTTGTTTGTTTGTCAACTTTATATATTGATTGATAATAGTTAATTAACATACTATGTTTTGTTTTTGATATATATATTTGTTACTGAATATTTATTTGCACAGATCTAAAGAGGCAACTAGTGCTATCTTCCAAAAGTACAAACCTACACATGTCATTCACTTGGCAGCCAAGGTTGGTGGACTCTTCTCCAATATGAAGTACAAGGTAGAGTTCTTCCGTGATAACATTGCCATCAATGACAATGTGTTGGCTTGTTGCAATGAGTTTGGTGTCAAGAAGTGTGTGTCTTGCTTGTCGACCTGTATCTTCCCCGACAAGACTACCTACCCAATCGACGAGACCATGGTTCACAACGGTCCACCACATCACTCGAATGAAGGATATGCCTACGCCAAGCGTATGATCGACGTACTCTCACGTGCGTACAACCTCCAATATGGTCAATGTAAATTCACAACCGTCATTCCCACCAACATCTACGGTCCACACGACAACTACCACTTGGCAGACAGTCATGTCATTCCAGGTTTAATTCACAAAACCTACAATGCTATGCGTAAGCATCATAACAATAGTAATAATAACCAATAGTAGTAATCTAACGACAATATTATCAAAAACAGAGAATAATACAGATTTAACAATTATGGGTACTGGTAAACCATTAAGACAATTCATCTTCTCAGAGGACCTAGGTAGATTGTTTGTTTGGGTGATGGATAACTACGAAGAGACTGAACCAATCATTCTCTCAGTTGATGAAGAAGCTGAAGTTTCTATTGCTGATGTTGTAACAATGATTACAGAGGCAATGGAGTTCAAAGGAAAAGTTATTGTAAGTTAGAGAGAAAAACATAATTATCAGATATGAAAGAATATTATTACTGTATTTTAAATACACACACACAATACTAACTAATCACCTATTTCTCAAACAAACTTTTTATTTATAAAAATTAATTAAAGTATGATACAACCAAAGCAGATGGTCAATATAAAAAGACTGCAAGCAACAAGAAATTGAAATCACTCTATCCAGGACTAACATTTAAGCCAATGAAGGAAGCAATCAAGATCAGTACTCAATGGTTCATCGATAACTATGAGACTGCTCGTAAATAAACATTTTAAAACAAAATACAATCAAACTTATAATTATATGACTTTTTTTTAATATTGAAAGATAATTATTAACTAAAGACATAAGAAAATGAGGTGAGTCACCCCCTTTTTTAGCATTTTCTCATTTTTTTGTTTTTTTTTTTTTTGAAAAAATAAAATAAAAAACAAAGGTTTATTATTTATTTTTATTTTTATTTATTTATTTTTGTTTTTTTTTTTTTGAATTAATTAATAGTAGTAATATCCTCTATAAGATCTTATCATTGTATAATCTATAATCGAGAATAAGATTTCTTTATCGATTTTGATTTACTATAGATTAAATCTAATTAGCTATGGATAACTCTTATATTACCAGTAAGCTATTACATTACAACTCATAATTATGAATCGGTTACAGTATACTAATAATTTCGATTTTCATTAACTATCTAGAGGATGGTAGGGTAGCACAGAAGACAAATTGGAGGCTATCGATCATTTCCGACTATTTTTGGTATTTTTTAAATCAAATCGTATTTTTGTAAGTATTTTTGTTGAATCTAACAAACAAAACCAACAAAAGATCTATATTCTCATTTTATTATTACGTCTATTAAACATTACTATAGTTTTGAAACACTCTTTTCGGACCCTGCAACTGAAAAATATAAAAAGAAGCATGGCGATAGAGATAGAAACTATTTAGGTTGGAATAATGGAAATGGTGGTGGAGGAAACGGAGGAGGTGGTGGAGGTGGCCCTAGAATAAGAACACTTAATCAAGTCGGAAAGGCATGTAGTCCGACTGTAGGGTGAGCCAGATAAACAGTCTAGTGCTTAATTAAGCAATTACATTATTGATGTCAAAATTGAACTACTCGTCGTTTTAAATACCGGTACTGACAATACAAACTTCAATAATGATGCACTAGACATTTCGGTAGTTTCGACTTAGTTGATTTCTGGTGGTAAAAGAGCGATCGATATCATTCAACTGACAACAACACAAAACAACTTGTTATCAAATGCAATCAATCAAACTTTACAACTAGAGTGATGATATTTAATATCTTAACCTCAAACAGGCGATATTAGATTGAAAAATTCATCTAATCGAACTATCAAATTCACAACTCCCACGATTCACATATGTAAATGAAAATCAATCAAATGAATACATAGTAAAAACAATTATTATTTCTTTCTAAAGCAAATAAATCTGAAAAAAGATAAATGTAATTAAATATTATATATATATATAAACAAATTTGTCATATGACATCTAATAATTTATTGATCAAATGCCAACTATATTAATTTATATTAAATTTTAAGATAAAAAGAAAATAAAAAGATAAATTAGATTAGATTAGATTTCTATTTAGTTAGAAGTTGTACAATAGTTTTGAATACTTACAGAAAATACACTCTCTGATTGATCACCAGAAACTGTTATATCGGATGGATCACCAAATTGTGATGAATATGTTTTCTGTAAAGATCAATTTAAAAATCAATTGATTAGTTTTTGAATGAAAATTAATGATATCATTAATATAAAGTAACTGACACATACCAGTAAACATTTGTTATAGTGTGTCAATATCGCCAGTTTTGATTGAAAGTGTGGTCTGACCATGTTACAGTAATATTCATAGCCAATAGTCGATGTTGCTTTTTTGTCGTACTTTTTCAATATCTTTCTTATACCCTCTTGATTCAATTCTACAAAACTCAATAATCTCTCTAAATCTTTCATTGTTGCCACAATTCCAGTTGCATCTTGTGTCTACAATAGATATTATATTAATATCATAATACCAAAATCTATAGATTTCATCATCATCATCCATTCCGTTCATTTGATTTCATACCTTTTCTAAATGTTTAACTTTTCCGGCAATATCACGCTCGTTGTCCGTAATGAATTTATCTATCTTTTGAAACTGCTTCCATAAGGATCGCAGAAATGTGGAATTTCTGTCTGTTCTGTGTACTGGTGTGGTTTGTTTGTTGTTCTTGTCGTCGCACAACTCCATCAATAGTTTCTTTAGCTCTTTATAATCTACATAGTTTGCTTCCCACTCCTCAGTCATATTATTTCTAAGATATTTTCCATACTTCATTTTCGATGTTGTTACTTGTTTACTATATTACTATTATACTATATATTATATATATTTATATCGTTATTTACACAAAAGAGAAAAAAAATTAAAAAATTAAATGATTTAAATTACAAAAATAAAATAAAAATAATTGCAAATATTAAAAATTAAAAAAAAAAAGAGTAATTTTAAAAAATAAATATATAAATATAACTTGAAAAATGCGATAACTACAATGATTTGAATAAAAAAGGGGGTGAACGTATATGTTGTGTGTGTTGTTTTGTTTTGTTTTGTTTTGCCGAGTTTACAAAAGTTTGATGATGATTTTTATAAATATATTTATTTTTTTTTAAAACAAATAATATTATAAAAAAATAATAATAACAACAATAAATAAGAAAGTTATGTGATGTATATATGTGATATAAATAAATAGTGGTAATATAATAAAAAAGGAAAGAAAAAAAAAAAGAGTTGATTGATTGATTATCGTTAGGAATCCTTTTGCTATGATTCTTGTTCTTTAAAGTCGATAAGCAAATAAACAAAAACAAACCAGCTAATGTTATTTGGTAGTTGTTATTATTATTTCTTTTTTTCTGTTCAATGGAGTTTTGTTATTAAGTCGGTTATAAAAATCAAAAAAAAAAAAAGATAGTTTTATTAAATTTATTTATATTTCAATTTTTTGGGTGGGTTTTTCACCACAACAATATATTTCGGATTAATTTTCCCAAGTTAAAAAAAAAACTTTCTTTCTAATCACAAGTCCAGATTAACAATGATTCCAATTCCTTGAGTTGAGTCAGCACCACTTTTATTCTGGTTTGTTTTGATTTGTTTTCGTTTGGTTTGCCTACCTATTCTTATCTAGATATTTATCGGTATTGATCAACATAATAACAATAAATAATATTAAATGAGAATTCATTATCTAAAAGTAAAGTAAATTTCCTTGAAAAACTGAAAAAAAAAAAAAAAAGTTGTTATGATTTTAACATTATATATAATTATATTATTATTTTATTTAATTTTTAATTTTAATTTATTTTGTTTTGTTTTTTAGAGCAAACACTCTACATCTCTTTCTTAATTAGAGTTAGAGTTATGATTGAATTCATTTGGTTGGTTGTTTTTTGTTTTTTTCTTTAATATTACTTCTTCGACTCGTGTGTTTCGCTTCGTTTCTTTTGATTATTGTTCTTTTGGTGTTGTTGTTGATGACGATGATGATTGTTGTAGTAATGAGAAATTAAAGGATCCAGATTGGTAGTCTGGAAGCAACTGTTTGAAAAATTCAGATTTTGAAGTCAAGTCAGAGATGATACGTGAGAAGTTAAAGGTGGTACGATCTTCGTGTGGCAAAGTTACAGTGGCGCGACTATTTTCGGCGTTGGTGAATTTGATGTCATAGCTCTTACCACCGATGACAATATCTACATGTGGTCCGACGGTCTTGATTGATTTGAGGTCGGTCGACAAGAATACAATGTTCTTGAAGAAGCTGGCCGATTCGAATTGCTGTGCCAATAATGGAACGGCGTTGGCGTTGATCTTTATGCTGGCGAGCTCCGACTTTTCCAATGTTTGCTTGACGAGTGTTTCGATCGCTTGAAGTTCAACAACCTTTTGAGTTTGTCCCATCACTGGGTTGTAGAACTCCTTCTGGATCAATGCGATCTTGTCGTAGTGCGAGTTGAGGAAGAGCATCAACTCCTCTTCACGGAAGTTGAGTGGAATGAAAATATAAGCAACATCGTCATCCTTTGACATAATGAATTGATAGTGATCCGAGAGTACCAAGTTGATGTTGGCCCAACCGAAATCGGCCAACTTTTGATTGGCTGTGGCCATTTGGAAGTTGGCTGCAGACATTGCCGGTGTTGATGATGTTGAATCGGCGGATTCAGAGATGGCCGATTCAGCCGATAGTTTATCTTTAATTACCTTGTCGACCTTTGAATCGTGTTTTGATTCGCCAGCAGCAGCGGTAGTGGCGTCGCCACCGAATGCAGGCACACCAAAGTCAGTGACCAAGTTTGCCTTGGTGTTGGAATTCAAATCGATCGCGAGTGGAGCAATGTTTGGACGGTCGGTAAGTAAGTCAATGGTACGCTCTGGGTCGTCGAATACAAGCACCTGTGATTTGGCTTTGCTCGATTGATCGTCGCTCTTCATGTTGTTCGGGAAGAGCATACGCACTGGTGTCTCTGTTTCGATCATCTTGCTCAAACGATTTACACACTCCATTGCTGTGCTAACGAATGGTGCCGATTGAATGTAGTTGAATTGATTGGGATCGACGATTGTCAGTGGTTTCTCACGTGTGTCTGAGCTGGTTGTGGCGACCTCGCTCGAGGCAACCATCGACTCTACTTTGGCCTTTTGTTCGGCTTTGCTCAATCTTGGGTATTTCTCCTTGACGATCGATTGTGCAATGGAACGCTTCTCTGCTTCGTCCATCTTTACATTGTTCAACTTCCAACTGTTCATCGCTGAATTCTCAAGACGTGACTCTGGCAGTGAAATCCAACGATTGGCACGAACCTGCTCGAGAATCTTTATCATTGGAATATTCAACTTGGAAATGGTTGTCTGTGAACGATTGAATTGATCTCTTACACTTCTCATTGATCTTTGATTTACAGAGAATAGATTTTCAATAACAACACTATTTGCACCCAATGTCCTGGAAGTTTGATGGAAAATTAAATAATAATTAGTCAAATGGAAAACTCAATCGACAAAAAAGAGAGTTATAATAACTTACTTTTCAAGTTGAATAGTCGATTTCTCTAACATTGTAATATTGTTTTTGGAGATGGAATAGAGATCTTTGAAATTCTTTACAACTCTTGGTACTTTTTGCTTGATGTATGGGAGTACGTGGAGTGGATCAAAGTCTTTGTTGAGGATGACAAAACTCTGAGCTGCGGCAGAGTTGGCGAGTTTCTCATAGAATTGTGGTGAGGTGATGAGAATTGGAAGTTGGTGCCACTCACGGAACTCCAAAGACTGTAGTTGCGACTTCAAGTGAAGGATTTGACGTTCTGCCTCCTCACGGTATCCGAGTGTACGCATCACGTTGACGTCACCCTTGATCTGCTCGCCAAAGTAGAAGAACACCTTGTCCTCGTTGAACAACTGGAGTAGCGAGGTCTGCTCGAGCGACAACTCGGCGAATTGACGGTGCTCACTGACGTTGTTCTGCACGATGAATTCATCGAGGATACGAGTCAACGCAAACTCGGACTCACCGTCTTTCGGTGCGTCAAAGTACTCCTCCCAGGGGTCGTCAACGAGCTGGTCGACCTCGTTGGTTGGACGGGTGAGTTGGTCGAGCTCGATCTGCGGAATGCTGATATCGGCCTTTCTAAACAACTCGTAGAGTTGACGGTGAACGGCGAAACGCAGCTCGGTGACGTAGCTGACCAATGCCGACTTGGAGGTGGCGATGGTTGGCGCTGGCTCCTCAAAGATGAGTTCGTGCTCGAGGAATCCCTGGGTGCCTTCGAGGGTGTGGTGATGGAAGGCGAGTGACAGGGTGGTTGGAATCTTGTCGAGTTTCAACTCTTCGGACGATCCTTCGGCGACCTTCACGTAGGAGTCACGTGTGCGCAACAAGTTGTTGAGTGCGGTGAGCGATCGCTGATTGACCTGTGATTTCGATGGATCCTGATGGAAGTTATCGGGGTGAACCTTTGCCAGGAACTTCTTGAGATGCGAACGTAACAGTCCTTCGAGTTCACGTGATGAATAGTGATAGGGCATCATCTTTTCCACTGGTTGTCTCTTGTTGACCTTGACTTCACGCTCTGCCTCACGGACATTTTCATATCCCTCGGCAATGTTGACGTTGATGTCCAATCCATCGAACAACTTCTCGTCGATATTCTCAAAGTTGTCTTCCTCTGCTTCTTCGTCCTCATCAAACTCCTCATCGAAATCCTCAGCAACATCGTCTTGGTTATCTTGATCATTACTGTTAATGCTATTGTTGTTGTTGTTGCTATTCTTATTATTCAATTCGTTGGAGGCAGCAGCAAATGCATTAGCAGCAGGTGAATCTGACTTTTTAGTGAATGATTGATTGAATGATGATCCAGCAACATTTTGTTGTTGATGTTGTCTGTTGTTTTGATTTTGATTCGAATGATGTGGTCTCTGTACAATTTGTGGACGTTGTTGACGTGATTGAATATTTGTAGCCATATCTTGTTGTTGCTGTTGTTGCTGTTGTTGTGGTTGTTGATTTTGTTGTTGTTGTTGTTGTTTATTGTGTTGTTTATTATGTTGTTTCTTTTTTGGCTGTTGTTGTGGTGGTTGTTGTTGTTGTTCATTCTTATCTTTGTTATCAGTCGAATATTTCAATGACTGAGAACACAATCTGACCAATGAAAGATTGCTAGAAGTGGTAGCACCACTCACCAATGCAGTATTCGAGGGTTTAATTAACCCGATCAGTCTATTCATTCTCTACTTTCAACTAACTATATAAATTAATATAAATATTTGAAAAAAGAAGAAAGAAAAACAAACAAAGTAGAATCGTCAAAATCGACTTAACAATGAAAAAACTTTACTCTCTCAATGATCTACATAATGTAATTCGTTATTCAAAAAAATAAAATTTTGAAAAATCATTTTTTTTCATTCATTTTTTCCAACAAAATTTTTGCCCGTGATCAATCAAAGACAATACAATCAAAAGGTAGTTAACTGATCTAGATGTTTAAGATTACATTGTCATTGTTTGTTTGTTTTTTTTTATTAATTTGATTCAATATTATCTGTTTTGTTTTGTTTTGATCAATTTAGTTGGATTGGTTGAATGAAGAGTTTATTTATGAATATAATATATATAGATCAAACAATTAAGTGGTAGTGGATGAGAGGTGAGAGTGTATATTATTACTATTATTATTAAATGTTTACATTTAAATTTGATAGAATCCAAATTCGTGAGTGTTCTTTTTGATTGCTGACTTATAACCTTTTTCAAAGTCTTTCGATAGAATAACATAACGGTTCTTTCTGATTGCGTGCATACCGGCTTCTTGACAAATCGATTGAATTTCAGCACCACTTAGCTTATCTGGTCTTGATACAACTGTTGTTTTAAAATGATAAATGGAGTAGTAATTTGTGATTTGTGTTGTTAGTATAAATTATATGATAATTAAAATTACTAATATTTAGCAAACTTACAATCTTCTAAATCAACTTCATCTGATAAATTCATCTTTGATGTGATAACTTGGAAAATAAGTCTCTTTTGACGACGATCTGGTAGTGGGAATTCAATCTTACGATCGAGACGACCTGGACGCAAAAGTGCTGGATCAAGTGTGTCCTGTCTGTTGGTTGCCATAATTACTTTTACATTTACAGATACATCGAAACCGTCCATCTGATTGAGCAGCTCCATGAGAATTCTTTGAACTTCACGATCAGCACCGGTCTGCGCGTCGAAACGCTTGGTGGCGATAGCGTCGATTTCGTCGATGAAAATGATGGCCGGTGCATTCTCACGGGCCAGTCTGAAGACGTCACGCACCAAACGCGGTCCCTCACCTAAATATTTCTGTACAAACTCCGAGCCGACGACACGGATGAACGATGCACTGGTGTGGTGTGCAACGGCCTTGGCCAACATGGTCTTTCCGGTGCCCGGTGGACCGTACAGCAGCACACCTCTTGGTGGATCGATACCGATCTGCTTATAAAGATTGTGGTGAGTGAGTGGCAACTCGACGGCTTCACGCATTTCTTGCTTCTGAATGTCGCTACCACCAATGTCAGAGTAACTCTCGGATGGTTTCTCGTCGGCGCCCAACAAATGGATGCTCGAATCCGATTCTGGTGGGAGTGTATCGACCAATGCATTTGAATGACGTTGGAGAGCAACCGATGCCGATGGTTTCAATAACTCTCTATCGATTGTACTTAAAATACGAACACATAATGTTGATCCTGATGTTGATTGAACAATACTTTTTGTATTGTTAAAAAATAAAAAGAAATAATAAATTAATAAAAATAAACATTATTATGATTATTATTATTTTTTAATATTATTACATACCCATTGTTGGTATCTACCATTTCTAATAATTGACCAATCAACAATGGAACGGAACGAATACGCTTAACTTCCTCTTGTGCATGTAAAAGCTCTCTCTTTAAGTTTTTATACTCATATTTGATGTATTCCTCTTGAATGTTGAAAAAGTCCAATTTACTCTCTAGATTCTTCATCTTGATATAGAGATCTTGTTCTGAATGATGGTGTTCATGTTTTGATACTGTAAGGGGCTATAAATAAATAAATTAATTAATTATTACTATTCTTTTTTAATTTTACAAAATTTCTATCTTTTTTTTTTTTTTTTTTGGTGTTTTTATCTATAGTATTATTGATATTCATATTATTATTCTTATTCTTATTCTTCTAATCTACTACAACTTTTCTCTTTCTTTTCTCTCTCAATCTCTGCTTTTAAATGTTTAAAACTTTAATTTCTATAGATACTATACCTTTGATGGTAATAAGCCTAATTCCTCCATCTTATCAATCTACTAACAAAAAAAAATAATAAAGTCTATAAACAATAAAAAAATATATAAAACAACAGATAAATTAATAATATATAACAAAAAAAATATAAAATAGATTGGGTTTAATTAAAATGAACATCACTCAATCAAAATAAAGTTTTAACTTTTTTCATTTTTTTTTTAATTTTTCAATTTTTTATTATTTTTTTTTGTGTGACATGACTTGAATCGAAGTTCTACAATCTACCCTATCAAATTCGGTGTTTATTTATTTATTTATAAACAATTAAAAGATATTATTACTATTGAACATTGCAAACATACAGAATATAATTAGAATAAAATAAAATAAAACAATTATTTAGAATCTATAAACATTTATAAATATTAAAAAAAAAAAAAAAAGAGATGTCTGATAAACCAACAACAGAGAGAAGTCAATTGTTTCTATATAAGAATGCATTCAATCCGAGTGTTAAATTCACACATGTGTGTAAACAACTATGTTGTTTGTTTGTTTTTCTTGATATTCTTAGAGAGGAAATGTATGAATAGTGATTACTAATACTTTGTTCGATCGATATTTTTAGAAAGAGATGTTATTGAATGTATATTGGTTAAGACAAACCATTAGTTTGTTGCTGGGTGTTGTTTGTGGTGCTATACCATTAATGGGAATGGTTGGACTTATTACGTATGTATATTGCAAACAACAACAACAACAATAGAAGAAATACGTGGTGGTTACCTGTTACTAACAACAACTCAAATTCAAATAATTTAAATACATACAGATTTTTCATTGTAAATGCAGGTTTCACAACAGTATATTATTCAAAAGTTTTAGAGGTTGAAGATGGCGATGTAAAGTGGGAATTATTCCAAGAAGGTTTCTTACCGTCGTTTGCTGCTTTCTTAGTATGTTTATTATTTCATTTTATTTAATTAACTAATTATTAACAAAAGTTATTAATGTTTATTCAACAAACAAACAGGTATCTTGGATTTTATTTTATAATATGCTTCATGTTTAAAAAAGAATAATTATAGTAATAAAGTTTAGATACAGATATAGATAAAAACAGATATTATAGATTTTAAAGATAAAATGGATAGTTTAAAGAGAAAATTTGTAAATGAACAACAGCAACAAACTTTGACAGGAATATCTATAAATGAAAAATCTATTCAAAAGTGATAACTATGAATTTAAACGATCAAAAATGATTAATATCTTATATTTAAATTAATTAATTATAATTTAGCAATGAAAAGAAATTGAAAGCCAATGATAATAATACTGATTTGTACAAATCATAACTTAATGTATACTAATTGATGAATCTTAGATTGATTAACCAGTATTTTTTTCTTTTAAAAACAAAAGAGAATCAATAGGAGATATTAGTTATTTTCTTAAAAGTGCTGAATTTAAAAGAGACGTTGATTCATTGAATTCCCAGCTGAAAGAAAAGATTGAAAAACTCAGAAAACTATCTTTGGAGATGGTAATCATCGAGACGAGAATGAAGAATTATTTGAATTCCGGTACTCTTGCCGAGATTAAAGCCATCAACCAATCATTACAAGAAACAAAAATTCACAATGTCTTTGTGAAAGAAAATGTTGTTAGAGATAATTGATCAAAGAATGAATAAAATAATAAAACTTGAAGATTTTTTTTTTTTTTTAATTTTTTCTTTATTTATTTAAAAAATTTACATAAAAAATATTTTTACTTTATGTGTGACGAAAGCATTTGAGGTTTAAGTTTAAGTTTATAAGGATTGTTGCTAATATAACTACTTTTGTGCAAAAAAAAAGTAGGAATAAGAGTGGAAAAAATCAAAAGATTGATAAAACATCTGATGATTGGTGGTGGAAGAAAAACAAGTTGTTTCTAGATAGGCAATATTAATATAATAGGATGTTATATATGTCGATATATATAATAAATATATAGGTGTTAATATATATATGAATAGGATTGGTTGTTGTTGTTGTTACTATTGTTGATTTGGAAAAAATGATTATATATTGGTTTCGATTGTTTGAGTGATGAATGGAGGTGATGATGGTGAGTGTTTGTTTGAGGGAAGGCGTCGGTAAACGGAACTGGAAAAATCGTTATACCAAGTCGTACATCGTTGTTATTGTGGAAAAAATATGGATTTCGAAATTCAAAAGCGATTGATGAATTTGTAGAGAAAGTTGGTTGGTTGGCACTGCTTGAGTTGTGTTGATTAACACATTGGCGATACCATCTGGTTCGATTGGTAAAGTTGTTGTTGGGCAGCGTAGGAAGAGTCGATGGTATAGACTTGTTGTCTGGATTTTGAGGATTGATAATATTGGAGTTGTTGTTGGTGGAGTTGCTGTTGGAGTTGTTGTTGTTGCAAGAGGAACAACTTGTCTTGTTGTTGTTGGTATTGGATGAGCTCGAATGGCTTTCTAACGAGTTGTGGTGGGTTTTCAAATGGGTGTTTGAATGAGGATAAAAAGATTTGTTGATTTTCATAGAGGCTGAGAAGGTAGGAAGTAACTTCGTCGGTAGTCAAGAAGAGGTTGTAGTCAACACCAGTGAGGAATCTTCTCTCCATGAGATTCATATCCTTCAAGGAGAAGTTGAAGATTTCAGCAATGATAGCATTGTTGACTTGAGTAGATTCCGACCAGAATTTCAATGTTACAACGGAGCTGTAAAAAAAGAAAAGAAAAGAATATTGAAAAGAATAGAAATAGAATATTAATATTTTATGTTTTTCTAAGAATGCAATGGAATGTTATAACTCTATAATTACCTTGTTAAGAGTAAATTGAAAAGTTGGTTATGTTTAATACCACTTCTATGTACAAACTTGTCGGCGTAGATGATGATTGGAATCAAAAGATTAGATGAGCACTTCATCATATCCAAGATTGCCAAAACAATATCAAAGATTTCGTCGATTGCAATGAGAACTTCTCTTCTGAAGGCAGTCGATTCGTAGGCTGGATCATGTTGGATCAACCATCCGTATACTTTGTAGGAGGCAACAATTCTTTCTGGAATCATTGGTTTTTGTTGAAGTGAACGACTTTGGAGAAGACGTTTGAACATTCTTTGATAGCCATTTGCTCTTTGAGTGGCTTGTTGTTGTTGTTGAACTTGTTGGTTTTGCATTGTGTAATTATTTATATAAAAAAGAAATGAATGATTGTTGTAGTGATGTCGAAAACAGTGATTGTTTGTTTGCTTAAATGAAAAACAAATGTTGATTGATGTTTAAAAAATTATTGGAACTTTGATATGTCTCAGTATATCAAACTGTGAGTCCTGGTACAAATTAAAATTGTATTTTTAGTGGGAAGATTGTTGGAGAAGACAGCTTTGAATTTGGTTAGGCTGTAGTGATAGGAAAGTTATATATAAAGTGATAGAAGTTTAAAAAATTAGTAAATGATGGTCATCAAATTTGAAAAAGATAAACAAATGTTTAGGAAATGTGATTCGGTTTGATTGGGTTGTGGTGTGAGGGTGTGTGTGATAGAGAAGGATATTGGAAATATTTTTATAATATCAAAAAAGAATTGTTGATACTATAAATTTTAGGATAGATATTTGTTTTTGAGCAAAAAGTTGGAAAACAATATATCTTTGTTTGTGTAAGAGATAGAATAGGATAGTAGAGAAAGAAAATAGGAATGAAAAATATTATAATAAGAAATACTGGGTTGCTTATTATTATTATATTTCAAAAAATAAAAAATAAAACAAAAAATATATATTGTAGAGTATGTGTATTGGAAAATTATTAAAGTGCCTGTCAGAGTTGAAGGCTTTATAGAAAAAATAAAAATAAAATTATTAAATATATATTTTAGTGGTTGTTGGTGAGAGGAATCAAAACTTTCATGAAATATCTTAACTTGTCGTGTCTTGATATTGAATAGTGAAAAAGCCTTGATGGCGGCATGGCAATGCCAATAGTAATGGGGTGGGCTTGATAGTTGTAAACACAAAAATCCAAAATAAAGCAAACCAACCCAAGAACAATAGTTTTTAGTTGGAGTGTGATCAGATTTTGTTAGTTGTGTTACAGGAAGGTCAAAAAACCTAGTCGTTAAGAAATCACCCATTACGCAAAGAAAAAAAAAAAAAAAAAAAAAAAACCTAAATTTTTTGCAAAACTTTTTAAAAATCCACCACCACACCCAATTCCATTCATGGCTGATCGTCACTTTGGGCTCTAAAAATGAGCACCAAGATATGCGCATAAAATAGTCGATCTCGGGAAAAATTTAAATAAATTTATATGGTGGTGGGTGGTGTTGTTTTTAAAAAGTTGTACACACTTTTTCGCATGGTATGATTTTTGACAACTCTCGTTGTTATTGTTGTTGATATGTATGATTTTTTGTGATTGGTGAGATGCATAGAGCTGCATATGATGGGCTTGCTTGTGAGATAATTTTAACTTTGATTAAACGACAACAAAAAAATAAAATAAAATAAAACAAATCTTGTTTTTCAACACAACCATTCAATATGATATTTTAGTCAAAACAACAAGAATCCAAATCACCAATATCACAACAAAAGAAACCAAAAATCCAAATAAACTATTTAATAAAATATAAATCTCGAATTTTCATTTAGACTTTATTTTGATAAATCTATTGAGGATTTTTGGTTTTGTTTTTTTTTTTTTTTTAATTTATTTTTATTGGTCATTGGTTTGCATTATTGTTCATTGTTTTTTTGAGTTGCAAACATTGTTATTATTTAAATTATAATTATTATTAATATTATTATTTTAATTGATTTTGAGTTATTTATCCCATTCGGAGTTATTGCATGTTTTTAATTAGAATAAAGGCATAATTAAACAAATCAATTGAATTGTAGAATTAGGACCAAAACCAAACTAAAATTAAATGATAAACCCGTTTGTCGGAATAGGTAATTTATAAATTGCAAATGACACAATAAATTGATTGTTTGTGTGTTGAAATAAAATTTTTATTATTATTTTAAAATGAACAAATGAAAATGAAAGTAAAAGTGAAAGTAAAAGTAGTTAAAAAATTACTTACATTAATCATATAGTGTTTATCAAATAGACGGTATTGATTTATTTATTATTATTAAAATTTAATATATAAAATATAATTATTATAAGAATAATGAAGTAAAAAGATAATCGATTGTTTGGATGATGATTTATTATAGGTATAGAATTACAGAAAAACAACACAGGAATATGAGTTGTTTGTGAAGGTTTATTATAAGGGAAAAGATAAGATAAAAGATTATAGTAAATAGTTATAAATATAACAAAGATATTATTTTACAATTGTTTGGAAGTAGTGAACTATAGAACTGATAAGTATAATTAAAGAGTTGTATTTATATCTCTTTGGAATGTTGAGAAAATATAAAAGGGATATGATGTTGCCAATCGGTAAAGAAGCACTTTTAATTTATAGTTTTAGTGTTGCTCATGCCTTTGGTAGTTTGATTGGTAATCTAGCCCAGATCAGTTAGAAAATGGTATTCTCAATGGAAGATGGCTTTCTGTGTCATACAGTTACACCCATTGTCATGTCTTCACATGCATCATATTCTCTCTTCTTAAACAACAACAGCAACAAAACAACAACAACAACACACAACTAAACAAACACACAGATCTTTCAAGATCGCGCACCGATAGTCTTTTGACTAGCTGTAAAAAAATGTGTGAAAATTTTTGTTTTTTTTTTGTTCATTTAAAAAAAATGTTAACAACCACAACTGACACCACCACCCACAAAAATTTTTTTTTACCACCTTTAACTTTTTTGCAATACCAAATCTATCAAATAGACGGGAGCTCATGAACTAGAAAATTAGTATTGGTTGGCATGTCCATAGTACAACGAGCTGATATTAAGTTATCATGAGAATTGATTGTTCTATGTTAATCCATTTTAAGATTATTGCAAAAAAAAAAATCAAGTGAAAAAAAACAATAACAACATCAGTTTAAAATTTTCGGGGCAATTGCAAATATCTTAAGATTCATATGATTTCGCTCCAAGTTGAGAACAGTGTTTGTGCTACTTATCTTTTATGCGAGATCCATTAATGCACAATGGCACACTGACATATGGTGTTTTTTGTTTTCATTTTTAATCGTATGAACACTTCAAGACAAACCACTACATACATACAGGTCCCTCATTTTTATGTCTTGAACTTTATTATATGCTATTAAAAGCAATTTTTTTTTGGTATTTTTTTTTTATTTTTTTAAGATCTAGCAAAGACATCAAAATCACTATTAAATCCTGTGATGGGTTTCATTGAAATGGGTGGGTCAAAGTTCAACCAAACCATGACATGATTCAGATTTTTTGTTTCTGGAGTCTTTTTTTTGCAATGGTATTGGGCTCCTGGGCGAAAACCTTAATTTAGAATCACACACGACTTTTCGGACTTGCAAAATCCAAAAACAATTTTTTTACTTTAAAAGTTATACAACAGTTCAAATTTTAATTTTTTTTAATTTTTTTTTCAAAAATACCAATCAACCATTAATGTTAAGTATGGCATACCAATGAATTAATCTTGAAATTTCAAAATATTTTATTAATTTTAATTGAAAGAAACTGACTGGTTTGTTGAAATTCAACCAAAATGTTGTGTGGTTGGTTATTATTTAATAAAATTAATTTAAAAATAGATTATTTTTTAATGGGGGTGATTTGGTTGGTTTATTGGGGTTGTTTGCAGTGTGTGAATAAAATCCAAATTGGATCAATGATGATCTCATTATAATACTGAGACAACAAGTCTCACAGAGCTATAACCTCTAAAACTGAAATTGATTGGACCCATTTTACTTTAAAACTTTATCATATTTTCTCTTTCCATAAAATATCACAACAGGTTTACTCTAAAGAAGTGTGTGTTTGTTTAAAATTGAAATATCACATTATATCTAAATAAAATTGACCATATCATCCCAACCTACACCCAACTTGAAATTGGATTGGTTAAATTATATTAGATTTCATTTGAAATTTAGAAAGTTGGTTATTATTTGTGGATGGATTAGAGAGTTAGTTTTCTTTTAATATTGAGTGTGTGATTTTAATATATTTTTTCTTATATCATTACAATTCAAGTCATATCTGATTATTCAGTGTGAGTTGGTTTGTTAGATTATTATGATGAATAGATTTAACTACGTTAGTACGTATATACGTAGAGTAGTGGTACTTTTAAAATATTTTATATATATCCAATGGTATTATCTTATCTTTATCTTTTAGAACCAAGATAATCACACATCTGAGGTTACTCTGTTAAAGTTCGACACAAACATGACTCCGATTTGTCTTTTAATTTCGTCATTGAACGCGCATTCAACTCTGGACAGATACTTATTTTTTTAAAAAGACAAATGTAGAATCAAGTAACAAAACAACTTAACAACCAGGAGTCAACACATACACACATACACACATACACACACACACACACACACATAAACTAAAATATCAAGTGAATATTTAAATTAACAGATTCGGTTGCTTGTTGTTCTTCTTTGAAAGAATTGTGTGTAGAATATTCTATACTTTTTAAAAAAAGATACCTAAGCACACAAACAAACACACAACACACAAAACACACAATATATGTTGAACTTTTGTGTTGTGTCTATGTGTGTTGTTGTTGTGTGTTGTTCATTTGTATCCGTTCAACCAACCAAACAATAGAATTTATAAAAAAGGAATGAAATACACTGAGAATCCAATCAAAAAGCTGTTGAGATAACACTGTGATATAAAGATCATGTTGGTATGGTTGTTTAGGATGACGATTATGTGTTTTTAAGTGTTGTTTTAGTTGTTTTTGTTGTTGTTGTTTTTGTATTTGATGTCGACGACAATTCCCTATCTCTTTTGAATCTTTAGATAATCAAAAAACCATGATCTAATTCAAAGCACCAATCTGTGATAAAAATGAAATTTTTTTAATTGTTGGGGGATCATCTTTTTGTGGGGTTTTTACCCCCTTTGGATATCAATGTTGATAAAAGTAATAGATAACATTGAATACTATATATAGATTATATTAGCAAACAATCAAGTTTGTTTGTCGGTTACATGCAATTCAAACTTAAATTTTTTTTGATCGAACAGATCTCTTATAATTCATGAACATTATTGTCAACTGACAGATCAGGAAATATCTTTTGCAAATTCAATCAATTTCAATTTACAGTTCATTGTTGTTTGTTCTAGAACCATTTGGAAATGTCGTTGTTTAATTTTCAATCCTGGGGATCTAATAATTTAATATTAATATTCAAATATAATTATTTTTAATTGTTTGTTCAATTTTGAATTGCTAGTTAAAAAAAGACTACATTATTATTTTCCAATTTATTTATTTAGGTTTATTTTAAATTAAATTTTGGAAATTTGAATGTGTCCTATGTTTTGAATGAAGATCTCGTCGCTCTCCTCCTAGGCTATGTGTACCAATGGGCATGTATTTATTGAGGTAGTGGTAAACTAAATAGAAGAATACTAATAGTGTAGATAGAAATAGAATGAAACGTTTGGAAGCTGCCGCTGTACTGTCGTTGCCAGAGGATTGCTCTTTCTCCTGTAAGTAGTTTTTCAGCTTCACATCTAGCTTTTTTGCAATTTCATCTATCACCAACAGGTCTTTTTCATTTATCTCCACTCTATGATCCAATTCCAAAAGCAATTCATCTCTACAACTAGATTTTAATTTTAATTTTATCTAAAAACAAAATATAATAAAATAACTATATTAATATTGTTATTTTCGAACAAAATTATATTAACATTGTTATGCACATACCTCTTTGGTAAATGATTGTATATTTAATATTCTTTCTTGTACATTCTCTGAAATATATTCTAATTCATTGAGAAGGCTATGAATGTTATTGAAATGTGTTGTATTTTCAATCTTTGAAAAGTTACTGGATCTAACGTAGAGTTGTTGACACTTTATTTAGGTAAGAAAGTAAGTAAGAGTAAAATTAATATTAATTAATAGATATATTAGATAGTTTGTTAATAATTACTACATACAATATGAAACTCTTCATAGAGATTATCTAAAGATTGGTCTGTTTCCTCAGAGTGCTTCTTGAAGAGCTTGATCGAATCGTCCACTGATTGGAACGCATTCTTTAAGAATCTCTCGAAATCAAATGAATTGCCATTGGTTGGTAGAGTATAGTTAACACTCTTTATATCATCCATTTAATTTAAAAGTGTAGAGAGGATTCGAATAGTTCATTGATATCTACACACCTTATCAATGTATAAGATTTTTTTTTTTTTCGCTTTGTACAATAAGGAATATTTGTATAAAGTTAGTTGTCCAGCTAATTATCTGCTGCTGCCTACAACTTAAAACTTTAAAATAACAAAAACAAAAAATTAAAAAAATTAAATAATTCGTTATAATAATATTATAAAAATAAGAAAAGAATCACACATTAGATTTATTGTTTAAACCAATTGAAAAAAAAAAATAAAAAAAATGAAAATAAAATGAAAATACAATTTTCAATGATTTAATTTCTATCTATATACACACACACAGATATATCTGGGTGATGATTTTGCTTTGAAAAACAAATAATAATAATATCAAAAAAACAAAAAAAAAAATATTCTATAAATAAAAAAAAAATCAATTTATATAATATTAGTTTGGATGTTTTGGGAGGATACAAAAAAAATATAAAAAAAATAAAATAAAATAAAAAATAATAATCCCGTCAAATGTAACGACTAATTAAAAAAGGAGGTAGTCAGATCAACAAAGAACTTTGAATTTTTAAAAAAGTTTTTCAAATTTTTTTTTTTTTTATTATTATTATTATTAATGTTTAATTTATTATCTTTTCTTACAAAGAGAGAGAGAGAGAGATTCATAGTCAAATATTTATTAGTTTTGTTTTAGTTTTAACTAAAACAAAAAAAAAAAAAAAGGACAGATAGATAAATAAAATCAATATGGTTGTTGGAAAGAGAAAACAAGAAGAGGAATTCGAAGAGGAACTCGCTGATAATACAAAGAATCTAAAGAGACAAAGAAAACCAGTAAACAATATACAGATAGTTCAAAGCGATGACGATGAAGAGATAGAGGAGAGTGGCGATGACAGCAGCGACGGCGACGACGACGACAGCAGCAGTGGCGGTGACAGTGATATGTCGGATATCGAACAATCTCAACCGATTTCACCGATTGCCAAAGGCAAAGGAAGAAGAGCTGCTGTTGCCAATGGACATGCTGCTAAAACCAATGGAAATGGCAATGGCAATGGCAATGGAGTCAATCATCACAATAATAAAAACAATAATAATAATAATAATAATATACAACAGAATGGTAATGCTCCTATGTCTCGGCGGAACATAACAGAGGATGGCAATGAAGAGGAAGAAGACGAGCTGAGTGAAGACGAAGAGGAAGTGGCAAGATCGCTACACGAATCAGAGTTGGGAATCATCGAGAAGATCACTCTCGAGAACTTTATGTGTCACAAGCATTTCGAGATTGTTCTCGGTCCAAACGTAAACTTTATCTCTGGTGAGAACGGTAGTGGAAAGTCGGCACTGCTCGTCGCTCTCATGGTTTGTCTCGGTGCCAAAGCAGGTACAACCAATCGTGGTCATAAACTAGCGGATCTAGTTAAAACTGATTCACAGTATGTATTAACAATCGCGATCGTAGTAATATGTTATTATTATTGCGTGGTGCTATTGCATTGTTACTAACATGTTTTCATCTATTTCCATTTACTACTACTATGAATGACTATGAATGACGATGTCAAACAATGAAGAGCAGCAACAATATCTGTTAAACTTAGAAATAGAGGAAACGAAGCGTATAGACATAAGGAGTTTGGTGATTCTATCATTATTGAGAGAAAGATATATAAGAGTGGAACTAGTGGTGGATATAAAATCAAAGATGCTACCGGTAAAAAGACAATCTCAACAAAACACGACGATATCCTACTGATATTGGAGCAATTCAACATTCAAATCGACAATCCAATGGCCATTCTAATGCAAGATACATCCAGAGAGTTTCTTAATGAATCGACTCCACAAGCAAAATACAATGTAACTATAACTATTCACTACAATAGTAATAATAATAACTATCAACTTATCAACTTTTGCTAACCAACCTTACTTCCTTTTAGTTATTCTTAACAGCAACACAACTGGATCAAATGAAGAAAGATTTTAATTTTATTGACGATAATATAAAAGAAATCAATTCTATATTGGAGAAAAAGAACTATGTAAGTAGACAACGTAGAGTTAGTTAAGCACTATAATATGATGACTAATAATAATAATAATAATAATCGATTGTTTGTGTCTATGATAGATTATTGATGAGATGGAAAAGAAAGTGGCGGAATATACAAAGGAATATAAAGAGTTACAGAAGGTGTTTAATTTGGAGACTAGTGTGCAAGAGTTGAAGGAGAAGTTGGCTTGGTCTTATGTGGTGGAGATAGAACGTTCGATTGCCACGCTGACTTCAGAGTTGGAGGCGTGCGACAAGGGTGCAAGTGACAGTCAGCAGAGGGTGGACGAGCTACAACAAAGCATCACCAATGTCACTCAGGAGATTGTGAGGCTGCGCGCTGAGAATGCCGCGCTTGTAGAGTCGACCAGAACGTTTGACGATCGTCGTCAAGCCAATCAGCTGCAACTCAACGAGATTCACAAGGAGGAAGCAAAAGTGACTGCGAAAATCAGCGATTTCCAAAAGAGAATGGAAATCATTCAGAACAAAAAAGCGCGTCAGTTGCGTACGATCAATGAACACCGTCAGAAGAACTCACTCTCACAGAACAACCAGGCGAAATACGACCAGATCGAACAGAAGAAACAGGAGATTGAAAAGATTGAGCATGCGCTCGAAGGCGCTACACAGGCGCGTGATCATCTCAAGGGCGAATCGATGGAGGCACAGCGTAATACTCAGGAGACAGCGAAGGCACTCTCTGACATCCGATACCATGTATCGAAGCTGGAGAAGCAGATTCAGGGTCTACAAAATTCAAAGGGTGATCTGTCGCGTGTCTATGGCGACAAGATGCCAGCGCTCCTCAAAAAGATCAGAGACAACCAACGTAGATTCACTGGAAAAACACCGATCGGTCCAATCGGTATGAACATCAAAGTACGACAAGAGAAATGGGCATACGCCATAGAGTCGTGTATCACAAAGAAATCACTGCGTGGATTCATCGTTGAAACGTTTGCAGACGGTGATCTTCTATCTGCATTTGCCAAAGATCTTGGTATTCCGTAAGTGTTTCAATACATAATAATAATCATCATAGCCAGTATTAATTGATTTGATTTAATTGATTATTTTCATACACATATATACAGTGATTTCGAAGTGACATGTGTTCAGAAATTCCAGGATCGTGTTTATCGTGAGATTAGAGATGATTTCGATCCAAAGTATTTAACTGTTTTGCGAGCGATCGAATCGGATACACCGCATGTTCTCAACTTTTTGATTGATACAAAGAAGATTCACACTACACTTTTGGAGGAGGACAGACACAAAGCAGAGTATATCATTTATCAAGAGAGACCGGCGTTTTTGAAGGATGCTTACACGTTAATTGGTGATAAGATCTACATGAAGGGTAACACACAGGGTATCACCACCGGTATGAAAGGTCAGGCCACAATGTTGCAGGCCAACGTCGAAGACATCATCCATTCCTATCAAGCACAGATCGACCAGATGCGTCCGGATCTCGACCAGAAGATCCAACAGGACAATTCCGCCAAGCAACTGCAGCGTACTCTTCAGAACGAAGAGTCAAAGAAATCTAGCGAAATCAACAAGATGAACAAGTCGATTTGGGACCTGAGGAACGAAATCAGGTCGATCGAAGACACAATCGTCGAAGTCACCGACGATCCTACAGAGGAGTGGGAGCGTGGTATCCAGCAGATGGATATCGAGTTCAACGAATACCGTGAGTCTATCAAACAGCAAGACGAAGAGAAAGCTTTGATCATCGCTAAGCGACTGCCGATTCTCGCGTCAAACAAAGAGCTGGACGCCGAAGTCGGAAAGATCAACCGACAGATCAATGCTGCCGATCAAAAGATTGGCGCGCTGGCGAAGCAAGAGCGTGAGCTGCGACAGAACGAAGGTAAACTTCTCATGACGTCAACCAAGCACTCTACACAGCGCGCAACCATCGCGCAGCAACTCGAAGCACAGAAGCAGTCGTTGATTCAACAGCAGGAGAAAGCCGAGCAGTTTTGTGGACGTGTCGAAGTGCTCGAGAAGGAAACACCGGACCACTTGACGCGTGATATCAATAAGCACAAGGCGGCAATCGAGCGTGAAACCAAGGGTCGTCGTAGTCGAGCGGAAGTAATCAACTCGCTGCGAGACACCCAGGCGTCGCTCCACGAAGCCACCGACAAGCGTGACACCCTGAAAAAGCTCTGTCAAAGCGCCAAAGTGCGTCTGGACGACCGTTTCCAAAACTGGCAAAAGTTCCGTACCAAGATTTCGCGTCGTACCGCGCTCTTTTTCAATATTTTCTTGTCGCGTAAGGGTTACTCCGGTAACATCCAGTTTGACCACACCCAGAAGCGTCTCGAAGTCAACGTTCAGCTCAATAAGATGGCACCGGCCAACCAACAGTCCAGCGCCATTCAGGCGGCAAAGGGTCAGGCCAAAGGCAAAGGTGACACCAAGACACTGTCGGGTGGTGAGCGTTCGTTCTCGACGGTCTCACTGCTACTCTCGCTCTGGGAGGCAATGGAGTGTCCGTTCCGTGCGATGGACGAATTCGACGTATTCATGGACGAAGTGAACCGTCGTATTTCAATCGATCTTCTCCTGAGCAAAGCCAAAGAGAACCGCAACCGACAATATATTTTTGTAACACCGCTTCCACTCAACTCGATTACGCCATCACCACACATTTTCATACACAAAGTGAGACCACCGGTAAGAGGACAAAGGACCATAGTAGAACAACAAACATAATACAATACAACCCAAATACAAAATCCAATAACATAACAATTGAACACAAAACAACAAACTCTCAAACAAATTTGTATATCAAAATATTATTTTTTTTTCCAAATAAACAAAACAAAACAAAAGAAAACAAAAAAAAAAAAACAATAACAAAACAAAACAAAATAAACAATCAAAATCTTTAAATTATTAAGATGTAGGATGAATGAATTAATTTATTTGAAGTTTTGCAAATTTTCAAACAAAAAATCTTTCTTTTTTTTTTTTTTTTTTTTTTTTTCAAAAATATCAACATTTTTTTTTAAAAAAGTTTTAATAATTGTTATTTATAAATTTGTTTATTATTTATTTGTTTCATTAATAAGAGTATAAAGATGCAAGTATGTAAAGATTACTTGATATTTTGTAGAAAGATTGGTAGATTGACAGATTGATTTTATTATTATTATTATTTTTAGAACACTGCCGAAAAAGAAGAATTCAAGAACTATCTTGAAAAATGTGGTGTTGTAGACGCTATCACAAAGGTTTTAGTAGGTCTTTATGAAGAATCAGAGAAGCCATCAGATGCTTTAGAGTATGTATTCTATAACCAATAGAACAGTAGTAGCAACAAAACAAAGAAGAATGACATTTAATGATATTAACATTTACACTCTCAAAAAAAAAAAAAAAAAAAAAAAAGATTCATTAAGAGACACCTTGGTAATTCTGCAGGTATTGATGTCGAAGCTTTGAAACAAGAGAATGCTGAATTAAAAGCTGAAGTTGGTGCACTTACTCAAAGAATAGAAGAACTTTCTAAAAAGGTATGAAAATGAAAATCGAAAGATTTAGTTGGTTCGAACACAACTAAATTATCATGAAAACGATAATGACTTTGTTAACAATCTAACACTTTCTTCCTTTCCCTCTCAACTCAATCATCATTCAACAATTTCAAATTAATATAGTTGGAGGCTGTCCAAAAAGCTCAAGTTTAAATAAATCATTGTGTTTACCAATAATAATGATGATACTAGTATAATCAATCAACAATCAACCAACACATCACCAGCAGAAATAAGAATAACATTTGAATATATATTTTAATAGAACTCTACTGCTACTACCACAACAACAACGAGAATAGTAATAGAGTTTTATTTTGTTATTTTAATAAACTGGATTGTACAATACAAATCTACAACTACTGTAAATGGATGAAAAGACAAAAAAAAATTTGATATTTGATATTTCAAATTGGAACAAATCAATCTATCAATCAATCAAGTTTACTCTGATAAGTTGAAGTGGTGCTTTTTGGGAACAAAAACAAATATCAATGTCCGAATCTGGTTGAGTTGATGATGTAGTTTTTGACAGGTAAGTGTGATAGATGACAACAAACAACGCCCCAAAAAAACCACGTAAAAACATCAAACTAGTTTTCAAAGTAATTTTTTGATCGCAGTCAGAATGGAAATTTTTTAAAAATTTTCATTTTTTTGTTTTAAAATTTTTTAAAATTTTTGTCCTGATTTTTGTTTCTTCAACCTCCTATCTTTTATTTTGATGGGTATTTAATTATTGGCACACAATTAATTAAATATATATAATATATTACCAAATTAGATATCTAATATAAATTAATTCATTTGCATCATTTTTATCTAATTTTATTATATTTTATATATTTAATTTACCAACACAACAACAACCACCACCCTCTTTATTTTAGATTTTATTATTATTATTTTATTATTATCATTTATTTTATTATAATTTGTATAGTTTAGTTAGTATTTATACTTTGTATTTTTATTATTAGTTAGTTTGCTCAATATATTGTTGAAAGGTTAAAAGAAAAGAAAAGAGTTTAATACATATATATAGAAGAGATAGAGATAGACAATGGATACAACAACTAGAAATAGAATGAATGGAAACAAGAAGAAGAAGGAAGATGAAGTAGTTAGTCCTTCAATCGGTTCGCCAGGTTTGGTCAACAAGGCACTGAGTAAAGCGAGTAGTCGAGACGATTTCGACTCGAGCAAAGACGAGACCTCGTCGGACGACGACTCCCAAGCCGTTGCCAACGCCACCAACAACGCAGACAACGCCAAGCCCACAGATCCACCCGAATCGAAATACAAAAAGTTGGCAGTGCGTTCGGTGATCGGTGCCATGATGATTGCCTTCTTCACACTGATCCTATCGACCGATCATTTCATAGTTTCGCTATTCGTTATTGCCCTTCAACTACTGGTTTTCAAAGAGATGGTCTCGCTTCGTTACATCGAGGCCAAGGAGAAGAAGATCCCACGTTTCAGAACACTGGCTTGGTTCTTCTTGCTTTCCGCCTTCTTTTTCTTCTATGCCAAGCCAATTCTAGTGAAGCTTGCAACCTACTACCCCGATATTTTCCAACATTTCGTACACTATCATCTCTGGCATTCATTCTCACTTTATTGTATTGGTAGGTTAATATATATATTAACATCATATTTTCTATAACATATATACTAATCTTTTTTAATTATTTATGCTTTCTCATTTCTTTTTTCTATTCCTTTTCCTTACTTTTTAATAGGATTTGTATCTTTTATTTTCACACTTAGAAAAGGAGTTTATAGATACCAATTCTCACAGTTCACATGGATTCTCATGATTTTGATGATGGTCGTCGTTCAATCGAATTTCATTATCTCGAATATCTATCAAGGATTCATTTGGTTCATTCTCCCAGTGGCAATCATTGTTTGCAATGATATCTTTGCCTATTTCAATGGTTTCTTCCTTGGAAAGAAGTTTATTCAAAAGCCATTAATGAAAATCTCACCAAACAAGACATGGGAAGGTTTCATTGGTGCAACCATCTGGACATTGGTCTTTGCGTATTATGTAGGTTTATTTTATAAATTGGAAAGAAAATACAATTCGAATCAATTCATATTAATAATTCATTATTTATTTTCTATTAGTTTGCTGGATTTTTAACACAATTCCAATGGTGTATTTGTCCAAAGGGTTCCAGTGGATTCATGGAAACACTCACCTGTGTTCCAGACCCAGTATTCGTCGAGAAGGATTACGTTCTTCCAGTTGAAGTATCAGCTTTCCTTTCAAAATACGTATGTATACAAAAATATATTCTTACTTTATAGTGATGATTAACTAATTTTTTTTTTTTTTGGTTTATTTTAGATTGGTATTCAAATGACACATTTCTCATATGTACCAATTCAATATCATGCTTTAGTTTTGGCATTGTTTGGATCATTGATTGCACCATTCGGTGGATTCTTTGCTTCAGGTATCAAGAGAGCCTACAAGATCAAGGACTTCGATAATATTTTCCCCGGTCACGGTGGTGTTACCGATAGAACAGATTGCCAATTCATCATGGGATTGTTTATTCATGTCTATTATCTCACTTTCATCAAGACCAACGACTTGGATGCCAATCAAATCTGGCAAGGTCTATTGATGCTTCCAATCGATCAACAAGTTCAAATCTATCAAAAATTACAAACCACCATCGAATCTGTATTGATCAAAGCTTAAAATAGTAATAAAATAAATAAATAAAATATATATTAAAAACACATATTCTTTTTCATTTTTTTATATTTGTCTTTTTTTTTATTTAATTGTTTTATATATTTTATTTTAAGCTAGATAATAGGTCATTGATTGACTACCAATGTTAATAAAGAATTGTCCAGTTTCAGCTGTTATTTGATTATCTATTCCAATGAATGTGAACTCTCTTGGTGTTAAAACGAAATCTACACGTTGTGAATCACCTGGATTCAACAAAATCTTACGGAATCCCTTGAGCATTCTGACCTCTGGTGTGATTTGGGCATACTCTTTTCCGAGGAACAACATTGCTGTTTCCTTTCCTGTCATCTTTCCAACGTTGGTAATGGAAACAGAGATTCTTACGTAGTCACCGACGTTTCCAGTGAAATTGGTTGGGCCGAATCTGGTGGCGTTACAATTGATATCAGAGTATTCGAATTGAGTGTAGCTGAGACCGTGTCCAAAGTCAAAGAGTGGAGTGTGAATTCCTTCCATCGAGTATTTGTAGTAGTATGGACTGATATCACCGGTCGAGGCGGGGTAGGTAATTGGAAGACGTCCAGATGGATTGATGTCTCCGAAAATAATTTCAGCAATTGGCTTACCAGCTTCCGAACCTGGAAGATAGGCCATGAGAACGGCACCCAATTGGGCGACGAGAGCTGGTGGAAGAACACGTGGACGTGCTTCAATCAAAACGAGAATGATTGGTGCTTTGGTAGATTGCACCAATGTTTCCAAAAGAAAAACTTGAGCTTCGTCCATTGATAGATCATTGATATCACCGGCACCCTCTGATTCTGGGAGTTCACCAAGAACGACAACAACAGCATCGGACTCGGAAGCAGCGTTGGCAGCTTGTTCCAACAATGTTTGATTAATGACACCATATTCAGTACCTTGTTCGAAAACAACTTCGGCATTTGTTTGGTTCAAGTATTGTTGAATACCCGATAGAATAGTAGTTCCAAATGGGAATTCAGAGTTGTATTTAGCACCTTGCCAGTGGAATGTCCAACCACCGTTTTGATTTGGTAGAGAGTCAGCCGATGGACCAGTTACTAAAATCTTTGAGATTTGACTTGGATTCAATGGTAGGACTTGGTTGTTTTGGAGGAGTGTGACAGACTCTGCAACGGCGTTGGCAGCAACTTCACGATCTTCCAATTGACCGATCGATTCAATCAACTCTGGGTCGGTAACTGGATATGGGTTATCAAATAGACCGGTGGCATATTTGAGGTTGAGAATACGACGAACCGACATATCAAGACGACTCTCGGGAATACGACCGTTTTGAACCATACGCAACAACAATCTTGGGAATGAGAAATCGTCGGCAACCATCGACATATCGATACCGGCATTCAAAGCCAACTCGATAGCTTGTACCATGGTTGGTGCAATCTTGTGGAAAAAGTGGAGTTTCTCTATGTCTTGCCAATCGGAGACGGCAAGACCGTCGAATTGCAATTCCTCTCTCAAAACACCGGCGATATACTTCTCAGAGGCATGCATTGGGATACCGTTGATCTCTGCAGAGTTAACCATGACAGTACCGGCAAAACCTTTGTTCAAAGCTTGGGCAAAAGAAGGAAGGAAATAGTGACGCATCATACGCTCTGGAATCCAAGCTGGAGTTCTATCCTTTCCATTGACTGGATTGGAGTATCCAAAGTAGTGCTTGGCGGTACCAACTACAGCTGGAGAGCTGATATTTCCGGTGAATGGATTCGAATCTCTTTGGAGTCCTCTTACAGAGGCTTCACCGAGTTGACTAGCAACGAATGGATCTTCACTGAAGGTCTCATACATACGCGACCACATTGGTTGAACACCAAGTCCAAGAACAGGTGAGAAAACCCATGGGAAACCACAGGCAGCTGAATCTTTACCAGAGATAGTTTGTCCTTGATAGACCAAATCTGGATTAAAAGTAGCACCCATACCAGTTCCCTAAAAACAAAATAGATAAAATTAGTAAATTTCTTTAATTTTACACCTTTAAATTAGATATTATAACTTACATGTGGGAAAAGTGTTGATTTTTCAATATAGGTACCACCATGAATACTGTCAATACCATAGATCATTGGAATAGAATTTGGTTGATTCTTTACAGTGATTCTCTGTAAGGTTGTCAAGAGATCGATCCATTGAGTAGCATTGAGCGAAGAGTAACCTTGAACGATTCCACCAGTGGTTGGTGAATTTAAAAACGATCCAATTTGGAATTCCTTGGTAATTTCATCTACATAGGTTTCATTCAATTGAACTGTATTTGGATATACCAACTTATTAACATCAATCTAAAAAAAAAAATATAAAAAAATAAATTTAAACTATTAATAATTTGGGTTTTATTTAAATTTATAATAAAATATATACTTGTGTCATTTGTCCAACTTTCTCTACGATTGACATCTTTCCTAACAAAGCAGTAACGAAATCATCTCTATTCTTAATATATTGTTTTTGTTGTTCTGTTAACTCTGGTTTTGGGTACATTTCAGAGATTTTGTATTTCTTTTGTTTATAGATAGGTTCGTCATCTTCTTCACCATAAGAGTATGGTTGATTGTTAATATTGACTTTCTCAGTTGCAGCAATAGCAAATGCTACAAAAGATACTAACAATAAAGATAATAAAACGATCTTCATCATTATTTGTATGAATAAATAAATATAAAGTTATTAGTTTGTTGGAACTAAAATAAAACAACAACACAATTGCAATTAAAAGAAATAACAATTCAAAATTTAAACACCTTAAAAACCAACCTCGTAAACATTCCAAAGGTTTTCGGTAAAGCTCAAAAAAAAGACCCCCTTCAATTTAAAAAATCTTCCCAAAAAGAAAAATCCACAATCTACAAAAAAAAAAAATATCTGACCATTGTTGATGTCATCTTAAAATAATCAAAAATATTGATTACCAGTGAATAATTGATTTCTTACTGGTTATTTCGTTAAATGACGAAATTTGATGATCTAATATATATATATATATATTAGAATAATAATATTTATAAAATAAAAAAATGGAAATATAGATACAAGTATTTTATTTGAATAAAAAATATATAAAAATATATTATTTGTGAATTTCGTTCAGTATTGACTTTTTTAGTTTTAGATTAATTTACAAAGAACCTCTTTTCTTGAGTTTAATAACATCGATTACTCTTCTACCGGCTAGTTGTTTCTTGATGACTACTGCCGAGATAGTAATGACTAGCATTGCACCTACTACACTGCAGACAACAATGACTGGTAGTTTCCATTTGTTTTTGTCGGAACCACATAGGTTATCTTGGTCGGAAGTGACCAACAATCCAAAATTTGGATCAACAATACATCCCTTATCGAAATGTGGAACCTCCACTGCCGAGAGAAGTCTGAATGCTTTTTTATCGTCGGTGTTGCTACCGTTGTTGATATTCTGATAGAGACTGTCTGTGTTGTCCAATACTTTGATGCTACTCTTTGTTATTCTATCGTCAATGTAGAGATAGTGTGCAAATCTCGCAGAGACAATGGTTCCTCCTGATTTAATTTCGAGCCACGATGCATTGTCGGTTGTTGTTGTTGGTACTTCACAAAGAGAATCCGAGTCAACGTTGATCTCGGTAGCAAAAACTAATTGAAGTATGCTCAGACGCGAAGAGAATGTCCAGTTGCTAACGTGAATTTGGAACTTTACTGAATTTGCTGCCAATTCAATATATTCACCAGCGAATTCAATGATTTTCTTCTCTTTAACAATGTCTACGTACAGTTGAAGTTGACAACCATCGTTGTCGAAATCACCATGATATTCCAACGAATCTTCACTCTGATTGACTATTTTCCATTTGATATTGGCAGTGTCCAATGTCTTCTTGGTTACACTATCCTCTAGTTCTCTTAGGTACTTCACATTGATCTCGAATTTCAACTTGTCAGAGGTAGAAGGAAGGACAACACCACCCTCGTCATTGGGGGTTGGGACGGGAGTTGGTGTTATGACATCCACTTTCTGAGAGCAGTCTATAGAAGTATACCCTTCGGCACATGTACACTGACCGTTTGGACGACAAATACCATTTCCGCTGCATTCTGTCCGTCCAGGACAAACAAATCTAGTTGTATAATAAAATATGCTTCTTGTTGCATTTAGTTTGTTCATGTTACTTGTCATTGAAATAATGTTGATTGGAAGTGCATCGCCTTGTGCATTGATATCTTCGTTCAAGAGAGTATCACAAATCACCAGAGATGTATTAATAAAATAATTGTTTGTACAAGATGTTTTGCCAATTGTAATATTCAAATAGCCTGGAGTAAAGTTTGATCCGAAAATAGTTACATTTCCACGTACTCCTTTATCGATAGATGTACATCTGTCTATAACAATATTTTCAAAGTAGACAAACGTATTCGATCTTTGACCTCCAACTTCGACAAATAAGGCATCGGGAGCCACTTTAGAAGGTATAGTCGCAACAATTCTGTTATAACTTGCAGATGTTATAGTTATGGTAAGTATGGTGTTCACTGGAAGAATATTAATGGTAGAAATGTTTGTATGAAAGTTTTCTCCGTTGATCTGAATCTCAGTAGGAGAAAGTCGGTCAATTGACGTGATGTTGGGTAGCATATAACTATAAGTGTAAAGGTTTGAAGTTATATCATCGATCAACACAGCAAACGGTATACCTGTACCGACACCCGCTGGGAAAGTAACATCAAGTTGAGAAGATGTTGGCCGAGGATTGCTAACTGTGCACCCTGCTATGGAACAGGTAAATTTACTATAATAGAATCCCTTATTAGAAAAATCAAGAGAAAGTGTACCGCCACTCGTTGGAAGTAGTGATATTCTTCCGGGAATACTCGGTTCTAAAAAATTTGGAAATAAATTATTAATTAAAATCTTTGTTTTATATAAGGAATAGTTATTATGATTCATTCTTACTTGGTCCATAAAATTCATTAAATACTGCGTATGGCAAAGTCGGGGAACCAACTGTCAAAGAGATATTGTAGTTTAGAATCATTGGTGGGGGACCATACGTTGGAAAATTTGCAGGCAAATATGGTGTTACCTCTTGTCCTGAATACGGAGCATTGGTGTAGATCCAAGTTTTTGAAGAGCTCACAAAGTCTAATCCTTGAGCCATCTTTTGGTAGTAGATGCTTGAACTGATGATTTTTTGAATTGCAAAAACAAATGAAGAATCAGCCACTACAGACACAAATGAGTTTCTTTCGGCCACTACATTAAGATGACTTACTTTGGAGACCATAATTTTATAACCAATATTACGATATGCTATTTGACATGGTTTTAAGTTTGGTAAAACTAAACAGAAAAAGTTTAAATAATTTGATTAAAATAAAATTCACAATAATAATAGTTTTAAAAACTTACTAAATGGTGGTTGATATGCTAGATATTGTAATTGACCAACGGTTAGTTTCAAAGGAAGAATTCGTCCAGGATAAGTACGAGAGACTTTACATCTAATTGAAGTATGAGGTACCAATACTTCAACGTCGGGACATTCATTATTGGTTTTTTCAAATAATACCGACTTGTCCATTGTACTATTGCCCAAGTTATCACCAACTATGGTCAACCATTGATTCGCTGTTGTTGGTGGGTAGATGTATTGTATTGATGGTGGCATATATTGACTATATACTGAATTATTCAAGCTTGGATATTGAAGAGTCAAATAAAATCCTAGAATTATTTATTATATTAGAAAACTATATTGTATTTTAAAATATATAGATATATATATATTTTATACATACTTCCTGATCCTTCCGGTATTGTCACCATTATGATTGGATAGCTGTAGGAAAAGCTAACAACTATTGTGGATGATCCAATAGCATATAAAATGTTTGTAGGTTTTTCATCTCTGTCAATTGTCAGTGCTAATTGTCCGCCTCTGGTAGGAACTACACTAGACACAAACACTGGTGGCGTTGGATTCTGTTCGCAAAAATAATATAACTCATTTGTTGGATCGCGCGCCGACATCATTGCACTACCGTTGGAGTAAAAAAAAGCTGTCTGGTTCACATAGGTTGGTGTTCTCGGCATATCATCCCAATTCCAAGGACAATAAGTAGTGCAAAGATCGATTGTGGTTTGATAAAAGATAAGGTTGGCTTCATCTTTATTATTGTTGTTTGTTGCATACCGCCAAGAATCGTAGTTTACATTGTCTAGCATGTTAGATCCACTGATCCAACCTTCAGCTGAAGCACCAAACTCATTGACTATCCAATCTGCTTCAGCCCTAGTCAGAATCGTTGCCAAGTATCCACCATCAGTCAAACACTGACTAGCAGCATCATCGTATGATTTTGCATCCATCTTAAAATCGTACCAATGAAGTGTGGAGGGATTTTGTTTTCCGCGACTCTCTACCAAACTATGGTGTAATAAAATACAACTTATTATTATAATTATTATATATTTCATTGTAATTATTTATAAAAATAGTTTTGTTGTCAAAAACAAATATTTAAAGATGTTTAAAGAAAAATTTAAAAATCATCAGAAAATATCTTTGATCTCAAAAAAAAAAACAAACAAATTTGGGTCAGACCAAGAAAAAGAAGAAGTTGTTTTTGCCATGATTTACGAAAAATATTTTTTCATTGATTTTTAGAAATAAAAAAGATTGATAAAGTTTTTGGAATTTATTCTTTATTCGATCGATTATATTTAATAATTTTACAATTTTTAATTTTTTTGATTTACGCTTTTTCAATTTATATGAAATTACATCTGAAATTCTACGACCTTGTAATCGCTTCTTTACAAGGAAAACAGTGGCTAAAACCAAGATTGTGGCACCGACAACACTGCAAACAACAATGACTGGAAGTCGCCATTTGTTATTGTCTTCGTCTCCGCAAGTAAGTTTCTCATCATTTCCTGTTAGAAGCAGTGAATAGTTTGGATCTATTGTACAGTAGGTGGAGAATGAAGGTGAAACCACTGCTGTCAGAAGGTTATATTCACCTTTGGAGCTGATAATATCTTTGTAGAGTGCATCGTTCAAGTCGAGTTGACGGACCACGCTCTTGGTGATTCTCGATTCCAAAATGAGACGACTTGCAAATTTAGCTTGAAGAATACTGTTTGGTGTTCGAACTTGGTAGTAGCTAAGCGAAGATTGCTGTTGATCCGATTCCTCAACTGGATTTGTGCATAGATCATCAGTGTTTGATGCCGATGCCTTTGTTATGTAGATAATTTCCAGAGTGTTGAGAGGTGATTTGAATGTCCATTGAGTGATATTCACTGTGAATTTCACACTGTTGGCATCAAGCAGTATAGTTTCACCGGCGAATGTATGGTTGGTAGCATTGACGATAATGTCAACATTCAGTTGGATACGACAACTGTTTTCTTTGAAAGTACCAATATAAGTACCATTGGATGGTTGTTGCCAAGAAATATTTTTCATGGAAACTTGATTGTGTACTTGAGCGCTGTCGTCTACCTCTCGAATATGATAGAGTCCAATACTGAAATCCAAAGATGATTCACCCGAGAGAATGGTTACTCCTTCATCGGTTGTTACTGGTGGAAGAGGCGGTGGTTGCGGTTTATTAACTGGTTGTTGGAATGAACAATCTCTGAGTGACCAACCAGATTGACAAATACAAGTACCAGTTGTCTTTTGGCAATCACCATGACCGGAACATTTGTTTGGACACTCGTAATCTGTGATATAATAGAATATCTGTTGTGAAAGAACAACTATTTGATCGAGGAATGCTTTGATTTCAATGGTGAGAGCATCTCCATTTTTATTGCTTGGCACCGATGCTTTGTAATTACACACCAACTCGGTTGTACTTATGAAAAAGATTTGATCGCAAGCCAATCCACCAATAGTAATTGAAAGTAAGTCATTATAAAATCCAGAACCGATCAGAGTAACATTTCCAGGTTGTTGGAATCGTACCGATCGATAGGAATCGATTTTGAAATGAGTTGGAAGATTTTGATAGGTGATTCCATTCGATATTCTATCATTGACATACAGGTGAAGGAAGTATTGTCTATCACCAGCAGGCATCTTTACAATGGTTTCATTCGATGAGACGATTTCAAAGATTGGTATAACTTGTTTGGCAATGTCATCGTACAAAGTGATATTGGCATTAGGAGAAATATTCACCATATAGAAATGAACATATCCATGGGATTTAGATGTGGCATTGGTCAAGTAGTCACCAACAAACACTGGTGTTTCATAGATGACAAATTTATCACCACGATACTGAGTTTGTATATATAGCATAGCATCTTTCCCCTCTACTGGTACTGTTACCGCAATAGCTGTCGAATTGATTAAAGTAGCTATAGTGAGGGCATTGCTACCCAATATAGCATTTTGGAAACCTTGGAAATTATATCCGTAGATTATCAAGCTGGTTTCGCGACTACTCACAGCATATCTACTGACGGAGTTGATGATTGGGATAGGATCTTGAGCCAATGCCACTACATCATCCACTGTGATAATACACTCTGACATTTGATATAAAGGACTCTCCAAAATAACAGACCTTTGGCTGATGTATTGTGTAAGTGAAACGGATGCCGGATTTCCGTTTGGTTGAATAACTTTGATTACACTGAAATACGATCCATAGTTTCCAATATCCAATGTGAACGTCGTACCTTGTACGTTGAGAACACGATACTTTGGAACAGGATTAAAATATCTAATCAGCGTCGTGCAGTTTACTTGTTGATCTTGAATAGCACTTGTCAGCTCCATGGTGTTGATATTAAACTTATAACTCAAACCTTCAACTAAGAGAGCGGGGTCGATATTAGCTCGTGTATATGGTATGGTAGAACTTCTAATATTTGGTCCATCTGTATAAATAAATGAATCAACAGTGTTGTTCCATGCAATTCCTTCCATGAAATTCTCTGGAAAAACGGAAGGATAGATCAATTTAACTTCATTGACCTCTGGTATGCTGGTAACTACTCCAATGTATGCTTTGAAAGTTCCAACTGTCATTAATCTTGCTAATTTGATAGAACTTGTATAGTTTGAGGAAAATGATATCAATTGGAGAAATGATTTTGTCGATTGAGAATCTACAAAGATTAATAATTTTGATTAGTAACATTGGTTATATTATTTCATGGACACTTTTAAAATTAAAAATAATACCTACAATATGGTAAACTATAGACTGTTGTAGTAATCGAACTAACATTGACAGTTATTGGGAAAAAGTGATCTACAGAGGAAGCAAGCTGACAAGAAATGGCAAAATTATCCAAATCCGTTATATCTAAACATTGAATTGGTCCTACCTTTATTTGAATATCAGTTACAGTGTTTCCAAAATTCTCACCCACAATTGTCACTATGTCTCCAGTACCAACTGAGAAATAAGATAGTAAAGGAGCTAGAAATATTATTAAATAAATATTTAAATAAGTTTTAAAAGTTAAAAAAAAATAGAATACTAAATATTTGGTGTCTTATACATACGTTCATATACAATACTTGTTGAACTATTAATTTTTTCGCCATCTGTTGCTTTGTAGCTTGATGAGATTGGGATTGAATTTATACCACCTGGAACGGAATAAGTATAAAGGTCCACAGAAGAATTGTCACTAAAAGCAAGAAAAAGTCCTTGCCAAGTCACCTCTGGAACAGTCACAGGGATATCATCTGTATCTTCTACTTTAAAGAAAATTCTAAGTTGTCCTCCGGTGGTTGGCACTGTGTTTGTCGGATACATATGAGCCTTTGAAACTGTGTCATTAACGAATTGACAGATAAATGGAAGTTGTTTATCGACGTCTGTTGCGTAGTGAGTGATGTTGTTGGCGCTGTTTCCTTCCACTGCAACACCTTTGTTCGAAGTTGATGGATAGATCATTGATTCCGGGGCAAAAAAACATGTGGTCTTGCACTGTTGAGTCAGGTAGTTGTAGAATTGCATTCCGAGATATGGCGAATCCGCTGAATACGAGTAATCTAGTGATCCAACTTGGTTGAAACCATTCACAAACGAACGGCTAGTGAGAAATCCAGAGTTGGCCAATTGTGCAAATTCCAGGTGGTTCGGAGTTGCAAGCCAACCTCCGTTACCTTTACATACACTGATTGCATCGGCATAGGATTTCGTCTCGGAATTCCACTCGAATATACGGTCGCCAATATAGAGTTTCCATCCATCCGAAACCTGTGCTGGCATTGGTGTCTTATCGTCATCACGGTCCATTACCGCAGACACCAACACCACTGCCAAGCTCAAACAACAAAAAACAAAAGAAAAAAAATAATTTATTTTCATACAAAAAAAAAACTGTATCTTCTCGAAAAAGCTATAACATATATATATTTAAAAATAAATAACAAATATAGATCTATAATTATATCGAATTTAAAAATAATATGTTCTTGAGACTTTCTCACTACGACCCAAAGATCAGCAAGCACTCCAATCCAACTTTTTTTGTATTTTTGTTAAAAAATCTTTTTCCTAAACTTTTAAAAAAAAAAAAAAAAAAACAATTTTAATCACTTTTCTTGGGTTTAACAGAATTTTTAAATATAGAGACAAGTGTCACTTTTACCGATGGCAAGCAACCATCTTATTTTAAGATCTAGATCTGAAAATTATTAGATTACAAGAAAACTATTTTTGATAAGAAAAAAAAAATGTTTATGTTTGCAACAATAAATGAAAAATATTCCCAGCTGTATTCGAACAGGAGAAGAAACTAAAGTTTATAATATACTATAAATGATTAATCATTTTTAATTAAAGAATCTCAGGTGTCATACAAATAAATAAAAATATTAAAAATATTTAAAAATATTATCAGTTTTAAATTTTGTTTTTTAAATATTTACAAAAAATTTTGAATAAAGGCGCAATGATGTTCATTTTTTTTGATTAACATTTGCAAAAATTGATGATCATGTGTTTTTTTTTTAATCAAAGGATATATTTAAAGTATTATTATGTTACCAAACAATAATTACTATACTCCTTACCAAAATCAAAAGTTTAATAACAGTAGTAGCAGCAATAATAGAACGTATAACAGCAGCAACACTGATACTACCACAGGAGTTACTAATGAAAATAATATAATGAGTGGTAATACTAGAGCTGGATTAGTCAGTGATAGTGGAATCGATAATATTCCACTCACTCCCATTAGAAGTCAGAATAATAATGGTAGTATTAGTAGTAACACTGGTACCGGTGCCACTCAACAACAACAACAACAACAACAACAAAATCAAAAACATCAACAACAGCAACAACATCATTATCAACAACAACAACAAACAACTGTAACATCAAATACTACAACGACAACAGGATCCTCAAGAGCACAATCATCACCAAATTTATATGATAGAATGTTATCCTCTCATAATAACAGTAATCAGAGTAGTAATAGGTCATCGTTACATAATATGTCACAACCTAATATTCCAGGTCAGGTCATATTAGAAGAGGTGATATCCGACGAAGAAGATACATCATATCCTCAAACACCATTCTCAAGATACAGTAGTAGTCAACATTCATCTCCATCACAAAAGCAGCAACAACAACAACAACAGAGTTCATCATCATTCATAGATGACGACTCACCCTTAACTCCCTCCAAATTCAAGACAACCAAGACACCCAGACGTTGGAGATTAGTACCTGCTCATTGTACATGTATTATAGTATGTTAATTAATACAAATGCTAATGATCAATAACTACTATTATTATAAATTACTAATATTTTATTTTTATCTTCTTTTTGATAACTAACTTATTTTATTAGCATGATACTGAAGATGGCCAACAACATCAACAACATGATATTAATTGTAATACACAACAACAACAACAACAACAGCAACAACAAAACAAAACAAATACCACTACTCCTACTTCTACTTCCACAAATAATAATATACATTCTACAACATCAACAACAAACTATACACCTTCAACACCGATATCGGGATCTAAACCACCAATAATGACACCAAACCATCATCTTATGAATAGTCAACAGCAGCAACAACAACAACAACAACGTATGAATTATGATACTCCTACATCCGCTGCAAACAATAGCAACAGCAATATATCACCAAGCAGATATCAATCACAACCACAACAACAATATCAACATCATTACAACCAGCAACAACAACAAACATTTTCAACACCATCAAGTACATCTTTTTCTAGTCGTACAAGTAGTAGTCCAAGAAAGAGACCCGACTACAACGTCTATTCCAGTGGAAACTACGCTCAGGAGTTGAATCTTCTAAAGAAAGAATCGAAATCACTCGAAGATGATTTCAACAACTCACAAATCTCACAGCCATATTTCACGCCAGTGTCAACCGCTTCACAGTATCATCATCAACAACAACAACAACAACAACCAACCTCTAGATTCTTTAATTCATCAACAACTACACCATCCAATTATCAAATGATGAACTTCTCAGAGTATGATGTTGAATATAACGATAGACCAGACAACAATAGCAATAATAGATCACGTGAGATGTTGGAGCAAGAGATTCTCGGTACTCAAGAGACTGTCGCCGACAAGATCGACCAACTGAAACAGAAGCTGGTAATGGCTGAACATGCATTGACTTCCGCTGAATCGAGATACAACACGATCGAGGATGAATCGAGACGAACCGGTCGCGTCAATGTAGAGCTACTCGGCCGTGTCAATCAGCTGACGGCAGAGCGCGACAAGCTGGCAAACGCCATGCACTCGAACCTCGACAACTCGAACTTGATCAACGAAAACAACAAGCTGCGACGTGTTATCGACGACCAAGAACGTATCATCGCAGAGAAGAGTGTCGACGATGCACTCATCTCCGATCTGGTACAGGAGATATCGCAGCTATCGTCCGTCATCGATCAGAAGCTGCTAGAGGCAGACCAAAAGGATGCGTACATTCGCGAGAGACGCGAGGAAATAGTGATGCTTGGCGAGCGACTGCGCAACATGCAAGAGGATCATTCCAACCAATCGAAAGTCGAGCTACTCCTACATGAACTGGTCGCGCTACGGCAACAGAGCGAGGAACTCGACCGATTTGCAAACGCCAAGATCAACCAGGAGCGAAACAAATCGCAGCAATCCGATGTACAACGACGCCACGCCGAAACGAAGCTACAACAACTCGCCATTGAGATGAGCGAACTAAAGAGAACGAATGAGATGCTGCAAGGCTCCGATAGGGAGGAGCGCGAACGTCGTGTAATCAGTGAGAACCAAGTTGTCTTGCTTCGAGAGACGATCGATCGGATGACAAAGAATGAGCTGTCGGTCAAAGAGGAGTTGGCGCAGTCCAAGAAGGAGTGTCAATCTCAGAGTGAAGAGTTGCAACGTAGTCAGGGAACCATTGAAGAGCTGAACCGAATGTTGGAGCATCTGATGGCAGAGAACGACGATATGAAAGAACGACTATCGAAGGTGCATGTAGTCATCGAGAACTCGCCAAGAGTACAGCTTTCCGACCAACAAATTCAAGTTCTTACACCTTCGCGTGTGAGAAGAACAACTTTCGATTCGTTGTACCAAAGTCTCTATAAATCAACTTCAGCGGTACCCACTGGAAACAACCATCATTCGAATACCAATAGTTCAGCAACAGCATCAGCAACAGCAACAACATCACTATCTTCTTCTTACAGTAGTACCTACAGACCATTCTCATATACACATCAACATCAACAACCACCAGTATTCTCTAGTTCCTCCTCAAACAAAAACACTCAGAATAATAATAGTAGTAGCAGTAATAACAACATCTTTGGTACCAACTCATTCTTTGATAAGTATCGTGAGATGGACGACGAAAATGGTGACGACGAAGACATCATCGTCAACAACAATCAAAAAGAACTGACACAAGAAGAACTCGCTCAAACACTTACTAGCAACAGCAGTGGTATAAATACAGACTCTGGGGAGATGCACGAAGAGTTGAACGAAGAAGAAGAAGAGGAGGAAGTAGAGGAAGAGGAAGTAGAATATGAGGAACAAGGAGAAGATGAGGAACAACAAGTGTCCAGGTTAAATGAAGGAAGTGACCAAGAGGATGATATTACATCCAAAGAGAGTCAACTCAACAATTATCATACAAACGATATAGAGGATGATGGTGAAAGTGATATTTTAGACAACGATTATGATGGTTTGGAATTTGAAGATGAAAAAGTAGATGTAGAGCAACATGCTAGCAACTCTGTTTTCGATCAGACCCACAATATGTTGAATGACCTTGAACTTGAAGATGACCCTGTCGATATGTTTATGGTAGCTTCTCCATCAACTGACAACACTAAACAATCGATTCTGACCAAGTCAAAAGAAAACCATAAGACAGCACCACCACCCAATGTAGTAGAAAGAAAAAAATTGAATCTACGTGTAAACTCTGGTGAACTATGTGGTATGTATCAGTCAATCAATCAATCAATCAATCTCCTAAAACAAACCAAATGATGGTTTGTTTATTTGTTTTTTTTATTATTATTATTTTTTGCTGTTATTTTGTGTTTTGCGTTTTGTGGTTGTTGTGGTGACTATCCACAAATCCAATCAATTTATCTTTTTTTGGAAATTTGTTTTGTTTTTCTTCATATACTTTGTTTAAAGTCTGAAATTATAAATGTGGATATGTTTTTTTTTAAACGGTCAAACATTAAAAAAAAGAAAATTATTTTTAAAAAAAAAATATAGACAAGCAAAGGTTAGATTTACTAATTGTTTTTTTGTAATAAAAAAAAATGGTATATAGTGAGAGTTGGTGGGGGATACGAGAAACTTGAGGACTTTGTTAATAAGGGTAACCAGAATATCAAGTGGCAAAAAGATGGAAAATCAATATCGCAGAATGAGTATGGTAAGTGTAAAGAAAATAAAAAAATAGTGAATAAATTCACAATAATATCGAACACGTTTTCGACCAAAAAAAAAACAACAGTCACTCATATAATCTATAAATCATCACTAAATATAGTAAAAGAAATCGGTAACATAAAGGAACTGGTGCGAAAATCATCACCAAACATACCTGATATGACTCTTGTCCGTTGTGGATCAGAGAGAATCTTGCACATACAATCAGTAAAATGACAACAATCAGAAAAAAAATCGTGAAAAAACCTGAAATATTGATAATAAAAAACAACAACACACCCACACGGAATTAGACATCATTCTGCAACACAAAAAAAAAAAACGAAAACCATAGAACGTCCAAATTTCGAGATGGTTTTGTTTTGTTCTCGTTTTTTTTTTTCAAACTGTTCTGATTTTGGTTTTTTTTGATTACTTTTTCAGTGGTGTTTTGATGAATTCTGTGGACCATCTCTATACCAATGGTAGATCAATTCCACAAAACGATCAACAGTTGTTTTGTTTGCATGTTTGGTGAATTTGTTTTTTAATTTCAACCATTGAGCACTACTTTTATGATATCAACAGGCCAACTTAATACTCCTCATCATCAACTGGGAACAATAATTCAATGCATACAGCACTACTGAAAGATTGGTGATGGCTTATAAGAGTGTTTCAAAACATGAAACCAAGTAGTTTGTCTAGATTTTTTTTATTCTACACTTTAAAATTTATACAAGGATGGTTTGGTTTTTTTATTCAATATTAAAAGTAGTGGCCATTCAATGGCAGTGAACTGAATGATGGTTTTCAGTTAAATCTGAAAATGCAAATGAATGGCTAGTTCTATATTTATTTTATTTTAATATTAGTTTATTTTTTTGTTTTTTTCTTCTTTTGTCGATTGCTGTTGTTGTGTTTATAAATGTTCTTTGCAAAAACAGCTCATTGTTTTTATATCTAGATATACATATTGATATTCATACATAATAAAAACAAAAAAAAAAGAAAAAAGAAAAAGACAAATTATTAATTGTAATTGTTGTCCTGAATAATGGATGAACAAGAACAATGGAAAATGGTAAAATATATTAATTATAATTAATTATTATTGTTGTTTGGTTTGAAAAAAAAAACTATGTTCTTGCGATAAAAAAAAAATATTGATCAACAGCAACGAAAATCATTGAGACTTTTCTTTAAAAACCAAAACATTCTTGCTTTTTATTTTTTATTTTGTTTAAATGTTTGATTTTTACGTTATAGCTATGTTTGTTTATTGTTATCTATTTTCTTAAGATACAAAATCTTTGATTATTATTATTTTATCCTTATTATTTATGAATATCTTTAAAATATAATTTTTTTTTTTTGAAAAATAAGAAAAGTAATTAGAACTAACAATTTACAATGTCTATAGATTGCTGAAATTGCTGATTTACTTTCGAAACAAGCCAAAATTGTTCAAGCTGGAGGTGACAACAATAATAGTGTTGAGATAATAGAAGCAAAACAACTAGCGAGAGAAACTTGTACCACTCTACAACATCTTATTCAAAACACTAAAGTGTCTACCAACAATCCCCCTCCAAAACAAGAATGATCCCAATGTCACAAACCAAACCCATTCAAAACCATTTATTTTGTAAGCTCACAAGCCAAGATATTCATATGTGAAATGATATCGTATGCATTTTTGAAACTTATATTGGTTTTTGATGTCTCTTACAAAAATAAATCATTTATTCAAAAAAGATGAAAATAGGCTACCAATCATAAGGCAACCTTGTTGTTGTTCTTAAAAAAAACAATACTTATTTAGTAAAAAAAGAAAATTGTTATTTTTTATCATTAAAAAAAAACTTTTCTGTTTTCATATGTTCTATGGTAATTGTCAAAGTGAACTTGCGAAATGGATCAAAGGATTGAAAGTTTGTTTTTTTAATCGGATCTTTCATATGCCACGTAGGAACTTTTTTCAAGTTCATCAAAAATTATTGTAAATCTCCTTTTTTAGATAAAAAAAAGTGACGATGTAAAAAGAATTTTCATGTTTGCATCTAAAAATCAAAAATAAAACTAAATTTTAATCAAATTAATAAAATCATCTAGCGAGATATTACAAATTTAATAAAAAGCAAATGAAAGTTTTATTTTTCACACAAACAAAATTAGTCGATTGAGAAAAACACAACACAGCTGTGGTTTAACTACATTGAAATTTTTTGTTAAAAGAATCCAAGTGTTTCATTGATATAATTTGTAATGGTGACACTACAAAACCCATTTTTAAATCGAAAATTACAGTATATGCCCCAATCAGTGGGATAAATGATCAAATCACAACAAAAACAGATGATTTTTCTTTTTTTTTTTTTAGAAAAATAAACCCAGTTTTAAATCATGAAAATAATTTTTCAAATCTCAAAAAAAACCCTTGTTTTGAAAGAAAAAAACTAAAAAAATTTTAGTGATTTGAGTGATTGTTTTTCGATAATCAAAGAAAGTGATCCTGCTGTTTAGTGTGATAACTTAGTTTGTTGAGTGATTTCTTACGTAAATCAATACATTTCAAGGTTTACACTTAGGAATGTAAAAAATTAGTGATAATTTACTGAGAATGAATGACAGATTTCTTGATAGCCACTGGAGACAAGGATAGTTCGTAGGAAATAGAGTGATTTTAATACAAATGATTGACTTAAATCACTAATTATAAAGACTCTCTTGCTAGACTAAACAAAAATACCTTGATTTTTTTTTTGTAGACTTTTGATCGTGATCCAAAATTTTTTTTTTGACTTTTATGGCAAAAAAAAGTTTTGCAAAACTTTTTTTTATGAATACAAACTTTTCCTTATGTGGACGTGGTGGTTTCCCTCATGTGGAATTTAGTAGTATCAGGCGGTCATAGTGCCAATGGAGTTAACAATCAATCAACTGTAGCATAAATCACCTTTCAAAAAGAGTGTCCTTTAAAAGCACAAGCATTTAAATACCAATTCAGTTTAAAGTATATACAAATATATATCTATCTTAAATATATATAATCATATAGTTATATATAGCTCATATAATATTATTCATAATATAAAATTAAAAGTTAAGAACTACAAACTTATCTTAGTTTTAATAAATATATAAATAGTACAATAGTTATTTTATCTTTATCTTTCTCATCTTGTTAATTATTTAATATAATATATAAAAATTCAAAAAAAAAAAATGAATAATCAAAACAATAACAGTCACAATAATAATAGTCAATCACAATATCACAATTTATTTGGTAATAGTAATTTAACTCTCACAGACAATACACAACAAAATCAATATTATTTAAATCAATACCAACAAGATGGTAATCAACACAATTTCTTTTATCAAAATCAAAATCAAAATCAATATCAAAATAATAATGAGTCATATTACAGCAACGACAATAATAATATTTATTATAGTGAACATTCTACTACTACTACTACTACAAATAATTCAGATTTTGAAAATATAAATAATAATAATGTCAATAATAGTCAATATGTATTCTCAGAGATTGTCAACTACGATCAATACAATTGGGAATATAACTCAAATCAATCAAATAATCACCAACACTACCAACACCACCAACATTCAAATTATCAATCACCATGTTCAAGCCCACCAACCTCACTTGTAGAGTTCACCTCAGAGGAGAATCTTTCAGAAGGCCACTCCGATTCCGAATGGTCTTCACCTTTGGCAATCAATTTTCATTTTTCACCTGACAGCGACGAGTCAATCGACCCAACTTCATCTCCACTTCCAGCCTATTCACTTATGTCACCTGTAAATCCATCATCTTCCGACAGCTCTCACGTCTCTAGAAACCAAAAGTCACCAAAGCAACAACTAAAGAAGAATAAAGCCAAGCCTTTAGTTTCACCACCATCATCATCCAACCCAGGTACTCCAGTCGTCCGTACCAACAAATCACTCAAGAGTATCTGCGACTCCTTCCTTGAAGAGTACGAAGGAAACACTAGAAAGCGTATCAAAATCGAGATGCTCTCTCAGAAAATAGCAGTTGACAACCGTCGTTTCTATGAAATTATCAAGGTTATGCAATGTCTTGGATTGGTAGAGAAAGAAGGCAAGAACGAGTACTACTGGGTCGGGCGTGACAACGTAACCAACAACATCAACAATATTTTCCATTCTTCGAGAAACTATATCACAGACGAAACCGAATTCGTATGTGAAAACTGTAAGCACCATCACGAACAAAACAACACCAACTCACCAGTGACAGCGAACGAGGATGCTGAGGACACTGGAATCTCAAAGCAATGCAAGCAGCTTATTAAGTTATTCTTTTTGCACAACACCATTTCATGTCAAGATGCATCAATCATACTCAATTGCCAAAAGAAAGCTCAAGGAAAGAGAATCTACGACATTGTAAATATTTTGTATAGTCTTCAAGTTATCAATCGTTTGGATCGCGACGGTTCAAAGAAACAGTTTTACACATGGAAAGGTCCTCCAACAAAACAAGAGTTAATCAATAAATGTAATAAATAAATTTAAAATTAATATTTTTTTTTTCGAAAATTGTTTTCTATTGCAAAGTTTTCAATGGTTTGAGTGTCGTGATCAATTTTTTGGTTACACAAGGTAATTTTAGAATATCTCCATATATGATAAAAAAACTATTGCCGTTTGGTTTTTGAAAAAGTTGAAAAAAAAAGTTTCAAAACGATAGTTTTTTTGATGGTTCGAAACTGCAGTTTTTTTGATATGGTTTTTTTTTGTTTTGCAACATTCAAAAAAAAAATCTTTCCATTTTTGGACCTTATTCAAAAAAATATAAACATCATTTTAAATGATATGTTAAGCAAATCAAAATTAATATCTAAATTTAAAATATTACTAAATATAGTAAAAAATTTTAGAACTCATGAAAAAACAAAAATGAATCAAGTTCACACTGAAAAATAATATTATTTTTACAAACTCAAAACAAACTATCTTTTCTTTTGAACATTATACTTTTTTGATTTCATTCTTATAAGACATAAAATCATTTTTTATTGAGGATAAAAAAATAAAATAAAATTTATTTTAAATAACTTTCTTAGGTCTTTATAGTATAATATTATAAAAGAGAACTGAAAAATACGCAGATTGCACTTCTAAACCTTTAATTGATTTTGTTCGCAATGAGCTAAAACATATAATTTTTTTATTTTTTTTTTTTTTAAAAATAATATTTTATTAAAAGTTGTCTAAAAAGTCATCTGTCTCTTGGTTGGAGTTGGTTATTACGGTGACGGCGTAGCTCATTTCCAAGTCATTGGTTGTTAGGAAATGGTTTGCAAGTCGGATTCCAACGTCTTCTTTTGAGGCGTCACATGGCTGCCAGAGTGGTTTGATGTTTAGGTCCTTGCCGATCCAAATGTACAATCTATTCTCGCTTTTCGATCGAAGGACAAACAATCCATCGTCTACAAGATCCTCACAGTCGAAAACATCATACTCTTCCCAGGCGCCATCTTCGTGAAGTCGATACAGATACGACCGGTTATAGTTGCTATTACTTGTGGTTGTTAAACTATTTACATTATTCGCGCAGTTGTGTTGTTGCTGTTGTTGCTGCAGCTGGAATTCCTTATCGTAGTCAACGACAAATCCAATCGTTCCACTTCCTTGGCCACCCAAAAGTTGCCAGAACTCCATATCCTCTTGGCCTTGCTTGAGCTCCACAATATTGGTGGTGGCATCGTCGTACTTTTGGAATCGGCTAATTGCGACACGCGCAGCTTCGACAAATGTCTGTCCGAGCGTACCAAGACACTGCTCTCCAACCCAAAGATAGATACAATGCTCGACCTTCAGTATGAAGCAGCATCTTGAGTCCAAAGAGATGTAGGAAATGGTGGAGACTTGTTTCGGCACCACTATATTTCCGACCAACTGAACCATTCTATACAATCTAGTTTCTTTATATTCTCTTCTTAAATATTTTTTCCAGTGCATCAGTTGACCAGTAAATCCTATTAATAAATAAAGCAAAATGTTAACATGAAACAAATAACTTATATGAAATTTCATCGTTGACAAACTTACCTGGATTTGGACTTGAAATAAATCTTTTTTCTTTTGTATAATCAAGTGCTGTTTTGAAATCCCAATCGTATTTATACATTAAATAGAGAAGTACATATGCAGAACTTCTCGATATACCTTGGTAGCAATGTATGTAAACTTTTCCGCCATTGTCGATTGCATCTTGTATGAAATCCAATACTTCGTAGAAAAGGCAGGTGATATCTTCTCCGTTGCCATCACTGATGAACAACGTCTTGTAGTTGAATTGCTGAGGAAAGTGGTTGACACACACCATTCCCGCGCAGTTTAGAATGTGGGTGATCCCATTCTGTTTCAACTCGGTGAGATTGGCCGATGGAATACGACTGCCAAGGAACAAAGAGTCTGTGATGCGACTGAGAATTGGTTCGAAATATTGCACGAGGTCACGAGTACCGTAGTTTTGGAAATCGATGGTGCGCGGTGTCTGTGGTGGCGAATTGCTGGCGCTGTTCGATGAGACCGCCGAAGACATCGATGTCAACTGGGGTAACCGCAGCTGTTGTTTCATGAGTGGTGGTATCGAGGAAGCATTGAGACCTCCCGGTATCGAAGACAATGAATTTTGTTTGTTGATGTTGAGTAGTGGGACAAATTTGTTTGGTTTCTTTGTTGCGGAAATACTACTACTGTTATTGTTGCTCACAGTGTTGTTGGTATTGCTATTATTATTGTTGCTGTTGTTGTTGGTATTGTTGTTGGTGATGATGGCAGGAGATGTTGGTGTTTGTAGATTTGGAAGACTGGGAATGTCAAGTACTGGCATATTTTTAATTTTATGAATCTGGAGTTTTGGAATCGAAGGTTTGGTTGGTGAGGAGGTCGATCGTATGCGAGGTTGGATATGTAGTGAATGTGGGTTTGTAAGTGAATGTGAAAGTTTACGAAGAACTTCATATCGGGGATTAAAAGTTGGTATATTTGAAAAACTGTTGTCATTTAAATTGTTGGTGTTGCTTGTAGGTGATGATAGTGATCTTGGTGATCTTGGTGAACTCGAGTTCTTGTTGTTGTTGTTATTGGTAGTGGTTGATATGGTGGTGGTTGTTGTGGTAGTTGTCGAAGTGGTGGTTGTTGATGTATCCAAAAACTTATCGATAGTACTGTCGTGGCTGTTGTTGGCGGTCGGCGATATGGGTGATTTCAAAAACATAGAGTTAATAGATTTTATGGCAAAGGGTGCGGTCGTTGCAGAGGCAGATGGTGGTAGTTGTGATTGAAGAATGTTTGGATAGTTCTTCTTTAAAATTTGTCTATACAAATGTATATTGTTTGCTACTGCTATATGATCATTATTAATAATGTTGTTGTTGTTGTTGTTGTTTATAATGGTGTTGGTGGTGGTAGTATTGTTATTAATGTTTTTGGAGGTATGATTCAAGTTCAAATCATCAATGAAAACAGTGGAGAGTGCAACAAAGTGGCTAAAGTTATTATTATTATTATTAATGTTAATAGTATTATTTGAGTCGATTGTTGATTGTTGATGTGTATTTATATTTAATTGTTGTTGTGGTGTTGGTGGTGACATTGGTTGTAAAAAAAGTCTCTGTACAAGTAGAGATGAGTTGGCTGGTAGTTTCCAGTGGGTGTTGTTGTTGTTGTCGTCGTTGTTGCTTTCAAGAGTAGTATTAGTTGTGGTGTTTGTTGCAGAACCCGATGCTGAAGAGTTCGATGGTTGTTGACCACTGACCATGGTGAAACTATTCTTTTTCGAATGTTCCTCACTCAAACCCATTGCTTTGGCCAACTCCAATCCCTTTGCAAAACAAAGTGCCTTGGTCAAAGGCGCTGAATTTCTACCATTCCAAACATATATATCGTGTGAAATCTAAATAAATAAATGCACAGATAAAAGGTGTTAATAATAATATGTTAAATAAGTTAAGTGTTGTTTTGATAGTTACGGCTTCAGTTTCGAAATGTGCAATGGAATCTAAACTGGTGAGGCCTGTTGGACATGCCAATCCTCTTGGAGTCAACTCTGACTGTGCCGACATCATCATAGAATAAAGTGAAATTGTTGTTGGAGTATTATTTGAATTGATATTTAGTTGATCGAAATTATCGCATAGATTATTGTTGACATTGTCACTGCAGTTGTTGCTACATGTGCAATTGCTGTTGTCGTTGCTGTTGCTGTTGTTGTTAGTGGAGGTTGTATTGTTGCTAGTGTTGGCTTGTTGTTGTTGCTGCTTTAAAACTTCATTATTATTTATTACATGTAATACAATGTAACAATCGGTACTATTGAATTGTTTGAAGTGCTGTAGATCTACGGGATCGTATTGCTGACACATAGGTTTCAGTGGATCAGCACAATAGGTTCGCCAAACAAAAAGATACGATGTAAACAACTCCACAACCGGAGTAGTACTACCGCCAGCGCCACTGTTCAAACAAGAATTGTTGGTAGCTGTAGTAGGTGTGGATGTTGTATTGCTGTTATTGTTATTATTGAGTATGCTTGTTTCAGAACTGATACTTCCACTACGAGAAGAAGAAGCGCAACGAGATGATGTAGTGCAATTGCTGCTGCTTGATACGGTGGAGGTGGTAGTGGTGGTCGTCGTCGTGGTCGTCGTCGTGGTAGTCGTAGTGTACTTGGGAGAGATACCGTTACTGCTACTGCTACTACTACTGCTACTACTGTTATTATTTATAACTATATTGTTGTTGCTGCTGTTGTTGTTGCTGTTTGGTATGCTCAATACATTAGTTCCTACTACTGCTGCTGCTACTGCTTTCAGATCCTGTAACAGTAGCTCGGGCAAAAGAGGAGGCGTTCTACTGACGCCAACCGTATTGCCCATTATCTGTCACTGGTGCTGTGAACCAACTAAACTAAACTAACTACAATTGTAGTAGTAGTATCGTAGTAGTGGTAATCTGTTCTGTTTGTTTTTTTTTTTTCTTTTCTTTTTCAACTTATCAGCTGCTTTCACCTTTTTTTTTTTACTCTTATCTAACTAAATTTATATCTATATTATTATTATTACTTTTACTAGATCTTTATTTTTTAATTAATATTAATTCACACACTCTTACTGTTTAAATAAATTAATTAGATTTAAAATTTAAAACTAAAATAATGTTAATTTAAAATTAGCATCAATAATAATAATAAGCAATTATATTAAATTGATTTGTGATTGGTTTGATTTGATCGATAAATTATTTTGTTTTGTTAAAAATAATTAAAATAAAAAAAACAAAAAAATTTTAAACAAAAAAATATAGTTTTGTTTTTTTTTTTTATAGTTTTATAAAAAATTTTCAATGATTAAAAAAAAAAAAAAAAAAAAGAATAATTTACAAAAAAAAAAGATGTATTATTAGTTTGTTGGTATTGTTTATTTCGACGGTGTTGTTGTTGGTTATTTATAACATTATTGTTATAATAGATTGTGTTTGGAATTGGTATTAAAAATTTAATAAAAAGGAAAGAAGAAAAAGTTGATTTGATTTCAGTAGTGTGTGTTGTTGTTGTTAGGTGTTTAATCAACTTTTAACATCCATCAACAACAAATAGCAAATAATAATAATGATGATGATAATAATAGTTGTTGTTTATTTTTTTTTTTTTTTTTTTGATAAACAATTAATTGGATTGATAATTTGTTTATTGTTTATAAAGTAAAGTAAAAGATGATTGTTGTAGCGCGTGGTATCAGGTTGACGTTTTTGCCAATGTGAAAGTAAAAGTAAAAGTAAAAGTGTTGTTGTCTGTGTGAGTGTTTATATTTAAACACATACATATCAGATAAAGTATATATGCACCAACAGCTATTTATATATTTCACTTACTCCTTTCTTAGTGTTTGTTGTTGTTGTTAGACAGAGATGTTATTGATTGATTGATTGATTAATAAATATTTGTTAGTGTATTTCCAATGTGGTTATATAAAATTAAATAAAATCAATAAATTAGAAATAATAATTATTAAGATATATAATTTATTTATTTATTATTTATTATTATTATTATTATTATTGGATTATAAAAAAAACTACAACACGAATGATTGTGATGGCGACTACTATCATTAGCAGTATAGTATTGAAACAACAATTTTTATCAATAAATAATAATATTTAAATATAATAAATTATCAAATTTATTGTTGTTATTGTTGTTTGCATTGATAAACGCAGTAGCATAACTCTCTCTCATCTCAACAAAACACAACACATAAACACACACACAACACACAACACACAACACACAACACATTTATTTTCGCTCACTCACTCACTCACTAACACGCACACTCTCACTCACTTCTCACACGCACATACTTAAACACACAATATTGTTTAAACAATTGAATCGATCAGAAATTGATGAAACACAGTTTGTCATTCACATCAATCAACACAACAAACAATACCAGTGATTTTTAAAATATTTATTTAATATTTAATTTTAATAAACTGAAAATGGAAAATAATTGATTGATTAACGATCACCAAGATGATATCTCATTTTTTGAAACAAACAATAATCAATAATATTAATAATAATTGAAAAAAAGAAAAAGCAATTTAAAATCAGACTTGAAATTTATATCACCAATCTATCATTAAGCAGTAAATCTAATCACCACCACCCACACACATGAGCTTATAACAACAACTGTCTGTCTCTCTCTAATTGCTGACTCTCTCACTCCTCTCTCTCGACATTATCACAACATCTCTCTCACTCTCTCCTTTACACTACTAATACCAATACTGTTGGCTTCATTCACTCATTCATTATGATTGAAACACACGATCCAACCTATACCAATTGATTGTTGATCATATATAGCTCATGATATAAATCATATCATATCATATCATACCAGATCAATCAATCTTGTCATGATCACTTCAACATGTTGATCTTAATCACTTATTAACCTATTGACATTACATACTTGCAGTATTTGCAATTCAAATTATTTTTCATTTATACAACTTTTACTTCTTATATTTAATGATTATTAATTAAAATAAAAATGATTTTGTAAAGCTTTATGATATTTGTTTTGCATTTGAAATTTTTAATTTCTATTGACAGAAACTCTGCATGCAATATAATAATAACAATAATAATAATAATAGTAACAGTAAAAATAATAATCATGGAATTAGTCGATTTGGAATTGGTATTAGAAACAATTTAAATAATCAACAACAACAACAACAACAACAGCAACAGCAACAGCATTATCAAGTTCAACAACAACAGCTACAACAGCAACAACATGATGAAAAGTTGATATTCGAATTACTCAAGAAACCATTAGTAGAGTAAGTTCTTCTTAAATCACATACATTCATTCATTCATACCATTGAGTAAAATAGCAGTAGATAGCACAGGTATTAGTGTCTATTCACACTCATTCATAGCAGATATTAAAGTTTATGTTTTTCATTGTGAACAGTTCATTCATTCACCCTTTCATCATCCAGTGGATTCAGATTGAATTGGTCGATTCTATTTAAATAGAATAGAACAGAATAAAACAAGATTGAATAGAATAATAGGTTACTTTGAATTTACTATTGTCACAATAATTTATAGAGAGTGTGTATGTAGATCTACATTGAAAGGGTATGAATCTATGTACCTACATGTTTTCAATTTTGGATAGATATCGTCTGTTAACTTAAACTTGCACTGTTTCACAAAACTATCTGAATTCAAAACACACCACAGTAACAAAACAAACATAACAAAACAATGTCTATTTCTGGTAATAGTAGTAATAATAATAACAGATTAAACCACACGGATACTTTTTTAATCATTTATATTTTTAGTATTTCTCAATCTATTTTTATTAAAACACATTTATTTATACACTACCACACCACCCATACAACACATAAAAAATCATTCATTCATTCATCCATAGATGATTCAATGTTTTTTATTTCGAAATGCGACTGTGTATATACAATTGTTATTGTTATTGATTTGATTGTGTCAGTTTCAGTTAGTTATTATTATTTTTAATTTATAAGAATAAAATAAATTTCATCCATAACTAATTCTACTATTGTAATTACAAATTAAAGTAAAAAAGTCATTGCTCATATCTACCGATTAATAATCAATCGTACAAATGGCCATGGCGCTATTCCTGAGATGATCTCCAACAACAACGGTGGTGGTGGTAGTGGTAGTGGTGGAAGTAGATTCAGCAATAGTAATAACACAGATGAATCTATTTCAATTGATCCAGATGCACTTGTTCTTCTCAACTATGTTACCTTTAAATTTCTAAAATACCTCTTAATGGAGACCTACGATAATAAATTGAATGAATCGAAACAAATTGTAGGTATTGCAAAAAAAAATAATGTTTATTATCCTATTGATTAACTGACTGACTTATTTACTAACCAACCACCAATGGAATAATAATAAACATTTTTTTGTTACTATTTAGCGTAAGAGTATAAGTGGGAGTATCATCATTCAGACTCTTAATTCCACAGAGGAATTCAGTAGGATCGCACAGGAAATGGCAATGGCAGACCCAAGCCTATCTATTGGAACAAAGATAACATCTTTCAATGCATCAGAGATAGGTTTGAAACGATACCACTACCTGAATCAATATTTCTATGAGGAGACAACCGCAGCCGATCAGCAATCCCCTTCGGGTCAAGAAGTCATAGTGGTCGATAATCAAAATAATAATAATAATACAACTACTACTACGACAACCACCACCACCACTAATACCATCAGTGAATTTGATGAAACAAAACCTCATTACTTGAATAGTTATTTCCTACTTCCAAAATAAAGGGTGGAGTGTACACTATATGTATATATATATATATAATATAATATCTAATCAAACCAATTATGATTATGTTGATTTATTTGATGAAGTGTTTGCCGATTGTTGTTCTTCTTCTTTTTGTTGTTGTAGTTGTTCCTGTTTGATTTGATCTTTTAAGATTTCAGTGGCTCTGCCAAGTACCAACATCTGTTCAATCTCCTCTTTACTCATTTCACTCAATTGCTGTGCTATTTCTTTTCTTTTAGCTTGATTATTATTGAAAGATATTATTATTATTAATTAATATCAAGATGATTAGTTTGATATGATATGCATATTAATATGTATAAACTTAAGACTTACTATATTGCAAATACTCTGTATATAAATAAAAGTATAATCCACAGGTAGCTAAAAACATCAAAACATAACTGAAATATAATCTCTTTGCTTCCTCTTTTGACTCTACGGGTATTGCGAATCTTCTTTTATCATTTTTATTATCATTACTGTACATTCTAATTGATCCAACTTTCAAATCGTAAACATTTTTATTATTATATAGACTATTTCTATTTAATAGGAAACTACTATATCTATTATTACTGATATTTATATTGAGTTTTGTTGTTGTTGTTGTTATTGTTGACTGTGATAAATTAAAAGATGACAATGATCTTTTATTATTATTTGTAAAGTTTAAGAATGTTTGTTTTAAAATTGAACTACTATTACTATTATTATTATTTTGAATTAATCTTTTTAAAAATGACATCTTTATTTATATATAATTAACCAACTAATCAATCAGTCATTCAAGTCATATGACATTTCCTTTTTGAAATTGGTGAATTTAGCTGTTGTTTTCAATAACTAGTAACGTTTAATTCTAAAAATTTTTGAAAAAATATTTTTGTGGCTGTTGAATTATCATGAAGATGACAGTTTCAACAAATTAATCAATTTAAAAATAACAACAACTAAACAAACAAACAACATCATATTTAAATTAATATAATATAGATTTATATATTATATTAATATTATAAATAGAAAGAAACTATAAATGGAAGAGGTAAATTATAATTATGATCATATATTATATCTTCAAAAAAATATTAATATTAATTTTCTAAAAAAAAAAAAACAAAAAAAAATAAAATGTTATAAAAAAAAGAATAATAATGGCTCTCCAGATAATAACAACAATAACAATGAACAAGATAGTGAACAACAACAACAAAATAGCAATAATAATGTAACATTATTACAACCATCGGCTGTACATGATACAGGTAATCCTTTACACAAGTTGTTTCAGTCGGCTGCTAGTGGAAGTGGATCTCCGATACCGACTGCTTCACCACCACCAAAACCATCGATCGATGACAGCAACAATGTAATGAGATTCTTTCAAAATATTACACCGACACCAACACCACCACCTCCAACACAATCACCACCACCTCCTTCTTCCATTGTATCATTCTTAGAGAATTCTATCCTACAGCAACAAATCAAGTCAAATACACCACCACCACAACAACAACAACAACAACAACAAAATGTAGATATAAATCAACAACAACAACAACTAAAACAACAGCAACAACAACAACAACAAGCAATTAATACATCATCAACAGATTTAACACCAAACAAGAAATCTTTGAAACAATCAATTGGTGGTGCTTTACCAAAGTAAGTAAAAACCCATATGTCGTCGCAAAATGTTCAAACTCTAACATTATATATTTGATGATTGATAATTGATTGATCGATTGTTATTTCAGTCTTAATTTCGGTGGTGATGTAAATAGTACGTCGATCTACAAGCACAACGGTGTTTATTTGAGTGGAAAGGATATCGAGGTCGATGAATGCCGTTCGCTGTCGAAATTGGCGGATTTGGAAACACAGCACATCACAGTGATGCCATGCGCTATCAAGTACATCTGGGGATCGATGATCTCGGTCAATGCAAACTACATCTGCTATATTGTGAAGGGCGAGAAGATCAGAGTGCTCGAGAGATCGTCGACACAGCGTGCACTCGTCAAGGATATCCGCGGTGAGATTTCACACATCCAATTCATTGCCGATCAGATCGATCTGCTGTCGTGCTCGACCACCGACGGTCTTGTCTACCTCTTTGACATCGCCCTGAATGCGTCCACCATCACACCGCAACTCCTCACACAATTCACGCTGGATCCCGCCAGCAACCACCCGGCAAAAGTAATCATGCCCAAGACAGCATGGTCGCCAATTGCCACAAGAAACAATTTGCAATTCACTGTTGGTGGTGCCAATATCCATGCACTCTATGTTTATTCTCAGCAGCAACAGGATCAATCATCTTCACCGGTCACCACCACCACCACCGCGACCAATGCAATGGTTCCGCGTAAGATTCCACTGGCAGCACCGAGTCACGCGTTCAACTACGACTCGACTGGAAATCGACTGGTGTTTGGAACGGAGGATGGTATGATTGGAATCTGGGATGTTCGATATTCGATGATGTTGTTGGAGTACCAACTACCGTACCAGGCATCGATCCACTTTATCTCGTTCATCGACGCCAACACTATAGTGGTCGGTATGAACAACAATCGTGAGGTGCTACTCATCCACTTGCCAACACGCAATCTCATTCAGAAGCTCAAGCTGGTCAATGCCACTTCCGACGCGCCTATCCTCCTGGCGCTGAGAGACGACTTCCTCATTGCAATTTGCTCCGAGTCGCCCAAAGGATACATGGTGCATCTCGCAGAGTCAAAGTCGCAGCAACAACCTACCTACTTTGACTATCTCTCGGAATTCGATGTCACCAAGCCAGTGATAAGCTTTACGGTGCGACCAGCCGTAGTCACTCCAAAGGTATCGACCACACTGGTGAGTGGCGCCGCCGAGCGAAAAGACAAGAAATTCAATTTCTTCAGTATCCAAGCGACCGGTGTCAACTTCCATTCAATCCAGGAGTCAGCTTTGTTCTTGCCGTCCGACCAATACATCGAAGGCGACTCGAACGTCGTTCAACAATTTGGACAAATCGAAGCCATTCCCATCTTGTTTGCGCCAACCTCTATCGCAGGTGACCAGCCACCCAACAAAATGTTTGTTCCATCTTCCCCACCACCACTCTCCCTCCCGGATCCAAGCATGTTGAAGGCGGAAATGGACAGTTTCGATCAAGCGGAATCAGGTAGTGACTCTGATAAATCTGCAACTGGCGCCACCGGTGACAAACAGCAAAAGAAGAACAAAAAAGTTAAATCACCACCGACCTCCGTTGTCAATCTGAACACAGCCGATTCACTGCTGCCAGTTGCCTCGCCCGTTAGCAACAACAACGGCGAGCAACTCTTGAGTCCAAACGCTATTCAACAACTCCAACAGGTGACCTCACCAATCCAACCACAAAAGAAGCCAGCTGCTTCTACCACCCCAACTGCAACCACTCCAACTGCACCGGTCCAGAAAGATAAACTCACTGCCACCATTGGAGTACCACCCAAGACTACACCAACTAAAACTGGCGGATCCACCTCTACCACTCCCAAGAAGATTCCTTCTTTCAAGCAAGCTTCCATTAGCATTCCAAGCTCATCGAGCACTGCCACTTCCACCGCTGCTTCTACAACTCCCTCCGCTTCTTCTACCACGCCAACATCGACCACACCAACCATCCCATCGATTGCAGTGCACCAACAAGAACAACAGTCAAGTGCACCATCAACACCACCACCACAAGCAACTACACCAGTACCAACTGCTACCGTTCCCACAACAACTGCCACAGAGACAACATCACCAAACAACAACAACAACAACAACAATCTATCAAACTCTAGTGACCGTTTGGAGAAATTGATTGGCAAACAAATGGAACTTTTTGAAAATGCCAGATCCGAGCAAACTATCAATGCAATTCAAAACAGTGTTCAAGCAACCGTCAAAGCCACTTTGGAAAAGATTGTCAAGAAAGAGTTGGCTCCAATGGTAGCAAACCTCGAGAAAACGATTGCTGCTTCACATGAACAGCTGCTGCTAAAGGTAACTCAAGACGCAGTAAAGAAACTCTCTTTGAAATCCGATTCAGTCTTAAAGAACTCTATGGATTCAATTAGCTCTCAGATAAAGTCATCGGTTGTTACCGAGGCAATCGAAGCATCGGTCAAACCAGTCGTTGAATCGGTATTCCTAAATTACTTCCAGAACATGTTGGTGCCTGGCTTTGAGAAGAGCTGCAACACAATGTTCCGACAACTGAGTGCCTCTTTCGATAAGGGCATGACAGAGTTGCTTCAACACAATTCACTCTCGTCGCAAGCACAATTCCTGAGTATGGAGAAGTTGATCGGTGAGAAGATGAAGTCGGAGCGTGACGAAATGCAACAAGTCATCTTCCAACTGTTGAAACAACAGAGTGAGATGCAACAGGATATCAAGTATCTACTGTCTGCCATTGGTTCGCCACATCACCATGTCGACAATAGAAATCCAATGAACGGTCCACCACCACCACTCATGACTGGTAATCCACTGTCAGACTCTGCCAACATTATGCATCAACATTTCTATTCTCCACAACAGCAACAACAACAACAACAACAACAGCAGCAACAGCAACAGCAACGATTTATGAATTTCCAATTACCACCCCCACCTCTTCAACAACACCTCATGTCACCAATCATTGCTTCACCGCCACAACTACCACCAGCAACTGCATCGAGAGCATCGATTCTTCAGCCATATCCAGAACTCAAGTCATTCATTGAGAGTGGTGACTATTCATCTGCCTTTAACTTTGCACTCAACTCTAAGAACTTGAAGATGGTAGTCGATCTGTGTTCTGCCACCGAACCAGCCGAAGTTTACTCCTCTAGAAAATCATTGCACAACACAACCATCATTTCACTGATACAACAACTCTCCAATGATTTCATTTCAGACATTGACCTGAAATTGAAATGGATCAAAGAATCACTGCTCCACTTTGACATCAACGAACCATCGATCAAATCAGTGGCAACACAGATTCTTCATTCACTAAAGTCAAAGATTGAAACCAACCCACATCTAGTATCGAAAGAATACTATGCTCCTCCAATTCTTTCAACACTCAAACTTATGTTGAAGTGAAAACAATAATAAAGTATCAATAAACTCAACTCAATTGCTCCTCAAACACAATAAAATTTGTAACTTAACAAAAAACTTCCAATTAGAAATAGCTATTAATATGGCCATTAATTTAGTTTTATTGTTGATTCTCCAATGAAGGATTATCTTATTATTATTATTATTATTATTTATTATTGTTCGTCAATAATACTTTGAATCGGTTGTTGTTGCTGTTGTTGTTGATTTTTAATTAACTAATAATATTTCAAAACAAATAGTGATTAACATTTATACTTTTAAATATATTTATAATAATAAAACTTACATCTTGTAATTCTCTCTTTGTATCATCTTCGATCTTTCTAATATCATTCATGTCCATTCCAAACCACTCGTCCATCCAACAGAATACCTGACGATGTCCCATGAAAAGGATATCTCTAATGGCAGCTCTTTGAATAAATTGTTCTACTTTTGTTTGGAATCCCCAATATTTAAATTCGACTTTACAAACTTTATAGCTACACATAACAGGTGATGTATTTTTCTAATTCGGTTATAAAAAGAAATATAAAATAAACAAACAAACAAACAAACAAAAAAAAAAAAAAAAAAAAAGTGTTATTATTAAAGATGGTGATTCAAAGCAAACGCTTAACAATTTTTGTCAATTTGTAATTATTTACCATCCAATCTCTTGAAAGCTTTCCTCTACCGGTTTTCTGTGAAACAAATAATGCTGGATCTTCTTCTGGTTTATACTTGATTGGATCGATCGGATCATATGCAATGTCAACGAAATCGACTTCTCTGACTGCCAACTCTTCTGGTTGTAGATTTAAACACTTTGTTGTGATTATTCACATAATAATAGATAGATCGAGTATCAGTAATTGTCCTCCTTTTTGTTTGAGATCTTGTAAAGTGTTGTTAATAACTAACTTACATTCTCTTGAGTTCCAGCATCTTGTGTATATCTTGTTTCGATTGAAATTGAAAATCTATCTCCTAAAAATGGACACTTTTCACGTTTTTTCGTTGATTAGTGTCGTGTCGACCCGAATCGATTGTAATCATAAAGACTTTATATCATTTGTACATACAGCATATTGTGTTTTACAATAAGGATAGGCATTCCATGCCTTCTCTTCGACTTGCAAAGAGGTAGGAGCAATTGCTTTCAACCATGTTGGTAATCTACTTGCCAAATGGAAGATCTTATGTGTGAATTGACCTGTTAAGGCACCTTCTGTAAATGGCTATAGTTATATGTGTGTGTGCGTAAGATATTGATAAATAAAAAAAAGATTATTTAGTTTCTCTTTTCTTTTTATCGTGAAAATTATCATAAGCAAATGAATAAATATTAAAAAAAAAATAACAACATTAACACACCATTATAATAGGTTAGGTATTTACTTATATGGTTTCATTGTTGTTTGATGTTGTTTTTTTTTTTTTCATTTGCTTCATTGATTCCACGGTTGAATTGTTAAAGTGTTGGTTGTTAATAATAAAATACCTTATTTTCGATAATCTCTACACCTTCACCGTTGGAAGTATGATTACGACTGACTTTTGCAACCATATACAGTTGTGCTATTTTATATTCATCTACTGTAATTGGTAGTGGTATTCTATATTCTCTAATTAAAACCATTGTTCTTTTATTTTATTTTTTATTAATACTGCTGCTGTATATTGTTGTTGCTGATGGCTGTATTATTACTTTTTACTTAATATTTAAGAAATTAAATATTTATACTTTTTTAAAAAAAATACTTAAATGTAGAGAGAGAGAGATGCTAAAAAATATAGATATAAAAGGTAAATAATTTACAAAAGGTTATAAATTAAAGAGGTTATTGGATATTTTTTAATTTATTTTATTTTGTTTAATGAACAAAAAAAACAGTCTACAAAAACAAAAAGCGAATTTTTAAATAGTAAAAAAAAAAAAGATCTGTGCAAAAAAAAAAATTGGGAAAATTGAAAAAAACTAATGTTGTTGTCGATTTAATATCTATCTATGTGTTGTTAATCTTAGTTAGTCATTTCGTTCAAAGTAATTGTCGTAGTTAATTAATTAGGTCAGCAAACAAAAAAATATCAATTAATTTAATATTTAAATTAATTATTGAGGTGGATGTGTTTTTGTTGTGTTGTGTAGTGTAATTCAAAGAAAAGAAAATTTTAGAGAGAGAGAGAGAAAGAGATGAGTAGCAGTTTACTTGTAAAAGGAAGATTCAAGAGTCGTGTTAGTTCGGTTTTGAATAAGAATAGCAAGGAGTATGGAAAGGACAATATGTTTGACGGTAGCGATGAGAGTTGCTGGAATTCACATCAGGGATCACCGCAATCGTGCTCCGTACAGTTTCTAGCGGAAGACGGACAGACTGAGCAACCTGTCAATGTCAGCTCTCTACAGATCTGCTTCCAGGGCGGTTTCGTTGGAAAGGATTGTGAGATACACGCTATCACCAGTGGTAGTGATTCATTTGCACTGGTTAGTATGTTCTATCCTGAAGATATCAATACTGTACAAGTAAGCAATATTAGTAATTAGTAGTAGTAGTAGTAACACCAAGTGATCTTGTATTTAACTAACATATCTAACCAACAAAAAAAACATTTACAATATAACCAATCTATCTTTCATAGGCATTTCCTGTGGATATCAAGAATGCTCTTCAAGTTAAAGTGTTGTTTAAATCAAGTACCGATTTCTTTGGTAGAATTACAATTTATAAATTGGATTTACTTGGCGATAGATCATAAGCAGAACAGAACAGAACAGAACTGAACATAGCCAACAACCACCACCGCCACAAATCGATAAGATAATAATATGAATATATTCATATTTTCCTATCAAATAATAAACACCAGCTGTTCAAACAAATAAAATCAAAAATCAAAAAAAGAAAGTAGAAAGATCAAGGCAGACATTCAATTGGTAAACAAAAATCATTCTATTTGCTTTAAACAAAACAAGATCAATATCATTAAAAATTACAGTACAATAATAGTTATAATAATCAACTATTATTATTAAAATAATGTAATATTCAAAATAAAATAAAATATAAAATAAAATATAAAATAACCGGGTTATTTGTTTATTTCAAGGTTACATTGAATTTTGCCAGAATGCAAATTTGTTCTCCAAAGAAAAGTTCATTTTTTTATTTTTCAAAAAAATCATCATACACTTTTTAATCAAAACATAAAACTAAAGTTGCTACTTCATTTATATACTTTACTTATTTAATAAATATCTATTTAATGACAAAAACTTAATAATTAAATAAATACAGATAGATAGATAGATTGTTAGTTAGTTTAGTTAGTTTAGTTTAGTTAAATTAGTTTAAAGTAGATTTATTGGATCTTTTTTTTTTTTTTAAAGGAAAAAGAAAAAAGTAGAAGAAGAAGAAGAAGAAAAGAATAATAACAATAAAGATGGATGAATCTATTGCATTGTTATTCAATAATGCTATACAAAAGATATTCAGTCAGAGTTCAAGAAAGAATTTGGTGCTGAGAGAAGCATGTAAATCTGCACAAGATGCAATCAGAGATTCACCTATATTCACTTCTTCTATTGAACAGAAGAATCATATACCGTAAGTTAATCAATAGTTATTGCTTGGTACAAAGAAATATCAACTAATAATATAATAATAATAAACAACAACAGTGATAGTGAATGGGAGATATTAGGTAATAAATTGGTGAATCCAATGAAATTGGCATGTGAAACAAGAGAACCTAAAATAATGATTGCTGCAATTGATTCATTGGATGTATGTACATTAATCATTACATAATAACATTTTGAAGTTATGAAGAAGAAGAAGAAGAACCGATTATGTTAACATAGTTATTATTATTAATAGAAATTGATTGCATATGGTATTGTTAAACCAAGTTCCTACGAGGAAGTACCGCCACAATTCACTGGTGAGAAGAAAAAACTGATAGAGAAAATCGTTGATACCATTGGACAGTATTATAGTTATCTAGATGACAGTGTTCAATTACAAATCATTAGAGTAATTATCTAATCAGTCTATCTTAACTATCTATTTAATTTATATATATTAGTTAAAATACTTATAATTTATTTTTTTGTTTGTTTAGGCATTATTGACAGCAGTGATTTCACCTCATAGTGAAGTACATGATTCATGTTTGATGAGTGCAATTAGAGCATGTTATAATATCTATTTAATTAGTGACAGCTTGAATCATAATCAACCGAAATCGACCAATACAATCACTGCAAAGAATACACTTTTCCAAATGGTAGATTTTGTACTATCTAGATTCGAATCTTCAAGTCAACAGAAAATATTATTACCAAAACATTCATCATCTCTACCTATATCATCATCATCATCAAGTAATAATAACAACAATGGTAATAGTAATAGTAGTCAATCAAATGGAAGTAATAATAGTAATAGTAATAAAGATAATATAAAATATACAGAAGAGGAGAGAGCACATAAAGAGTAAATATAACAATGTTATACAAGTTCAAGATTTAGATATTGGATTTATTTATTTAACTTACTTTACATTTTGTTGTTGTTGTTGTTGTTGTTGTTGTTTAGGTTGGTTACACATCAATACAGTGTAAATTTAAATGATGTAATTTTATTGTTTAGAGCGTTTTGTAAGTTGTCGACAAAGGAGATACCCGACAATGCAAAAGCAGATTCACAAGAGGTCAGAAGTAAGATATTGTCGTTGGAGTTGCTCGCCAGAATTCTAGAGAATCCATTGCCATCGCTAAAGCTGTCGGAGAAGTTTATTAATACTTCGATCAAGCGTAATCTCTCGGTGACGCTACTCTCGAATGGCGCCAGTGACAACCTGCCAGAGTTCAAGCTGACACTCTCGATGTTCTCGTCGTTGATCATCCACTTCAAGGAGCATCTGAAAGAGGAGATCGGTACGTACTTCTCGCGGATCATACTCCACACGCTGGCATCGTCGTCGAGCGTGCGCAAGAAGTGGCTCGTTCTGCCGACACTCTACGAGATCTGCAAGAATCCTCAGACGATCGTCGATATCTTTGTCAACTACGATTGCGACCCTGAGAGAAAAGACATCTTTGAGAAGATGGTCTATGAGTTGTCGCGTGTCGCTCAAGGCGCCAACATCTCTGGCAGCGGCGCCAGCGGTGGAATCAGCGCCAACGACCGTTCGTCCGCGCAGATCCAGCAGGAGGAAGCGAAATGTAAGAAACTCGGACTCGAGTGTATCGTCACAATCATGAATTCGCTCGTCGATTGGAGCAAGGAGATCTATGAGAGCAAGAGAATCGAGCAACAGACACGCGCCAACGCAACGCTAATGGCCAATAACAACAGCAGCAGCAATGACGATGAACCAGATACATCGGACACATTGATCAACGGAAATATATCACCATTGAAATCGAGCATCGATGAGACACAACGCAACATCCTACTGGAACAAGGCAAACAGAAATTCAGCAGCCACCCAAAAAAAGGCATCGAATTTCTCACACAATGTGGATTACTTAAAGAAACACCCACTGACATTGCAGAGTTCCTCAGACAATCGGATTTCGATCAAAAGAAAATCGGTGAATATCTATGTTCCCAGTAAGTTTTATAAATATATCTATTTTAATTATTATTATTTATTACTAATTAGCATTCATTCATTTCCAAACAAATTACTCTAGTAATTCATTTAATATAAGTGTATTATATAAATTTATAGATACCTTTGATTTTAAGAATATTGATATTGATCAAGCTTTAAAGTAAATATTACATATATTTATAAATGATGTATATATACTCATCATTAAATCAAATAATAATAATTATTATTATAGGTCATTATTAACATGTATACAATTAAATGGTGAGAATCAAGCAATTGATAGAGTTGTTGAAAAGTTTGCCGAGAAATATTTCAATGACAATCCTGAATCTATTTATTCAAATGCAGGTATGTATTATTATTTAATTTATTTTTATTTTATTTTAACTTTTTTTTTTTTATTTAATTAACAATTATTTATAATCTATAGAATCAGTTTATTTATTATCATATGGAATCATTATTCTATCAACAGACTTACACAACTCTTCTATTAAATCGAAATTAACAAAGGAGGAATGGCTAAAGATGAATTCGAAATCAAACAACAAGAATGATTACAAAGAGGATTTCCTTGTTGGTATCTACGATAGAGTATCACAGGAATCTTATAAATTGGGTTGCAATACCAATGAAGGTAAGAGAATAGAATCTATCTTTTTAAATGATATTTTGATTGCGATTTCTAATCATTATTATTTTAGATGCAGAGTTTTTAGATACACAAGAACGTTTATTAAGATTCAATAGAGATAGTGATTACATTGTAAAGCAATGTCAGGAACTGATGAAGACAAGAATTTCGAAAAAGACAACTTTTTACAGGGCAAGAAACATTGAACATGTTCGTCCGATGTTTTTGCTTTCCTGGTGTTATGTTCTCTCGACGCTCTCGGTGATACTGGATGACACCAAAGAGAAAAAGTTGATATCGCTGTGTCTCGATGGTTTCTCTGCGGCGATTCGTGTCAGTTGTATCTTTTATTTGAATGTCGAGAGATCTTCTTTTATCACCTCGCTCTCGAAACTCTGTTTGTTGGACGGCATCAAGGAACCAACCATCAAGAACATCGAGTGTATCAAACATCTCATCTCGATAGCGACCACCGATGGCAACTACTTGCAGGATTCGTGGACACCGATTCTCAAGACCATTTGTATTCTTGAGCGTCTACACTTGATTGACACGTCAAAGACGACGTTGTCGCCGTCGGCCACGTCGCCATCGGCATTCCCATCGGTTGTGGAATTCTCACAAAACTCGCTGCAAAATCAAATCAAAAAGCTGTTGGAGGAGAATCCAAAGGATTTGATATTCGATTCGATTCAAGTCGAGCGAATCTTTACCAACACTGTGTATCTATCGGACGATTCGATTGTTACTTTTGTCAGATGTCTCTGTGAGGTGTCTGAGGAGGAGATTAGCCACTACTCGCGCAGCTACAGTCTTATCAAGTTGGTTGAGGTGATCGAGTACAATCTGAAGAGGAGAATACGTTTGGTTTTCTATAATATCTGGGAGATTGCTGTCAGTCACTTCACCAAGATCGGATCGCATCAGAATATTGAGATTGCGCTGCACGCTATCGACTCGCTCCGACAGCTCGCCTCCAAGTACATGGAGAAGGAGGAGATGTCGCATTTCAACTTCCAGAACGAGTTTCTCATGCCGTTTGAAACGATCATGTTGAACAATCAGGTGCCACAGATTCGTGAGTTGATCATCCGTTGCATTTCACATTTGGTACTGTCGAAGGCTCAGAATATAAAGTCTGGCTGGCAGACCATTCTCAACGTGCTCACCATTGGATCGCGTGTTAGCTACGAACCGATTGTAGTGTTGGCATTCCAGTCGGTCGAACAAATACTGACACACTGCTTTGGTTGCATCGAAGACAACTTCTTTGTTGACACTGTCAATTGTTTGACTTCTTTCTCCAACCCACAAGTACTCTTCCCAGACATCTCAATACGTTCACTCCAACAATTAGATATGTTAACCAAGAAGATACTTCCACCACCACAACCAGCAGCAACAACCGTCAACAATGAAAGTGAAAAAACAAACAACAACATTAATCATAATCACCAGCATTTTAGTCAAAAGATAGAGTCACAACTTTTACCTATTATTCAAGGTTTTGCAACACCTATCACTCATGAGAATGAGAGTGTAAGGTCACTGTAAGTATAATTATATTGATTAGCTACTTGAACACCTACTAATTTTTGAAATAATTTTAGATCATCAAATTTATTATTCAAGTTATTAAATCAGTATGGATCACAATTTACAGATGCAACATGGTCATATGTCATCAATAGTATTTTACTAAAGGTATTCAAATCTGTTATTGATCTTCAAAAGCAGACACCATTCACTGATTTCGTAAGTTATTTTAAATCGCAAATTAGTTTATCTTTTAATCTATTTATTAACCTTTTTTTATTTGTGTAATTTATTTAGGAATATATGTGGGTAAGACAAACTTGTCCATCTATTCTAATAGAAACTATCAATTTGTTGAGTGGACAACATGTCCAATTGTGTAAATTCTATTCTACCTTTATGAATCTATTGGAAAAATTCATTTGTAATTGTAAGTCTGAAGAGTTTATTTTGATAAAGATAACGTAAGGTTCGATTACTAATCGATTTGTATAATTATCCATCTATTTATTTTAGCTAATCAACCAATTTCAATTTTGGGATGTGAGTATCTATGTAAGTTTATTCAGAAATGTGCAGTCTATTTCACTGAGGAACATTGGAGTTTGACTTCCGACACCATTGGAAGAGTTATCAAGCATCTGGTAGTCAAGGATCCAACCGCATCACAAGTATTTTTATTCGACAGCAACACACCGCTACTTGGTAAAACTCTTTATCAAAAGTCCAATGACAACCTCAGTGCATCACAATCCGTTAACAGCTGGAACGTTGTCCTCCTACTGCTCCAACGTATGACACCCGTTCTCATTGAGAACTACTCGCATATTTCCTTGAAGTTCTGCTCACAAATCGTTAAATACTGGTCATTCGTTTACTGCCTCACCAAATTCAACTCGTCCACCGATTCAAACGGTGTCCAAGTACCAAGCCTTAACGAAACCAACTCACTCTCTTGTCTACTCAACTTTTTATTCCATATGTTCTTAAATGAATCATATCCAGATAGACAACAAGAGATTCAATTATTTTTAAATAGGTATGTATATTTATTTGTTTTATTTAATTTATACAAACAATTTATTAATTTTACTATTATTTTACTGCAGTTTGTGTGCTGATATTTTGAAAGATGTATCACAACAAATCAAACCACCTGCTAATATGGTATCGATTGTCCGTCAGATCACCGATGGCTTCAATGAATATAATTATGAAAATCAGTTCAAGAAGCATATCCCTATGCTGTATCCACACTTGATAGATTTGACAATTATCGAAAACTATGATATAAGAATGTGTATACTATCAATATTCAATAGATTCGGTAAAGATATTCCATCAATTACCGAAATCCAAGAACCCACTCCACTTCCTTTGGAACCGATTTCCGCCATCAAGGCAAAACCTGAGGAACCAGTTGTACAGTTGAATCCAGTCAGTGAAGCAGTTGTTGAGCAAAACCACGAACAATCAACTCAAAAGGAGGAGAATGAAGTGGAACAACCAGCACAGCCAAAAGAAGAACCTGAACAACAAGTTGTTGACGCCACACCAATCGAAGCCACTGAAGATCTCAATGAAGAGGAGTTGAATCACAACCACGCTGAAGAGGATATGACTAAACTCATCGAAATGAAAGAGGAAATCATTGATGAACCCATCGATCAAGTTGTTGTTAAGGAATCAATCGAAATCGAGAATGGTGAGCAAGATCCTATTGAGATGACCACAGAAAATAACGAAACACAAAATCAAAACAATGAAGAGAATGTAGAAAGCGAAGATATTTTATAAACTAATAAATAATTTATACCGAACCATTTTTTAAAACTATTTATTATTTATGTGTTGGTTAAATCACCCGTATTTCACGAGTGTTTCTCGGTTGATGTATCTTTACATATATTGATTTTAGCAGATAGAATACTGCAGTGGAAGTTGAGTTGAAATATTGTAGTATGGATATGGTTGGAATTAATTATTGTTATTCTTTTGCTTGGTGGTGGGTACTCTATATAAACTGCAACCTTGGTACCAATTGTTGGTTTCTCCTTTGATTTGTAACTACCACGATCGAATATATGTTTTTTAAATAGAACATCAATATAAAAATAATAATAGTGAATTATTATTAAAGTTTTTTTATAACTATATGGTTTTTATTTTTGATTTAATAACTTCCAAGCTTGAAGGTATTGTTTGGTATGATCTAAAAGTGAAACTCTGGTTGGTTTCCATCCAAGAAGTGTTTCTGCCTTCTTACTGGAAAGTCTGTTGGAAATTGAGTAAATGAAAGCATAAAAGTCATCATCTGGTGGAGCAATGAAATTTACTTGCTTAACCTCAACACCTGCCTCCTTTGCAATTGCATAGATTACTTCTTCAGATTTGAAGTAGTTGGAAGAACCAAGGAAGATATTTCCCTTGACAGCCTGTCCCTTAAGTCCGGCCAACAAGTAGAGCTGACCAAGATCATAGGAGTGTACAAACGAACGATATTGATCTTTCTTACCAAACAATGTTACCTGTCCATCGACTGGTTGTGTGGCGTTCTTAAAGTAGTAGGATGAGGCTGAACCTTGCTTTCCATAGAGGAATGCTGGTTGTATAACGATTGCACCGATAGACTTGTAGAGCTCCTCATAGGACTTTCTGATTGGGAAGTATGCATTGGTGAGATTGTATGGTGAATTCTCATTGATAAGATCTTGACTGTCTGCATAAACCAAACAACCACTTGTATATAGAATGATCAACTCTGGCTTCTGGGAAGCTATTACCTTCAATTTGTTGAAGATTAAATCAGAGGTGACACGATCAGTGTAGTTACCAACGGCTTCAACAACAATATCTACCTTTTCAGCAACTGGTCCCCAAACATCAACGTCAGCAATACTGGCAATGAGTGGAATGACTGTTTATTTTTACAAATTCCAAAATTAATAAACTTTTTAACTATTGCTTACATGTTTATTTGTTTATTGATATTAAAACTTACTTTCATTCTTTGCTACCAAATCAGCTTTTTCTTGTGATCTTACTAAACCATAAACAGTGAGACCATGGTTTACATATGCAGAAGCAACAGCACTTCCAATTGATCCAGCAGCTCCTAAAATTAATACTGATGACATAATTTTTTTTAAATTATTGAGTATATTTATATTTATATATATTTGTTTTTAATTATTTGTTATATTTTGATATAAAATGAGTAGAGCTCTAAACTATTTATAATCCATTGTTCTTGATAATCTTTGGAAATAGATTTCCAAAGATAAATATTGAACATTCCATTATCTCCATTCGATGGAATAGTAAAGTGTAGTTTTAAATTAGATGATAATGGTGAATGCTTTCAGAAGATTTATTAAAAATCAAAAGAGTCTTCGAGAGACTATTTTAATTTTGAGATTTCTTTGATTTGATTTTATTTGCAAACATGTCAAAATTTATTTTGATCAAATTTGGGATCAGCAACAATTCGAGAAACTTTTTGCAAATCATACCATGTTGGTATGATTATCAAATAGAAATATAAATATATTAACTACCAAAATATCTTCAAAGATATCATTTTAAAATAAAATCAATAAAGTTTTAAAATTTATTTATGATTAACAATTCGAGAAACTTTATGATTAAAAAAATAAATTTAATTATAAAAACCACCAAAATATCTTTTTAAAAATAAAACTACTTCTCGAACTTAATCTTGAATATACAGTATAATTATATTGTATAGCGAGCTGTAGTCAATCTCAACATCTAATTAGTTGAAATATGATTTGCAAATACATCTTTTATCACCATGCAATTTCATATCTTGGTTTTCGATTATTAGCATTTCTCAAGAAAGAAGCAGATTGATAAATTATTATCAGTTTAGATTAGTTTGTTTTTTTTTTTTTTAGTTTTAAAAAAAAAAGTAATAAAAAAAAAATATTTAATCTATTTTATTATTATATATTTTTATAAAAGTTTATGTAATTATATTAATGGTTGATTGCCTTTGAGATTTGATCCCAAGCAGCTTGAACCAAACCAATGAATGGTGGTGATGGTCTTTGTGGTCTTGATTTGAACTCTGGGTGGAATTGGCAGGCAACAAAGTAGTCGTGACCGTCCAACTCTACGATTTCCATACGGGTGTTGGTGGAATCCTTTCCAACGAAACGCAATCCCTTGGTACCGATCTCTTGGATGTACTCTGGGTTGACTTCATAACGATGACGATGACGCTCCTCGACGGCTTCACCGACCTTGGTGACATTGTATAGCTTGGCAATCTTGCAGTCGACATCGTTGAAGATGGTGTCACGTGAACCCAAACGCATGGTGGCACCCATATGAGTCTTTGAGACTTCAGGCATGAAAATTACAACATTCTTGGTTCCATTACCAAACTCTTCGGAATTGGCACCTGTCCAGCCGAGCATGTTTCTGGCGTATTCGATAACGGCGACTTGCATACCCAAGCAAATACCCAAGTATGGCTTGTTGTGAGTACGCGCGTAGTTGGCAGCGAGAATCATACCCTCGACACCACGATCACCGAAACCACCTGGCACCAGAATACCGTGTGCAGAACGCAACAAATCCCAGGCACGATCGTGTTTCTCTGGTGAAAAGTCTGTAATGGGCGAGGCGTTACCTTCTCTGGCTGGCTCCAAGTCGGATGCTTCGATCCAGTCGATCACAGTCTTACGATCGAGATGCATAGAGGCGTGCTCCAACGCTTTGATCACCGAGAGATAAGAGTCAGTCAAACCAGTGTATTTACCAACCATAGCAATACGAATTGGGCCGAATCCCTCGTTGTTGATTCTGTCCATACGGTCGGCCATAGCTTTCCAGGCTTCCAACCAGTATGGGGTACCTTGGTTACCGTCGTCACCCATATGTCCATTCTCCTTGACACAGTTGATATCTACCTTTGGTGTCAACTTCAAACGATTCAAAATAATGTTTGGTGTATTTTGTTGGTAGAGCAACAGTGGGACACGATAGATGTTGGAGACGTCGTGCACTCCAATGACGTTCTCTGGTGCGACGTGGCAGAACAGCGAGATCTTCTTTTTGGTCTCGGTGGACAATGGCTGAGTGCTACGACACATAACGAGATTTGGACTGAGACCGAGTGCTCTCAACTCACGGACAGACTGTTGCGATGGCTTGGTCTTTTGCTCACCGACGACACCCAACACCGGCACCAAAGTGACATGTAACAAACAAAAGTTGTCCTCACCAACACGGAATTGGAATTGACGCATCGCCTCAATGAATGGCATAGATTCGATATCTCCAACGGTTCCACCCAACTCGATGACACAAACATCTGGAGTACCCTCTTGTCCATCCACTGGAATATGAGCGACACGTTCAACCCACTGTTGGATCTCCTCAGTAATATGTGGAACAACTTGTACAGTCTTACCCAAGAACAAACCTTTACGTTCCTATAAATAAATAAAAAAAAACAAACAAACAATTAATAAAACTAATATATATATTTAAATAAACAATAATAATTATTATTATAATATTTACCTTTTCAATTACTAAATTATAAATCTTTCCAGTTGTAATGTTATTATCACGATTTAAACTGACGTCAAGGAAACGCTCGTAGTTTCCAAGATCGAGATCTACTTCACCACCGTCATTGAGAACGAATACTTCACCGTGTTCGAATGGACTCATGGTACCGGCATCAATGTTCAAGTATGGATCGATCTTGATCGATGTCACACGCAATCCCATTGACTTCATGATCATTGCTGTGCTACTTGCAATGATACCCTTGCCAATACCACTCAACACACCACCAGTAACTAAAATATATTTCATCTTGTTGTTTTAAAAAAATAAATAATATATAAATATATAAAATTGAATTATATAAATAATGATAATAATAATAGATTATTAAATGTGAGATATATGTTTGTAAAAAAAAAAAAAATACTAGTTTTTTTTAAATTTAAGAATTAATTATAGGTTAGTTCTAAAATTAATCGTTTTAATAAAAAAAAAACAGGTTTTACAAAGTAAGTAGTAATAATAAAAAATAATATTATATTATAAAGTTACTTATTTGGCCGCGAAAATGAAAATTCGGGAAAGAGTTTAACGTTCAAACATGCTGATTTATAGTAGACGAGAATTGAAACTTTCGACGAGTAAAAACAAAAATAAAAATAAAAATAAATTTTAAATCAACATTTTCGAAAATAAAAATAATATTAAAGTATGATTACACCAGCATTGTTCCAACTTTTTTTGAGATTTATTTTTTAACCGATAAAAATACCGCGGTTTTTTATTATTAATTGTTTATTTATTTTATTTTTGTTTTATTATTTGTTTAACAACAATTCCCACTTCTTTTTAGTCATGCTTGCTGACTTGTTTTTTTTGTAGAGAGGATTAAGAATAGATATACTCAGATGTGTACACATTAAATTGATTGATTGATTGATTGATTGTCACAATCTCAAAAATACTATTTTTTTATTTTTTTTATTGATTCGTCCGAATTTCAATTGATTTATTTGTAAAGTTATAGAATGTTTTATTTGTAGACAAGAAATAAATTTAAATTCTTATTACATTGACGCCATTTTCATTGGTAATAATAACGATCATCATGTCTCAGAAATTTGTGCACGGGTCTTTTTTTTTATTTATTTTTTGGTGAAATGTTTTTTGTGATTTTGATTTTTCAAACACTCATACTAGCTAATTGTTGCGCATATTCAAAATATTTCAATTTTATTTACTAATTAAATTTATATATTATTAAAAAGTAAAGTATTGAATTTAAGTTCAACTAAAGCAAAGTCAATCGATGAATCAATCAATCAAATCAAATAGTAGATCGATCAGTTCAGAAGCAGAAAATCTGATAAAATAGTTATTATGGTGAAATCGATCGATCAATCATTCATTCATTTATCAATTCAACAATCATGAACGAAACATATAGCTAATTATCAGATTGATTAATTCTGGTTGAATGATATGATAAATTCGATATATGATTGACTGAATTATTTTATCGAATGATATTGCAGCAGTTCAGATTTTAAAAAAATAAAATAAAAAATAAAAATTGATCAATGAAAACTAATTCGAATTCAACTCTCTTACATTTATAATAATAATAATAGATTAAATAATAATGGGAGGATCAGGAGCCGTCTTTGGAAAGCAAATCACCTACACTCTTTCACCATTCCGTCAAAGATTGTTTGTCAACTACTTCAAGAATGCCGTACCACATATCAAGCGTGGTGTTCGTGAGCATTCACTTGCCATTGTACCATACTTTGTTGCTTTGGGTGTCACTGTCAACTGGGCAAATCACTCTTACCACGAGGGTATGAAGGAGCACTGGTACTAAGCAATCAGTTGTTTTTTAGATCAAAAACTATTTTAAAACTTATATATTTCAAAATATACACAAGGTAAATATATATTGATCAATAGCAACAATTCAAACTATAATATATAATTTTAGATCAAAATGAAAATAAAAAAACTAACTATTTCAATCTTAATCATAGGATTTAACTTGTAATTCAAGAAAAAATAAAAAAAAAAAACAAAACTTAAACCTATATTTACGATCATTTAGATTTAACAATATTATTTTGTGTGGTAGATCGCGATCGGTTGATCAATTTATTTAGGAATCTAACAGGTATACATGTTGATCAGATATGATAGAAAACAGGTATTAAAAAAAGAAAAGAGTAGAAAAGACGAAAAGCAGTCAAAAAAGATGAGAGGTTTAACGGAAATGGATATCAGCTCAAGCATAATTATATATTTATAAAAAAACTATAGATCTATATTATTGAAGATAGAAAGGGTATTACAAAGCAAAACAAAAATGCAGTATTATATCTACTACCTGCTTGTTAGAAATCATACAAAGTGATTATTTGCTTCCTCTTCTTTTTTTTTATTTATCTTTGTTAATGCTAGTTATTATTATTGTTGTTGTTCTGAGTGTTTGTTAAACACATATATAAGTATAAAGTTAGTTTATTAGCATACTCTGTTAAAGGAATTATATACAGGCATTGATTTATCGATGTAAGTTAGTTAGTCAGTTAGAATTTAGGGATTTGCAACCCATGGACTATTATCTACACTCATCCAACTGACAAAGGAATTATAGTTTTTAGCAGCCATTAACTCAGTGATGGTTCTACCGATGTTTGACGATTGCGTTCCAATGAAGAATTTACATTCACTGGCAATGTGCACCTCGGAAAATAGCTGTGCACCGTAAGTAGATTTCAAATTGGATGGTATTCTTCCGGTTTCTAGCTCCTTGGCGACCTCCAGTACTCGATCGGAATACCTCACTATCTCCTTGATGTATCTGATATTCAGGTTGAGTTTTAACGCTTGCGATCGTCGCTCGAGCATCTCTATCACCGTGCTGTTATCGGTCATCAGAAAGATATCGTGGAGACGTGTGGCGTTACGAGTCACCTCGAGAATCGCTTTGAAGTAGTCGTCGAACGGAGTCATGCTAACGCCAGACTCATCCCACTTGTCGCCACACCGGATATGCACACTGACACAGCAGTCTTCGCATCCCGCTGGCATCAAACGATCTCCCCACAACTCTTGTTTGTATCGACGTATCATTTGGCGTGTCTCATAGCTAGGTCGTGCCAGCCAATCCATGATGTACGACCGATACTCTAGTAGCGAAGCGAAACGTGTTTCCGGGTAGTCTCTTGGCGATCTAAACTTATAATACACCATATAGCTATTCTCAACGATAGTTACACGACGATCTCTATCATATTCACTATAATACAACTCAGTGATATACTGAGGTGATTCAATATCAACATCTTTCATTTCACATCTATTGTGTAATATATTATTAACAATTAGTTACTAATACAATTGAATAATAGTAGTCGTTGTTTATAACTACTTACGTTGATAGAGGAAGTAATACATCATTCCAATGATTGGCATAGGAGTAGGATGTTGTATTGACAATGAACATTCTTTTGAATTGGTAGGAGAGCGAGAGAGAGTAGGCAACAAAGTGTAACATTGAGAACATTCCTCGCGGACCGATCTCGTAAATCAATACTTTAAGATGTTGGTTATCAGCAGTGCATACTTGATGATCGGATGTTGTTGTTGTTGTTCTCAATTGATGCATTCTACTACTCAATCGACGAAATGTTCTCGATTGAAATTGTATCGACTCCAACTCTTTATACAACAGATGTCTGCCACTGTTTTGTTTTATCTTTTTCAGCTTCAACAAGATCTCACCGCGATTATCAACCGGATAATATTCATAGTCCAACAGATTCCAAGATCTATTCTCAATGAGGAATGTATCGATTTTCCTGTTCAGTTCTGACCTTAACCAAGTGATGTGGTTAGCTACACACAGACTACTACTACCGACAACAGTAATATCATCCACAACAACATCTTCAAAGAAGAACAACGATTCTAATATCACACCAATCGGCACTAGTGGTTGAGTTGGCGATTTACCGGATTTCGAGTTCAAACAATAATTCGATATATCTAAATAAAGTCTATTCACTTCTAAATTGATATTTTCTTTGCTATTGCCATTCCTTATGACGAGGTGTTGTTCGAATTGTGTGAATAGTTCGCTTAGAGTATCGAAGCTAGTGGTGTGCTGGTTATTGTAATTGCCGATTCCATGGAATCTATTGAAATGCAGTTGCAAAGACCCAGATACACTATAAGATATATATATCGATTTATATCTATCTGAAAGTGATTCTAATTTATTAATTTTATTATTAACTTTGTTATTATTATTAATGTAATTTTTACTATCATTGGTATGACCAAATAAAGAAGTAGTGGTAACAGTAGTAGCAAATTTATAATAGAACGACAACAAACAACTGAATATCAAATACAATACTATAGATAGTAAAAGACAAATTAAATATCTTTTTACAATTCTGTATTTCATTTAATGTAATGTATCTTTGCAAAGATACTACAATAATAATAAATTATAATAAATAAATAAATGATAATAGTAGAAAAAAAAATCACCTTCATTATACTGTTCACATCATACAACATTAATCAATTATAAAAAAAAACAACAACTAAATCAACACACACACACACACAAAAATGATTATTAGTAACCATTTATTTTTTTTTATAAAGAAGCAAACAATTATTTTTCTTGTTTATTTTTAATTAATTAAAAATAAAAGGGGGTGGGTGAAGGGGAAAGTGGTAATGATTCGGTGTGGGGTGTTGTTTATTTGTAATCATCAAACAACAGCATTGGTCGGTCAGTCGATCATGTTATGTATCAAAACTTTTAAAAGTAAAGTAAAGTAATAAAGTAAAGTATATTAATAATAAAAAGGTAAACAAAACTTTTCTATTCTCTCTTTCTCTATCTCAATAATAAATATAATATATTTTATATTTGTTCTATATCATTATTATTTATTTATTTATTTTTATTGCTAAAAGAAGTATAAAGAAGAAGAAACGAAACTGCAATCGTGTGGTATCCAAAAATAAAAATAATATAATAAATAGATTAAGAAATACTGCTATACTTGTAAATCGATAAAATAAATAGAGTAAGACATCATCGCCATTCAATCGAATAAATTTCCAATTTCATTTTATTTCATTTTAATTTTTGCTGCATCATCAATCATCAAAGACTCTGGAAACTAAAAAAAACCATCAGAGGATTGGCGATTTCAAAAATAAATTTCATAATCGATTTTATTTTTTTTATTTTTTTTTATTTTATTTTTTACTTCGGAGAGAACTACCTGAAGAAGAATAAAAAGAAGAAAAAATTTTGTGTGTTAAATTTGCAAAAAAAATTGAGTGCTTCTATTGTTCTAAAGAACGCTTGTTGAATTCAATTTTTTTTTATTTTTCAAGCACCTGCAATAGTTTTGACAAAAATCCAAACAACAATCAATAATATATAGCGCAAATTTATTCTTTTTTCTTTTTTTTTTTGTTTTTTTTTTTTGAATTTGAATTTGACAAATAACAAATATTAGTCATAATATACCAGAACCAACAACAAAGAACAGAACAAAACAAACAAGCATAATTAAATAACAAAGATCTTTTTTTTCATTGACCTTATTTAAAAAAAAAAAAAAAAAGAATAACGCAACAGAACAGAACAAAAAAGAATAACAGAAACAAACTTCAATACAATATTATCAGATTAATTTGTAGATTTGTTTTTTTTTTAATAATAATAATATCATTAGACATTTAAAGTTAGTTAGTTCATTTTAGATAGAATAGCAATTTAAATTGTTTTTCTTTTCACAAAAGTTGTTTAGTTTATTTATATTTATAAATAACAACACCTCTACAAAAATAATATTCGACAAATTCAATACAAATAATACCAACACTGCAACATTATAATAAAACATAGTTAGTTAATAATAACTGTTACTAATTTTCATTTAAAATTAAATTAGAAGAGGGAAATAGAAGTAGAAGTCACACTGCTAGATTCATCTATAAATTAATAACAACAAAAATAATAAAAAATACATAGTTTTTTTTTTAATTTAATAATAGTAAAAAAGAATAATAATAGTAATAATAGTAATTTTATAGTTTTAGTAATAAAAGAGACAATTGAAAAATAGTTTAAAATTAATAATAATAATAGTTACTTACTTATAATTAAAAACATCGCTGTTTTTCTCAAATAGATAATAGAGGAATAAAAAGTGATAAAGATTAGTGTCGAGCTACCTTTACATTACTTTAATTCTATTCTATTCTATTTTATAAGTATAGTAAAAAAACAATAACAATAGTGATTCATATTATATTAAATAATAATAATAATAACAACAATAACAATAACTTTATTTATTTAAATTGAAAATTAGAGGTAAGATATTATTATTTAAATACAATCAATATTAAACCAACATAATAATAACTAAACATAAAGCGAATTCGAATCAAGGTTAAAATCTGAGAAAGAAATGACAGTCGAGAATATCAATGATTTGCCAAAGTTTGTTTTGATTGAGATCTTTAAGAATCTTAATTCAAAGTATATATGTCAAGAGATGCCAAGAAATCCATTCTTTCATAACTATTGCTATGATAATATGAAGACGAATGGCTACGATAGCTACTCGAAACTCTTTGAGAGCAAGTCGAGTTTGCCGATTATCAACAACAACATTAACGATCCAGTATACAGAGAGGAGTGTGGAATGCCACCTTTAAACAGCACCAACAATAGCAACAGCAGCGGCAACACAGCCACCACCAGTAAAAAGTGTGTTGGCAGCGGTTCAGAGTCGGACGCTACCAACAGTGCAAACGGTGCATCTTCAGCGTTGGTCAGTTCGGTTTCAAACATCAATATGTCAGAGCAGGAGGTTCTTCACGAGAAGATGGAGGAATACATGTGCGTTTACTTGAATAATATCATCAATTTGTCGCTGGTTTGCAAGATGTGGGCAAAGCAGATCGTTCCGATTTCAAATTGTTGTATCACAAAGATTGTCAATAAGAAGCAGTTCGCTACACTCTTTAAGTATATGACTGAGGGTATCATCAAGGATGGTGCCACCTGTTTGTTCACAACCATCAAGTTCTTTTGTAAGGGCGGTGGTAGTTCTCCCAACCAATTGCTACCGAAAGACTATAAGCTACTCTTTAATCATTGCCACTCGGTTCGTTGCCTCTCATTCGATAAGAACCAGCTAACTATTGGCGACGTCGTTGTGCTCTCCAAGTACATCAAGGAGTCGGCTAATATCACCGAGCTCAAGGCACCGAGCAACTTCACACCACAGGGATTGGCATTGTTCTGCGACGCCCTCAAGTATAACCAATCGTTGACACTGCTCGACATCTCCTCGACACCGCTCAACGCCGATTGCATCGGTTCCATCTGCTCCGCGCTCAAAGTGAACCGTTCGATTCTCTATCTGGACTTGTCGTTCAACTCGATCGGTAGCAACGGTGTTGGCTTGGGTGACATGCTCAAGTGTAACACCACACTGAGGAGTCTTTTCTTGATCGGTAACGAACTCGACGATGAGTCTGTCTATTCGATCTCCGATGCTCTGCGGACCAAGAACTCAACACTCACCGAGCTTTCACTGAGTGAAAACGACTTTGGCGACGATGTCGGTGCTGCCATCGGTAATGTCTTCAAGGAGAACCGTTCCATCAAGACATTGGACATCAGTTGCAACGAGCTCTCAGAGATGACATCGTCTGCATTTGCCGAGTCACTTACATCCAATGTGACACTCCAGAATCTCAACGTTTCCGATTGTTCGCTCGCTCTTGACAACAGCGGTGCCGAATTCTTTTCATCGATCCAACAAAACACTACACTCACCCATCTGGTGTTATGGGGTTGCGACCTCAACAAACAGGACCTCAAAGACGAAATCGCCAGCTTACTCTGCAACAACAAATCAATCACCACCTTGTCACTCGGCTACAATACACTCAGCTCCGACGACATTCTCACCATCGTAAGAGATGGACTCCAATACAACACCACTCTAAAGTCGCTGACTCTCAACAACAATCACATCTGTGGCAAGGGTGGCAAGATCATTGCCGACTACCTCAAGACCAACGCAACACTCTTGGAGTTGTCGCTGTTTGATAATCTCGTTGACAACATCACATCGATCAGCTTTTTGACAGCGCTCACAATGAACCATGTCATCCAAAAGTTGTGTTTGGGATCGAACCGAATCTGTCCGAACATCTCGTCAAAGTACAAGAAGATCTTGGCATACAACCATCCAGTCTGTCCAAATCAGAAACAACACTGGGTCAATGCCAAGCACAGGTTCATTCAAAGGGAGATCGAGGATTTCCGATCACTCTTGTCATACAAAAACGAGTTCTCAAGAGCGTTACAGGCACTCTATGACCTTTTGGCAGAGATCAACTTGGCAATCGACGAGTATCAAAAAAAGAAAGAGTTGATCGAGTCCAGTAAGAAGTGTTGGACCATCACCGATAAGAAAACATACACTCAGTTAAATTTGAAAAACAACATCAATAATAATAATCATCAAGCTTCGACACCACAAAAACAACCACACCAACAATCTTCAACAGAATCAATTGGTTCACTCGAGAATTATTGTATAAAGAAGAACCCATTTTTCGATTTACAAACAACACTAGAATAAATTTACAATTTTTTTTTTTTAATTAATATTTTACATTCTTTTTTATTGTTTCTATTTTATTCATATCGTTCTAGAACATTGTTGTTGTAGATCTTAAATACAAATCCTTTTTAAAAGTTTATTATCGATTTTGTTGTAATACTTTTTCTATAAATTAAGCATATCAAACTTTTAAGAAGTTCATTTTAAAGAACATTAAACATGTTTAAAATGCTGTTCATTTTTAAGGATAACAAAATCGATATTCTATATTATAGTTATGCTCACTACCAAAGCGTTATTAAATGAATATGTTTTTATTTGTTTTCAATTGTAAAGATCTCTTTATAACTTCAAGTTTTTAAGGACATTTTTGATGTACATTATATAATATTTAATCGAATTTTCAATTGTTTTGAATTGAATAGCTTATAATAGAATAAACATTATTTTTTCTTAACTTTTATTAATATCAATGAATATAGATTATTCTAGTTAAAATGAAAATGAGCTTCTGCGTCCGAGTTTAAAACAATGTTGATTTTCCAAATTTGCATTGATTTTTTTAAAAGTGATCACAAAAATTTTTACAAACAATATTAAAAATTTAATTTAATTGAAATTTTTTTGAAGATCATAATTATTATTAAAAAAAATATTGTTTTGTTTATTACTTATTGATTTTTATATATATAAATATAGATTTATAACAAGAAAATAAGAAGAGAGTGAAGACTGAAACACCTTTTTATTTTAAAATATATTTTTTTATTTATTTTTTATCTATTTTTAAATATTCGTTCAATCACTATGCAATCAAGTTCATTACATAAATCAGCACATGAAATTACATCGAGTGAAGCATTTCAAAGATTATATTTGAATTTCAATATAAATAGTCTGCCTTTGATTCTGATAAGAAAGATTCTGGGTCACTATCAATCACATTTCAATACCATTTGCAAGTTGTATGACTTGCATTACTTGTGGAACGACAGTGTGTTGCGACTCTCTCTGGTATGCAAACTCTGGGCACAAAAAGTGGTGCCGTTCATCAATGATTCCACGTATCACATCGATTCGAAACAGAAGCTGACCACCTACCTCAAGCTGTCGGGCTACGGCTTGCTGTATCCGTCGCGACTCCTACCGTTCAATCAGACCGGTCTGGCCGATCCGCGCGCATTCGTCAAGCGGCTACCCGACCGATTTCCCTATTCGTTCGAGCGACTTCTCATTGAGATAGATCATCGCCAGGTTCCACATGCCGCCGACTCGGTGATTCCGCGCGAAATCTACGAGATGCTGGTGCCACCCAACACCGAGTCGCTTCACCACCTCTCGTTCTCCACCAAGCAATCGAACCGCGCCGATCTCTTTCACGTGCTCTCGGCGATCTCTCCCAACAAAACACTTACATCGCTCAAACTCTGCCAAACGATCTTTCAGAGTAACACACTCGGTGCACTCGCCAGCTTTATCAGCGCGACTCCCACCCTCGAAAAGTTGAACTTGGAGGGCAGCTCTGTCTATTCGGCCATCAGTGAAGACGTTCAAAACAGCTTTATAAACTCGTTCTCTGTTAATAGCACTTTGAAATCACTTAATCTACGGTCGTTCGAACCGATTGCCTCTGGGAAGATGTCGGATCTTTTCGAGTCGCTCTGCAGTGGAGAGGCGCCACTCTGGAAGCTGGTCATGTCATGTCCAAATAACAGCGGTGGCAGCAGCAGCAACAACAAGGAGTTCTTCTTCCCAGCAAATCCAAGGATCAAAACACTCCGCCACCTCAAAGTAGATCTAGCGCCTAGTCACATCAGTAGTTTCATCTTGTTTGTCGGGCGACTTCCCAATCATCTGATCTCACTGGATCTCAGTCATTCGAACCTGGCGACACACTATGAGCGACTGTTCATCACGCTCAACGCCAACAACTTGCAGTCGTTGACACTCGCCAATATCCGTTACGAAGAATCGCGTCTGCAGACCGAGAGTTTTGCACATATTCCATACCAGCCACTCGATTTGATGAAGGGGAATCACAACCTGACCAAACTGAACGTCTCTCGTTTCAACATGAGCAACACCGACGCAACACAGCTACTTTTCACACTGAAAACGAACGAGGTGCTGACCGATCTCGACCTCTCCAACAACCAGCTCAACTGCACCAGTGAACTGATTGCGCTGATCTGCTCGAATCACACTATCTCCACACTCAACTTGGCATCCAACAATTTCTATGTCGACTTTGCCAAGCTCTGTCTAGCGCTGAAACTCTCGAAATCGATCACCTCACTCAATCTTCACAAGAACAATCTCTCTGATGAGCTCGGTGTCAATCTGGCAGAGTACATCAAACACTCTGCCGTGATAAAACACCTCGATATCGGTGGAAACATGTTCCGACTGCTGACACCTCACCATCTGCAGAGTGCACTTGCACAAAACAAATCACTGATATCACTCGATCTCTCAAAGACACCGCTCGACCAGATAGGCTTAGAAGGAATCCTCTACAGTCTTTGTGAACATCCAACCATATCGGTGGTCAACATGAAAGGTATCAGTCAACAATCACAAAACATGCTCGACAGTCTCATACAAACATTAGGATTGAGAGCATTAGTAATGTTTTCTAATAAATATTAATATAACAACTATAAATATACATTGTACAAATAAAATAACATTAATGTTATATCTATTTTGTTTGTTTTGTTTTGTTTTGTTTGTTTATTTTGTAAAAAAGAAGACGATTCTTTTAAAATTGTTTTGGTTGTAATACATCTTTATCTTTCTTCTTGTTGGATGATGATGATGAAGAAGATACAGTTGATGATGATGAATTGAGTGATGACGATGTTGACTTTTTAGATTTAGATGATTTCTTTTTTGATGTTGATAGGTAGTCATAGGTTTCAGGTGTTGATTGTATAGTATTATTAATTGGAATTTCATTAAAATTGTCACTTGATTCACTATCATTTATATTATTATTATTATTTGTTGTAAAATTATTATTATTATCATTGTTATTGTTTAATGTTGTATTGTCATATTGTACAGATGAATTTGGTGTAATTGATGGTGTTGTTATCGAAGATGATGATCCACCACTTCCAGTAGATAGTTGATCGAATGACTTGTATGAACTGAAAGTAGATGATGCTGTCGACTTTAAATGTGATGAATTTATAAATTGTAATGATTTACTAATGATATGATATGATATAATAAAATAAAAATAGATTAGATTATTAACATTAACATTAACAATAATATATTATATTATTATCATATATATTAAATTACATACTTATTAACTAATTTTGAAACCTTATCGATTGATGATAATAGTAGATCGTGTATATGATTGAATGTTTGAATTTCAGCAATCGATTGAATGGTTGCTGAGGAATCATCGACGTTGTACATTAGTTCTTCTATGTGTGTATCTAACTCTCTGATCTCCTTCTTTATAGCAACATTCTTTGGTATTGTCTTTCTGATGTGCTCCTGTACATGATACATTCCTACACTCGGTTCATTTGCAATCTGATGTACATAATCCGATATCTTTTTATTTGCTATATATCATTGATTGTTGTTGGCAAGTAATAATAATAATAAATGTAGTATGTTAATAAACCATTAGCAGGCAGGCAATCAATCTTTATTTTAATGAATTTACCTTTAAATATAGAATCTGCAGTGTTGGCATCCAATGTTAAAGGTACAACTTGTGTAGGTTGTTGTTGTTGTTGTGTTTGTATTGATGAACTAGACATTCTCTCTCTCTTCACTATAATTAATTATGTATTCTATATTCTTTTATGTTGAAAGTCCAATTAAAAATTATTGGAATTTTGCTAATAAACTTCATATTTATTAATGTTTTTTTCGGATTCTCTCTAATTCGCAATCATTGTTTTTAGTCTTTAACAACTTTGCTTGGACCAATTGTTTTAATGCTTTTAGATACAATGAATATAATACAGTTTAATTTATTAATTTTATAAGTAACCAAATTTAAATGTCAATTTAAATAACTTGAAAATCAATAAAAATTAATATTAAATATAAAACATTGTAGCAAAATGGCCTCAATCATCAAATTAAATTTATAAATCTAAATGATCACATTATATTTACAAATGGTTGAAATTGTAGCTCATGATCCGTTATCAAAGACTTAATTACATAGTTTTTCATATTTTCGACCAACAAAAACAAATGGTGAATGATCAATGATATTAATCAGACTCTGTTTAATGGATAGTTACAATCGATAGATGTTTTGGATTGACTTATAAAATTAATTAGAAATAAATCTTTATTACATAAATATTTATTTTGAAGTTCATTAATATGAAAGAAAAAAAAAGGTGAAAAAACATTAAATTACCACAATGTGAGATTTTTGTGCAATAATATGATAATTAATCACTTAAACACAACACAACAGGCAAACACATATGAAACAAACAAATATATTTTTACATTTCAACCATTTTTTAATTATTTGTTAATGTTGTTTGTTTTTTTTGTGTTATCAAATTCACCAACAACCGAATAATTATATTTATATCAAAAAAACTTTATAAAATTGATATTGACAACGTAGTTGTTCTGTTTAAACTTATAAATAAATAGCATAACAAAACATAATTTAGTTAGATAGTTAATTACATATTGGTTTATAATAATAATAATAAAAAAAAACAAAGAAAGAAATAATTATTATTTCTAGTTATTTTTTTTTATATTTAAAACAACAAATATAAATTAATTAATGGCTTCGATTAGACAACTTGAATTAATTATACATGAAGCACATAGAGTTAATAAGTCGTTGTTGGACGACCTGTTGACTTTGAAAGAGGATAAGAAGCTGACCAATACTCAGTTGAATGTGGCGTTGGGTGCCAAAGAAAAGTTGGAATCAAAGTATGAGAAAGTCAAGAAAGAGCTGGACGAGAGCAAGAAGAAACTCGAAGATTTCCAGGCGAATCTGACAGAGTTTGAGAATGAGAATACCAAGCTCAATGTAGAGTACAAGGCGAGTCTCGAGAGTATAGAACAAAAGACTGGTGAGCTTGCCAAGTTGGAACAGCAGATGAGTGTTCTGACATCGGAGAATAGCGAATTGCTAGCACAGAAACAAAAGTTAGAGTCACGAGCAGAGGGCAATATCATCGACAAGGAGAAGCAGATAGAGAATCTCGGTAAGGAGCTGAAGCTGTTGAATGAGAAACTACTGGTTATCGATGTGGAACGTGGTAAATCCGACAAGCTGAAACAAGATGAACAGAAGAAGCGAGTGGAAGCAGAGACCTACAGTAAAGGACTGGAGAAGAGAATCGAGGAGTTGGAAGAGCGACTCGCTGCAACCGAGGTGGAGGTTGGCGAGAAGAACAAGCTGCGTGAGAAGATCAAGGAGCGGAGCGAGTTGGTAGCGTCGCTCGAGGAGGAGCTAAAGAAGCTGCGTGTTGACCTCGAGAAGGAGCGAGCTGAGAGTGCCACTATGCAGCTGGAATTCGAAAAGATGCTGGAGAATGAACAGACCAACAGAACGGAGATCATCGATGGTACAGAAAGACAAGTGATGCTATTGGAGAATGATCTCAAAGCTGAGAAGAACCGGTCGGCAGAACTAGAGAAACTGAGAGATAGAAACATCGAAGAGAGTCAACAGATGAAAGAGATATTCAATAAGTTACAATTTGATTATTTAGAATTGGAAAAGAAGTATTCAGATCTACAACAACAGCAGAAAGAGCAACAACAACAGCAACAAGTTGTAACAACAACAACAATAGATGAAGAAACAATGAAATACGACGAGTTGTTAATTTGTGAAAAGGAAAGATATAGAAAGTTAGAGATGGAGTATGATCAACTTAAAAAGAGAATTGATAGTAGTATTAGCAGTAGTAATGGTAACGAAGATATAGATCAACAACTGGATAGAAACAGTTCTGATTCTTCAACAGAGGATTGTAGTAATGATGAATCAATATTACCAGATAGAGATGATAATGAAAATGATGAACATGAACAAGATCAAGAGGTTATTGTTGTCGATGTTAGTGATAGTGATAAATCAATGACAACAACAACATCATCATCATCATCGTTATTAGAAGATGAAAGAAAACAACTAAGACAATGGGAAGAGAGAATCGAACAACGTTATCAACAAACAAAACAAATATTAAATCAAATTAAAGAGATAAAAGAAAAGACACCAACACCAACAGTTAATGAAAATAATAGTAATAATAATAATAGTAACAGTAATAATAATGATACAGCAATATTTAAAAAACATTTAGAATCAATGATCTTAGATCTAAAGAAACAATTAGAGTCAGAGAAGAAATCAAAGTCTAAACTTGAGGATCAAGTTCAACAACTTCAACAACAACTACAACATCAACAACACCAATCATCGTCATCATCATCGTCAGCAACTTCATTTTTATCATCACCTGTCAAATTAACTTCACTTTTCACAAAGAGAAATCACTCTGTCAATGATTTCTCATCTACTCATAGTGCCAATGCACCATCATCATTATCAGCCAACAACAACAATAACAATAACAATAACCACAATCAAGAAACATCTACATCGGCATCAACTTCAACTTCATCCACAACCAACAGTAGCGAGTCGAGTAGTCCGTCCAACCAGGTGTTGGTATCACCACCAAACGAATCGGCGGAATCCGATCAAGATAGAAAATCAAGACTCTTTAAAGCTTATCAAGATCTCCTGGTAGAATGTAATACTATTTTATATTCAAAGAAAGATCAATTAGCAGTAAGTGTTGATAAAATATTATTATCTAAAATTCTAAATAACTAACTATTTGTTAATAATAGGAAATAGAGGAAAGTGGTAAAGCATATTTTAAATTAATTCAAGTTCACCAATTGAAAGCATCTATTGGAAAGCTTGAACCAATGCACGAGAAACTAAAGAAACAATTGATCTATGTTGACTCCAAAGATGGTATTACAAGTAACGAAGAACTTGATGAAAAGAATCTTATAAAAACATTCCAATCTCAGGTTGACCAAGAAAGTCCATCTAAATAAACTAAACATCATATTGTTTGTGTTTGTATATATTACCTATAATTTAATTGATGGTTTTATAACTATTCGATTCTATACGATTCTTTTCTATTCTATAGCTATACAATATTATTCTAATCTCTATTCTACTACTAATGATAAGATGAGTGGTGTGTGTATGATGTATCATTTACAATTTTAATTTATTTAAAAGTAACTATATATATTTGTTTGTTTTTCTTTTTCTTTTTTGAATGAATCTAACCAAATATAAGCAGGAATACAATTACAACTATATTTAAAAGAGCTAAAGGTACTGTTGATTTGATAATAAACAAAACAAATAGAGATTAATGCATGATAATCACAAGAAATGCTATATAGATACATACATCTGAAAAAGAATCTAAGGTTATATAAAAGAGTAATACATTTTGCTTGGAATGACTCCATATCCATATCATTTCTCAATCCCCATCCAACTATTGATGATAATAATAATTAAACGATATATAGTTTGTTAGTATCTGGTACAACAAAAGATAGATAGATAGATCTATCTTATCACTATATAATGAAAACCATACTTTTATTTAAAAATCTTTCATTCAAGATAGCTAAAGCATTTGTAAACAACAGAAATGAATTAAAAAATGTAAGAAAAGAGAACATTCTTTATCTTATATATTTATATATATATATATATATATTATAAAATAATTTAAAGTTATTTTTAAAAATAAAATTATCTCACAAGGTGATCATTAACTTTTTTTTTTTTAGACTCATTGAGTTCAATTCAAATTTTATCTGTGTAGTTTTTTTATTTAATTGTTTACTTTGTTTGTTTTGTAAACTTATAATCAAAAGTATTTATTTTTTATTAAATCAAATATTAATTTAATTCATAATATATTAAATTTATACATTTTTTAAAACTTGACTAATTATAATTTATTAAATCTTGTATAATTTTAATTCTTTGATTATTATTAGAACTACACATAATTATTATGATAATGGATTCATTATAGTTAAAAATAATGTATTATATGTAAGGTAGGAGGTTTAATCTTAATTATTTCAATGTAGTAGATACTTTCACCAAAAATATTAGATATTTTAAAATATTATTATATTATATTGCCTGGGTATATCTATTAACAACTTCCTTTTCCAATTTCAACTTTGTTGTATGTTGAAATCCCACTATTTCTTTTTTTTCTACCATCCGAATTTTGTATTATCGTCTTAAGAGAGTTGTTAACAATTCTCTCTATACCATGGTATCACCATAGTATAGGGTGGGTGAGAATAAGTACATTGTTTTTTTATAATGTATCGCATCATTCAATAAAAAATACAAAAAAATTAAAAACAGAAAAAACACAATATCAATATTATTAACAATGATTAAAAATACCAATCATTTAATGAAAACATGTCGTGAACCTCTTCCTCTTCTTCTTGGAGTGTTGGGAATATTAAAACATATGAAGTAATGTGGTATTTTTGTTTCGCAAAGTACATTGGCATAACACCACATACCACACAAATATGGTATTTATTTGAATTAAGATTTTCAAATATTTTTTAATAGATTTTTTGAATTTCATATTTTATGATAATTTCCAAAAAAGGTTATTACTACTTATTTTTGTGATGTCAGATTCAACAAACTATATATATTGGTCATAGGATAACTTTGTTTTCAATATTCTTAAATTATAGAAAATTAAATTTTAAAATTAAATTAAATTTCATTAGTAAATCTTTATAAATAAGCAAAATTAGAAATTAATATTATATAAAAGTTTATAAATAAATTAAATAATAATATAATATAATTAGATAAATATATATATATATATTAATTAAATAAATAACAATAATTAAATAATGGATTCAAAAAAAGAAAATATTAAAGAGAATGCCTCTGAAATTAAAGATAAGGTACAAGAGGGTGCAAAAGATGCTGCCGAAGATTTGAAGGATATGGGTAGCAATGTAAAGGAGAGCGTGCAGGAAGGTGCCAAAGATGTAAAGAGTGATGTTGAAAACTCTGGTATCGGTGGAAAGATCGAGGAGATTATGCATAACTTGCAGGATATGGCACAAAAAACATGGGATAACACCGTCCATATGTTTAGTGGTGCACAAGAGAATGTCGAAGAGAAGGCAGAGAAGGTCGGTGAGAGTATGGAAAACGCCAAGAACTCGATGAAGGAGAATATGGAAGCTGGATACGAGAAGGCCAAGGACAATGTGAATGCCGGCATGGAGAAGACAAAGGAATCGGTTGCTGCCGCCAACGAGAAGATGAAGGAGGCTGCCGAGACTCTCAAGAAGAATATGGAAGCCGGATACGAGAAGGCCAAGGACAATGTGAATGCCGGTATCGAGAAGACAAAGGAAGCATTCTCCAGCACTGGTGAGAAGATGAAGGAGGGTGCAGAGGATGCCAAGGAGAAGCTCCAGAAACAAGGTGAAATTGGCAAGGAGAAACTCGATGAAGCTGGTCAGAAGATGAAGGAAGGTGCCGAGAATCTCAATGAGAAGATGAAGGAAGGTGCCCAGAATGTAAAGAAGAATCTCGAAGAGGATGCCGAGATTGCCAAAAAGAAGATGGACGAGACCGGTCAGAAGATGAAGGAAGGTGCCGAGAATCTCAATGACAAGATGAAGGAAGGTGCCCAGAATGTAAAGAAGAATCTCGAAGAGGATGCCCAGATTGCCAAAAAGAAGCTGGATGAAGCTGGTCAGAAGACCAAAGAAGGTGCCGAGAATCTCAATGACAAGATGAAGGAAGGTGCCCAGAATGTAAAGAAGAATCTCGAAGAGGATGCCGAGATTGCCAAGAAGAAGCTAAGTGAAGCCGGTGAGAAGACAAAGGAGTCGTGGGACAACGCATCGGAGAAGGTTAAGGAAGCAATGTCCAACACCAACGAAAAGATGAAGGAAGGCGCTCAGAATCTAAAGAAAGACATGGAACAAGGTGCCACCGATGCCAAGAACAAAGCAGATCAACTCGGTGAAAAGATGAAAGAAGGTGGTGAAGCATTCAAGAAAGACGTCAAAGATGCAGCTTCCGATGCCAAAATGAAAATGGACGAAGGTATTGACAAAGCTAAGACCAAGGCAAACAAAGCCATGGAGTAGAAGAATTCAATACACACATTATCTAGTTTAAAGAAAATACAACATTGCTTCGTTTTTTAAAATTATAATAATAAACTTGTACATAAACTAATTTAAAGTATAATACAAACTTTAACTAACATATTATCTTTAAAATAATAAGATCTTGTTATTGTTTGTGTAGTTGATGAATGATCACAACAATTTTTGGTTTTGTAAATATTTCAGAGATGCTCATCTCTAGAGTGTATATACCTATTCAAATTTGGTTCGTGCGAAAAATCTATTCAATTGAATTTAATTTCTTTTTTGGTTATTGATTGGTTTAATATTATTGCTATTGACAAAACCCTCAAAAGAGTTGGGATGGGCCAATTTAATTGATAGTAATATTATCATCAAAATATTTTCTTAACTTCAAATGAATTAAATTGTAATTAATATTAAGTGTAATAGTTTAAAGTGCCTCAAAACCCTGTTTACCAAATATCACCAAATCAATCACATTCTACTACTAATATTATATTTATATATTTATAAATAATTTCAAAAAAATAAAATAAAAAAAAAAGAATCAAATTAATAACAGTAGATACAATCACTATAGTCTCTGCAATGCGTGCGGCTTACTTTAGTGGAGTGTTCAAAGAAATTCTTTATACCTCAGATGAAGATTTAGAAAACCAAATTTTCTTGAATTTCTCTTAGCAACTGTTATTAATTTGATTCTTTTTTTATTTTTGAATATTTATAACTTATATATTTATTAACTTTGACCAATTAATTTATAAAGAGTAAGTAAGTATTTCAATACAATCAAATTGATTATCAATATTAAACTTTATTTCTTTTCAATTTGTTTTAATTAATAATAACAATAGGTTTCTTCACATTCGGATAAGCGCCACCCCACTTTTAATGAGCTATCAAAAAAATAATAAAAAAATAATAAAAAAATTCAATAAACAAAAAGACGAATGTTTCGTTTTTTTTTGTTTTTTTTAAATTAATCAATTATTTCTTTCTTATTCCTATTTCTTATCACTTTTTTATTATTATTATTATTATTATTATTTAATTATTATCATCATATATATATTTAAAGTATAATAAAAATAAAAAGAGATAAACCATGGTTAATAATGTTAAACTTCAAAATAAGAAGGGATTGGGAAAGTCAAGGGTAAATCAAAATAAATACCTTGAGAATAAGAAGAAGGAAACCAAAGAGTATAAGAAACAACAAAAGACTGCAGAGGGTCAACAGAATAGTATATTTGCGAACCAACAAGATAGTGGTAGTAATAATAAGAATAAGGTTAGTGGTGAAAAGAAGAAAAAGGTCGCTGCCATCAAGATCAAAGATAAACTCACTGAAAGTTCAACCGGTTGGAAAGTAGATTCATCTTTCTTTGATAGAAACATTACCGGTGGCAGTAGCAACACTTCCAATAACACCTACGATGACGACGAGAATCGTGATCTTTTCAACTCTATCAATGAAGATACCTACGATAGCGATATCTTCTCTGGATTACATCAAGTTAATGATAATGATGATGATGATGTTTTCGATGAAGACGACGATTTAGATTTGGATTTGGAATATAATCAAGATGCCATTGAAGATGATGATGATGATTTAGGAGATGATAATGATTATGAAGGAATAGATATGGAACAAACAGACGATAATAGCAGCAGCAGCAGTGGTAGTTCAATGACAAAGACAGAGCAGAGAAAACAAAAGAAATTGGATCAACAAAACAAGGCAGAGAAGAAGTTGGAAACTAGTTTCCCATCGATCGAAATTGTCAACAATAAAGATGGATCGGTATCTTTTGGTGGCGAGGAAGACGACGATGAATCCGGAAAGAAAAAGAAGAAGAAAATCAGTGGCGGTGGTTTCCAATCGATGGAACTTCACAAGACGTTGTTCAAGGCGATCGTTCGTAAGGGATTCAAAGTACCAACACCCATTCAGAGAAAGACGATTCCTCTCATTTTGGCGGGTAGTGACGTCGTCGCTATGGCGAGAACAGGTTCCGGTAAGACCGCTGCCTTCGTAGTGCCAATGATTCAGAAACTAGGTGAACACTCTATCAAGGTTGGTGCAAGAGCAATCATTCTCTCGCCAACACGTGAGCTTGCAATTCAAACATACAAAGTAGTCAAAGATTTCACCTATGGATCGAACCTACGTTCCTGTCTCGTAGTTGGTGGTGATTCAATGGAAGATCAATTCGCAGAGTTAGCAAGAAATCCAGATATGTAAGTTTTTGTTGTTATTTGTAAATATATAGCTAGTTAGTTAGTTTGTTTGTTAACTAATATGATATCAATAATGTTTATAAAGTATTGTTGCAACACCAGGTCGTCTTGTACATCATCTTCAAGAGGTTGGAATGGGTCTATCGACAGTACAATACATAGTGTTTGACGAAGCAGATCGTTTGTTTGAAATGGGTTTCCAACAACAGTTGAATGACATCGTATCAAAGCTTAGCGATAACAGACAGACTCTTTTGTTCTCTGCCACCTTACCTTCGATGTTGGTCGACTTTGTTCGTGCCGGTCTAACCAATCCAATTCTAGTAAGATTAGATAGTGAAACAAAGATCTCTGAGAATTTAGCTGTATGTATAATATAATATAATCAATATACTACTATTTTATATATAAACTAATTTGTTGTTGTTTTGTTAGTTATCATTTTATACGATTAGACATGATGAGAAGTTGGCAGTATTATTATATTTATTGAAAGAGGTTATCGAGGATAAACAACCAACCATTATTTTCACAGCTACCAAGTATCATGTCGAGTATCTACAGATATTCTTGAAGCAAGCAAAGATTGATTCAACTATTATTCACGGTTATTTGGATCCAGTTGCAAGAAAGATCAATCTTGCCAAGTTCAGATCGAACAACGTCAGTGTTATGATCGTAACTGATATTGCTGCTCGTGGTATCGATATTCCATTGCTCGACAATGTTATCAACTTTGATTTCCCACCAAAAGAAAAGATCTTTGTTCACAGAGTTGGTAGAGTTGCAAGAGCCGGTAGAAAAGGTACTGCCTATTCGCTAGTTTCACCAGATGAAGTAAGTAGCTATATATTTAACTTTCTATACGCTTTTCCTATCGAATCACTAATCAAACTAATATTAATATCAACTCATTATAGATACCATATATGATTGATTTACATCTTTATCTTGCAAGAAAGATAATAAATAAAGCTGAACCAGCTCAACTTGAAGATACATCGATTTCACTATATGGTAACATTCCACAACATATCATCGATAGAGAGAATGAATTTGTAAAGATACAAAAAGCTGAATGTGTTGAACTTGTATGTATTATTAACATATAGATAGATTTATAGTTATATTGTGATTAACTAATATCATCAATTTCTATTCTATTGTTTTTTTTGTTATGTTATTAAATAGGCATCTTTAAATAATACTATTAATAATGCTTATAAGAAGTTTGTAAGAACAAGACCAGGTGCTTCTCATGAATCTAATAACAGAGCAAAGGAGTTGAATAAGTCGTATATTCATCCAAGTCTGCTTGGTAGATTGGATCAGAGTGAAATGGACAGAAATGCGTTCGTTCAATCGTTGAAAGCATTCCGTCCACCACAGACCGTCTTTGAATTGGAGATGAAGAGATCGAAAGAGTCTAGCAGTGCTGCCATCATGTACGAGAAGAGAAAACTACACAGTGAAGTCATCGATAGGCAAGCAAAGCGAGCAGAAGCAAAGAGAATAGAAGAAGAAGAACAAGCAACTGAAAATTCAAATAATAATAATGATGATATTATAACAACTACAACAACTACAAAACCAAATCAAGATGATGTTGAAGACGACGATGATGATCAAGTAGATGACGATGAAAGCTATCTAAATGAAATCGATGGAAATAATATGACTAGAGATGACATTGTTAAGGGTGTACTCTCACGTTTGAATGCCAATAAGAAGAGAGCAACGAGCGATGGTTATAATATAGAGATTACACAAGGTGATGAAGATGCAGCATCCAACGACGGTAACGAGAAGAAGAAGAGAAAGACAAGATCATCCGGTAGAGATGAATCGTTCTTTATCTCATCGACACCATCGAACTACTATGAAGAGAAGGCACTCAGCGTAACTTCACATTTGTCGCGTGACGACGAGTTGAATTTGAATCCCGACGACCAGAAACACGCAAAGAACGCCAAGTCAATGAAGTGGGACAAGAAGAAGGGTAAATTCGTTGGTGTTCAAAGAGACGAAGGCAAGAAGAACAAGAATCTCGTTAGAAATGAAGCTGGTGTGCTCGTTGACGTAAGCAAGTCCAAGAAGAACGTCTACGAAGACTGGAAGAAGAAGACTCGTTCTAGAATTCAACATACCGGAGAGGATGAGAACGAACGTCTCCAACCAAACTCCAAGCAATCGGTGCCAATGAAATGGAGAGGAAAGAAGGGTGCTCAAGAGAAACAACAAAAAGAAAAGAGTGGTGGTTGGGTTGGAAAGAAGGTTGCACGTTCCGAGATCAAGGACAAACATGTCATTCAGAAACAACGTCAAGAGAAAGAAAGAAAGATGAAAGTAAACAAGACAAACGCTCCACCAAAGAAAAAAGGTGGAAAAGGTGGCAAAGGTGGAAGGAAATAAATAAAAATAATAAAAAATATATCAAAATTTTCAGTTTTACATGTAAAACAATGGTACAAAAATAATAAAATTTATAATAAAATAATATTATTCATATCTTTATTTGAATATCCATCTCCATATTCATTCATATTAAATAAAAATGAGAAAATTGGAAACTCTTTATAAGTTAGAGTTGAGTTTAGGAATAAATCATTTGTTTTTTTTTAATTAATTTCTTTTTTTATTTTTTATTTTCTGTCACATTTAAAATTCCAAAAAGTAAAGTAGTCTTTTTGTTTAATCAGAAATGGACAGACAAAAATTGGGTTCAAAATTTTTTTTTATATCAGCATAGAGTCATTCAGTTACCGTCATTAAGACCCTTTGCTCCTTACAAAAAAGAATCATTGAAAAAAAACGAAAACACCCATCAGATTTTGAAATTTTTAATTTCAATTTTTATGGGAGAAAGTCTTTATTTAGTTTTAAATAATATATACAAGAATTTTTAATTGATTTAGAAATACATATTCATTATTTGTTTTTTTTTTTTAGAATGTTCTGGAAACTAGTACCTGAGCATCGGCCGGTGTGGTGTAATTGAAACCAAAAGGTGTCCAAAGGAGCTCGACCTTGGAAAGTACTCTGTCAGCTGGAACGTTCTCTGAGAACAACATCAAACTATTACCGTCCATTGGGTCAGCATATTCGGCATTTGGTTGTCCAGTTGGTGAGAACCAACTTCTTACACCTCTTTGAAGTAATTTGGTAAGGGTAAAACCGTCGGTATAGGTTACTCTGACTATTGTAATTAAATAATAATAATAATATTTTTGTTAATATTAATTAGAATCCGGATAAATAATTTTTCTAATTTCTGATATTTACATGTGAAATCACATCCACTTGAGTGACAGAACCATGGAAGAGCACCAGTGTTTGGTTTGATAAGTTTAAGATTTTCTGGTATGGTTGGGTCAAGTCTGAATAACAAGTTTCCTTTGTATTTCAATGGATCGTAGACTTGAGTGCATTCTTTACAGACAGAGGTTGGTGCGTTGTTCCAGTGGATGAAAATGGTGTAGACATCGACATCTCTCACTACGGGCAAGTCAGAGTACATATCCATACCTTTTGATCCATTGGTGACTATATATGGTACATATTTATTATCGATAGAGTCCCAACGAATATATGAATCGGTATCTTTGACATAGATGATACGACCACCAGAATAACTGTGATTTCCGTCGGCCTTGAGTGTAGTAGTTCCCTCCATATACATTTGTTGTCTACCCATATCGAAATCTGGGAACAAGGTGTATGGATAACCTTTCGATTGATCACCTGAACCACCCTGCATTGGATCTTGTCTAATACAACAACCATTAGCAACAACATGACTTGAATTACAATTTTTGTATGAACCTGAACTGGTTGGAATACAAGTGGAAAGGAATTCTTGGTGATCGAAATCGAATCCCCAAACTGAACCATTCAAACTACCTTGCGCATATGGGAAAGTACCTGCAGTGTATGCTTCTCCACTATGTGGTAGACCTATCAAATAATTATGAAAAGAAAAAAATAACAAATTAGAAAAATTGAATAAAAAATAAAAACCAAGTATAATAGTTACCCCAAGCATGACCCATCTCATGGATAAATATTCCTGTATAACTATAGTCACCAGTTCCACGCGAACCTCCACCCAAACCACCTCCTGGACCAGTGTAAAAACCATTAGTGTTCAAACCAATGAGTGGTGCATAAATTAAATTGTTTGTTTGACCTCCGTCTCCGTTGGCACCTTGGAATCCAGACAAGAATCCCAAGACAGCACCCATAAGTACAAATCCAGATCTAATTTGGTTGGTACCCTTGACAAGATATGCTTGTCCACCATCACCAGCACCAAGAGAAACAGTTTTCCATTTTACAATACCTGCTGGATGATTGTAAACATCGAGAACTGAAACTGGCCAAGTTTGGTAGATAGCTTTAATTTTACTTTCTGGTGGCATTGTGGTTACATTATATGGAATAGACGAATCGTTGGCACCAAACAAATAGAATGGTAACAATGGAAGACGCATAACAGAGTTCATTCCGACAACTGGGAATACTGGATCGGTTGAGTCGAAACCATGACCACCAGCAACAACCTTCATTCCAGGTACAATGTATTGTGGTAAAACTTGTACACTGAAGGTGTTGTTGGCGTAGATAGTACCGTTTGACTCGGTGGGTGGAAGCATGTCTGGTTGTTCAAGAGGCAGAACCGTGGCCAATTCAAACTCTGTTTCGTTTCCTACACTTCCTGGAACAGTTGGAACCCAAATTTGGAGTTTAATTTCCTCGCCAACTACATCTTGGTCAAATTTGATCAAGATCATAGTCTGACGTTGTCCGGTGAGATGGTATGAAACATTTCCACCGTTTGGTGTAGTCCAATTAAGACCTTGGGGTGGTAAAACATGAGTTTGAACAAAATGTATTTGATTGATAGTTAATGTTTGCGTATCGGATTTCTTTGGTAAAAGAATCGATGTTGGTAAAACAATTGCCAGAATTACCAGTACTGTTACAACAACGGTTGGTATAATAATTATTTTATTTGTATACCAAACCATTTTTTAATATATTTTTTTTTATATAAATATATAAATTAAATTATTTACAGTGAAATTTAAATACAAATATTTATTTTATATCTTGTTTAATAAAATAATGAGAATGTAAGCCAAAAAATATTTATATTCTCTCCTTTTTGTAAATTTAGGCAATTGTAATATCGATGTTGCTTTGGTTTCCACAAGTATTTATAATATTGGTGTGGGTTGTCGTGATGTAGATATTCAAAAACTTCAAGAAATGGGAAAAAAAAAAGGGGATAACAACATTGTTGTTGGGGTCATTTTGCACTAATGTTTTACAATTTTTTGATCACAAAGCCAGTATAATTTTTTTTTGGATACGCAAAATAATAAACTAAACCCATATATCACACCAGATATTTTCAATTCTGTATGGGTGGGTTTGTACAAGGCTCTTGTTTTACAACTCGTATAATGAATCTATTTTTGTCTTAAAAAGATCTGGTTTTACCTTGGTAATAAATCACAATTGATCACGAACGTGAAACGACTGGTAGATTTTTTTTTTTATTATGAACAGCAGATAGTAAACCAAATCATTGTATTTTATTTATCCTTTTTTTTTTTTTTGATTTATTTTTATTATCATTGATTATTAGCATTATTTTATCTATTGAGATTGTTTCTTTTTTCTTTCTTTCTTTACTTTTGTAGTGGTGGAGGTGGTTGTTGGAGGAGGTGGAGTTAGTTGTGTCAGTGACAACTGACTATCAAAAAGAGGAGCGGTAGCGGGGGTCGAGCCTATCAGGGGACTGTTGTTGGTTGAAAAACTTTGATTGTATACAATTTGTGAGTTGCTATTGTTGGAGATGATTGATGGATTACTGTTTGCCCTTTGTAAAAGTGGATGAGTTGGGGTAGTTGATTGCTGTGTTTGTTGTTGTTGTTGTTGAACATATTGATTTTGTTGTGGAGACGATTGGTTATAAAAATATTGATTGACCAAATCATTGTTATAAATTGGTTTGCCACCCATCATCTGTTGATACTGGAGTTGTTGCTGTAACATTTGTTGCTGTTGCTGTTGTTGCTGATAGTGAAGTTGTTGGTGTAGTTGGTAGTTATTGGTGATGTTATCAGTTAGCATTCGATCGTGTGTGCGTTTTGGTGAGTTTGGAGAAACTGGTGAAATCGGAGATGCAGTTGTGACAACTGGCGACGATGAAGTGGATGATGCATTGTTGTTGTTGTTGCTGTTGTTGGTGAAACCTGAATTCTCGTAGCTCGATGTCATGGACAATGGATTCTTGTCGGTCATGAAATGCGAATGGTCAGAGAGTTCGAGGAAGCCAGAACCACCTGGTGAGAGTGGTGCTTCGCAGTGCAGATCTGGCGACATATCGATGGAACCAGAGAGCGACAACGGTGCGAAAGGAGGCGAAGCTGGTGTTACATTCTGATTTGAAAGATTGGGTGAGAACAATGCACTGAGATTATTGGAACTACTGGTGAGTGAACTATCAGAGTTGGAATTGGATTTGGCAATGGAATGTCCGGTGGCCTGTGGGGGAATTGGCATCACAACGTTATTTGGATTCGGTAACATCATCATACGGAAGAGGAAGAAGTTGATCAATTTCTTTTGGAATGCAGATTCCGTGATTGGAGTATCGTATTCTGGCAAGCGATAGAAATTGTTACTGTCGTTGGACAACTCGGAGAATGATGAGGAAAAGTCGCGTTTGGCTGATTCGTCCATCGACTGAATGATGGCTTGAAGTGTATTGATGTTGTCTTGAATCGATGGTCGACTTTCTGAGTTGTCAACGGAAAACTCTGTTGGAACCAGTGTGTCTCTGAGCTTCTTGGCAAACTCTTGATTCAAAAAGAAACTTGGTAGTCCGCCTTGTGGAATACTGTTGGATGAAGAGGAAATCGATGGTTGAGGTGGTGAGAGTGCATCGGTTGAATCTTGTAGTTCAAACTTGGAGAGTGAAGAAGTAACCAGAGAGGTGGTGGATCGATTCAGACTGGGTGAGCCAGGTGTCAACAATGGTGAGTTGAATGGATTGGGTGAGCCAAAACTGCTGGACAATGAGAGACCAGAAAGTGTTGGTGTTAACATTGAGTGTGAAGGCGACTTGGATTGCAATTTCGGACTGGAACTAGGTGATTGGGTATCTTTGATGACGAGGCGAAGCTTCTTCTTCTTTCCTCTAGCACCACCGGTGGCTGGTGCTGTTGGCATTGACTCACTGCCCACCGACGATGACAAACCGGAATCCTCCAGGTTGTCCATCGGGAAAACCATGGTACCGCCGTCAACAGACGATTCTGAAGAGGAAAGAGGATTGGATTCCTGTTTGACTTGGGGAAGCATTCCACTCTCTGAACGATCAAACATCGATGGAGTGATACTGTCGGATGAAGAAGTACATTGTTTCTTTAGAATTGGGAAACTATTTGACTTTTTGTAGCCTCTTAACGATGGACTTGTTCCAGTTTCACTTGTATTTCCATTTACCAACTCCGATAGATTTTCAATTGATTGATTCTTTGTTTGTTTCTTCCTTGGTTTAGCAGCTAATAGAAAAAGATTGCAATAAATTAATAAAAATGAAAATTAGTACTTCCTTTGCTTGGAAGAGAGTATTTAAACTTACGTTTTTTTGTTGATGGTGATGAAGCCATTGGCGGCATGCCGCCACTTCCGCTGATAGATTGGCCGAAATTCTCAAGAAATGGACTGACCGAGTTTGAAGTCAAACTTGTTGGAATTGCTGGCATGGTTGAGAGTGGATGTGTGGGAATGTTGGAACCACTCTGGTTATTACTGTTTGAATCCATTGGGTCACCACCAGACGAAGACAACGACGATGAAAGATTGAATGCACTATTACTGCTGCTGTTGATGTTGTTGGTAACTAAAGGCACCGAAGCCAAAGTTGGAGCATTGTTGGAAGGTATATTTACAGCGAACGGTGTTTGATAATAAATTGGATTGGAGCTTGTTGTGGTGTTTGTATTGTTATTGTTGTTGTTGTTAAGATTTGACTGTACAAGTGCTGGTGAAGATGGAGTTGAATTACTACCGATATTATTATTATTATTTGAGATGGATTGTGATGATGCATTCAGCAGGAATCCACTTGGAGTGGATGGTGGCTGAATGTCGCCAGAGCTCTGTAGAGGTTGTTGTTGTTGAAGACGATTATTGTTTCCAAATGTTGCATTGATCGCGGCGTCCACCGATGATATAATTGGTGACTGTTGTTTACTGTGGATCATTAAATTTGAGGGTGATTGAGGTGGTGAATTAAGATGAATAAATGCATTGCTGTTATTATTACTATTTTGAATTTGTGATTGTTGTTGTTTTAATAAATCAATTTGGTTAGTTGATTGATCCGATAAGAAACCTAAATGTTCATCATTAGGCTTTGATTCCTTTTGAAACTATTATTAATATTTCCAATTTTAGTATTAATTAATAAAAATTATTTGAATGTGTTTGATGTAAACTTACAAGTTGTTCATCATATGTTACATTGGTGTTCATTGTTGGTGTGGTGGAGGCAGAAGAGGCGTTGAAATTATTTAAGTGTGATAATTGAAAGAGTACATTATTGTTGTTATTGTTATTGCTATTGTTATTGTTATTGCTCAATCCCACATAATATTGTTGTTGTTGAATACTTGGATGATAATTGGGGTATGGGTGATGATTAAAAATTGGTTGGTGTGGTTGTTGTTGTTGAATTAGTCCATTATAATGTGGTTGTTGCGGTTGTTGTGGTTGTTGTTGTTGATTTTGATGTTGATTTTGATGTTGATTTTGTTGTTGTAGATTTTGCATATACATTGCAGTGGCCCCACTATTATTGTTATTACCAGTGTTATCCGTCAAACCAACTCCATTGTTGCCACTGACATCGGAAACCATTGAAATTGAAGATGTATTTGGATTATCTACAAATAATGAATGCTCATTCTCGTCGTACATTCCATAATAGAGTGACTTGTTGTTTAAAAAGTTACCACCATCATACATTTCCATGATGGCAATTTTAATAGTTTTTTTTTTTTGTGATACTTAAAAAAAAAAACTACCTACTATTATTTATTATTATTTAAGATTCTAAATTTTTAGGTATTTATTTACTTGATTTTATTTGCTGTTTTTTTATTTACTGTTTAATTATTTGCTGATTGGTGGGAGGTTATAGTATACAAAAAAAAAAAAAAAAAAGTTGCAAAACAAAAAAACTAGTAAAAAAAAAAAAGGGCAAGTGTGTTAAATGTAGGAACTATTTACTATTTATGATAAAGAGGACCTGAAATTTGCGAGAAAAAAATAAAAATAAAATAAAGATTAATTTTAAATAAAAAATAATTAAAATTTTAAAATATTGGAATAAAAATATAAAAATTATATAATTTTAGATTATTTGTTTGTTTGGTTGGTTGTTTTTGATGATTTGATTATTTAGAGTTTTAAATGACAAGCCAGCAACAAAACTCGGTGTTGGAGATGATGACCATTTAAGTATTCAAAAGAATTGTGCTATTTAATGTTATTTTTACTGTACTATCTGTTACTACTATTATCTATTGTTATGCTACTTTTACTACTTGTTTTATTGCTAATACTGTCTGTTACTGTTTGATTTATTATTATCAATCTTTTCAAATTAATTAATTTTAGATTTGATTGATGATCAATTTAAAATTTGATTGGATGGTGTTGATTGAGGTTTGAAAAAAAGATCTCTCACCTTTTGGTGTACAAAAATTGTAACGGTAAAATAAAAAAATAAAAAAGAAAAAACAAGAAAATTGAACCAAGTTGTAGAATGGTAATTCTAACTATGAACAATAATAAATATAAGTGAGATAGAAATGGATAGTAGAATTATGAAATATGATAATGGTCAAACAATACAATAGTTATTGGTGGTTGGTTGGTTTGGTTAGGTGAGGGTTCGTCGAACAAACGTGATTGCTATTGATGTGGTGTTGGTGGTGTGGTGACAGTAATGATGATGCTGTTGTTGCGGATGATGTACTGAGATAAAACCAACTAACTGTTTTATTGTTACGTTACTCTACTCTATACTAATACTATGTTATTAAATTGTTCTTTACTGTTATTATTATTATTCAAACTGTAGTTGTGTGAATAAAAAGTATGGATAGATTTGGAGATGGAGATGAGAATATTTAAATCACACTCAAGAGAAACAAGAGGCAAGTGAAAAAAAAAAAAAAAAACAAAAGAATAAAAAAATTCTACAACAAACAACACAACAACAATATAAGTATAATCTAAAGCAAAGGATGCCAGCCGAAGAAAGACAAACAAAACACAAAACACAAAAATAAATTCTAAAAAGTGAGAGAGAGTTGAGAGACAGACAAATTTGTGTAATTAGAGGTAAAATCGACAAGGGTAATTTAAGGGGCTTTTAACCTATATTGCTACTCAACTTGAGTGGTCCATCTATTTGCATGCACCTTTTGCTAGGTTGTAAAAAAAAAAAAAAAAAAAACCAAAAACAATTGTTTTGTTTTTTTTATGCTGGGTGATAAATTTGAAATTAATTAAAAACTTGACACTCAGCGAGGAACCCATGGTATCGATTTTTTTTGATTTTTATCAAAAAGTTCCAAAAAAAACCAAAATTCTGCAAAAAAAAAAAAAAACAATAACCTCCTCCACGCACATTTGATCAAAATTTCTATCAAAAGTGGAAACAAGGTTTTGCATCAAAAAAAAAAAACAAAAATTGTGAGTGCAAAGCACCACTTTTTTCGAAAGATGAATTTTTTTTTTTCTGTGGTGTGTAGCTGGATAAAAGCAAAGTGTGGGTGTGTTAACGGATTTTTAAGTTTTGTGTGAAGTAAGAGGTGGCAAGCCGTCAATTGGAGGCAAGTCAAAACCAAAATTATTTCATCATATTAATATACTAAATGTGGACTTATCATTGATCACAATGCCCAACAATTTCAATCAAATTAAAATTTAAATTATGTTTGTTTGAGAGGGTTGTGTGTGTGTCAGTGTGAGGTTTTGATGGAAATTACTTGGTTACCCCCTATCTATTTCCATCAATAATAATTATTCCTCACATTAAGCTACACCAAAATCAATCAAAACAAACTTTCAACACCTCATTATGAACTATCAATAAATTGTATTTTTTGAATTGTTTTTTTTTGCTCCTTTAAAATTTTTAAAATGATAAATAGCACTTGTCAGTTGAGCATCATTTTTCAAAAATAACCAAACCAAGTAGTAAATCGATGGATCAACTACTCAACGAACAACAACAATACTACAATAAGCGTAGTTGGTAAGTGTTGTTTGAATCAGTTAGATGAATTTTTCACTTTTTGTTGATCACCAACAACCTCATTTACTTGTTTTTTGTTTTTTTCTTATTTAATAATTAATTGTTAGATGTTGTGATCTATCACCAACCCCGTTCCCCTTTTAAAAAAACAAAAACAAAACAAAAATTCATCATTAATTATCCCACCGAAATCGACATATAAATTAAATAATGAACTCATAGTGCATAAATGGAAATGGTGTTATTAACAAGAATGATATGAATCGTGATGAAGAGGTGATTATTTTTAAAACATCAATCAGAAATTAAAACACACAACACCAATGCTCTTTGCAAATTAAACAAATTTAATTTCAAGATGTCGCCAAACTCCACAAAGTTTAAAAGCTATCTTTACCAACCAATCATAGTCATTATAAATCACATCATAGTATCTTCAAACAATCACAAAAAAAAAAAAAAGAAAACAAAAAGTTCTAATAAACTTATTCACTGTGATTTGGGTTGTGGAGGTCACTGACCAAGCTTGTATTACAAGTAAATTGTTGGTGTTATCTCATTTTCTTTTTTGTAAAGAATCATTGTCAGAATAATATAACTCTGTTGTTTTTTGTTTTTTTGTCATTGTTACTAATACTATAATAGGGAATACGATAAATGGTGGAATCGTGTTGATGAATTTCATCAAAGCGAGTATCTAGATAATGAGTTTCATCAAAATAAAAAGCCAATTTTTGAGTTTATGAAATCCCTTACTGTTGGAGTTGCCAGACCAACAAACAACGAACAGAAAATCAATGTATTAGAGTTGGCACCAGGTAAGATGAAGAAATCAATACGCAGTCGGAAGGATCAGTAAAATACGACAATCATGATTATAATTCCTGATCTGCTTTTGCAAGCACCTTACAAATTAATTACTAAAACTTACAAATTAAATTTAAAACCCATTTAGGCACTGGAAATTTCACACAGTTTTTTTTGAATCAACCCAACCATTTCAAGATCCAATGTGAAGAGGGTTCGCCCGACATGATAGATGTTTTGAAGCACAAGTATGGTGACCTCATTAGCGTTATGGGCGCAGACTTTAAGATCAACCAAACCAACTTGTTGTCTGATCAGTTCCAACCAGCTGAGAATAGCTATGACATCGTGTTCCTTGGATTCTTCATCAGCCATATCCCACCAGAACTGTTCAACCTATTCTTTAGCAAAGTGTTCAAGTGTTTGAGGCCACACGGTAAAATAGTATTTGCAGACTCTTACTATCCAACCCGCTACAAGACGAGAGCACACGAGAACACTATTTATAGAGTCGAATATAAACCAGAGACCCAAACTGATTATTCAAGTAATTACAAAAAAAATAATCTAAATATAACCAATGAGAAGATATAATTATATTAATTTAATTTCAATCTTATAATAGTTGAAAGACAGTTGACAAATGGAGATAAATACAGAATCGTTAAAATTGGATTCTCTACCGAAGATATCATCTCTATTTTGAATTCTGTTGGATTCATTATGGAAAAGGGTGACACTTGTGCAGTTAACTCAACTTTTATCTATGGTAGTTTCTCTAAACCTATCGAACAATAGAAAGATTACCTATTTGAATATTTTAATAAAATTAATAAAAGAATATCTATTAGTTTTTAGTATAAATATATGATTTACAATCTTTTTTGTTTTTGAAGTTCTTCAAACAATCAGTTGACACACTAATTAATAAAATAAGAGACTTAACTTTAATTAAATTAAATAATATAAACAAAGAATTTTATTTTTTTTTGAAACATTGGAATGTTTGATCTAAAGTTGGTAGTGAAGGTGGTGGTGATTGTGGAGAGTTGATTGATATAATGTATAGATACTTTAATTCAAGTTGGCAACCAAAGTATTGAAACGGGATTGCGGATGACTATATTGATAGCTATGACTGAATAGCTCGGTCTCTTTTTTGATTTGTGGGGTGGGAAGTGTAAAATTGTTTTGGTTCATATGTTGTTGGTTGCTCTGTGAATCAAATGAGACATTGTTGGATGAGTGAATAAATGATTGGTGTTGTAATTGTTGTTGAGTTTGTTGGTGATGTTGTTGTTGTTGATTGGCAATGGTACTTGAAGTAGCAAGTAAGAGAGTTGCATCGTCAGAATGTGGATAGTTATTGCTATTATTATGCGATGATGACAATGGTAAGTTGGAATGAATCAAACAGAAATGTCTTTGGTAGTTTTGCTTTAACTCTTCCAATTGCTGTGGAGTCATGTGTGCGCTATGGTCGGCAATCTTTCTGACAACGGCCAATGACTTGTCGTCGGCATAGACAGAGATAACGATTCTCGATTGACATCCACACTTCTTGGAGACTGACTTCTTACGGCTGTTTGGTGTCTCTTTGGTTGGACTGGCACCGTCCTCCTCGGACTTTTTCTTTGGCAATCCGGCACGCGAACAAACATACTTTTGTGTCCACAGCAACTCACGCTTGGTCTTGCGAACACCGTTTCTTGGCTTCTCGTATTCGGCCTTGAGATTGAGTGTCTTACGGTCGGCATGAGCACCGATGACCTTTCCACCGGATTTAATGTAAGTGACACCACTGATCTTACCTTCGGTTTCCATCCACTCGTCGAAATACTCCAAGGGGACATTGAACTCTTCGCACTCCAGGGTGGCTGGAGTCTGTCCTGAGAGAGGTAATGTCTTGGCATCAGAGGGTGACGATGGCTTAACATGTTTGGATGCAAGACAACTGCAGACTGGTGCACTTGATTGAGGAGTTGATTGCATCGAACTGTTAAGAGCTGCATTAGTAGAGAAGGATAGTGCAGTGTGGTCGAACGATGGAGTGGAACTGGCAGTTGGTGTGGCTGGCAACGAAGCACTGGCAGTCAAGAGTAATGGTAATGAAATTGGGTGATGACTTGGCGACGATGGTGCACTGAAGTGATGTGGATGGTTGTGATGATTGTTATTATTGTTATTGTAGGATTGTTGATGTTGATGATTATGTTGTTGTTGTTGTTGATGAATATAGCTGGACATCTCTGGTGAGATACTTCTTATTGAGGAGGATGGAGTGTGGTGAGCACTGTTGCTGTTGCTGCTGTGATGGTGTGGGGTGGCAGGGGCAGAGGAAGACGAGGCAACCGATTCACTACTACGCGGAGCAAAGTTAAAGGAAGAAAGAGAGCTTGATCTCTCTAACTCGAAAGAATGTGGAGTGGTTGGTAAGGAGCTAGTCTCGTTGTGGTTGATTGAGGACTTTTGCTTCTTGCTGAGCATTTCCATTTGCTGTTGGTGAAGGTAGGCTGCGACAGTCAGGTGACTAAAATCGTAGACCGATGATTGTTGTGGGATAGACTTCAAAGGTGTCTTTCTCTTTATATCACGTTCGTAATCCTCGTGGGAACTCAATATGCAATAGGAAGGTGGAGCTTGTTGTTGCTGTTGTTGTTGTTGCTGATGTTGATGTTGGTGTTGGTGTTGGAGATAGGAGTTTGGTGACAAAACAGGTGATGAGTTTGGTGTAGTGTAATGTGATTGAAGAGCTGGTTGTTGTTGTTGTTGTTGATGATGTTGATGATGATGTTGTTGCTGATGCTGTTGTTGTTGTTGTTGTTGTTGAGCAGCAGTAGTTTGTTGTTGATGATGAGAGTATGCATGGTTGTTATGATTGTTGTTATTTACATTTGAAGATGAGGATGATGATGGACCATTATTATGGTGAATGTTGTTTGTGTTGGAGTTGCTTGAACAGTGATCTGGTGATGATGGGACTGAAGAATGGTTATTATTTACACCCTCCCAGAACTGATTCTTATTCATAGACAAATGAATGTCTTGTGTTTGTGGAGCTTGGAATTGCGATGCAGACCAATTGTGTTGTGCTGCATACGATGAATTATTCAAATTTATATTTTGATTGAGCAATGATGGGAAGTTAGGCAACAGGATATGTTGTCTTGGTTCATTTAACTGTTAAAATAATTTTAAAAGTTAATAAATGAATGAATGAATGAATGAATGAATGAATGAATAAACATTGATTGATTGATTGATTGATTATTACTTACTTTATCAACTGGAAGAGAAGAGTTATCATTCCAATATTGATAAGGAGACATGACGAGCTTGCTTAATCCCTTTGGATGCATCAGTTCGATTTGGTTGTCCTTGAGTGAACCGGACGACGAAGTCGATGAACCGTTGGCTTGTTGCTGGGGCGGCAACTTTCCATTGATGTTGACTTGAGTGCTGACTGGATTGTTAGTATCTACAGGACCCATTGTGTTTTGTTTGGTTATTGTTATTTTTGTTGAAATAAATTCGTTTGCTTTTGAATTGCAACTTGCGTGATGTTGATGTTGTTGTTGTTTGTTGATGTTGTTTTAATTAAGAAAATAATAATAAAAATTATTGAAAAATGTTAAAATTTTTAAATAATATTATTAAGCCTTAATATTGGTTGGTTTGTTGGTTGGTTGTTTTTAATATTTGCGCAAATGTATGTTTTGTCTGATGATTATTATTGTTATTATTATTATTATTTTAATTACTAATAAATAGTTTATATATTTTAATTTTTTTTTTTTGTCTTTTTTTTTTAGATGTTTGCAGGTGCCTTGATGTTAACGATAGACAATCTCTTTTTTAAGATTATTTATTGATAAAGTTAACAGTTAAGTAGAAGTTTGTTAATGCTTTTTTTTTAGTTTGTTTTTTTTTTGTATGTTTTTTTTTTAAGTTTTTAGTTTTTTAGTTTGATTGATATTAGATAGGATAGATATGATAAATTGATATTATAATTATAGTAATTGTAATGGTAGTAATTAGATAGATATTGTTTTTAATAAATAGTATATGTTATTGATTTGATTTGATTGATTGATTGATGCTTTGGACAAGTGGTTTGAGGTGGTGTGATGATGAGAATAGAGAGCTAGCAATGAAATTTGACTAACTCTTTGAATCAAGATAAAAGTACACACAATCGAAATTGGTTGTGTGTTGAATCAATAAGTATACAGGTTGTTTGAAAGAGTTATGATTGCAATGACTACTTTACTTTATAGGTAAGTAACACTACAAAGTATTAATAATAATAAATTCTATAGAACTATTAAATTATTATTACTACTTGATACCACTCCTAAAACAAACTGGTTTGTGTACTTTTTTTGTGTTTTTAGTTGGTTGGTTTTAAATTATTTTGAAAAAAGCAATTTTTTTTTTTTTGATGAATTTTAAAACTGATTGTCAGATTAAAAAAGGGTTGTTGGTTTTGTGTTACAACAAATTTAAATGAAATGTGTAAATTTGTTTTTTGAAAATAAATAAATAAGATATATAAATAAAATACTAAAACTAAGTTTGTTATTCAGTACTTTTTGAAATATATAATAAATATAAAATATATAAATAGAAATAGAAAAAAAAAACAATAAAAAAAGAACAGCTATGGTCTTAATTAATTAAATTAATTTCTATCTATTTATAAATACTACTTCTATAATAATTAAAAATATATATATAAATAAAAAAGAAAAAAAGAATAAAAAAAAATTATTAGTAAATTTTTATTTTTTTCAAAATTTATTTTTTTATTAAATATAAAGATCAGATAATATTAAAAGATATATTAATTATTATTATATATAGTAATAAAAAGTAGTAGTAGGAAGAGATAGATACATCATCAGCAAAGTTCAAAGTCGAGTGTTGCAAATTTTTGATTGTTTAAAGTATAGTTTGCGTAAAAAAAAAAAAGAAGGTGTTGAAAAAAAAAAAAGTTTTTGGTTTTTGTTTTTGAGAAAAATAGAGGGGAGCGAATTAACATGAAAAGTAGCCTGAAAGCTTGATATGAAGGGGTGTGTGACAAAAAAAGATTGCTCCTGGGCTTAAAGAGGTGACTTTGTGGTGTGGGGTTAGGTGCTCACTCTAACAAATTTTTTTTTTTTATTAAAATGATTGAGTGTGTTTTTGACTGGTATTGTATTCACTTTTTTTGAACTAAAAAAAAACATTTTTAAAAAAAAAAAAGGGACCACAGAGGGGTGCACAGATGTTGAGTGTATTTCATTGCTAACACCACTCAACTCATCATTTCACATGAAACTTTTAAATGAAAAACAAAGTGTGATGACAGATATCAATTCACTTAATCATTTAAACAAATAATAAATAGTAATCTGACGAATTAATTTGGATGTTTATAAATTTGAGCTGTTTCGTTTTGTTGTGTGAAAAGAAAAAGGAGTGGAGAAATAAATAGAAAGAAAAGATTTAAGTTGAAACAAACAACAAATCGGTATGAAATTTGTTTGATTATGATTGATTTCTTTCATTTTGTTTTGTAAATACTTTTTGTGATATGGACTTTATATACAATAATAAAAAAGTAATATGGTGTGTTGAAGTTGATATATTTTTATTATATATATGAGTATGTTGTTCAATACGGAGATTTAATTTGAAATGTGATGCAAATACAACAAAATAGTAAAGGTGAAAATAATATTTTTGTTTTACCCAGTTTAAAGATGTATCCAGGCAAAGATTGACTTTTTTGAAGAAAAACAAAAAAGTTTTCAAAACAAAAAGTATATTATAGCGCAATAGCACAAGCCACAGCTGCAGCTGAGAGATATAGAATTATTTTTAATTGAAAAAAGTTGTTGGATGTTTGATGGTTGATTAGTCGACTGATTTTTTTTTTTATTTTTCTTGTGTGTTGGTGAGAGTGGGGAAGATAATTAAAAGTGGTGAATAGGGAGGAAAATTTTGTTTGTTTTGCAAAGTCTGTGGTGACACTTGGTAGTGTGATGCAAAAAACAAGGGAATAAAAATAAAAATTAGTTTTTGTATTTTGAGATTTTAGATAAGGTGGTCCAGACATCAAAACTTAAGGCAGTCACCATACTCTGACATCAAAATTGTCAAATTTGCAAAAACCAAAAAAAATGAAAATGGTTGTTTGGCTGAATGTGTGCAAATTCGTGTCGATGAAATGGGTTGATCAGTTTTTTGATTTATTTAATCAAAAACCATTTTTGGCTCTGAATGAGGTTGCGGAAGGGAATGGGAACTTTTTGTAATCCAAAAACAAAACTAAACTAAAAAGTATTTTTAATTTTCAAGTGTTTCGATTTGTTTTGCTTATAATGATGGATGTGACGTTGTGTTTATGTAATGTCGAAAAAAAAAAAACATGTTATACGCAACAGGTGGAAAGTGTTAAATAATGATTTTGTTATATGATTTAATGATTATCATTATAAGGCGATATGTTTAGTGTGGTTATAACATTATCAATCTAGATATTTAGGCTTGTTGATATATCAACACTCCGAATTATCCGCCGATGGTGGATTACTGATATATTTCTTCTTGATATACCAAAGATAAACAAAAATAACGATAAATTAAAACAACAATACTTACTAAATTAATATTTGTTTGTAATAACTCTTGATTGTGTACTTTTTACTTTACTTGGTTGCCAATGATGAGCTAATATTGGTAAAGTGAGAATAAAAATAGGAACTGAATGACTAAGAAATATGATATGTATGACAGGTTGATGGGTTGAATAATAATTAATAAAGTGAATGTATATTTATTTACAAATAGAAAGAAACGAAAAAAAAAAAATAATAATAATAATAAAAAGATTTACAAACAAATAAGAATTGATATCTACAAATAAATAAAGAAAGAAATACAACTTTGAGTTGATCTGTTCTGTTGTTGTTGTATTTGATTGGCAAAGTTGTTTTCTTTTGACTGTCTTTGATTGTCTATTTAGGATTTTTAAAGCAAATAAATCAAGAGTTTTTTATAGTGAAACAAGGAGGATCTAAGATTATATAAATTCAATTTAATTTATTTCAAATAGCCAGGCTTTTACTCATTTGACCTACACAAAGTTGACATTGGATGAAATGGCTATCAACTTCGGCTTGACTTTTTTCAATACATTTTCCTTTGACCCGATGACTCGTTTTTAGTTGTTGTTTAAAGGTTGCAAGGTTACCCACTAGTGGCTGCTCTCAACTATTAAAACAAACCCTTTCAAAATCAAGTTGATTTTTTTTGTCTGATTGGCAAAGATTAATTAAAAAAAAACCAAAAAAAAGTGTTGATTTTTAAAAAAACTCCTATTTTAATAAACAGCCTTTTTAAAAGTGATGTTCCGCCGACAATATTATTATCTAGATTTAATTTTCAGTTATATGTTGATAGTGTAAATCAAAACAACTCTAATTTAAACATTTGCAATTGTATTTCGATTAAAGATGGGCTTTCTTTTAAATAATTTGAATATTTTGATCGTGATATGAAAAAAAAGGATTCATAGTTTCTATTGTCAAAATGAGGAAGACCCATTGAAAAACCCGATGAATGTCAAAAAAACACCCACACACCCAAAAAAGTGGCAAGCATTAATTTGTGTGAAGATTTACATGTTTTGTGTAAAACACAATCATTTAATCATATGGATATTTATTTAATTAAATTTTATAAACGATAAGGTGAAAGATGCCATCCAATAGAGAGATTATCGATTCAACTACACAACAACAAAAACAAAACTTAACATCCAAAGAAAGGAATGACAATTAAAAAAAAAACCCTTGGAGTTGAAAACAAATTCCTGCTTGATTGGCACTAAATAATAAAAAAAGTAAATGGCATATTAACGGAACAAGCAAATCTTCTTTTTATATTATTGAAGTTGTTGTTATTGTTAAAGGAATAATAATAAGAAGCTTCGGACCTATTTTCAATAGGTTTTTTCATCTCTTTTTCTTTTAAAAAAATCAAACAAACAAACAAAATAAATAGATAAAGCTAAAACTTTGCCACCAGGCCAATGTAATTTAATCCAATCCAACTTCGTTTACTCTTAGACGACAGTATCTCGAAGAACAAATAATATTGTGTTGTGTCTATTATTATATTTTAATACTAGCAAAAACATTGCCAAGCGATAAACATATTCTAATATCGATATTATATTTCTCTCTTACTAGTTTGATGAACAAACGACAAGAGACAAACAAAAACTTTGCAATCTTTACTATAATAAACTAACTAAATAGACGGCATAGAATCTATATATTTTTTTGATGTAAATCCAAGTTTTAATTTACTCTTTTTAATATGATTAATTTAAGAAAAATAAAACGTTCTACATTTTCATTAAAATTTTATAAAATTGATCTAAAAAACCGATTTTTTTGTTTGTAAATAAGAGAAAAATTTCATTGAAAAAAAGCACCAAACACACACACAACTTAATCCTTTAATTGCAATTTGTGTGTTGGTTTTTTTTTTAATTGTTTGTTGTTTTTTATTGTATTTGTGTTTAATTAATTTTTAATGTATGTTAATTAAAATTTTACTTAAAATTTAAAAAGTATATTTTAATTATTATCTATTATTGTTATTATCATTTTTATTGTATTGTTATTATAATAATCTATATATCTTTCTTTTTGTTTTTTTTCCTTTTAAAAAGAAAGGGTATTATATCTTTTTATATTAAAATAATAAAACAAACATTTATATATTTTTTTATTTTGTAAACAATCCAAAGTTGTAGATCATATCATAATATTAGAAATTTTAAAGAATATCAATCAATCTTTTAGCAAAAAACAAAAATTGTTGGATTCTGCAAAGTCTAAAAAACCAATAAAAAATCCTTTCACCAAACAAGATCTTTGTTTGTTTGTTTGTTGGATAGTAAAGTTTGCAAGATTGCTATAATTGATTTATTTATCAGTTTTTTTTTATTATTAATCAAAAGAGAATAAAGTTAGTCATTGTCATACAGTCATAGATTCATAGTCATAAGAAACAAAACATCACACAACATTCATTCATTCACAAAATACAGTCACCATTGCCATTACAAATCTTTTATATTCAATCATAATTATTTAAATAATAATAATAATAATATTAGAGCAAACCAAAACAGATTATCATTATTGATTTGACAAACCAAACTAAAGATTATAGATAGAATTATATATATATATATTAGAAGTAGTAGATTTAAATAGCAATAGGCTTGACTTTTATGAATAAATAATGTCATTTAAATCACCTTCAACCTTAAATTTAAGTGCACATTATGATTCACTATGCAATATGGTGATAAGACCGCCAAGATGTCAGTATACTCTAGAAGATATGGGTCCAAAGGCATTTTCAATTGCCGGTCTTTCTTTTGTTAGAAACGATTTTGAAGTATGTTATCATTTTATAGCTTTAAACTTAGCTTTGCTACTAATCATTTCAAATCATAATATTAATAATCAACTATAACTATTATCTAGCTTGTTAATGGCAGAGGTTTACCAATACAATGTAGTCACTTTAAACCTGCTGAGTATTGGTCAAATGGAAAGTGAGTAGTTTTATTCAAAAAAAAAAAAAAAACAACCAACAACAACAATAATGATAATAATATTAATCGATTATTAATATTTTATATTTAAAAACAATAGACAATTACCATGTGTTATATATTGTCATGGAAACAGTGGTTGTAGATTAGATGCATTGGAGTGTGTGAGGACATTGTTACCAATCAATATTACGGTGGTTGCTTTCGATTTCGCTGGCTCTGGTTTGAGTGGCGGTGAATATGTATCGCTCGGTTACTACGAGAAAGAGGATATCGGAACGATTGTAAAGCACCTACGTGAAACAGGCAAGATTTCAACGATAGGATTGTGGGGACGTTCTATGGGTGCTGTCACTTCGATTCTCTATGCAAAGGAGGATCCTTCGGTTGCCGGAATGGTACTGGACAGTCCGTTCTCGAATCTCTCCAAGGTTGCAGAGGAACTGGTACTCTCGACCGTACAGAAGATGCCCAAGATAATGATTTCACTCGGTTTGAAAATGATCAGAGGATCCATCAAGAAACGTGCACACTTTGACATCAAAGATCTCGATATCGTACCGACAACCGAGCAGGTATTCATACCCGCCCTCTTTGCACATGGTAAAGATGATACATTTGTTAGACCACATCACTCCGAGAAATTGTAAGTCAATCATCATCATCAACAACAACTACTTTACCATTCTAATTATATATTTGAATCAAATGCATTTAGATTTGAAAAGTATCAAGGTGACAAAAATAGAATACTTTTAGATGGAGATCATAATAGTGATAGACCACATTTCTTTTTCGAATCAGTTTGTATATTCTTTGTAAATACTCTTAAACCAGATCCAATCATGAAGGAAGCAAAGTAAGTTGTTGTTTTGTTATTTGATTTGATTTGATTATATAGTCAAGTTTGTTTATTGAATCTAATTTATTTCGTTTCAATAAATCTAGTTTCTATTTTGATGACGAAGAACATGATATTTCATATGAAGAGCAACAGCTGAGAAAAGCTATTTTACTATCGATACAAGATCCAGCGTTTGTAAATAACAGTATAGAGTATCAAGCGATTATAAAGCAACAACAACAACAACAACAGTTATTACAACAACAGCAACAACAAGCTCAACAACAACAACAGCAACAACAACAACAACAATCACAAAATGGTCACAATACACCACAACATCCCGAAAACATCATAGAGACATGCAGAAAAGAATCAATCAATTCAACGACATCTTCAGAATTGTCAAATAGCAACCACAACAACAGCTACGTTCATAGCAATGGAAATAGTAATGGTAATGGTTATAGCAACCACAACAATAACAGTGATTACACACCACCACTGCCTCCACCAACAGCAACCACTACAACAAATTCATCGACAACAACCACAACCAATATTGATAATCAGACACCTTCCACGACATTGAATGGAAACACCTCGATAGAGTCATCTACAACAACAACCACCACCACCACAACAACTTCAGCAACCTAAACAACAACAACAACAACAGACATCAGATGTAATATTAATATATATCATAGACGAACCCCCAACTATAGTTATTTTTTTTTCCCTCAATTCCTTCCTTCAAAAGATAAATCAAACTTCCTTTTCTCTTCAGCATCCTTCTTTTTTTTTCTTCATTTAAATTTACTTTTTACAAAATCATTTAGAAAGATAGATGAAACAAACAGACAACCAAGCTTGCCTGTTAGATTAGATTACAGTTTACAATAGTGAATTTTTTTATTATATAAATATAATAAATATTTAAATATTATTTTATATTACAAATACTATTATTATTATTATTTTTGTTGTTGTTGTTCTTGTCTCTTTTTCTTTTTGTTGGTACCCTCTTGGATACAATTGAGAAAGTTCTCGATGTTCATGATCATCGATGGTTCCAAACCCATCTGTGCAATGATGTCGTTTCCATGTCCATCATAGATGGCGTAGTTAAGTTGATCGATTGCCTGTTGGAATTGTGGTGTGTAGAGCAGCTGCATGATATCACTTGTATTTCTATTGTTCTCTGGCAAGTACTCGAGTAGCTCCTTCTGCACAGTCTCATCAGAGACAATAGGTGTAAGATTCTCTGGTGTCAAAACATGACTCAATGTCAATCTACTCTTTGCTATAAATAATCAATTAATCATAAATCAATAATCAGTATATTAAATTACTGGATCACATCACATAATTATAAAACAACTTACCAGTTGGTTGAAAATTGGCTATATAGTTGGCTAATTGACTAAAGTTATTTGGATCGAAACCGGATGTTGATGATGATGATGATGATGATGTTGGTGCAGTAGATGTTGTAGTAGGTGCAGGTGCAGATGAAGCTGGTGTTGTATTTGTAGTTGTAGCCGCAGGTGCAGGAGTAGCTGATGTAGTAGTGGTTGTTGGCTCAGTGGACATTGACTCATCATCATCTTTTTATAATGTTAATTAAATAAAAATAAAAATAAAAATAAAAATAAAAATAAAAAAGCAAAAGAAATAAAAGGTATCAATTAGAATATTAGTTTAATTACATTATAAAGATAACAATAAAAGTAGTTTATTCCTCCTCTTTCTCCTATTGTAATTTGTTGTTTTTGTTGTTTTGTTTGGTTCAAAGCTGGTATATATGTTTATGGATTAAGGTTGTTGGATTTTAAGATTTACATAACTAAGTAAGAATAAAAAGAAAAAGCATTATTATTACATGCACATGATGTTTTTGTTTTGTATTGATTTGTTATGTTATGTTATGATATGATTGTTATGTTATGTTTTGTTCGTATAAATAAAAGTTGATGAATAAAATAGTTGTGTTGATAATATAATATATAAATATGTTGATTGATTGATTGATTGATTGATTGATTTGTGTTTGGTTTTGTTTTGTTTTGTTGTTGAAAAAAGAAGAAATAATAATAATCAAAATCAAAATGATAATAATAATTGTTGTTGTTAAATCTTACCTGGTTGATATGCAGCGATGGCAGCGATTGCTTCTTCAAGCTTTGTATCATTATCTGGGTTTGGTTCTTGCAGCCAGAAGAACTCTTTGTTGTCTGATGTACTAAAGTGTAAATAATACATTCTTCCGTCTTTGCATGAGCTCACTTTCTTGAAAATCAATTCACCCGGTGCCAAGTAGTATTCATCTTCCGCTTCCTTTGAATCTCTGACAAACCATTGTACGAAAATTAAATCATCTTGCTGTATGTTTGTTTGTATGTATGTATAGGTATTAAAATTGAATGAATGAATGAGTAAATGAATGAAATCTATAAATAGATCCAATCAATAATGCTAATGATGATGACTTACAATACTGAATTTCAAAGTTCCTTTTCTAGTATCGGATGTAATGGTTTTACCTTCTAATTTTGCTTTACCAGCTTTAAACTCAACGTTTTGTGGCTTTGCTCTTCTTAACTATAATATATAACGAAACAATATAAAGATCCACTCTACTGTTAATAAATCCTATCAAAACATATCATATCATATCATATCATTTGATTAACACAAATATATACATACACTCATCTTTAAAATGTTTAATATATAATTGATCAAAAAAAAAAAGAAATTTAAACTTATAAAATTTCACCTGTGTGATGTTCAACAAAGTTTGAAAAAACTTCAAAATTAATTTAATTCTCAAATTTATTTAATTAAATATTTTAAAGCTAGTATTTTTCGTATTTGTAAATTTGAAAAGTAATTGTGTGATAATTATCATATCTTTTAAATATTTTAACTCTATCTCTGAAGAGGTGCCTAAAAATAAAATGATTTATTTTAAAGTAATTATATTTTATCTTAATATTATTGCACCATAGTTTAATAATGTTTGACATTGAAAAGAAAAAAGATATATTTGAGTGACTTTATCTAAAATATATCTTAAAATATTCACGAGTTTCTATGATTGTTTAGAAAAAAAAAAGAAATACAAGTTTTCTGATTTTTTTAATCTTATTGGTATTGCAATTTGTAAAAAAAAATTTGGTGATCACAAAACAACTTTTTTTAAAATTTTTTTTATTAATTAAATTATTATTTATCAAGTAATAAAAAAAAAAAAGATATATATATATTATAAAATGGTAAGATAATAATAATACAGCTAGTAGTAGCTGAACGATTCTTTATACATTGCGATACTCATTTACAATTGCTTATGGTGATAATAAAAGTCATTATATTTTAGAATAAAGAGATTAGAACAAACCATTTTCTTGTCGGCAGAGCCATCTGACACCATTCAAAGATTGAAAGAAAAAGTTGCCATCATCAATAAACTTACCGACAAGCAAGTCACCGATTACATTCGTTTCGTCTTCCAAGGTGGTCCCCTCGAAGACAAAAAGACCATTCAACAATATAATATTCCAAACGATTCAATTATTTTTATGGTTTACAAGCAAAGTATGTAGATACACTTAACTTGCTTTCATCAATATACTGTATTGATTTACTTACATACTTACTATTAAAATTACTCTCTCTATTACTATTATTTATATTAATCTTTAATCTTTAATCTTAATCATTCACTTAGATGACGGATCATATGAAGATATTGCACCATCTTTATTACAATTGAAATAAATAAAGATATATATATCAAGAAAGAAAGAAAAGAAAAGAAAAGAAAAGAAGAAAACAGCAAACAATCAATCAATCAACCTTTATAAAACAAAACATGTTAAAATAACTTATTAAAATAACGAAAAGATTAGTTGATCGTAATGAACAATCAATCAAATTAATCATGTACATCCCAACAATAAAACAGCAAAGTTAGTAATATACTCAATGTAGATTGAGTTATCAACTTTACTTTTATAAATTTAAAACTTAAAAAAAATATATATAATAAATAAACTTATACTTTGTTTTTCTTTATTCACAATAAGAATTGAATAATAATCTTACCTTTATCTTTATTTTTATTTTTATTTTATTTATTTTAAGATATTTCTTAATTAAGATTGATTTTTAATTAAGTATTTATTAATAATATTTTATTTTAGGTGGTGTCGTCAACAGGTAACATCAATATTACCCATGTTGTTCATCCATTATCATCAAACACTGATATTGATCTATATCATCTACACAGTCGGTCTCCCTCCAAAAAAAAAATTAAAGGACCGCCTTTTTAATCAGTGTTAAAACTAATGAATTATTTTTATTTTTATTTTTATTTTTTTATTGAAAAAAGAATGTAGAAGGGGAATAACAGCACATCACACACACGATTATAACCTAAAACTAGAAGGTTTTCAGTTGAGTTGATGTCTTCGAAAAGTTGTTGCCAATCTTGCGACAGAAAAACAAACACAAATAATGTGATGTGGTTGTGAAACAACGAACACTGTCCTCATATCGAGCCATCAAAAAAGGTGACACAAATGATTTTTTGCTTTCGTTTTTTTTTTTTTTTTTTTTGATTTTGATCAAAAAACCCTTTTTGAGATAATTTATTAAATATTTTTTTGCTTTTGTTTGAAAAAAAAGCACTATCCATCCATCCAACAACAATAATTTATAAACAATTTCATACTTGTGTAAAAGTTATTTTTCTTTAATTCTTGAAGTCTTTTCCAAAAGGCATTGTTTTATCCATCTATCAATCCATTCCATCCACAAACAAACAAAATTAAAAGAAAAATAATAATACCTTACAACTCTACTCTTTATTTTATATCAACAACATTATAAATTAATTTTATATCTCATAACACACATTTAAAGTTTATTTTATTTAATTTATTTTTTTTTAAAAATAGATTAAGAGATAATAGATATTTACAGATAATCATTTTATAGATATAATATATAATAGTAGTAGTATTATTATTTGCAGACACACACAACAACAACAAAAATTAATTTGAAAATTTTCATTTTTTATTTTTTGTCTTATTTTTTTTTTTAATTTTTTTTTTAATCCACCCGTTCATTCGTATCATATCATTTGCAGTATAAACTAGTTTATACATTAACTTTCATTTTCATACATTACATATAATATTTCAAAATATAAGGAATTAAAATACTTAATCAGAATCAAAAAGACAACTTAGGTTAACTTTACCAAATCCAATCAAAAGCAAAATTATTGAAAAAACAATTAATGTTTATTGTTTTGTTGTTGTCTTTTTTTTCTTTTTTTGTTAATTAATCTTATTATTGTGTCCATTTCCATATCCATTATCCATTTTTTATATTAATTTAATTTATTTTTTTATAATTATTTTTAAGATATTTATTTTATTTTTTTATTTATTTTATTATTTTTGAATTTTTTTTTTTTTGGATTTATTATTTTTTTTTTAATTTTAGGTGAAGTAAAATAGAATCTATTTTGCTTGATCTTTTATTAAAAAAAAAACAAGACATTATTTCGAAAATTACAGTCGCTACATCACCCAACACCACCACCACCAACACCAACACCACCGCCACCGCCTATATAGAACCTCCAACCAAACATAGAATGAGAGACGTCGACAACGAAGAGGGAGATATCGATGATATCGATTATTGGACGATATGTTGGATTTATATAGCCTATGGTATCATTATCTTTGTTGGTAAGATTGCAGATCTCATAGATAAGATTAGAGGTCATCGTTATTTCATTACACCAAAGGTATGTTTAGTTTAGTCACATTATGTGAAGACAAATAAATAGAGATCTCTTACTAACTAAATCAAAATCTAATCTGTTTCAAAAATCAATAATATGAAAAAACAAATAATAGGGATATGCACCATTGTTTGTAGAGTTTGAATATTTCTATCAAATGCGTTTATATAGTAGAATTAAAGATTGTTGGGATAGACCAATTTGTAGTTTACCAGGTGCATGGATAGATGTAATGTTGCGTACAAACCAACACTATTCAGAACCATTAGAGTATGTTGTTTTATAAATGTGTTTAGTTTTAGTTAGTTGGTTGGAATATTGGATGGATTATTAACTTTTTGTTTGTTCCGCAACAAATTTAGAATCACTGGAGAGACAAAGAGATGTTTAAATCTTGGATCATATAATTATTTGGGATTCGCACAAAACGAAGGACCAATTGCAGAGGCTGTTATTGAATCGATGTACAAGTATGGTGGATTCACCAGTTCGACACCGGCTGAGGACGGTACCACTGAACCATTCCGTTTGTTGGAGCGTGAGACTGCCCGTTTCGTTGGAAAGGAAGACGCATTGGTGTTTGAGATGGGTTTCGCCACCAACTCTGGTTCACTGCCAGCGCTCGTTGGTAAGGGTGCACTGATCATCTCTGACAGTTTGAATCACGCATCTCTCGCAACCGGTTGCAAGAACACCGGCACCAAGATCAAGGTTTTCAAACACAACGACACCAAACACCTCGAACAAGTCATTCGTGAATCCATCATCCAAGGTCAACCAAAGACACACAGACCATGGACAATGATTCTGATCATCGTCGAAGGTATCTACAGTATGGAAGGTGAAATCGGTAATCTTCCAGAAATCATTAGAATTAAAAAGAAATACAATGTAAGTATTAGTTGTTACTTTTTTTTTTGTTGTTGTTGTTTCTTGAAAAGTTGTTAATATATCTCTGTTGTTATTGTTATTAGTGTTATTTATATGTTGATGAAGCACACAGTATTGGTGCTTTGGGTAGTCATGGAAGAGGAGTTTGCGATCATTATGATGTCGATCCAAAGGATGTTGATATTTTGATGGGTACTTTCACAAAATCGTTTGGTTCGATTGGTGGATATATTGCGGCAGACAAATCGTTGATCGACCATCTCAGACAATCGAGTTTCGCTTATCTCTATGCCAACAGTATGGCACCACCCTGCGCAATGCAGGCCTATCAGGCGCTCAGAGCGATCGCCGGTGACGACGGAACCGACATTGGTGCACGCAAGATCAAGCAGCTCAAGGAGAATTCCAACTTTTTCCGTGAGCGTCTACGTCAAATGGGATTCCAGATTCTCGGTGGTAAGGACTCACCCGTCGTTCCACTGATGTTCTACAATCCATCAAAGATCGCTACTTTCTCACGTATGTGTCTCGAACGTCATATTGCCGTGGTGGTCGTCGGTTATCCAGCGACACCACTCACATCGCCAAGAGCTCGTTTCTGTCTATCGGCATCACACACACGTGAGGATCTAGAGTGGGCACTCGAACATCTCGACACCATCGGTGACCAAATGAACCTTAAATTTAAGAAACCAATAAAAGTTTAAAATATTATTAAATTAAGAAATCAGTTACAAAGATTATCATTACAAAAGAGAGAGACACACAGAGAGAGAACAATACTGAAAACCATTACCATTCCTATCATCAAAAGATACACTTAATTAAAAGTGAAAAAAAAAGATTAATTAACAACAACACATGATGAGGAATGTGTACAACCGACAAACATACTTTGATTAATTAGTTATTTCCATTAAAATTGTTTTTTTTTTTTTAAAAATTTAATATTTATTTATGTTATGTTTGTAATTTAATTAATTAGATGGTTAGTCAAACAATCATTCTCAAGAAATATTTATTTATTTAGAATATAAAAGATAGATTATAATATATATATATAGTTTTAAGTAAAACTGAATCTATAATCTATTAGCAGTTAGAGTTATTCGTATACAGGTTTTCGATCGAAAAGCATCATGATGATTACTAGAAAGAAAAGAAATAATTTAGGATTTCCACCAATCAATCTAAAGTATGATAGACATGGAATACCCTATGAGACAGACTCCTCTGGTAATCCATTGGAATCACTTACAAAGCCACCAAGAAGAACTGCAGCACTACAATCGATTCAGAGTATAACTCGTTCAATACAGTTGGAAGCAGACGACTACGAACAAGATAGTACACCACAGTTCATGGTAACCGATAAAAGAGGTACTTCCGACGATCCTTTTGTTCTTGATGAAAGTGATGACGATGAAGACAATGACAAACATGTTAATAATAATAATATTAATAATGGTGACAATACTACTTCCTCAAATGTATCTGAACGAACAACTACAACAACGACAACTACAACAACGACATCGTCATCATCATCATCATCGACTTCAACAGATGATAAAGATCAAAGTATAAATGGTGATAACAATAGTGAAGATAGTAATAATAATAATAATAATAGAAATGGTGATGAGGATACATCGAATATGGTTGTATCTACGGTTGCTACACATGATTCAGATGGTAATATACAGTTGATTGCAAGAGGTATTTCAGTGTATGTAGAGTACGACTATCCTTTGACATCACCGGTGTTGTTCAAAGAGGAGTACATCGAGATTAAAGCACCATTCTCTGCAATCAATACCAATAACAGACAGAAATTCGATATAGTCATACAGATTAATTATGAAGATTTAACAAAGCTCAATGTAATATTTACAATACGATACGATCGATCGATCGATCTTTCAAAACAACCTTTTTTGAAACTAATATTTAATTGTGTAACGATACGATTGTGATTTATTTATTTATTTAGGTAAACTTCTTAAAAGAGAATACATCGATTCAAATTGGAACCAAAGCATTTAGTTTCACAAAACATTGGTTGAAGATTCCTAAAATATGTAAAAGTAAGTGTTATCGGTAGCAACAACCTAAATTAATAACAACAACAACCATTCATTCTAATTGATTGTTATTGTTATTATTATTATTATTTGTATCTATATAGATTATGATTTAGGTATTCCAAATCAAATTTGGTTAAAGGGCATCAGTAAAAGCGATTACAATGGAATACAACAATTAATTTGCGATAAATCACATTGGATAAAACTATTATTGAAAACAGAGTACGTGTCTACATATATATATATATATATATTATTAGTATTGAAATAGAATTAAAAATTAATATGATTTTCATCAAAATATATATATAGAACACATGGACTGAAGAAAGAAAAGATAGTTGCAAGATATCCACCACCCAAAGAAAATCCAAATATAATGGACATTGTAAAGATCACATCTGATGACATGCACAAATTGGAACCATTTCAATATTTAAACGATTCAATCATTGATTTCTATACAAGGTATTTAGTTTTAGTTTAATCTAAATATTAATGTTCAACCAGTTATATTTAATTTACATGTTCTCAACAACAGATATATTAAAGATCATTATGTAGCGGATGAAGATAAAGATAGATTCTACTTTTTCAATACATTCTTTTATAATAATCTGTCGACCAAGAAGAACATGGATGAGGCATACAAAAAGATTGCGAAATGGACTGGCTCAACCGATATTTTCTCAAAGGATTTCTTATTTATACCTATTTGTGAAAAGTAAGCTAATAATGTTGATTGCGGTCAATCAATTATGTGATTTGTAATTAATGAGTGTTGTTTAAATACTAACCAATATACGATTTCATTATGATTTTAGTTTCCATTGGACACTTTGTATCATTTCATTTGCTGGACAAGATTATGAAACATCGACAGCCAGTAATAAACCTTGGATTATCTTTTTGGATTCGCTGAATAGTCATCGGTTGGTATCGATCACGGGAAAGATTAGGACGTATCTATCGATGGAGTGGAAGTATAAGAAGTCGGATCCTTCGAATGGTGCAATTGCAGAGCGTGTCTACACCTCTAAGAATCTACCGTCCTACAGGCCGTCGGTGCCCAAACAGGATAATATGTGTGACTGTGGTGTGTATCTGCTGCATTACGTTGAGTTGTTCTGTAGGAATCCAGAGAAGAACTTTGAGAGTCCGTTGAATCGTCCAAAGTGGTTCCCCAAGGAGGAGATCGCAGCGAAGCGTGAGATTATCAAGGGTCTACTCGAGAGATTGCACTATGAGCAGATGGATGAAGAGGAACTCGCCGAGGAAATGAGAGAGGAAGAGAGAAGAGAGAAAGAGAGAATGGAAAGAGAGAAGTTGCTGGAGTCTAAAAGTATAAACATCAACGATAGTTTCGAAGAAGTCGATAAAGAAAAGGAAGAGAAAGAGGAAAATGAAAAAGGAAAAGAAGAGGAAAAGGAAAAGGAAGAGGTAGATAAAGATAAAGATAAAGAGGAAAAAGAAGAGGAAAAGGAAGAGATAGAGATTGAAAAGAGGAAAAGGAAGAGATAGAGATTGAAAAAGAGGAAAGTGAGACAGAGAAAGAAAAGGAAGTGGTCAAAGAGGAAGATATTAGAGTAGACGGAAAAGAAATGGAAATTGATAAAGAGATTAAAACAAATAATGAGAAAGTAGAGATTGAAAATAAAGAGCCAGCAGTTGGCGAGGTGGTAGAACAAGAAAAAGTAAAAGAAAAAGATGACGAGAAGATGATAGAGAATGAAAGCAAAGAGATAGAAGGTGATAATAAAGAGAATGACAAAGATATTAACAAAGGTAACAACAAAGAGAAAGAGGATATAGAGATTCAGCAGATAGAAAAGAATCAAATAGACCAAAAAATCGAATCAACTACTCCCATCGAAACAAAAGAGGAGGAGAAGGATTTAAATGTAGAAACACCGGAAGATATTACTATCAAGTGTGATATAGCAGATATGGAACCACTAAGCGAAAATCAAAATGAACAATACAATGATTCGAATGGCATCGTCTCAAATGATAATGAAGAAAACAAAGGTGATAGTTTATTAAAAAGAAAGTTTAGTGAAACCAATGATAATCTTAATAGCGATAATGACAATTCGGAAGAGTCAGCTTTAAAAAAACAAACAAAATAAATCGTGATAAATTTTATATACCTGCAAACTTTATTTATTATCAAACAAACAAACTTTATATAATGGGATTTATATCCAAAATTGATATTTATTTATGAGATGTTAATTAATGTACTAAGACATTTATAGGTGATAAATAAAATTCTTCTACTTTGTCAAAGAATGAGAACTTGGAAGGGTAGATTTCACTTTGGCATAGCTAATGTTTCTAACTGTGATTTGGATGAATCAGAACGAAATGGTGCTGTACTTTTAATTAATTGATTGCGATGCTAAATTGAATATCGGGTTAAGTTTGATTAATTACACACCACCCTTATGATTTATAAATAGAATGATCATTTTTAATTAATTATGATTTTGATTGGTTTTGTGTTTTTGCAAAAAATCTATTTCATAGCATTTTTATTGGTTAGCTTTTTTTGCCCATTCCTCTAATTAACACTAATGGTGGTTCATTTTTGTTGTATTCAATCTCAAGTTTAAGAAATCACACACTCACAAAGGAATTGAATAAGAAGCGGTGAAACTGACCACAACTCATTGCCAACGGATAGATTTGTACCTGTTTGTAATTTTTCTCAAATCAGGTTTAAAACCCTACACCTCATCACTCTTTATAAAAGGTTATATTTCTTCTTCTACTCAAACATTAGATTATTATATATTATTATATATATAACCTTTAATCTCCTTGTAACCATCAATCAAATCAGTATTATTCTTGTGATATTTAAAACATTCAACAATCCGATCTTCAATCACTCATCTTTACTTTTAAATCATGATACAAATAATATTAATCTTAATATTATTTTTGATTTTAAATTCTTTTGTAAGATTAATACTAATTCCATTTGTTATTTTTTTATTTACTAATAAAAAAAAAAGATAAATAAAAATAAAAAATTTAGTAATCAAGATCCTCAAGGTCCACTTGGATTACCTATATTTGGAAGTTTATTGTCGCTCGGTGCCAAACCACATTTAAAGATTTCCGAATGGAATCGAAAGTTTAAAGGAGGTATCATTAAATTGTGGATGGGAGATAACTACACCATCATTGTCAGTGATCCTGTTATTATGAAAGAGATTTGGCTCAAAGACTTTAAGAAATTCTCTGACCGTCCAGAGTTCCCAACACTCGCCAAATTCTCCTTTGGATACAATGACCTCGTTATGGCAAAATACAATAGCTGGAAAGGTCGTCGTGAGTTTATCTCCAACGCATTTACCAAAACCAAGCTAAAAGTTGCCAATCCAATTATTGAACAAAATGTCCAATACCTTGTTGATACAATGAAGAAGTATTCAAAGACTGAAGAACCTGTAAGTAAATGATAGATTAAGAATAATACTTTATTTAATAACTAACATGAATTGATTTTTTAAAAAACATATTAGTTTGTTCCAAAATTCTTTTGTAAAAAATTCTCATTAAATATTATGATGATGGTATGTATTTTGGAACAACTGGAAGTTGTTTCTTTTAAATTAACTGTTTATTTATTAACTTTATTAATTTATATTTTAATAACTTTAATTTTAATCTTAATTTCCAATTCATTTATTTTAGTATGCCTATAGTACTAATATTCCTTTCGAAGAGGGTGTTGACGAGGGTGTTGTCAAGAGAATTGCACAGCCAGTCGATGATGTTATTCGTTTGTTAGCTGCCGGTAATTTAGTTGATTATATAAAATGGTTAGAGCCACTCTTCCATTTAAAAAACAAATTTGTAAAGCATGGAATCGATGTTGTATATGAAATTATGGCTGAAATTTATGAAGAACACATAAAGAATATTGACAAAGAAAAGTAAATTTTAAATATTATAACATATCAATTATAAAAACAACTTTATTAAATTAATTATTTTAGTCCAAAAGATATGTTAGATCATCTTATATTAGCAATGCCCAATGAAAAAGAAGCAGTTATTTTAGTTTCATTAGATCTTTTCTTAGCTGGAATAGATACTTCTGCTACTGCAATAGAGTGGTTAATTTTAACACTTTGTAATCACCAGGAAATTCAAGAAAAGATTCATGCCGAGTTGAAAGAAGCTGCCAAGGGTACTGGCAAGATTGATTTGACTCAACGTGGAGAAACCCCATACCTCCAAGCCGCTATCAAGGAAATTCTTAGATACCGAACAATTGTACCTCTAGGAATACCTCGTGTCGCTCTTGAAGATGCCATAGTAGAAGGTTATTACATTCCAAAAGGTGTATGTATATTTTTATAATTAAATTATAAATTATTAATGATTTTAATATTGTTTTTTGTTTGTTTTATTTTTCTTAAAAATAGACTGTGCTAATTAATAACATGTATGAATTACACCATAATGAAGCAACCTACGAAAAACCACATGAATTCATTCCAGAGAGATTTTTAAATGATGATATATCTAATGATTGGATGCCATTCAGTTTGGGACCACGTAATTGTGTAGGTTTGAAGTAAGTACATTCTATTTTAGATTTCTCACATACTTGAGTTACTCTAAATATTAACTAATTGTTATCTTTTAGTTTGGCATTAGACGAAATCTATATGGCTAGCGCTAATATCTTATTGAACTTTAAATTGCAACCATACAATTGCGATTATATTGATTTAGATGATATGTTCGGTGTGACACTTAGACCTAAAGAAGAATATCCAATATCACTTCAATTTAGATCAATTTAGATTTATATATATATATATAAATACAAATATATCTATAAATATATCCATATTTATTTATTTCTTTCATATCTTTTACTTCTTCGAAAAATAAATTTATTTTAACCAACCAAGTTTTTAATAATAAAAATAATAATAATAATAATTAGAGTAGTAAATAATACCTATTACAGAAGTAGTAGTATATTGTTGAATATCTTATCTTAAAATCTGTGTGCTGTGTGAGTGTTAAAATTGAAAAACATTAAACTATCAACTTTTACAATTAATTGTAAATGTTCCTATTACCACTACTCCAAACACAATGAGGTTACTACTAACCTCAATAAATTTTGTTATTAATATGTTCTTAGAGATATTAAAAAAAGGTGTTAGGAAATCTTTTTATTTATTCATAACAAGAAAATGTATATATATTTTGTTATATTTATAAATAACAAAATGTTGTAATTCTCTCTCACAATTCAAAATTTAAAAAAATAGTAATAACAAATGATTGTTTTATATATTTTTTATTTCTTTATAGCTTTGACACTCTATTCTTTTGTAAGTAGTAGTATAATATTCTATTGTTAAATTGTCATATTCATTCATCATTAATAGTTGGATTGTTTTAAAATAGATTGATAAAAATAGAAGTTTTTCAAATCAAGATCCTAAAGGTCCAATCAATTGGCCTTTCTTCGGTGTACTATTGAGATTGGGAGAGAAACCACATCTTACCTATCAGAAATGGAATAGACAGTATGGCGGAATCATTAAAATATGGCTTGGAAAGAATTACTCTATGATTGTCAGTGATCCGGTGATTATGAAGGAGATTTGGGTCAAGGATTTCAAGACTTTTGCCGATAGACCTAAATTCCCAACACTTCGCAAATTTTCTTTTGGATTCCAAGATCTAGCTATGGTTGACTATGAATCCTGGAAAGGACGTCGTGAATTGGTTGCTAACTATTTCACCAGAGGTAAATTAAAGAACTCCATACCAATAATAGATAGTAACGCCGAGAATCTAATTAGATTGATGAAGCCATATGCAACTTCAAAGCAACCTGTATGTAAATTAATTCGATTATTTGTTTGAAATTTAATATTAATTTAATATTTTGTTGAAATTATGTTTAGATTTGTATAAATAAATATTTTAAGAAATATGCTTTGAATATTGTTTTAAATTATGTTTTCTCAACGAATATTCCTTTTGACGAAGATATCAATGGTGGATATCTAAAGAGATTGGATACTCCTGTCAATGATGTCATTGGATTACTTACAACCGGTGCACTCATGGATTATATTACAATACTTGAATGGATCTACAATATCAAAGACAAGTACACTTCTCATGGATTTGATGTTCTCTATCAAATTATGAAAGAAATCTACGAGAAGCATGAAGAGAATCTAGATGTAGAAAAGTAAGTAACAACTCTCTAATATTAATATAAAAAATGAAATATATTATTTACTAAATAACTATAATTGCAATTATAGTCCAAAGGATATAGTTGACTATTTAATTATTAATTTGAAAGAAAACGAAGGTGAGAATAAAAAGAATATAATCATTTTAATGTCTTTAAACATGTTCTTGGCTGGATTTGACACTTCTACATCTGCATTGGAATGGCTGTGCTACACATGTGCCAATTATCAAGATGTTCAAGAGCGAGTGTATAAGGAACTATCCGAGGTAGCTGCAGGAACAGGTAAAATCACTCTGGCCAACAGAACTCAAACACCCTATCTAAATGCAGTCCTAAAAGAGATCCTAAGATATCGTACACTCATCCCGCTTGGAGTTCCAAGGGTTGCAAGAGAGGATGCAATTGTCTGTGGATATTATATTCCGAAAGGTGTAAGTTCAGATCAACCTTAACATTTCGATTACTTACTGTACACCTAACACCTATTAATTATTTTCTAAATGTGTTGTTGAACAAATAGACTGTTTTATATAATAATATGTATGAAGTTCATTTCAATAAGGAAATCTATGAGAATCCAGAGGAATTCAATCCAGAGAGATACATGGTGGAAGATCACAAGCAAGAGTGGATGCCATTCAGTTTGGGACCACGTAATTGTGTAGGAATGAATTTAGGTCTTGACAAAGTGTATGTCGGTGCAGCCAATCTCCTATTGAACTATCATTTCAAACCACACAACTGTGATAAGTATGAGTATAACGATACATTTGGTCTAACTCTAAGAGCAGACAAAGACTATCCTTTAACAATAACACTAAGATCTGAAATGGATAACAAATAATACTAATAAAAATATCTGTGTGTAAAAACCAAAAAAAAATAAATTGAAGATTTTTATTATTATTATAAATCTAATTAATTTGTAAGATCTCAATACTATTGATTGATGAAAGTTAGGTTAATCTTGGTAGTTATTGTGGTTATTCCAATTAATTTCGATATGCTAGAAGTTGTCTTTGCTGTTTTTTTTTGTATAATTACAAAAAGCAAAAATCAACAAAACCAAATCAAAATAAATTTCCAGTAAAAAATTTTGAAAATTTGAAAAAAAAAGAAAAAAAAAAGTGTTTTATGATGGAATGTTCTTTGAACTAAAGAGGAAAGCGACACAAAAAAATAAAAAATTAAATTAAATAAAAAATAGGCGCAATATATAAACATGTAATAACACAATGTATTAATAATTATCTAGTTTCATAAGAAATAACAAGCAGAACACAAAAAACAAAGATTTTGTGGCTATATTTAGATAAAATTAATTTATTATACAATTAATCAATATTTGTACACACATAAATATTTTCACCTTTAATTTATATTATTAGTATTAGTATTCTTTTTTTTTTTTAATACTATTCACTCTCGCAATACTCTAATATTTGCTTATCATAATTATTATATTTAGTTATAAATAGCAGTAATAGCAAATATTATAAACACTATATCAAATTTCAATTCACATAGACATACCACCCACTCTCAAACCACACTTTTTAAACTAAGCGTGAAGAGTATATCCTGGTATTCATTTATCAAATAATTTCTTTTTTATATTTTATTTTTTTAATTCGATTTTAATATTACCAACTACACTAATATTATAATAGTTAGTTCTGAGGTTATATTTCATTTGCGATTTCACAGCTTTGCAATATATTAGATTCTGTTTGTTTTTTTAAGTAAAATCTGCAAATTTTCATAGCGGTAAACAATTGTGTGTTTGTTTAATATTTAATTTTTTTTTATTTTAATTTTTATTATATTATATATCAAATAGTAAAAGATGTCAGGTATGTAATAATTAATTTTTTGGTTAATAATCTTTTTATTTTATTAGTTAACTAATTTTTATTTTGATTATTTTAACTTAGTCATTAGTTTTGGAGTTGGAAAACAAGGACAATTAGGATTGGATGTAAATAAAGATCAACTGGATCCAGCTGTAATTCAATTGCTAAAGGGAAAGAGAATTAAACAGATTGCATGTGGTGAAGCACATTCACTGGCTGTCACAGAGTTTGGCGATGTATATAGTTGGGGACGTGGAAAGGAAGGTGAGCTTGGCCACCCACAGAAAGCAATGACTGCACCACCTGCTCTGATAAAAGCACTGGAACACGAGAGAATCGTCAAGGTTGCCTGTGGAAACTATCACTCGCTGGCGCTAACCGACACTGGAAAAGTATATCAGTGGGGACAACTCCACGAGATCGATGCTACCAAGAGTGGTGTCAAGAGTCAGGGTGGTCTGGTAGAGATGACCGGTATCAAAAGTTTTGCCAGTAAGGTTGCTGACCACTCGTTGTCAATGTACTTGAACGGTGAGAAGGCAGCCTATGATGAGGAGTCCGCTTCGAGTAGTGTCCTACAAGATAATCCTACTGCCAATGGGCTGGTCACCGACGATCAGGAGGAAGAAGAAGAGTTCTTACCGGAAGCGATTGTCGACACGCAACAAGAGCAACAGCCAGAGAAGAGTGGCAGTAAAGTAGGTGAGATCGTAGATAAGAATCAAATGACACCAGTACTTGTTGATTTCGGATCAAAGAGTATAAAGATTGTAGATATCAGTGCGGGTTGGGCATACAGTGCAGCAGTCACATCAACCGGAAATGTATATACTTGGGGATTCAACGAGAAAGGACAGCTTGGCTTGGGTGATCGTTGGTATCATGGAAATCCAAGAGTGATTCGATCGCTATCAAATAAATCTATTGTAAATATTGCATGTGGTCGTCAGCATATGGCGGCAATCAGCAAATCCGGTGATCTTTACACTTGGGGACTGGGTGTCTTTGGTCAACTCGGTCACGGTAAACTAAAGTCACTGCTTCACCCAAAGAAAGTGCTCTATTTCGAACAACAACAAAAGAAGATTGTACAGGTCGCAACCGGTGCCAATTTCACTATGGCAGTATCAGAGAATGGTGAGTTGTTCTCTTTTGGTCATGGAGAGTACGGACAGCTTGGTGCCACTGAAGACACACAATATATGGATTGGAACAACAATGGTGACCGTGATGACCATTTGAAATATTCACTGCCAAAACAAGTGAAAGCTTTGGAGAGTGTAAAAGTAAGAAAAGTTGCATGTGGACATCTCCATACCATTGCAGTGACCACCGATAATGATGTATATACTTGGGGATGGGGATCGTCAGGATGTCTGGGATTCGGTGACAGAAAGTTCCAGCTGGTTCCACAACGTGTGCCATCACTCTCTGGCGAGGAAATATCATCGGTCAGTGGAGGTGAGAAACACACGCTCATTGTCAGATCGTCGGATACCACCACTTTTGCTTTTGACTACAAACAGCTTGTCAACGACCAAAAGACTGGTGATATTGCATTCCTCGTTCAAAACAAATATGTATATGCACACAAACTGTTCATTCGTTCTCGTTGTCCAAAGTTGTATGGATCCATCTTGTTTAGCGATAGATTCTGTAAGAACAAGTTGGAGTACATCGATGAAGACGGACACATGGAGCAAGAAGGTGCTGTCAAGAAGGCAGTCGTCGAGATTGCAAAAGTTAAATACCAGATTTGGGTTTCATTTATGACCTACCTCTATACCGATCATCTTGTCATTGCTCCGCATCTTAGAAAGGAGTTGTCTGATGTTGCAGCGGCCTGGGGTGTCAGTCGTCTGGTTAGTTTGTGTCACCGTTACAACTACAAGTTGCGTTTGACCGACAAGATTCCACCATCGTCATTCAGTACCGACATCACAGAGCACATCGACAGCTTTGATTTCTCTGACATTCACTTTGAGGTTGCCAACAAAGAGTTTATTCCTTCACACAAATTGATTCTTGGTGCACGTAACCACTACTTCAAAACAATGTTTGAATGTGGATTCCGTGAGAAGGATCAGCTGAACTTCAACATTGGCAATGATATCGAGAAGGAATCATTCAAGCTGATGATCGAGTATATCTATGGAAACAACGAAGCAGTCGTAAATCAAGAGAATGCTGTCGAACTTCTTTGTTTATCCGATCGATTCATGGTCGAAGATCTAAAGTTGGTCGCCGAAAGCTTCTTGGAGAGCATGGTTCGCGAGAGCATTCAACCAATCTTGACAACCATCAAACCATCATCGCCAATCCAGAAAGATCAAGGCAATTCCTCCGAACAAACATCACCAGACAGCGCCAAAGAGAATATATCGGAAGACGCCATCATTTCCTTTGAAAATATCTGTCTGCTACTCCAGGTCTCTGACAAATTCTTGGCCAAGAGATTAAAGCGATTCTGCATGGAAACCATTGCTCATCTAATTTCTACCAAGCAAATGACATTCTTTTTCGATATTTTGAAAAAAGTTAGATACGAATCACCTCAACTCATCAGAGAGCTTGACCATTTCGCATCACTCAACACGACACTCAGCGCGAATCAATTAATTTCACTCATCAGATAAATAATATTATCTAACATAATCTCTCCCAATCCATAAGTTTTATATCTAATGGATCAGAGCAGCCATTTATATAGTAAATAAATATCTATTTATTTTGTATCATATTATATTAAATACAAACCACTTGTCAATGTATAATAAGCTTTTTGGATAATTTAATATTATTTTGTTTTTAGGTCGAAACTTATATTTAATTTTAATTTTAACTTCACTGTATATTGATGTGGTGGTGATGATCAATGATCACCTGAAAATATTTACAAAATACATGTTTTTTTTAATCACGATAATATTTTGACACTACAAATTTTTTAATGATTTGCAATATGGTGGTATGAAAAATTTTTCAAACATCATACAGGTTTTCATATTATGTTTAATCAATAACTAATTAAAATGAAAATTGGATTTTTTCTAGTATTTTTTCTTTTTTATTTGGTCAGTGCAAGAAAGAATGAAGATTTTTCTCGTGTGACAATCAAACAAGGAACATTGATAGGAACTGTCTATAAAAATCATCGAAATTTTTATGGAGTTTGTATATAAAAGGTTTTTTTTTATCATATAATATAATTCTTATTCAAAAATATATATCTTCAATAGATACCCTATGCAAAGCCTCCAATTGGTGAACAAAGGTGGAAAAATCCCATTCCTGATGAAGGTTGGGAAGGTATTAGAGATTGTACCTACACCAGAGATTCTTGTCCACAAGTAAAAGGAAACGATCCAATGATCTATCCTCCAAATGGAACCTCAGAGGACTGTCTTTATATATCAATTAAGACACCTATTCCATCGAACATGTTGAGTCCTGTCCTAATATATATTCCAGGTGGTGGATTTATTAGAGCATCTGCCGATTCCCCCGGGTATGCAGGAGAATTATTTGCAAGAAAAGGAATATTAGTTGTTACCTTTAACTATAGAGTAGGAGTTTTGGGATTCCTTGCAAATGATGAAGAAAATTTGGATGGAAATTATGGATTTTTAGATCAAAATTGAAGCTTCTGAAGTGGGTCAAAAAACAACATTGAGGCGTTTGGTGGAAATCCTAATGATATAACACTTGGAGGTCCATCAGCAGGTGCAATGTCAGTTGTTACTCATTTGGTATCACCTATATCTGCTGGTTTATTTCATAAATCAATCATTGAAAGTTGTCATATGCCTTCAGGATACAAAACAATGGAAAATGCAAAGGATCAATACAAAAGACTTTCCTATCAACTAAACTGTACAGATATTCAATGTTTAAGAGAATCCAAAGTTGATGATATCCTCAAGATTCAAACACAAATGATGGCTGTTGATTTTAGATACCCTGCTGATGCATTTACTTTTTGGTCACCTGTTATTGATAAAAAAATACTTCCTGGTATGAAAACTTCTTTAATCTTAAGATAATAACTCTACTAAAATATATAAATATATATAAAAATAGGTTTGCCTTTTACTCTTTTTAGAACTGGTAGATATAACAAAGTTCCAACTTTAGTTGGATTTGTAGAATTAGAAGGAAATTATTTTGCATATGGATATTTTAAAACGTAAGATGTAAAATGAATAAAAATAAAACAACTTTAGATAATAATAGCCTATATTATAGCCCTATTCCGCAAGGCGTTAGCAGTTCATTTGTAAAAAATATGTTGGATTCAGTTGACGATCAAAGATTTAAAAAGATAATTACCCACTACAATGCGACAGTTGGAGAAAGTGATGACTATCGAATTGCTCTGGTAAATTTTCTAACCGATTCAATGTTTAGTTGTCCAAATAGATTCTTTGTTAGAAATCAAAAAAGATTTAACACGGCCTCATATTTTTATAAGTATTCACACATCAACTCTGCCAATATCTATGAATATGCAAAACCTTATTGTACACACAAAAATTGTCATGGAGATGAAGGTACCGTTAAGTTTTATATATTTATTCAATAGATCGATAATGAAACTAATTTTCCTTAATCTATAGTTCCCTACGTTTTCAACTCTTTCAAAGAGATTGGTTACCCAGCTACCGAAGAAGAAGAGAAAATCAGTCATATGATGTCAAACTATTGGACCAATTTCATTATGACTGGTGATCCCAACATTGGATACCACGTTCCTGTTAGATGGCCAACATATGAACCATCACTCACAGCTGATAATTGCCTAAACATTAACTCCAATGCAAAACCTTACAACTTTGATAAGGAATTTCAAATTTGTGACGTCTTTGATGAATTTGGTTATGAATCTTTTAAATAAATCATATGATTACAAAAAATTTATTTTTTTTGGAAACAACAGATACTCTTTTTTTTTTTTTACAAGGTATCTCTGGCTACTGAATAGATTGTTGATAGAACCGGCTTGATAGCATTCTCTTTAATGTTGTGTAGATCGAATGGGAAGAATAGATCGTTCTTGTCGACACCGAGATGCACACTCTTGAAGGAAGAGATCGATGTTGTTCACCTGGAAGAACGGTCTTGGAAGATTATTGATTTTTTTGATACAATGGGGTATCAGTGCATTGAGAAGTCGACACAAAACAACGCCACTCTGCAGATGGTTGAGCAGTGGATCGCCATCGGGTGATGGCTGAGCTCTTCCAACTGGCGATCCAACACAGTTTTACATCTTCCTCCTGTTCCTGAGCAGTTCGATTCAATAGTTTGATGGTTAGACAGATCTTAGATTTACGAATTCCAGCCGATTGTTTCAAAAGTGGTGGACTGCTGCTGTTGTTACTTGATATCTTTGATCCCATTTCAACAATGATGGTAAAAGTTGGTTTGATAGAGGGAGTTGTTGATTTTTTCACTTGGTGAAGACATGACTTTTAAAACTGTTTAACTATACCAATTATATCCTATAATATTCCAATATGATATCAAAATAGATTTATTTGATTTAAAGTTGTTTTCACTGTGAATGGAAATGTGTAATTTCTTTTTATCCCTCCCCCCAAAAAATGAAACAATTTTACATAGCTTGTGTGCATTTTTCAAAAATAATGCGAGAAAACAAAAAAAAACCCAACCTATAAAATGAAATAACACAAATTACATTTTTCAATTGTAAAATATTTGTAAAACTACTATTATTCATAATATATTATTCTGGAGTTTATCTCTGGTTGTTAACTATAAATATTAAATGGATATTCTTTGATATATTACAAAATCATTATTCGTGTTACTCACCCCCAAATATTATCATGATTTATTTTGATTACTACAAGTTTTGATTTTCAATCTTGTGGTGGTATGAAAAAATTTTCAAAAATATTATATTTAATTCAGTTTTTTGATATATACATAAAGTTCATAATAATGTCAGCTAATTCTGATTGAAAAACAACATCGATGAAAAAAGTTTTTTAGAGCTAAAGTTGCAAAAATCAACATTTTCGACAAGACTAAAAGTTGTTTATGAATAGTAAAAGGTGTTATAACAACTAATATACAAACAAACAACGATTTTGGAAAATTAATGCGGTAAAATTGAAAAAATAGTGGGTTGAATTTTTTGACAGAATTAACTAACATCATCATCATATAGTTTTTGATATATTAATCAATAAACTATAAAGTTAAAATGAAACTTAGATTTTTTCTAGTATTTTTACTTTTTTATTTGGTCAGTGCAAGAAAAAATGAAGATTTTTCTCGTGTGACAATCAAACAAGGAACATTGATAGGAACTGTCTATAAAAATCATCGAAATTTTTATGGAGTTTGTATTTATAGAGATTTTTTTTTAATATTATTTAACATAACCAGAATTCTTATTTCCTAAAATATAAAAAATCAATAGATACCCTATGCAAAGCCTCCAATTGGTGAACAAAGGTGGAAAAATCCCATTCCTGATGAAGGTTGGGAAGGTATTAGAGATTGTACCTACACCAGAGATTCTTGTCCACAAGTAAAAGGAAGAGATCCAATGATCTTTCCTCCAAATGGAACCTCAGAGGACTGTCTTTATATATCAATTAAGACACCTATTCCATCGAACATGTTGAGTCCTGTCCTAATATATATTCCAGGTGGTGGATTTATTAGAGCATCTGCCGATTCCCCCGGGTATGCAGGAGAATTATTTGCAAGAAAAGGAGTATTAGTTGTTACCTTTAACTATAGAGTAGGAGTTTTGGGATTCCTTGCAAATGATGAAGAAAATTTGGATGGAAATTATGGATTTTTAGATCAAATTGAAGCTTTGAAGTGGGTCAAAAACAACATTGAGGCGTTTGGTGGAAATCCTAATGATATAACACTTGGAGGTCCATCAGCAGGTGCAATGTCAGTTGTTACTCATTTGGTATCACCTATATCTGCAGGTTTATTTCATAAAGCCATCATTCAAAGTGGTCATATACCTTCAGGATACAAAACAATGGATAAAGCAAAGTATCAATACAAAAGACTTTCCTATCAACTAAACTGTACAGATATTCAATGTTTAAGAGAGTCCAAAGTTGATGATATCCTCAAGATTCAAACACAAATGTTGGCTGTTGATTTTAGATACCCTGTTGATGGATTTACTTTTTGGTCACCTGTTATTGATAAAGAAATTCTTCCTGGTATGAAAACTACTTTATTAATTGATAACTATTCATACTAAATATTATAAATATATATATATATAAATAGGTTTACCGCTTTCTCTCTTTAGAAAAGGAAAATTTAACAAAGTTCCAACTTTGGTTGGAGTAGTAGAATTAGAAGGAAATTATTTTGTTTCTGGATTTTTTAGAGGGTAATTATTTTAAATAAAAATATGAAAACATTACATAATAACAAATTCTGTCTAGTCCCATTCCTCAAGTAGTGAGTAGTACATTCGTGAAAAACATGTTGGATTCAGTTGACGATCAAAGATTTAAAAAGATAATTACCCACTATAACGAGACAGTTGGAGATAGTAATGACTATCGAATTGCTCTGGTAAATTTTCTAACCGATACAATGTTTAGTTGTCCAAATAGATTCTTTGTTAGAAATCAAAAAAGATTTAACGTCACCTCATATTTTTATAAGTATTCACACATCAACTCTGCCAATATTTATGATGATATAAAACCTTTTTGTTCAAATAGTCATTGTCATGGTGATGAAAGTACCTATTAAGCTATAATTCGTCAATTACCAATGAGACTAATATATTTATCAATCCAAATTAATAGTTCCCTACGTTTTCAACTCTTTCAAAGAGATTGGTTACCCAGCTACCGAAGAAGAAGAGAAAATCAGTCATATGATGTCAAACTATTGGACCAATTTCATTATGACTGGTGATCCCAACATTGGATACCACGTTCCTGTTAGATGGCCAACATATGAACCATCACTCACAGCTGATAATTGCCTAAACATTAACTCCAATGCAAAACCCTACAACTTTGATAAGGAATTTCAAATTTGTGACGTCTTTGATGAATTTGGTTATGAATCTTTTAAATAAATCATATGATTACAAAAAATTTATTTTTTTTGAAAACACAGACCGTCAGTCCGTCAGTCGGTTTACAAGGTATTCGAAATATTTCTTAATTCATCCAAATGATTGGTTGCTCTGGCTAGTGAATAGATGGTCGATAGAACCGGCTTGATAGCGTTCTCTTTAATGTTGTGTAGATCGAATGGGAAGAATAGATCGTTCTTGTCGACACCGAGAGATGCACACTCCTGAAGGAAGAGATCGATGTTGTTGACCTGGAAGAACGGTCTTGGTAGATTATTGATTTTTTTGATACGATCGGGTATCAGTGCATTGAGAAGTCGACACAAAACAACGCCACTCTGCAGATGGTTGAGCAGTGGATCGCCATACGGGTGATGACTCAGCTCTTCCAACTGGCAATCCAACACCTTTTGAATCCACAGCTTTACATCTTCCTCCTGTTCCTGAGCAGTTCGATTCAATTGTTTGATGGTCGGACCGATCAGAGGTTTACGAATTCCAGCCGATTGTTTCAAAAGTGGTGGACTGCTGCTGTTGCTACTTGATGTCGTAGATCCCGTTTCAACGATGCTGGTAAAAGTTGGTTTGACAGTTGGTGTAGTTGATTTCTTCACTGGTGAAGACAGGGGTGATGTCAGACTCAATGAGGGCGTGGGTGTTGAAGTGGAATTGGCACGTGCTCTTGTTGGAGTTTTGGTTGGAGTTGTTGGGTGACTTGAACTTGTTGTTGTGGAGCTGGATAGATGTGAATTGCTATGACGATTTGATTTATTTGGTGTGGTTGTTGTTGACGATGCTGATGTTTGTAGGGTGGGAGGTGAAGTTGAGCTGAGTTTGTTGGAAGATGATTGCGTCGATTGCATAAAGGATGAGGTGGAGCGACGCGATGGTGAAGGTGACGACGACGGTGAATTCGAGGAGGATGTCGAAGGAGATGAGAGCGTCGATGGTGAAGAAGCCGATGAAATGGAATTGCGTTGTCTTGGCGATGATGGTGCTGACTTTGAAGAAACAGAAGCGTGTGAATTGTGTCCGATATTTAGATGATGATTGTGTGAGTGTAAGTGGTGACCACTGTGATGCGGTAGATTGGTGGATGATGATACATTTGCTGTGGTGATAGAGGTGGAGGAATTGGTGCTGTTAGTGCCATTTGGTGAAAGAATCAATACTGGTGGTAACTTTAGTGATGAAGGAATCAGAGAATTCATATCGGGATTGGACACTGCTTTTGAAAGTAAACCACCGCCATTTCCAAGTGAACCACCGGAATTTCCACCAATGAAAATATCTAAACTTGAAGAATCATGATTGTTTTGTAGATTAATTTGATTGCTTTCATCTCCACTTGGTTGAATAACTTTTGGTGACTTTTCAAACTGTTTAATTATACCAATTAGATCCTATAATATTCCAATATGACATCCAATAGATTAATTAGATTTTGTTTATAAATTTCTTATAGAAATATATGGAAATTACATTTTTCAGTTGTAAAATATTTGTAAAAGTACTATTATGCATATATAATTCTGGATGTTTATCTCTGGTTGTTAACTATAAGAATATATTTAAAAGGGTTATTCATTCATTTAATATATTAAAAACTTTCAAATTGTGATGAAAACTAGTTAACTACTTACAATTGGTGAACTAGGTGCTTCATGTGATTTATTGGAATTATTATTGTACAGTTTGGAGTTCTTTTTCAATTTTTTGACTAGTAAATACAGTTCTTCGACTTCTTCGTCGATTAGTAATCTCCACTCTGTGAATGCATGAACTATATCAATATCTGCTCCATTATTTAAAGGACTACCAATATTATTATTATTGTTTTGTATATGTTGTTGTTGTTGTTGTTGTTGTTCTTGATAGTCTTTTATATTATCATTGACCAATGTATTGTTCACTCTTTCTCTGGAATCGTTGAACTCTCTCAGAAATCCATCGATATCTGAAGCAATTCCTTTGTTGATTCTCTCTAAGTCTAAATTGTAATCATTCACCAGTTGCTGATTATCATTGATATTTACACTGATATCTCCAAACAATGTTGATGACGACGACGATTGACTGAAATGACTTGATTCATCACCGATTTCCTCATCCAACAATTTAATATCATTATTTAACTCGCTAATTAAATCATCTAAACTAATCATTTCATTTATCTATTTTAAACTAACTATAAATATTATATTATTGTCATGTATACAAAAATGAATAAAGATAAATTACTTGTTGTTTTTTGTTGTTTTTTTTTTTTTTGCAATCTGAAAAAATTAATCAGTAAAATAACACTATTCAGCTTAACCCAAAAAAGATTGTTGGGTTATTTATATTTTTTTCAAATAATTTTGTTTTCCCAATTTGGAATAGGTCACATTTTTTTCTTTCTTTTTAAAATGTTTAGTTTATTTATTACCTTAAAAATATATTTATATTTTTTTAAAGAACATATATATGCATTTCAAAAAATAATAATAAGGAAATAAAATAATTTTGAAGAAAATAAATTTTATTAAATTATTTGTTCCCTTACGAAATTGATAAATCTTGCAGCATATTCAACAGGATCAACAGAGGATATCTCACCTCTATTAAATAATGATTTATATGTATGTTCGATTTGTTTTCGGAAACTATATAACATCAAAATATCAATGATACCCATAAAGTAGTACTCACTCATAGGCACACCATTCTCATCTATACCTTGCATTCCACCTTTATCATGTTCAAATATTGAAATCCTAAAAAAAAAAAAGCAATAACAATTAGATATTATCGATAGCGTAAAATATAATGTATATGAATGTTACATACTTTGGTTTAATAAGTGGTTTTGGACTGGTTGCATTTGGAAGTAGTGGTGGGAGATGGTGACTATCTAGTGGTTTCATATAGTCAGAGTTTTTGCGTTGAAGTTGTGCCGGTGCATCGTTGATGTTGTTCTGAACGTGTGTGTGTGCGAGATGCTGTTGTAACGTTTGAGCTTGTTGTGCCTGTTGTGCTTGCTGTTGAGCTTGTTGTTGAGCTTGCTGCTGCTGTTGGAAGTACTGCTTGGTTTGTGCAATCGATCTTATTCTCTTGGATGCACGTAGATCGTTGCGATTGTCATCGTCGTCCGAAGAGGAATCATCGGTGTAGTCATCGTCGCCGCCACTCGATGAAACGTCTTCATCCATCAGTGGCGAAGGCGGCGTCGTCTGCATCTCCTGCACCATGTCCTCTTTTCGGTGCAGACCAATCAGCAAGCTGTAATCCATGATGTTCAGCTTCACCAAGAACTTACAGTCTTCGCCCAACTGGTGCAAGAACAGCCGCTTTCGGTCGGGACCGAGATGCAGCTTCATTCCCAACCGACGGAAATCCAAGTCTTTGTAGGTTGGCGACTTTTTCTTTTGTTCTTCCGGCGAGAGTTCGCGACCCACAGTCGAACCCTTGAGGTCGAATCTCATAGTGAGTGGTTTCGGTGTACAAAAGAGATTCTTCATCACCAGGAAACGAACTTGTCTGCCATTCTTTGGACGTACTCTATGCAGACCAAAGAAGCGAGTCAGCAGGCTGTTTGGATTGCGCTTCATGTGCTCGTAGTACTCTGGTAGCAGAGATCTCAACAGCTTTGCCTCTCGTTTCGGCACCGTCTTTAACACATATTGATTATCGTAGGAGAAGAAGAAGATACTACCACTCTTGCCAGGAGTCGACACTTCATTCCACGGTTTACATAGCGAATAAATATAGGATTGTGGATCTATATTGAAAAGTTCTCTCAGTCTTGAGAATGCATGTGGACAATAATCTTTAAATGTAAAAGTTCCTGGTTGTCCTTCACTATAATAATATCATATATTAATAATCTACAAGTTAGATACATATGTATGTTGTTAACTTACATAACGGGTAATACATGATGTAATGATGAAAAGAATTGATCTGAATTCTCTTGAATCGATTGATGAGATGTTTTTGATATACAATTTAGAATACCGGTTTGGATGGTTCTCATGAGTAGCCAAGATGGATGTCCTTTGAAGATGGTCTCACCAAGACTGTTCTTCTTGTGCTCCAAGTGCAATCTTCTCTTCTTCTTCTTGATCTTTCTCTTCTTCTTTAACAGTTTACGTTCGATTTCATCTTTCTTTTCTTGCTGCTCTTGCATAGCCTCTTTGAATTCCTTCTCCAATTTCTTTTCTTTCTTCTTCTCTCGCTTTGTCATCAGAGTACTGGTGCTATCGGACAAACCCTTTGATTGGTTATCGAGATCGCCAATCGGTGGTATATAAGGTTGTGAGTCATTCCTGCCATTGCCACCGCCAACCGAACTCGTCAGATCATCGTTATCAATATAATAATTGTTAAATCCTTGATGATGTTCATCGATATCGTTACCACTGTTCACTTTTGGATTGTAATTGATGGTTGTTTGGAAATTACCAGATTCTGTTGTGGTCGTTGTTGTTTTACACTGTTGTTTCGATGTGTCCGCTTCCGAGAGGATGTTGGCAGCACTGGTTGAGAGCGTATCGCGATACACCACTCTGACAGTGTCATGAGGTGAGAGTGGAACATCGACCATCTCATCTTGTGCGTTGCCAACTATCACGGGTGACACTGTCGTTGTATTATTAGTTGTTGTTATCAGCGTTGATGTTGTAGTATTATCGGTCACCTTCAAATCTCGTGGTGACTTTAACAATCGATTGTTTCCAAAACTATAGTTTTGCAGCTGTGAAGATACCGCTCCATGTCCATTCGAGCCATTACCGTTGATATTCAGGAAATTCATTGGCTGTACCAAAACTGAAGCGGATTTAGCTCTGCTGCTGTCACCAACACCACTATCTACATTTTCAGTTGCTGCATTATTGCTCTAAGGGTAACAATAATTAATTTTAGATTAGATTGACAAACAATAAAAATTGGAATAATTTGAAAGGAGAAACATAATACTTACGTCAGATGAAAAAACAAAAAATTCATCTTTATGATAGATCATATTATCTTTTGAGAAATCATCAGTGTCATCGCCAATCAATTCATGGTCGTTATCATCATCACCACCGGCCAACGATGACATGACAGGCATCGATGAATTGGAAGTTGGTAAACTGTCCATCGGTGTTTCATTTGAAGATGATGGTAACGATGATAATATATGATTTTGATAATTATGATTATTCATTATTTATAAATTTTAATAACTTATCCAAAACTATCATTAAATATATATATGTATATGTATGTATATGTATATTATAAAAAAACTATCTTATTTCTAATATAATTTTAATTTTATGAAAACAACATTTATTTTATTTATTTAATTTCTAAAAATAATAATAATAATATATAAATTTAAACTAATTACAAAAAAAGAAATTATTTTATTTCTATAAATATTACCAAGATATTTGATTGATGATTTTGAAATTAAATAAAATTAGTTTGTAGAAAAGGGAAATTATTATTAAAAAATTGAATAGGTGTTGTTTAATATGTTGATGGTTATTTTAATTTGGTGTCCAATTAGTTATGAGTATGAGTATGAATGCTTGAGATATTCTAGTGGTGAATGATAGTGGTTGGTGGTAAATCGTGGTAAATCGTGGTATTTGGTGAGTGTGTGGTGAATACTTTGATTCTGATTACCAACTAGGTATTTGGTCAAAATAAAATACTAACTAATGACAAATAAAAAAATAATATTTTCCAATGCAATGATAAATTAAAATTTATTAAATTTATATTATCTATAATTGAAAAACAACAATAATAATAACAAAAACAAACAATGAAATGATAATTTTCCTATTGTAATACAATCAATCATAAGGACAAAAAAACTATTGTTGTTGTTGTTGTTGTTGTTTAAATAAATCGTCAAAAGTGATATTATATATTGGTTGAATCATAGCATATTAGAGAGATTCTATTATATTACCATTATGAAATGATTCATTTATTTTATTTACTATTTTGGTGAGTGTTGTGTTGTGGTGTGGTGTGATGTGGTGTGGTATTTTGTCTTTGTGAGTAATGTCTCAATTCAAATTGAAAAGATATTATAAAGTAAAGGACTATGAGTATATAAATGTGTGTGTTAAAAATCTAATAGATAAACAACAATAAAAAAATAATAATAATGAAATATTCTAAAAGAGTAACAACCAAACATCCTTTTCAATTGGATTGCGTGTTAATGATGTTAGTGTGAATCATTCATTATCAACGGCAGTGCACGGACGGACTGATATTATTATTATTTTATATAACAAGATTCTATTGAATTTTCAATAACTAATTAGTAAGTTGAAACGCTGTAGTTAAAAGCATCTGTTCATCTAAATTCTTAATCAAAATTAACATTTATTTTCATCAAAATCATATATAATTGTAATTATTGTATGTAATTATGTATTTGATCATATATAAATAAATTTTATTGATTGATTGATTCATTGATTGATTGATTAGCTCAAGATTATACAATTATTTATAAAGTAATAAATCTTGACTAGACCTTCTTAGGAATAGGTGAACAAAACAAGTCTAACTGTTATACAGATACACATTACTTTCATTGTGTTCTTTTCAATATTGTAGTTGAAAAAAAAAACTACAACTATTCAAACATAATCTTATATCATTAATTAGAATTATATATATAGATATATTTTGCAAATAGTCATTATTGTTGTTAAAGACTGACTGACTTACTGACTGGTGAAAAAAGAAAAATGTGTGATGACCAGATTAGTTATACACGAAGAAAACAGAAAAGTTTTGAAAGGAAATCTGTTTTTTCACAGTGATATCAAAATCAGAAGTTCAATTAAAATTTTCAATCAACCTTTTTGTAATCGAATCATTCCATTTCATAATAAAAATAAATTTGATAAAAAAATAAGAAAAAAAAAAAAAAATTCTTCGTGAGGAAGGTGTGTTGCTTGTCAAAATAAAATAGATTACCTAAATTTATTTATTTATTATTATTTTTTTATTTTATTATTAATATTAAAATCTTTTAATATTAGTTAGTATTAGCTATTAGATCTTATATTTATTGTGTTGATAGTAATAACTTGAAAAGATAATTAAAAAACAAACATGGGTTGCAATCAATCAACTGCTAAAGGTAAAAACACAAGAACAACAAACAAACAAACCAACAAACAAAGCACAGCTGCAGCATTAATTCGATATACAATATATAAATAGATAAAGATTAAAGATAATTAGATAATATTCACATGTTAACATGTAAATACATAACTATTTTTAAAGATAATGATCATAATGATGATGATGATGATGATGATAATGAGAAAAATAATAATGAGATATTATTATTTTTTATTTTATTTTGCGAAAATGAATAGAATATAGTTGGATAGATAGATAGATAGATAGAATATATGAATAACATAGATATTAATGAGATATTTTAATATTTATTGAAAATGTACAGATAAGCAAGAGGACAGACAAAGAACTCAACCAGCCAACAACGCTGGACAATCAACACAAACACAAACAGCATCGAAACAAATTGGTGTGCCAAATCAAGAGAATGAAAAGGAACCAGACGTATCCTACTCTCAAATGAGAGAGATGGACAATGACTTTTTCAAGGACATTATCGATAGAACCGCACAGAAATTCATTGATGTATCCACCGTTGGTCCAGACGCTAAAGATTCATTCCCCTACCAAGAAAAAGATTATAGGTAAATAATTATCAACTAATAATAATATGATAACAAAAAAACAATCATTAAAACTAACTAACTTTTCTTACTATTATTATTATTGTTATTAGTTCACAAATTAAAGAGACAACCATCAACAAATCAAATATATTATACTCATTGCCACATTTATCACAAAGCTGTCAGCCATCCAATTTACATAATCTTTTATCTCAGCCTGTACCATTTGATACTGATTTGGTAACTATTATTATTATTATTATATATCTTAAAAAATGAGTAATAACTAACTAACTTTTTCTTTTAGATGTCACGTTGTTCATCGAGTATATCATCTGCTGTCAACAATATCAATATCAAGGATTGTGGAGAATTGGTTGTATTTTTCAATCAAAGTTTAAGTTAGACTATTTAAATAAATAATATTCTCGCAAATCAATTCAACAACTAGCAGCAATCAACAATCATTTACTATATCTTTAACTCCATTCCCCTTTTTATCTAAAAACGCAATTCCAATTCCTATTTAGATATTAAACATTTATATTATATTAAAATAAATAACAACAAATCATAACAATCAGTCAATCAAAATATATTATCACCAGTCACAACAACAACAACAACAACAACAATCATATCAATTTTAACATCAGTTACAATCATAGAAAGAATCAACAAGATAGATTTTAATCAATACAATTAAAATGTAATCTTTTTTAAAACATTTAAAATAAACTAGTTATAATTTATTATATTTATAAACTAAATATTTATGTTTGACTTTTGACTTTATATATAATTTATATTTTATTATTTATATTCTATTTATTATTTCTTATTATACATTATATCTGCTAATTGTGTTATCTTTTGTTTAAATTCATTTAATACTTGATCCTATATTTATTATAACAAAGTAAAGATAAAAGATAAATGTTAGTTTTGTATAATAGAATAGAATAGAATTCATTGAGTTGATGTGATGTGATGTGATGTGATTAATAATTACAGCAGTAGGTGGCATATCAGTATTTCTATTTCTTGTATATCTCGTCCAGAATGTCACTTGAAAGAGATAGGAATGATAGAAGCTACTGAATTCTTCACTGAAAGAGACGTCAAGACCTTCGTTCATGAGGTCATGCAAGAGTAGTTCTCTGTTCCTCAGATTACTCACGAATGAATAAAACTCTTCGGTTCCACTCGATGTCGATTTGAATTGAATGATCTCTGTTTGTTTACCTTGTTCTGCCGCGCGGAACAATGTCTCAATGATATGATCTTTGATGCGTTGTAGTGTGTCGCCAAGCTGCGTGCGTGTTCTATGTAGCGACACCTTGAATAGCCGTTCACCAAGCGTTGCCATTGGATCATCCAACAACAGACCAGTACTACTTGATAAGTGAATTATTCCATTTGTCGTATTATTATTATTATTATTACTATTATTACTATTATTATTATTATTGTTATTAGTCGTCGTCGTGTTGATATAGTAATTACTATATCTTGTGGTTATTATTGGTAGTTGAAAGTAATCTATCTCCTTTTGGAGTTGTCGCCAGTTGTAGCCGATTGGTGGTTCGATCGATTCGCCGCCCGTTCTGTAGAAATCGAGTATCGATTCGAACAGGCTCGACGATCGATCAAAGAAGAACTCGCCATTCTCATCGGGACACAGCAGATGTCGGTTTCGCTCACTGAACATCACACCGAGCAGCGAAGTAGGATACACGCTAAACGTTGATTTATAGGTCTCGAATCGTCGACCACCAACATTCAAAACAACTCTATCTCCACTGACACTAACATTGTTGTTGTTGTTCACTTTCTTTCCAACAACATCTGCATCATAATGATCATTATTATTACTACCGCCGCTATTATTATTATTATTTTCATCATTTTTTTTATTACAATTATTACAATCTATATTATTACATTCTATTATATTATTATTATTATTATTCATTATTTTATTTACATATACAATCTTAAATATCTTTTATATCCTATATTATTAAATATTCTTTACATATAAATAAAAAATCAATCAAATTTGAAAAAAAAAAAAAAAAAAACAAAACAATTTATTTTTAGTATAAAAGTTGTCAATTAATTGGGATATTGAACAAGACAATTTGATTGGTGCAAAACAATCGTGACAGATAAAAAAATGCTTAAAAAAGTTTTATTTAACATTATTAATTAAAAGAAGGGAAAATGGTAATCATAAATGTTGAAAAATAAATCTAGATTATTTCATTTTCATAGTATTAATAGATTCCAACAGAACTGTCAATTTATTAGTTAGTTTTGAACAAAGTGATTAAAATCAATCCCCAACAACAAACAAAACAAAACAAAACAACAAAAATAATCAGATTTTTTGGTTTTCAAAATTGAAACTGGTAAATTTAAAAACAATTTCAAAAAATTTGTAACGAAATAAAAAAAAAAAAAAAACTAATTTAATTATTTTTTGTTCATTTTTTAATTAATTATTTGATTTATTAATCATTGTATAGAATACTGTTTAAACTTTTATTTTAATTATCAATTTTGTGCGAAATAATAATAATTTATATAATTTTATTTTATTTCAAATATATATATATCTATTTTTAATATCTATTTTTTATATATTTATTGTATAATGCAGTCAAACAACAACAACAACAACAACAATAACAAGAATTCTAAAAGTAGTAATAGTGGTAATACTAATAATAATAATAACAATAGTAAAAACAACAGACAACAACATCAATATAGTAGTAGTTTTGGTTCTACTAAACCAATTGATATAAGAAATGCAAACAACAACAATATATTAGGAAGTGGCAGTAGTCATAGTAGTAGTAGTAGCAGCAGTGGTGGTGGTAGTGGTGTAAGGAGATTAAGTTCTTCACAACCCATTAATATACCTATAATGGGAAGTAGTGGTCATAGTAGTTATCATAGTAGTATATCACCAAGAACAAACATCAACAATAGCAATAACAACAATAATAATAATAACAACTTTCTTAGAAGTTCAACATCACCTTCACCTTCGACATCACCAAACTCTCTGTTTTTCAAGCCGTCACCACCCACTATCTTGTTGAGACCTTCACCACCACCCAGTGCATTCCGTCCACCTTCACCATCGTCCAGCTTTCTCCGACCGCTCAGTCCACTCTCTTCGTCACCGGCATCCGCTTCACCCTCGCCCAGAGGCGGAACTTCACCGTTCCTAGTGCCGTCGTCGCCACACAGCTTCAACAGCGGCAACAACAACAGCATGAATATGATGTTCAACAAGGTACCACCAAAACAATACTCCTATACATCGTCATCTGGCAAAACAACTACGATATCACCATCTAGCAGTGTCGGTAGTCTTGGCAGTGGAAGTGGCAGTGGCAGTGGAAGTAGCTATGGAAATAGCTATGGAAGTAGTAGTGGTGGATTTGGAAGTTTTGGACGTACAACTTCTTCTTCTTCTTCTGCTACGAACCAACCTACTAGAGCAACAGTCTCATCTGCTATAAAGAAAGAGATTGGTTTCAATGTTGTATCAAAGCAACCTGACACTACAAAAAAACCAACAACATCTTCATCAACTACAACAACGACGACTACAACAACAACATCTAAATCATCGTCATCTTCATCTTCGTCGTCGTCGTCATCATCATCTAAATCTAAACCTACAGTGAATCAACAACAACAACTGATAAAAACGAAACAAGAGAATGAAGATGATGAAATGGATATGCCTGATTATGATGAGGAATTTGGTGAGGTTGCAGATGAGGAGGAATATCAGGATATGAAGACAATCGACAAGTTTGAGGAGGAGCTATATCGTGAGTTGTCACCGACGATCGATACAGAAGACGATAGACCGATATCGTCGACTTCCACTACTGATACAACAACAACAACCACTACTGATACAAATAGCAACAACAACAATGACAATAACAGTGGCGGTGGTGTGAGGAAGAGATCTGCAGAGAAAGAAAAGGAATGGTATGTCGATATTGCAACAGTGACACCAGAGAAGATCAAACAAATGGTTTTGGAAGGATGGGTAAAGAATGAACCTAGATTGCATCAAGTCGATACCAACTATAAGATAATACTGGATCTACATGAACGTTATAAAAAAGATAAAGAAAAAGAATCAAAGGAGAAAGATAGAGAATTAAAGGAGAAAGAAACATCAGTAGCATCATCACCATCACAATCATCATCAACAACTCATAGATCACCAATTTCATCACCAAAATCAACAACACACAGATCACCTATTTCATCACCAATAAAATCACCAAGACAACAATCAACTACGACTACAACAACGACAACATCATCTTCTTCATCAACAACACCAAGTAAAAATGTAAATAGTAATAATAATAATGATATAGATACAATCGCAGCAGAACAAACACATAAAGATGTAAAAAACTATTTGATACAACATGCTGCTGGCTCTGGTAAATCTTTGACGATAGCGTCGTTGGTGTTCAATTTATATAGGTTGCGAGATGGCGAAGATAAACCACTGTTTGATTTGATTCTGATTTTGAACGATCGATTGCATTTGGATACACAGCTGGGTGGCGTGGTCACTGGATTTCTCAAAAAGAATAGCTGCAAGTCCTACTGCCAGGTCAACATGGCCAAGAACTTGTCGTCGACCATCAACAACGGCAAGACACGTGTTGTCATTACCACCATGCAAAAGTTTGTCAATGTCATTGAGGACACTTCGACATCGCAGTTTGACTTGGCTGCTTTCAAAGCGAAAAAGATTGCACTGATCAGTGATGAAGCGCATCGCACCCACGGAAAGACAATCACGAGGAATATCCACAAGCTACTCACTGGCGACACTCGTCAGAATTCGAATATCACCTACTTTTGCTTCACTTGTACGCCTACACCTCGGTGTCTGGAGATGTTTGGCGAGCATCGTGGAAACACTCGCGTTCCTTTCTACTGCTACTCGTTGGAGCGGGCTCTCTCCGATGGACTGGTGATCAACGTCATCGAGAACTACACAACCGTCGCCATACTCACAAAGATCACAAGCAAACAGGGAGCGAGTAGCCAACTGGAGGTAGTCGATGAGAAGCGCGCATCCTACCACTTGATGACCAACGCCAAGAACGACAAGCGTATTCTCACTGAGAAGTCAGCGTATATCATTAAACACTTTGTAAAGATCCGCGAGATGATCAACAACGATCAGTTCAAAGCGAGAGCGATGCTGGTGACCAGCACACGTAGTCAGATTCTCCTGTACAAATCGATTCTCGAACGAATGGTAAAAGCGTTGCCAAAGGAGCAGCGATTCGACATCATCGCTTCGTTCTCGCCATTCATTGTCGCCAAGAAGATCAAGGATGAATCGAGTCGCACAGTCAACGGAAAGTACGCGCACTACTGCAAGGAGCGCGACGGAATCTCGCAGATCCTAAAGAACGACAAGAAACACAAGATTCAACTGATTATCGTTGCCGACAAGCTGCAGACTGGCTTTGACGAGCCGAGTCTCTCTGTGATGTATATAGACAAACCACTGAAGGGCTCGAACGCCGTGCAAACCATTGGACGTCTCAGTCGTATCGCACCCGGAAAAACGGCGAGCTACGTCGTTGACTTTGTAAATACACGTGAGGATATCTCTGATTCCTATGGTAGCTACTGGCGTGAGACCGTACTGAAGGGAGCAACTAAACAGACGTTCAACGAGCTGCGTCTCTCCAAAGTACTGAGGAAACTCAATTCGATCGAACCAATCTCCAAAGGCAATCTCCAAGAGTCGATCGACTACATCATTCAGGACGATGAACAGCGTCGAAAGGAGAAACGCTCCGGTAGTATCGTTGACGATCTAACTACATTCCTGGATCTTTGTAATCAGTTGCAATGGGACAACAATTCATCACCGCTTTCCTTCAAATTTGCTTTCTATTTACGCGATTCCGTACTTCTGAAACGTAACCAACAGAATATTCAAATTAAAAAGTTAAAAGGGTAAATGTTATTCCATTAAGTTGAATACAACAACAACTTAACCAATAATATCATCTAACAATTTGTTGTTCTTTCAAAATATTCAGATATTTGTTGAGTGTAGAAAATCAAGCAATCAACTATGGAGAAACCACTGGAAAATTGGATATACCAAATGATTCAGTTTTGAAAACAAGCAACAAAACAGGAAGAGTAAGAAGAAGAAGAAGAAGATGTTATTATAATTTCATCAACTTTATGTATTAGTGTCAGTTACCATATTAACATATTTTTTTATAATTAGTCTAATTTGAATAGGAGTTTGACAACTACCAATCAGATTATTCAGAATCTAAATAAAGCGGAAGCTTTTAGAGTTGCCAATATATTGGCTGACAATCCGACTATTAGCAGCAATCCAAAGGAAGATACAATGGATTTGGATGCCGATGGTTTGGAGTTTGCTCGTCAGATTTGGTCGTCGAATCCGGCAATCAAGCTGCACAAACGTTTCTTGACCGACGACTATGACGATGGAAGTGGAGCGAGCGGTGGCGGCTCACTCAATCCGAAAGCTTTGGAATCCGATACGATCGATCAATCCATGGATTTGATGGTTGATTTCGTAGTGAGAAATGGTCCTGCTTTTGAAAATCTGGTACACAGTCAATCGTTGGTCACTGTCTTTACATTCTTGGATCCGGCAAATCCCTCACACAAGATCTACAAGGAGAAACTAAACATTGCACTCAAGAAACAGAATCAACAAAGCAACGAACATCACCCACTGCCCCAGCCAACAACTGTTGTTTCACAATCACCAAAGACCTCCGGTGTATTTATGTTGACATCATCCGCTGGATTCCTAACGACACCATCTACCTCAGCACTTCAAAATCAACCAAATCAACAGCAGCAACAGCAACAACAACAACAACAACTACCACCAGCAAATGTTCATCACCAGCAACCAGCTCAACTTCAACTGACATCAAGCGGCAGCACAGATATAGTCATGTCAGACTCCTCCAGCTCCGTTGGAAGTAAATCAACTAATCAAGCATCGTCCGCTTTGCTACAGAGCATGGAGATTCCACTGCCTGTCAATCTTCCTACGGTCGCGCCAGAGCTGATAGTTGGTAAGCCGCATTCCGCTGGCAGAGGTGATTGTCTGTTGGGTGATTGCATCCTTTCGTTCTGTCACGATCTCGAGTCAAAGGATCCGGGCATGCGTGTCTTTGCAATTCAAACACTCCAAAAGATGTCTGCCGAGGGTATCCACAAGAACACGATACATGAGGCAGTCGGATCGATCAACAAGATTCTCTTCAACAAATTCGAAGTGTCCAGCACCAAGATGATTGCTCTCGACCTGCTTGCCACCATTGCCTACAACGACGAGCCAACCATCCTCCAGATCCTGGAGCACAATTTGATTGGCACCGTCATCAAGCTGATTTGCACCAACGAAGAAGCGATCAAAGCGAAATGCTGCAAGTTCCTCACGACCATGTCGAAGGAAGTATCTATCGTGTCGTCGCTACACGAGAACCAAGGTATTCCAGCAATCGTATCGCTACTCGATAGCTACGATTACTTTGTAACGGAGAATGCACTTCGCTTGCTCACCGCTCTCTCCACTGAGGAGCGTTCGATCAAGTCGATCCGGCCACTGATCGATCCCACCATGTGGAGCAGACTCGAACACCACAAGATACCGAGCATCCAAGAGTTGACCGCTCAAATCAAGCTTCTAATCTCTGGATCGAAGCGAACTCACCAGCAGTTCCAACCTCTCATTTCCAACACCAAGCGAATCAGATCATCCAGTCAACAAACACCTGTATTGACCAAATCAAACTAGAATCTAATATTCTTTTGTTTTTCCTTCAACACTAATTAAATACAAACAAACAAACAAACACATTGTAAATTAACCAATCAAAAAAAGCAAAGAATGAAACAACCTTTTTTTTTTTTTCTAGTTAATTTATGAAATATTTATATTCTTATTCTACTTCTTCTTCTACAAGTTTTGATAAATTACATTCTTAAAAATGTATATTATCAATCATTGTATGATGATGATTATTTAGATAGAAAGAGTACAGCGCTGTCATGATAATAAATGTTGGTGTTGATCTAAATCTAAATCGACTTGAACCATACTCTGTCAATCTATCCTAATCCTTATTCCTTTGTCCAACCAATTTACATAGGTTGGCTTTGTAAAGTATTTTGGCTACAATGTGAAAGTATTTAACCTTTTCCCTTTTTTGAATACTTTGATTTCTTCTTTCCTGACTTTTTCTTTCTTAACTCTTCGATAATCAATGAAGTAGGTTGTTGTTCTATTTTTATATATTTGTTAGTTGTTTGTTTGTTAGTAAGTTAGTTAGTTAGTTAACAATAACAATAACAATAATATTAACATACTCTTTTCAATAGAGTTTACTAATGACTCTAAACTTGGTGGTTGTACTTCTGGTGCGTTAAGCTGTTGGAGGAATGACAAGTAGGTCTTTGATGTCTCGACAGTGTTATTGTGTTTATTGTTTGCCGGTCTAGCTACACTCAGGTAGTAGATGACTTTTTCGAGAGTCGATCGCTCTTCGACACCTCTACTATTTACAAAAGGTCGACCATCCATATAATCGATGAAAGCATCAACACTCGACTTGTTAATCTTAACATAACATCTAGTAGCTACATTCTCTTTTGGACTATATAAATAAATGATAAAATGTAAACAACATTTTATTAATTTGTTTTGCGCGCTTTGTTAATAATATTATTAATGAATAACGTAATTACCCTGCAAAACCTTGTGTGTACTCAACTATTTGCACTTGTTCTTGAGTGAATGATTGTGTGATCAACGATTGCAACTTTATTTCCTCCAAGTTATAAGGAAGATTTCTTATTACATAGATATCAGCCATAATATTACTTTAAATATATATACAAAAATTAAAATAACTAAACCCGATTCTTATGATATTAATATCTAATTATAATGGACAACAAAAGAATTATTTTCTCAGCTGATTTACCAATTTATTTTTTCTTTTTTTTCTTTTTCATTGTTTTTTTTTAAAAAAAAAAGAAAAGTGTAGAAAAATGAATGAATGAACTAAAATCTCAAAAGTAAGTCAATAACTTATAACAGATGATAAGTTTGATCAAAAGAATGATTCTTATTTGTAATAATATTTGTTGTTATCAAACTTTGATTGTTACCAACAACAATAAAATAAGGGTCATTCATTGAAAATAACTTCAAATCAAAACCATTTTTTTTAAAAAAAAACAACAAAAATATCAAATTAAAATAAAATTTACCCCGATTGTGTGGGTCAACTCAAAAAGATACACCCACTCATTTTTTTTTTGACAATTTTACTTTCATTTGGTGTAAATACAAATTAGTCATCTTAAAGTTTTTTTCTGCTAATTAGATAATAATACAATTATTGTATTTTAGTCATTTAAGTATTAGTTATAATAGTTGTATTTTTATCATTATATTCTAAAATACATACCATATCATATATACACCTTATAAAATATATAGTTTTATTTATTTATTTATTTATTTATTCTTGTAAATTAGTAATAACAATATTATCATCATTTTCAATTTCAATCTGCAAAAAAATAAAAAATAAAAACGCACCCTATCTGGCTCATAAAACAATCAAACACACACACACAACTAAACAACCAACCAACACTAACACACAATCAGGTCAGGTCAAACAAGTCAAAAACAAAAAATAATCAAATCTGTCATATAAATATCATAATCAATCAATCATTATAACAAAACAAATCTGTCAACAACAACAACAATGTCTACAACAGCATCAGCATCAGCATCACCAACAAAGACAGCAACAACAGCAACAACAACACCTCCACTACCTACACCAACCAAAAAGAAGGTAGACTACAAAACATGGCACGGTGATTACAATATAAAGGTGATGTCGCATCCGATCAACGGTCGTTACATTGTCGCTACTAACGATATGGAGGAGAGCACCGTCATTCTGCATGATCTGCCCTATGTGTGGGCGGTCGACACCACCGCTAAGAACTTTGTGTGCCAGCAGTGCTTCCTCGAGGTGCCACTCACCTCGCAGCAGAGCGAAGACGAACCCGAATACTTTGTGATGTGCGAGCGTTGCAACTACGTCGGCTACTGCTCCGACGAGTGTCGCCAGCTCGACGCACTCCAACACAACCTGGAATGCGCCATCTTTGAGCACTTTGATACCAACGAGTACACCGACTCACTCATCTCCGAAGTCAAGCTGCTCGTGCGTACACTCTCCCGCAAATGGCTGGAACTATCGCTCAACGAACAAGACTCTCCCTATTCCAAATACAAAGTGAAAACAGCCATACCCCAAGAGAATGGATTGAGATATCGTGATTATGAACAATTAGTTTCCAACATGTAAGTTAGTTAGTTATTACAATTGTTTGATAATAATGAGTGAATGATATTATTCAAATTGTTAACAATAATAATTGACATTAATTTGACACATTAATTTTTTTTATCATTTTCCAGAAATTCATTTTGTCCAACACTAAAAGAGAGTTTGTTACATTGGATTTGCAATAAGGTTATGATATTGGCAAAGCGATACACCGGTAGAAAAGAAGATGAAATCGATCTGCTCAATGTTATCTTGAGAAATCGGTGCAATGCATTCTACATTCAGGGACGTCCAAAGGCTGGTGGCAATGGAGAGTCGCGCGGCTGCGGTGTCTACGTGAGAAATTCGTTTTTCAATCACAATTGTAATCCCAATGTCAACTACTGGGTGGTCGACAACACCCTGGAGGTCGAGTGTTCACTGATGAGAGCGGTCAAGGCCGACGAAGAGCTGTGCATCAGTTACATCGACACATCGGCGCCACTCAAGGTGCGAAGAGATAAACTGTCAGAGGGATACCTATTCCACTGCCGTTGTGAAAAGTGTCTTGAAGATGAGGCATTAGATACCAATACTACCAATACTGAAGACACACCAGTATCACTTGTAAAATCGACTGAGGAAAATCAATCACAAACAACACAATCACAAATATCACAATCATCGCAATCACAATCACAGTCACAGACATCATCGTCAGAATCACAAATCAACGCAACACCCGATACTGTGATAACTGATTGATTTGCAACAACATCATTCAACTCCACACATCACATCAAACAAAACAATTTGTCCAAATATAATAAAATAAACTAACAACAACAATAACAAAAATATCGTCATCATCATCATCTAGATGCTACTGCTAAATATATATCATATTTTGGTCGGTCACACAAGAATGACATTCCAATCTTACATAATAGTGTGTAAGACAAAAAAGTCAAACAAATAAAAATCAAAAAAAAACATCAAAATCTTTAAAATGTTGGAACCAACAGTGCAAACCTTTGTTTTTTTTTTTTTTTTAAAATTTACAAAAAAATGATGATCAAGTCCTTGACAAAAAATAATTTATTGGTTTTATTTTTTAAATTATTTTTGTTTTTTTTTCATTTTTTTTTAATTATTGCGAACATCAAAAACATAAAACACACTTAAAATTCATTTCATCACAATTATTTTTTTCAATTATCAATAAATAAAATATATATTTAAATCATGTCTATGCTTAGAACTGTTGTAACACGTACATCTGTACTTAGACCAAGATTGGCTACTTCATCCAATGTCTTTATGGCCAGAAGCAAGGACTCTATCAAAGACAGAGAGGATGCTCTCGAGACTGAATACGTCAGAATGAAGGAGAAGGAAGATTTGAAGAAGTTCAAGGAGGTAAGTAAATTGCAACTAAAAAAATGATTATATATTATTAAGTTTTGTAATATTAACATATTTTTATTATTATTACGTAAAACACATTAGAAAATGGACAAGGAAAAAGAAGAAAACGAAAAGAAACAAAAGAAGGCCGAAAAGAAAGACTCAAAAGATAAGGAAATCGATCAAGTAGAGAAGCAAATCAAAGACTTGCAAGAGAAACTCGAATCATTGAAGAAGAAGAAGTAAATAATCCAAAATAATAATAAACTTGAATTATTTATGTAAACTACCTTCCATCATCCATCAAATCAATCTTTAAGCTTTAGAAACAAAACCAAATTAAAATATAAATATATCGATCTCTACTACTAATCCTTAACACAATTGGGGATTTTGTATAAATAAAAATTAATCTTTACTTTTTAATTAAAATAAAATAAACTAGACTTAGTTATCTTTTTTTTAATAAAAACATTGTATACAATTATATATATTGTTTTATAGTATTAATTTGATTTATTTAATAAATATTACAAATTTGATTAACAAACTAACTAGATCGGTCAGTCAGTATCTTCTTCCTCTTCATCTTCATCATCATCTTCTTCTTCTTCTTCATCGTCATCAGTATCACTATCTTGTACACCTCTATGATTTCTATTTGTAAAACCAAGATCATCTAATCCACCATCGCTATCACTGTCATCATTCATTTGATTCATATTGATTTGATTACGATCATTAGGTTCTTCTGTAAATTCAATTGGCCTTAATATAAATAACATGTTATTGTTAGATTGATTGATTGATTGATTGTATATTAATTCTTTAATTATTATTATTATAATTACCATTCATTTGATTTCTTTATGTATTTAACATTGTCGGGTGTCAAAAGATGTACGATAGATGTACGAATCTTCTTTGTGGTTTCATCCTCTTTCTCGATGATAGCGTATGCACCCTTTTTGATCCAGAGCTTTCCCTTGAATTTCGAGGGTATCATAGCGAGTACAGTGGAACCGTTGGCATACTGAACGTCTGTGATATTACCACCTCTGAGTCCGATGATCTTTACGATCGATTGACCTTCGTCCGGTAGAATTTCAGAGTTCAATGCTGTTATTGTGACATGCTTACGAGCGTGACTCATCTATCACTCTTCTTATATCTAATCACAAATCTTAGTTTGTTATTATAATTATTATGATTGAACTACTACTAGTATTATTTATTTTTTTTTAATAATTGTAATTAATTAAAATAATAATTACTACTAAAAAGAAAAAAAAAACGAATGATAAATTTATCTCTCGTTTTTTATTGATTTTATTTTTATTTTTATTTTTAATTTAACCAATTTAATTGATTTTTAGAATAATATTTAAATTATTTATTTAATACAATTTATTTATTTATTTAGAGTGGTGGATAAAGAGATGACGCATTCTACCCAAGGTTGAACTGATGATTTATCCGAAGGACGTTGAAACATTACTTTTCGCAAGTTTAATTAATTAGTGTACACAGCGAATCAATGCCAAAATGTTTAAGCCACGAAATTCCATATTCTCTAGAGCTCCCTCTACATGTATGTTGTCATGAATACGATCATGTCAAGTTTAGTTTCTAGGTTTTGGTCATTATACATACAAGACAGTCACTGATAAAGAAGAAACAGTTGATTTTAATGACATACTCAAGCTGTCGGTGGCCTCACTCGATGTACGTGCTCTTTCAAACTCTCTACAACCCTACAAGTTCTAGTCCTATTCTACAAGAAAAGTAGTTGAATCTTTTGTTAAATATATCAGAGAAAGCGAATATATACCGAGATCAGTAATAGCTCTCTTGTCTATTCCTCCAACATCCTTTGGAAATAACATGCCAGGGTTTGCAAAAGTGAATCATGAGACACCAAATATTTGTGATTTATTGAAATAAATGTGATTTTCAATATAGGCACTAAAATTTGAATTTATTATCAATATTGACATCATTTGAGATATATCTTATCTAAAATTGATATACTAACAGGTGTGGATTATAAAGCCGAACAACCTTGGGTAAAATGAGTCATCTCTATTTTATTTGTAAGTGTTTGATTTTTGATGATTGTTTTTTTCAGGACAAAAATGATCTGTTTCTTAAAAAAAAAAATATGATTTATTAATAAAACACAAATTTAGAAGTTCATTTATTTGCAGTGTGTGAATGACAAAGTTAAGGTAGTTATTGCTTCAAAAACAACAAAAACAAAAAACAATTTATGATGTATGATAATAGTATTAAATCATCTTCATCGTCGTTGTCGTCGGTGTCTCCTACCGCGATGAGATTCGTACTTAGACAGAGTCCACAGAAATCTAGAGTTACCAACAACAATAGTAATAATATCAATAACACTCTAAATGATCATGGAATATCACGTACCAATAACAATAGTCACTATCGCTCTGCTTTACCTTCATCATCATCATCATCAGTTTCTTCTTCTCATTCCTCTTCAATGTTAAATACGTCAAACAACTCTTCACTTCCTGATTTCTCTGATTTACATCTAGATGATAGTGGTTTGTCTACCGATGACAATAGCAATAGTCACTATCACAATAACCATACCTCTACAGATATAGATAGTAGTACCAACGATATCAATAGCAATAATAATAGTAATAGTAATATAGTAGATGTAGATCGTGATCCAATACCTCAATCTTCAATTTCATCGCATTCATTATCACCATCATCGACCTCTACAAATAGAACTCCGAATAGACCGACAACCAATAGAACTCCGAATAGACTATCTACACAATCGCCAGCAACATCAATATCATCACCAAGAAGATCATCTTCATCTTCAACAAACAATTTAACTACAAATACAAATACACCATCAAGATTTACACAGACACAGATACAACAAGAAGAAGATGATGATAGTAGCGAATTTCAATTCCAGCAACAGCAACAACAACAGAATAATGATTCATTCGATAGTATTGATCAGTTTGAAGAGAGAACCAACAAACTATTACATTTCATTGATGAATATAGTCATGTATATAATACCAACAACAACAACAATCAAAACAGAAATAATAATATTCAAAACACCAATTTAGTTAGTCCAACTAATATTTACAGATATCACAGTAATAACAACAGTTATTCTGATACATTTAATAATCAAAATAATAATAATCATCAAAACATTAATAACAATAACAATAACGGTAATAGTCATAACAATGTAAATGTATCCAATAATAATAATAATCAAGAATCATCTAGAATGATGAGTAACAGTAGTATCAACATGAACAGTACGATTGCATCGAACAGAAAACAACAGCTCTCAACCAATCTAAATCTTATAAGACAAGCTTTAGAAAGAGAAATGAATGTTCTATATAGGTATGTCATAACAATATCAACTAGTTAAATTCTTAAGAGTTATATTCTAACAACAAATATTCTATTCTTTTAGTAAACTTCAACAACTAAACAGTAATAATAGCAACAATATTTTAAGACAAGAAATAGAAAATGAAATCGAATCAAAGAAATTACAACTTTCACTTTTGGAACAATCATTGGAATTACTACTCTAAAATAAAACAAAACTGTTTTAACTAAAGATCTTCCTACCTATTGATGTTCAATTCTTTAATTATCATTAATATTTTATGATATCTTTGCTACACAATGTCCACCCACTATCTAAGATTCCTTATGATTCCCACATCAATCCCTGACTTGACAAGCTGTATAATCATCATTAATATCTAAAGATTTTAGTGAAATTTCTACTGTTATTTTTGCAATAATGTCTTTGGGAAAACAAAAAGGTTAGATTTTTTTGATAATCATTTTTTTTGCAAGCCAACACAACAATTGCAATGCATTTAAAAAATTTCGATTAAGATCAAAAAAATATATTTTAAATAAATGATTTGTTTCATTTTTGTTTGTATTTTTTGTAAAAATTGTAAAACACTCAATATACATATTTTTTCTAACTTTTAAACACAAGATAATAACATATTGTTGTTTTCATATTGTTTATATTAAATTAACATCACACATAGACTAATCAATCATTTTAGTTTAGTTATTTATTAATTCATTTATTATTATTAATATATATTAGTTATATCATATTATTATATAAAAACATATATAAAAGAGATAGATAGATATTTAGAAAATGATTTCAAATGTTGCAAATAAGTAAGTTTTTTATATTGAAATTGTATAATTAAAACTTTTTTTAAATATGTTTCATTTTTTAATTTTCTAATTTTTTGTTAGAATTTCAAAGGTTTTCAGAGGAACTATTATTCATTCATTGGAGATAAACAATGTTGAGATATTACAGAATGCTGCATTGGGTGTCGGTGAGAGTGGATCGATTGTTTTCCTCAAGAGAGACGTCGCCGATGACCAAGTGTTTGGTGAGATTGCAAAGGAATATTCATTCACAGACTCGCAGGTCGTCAATCTTGGCAAGAAGTTCTTGATTCCAGGATTCATCGATACTCATGCACACGCACCACAATACCACAATGCCGGTACCGGTACTGACTTGCCACTACTGAAATGGCTCGAGAAATACACATTCCCAGTGGAATCGAAATTCCGTGAACTCAAGTTTGCCCGTGATGTCTACACCAAGGTAGTCGATCGTATGTTGAAAAACGGTACAACCACATGTTGTTACTTTGCCACCATTCATTTGGATGCAACTCTGTTGCTGGCCGACATTGTCGGAGAGCGTGGACAGCGTGCATTCATCGGAAAGGTTTGTATGGACCGTAATTCACCGGACCACTACGTAGAAACCACCGAACAATCGATCCAATCCACCAAACAATACATCGAAGAACTAAATAAACGTGGAAATCCATTGGTCCAGCCAATTATCACACCAAGATTCGCTCCAACTTGCACCGACCACCTCCTTAAGGAACTTGGTGTCATCGCCAAAGATAAAGGAACAATGATTCAATCACATATCTCTGAGAATATAGATGAAGTTGCTTGGGTTAAATCAATTTTTCCAGAATTGAAATCATATACCGATGTATGTTGAAACCTAGCCGAGCAAAACAAAACAAACAAATGAGTTCATTAACTAACTGTCCAAACATTTTTTTTTAGGTCTATAAACATTTTGATTTGTTAAATAAGAAAACAATTATGGCTCATGCAATTCACTTGAGCGATGAGGAGTTGGATACATTTGAAAAGTGTGAAGCTGGTATTTCACATTGTCCAGTGTCAAACTTTACTTTGGGTAGCGGTGCAATGGACGTTAGAAAAGTGTTGCGAAAGAATATTAAACTTGGTTTGGGTACTGATATCAGTGGTGGATACAGCAGCAGCATTCTCACTGTTATCAAAGACTCTTTGAAATGTTCAAACTCGATCTTCTTCCACGATAAGTCACACACTCCACTTAGCTACGAGGAAGCATTCTACCTTGCAACCGTCGGTGGTAGCAAGGTAGTTGAGCTGTCCGATCGTATAGGAAACTTCTTGCCCGGCAAGGAATTCGACGCACAAGTCATCGATCCATTCTCTGCCAACTCACCATTCGATGTCTTTGAAGCCGACACCACTCACGATATCTTCCAAAAGTTTATTTTCAATGGTGATGATCGTAATGTAGACAGTGTATATGTCAAAGGAAGAAAAGTTATCTAATAAAATAAAAAATAATTTAAATCATTCTTGAAATATGCAGCTGTTTGAAATTTTTTTTCATAATATTTGTTTTTTTTTTTTCTATTGATTTTAGAAGCAGTTTAAAATCAAACTAGAAATAAAAGTACATCAAAATAACTAATTAAGTAATTTTATTTAATTTTATTTACCGTTGTTTTTAGAGCTTCTCTTTGAAATTGTTTAGAATAGGATGGATTCGACTCTATTATAATAATATTCTTTGGATAAGTTAGAAGTTTGAAAACTCCCTTCTTTTCATATTAATTGGTCTAGCTTAAAGTATAAAAGAAAAGACTTTGGTTTTCTCTCCAGATAAAATAAAAATCTTATGCATTTATTATCTTTAAATCAAAAACTAAAATAAAAAAAACAAAACTACAATGTATTATTTATTTCTTATGATAATTGTTTAGATTTTATTTAAAGAATATTTAGATTAGAGAACTGGATAAAATGATGAATAATTTTTTTTTAATTTTTAAATTTTGAGTAATAAAACTTATAGTTGATACAATGTGCTTGCGCATTCCGATCGATCAGACTGATCATCTTGGAGAATCTTTTCCCATGTACCATTTTCAATAGAGAACATAAAATTTCTATCTTTTCCTCGGAGTGAATAAATATAGCTTTGGCCATCTATTGAAAGATAGATCAAACTGTGGTTGGAATCTGTTTTGGTTTTACTGTTGTCAAATATTTTGATCTCATAGGTTTCGATATTGATTCGATGTAATCCTAATTCTGATTGAACATATATGTTGCCATTGCCGTCGGTACATACTCCTCTCGATGTGTATTTTGGTACTCCAATTGGTAGGTCAATTGTTGATTTGTTGTTTATGTCAAATTTTAAAATCTTTTGGATCGCTGGTGTGAAGACATAGATAAAGTCTTTGAAGAAGAATGTGAAATGATGGCAAGTTGCATCGAGATTGATTGTTGAATATTTCTCGAATGTTGAACTGTTTATGTTGTACCTGTAGATACTTGCTTTTGGTGAATTATATCGATCGAACAAATAGATATGATCATGGCCATCGTAGCAAGCTGATACAAAAGAACATTTATCAATGCCTTTCATTTCATTAGTTTCTAATGATTTATTGCCTATAGAATATTTTGTAAAATTATTATGTTTCGTTTTCAAACCACCAAACATGTAGATAAAGTCACCAACATTGACGCCAGAATTGTATGGAAATGTGTTCGTCATTTCTATATTTTGTTTCTCGAAATGAATGTTTTTTATATCTGAAATATTAATAATGGATATTTTACCATTTGTATCAGTTGATAATATATATGATTGTCTGTTTTGATTGAATAGTTTCAATTTAATTGATGATTGAATTTGATTCTTGATGAGATTGATTTGCGCTTTGCTTACAATAAATTGATACTGTTGTGGTTTTGGTTGTTGATCGTATTCACTAACACTATTCAACTTGAGTATACTGTTGTGCTCGAGTAATATATTTAAAATGGAATGATCATCATTGTTTAACTTGTTGGTGCCATCCATATAAAACACAGTATTTTTGTTGTTTTGAATGAATTCATTGTGATTTGATGATTGTGAAATCGATGTTATTATTGTTGATATTTGATAACTCTCCGTTGTATCTGGTGATATCGATAGAGAAGATGATTGTGAATCGGATTGATCTATATTATCCTTTGGTTGGATGCTTGTGATTCGATTATTGATAGAATTCAAAGATTTCATGACCATGATTTGTTTATCTATTTGTTGTTCGAGCTGTGCTTTGCCACTGACGATTGGCACCTTTAGCTTGTGTTCTTCGACAACAAGGAAATCATGTAAATCTTTGAATTTGTTTGATATTTCATTCTCGGTTTGTTGTAATTGTTGATACTCCTTTACTTTTGATTTCAAAGCATCGAATGTTGACTGAATACTTGCTTGAACTCTTAATCCTGATAAGATATTATTACTATTATCATTATCATTATCATTATCATTATTTGTGGTACTGGTCGTATCTACAGTAACTCTATTGATATTTGATTTAATATTATCAATATGATCGAATGAGTGGCGTGAGTGTTGTGGTGCACAAGCAGGACACATTAAAACATTACAATCATAACAAATGAAATCAGTACTTCTATTATGACTTCCACAAAAATTATTATTAATATTCATATTTAACTGTTAATAAATTTAATTTAAAAATGTTTTGAACAAATCGGGCATTTATTTTTTTGAGCATGAGTAGAATTTCTTGTTTCCCTCTTCACTCTATTTTTTTTGAACTAAAAATTACAAAAAAATAAATTAATAATTATTTAATGATTATTTAAAATAGAAATTAATTAATATGAACTTCAAAATCGATAGCAGATCACACATGAGTTTAGAGAAATAATTTGTAAAATCCAATATTTTTTTTATTTAAAATAGTTGATTATATTTAATTTAGGAAGCAATATTAACTATAGACGATACAATGTGCTGGCGCATTCCGATCGATCAGACTGATCATCTTGGAGAATCTTTTCCCATGTACCATTTTCAATAGAGAAAATAAAATTTCTATCTTTTCCTAGGAGTGAATAAATATAGCTTTGGTCATCTATCGAATGATAGATCAAGTTGTGATGTTTGTAACTCGTGTTGATTTTACTGTTGTCAAATATTTTGATCTCATTGGTTTCAATATTGATTCGATGTAATCCTAATTCTGATTGGACATATATGTTGCCATTGCCGTCGGTACATACTCCTCTCGATGTGTATTTTGGTACTCCAATTGGTAGGTCAATTGTTGATTTGTTGTTTATGTCAAATTTTAAAATCTTTTGGATCGCTGGTGTGAAGACATAGATAAAGTCTTTGAAGAAGAATGTGAAATGATGGCAAGTTCCATCGAGATTGATTGTTGAATATTTCTCGAATGTTGAACTGTTTATGTTGTATCTGTAGATATTTGCTTTTGGTGTTTTATATCCATCGAACAAATAGATATGATCTAGACCATCGTAGCAAGCCGATATATAGGCGCACTTATCAACACCTCTCATTTCATTAGTTTCCAGCGATCTATTGCGGACTGAATATTTTGTAAATATACTGTGTCTCGATTTTGCACCACCAAACATGTAGATAAAGTCACCAACATTGACATTCGAATTGTATGGAGGAAATGAATATGTCATTTCGATCTTTATTTGTTCAAAATGAATGTTGTTTGGATCTTTAATATTGATGATTGATATTTTACCATTCATATCAGTTGAGAATATATATGGTTGGTTCAATAATTCCAATTTAATTGATGATTGAATTTGATTCTTGATGAGATTGATTTGTTCATTTTTGACAATCAATTTATATTGCTGTGATCTTAATTGTTGATCGCGCTCACTAACACTATTTAATTTAATAATACTGTTGTTCTCGAGTAATATATTTAAAATCGAACTATCATCTTTGTCTAACCTGTTTAACTTGTTGGAATCATCCAAATAAAACACAGTATTTTTGTTGTTTTGAATGAATTCATTGTGATTTGATGATTGTGAAATCGATGTTATTATTGTTGATATTTGATAACTCTCTACTATATCTGGTGATATAGAAGAAGATGATTGTGAATCAGCTTGATCTAAATTCTTATCATTTGGTTGAGTGTTTGTGATTCGATTATTGATAGAATTCAATGATTTCATCACTATTATTTGTTTATCTATTTGTTGCTCTAGCTGTGTTTTGCCATCTATGATTGGTGCCTTTAGCTTGTGTTCTTCAACAACAAGGAAATCATGAAGCTCTTTGAATTTACTTGATATTTCATTCTCGGTCTGTTGTAACTGTTCATACTCCTTGACTTTAGATTTCAAAGTATCGAATGTTGATTTAATGCTTGACTGGATATCTCTTAATCCTGAAAAGGTACTATTACTATTATCATTATCACTATTGGTGGTGGTCGTCGTATCTACAGTAATATTATTAATATATGATTTAATATTATCAATATGCTCAAAGTTATGACGTGAGTGTTGTGATGCACAAGCAGCACACATTAAAACATTACAATCATAACAAATGAAATCAGTACATCTATTATGACTTCCACAAAAATTATTATTATTACTATTATTCATATTTAACTGTTTTACAAATATAAAAAAATAATTTTGATGATCAAGTCCAATCAATAAATTTGGTTATTTAAATCGGCAATTTTTGATCATTGGAAAGTGTGTGAACTGTCTCAAATTGCTTGAACAGAATAGTTGTTGTTTATAAATTAATTAATTGATTGATTGATATTTTATTTAATGAGATCCTTTGGAAGATTGTATAACTCCACTAGTTCTCTAGCGACACCGTCTTGGTCGTTGGTGTAAGAGGATACCTTGTCAGAGTGAGCCTTTGTTGCATCGTTACCGTTACCCAAACAAATACCCAAACCAGCAATCTTTAGCATATCGATATCGTTCTCGGCATCACCGAAGGCAACCATCTGCTCGACCGGAATAGACTTTAGATTGCAAAACTCGCGTACCGACAATCCTTTGTTGACACCATTCTTCAAAAACTCGACATAATATTGCTTGCATGTCTTTGAGAAACAATTCGACTTGACCAGACTCAGATCCGAGAAGATCGGTGTCAATGTCTCTAGCAGTCTATCGCACTCCTCCTCCGACTCTGTAATAATCAAACACTTCATTGGATTCAACTCGGGTTTCAATTCGAAATATGAATCAACAAAACTATATTTTGCACCAGTCATCCTGTATAAATAAATATTACAATGATTGATTAGTTATAATAACAAACAAAAACATAATAATTAACATTAACACTTACGTTGAATAGTTATTTGCTTTTTCAATTTGTCTTTTCACACCGTAGACTATACCGTCACCGTAGACGTTGAGATAGAGGTTATTGTCCTCTACGTATTTATAGATGTCAATGAGACGGTCGGCTGGAATTGCTTTCTCAAAGATGGTGGTTCTACCCTCTGCCTTCTTGGAGAGACACAATCCACCGTTGTATCCGATGAGCGAACAATCTACACCACAGTCTGTCTCTGTCGGGATGACAAGATATGGTGCACGACCAGAAGCAAGAACGATTTCAACATCAGGATGATGCTGTTGTAAATACATCAAAACATTCTTTGTATTCTCACTGACTTTCTTATCGCTATTCAACAAAGTACCATCTAAATCCAATGCAACTAATCTATATTGAAAACTAACCATTATTATATTATATACTATTTTTCTATATCTTTTTATATTATTTTTACACTTTTCTTATTACTTTTTATTTAAATATCTAGTTTTTATAATAAACTATAATTTATATGTTTTTAGGGTTAAGTCATGACTCAGAACACAACTAACCCCCAATTTAATTAATTTTTTTTTTTCGTTTTTATTATTTTTTTTTTAATTAATTTAAGTGTTCTTTTTCGGTTGTTTCAACAAAAAAGAAGAAGTAGTGTAAGATTTACTGATATAGTAATAAAAATGGTAGATTAGATTGTTTTTTTTTTTGTTGAATTTAAAAAATATTAGATATATGTATGTTTTGATTTGATTTTTAATTTCATTTATTAATTTGTCATTTTTTTCTTTTTACTTTTTTTTTTTTATTTTGATTTATTTATTTGGTCTTCTTTGTTTGTTTCTTTGAGCTCTTTGCTGTTGATCCAGTTGAGGAGACACCAACAAAACTGAAAATAAAGTTAATAAAGTGAGGTTAGTTAATTGTTTTTGTTTGATTTTATCATATTACAGCAAAATGAAATAAACTTACACAAATAAGGCAATAGCAAGACCAATTACAAGACCAGCAAGGATAAGCATGTACATAAGACTATTGTTGATACCGGAAGCAGCCAAAGTAGCCATTGAAATAGTTAAAATACCTACGAGACAGACGGCGATAATCTTATAGACGGATGATGGCACACCTGGTACGATGAGTGATTCCATCAGGGTGACGATCCAGTTTTGTTGGACCTGTTGTTTCTTGGAGACGGTGGCGGATTTCTGTGATTGTTGTTTTTGTACAGTCTTGGTGGTTGACTCTTGCTTGTTGGAGTCGTTCGATTTGGCAGTCGACAGCAACTTCTCCTCTTCACGTGCCTTCTGTTGTTTCATATCGGCGATTTGCTTGGCTGAGAGTTGCTTCTTGTTGTTCTTCTTTTGTTGTTGTTTTTGTAGTAGCTGTTGTTGCAAAAGTTTCTTTTCGTTCTTCTCTTTGTTGATGTCGTCCTTGTTGATGGGACCGTCCTCATCGAGACCGAGCACCGAGATGAATGAGTTTCCAGAGATCTTTGTTTGTGCCTTGGCTTGGACTGGTTGGAATACCTTTGGTTTTCTCTCTTTCTTTGATTCTGAGGCGGCGGCATCGACTGGCTCGACGACTGGCTCGCTCTTCTTGGCTGGTGTGGTGAGAAGTGGAGCGGCAACTGGGGCTGGTGTTGGTGCTGGAGTGGCAGCAGCAGCAGCCTTTGGTGCTGGAGTTGGAGCGGCAACTGGAGCTGGTGTGGCAGCAGCCTTTGGAGCTGGTGTTTGGGTGGTATTGGTAGCCTTCTTTTGGGTTGGGGCAGCAATAGTCTCCTTCAATTCAGCGGATTCAGTAACTTCGAAAGTAGCTGGCTTGATATTAGTGGAATTTGATTTCTTCTTGGCCATTGTGTATTTATTATATATGTGAAATAATTATAAGATTTGATTTATATATATGAAGAAATTTGATGATTTAGTTTTGTTTTGTTTTGTGTTTTGGTGAGAGTGAATTAATAAATAAGTGTGGAATGGATAAACTTTTAATAATTCACAAATATATATATATAATATTTATGTTTATGTTTAAAGTTTAGTTTTTATAAAAATATATATATAACAGTTATATTAGCAACAATAGGAATTACAAATGAAGACTATTGAATTTGGTTTGTTGTTTTTTTTTTTTTTCATTTTTTTTTTGTTTCTTCATCATCAAAATCAGGGTGATGCATCAGTCAAGTCACTTCAAAATATACATATTTTTATTACCCCATATGATTGATCATTTTTTCACAAAAAAAAAAAAAAAAGTCAACAAAATTCTTCTGGTCATTGTGAAATCATAAAAAACAAAAAAGAAAATTCAATCGTGAAAAAAATGATAAAAAAGATTCTGAATTCCTCTTACTTTTCCAATTTATATCATCTATCTATTCTATCCTATCCACAAACAAAAATTATAGATAGAATAATAATAATAACATTAAAAAGATATATACATAATAAAAAGTTAATTTTTTTTTTATTTCAATGTTTTTCAACTTTATAAATGATTACAAGCAAGACTTTGAATGTATAACGTACAAATAAAAGAAACAATTATTATTATTACTTCAAACAATTTGGTTTATTGTTTTTTTTTTTTTCATTTATTTATAAATAAATTATTTCATGATTTGATTTTATAATTATTTTTAATATCCAATCACAACTACTAACAGAATGTTTTGATAATCTCTGGCAAAAAAAAGTAACCAGGATTGATAAACCAAAAAAATTCAGTGTGGAGGATGAATTTTCTTTTGCCCAGAGTTTAATTTGTGTCAGTATTATTATTAAATTTTTTTTTGCAAAATAAATTTTTTTTTTTCGTCGGTGGTTTTTTCTCTCATAACAAAAAAAATTCAAAAAAACAAACAAAAAATAGATTTTTAAGAAAGTTTTTTTTTTTTTTACCAAGTGTTTGTTTCTATTTTATTTTTATTATTATATCATTATATAATCTTTTTTGTTAAATTAAAACAAAGTTTTAAAATTTCAGATATATATCATTATTCAAATTTGTTGTAGTTTTAATTATATTAGTTAGTTTTATTAGTAAAAATTAGTTAATATATACAGACAATAGTTAAGAGATACAGATTTAGATTATAAATATATATAGATAAAGATATAAAAGATGGGTTTCTTCTCAACTAGAAAACATGGTAGTATGTTTACCTTTAATAAAGATGACGGTTATCTCGAGGGTCTCCTTAGAGGTTTCCGTAAGGGTATCTTGACTGCTGCCGACTATGCAAATTTACGTCAATGTGATAACTTGGAAGGTATGTGTTTATGTTGTTTATGTTTCTATGTGATGTAATGTAATGATTATTAATCAATCTTGTTGTTATTTATTGTCGTTGTTGCTATTTAAAAACTATAGATATGAAATTACATTTGAGTCAAACAGATTACGGAGATTTCTTGGCAGGTGAACCATCACCATTACACACAACAACAATTGCAGAGAAGGCAACACAAAAGTTGGTCAATGAGTTTATGCACATCCGTAATCAGGCTGTCGAGCCATTGGCTACTTTCATGGACTACATTTGTTATGGTTACATGATTGACAACGTCGTTCTGTTGATCACAGGTACCTTGCACGAGCGTGACGTCAGTGAGTTGGTAGACAAGTGCCATCCACTCGGTATGTTCAAATCGATGGCTACTCTCTCGGTGGTTCACAACGTTGCCGATCTATATAACATGGTGTTGATCGATACTCCACTCGCTCCATACGTCCAAGAGTGTCTCTCCGAGGACGATCTCGATGAAATGAACATTGAAATCATTAGAAATACATTATACAAGGCCTACTTGGAGGACTTTTATCACTATGTCAACGAGTTGGGTGGTCAAACCTCTTTAATCATGAATGATATTTTGAAGGTAAAAAAAAAAAAAAAAACAAAATTTACATTTTTATTTTAATAATAATTTAAACTAACAAACTATTCTTGTTTCAAACTTTATTTTCTTATATATATTATTATTATCTTATAATCTTTAGTTTGAAGCTGACAGAAGATCAATTAATATTACTATAAATTCATTTGGATCAACCGAATTGACCAAAGACGACCGTGAGAAGCTCTATCCAGCCATCGGTCTCCTCTACCCAGAAGGAACTGCCAAGCTTAGCAAAGCTGAAGATGTAGATACTGTTCGTTCAATCCTTGAAGTTTATTCTGTATGTTATTAAAACTATTATTATTATTGTTATTATTAAAGAGATACATATATATTAACATGTTTATTATTATAATTATTGCTATTATAGTCATACAAATCATTCTTCTCTGAAGGTGGTGTCAGTGCAGAGACATCGTTGGAAGATTCATTCTTTAAGCATGAGGTACAATTGAATCGTATGGCTTTTGAAGATCAATTCGGATATGGTGTATTCTATGCCTATGTTAAATTAAGAGAGCAAGAGATTAGAAATATTGTTTGGATTGCCGAGTGTATAAGTCAAAATATGAAACAAAAAATCGATCAATTTATTCCAATCTTTTAAAATCAATAACAACAACAATTTTGCAATCATCTCACTCAAAATATAATTAAACTAATTAAATAATTAATCAACCAAACATACATACAATAATTAAAACACAAATCAAAAAAAGAAAAAAGAAACAAAAAAGCTTTTATTAAAATGTAATTAAAAATTAATTACAAACTTTATTTAACAAAAAAAAAATGAAAATGATAATAATAATGATTATCTCTTTAGTTCTTCTTTTGAGTAATATTCTATTTATTTATGTATCAAGTGTAAATTCAAAGTTGTTATTGTCATCATCATCATCATCATTATCGTCACTGTCATTGTTGAGTCCATATGGATCATAATCGGTTTTCTCTTTATCTTCATCGTCACTATCTATAAATTGATTCCATTTAGAGTTTGTAGGTGGTTGTTGTGTCACCACGTTTGATGTTGACTTTGTTGTCGTTGTTGTTGCTGTTGATAGCAATTTGGATTGTTGTTTCTGTTGTTGTGGTGCTTGTTTAACATTCGATACTTGTGGTAATGGTACAGATTCTCTTATAGGAATCTTTTGTGAAAAAATCGTACTTTTGTTCGTTAGGCGTAATTGATCATCTAAAACAGGTTGTTTAGTTATATTATTATTATTATATGATTGTTGTCGTTGTTGTTGCTGATTTTGTATATAACCATTCGATAAAGTAGAGTTTGATGATGTTTGTGAAGAGAAATGTGGTGTTGAAGTTACTGTAGTTGTAGTAATCGGTGGTAGTAATCGGTTGTTATTGCTTGTAATTGGTTTCGTGGTAGTTAGTGTTAGTGGTCTAGTTTTAGGTTGAATATATGTACTGTTGTTACTATTGTTATTGCTATTATTATTATAAGTTGTCCTTTGTTTCTTTTGTCCTGTATCATTATTATTTTTATTATTATTATTATTATTATTAAAACTACTACTACTTATACTACTACTACTATTGTCATCGAAATCAAATTCAAAGTTATCCCCATCATCATCAACATTGTTGTTGTTGCTCTGAGTAAACTTTCTTTTAGAATCATAGTTGTTTGATGTTTTCCTACTATTGGTAGCTGTAGTTGTTTGAGTAGATGCCTTTGGCTTTGCTGCTCTCTTTGAAGGTCGTCTATTTGTATTGTATTGTAATTCCGTTGTTATTTCAAATCTATCATCCCCATTATCATCATTATTCTGTTGTGTTATCAATTGATAACAAGATATATTGATCAAGATTAGAATCGAAAGAAAATAAATATAGTAATGATAATATCACTTACAATATTATATATACTATCAATATCAATTTCATTTCTATGATTATTATTAACTCTATTATTATTTGAATCTGTTTGATCTTGATGTTGATCTTCATCAAAGAATTGCTTCCATGATGGTGGTGGTTGTGGTTGTGGTGTTGATTTCGTTGAATTGTTGTTGTTGATGTTCAAGCTGTCAGAATGATTATTACTCTCATTCTCTAGATTAAAATCAAAGTTATCATCATAATCATCTTGTTGTTGTTGTTCTTGTCTTTCTTTTCTCTGACCAGCCTCTAGATTGTATTTCTTGACGAGCTCTCTCAAATCCTTTGCTTGATAGCTGATACCAAAAATCTTTTTGATTGATTGTTTCTCACTGCATATGACACACTTGAAGGTATTAACTTTGGCTTTCTGTTTCACTTGAAACATAGAGCAACTAAAACATTGTATCAAAATATATTCTACCATTAAGCAAAAAAGCAAAATAGAGATGAATTTCATATATTTTTAGTACTTTTTCTGTTTTCCAAAAAATGAAAGAAGAAAAAAAATTTCCAATAAAATCGTATTTGGACTGCGTTAAGAGAGGATTCAAATCAAGACAGTAAGCTATCGACACAGCGAGACACTGATTCAGGGTCAGAGCTTGGACCTATCTCTGGAACTTGTTGGATCGATCAAGTGGGATCATAGAAGATACCAAGAAGGCAAAGAGATGGACTCGTGAGAAGTATGTGCAAATGGCAGAGAAGTTTGGTAAATCCACCGATGTAATCAAGAAGCTGCATGATGACAATCGTTGTTTTCGGTGCGAGAGCTCCAGTGATAGTGGAGAGTGTGACTGTTTCACCAAAGCCAAGTAGACCTTCTATAACCACGATAATCATCGAAAGAACGTCACCACGATATTCAATTTATATTAAAGGGTAACATCTTCAATGGTTTAGTGGATTCTGGTTCTTCAATAAACTTGTTGGACCAATCAAAAGTACCGGAAGGTACACAACGTCACAAAGAGAAACTAGTAGCAAGAGCTATAGAGAGTTCGGTTACTATCTCCGAGTACATTTTATTAGAATTAGGGATAGGAGGTATCCCTATTAATTCTAAATCTATTACCACACCTGATACGAGATCATGGATGTGAAAGTATACTTGGTATACCTATCATAAGTAGAATGAAGTTTGATTATATTAATAATGTTTTTACATTAGATGATCATCCAAATTTATTTAAACTGAAAATAAAGGATGAATTAACACATCATAAAGTAATTATTAGTTAATCAATTAAACATCAATTACTTATTTTAGACATTTCAAAGGATGGGTTGACTGATGAAACTTATGTTGAGATCGACACCCAGATCCGAAATGAAATGAAAGAAGAGAATCAATTCGCAAAAATGATTATTAATCAATTTAAAGAATTATTTGTTAAACAACATCATCAGGATTATAAGTTCAATCATTTTCAAACGTCAGAAGAGATGTCGAATACTCACACACAGCTTTTATTTTCAGCAGATTTTCATGTTACTTGTAATCTGCTTGGACATACTGAGCAGCTAACAATCAGCATGAAAATCTGCTGAGATACTTTATAGCTGCCAACGAATTGCATTCCCTTTTTGGTATGTCAACTTTTCCTTCAACTCTTGTTATTGGCCTGGGAAAATAATAGAAAAAGTTAATCTACAATAAAAATATCATTAACTCAATCATTTGCTAAAAAATTAATTTGGTAGTATTCGTATGACAAATAAATAATCAATGAATAGTTTTTTTTTTTTTTTGATCAAATTTCGATTCTAAATTACAAAAATGATAAATATAATTAAAGGAATAAATAATAATAGTAGTCAAAGATTATTTTCAAATATAATAGGTTGTGGAAACAACTATGTTGTAAAGAGATTCTACAATTCGGAGTTATCTACACAAGTGGGTGATGACCCAATTTTTTATCATAGAGATCCCAGATCGAATAAGGATGTATTTGTCATTGGTACATCACATATATCAAAGCGAAGTGCTAATCAGGTGAAGCAATTCATTAGAGATGTCAAGCCTGATACTGTTGTGCTCGAACTATGTCAACAACGTTACAATAAGCTGAAGGATGAGCAACATGTAAAGAACATCGAACCCTATCAAGCTACACGTCCAATGCAGAGTATAATGATGGAGGTCATGGCAATGATTAGATCTGGTAGAGGTAGTCCAGGTGATATTCTAGCTGTAAGTCAAAGTTTTAAAAATAGAATATCCAATAATTACTTACTTACTTATATATCTTTGTTTTTAAAAAAAGTTGTTGATGAAAAACTATTATAATACATTCAGAGTTATGGGTATAGTTCCTGGTTTGGAGTTTAAATTTGCGATTAACGAAGCTGATTTACTTGGTTCCAAGATAGAGTTGGGTGATTTGCCAGTGAATGATACGATGCGAAATCTTGCTAGTACTTTGATGTTGGAAGCACTGCCTTTGCTTGGTGGAAATCAAATGATGGGTGGTATGATGGGCAATATGATGAATGGCATGATGGGTAATATGATGAACGGAATGAATCAGAATCAGAATCAACAAAACTCAGAACAAGTATTATCAGAGTTGGCCAGACTCAGCAATATCATGTTACCATTGGCAAATGTACTTTCAAAACCAACCGTTACAGAAGAGGAATTGGAAAAAGAGTTTAAGAATGTCATGACAAATGCTAATTTGCAGGAGATGCGAGCGATATTTTCAAAGAATTTACCAAAGACTTTCAATGCATTCCTTTTGGATCGTGAGAGAAATATTACATCGACCATTTTGAATTCCAAAGGAAACAAAGTACTTGCTGTTGTAGGTGCAATGCATGTTCAAGGTATTAAAGATATGTTAAATAATAAGTAAAAATAAATGGAATAAATAGTATTATAAATAAAAGTTTAAATAGTTATTGTTTTGTTTTATTGTGTTTTACAGAAACCAGATGATTTTGAACTGCTTGATGAAGTTGTTGTTGCCTCGGTAGGTGATGTAAAGGCGTTGTTGGTTTGTTTTGTGCTACCACCATAGCTAACACTGTATTTGTCGCTCTCTTTCATTCCGGTTGGTTCGTGTAGTGTCGATGAATGAATAAAGGTTAACTTTTCAACTGATTTCGAGAGTTGTGTGATGCGTTCGATTTGCTCTACGTGCTCAGGCGATGATATGTCAGTGAATTCCAGAGTATATAGACATGGTAGTTTGGCAAGTATTTCAATGAGTGGAGTAAAGTTGAATGATATATTGGTTTGTGTGGGAATTGAGAATCCAAAGTAGGTGAGTGATTGCGCCGCTTCAGAGTCGAGGTACGCCATTAGTAGCGGTATGAAATTGGTTTTGATATTCCAGAGTGAGAGGTAATCGAGTCGAAGGTGCATCAAACTGTTGAATAGCGATATCATAAACTCGTCGTTTTCATCCGATGACGATTCTTGATTGAATTTCTGTGTAAAGGTGATCGCTATCGTTTTGACAACGGGATTGAATGAGATTGATTTGAATCGACTGAAAATTCTGAGTTTCCACTTTTCAACGTTGCTGTTTGTTGGCATCTGTTCGAGTATAAGTGGCGACAGATTCAGAGTGGTGTGAATTCTCTTGAAATGTGAAAGACAATCGATGAATTTAGTTTGATACTCAATGTCTAGCTGTCTAGATGAACTGTTCCAATAGAATCCAACGTCTGTGAGCATCGGGAAGTTGGTCTTGTTGATCAACGACCAATCGAGCTCGTGTGTGTAATCCAGTGTTCCAAACTCGAGTGCTCGCAACTTTGGGTACTGACAATTCATTGTTTTCTCATAGAATCCAACACTGGCAATCTTGTCATAGAACAGCGAGAGTGTAAGCAATTCCAATGTTTTCGATCTATCTTTGATGTAGCCGGATAGATCGTACTCTTTAAAGTTGACGTGTGTAGTATTTATCGAGAGTTCGGTCAGTTGAGAAGTTACACAATCGATGCTCTTTAGAGTGGTCGTAAGATTACTAGCTGTGTTTCTAAAGATAAATGATTTGAGTTGACGTGACTGAGATTTCAATCCATTGACAATCGGATCGAAAAACGTTGGTTGCACTTGCGGTGAGTTGATTTCACACTCGAGAGAGTTGAGCGATCCAAAGAGAATCCTATTGATTTTCTCGAGTTGATCCGGCTTGAATTGACTGGTATCGAGCGCAATGTAACGCAAGGCAATCATCTTATTGAAACCTTGAATCAACGAAAGTTCAGGCATATTAACAATGTGCTTGAGGAAATTCGATGATTCTTTGATCAAGAAATCATCGGAAAACTTGGTGTTCTCATTGAAGATCTTAGAGACCCAGTTGAACCAACGTTTACAAACCAATGACATCGAAAGCAAATACTTTGAATCTTGCTTGGAATTAACATTCGAATACCACGAATAACTAACTATAATATGTTGTACAGTGGACGGTAGCACAGGTAAGCTACAACCATCCAGAGGTTTCTTTAAAATAGAAGGTACCTCTATTTTCTTTTTTATTGTTTTCATCTTTGTGTATTAATAAATAAAATAATGTATGTAATAAAAAAATAGATATATCAAACAAAAAAAATAGGTTGATTAAAAAATTTCCTTTATCTGACTGATTTTTTTTAATTTTTGATCAAAAAGAAAACCCAAAATAACCCAAAAAAAAGAGTGTTTGATTTCAAAAATAGCACATTCATCTAAATCAAAACTTTGAAATACCCTCTCATAATAATTTTTTTTTAGAAAATATATTAATTTTATCCATCTTTGGATTTTTATTTATGTATACATTATATGCTTTTTTTTTTCTAAATCCAATTTGAATTTTGATGAATTTGATCATGGAGTTTGTTTGTATTATTACATATATGAAACTTTTGTTTTGTTTGTTTTCATTTACAAATTCTTATTATATATTATATTTTTTTTTGTGTTTTTTTGTTTATAATATTTTCTCTTTGACATGTTCGAAAAGGTAGAGACCTATGCTTCCGAGGATGAGGAAACCACCACCAGCAATCAAGAGGATGGTCAAACCGTAACGGAGACCGTCCATCTTGTAGGCAAAGAGGATAGCATCGATTTGATTTGGAAGAGCAACGACTTCCTTCTTACCCCAGAAGAGTGGGTGGAAAACATCTCCGTAGATTTGACCGTTACCGGTGAAACGGTTGAACAATGGTGAGATTTCACGATCAGTACCTGGAATGTAGGCGTTGGCTTGCAATGAGTAACGACCACGGATAGCCTTACCGGTACGTGGTTCGTAGTCGGCGAAAACATCGTTGTCGACGGTGGTGTAGGCAAAGTCTTGGAGACCGCACTTGGCGAGGTAGGCAACGTTGAGACCCAACATTCTTGGACGGGTGAAGTGCACTGGCTTACCGAGGGTGGCAGTCATGTTGAGAACGTATGGAATCGACATGTACATATCGGGATTTGGTTCCCAGTCGGATTGGGCAATTCTGTAACGGTAGTATGGCAAACCAGAGAGTGCACCGGATTCAACCTTTTCAAAGTGCAATGTTCTGGCAAAGTCACTGGAGAATACGGCTACTTGTGGTTCGTCGGTCTCGGCGAGGAAGTATGGACCGAGTTGCTCCGGTGAGTTACCCTCGACTTGGAAGGTGGCGTTGTAGGTGTAGTTGGTGCTACCGTCGTAGGTGATTGGAGCCAAGACACGGTTGACGTCACCCTTACCGGTGTAGACCAATTCAGTTGGCAAAGTCTCTTCGGCTTCGGTTTCATTGAAGGTGATTGAGACTACGTTGGATCTCCAAGCGGCTGGACCGTCGGCGGCCTTGACAAGCTTGAGCAATGGGTCGGTCATGTTGAAGAGGAAGTCGTAGACAGTGTGAGTACCGATCAAACCGATACCTGGTTGAGCCAAAACAAAGTTCTTAACAAAGGTGGTCATGAATGTATCGATGTAAGCGGCCAATGCCTTGGTTTGAGCTTCGTTGGTTCCGACGGCACCGGCAACTACTTGCCATTGACCGCCAGTGACGTACTTGAGGATGGCACCCATACCTTGTGGTGTCAAGAAGTTGAATGGATTGGTTGCGTTCATCAAGTATTTCATTGATGGGACTGGGATGGTGACGTTCATCATGTAACCAAACTCTGGACCCGATGGAAGTGCTGGATTTGGATCTAACTTCATGACGGTGGTTCCGAGGTAACCTCCGGAAGTTGCCATCTGGAAGTACAAGGCGTCGTTGTAGCTACAGGTGGCGCAACCAGTGATGGCAGCGAATGCAGCTGTATCCAAAACATTGACTCCAAGAATTGTGGTTTTAATATAGTCGATGATGGTGTCGGCTTGAGTCGAGGTGATACCATAGTTGGCCCATACCGACTTGAGAATTGGCAAGTAGGTTGGATCCCTACCGATGGCCTTTAACATGACCAACTGATTGGTTTGATTCTTGTCAAAGAGTCCGAATGGATATGCTCCTGAGACATTCAATAAGATTTCGCAAGAGGCGGTGGCAATACCCTTGTTGTTTCCGATTGGATAGTATTTGGAACCTGGAATCTGTGCATTTGCTGGGATTGGATTTGGATTGACTGCTGCAAGCCAATAGTTGTTACAGACGTCGGTGGCTGAAGAGCCGGTTACGGTCATGATCTGACCGGTCTGGGCACCCAAGAACTTGAGACTGTTGATTGCCATGAAAGCGCTTTGAATTTGAGTAAAGGTGGCTTGTGCGTTGACACCCTTCCAGAAGGTCGACATAACGTTGGCAGAGAGTGCCAAACCGAGTGGAGTTTCACCACCGGCAGCCTGGACAACGGCGAAATACGCCAAGTTGAAATGAGTGATGACGTCGGCTCTTGGGTCACGAGTTCCTGGATCGAGTTGCTCCTTCTCGGTGTAGTACGACCAGTCCTTGTAGGAGATCTTGGTGTCTCCTTCGATGAGCTTGTAATCGAGTGCCTTGTAGTACGACCAGAAAGAATATGGACCGACCTCTTCGTAGATTGGATACTGGCCATTGAGGAAGTCATCGGGGTTGGTCAAGTTGTAGACGTAGAAAGTGTAGGTACGCTGATTGTTCTCATCACCAATGTTTGTGAGGAAACGAAGCCATGGATTGATGTCTGGATTCTTGTTGTTCTCTGGCAATGCCACTGAGGCATCCTCTACCTGTTGATGAATGGCATCGTTCACCACGTACCAAACGATAATACCACCTGCAACCAATACCAAACCAACTATGATTGATATCAATTGACACAATCTTCCTTTATTCATTGTATTGTATTGTTTTTTAATTACTCTCTTTCTTCTTGTTCTAGTCTATATATATTATTATTTTTTTAAATATCTATACAAATTTTAATAAATACAAACTAAAATAAAAATAGAAAAGCAAAATAACAAGTTAGTAATTATTTTTTTCACAATACTATTATTATATTTATAAAAATAAAATCAACAAGTCAGATCGCATCAAATCGCAACAACACAAATTCAAAGATCTCAAAATCCAATTTTCATAGCACATACACAAACCAAATTCTGAAAAGAAAAAAAATAACTTGTGTTTTTTTACTATTTGGTAATATTTATATTTATATATTTTACAGTTTTAATAATAAATAAATAAATAAATTGATTTAAATAATAAATGAGATTTTTTGTTTAAATATAAATACTTTAAAGAATGAAAAAAAAAAAAAAAAAACTGTTTGTTTGGTTTTGGTCTGGTCGAATTTGTAAATAGTTGTTGTGATTCAAGTCTAAAACACAAAAAGATAGATAATGATGGTTATAATTAAATTGTGTGTTAATTTTGATAGTTAATGGGTGATTATTTTTCCAGTGTGTTTTTTGAACATGAGATCTTTTTCTTTTTCGCCAACAATAATCCACTAACAAATTTGAAAAAAAAATTGGTTTTTTCATTGTGGTTTGTGTGAACTCTATCTTTGCAAATTTTGTTTTAAAAAAAAACTAACAACTAACTACCTCACCACAAATAACACAAATAATTTGTTGAACACACACATATTATGAATTGAACTATTGTCATTGAATATTGTATTGCATTGTATCTCTGAAAAACCGTTTCCAATAGATTAAGTCTATTTGAATCGAATTGAATTTGAATTAATTGAGTTGAATGAATCATACTTAGTATGATTAAAATATTTGTTGTTTTGTTATTGAACATAGATGTGATATTAAGTGTCATAGTAATTCATTAAAAATTAATTACCATCTACTGCAAATAGGTTAGATGTAGTGGTCAGTTGGAAGAAGAACAACAAATTAGGAGTACCACAAAGGTCAGCAGGGATACCACTACCTTTGCGTCGAGAAAATTCATTTTGATTGGTGTTTTTCAACTCCTTTGATGTCGTTTCATTTAAACAAATGGAGTAATTGATAGAGTTGCAGTTCAATATTGTGGAAATGATTGGTTTAAACAAATAGAAAATCCAAAAAAAAAAAAAAAAAAAAAAAAACAAAGTGTAGTTTTTAAAAAAAAGTATTGGGCGATATCTTTGAAACAACTATTAACTTTTCCTTTGTGATATTATTGTTGGAAAGAATGTCTGTGTTGTTGGGATATAATTTTGTTGATATTTACCTATGAAATATTTGAAAATATGAAAACAATTGTGTTTTTGATGATTTGTTATTATATTATATAAATGTGAATCTTAAACCAAATAGTAATAATATTTCAAAGAAACAAAATGAATTTAAAAGACTGTCTGCAGTCGAGATATCATTAACTTAACTTACTTTTTGATAATAATAATATTAAATTAAAATAAAAATTAAAAATAATTTCTTCAACAAGAAGATATTTTACTATAGAGACGGGTGTGGGTAAAGTCCACACACCACAATTTTTTTAGTTTAGTTTTTTGAAATTTCAGATTGAATTTTTTGGCAAAAAAAAATTTGGGTCTGAAGATGGTTTAGGGTCGTTTAAATTAATTTTTTTATATAATCCCTGGAAAGAAAAGATCCGCGGCGGCGCCTTAATAGATTTCATATGAATGTTTTTTTTTTAAATTTAAGGGTAGACTCTTTTGTTTTCGACTATCTCTTTTTTTAAAAAATTGAAAAATAAAACCGTTACATTTTACTTTTGACTATTTTATTTTTTTTGACCAGATTTTTATTTGCATAAAATCAGATTATGTTGCAGGTGGTTCGATGGTTTGAGAGAGAACCAACCAGTAGGAATCGGGATCTAACTGGTCGAATGATACCTACACAATTCCTCTTTTTACTAAAATTATATAATTTGATTACAACAACAAACACAAACAAAAAAACAGACCAATGTAATTTATTGTTTTACAATTCCAAATGGAAAACCATTGAATAGATCAAATTGATTTTGATAAACGAATGAAAGCAATTACAATTAGATTATTTTATTATACCCCCTAAAATAACATCATCATCCATTAAATTAAAATCTTTTTGTTAATAAAATAAACTGGTCGATCAATCTAGCTGCTACCCAATTAATTATAATAGATTAATCTAAGTACCAATTCCCTATATACTCTATTGAAAAAGTAAAATAAATTGTCTTTGGTTCCTATTTGTCCAAGTTCTAATTAAATTTGAGGTTACATCCTACTATCAACACCACATTACATATCATTTGATGAATAGTTTGTTAACCACTTGGTTTTATTCCTTCTTTAATTTGCACAAGTTTATAGATTAATCTATAATTTATAATATAAATCATTTGTTTATTTATTTACAAGTTTGTTTGTTTGTTTTTTTTTTTTTGAATTGAAAGTTTGATAATAATAATTGATTTGTATAATATGAATGATTAAAATCAAATTAACGATATTCATCACCACAATCAGTCCAACCTAACATTGTATCACCTTTTGATACAATCGATTCAATGAGTCGTAGATCATCTTTGTCCAGCGAGAATGAAAATAGAGTCATTGTAAGATCGTCGATGTGTTTGGTGATACCCCATCTGCATCCAATGACAAGTGCACCGACTCTAGGTTTGTCAAGTATGTATCTGATGGCAACAACCGTAAGCGATACACCATGTTTATTACCAACCTTTTTCAGTACTTCAAGGAGATCCTGGAACAATCGCCATCCACCCCATCTCTCAACATAATCCCTATACTTTTGTAAACTCCATGTATTCAACGCTACTTGTGATGGTTCCGGTACACCCAAGAATCTTAATTAAGTTAAATATCAAATTGGTTATGATTAGTTTAAATAGATATATATGATTTGAACTTTGTTAACTAAACAAACATACTTTTCAGAGATTAATCCACCTAAACATACACCATATGCAATTATATAAATATCGTTATTATTACAGAATTGTACCATTGATTTCTCACAACGTCTGTCAATGATTGAGTATGAAACTTGGTTGGTAACAATGTTGTTTTCAATACCTATCGATTCCTTGATGATTTGCAGTCGTTTGGTGTCAAAGTTTGTCAGTCCAATGTGAGATATCAGTGGTTTCGACTGATTTTTCAATGTTACCAATGCCTTCAATGCATCTATATATCTCTCATCGTCATAGTCCCACCAATGAAACTGTAGTAATTCGATCTTGTCTAATTTCATTCTAGAGGCAGCTCTATTGATAGCTTTTGTAGTTGACTCTAAAGTTACAACACCAGGTCTTGGAAACCATTTTGTAAATCCAACAACTAGAACACACCAAACAAATATAAAAAAGTAAAGTAAATTAAATGATGCTATTGATATGATAAATAGTCTATTGAAAGAAAGTGTATTGAACATACTTTGATTAGGATTAAGTTTAACTTCACCTTTTCTAACTTGAACTAGAACTTCACCATAGAGATCTTCTGCCGGTCCATAATGATCTGCCATATCAAATGTATTCAAACCACTACTTATATATTCCACCATCTATATATATATATATATATATATATTTATTTATAATAGTTAGAGAGAGAGAGAGAGAGTAAAAGTTAGAGTGATCTAAAGATAGTACTATCATTATGTAACAATGCTATAACATACATCATTAAGTGCATTCTTATAGTTTATCTTTCCATGACCACCTGTAACCTGCCACATTCCATTGATAATCTTTGGAAATGTAAATCCATCTTTTAATGTAGTATATTCCATTTTCTATTACTTTTACATCTAGATGATATAACTCTGATGATGATTTTGATGTTTGATCAAAAATAAAATAAAAACACACCCAAAAATCACATGGATTGATTAACTTTTTATAAAAAAATAAAAAATAAACACATCTTTTCAAAGATAAATGAAGTGGGGGTTAATTTCTTTGAAAGAAAATGATCATGATTATTTTGGGTTATGAAAAAAGTCGTCTTTTCAAAAAATATATAAATAAATATAACTTTATTTTGTTTATCTTTTTTTTGCTTTTTTTTTAATAATGGAAAATCATAAACTATTGATTTAACGTAACTCTGGGTGGTTCTTAAAATCGGAGGATAATGATTGTCCACGAGCGATACCAGCGATCAAGAGATTCATATCGATGATCTTGACGACGAGACGCGAGAAGATGGTAAAGAGTGAGCTGTCTCTCCAGGTGATTCTTCCGACTCCATTCAACATGATATCGGCAGCGGAATCTGGTGTGTCAGAAATGGAATGGAAGAACTTGAAGGCGCTCAACTTTGGTGCCTTGTCGTAGAAGTTGGTTTGGATTGGACCGGACATCAAACAGAGAACGTCGATACCGTACGAGTGACACTCGATGGCAAGCGATGCGGCAAACTCGGCCAAGAATGCCTTGCCACCTCCGTAGCTCGAGCAACTTGGTGCTGGGAAGAATGCAGATTGCGAGCTGGTGTAGGTGATGCAACCCTTCAAGCCCTTCTCGATCATCTTGCTGAGGAAGTGGTGAGTGAGTTTGACGTGTGACATCATGTTGCACTCGAGATTGATCAACTGCTTCTGGAGAGGCGAACGGAAGAACGCAGAGAGTTGGATGTAACCGGCGTTGTTGACGAGGATCTGGACGTCGATGTCCTTGGTGGCCTTGTCGATGATTGGCAGGTAGTCGTATTCGGCGTCGGCACGACCCAAGTTAACACCGACGGCACGGAACTCTTGCTTTGGGAATTCCTTTTGGAGTGACTGGTGAGTACCCTTGAGGGCATCGTCGTCGAGAGCAACCAAAACAACATTGAGACCTTGAGCAGCGAGTTTCTTTGCCACCGATCTACCAATACCAGAACTGGCACCACTTACCAAAGCCCACTTGGCATTGTATTTCTTTTTCAAGTCTTGTGGACCCCACTTGTAAGCTGCCAATAAAATTGGTACTATAGTAAAAAAAAAATAGTTATAATTTAATATAATAAAAATTAATAGAAAATTCATATGACTCTTTTCTAATTATTATTTGATTACATACCAATATATGTAATAAAGGTGATAGCACCGATATAGAAAAAGAAAGAACTTATATAAGAGAACATTTTAGTTTCGTAAGTTCGATTGTTTTATAACTATATTTATATTATGAAGATGATCACTGAATTGACTTCTTGTCTTTGAATTTTTTTTTGATCAAAAAATTAAAAATTAAAAAAAAAAAATTAAGTCAAAATATCTGTCAGACGATAAAGTATGTGTGGATACAAACATCTTTCTTTTCTACTCATGATTGACCTGGAATAAATAACATTTTAAAACTTGAAATTTCTAAAAAATATTTTAAAACATGTTTTCCTTTATTGGTAAAAAATCAAGTGAAGTTGGTGTTGTTATAATTATTTATCTTTGTTGCTTTTTTTGTTGTAAAATTGAGAAATTATCTGGATTGTTGATGGGTAATCTGTTGATTTAGTGATGATGATGATGATGATGATGATAAGTATTCTATTTATATTTTTAAGTTACAATAATCTAATCTAATCCGACTCATCTCTAACATTCAAAATCGATTGTGGATGAATACCGGTCTCCTTCAATGTCAAATTATATTCTTTCTTTGTGTACACTTTCTTTGGATACATAGTAATAAACTGATATCCTTCGAAATCAACTCCAGATCCATCCAAAAAGTCTGACAACTAATTGAATTAGATTTAAAAAGCAAATGAAATCAGTTAGAAAATGAATACAAATAGTCATAATTATTATTAGTTTGTTTACATACTGTTTGTAATGTATCAGTTGAGTTAAATCTTCTTTCAATCTTTGAATCATCTGGTAATTTAAAAATGATATGAGTGGCCTCTGGTCCTTTTGCTGGTTCTGGTGGCACCAATGCCATTCTTCCCAACTTTTGTTCCTTTTTGTTCTGTACTTGTTTCTCCTCCTCTTCGACTCTTCTCTTTTCCTCCTCTTCCTTTCTTGCCTTTTCTTTATCTGCTCTCAATGCCTCTTCATAAGCCAAGTCCTGTTCCTCTACAATTCTTCTTTGTGATTCTTTCTCCTCTCTTAATTAATTGATAACAATCGTTAGTAAATAAATTCAAACTTATTTTTTGTGATATCTCTATTATCATGTTAAACCTACTCCTCAGCTTTTACTCTGTTTAACTCTGCCATTTTAGTACTATACTCAGTGACCAAGTGATTGTAAATGATATCTTTGTCGGTTTCACCTTGGAGAAGTTGGAGGACTTGTGGAGTTCCACCGGCGTTGTGGACGATCGATATGATTGGAAGTGTCTCAAAGCTTGGCATTAGATTGACGAGGAATATGAGTGAGTCGGTATCGACAGTACCGACCCAGAACACATAGTTATTCTTGACGTATTCAAACACTTCATTGGTTTGAAGCACATCGAAACAGAATGAGGTGTAATCGGGATTGTTAGGGTCGTACAGGTAGGTCAGTACCAGCTTACCGGTTCGCTTGGCTTGCGATAGTGCCTCTTTGTACGATCCCTCAAAGGTTTGTGGCACTAGGATCTTAAACTCGTTGAAGATGTCATTGGAGAAGGCGGGGTACGACAGCTGGTCGAGAAAATCGGTGAGTGCATGCGGTGATATTCTATCGTTGTAGTTGTTGTTCGGGAAGTAGTTGGTGGCGTACCGGTTGTTCTGGAAGATCTGGTTGTCGGCATCGTCGTCGTCGTCATCGATATCCTCATCGACATCGATAAACGGTTGATTATTAATGTTGTTGTTGTTGTTTCCACCGACTATATTGGGTGGATCTATCAGCATATCATCTTGACCAACATCATCAACATCATCCACCATCATTGGAGGTGGTGGTTGTGGAATCACTGGTGGATCTATCGCAGCTGGCTGTTGTTGTTGCTGTTGTTCGTTATTCTCAACTTCTACCATTTCAACTCCACTCAAATCCATTGATGCCAATTGTGTCTGATCTTTATCTTTAATTATAACAAATTGTAATGTTAGAGAATCAATCAAATCAACAACAACAACAACAACTTGCTAATATAAATACTACATACTATCGACCAAGTTCAATAACATCTGTCTTTGTACGGGTACATTTGTGTACATCTCTAGCATATCTTTCAAATCGAGAACGGTTGCACCTAGAGGTAGAGTGATAGGCAAAGGATTACCTCCAAATAATACATCAAACGATATTTCACCGTCCATCTTTCTATAATCTTTTCGATATTATATATATATTCTATTATAATCTCTTTCTTTCTTTCTTTCTTTTTCTCTATTGAATTCAATAATAATATAGATGACTTTAATAAAAGTATATAATAATAATAATAATTTATTGATTAAAAATAAAAATAAAATAAATTAACAAATTGCAATTTCAATATTATTAATTTAATTTTAAAAAAAATTGAAAAACAAATGTTGTGAATTTATCGTTTTTTTTTAATGACTATAATAAGAATGGAAATGACTGTACAAAGAATTAAACAAAACAGTTATTAATTTGAAATTTCTTTTAAATTTACTATAAATCTTAGATTTTTTTTATAAATAAAATAAAAATCAATAATTTTTTAATTTTTAGGTATTTTATATATTTATTCTGTGACCGTTACTTCACTTTGTTGTTCTTGTTGCTCTACTTTTGTTTCTTGTTCTTCTTTTGTTTCTTCTTCTACTTTTGTTGTTTCTTGTTGTTGTTGTTGTTGTTGTTGCTGTTTCAATTGTCTTTGTTGACGTTGTTGATTTCTTGTATGTTGTTTTGATTTTAGATGGTTTCTCCATTGAACTATTCCATTGATTTCACGATTGTCGCAAACCTGACAATAGTGTTTCTCCCATTGATCAAGAGAGCTATTTGATGATCTCTTATTGTTACTGTTCTTGGCTGATGCTACACCGTTGTCATCTTCATTGCCATTCTCTAGATGATGATAATACAATTCATTCTCTTTCTTGGCAATATAGTTATTTACAATCTGCTCTGATCTCTCTGATACCTCCGTTTGCCAACGCGTCAGATCGCTCGTATCCAGCTTGTGTATGACCAACTTGTCCTGTGAGAGTTTCTTCACCCATTTCTTTTGCTTCGAAGAATACTGTCTCGTTCTCAACTTTATCTGTTGGACACACAGTGCCAGTTGTTCCCTCTCCCCTTCATCAACCGGTGTCAAAACTAACAAAGAGTCAGAAGAATCAGCAGTAGAGGTAATATTACCCTCATTTACACCCTCCTCTTTCTCTTTCTTCTTCCTCTTCACTTTTAACAAATAATATGGATAGAGTTCTTTTACGCCGATTGCTTGTGTCAGTCCTTTAGTGAAATTCTCAGTGCTCTCGGCGTTGATGAGATCTTCACAACCAAAGATATCGAAACACTCTTTAACCATGCCACGATCTATCATCTGATCGACACGCTCGTTCAAACGCTGTTCCAATACCTGATTAGAGCAATCCAACCAAATCAAGCAAGATCTGTATCTCTGTACTCTTGAATTCTTCTGTTCCAATACCATATCGCTATGTTTCCTTCCAGTATCATAATAGATATCCAAACTTCTCTTTATCTTTCTGAAATCATTACTATGTAATTTCTTTGCCATCAACTCATCTACTTCCTTTAACTTTTCATAACTATATACTCTTTCATTGTTTTCAACACTGTTATTATCATCATTATTATTATTACTAATTGTTGTCGTTGTAGTCGTTGAATCTGTATTTGATGTTATATTACTATTATTATTATTATTATTATTATTATTATTAGCAGTATCTTGTTCATCATATGATATTAACGTATTACTCCAAAGTATTGATGTTGTATAATAATGAGTCCCACCAACAATTATTGGAATTTTACCTCTTGAATGTATATCTTTTATCTTGTTGTTTTGATGATTAGATAATATTAGTTTAGATTAGATTATATTAAGTAAAGTTAAGTTAAGTTGATTAATTACATACAATAGGTATGACGGTTGATATGAAGTTACCAACATTATAACTCAATTGATTCAATTCGAGTAATGACATCATATGATGTGGTATTCCCTCCATTTCATCGGTGGTCACTTTGTTGGTGATGACATCGGCACCCTTATAGAGTTGCATAGAATCACTACTGATGATCTCACCATTATATTTCTTTGCCAACTCAATAGATAGCTTACTCTATTTATATATATATGTATATTTAAAGTTAATTAAATTGAATTCAATAAACTACTTTACAACTCAGCAACAATAATAGTAACAATAATAGTAACAATCAATTAACCTACCTTTCCAACACCAGTAGTTCCAAGTATAAATATAACTAAATTATCATCCATCACTACCTATCTCTATCTTATTATATATAATAATCAAAAAAAATATAAAAATAAATAAATAAAAATATTGAATATCAATAAAAAAAAATTATATATTCATAAAAATATATATTATCAGTAACAATTGTACTACTATATTACATTAAATTGTTATAAACAATGGAAATCAACTAAAGTTTAACTATTGAGAGACTGCACATTTTCGAAGTTCATAGAATTTTCGAAATTTTTAATATTTTTGATTTTTAAAAATTTTGGTGGAGAGTGGCATGCTGCGATGCGTTGGTTCGCTCCATACTACATTTCAAGTGGGTGTCGCATCTTTATTCCTCCTTTTAGTCGCTCAACACCATGGTAAGTGTTTATGTCTAACTATGATGCATCTCTATCTATCATCCTATTTAGATTACAGATTAGTTTACAGAAGAGAAATGAAAAGAAAAGTCTAAAGAGATAGATAGCAAAGAAAGGAAGGAAAGAGAAGAGAAATAGAGAAGAGATTGCATTATTGTTTTGAGATAGAAAGAGAAGAAAGTGATTATTAATTGTTGTGATAATCACATTTACATTTATAGTCAGGAAAGAAAGAAGCTAAGGCCCCAAAGATTGTTGAAAATCTTGCCGACAAGATCGGAAACAGACCAGGAGAAGAGGTCTTTGCTGTTGCTCACATCTTCGCCTCATTCAATGATACTTTCGTACATATCACTGATATTTCCTCAAAGGAAACCATCGTCCGTGTTACTGGTGGTATGAAGGTCAAGACTGATCGTGATGAGTCATCCCCATACGCTGCCACCATGGCTGCCCAAGACGTCGCTGCTCGTTGCAAGGAAATCGGTATCACCGCCCTCCACATTAAGTTGAGAGCCACCGGTGGTCAAGGTTCAAAGACCCCAGGTCCAGGTGCCCAATCAGCTTTGAGAGCTTTGGCCCGTTCTGGTATGAAGATCGGTCGTATTGAAGATGTCACACCAGTTCCAACTGACTCCACACGTAGAAAGGGTAATTATCACACAAACATCATCATCATCATCACAATATCAACATAGTGAAACTAATCAAAATATTCTTTTTTAACTCTAACAAAATATAGGTGGTCACAGAGGTAGAAGACTTTAAACGGGAAATCACAGGATTTTTAGCCTTCTTGAAATTTTTACGAGCTTTAAATTTTCATTTCTGGTTGAATTTTGTTGAAATGACCATTTTTATAAATAAAACACCAATAATTTAAAAGACATGGTATAATTTATATGTACTACAGATATTATTATCTATATCTAATTGCTTTTTTATTTTATTTTTTTTCGTTGACAACTCAAAATCCATGAATGTTTTATTATGATAATTCTATTGATTATTTACTTGAAAATAATAGAATTATCATTGTCTCACAGACTGAGTATTATATCAATCACATTTATAAATTTACATGTCAAGTCGACCAACTCAATGCCATTATTTATCTTTTTTAAGTATCTGTTCGCGCCACTTTCTAATGATACAGCTTGAATCTTTGAATTGGTCATTTTTATCCAAAAAAATTCAGAAAATAATTTTTTAATACTATAAAAGTTTAGTTGTGTGTTGTTTTGCAAGCAAATGATTTTTACATCAATCACAATTATATAGTAGTCATTTTTTTTTTAAAGTATTTATATATGTTTTTGTTTATATAGGAAAAAGGTTAATTTTTTTTTTTTGTTATTCTTCTTCTTCTTCATTTTGCTTATATATACAAAATTAATTGTTGATTTGCATTGATCAAATAATAATTAATAATAATGAAAGAAGAAAGAGTAGTTAGAGAATTGGATTGTAGTGTACAAGAGTTTCTAGAGATTTACAAGGATGACGAGAGTCAGAGACAGTATCATTTGGATAGAGGTGATATCAATATGGTGTTCAATCCGTTTGTGGTGAACACTGGCAATGGCAACGTTCAGTCGAGAACAATCTCCTTTCAGGCACCCATCAATGCACCGCCCTCGATTACAAAGATCATCGGCAAAGATGCAACGTCGATCGTCGAGAAACAATCGATTACATCGATCAACACTGACAGCACAACCAGTTTCTCATTGAAAATAGATACCTCTTATAAGCCTGATATCATGGGTGACTACTTTCAAGTGGAGACAGAGTGGATACTTACACCTAACAACAACAACATATCAACATCAGCAACAACAACAACAACATCATCATCAAATAATCTTAATAGATTATCTACATCATTGACACTTATCATTAGAGCATCGTTCAATATGAGATTTGTTGGTCATATTTTCGAAATGTTTATCAGCAAGGCTGCAGCTGCTTCAGCAGTTCAGTATGTAGACATAGTTGAACAGAGACTAGAGAAATCAAAAGTATCACGTTTAAATCAATTGAAGTTACAATTGGAACAACAACAAAAACAACAGCAACAGCAACAGCAGCAGCAAGAAAGAGAAAGGGAAAAAGAAAGAGAAAGAGAGAAAGAAAAAGAAAAAGAAAAAGAGAGAGAATATCAATATAGTTTACAATTAGAAAAAGAAAGAGAAAGAGAAATAGAAAAACAAGTTAGAGAAAGAGGTAGAGAGAGAGATAGAGAAAGAGATAGTAATATAGTTGTTAGAAAACCAAGAAGTAGTAGTAGCAGTGGTTATAACAATAATGCTACTGGTAGTAGGAGGAAAAGATCAAATAAATTCAAGAATTGGACTGTTGATTGTAAGAAACAGGTGATTGAAGACTATCTAAAGGGTGATCTCGAGCAACTTAAAGAATATACAAGAGATACTTCACAAAGTTTATTAAAGATTGAAATATCACTATCTGAAATGAAAAGTAATAATAATAATAGTAGTAATGTAAATAATAATAATAATAGTAATAGTAGTAGTAGTTTTGATAATGGTTATGATAATAATAATAATATAAATCATTCAATGACATCTTCATCATCTTCATCATTGAATAGCTATCATAATAGCAGTAATAATAATATGAATAATAGTGGCTATAATAATATTAATGAAAATGATAATGATACAATTGAACAGGAGCTGAATAATGTGATATCTTTATTGAGACAGATCGAGTTGAACAATCGTGTTCTCAGGGAGAAACGTAGAATGACCGAGGAGTCAATCGATCAGGAGTTGTCTGCCATTCTTAATTACCTTTCGCAAGATCAGCAACAACAACAACAACAACAGGAGAGTAGTTTATCTTCATGGTGGACATGGACATCTTCGTGGCTACCTACGACAAACTCCAACACTTCAACAGCAACTCAAATAATAATAATCATTACAACCATCATTTCAATATTCGCAATAACAAAATCAATTTCAAAGTCAAACAACAATAACGCTACTAACAAAAGCAACAATATCAACAACAACAACAACAATTTATTAAATACAAATCAAATTACACCAACTATTACATCTACTTTATCATCTTCATTGATCCTACCAACAAATTCAATAACTTCACAAACAGCAACAACATCATCTTCATTAAATTTACTAACAAAACAACTGTCAAAGTTATTTAATAAATTTTATGAAAAATCTTAACATTGTTGTTTGATAAATAAATATGTGATAATTTATTATATTTGTATGAATTGAGTTGAGTTGGTTGGTTGGTCAATATTCTTCTTCACTCATTCCATTTGAAAGATTTCTTTGTTTTTTATTTGTTTTTGATTTTTGTATTTTTTTTTTGTTTTTTTCCAAACAAACTTCTTTAAAAAGTTGTTATTTTTTTTTGTTTTTTAAAATTATTATTGTATTCTTTTCTTTTTAACTATCTTTTTATATTCAAATCAAAGCCAATCCAATTCAAACCTACAATCAAATTATTAATTATTACCTCTTTATTATCTTTTTTATATATAATCAAAATCTTAATGTATGGATTATTAAATAAAAATATCAATTTAGTATTCGTAAATTAGTTTTTATATATTCAGGTATTACTCTTTATATTTATCTCACTTTTGAGAGAAGAGTAGTAGTAGTAGCATAGTCAGTAGCAGCAGCAGCAGTAGTTGTATTAAATAACACAATCATCAGTTAATAAAAGTCATTTAGGTCAAGTCAAGTTTAGTTTAGTAGTAGTTTTTTTTTTTGCAATTAATAATAGTACAACTGAAAAGAAACAAATAAGAGTACCATAGACTAACTATATAGTTATTGGAATACTTGTTGTTGTTTATATTGTTGTTGAAACCAAATAAAGTTAATAGTTGAGCATTGGAAACCATTAACATGCAATCTTGTGTCGGAATCACCTGTTGTTTATCATTGTATCTTAATTTTAATAATCACCAATTTAGTGAAGACATTTGGAATTACTCTATATCACCAGCTGCCATTTGATCTTCATTCAATTCAATTCAATTGAGAGAACCAGCAGCAGTTAACTTTTTTAAACATAGCAAGCAAGCAAGCATAAATAACACACATAATTATAATTGAAACACCAACCAGTCAGCAGAAGTAGGTGTATTAACACAAAACACAGTGTTCAACCTTTTTTTTTAATTCATAAAAAGACTTTTTCAACAAGAATCAACAAAAAAACAAAAAAAATAGAAAAAAAAAAAATAGAAAAAAAAATAACAAAATAATAATAATAAATTTGTCAATCACCAGCAATAACAACATTTTCAATTAATACAACAACTTTTAATATCATAAAGTACTGTGTGCGTGTGTTGTTTTTTTTATACAATAGCTTTTTGGAAAAAACAAACAAACAAACAAAAAAAAAAGGTTTCAATTTAACAATTACATATTTATTAGTAAAATCTTATAATAAGTTGTTTTTGTTGTTTTTTGTTTTGTTTTTTTTTTTTAATTTTCAAATTTGTTTACTTTGTTTTTTTAGGTCCAACAACTTGACAATAATAATAATAATATAACAATAATAATAGTAACAATAGTAACAGAGTAGAATAGAATAGAATAGAATAGAAAGTAGAGTAAAGTAGAGGAGTAAAGAAGAAGAAGAAGAAGAGTAGAGGAGTAATTAGTTTGTTAGAAAGAAACAAAAGCAAAAAAAAAAAAAAAAAAACTAAAAAACTAAAAACTAGTAATAGTTGTATTTTTTTTTTTAGTTTAAGTCTACGCACACGAGTAATTTATTATTGTTAGTGGAGTAAACATGAATCTTAGTGACAGTGACAATGATACTCTAATTGCCTCGTGTTTCGACTTTATTGATGTAAATGATAACTTTGATAGTGACAATGACGACGACGACGATGATGATGATGACGATGAGCATGAACACTACTCTTACCACTCGGTCAACAATATTCAACAGTATTTTGGCAAGTCTGGAGGCAGTAGCAACGGACATCATCACCAACAGCACCATGGTGGTAATCACCACCACTCCAGGGTGAATGGCGTGGTCGGCCGTGCAGGTGCAGGTGCTTTGGACAACGGTGGTGAAAACCATGCAAGTGGCGACAGTGATCTAGATGCATCCGATGACGACATCTTTATTCAACCACATAATTACGCACACCATCAACCTGTCAGCAACAACAACACTGGAAACGGTAATCACAACGGTGTGGGTACCATCGGTGGAAGCGGCCACGGCAACAATAGCAACTTAATACAGCGACGTCGCCGAGGTGCACCCAAAGCACAAGATGGCAATGATAGCAGTGACGACAGCAGTGACAATGATAGTAGCTTTGACGAAAGTGGAGATGATAATAATTTGGTATCAAACAGTAACAATAATAATGGTAGCAGACAGCATCAACATCAACATCAACAACAACACAACCATCATCACCATCACCACCAACAACAAAGCATGTCTCGTCAACAACAACAACAACAACAACAATCATCAATATCTCAGCAATCACTTCAAAACAGACCAAAGAAACAATTTGAACCTTCTATACAAGCATCTCCTTCAATAGTACCACAGCAACAACATCAAGAAAGACAATCAACTCCATCCAAGAAGCAACAGCAAGATAGACAATCGGGTAATAATGGTAAATTCAAGAAATCTGGAAGAAACTCATCGAAGGATTCAGCTCCATCCGTTGTCAAAATTCTAAAGAGAAATGAGACAAGTGTTGGTATGTATATATTTAAATGATAAGCTAACATTAAATATAGTTTTGAATACTAATTTTATTACTATTTAGATCCAGATCAATTGAATAAAATGTTTACACCAACGAAAGGAGACAAACAAACTGTTACCGCGGTTGTTTCAACTGGATCTTCTTCGGCTGCTGCAACAGCAAATGGCAATGGCCAGAAGCAGCCAAAGAAATCAAAAAAAGAGAGATCCTCCGATAAGAAAAAGTCGGCTGGTAACAACGATCATCATCACCATCAGAATCAAAGCAATGGAAATGGTCAAAATGCTGTACAGCTTACGCCGCTTCAGCAGCAGCAACTTCAATTGGAAATGAAGCAGCGGTATCGCGAGGAAAAAGCAGTCGGTCGTATCCTGGGTGAAACACCGACTCCTTTCGATTTGGATACAGTGACATTCACATCGCTCAACAATTTCGAGCTGAATGAAATCGTTTTGGTTCCACGTTCGCGTGGTGGTCTCACCTATGGAAAGATCCACGAGATTCTCTCGTCCTCTCAGTGTCACCACGACACGAGCGTACATCATCCCGGTACAAACTATCGTGCGATCTATCCATCCGGTGCCAAAAAAGACAATCTCTTCAAGGATTTGCCATCTTCCTACCTTGGAAAGTTGCAATCCTACGAAAAGGTTGTGCCAATCGCTGGTGGTGACAACTCGGCTACCACTCGCCAAATCGGACAAAAGGCATCGGCTAAGGATCTCCAGAATCTAGTATTCTCACCAGCTTCCAAGTTTCTACCGAATCAGATTGCTCTCATCCCGAGAAGCAAGGGTGGATTCACCTATGGTGGAATCATCAAGGAGTGCAGAGTTCCATGCAAGGTCGGTGATATCAAGCATGAAGTTCAAGGCTATCGTGTCTTGGTAGAGAAGAGAAACGACACTACCATCATCAAAGATCTCATCGTTGGAAATATTGGTAAGATATTCAGTGTTGAGAATCAACAGCAAGTAGCTCAACAACAACAACTACAACAACAAAAGAATGAAAAGAAACAGCCAATCATAAATAATAATAATAATAGTAATAATAATAATAATAGTAGTATGGAATCAGCTGTCTTATCAACTCCATCTGCAAAGGATGATGCTGGTAATGACTCTACTGGTGACGATGTTGCAAAGGTTGATAAAGATGAGAAACATAATTCTGGTGATGACGATGACGATGATGAAGAAGAGATTCTATGGCATGGTGAATCATCTGGAACTACAAGTTCCAGCGCCAATAACAACAATACAACAACCACTACCACTACAACTTTTGAAACACCACAACTACCTGCTCAATCTAAACTTCAACAACCACCTGCTCTTGGTGCAAGAGGAGTTATCGAAGTACCATCAGACTCTGTTGTTTTCACAAAGAACAAAAAGAACAAGTCATCCTCTTATTTGGTTGTTATCGACGGACCGAATGTCGCATTGAAATACGGTAAAAAGAACTGTTTCTCTGTGATTGCCATCAAGAAGGCGTTGGATTACTACATTCAACGTGGCTATGAAGCGGTTGCATTCGTTCCAGAGTCTGTTGCCTCGAGAAAACCAACCGGTCCAAACGCACCAATGAAGTTGTTGGATTTCCAACCGGTCGTCGATAACTTTGCCATGTTCCAAGAGCTGGTTGCCCGAGAGTTGGTTTGCTTGACGCCACCGCAAGACTATGACGATAGCTATGCGATCCAATACGCCAAGAAACACAACGCCATCATTGTAACGAACGACCGCTACAACGATCACATCAACAAGCAAGAGACAGACGCCGAGAGACAGAAAGCCAGGAAGTTCATTCGCGAACACTGTATATCGTTCACCTTTGTTCGTCAGGAATTCCTTCCAAATCCAGACTTTCAATTTCCAAACACTTAATGCTCATTCCCCGGAGTTTGGACATGTCTAAAGACTCTATTGTTTTCACGATGTGACACGCACACAAACCCACAAAGTGATCACAAAAATTCTGCTCCTCTCTGTCATTTCATACTTTTTTTTCACCAGTTCCAACATTGGCAATAATATTTGGTACTTTTAAAATCAACAGAGTAATAACGAAATCAAAGCATTCAAATTCACACCCATTCATCTTTCAAATCTAACTTTAACCAGCTCAACAACTTAGATAGAACCAATCATTTTTCTTAACATAAAAAAAAAAAAACAAAAAAAAACAAAAAAAACAAAAAAACAAAAAAAAATATTAATAATCATAATCACACCGCAATCAACATTATAACCTGAAGATACAACAAACAAACAATACATTATATTTTTAAAAGAATAAAATCCAATACAAGAATTTCATTTTATATTTACAAAAAAAAAAAGTTTTATTATTTACAAAGTGTTAATTTTAATGTACAAAAAAGAAAAAGAGTCGGATTTGATTAACTTTTTCATGGTTCAACTATTTAAATAGAGTGATAATTAATAAGATTGATTTAAAGAAATACTTAAGATCTATAGTAGAATATGTAATTACCTTCAATTGAAATTGGGATGACATGTTCATTGGAATCACCATGAATCTTATACTTTAGATATAGAGAACCCTGTAGCTGTTTGTTTTCCAAGTTCTTCTTTGGTGTATAAGTTATATAGAATAATCTATGCTCCTGTGGATTCAATGGTATATGAGGTTCCGAACAACATTTCTTTCCATCTTTACAATTTTACATTAATATATTGTTTCTTACTTATACAAAACGAAATATAATAACAGATACTTACAAACACCACGTACATCAGGTATCTCTATATAGTTATTAATATCTGGATCCATACATAGAATCATATCTATAAGTTTACAACTATCATTGGAAACAGTGAATGATAATCTATTATTTGATTGTTTCTTTAGAGAGATAAATAATGATATAATTAATAATCACCACAATAAAATGATTGACAAAATAAGTAAACATACATTCTTAAAATTTAATTCTTTAGGTGAAATCAAAATAGTCATTATTATTATTATTATTATTATTTGTTAATCTGTATTGTTATTTATATATTTCTTTTTTCAACAACTGAACTGATAGCTATTTTTAATGAATTAATTAAATGAATGCGATTCAATTTCAAAAAAAAAAACATTCCCAAATTTCTCATTCCCATTTGGAAAAAAAAAAAAAATCTTCCCCCAAAAAACAAAAATCTTTTGACGGTTTTCTCAATTAATGACCCCATGAAACTATGATAATGGTACTGATAGCTGTGTTATCTTCTCAAAATGATTGTCAAAAATTTTACAATAATTTATTGTTTCACACAAAAAATTTCATTGTTACTCTATTTTCTTTATAAAGTGTTTGATACGTATTGCTTTAGGAAAGGCAACCAATTATCTGGTAGTGGAGATGACCAAATACCAATGTTATTGATGTTTGCTTGTTCAATGAGATCGAATCTCAATGCCAATTGGTCTGATGGGTATGGATTATTGTTATTATCTACGGTCTCTAAACCTATTGCCTATTCATTGTAAAACAATAAACGAAAGAAAAAAGAGTTGATTGTTGGTATTTGAGAGTGTTTTGTCATATTATTATTATGATATACCTACAAGTCTTTCAAGTGGAATCGAATCGATTGCAAAGTTTAGATTTTTTGTGAATGTTGTTATGTTACTTGTGTAGGTTGACATTGTAAAGATGAGGTCTACCTCGGTCTGCCCTAGCAAAGTCAGGTTCCAAAAAGGATCATAAGTAGCAGCTGCCACCGTCAGAATCTTGTTGTGCTGATGCATTTGTCTCGAAAAGCTATCGATAAACTCTGCGTATGCAACGGCATCGTCTTCATTACCACCGATCGGCTCAATATCTACATTATATCCATAGAATCCCTCTGTTAAAGAACTGAATTCAAAGTTAGCAAAAGAAAGGTGGTACAACGATAATAAAATATAATATTCTTGTAATAATATTGATTGTGTTACTTACTATTGAATTGCAGAATCAATGAATGGTTGAGGATTCTCAAACAACTGACGACACCACTCGATTGTTTCTGGTCTGCCCCAGGGATACGTAGATATCATTGAAAGACCTTTTAAACCATAGGAAGTTATATTTGGTAGTACATTTGTAAAGTTATTGTTGATCAGTGTTGAATTTGGTCCGAGATTGAATCTTTCATAAGCAACCAATGTTAAAAGTGATTGAATAGACTCGATTTGCTAAAATTTAAGTATTAAATGTAAGAGAATCAATCAATCAATCAAAAGTGCAATTAAATAATCATATATTTGTACTACTATAGATACAAACTTGTAAGTCATCTGAAATAGATTCATTCGTTCTCTCAAGACCCATCCAAGGCATAACACCATTCTTTGATTCTGTTAAATTACACAAACAAAATACCAACAATACTAAAGAAACTAATAAAAACTTCATTCTATATACAAATAAATAAATAATAATAATAAACAATATTAACGAAATATAAAACAATTTAAAAAAAAGAAAAGAAATCATCATGATCCTTTGTAATTTACAATTAACAGTTGCCCAATTTTAAGATTGATCAATTTTAAAACAAAAATATCTTTTTAATTTTTTTTTAAAAAAATGTTTTTTTGAAAAATAACAGTTTTATTTACCAGTACTAGAATTGATAAAAGAAATATTATAAATAATGTTTTTCTTATTATCAATTTTGTTGACAACGAATTAAAATTCTTTAACAATAAAAATAATTCTTTATAAAAATAAACCTTTGTAAAAAAACAGAAATTTACAATATAAATATAATCGTTCAAAACAAAAAAAAAATCTAGATTATTTTTAAATAAATTTGTTATAGTAAAGTAAATCTTAAAAACAAGATAGAAAATGTTATTTGAATCGAAGTTTTGAATATATTTTAAACTAAAGATATTTCGATCTGATCTCACAATTCGAAATATTTATTTATGTAATAGCTGTGATGATTGCAAACATATCATGATAAAGAATTGTTTTTTTTTTTAAAACAGGTAACCTTTAGTTGGTTAAAAATAACTTTGTTGTGGATAGTTTGGTCGATTGAAGAACAAACCGTGAAAGGAGGTTAGGTGGACCATATAGAGAAAAGTTATCATTGGAGAGCCCTATCAATTTAAGGTTATATCATCAAAGTTTACAATATCTCAAAGGCCAGATTTTTTAATTCTGATTCAAGTTTGGATTTTGAAGTGAACGAACACTTCTATTTGATTGGATGATTAGCACATGATTGGGTTTGTTTGAAATCTGATAATAAAAAATAAAATAAAAAAAACGATAAAATTTCAAAAAAAAAAAAAATATATAAACTTTTAAAAAAAAACGTGATTTATCATCCCCCCAAAGGTAAAGTGTATCATATGGTTTATACAACAAAATTCCTAAAAAATACAAATTTTTTTTTTCTCAACGTTTCTGGGGTGATGAGGTTAACACTTTAAATTAATTAATTTTATAAAGTTCGCTGAGTTTTTATTGGAGCTGAAATATATCTGTCCAGCTGATGACTTTATTTTTAAATCAACATCCATTCGATTCGAGCAAACTTTCTATGCATTTTAGTCAAGATCAATAGCACAGTATTGACATGGTATGGCATTATAACCACAGACTATCTGAGCAATCAGCTGACAAGTTTTTAATTTTATTTTATATTTTCTCTCTTTGCACATGTGTTTTAAATACAGAGGTGCTTTGCTTTTCTTTTAATTTTAGTCACATTCATCACTATCTTTCGAAATCGAATAGCATCCCACTTAGAACAGGATGGATTGAAAGACGTATTGTGACGATAGGTTACCAAATTTTTATAAATATTAATGGGGATTTCAAAGTAAATAGAGTAATCTGATGGATTTTGTTGATCACCAATCATAATACTGAAATAGTCTTGACAATATCATATTGTTTTATTCAATTCAATCAAATCAAAGTCTTTATTTTTTTTCTAGATATCTATACTAATTATACAATTACTATAATACCATACCTATATAAGTTATATATATAAATATATATTTTTAGATATTATAATTTTTTACTTTTTTACGTTTTTTTATATATATTTTTCTTTTTTTATTAATAATTAATACTTTATAATAAAATATTTATGATTTAATAATAAATATATATATTTTATTAATAATTATATATTTTTGTATAACTAAATAAAACAATGTTGTTTAAATTCCAGAATTTTTTTATATTTATAATATTTTTATTGTATATAAACAATGGAATTGCTGCACCTTTCAAAGTGGCAGTGATTTCCTCTGGTGTAAAATCTGATTTCGGTTTCAATCAGATGATTAATGAAGGTGTGGTTAATGCTCAGCGTATATTGGGTTCCAACCAAATCCATTTCATCCCACAGATCAAGATGAACATCTTCAACCAGACCATCGAAGGATTGGTCAAGGACGGTTACAACGGTATCATAACGACCTCGACCGAGTTCACCGCCGGCACAGAGTATTACGCAAAGTTGTATATCAACAACACCAAACTCTACTGGATGACTCGTGGAAGATCTACCAACACCACCAATCTCTCCTATTTCACCTATAACATTGGTATCTGCCAATACATCGTTGGTTATTTCGCTGGACTCTGGTCCAAGACTGGACAGATTGGGTATGTCGCACCGGGTTTGCCAGACGTCGCCAACTACAATGCCAATGCCCTGTTTGTGGGTGCACGTGCCGCCAATCCCAATGCAACCGTTCACACCTGGAATACCGGTGGTTGGTATATGGTGGACGAAGGTATTGGTGCCACCAATGATCTTATGAGCAAGGGTATCGATATTGTCAGTCAAAACCAAAACGATATGACAGTCGAAGTCGAAGCAATGAAGCATGGACTTATCGGTCTTGGAACCAACGGTTATCCCTTCTCCAGAGTTTACGGTCCAAGAATTGGTTTCAGTTTTGTCAACAACTGGACTATGGTATTTGTAAACTTTACTGAATTGATTATCAACGATGCCAACCATTCTACAAAGACATATGGTGATTTTGATAATTTCCTTTCACTTGATAAATTTAGTTTTACTGTAAGTAGTTATAACATATGTTTATGTTTTTTCTCATTCTATAATTTAATAAAAATAACTAATTGATTTATTTCTTTTTCTCTTTAGGTAAATACAACTATTGTTGATAAAGTAACTGCTGAAATTCATAGATTGATAGGTATGCCAAGAGAGAAGCATCCTTATTTCTGTAATGAGTATAATCACTACGTATGGGATGGAATGGGTGTTTATACCAACAACTGTATGACTACGCCGCAATTCTTTTTACTTAATGATCCGTATCCTGGTATGACGTACTATGGTTATTACCAAGTACCTCTCACCAAAATAGAGGATTCCAATGGTTTGATCTATGGTTACGGTATCACAGCAGGTGTTCTCATCTTAATCTGTATTGTTATGATCTGTCTAATCCAAAAGTATAACACCTATCACGCCATTAGATCAGCCAGTCCATTCTTTTCTATAAACATTTTGTTTGGTGGAATCATTACCTATGCTGCCGTCATTATCTATGTCATCCCCAAGAGTACCGTGCAATGCAATGTAAGATTCTGGTTGTTGGCAATTGGATACTCATTGCTGATTGGTTCACTCGTAATCAAAAACATAAGAATCTGGTTGATCTTTAGAGACTCTTCGCGTCTACAAATGAGAAAGATTACCAACACCCAACTCTATCCGTTTGTCGCTGCTTTGGTTGGTGTCATGGTTGTGTTGCTTAGTATATTGGCTGCACCATCCATCGGTAATCACCGTGCTGTAGACTCTAACAACGGTCTTGGCAAGTACGAATTCGAGGAGATTTGCGTTATGTCTAATGAAGGATCGATCGTACTCTACGTTCTTCTCAGTGTATTTGCGTTACTCATATTCATGGGCGTGTTTGTTTCCTGGAAGATCCGTATCGTCGACATTGAAGAGTTCAACGAAAGTAAGCAAATTGCAAACACCCTCTACGCAGTGTTGGTGTCGATCTTTATCGTTGTACCACTCATGGTTTCACCCCAAACTCAAAGCAGTGAAACCATTATCATTTGTTCATCTGCATTGTTTATCACTACAATCTCATTGATGATTTTGTTCATTCCGAAATTCTACAAGGTATACCGCTTTGGAAAGACACCATCGTCTAATCCCGAGTTCCTCAGTGCAGCACGTAGTCCAATCGCTGTGCAGAGAAGCGAAAAATCGGGATCTGGTCATACCTCGGGCAAGGGTTCATCGTTCCACGACGAAGAGGCCAGTGCCGAATCAAAGGAGGAAGAGCCAGTCGTTGGCGAAGAGCCAGAGCCAGAGGAGGAACAAACACCAGTACCAATACACGCCACCTTTGATTCCGATGATGAAGATGAAGCAAATCGCGAAACTCCAATCCAAACACCTGGTACAATGACAGCAATTGTATCAAATCAAAATACAGAGTATAATTAAGAAAGTAGAACCACTTACAACCAAACGAATCATTTCACCTGTTTATCAAACATATAATAATAATGATAAACCCAATCGATTTTAAAGTTACCAAATAGTTTTTAAACTTGACATATATAGAACTTAATAAACAAATGTAAAATATTTCAAACAAACTTTCATACTATATAAACATGTTTAGTAATGATTGATCATGATTCATTTCTAATATGAGCAGCAAAATTTTGTGTCTATAAAGCCTGGATGAGAAGAGACTGACATCTGATAAATTAACTAAGTAGGTTTTTAAAAAAGTAGAGATTATTAAAATTTATAAGATATAATTCAAAGTTGAGCGATTTCATCTTGTTTAGTATATCAAATTGAATTGGTCAATGATCATGCAAAAATTGAATAGACGACATTAAAAATTTCTCCTGGATATAAAAAAATGACAGCTTAGCCAAGTGGTTACGGCGACAGACTTGAAATCTGTTCCCTTCGGGGGCGCAGGTTCGAACCCTGCAGTTGTCGAAAACAGCTTTTAAAATCTATGTCCGCCTGCGGTAATGTACCTGCGGTAATGTACCTGCGGTAATGTACCTGCGGTAATGTACCTGCGGTAATGTACCTGCGGTAATGTACCTGCGGTAATGTACCTGCGGTAATGTACCTGCGGTAATGTACCTGCGGTAATGTACCTGCGGTAATGTACCTGCGGTAATGTACCTGCGGTAATGTACCTGCGGTAATGTACCTGCGGTAATGTACCTGCGGTAATGTACCTGCGGTAATGTACCTGCGGTAATGTACCTGCGGTAATGTACCTGCGGTAATGTACCTGCGGTAATGTACCTGCGGTCCAACTCGTGGTGGAATGCCATGTTTGATGATCAATAGGTGGTCGTAGATTTGTTTCAGAGTGGGTGGTAGACCATCAATCAGAAGACGAAAGGACAACATCATTACTCTCGCTTCACTTGTCTTTCATCAAATCTGGATATTGTATTGTAAATCCTATTTTGGCGGTACTCCTCTCCACGATAACAACCTACTATCTAATGAATCTATCATAAATGAGTATATACAACACTTATCAGTAATGAAATTAATTATAAATAACAGTATCAGTAACTTACAATCCAAACTTAAATAACCAGTAACCAATCAAATGTCAGCCAACTATTATTTCCTCTTCTTCACTTCTTCATTTTCAATTAACCAATTCAATATCTGTATTCTCATCAACTTAATATTCTATAAAATAACAATAACTAAAAAATAATTATAATAATAACCAAAATAGCAATCAATATGCAGAAATATGAAAAAGTAAAAACTGAGAAAAAAAAAAAAAAAAGAAAAACTACATCCCAATATAAAACTTAATTACATCCCAATATAAAACTTAATAAATCAATTTTTACTTCTTAAAAAAAAAATAAAATATAAAGTAGTAATACCTGAGGCAGGCGCTGTCCTGTAAAATATTTGGTGATGGTACCCATTACACCAAATTAATCGATGCCAATTACCCCAAGCTTAGCTTTACAATAGCTAATTCTATCTCCCAAGTAATCACTGTCAATGGCTCTGCATTAACGCGTAAATCTGATTGGAATCTAAATCCATCCAGCTACGTGCCACCACTTTATACTGTTGTTCATCAACACTCAACTACAGTTAGATCTATTCTATCCTAATATTACTCAACTTATTAATTAATAATAACTATAAAAAATAATAATAATAATATTATTTTATTGGCTATTTCTCACGGCCTGTGTGAGAAAGTATATATAATATAAACAAGAACTAGCAGGTTAATATCAATACCTGCAATTTGTTAACTGATCATGAGTCAATAAATCTTTTTTTGAAATAGTAAAAAATTTAATTAATAGATGAAAGACATTCTACATTATTATAGAGATACAAAGCGATATTCATTAGTATGATGCTTAGTTTATTCTGAATCTGCATTTGGATGGTGTTCGGTCATTCAATTCAGTATGATACAGATCAAATGTTTAGATGATACAAATCGATATTCAATAGTATTATGTACAAGGGACTGAATCATCAGAGGAATGTGTTGATTCATTCAAACCAAATAAGTTTATAAATGTATGAGCACGACTGCAATCCACGTTTGGTAAAACAAATTTAAACTTTGTTTGAATCTTCTTCAATTTCACTATCACTCATCTCCTCCTATTAATGGTTTAATTATTAGTTTAGAAATTGAAAAATTAGCAGATAAAAAGAATGATAAAGATCGGTACAATTTTTAGATATAAAACGATATTCATTAGAATTGAACATAGTTTATACTGAATCTGCATTTGGATGTGTGATCATTCAACTACCAACAAACTATCAACACACAGCATGATTTCTCATTACATACATTCAACATGGTATTTACTTAATTAGACTCAATACATATGGATTATCCATATCGGATAGTGTGTTTATTACACAGCTGCAGCTGTGTTATGCAGAGCGAATTACCAAAATAGGACACGAATGTCTATTTAAATAAAAGAAAAATTATCAAATATAAATTTACTTTTTTTTTTAAAGTTTCACTGTGTTATGTTGCTTTTACTCAGAGATTTCTATTTTTAAATAAAATTATATTTAAATTTATGTTAATTAATTTTGTTAAAGTTTGATTTTACATTTGATTCAAATACTTAATATTTGTAAATTAATACAATTTTGAATTTATTGATATTAACTTTAGGAGTATTGATTTTATTCTTTATTATTTCTTAATTAACTTGGCGTTAAACTAAAAGTTTTAATGTAACTGACACATTGAGAATCTTGATTTGATTAATCACTTGTCAAAAATGAAGTAGGGTTTTCTAGAATAAGAATAACTGTTATTACTATTTTAATCTTCTCCTTTTCTGATCCCTTTGAATAGATAAACCAAACGCATAATATTGGAGATGGTTTAAAATATATAATACAGATACTGTTTTTTACACTATAAAAAATTAAAAAGCCAAAAGTTCGAATTTAAGAGAATGATATTCGATTCATTGAAAGAAAATAATTAGAATACTATTGAATTATACCAACATAAGATAGTCATTTTAAAGTAATTGGAGATGATACAGTATAAATTATATTTAGATACATAGTGTATCTTTACAGAAAATGGTTGTTTCACTCCTCTTCTATCCTTACATTTCATACTCTTAAAGAAGATAGCAGATTGAAAACCTTTTAATATCTTAATAGAATCTTTAAAAAATAATAAAGCTCTTTTGTATGTTTTTTAATAACATAAAGATAATAAATCTACATCTGATAGTTGGTTTAATGAGTAACCATAATATAATTAAATTATAGTATATATTCCATTAAGTTGAAATATATAGCTAAAGATTCAAAATCTATGAAACATATCTATTTTACACTCGTTTAAAAGTTCAAGGTTTTGTAAAAACCGGGCTTACCGCATCCGGTGCTATTTTTAATAAAGAATATCGCTCCTGGTTGGGATCGAACCAACGACCATTCGGTTAACAGCCGAATGCTCTGCCTACTGAGCCACAGAAGCTTTTTTATGAATTAATTTTTTATCTACTCGTTTTATTTTGGTTTAATTATGGTTGACTAAACTAATCCAATCAAACCAAAAACCTCTCTAATACTCCAATAAAATCCTCAGGTAACTTAAAAAAAAATCTCCTTTTATTTTGTAGATTTATTATTTAAAATATTCACAACAACCTCATGGAACTTGGTATTCAACAACACATCTCTTGTACGGGTATTAGTTTGACCAATAAACAGGAGAATTTCTTTGTTTTTTAAAAAAAATTCTCTAAAATACTAAATTATTTATCCCTCATCATCGCTAGTATAGATTAATATTTTGATTAAAATGTCATCCTTTTTTTTTTCAAACATCTTTTTACAAATAATGTCTCATTTGAGATCTCCACGTTCAAAAGTATCATATAGTTGGAATATCCCCTTTTCAAAGGTAGATGTATACGATGATAATGGTAGTATGCCACCTGATACTAGGGTGCTTACTCCCATCCATTGTCAATTGCCATCTTTTGTTCAGAGTTGTATCGTTCAGCATGCCTTGCATCAATACCTCGCATTGTTTGAACAAAATAATATCTTGGTTCCACTGATGAGAAGAATGGTTTCAAGTAATGGTGGAAACAGAGTTCCATCTTTCGAGAAACTGCTCACGCTCGCATTGGTTTGCAAATCATGGTTTAAATATGTTTCATGTCGACTCACTCGATTCAATGCAGCTTGGAAAGGCGATTGTAGTAAATTCTATAAGTTAGAAAGTCGTCTTATCCTCCCAACACCTTGGTCACTCTACCACGTTGATAATATTCTCAGACTAACAATCCAAGAGCGTGGTTGGAACTATGAACAAAAGTCTGATGAGGATAGACTGGACATCGTGTGTGACTATATTGACAATTTCCCAAATCTCACAATCATTGTCATTCGAACTCAAGTTGGTGATTGGGTGGTTGACTGTCTAGCCGAGAGATATCCACATATCGATATTCATGTCAAAGTTGATTTTCATCGTAAATTCCTCTCCGACTTTGGTGCTGAAGAGATTACCATTGACTATGACTTTTCGAAATTTAAAAACATAAAGTCTATCAAAATGAAAGTTAAAGGCATGGAGATAGAAGGTGACAAGAAAATAGTGACAGAAAACTTTTACAATGTTGTTAGATGGTGGCAAACAGATTCGATTAACCTTCGCTTCGAAACGGTATGGGGCGACAAGAATCCCAGAATGCATACTAGATACAACACACTCTTTAGAATCAAGACACTCAGACACTTGAGAATTGATGATGATTTAATAGAACTACGTGATTTACTTGTTGCCGTCAGCGAATGTCCACATATTGAATCATTGGCGGTTGCTATTTCCTTCTGTCATCTTGGTGGCAGTGAAGATGGTCATGGACTTTGCAAATGTTATGGTATCAACGAGCATAGTGGTGTCCCCCTGGATGATCCAGAGAACTGGAACAGAGTATGCAAAGCACTGGCTTCCAATCAAACTATCAAAAGACTTTCCATTAGAAATTGGTGTAACCACTATGAAAACCATAGAAAGATCACCCCAGAATCTCAACAAGCATTTGCTCAGATATGGGCATTGAACACAACAATTAAATACCTCTTGCTTGACAGCTTGAGATTAATTGTTTGCTCGCAACTCTTTGAGTCATTCGAAATCAATAAGACCATCACCCACCTCTTGCTCCACAACTGTATTCGAGATAACAATCAAATAGAGTTGTCTTTCAAGAAATTCGCGCAAAACAACCAGACAATCACTTTCCTATCGCTATTTAATAATCATGTATCAGGTGGCTATCATATTGAAGAGGCATTTAAAACCAACGAAACGATTACTCATTTGATATTACCGGATATCGTGCAAGCAAGTAAGCGATTATTCAAATGTCTCATTAAGAAAGACAAGATACAGTACTTGGGATTGTCTTCCCGTCTCATGGGAGGTCTTGCATACGAAACCAAGAATCACACCCAAGAATATCGAACCACATCGAAATCACTTTGCAATCTCTTTTATTATGTCAATAGTTTTGGTTCGACTCTAGATCGCACATTATCCAATTCTCTATGGAATGATGTAATCAATCTAATAAAATAAATAACCCAATAATAATCAACAGTCATTAAATTTAAAAAAAAAATAATAATAAAGAACTATGTATTTTTAAGAATTATCAATAAAATAAAAATTATATTATCCTGTTAACTAACTTTGTAATTGTCCTTTCTAAAACAAATTGTTAAGTTGGAAGCTGAAACAAATAAATTATTTATCTCTTATTACAGTTGTTTATTTTTCATTAAAATGATACAATCTTCTATAAATGAAACAATTTTGTTTGAAGCCAACAATGATTCTTGAGGAGTAAGTGTATTTGGTGGGATATAAAGATTTGGTGCAAATACAACAGCTATATAGATTGAAGGAAATAAATTTGTTAGTGATCCAGATTTATCAATGAATTATTGTTATTAATATTTACCTAATGATTTAATTGTCATTTTGTTTTTGTTGGCATTTGAAGATATCAATGAGAGTAAATCGATCAGCCATAGGAATATATTTGCCTGTGTAGGTGATGACTGTAGTGAATTCAACATTGAAATTCCATCTTGCTGAGTTGCATAGTTCAGGAAATTCTGAACCGGTATCATGTAGAGCAGTGGTTGACTCAGTTCTCTGAACCAAGCCTTTATCAGAGTTGAAATAATATTTACATCGCTGCACTTGATCGGTTGTTTATTGACCATCTCCTTGACTGCGATCAACTCTCTTTCGTTTGAGCTCGGTGCAATTCTAAAGATATGTACTTCGTCCAATCCACCCATAGAGATGAGCGCACTCTTCAAATTGACCAACGCCAACGGCACGGTGAAGCTGTTGTCCTCGGTCATCTCAGTGGTGTCAAGCGACTCGCCAAATGCAGTCTTGCTACTCTCGACCTGTATCAAAACATAGTGACGACCGCCATTCTCAATATCGATGGTTATCAGTCGGCGCAATCTAACGGTTGCCTTCAATATCAATTTGAATCCAATGGTCAGACTGTCTTTCTTTTTCAGTTTGCCAGTTGCATTCTGAGAGCAGGTCAATGTGTGAGTGGAAGATGGTGGACCGAGTGAAACTTTGTACTTGGCTTTACTTGAAAAGCAAGTCAATGTGATTTCATCGGTAACCACCTGGTTGATTTGTATAGGTAGATTAGCAATACCGAAATACATGATCACCTTGGAGAGCTTGAGGAATCTGGTTTCCTTGACGGCCGACTTCATGGCGGAGAACAACGACTTTTTGGCGGTCTGAGCAGTGGCCTGGTTATTGAGTGCTTCATTGGCACGATCCAACATCTTGATAGAGTCGGCAGTGTTGATCTCCAGCAAACGCACAATCAGACGATTCTGATCCTGTGTATTCAGCTCGTTTCGACAGCCTTTGAGGAGTAGTTCGTAGTTGGGTGAGTTACTCGATGCACTCAGATCGTTGAATTCACGCACCTCTGTAGTGAGTTGATTAAGATTCACCTCCCACAGTGGTGGAGTAGCTGTTTGTGAGTTTGGTGACAGTGGTTTCTGTGAAACCGAGTAGGTTCTACCGTGTGGTGAAGATGTTATACAAATCGAACTGTAGTTACTGGATCTTGTCGGTGGTGTGTATGCACTGTTTGGCGAAGGTGGTGGTACGAATTTAGGTATTGATAATGATGCTCTACTATCCGGTGAAATAGATATATTTAATTCTTTAGTTGGTGTAGATAGAGGTGTTGAATTTGATTGAGATTCTATATTCTTTTCTGTTATTGTTGTAGTTGTTGTAGTTGTTGTAGTTGATGTTGTTATGATATTCGACTCTTTTTCTTCATTTACAATAGCTTCTTTTTCTTCTTTTACTTCCAATATTTCTTCTTGATCAACTTTAATTGATTCTTCTTCTTTTTCCACTTTTTCTGGTTGTTCTTCCTTTTCATCTACTTTTACTTCTTGTTGATTTTCAATTGGAGAGTCATTACCACTTAAGGTAACAATATTCTCGTTGTTGTCATTATTAATATTAATCGATGGTTCAGTGATGGTGATTGGTGTTAAGTTGATTGATGGTGATGATTGTGTGGTATCGCTTATGAAATTGTCGGCTTCAGAATTACTGCTGAAACTGCTGTTACTAGAGTCTTTGAGAATACTGGCACCATCGAGATCTTTTGATCCTAAACTAACGGTGCTGCTATTGTTTAATAGAATCGATAGGTTGTTGTTGCTGGTGTTGAGACTGTTCAGTAGACTATTGGAGCTACCGGTCAGTAACGGTTGTGAAACCATTGCAAAAACAGTGTCTCTTCGTTTGGCACCTGAGAAATGCAAAGGAATAACTGTGGGAGGATCTGGAAAACATGCCAACAACTGGACGAGATTCATATTGAGCTCATCGGGATTTGAAGTCCCGGGACTGGAAGGAGTAATAACCAGTGGAATTGGTGAATACTTTGGAGAGGTTGTTGGTGAGGGTGGTGGTGTAATAATATTATGTCTATTCTTGTTGTTGTTATTTTCTACCAATAATCTATTGTTATCCTCTTCTGAATCGGAATCTTCTCTTGTTGTAGTTGTAGTTGTTGTTGTTGAAAGTTGTAATTTAAGATAACATATACTGTCATCATTTATACTTCCATTGCTTCCATTCAGTACATTTAAATCTGGAATTAATGGATTTATAGAGTGATCTGTCTTTTGGATTATTGGTAGATCATTTGCTTTTCTATAATGCTCGAGATTCGGTGAACTTTTGGAAAAGTAACCACCTGTTGTTGGTGAGGAGGAGGGTGAAGATGAAGAACTTGAAAAACTGATTGTCTGTGTCGGTGATCTCTTGTGATTTCCAACGCTGATTGTCGACTTTCTAGGAAGTTTCGGACTACCATGACCATTGAAACTGTCGGTCAACGATTTGGCTGGACTAATATTCTTTTGATCGCTAATCATCTCTGACTCTATGGCAACAGTTGGTATTTCCTTTTGTTGTTGTTGTTGTTGTTGAGTTTCAATAATATCTGTCATTTTTTTTATTTATTTCTAAACTAAACTATATTATTACTATTCTTTATTTTCTATTGAACATTAAAAAACAATTGTTTTAATGTAATTGTCAACCAATTCCAACAACTCTGAATATTCTTAGCTAAATATTAAAAATAATAATAAAGAATTAGTTGATTGTTTGATTGATTGATGATGATGATGATATTTAATTTTTTCTATTGAAGTTGATGATGTCAGAGGTGAGGGAGGTAAATCGATTGTTTATAATTTAATTATTGGAAATCATTTGGTTACTCATAAAGAAAAGAAAAGAAAAGATACATGGTTATTTTTTGATGTCAAATTGTGTTGACAAGTTTGAATGAATAAATGTAATTGGACAGTGGATAGTCACATTGATAGATGATTATTTTCCGTAGTTGGTACAATTTCACTACTACTCTACATTAAAACTGGACACTTACTACAAAATGCTTATTTAGATTGAATATTGTTTAATAAACGAAGAGTTCACAAATAAAATATTTTGATTTTAGACTATTAAAATTATAAATAACAATAAAAAATAGAATTGCTTTGTTTGGTTTGGTTTGGTTTATGATTGTTGCTGATGATGTCGTTGATGATGTTGTTGTTGTTGTTTTTTTAAAAACAAAAAGGTAGTCTAGATATTAATGCTTCATTAATAATGTTGAATTGGACTGCTGTTTCCTGATTTTAATGGTGACCGGCATTGACCGTTTTTGGATTTATATTAACAATTTTATTGTTGTTTAAACAACAACACCAACAGTGAGAAGAACAACAACATCAAATAACAATTTTTGTTTGGTATCAGCAATCCAATCATAACGAAACATGGAAATTAATTAGGTTAGATAAGATAGATCTCACAATAATGGGCAGACATTTCACTACAGTTTGAAACTAACAACAAACCACATCAATCATTCACATCTTTCACAACAAAATATCTAAAAAAAAATTTTGAAACACAACAAACAAAAAATACAAAACAGATGATTTCCAAAACCATCACAATGTGTACACTTATAAATCAGACAAACAAATTGCTTATTTACTCCACACACACACACACACACAAACACACACACACTAAAATAAACTAGAAATTATTAGTTTGTTCTCAACTGTAACAAACACACAACACACAAAAAAATAACTATCTTTCTGATTCATGTATCCTATTTTACCTTAATTTATTTAAATTAAAATACTACTAGAAATAAACTGAAAAAGTAAATTTGAATAAACGCGCCGTTTATGTGTATTTGTTTTTGTTCGTGTGTGCGAATATATTTGAATTGGTTGGTTGAATTATAAAATTTGATTTTTGATTTGTTATAATAATAATGAATTGGAATTTATTTGTAGAGTAAAGTGATAAATTGGTTCTATTATTAATACGAGTATCTGAAATAAATAAATTTAAAAGAATAGATATTTGGAAGTTGATTGATTGATTGGATGTTTGGTTTATTATTACTTTTATGGTTGGAGGAGAAAAATGAAAGCGAGAGAGAGAGAGAGGAATAAAATATTATGAAATAATTTAATTTGTTAAAAATTTCTATTATTTTTTTTTTTTGTTTGCAATGTTATTGTTGCATTGTTGATCAATCACTCGAGTGTTGATTTTGGTTGTTGCAGTTATGTTAATTCATTTATTTATTTCTGTTTGGTTGATGGTAACAATAATTTGTTTAATTATGCTATTGATTTCAATGAGGTCGATGTCGAGATATATACTATTGTTTATCTTGTTTTACTTTTTGTTTATCTAAATAGCTCTGAAAGGTGTGTGTGGTGTTTGTGTGTGCGTGTGCGAATAAATGAGTATGTGAACTTGGAGTAAGAGTTGTGTGTTTGTGTGTGTGTGTTTGTGTCTGATTTAAGTTGAGATAATAAAAGTAAAGTGAAATCAAGTGGAAGAGAGAGGGAGGAGAGAAGGAGAGAAGTGAGAGTCTGATAATGTGATTTGATTTATTGCTAACAACAAACATACACCACAAAGAACAAGAATCAATCAAATAAAACACATTTATAAATTTTATTATAATAAAAACCTACTATAGTAAGTACTCCTACTAAAGATATCAGATTTCAATCACAAAAAGAAAAAGAAAACAACAAAATATATAAATAACAATGATTATGTTTGTTAGTTATAAATTTTTTGTTTTGTTTGTTTTTGATTGATTGATTGGGATTGATTGATTTACTAACTAATCTACTACTACTACTACTATGAAACTACTTTATACTTTTTAGATATTCACAATATGAATAGAAATTAATTAAGATGGTAATGTATAAAAAAATATTACATAGATTTTTAATAAAATACCCAAAAATTTTTGTCGCGATTAGATTTTCTATCTTTTTCATATAAAAATGGTTAAAGGGATTTCGAAAATTGATTAAAAAATTCAGATTTTGGGTCGATTTTTAATTAATTTAACTTTATTGGATTTTTTTATTTTTCTTTTTTTTTTTTTTGTTACAATTAATTGAATTAACTTTCTTTTCTTTTTTTTTTTCTTTTTTAAAATTATTAATTATTATTATTATTATTATTGTGAAACTTCAACTCTTCCTAATTGACATATTTTACACTCGGTTGATGCGTCTACTTCGGTTTGTTCAATGTTATAGGTGGACTGGCAGAATGTGCAGTAGAGATGGCTCAGACCCTTGATCAGCTCGAATGTCGAGAAACAAAGACGGATTGGACGACCACAGGAGCAGCGTGTCAAGCTGGCGTCGCCAAGCGAGCCGGTCGATTTGCATTGCGCGCATATATACATCGGGAGTGATTCATTCACCAGTTTGTTCTCGCGACAAAGTGCAAGCTGCTCCAACACTCGTTTGTTGTTGTCGTCGTTGGTGGTGGACATTGGCAACACCTCTAAAAACTTTGCAGCAATACCGTAGTTCTTACCGTCCAAATTATACTTTACAGCCATCTTGGCGCACACCGCACGATGTTGACTCTGCAGCGGGATTCCCACCAAAAATCTCGAGAGTAAACTGAGTTTTTCATTCAAAAACGATCGTTCATCCTCGTTTGACTCTTCAGCCAACTGACTCTCCAACGATTCTATCTTTTCCAACAATCCAATTGCAACTCTATATCCAATACAAAATATAATTTCATTTTTCATATTCTTTCCATTTTGTGAATGTGCTGCATGTAAAACATATCAAAAATAATAATAATAATATTAATAAACACAATTGTGTAAAGTATAAGCTTGTTGTTGTAAACTTACAAATATCTTGAATACATTTATCGATATGAATTTTAGCATCTGTGAACTCTCCTCTCTCTAAATATTGAATACATAGCTTCATGTCTTCCAAGCCTGGTTTCGATGTCGATTTGGCAGACTCTGGAAGTGTAGTGGAATGCACTGATGAGGTTGTAGAATCTGAAGAGCTGTTGGTTGTTGTTGGTGATGGCGCAGATGTTGTTGTGGTTGTGGTGGTGGTTGTTGTAGTTGAAGTGTTTGATTTGTTTGTGCTATTTGGTACTGGTGTCAATGGTTGGAAAGAAGAGAATATATCGTGAACCTCTGAAACGGCCGGTCTCATCGATGCTCTCGTTCCTCTAGCTCTCAATGTTTGACTGCCAACCGGTTTAACAATACCGGGCGTCGTATCGATATTCAACAAAGAACTCTCGCTCTTTAACTCTGGCATTCCAATTGGTTTCTCTCTAATAACAACTTGTATAACTGGTTTAATTGGTCTAATAATAATGATCATCATTCAAGTCAATATATACATTTGTTTTGTTTGGGTTAAATAATATTATAGTTGTTCAACTTACTGGTCATCATCACTATCAGAGAAATCGGAATCGAATGTACTTGATCTAGCAGATTCTGTATCGTCTTTCTTTGGAGTAGTGGTAGTTTGATTTACAATTTCTGATTGAGTATCTTTCTTTTCCAACTTTCCAACACTTTCACGTTTCTTTAACTCTTTCTCCTTCTCTTTCTCCTTTAGCTCTTTCTCTTTTAATTCTTTATCCTTCTCTTTTTGTAAATCTTTCTTTGTCAATGTTGCATTCTTTGTTGTCGTCTCCATCACCGCCAACGATGAGAATCTCTTCAATTCCTTTGGATTCACACCATTATTATCTTCACTAAATGAATTTGATTTCTCCAATGTTTCAGTTGAATTCTTTATTCCACTTGCTTTCCCTTTTGATTATTATCATTATTAAAGAAAATTATTAGTAAACAAACAAACAAACAATATATGTATTGTTGTTATTGTTATTGTTTTTAACATACATTTGAGTGCTCTATCAAATAATCCGGCAATCGGTTTCAAAAGAGTGTCTAGTTCCTGTGGTCGTTTAGAGGATTGTGCCCACTTTTTGAATTGTTTGACTGTTATCTTGCCGGTGTTCTCCTTGTCGATGGTTGCAAAGAGTGCTTCGAATGTACCGAGTATCGTTGAGATGGCCAATCCCGCTGTCAGTTCATCGAGTGTCTTTGGGTCGGGCTTCTCCGATTGTGCGCGTGGCGAAGGTGTAGCGACCGCTGCAATCACCGGCGATTCGTCGATATCGATTTCATCCTCTTTCGACTGGTTCACCAACAGCCAATTGGTGATCACCTCGATAGCGGATTGCTCTGGAGTGGCACCTTTCGTTCCGTTATCGGTTGCCTTTATCGCTTGAAGTGCTTTCAACTTTGAGAATCCCATATCTATCAACTGACTAACCATTGGATCATCGTTACCACCATTACCATTGTTATTGTTTGCTTCTATCTTTGGACTACTACTTCCCTCCAAAGTAACAACTGACAATACTGTTATCTCTTCTTTCGTTATCACTTCATCATCATCCAAATCCAAAAACTTGAATATCACTATATATAGTAATATTAATAAAAATAATAAGTTATTAGTTAGTTTAGTTAGTTTATATATCTATCTATATATCTCTCTCTCTTATATTCAAACATATTAGTTAATAGTTACATGATAGTTTATCTTTTTCAGGTGCTTTTCCACAGACAGCTAATGATTGTGTGAAATCATCTAGTGTCATCATTCCAGTCTTTTTGACATCGAACAAGTTGAAGAGTCTATCGGCCAATGGACCTGGGATCAAATGAAATCTCTTGAATCCATCTCTATCTACAATCTTATTTTTCTTTACCAATGACGATATATCATTAAACAATGTTGTTATCTTTTCAATCTCTCTGGGTTCCACTGAATTTACCAAAATAAAACAAGAATACATTAGAATTTTGAAAAGATGGTGATCTAGATCTTGAATTCTTTTTATTACATTTTTTCAGTATCTTTTTACTTTGAACTCCACCCATTCTCTCTCTCTATCTCTATCTCTCCTTATTATCTGTAAAAATAAACTACTATCAATATATCTATCTATATTTCTATCTAATTATCTATCAAGCTAAGCAAACTAGTTTACAACTTTATACAATTTCAATTCTTTTTTTGTTTAGAATATCTATGTTATTATTAGATAATATTGAAATTGGAAAGTAATATACATATATACATATATATATATAATAAATATATATATAATGAACAGAACAGTTTAATTAATTGCTTGGCAACACACAACAAGCATTTAAATTTTTTTTTTTTGATCTTTATTATTTTTTTTTTGTAATTTTTTTTTCAAACACTTCACACCACCAAATTTTGCAAATTATAATAAAATTTGTGACACTTTTTGTATTTTGTATTTTTTTTTGATTTTTGACACACGATTTGATTAATTTGTCCAAAGGTTATAACCTTTTATGTTTATTGCAAACTAAACTAAAAAAAATTTAATAAAATCTAAAAAATGGATAATAGTTTGTTGATACTTTCAAACTCTTGGAAGAGTGTCCTTGTTTTTCGCCAATAGCTGATGCGATCGGTAGATACTAACGTTATTGAATAGTCCACACCTTTATCTTCCAAAGCAAGTGACACCAAACAAGAGTATGCTTCGTTACTTCTGAAGAGTGATCATCCATTTTTTAGATTTTATTAAATTATTTTTAGTTGTTTTTTAGTTTTGGTTTTTATTTGTTCTTTTCAAAACTCTAAACTACCGTTGACGAATGAAATATTTTGAGTTGGTAGAGGTAGATTTTGTACTGATGGTAGGGTTGTGTTGATTTTGTTTTGATCGATTACATCTAGATCTGGATGTACCGGTGGACATGTACTCGATATGAATCTGAGAAGGTTGATCGAGAGCACTCGACTGCAATGATTGTGTTGTGCAATGTTTGATTCACTGAGTAGCTGATATCTCTCGATCTTTTCAAACACTCGCTGGTTGAGCGATGCATCGAAAATAGGAATGCCAAAATAGATATTATAGGGAATCCAAGTGGTACGATAGCAATTCTCGGTGGGAACATGTACTTCTTTTCTCAACATTGAAATATAACCGATGCTATGCGATAGATCAAAGATGTTATCGATTCTTCTTACATCCGGGTGTAGATGCATATTCTCACTTGTGTATTCACCGGTGATGACATAATTAGCGGAACTGTCAGAGGAATTACTAGTAGTTTCTGGGAGTGGATCGAGTGGGAATGGTACATCGATGATTGATAGTTGTTCGCGAATCGTTTGTTCACGTGATGCATGACGCGATTGCTTGGTTGTTGAGGAGTCGAATTTGACGTAGGAGAATGCTTGGACGAGGACGGGCGACGACAGCAACGCTTCGTTTACGGTGGGAAGCAGTTGTGACAAGTTGATATTCATTGATTCGTGATCGAGCGAACAGATTCGCAGTTTCTCACAGTCGCGAAACACGTTGGGAATCTTCTTCAGTCTGCTGCCCTTCGGCAGGAGAATACTGTTCGGTCCGGTTCCGACGATGCTGTAGACGTAGAGTTTGAACCAGATGCTTGCCGCCTCGTAGATTGCCGGACCGAAATGAGCGGGTGTAACACTGATCACCGGACAACTATCGGTGGCAAACGGTGACATCGAAATCAACATTGCATAGTTCTTTAGGAGTACACGCTGTCTTGTCGCTTCCTCTAGGCTGTTCATACGCTCGCAACTCAGCAGGTCAAGGCCTGCCATCGTCGCCGGAATTTTTTCATTGTAGCGGAGAAATCGAATGGTATCACGCAGCGCAACAGCACTCGTAGCGTAACGTCGTGCTTCGCCATCGACAAACTCGCCAATATCAATCTTGGCCAACTCACCAAGAAAATCATCGAGTGCTTCATTCGCCAGCTTTCCAACCTCAAACATAGTGACAGCGTGATTCTTTAGTCCATAACCAAGATTACCCATCATCAAGAATGCGATAATAGAAGAATCAAATATTAAACCAATTCTTAAAATTGGTTTTACATCCAATGTTGATTCTTCAGATATATTTGATTCTTGTTGACTCTGTTGTTGACTTTGTTGTTGTTGTTGTTGTTGAGTTATAACTCCACTATTACTATTACTTGAAATTGATGCATTATAATCTATCCAACTTTGATTCCATTTTGTTTTTATCAATACTGAATCTGTTTGATCATCATTCTATAATAGATATAGATAAATAACTATATATTAATATCAAAACAACAAAAGATCTTTTGTTAATTCAACAAAAATAAGTTGATAATTACATTTACTAAAGGTTCCAAGTTCTTTTTCTTGGCGAATCCAAGTCGACAATAGAGAGATGCAGCTTGTTTAACGAGTTCTTCATCGACCTGGATGAGTTCCGCTAGGTTTTGAATGTTGGTACGTTCGTCGATCGATACGAATATCTTGTAGAGTAGGTTCTCAAAGTAATCGCCAGAGACACGATTCATGACGAATCCTTCGAGTGGCGGCACCGATATAAAGTCAGAGTTTGCGATCGGTACATCAATGAAGATCAATCCACGAGCCAGCAGTGAAAGTACCGATTCACGATCGAATATACCCGCTTGTTTGGGAGAGACACGCAACTCTGAGAGAATATCTAGTTCCTCTTGTGAACAACCACGTTCCTCTTCGGCAATGTGCAAACCAGCATTGAGAATCCACCAGTATTCAATAGATTTCTCCATGGTTCTACTGGGTAGCAGACTCTTTATAACGTCTTTCTTCTTCTTAAAGAGAAATCCTTTCGTTCTACATTTATTCATCATATCGATATACTGATTACGACCTACTCCCAACATTCTTAAACAATCTACCGCCGTGAAATTTGGTAATTCATCATATGATTTTGCTAAACAAAAACAAATAGAATGAGTAACTATTAACTTAATTGTTAACATATAAATATTAAATAATCTTACAATTTGCCATTGTTTCAGTCATCATAACTAAATAATATTTAAAAGGTGTAACATTTAATAAACCAACTAATTTATCTATAATATGATATGGGTATAACTAAACAACAGTTATATGTGTATGTGTATTATATTTATTATCAAAATTGATATTAGAAGTTATTAATATTGTATAATGTAAATGTTGATATTTTAATGGTTAGCTAACAACATACAACTAATTTTGATACAGATGATCTAACGATTTCCTGATAGTAAAGTCTCTCATCACTAACAAACTTTCTAACCAAGTTTGTTTTCCAACGAAGTTGATGTTTAATACTGAATTTTATTACATATTGTTTCCACTTTGTTTGTGAATTCTCTAATATCGATTTAGCATGCAATGGTAATGCATCCCATGATACTTGATTCTGAATATGTTTCTCTAATTCTTTCTCTGCATTTGAATCCATATCTTATATAAAACTAAAACTAATTAAACACTTAACTATATAACATAACAATCAACAACAATAACAACAATTACTCTTATTCTTTTGTGTTATAAATAAATAAATAATAAATAAATAAGTAAGTACAGATAATATAATATATTATAAATTTCAATTAATTAAAAAAATAAAACTTTGAAAAAATTTGCAAATCTTATTGTGATTGGTTTTAGACTAATCAATCATTTATATTCGTGCGATTCATTAAAAGAAGAATATCGGTATTAATATAATAAGATTTTATTGAATAATGTATGACTACTATTACAACAGATACATATATTTATTAATATAAATAATATAATGTATTTTTTGGTAATAGTTTGAAAATTTGATTGGATTGATTGATTGATTGATTGATAATATATATTTTTTTGTGGTTAAAAAAGTAAGTTGATAATAAAAAATATACTTTTTTTTGTTTTCTTATCTCATGTGATATTCAATGTTGGCAGATGATTGTGATTCAGAACCCTTGAAATCGTAGGAAAGTTTGATTTTGAGATCACGTTGGTTCGCTTGGTATGGAGCAACGTCGATTGATCCTGTGATTTGTTCACCCTGTCTTAGCTTCAAGACGTCGTCCAAATATAAAATCGATTGTTTCCAATGAGTGTATTGTGCACGTGGTCCAGTCGAGAAGAAAACTGTCTTGTGACCCTTGGTGAATTCGATATCAAAGTAAACTACAAAAGCATGTACACAGTCATCTCTCATTGCCTTCAACTTAAAATCTGATCTAAATGGTAATTCCTCTTTCTTAATTGTATGGATATCGATATTCTATAATAGAAATAACAAACAGCAACAACAACAACAATAACAAATGGTTAGTAAACCAAACAATTTGTTTTAAAAATTAAAAAATACTAAAATTAATGTATAATAGTACATACTAAAATAGAACAATCTGTAGTGGCAATCATTTTAGCTTGAACAACATCAACCAATGGTTCTGCCAATGCAATCTCTCTGATACAACTCATATCAAAACCATATACATTATTCCAATCTATATATATTTATATTTGTTGTGGAATATTAGATAGATTAAACAAACTATGTTAATATATTTTATAAAACTATAACTATTATTATTATTATTATTATTGTTTAGTTTAAACTTACATTCAATTTTATCTTGTTTGTAGTCGGAATCTTCGATGGCGGTGATGTGGAGCGATGCACGGTCTGGCATGATGATACCACCTGGAACGAGATACTTGTCACGTGCAAAGAGCACGGTGTCGAGCATACCTTCGTAGAGCATAAAGTAACCCATCCACTCACTGATGATGATGTCTACCTTTTCGACTGGCAATTGGACTTCCTCCATCTTTCCTTTGATCAAGACGATCTTGTTCTCAAAGTTGTTGGCCTTGATGATCTTTTGTGCGATTGGCAAGATCTCAGAGTTGTCGACACCAATAACCAACTTGGCACCGGCTTGAGCGGCAAACATACAGAGAATACCAGTTCCACAACCGACATCCAACACCACCTTGCCTTGGAAGAGATGTCTATTATTCAAAATTGCTTTACGATATGACAATGTTCTAACTTCATCTTTTAACATTTCCTGATAATAATAATATTGAAAATAATAAAGTTAATAAAATGTTAATATTCGTTTATAACTAACTTCTTTGTGCAAACAAAACTTACTTCATGAATTCCAAAATGAGAATATGAATCGAAATAGTAATCGGATGTAGTCAAATCCTTTTGTCTATCAACCAATGATTCGTTTTGGCAAACATTCATCTTTTCAGATTCCATCTTTTAATTGTGTATATATAAATAAATAATAATATAAATAAGATATGACAATCAATTGCTTTTTTGTTTAAATATTTTTAATCGATTCGTTTTTTTTGTTTTTTGAAAAATTAATTTAATTTTTTTCAAATATATTTTTTTGAAAAAAAAAAACGAAATAGATTTTTAAAATTAATTTGTAAAAGTTATTTTTAAAAATATATATATTTTATTCAAAATCGTTAAATAGTTGATTTTTTTCTATAGATTAGTCAAAACACTCATCTTTTTTTAAAAAGAGATATTTGATTAAAAGTTGCTATAATCAATCTCCCCATTTTTTTGACAAATTAATGTTAATTATCATTAAGAAAAAATAAATATTTTATTTTATTTAGATTCATTAATAATCCATTCCACTTGTTTATTAAAATAAATTCTCTTTAAAATTTATGAATAAAATGCACACAAAATCCTTCATTTTAAAAAAAATTTGTTCAAAACATTTGATTACTTCATCTATACTAGTAAATTCTAAAAAAATTGATTTGTTTTTTTTTTTATTTTATTTTATAAACTTGTATTTCAATTTATCAAAAACTATAAATTGACATTGAATTATTATAATAATTCAAAATATTGTTTTGTCTTTTAATTTGTATTTGAAAATGAAATTAATATTCAATTTATTTATTTTTTCTCTTTTGGTTTTTGGAATCAAATCACAGCAAAAGAATATAATCTAAAGTTGACTCCATGTCAGTTCTCTATTGTAGGAGTCCTCCACCAAAGGTTAATTTTTCCTCAGCTGTATTCTTTGGAATGGAAATGAAAGAACTATATCTTTAAAAGGATATATTAGTATGAATTTATTTACATTTTATTATCAAATAAACAAAAAATTGTTTTAAAATCCTATCATGAAGAATAGAGTAAGATTTGAAATTGATAACTCCTACTTTGAATTTCCACTCAATCCACAAGATCAATCTACAAGATCCAGTAGTTACTATCACATAGATAGAAGTGCATGAAGGAACCATGTACTAATTTCTCTGCCACCGAGCTCAACACTGAAAAGCAACTGCTTTCCAACGAACTGCTAATCAAAAGCTTGAAACTTTGTAAATCCTTTGGTGGTATGAAAAGACTCAGTGGAAAGGATACTTTTTATTTTTGCAAAAAAAGGCTCTACATCTGTATTATTACAACAATTTTGCAAATTGTCACAGTCCAACAAGGGAGTGCAAAACATGACGAGTTACAAAAAAAAGTCAGTGAAATGGAGACCTTTTTAACTTAGAGAAATTTTTTTTTATTTTGAGTCATCCTAAAGACCAATTTTTCTTTTAGGATTAGTTTGATGAGCTAGAGTACGATGCCATACATCCACGAACAAGATCCAATACGGCTTGACCACTAACAAAATAAAGTGATTCGGCAATATCCTTGGTACACTCATCGAACTGTAGGGTCCCAATACCTTTGCCTTTCGATATTTGGCAATAATTTCGAACTTGGTTCATCACAAACAAACCATTAAAATGTTCAAAGTATTCTGGGTCCTTCTCAACCAAATATTTGATGTCCTGCATGAAACTATTGACCTTATGATTCTTTGACAGAGGATATGGGTGATCATTCTCTACATGTCGAGACACAAGGTCACTTACCAGCCTCTCTGACCTTTTAACCAACTCATCAGTTGATGAGGATTGTTTGGTGCATTTGTGCAAATCAGAGACTCTATTGCTAAATAAGTTATACAATGACTTGCACAAATTGCACGTATTGCCACTTGACTCTTCTACAACTCCTTGATTTCGGCAAGCAGTATATTTAAAATTACAAAGATCAAATACATCTAGATAACGACTTTGCGTCGTTTCCACATGTTCTCCAAATACCCATACTCCAAACTTTACATAATTAATATTTGTTATACCTTTGCAAAATTTAAAGTTTGATGGTAGACGCAGGTCAGGATACGCGGGGAACGCCCTGGTGCCAATATTAAATGAAGTACACAACTCTATAAATAAATCTCTAGGTATTGCCACGATATCTTCAAAGCTGACTGTACTCTTAAGCTGGTAGTCCAAAGTACATGAAATGTTAAACATTTGACCAAACATTGTTGCATTAAAGTATCCCAAAGATCGACCTGAGGGATTCTTATCATTCCTGAGGAGATCCAAAAGGTTACCCACAGTCTTTTTTAATAAACCATTATCATCTACTACCGACTCCAGACGATCTTGTAGTCGTTTAATATTCTGCTGATACGCCATCTCAACATCATAACATTTCCTATCAAAGGTTGCTTGATTTACTTGTAAACTTGTATTATCACATACACCAGCAGCGCTGCCATCATAAGCATTAACATTGCCTTGCCACGCGTAAAATACAGGACCAATATATAGTTTTAAACAGTGTTAGAAACTGGTGTGTGGATAACAATGTTGATATACATACCTCCTTTTACCAATTTGTAAACTTTATTTCCATTAAATGAATATTGCTTGACGTTCCATGATGCAATATCTTTAAAAAATGTCATAATATATTCAATTGTTGTTTGACTATTGTCTAGTTGTTCGAGGTCATGATTAACAAACACATTATTACAAATATCAATAATTTGATCCGCGGTCAAACATGTAGCATCTGTGAAGTATGTAGGATGTACACCACCATTGTAAGGTACAATTAATTGATTGATCACATATTCCTATTATAAGTGTTATATATCAAAAGTTGTAAGTAATCACTGTATCGATCATAATTTGTGATCAGATTGTAATTTGAAACATACCTTTATACAAGGAAAATGTTTATTTTTTAAGAACTTATAATCATGAGTGCTCTTAGATCTCTTCATCTTTATAAATATAATTCTTTAGTGGGCTAACACTTGAAGGCGTATGTATTGGACTGAGAGAATGATATAATACATAACGAATTACGCGTAACCCAATTATATAATAAGTCAATCCCTTGAATTATAGAACACCTGACAAGTAATAGTTCATAAAGAACAAATCTATAAAAAAATTAGAGATGAAATACACTATGTATTAATAATGAACAATGGTTTTATTTATCACAAAAAAATTATAATGATCCAATTTTTTTATAAAAAAAAAAATTAGTGGAAACACTCTTTGAGAAAAAAAATAAAAAAAATATATAAAATTATTTGTTTAAAAATATTTGTGAAAGAAAAAAAAGTTATAAATTTGAAGATGGAAATTATTTAGTAAATTTTGATCACTAGAGTGATACATAATTATTAATGTTAATGTATTTTAATGATTCTTTAATATTTTGTTCATAATACTCTTATCTTCACCTCTAATTAATATATTAAAAAAAGAAAAATTATAAAAAAAAATCATCTATTTAATTAACAACTTGAGTTTATAGTTTTTGATGTATCACAATTATAGTTATAGATTAAAAGATATCTAAAAATCAAATACTTGAAAGTTAGAGATAAATCCAATATAGTTTTAATTTTTTTGCAAGAATCATATTCTATAAGTTGATAATCTGCCTCAATATGAATATATTTCAATACTATGTTATCAACACTGTACGTACAACTCTATCGATGGAATTATTTCAAACAAATGAAATAAATAACCAAGGACTATTTCAAAAAAGATTGTAAAGATAACAAACAGTACCAGGTTACACTTAGATTCATCATTATTATTTTCATTTAATTTTTATAATTTTCTCTTCTTCTAATATATTTCATTTTCATTCTTTAGTTATATATTTAGATTCACAAACACCAACTCAACAGGAAACACTATATTCCAAAAAACATCATTTGTTTTACAAGTCTCAGAGGTTCTCATATTAATGATCTGTTTTGGATACTATTCTGGACTGGATGGTCATCATTCTAGTATTGAAAAATGAATGTGCTCAAGATAGAAAGTATTATACAAAGATTCTCCAATATATATTTATCAATTCTACAATATTCAAAGATGGTGATTGAAGAAAGAAATCATTGACTTACTTGAATTACCTGTTCTAATAGGGATCTTAAGATGAATATCTTATTAATTGTTAATATTACCTTTAAGTTAAAACTCTGTAATGATCAACTTTTGTTTTATTTTTATTTTTTTTTTGTTTTAACCACCTAAACTGTTTTGCTCTACAACTTTTGCCAAATACGCCAAGTCTCCTTAAACAACAAAATTTACCTACTCAACAACCAAAATACAAAAGGATGATGTGTATTTGCAAAACAACTAGAAGGTATTAATAAAGGCATGAGGTTTTGTAAAGTAGTATTACTGTGAGTAGTACAGCTTTAACAAAAGGTTGGAAAGATATGTAGAAAAAAATAATAAACTTAACTCGATATTTATATATGTTATAAATGAATATGAATAGGAATATCGAATTAAGGATTTGTTTGGTGTATTTATAGTTTCCCGTAATCCATAATGAATGGATTGATTCGGTTGGAACCTAAAATGGAATCGTCAGCGATTTCCAGACTTAGGATCCGAAATTTTTTGTTGACTTGTTATCAGTCAACAAATTGCAGGTATTGATATTAACCTGCTAGTTCGTGTTTTATATTATATATACATTCTCACACTGGCTGTGAGAAATAGCCAATCAAATACTATTATTATTATTATTATTTTTGTTTATAGTTATTATTAATTAATAAGCTTAGTAGTATTAGGATAGAATAGATCTAACAGTAGTTGAGTGTTGATGAACAACAGTATAAAGTGGTGGCACGTAGTTGAGGATTTAGATTCCAATCAGATTTAAATTTGCAGAGCAATCGACAGTGATTCCTTGGGAGATAGAATTAGCGATTGTGAAGCTAAGCTTGTGGTAATTGGCATCGATTAATTTGGTGTAATGGGTGACTGCTCTCTTGACGGTTTTTTCAGCTTGTAATGGGTACCATCACCAAACATTTCACAGGACAGCGCCTGCCATAACGAATGTACGATAGCAGCAGTAAGGTGGGTGAAGTGGACAGTAGTATTGAATAGGACCTTCGAACTTAATGCACGAGTGCTTCCAAATGCGAAGTCTATAGTTACAGTACTTGTGGTATATATGTTTGATAAAGGGAAAGGAACTGCTGTGAAACTACATTCCTGCATATGAAGAAGAAATGTTCATGTGGGTTGCTGAGTTCAGTAAACGTGTAACCACGGATCTCACAGACATGACCAGTGCGCTTGTGGTTGATGGGAAAACAAATTTTGTAACCAATGGATTACAAATTTTTGTTTTATCCGCATGCGCACCATGTTTATTTAAAGTTTTGTATCGACATCTGCAGGATTCGAACCTGCGCCCCCGAAGGGATTTCCTTAGCAGGGAAACGCCTTAAAACCACTCGGCCAAGATGTCTTGTTGAAAATGAGAAAAAAAATTTTGATGTCATTCGGATTTTGTTTGCCAAAAATTAAACAACACATGTTCCTTCCTAGTACTACATCTTAATTAACTAATATTATTCTTATCATTAAATTTTAATTTTTCGAGAGTGGTACTTCGAATAGCTATCTACCTACCCTCCGATTGTTTTACTATTATAAAAAAAATGCTTCGGTCATTATACAGGTAACATAAGTAGAAACACCTTTTTAGATTTAACAACACAAAAAACTAAACATACTTGAAAGAATTTTTAAACAATGTTTGTGTGTTTTAAAAAAAAATTTAATCAGGACTTTTGGGGCTTTGAATTAAATGTGTCTGTCCGTTTATTAGAATTAATTAATAGTTTAATTGAATTAAATATTTTTATTATTATTATTATTTGTTATTGTTAAATTTTCAAACATAGAATGATAGATAATTCAAAATTTTTATTATTGTTAATCACTTTTACAGTTGTGATTATTATAAGTTTTGCAGATGATGGATGTTTATTAACAGTTGGAACACAATCGTATAACTTTAAAGGACTGTATGTAGTTAAAATTAAAAATTAGACCTAATAATTGTATTAATATTGATTTATTTTAATATTTAGAAACCAAACATATACATATACAGATTCTCTTCGATACACTTATTATTTTAGTATTTGCACTCCAAATGTAAAATGCAGTGTAGTCAATTCACATAGTGGTTCCTGCCAAAATGATCCCCGAATTCAAATGTTTGTAAATTGTGGTCAAGCCAATCAATACATATATCCATTGAGTATGTTTTTTAATATCTTCATCTAGACAATTTTTAAATTAACCTTTATTTCCTATTTTAGCATCTGGAACATCTGGAGGATTACTTAAATATACCAATGGAACCATTTGTAAGATGGGATCAATTCCAAGATCCACTGATATTCAAATGTTGTGCGGAGCTGGACCAACTGTTATAAAATCAGTAAATGAACCAACTTTATGTAAATATGTTATCATTCTAACCAGCTCATTGGCATGTCCAAATGTAGTTTCAACAACTAGTACTACTAGTAACAGCGGGGGAAATTCAATCTCGACTACTGGTAGTATAACAACCGACAAAAATATAATAACCACCTCGGGTAGTATCACAAATCAAGCTATCTCCACGACAGGTAGCATCGGAACAAGCAGTGGTCGTATTTCAACTTCTGGAAGTATTTCCACTTCTACTCAACAATAAGCCAAAAGTAGAAAATAAACAAACTTTGTATTTTTAACACAATCCTACGACGTTAATAATTTCATCATATTTCATTTCCAGAAACAATAAATTATATATTTAGGACTTTTGAATTATATTTTTTTAAATGTTTTTTTTTAATTATATTTATTTAATTATTTTTTTTAGTTATTGTTGTTACTGTTGTTGTTATTATTGTTGTTGTTTGAGATATCAACTATCTTGCTATCCAAGTTTGATGGTTTCTTATCTTGAAGCATTTGCTTGACAATGTCCAATTCTTCTTGCTTTCTGGCATCAGTGAATTTCTCCTTGAGTTCACTCTCCAATACGTTGATCATCTTGTTGGTTGGTAAGGTTTCCAATTGCTTCAAGAACTCTGCTTCTAGTTCGGCCAACTCGTTATCGTTGATCTCTGGTGCACTCTCTACTGCAGTGACTCCACTGCTCTCTCTTTCAATTACATCCTTACCAATGTCATATTCATCTGAAATCGATGTTGGTTCACTGGTAGCAGCAGCAAATGTCTCCAAATTCAATGATTCTAATTTAATATCTTCTGTTGTTGGTGTTGTAGCTGTAGTAGTTGTTTCGCTATTATTTTCTTCTGAAGCAGCAGCAGGCAATTCCAATTTATCAACATTTCCATCTGACTCTTCGTCCAACTCGAGATTCTCTTCCAATGCCGCCAAATCTTGTTCATCGTCGACATCGTCTTCGTTATCTTTATCTTTTTCGGTCTTGATCGACAATGCTTCCTCCTCTTCACGGAGCTTAGCTTCCTTGGCGGCAACCAATGCCGGGTCGTAGAGCTTGTTGAGCTGACCGACGTCCTTACCCTCGGCAGCCAACTCTGCCTTGAGAGTCTCGAGGAGAGCATCGTAGTCGATCTTCTTTCCGTTGTCATCGAATTGCTCGACGGCGTTTTCAATCTCGGCGTGACGATCCAAGATGAGATTACGATTTCTGGGCAGACGTGTCAGGATCGCCTTGTTGAACAAACGGTACTTGGCGTATTGCATTTCATCGGGTGTACGATTCCATAGCATGCACTTATCGTTCATCTCGACGAGCCATTCACGACGTGCCTTTGTCTCGATCGCCTCCATCTTCTCACGCTTCAGCTTGGCCAGACGTTTGCGCTCTGCTTTCTGTTCGACCTGTTGTTGACGTGCCTTCTCGAAACCCATATCCAAGAGGAAGAGAGATTTCTTCTTTTCGGCGAGTTCCTTCTTGATCTGTTGTTTCTCGGCCTCCATCTTTTGGTGGTTGGCAGCTATACGCTGACGACGATCCTCGATGAACTCCTTCTTATATTGAACGTGTCTTTCCTCTGCCAAATAAGCAAGACGTTGCAAGTTCTTCTTCATCTCTGCATTCATCAATTTTCTGTGAAATACCAACTTTTCACCCCATTGTTGACCTCCTTGTTGTACTAATCTATTCATCTTTTATTATTATTATCTATATATCCAATATCTTATTAACCTAAACTAACTTGTTTTTGTTATTATTATACAATTAAATATTTTGTGATCAATATTCAATATAATTATTAATCTAATTAGATTAAATTGATATATATTAGAGTTGAATAGATATGAATGATAATAGTTTGATCATAGCAGTGTGTGAAAAACTTTAATGATCAGCTACAAGAAAAAAAAAAAAACAAAAAAAAAAAACGAAAAACTTTTTCATTTTTTATTAAATTTTTGATCCATACCAATTGTGTGATCTGATTGTTTATGTTATGAATAGATAAAGCAACAATCCATAATATAATTTTGATTATCTGTTGATCAACATTTAAAGTTTATAGTTTTTATCAGTTGCGATTATCTTTTATATAACAAATACATACAAATATTTTAAAAAAACAAATAATCAATTTTAACATTATCATTTCTAAAGAAATCAACATGAATGAAGAATTTAAATTTAAATTTTGACCAATCAATCTATCAATCTTATAAATAAAAATCAATCAAGTAGTTTGAACATTAATTAAAAATATCTTATTCTTATTTTGTTGTTTTTGTAAAAATTTTTTTTTTTATTTTTTTAAATTAAACTTCTATCGAAAATGACAGATAATAATAAAGTGATTGTTATAACAGGAGCATCATCTGGTATTGGTGAATCACTTGCAAAGTCATATGCAAAGAGAAAAGATACATCTTTAGTGTTGGCATCTCGTGACATTGTAAAATTAGCTAGAGTTCAAAAAGATTGTATACAACTTGGTTGCAATCAATGTATAATCATTAAATATGATGCTTCAAATCAATTAGATTGTGAGTATGTAATTATTATTATTATTAATATCAATAATTATAATCTAAAACTTGTATACTAAACAACTTTTATCTTATTTTATATATAGATCATTGATAAAACAAACATTGTTAAAATTGAAAAAGATTGATCTGCTAATATTGAATGCAGGTGTTTCCTATCATAATCTATTCAGACAATCAAAGGATCTATCGGTCTATCGTCAGATGATGGATATCAATTTCTTTGGCTACATGTACACCACCTATTATGCACTGGATCAAATGGTTGGACAGTACGAAAAGACCGGCGTTAAAGCACAGATCGCCGTCGTCTCTTCGGTATCCGGTGAGCTAGGTCTTCCACTACGCGCTGGTTATTGTGCATCGAAATTCGCAGTCAACGGTTTCTTTGAGTCGTTGCGCATGGAGGTACCACAGATCGATTTCACAGTGCTGATGCCCACCTCTGTAAATACACCGATGCGTCAACACTCACTAGGTCATAGCAACAACAGCTGCAACAACAACGATAGTTCAACCAACAAGATACAATTCAATGAAGATGAAAGTAAACGTATGTCTCTTGAGGATTGTTGTTTCGTTATTGTTAGATCGATCGATGCCAAACGCAAGAAAGTGGTGTTTCCCTTCAGTAACTATCTAGCCACCGTTATCAAACCGATCTTTCCAAACTTTATAGAACGAATGGCAATGAAGAAAGCTGGTGGTTCTATTGTACCTCAATCAAAGCTATAACTAAAAAATAAACAAACCAACTTATATAATATATATTGTTACGAAAGTATACTTTTCTTTTTCTTTTACATTTTTTTATTTATTTATAAAGTTGTTTTTTTATTAAAGTTTAATAAAACAACAATCTGATACTATATCCATTAATATCTTTCTTGTTTTCTCACAAGATGTCTCAATGGTTGCCTCTGTTATCGATATACGCATGATTGTTTCCACTTGATTCGTACCGACCATATGATAAATCTTTAGAGTAGCCATTGAGTTATTACCGATTTTATTATTATTATCTTCTATTTCCGTTTGTATATTATTATATCCTTTCTATAATTATTATTTAAGTTGGTTAAGTTTGTTAGTTTTGTTTAGTTTAGTTAACTGTTATTGAATATTAATATGAATAACTACTTATTCATTGATCGATTTAAACACTTACTTGATAGATTTGTTTAATTATATTTTGAATTGAAAGAGAACCCCATAGATATTTCTCTTTCCAATGTGATAGACTACTTAGATCTGAAATGTTTGGATTGGTGAGATGATATTTATGATCGGAAAGTGAGAGTACCGCTTCTATTTGAGCAACCGATACAGAGTTTTCACCATTATCTACCAACAACTTTGGTTGTATCTGTTGTGCCAATGTCTTATCTAAATGACCATTCTCATACCTCTTTTTACTACTCTGTTTGATCTTTACAATATCATTTGGATTCATATAGGTTGTATTACCTTCACTTCCACTTGATTGTTTATTCTTTATAATATTTGTATCTTAAATAATATCAACAACATAGCTACGTTAGTAACAAAGTAACAAACAATATTAAAAATGATAATATTGTACATACATTGATATGATGTTATTAAAGTTGAAGGTGATATCTCCATTATTAAATCATTCATTTCATTGGTTGAGAATCTAGAGTCGATCGGTATGAATTGTATTCTACATTGTAGCTGTTGGTTGAATGGTTGCAGTGTCTTTTTAAAGTCGTATTCTGGCTCGATCAGGAGAATCGAATTCTTTGGGTTGTCTCCCCAGATGTTGATCATGTGAACGACGTCACCGACACGACACGACGGATGACCGACAAACACGATGCTGCCTTCTTTCGGTTGGAATCGCGATGTGATATGAGTGACCGGTGTAAAGTGTTGATTACGTATCATATCCTGGTGGAGGAACGGTGCTTCCGGCATGTAAGACCGCTCTTTCTTGGCGCGATTCAACCACTCCGAGTAGATGTCTGCATATGACAGCACAGCCTTGGCAATCTGTGAGATAAAGTAGATGTGGACGAACCCCAGACCCACCTTTGAGAGATACTCTGAGAGTGGTTCTAGCAAGTCGAGAATCGTACCGCATGAGTAGGTTGGAATGAGAACGTTGCCACCTGAACTCAGTGTTGAACCGATGTTTGAGAACAACTCGGCGATCGCATCGTTGAGAGTGATCTGCGGGTAGACATTCAGCTTTGTAGCGATGACAAGATCGGCATTCCTCAGAGATTGACGGTCGAACGGCTCTGGATATCTCGTATTATAATTGGAACTATCCGAGAGATATACAATCTTCTCATAGTTATTCTCGACAATCCAATTCGATCCACCCAAACAATATCCAGAGCTAACAGCTCTAATTGTAAATCCATAGAATTTCTATAATAATAATAATAATAATAACAAGAAAACAAACGTATATATATATTAACATCATCATCATTATTTATCTATATTGTTGTATGTTATATAACATAGTCTTACTAAATATTCATTAAATCTAACGGTTTGTATCTTTTCAAAACATTTCTCAGTATCATGATGATTGTAGAGATCTCTCCAATAGTAAGCATATTTGAATACATTGTTTGATTGCGCTGCACCAATCTGTTTTAGAAGATCAATCGATTGCCAATATTGATTTCTAGTTGTTTTTGATTGTTTATCTATTTGTACTAACTCATCTAATAGTAATCTAATAATAATATAAGTAGATAGTTAGATAATGTTTAACAAATTAGTATATATATATATTATGATCGTTGTTTATGATAATTATCATATCAATTAACTATAGTTACCTTCCATATTGTAAAGTAGGTTCAGTCGCATAGATCTTTCCTTTGAATGATGTATACTCTGTTATAAAAGGTAGTGCATAGATGTTTGTATAGTTTGATATGAGTATGATATCGATGGTTTCGAAATCAACAAGATCCAATTGAGGTATCTGATATTTAATACCGCTATCTATGAATATATAGTTATTAATCGATTTAAAACAACTACTATTCTTTAATGAATTATCTACATTATTATTATTTTGCGTTGTTGTTGTTGATGATGATGTTGATGTTGATGATGTTGCTCTATAATTAATAATAGGTGTAATAGGTAGAAATTGTAATATAGATGTAAAATCAATAGCACAATCCAAGAGGATTCTAGTATTATTGAAATCTAATAAATAACAAGGATTACCTAAACTATGCTATGCAATGCAATATTTAATGTTAGATTATTTGAATTAGTTCAAATTTATACTTTTATACTTACTAATTTCATATTTATAATATTAATATACCAGTGTGATGATCAATTTAAACAACTTATATTAATCCAAATATGGAAATAATTTTTGATCATCAAATCTGAAAAAAAAAAAAAATGGTCATTAATAAATAACAACCGATAAATAGTTTTTTATTTTCATCTATCTTTTTCTTATATCTATAAAACAGATAAAAGATGTTATCGAGGACATCATTACATAGTTATACTATTACTAAAAACAGTAATCGTTTATTCAATTCATTTAATAGAATATTTAGTCAGAATGTTGTTACTCTTTTAAAGAATAATAATAATAATAATAATATAAATAATATCAATAGTAATATAAGAAGTTATGGTAGTAGTACTACTACTACTAAACCTGTTGTAATAGGTCAACCTACACATGAAACACATCCACATCTATTGGATAAAGGTGAAGGTAATGTATATTGATTGTCTTTTCATTAATAATGTAAATAAAGTGTTAACATTTAGTGTTATTGTATATATAATAGTTATAAAGGGAATCAAATTGGAGGAGTTTAAAGAGAGAAGAAGATTGTTGGCAGAGACATTACCTGTTGGTTCGATTGCATTGATTATGACACCACCAGAACCGATGATGTCGTATGACATTCCCTATCATTTCAGACAACACACCAACTTCTATTATTTTACTGGTTTGAACGAACCTGAGGCTATATTGGTTATCGAAAAGACATCGGACACTCAATATAAAACATCGATCTATTTGCGTGAGAAGATACCAGAACGTGAGATTTGGGATGGTCCAAGATGTGGTTTCGAAAATGTAACAAAATTATTTGGTGTTGATTTTGTATGTTAATAATAATAATATTGATCAGTCAGTTAAAAAAATTGAATTCTATATATATAGAACTAATAATGTATTTTATTTTATTTCTAGGGATATCCATTAACACAATTAGATCAATTAAAAGAAACAATTGGAAAATATAAACAAGTTCTTTTGAATAAGGTGGAATGGAGTAAAGTTTTTGAGAAACTTGGAAATCTACAGTATTATGATTTGGAGAGATATCTACAACAGATGAGATTGGTAAAGTCACAGGCAGAGATCAAGATGATGAAACAATCTGGTGATATCGCTGGTGATTCATTTAAGGAATGTATGAAATATATTCGACCAAACATGAACGAGCAAGAGCTAGGTGCCTATTTTGAATTTTCAATCAAAAAGCGTGGTGCTCAGAGAATGTCATATCCTCCTGTTGTCGCCGGTGGTAACAATGCAAATACCATACATTACATTTCAAATAATATGTTATTAAAGTAAGTGTTGTCAATCAATCAATCAATGTTATTGTAATTATTAATAACAAACTCTCAATTGAATTTATTGAAGAGATGGAGATTTATGTTTAATGGATGCAGGTGCTGAGTATTGGGGATTCACAAGTGATATCACTAGAACCTATCCTGTGAACGGTCGTTTCAGTCAGGCACAACGTGAGATTTATGAAGCGGTTTTGGATGTAAATAAGCGATGCATAGAGTTGGTCAAACCTGGTGCTTCTATCAATTCGATTCACGAGCAATCGGTACTGATGATTACGGAGCATCTTCAACGACTTGGAATATTACCGAGTGGCAAAACAGTGAGTTCGCTGGCAAGAAGTGGTGTCTATCATAAATACTACCCACATTGCATCGGTCACTATCTTGGAATGGACACACACGACTGCATCGATATCAGCTACGGCGAGACTCTGACCGAGGGTATGATCATCACAATCGAACCGGGTATCTATATCGATGCCAACGACATGTCAGTCGATGAGAAATACCGTGGAATCGCCATTAGAGTTGAAGATGACGTTGCCATCGTCAATGGCAAACCATTCGTTTTAACATCGAGAGCGCCAAAAGAAATTTCAGAGATTGAATCGTTGCAGAAATAATATTGAAACACTCAAATCCAATGACATTTTCATAATTAAAAAAACATAACAATGGTAACGTTATAAATAGATATTTTATATTTATTAATTTTAATATATTTAAATGAACAAAATGGGTGTTCAATTAATTAACTCAACATTTTTTTGTTTTTTTTTTTGTTAAATGAATTGTAACGTTATTAATTTTTTAAACATCAATCCTATAATTAATATTTTTAGGTAGATTTTTTACAAAGTAAATTTTCTATAACTTTTAAAAACTAATTATTTCTATAACAGTGGATATTTAATTTACTATTATTTATCATAATTATTGGTTTTAGTCAAAGTTATACATAGATATAGTCATTTTTGTTATTATTTATAAACTTTTTTTTCGAACATGGAAATTTCAAATTTTTTTTTGAAAAAATATTTTTTGGATAATAAATCATTATTAAAATTAATAATATTGGCAACTATAGAATTTCGGAATAAACTATACAAATAATTTAATATTTCAAATAGAAAGTTCTAAAACAAATGATTTCAAAATTATGATTTCCAACAGTTTTGTTTGTCCATACTATTGTTTGAAATACCAAATTTCAATAAGATTCCAATCATTAACGGTAGATTTGATATGAATATTATTCTTTATTTGGATTTCTCAAAGTTTGTAATATGGCGCCATTAATCTATACTAATAAATATGGATTAAAATGAATTTGATTCCAATTTAATTCCTAAACTCCTCACTATAAATAGTGATGTTTTTGTTTAAAATTCATTCATTCATTTAACAAAATCTATTAACTTATCATAATATTATATTTTAATTACATACTTTTTAAAAAAACCTTAACAATTTTTTTTTATCACCAATATTTTTAAAATGGTTAGAACAAAGAATACTGCTCGTAAGACTGTTGGAACTAAGGTACCAAGAAAGATGATTTCTCAAAAAACAGCTCCAATGGAACCGGTATCTGGTATGAATATAGAAATTATATTAAAATAAATAAATAATTAAATTTTTAAAAATTTTTTTTACTTTAATTATTTTTAGGTGGTATTAAAAAGACACATAGATATAGACCAGGAACTGTAGCTCTAAGAGAGATTAGGAAGTACCAAAAGTCTTCAGAGTTACTTATACGAAAACTACCATTCCAAAGACTAGTTCGTGAAGTAGCCCAAGAATTTAAAACTGACTTGAGATTCCAATCATCTGCTATTGCTGTAAGTTCATACATATTATTTTACTCTTATAAAAATTATCTATAACATTTTATTTTAAATTGAAATAGGCACTACAAGAAGCATCAGAAGCTTATCTTGTTGGTTTATTTGAAGGTATGTATATAATAAAATTAATTTGATCTAAGTTTTTTTTTTTTGTCAAAATCTAATAGCTTTTTTATTTTATTTTTTTATTTTTTCAAATATAAGATACCAATCTTTGCGCTATCCATGCCAAGCGTGTCACTATAATGCCAAAGGATATGCAATTAGCCAGAAGAATAAGAGGTGAACGTACCTAAAGCCACCAAACGTTTTTTTTTTTTTTTTTTTAACAAAAATAACCAAAAATAGATAAATAAACAAATCCAAATCATTTAAAACCGTCAGATTTGATGTTCAATAAGTTTAAATGAACGATTTCTGATTCTCTAATTTTTCAACTCATTCTCTAAAATCAAAGTTAAATTTATATGAGAAAGCAATCAAATTGGTCCCCCACCTGAAAATAAAAGAATTTAATATAGTGTTTCTTTGTTCATCAGGAATGTCTTCAAAAACAAAAATGTGAGTAACACGTTTGAAATTTTTTGATCAAAGAAATCCAAAAGTAAAAAAAAAAAAAAATTGAAAAAAATTTTTGCTTAGACAATTCCATGGATTGTAGCTGGAAACTTGACTTCTATAAGAACTGGAAACCCTGTTTGTTTGAAATAAATCCAATATTTATAAAAATAATAATTACAATTAATTATTTATATTTCTATTTTTTAATATTTATCCAATAATAACAATATTTTTTCCAACTATATTTAATTAATATTAATCTTTTATATTTATTTTTTTAACTAAATCCTATAAACTTAATTATACCTTTTTTTTAATAATATACTATTTATTCATAAATAATTTTAAAAATGGGAAGATTTAATAAAATGAAAAATTTCTTGTGCTTAAACAATAGTTGGAGATTTACTTTAAATTCCAAAGAAACACATGTTACAATTACACAAAATAAGACAGTTGAAATCAATGGTCAAGAGATTGCCTCCATTTACAATAGAAATATGTTGCGTTTGGAGTTTGTTTATGAAGATCATATGTTTTATGTTTGTGCTGGTAATGCCTTGCCATTCTTTGGAATCAACACTCAATTGTACATGGACCAAGTTAATATCATCAATGGAAGACAATACCACACTACCCCAATTTTCGAGCGTATGCTTCTCTTAGTGTCTGTCTATTTGTTTGGTGTTTTCTTTGGTTTCTGGACACTTATTCCAATCGCTGTATATACTATCTGCCTCTACATGTTCTTCAGACACCGTAACTATGTAATTGTACAATTGCCATCACAACTCCAGGAACACCAAGGTGTAACGGCCATCGCTCCAGTTCATGACCAATCCAGAGATAGACTTGTCACCTACGGAACTAACAATCCAATTATGACTCATGTATTATTACCAATCGACGAGAAACTCCAACAACTCCGTCAACCATCTACAAACACCGTTGTCATTCAACCACAAATGCCACCAACCACCTACATCACCAACCCAGAGGAACTAAAGCAATTGCAACCAATCCCAACTCAACAAACACAAGTACAACAGCCACAACAACCCCAATACACTGTAATGCCAACTCAACAAAGCCAACCACAAATGCAACAAGGAATGTATCCACAATTCCAAACACTTTATTCTCCATACCAACCACAACCAACTGGTCAATTATATCCATCATACATCCCACCAGTCCCAATGCAACAACAACAACCAATGCCAACTTCACAACCAAAATCTGTTTAAAATCAATTTTTTAAATAAATAAATCTTTTTTTTCCACTTATAATTTATTTAATTAAATTTTAGAGCTTGAAGATCACTTCTATTTTCTATTATTATTATTATTTATATTCAAAAAATTGTCTTGGCCTTTGATTACCGTATAATATTGTTGTAGTAGAGTTGTTGTTTTGTCATTGATAATCCTTTACTAAGTGTAATTCATCTCCATTAAAAGTGCACTTGAAAGGTTTTTATATGAGCATGGATTTGTGTTTATAATTAATTTAGGTTACATTCAAGTGGTTTTGAATAATTTTTAATTAAAAATTATTATTATTTGACCGGCGATTATTTATAAAAAATAAAATGAGGATGGAATTAATCTAATCTTTTTTTAATTTTTACATTATTTTAAGTTTTTATTCTCTTGCTTTTTGAAGGAGTTGTCTCCTTGTTAATTGTTCACCATTGGGAAGTGTGATGGTTTGTTTGTTGTTCAAAAGAGTTAATCCAATGTCTTTGTAAACCCAGGATTGTGTATTATCCAACTTGTTTGCTTCCAATAATAGTTGTTGCTTTGTCATTGTCACACCATTGTGGAGGGTGAATGTTTCATTTACATACAGTGTTTCTGCAAAGTTAACATATAAATGTGGAATATTTGGTCCACACTCTATTGCTTTGGCAAATAGTTGCTTTTCTGTCATGGTCTGTCCATTATTAAGTGTAATTGATTCTCCTCTCGAAAGTGTAATTGCAAGGTTATAATATGGGTTTGAAATGGTTGGATCACATTCTATTACCTTTAAGTATAGTTGTTGTTGTGTCATTGATTGTCCATTGTTAAGTGTGATCGATTCACCCTCTGAAAGTGTAGTGGCAAGGTTAGAATATGCACCAAAATTATATGGATTACACTCTATTGATTTCAAGAGTAGTTGTTTTTCGGTCATTGATTGGCCTGATGGAAGAATGATAGATGAATGTTCATCATTAAGAGCGACAGATAACTTATGATAAGCTTTTGAATGATTTGGGTTGATATCAATGATTTTCAACAAGAGTTGTTCTTTGTTCATTGATTCACCCGATGGCATTAAGATTGTCTTTTGATCATTGTTGGAGTCAATATCGAGTGTCATTGCAAGTTCGTAGAGTGCATCTGTATCATTTGCATTGATACCTATTGCATTCAGATATATCTGTTGTTTATTTTCCATTTTTCTTTTCAAATGATTTATTCTATTTTAAATAGAAAAAGAAAAGATGATGAAGTTAGTTTTTTTTTAATTATTTGTAATTTTTAGATCTAAAAAAATTCGATATCTTTTATTTTATATATATTCAAACATCTATTTTAATATTCATTGATTGTCTCTTAAGAATGGAAAAGTTTAAAGCTATTAGAAGAAAGTTTGAGTATCAAGGTAGAACTATATATGAATGGGATCAAACACTTGAAGAAGTTAATATTTATATAGAGGTACCAGAGGGTGTATCATCAAAGATGATAGCTTGTCAGATCACATCAAATAAACTTATATTAGGTATTCGTGGTAACCCTCCATTCATAGATGTATGTAGTAAATAAGTATTTCTAAATTAATCAAACGCGATACAATAACTAAACAACGAATCGAACGATTTTGTTTGTTATCACAAAAAGGAGGAGTTTTTTAGTACAATAAAACAAAAAGATAGTTTTTGGACGTTGGAAGACGGTGTAATCAATATAACACTACAAAAGATGGATAAAGGTGAAACTTGGTTTGCAGCACTGAAAGGACACGGCAATCAGATCAGTGGTGACTCGCATCTCAACGAAGAGGTAAAGAAATCAATGATGTTAGAGAGATTCCAAGAGGAGAATCCCGGTTTCGACTTTTCATCTGCAGAGTTCAACGGTCAAGCACCTGACCCTAGAACATTCATGAAAGATCTAAGGAAATTCTAAACTACTACTCTGGTATATGTATATATAATATAATAATAAAAAAAATCAACTACTCTTTGTACAAAAAAAAAACAGAATAACATTTATAATTCTAGCAAGTTCAACAGTTTTGTTAGATCATCGATTCACTATTAACATATATATATATATATATATATATATATATATATATATATATAATGAAATTAAGACTGTAATTAAAAGAAAGATTAATAAACTAAGTGTGAAGTTGTTTGTAGAAGATAGGTAATTACCAACCAAATACTTTTAACAATATAATACCCTTTGGTGTATGTTTGTCATGTAGAATTAATAATAATAATAAAAAAGATCTATTTAAGATGTCTGTATTTTATTGTTATATGACACTTGACATATGATTAAAAAGAAAGAAAACGAAACAAAAGTGTACAAAAAGAAGGGGAAGGGAAAGAATATTTAGAGTTGATTTTGACTTGATGTAAATACAATGTAATATTATGATTATGATTATGATTATTATATTATTTATATAAAGAATGTTATTTAATTCCAACCATCTTCTTCATCTTTCTTGTGGAAATATGCCATGAAAGCAATCAATGTAGCATAAACTGTAACACCTCCTGCAATTGCAAATCCTAATGATTCATATGTAATCTATAATAATAATGATGATGATGATGATGATGATGATAATAGAAAGTTGTTTGTTAGATAACCTGTTACTGAATTCAACTATTAAAGTGTTTGTTTTTCAAAAACATACAATTGAGGAGTGTGCCATGATGGCTGGAATAGCAAATCCACTGATAACGAAAAATCCTGTCAAGAACATACCCAAATCTGTCAAATTTCTATAGGATTTTAGTTAAATGATTACAGATGTCAGTTAGTTCTAAAGTTAAAGATAATGATCACTAACAAATATAGACATACCCTGACTCACTTGAGAATGCGTCTCTATTCTTACATATCAAATTGGGGAATGGTGCTAGGAAATACGATGCAACTACAATGATTGGCCATCCAGAGTGTGAGAATACACATGCCAATATATTCATCAAGAGACCTACTGCGAATGCACAGGAGAATCCAATAATTCTAAATGATTATAAAAAAAAACAGTAACAATAAACAACAAATTAGGTTAACTATATTTATGATCTACCATCGATTATTAGATTTCAGATTGATCAATATTTGTATAGTTCATAGCCATCAAAACTACTTTTGTTATCTATCAAACTATCAATCAATCAATCAATCTATCTGTCTAACTAATCAATCTATTTAATTAAATATTTACACTAGAATATTATTGAATTCATTCATGTTAGTAAAACTAGTATTAATGCAATATAAACTGAATGTGTAAATGTGGATTGTAATGTTTATGATTATGAATATGATTATGATGTTTAGTTTGTTGTTTGAACTTACCTTTGATATCATGAGCCATCGTTAGTTATATTATAATTTTATTATTGAGAAAAACTCTTATATATTAAAATACTATATTTATATTTATACTATAATTATTCAATAGCTAATAACCAAAGGCTAATTTAATTGATTAAGAAAGGAAAAACAAGCAAACAAAAAAAGTTATGTTAAAAAAATAATAATAAATTAAATTAAACAACAATATTCTAATGTGTGTTAGATGAGAATTGACAACACACAAAAATAAAAAATAAATAATAAATAATAATTGATTTAAACTTTATACTAAGTTATGTGATTTATTAGTGTGAAAGACTCTTATTATGATCAACTAACACCACTCCACAAAAATATATTAATTAAAAAAATGTGTAAATTTTTTTGAAATTCAAAAATCATATTCCTTAAAATGTAAGAAATTGTAGAGCTCTGCTTGCATTGCTTTTTATTTTATCAATCGATTGATAACAACAATGATTTTAAAGAATGAAGAATAAATAAAACAAATATAATAAAAATAATAGTTTGATTTAAATCTTTAAAGATTATGACTTTTCTTTCTTTGACCAAGTTCACCTACCTTCTTTGGGATCAATCAAAAAAAATAAAAATAAAAATAAATTTCTTTTTTTTTTCCTTGTTTGGCATATTACATGAGTGTAAAAGCCAACAAAAATAAACAAAGATAAGATAACTGTAAAAATGAATGACATAGATATACAAAATAGTAATAGTTATTGCAATAAAAGTTTTTACTTTAAAAAGATATTAAATTCTCAATTTTTGAGAAATAAAATATTCAGAGATGTCAAACAGATTCACAGACAAAATAACACTCTCAATATGATGTTCGATTGGTATGATCTTGGATGCTTCCCAGTGGAGTTGATCAGATTCAATCAGATCGAAAGATTCAAATCGATTTTCAACTGTGTCATATCCGCTGTCAGTAGTCAATCATATGATATCGAAGTATTAAATAGTTTCCTATTATCATTCATGGATTCGTTATCGTTGGCAAGACGTGATTTGATTGAACTCGTTTATCAACATGTTAGAAGTAGCAGTAACCTGTGTGATAAAATAAACTTCAAATTGATTCATGATAAATCAATGGTACACGGACATCTACCGATAATCCAATTCCTTCATGAAAACAAAATCGATTCTGTATTCAAAGGTGACTCGATGAAGCTGGCCGCAATGCATGGTCACCTTCATATTGTACGGTGGCTACACGAGAATAGAACAGAAAAGGTCTCGGAATCTGTGATGGACTTTGCAGCTAAAGGTGGACATTTAGAGATCGTCAAGTTCCTATTTACCAATCGAACAGAAGGTTGCTCTTCAGCTGCTAAAGATCAATGTAAACACTTGCCAACTGCACAATTCCTTCATCAGAACCTAACGGATCCATTGATATCGTACAAAGTTGCAGTGGAATCTGGCGATCTCGAGCTGGTAAAGTTTACTCTCGAGAGCTATCCAGAACAATATAAACCATACTACATTATACACGCAATAACCAATAAACAATATGAAATTGCCACTTACTTGCTGGAGAATCGCACTGAGGGAAAGATTAGTGGTCGAACAATGAATAGCGCCGCTTTCCAAGGTAATTTCGAACTGGTAAAGAAAATTCATGTCAGTGGAAGACTAGTTTATCCACACAATGAAATACAGAGTGCCGCGATGTCTCTATCTGAAAATCGACTGGAAATCATCGAGTTTCTTCATCAACACCGACAGACTGTTGGGAGCATGGATAATATCGATGCACCCTATTGGGCTGCATCGCAAGGTGATTTGGAATTATGTAAATTCCTTCATCGCAATGGATACCGTGGCAGTATGTCTGTAAATCAAGCGGCACTCAACGGACATACGGAAGTACTTCGATTCTGTACTGAGAATCGAACCGAACTTCTTAGCTCAAACATTCTAGGGCTAGTCGCTGAAAACCAACATTTCGAAACACTCCAATATATTTTCCAGAACAGAAGTGAAGTTACTTTAAACGATGAAGTAATGGATCGTTTGGCAATTTTTGAGACTCCCGATGCAATGGAATGGTTCTCAGCGAATTCCAATGTACAATTCACTTCGAATGCATATTACTTTGCATGTGAGAACAATAGATTGGCAAACTTCCAGTGGTTGTACGAAAAGATGAAAGTATCATTGAGGAAGGATATAGATCAGACGGCTGCTAGTCGTGGACGCTTGGAGATAATAAAGTATCTACACACTATAAATGCTCCATTTTCACAAAAAACAATGGACTTTGCTGCTATTTCTAAAAATCTCGATTTAGTTGCGTTTCTTCATCTAAATCGTACAGAAGGCTGTTCTCCGTCAACACCGAGCTACTCCCATAGCTTTGCAATGACCAAACTGCTTCTAAACTGTAATTGCGGGAATATATCAGAAGACCCAATCTATATACATTACTTGAAAAGACTGGAATTTATCAAAGTTCATAAACTCTGAAACATACAACCTAAAATCAATAAAACATCATAAACTGATTTAATCAAATAATTAAAAGATATTTCAATTATTAGGTATAAACCTATCAAATAATTGAGTTTGATGGAATATTATTCTGAAAAAAAAAACTACAAAACTCTTAGGGTTTTTTTGGACAAAAATTTATAGAAATTCAGAAAAATGTTCCTACTCTGATTATACTACAACCATTAAAAAAAATGAACATAGAAGATAATAGTAATAATAGCTTTTACTTTAAAAAGATATTAAATTCGAAAATATTGAGAAATAGAATATTCAGAGATGTTAAACAGATTCATAGACTCGACCGTTTAGTTTACGATTGGTATGACCTTGGATGCTTCCCAGCGGAGTTGATCAGATTCAATCAAACTGAAAGGTTTAAATCGATATTCATCAGAGTAATATCTGCGCTCAAAGATCAATCGTATGATAGCTCTCTACTAGCTGATTTCAAATCGCTATTCATTAAATCATTGAAACTTGCAAGTGAACGTGGCAAACTTGATTTAATTGAAGTTGTTTATCAACATTGTAGCCATTCACTAATAAACTTCAAAGCTATTCATGATGAGTCGATAAAACATGGGCACTTACCAATAATCCAATTCCTTCATGAAAACAAAATCGATTCTGTATTCAGTGGAGAATCGATGCAATTGGCTGCAATGCATGGTCACCTTCATATTGTGCGGTGGATCCACGAGAATAGGAGAGATAAAGTAACAAAATCAGCTATGGATAACGCAGCTGCCAAAGGTCACCTGCATATAGTCGAGTTCTTACACGCCAATCGAACTGAAGGCTGCTCTTCAAAAGCTAAAGATCTATGCAGTCACCCGCCAACTGCACGATTCCTTCATCGTAACCGAACCGAACCATTGACATCGCTAAACGGTACAATTCGTTCTGGTGATATTGAATTGATCGAATTTGCTCTCAAGAGATATCCGTTTGTCTATAGACCGCTCAATATCATCAGCTCAATATATGATGGTCAGTATGAAGCCACCAAATATCTACTGGCGAATCGCACTGAAGATTGTATTCTGTCGACCATTAACCTAGCTCTGGTGCATGGTCAATTTGAATTGGCCAAACAAATTCACTATCACACTAATGGAAACAATGAAAAATCGAATGAAATAATATTGGTTCTGTCGTCGCCAAACAAAGATAGCGCCAATCGAATGGATATGATTGAATTTCTATATGAACATCGATTTAAAGAGGTAGATTTGGAGAGTTACTATATTATGATGAGTGCTGCAAGAGAAGGTGAACTTGAAATAGTTCGGTTCCTACATAGAAAAGGATATAGAAATACAAGAGAGGTCATGGATCAAGCTGCAATCAATGGACATACAAAAGTGGTGCGATTCCTAAATGAAAACACCACCGAAGGTTGCTCAGCCAATATCTTAGATAGTCTTTCACGCAAAGCGAATACTTTCGAAACATTCAAATATCTCTTTGAGAATCGTAGCGACTGTATCTGTACCAATAAGACACTGAATAGATTGGCATCGTTTGAAAATCAAGAAGCTATGCAATGGTTGATGAATCATAACAACAACCTACATTGTACTGATAAAGCCTATAAATATGCATGTAAGAACAACAGGTTGTCGAATGTCATTTGGTTAAAAGAACATCTTGAATTACCATTCAATGACAACACATCGGAATTCGCAACCGCACCAGAATGTTTAGATTTGATCATATATCTACACAATCAAAACGCTCCATTTTCAAAAGATGTTATCGGTGATGCTGCAGAGCAAGGTTCAAAAGAAATCGTTGAATTTCTACTCACCAATAGAACCGAAGGGTTCAGCGAATTAGCACTGGAGTATGCACTTACAAAGAATGATTTTGCAATAATGAAATTGCTTCTTCTTAATAATAGAGAGAGAATCTCAATACCATCTGAATTGGATGATGAATTAAAATTCAAAAGTTACCCAGAAAGACTTGAATTTATTAAATCTTTAAATATTTAAAGATTTGCAAACATGTTGTAATGTATTAATAATAAATCATTTGTTATCACGATCAAAAAAAAAACTAATATTTTTTGTTATTTTATTTTATTTATTTTTTTTGTCGTTCGTTTTTTGTTTTTTGTTAAATTAAATTTTATTTTATTTCTCACTTTTTTAATTATAATATAAATATATATAGATAAACAGTATTACAAGTTAATATTTAAATAAAAATGAGTGATAATAAGAAAGCAGTACATCCACTATCTAGAAAGGCAAAGAAGATCACTAAGGCTGGTTTCAGAGTGGTTAGAAAAGAAAAGCAGGTTACAATGAAGAATAAAGAACATACTGTATTATGTATGTGTTTTAACTAAAGTTGATTGATTTAATTACTATTTAACTAATGATAACTATTACTTTAACAAAATAGATCAAAAAGTTAAATACTTCCAAGATAAGATTAAAGAGACACCAAAGAAAGTATATACACCAAGAGAACTATCGAGATGGATTGAAGAATATATTAATAGAAACGACGATAAACTTCTGGGAGAAGATGAAATCAAAAAGAAAGTCAATCGTTCAAATACAGCTGATTTATTAAATTCATTAAAAGTTGATGAACTTAAACAATTTAATGGTGATGGTTATTGTATGTATATATAACAACAAAATAATATTATAATAATGATTGATTAGCTATTAACAATAACTAAATGAATACTATAGCTATTCCAGATTTAACAAAGATAAGTAATGTAAAGTGGTTGAATGAATGGGAAGGAAACATGCAACTGATACATCAATTGCAAATGAAGAAATTTAAATCAATCGATGGAAAGGACGACAGTGAAGTATCTACAGATGTTGCAACATCAACTACTACCACCACCACCACCAGCAACAACACTGAAGAACCAAAGTCAATTAGAACACAATTAGAAACACCCGTTACCACCAACCCATTTGCTCTTCTTTCAGCTTCACTAATGAGTAAACCAACAACAACCAACTAAACAAAATAATAATATAACTAAATCCAATGAATTTAGATTTAGATCTAAACAACATTTTAATCAAAAATAAATAGTATTTATTATATTATTTAATATTTATTATTCATCAATTATTATTATTATTGTATGAATAATAAAAAAGAGAGTAACGTTATATAAGACTTTTTTGAATTGATCCATCATATTTTTTTTTTTGGGTAGATGGTCAAAGCAAGGCACAAGTAACGTATTTTTTGTTTTGTTTTTTTTCAAATGTATTTTTTTTTGAATTTTATTTTTATTTTTTTCATTTTTAAATTTTTTTTTTGCCAATTACCATAGAGTACGCTTTTCAAATTTTTTTTGAGGTCATTCATCAATAGAGAATCAACACGATTTTAAGTGGATTAGTATGTGATTCGTTTTTTTATCATAATAATTTTTTTAATAGTAAAAGCAAATAATTAGTTTTTTTGTTATAGTTTAATCAACAATTACAAGATTTATATTAAAATCAATAATAATATAATAATTACAAATTCGTCGTTTTTCCAAAATTCTTCTCTTTTCTATCTCAAATATTGTTATTTAGTTAAATATTTCATTATTCTATTCAATACTATTATTACAGATTAGATTTATTCATGATGAAACAGATGATGTAATACAAAAAATAGGATTTAAAAAATGAAACAAATAATCGATCTTTGGTCATCTAAAATTTTTATAAGTTGTGTTATGAAGCAGCGAAAACAACAAAAAAATATCAACAAAAAAAAGGAAGATAATCAGAATTATTATTCTATTTCATTGCTACTTTATCGGATGAAAAAAAATTCTGTTAAATTATAAACAAATTCGATCAAACTATAGACAACGAATACAATTCATATAAATTTATACTAGTCATTATCTATCTTTTTTTTCTTCTCTCTCTCTCTCTCTCTCTTTTTTTTTTTTTTTTGACAAACGAATTTTGTATCTACGGAAAAAAACTAAAAAAAAAACTAAAAAATTGATAATTATTTCAAAGGAATAAGAATTTTAATACTAATATTTATTATTATCAATTATATAAAGAAATGTCATCAGAGCTCATTTGGAACGTCATCAGAGGTAACAACGCTTTCAAGATTACCAGAGGAAAGACCTCTTTCTCAAGCGAAGCTGGTAATCTCCGTAACAAGCACAGCTCAAAGTACTCTGGTTTGGCCAACCGTAAGGTCGTCGATGTCAACGTCAACGCCGCTGGTGCCATCGAATTGTCTGCCAAGCGTACCAAGAAGGCTGCCAACCCAGCTGCCTCCTTCGGTCGTGTCCAATTGTCAAAGAACTACCGTTCATCCGCCAAGGCCATCCGTACCCTCACCACCGGTTACGCCCCAGAGCTCCGTGCTGCTGCCCTCGCCCGTTACCACCGTCTCAACAAGACCGCCAAGGCCGCCAACATGTTGAAGGCTCGTGCTGCCAAGAAGGCTGCCAAGACTGCTGCCAACTAAACACCTTGTTAGTAGTTTTTGCAAAATTAAAATAAAAAGTAAATCCATTTTAAAATCACTAAGATTATTATTTCTTTTATGCATAAATCTTTTTTTTGTTTGAAAGTATTTATATGTACAACATTATTATAATCTTTATTAATATAAATTTTATATGTTTGTTTTTAGAATCCATTTTCAATTAAATAATCAGCTAATTTCTCGATTGTGTTTGTTGCATTTCCTGGTTGTTGAGTTTCGTTGTAATATCCGACTAGAATTGATTTCAGAGTTTTAACACACACTAAACCTGTTGAGCCTTTCTTACCGTAGATACTTCTTTCATTTGCTTTAATGCCCATATATTTAATACCATCTAGCATGATACCTTTCTCCAATGCTTCGTTTGGTTTCTTGAAAAGATCGGATAATGCTTTTCCATCGGTTTGTGAAACTAGTTTAGGAGTAGAAGATGCCCAATTATTTCCGTCGTGTCCAATAATAGCGGCTCTTGCTAAATTTTTCGAACCTATCAAATTTGTGTCAACGTATTGCTAAATTTCTTTAAATTAACAAATTATAATATAATATTCCAAACTAATAATGTTATTTACCTGCCAAGACATTTTTCATAAAATAGTATAATAAAGATAAAGATATTTGAAAAAAAAAAAACTAAAAAAAGATAAAAATATATATTCAAATAAAAAATTTTAACAAAAGTTCGAATATTTATTTAAACTTTACTAGTTAATTCATTAATATTTGACCTGGCTATGAATAAAATTTATTTGTATTTCTGAAACACACACACACACAACATGAAAAAATCAAAACACATATTTTTCCATATTTCTAAGATTTAGGGGTTGTCTATGTATATGACTAAATTGGGAATATATAAAATGAAATAACAAAGATAATAGGATCAGATTGTATATTAATACATTCATATATATTTATACAAAAGTTTATTGTTTATTTCTTAAAATATTTCATTATCTGAGTTAGTTGTACAATTGTATTTCTTTGTAATCTAGGTTGTTGTTGTAAAAACAATCTTCTAGATGAAGAAGAACATGTTGACATTGATCTTTGACCAAACATCTTACCATCTTTAGTTTGTATCATGTATGTCAATGAATTTAGTTGATTGTCATTTTCTATTTTAGTTCCGTTGTATCCATAGAGGTTCTTTATATCTGACTTTGGTATATTAAGCTTCTCAACGATAGCATTCTTGACATTGTCAATGGTTAAAGGTGTTGGTTTGTTGAATTCTTCTGCTAAATCTGGAGCTAGTTGTGTGATCACTGCAAATTTAGTTGGTTTCTTCGGTGGTACACCCAACTCCTTGACCAAAGCAAGCACATCGGCATCTTTAGCATCGAAATTAACAAGTCTACCACTCTTTGCCAGTCGTGATTGTGTCGGTTTGCTACTACTACTACCGCCGCCATTATTATTATTGGTGGACGACGCAACACTATCAAAGATGGTTCTTGAACCTTCGCAGCTTGTGTTATCCCAATTGCACTTTTGAATCGATGTATACTCCCCGGTGGTTAAATCCATCGATATATGTTTGAGAGTTGTTTCTTTGGCGCTCAAAGTGAATGATTCCACTTCTCGACTGAATCCACCACCATTGACACTAAAGTGAAGTACATTGACATGGCGCATCTCATATTCAACTATGTTGGCGACATCGTCCTTCTCATAGATATTTCTATAGATAACCAACGGGATTACTTCTCCTCTTAAACAAGCATAGTTTAAGTAAGGCGATTTACTACATGAATTTTTAGAAAAACTAAAATCCTTTAAATAATATGTTAATATCTTGCTATCTTTTTGTTTGTTTTTGATCGATCGATCGATCTATTATTATTAATTCTACATACTCCAACTCTACCATTTATTACATTGTAGCTGAAACTATAAACCTCTACATATCTTTCGAATAGATGGTTCACCTTTTTCATGATGAATTGTATTTCTTCTTCTTGATAGTAAGATTTTGGATCTTTTCTTTGAACGACCACAACTTTTTCTTCTCTGAGTAGATTAGATAGCTCATCTTTTTGATTTTCAAAGATTGGAGCTTTAAATCCCTCAGATGAATTTGTATTTATATCAAAAGGAATATATAATGACATTTTCTAATATGTATGATAGAAATCGAAATTGAACTAAAAAATAAATATCATTTACATTTTGTCTATCGAATATTTATTAATCTAGAGCACAGATACTTTTCCTGAAATTATCTTGGTTTTAAATATCAGTGATCGTTTTGGCAACAGAAAATTTCTGTTTTTGCTTTAAAAGCAAAAATAGTTAATTGCTGACAAATTAATTATGAAATGACTTGAAGTTGATTATAATATTAGATTGAAAAAAGAAAGAAACAACAATGACGAAAAATGTACGAGTGTTTTGGAACATCTCATACAGAATAACACTATTGATATCTACAGATTTACTCTAATGCAAATGCTAATAGTGATAGTAAAATCTCTTTTCTTTAATTAAATGCAAACAATAATTATCATATTAGATCTAGTTGAATGATTAATTTCCTAATCCTTTTCCAATGAATTTATTTTCGATTAATTCGATTTTGTATCCATCTGGATCTTCTACGAATGCAATTACGGTAGTTCCACCTATTATTAATTAGTAGGATTTTGCAAATATGTAAATTAATAATGGATTTACATTTGTGTAAATATGATTATATTATTAATACTATACCTTTAACTGGACCAACTTCACGTGTGACTTTACCACCTGCAGATCTAACCTTTTCTACGACTTCAGAGATGTTATCTGCACCAATAGCGATATGACCAAATGCACCACCGAGATCGTAGCTTGTAACACCCCAATTATAAGTCAGTTCAAGTACAGTACCGACAGACTCATCCTCGTAACCAATGAATGCCAATGTATACTTGTACTCTGCATTTTCACTCTTTCTCAACAATTTCATACCCAATATATTGGTATAAAAGTCGATAGAACGATCGAGATCACCAACTCTCAACATAGTATGTAAGAAACGCATCTTATTTTTATTCTTTATTATTCTTTATCTAAATAAAAACAGTTATTAATAATATAGATATATAATTAAAGTTGTTTGGTAATGAAAATAAATCAGAGCAGGGTGTGGGAAAAATTGCTCATCAACTTTTTTCACATGTTTTTTTTTAATTGTTCTGCTTTGATCATCTGATGTGATCAAATAATTCATTAAACATTATAATATTAAAACAACTATTATTATTTTATTTTAATAATTGTTTTTGATACAATATATATGATTGATTTTTTTCGATTTGTTTTTTTGTTTTTTTTTTGTTGTTGGTTGGTTGTTTAATGGTATGTTGCTTGTTTAAAAGTTTAGACTTTGACGTACTTTTTCGGCTACGGCTAATTGTGAACGAGTCAATGAGGCAATATAAACGATCATGAGGAGATCCTTGACGCTGTTGTTGATAACTTTTTCCATTACGTGGGTATTTGATTTTGGCAAAGCCTGGATGGTCTTGGCGAGGAAACGACCGATACGTGGATCACCTTGGATCTCACCCTTCTCGACGGCAGCGATGTACTGTGCTACGGAATCGAGCATCTGGTCGAGCTTACCAAGTGATCCTTGGAGTGATTCGAGCTCCGAGAGCAACGAGATCGATTGTTGTTGTTGCTGTTGTTGTTCGGCGTCGGCAGTGGCGGTGGCGTCGACGATGGTGGCAGTCAGCGAACGGTCGGCAGCGGTCAAAGCATCGAGACCGGCATTCTCTGCTTCGAAAGTGAGAATCTCCAATGGCAATGGAGTGAAGTAGCTTCCCAATGAGCTGTCTGGATGCTCGCTGAGCGAGTGTGCTTGGTAGGCGTGAATACCCATTGTGTCGTTGGTGAGACCGGTGTCCACTGTCAAATGGATCGGTGATCCATTCATCTCTTCACGATAGAAATTATTGATAATCACAGAGTTCTCATTGATGTCACATCCTGTTGCGTACCAACCAATGATTGGTTCACGTGGTGATGACTTTAAGTGTAAATCTAACATTTTTCTGTGGAATTCCATCTCTACTGCAATCTATTTTCATTTTTAATTGTGTTGATGAATAATGAGTTTGATAAGTATATAATATTTTAATTAAATAATAACAATCTAATCTATAATCAGTCAATCAAAAAAAACATAACTATATCCAAAACAAACCAGTTTATAACTATCAAAAGGTAATCAATCCAATAAAAACTAACCAAATCAAACCTAACCAAACCAAACCGAGCCGAACCAAATACAAAATCCATATGATCATCCATCTAAATTCATCTATCCAAAATCATCTTAAATCCAAACCATTTCTTTATCTCATTCCAATTATCGTTAAAATGACTTCCTTTGATAACTAAGACTTGGTGTACAATTAAAACCTAAGGGATCTGTATGTATGCTGTTTGGTGATTGTTTGGTTTGGTTTGGTTTGAAATGATTATGTTCGTATCATTGATAGATTCAATTCTGAATATAACTGGTTTAACTCTATTGTTTTTGATTGCTATTGTTGATTGATTGATTGATTGACTGACTGATTAATATGATTGGTTATGTACTGTTTATTCCTTACTTGATCACCTTCAGAATGTACAACTGGGAAACTGTTTTTGATTTCTACAACACCATCGTTATTATAACCTAAAAGAGTACCAATAACTCTGTCTTGACCATCGTGTCTTCTGATATAGTGATCCAATATATTGAAAATGACAACTGGGTGTACTTTAACTGTGAGTTGGCTTGGTGAAAAGATTGATTTCTCTGATTGCATCTTTAATTTGTATATATCTATCTATATAAATAATAAATCTAATCTTTTTTCTTTAGATGATGAACAAGATCACTTAAATTTTAATCTCTCGTTTAAAAATTACTTTATCTAAATTCAACAACAAAAAACTCAATGATTTCTCACTCTTCTTTTTGTAACAACTTAGGCTGACCACACTAATTTCACACTATCAAAAAAAAAAAAAAAAAAAAAAAAACTATTTTAAAAATTTAAAAAAACTTTTGTGAATTTTTTCAAAAAAAATCGAAACAATTCAATAATCGAACCTCCAAATTCGTAATATCAATATCACAATTAAATTGTTATTATATTTTAAAATATTGTAACAAGATATAATAATGTGAGTTTAAAATTATGAATAAAATAAATATTCATTTAAAATTGTTAATGACAATAACAACAACAAACAGTCCAAGTTTGTTTTGATAATTTTTTTGTTTTTTAAATAAAAATAAATAAAGTGTACTGTTTTGATTTTTTTTTTTTTTTTTTTTAATGACAACTTACTTAAGAGTTTTATCATTTTTTCTTAAATTTTAATTTAATTTATTTATAAAGTTAGTTTATTATTTAATATTATCTATTTTTATTATTTTTGTTATTTATACTTATAAATAGTATATTAGCAAATATAAATAGTAATAATAGTAAATAATGAATACATTTACAAATGATGGTAGTTTTATGGAGCAGTTTCTAAAGAAACAAAAGGTTTCACATGATCCTTCTTCCGGTACAGCTACTTCAGATAATAAAGATGAACAACAGCAACAACAACAACAACAATATGATTACAGTTCATATTATGCTGCACAGGGTTACGATGAATCAACAGCTGCCTACTACCAAGATCCAGCTGCTTATGCCGCTTACTATGCTCAATATCAACAAGCACAACAAGCTGCCGCTCAACACCAAACTGAAAATTCAGGTAAGAGAAAATACATACTATATATATATACATAGATTCAGAGTTATCGCAACAACATATTAATTAATTCCTTTTAGATTATAATCAATATTCACACGATCAATCAACAACAGGTTCAAATCAAAATCCATATCAACATGGTGGCGGTGGTCAGCATGGTGGCGGTCAACATGGTGGTCATGGAGGTGGACAAATGGGAGGTCATAAATCAAATTCATCACAACCGTCGCGTGTCATCTGGGCGGGTAATACACATCCCGATGCCACCGAAGAGGAGATACGTCAGATGTTTGGAACTTTTGGATATATCAAGTATGTAAAGCTGGTGCCGGCGAAGCGATACTCGTTCATTACCTATGCAGAGTTGAATTCGTCGATACAGGCACAGTACGAGTTGAACGGTGCAATGTTGCGTGGTTTGCCACTGAAACTCGGCTTTGGCAAGGCCGAGGCAAAAGAGGCCACCGGATTCGACAGTCAGAATCCGCCATGTAAGAATCTCTGGATTGGTAACGTAGCGATGTCCGTCACCGAAGACAGTCTACGCGAGCTCTTTGAGACCGTTGGCAAGGTGGAGTACGTCCGTGTGCTGACCGGTCGTCAGTGCGCGTTCGTCAGCTTCCAAGACGTCGAGACCGCCATCCTGGCAAAGAGTGCCGTTCAAGGTCGCAACTTTCATGGGCTGAACTTGGCTATCAATTTCCGAAGAGAATCCGACGGCGATGCTGGCGGTGAGCGTGGTGGCGGCGGTGGAGAGCGTGGTGGATTCAAGAAATTCGATCGTGGCGAGCGTGGAGACAGAGGAGATCGTGGCGAACGTGGCGAGCGATTCGGTGGTGAGCGTCCGGAGCGTCCGGATCGAGCGGAGCGTGGCGGTGGATTCAGAGACAGATTCAGAGACAGAGGTGAGCAGCACCACAACAACAGCGAACACCAAAACAGAGATCACAATGGAAATCCACTGCCTGCAGCGCCACCAGCCAGCGCCAGTCTCCAAACGATTATAGATAAATTCGCTACATACGTCGCCAAGAACGGTCCACGTTTCGAATCGTACACACAAGAAAAACAGAGAAACAATTCACAATTCGACTTTTTAAGAACAAACCATCCTAATCATGATTATTATCGTTGGAAGTTATGGATAATTAAGAATCCAGATGGTAAATTATATTGCTATTTATTATTATTACTGTTAGATCTGAAAATATTAATTATATTTACTTACCTTTTTTTTATTTATAATGTTTGTTTACAGCTCATTCATCCGATAGAAATACTAACCAAATAAATCAATTTGTACCACCATCACAACAAGAACAATTACAACAACAACAATTACAACAACAACAATTACAACAACAACAACAACAACAACAACAGCAACAACAACCACAACCACAATCACAACCTCAACAACAACAACAACAGCCACAACAACAACAACAACAACCACAAGATATGCAATTCAATCCACCACAACAACAATCTTATTTAAATGAACAACAAGTACAAGAATTTAAAGATATGCTCGAGAAATTAAATTTATCAAAGGGTTCTATTACTGTAAGTAATATAAAGAGATATATTATCTTAATAGTCTATCTATTCATTATATAAAAAAAAAGTTAATTAACAATATTTTTTTTTAGTTCATGTAAAGCATGGATAATGAATCATATACAACATGCATTGGAAATCATTTCTATTATTACAACTACACACCAACAAGGAACACTAAAGTTTTCACAAAAGCTTAATATTCTTTATGTCTTGAACGATTCGCTCCACAATTGTCTAGGAAGAAGAAGAGGAGATATGCTCGATGAATTTGCCGATGCAATCAAAGATTATTTACCATTTATTATAGCCTCGACCAGTGCTGGTGAATCGCCGGAGAATCAAGAGAAGGTGGTAAAAGTACTCAACATATGGGAGAACCAAAAGATATATCCCAAGCAGATGATCGAAGAACTCAAGATGGCTGCAACCGACGAGCAGTCACCACTGGAATGAGATTGATAAGAGAGAGAGCGAGCTAGATGTACAATACAAGCAACAAGCAAGTATAGCTAACAGTTAAGCTTGCTTTCTTGCTTTCTTGCTTGTTGTAGTAGTACTAAAAGCAACAAACCAAACTTATCAAATCAATCATTTTTACCAAATTCTTTTTTTTAAACATATTATTAAATCAATATAATGTGAACTAACAAAACAATACTATACTTTCCAAAAAACAAACTATTAACAACAGAGTCATACAAGATCTAAATGTTACTAATCATTCAATCTTTTCTTTTTTTTTTTTTGATCAACTAAAAACAAAGACTAACTTTTGTTCTTTTTTTAACTTTTAAATCTCTCTATTTTATTTTAAACTTAACAAAATAACCATTTATTTATTTATTTTTCACTTAGTGCTCATGTAGTGTAGTGTAATGTAGTTCAACAAAAGTTTAAGTTCTATCTATCTAATCCTAATCCTAATCTATTTCTATTTTGTCAAATGAGTCAACAACAACAACAACAACAATGGTAACTATAATTATTTAAATAAGTAAATAAAAAAAGTAATTGTTTGTTATCTTTTTAATCTAAAATTAAAACGTTCTCAAAAAAGTAATTGTTTTGTTTAACTTGATTTGATTTAAACATCTTAATTAACCAATCATTTCGAGATTAAATTTTATTATTATTATTATTATATGTTGTGTGTGTAAATCAAAATATATATATTTGTTGATTAACAATGTTAGTCTAGCTTGTTAGCTAGTTTATAAATAAGTTTGTTGATGGTTGAAATTATACAAAATTCATGTAGTATTTGAAAATAATTGGTTATATATATATGTTGTTGAGTATGAGTCTTATTCTAAAATATTCTGTGTCTGATTCATATTGTTGTTGTGTTGTTATTGTTATTGTTTATGAGCTTATTTGATAATAATGTTGCATTTGATTCTTAATTTAAATTCTATTCAATTGTGTTGGTGGTCTCTTGTAACCCAAAGTATTTCTAATATAATTGGTAAAGAAGGATAAACCAAGCTATTTAGATATCATAATAGATTTTGTAAATAAAAGTTAGTTGGTTAGTTTGTTATTATATTTTTAATAATAATAATAAGATTATTGTTAACTAATTATAAATAAAACTTACACAGTAAATGATTTTAAATATATTAAGTATTAAATCTGGATAGAAACCAAATCTAGAGTGTTTATGTTTTTTCTTTTCGAGGATGATTACGACAGCCACTGAAATGATCTCGAGGAATGCCATACCAATGAGAATCCACATGAGCAAGAAGAGATAGTTTTTCTTTCTCTTCCAAACACCACGGATACCAATAAGCATAATAAATATATATACTGCACCTAATATAATATCAAGTATCATCTGACATAGTCCCATAACACCTAATGTCTATATAATAATAATAAAAATCAAATATTAGTATAAGTTTATCTTATTTAATCTAATCTTTTTGTATATATATATCTATAGATAGTCGATCTATAACTTACAGATAGAAATGCGCATGCACATATATAGAAGTACTGATTTTTAGTTAGAGGTACTGTTTCATTAATCATTTTCCTTAAGTACTACTTCAACTATAAATATATAATTGATAATTGATAAAACTTTAATTTAAATATGATAAGGTAGAGTTTCCAAGAGTGATTATTATAATCAAATTTGTTTACAATGATTTTAATTAATAAAATTATTGTTAAAAAAAAGAAGCTAGTGTGTTGTGTGTGTGTGGGTGTTTATTATTATTACTGTTGGAGCAAGTTGATTTAAATTAAATTAATTTATAAAAAAAAGATTACTAAAAATATAAATGTATAATCTCTTTATAAATATGATTTGAAGTGTTTAATTAATTAAATAACAGATAACTCATCAATCGGTATTAAGAACAATTTTTTTTTTTTTTTTAAACCTGCCTGGTTTTCAGACACCATTATTTGAAAAACTGTTTTATTGAATTTTTTTTCTTTTAATTTGTTCTAATTGGTGTGGGTGTGAGTCTTTGTTTTTTATTTATTTATTACCAACACGCTGAAACATTCGACTGATGTTGTTTTAAGATTTGCAACTAGTTCTTGTAGCTTGAACCTTGACACTATATTAAATAGTGTCTCCTCAAAAATAAATTATCAGTTTTTATCGAGTGAGTGAAAAAAACAATCAACAAATAATCAATCTCCAAACCTTTCTCTTTAAAGTCTTTTTATGTCAAGTTATATAGAACATCAATTGAGTGGTTAACTTATTATTTTCGAAGTTTGCAGATCACCTGATTTATTTTAATGTGTTATATATGTCTCAAGTTCTAAACTTTGAGACAAGAAGGAGCTTCCGAGCCAATAAAGAATATATTTTTAATATTATTTTTTATTTTTTTTATATATATTACATTTTATATGATCATTAGTGAAATAAAATTGTTAGGCATATTAAATTAGTTAATTTATTTATATAGTAATATTTTATTTTTTATTTTTTTTATCTTGGATTAATAAATATTTAACTAGAGTTTTATGATCTTTATTAATTTATTAAATAAAAAAATGACATCTCCCAACAATCTATTTGGAAATGAACTACAATACCCTATTAATCTGTCAGGTATATCACCAATAACCTCAGATGTTGTCGAGTCAACTTTCCTTGATCCCTTTCTCTTTCAAAACATACAACAAGAGGAATTAAATGATTCTTTAAGAGATTCTAATTCAAATTTAAATTTCTATCAATATCAAATAGTAAGTTTAGGAAAATTAATTTGCTATTCAAAGTTTTTATTATTAATATCGAAACTATTCTTTTTTTTTTGAGGATCCAAATTTTTATTTATCGAATAATATTCTCCAAGAATATTTGGATAAAACAGTAGAGGATCCTGCTTGGAAAGATATAGATAATTTCAAATTGATAGAGTATGTCTATCAGAAAATGAATATTTCCTCAACAGTCAAGTGGGAAGAGGTTGCAACAGTTCTAGATAAACCATCAAATGATTGTATGTTGAGATACCAAAAGTTGATGTGTATCTTTGAAACATTTCTCAATCAAATGGATGTTCATCTCTCTGAGAACAAAGATGACCTCTCATTTGAATACGATTCATCGGGTCACAAAGGAAAGAAAAGAATCAGAAGAACTGCATCTGAAATTGACCGACCCTACAAGTGTGATATGTGTCCTAAGGCTTATGGAACCGATGGTGCTTTGAAAATGCATGCAAAGATAAAGCATCCTGCAGAGAATAGTAATATTATTTGTAGTAGCGGTAGTAGTAGTAGTAGTATCAGCAGCAATATCAATAGTAATAGTAGCAATAGCAGTGGTAGTTTTACAAATTAAATAAAGAAATAATAATTAATTATTTTAAAAGAATTAATGTTTAAATATTCATTTTAATTTACCTTTGATTTCTTATTATCTTTTTCTTTTGTCTTTACAACTTGGGAAATGAAAAGATCTTTGAAATCTTTCTTTTATTTAGATTTTTTACTTAAATTTAATATCTTAAATATTAAGATGTGGTTGGTTAAGTGAAGTTGATCTACCGAAATGATTGATTAGTGTTTTGAGATTATCATTACGACAGTAATGGGCGTCTTAAAACAGAACAATTAAGTGAATATTCAAATTGAATGTTCGAGAGCACTCGTAACCAAGAAAAATCAAAATAATATCAACTGATGATATCTTAGTTTATCTGTTCGGAATTTAAAGTCAATAAGATATTTGTGCAAAAAAAAAAATCAAAAAAACATCTTGACATGAATTTTATTTTTAAGGTGGTTGGACTTGAAATATCTGTGTTTTTGTTTAGATTTTTGTTTAATTTTAAAAAATAGGAATAGAATCTTGAAAGTATCTGATTTTAGAATAACCAATAAATTAGAAATGACCTAATCACTAAAAATCATTTAGGTTTCATTCCCTTCACACGACTATCACTTGGATCACCTCAAATTTCTTTTATTTATTTATTTTTCTTATCTTTTTATATATAAATAAATATGTATTCATTTACATACTTTTTAATACTCTTATTGTCAATGACAATCAGTGTTTGTTATTCAACAGATTCAGATATCACTCAATTTATTATGATTGGAAGAAACAATCAATTTTACAATATAAACACCACCACCTGTCAAGTTTTCATGAATGTGGCCATGGGACAAACAAAGAAATATGATTTCCAAACCATCCTTTCTGGAGATTCCACAAACAATACTTTACTATTTTTAGCTACAGATATGGAGAATTGGAACGATGTTATCCTCGAATATTCAATCACAGTATGTCTATTTTTAAATACTAATGTTTAAAAAAGTCTTTATTAACTTGATCAATTTAAATAGACTAATAATCTAACAGAAATTGCTAGTATTAATGGTTACTTTACTGCAATCGCAAACCCACAAATCTATGCTTACGATCCAGTCTACAACTTTGTTGCAGTACCAGCCTTTACTATGCATGATCCAAACTCAAATCTTACCATTTACACCTGGGATTTCAATACTAAAGAATTGTAATGTATTGCTACTATATTTAGATTTAAATCTATCTATATATATATTTATTAACTCTCTTTTTAATTATCTAATTCTAGAACAAGTGTACAATTACCAACAGGACCAATGAATGGAAATGCTATTTATCCAGAAGGAGCATACGATGCAACAACCGGAGATTATTATCTCATCTACAATGACAGAGGTAAAGGCCTTAGCAATGGTACATTTTTAGTTGTATACAATATGTGGAGTAAGACCATCGTGAAGGGACCAATATTTTTCAAGAATTTCTTTATGGGCGCACCAAATATCCTCTTTTACAATGGTCAAGTCTTCTTTATGAATATGGCTACTCAAGGTCACTATGGTATTTACGCTGCTGATCTTACAACCCAAACCACAACCAATATATTTAGAATCCCAAATCATTTCTCCAATTGGTTGACATTTACTAGTACATTTGGTCAGAAGGGTAGCAATGTTGTATTATTCTCCTCAACCGGTGGTAACGTGTACCAAACAACAATCATTGATCTTGAAACACTGGCTGTAACCGCTAGTCCCAAGGTTCCCATTACCATCAAATTCGAAATGGAAAATATGAGTGTAGGAATCTAAAAAATAAATAATTTAAATTAACATATAAATTATCAATGTCTGTGTTACCCTTTTTTATGTTAATAAAAGTTGTTATATGTTTTTTAATGATTCAAATAAGTTATCCTTTAAAAGATTTTTTGAAGTGTTATCTGCGGAGAATTCGTGTTTGACTTCGGGTATTCTTTGATGTTAAAATGATATATCTCCGTCAGGAATGGTTGAACTTCTCAACTTTGTACAATTCTTCACTCAAATTTGATAAATAGGTACTTTAGAAAATATTTCTAATCAAATATTATTTCAATCTTGCATTACCTCATCATAGCAATCATAGTTTAAGTAAAGAATTAGTTTTTTTTATTATTTATTTTCAAAGCATTTTTAAATGAATTAGAAAATTGTCCTCTTTTATAAAAACTTATAGAAACAATGAATTCTTAAAACATTCCACCAAATACAGCCTCTCAATGGTATATTCCTTCTCACTTGATTACTCTTGCAACTCATTGACGAACGGGAATCAAAGATATGATGGTTCAGCATGATAGTGCACTGAACCAGATTATTTAACTTCGGAAATGTTATTTATTTAAAACAAATTATTTTATTTTTTTAAAAGAGTGAAATGATGAAGTAACATTAACAATATATTGACAGTTTTCTTTTTTGAACAAAGAAGAATTTGGTGAAACTTCTTTAGATAGTAAAATGATTTCTTACATTGGGCGCTGTGGGTGCATATTTAATTGGAAGAGTTGCACTTGCTGGCATTGACAATTTACAAAGCGTTTCGAAACGATAGTATCTCATACATAGATATCACAACTTTTCATTCCAAGAAGGTAAAAGAAACTCTATATGTGATTGATGGCATGGCATCCTCCAAAACACTCAATTAGTTCATACACCAAATGAAAAGTATTTTGTCATCGATCGATCAAATCATTCCTATATTTTAATATATTCTTGTAAGGAAATAAATACATACCAATATCAATAGGACAGTCAAAGATATAACTTCCTTTTGGTCGCTATACGCGAATCCCTTATGTCGTGGATGAACAACAGACTAGGCAGTGGAGTAACCTAGGAGAGAAAAGTTTATATGGTATGTTGATCTAGGTGATGCATGATGATTCTCCTTAAAGAACATTAGTACCATCATCTTTCTATTCCTTGGCACTCTGGTGTAGAGATGGGTCCTGCTTCTACCCACCAGACCATTGACATTACCCATTTTTTGAATCTGATGGAGCAGTAGAAATCTCAGATACGCCATGATCTCAGATACCTACCCAATCATACTTTTTAAGGAACTTCTTCACTGTTCGTTTGCAGGGTAGCAAGTGATGTTCATTTTCAACTCTGCATAGTTGATATACATATTGATAGAGAATGAATTGAATATCAAGTATTCAAACTACTTCAAGCAATTTATATCAACCATTCCAAGTACAATTACAAATATTCCAATTACATATTGGTTAAGAATGGGTTTAACCAAATCAATTAGGTATGTTTTATTCTTGTTTTATTTTTAAGTTTATTTTATGTTATATTCATATTTATACTAATTATTACTTTTATACTTCGATTTCTATTGAATCTAAATCTACTTGAGCAGCACGAGCACCACGACCAGCTCTTCTTCTGTTCTTGAAGGCATCACCACTTGCAATGGTATTCAAGAGATCATCGACAACTGCCTCTGGCATAACTTCTTCTGAAGCACCCTTCTTCTTTCTTTCTTCGGCGGCTTGCTTCTTCTTGGCATCCTCTTCCTCCTTGAGTTTCTTAGCAGCCTCTCTCTTTGCAATCTTTTCTGCTTGTTGTGCCAATTGTTCGTTCTCTTTGGTCGATTTATCGTATTGTTCGACAAACTTGACAAACATCATGAGGAACTCTGATGGATCGATCTTTGGATCCTCACCATAGTTGGTGGCCAACGTTCTAAACTCTGTTTCCATTTGTTGCGAGTTGTCAGTGATTTGATCGATATCCTCTTGGGCGACCTTCAAGAATGTCTCGAATGTCGATTTGAAGGTATCTTGATCGTCGGATGGTGCCAATGTTTCGATGGTCTTTTGTACTTGGAGGAAGTCCTTACGCAGTGTGGCAATCTCTGACAAGAGATTGGACATTGAGATCTTTGATGCCGGTTCGACATGCTTGAGCTCCTCGGCAAAGTTGGTCAAACTGTTAAAGTCCTTTTGTAGGACCTTGGCCAAGTAGTTGATCAACGACATCTTGTTGTCAGTGGACTTGGTATCGGCAAGCTTGGTGATGGTATTCAACTTGAAACCGAATGCATTACCTCTTGGTGTACCACCATTGATAAAGTTACCGAGAATCAAGATGATTTCAATGATCTTTGGAATCTTGGTGGATTCGCTGAGCTCCTTGACGGCGGTACGGAAGTTGGCAATATCCAACTTGATGTCCGACTTCTTTGGACCGTAACCGAATCTGAATTTCATGGCAGTGAGACGTGTCTTTACCGAGGGAACGGCGTTGATCTTCAATGAGAATTGCTCGGCAGTTCCCAACTTGGTGACATCCTTCTCCTCCTTGAGGAATTCATTGATGTTATTGATATCGTCGTCCGATGGCAAGAAAGTGATCAGTGCATCAATGTGATTGCTTTGGAACATCAATTCATCACCACGATTGATTGCACCACAGATGTCATCGAATGATTTACCCTTGAATTGAGACAAAAAGATCGATAGATTTTGACTGGTCTTTCCATCAATGATAGCGACTGGTCCACTCTTTTTGGGTGCAGACGATTCTTTCTTTTCGATGACCTTGGCTTGGAATGCTTCTTCGATTTCCTTGTAGTCCAAGTTGATATCCTTTGATGAATCGACTGTGAATTTAGAAAACACTGTACCTTGAATCTTTTTATCGTTGAGAGAGGTCCATTGAAGACCCTTCATCTTCATTCCTGGTAGTGGAATCTGCTTTCTTGCTGGAGCAGCAGCCTTCTTACCGAATCCACCTGGTGGGGGTGGTGGTCCTGGAGGTCCTCCTGGTGGGGGTGGTGGGCCTGGTGGGCCTCCTGGGGGTGGTGGAGGTGGGGGTGGTCCGCCACCTGGGGGTGGAGGTGGTGGAGGTGGTCCTCCTGGGGGTGGAGGAGGTGGAGGAGGTCCTCCGGGTGGTGGAGGAGGTGGTGGTGGTCCTCCTGGTGGGGGTGGGGGTGGTGGTGGTCCTCCGGGTGGAGGAGGGGGTGGTGGTGGTCCACCGGACGATGGTAAATCTGCACCTACTGGTGTCGCAGTTACCGAGGCCATTGGTCTAGCCTTCAATGTCTCGATCTGCTCCAACAACATCTTGATATCATCCTCCTTACTCTTCAACTTGCTGCTCAGCTCCTCCAACTGTTTAGCAGAGGTTTCCTCGTACTTTTTGACGAGATCGATCTTCTCCTTCAACTCTAGCTCTTGAGCTGCAACCTTCTTGTTGAGATCCTGTGATCCCTTTGAGAGATCTTCAATCTTGGCGCGAAGTGGAAGCTCTTTTGCTTCTTGCTCGCAAGTGAGCAACAAATTATCGAGTGGTACAATAAAGTCTTCGTCGACACCAATGTTCTTGTCACGCAACGAGATTTGTTTGATGATTCTCGAGGCGACCAACCATGTACGAAGACCTAGATCTTCGTTTGCCGGCAACAAGAGCAAGTCCTTGACAATCTCACGGAAAGTATCGACGAGTCCAGTGATCTTGATCTTGTCCATCAACGCCTTGATAGTGTCGTCGATGGAGGTCAAGTTGAGACCTGGGAATTCGTTGAAACGATCGGCCATTTCCTTGCTATCCTTGTTCTCTTCCTCCTCAAACACAGTGATCTGTGTATCGAGCTCTGGCGACTCGTCATACTCGTACTTGCTGAGGTCGGCAATGATCTCCTTCAAACCCAACCAGTAAAACTCCTGACGCAACGAGAGACGCAAGTCAATTTCAGGTGGCGAATTGACAATGACGTTGATGAATGACAAATAGATTGACTTCATCTTGAGAGACTCACGTGTCTCCTTTTGTCCTAGTTTCGAACGCAATGCACTAACCAATGATATGAATCTACGTTTTTCACCCTTGATCACCTTGTTGTTGTTCATCACTTCAATGATGATCTTGTGTCCATTATCCGATGCAAAATTAATAGCATTCAACAACGCAATAGCCAATTCATTAACTCTATCCTAAAAATTATTATTATTTTTAAAAAAAAAATATAAATATTAAAAATACAAATTAAATATCAACTCTGTGTTTGTGTTGAAGAACAATAAATTTAAATTGGTTGCCATGTTTTGTTGTTTTCGTCTTGTTTATATAATGATTGATGATTCAATTAACAATTAACCCCCACACACCACTTTAAATTAAATTTCCATTCGTCCAATTTAAATAAAAAATCCAATGAATTACCTTAATAGTGGTATGAACTTGAAAATTTTGTTTTTTTTTTTTTTTTTTTTTTCAAAAGTTCAAACATCACCATCCATATCATTAGACAAAACCAATAAATACAACAATTTTTGTCATACATATTGTAAATTGATGTGTGTGTGTTGGGGTATGATATTATAATGTTTGATTGTATTTTGTTGTGTTTGTTGTGTGAAGTTTGGTGTAGTAATCTGAACTTACATTTGTAGAACCAAGACATGCACCAATAACCTTAAATGAATTCTTGACACTCAAGATGAATTGTATACCAATCTTGTTGTTCATAATATTCTTTATACATGATAGACATTCGAATTGTTGCTGAATCGATTCTTCATTCAATCTTTTTAATATTAATAATAATAAATTCATTGGTTGGTTGGTTTGATTAGTAAATGAAGAGTACTAATTAAATTGTTGCTCTCTTTTAATAATAATAATGATAAACTTACGTTGGTTGTAGATTGATAACATTGAGTAATTCAACGAGACGTGTGGTTGCCTCTAGTTTGTGGAATTGACGAATCCAATCAAGACCACGTGAACGCAATGCAACACTGATGTCTTTGAGATCAGAAACGGACATACCCTCGGATGATGATGTTGGTGAAGATGGTGTCGATCCAGCGCTTGCAGTCAATGATTTCTTGGCACGAATACCAAGTTCACGAAGTAGTTTAACTGCAAAGTGATCAGGTGTTTTATCACTTGATAATTTCTATAATAACAAAATAATCGATTAATCTTCTTGTAATCAATGTGAATGAAAGTTTATCATTACCAATACATACATCTTTATTTTGCTCTATCATCAACATCTTATTTTTCCAATCCATCTTTAACATTGCTTCCTTTGCTTTTGGATCATTTGCCAATTGATCCTAATTATTATCATTATTATTATTATTATTAGTAATTAATAAATATCATGATAAGTAACTTATTGCCATAAAAAAGAAATTATAACATACAACTAAAAGTGCAAATTGTCTTTCAACATCTGCCATCTTCTTTTGTTCATCAATTTGTCTTTGTTTCTCAACAACTGGATTTTTTTTTTGTTGGAATGAATTTATATTAATAAGTTTTTGTTGATACCTCAATTCAATCAATAATGTGTTTACATACCTGCTTTATCTTGTCCAAAGTTTGGTGTTAAACTGAGTGACAGATCAGATTTAGATTCATGTTTGGTTCCTTGATTGAGAATCACTGGTAATACAATATTGGATGGCTCATTCAAAATGACATTGGTATCTGTGATTGGATAGTTAACCTCACCGATCAACTTATCACCAGAGAATTTATTATGTTCATAAACTTCGATTTCTACATCTGGTTTTTTCTGTAATTTATCAGATAAAAAAAAAAACCAAATCAATAAATAAATAGAGTTACTTTTTTTTTAATTGGATAGATAATTAACTTACCTCTGGATATTTATCACATTTAACTTCAAATGCCATAGATTGATTCCATTCTGGATCAGATGATTTTGTAACCACTTTAGTCTTTTGTGCTTTCTTTTTGTTTCCCCAGACCACTTTAACGTATGGACTGCAAACAGCACCATCGGAACCAACCAGCTTATTAGCTTTAACAACATTTACCTTGAGATTAAATCGCTTGTTATTGCTATTTGATTTCTTCTCTTTCTCACCTGCAATAGGTGGTGTCTTACTACTTTCAGACATTCTTTTATCCTTCTCTATCTAATATATATATTAAATTATTCTATTTTACTATTACTATTTATTATTATTACTATTACAAGATATATTTATATACAATTACCATAATAATATGGTATGGATTTTATAGTTAAAGTTAAAAAATGATTTGCTTTGCTTTGCTTTACTTGTAAAAGTAAGAAATAAAAATAAATCAAAGTGATTCAAAATAAACTAAATAGATAGAGATTGTTTAATTGATTGTATCTTGATCAATTCTAAATCTGTTTTATACAAATAGTGTTATTATTTGACTTTATTTTATTTCTTACTTCTTTTTTTGTTTTAATAAAAAAAATTTGTTTGAAAAAAATAAAAACTTTGATCAATCAACCCACCTTAAAATATTTAATTGAAAAGTGGTTATTTTGCAATATTATTATAATGAATGAACTAACATTGATCCAAAAGCAGCAAAAATAGCAAAAAAAAATTAAAAAATTAAAAATTGCAAAAACAAAAAAAAAAAATGAAAATTAAATAAAAACAATTCAAAGGTTATGAATCACTCTGATTCTAATAATAATATAACTAACTTTGTTTATGTCTATGAACTCTGAGCAGAGACTCAATCAATCAATCAATCAATTAATAATAAATAGTCGAATTACGAATTACAGTAAAAAGTTAATAAATATATAAGTGTTTTTTTTTTGTTATTGTTGGCAAAGCAAAGCCAATAATGTGATATTTATTATAAGTTTATTTTTTTATTTTCTTGATTGGTAGTTCAACAAGAGATGATTGAGAAAGAAGTCTAAGTAGAGGATGATCTGATCCACGTCCTCCCATGTTTCTTTCTTCTTTTGGTGCTACCACACTATCGCAACTTGTACTAATTGGTTTGTTATAATTATATGTTGTTGATGATGTTGGTGAAGATGATATGTGTGTAAGATTGAAAATATTATTATTATTATTATTATTATTGTTATTATTATTATTATTATGATTATTGCTAAAATTTAAAGGTGTACCTAAACCAAAACCATTGGAATTATGATTGTTAAACTGTGGGAATCCATTGAAATTGGTTGGTGTTGTTGGTTGTGATGGTGGATGTTTATGATGTGAACTATTATTGTTATTAATATTACTGCTGCTGCTGCTATTACTTCCGATATGGAAGAATGGATTATTATCAAATGAATCGTTGGATTTGTTGTTGGTGGTGGATACAGAGAGATTCGAAAACTGTAGGTAACTGGGTGTTGTCGGTGGAGTTGGGGTGGGTGTGGTGCTATTTACAACGGCAACGAGTGCGGGACGACTCTTGATAAGTCGCTTGCGTTTCTTGGAATCGTGATACGATTGGATCTGTTGGTGAAGCTCAAAGTTGGTCTGGGTGTTGGTGATTCTGATGCCAGAGAATGGGTCGTTAAAGTAGTGGTTGTCAAAGAGTTTCTGTATGGTGGAGCGGTCTACAAACTTTCCGGACGGTAGTTGTACGGGATCACTCATCAACTCGAGAGTGATTGGATCGAGAAATATCGTTGGAACGCCGGCTTCGTTCAGTATAATGTCGGGATGCGCCTCGAGGAATCGATCAAAGTCTGTGTGATTACTATTAGAGTCGTTGGAAAAACCACTGCTGTTGACATCGGACATATCGGAATCGGTGGAGGAACGAATTGAAGGTGGACTTGAAGGTACAGCCGAATAAGATGATGAAATCGGTAATGTGAATTGTTGATATTGTTGTTGATGTTGATTCGTAAATCCTTTGTTGCTATTATTACTATTGAAATTTGGTTGTTGGTTTGTTTGTTGTTGTTGATGATACACTGGGAATAAAGGTTGTGAATATGATCTTAAAGATTGTATGGCAATTGATTTCTGATAGATTTGACCAACGATATTTGGTGGACAATTAGAGGATGGTAGTCCCCATATCTCAATTCCACCTATTGATGGACAGCTTGATTGAAAAACTAGTTTGAAAAATAAGAAAAAAAAAAGTTTGTAAATAAAATTGGAAATTAAAAGTGTTATATATAAATCTAATTGTTTACCTTTAAGTATTCTAATACGTATCGATTTGATATTGTTTAATAAATATACATTGGAACCGAATGGTTTGATTTGACTGGGTAATAAATAGTTTAGTGGAGGTTGATGGTTGATGTGACCATCCATAAAATGGGGGTGTGAGAAATAAGTGAACAATTTATCTTGTGATTGATGGAGATCGTCAAAGTGACCGACAAACTTGAATGACTGATGAACTAGCTTGTTGTATACGAGATTCGTGTTGTTGTTGAATGGCGATGATTGTAATGCTATCGATTGTTTCTTCATCTGTTGATTTGGATATCGTTCTTTTGAAATATCCCATTGATTATTCACAGACAACATTGTAGGATTCATTTTGATATCAGATGAATGATTTGGTTTCAACATTCCATTTCCATGACCATGATTATTACTACCATCTCCATTATTTGCATTCTCAATCAATGATTTGGAATTGGCATCGATTTCCTCAAATGTCAGATCTGAAACATAAAAAGACAATGATTGAATAATACCTGTTCCACTCTTTGATATCAATCCAATTCTTTCCAAATCAATTGGATATCTAGGAAATTATAATTATAGATATTATATATTAGTTAGCTAAACTTGCTGTTGTCGAATGTGTAACTATTATTGTTACATACGGAAATGAAATGGTGATATCCAGTGGTGTCTTTATGAATTGAGCGGCGATGAAACCTTTGTCACGTTGTTGCTTGTTATCTGACAACAAGTTTGAGACATGAAAGTCATCACTGAACGATGGTGAATCACAATGGATTGTACATCCAAGTTGGTCATATGAGAAATCAATCAAGTTACATCCAACCGATGTCGTTGTTGTTGCTGCTGCCGCTGCTGTCGTTGTAGCTACTCCAATTGAATTCATTACATTACTTTGATGATGATTATTATTAAAAAAATTGCTATTAAAACTATTGTTATTGTTATTATTATTATTACTATTGAAATTATTGATGAAAATAGATGATTGATCAAATTGGTGGTCACAATTTGTAGAGGATGTCATTTCTCTCCGATCGATCTAACAAACTACCTGCAAACAAATGTGTTTATCTCATTCAATTAACTATATGAAATACTACTGTTATTATTATTGCTATTGTTATTATTATGATTTTAATATATTACAAAAAATAAATAAATAAAAAAAAAACTAAAAGATAAATCTAAATCTCAAAATATATTTAGAAACAATGTAGGTGATATAAATAAATTAATTTGATTGATTGATTGATTATAAACTGCTGTTTTTAAATTGTAGTGAATAGAATTGACTGATTATCATATGATAGACAAAAAAGTAACTAAAAAAAAACAAACTTTACTAGTAAAACTTTGTTTTTGTTTTTGTATTTTGTATTTCTGTGTAATGTTTTGTTACTATTTTAATTGTGTGTGTTGATGATGATGATGATGATAATTAATTGATGATGTTGTTGGAAATAGTGTTGTTGTTGTTAATTGTTGTTATTGTAATTGTTATATAATTTAAAAGGTAATAAGTGGTGTTGGTGGTGGTTGTGGTATTGGTATTTAAACAAACAGTTTACCACTATTTATTTTTTATTATATATATAATTTTAAAGTGTGTAAATTTGTATTGTTTTAATGTGTCATCTATCACCACAAAAAAGTAATCCAAGTTATATTTGTTTTATTTTTTTTATTGTTTTGGTGTTTGGACACTGGGCAAAAAGACATTTTAAAAGTTTCTGATTTTTTTTTGAGTTTTGTCAAAATTTTTTTAATAAATGCACAAAATTTGATTTGCAAAATTATTATAATTTTTTTGGTTTAGATGTCTCACTATTTGTGGTGATGTCACACCAAACGAATGAACCAATTTTAATGGGCGCAAAAAGATTGAGTTTTTCAAGAACAACAATGATGAGGATGTTAGAGACTCAGATATCAAAAAAAAACCACCCAATTTTTGTTCAATTTCGATAGAAGCAGGATGTGGAATAGATTGTACCAGTGAACAATCTGCCCAAAAGAAGGGTGCAATGGAAACAAACTCGATCGGCAAACCTAAACTGAACGAATTTTAAGTTCATTCAATCAATCTAAAAATACCAAAAAAGAAAACCTAATATCAAAATAATGAATGAAATTTTAATGTTGCTTTTTGATTAGGTTGAACAAACAAAACAATATGTTTTGAGATATTATATTTTTTTCATTATTATTTTAAAAATAAAACAAAAAAACAAAACAAATTTATTTTGATTGGATTATTATTATTATTAAAAGATTGGTTTAACAATTATTAATTTTATAATGCTTTATGAGGTTTAACCAATAGATTTGCAACCAACAAACCGATCGTCAGTGAAGTGGCAATCATAAACATTCCACCGAAAAGTGCAATGCCACCGTCGACATTGCCGCTCGACACTGAGAATAAACCTTTGACTCCCATCGATCCAGGGACCAACAGAATGATACCAGACATGATCGGCACCACAGAGGTACCGTTTGTGAATCTCGCATACAAATTACCGGCAACACAAATAAGACAGGCACCAAAGAACGAACCGACATCCGTACCAAACACCTCGTTACCCCAGTTACCACCGATGATACCTAGGATACTGGTCAACATGATGATCCACATCTGTCTGGGTGACGCTTTCATCTGAATGGCAAAGGAGACCGCTGCCAGTGGCACCGCCAAGAACATTGTCCACGCCGGGAACGAGTCTGGTGCGACTTCCTTTCGCACCGGAAGTATATTGTCAGAGAACTTTGTGCCCATAGCAATTCCAAAAGAAAGCTGTAGCAAACAAGAGAATGCACCCATCAATCTCGCATTTCCCGAGACAAGGTTACGCGTCGATATCTCTGCGACTGAGATCGTCAGTGACAAACCGGGCGCCAGCGCAATGATTCCACCGAGCGTAACCATAAACCGAGGTACAGGCGAGATAAATGAATTGATGAGCGCTGCAATGATCGCTCCACCAAACGCAGACAACGCCTCCAGCACCTTGCCAATGGGTGGCCATTTGCAACCGGCAGCGTACAACAAACCAACGTAGAGACCAACGAGTGAGCACGAGCCGACTTCGAGCCATCCACACTTTAAAAAGAAAGAAAAAGCAAATGATGATACAATAAAACTGAAAACTGTTACATAGATACTGTAGAGAGGCGGTGCCTTCAAGATGTCACGGAGATCTACCAGTGCGGTCTGGCAAGACTTCTTTCCGTAGATGACTTCGTCGGCTAACGCCTCAAGACGTACCAAACGCTCCATATTGTAATCGGTGGATTGAATACGAAGCAAATGAGTGTATGGTGAAAGAATGGTGTGTGGCGAACCAAAAGAAAAGAAAATTCCGGTTGGCGTTGTGAAAAAGTTACCGTCAATACCAAACGTTGAGCTGATCAAAGTCAACTCGTATTCGAGACGATGCGCAGGAACACCACTCATGAGAAGCGCACGTCCCAGCTCCATGAGGAATGGCACGACATAGGTCTCCAGTGTCTCAGAGTCGACAAGATGAATGGGTAGTTGGGTGGATGGCGCCAAGATTTGATAGACACTGTTTTTGAATTTCTTCATTTTCTCCTTGGAGAAACGGTTCTTTCGTTTCGTCTTTACTTTATCGGCGTCGGCATCGGCAAGAGCAAATGCTTTGTCGGCGACTGTAATGGAAGCACCGCCCGGAATGCTCTCAGAGATCTGTGGTAGAATTTCAGAGACCAGTGGGACCTGATCGGCACCATCTAGAATAGTTTGTTGAGCAACAACAGGCGATGGAATATTTACAATGACCGTATTCTTGGAGAGATCTTTCATTTCCACGTAGCCAGGCGAAGCAACTGTATCCTCTACCGTGGAGTTTGATCGATATCTTGGGATTTCCATTATGGTTTTGAGTGATGACGAATGGAAAGCGTTAGAAGTTGATAATATACTGTTGTTGTTGTTGTTTACTAGATTGTTGTAGGTTGCTCCAAGTGGATTGTTGAGAGAAAGTGTCGCACCAAGTCCACCCAATGTTCCACCGAGTGGATTTCCACCGAGTGAGAGTGTCGCACCCAGTGGATTGCCAGGAGAACGAGGTGAAACCTGAGGCATGGAGCTCAGGCCGAGTGGTGAAGGTGGTACGGTGAGTGGATGCGCTGGAATGGCAGTGACAGGTGTCATTGGAGTGATCTCTGAAACCTCTGCGGGTATGGCAACGATATTGGCCAGTGCGGGTGTGACGATGCTCGTACAGGGCAAGACAAGGGTGTTGGTGGCACCCGGGTTAGTATTGCTACTCTGTGCTGCACTAGCAAGGGTAGGTGATGTAATAACGAGGGGAGGTGAAGTGGCAGGTGCCATAATTGCCGATTGCTGTAGATGAGTGCCGAGTGGCGCAGTCGAGAGTCCGGTGAGTGTGTTTGGGTTGAGTAGAGTTTGGCGTAGTGGGTTGGCCGGCAGCAACACCGACTGTTGGAGTCTAGGCATCTCTGTTACCGATTGCTTTAGAATCGACGGGACAAAAGATGTTGTAGTTGTATTGTTTAGTGGATTTGCACTCAGCGGATTGTCTATGTATTGTGGTAGATTATTATTCGGTATGGAGGAGGTCGCTTGCAGTTGGTCGACTTCCAGCGATGGACTCTGTTGTTGTTGTAGCTGCTGCATTTGAATCTGCTGCAGCTGTTGAATCTGCTGTTGTTGTTGCTGTAGTATCAGTTGTTGTTGTAGCAGTTGCTGCTGTGTCTGCTGCTGTTCGGTCAGCATGTACATCTCGCGCTCACGCTGTTGCAACTGATTGATATCAACCACCAACTCGTTGGGAGGAACCATGGTGGTTGTTGTAGCCTTCAAAAAAGCATTTGAAGCTTTTACCTCTGAGGTCTTTTGCTTGATCTCATTCTGTTGTATTTCAATTGATTCAGCAACAGTATTAGTATCATCAGCATTTGTCATGATAATAATATTGATTATTATAAAAATATTATTATTGGAATGAATATAATTATATATTTAGTTTATAATATAAAATGGTGAATGAATAAAATGGATTTGTAATGTAATGGGTAGTGGAGTGATAGTAGTGTCAATCATATAAAATTAATTGGAACAAACAAAACAAAACAAAACATAACAAAAAAAAGAATGGATATGAAGAAAGGATATGAATAATGGATATGGATGATGATAACAACAAGAACCACTCTGAATGATATTAAATCAATCAGTTTAATCGATCTAATCAATCAGATTTGATAAATCAATCAATCAATCATTGACCAATATATCTCACAGTAAGTATTATACTGTTTTAAAGTTTGGTGAGTGTGTGGTAGTTGATGATGTGATGAATGTTGATGTTGATATGTATAAAGATATTGAAATAATAATAAAAAATGATGCTATTACTAAGTTTATATCTATATCTTGTAGTATTTAAACTATTTGTATTATTATTGGATGGGGACTGATAATATTAAATAAATTAACGGCTAACCGTCAATGTTTTAATTAAATAGATAATGTTAAACAATATATTTATATGGACATAAGAAGATAAAGGTGATATAGTAGTAGTGGTGTTGTTGTAATTGATAGATAAAAACAATGAGCTTAAACAAACATAAACATAAACAATAATTAACAACACCAATATATCAATGTGTATATGCAATGCTATACTATATGTCTAGTTTGTTTGTTTGTTTGTTTGTTTTTGTCCGTTCCTTAAAATGTATTTAACCGACAGTCTATTTAGACAATGGATTGTGCAAATGAATGTATATATTTGTATCCTATATATGTGTGATAATCGTTTAATTTGTAAACTTACCAGGGGAGCTTTTATCTTTTCCCAGAAGCTATACATTTTTGATTGGACTGTCCTGTGTGTATTAATACTAGACTATACTATTACTCAATTGATATCTAATCTAGTAATAAAAATAAATAAATAAATAAATATAAATATAATAAAACAGTGAATATGCAATGTTGTTGTTGTTGTTGTTGATTGTTCTTCGGAGGTTATTGAGATTTCTACAAAATTTGTAGATATCAACCAAACCAATGACGATAATGCAAATCAAAATTCAATTACATAATAAAATAATTAATAAATATGGTTATTATATTTATTATTATTGTTGTTTAATAGTAACAAAACAAAAAAACAAAAAAAAAAGAGAAAAATAAGAAGTGTTAGTTAGTCAGTTCATTGTTGTTGTTGTTTTTTTGCTTTTTTCCTATATTTGCAAAGATATTATAATAATTTAAAGTATTTTAACCAAAAGAAGAAGAATAATAATAATACTATCCAACATGCAACAGACATGCAAGAACACATTAAAGACACACACACATTATCTACTCGCATATGTTTAAAACAAATCTACAAATTGGCAACAAATTAACAAAACAATGTTGACAAATATCATTTACTTTTATTTTATAGAGTAATCCAATGACCCTATAGATATCTATAAATAATATATCCACCAAAAGAGATCAATTTACTTATGATTTATATATCTTTTTGTTTCGTTTTATACTACACACACATTTATATCTCGATTCATATCTTTACTCATTGATCTATCTGTTTTTATGCATATGTATGTATTTTATTTTCTTTATCTCCTCTCCTCTCTTCATCTTATCTCCTCACCCTCTCTTTTCTTTTTGCCTTCAAATAATACACAATATAATCCCTCAATGTCAATAAGTCCAACAAATCATCGGTGAAAATATAGATATAAGGACACGATAGGATGAGGTCGGTAAGGTATAAGTTAAGGTCATGAAAAGACCGTAAAAGTGTGTGTTTTGTGTTATTATAATGATTTATTGTTATTATTATTATTTTTATAAGAGATATATACAAAATAGACAATAATTTACCTTTTCTTTTTATTTATTTATTTGTTTGTTCAACTAATAACTATTATTTTAATATAAAATAAGGCAATTGCATGTATTTCATGTATGATAGTTAAATAATATAGTATTTATAATAATAATAAAAATGATAAATAATAAATAGTAGTAATAATATAAATAAATGTTTATAACTACGAAGACGAAAACTAATTGGTTTTGTAAATTGACTATTACATAGAATTTTCTCTGCTGTCTGTTGTTTGATTTATGTGTTATGATTAATGTGTGTTGTTCGATTTCAAGGTGTGAGTGGCAGTGGGGATATATATTAAAGAGTTTGGATTTATTATTATTTTTTTGTATTAATTTAAAAAAATGCGATAACTAATTGTCGGAAAACAAAAACCATATTAAACACACATTGATTTGATTGTTATTATAATAACAGATGATTAATTTAAAAATCAGACAGAGAATTTACATATTTCCCTTAAATATACATATGATATTTCATTGTCATGTCATATATCTCAATCACTTTTTATCATATCCGATAAACCATTATTATTTTTGTTTTTATACATACACTAATTGATTGTTTTTTTTAGTTTTTATTTTAATTGTAATCAAGTTGAATTATTGTTGTTGTAATTAATTATTGTAATGGTTATATTTTATTATTATAATAGATAGATAGATACTAAAGTAAAGAAAATGAATATCGTTTTATCTCATTCTAATTTAATATAAAAACAATTTAATGGATAAAAAAGGTAGTAGTAGTTTTATATAATATTATTATTTATAAACAAAACAGAAAGTTATCTATATATCTGAGTTATTGATTATTGTTAAAAAAAAAGTAAATTAATTTTTAGGTATGATAAAGCATAGGTGTTCTTATTTTTTAATAGAGCATCAGTTGGTTATTAAGAGAAGACCAACCAAGTGATCTGAATTTGGACCTGATTTAAGTGTTGTTGGTGTTTGTGGGGGTACAAGAGGGAAGAAGAGCTGGTCGATAATAATGATCAGTATTGGTGTGGAAACACCACTCGGTTTTAAAAAAAATGTCAAAATGCAAAGTGATCTAAATAGTTTAAGGTATGAGAAAATACTTTGACATTTGTGCAAAGTTTGGTCAAAACTTAAAAGTTATTGTTTTGTTGAGAGATTGAGGTTTCATCTCAAACGTGTGTGTTAAACGAATGTGGATTTTGGGAATCATCTACCTTTGGTTTATAAATAATCATTAAAAAAAAATTTTGGACGAAAAAAAAGAGTAAAAAACAAAACAAAAATACCGATGAATTAATGATAATGCAACAGATCTACTAATATAGGATGTATGTTTTATTTTTGTTATGTTTTATTTTTTTTGTTATGTTTTATTTTTTTGTTTTTTTTTTCATCTATTAAATTTGCACTACCAAATGGAAGAAGTGACCCAATATTTGCTATGATTTGTTGGGTCTATTAAAAAAAAAAAAATGACTCTACACTAAAAACAAACAAAAACTCTTCACAAACAATATTTTTTTAATAAACCTTTGTAGCAAAGGTAGTCACTCAATCTATCAAACATACATTCATCCTTTCTAAATCACCTTACAAAAAAAAAAAAAAAAAAGAAAAGAAAACATCATCGGTATCTTGGGATTTTTGTTGTCGTTTCAAAACCCACTACAACTTTCTGAGGAATCTTACCACCATACATACATCGATTTACTCCGGATTAAGAACAAAAATCAACACTGTTTGTTTGAAATGATATCATGAACGAAGTTAGCTACCGACCATTCAGAAAAAAAAAGTTTATTAAAATGTTGCAACATTAACTTTATAAAGAAGAGTTGTTTTTTTTAATATATAATTATCATATTTTATTTATTTATTTTATTGATCATGATGATATGAATATACATTATTGGAGGCTAGACGATCTCTGGTTAGACTTTGAGTTCTTTGTTTTGATTTACTTTGGTTATGGGAAAAGAATTCACGCATAAAAATGTTGTTCTCGGCAGTGGATCTCATTTCAATGCCAAAGAGGTCACGCAAGTCCTTGTTGTATCCCCACTGGATTGAAGCACCGCTCTTTAAGATTCTCTTGATTTCGTGGAGCTGAATGTATTTACGCCATCCTTGGAAGTAAAAGTATTGCTTTTCGACCTTGAGGAACTCGGTTGGTGAGACTCCGTCCTTGAGTGTCTTGACGATGTTTCTTAGGAGTGACTTTGATTGCATCTTCTTCTTACCCTTCTCGTTGTTCGAGTCGATAATCAGATTCTCTACGAGATTTACGATTTCATTGTTGAATTCATCGGCTTCCTCTTCATCCTCGTCATACTCCTCCTGGTCTTCGTCGTCGTCTTCACCGTCCTCCTCTTGCTCGTCGTCTTCGTTGCTACCTGCTTCCTCCTGAGCTTTGGCACGATGTCCATTTCTATTCTTCTGTGAGTAGTCATAGTCTTCGTCTTCATCATATTCATAGTCTTCTTCCAAATCTTCCTCTTCACCTTCGTCCTCCTCATAGGAAGCCGTATCCATTTCACTCACCAGAAAAGCAATTGAAACGGCAGCTGTAATTCTAAGTTCGTGGAAAGATGATTCTGAAAGTTCTGTAATTCTATCTAATAATCTAAAGAAGCATAATAAATAACATTATAATTAATATTTTAACTACTATTCTTATTTCACAGCTGAATGAATAACTATTACTTACTCTGCATGTTTGTTAATCTTTGATTTCTCTAAACGAGTTAACATCAATAGCCAACCGGCGAGTGCACTATTTAAAATTGGTTTGTTCTTTTCGGTCATGATGATCTCTTTAAACATTTCAATGGTGTTTTCGTAGGAGTCAGAGAGTGAGCAATTGATAAAACATGAGACAGAGATTGCCTCCAATGCACTGGAAATGATGGCTGGATTTAAGTGGTCTTCTCCTTCGGTTACCAATGGTGTAAGTGCACCTTTGATACTCTTGAACATTTCGAATCTATTTAGACCATCCATAATCGAAACCAACTCTAGTGCATGAATGGCATTTAGTACTTCCGATTGTTCTTTATTGCCAGATGTAATTATACTACATAGTGCATCAGCTAACTGTGTATCACTGTTATTGTTGTTGTTGTTGTTATTTAATAATATTATAATTTGTGATTAGTATCTATTCTCTATTTATTGTTTTTATTATTATTTAATTTGTAAACTAGTGGTGAACTTACCATTCATGAACTTCTTCTCTTCTATTTTGATAAATACAAATATTAATAAGATTATGAATTGCACTAGTTCTGATTGATTGTTTCTTCTCCTTCAAGAGAGGAATGAAATATTCTAATTCACGATCTGTCTCTTCATTGTCTGTTCTGACTATATTGACAGCTCTGTGACTTGTTTTCTTTTTTTCTCCTATATTTATCAAAGTTAAGTTTTTATAATATTAATATTTTATGTACAGCGCTCAGGTCTATTTGATTTTACTCTTTACATACTTATATTCATGATTTTATATCTATATGCGCTTATTTATATGTATTAACTTTGATCTGATTATTCTATATATATGTTTTATAAATAAAAGTTGTAAGTTTAATTGGTTGTGAGTTTTAATTTAAAGTTTATTAATTTCGAGATTAATAAAATACTAGTATTATTAAAAGATAAGAAAAATTAAAGAATAAATATTTTGGATATAATTAAATTTTTTTGATTTGTAAATTGTTTCAGAACAAGATATATTGTTTGTGATTTTTTTGCTTTTTTGGATTGTTGTTTGCTATTGTTGTTTATTATTGTTACCGCCAATTTTGATATTAACAGTATTAATTTATTAGTTTTGTAGTATTATAATTATTGTTATGATAATATTGGTGAATGATAGGATAAGTTTTAAAATATGATATGTTAAAGGCAGTTTGGTCTGTGTTTATTTACAACAAAACAGTGAATGAAAACAGAGCAGAACAAAAATAAAACATAACAAAATAAAATAAAAAATATAATACAGCTGCAAATGATTTAAATAAAAATAACAATACTTTTGACTATATATGTACGTATGTATGTTTGTTTATTGTATCACATGTAGATTATAATTTTATTGTTTATTATAACGTAACCTTTTTTTTTTTTTGTTTGTTTTGTGTTTGTGTGATGTAAATTAATGTTATTTATATAAAAATAACAACACTACACTATGGTACACTCTATCTAGCTAATCTTTTTAAAATTTGAAAAAAGTAATAGAATGCAACAACGGTAGTGACCTTGTTGAGAGGAGTTGAGAAGAAAAATAGAATACAAGAACAACAAAATAAATTTAAGAATAAATATATTCGAAATTGTTTAAGGGGTATGTTTTGTGGTATGTGTGTGTGTGTGGTGAGTATGTTTTGTTCGTGAACTAAAGGTTGTGTTCTTAAAAGATAAAACGAAAAAACAGAACAAAATGAACAACAAAACTATTATCCTACTTTTAACATAAATTTACACGAAATACTTCTTTAGTATTAAGTTTATTATTATTTACCTCTGTTAATATTTGTTTTGTTTAATAAAATACTTTTTTTGAAAAAAAAAAAATGAAGATCTTAATTTTTTTTAAATGAATATTTTTTATTTGCAATTCTATTTTGAAGATCTTATTTTGGTGTGATGGTCGGTTAATTTCTTTGTTAAATAATAATAGTTGTATAACAGATAAAAAAAAAAAAATCAGTTGTTCAGAAGTTCAAATTTTATTTTTTTTATTTTAAAAATAATTAATTTATTATTAGATAATATGAACATCAACAATGAAAAAAACAAAAAAAAAAGTTGGACCTTTATTTTTTCAATATCTATATTAACTATATTTAGACAAATCATAAAAATATGTGAATTAAAATGGAACTTACCAGGGTCTAGAGCAATTAAAATTAAATACTAATAGGCAATAGATTAATTTATTTGGACCTATAAAATTTAATGATTTTTTTAAACATTAAACTCAACCATTGAGTTTAGTTTAAATTTCCCTTTTGATTTTGGGTCCTATTTAGGATATGATTTAAAAATTTTAATATATTGTTCTTTTTAAAAAAATAAAATAATAATAACAATAATAAAAATCAATATTATTCTTTTTGATATCATATCATATTATCAAAAACGATTGTAAATAGAATAAATAATAGTAATAATAATAAATAATAAATATGGAATTATTAGAAACATTAAAAGCATCATCTCCAGTTTTTCCAAACGATCTTTCAAGAATTATTTTTGTTAAAAAGGAAGATTCTATTGAAAAAGGTTTTAAAGTAATATTTATATGATTTCTAAATTATTTATAAAGAAAATGGAAATCTAATTAATTTAAAAAATTATAGGTTTTAATTGATAATAATATATTGGCAGCACCTGTATATGATGAGAAGGAAAAGAGATATGTTTCATTCTTTAGCATGGTGGATCTCATTTATGAGATCTTGGACATTGTAGAAAGAGAAAGTCTTCCAAAAGGTGACATCTCTTCTGTGATGACAATGCTAAACGATAAGAATCTCTTTTGCAAACAAAGAATCACCGATATTGCCAATATTTCAAAGAGAGAGCCTTTTATCATTGTAAACGCTGAGAAACGATTGGATGAAGTCGCAAGATTAATGTCAAAGAACAAAATTCACAGAGTCGCTGTACTTGATTCAAGAGGTGAATTATGTAATGTTATTTCATTGGTATGTAATTAAATTAGTTAATATTTAAACTTTTGTGCAACATCTTTAATAATAAATATTAATTTAACAAACAAACTATTAATTATAGTCAAGAATAATTGAATGTGCATCACAATTATTTGGAATTGATAATCAATTAACAAAGATTGGTGAAAAGACTATAAGTGAGTTGAATCTCGGAAGAAATGAAGTAATTACCATTAGTTCCGATAAGAGAGCGCTGGATGCCTTCAAAACCATTGCAGAGCTTGGTATCAGTGGCATCGGTGTGTTGGATAGTGGTGGACATCTCTGTGGTGTAATCAGTGACCATGATCTCAATGTGATCAAATCGCATTGCCAATATCTCAGTCTACTCTACTTGCCTATCTGCGAGTACTTGGATGCCATGAAGAAGCTTACCAATTCACCAAAGCACGTTATCACATGCACCTACAATGAAACCTTCAAAGAGGTCACCCAAAGAATCGCTGAGAACAAGATTCACAGAATTTTCATTGTAAATGAAGAAAATAAGTTAAAAGGTGTTATTTCATTGTTGGACATACTCGAACAAATAGTATGGGCACAGAAACTTCATGAAAACTAAAAACTAAAAAAAGAAAAAGAAAAAAAAATATAAAAAAAACTAAACCTAAAAAAAAAAAAGTTATTTCTTATATAAATAAATTTGTATTATTTAAAACAAAAATTATTCTTTAAATATATATTATTATTTATATAATGAATGATTTTTTGATAAGTTATATTTTCTTATTTCTCATGGAAAGAAATAGATCGAATTCGTCCATTCCATCATTTGAAGAAATTGGTTTTGGTAAACTTCCGCTGGCTGCTATTGGATTGGTGGAGGATGTTTGAGTTGTTGGTTGTATTAAAGGTGGAAGTGGATTGCCCATACCGGTACCGGATAGAGCAGGTGTGTTTGTATGTGTGTTGGGGTTACTGTTGTTTGCTACGTGATTGTAGGAACCGAATGAAGATGCTGGTGGTCCAAAATCATTGAAATTACTAGAGTGTGAGAGTGGTGATTGGTCAAAGAAATTTGTACAGAACGATGAGGTCGATGGTGGTGGAATCATACCGGAGCTGTTGAGTAGTGGCGGCAGAATCGAAGAGCTGGTAGTTGAGCTGATACTGCTGCTGTTGCTAACGCTTCCGAATGCACAGTTTGACGACTGTGCCGCTGGCGATACGAATTGAGAGAATGCATCCGAGGTTGATTGTGCGATTGGATTTGGTGGAATTGGCATGCCGCTGCTTCCAACCACCGGAGTTGAAGATGGCACACCAAGTGGCGAACACTCTGAAAAGAAATTGTTGGTCGATGCCGAGATTGGAATGGAGGTTTCGATGGGTGTCGATAGTGGATTGGTATCGAAAAAGTTGGAGGTCGACGGTACAGAGTTGTTGGAGAGTGGTGGTAATGGATTGTCGTAGGATGCAGCTGCAGTGATTGGAGTTTGATTCTGGCTGTTACTTGGATTCTGTTGTTGCTGTTGTTCGTTGTTGGCTGCTGCTGCTGCTGTTGATTGCGAATAGGATGAATTGTTGGATGGCGCCTGTGTTGTATCATATGCCAACGATGATTTTGGCACGGATGCACTCATTTTCAATGAATTACTGGTGATATCGCTATTTATTTCTGGACTGCTGTCTTTGCTGCTGGGTGGCGATGAGCTGCTGATAGTCTGAAGTTTTAGGAGTGAGGAAGAGGGAACTGGTGGAGGTGGAATATGGAATGGCGGAGTCAGTGTAATGCTATTCTGTTGGTGTTGTTGAGAGGTGGTGAGTCGCGTTGGTATCGATGTTTTGGTGAGTGAGGTGCTTGGCGTAGATGAAGACACTGAACTTGAACGATGGTGAGACTTGCGTATCATTGTGTGGGGAGAGGACGGTGGTGGTGGAAGTGACAATTTCTGTGATACACTGTAGTTTGGATTGATCATTGGCGGTACCTGTACAATATTGTTGTTTGGAATCGGTGTTGGAACCATCGATGATGCATTTGTAGATGCAACATTGGTAGAGGATGTTCTTGGTCTTCTAATGGTGAGAGGAATTGCAAAGTGTTCAGGCAGTTCTGGAATTTTAAAGAGATTTCTATCGATTGAACTCGTTCGTTTCATTTGTGATCCATTGCTGTCATTGTTAGTGTTGGTGTTTGTATTGTTGGCAGTATTAGCAAGTTCGGGAGGAGGTGAAGACGGTGTTTCAATAATATTTGGAATGTTTGTGGTTTGTTGTTGTTGTTGTGGTTTGAGATTGGGTGGGAACAAGAAATTGTTGATGTCTTCGATGCAGAGATGAGTGATGTCTTGTGGTGAAAACTTTTGATGAATTAACACAAAAGGAATCGATCTAAATTGAATGTTCTTGCGATGTCCGCTATTTGGATGGTTGACAAACTCGTATTGCTGCTCCACCAGCTGTGCGGTAGCTGGCGAATTATTATTGGAAGAGTTGTTGTTGTTGCCAAGTGGTTGTGCTGACGATGGCGGTGGTGGTGTAGTTGAGAGTTTCTGATGTGAGTTTAGATTGTGAATGGGAGTGTGTGAGACAATGGTGTGCGAGATGTTTGAAACTGTGGAGGTGGTGGCTGTCACTGTTTTGGCGACCTGTGTGATTAGCATGTGACCGACGTCCGAGACAGAGATGGAACGTGAATGACCACTTGATCCTGTACTGCTTGTGTTGGTGACAGAGAGTGAAGATTGGTTGGGTGATGGACTGACTGTCAAACTTGGATTCGATACAGAGTGTGAAGGTGCAGTCGGGTGTGGCATTGTACTGGTCGATCCCATAGTAAAAGAAGTTGAAGTACTTCTTCCAATCGATGCTGGATTGTTGTTGCTGTTGCCTCCAACTCTTAATCCCGAAGTCAAAGAAGTAAGCGATGATAAATTTACAGAGGATTTCGGTTTTGGTAACTCCACATTATTATTATTACTGGTATTTGTATTGCTACTACTTCCAAGATTGCCAGATGATAAACTTGCAATTGTTACAGTATGTGATTTTATATCGTTCGAGTTGTTGTTGTTACTGCTATTGGTATTCATAACAGTGCTACTACTGTTATTGTTATTTCCACCGATTCTAAGAGATGATAGTATAGATCGATCTACACTGCCATTCGATTGTAACTTTGGATTGAGTGCTGGTTTCTTCACTTCCAATACCTGCCGGTATGCATTTGCCTTGGCAATAGCCTTTTCCTTCTCGATTCTCTCTTTCTCACGTTCTTTCTCCTTCTCCTTCTCCTTTGACTTTAGTGTATTATTAATAGATTGAGTGACAGGATTTCGCAAATCAAACAAAACCACTTCCTTCTCGAATATTCCAGGTGGTGTCAAATTCTTAAAATAATATTCCTCTCTTTCCGCAATGAATCTCTCAAACATTTGAGATGCACAAAATGTAGTGAAAAACTGCAATTGTAACCAATCGATTAGTAAGTAACACGTTTTAATTGTACACAATATTAATCAATATAAAATGCTGACATACCTTTGTTGGAGTTATCAATTGAGAATCTATAAATGAAATTTTATCGAAAATCATTTTCTTTCTATCCATATCTTTCAAGAAGAATCTCCTGTATGTACCTAAAATCTGTACAAAGAACTTTCTAAATGTATCTACAATTATTTTATTATTATAATTCTTATTCTCTAAAATAAACAATTTTAAAATTGGAAAGTTAGTTTGTAAATATGTTTGATTGTCTGTTTGTTTATTATTATTATTATTATTAATTACTTACTTTTCCATTCAAGTATTTGTGAATCTAAACATTGTTTTAAAAGTTGGTTGAGTTGTGTTGGGAATAGGGCAATGTCTTCCGGTAGTGGTAACACCTGATCCTTATCCAAATCAACGAATATGATTTCATTCAGTGGTTTCTTTCTTATCAGTGGGAATAGCGATGAGTGTACACCGATGATGAATGGCATTGGTGCAGTACAATAGTCCAACAATGATCGCGGCAGCACTGGAATAAATATATGTTGCCAAACGAATGGATCTAAAAGTGCGACAGCAGCATTCACAAACTTACTAACCTTACAAATATTCTCTGAATAAATAATAATTCTTCTCTCAAACAACAGCGATATAAACAAACTCAATATCTTTTGTGAAGACAGTGATTCTATCAATGGAAACAATGTACCCTATATGATATATATAAATATAAACACATGTGTTTTTTTTGAGTAAGAATATGAATCGCTCAATAACTAGCTCTTGATGATCATCAATACTACTTACATCATGAAGTGATGATTTACCGATATCCAATGGTCTGGTGAGTATGTAGGATGTTGGAAGTTCCACGGATTTCTGTGGCTGCTGGAGGAATGGATTGTTGTAGATGTGAACGGTGAAGTTGTCGCCTGGCGCCGGTATGACAGAGAGTAGTGCCGCCGCCAGAAAGGTGTGTATCTCCTCGACAGAGACGTGGTAGCGTGTCTCTAGGATCTCGAGCATCTTGGTGAACGTCGAGAACCACGCGTATCTACTGATGATACAGAGTGACTCGGGTACGAGCAGCACACGATTGTTGATCATCGATTTCGTGAGAATACGTCGGGTGAATCCAAACTGTTGGTTACCCTCGCGGTCTGTCAACACGAATGAGAACGACTCTGACTGTTGCTGCTGTTGTTTGGTGCTACTCATACTGCTTGGCTGATAAGTATTCAGCGTCTTATCGATCTCCTCTGGAAAGCAAAACAACGGTACATTCGGATCGACCGTATCCGGTGGATATACATCCTTTACAAACGGTATAATTCCTCCTGCTCCATTTTTATCTATCATAATATCAATATCATAGCATATCATACATTGTTAGTTATACAATATATAACTAAAGTTGTTTGTTTGTTTTTTTGTTTGTTTTTTTACAATACAATACCTTCTTTTAGAGTAACCAACAAGAATTGATCAAATAATAATTTTCTTGATGATGATGATGACATCTTCTACTTTTACTTCTTCTTTATCTTTTTTTGTTTCGTTCTTTGATATACTATAGTTGATGTTATTGATAACAATCAACTATAGTTACTTTTTACTTTATTACTATTATAACTGATTATTATTATTATTATTATTATTAAAGTGTTACTAATATTACAACTAATTTCTTTCTTAAATAAAATTTATAGTTAGTTTAATTTGTTTACTTGATTAAATAAATAACTATCAATCTATGTTGTCTATCTATTTTAAAATATTACAATGATTATGATATTGATTATGATATCTAATTCATTATACTAATTTAGAAGTGAATGAATCAAGATGTGTATGAAAATATATGTAAACGTAAGGTGTATCTCCAAAGTGGTTATTTTAAAATGATATTATTTAAAGTAATATATTAGTTCATACTTTTAATGAACTTTATCTATATTTGTTAAAATAACAAATAATAATATTATATTGATAAAATAATAATAAACAATATATAATATTGTTAAAAAGATGTGGTGGTGGTGATTGGTTCTATCTTTCCTTCTTTCTTTCTTTTTATTGAAAAAAGAAACATATATCATGACCTCATTATCTTGGTGTTTTTATGTGTGTGTGTGTGGAGTGTGTTTTGAATTATGTTTGTTGATTGATACATATATTTGATAGATAATTAGTTAGATTGATTATTCATATGATATTGTTATTACAAACAAAAAAGTAAATAAACTATTCAATATTGCATCTTATTTATTAAAGGTGATTCGTACGATCTATCTATCCTATCTATACTAAATCTACATACATTTTACTTTTAAAAATACTGCTATTACTACGACGACTACGACTACTGATCTGATTATCAAATATCTTTTTTTCCTAAAAAGATATTTATGTATGTATGTACTATTACAATTACTAATTTTATAACTACATATGAAAATTCACTAAATCAACACTCTTTAGTAATATTAAAGATTAAGATATAAATAAATAAATAAATATAAAAAATTGATTACTATTGATGATTATTCTGAGAGACACACTTTTTGATAAAAAATTATTTTTTATTTTTTTTTTATGAAAAAAGGCCTTTTTTCATTGAATTCTTTTTTGTTCGTTAAAAATTTTTGATTGCAATTTTATTTATTTTACTCTTTTTTGATTTAATTTTAAATTTAAGAACTAACTGAATTCATTCCTATTAATGTGCTCGATTTTCGTCATGTGTGTCAAGTCCGATGGAATTCAAAATGTGGTTCGTTCGTTGGCCAACACTTTTTTTTTATTTTTTATTCTTTATTATTTGCAATTATTATAATAAATTGATCATTTTAATTAAAAGTAAAATACAAAGAGAAAGATCAAAATTAATGATTTTAATCAAAAGTTTGAAGATGAATAAAAAAGTTTACTTTTATTATTAGAATATTAATAATTCGATTACCACTCACTACCATTTATCAGTTGGATTCGATTTGTATTTCTGATAGTCCGCTAAATTGAAAAATGAAATCTCTGTTTCGTAAACTTTTGAGAGAGAGAGTTTGTTAGAAATCTGAACTTACTAATAATATTATTTAATAGATCAAATACATACCAACACCTTGTTCAGATAATGTCAAATCATCCTTTAATATATAATTCTCGTCATTCTCTAAATTTATAGTTAAATTATTTGGCTTTTTTTTTTGTTTGTTATTATTATTATTATTATTATTAATACTAGGTTCGGAATAATTGAGAATACAAAGATTAACATGCTCACACACGCACGCACAACTAGAAATCAACAATACAATACCTTTTGTTTATGTGGAATAAAAAATATTTTCATTGTATTTAAATCGAGGGTTCTAAATGGTAAAAAGCCTGCTGTAGTTTGTATCTCTATTGGAATAGTTAAAGTTAAGATCTATCGCTCTATATATTTCTATAACTACTAGGTTGTTTACGCTCTTGAATCATTAACTTACTCTCAAGTACATATTTCTTGAATTCGCTAACCTTCATATTCAAATCACTGCCGTGCACCAGTAAATTCTTTATGTTTCTGTATTCAAGTGATTTAACTACTCTAATAGTTAATATTCTAGGTGAATCTGTCATTTCTTTCCAGTGATACTTTCTATATATTCAATAACACTTTCTTCTTTACTGACTAATTAATTAATCGAAATGAAACAAAACAAAACAAACAAATAAACAAATATTTTTTCAAAAAATTGAGTATTTTTAGAGTTTTTTATTTTTATTTTTTCAACATGTTATTATCCTGGTTTTTTTCGCAATATTAAGTTGTTTATTATTCTTTTATCTTTTTTTAAGTTGTGTAACATTGATATTCTTTTAGAGAAATTTATCCAAATAAATAAAAATACTTTAAAAAGAATTAATATTTGTATTGAAATCAAATCATATTATTATTATAAATATCTTTTTAAAAATATATAAATAAATAAGTTTTAATTTATAAGTCATACATGTAAGTGTATAAACTCATTTTTGTTAATTGAGTTATTAAATTTTGATTATTTGATGATGATGATCGCGATCAAAAAATGACAGTTATAATTTAATTTCTGTCGCGCATGTTTTAATTTTTAAAAAAAAATGAAGTTGAAAGCGGGAAAAATTGGCATTTTAGCGCGCTGTTTATGTGTATTTTTTTGAATCAACAAACTTTTTTTTTTTCTACTATGTTTGTTTTGTTTTGATTCAACAATAAACATCTTATCATTAATAATCAATAAACAATATCAAACAAAAAACAAACAAACAAAAAACAAACAAAACAAAACAATATTGAAAACATTTCCATATATCTATTAAAGTCTCTATTTATATTATTAATCAAATTTAGAAAAACAAATACAGTAAAGTAATGTTTATTGATTATCAATGATAGTGTGAAGTTTTACAATAAGAGGTTTAGTTTTGTTTATCAAGTCAGTGTGTCAACTCAACATTCTACAAAGTAGTTAGTAGTAAAATAGTTTCAGTATAAAATCAATTCAATCAATTCATCATTTGATTTGGTATTGGCTTGATTGTCAAAAATAAAAATTTGTTTTGTTAAAAAAAAGAAAGAGAGAGAAGAGAAAAGGAAAAAGGAGAATATTTAACTTATTTAAATACATCAAACTAAAAACTGGATACTCCACCATTTACAGACCCAATATCAGATTCATATCTGATGTTAGAGGCAAGTCCTGCCAGATCATTAAGTATGTATTATTATTCATCTTGATTTTTAGAAATGCTCACTCCATATTAATATGTTGATTCCTTCCTTTATTTCAAATTCATTCCTATTAGAATTCCATGGATATCCAACAGATTCACCAATGTCTAAAAGAAGGCATAGTAGTAAAGGTATAGACAGAATTCAGAAAAATAATAATAACTTGATTTCTAATTTGATAATATATATGTTTTTAGATTTCGATAATAATCCGTTTATAACGAATATTTCAACACCTCCACCATCGACAAATCATGGCACTACACACTATAGTTTAAGTGAGGAATTTGGATTTCCATCACCATCACCGCTATTCAATATAGTTTCGCCAATGTCCAAACCAGATATTTCCAGCCATATTCTGAATGGACATCACCAACCTCTGGATTTCAACTTTGGATTCATGAGTCCGAACACCAGTGCCAACTCACACACCAGTCCAAACAGTATTAATAATAATAATATCAATGTAAATAATAATAATCATAAAATATCAAATAATAATAACATCACCAGTCCAATTAAAAATAAAACATACAACAACAACAATCAAGGTAACAACAGTCAAGTAGAAACATCGCCAGCAATGGCATCATCGTCATCAACATCATCATCATCAACCTCACCTTCCATTCACTATAATAATAATCAAAACCAATTACCTAATCATTTAAATTATGATCAATTCCATCCAGTTTCCGACTCTACCACAACAACTACTTCCTCTACAATTACAACATCTTCAATATCATCATCTTCTCCTTCTTCTTCAACACCACCAAATTCATCCATTGTTATTAATTGTCAACAGCAACAACAATATTATGAAGGTGGTAATGGTGATAATAATAATGGCATTGCAATTGCAACAGGATCATCATCACAGTGTCCAGACAATGCAGATAGTAGTAACAATAGTCACAGTCTAATGATATCGGATTCAATCTCAATTGATAGTCCGTACATTATCAATATACTCGACATTCCAGTGGATTTTCGCCAGTTGTTCTCCACTGATGTGGTGACCACACCAACACGTCCCAACCACGCCAGCTCTGAGCAATCCGACGACCAAATCAACAAGAAGGCACAACAAACAGCCATCTACAAACTAGCAAGAATGTGGATAAACAACAATGCAACACCATCACCAGAGACTTTACTCTTAAACGTAAGTTATTAATTTAAAAAAACTAAACTCCTCTTGTTTTTTTTTTCAATTATTTTCCAGAAATTTTATATTAATATAAAATTTTATGTTTTTTTTTTAGATGCAAGAGGAAAACTCGATTATTACATTCCCACCACCTGTTCCATCAATAGATGATAATGTAAAATTTCAACCTGTTCAAAGAGAAATATCTTCCAGTTCAAACTTTGATGTAAATATATAAATATCTTAAAATATAGAGTTAAATCTAAAATTAGAATTTTTATTATTTTAGGCAATGATAAGAGAGCAACAACAGATATCTCCTGATAATCTTATACAACAACATATAACATATTTCAAAACTGTAAAAAAGAGGTAGGTATAATATTAATTTTAAATTTTAAAGATCTCCTAAACTAACAAATTACCATCTTTACAATTACAAATCCAATAGTTTCCAAAATAACTATAAAAAGAGAAGATCAAGATATGAAAATAGCATAAGTATTTTAAATTCAATGATGTTTAATCAGAATAATAATCATGGTTAAACTGAAAGAAGAAAAAAAAAACAGTAATATCTAATAACTAAATAACTAAATAACAATAATTAAAAGAAATAAAATAAATAAATAAATAATTATATATTATTAAGTTAATATCTAATTAATTTAACAACAACAAAAACAACAATAAATCATCCAAACGTATTGATGGTTTGTTAATCAACTTAAAATAAACCAAATAAAAACAAAACTTTGTCAACAATGTTAACTTAAACTATTTTGTTTCTTTCATTGCATTTCTTTTTCATTTCCAAAGTTAAATATAATTATCTATATATTTATTTAAATTGTATACAGTATCATTCATTGCTTTCATTCAGTCATAGATAATGTGTGTTCTGTCTGTTGTTATGACCTTAAAAAGCACCTTCATCACCTCCATCACTTTCATCACCATCATCATCATCATCAGGTTCACCATGATTATTATATTCATCGTTCTCCATATCTGATTCATCTTCGTTATCTGAATCTTCTTCACCATCTTCGTTTTTCTAAATCATCAATATTAAAAATTAAAGATTATTATTAGTTCTAAACTGATATCTTGATAAAGTAATCATAAAAAAATTGAACAACTTCACATCTAAGATGTAGTTATTAACAAATTATTCATACCTTTTCTTCATCTTCATCACCTTCACCTTCCTCTTTCTCCATTTCCTCCAATGTTTTCATAACATTTGATTTCGCTTTTTTCTTTCCTCTTCGTTTGCTCGTTGTCAACTCCAACGGGAAATAACCAAGGTGTATAGGTATAACATTTTCAATCGATTGATTCTGTGTATCTTGTTTATATTTATTTGAATATCTTTCTATACTATCTATATAATATGATTTATAAAAGTTATTAGATAAATGATGAATTAGTTTTAACTTGATTCGATTCGATTCGATTAGATTTGATTTGATTTGATTACCTTTAACTCTATCATTTGATTTCAAATGATAAGGAGAGTATTTAAAACGTTGTTTGAATTGAATCAATTTCGAAAACAGTGTGTATGAATGTGAATCTATAGTTGGTAATGGAGGTAACTCTCTTAAAGGTGGATATAAAGGTGGTGGTTGATTGTTCTTCTCTTTATCTTTCTTCTTCTTTCCATCGTCATCGTCATCCGAATCGTCCAATGCTAATCTCTTTGACATTCTCTAATAATTTAAATAAATAATAGTCTATCTATCTATCTTGATAATTATATATGTATATTACACTGTTGTTGTTTTTTAACAAACTATTTATATTTAATCATTCAATTTCATAGATAAAACGAACACAATGTCGTTGGGAATCGCAAAAAAAAAAAAAATTCAAATTTTTAAATCTGCACTATAAAAATTAATGCGAGCACAATAAAATTGGTCACTTCACAAAATCTTTGATCAAATTTCATTTTTTAATTATATAACAATCTTTGTTATTTGATGTACTTGAATATATATGCATTATAATATTCACAAACAAATATTTGTTTGAAGTTCAAAACAATTGTTTTCACACCACCTTTGTTTTTTTGTTTTTTTTTTTAAACGACGATTTATTTTTCATATTAATTTTCATACATTATCCAGTCACCAAAATTTTCTATTATTTTAATTATATCTTTTTTTTTTTTTCTAAATTTTAGATAGAAAAATAAAACAATAATAAAAAACAAAAAAGAAACAATCATAAAGATGAACTAGTTAAAGAGTTCATCAACACTTGTAGTAGATTAGATTATTTGTTTGTTTGTTTGTTTGTTTGTTTGTTTTTATATTTCAAAACTTATTATCATACTAAAAAAATAATTAATTTTTGTAATTATTAATAACATTGTTGTTGTTATTGTTGTTTGTCATACATACATACATAAATCTATAAATATATTTATAATATATTTATTTTTGTTTATTAGATCTAATAATAAAATAATAATAATAATAATGTATAAAATAAAAAATATTTTAAAAGATACTTTTAAATATATATTTCAGAGGGTCACTTGGATATTAAAGTTTTTATTCCCTCAAGAGTTAAAGATAGAGAGATTACAGATTGCGATACCATATCTAGATGCACCACTACGTTTAGTTCAAATTTCAGATATTCATTACGATCATGAACCAATTAGAATAGACGATGCATTCCTCTCAAAGGTGATCGAAGCGGTCAACAACCAAAACCCAGACCTAATAGTTATCACTGGTGATCTTGTACAATTCAAACCTGAACCAATCGATAATTTAATATCAAAACATTTATCAAAATTAAAAGTAAATAACATTGGATAGGTGTTATTATCAATTGGTAATATAATAACTAATATTGATTGATATCTTCTAATTAATTATTAGGCGAAAATCGGTATTTATTCAATTCTGGGAAATCACGATTATAAGACAACTCACGGTCCAGAAACGATTATGACAGCGTTGAAAAACAGTGGAATCAAGGTGTTGCATAATGAGACGGCCTATCCGATGGGAAAAGAGGAGGGACGGCTGCAATTGGTGGGTCTCGGTGACTACGGTCGGAAACGTGTCAATTTCAGGTTGGATATGGTGCGTGACGATCTCGCAGAGGAGAGACGTGCGCGTGTCGTCCTCTCGCACAACCCCGATAGCGCATTCGACTTGGAGCCGTATCCAATCGATCTGGTGCTCTCGGGACATACACACGGCGGGCAAATATGCTTCCCAAACGGCACTCCCATGTTGCCACTCTTTGACAAACTCTTTTTGCAACTACCGAAAACACTGCTGCTCGGCATCAGCTATCCACGCAAGGTAGTCAAGAACTGGACATGGTGTCGCGGTCACCACATTCTCAAAGGCGTTCAATTGGACATTCCAAAACATCAGAGACCAATGAATCTTTACATCAACAGAGGATTGGCAACTCATCCTCCACTCCGTCTATTCTGTGATCCTGAAATCACCGTAATAGATCTGATACCAAAATCAATTGATAATAATAGTACAAATTGAATTAATATCTCAAAATATAAAATAACATCATTATACACATAGTAGCGGATTAAACTATGATGATCTTTTTAAGTCAAAAGCTATTACTTTTTCTTTTTTTTTTCTTTATTTGTTTATCTTTTTTTATTGACAAATTATCAAGCAATATATATTTGTAATTAATGGTTTTCACAATAATAAGCTTAAAGATTAGATCAAATGTTCAATAAAGAATGGATCAATAATCAATACATCTCAAAAGGATGTGCAAGATTCAACAAGTGAGAATTTCAAGTCATGAAATACTCTTAGAATAAATTATAGTATATTGTCATTGTATAATTCACAATTAACATTTATAAAAGTAATTCCAACTACAATGAGTAGAAAGAGGTTCGAAATGTTATGTTGTTATTTGGATTTAGAAGTGCACTTCAAGAGATGAGTGGTGAAATTAGATTAACAAAAATATTATAATAACCTTTTTTTTCTTTCATGAAAGATTATTGAATTATTTTTAATTTTTTAAATAGCCATTTCTGGTACTCTATCTCTTTCTTTTGTTGGTTTACTAGATGCTTCTACTTCTTCTATTCCCACTTCTATTTCTTCTGCTTCTGCTGCTATAGGTTTTGATTTTGGAGATGATGGTAGTTTCGCTAAAAAGTTAATATTATTACTAAAACTTTAATAAAGTTCTAAAAGAATATAAAACCGGTAGAAATCAAAGATAATACATACTTGGCAAAACATGGTCTAAATTTACATTGATCTTCAAATCGTTATTGGGTACCTCTGGGAATTTCGATTTCAATTGTTGTTTCTCCATTTGATCTAGTTCCGCCATCAATTCATCCTCCTCTTCCTGAGTGAATTTACCACTAAGTGCTTCAGATATTTCCTGTAGGATGTGATTGTACAATCATAACAAACAAAAACAACAATTAATAAATTGAATTGATCAAATAATCAAATCTTCTACTTGAAGATGTATGTTCAAAACGAAAACCACTTACATTTTGATAATCAACAGCATCCTGTGTATCAGACATGATATTCTCAATCTCTTCTAATGACATCTCTTTGTGTAACTCTTTCAAAGCGTTGTTTCCTTGTTTCAATTGCTCTGCAATCTTTATCTGAATGTGTGCTTGTTCTATCGTTGAAACCATCTCTTGTATGTTCATTAGATTCTGATCGGTGTCCTCTAGCAGTTTCTCCTGATACTTTCTCTTTTTCAACGCCAGAATCGCTTGTTGTTTCTTATTGTTCTTTGCACATTCTCTTGCAATCTCTGTTTCTCTTTGAATTACAAGATTAATCTAATAATAAACGAAAATACAAAAAAACAAAACAGTCAAAAAACAACAATACAACAACAACAACAACAACAACAACAACAACACAATCATAATCAAAATTTAAATAATAACATTAATATCAATTGAGTAATAATATCTTGTCTAATTATATATATATATATTTAATATATGCATACTTTTATTTGATATTGTTTCAATTTATCACGTTGTATCTTCAATTCCAATACAGCTTTGTCTTTATCACTGATTTGATCTTTTCTGGCAGATCCACCACAAAAAGAGAACATACCACCCATTGTGTGTTTTCTATAAATATAGATCTTATATATTAAACTTAAAACTTAATTTAGATATGAACTAATTAAAATAATTATAAAAAAACTTAATAATAGTATAAAAATAATAATACAAACAAAAAAATTCTTTACATTTTAGGGTCAAAAATTATATTATTTGCAATAATAATATCACCCCACCCACTTCATTTCAAATTGTGTTTTTTTTTTTAAATTTTCGAACTTCTTAGATAAAAAAAAATAATTTTCCAATAAATTAAAGAATTTAATACCATTCAATTTTGTTGTTTTTGTAATTCCCAACAATATGATGTTTTGATGTTGTTGTAATAAACTATAACATTTAACAAATATAGATAGATATTTGTTAATTAAACACAATCATGAACAATAATAATAATAATAATAATCAACAAATAGTAGCAGTAGCAGCAGCAACAGCAGTTATCGATAATATTGGTAATCAAAAGAATGACATGACATTGGATATTGCACAGCAACCTTTTGGAAGTAGATCGTTCTCAGATGAACAGAAATCGTTGATTACAGCGCTATTGAATAAAGATATACCACAGAAGCATACTCAAACAAGACCCGGTGCTGAAGGACGTATGTATTGTTTTTGTTTTTTCTTTTTTTTTTTTTTTGACTTTGTAATGTTATATTTTTGATAATTAACTCTTTTAATTTGTTATATTAGACTCTTATGTATATGTAAAGACAGACCAAGTAATTGCTGAGGCAAATAGGATATTTGGATCAGATGGTTGGTCATTTCAGGTGTTGGCATCGGAACAACAGTTGGAGGAGGAGTACGACGATTGTGTTAAAGTTGGTTTTTGGGCACATATAAGAATAATTCTACGTGATGGTACATTCCGAGAGGATGTAGGCTACTCTGTTATGACAAAGAAGAAGGCAGACAGTCAATTCGATCTACTCTTTGGCAACTGTAGAAAATCTGCAGTTTCAGACGCTCTCAAGAGAGCATTAAGATTGTTTGGTAGAGCACTTGGCAATCATGTAAATATTAACAATCAAACTGTAATAAAATCAACACCCCAACAACAAATAGCACAACAACAACAATCAAATCAACAAGCTATTCAATCAATTTCAGATGAACACTTTGAATATTTTGACGATTTAGATTCAAATAATGATGTCAATGTAAAGTCTGAACCGATGCAACAACAAAAACTACAGCAACAACAACAATTTAATAATAATAGTAATACAATCAAAAAACCAATGCCAACGATGCCTGTTACAACGTCTACTGGAAATAACAATAATCATAATATATCAAAGGTGACAATGGATAATAATCAAGCAACTACAACAACAACTACTACTACTACAAATAATAGCAGTAATGGAAGTAATGGAAGTGGAAGTTCAACTAAAGTATCACCTTTATCAAGTAACAGACATCATCCATATCCGCAGGGTATGAAGCCCATGCCTTTGAGACCAATGAATTTACAAGCACAGGTACAGACACAGCAACAACAACAACAGCTACAGCAACATCAGCATCAACCAAGTCATTTGCAAGAGTATAATGGTTCTTTTGAATTTGATTTTAATGAATCACTTGTGACAAGTGTAAAATAATCATTTGTTTATAATTTGAATTTCAATCTCAATCTTATATCACAATCACAATAATAATAATAATAATAATTAAACCAACTTTCAAATTCAACTTTCAACTCACCTACACATTGATAAATTCATATTTATTATTCAACTTTATAAGAATCAATCTATCTTATCACAATTCATTTTGTTTTTAATATTAAACAAATCTTATTATTTAAGCAATTAAGTATTTGACTATTTATTTTTGATTCTTTAGAAATTTCTAAGTTTAATTGTATCATTGTTGAATTTCAATACACCAGGCTCAACTTTACCGGTGTACTCTGCTGTGTGCTGTGCAGTGTTCATACCTCTGAAAATGAGTGAATTCAATCTTGATAGTGCAGCGGTCTCTCTAGATAATTGCCACAATCCGAGATTGAATGCATTGTTTGATATTTGTAAGAAGATATCTGAGTAGAATGGTTGTAATACACCGTTGCACTGAATTGTAAATTGAGCCGGTGTCGATGGTAGCTCCGCTCTGGAGTAGTTGATAGGGTTAATTGTGAAACCAGATACTTGGAGACTCTCGAATAGACATTCCATCGATAGTTTATCTTGGTATTTAGTTCTGTAGAGTAGCGACAAACCACTGAGCTGATGTATCAAATCGAATTGAAGATGTTGTCCATATTTCTTTTTGAATACTTCAATGTTGTTCTTGATTGTAGGGATGATTGATTGATCATACTTTCTAATCTTTGGAGCGAATTCACTTTGAAATTGTTCAGCTAACTTCTCTATTTGTTCAACCTCTGATTTAGTGTACTTTCTATCTTTCTGGCACAACTGACACTCGCAGGTGAATCCGAACGCCGTATGATGACCTTTTCTCTTTTCATAGGATTCCAAAAACGAGCAATATCCAGTAGTTATCTCATCGTTTGCTTTAAACGATCTGGCAGAAAAGATTATCATTGCATCACCAATAAACATACGTGAGGTGTTTGGAAGACAATCGTGATTGATAAACGATGGTACTATCCATAACCCATGAATCTTCTTATCATCAAAGAATGCATTCAATTTGACGATACTTCTGACATCCTCGACATTGATTGGAATGTTAGTGGTGTTGTTGATTACCTGGTCGACAATCGATTCGTTCACCTTGAAGAAATCTAGTGAATCTACCAATCCAAAAGATGCAGTAGGGTTTGAATCATGATATAGTTTTGAAACCTGGGTGGCCAACTTTGGATTGGCTTTGATTTGCCTATTGACAAGTGCAATCACTTGAGCGGAGTTTACATTCATTGCAACCTTATCCTTGAAATTGACATCGAATACGGTTGTATCTTTTTTTTCCGGCTCTCTATATACACCGACTCCTTTGGACACCAAAAGTAGAGTTCCGGCTTCGACATCCTGAGTAACAGCCAATCCACGACCATGCTTTGTTTTGGTCATCTTTAACGGACCAATATATTCACTGCAATCGACTTCACCGGTTGATTTGAAGGCGTCAGAGATTGCTTTGAAATCGAATCTACCTTGATCTCTCTCAACTATTCTCACTTTGCATTGTTTGATTAGAGTTGGATATTGATTGTTATTGGGTACAATCTTAACCAGTTTCTCGTAGATCTCCATTGACTTTTCGTAAAGACCAACTAAATAGTACGATTTACCAAGTCGGATCAATAGTTTCTCCTGTGACAAAGGAACCAAACTCGCTTGTCGTGATAGTAGTTCAACACCGGTTTGAATACACTCTATATATCTTTTCAATTCGATTAGAGCTGCCATTTTGTTTGACAAAAGTAATGGATGTTTTGGATCCAGTGCCAACCCCGAACAATAGTATTCAAGTGCCTTATCAAAGTTTCTATTGACAAAGTATTGATTACCTCTTTCACGCCAACCATTTACATCTCTTGGTAACGACAACTTGAGTATCTTCTTCCATTGTTTGTTGCATATTAATGGATGATAAGGATCAAAGATGAATTCAATATCATTGGGATCGTCTACCCGAATGAACAAACCACCGGACGATGCCACTTTGAAATAAGGTTCCTTAACAGCGAATATAACACCAATCGGAAACATATCCTCGATTTCATCAATCACCTTTTTCTTTCCTGGCAGAATGGCATTGTATACAGAGAGATCCAAGATTTCATCGTAAACACCGTTTTGATCTTCAATAAGCACCTGAATAGCATTCAACTTGTTTGGAATGGTAATACTTCTTGCTATCAACACCTGACCATGATGAATCTTCTCCACCACCAAATCCTTGATTAGCACTGGTTTCAGTAGTTCGATCGGTTTAATAGTGACATCCTTGGCAAGACTACTCTTTGTAGTTGAAGTAGTTACAAACGCATGTCCTACGTTTTGGGTCATTGTTTGTCTTTGAACTTTATAAATATGTATCTTTTCATTTCTATCTTGTCGAAGAGGATTTCTTTGTCCTTTCAAAAAGTTTTGTTTGAAATCTGTTTCTCCACTATGTGCATTCTTTAATGATTGTTGAAAGAAAGATTCCATTATCAAATATGTTTGTTTATTATTTATTACAATTAATCTTTAATTTCAAATAATATGGTAGCGGAAGTTGTTTTTACAGTAAAAACACCACAAAACTTAAATATTCAATTTGTAAAAGCACCAGCACACATAATTTAATGTGTGATGATTCTCACCATTCAAAAGTCTTAGCAAAAATAATTTAATTATTTATTTTTAAAAATAAATTTAAAAAATATGATTGGATTTATCAACTATTTATTTTTGAATTCAACAATTTAATTAAATTGTTTTGGTTAAAATTGCTAAAGACCCTTCAGAATTATTTAATACTTAATGTGTGCGAATTACAAGCAAATCAAAAACAAAAAAAAAAAAAACTTTTTTTGTGATTTTTTTTGATTTTTGGTTATTTTTATTCGGTGTTGTTCAGCGCAAAAGATCTTGAGATTTTTTGATTTTTTTTTGTACATGTTTAATTTTTGCTCAGAAAGATTTATTTTAAACTATCAGACAAAAAAAAAAGAGAGAAAAAGACACCTCGTTCTTTTTTTATTTGCCGGCTAGACACCTCACTTGTAATATTTTTTAGAAAAACTCGTGGTGCATCATACATGTAGCTATCAATTTTTTGTCGATAAGCCTATTGACCAACAAAAGATATTAATACATTTGCAACCGGTTGTGTGATGAGTTACTTTGTAGTTTTTTTTTTGTTTTTCTTTATCTTTTACCAGGTGTAAGAGTAAGGAAGATAAATCATATGAATCTTGTGTTCCTTTTGAACCTTCTTTTTAAATAATATAGTAATATTATCTTTTAGATTATAATAATATCAAGTTAAAAAAGATAGTACAATTAATTCATTTATTTGTAAAGTTTAAAATTATACCACAAAAGTCAGAGAATTAATTTTTAGTAGTAACAACAACACACCTCACCAACATACACACACACCAAACATCAAGATACAACAAAGCACACATATCACCAAATTTGTAAATTTAATATTTATTCCTATCTTTTTTTTCTTTTCTTTTTTTTAAAGTAGCTCCTTATCATTTCTTTTTAAATCTATATTAAGATATAACCTGTTACTCAATAATATCATATTTTTAAAAATTAAATATTTTTTTATTTTATCTATTTTCCAAGGATGTTTAAATATTCTTTATTTATTTTGTTTATATCTATTTTTATAATTGTAAATGCATCAACTTTAAATAAAAACATAAAATCAAATAAAAATGCAAAAATAAATACAGAGCCAGTAGATCACTCTTTTTCCTCAGGAAATTTATTATTTACAAACCCAAATGGATATGATCCAAATATGATCATCGAAGTCGATTTGTCTGGAAATTTAGTACACAACTATTCAACTTGGTTAGAAAATGTAAATATATTTATTCCTATTCAAAGAATATTTCAGAAATAAGAATTATTTATTCATTTTTTTTAATATTTAGGAACCATCAAAAAGATGTGTTGCAAGGGATTTGGCATTTTTAGACTCATCTACCTTGTTAATGTTGGACTCTCAACAAGGTATCTTTTATGCAAGTTCCAAGGGTAATGTGAAGGGAATCTGGTCAAACTTGGCAACCGGAACCAAAGGAGTTCTTGGTTGTGATTTACAAAGATTCAGTGTTGATCTTAATAACAAAAAGATATATGTAATCAGCACAAACATCAATTGTGATTATTCCTACATTCCAGGTGTATTTGTTTATGATATTGTATGTATATAAACTTTTTTATTAAAGAAATAACTATATTCGTTATATTAACAATTAATCTATCAATTTCAATACCAGTCTGGAACTTTCCAAACATTATTAACTCATGAACAATTTGAATTTACTTGGGATGTTGTTGGAGATGAATCTGGTGATATTTGGGTAACCAATACTCAAAATATCTTTGTTTTCCGTGCTGGAGGTGAAAAGAATGTCGATATCATCGATCCAATCAAGAATAAGTTGGGATACAATGGAATTCAACTCAGTCCGTCAGGTACAATTTTAGTTACAGTCCCAGCACCAGTTAACGATTTACTAATTGAAATCGACCCAACATCAGCAACACTCTCGAATACCTATCCACTTGTTGGTAATACAACTTCCACTGGTTCACTCTCTGGTATTCCAGGCAGTATTGTAATCGACCCAAACACTAATGATATCATCATTGAAGTGCCATGGGCCAGTAAGAAAGAAGGAAAAGATGTCGATGTCGTCCAAATCTACTCAAAGAAGGGAAATTTAAAAAGTTCCTTTGGTGGTCATAGTTGTAAAGACACTAACTTATTATGCGTTCCATTATTCGGAATGGTAATAATTCCATAATCTATATCAACGACAACAATCAACAATCAATTCATTTATATATTTTAATTAGATAAATTTAAATAATAAACAACTTTAAAAAAAACATTCTTATTTATTAAACAACAACAATAATAATAATATTTAATTGCTTTATTTATATTTAATATATATTTTAATTTACAAACCATATTGGAGTTTATTTGATGGAGTTTTAAAGTTTACATATTTATATGGAATATCTAATTATTTGTTGAGTTGAGTTGATTTGTTTGGTTGTTATCTCTTTTTTTTGTTTTGTTTTTTTATATTATTTGAGTTTGAGTTTGAGTTTGAATTGAGTGAGAAAAACAAATTTGTTATTTGTTTGGTTTTTTTTTACTCATCCATTATATTTGCACCATCGGCAAATGCAGTTCTTGTTACTTCTTTTTTAATTTTGATATCATCCTTCTTTGAACCGTTTCCATTTCCATGAGAATCAACACTTTCTTTTTGTCTCTTTCTATCTCTGTTTTGTGGACTGCGTTCGGTTGACGATGAATTCTTGTCTCTGGGCGGTGACGATCTGTTTGTTGAGGAGGTGGTGGTAGTTGTAGAGGTGTGCTTAGTGTCAGGAGATTCCGATCTCTCACGTGACTCTGATCTTCCCCTCTTGGTGTTTCTTGGTGAACTAGATCTGTCACGTGAGCGAGAGGAACGATCACCACGATCTCTCTTCTTTTCTTTAGTTAAATCCAAATCCATCTTTTCAGAATCTTTCTTTCCACTGCTGCCGCTGTCCTTTCTACTACCGCTATCACTCAAACGTCTATCACTTCTATCTCTATCCCTATCTCTTTCTTTATCCCTGTTTCTATCTTTTTCCCTGTCTCTATCTCTATCCCTCTCTTTGTCACGATCACTTCTTCCATAGTCTCTATCTCTGTCTCTGTCTCTGTCTCTATCTCTATCTCTATCTCTGTCTCTGTCTCTTCCTCTGTTGCTACCACTGCTGCTGCTGCTGCTGTCCTTTCTGGAATCCCTGTCGTCTCTTCTGTCTCTGTCGTCTCTTCTGTCTCTATCGTCTCTTCTGTCACGATCACGTCTATCGTCCTTGTCGCGTCTATCGTCTCTTCTATCTCTGTCGTCTCTTCTGTCACGGTCACGTCTATCATTTCTTCCTCTATCGTCTCTTCTATCTCTATCTCTTCCCTTATCCCTTCTCTCAGGTTTTCCATTACTAAATAAATAAAAAAAAATAATAAAAAACAAATAAAAAGAAAGTAAAAAATAAAATAAAAAAGAGAAATAAAATAAAGTTGGTCAGAATAAAGTTAAATTAAAATTATAAATTTATATATTTTCAATAAAATTTAAAATCCATTATTATATAAAAATTAAAAGTATATATATGAATAACTATATAAATATATGATTGATATAATTTTGTACAATTGTAATGTTATTTTTGTATTTGGCAACATCAAATTTTGATAAATAACAACATTATTATATTATAAATATTATTTTTAAACAAACATTCATATATTTTTATAATTTAGTTATTTCTTTTCTTTTTTTTTTTTTTTTTGTAAACTAAAATATATAAATATAAAAAATGTTATAAAAAAGATATTTATAATATAATAATATTCTTATAATATTTGATGGGTAAGGTTGTTATTTGGTGTGGGGATGGGGCGAGGGGTATTTTGGATATGGAATTGGATGTGGATTGGAATGGAATGGATTGGTAATGGATTGGATTTGGTAATGGTTTTTAGGATCCGTTTGGTATGTTTTTTTGGTATAGCTAGAATAAACTAGTTTTTGGTATGGTATGAATATGGAGGTAATTGGTATGGTATGGTTGGAATTGGATAAGGATTGGTATCGATTTGGATGGATTTTAAACACAAGACTAGAATATTATCTATTATCGTCGTCATCTCATAATATCTATCATCATAATAATTAGTCAAAAAACTTTTATAAAAAATAATCATACCGGTTAGATTCTCCAGTTACAAATTCAACTACTAATTTCGAACCATCAATCTATAAAGTTATTAAATAAATATTAATATTAATCTCATCATCTTCAATCCTAAAAAATTCCAGATCCTCTTATATCCATACCTCTTTTTTATGTAATGCTTCCAATGCTTTTGTTGCTTGTTCGGCATCGGTAAACTCAACAAAACAAAATGTTTTTCTCATTTCAATCTAATAATAATAATAATAATAAATGTTAATAATATGTTTGATAATATTATAAATGATGTTTGTTAAATAACAATTTGTACTCACTCTAACGATATCACCGAATGGCTTACAGAGACGTGAGATTGACTCCTCAGTTGTTGTATCTACATTATAATGTACAAGAAATATAGTTGGACATGGTTTTGCTTTTTTCTCTCTATTCAAAAGTTTACGACTATAATTAATAAAGATAGATAGATAGATTTGGATAGTTTGTTAATGAATTAACTGAACGTCCATTTACAAAAAAGGAAATAGATAGTTACTTTTCACCTCGGGCATGCTGAACCGTTAGAGTACGTCCACGATAATTAGTCTTATGCATTCCATCGATGAGCTTATCAGCATCATCTTTATCATGTAAAAACACAAATGCATATCCATTTTTTAAATCTAAAAATATAAAAATTTTATTAATTAATTAACCAGTTTTTAATTTTTTAACCAAATTAGTTGAAATTTTTTGTTGTTAAAAAAAAAATATAAAAACTTAACAACAATCAATCAAATCATTCATATGACTGATATAATAAAATGATGAATGATCGATTTGATATGATTATGATTATGATTAAAGTTGAGAAATAATATATGTATATATAATTTGATATTGTTTGTTTTAATGTTTCTACCTACCTATGGTTAAAATTGAACTACGTGATATAAATGGATTACAGAGTTGTTCGATGTCATAGTTATCAAGGCCATGTGGAAGATTACCAATAAATACTGTTATATCCTTTGCTTTGCCATCGCGATCAAGTGGCGAAGACGATAAGGTTGATGATGAAATAGGTGATTCCGACATCATGCCTGCACTTATTCTTTCTTCTTTTTCTTTTTTCTTTTTCTTTTCTTTTTCTTTCTTTTTCTTTGTTTGATAATATACAAAAAATATCTATTTTTTTTAAAATTAATTAATTAGTTCAATTTACTTGTATTTTAATAAATAACTTAAACATCTATCTATCCATCCATCCACCCATCATGATGATGATAGATTATGATTATTATTTGATTGATATATAAGGTTACTACTACCTACACTCTTGTTATTTTATATGTATTGTTAATGTTGACTGATTTAATTTATTAATTAATTAATTAAGACTTTTACACACTACCAACTAACGATTTAATTTAACTAACTTAATTATGTAATTATATATTATAACGGTTAATTATGTTTGTAGTAATGAATGTCAATATATACAATTAAATTTCATATATCTTAATTTTTGATGCTGTTGTTGTGTGTTTGATTGTTTTTTTTAAAAAAAAAAAAAAAAAAAATATTGTTTATGATTAAAAATAACTTAATAATTGAAAAAAAAAATTGATTGGAGCAGTGTGAAAAAAAAAAATTCAAAAAAAAAAGCAAAAAAGGTTTAAATTGTTTTTTTTTTTTTAAATTTTACATTTTTTAACATTATTTATAGAAAAAAAATAATATATTAAACTCTATTATTTCTTTCTAAATTGGTTGACCAAAAAAAAAAAAAAAAAAACTCTATTATAGATCTTAAAAAAAACAAATTAAAAAAAAAACATATTTTAAAAAAAATTGAAATTTCTAGAGTCATTTTTTAAGATTCTTGAATTGTAAAACAAGATTTAATAAGAATGAAGGATTAAATTTGCTTGTTCCGGAATCTTAATGAAAAAACATAAATATGATTTTTTTTTTTTGTTTTTTGTGTTTATCAATTTGAATTTATTCAAAGTATCATTCATTCATGAATACCACCAATATATCTTTTTATTTTAAATTATTACTTTTATCTTTTGTTTTGTATAGTATATCTATTTATATAAATAATAATTACATTTCAAATATTAATAATAATACCATTATAAGTAAAGATATAAATCAAATATCTATTAATAATAATAATCATAGAGTACCTAATAAAATGACGAGTGTAAGAAAAGTCAGTAAAATATCCAGTGGTACACCAACAGTAGATGGAGGCGGAGTTAGTTTGTTAAGAGTAATCGGTCAAAACAATCGATTGGATCCATTTTTAATGTTGGATGAGTTCAGAAGCGACAACCCAGATGATTATATCGAAGGATTTCCTTCACATCCACATAGAGTAAGTAGATCAATTCTTTCTTTATTTATAGATTTATTATTTGTTTACAATTTATCTATTTATTTAGGGATTTGAAACAGTAACTTATATGTTGGCAGGAATAATGGAACATCAAGATCATAAAGGTAATAAGGGTTTGTTGACACCTGGTTCAATCCAATGGATGACAGCGGGTCGTGGTATCATTCATTCTGAGATGCCAAAGCAAGAGAATGGCCTCATGCAAGGTTTTCAACTTTGGATTAACGCAAGTATAGGATATTATTATAAAATAACATTTAGTAAATTCTAATTGGAAATTTCCAAAAAATAGTTGCCTGCTAAAAATAAAATGATAGAACCTCGCTACCAAGATATTCCACCCGAGAGAATCCCGGTGGTCTCCGAAGTCAATGGTTCCAAAGTAAAGGTGCTCGCTGGAAAATATAAAGATGTAACCGGACCGGTCTCTGGCATTGAAACCGAACCAATTTATCTAGACGTTGAACTCGTACCTGGATCTACCTTCTCCGAAGAGATTCCAGTTGGTCATTCCGCATTTGTCTATGTTTTCAAAGGTTCCTGTAAATTTGGACCATCGCAACAACAGCGAGAAGTCGGACAGTCTAACATGGCAGTATTGGATGGCGGTGCTGGCGAAACCTCAATGGAAGCATTCTCAGAGAAAGGCTGTCGTTTCCTACTGGTCAGTGCAAAACCAATCAATGAACCAATCGAACAATACGGTCCATTCGTAATGAACACGAAACAAGAGTTAATGCAAGCATTCGATGATTATCAAAATGGAAGATTTTAAAATAAATAATAATAATAAAATTGAATATAAAATATTAATTTAATAAATAATAATAATAAATAGATTTATTTAGTTTTTTTTTTAATTAATTACATGTTTGTTGAATTATGTTTTTATAATATAACATTTATGGCAAATCAACTAAAGATTTCTTTTGTGGTAAATGATTGTAGGTTGCTTTTTTAGTTTTACCTCCAATTTTGTATTTTTCACCTTGTGGAGCTTCAGCGTGTGCCTCACCTTTACCCTTCTTTGAAACCTTGGTTGGAATGTTCTTTTCGACAGGTTTATTGACAGAGACGATAAAATCTTCCCAAGCACCTTTAATTAATGAAGCAATACCGGTGGATGATGGTAATTCACCTCTATGAACTCTTTCCACCAACTTACAGAAATCATCGAATGATACAGTTCCTTTCTATAAAAATATATAATAATTATTATTTAATTATTGTTTTTGTTTTTGTTTTTATTATAAATTATTAATTATTACATACACCAGTTGAATCTACTTGTTGAATCATAGCATAAATCTCAGAGAGAGATGGCTTTTGTCCAGCTTTTCCAAAGGCAATAGACAATTCGTTTACATCTAGAATATTGTCACCATTGGTATCCAATTGCTTAAAGATACGTTCTAAATTTGCTCTAAATAATAATATCACCAATCAATTATTAAAGATATTATCAAAATGTTAATATCAAATTTTAATGTCTTCGTCATTTGTAACTCTAAAATGTACCTATTTGCTGCCATCTTTATTTATATTTTCTTTTTTTGTACAAGATAAATTATTAAATCAACTAATTATTTATTTATTTATTTATTTTAAAAAAAATGATTAAAAATTAAGAATCAATCATAAACTTATTAAGACAGACAACTCTTTACAACAATAATCAAATTTTAATTTTATTATTAAAATATACCCCCAAAAATTAAAATTACTTGAAAAAAAACCAATAACAAAAATCTTAAAACCAATTGTTAAACCCTAAATTATTTAATTAATTTTATTCTTTTTTTTTCAACTTTTTTTTAAAAAAAATACTAAATATATTGAAAAATATCTATTTTTAAGATTATTGTTGAAGATTACTTTGCAACACTTTAATATTTTTAATGTTCTGTATTACTACACTTAAAAAAATAAGTTGACATTCAAATTATGTTGTGTGTCAATACCAGAATCTCATATTTTAGATTTTTTAATAATTTTCCAAATTTGGTATTTTTTTAAATAATTAAGATAGATATTTTTATGAAGAATTCAATTTCTAAATTTAGATAAATTAATATTAAAAAAATAAATTTCAATGAATGGTAATATAGTTATTCGAATTTCTTTTTTCGACACTTGATCAAATAATAGTTCCTATAATTAAAAATAATGAAAATAAAGATAATTCCACTTATAACACCGAAGGCTCCTAATGATCCTTTCAGAGAGATCGTACATGAAAATCCAACAAAACTTCGTAAAATTTTTAGAAAAGTAATTGCAGAGTTTGTTGGTGTCCTACTATTTGTTTTCATGGTAGGAGGTTCGGTAGTATCTTCACAAGTAAGTAGATAGATAAAACAAATATATTTTCAATACAATTGTTGTAAAGAAAATAATATTAATTTATTAAAAACTCAAACAAACAAAAACAACATAGTATTATAGTACAGGAGGAAATAGAGATTTAGTAGATGTTGTCGTTAGAACTTTACTACTTTCCCTTGTACAAGGATTATCCATTGCTGCACTCATTTGGTTTACTCTACATATGGGATGCGTTTTAAACCCTGCGGTTTGTCTAGCACAAGTATGTTCATATCGTCTTGGATTGTTGAATGCACTTGGATTAATAGTTGTGGAATTATGTGGTGCGATGGTAGGAGCTGCTTTATTAAAATGGGCAATCCCCAATCCATGTAAGAAAAATAAGATTCAATTAATTAGTTTTAAAAATATATTAATAAAAATTCTAAATATATTTTAAACTTTTTGTATTTATAATTTATAGATGAAAAAACTTTAGGAGCAACGACTCTATCGCCTGGAACAAATGTTGGTCATGGTATTTTATTAGAATTAATGGGTACTTTCTTTTTATCAGTAACGGTATTGGCCACCGCTGTTCATAATGAAGGAGATCCCGATATCATTAGAGTTGCACCTTGGGCGATTGGATGTGCTGTTTTTGCTGGTGTAGCTACTTTAAATCCATTTACCGGTGGAAGTGTAAGTTTATTACAATTAAACTTAAACATTTTATTAAAAAAAAAGAAATTATTAATATTAAAATTATTTTAAATTATTTATTAAATAGATGAATCCAGCTAGATCATTGTAAGTAAAATATCTTTTTGATTAATGCATATTATAAATTAATTGTGTTGTATTTTATTTTTTTTAAATAGTGGACCAGCAGTTGTAAAAGGTATTTGGAGCAAACATTACGTTTATTGGATCGGGCCAATGCTAGGCGGATTCTTTGCAGGTATATTGTTTAGATTTATTCTTGCCGAGAGAGTATCCTATAGGTACATTGAAAGAGATGATATTCAACAAGAAAAATCTTCAGTCATGGGAAGTGTAGCTGACAAACAAAATACAGAAGGTAAGCCCACTGGTGATAATATAGAAGAAAGTGATTCTGAGAATTTGAATCTTGCCAATGACCCATACGGTTATAGTAGAGCATAAAAAGTTAACTTTCTCAGACTATGTAAAAAAGAAAAGAAATTCATTTATCCTTTCATTTTAATTAATTTTAAAGGATCTGTAAAATAAATAAAAGTTTTAAATTTACAATAGTACTCTAGATCTATCTATCTATTTAATTTAATTTAATACAATTTCTTAAATTGGATTATTTATTTATTTATTTTATTAATTATCACCGGCAAAGAACTTGGCGTAGGCACTTGCTTTCTTCTTGTTTTCTTGTGAGTAAAGTTGATTGGCTCTTGCCAACTCTGCCTTGGCATCCTTGTTGTCAGCCTCGATATTCAAAACGGCTTGGAAGTCTTCGATGGCTTCCTCATAGTCTTTCTTCAAGAGATAAGCTTTACCACGTCTAAACAAACCTTTGATATCGTTTGGTGACAACTTCAATGCTTTGTTACACGAGTCGATGGCATTAGAGTATTTGGCTAACTTGTTGTAACACAATGCCATATTCAAATAACATGAGATCTCTGTTTGTTTCAATCCATCTGCTTTACCAACACAATCTAAATATCTTAATGACTAAATGGTAATAATGAATTACAATTAAATTGTTGTTAATAAATAAATAAATAAATAGCAACTGTCATTATTAATCTTACTTTTTCATATTTATCAATAGCTTCTTGATTCTTATTCTCCTTAAAATAGGTGTTACCGATGTTCTTGAGAGTTTCACCAACTTTGAACATCTCTTCGTCACCCTGGATGTTGTCGTCTTGTGGATATTCTTCCCATTGATCACCATCAGCTGATACCTTCTTTGGTACTCCATCGTCTTCTCCCTCTGCCAACTCACCACATTTGGCAATGACGACATCTTTATTTGGTTTATCGCTAGTAGTTGGTGATGCTTCAATCTTTCTAACAACATTCATTCCTTTAATAACCTTTCCAAATACTACATGTTTACTGCAGATATATAAATTTAAACAGGTTAGTTAGTTTATCTCTTTCTATATCCAATCTATAATTATTATTATTATTATTTTTATTCATACCCATCTAAATGTGGAGTTGGAACAGTGGTAATAAAGAATTGTGATCCATTTGTAGCTGGACCGGAATTGGCCATACTCAACAATCCACTTTGGGTATGCTTAATTTCAAAGTTTTCATCTATAGTTGGTTTATTGATTGTTAGATATAATGATATTAGTACAATATACATATGTATGTTTGTTTTATTAACACATACCAGCAAACTTTTCGCCATAGATTGATTCACCACCGGTACCATTAAAGTTTGTAAAGTCACCACCTTGAATCATGAATTGTGGAATGACACGATGGAAGATTGATCCTTCGTACGATAACTTCTTACCGGAACCTCCAACACCCTTCTCACCAGTACACAATGCTCTGAAGTTTTCTGCAGTCTTTGGAGTCTTGTTTTTAAACAACTCCATCACAATTCTACCAGCTATTATATTATTACATGTTTATTGTAAAACGATTATTAATATAATTATAATCAACTTTTAAGTGCAATTCATATATCAACAAACCTGGTTGACCACCAATAGTAATATCAAAGAAAACACGTGGATTTGACATCTTTTTCTATTAAAATGAATGAAGATCTACTAAGATATTAAATGATATAAAACTGAATGTATTATTATCTGTATGTATTAATTAGGATGTGTGTTAATGACTGATCTGAAAATCATAAAAATTTTGCTAAGCTTAAAAAGTAAAATTAGCACTAAAAAAAAATTCTCTAATTTTAAGTTAAATTTTATTAATTTTGGATGTGTTTTAATTTATTTAATTATACAACTTTATTTTGCAAGTTTATTTATTTAGTAACAATTTTGAAAGCGAAATCATTGAACTTTCCAGTTTTGAATGCGATGGCACACCAGAGTGGGCAGAGTGCTTCGACTGGACCGGCAAGTGTAGAGGCACCGACATCAAAGAAATCCCAACCGAAAGCCTCGATCAATGGTTGAACCGACTTTTTAGCTTCATCGCTGTCACCACAGACAATCATGGAGGCACGCTCGCTCAACTGTGGCTTGTACATGAGACCGTTTCCAACCGAGTTGAAAGCCTTGACGAAATGGGCTTCAGGTGCAGCTTCGATTAGGAGTTCCATCAACGACGAGTTCTTCTCGGTGAAGTATTGGAGTGCGAATTTCTTTGGTGGAACACCTGGGGTGATTGGGTTGACGGCGTCGATGACGACCTTTCCAGAGAGTACGCTGGCAAGACTCTTTACGAGTTCCTGAGCGATGGCACCACCAACAGCGAGCACAACAATATCGGCAAACTTGACGGTCTCTTCGAAAGTACCAATGGAAATGGCTGGATTTGCGGTTTTGAAGGCAACGACCTCAGCTTTGTTGACGTCTCTGGTTCCGATCATAGTTGGATTACCTTCAGTCAAGAAAGCCTTACTCAATTGCTTACCGACATCACCAGTACCAAGAACACCAATATTAACTTTATTTGTATATGTAACGAATGACATCTTTTTATTTATATTATTTTTATTTGTTGTTTTTTTTTAACTAACTTATTAAAACTAAATGGGTTTACCAACTATTTATAAATAATATTGTTTAGTTATAGATTTTCCTTTTGGTTGGTGGCGCTTGACTCTTGACTCTTCTTCCTTTTCAGACCTTTGCAAAATATCGATTCCAATCATGAACAATCAACTAAATTCATTACCGTCATGGTTTATTAGTTGAATAGAAGGTTACAGCTCTTTTTATGATCATTCATTCTAGCATGATTTAAGAGTTCGGAGGCTCAATGAAAAAGTTAAAAATAAATTTTTAAATTTTTTTTTAAGTAGTTTGTGGGTCCACTTGTTTGTTCAACCACAAATGAACAGATATTTTTAATTGTTTTTTACCAAATTAAATTAATTTTAAATGAAAAAAAATAGATTTTAATGAACATGGATAATCTTGATCATATATTCCAAAGTTTTATTCCAATTTTTTTTGATTCTATTCCAAAGCTATTTTAATTTTTGTAATAAAAATAATTGATCATTGATGGAATATTTTTATTGATAGATATTCTAAAAGAACCAATTGGTTGGTTATTGAATTAAGATTCATTGGTTTCAACCAATAGTAAATTTAACTTAAATATATATTAAATTTCTTTCAATTTTTTTATATTCTGTTTATTATTAAGGTAAAACAAAGTTGAAATCCAAATGGTTGATATCTTTCTGACTTTTTATTAATAAAGGATTTCACAAAAATTGTGTTGTCGTAACCAGTTTTTTAATAATTTTCTCTATGATGATTGGTGATTTCTATTCTTTTTATAATAAAATAGACCCAATCAATTTTTTTTTTTTATATAAATTGAACTTTTTCCTACTATTAATATAATAAATAAAATCAACACTTAAATAATAATAACAATAGATGGCTATTCTAAATTGTATCGCAACAGTCGTAGCAAAAAAAGAATTCGTAAAGCAAGTTCAAGAGATCTTGGAGAGTGTTGTTGAGCCAACACGTGCTGAAAAAGGTTGTATTCAATATGATCTCTTGCAATGCCACTCACCCAACGAACAAACTTTCGTTTTAGTAGAGCAGTGGGAGTCCCATGCTGACCTAGATGCACACAAATCAACCCCTAGATTCGCAAAGATGGTTGCCGATCTCACACCAATTTTCGAATCACTTGATGTTAAGGAATTACATCAGATTAAATAATTCTATATAGGATAATTAATTAATAATCTAAATAAAGTAGTAAAAAATAAAAATGTAATAAAAGAAACAATAATTATTGTTTAATCGTTTGTTGATCATCAAAAAAAAAAGATAAAATGATAATCACATGATCGTGTGATCACTATTTTTTATTTTTGTTATTTTTTTAAATACCATATATCTAGTTTTCAAAAATAAAGTTATTTAACTATTTAATTAATACATCTAGTTCTGGAGGAATTAGATTTGGTGTAAAAGTTGGATTTGCATTAGAAGGTAATAGAGTTGGAACTAGTTTTCATCAAAGTTTCAATCATAGAACAATGTCAACAAAGTCAGTTGTGACTACTCATCAGGATTCAAAAGTAGAGAAGAAGAATAAAAGTGAATGGGAATCTATAGATTTAAACAATAATCATTTGGATTTAAGAAAGACGCTTTTATCAGGTCAATCTTTTCGTTGGCGAAAACTAGGAGGCGGTGGTGAATCGGATTCCGATGATATTACTACTACAGAGCAATGGGCAGGTCCTCTAAAGAGTTATGTTGTAGTACTCCGAAGAGTTGAAGATCGTCTCGATTACAAGTTTATCGACAGTCAGAATAGAGTAAATCACAACACAGCTGCATTCACAGAGAAAGAGAGAAATGCGTTACTCACCGATTACTTTCATTTGAATTTGAATTTGAGTGAGTTGTGCCAACAGTGGGGCGGTGGAACACACTCATTGAACGAGCAGTTCAAGTCGGTAAGCAAAGGATTCGAGGGATTGCGATTGCTAAGACAGTCGCCACTCGAGTGTCTTTTCAGTTTCATTTGTTCACAGAACAACAATATCGGAAGAATCACAAAAATGGTGGAATCACTCGCCAACTTTGGCGATCTGATAAACACTCATCAGACTATCAAATTCCACAGCTTCCCAACTCTGGATCAACTATTGAAAATCAAAGAGGAACAGCTCAACACACTTGGATTTGGTTATCGTTCAAAGTTTATTGTGAAATCAGCATCTCAAGTCAAAGAAAAGGGTGGTGAAGTGTGGTTGGAGTCTCTAAGAAAACAAAGTCACGAGAATGCACATAAGGAATTGACATCGCTAATGGGTGTAGGTCAAAAAGGTAAAAGATTATTATAAATAACTATGTATCATGATCTCGTGTTTAACAGAATGATTAATTATACTAATAATTAATTCATTACTACTTCAGTTGCAGATTGTGTTTGTTTGTTTTCTATGGACAAGTTGGATATAGTTCCAATTGATACTCATATATTTACGATTTCAAAGAAGCATATGCCATCACTAGCCAAGAAGACACTGACACCAAAGATATATCAAGATATCAGACTATTTTGGAAAGAGAAATTCGGACAATATGCAGGTTGGGGTCATACCATTTTATTTGCAAACGAAATAGCTGAATTTAAGAATAAATCAACTACATCTACATCTATATCCGAGACAACAACAACTACTACTACTACAACAACAACTACTACTTCAACAAATAAAAAGAAAGGAACAAAAAGAGAGAAATCAGATGAAGATAATGAAGAAAAAGAAAAAGAAGAAGTAGAACAAGAAGAACAAGACGAAAATACAATTGAAAAAGTAAATATTAAATCAAATAAAAAGAAGAAAAGTAAAAGAGGAAAGTAATACCTTTTTCTCTTAACTTTAAGATTCTTAAACATTTTAACTTTGTGTTACAATTTTTCCAAAAATTTGTTTTTTGTTTTTTTTTAGATTGTTCTACTTTTTTGTAGTTTCATTTATTTTATAAATAGTTTTATAGTTTATAAGAAGGAAAGAACAGCTTTAGAGAAAAGAAAGATGACATCATCACCACAATTAACATCATCTGGTGAAAGACAATTAAAGAAACCGGGTATTCATATCGATCAGGATGGTTGTCTTATAAAGAGAGTACTGAAGGAAGGAACTGGTGAGTTGGCACAACCCAATTCAATCGTTACCATTCACTATGAGGCGTATCTATCTAGTGGACCACTGTTTGACTCTACGGTTCAACAGAACACACCGCTCACCTTTCGTCTGGGAAAGAGTCAGGTTATCGATGCCATTGAAATGTCGATTCCAACGATGAAGGTTGGTGAAGATGCAGAGATTGTCACCACACCAAAGTATGCATTCGGTAAACACGGATTGCCTCCTTTCATTCCACCAAACACTTCTATCATCTATAAAATACAATTGTTATCATCAAAATTAGATGCTGTAAATGTATGTCGTATATATATTCATTGAAATACTATCATCATTATTATTCTCCTTATTTTAATAACTTTATTATTATTAACTTAATATTAACATAAACAACAGGATTATAATAGTTTTGATACATTATTATCAAAAGTAAAGCAAGTTAAAGATAAAGGAAATCTATATTTTAATCAACATAAATATAAATTAGCTATGAAGTATTATATAAAGGTAATAATATTGTTATTTGTTAGTTGCTATTTATTATTATTATTATTAGATGTTGGTTATTAATTATGATGATATTGATTATAAATATAATATAGGGTATTTGGTTATTAGGTGATAATAGATATACATTATCATTGGATGAAAGTAGTAATAAGACATTGAAAGATACACTGATTATATTGTATTTGAATTTAGCAACATGTAATATTAAGCTATCGGATGGTAAACGTGCACTCACCAATTGTGAAAAGATCTTAGAGTTGGGTGGAAGCAGTGCAAAGTTTTATTTTAGAATGGGACAGGCTTATTCACTTAATAAACAGTACGAACAAGCTAGACGTTGTCTAGTACAAGCCATCAGATTAGAACCAAACGATACAACCCTAAGAGATGAATTAGAAAACATAAAGAAACATCTACAGTAATAACAATGTGCAACCGATATAGTAATAATTATAAAAAAGAAAATAATTGTATAATAACACCAAACAAACAAAAAATTCATCATATATAACATTGTAACATTAACAAAATAAATAAATATTGCAAAATAAAACAAAACAAAACTATTATTAAAAGAAATTGATGAAATTGATCCTCGTAATTTGATTTATTAAATTTACAAATAATAAATAGATAAATAAATTAAAATATTAATATTATCTTTTGTAAAGAGTTTAACTTTTAAAAAAGATTGATTGCATCATTTTTAAAACGAGTTGAACAAAAAGTGTTTGGTTTTGGTGAAGTTGTTGTTGTTGTTGTTGTTGTTTAGATAGATATCATTGAGAAATCAATCAAAGATTTCTTATAAAGATAGCTTTGTAATCGTCAAGTTCGTAGACGTTGAAAAGATTCTTAAACTTGTTTGGCATTGGTCTGAGGTGAACGTTGGTTGTGAAGATCTTCAAGAGTGTTCCTTGATTCTTGGCGATGATGTCAAAGAAGATACCGGTGAAAGCATTCGGTAGATTCGATAGGTTCAGTTTCGAGAGGTGTGTGTTGGAAGCGATCGCATGGAACAGAGTCTCTAGCAGTTCCTTGTGAGAGATGTCCAGAGCACTGTCCGATTTGATCTCTGACTGCTGATTATAGTGGTCAAAGTCAGAGTATAGCAACTGTGAATTACGATTGAATCGCAAGTGTAGGTACAATCGCTTCAACCTTACACTCTGACAAACCAGAGCTGTCGCCACTTCCGATAGAATACTTGGAGGTGGATATTGCAACTCCAAATGAGTCAGATTCTTCAATGAATGTAACCAATTTGATTGAATAAGAGGATCTAATATTATTTCTAAAGGTGAGCAACAAGAAGAAGAAGAAGAAGTTGACTCCATTGTTGTTGTTGTTGTTGTTGTCGCTGTTGTTGATAGCTGTATATCGAATTCAATTGATAATCTTTCAAGATTATTATTGAATTGAAGTGGATTGTTATTGTGATGATGATTGTTATCTTGGTAGTCGAAACTTGATTCGTTGAGTGATATTGAGAGAAGCTTGATGTTGGACTTGGATAAAACACCAGAGTCGACTATTTGGTTTGAAACTGGGATGAACGATCCTAGTCTGGTGAGTGTGTTGTTAGTTGAGAGATAGGAGAGTAGCTCGGAGGATAAGAGTTTGGGAGATGTAGATCGTTTTGTGCCAGTTCCAAAGTCCGATGCTTTGCTGGCGTTAAACGACTGGTATTGATAGTCCCAATTGAGGAACAGTGTCTTTAGATGTCTGAATTTCTGGAGTAGATACCATGGGAACTGATGTTGGTCGTCGTCAATCACCAGTATCCTCAGATACTCAAGTCTGGAGAGTAATGGCTTCGAAGACAGTATATCATTGTAGAAATGAACGATATGCGATTGGTTGTTGTCTCTACAACTAGTGTTGACACTCAGTGTCAACGATTTCAAAGTGAATGCACGCTCCATAATATACTCTGCCAGCAAGGAGAAATCGATATTGTTATTTTGATTCCAGGAACTACTGCTACTACTACTGTTAGTATCGCAAGGTGTCAACGCCATAACAGAGGAAATTTCCAATTCCACTAGATTCCTGGTGATTGTTGACAGTTCGTTTAGTATAATGTTGATCGGTGCCTGTGAGGTGGATGTTGACGAGTTGATGGCCAGTCGGAGTAGACCATTGTTGGTCGAGTTGAGAGATACCATTTGTTGGAGTGACCGCGCAACCGCCAAGTTCTTGTCGTAGTAGAAACCCGACCAGTTTATACGCCAAGACTCGAGATGCGAGTAGGACTGGCAGAGTGTTTGCATCAGTTGGTTGGTGGGTTGCGGTAGCAGACTTAGTCCGCTAACGATATCGCCATGTGAAATGTCCTCGGAAACAAGATTCCGCAGGTAACGGACTAGTTGGTAGCGACGTCGAGTTGGATCCAAGTGGAAGAACGACTGTAGTGGCGTCGAAGTCGATACGCGATGCAGATAGGCATCGCTCACCAACTGTGAAACCAAATCGAACCATCGCCAACACACCAAACATAGATCCTGATTCATCTGATTGAATTCCTTCCTGTTCCAACACATCCTCATGATTTTATCCAAAAGAATATTGGGGAGAGTCACCAGTTTCTTTTCTGGTGGAGGTGGTGTAACCAATATTATCATTCTTATATAATCATTAAATAAATATAAAATATGAATATAGGAAAAATAAGTAAAAATAGAGTCTAGACTTGGAAAACTAAACTAAATTAAAATTGCAAAAAAAAAAATATTAATATTTGTTTATTAATATTAAAAAAAAGTAATAATAAAAGAGTTTCAAAAAATGAATAAAAGGTGATTAGGTTGAATCTTGATCATCAAAAGCAAAGGGTTGATTCAATTAATTAATTAATTAAAATTTAGATTGATTTTTGGTTTGATTTTGATAAAGATATATCTGGATTTGAAAAGATCTTGTGGAAAAACAACAAAATTTTATAAAAAAAAATGAAAAAATGTAAAAAAAAAACACAATGTTTTTTGGTGGAATAATGTTGTGATTAAATATCTCAAGTCGAGACTTAGAATATATAAAAAAAAGATTATAATATTATATTATATTATAGTTTGAACTATTCTATTTATTCTTTATGATTAATCTTTAATCTTTGTTTGTTTGTTTGGTTGTTGTTTTATTGTTTTCATTTAATTGGGTATGAATTGTGATTCTATGTTGAATGAAAAGTTATTGGTTAAGTGGGTTTTGTTGATGGTGTGTTGTCGTTTCCAAAGGGGTATTGTATGTATGTGTGTGTGTGGGTTAGTGTTATTGTTTTAGTCAAGTCGGTTGGTTGATTCTGTCAATCGATACATACTGAACCATGTTTTTTTTATTTATATATATATAATTAGAGATTGAATTGAAAGAGGTAATTGGATTATTAATAAATAATCACCATTAATCAATTCACAAGTGATATCAATGAGATATTAATACCAATACATCATTATATTATATCCAATTCAAATTGTTATAACAATAATAATATAGTGTGGTGTGTTTGATAGTGTGGTGTATATGTGTGTGTGTATTGATGTTTTGTAAGTGATAGTGTGTGTGTTGATTGTTTTGTTTGATGTGTTTGTGGATTATGTCTTTTTACGACTAAAAGTTGAACATACAATCTATCTCGTTGTTATTGTTTTGATGATGATTAATATTTAATTGTCAACAATCTTTTTCTTTTCTATATATGTTATTCTGTTTCTTTGTTTCTTATTTATTTTTGTATATTATTTTAAAATAGATTATTATTGATATTGATAGACAGAGATAGAGTAGGACCACCAAACCAAACTAAACCATAGATCAGATTCAATTAGATTGATTCATGAATCACAATCACATAAATAAATTTAAAAAGAATACTTTACTAATTAATAATATCAATGTTTTTCTTTTTAGTTTGTTATTGTTATATGGGTACAATTCAAATAATTAAAATATATTATAATAAATAAACTTTTTTTTTTTTTTTTTTTTTGTAACTAAATAACTATCCCATATCTCTTATATCAAAATAAAGATAAATCTAATACTAATGCTAATACTGCAAAACTAACTATTATTATTATTATGATTATTCTTATACTGATGAAAAAACAAACAATGGTATGACATTGCAAATTTGGGGCTGATTTATTTTAATCTCAATAAAATTCTATTTTTAAAAATTTAATTTAAAAATTTTCATTGCCCAATTCCTTTATTTAACAGTTTACTTTTAAGAAAACTCAAAAAAGGTCATTGTTACTATTGTTTAAAATAAATTGAAAGTTGAATAAAAAATAATGTTTTTAGTTTATGTAATGAATAAAAAAGATAGATAGATAAAGTAAAATAAAAATATTAAAATTTGAGCTGCATGAAATGAAATGCAATGAAGATAGGTGAAACCAAAAGGAGAGAGAGAAAAAAACTAATGATGATGTGGTTGATTGTTTTGTTTGATGTGTTTACCATAATGGTAATCGTGATGGTTTTTGTTTTTTATTTTTTTTTTTTAAATATTTGAAAATACATGAAACAATAATGATCAACAGAGAATGTCAATTTAATTTTAAACCATTTGTAATAATAGTTTTAGTATTTACCAAACAGAAAAATAATTCATAATATCATTGTTTTTTCATGATATGTGTGGTCACTTGAGTTAAATCTATGGTAATCATGGCTATTTTTGGAAATTAATTTGTTAAATTATCTTTCTAACTCTTTTTTGTTTGGCTACCTATGAAGTTTGAATAGTATCGGAACTACTTGTCGAACTGTGAAATACGTACGTCAAGCGAGTCTGAAGAACACATTTGGAGAAGAGTTGATTCGACCAATGTAGAGCAGGTGTAGTTGTTTTTATTGGTCTTCAGCTCTTATTGCTTCAACAGATGCCAGGTGTTGGTACTCTACCAATCTTTGTTTGCGATTTGGTGATGATCTCTGGAATGTGGCCACTCTATCTTGATAATATAATCACAAAGATACTTATGGTTCTCGTCAAATAACATGTTTAATTGTAGTTTTGCTTGCAGCAACCTCTTTCTCTCTTAAACCTTTACATGTAATTGCATTGCATTCAATTAGTAGTTCTTATTGTAACCTTCTGTACCGTTATGAGATTGGCTGTTAAAGTGGGTGGCAATTATATCATCGGTCTGTTTTGACTTTGATTATTTATCCTAAATGAAATGAAAGATGAATAATGTAGGTAAGTAGTGTGCCGCTTTTCAAAATTCTATATACTGTATAAGATTAATACTAACGATCCACAACCACCTACGTTATGATCGAAGATTTTTAGATTCATTCACATTTATCATGGAAAGAGAAAGAGATCGTAACGACATGTATAACAATAAAAGCAGAGTCCAAACTTTAATAAATGAGACTTCCAACAGAAGTAGTTAAGAAAGAGCAATTAAAACAAATAGAACAACTAAAATTACACAACAATAATGATGATTTAAAAGAAATACAGATTTTTTTAAACACTATTATTAAACTCTATTCTTTGATGTAGAGGACATTACTCTTAGTTATATATATTCCAATAAATTTATTATTATTACATATTTTAACAAATAAATAATTGTCTCGTAAAAGTCTAACTGTCCCTTATTCGTCAATCTATTATCAACGTATAATTATTTGATCCTATATGACTTTATTAAAATAAAAAAAAGGTGATAAGTTAGATATATGAAATGGGTGTAGATCGATCTGCTATCCTAATATATACATTACAAACTGTTAAGTTATTGTAAGAGGTTCTTCTGCTGGTCAATGGCATTGAGTCTGACCGCCAATCTCCAAGTGACAGATACTAGATGCTGAGATGCTAAGGTAAAGATTTGGCTATCTTCCATTGCCGACAATGCATTACGCATGGATGCTACACAATCTGTGTGTGGACTGTTGAAGTTCTACTCACCAACACCAATGAAATCTGTAAAAGCGATGATATGATAGTAACAAATGAAAAATGGTTAGAATTATCAACAGAATTTGGAAAGCAATACTGTACTCTTTTTAACAACAATATCACATCCTACCTAGATTTATTCATCGCTCATTTTGGGGATATCTTAAAAAGGTTTGGAGGATCGTTGGAGCGTTTGGCAAACTTTGGAATTGAAAATAGGCATAAGTTCATCAAGCTTATTTTTTCCTGTTCAAACTTTCATTTTGCTACTGAAACATTTTACAAGACTCTGTTCCTAAAATGCTATCGTTGGTCGCGACCAATATCAAGATCACAAGACAAGGAGAAGAGCGATCTCTTTGATGATTGTACTGATACTATACCACATGAAAATCAAAGCTCATCTAACCAAGTTTTAGAAATTTATACATCTGATAGTAATAATTCTACAAGTTCATTTTCAAAAAATTCTACCAATAAACGTAAATGATAATTAACTTTTAATACTATCTATCACTTTTTGGTATTTATTTATTTGATTTATTTTTTGTTCCAGTATTTAACTTTTTTTTTTTTCTCGCACTAATTTTTTGAAGGTGGTTTCTCCACTAAAATGCTGTGTAAATGAAAAGAAATGAAAATAATAAAGAAATAAAAAGTGTTATATTTATTTTATCAAAACTTATTTATTAAAATGTAATTGATGTGGAAGCACACCACGCTCTGTTATGATTAATAATATCTCTAAAGATTGGTTCACATTGATTGGATTCAATTGAATATTTGAAATTACATTTACTGGAATAGCCAAATGAATAGATATAACTTGATGTTGGTGATTCTCGATGATACATCACAAATGGAAAATATGCATTTGCGAGAGGAACCGCATTGAGATTGATTGATTGTTTGGTTTCAACATTGTATTTGATGAATCGTTTGTTTGATCGATCTAATATGAAGAAATTTCCATTGTTATCATGACATGCTGAGAATGGTATAATGTCAATTTCATGATCTGTTATCGTTCTATTTGTCAAATCGAATTCAAATAGCTTATTCTGATCGTATGATATTGAATATAATGAACCTTTGAAGATCATTGATGATACTTGACGATCATATCCAAAAGGTAATTGATGATATGATTCAAATTTCATTGTTTTGATGTTGAATCGATCAATTCTATTCTTTATATTGTGACCATTCAATAAATAGATATGATCTTGACCATCATAACAAACCGATATAAAATAATCACCTTTGATTCCTTCGATATCACCAATATGTTCAATTGATTTCGATTTGGCTGATATTTTAATCCATTTGTTTGGATTATGATATCCACCGATTATATAGATATATTCATCAATTGAAACAATAGAGGAGTATGTACCATTAAATTGATAATCAAACTTTAATTCTTCAATTGAATTGTTGTTTGATGTGTTGATCAGTGTTGCTCCATCTAATTGGTGTGTTGTGAAAATATAAGATTGTTTATTATCATTGTTGTTTGTTGTTGTTGTTGTATTTATTGATTCAGTTGATTCAATGTTATCAAGTTTGATTGATTGTTCAATGATTGAATTCAATTGATTGAAATCAGGTTGTTTGATTGATAATTTATATGATGATAATGTTAAGTTATTATTGTCTGTGATTGTTGTTGATTCATTGAATTGATTGTTGTATTTATGAATGATATCTAATAATATTGATGATGAATCGTTGGAATGTTGTTTGAGAAGTTCATCAATATTGAAATAATAATTAATTTTATCGTTTAATAATGTTTGATTATTATGATTGATGAATGATTGTAATGATGAACTTGTTGTTATTGATTCCATTATTGTTGTTGTTGAATATAATGTTGTTGTATCTGTTATAATTGATGTATCCTCGTTATTAATATTACCATTACTATTATTATCACTACTACTATTATTATTATTATTTAATTTATTAAATAACATTATAATATTTATTAAATATTTCAAATGCTTAACATTTTTATCGATTTGATTTGTGATTGTATGTTTATCATTGATAATATCTCTTTGTAGTTTATGTTCTTCAATGATTAGATATTGATGTAATTGTTCAAAGTGTTGTTTGATATCATTCTCTGTTGTTGATAATGCTTGATATCTGGATGTCGATGATCTTAATGATTCCCAAAGAGATTTAATTTTATTTTTGATTTGAGAATGAATATTATTAGTACTGCTGTTAGTGCTATCATTATTGTTTGTTGTTGTGGTGTCAATAATATCATCTAATTTCAATGTACTTAATGAATCCTTGATTTCATCGATATGTTCTATTTTATCGGAATGATCAGGATGATCTCTGATATGAATGGTAATACATTTTGAACACATCAAACTATTACATTGATAACAAATGAATTCGTGTGATTTCTGATGATTTAAACACCTTAGTGTCATTATTAACTTTTACTTTTACTAATATTAAATAAAAATTAGATTGATCACACACACAAAATTAAAAAATAAAAATGTGAATAAAAAAATCAATTTAATGCATTGAGTCGCTTTTTTTGCCTGTTTTTTTTTTATTTTTTTAACTAATGTTAATTTTTTTTTAATGATCAAATATTATTTATTTGGTTTTAAAATATTTAGATTTCATCGGATGTGAGGCTAGCGTTTTCATATAGAGTATAGATAATCCTGGTTCTATCTACTTCAATGTCGTAACAAATGTAGGCAGTTTCAATAGGCAACATTATTACAGAGGTTTGAGAACCTGCATACACCTTGTGAAAGGGGACAGTGAATCCTTCACCTTTGGCATAACCGGCCAACTCTTGGATGTTGGATTTGGTCGGAAGTTTGATATGATATCTAATACCAAAATTTGTATTATTGTTGACGAACTTTGCATGAACTATATGAACTCCGAAAAATGGAATTTGGAATGTTATTACTTATTTGTTTTCGAAATGCAAAACAAAAGGAGAGCTTAAGGTAATCTTGTCCAATCCATTGAAATTATTTAATTTAATTAGAGAACTTACTTTTTATTTAAATAAAAAAAGGAGTTAATTTAAGATCTCATCATGATGATGGTTGTTTAAAAATACTTAGAAAAAAAAAAAAGTTGTAAAAAAATTTTTTTTTAAAGATTTTCATTCATTTTTAATTAATATTTTTATATTTATATTTATTAGATCATTTTCTTTTACCTGTATTATATATATAAAGATGAATGGTATTAATAGATTTATTTTAAGAACATCTTCTTCAAATTTGAACAGTAGCAATAGATTTGTTAATAATGTAACAAGATTGACTGTTAGTAATCTACCATCTACCTCGATGTTGATGACCAACAACAACAACAACAACAACAAACGTACATTTGCAACAAACTATAATAACAGTGGTAATAGTAATAGCAGTAGTACTAGTTCACAGATAAAAGTATTGTTTGACGACGAGAAGTTCTATCAGGAGGAAAAGTATCATGGTATCTCAAAGGAACCGTTCGCTCGTGAGATCTCTGATATCTTGTTGGCCGAGTTGAACAACCACGACATCGAGATCAAACCGGATGGAATGCTCTACCTGCCAGAGATCAAATACCGTCGTATCTTGAACCAGGCGTTCGGTCCAGGCGGTTGGGCTCTCAAGCCAATGGGTCCACCCATTGTGGAGAACCAATCACTGATCCGTCCGTACGCACTCTACTGCCTCGGTCGTTACATCTCCGAGTCGATCGGTGAGCAACCGTACTCTGACAGCGGATTCATCTCGTTTGCCACCGCGACCGAGGCTGCCAAGTCGAATGCGTTGGTGCGTTGCTGCAAGGATCTCGGCATTGGATCGTCGCTCTGGGATCCAAACTTTATTCGTGCTTGGAAGCAGCAGTTTGCCATCGAGCGATTCTACGAGAACGTCAAAACCAAGGAGAAGAAGAAACTCTGGACAACCAAGTCGAATCCAGCGCCTGGCTATCCATGGCGAGAGTTGAACAGTCCGGCATCGGAATCTGCACTGCCACCTCAAGAAACCATTGCCTATCAAGGTCAAGAAGATACACATGTTGAACCAACAACAACATCATCATCATCATCATCATCAAATGTTTCAAACAACAATCAACAACAACAGAATAATAGTTATAATGATGAAGAGATTGATGTTGATTCAGTTGTACCACCACAATTCAAGAAATACAGTGGAAAGACATGGAGAGATGTGATCAACGATCCAAAGGGTATTCAATACATTCAATGGGCATCACAAACTTTTAGTGGAAAGGTTCAACTCCAAGCTAAGGCTATCTATGATTGGATCGAACAAAATTCAAACAATCAACAACAATAAATGTTATGACCAATTGTTAAATATTTAATAATAACAATAATAATAGAGTTTATTTTAGTATGAATGAACAATTCAATGTGCAAACTACTAAATTCTATATTTATTTAGTACAAACACTTACATTCAATGTAATATGTTATGTTATGTTTATAGTTATAGTTATAGTTATTTTTATTTATAGTACATTCTCTTGGAATCTACCTGAATATGATGCTTCACCTTTAAGCTCCATAAATACAAATTGGCATATCTTTGTTCCAGGTGTCAATTCATATCGATTCTAGAAACAGTTATTTATTTTGTTTTTTTTTTGATTAGTATGAGTTGATCTAGTGTTTGAATTAAAAATACTAAACACAATTATAATGATAGTTACACTTGATGCATTGAAAATTTCCAATACTTGTCTATTTTTGATGTTTGGCATCATGAATCCTGCCGATATGTGTACGAATAATCCTAATCTTGCAAATCTAATATAGAAATATGTTAATATGTTATAAAAGTATAAAAATAGTTTAATTAATTTAATACCTTGATCTACCTTCTAAAAGACCACAATATTTTGTTGATAATTCGACTCTCTCCTCCGTGATGGCCAAGCAAGTTGTGTTTGGTTCCAATAGGAATGTCTCACCTGGCTTCAAAATAAATTTAGTTGTGATGTCTTGGTAGTTGGTATCTGCAGTAACTTTAATAGTTTGACACTCCTTTGAGAACACTCTAAACTCATTCGATAATGTCAGGTCAACAGATGCACAACCAACTGCATTCTTATCAAACGGTACAATCTTTATATCACTTTTTTTTTTTAATTTTAAATAATAAAAATATTTGATTAATATTTAATTCTATTCTTTCAATCAATATTTATCTGAATAATATAAAAATATTGATTTATATTTATAGTAATAATATTTACCCACTATCGATTGCCTTAAATATTTCATCTCTAGATAACACTGTCATTATATAAGTATTGTTATATTATTTATAGAATTACTTAATATATATAAGTTCTGATTGGATTGTTTAACTGTTTTGTTTATTTTATTTTATTTTTTAAAATAAAAAATTTTAAATAAAATGTTTTTAATTAAAAAATAATTTAATTTAAAAAAAAAAAAAAAAGGAATGATCAAGAATTTGAGTACCAGGTTGATTTTGCCCAAAACAGGATCAATTTTTTCATATTAACCTTGATCATTAAAAAATGTCATCATTTTGGGTTAAATTTTTTTCAAAAACAGATAAAGAGATTTTGCTGATGATATATTTATTTATTTATATTCACACGATTCATATTCAAAAATTCAAAAAAAAAATTGTAAATCTTAATTTGTATTTTAGAAGATAAAATAAAATAAATATATGATATATGTTACCACATGATCATGATGACAATTCTATTAAATAGTTGCTGTGGGAAAAACGAGTAAATAAATAAATATTGATTGGACAATTATACGATTTTGAAGTAACACACATCAATTAAACCATTGAATTACAATATATAATGTAAATTAATATAAAATTAATTAACAAATATAATTATGTTGTCGTTATATATTTATTGTTTTTTTACTCAAATAGTTAGATATTTGATAACTATAAAAATAGAATAAAGTAAAAAAAAAATATTATAAATAATAAAAATGACAAGTATTAATAATTCTACAAGAATAATGGAAATAATAAATAATGAGGCCAATGATCATAAAAATGGTGCTGATAAAAATTATCAACAACAACAAACACCACCAACACTAACAAATAGTATTGATCGAAATAATATTTATATTAATAATGATAATGAGAGTATAGCCAATCCTTTGGAAATATCAAATCTCGAAAATGTAGAAATAGATAGTTTGGATTTGGAAAGAGGAACTGTGAGAAACAATAATATCAATAGAAAAGTAACCATTACTTTTAAAAATGTATCTTTTGATTTGGTAAAAAAGAAAAAACAGTTGAATATCATCAGAGATATCAATGGAACGGTGGCACCTGGCGAACTGGTTGGAGTGTTTGGTCCTTCCGGGGCTGGAAAAACAACACTACTTGATATTCTTGCCAAAAGAAAGACCACTGGTGAAGTATCTGGTTCCATTTTAATTAATGGATCAACTGTGAGTCATGGTTACAAAAAGATCTGTAGCTATGTTACCCAAGAGGATAATTTACTTCCAACACTAACCGTTCAAGAAACCTTGAGATTCTACGCTGATTTGAGGCTACCACCAACTTTTTCCAGTCAACAAAAACAAGAGCGTATCAAATGGGTTCTCGAGAAGATTGGATTGAGTCAAAAAGCCAACTCTAAAGTAGGTGGTCCACTACCTGGTGGTGTAGTTCTCAGAGGATTGTCGGGTGGTGAGAAACGTCGTGTCAATATTGGTTGTGGATTGGTAACTATGCCATCGATTATCATCTTGGATGAACCAACAAGTGGATTGGATAGTAGTTCAGCAATGTTAGTTATGGAATCTCTAATTGGTTTGACAAAGATCGATCATGTTACAGTAGTATGTTCCATTCATCAACCTCGTTCTGAAATCTATCATCTCTTTAGCAAAGTGTTGGTTCTAGGAAAAGGTCGATTGGTTTACTATGGTTCAGAACCAGTTAAACATTTTATAGATTTGGGAATACCATTCCCTTTAGAAACAAATCCTGCAGACTATATATTGGATGCTGTTACCAAACTCACGGAACGTGGACAAATCAACCAAATTGCTGACTCTCTAGGAGAAGGTTATACACAGCAAGTGGATAGCTACCTAAAGATCTACAATGAATCAACTCCACCCGGTAAAGAAAATAATATTTTTAACAATACAAATCATTCCAATATTTGTATGGATATGATTAGACAATTCTGTATATTGTTTAAAAGAAATTTCAGAGACTCTATTCGAAATCCCTATTGTTTATTTGTTAGATTTCTAACATCGATTCTATGTGGTCTTTTGTTTGGTGTTTGCTTTTACAAGTTAAAGATGGATCGTCGTGGTTTGGAAACTAGGGCTGGATTACTATTCTTTATGATGGTAGGTTGTCTGCTTCAACCATTCAGCTCTGTTGGACTGTTCATTTCACGACGACTTTTATTCAATGCTGAGCGTGCCATGCAACTATACCATAGTTTACCATATTACATTTGCAACATTCTCTTTGAGATAATAATTGTCTCAATCTCGGGAATTGCATTCGTATCTGTAACTCACCGGATGGCAGATATGAATCCAGGTGTTGCCAATTTCTTTTTTACTCTGGTTATGTTGAACGTTACACTGATCACCACTGGACTAATGCTGCTATTACTTTCAAATATGACACTCTCAATGGATATCACTTTTGCCGTTGGAGCAACTGTTATTATCACCAATCAACTTTTCTCTGGATTCTTTGTACGTACCGATTCTCTTCCCAAATCTTTCGGTTGGATTCATCACATCGACTATTCATTCTACGCTTTCCGCGGATTGTTGATCAATGAATTCGATTACAAAGAGCTACCATGCAATCCTCTGAACCCACTGGAAACGGTAGAAGGTCGTTGCCCGACAGGAACAGAGTTTCTCATAAACTATGATATAACCAATGGAAACAAATATCATGACCTCGGTCATCTTTCGATATTCACTGTATTCTATTTCATATTGAATTATTTAGCACTTCATTTCTTACATAGGGAAAACAGATAAATAAAAAAGTTTTTATCATTATTATTAATGACTTAATCAGTATTACTAAAACTTTTAAGATTTAGAACATTTCTTTTTAAAAACAGATTTTTTTCGAAAAAAAAAACAAATGAAAAATCAGATGCTGATGAATTTACTTTTTGCCACGCCATATTCAAAGAATGATTCATGTCTTAAAGTGAAACATCGTCATCCAAACATCCGGATTTAATTATTAATAATAATTCTGTTGAATATAGTTTTGGGATGACCTCTCGTCATCATCTTCTGGTTTCTAATTATTATAATAAAAATAGTTCTTAAGAATTTAAAAAAAAACTGTTCAATAAATAAATTACTTTGATCACTCACCATCACAATTATTTTTTATTTGAAAAACAAAAAAATGGAATTTAAATTATCATTATATATTTAAATTAATTTGTGTTCTGATATATGACTGTTAATGAAACAATTCATTTTCAATATCTTTAAAAAATTCTCCATCAATCAAAGGTGGTTTTTTAAACTCATTGTAATTCATTTGATGTTTGTAACCAAATAAAGTTAAATCCAATTAATTAAAGAAATTGCTTTTAAATAAATAGATGCTATCTGATTTTTCATCTGAATCACACACAAATATAACATTATTAATTAAAAAAAATGTGGTGATACAAAAAAAAAATACAAAAACGCAAACATTCTCTTCTCAAATCAAATAGTTACAGAGTTTGTTTTTCTTTATAATTCAAATTTATTTGAAAATGATGGGTTTTTACATTTTTCATTGAATAAAAAAAAATTATTTTATTTTTTAAAATTTGTTGTTTTTTTTTAAACAATTTTTTTTTGACATTTTCCTCAACAGTTGAAAACAGCCTAAAAATAATAAAAAAAAAAATAAAACCATCAGCAAAAAGAAGTGCCAAATGCTCGTTAACCAAGCATAGCAATTTGACAAAAAAAGAAAAACAAAAAAATAACATCAGGGATTTTATTTAATTTAAATTTTAAATAAGTAAAAAAAAAAAAAAACCAAAGTGATTCTGAAGGTTTTTTTTTGCTTATTCTATACATATTTATATTCATCTAGAGTTTCCGTCAGTCATCATCCAGGTTTAAATGTTTTAGAGAAAATCATTTTATTGTAATAACTTTTAAATAATCATAAATAAATCACAACCAACACAAAACACACACATTAACAAACAAATCAAACAAAATAGGTACATAGCCTAAATTTATAAAATCATACCAACACCACTCTACCACACCATCCAACTTTATATAACTATACTACTAAGTATTGTATATTACTAATCTTTTTTTTTTTTTTTATTAAAAACATATAAAGTTGATCAACATCCATCTCTCTCTTCGATATAATAATCAAAAAAAAAAAAAACAATTAAATAAAATTAAAAAAATATCATATATATATATATACAGTCGAAACAACAAAACAACAACAACTGAGTAATCATCATGGTGATAGTATTTATTAACTTAATAACAAGATATATGATCATATAATCAGAATCAGAATTAATATTAGATGAATAAAAGAACAAACAAATAAATAAATGAATGAATGAATATCGGATTTTCAAAAATGGTTTTTTTTTTTTTTTTTTTTTTGATAGTAAATTTACTTTACGCTGTAACTCTTTACCCATCTTTTGTTACCAAATAATAATAATTGTTACTTAACACCAAGTTAATAATCACATCACCTCACACCCCCCACCCGGTGAACAACAACACACACACTAACACCACTAACACAAACACCATACACACACATAGACATTTACCTACTGCTATTCTCACACCTCTCTCTCTTTCTATTTCTTTATTACCAGAAATAGTAGTAAGTACAAAAAAAATTTTTTTTATTGCCATTTTTTTTTAATTTAACAAACTTTTTTTTTTTTTTTTTTTTTTTAATAAATAAACATCACCCAAATATTTCGCAAATACTAATATTTTCTATTAAAATAAATATAGAATAATAAAAAAAAGCATTATCCCAAAATAACAACAACCAACATCGATTCGAAGTAACAGTCAACATTCTCTTTAACAACAATAGAAAATAATTATAGTAGTAAACAAGAAACAAGTGTAGTTAGTTATCACTATTATAGTAAAATTTGCAAATTTAGAAAGATAATATCTGAATTCAATCATTATTATAGTAATAGTTTTTATATTATCAAAAAATATCATAGTTTTTTTTTATTTATAAAGATATAATATATTTTATTATTTTTTTTAAATATATATATTTTTTTACTACTATCATTTACTCTCACACACACAGCAACCACACAACCACATACACCCTCAGTATAGTAAATAGTATAGCCTAGTATTTAAAATAAATAGCAATATTAATAATAATAACACAATATAAAACAACCACAACACGCAAGCTCTATTAGCATAATAATCATAATTTAAATATTAATAATATTCTCTATTAAAAACAAAAAAAACAAAACCAAATTGTACAATTTATTGATTCAATTCAAAAACAATGTCTAAAAAGAGAACTTTGGAATCTTTACAGGATGAAAGTGGTGGATTCCCTGAGGTGAAAGCTGAAGCTGTAGATGATCTTTCTGCAGATGGTTTCACTACCAACGATGATTTAATGTCTTTAATGACCTTTTTAGAGTATGTAATCTGTCCTTTATTTATCCTAATTCGATAATATTGCTCAATTTATAATAATCATCCATAAATTATTATATATTAATATTATAAATTAAATTAACAATCATCATCAATCATAATCATCGACATTCATTATTATAATAATTGTTACAATAATATCCAAATTTATATATTTATTTTTCCTAAAATCCATATTTAATTAATAATAATAATAATAAAATTTAATATATATAAATTAATTACTTTTTATATTAATATATATTAATTTACAAACTTTTTTGAAATTCAAAAAAAAAAAATTGTAGTAACGGTTCATCACAATCAAATTTCATGGTAAAACCAGAACAAAGTTTGAATCAAACAGCTCAATTGTATACAAATATACAACAACCACAGCAACAGCAGCAACAACAACAGCAGCAGCAACAACAGCAGCAGCAGCAACAACAACAACCACAGCTGCAGAATATTTATACAAACAACGGACAGCAAGTCTATCAACAACAGCCACAAAACGGACAACAACAACAAATGATATCTCCACCACAACAACCCACCTATTATACAAATGGTACCAATATCGATGATGCCCACAAGTTGCAGCAACAACAAATGATGTTACAAGCACAGGCACAAGCACAAGCACAACAACAAGCACAAGTACAAGCACAACAACAAGCACAGGCACAAGCACAAGCACAAGCACAACAACAAGTAATGACTTCACCTCAACAAATATTAATGAATCCACAAGATTTGCAACAACAACAGCAACAACAGAATCAAATCTATCAACAACAGATGGGTCAAATGTTACAATCTCCACCACAACAACTTCAACATATTCAAATTCAGTCGCCTCCACAACAACAGACAATAATGCACACATCTCCACCTCAGATTTTACAGTCACCTCCACAATCTTCACTTCAACTACCAACTCCAGTACCAGTGATCCCACAACAATTGCAAAATCAACAACCAATTCCACTGCCTCCACATCTGTTGGTCGTCCCATTTGGAAATCAACCATTGCAACCACATCAACAGATTATCAATGAATGTCTGAAACTTCACTTGGCGCAGAAGGATCAGTTGGAAAAGATGAAGATCGTACAGAAACAGGTGTTGGCACATCCACAGAAAGAGACATTTCAGATGTTGGACAACGAGCAAAACACCCTCAAGAAACAGATAGATGCCGAGTTGACCTCGCTCCAACAGATCGACCAGACATTCGTATTGTCGCCAACAGAGATACGCAACGTCGTCTTCCTGCTGCACGAACTCACTATCCAATCGATTCAACTGGAGCTGTATCACGAGGAACTCCAGTTGCTAGTTCGTCCACAATCGCCAACCCCTACGATCGCCGCTCTCGTCGTCATCGAGCAACCATTCCCTATGGTCATCACCAAGTGCAAACCACTGGAAGACGATCCCGTCGTTGTTCAACTGCTCAGTGGAACAAGAACAGAGCTGCAGCTCATTGGAAAAGTCAAGGCAACAATGATCGTCGAGAATCAACAGAGTTCAAAGTCAAGCAGCAGTCCCAAAACCATAGAGACAGAAGTGGTCAGTATGGACGAAGTACAACGTCTAGCCAAATATCATTTGAAATTCCTAAATGGTACAAGAAAGAATCCGGTGACACTAAAGTTTGGAATGCAGGTTCAGGTGGTCGGTGGAACACCGGTCAACATTGAGTCGCCACCATCGTCGCCGTTCATCGTCATCACCAACGAGTGTCAATATGAAGAGTCCGACGGTACTCTCCTAAAGAAAGACAGTTTCGGAAACAATGCCGAGATAGCCTGGGCCTCGTACGCCAACAAGCTGCAACGTCACTTCTTGCGCGCCACTCGTCAAGACTCGATAAAGCCGACCAGATACCTGTCGCGTCACGAACTTATCTATTTACATCAACAGTTCTTTGGCGGTCGTGCCACTATTACACAGGCAATGTTTGATACTTTTTGGAATTGGTTCGGTAAAGGACTACAGAAACTTCGTTACCAACGTCATGTTTGCTCCATGTGGCAGTCCGGTTTGATCTATGGTTTCATTTCAAGACAGAGCGTTGAAGAAGCACTGAAAAATGAAGAGATGGGTACTTTCCTGATTCGTTTCAGTGAAAGACATGCTGGTCATTTCGCAATCGGTTACAAAGTAGACGACCCTGATCCTGAAAAGAGAATTAGACATTATTTAGTTAAAGCTGATGATACTGTAAGTAAAACATACATATCATTATTAAAATAGTTATATCGCTAATAATTTTTTTTAATAACAACCTAAAGGCTGGTGCTAAAAAGACTCTTCCAGATTTCTTGGCAGAGTGTCCACAATTTACAAAGATACTTCAGTTGACAATTGATCCAACAACAGGTGAACCGAGATTAAGAAATTTCCCAAAGGATGTTGTATTGGAGCCATACTATTCAAAGAGAGAGGCTCTACCTGCGACCAACGGTTACGATTCACTGCCAATGTTAAATTAAATATTGGTGCAGTGTGGAGAAACATGTTTTTTATTATTTACAACTGCAACGTGCCAATCGATTCATTAAAATCAATATCCTATCCTCTTTCAACATACTCGATAAACTACATCACAAAGATTCTTTGAATCTCAAAGAACAACTTACTTGTCCCACCCCCATATCAACAACTAAATCCAAAACTTGTTTATTACTTTTTCCTTGTATATACCATACCATATCATAACAATCAATCATTCATCTAATCATCATCCAAATTCACTAAGTATATCAACAACATAACACATAATATATTATATATATAACTAAAATAAATTTATCCAAAAAAAAAAAAAACAAAAGACAATATTATAATTTTTTAATATTTATTTCAATGATAACATTTTTATTTTATTTATTAATTAAAGTTATTAGAAAATTTATTAAAAATATTTTTTTTAATTTATTTTATTTTTATAAAATATATAAAGAAACTTCACTATTTAAACTATAGATTATTTTTTAAACTTTTTATCTATTTTTTATTATTATTTTTTAAAATGAGTACAACAACATCAACAATAACAATTGAAACAGAACAATCACTTGCGCAGGTTCTCTCAAACGCTGATTGTAGATCTGTCACAGCTGCTTCATTTTTGAGTAATGGCTTTGATACTCTTTCTATAATCAAAATTGCCGTCAACGATCCAGAATACAAGCATTATCTACTTGATATTGGGCTCAACATAGGAGATATCATTAGACTCAGAAATTACCTCAAACTTGAAGATACCACTACAAGTATGTAAAAAATCCAAAACCAATTCGAAGTTTGCTACTAATACAATTCTTCTTTCTCTTCCTCAACGTTCTTTTCTTTCTTCTTACCTAAACTCAATAACATTTATTTCTTTTGCATACTTCATTTTCTTGATTAAAAAAGTTACTAAAAGAAAAATTGAAGTTGAAGAAGGAGTGGAATATGTATTTGTGCCGATAAAAAAATACAAAGAATTCCAACACAAAGAGGTATGTTATTGCTTTGATGAATATATATATATATTCTAATGGGAGGACTGACCAAAAGTCTCAAACTTGCCTTCCAACACGATAGTAAGCCTCAAAAGCTGTGTTCTATGTCCCTGAACCACAACAACTACTCCTCATTCCTTGCCAAAGAAATAAGTGGAATTTTTTATCACCTATATGCCAATCTCTCAACCTTGGTAATGAAATTCAACGTAATAAATAAATATCAATTTAAATTTATAAATCCAGTAATTACTTATTTGAGAAATTTAAGTTTGTCATGAATATTTATCTATATCCTTTTTTTTTTTGAAAATTACAATTGGACTATAAAGACTATAGTAAATTAAGGTCTGGTAATAAAAATAATGTTCTAAATTTAATAACAATTTAAGTGAATAAAAAAAAAAACATTTCCAAAAAATATAAAGAAGTAACAATTGGTCACCAGACATATTTAAAGAAAGATTAGTTAACAAAGAATTCGACTTGAAAGCATGTACAGAAATATAATCAGGTTCTTTTTAAAGAAAGATGGTAGTAGTACTACAAATAAGATTTCAGAAAGTGATATAAGGAGTCGTTCAAAAGTGTAAATAATAATATCACAGATTGTTATCAAATTTAGATATCTGGATATATAAATTAATCCAGAATTTAAAAAGAACAAACAACTTGTTTAGATCTTTTAATCTTAAAAACAGTAATTTTTTATCATTTTATTAACATTATTATTTTTTTTTATTCTTATTATTTTGATTAACCAAATTGAGGCTTTATTTTTTGTTTCTCCTAAGGGAATTAATTGATGTTTTTACCTTAAATGAGTAAAAGAGTTACGATGGCAATGAAAACAGCACTCATTGATACCATCAATCGGCTAGAGCTATTCTTTCCATCTTCTTGATTCAAGTCAGTGTGTGTATCGTTTTTACCTTTCGGACCTGGGGTAACTGTGGCGTTGCCAGCAGCAACACCGGTGACTGTACCATTTACTCCATGTCTGGTAACATTACCGAAAACCGATGGACCGGCAATTGCCTTTGGATGACTGAATTTGATAGCACAGATACCAATATCCTTTGGAACACCACATGGGAATTCGGTTCTCAAACAGGCGGCATAGAAACAAACTGTCTCATTTCCACAATGAGTCAAGTCACATGAGCTACGGCTGTTTTGTGGTTGTCCACTTCCTTCGATAGAATTGGAATATGGACATCTGTTTCTCACTAGACATTCTCTGTACTTGGAGTATTCGGTTTGACAAGTGTTGTCAAAGTAGATTCTATTTTGACAGGTAGTATTTGAGGAATCAGATCCACATGAACAAACTGACCACTTTGGATCACATCCACTGTCGTCGACACAATTGATTCCTGGTAAGATTGGTTGACATGAAGAGATGGCACCACCGGAAGATGGACAACTATAACCCTGGGCCATGTTACACTCTCCGAATTGGGCAAAACAAGTGTCACCTGGTTGTTTACTGAACATTGGCTTGCATTTACCCTTGGTAGAACGACCATCGGTGGCACTACAAATATTTGGATACTCGCAGATATCCTCTGGGAAATTACAATCGGCATCAAGAGTAATCATTTTCTTACAATGACCTTGCTTGCAATACTCTCCGTGTGGACATTCTTCATTCATACTGCAAGTTCCTTCGTTCAAACTACATTTATTTTGTTTATCACATGACATCGAACCTAGACATTGATAATTATAAGTACAAGCTCCACCATTTCTATAAAAAAAAAGTTAACAATTAATTTTAATTTTAAAAAATATTGTTCATAATAAACTTACGGAACATATTTAGCATTTCTACATTTGGAATTCGATTCACTGTTTACACATTTCAAACCAAATGCACATTCGTTGTCATCGATACAAATATCACCTTCTTTTCTAGCAGTAGTACAAGTTGAATTACCTTCACATCTGAATCCTGGAGCACATTGAGCACTAAAAAAAAAAATATTGTTTTAGTAAAAAAAAGTTGTTTTTTAAATTTAAAAATTAATATTTACTTTGATTTACAATCTGCACCTTGAATACCACACATATCGATCTGACACATTATACTTCCATATGTGATAGAAGATAGTGCCATCAAAAGACACAAATAAAGGTATATTTTCATTTTTAATATATTAAATAATAATCAATGTATATTTTAATAAAAAATTATAATTAAATTATTAGATTAATAGATTTATATATTTATAGTTAGATTAATTGAATCGGATTATCGACTTAGATATTCTTATAGTTGTTTTCGTAACGATTTTCATCTTTTTATAGTTTATCTGCAACCATCATTAAAAAAATCTCTCTACTTTTCTTTAATTATTTCTATACACACTAGTGTTAAATCAAAAAGGTATATGTAAATTGATTATTCTTTTTCAAAAACACTTCATACCCCACACATTGAATATTTGAAGATCAAGAATTTTTGTTTGTGTTCATTCATTATCTTAATCTTTTTTTTAATTTAATTTATAATAATTAAATATTTCAATTTATTTTAATTATTCTAAACAATGTGGTAAACCATTTTACCTAAATTCGGGAAAATTCATTTTGAATGTAAAATCAATAGCACACTATAATCACTACCACACTTTACAACCAAATTCAGATTAAAAATTTTTATTATTATTAAAAATAATAAAAAAAAAAGTTAAATTTATTTATTATGATTATTTATTATTATTATTATTATTTGATTTGAAATCCATTGAGACAGCTGATTCTTCATTGTTGTCATTATCATCTTCAAATTCCGAGTCTTCGAATCCAGAATCATCGAAATACAATTGGTAATCCTCATCATCATCTTCATTTTTATCTGAATCTAGGTACCTATATTCGCAGTTAGGACAACCTAAAATTTTCCAATATTTTTGCATTTTATTTGAGATATAGATATCAAATTTATGACCTGTTGATTCTCTTTCAAATTTATTTTCCACATTGTATGCCCAACTTGCCGTTAGGAACACTTTTATTAGCAGTAGTATGCATTTGGATGAAGATTCCCTGTGGTCTAAGGTCGCCCAGCGTTAAGCTCTAGATTGACATGAGTTTTCGTCATTTATATGTGTTTTTTATTAAACAACTCCAAATTACAGTTCTTTGAATTGCCAAACTAAATCCAAAGACTACATTTGCTCTGATTATTAGTGGTGCTGTATCTTACTATCTACTATTAAAAAGATACTTTCAATCCAATACCAAGAAATATAAAATTCTAAATATGGGATAATTAAGAAATTAATCCCAAAAATCTGTACATTTCATAATTAACCAATAAAATAAATAACACTATTCATAAAAAGTATTTGTTTTTTTGTACATATTTATTTTAAAGATCAAGATCCTATGGTAATGAATACCTATAAATATTTGATAATAAAGAATGAGAAGATAGAGCATCTATTGATATACAAATTCTAACTTTTGGCAATGATTCGCTGTTGTTGCTGAGGATTGTTACTTGACCATTCGGGTTATTAGGTGGATTCGTATCGTTGATTGCAATCGATGCAACTATTTCATTGTCACATCGACCATTGCGAAGCACACGATAACTCTCGAAATCCCAAATGTAGAAACCTTTACCATAGATATGTGCATCGTTGAAGAATATCGGATCGGTTAGCGTATCTTTGACCGATTCAAACAATGCCTGTAACCAAAGACCGGACAGAGTGAACGGTCTGTTCAGAACACCATAGTAGAACTCTCTGGTGATTGGATTGGTATCGGTAGCATCGAGCGTAGTAAGCAACAGCTTTGAACCGACCAGCTGATTCACAAGGCGAAATGCTTTGACATCGAGAAATACATTGAATTCCGCAACCGTATTATTACGAAAAGTGAAAATGTTGGCCGGAGCTTTTAATAGTCCGGCCATTGCCGACACCATCCCGATGGAATCGATAACACTGCTATCGCTATTGATAAGCAAATCTGCCAGATCGGTAAGAGGCGATGTTATTAGAATATCAATGGTCTCATTACGATTGGAAACCAGCTCATTAATCGAATGATAGAGTTGTGTACAATTCATGTTACTGGGTTGCGGCAGATCCGCTGACTCTGGAAAGTATTTATCTTTGGTATTCCAAAGTGATTCCGCAGGTCCACGTACTGAGATTGAACTGTTACTGAACGTTGTATTCAGAACACTGATATCCAAGTTGACAGGTGAATCCAGTGGGAGTTGACGACCGAGTGCAACCGGTATCGTTAGGAGGTGTGAAAATGAAGCACTGTCCGACTTGGCCATGAATGACAACACTCTCAGAACTGAATTGGCACCGACCGCTACATCTGAGAATCCCGTACCACTTACACATATACCCAATAGATTGAATGTACTACCCTCTGCAACAATCGATTGCAATGTAATAATATCATCGATATTGGAATCTGTATAATAGAATAGATTTCTTCTTTTTTGACTACTACTACTACTCTTTGAATGTAAATTAACTTTTATTGAATTTGAATTACATTGTTGTATATATATAAATAATAATAATAATAAACATAAATTAAAGTATAAATTCATAATTATAGTAATATTATCTGTTTATTATTTAGTTTTTATTTATTAATATATTACTATTATTATGAGTCAATCATTTATCATTTATGATTAAAAGAGAGAGAATAAAAATTAAGATTAAAGTGAGGATAACAAACACAGTTAAGTGATTAACACAGTTTTTTTTGTTTTTTTTTTTAAACATTGTCAATCTCTTTTGATTGAAATGAAATATTTTAATTCTTTTTTAAACGTTAAAATATTATAATGTTAAAAAATAATAAATAGTTAAATATTTGATAATTATAATATATTAATAAAAATGTATAAATATTTAAAACCGTAGGAAATAATGGTAAATTAATTATTCTTTATTAAGTACACCTTTTCTAGGTTTTTTAGGAACTCCAGCCATACAAACTTGGCCACATCCATTAGAACAACATAGTTGGCCATGAGGGCAACCATTTCCACATTCATTTGAACATGTTGTAGCTAGTATTGTAATTTTATAAACATTACATTATATTAATTAATTATTAAATAATTTATAATTAAATTAAAATAAGCACTTACAATGATCTTTAGTTGGAGGGCAACTAAGTTCCATTTGTTGATTGGATTCACAATTTCCAATATATGTCAACATAGAAATGATTACGATTAGGAATATTAGTTTATTCATTATTATTCTAAAAAAATAATTATTATAAATAAAATAAAATAGTTGTATTTTTTTTTATAAATAAAATGATGATTGATAATTTAAAATGAATAAATCAATAACTTTATAATCATATTTATATATTTTATATATTTTATTATTTTATTATATTATATTTTGGGGGGACATTCAATCTACTTAAATTTTAATAGATTAAAAAATAAATCAAATATAAACATATGTGACAAATTTGAATATTATACAACAAACAAACTGATCACTGATCACTGTTATTATTATTATTATTATTATTAATATCAAACTACTACTACTGTTGTTGCTGCTGCTACTGCTCTTATTAATAACTACTTCGGTTTTCAATTCACAAGCAAGCTAAACATATGTTTATGATTGATTATTGTATATTGATTGATTCTTTAAATAACTAATCAAGAAATATAATATTGTTTTTGTTATTTTTGTTTTTAAAAAAGTTTTATTATTATTATTATTATTACTATATTATATATCTGATGCAGTTGTCAGCTGGAAGAATAAGTTATTTAATTTATCAATCTTTTTCAAATCATTTTCTTTGTCTGTTCTGTGTACCAGTGTTTGTTTATCATTAGAAACCTTTAATACGAATAGTGCATCTACATATCTAAGTTTGAAAGAATATCTTGTCTAGAGAGAGTTTTTGAAAATGAAATTAAATATATATAAGTAATCGAATGATTATTTCTTGTCAAACACTTTAAAGTGATGATAATAATGAGGTTGATTTTGCATGCTTCAAACTACTAGTTTGAAACACTTCTCTGTTGACAATTATCCTGTTTCTGCTGATGCTATTAATTGTATGTACATACATGTTTGGGATCTGATCTAAATAGTGTTTCAGCTTTATCATAAAACTCTTCGAAATCTTGAATATACATTGTTTTGTGTGACTGTTGCTGCTGCTGCTGCTGTGTTTCTAACTTTCTTTATTTAACTTTCTTTTAATAAATAAAGATTTAACTATTATATGATGATCTTTATTAAAAATATATTACTTAAAAAAAAGATAGCTTTAATTAGTTTAGTTTATTTTTAAATTGGTTGATTGCACACTAAAACTTAGCACTGACTGATCAATCAAACCTAAAGTCAATCAAATTCAACGTTACAATTTAATTTTGCAAATTAATTCATCAAAAAACCCAAAAAAAAAAAAATTAAACAAAATAAAAAAATAATAAAAAATTGTGAACTTACAATTAGCTATAATTTAAATCATCACACTTTAAGTTTTCATTAATCTACCACTCAAAAAACATCAAAATTATTCTACAGAATAGTAATAAATTAAAATAGTTTATCAGTTTATTAAATATTTAATATAACTTTATTAATAATAATAATAAACTTTTTTGTAATTACTTTTTTGATTGTTTTTCATATTTTTAGTAGATTTAAATAAATAATATATATATATAAAAGTAAATACATATAAAAATCATCATCATCATCTTAATCATTGTTCATTTGTAAATAATAATAATAATAAATAAAGAATAAAAAACAATGCCATCTGAAAAAGATTTAAATAATAATAGTAGTAGCACAACAACAACAACAACTACAGATCCAAAACAACCACAACCACCAACTGGAAAGAGTGCACCAAACAAGAAAAAGGATGATAAGAAAGATGATGCTCTTGTAGGTATCTCAAAGATGTTTGTTGGAATAATAAAAACAAAAAAAAAAAAAAAACGAACCAACAACTATTTTTATTTATTAAATTTTACATATAATTAATAAACCATTCTATTATATTATATAGTCACCAGAAGATGAGAAATTAAAGACTGATTTAGAGTTGTTGGTAGAAAGAGTAAGAGATACAAATGCCGAAATTGTTATGGCATCATTGGAAGCTTTGAAGGCTGAAATCAAATCATCTACATCTTCCATGACCTCTGTGCCAAAACCATTGAAATTCCTCAGACCCCACTACCAAACTCTGCTCGATTCCTACAAGAAACTATCTGAAGGAAAACAAAAGGTAATTAGTTAATTAATCAATCAATTAAGTTAATATATTAATCAATTTCTAACTAATTCTTTTTATGATTGTTTGTTTGTTTGTTTATTGTAGAAATCATTGGCTGATATTCTATCAGTTTTAGCTATGGCCAATGGAAACGAAGAGACAAGAGACACCTTGAAATATAAATTGTTGGGATCGGGTGAATCGATTTCATCGTGGGGACACGAGTACGTACGTCATTTGGCGATGGAGATCGGTGTGGAGTACGATATCAAGAAGGAGGAGAATCAGTCGGTCGACGACCTCTTGTTGCTGGTCGACGAGATCGTTCCCTTCCAGATGGCACACAACGCCGAGCCAGAGGCATGCGATCTCCTCTTGGAAGTCGAACAACTCACCAAACTCTTTAACTACATCGACGAGAACAACTACACACGTGTCTGTCTCTACCTCACCAGCTGTGCATACTACGTACCGGGTCCAGAGGATATCAACATCCTCAAGATCGTCGTTGAAATCTATATCAAAGCCAAACAATACCCAGATGCTTTGAGAGTTGCTCTTAAAATAGATAACAATGATATTATAACAAACATCTTTAAATTAGCTGAAAAGTAAGTAACAACTTTTATAAATATATTTTGTTTATATATTTAATAATTAACATTTCATTTTATAATAATGATTATTATTATTATTATTATAGTAATAAGTCAACATTGGAACAATTGGCATTCATTGCTTCAAGACAAAAGATTGTTCCAAACAACTTTGATGTCTCGCCAGTCTCTGATATAATTAATAATACAAAGCTTAGTGAATACTTTTTGAATTTGGCAACTGATCTCGATGTTCGTGAGCCAAAACTTCCAGAGGACATCTTCCAATCACATCTTGAAAACACTACTGGTACCGCTCCAGAGTCAGCACGTATCAATCTTGCTTCCTCCTTTGTAAATGCATTTGTTAATTGTGGTTTTATTAAAGATAAATTAATGGCTGATGATGGTATGTAATTAAATAACAACAACAACTAAATAACTAATTAAAATAACTAACTTAATAATTTATTCTCAATATCCAGAAAAATGGTGGTACAAAAACAGAGATTTGGGTATTATGAGTACTGTTGCATCGTTGGGTATGGTTTATTTATGGGATGTAGATAATGGATTGAGTAAGATTGATAAGTATTTGTACTCGACCGACGAGAATGCAAAGAGTGGTGCCATCTTGGCCACCGGTATGATGTCCTGTGGTATCAGAAACGACGTCGATCCAGTCATTGCACTGAATGTTGAGCATCTCACCAATCCATCGGTTACCATTCGTACTGCCGCCGTTCTCTCGCTCGGTTTCGCCTACGTCGGTACTAGACGTGAAGACTTGCAATCGTATATCGTTCCAATCATCGAGGACAACACCATCGGAATGGAGCTGGTCGGTATCGCTGCACTGTCACTCGGTTTGATCTTTGTCGGTAGTTGTGACGACACACTTTCCACCCTGTTTGTTCAGACCCTGATGACTCGTGACAAGACCTCGCTCAACAGTACCTACTGTCGTTTCATGCACTTGGCGCTCGGATTGTTGTATCTCGGAAAGCAAGACGAAGCCGAGTTGACATTGGAGACTCTCAAGGCTATCGAGGGTGCACCCGGAGAATACGCCCGTCTCACCGTAGAAGCCTGTGCCTTTGCCGGAACCGGTAATGTCTTGAAAGTCCAAAATATGTTGCATTTCTGTTGCGACGGTAAAGAGAATCCAAATCACTCGCTTGCCGTCCTCTCGATCTCGTTGATCGCCATGGGTGAGGAGCTAGGTTCCGACATGTGTTTGCGTACCTTTGACCATCTCCTTCAGAAGGGTAACATCAACATTCGTCGTGCCATTCCATTGGCACTCGGTTTGTTGTCTGCATCGAATCCAAAGATCACCGTCATGGATATCCTCTCCAAGTTGAGTCACGACACCGATCCTGAGGTCAGCCAAGGTGCCATCCTCGCACTCGGACTCATCGGTGCCGGAACCAACAATGCCCGTATCGGTGGAATGCTAAAGGCATTGGCTGTGTTTTACTCGAAGGAGACTCACTTGTTCTTTGTTAGAATGGCACAAGGACTTCTCCATCTCGGTAAGGGTACACTCACCATCAACCCATATCACAACGATCGTACCCTTATGTCACCAGTCGGTGTCTCTGGTCTATTAGTTTTATTACATGCCGCATTAGATATTAAAAACTGTAAGTGACAACAACATATTCATATTTCTAACAGATCATTGTTCATTTTATTAATAATATTCATTTTCTATTCTTAGTACTTACAACTAAAGCTCACTATTTATTCTATTCAATTGTAATGTCTATTTATCCAAGAATGTTGATGACATTAGATGAAAATCTTAAGCCATTGCCAGTTTCAGTTCGTGTAGGACAAAGTGTAGATACAGTTGGTCAAGCCGGTAAGCCAAAGACTATCACTGGTTTCCAAACACATACTACACCTGTATTATTAGGTTTTAACGATCGTGCTGAATTGGCAACCGATGATTGTAAGTTGCAAAAACTATTATTAATTCAAATTAATTATTAACTAACAATCTATTTAATTTTTTAGATATCCCATTGTCATCTGTATTGGAAGGTATTGTAATCTTAAAACCAAATCCAAATGCCACTCAAATCCCAGTACCAAAGTCCGCAGCTAAAAAGTAAATAATAATAAATAATAATAATAATCATTAAAAAATCAAAAGTAATATAAGAATAGTATTCATTCACCAATCATTTCAACAAATAGCAAACACAACAACAACAACAACAACAACAACACATTCCCATTTGTAACCAAAAAACACTCAACAAATCCAAAACATCACCTTAAAATAAATACATAGTATATAATAAAAAACATTAAATGAAAAGAAATATAAATATTATTATTTATTTGGCCAAATTATTATTAATCTTTTGGTTTATCTTTTGAATCTGTTGAATCTGTTGCAGATTGTTGACCTAATATCAATCTGTAGGTATTGTTTGATTCGTCGAGTGTAACGTGCACCCACTGATTGTATAAAACAGTGGTATCTTGATGACCTTGTGAAATTCCAGTTTTAATCTCCACTGTTTCCAATTGAACATACATATTCAACCAGTTAGGATCTGATTCAAAAACAGTGGTGTATGGTTCGAAAAGAAATGTTTCCATTAATGGTACCAGAGGATCGATATAATGAGAACATTCGAATCCTCTTAGCGTTGCATAGTCTCTTTTGTAGAATGGATCGATCTTTGGAATCATCTTAAACTCTTTATACACCATACAACTTGGATTAGAAGATGAAGACATCCATGTATCTGAACTATCACTTTCACTATTTAAATAATTATTTCCAAGAATATCTTCATTTCTATCTATTTTTAAATAATTATTATTCTTGTCTAATCCATTTTTTTTTAAATCTATACAATTTATTCCAACAATTAAATATAGGAAAATAAATAAATATTTTAAATTTATTGTTATCATAATATTTTATTAAATAGAATGAATCTATCTATTGATATTAATCATTTTGTATTTGTTTTATCTATATGAGATGTATGTTGGACGATAGATTTATCCCCCACAAAAATACCAAAATTAGTAAAAATAAAAAACAAATATTTTCCCACTTTTTTTTGTATTTTGACGAGTTCAAACTGTTAAAAAATTTAAATAAGTCTTTGTTTTTGAACAACTAGGCTGTTCTTTGATAACTGAGGCCTTTTCTTCTTTTACAACTTTCGAATTAGAGTAGCTCCAATTGGAAAATTAACTGTGTCTTTCTTACAACAAAGATTCTTAATATATTCAAGATCTAAAATAAAAAAATCATCTTTTAAATTCTTTGCAAAGAATTTAAAATATTCTTTTTCTATTATATCCCTGGAGTCACCGATGGGGACATCATCATAAGGCACTTGACGTGGCATAGAATATTCAAGAGCTGATTTAAATGTAATGTTAAAATTTATATCAAGATTGAATTGTATTAACATTCTTTTTTCTAAAATAAAATCTAATTTTAAATTTAATGTTACAAGATTGTTAGAATTATCAATGAAACATTAGTTGAATTTGATTTACCTGCAACCGCTCGAAGAACCAGAACATTCAACGTTCACGACTTAATTCCATACACTCCCAACGACGACACACTGTTTGACCCAACCAGTTATTCGCACGGCTGAATCTGTCAGAATGACCAGATCTGTCACGCTTATCAGGTCTTGATGAGTGTTTACCATCGAGGTGATATGGGCTACGTGGTTTACGACATTCAAACGACTTCTACGAACTACCACTAATTGTTTAAATTAGGAAAGATGTCAGGTTATAGCACATTCACTAGATCTATATGGCGGTTTAAAGGTAAAAAAAGAAAAAACTGCTGTGAAAGAGTGAACTCAATTCCAAAGTATTCTTAGCTACCGTATCTACTCATCGTTTAATAAAATGGTTACTCTAATTCGAAAGTTGTAATAAAGAATAGGTTATCATTCCTTCTTTTTTTTTATAATGTTATAAATATAAACATCTTTTAATTTTGTAATAGCTGTACCAAAAACATTGATTATAATTTAATATTTCTTTAGTTTAATTTTATTTATTTATTTATATATTAATTTAGTTATTTTTTGTTTTCGATGATTTCTTTTGTTTTTGTTTTAATAAATCTTTTGGAAGGAAATCATTGTTGTGATCTTCGGATTTGTTGACACGCTTGGTTGTGCTCTTTGACTTTTGGAAGAGTTCACCTGATCTAACAGAGAGGATAAAGTTCCATACTTTGCTTGGGTACAACACACTAACTACAACAAAGGCAAAGAAGATCAGTCCAGAGTATGGTACTGATTCTTGTTCGTAGATGATCGCTGATTTCGAGATATCCACTCTGAATTGGAAGTGTTTGTTTGTCGATTGCTCTGAATCCTCGTTAATGTTGTTGATATTGACTTCAGTTGGTTCAACCTTGATATTCAAAAGTGAGTTGGCACCACTGTTCTTGTTGTTCTTGTTGGCGTTGCTATTGAAGCTGTTGATGTCATTCTCAATCTTGAGTACATAGTTATTGGACTTTGGAAGTGATCCGAAATCAACGAACGAATTGAATCCAAACTCAATGGAACGGTACAGTGAGTTATCCTTTTGGTTGTAGAGGTTGGCACGAAGACGTTGGAGAATGGCGTGGCTGGCTTGTGGACCGCTCAACTCGACATTGGCCGAGAGGTCGAATGTTGCAGTGGAACTCGATGAAAGTACGACGAAATCAATGGCGGTACGATCGGATTTGTCAATGGTGAGTTTGTATTCAGCTGGTGCCGAACGTTCGATCGATGGTTGTCCAACGATTGCGACACGATATTGTTCGGTTGGTTGTAGTCCACGAAGACGATAGTTTCCAAGTTCATCGGTTGTCGATTCGTCGGCTACCTTATTGTTGCTGGTGAGTGCACGAACAGCAATTCCAGCTTGTGCTTCACCGATGAGAGATTTCACACTACCGTAGACACTGTAGGCAACACGCTTGGCGTAGACTTCGACCTTGATTTGCTTACCCTCGAGTACTTCAATGGTTTGTGAAGATGGAGTGATTGCGTACTCCTTCAGCAAACACTTGACAAAGTATTTGCCTGGGAAGAGTGAGTAGATACCAATGGAACCGTTGGCTGGTGATTGCAAGTTGTTTCTGTAGCCTTCACCACTGAGTGACAAGAGGACACCTTGGACTGGCTGGCTAGTTTCCTTGTCGTGGAAGTTGACAACAACGGAACCGAGTTCGATAGCATTGAAGTTGTAACCCTTCTCTTCTTTCTTGAAATGATAACCTGGTTTCGATGCCTTGAGAGTGTAGTCAATGTCGTCTCTGAGTGGACCGATTTGGTAGTGTCCAGAGGCGTCGCTTACCACCGATTGTCCTACTTGCTCACCGGAACGCTCAACGAAAGTGGCGATCTCAACTCCATCGATATTTGGGAAGACTTGTCCACGGATGAACAAACCTGGACGAGCAGCAACGACTTCGAGCGATGGTGGACAGTTCTCAGTGTTGACCGAAGCGGAACGAACACTTGGGTAGAAAAGTAAGTTGGATCCGGCTGGTGTCAATGGTACGAATTGTAACTCATCTCCCAATGTTGCCATGTAAGAGTAGCTGTAGGTGCTGGGTGAAGTTGAAGATTGTTCGGCTTTGATTGTCTTGATAACGTCACCGGATTTCGAACGGACTTGAATATCAATCTTTGAGGGTGCAGAGTCACCAGCAGCACTAGTGAGTTCAATCGAACCTGTCAATTGAATCTTTTCGATCTTCAACTTGAATTGTCCACGTTGATTGTAATCGGTATTGAAAGTATCGGTGTTCTTTTCGAATTGGAAGCATGATTTGACGTCAAACTTGTGTAGACCAGACTCCTTGAGACAGAGCAAGTTACTACCCTTCTTCAATTGAATCTTGTCGGCTGTCTTTCCGTTGATTTGGTGCTCGAGAGCAACTTGATGATGTGGAGATTGAACATCGTAGTGATATCCAGTTTGGACGAATTCGATATTGTCCTTGACTTCGGTGTCTTCGAGGTTGACAGACTTCTCGAGTGACTCCCAACACCAGACATCGTAGGCGAGCTGGATCTTGTAGGAACCTGGGAGGAGATCACGGAAAATGAAGGAAATATCACCGGTCTTGGTGAGTGAGAGTGCGGCGTTGACAGATTCACCTTTTCTAGAGGTTGGCTCGAGGGTGAGTTTCATTCCGGCTGGTACTTCGCCAGCGGCTCCGGTGATTGGAGTCAAAGGACGGATCTTTCCAACGACAGAACCACGTGTTTGTGAGAAAAGGATGTCCAACATCGGTTGGTTGGTGATGGTGGTTGTGATTGTCTGTGAAACAAATTGCAATCCCTTGGATTTCTCTTGGGAGCTGAGTGAAATCGAAATTCTGTAGGTGCCTGGTACCACTTGGAAACAGAAACGTCCAGCGCTGTCTGTTTGCTTCTTCTCTTGCTTGTTGTTCTCGCTTCCGACGAGTGTGATCTCACGTGGATTCACTTTGATTCCGGCCGGTGCGGTCGGTACCGATACCTGACCGCAGAGGTCGTAGCTGACGACTTTGATGTCTGGCAACGATGGTGCCGATGGCGACATTCTGTAGTTTTGGAGACCAGAGAATGTCATGTGATCGCGTTGTGCTTCAATCTTTAAAGAACCAGCGGTAACTTGTTCTAAAATGTAGTTTCCGTTGGCGTCGGTAGTTGTCTTTGGTTTTCCGTTGACAAGGATGGAAACACCTGCCAAACCTTCGTCTTGATTCATGACACGACCAAAAACAGAGAATCCCATAACCTGGAATGGTTGTTGAACTTTGTAGTCACCACCCTCCAGCTTTACATCGATCGACTTTGGAGAGATGTCATACTTTGTTTGCTGTCCACTGTAAGAAGCTGACAAACGATACTCTCCACATGGAACATTCTTTATTCTGAATTGACCATCTACACCAGATTGAACTGTACAAATAACAGCTCCTGACTTTGCTGCACCTGCTGAACAATCGATGATTGACTTGACAACGTTTGAAGTTGAACCGATTGGTTCCAAATGGAAATCGACATCTTTCATTGGGTGGTTGTCATAGTTGATCGAACCGGTCAGTTCGAATCCCTCGATAACGATGTCTTGTTCGACATGGTAGTTACCCCAATCGAAATTCTTGATCGCTACAGAGTTGACACTGAATTGCCAGGTTGGGTGGACAGCGACAACCTCCAACTCGGACGAAGGTACCACCGATTCGAAACGATATAATCCACCGTTGGCAGTCACAGATTGAGCTACAACTTTGCTTGTTCCCTTCACTCTCAACTGAACGGTGATTCCATCCAACGCACCGCTATTTGAACATCTACGACTTGTTAGACGACCATCGACACGGAATCCACTCAACTCGAAATTGATATCATCCTTACAACTATCTTTATTGTTGAAATCAATTGATAGTTCAATTTGTTTTTTATCTTTATGTTTAGAAATAGAAGAAAAGAAAAGTAAAGAAAAGAAAAGAAAAGAAGAAAAATGAAATGTTAATGATTTGATAATTATGATTGATTGTGATTGATTGATTAATTAATACTTACTGAATGTCCAACCATCTGGACCTTCGATTTCTAAATGGTAGTCACCTGACTTGTAGACGGGCAAGAAGTAGTATCCGTTCGGTGAACATTCTGTTGATTCTCTAACAAGAGTATCCTGTACTAAGTTTATTTTGATTTGTTCGTAGTTGATGAGATTCTTTGGGAGTGTTTTAGCAACCTTTACGAATCCACCACAACTAACTATATCGTCGTCGGCATTGTTGTTGCTGCTACCGTTGGCATCGATGATTGAGACTTGCAACGCCAGCAGACAACTAACAATCATTAATATTACCACTGCATTCGAGTTTCTTCTCTGAGTAGTAGTGGTAATTTTATAACTAATTCTCATTACTAACTTATCAATTATATAAAATAAATAAATTAAAATATGAAAATCAATTGATTTAAAATTATTGTTAAAGTTCACAAAAAGTCAATCAAAAAAAATCATTCATTTAAAACGAAAAAAAAAAAATTGTGTTTAAAAAAAAATAATTTTTTAAAAAAGTACCTTTTAATAGTGTCTTGTTTTTTTGGTATTATTATTTGTAAATAGAAAGTAATAATAATAATAATTGTATCAAAAAATAGTAAACTTTTTTTTTGTTTTGTATTTTACATTTTTGACTTGCTCTCAAACCAAGTTATTGAATGAGGCCTGTCTTGACAGAGATTGATTGTACCATTGGTCAATGTCATTAAATTGGTTATAGAGAGATCAGTTGAAAATGATAAACTAATAAATAATAATAAATTATGAATATAACATGTTATAATATTTGCAAAATACATCATAGAATTTTTCTTTGGTCGTTTATATTCATACAAAAAAAAAAAAAATTTGTATTAATTCAATGAAAATTCAGTTAAAAAATGTATGAAATTTCAGATAGTTTGCAGTAAAAATTCAATTTTTTGTATTTGGAAATTCAAATGTAAATAATCAAGTTTTCAAAAATGGAAACCGAAAGATTGTTATAATTGTTTACGATGGTTAGATTCAATAACTATTTAAACTCAAGAAATTAAATCAGTTTAATCATTAAATTTATAAAATATCAAACAAATAAATTGTATACAAAGTCAATACTTATCTATCTATTAAATAAATATAATATTTAAATTTATCTTTTTTATCTATTTCATATTATAATATACAAATAACATATAAATAATAAAATGTCAGTTTCATTCTATTCACCATTTTTCACAAGATTACCAAATAACTGTTCAAGTGCAAATCCAAACAAGAATAATATTCTTTCATTGTTTGACGAAGAGTTTTGGAACAATCAAGTCAACAAACAATCAACACCAAAAGAATGGTCACCAAAATCAGATTATCAGTTGGATGAAGAGAATGTTATTATTCAATTCGAATTGCCAGGTTTGAAGAAAGATCAAATCAATATTGACATCAAAGATTCAACTTTAACAATCTCTGGTGAAAAGAAAGAATCATTCTATGAAGTCGAACCAAGTTCACCATTATCATCTTCAACAACTGACAGCTCATCAAATGATGAAGATACTCCAAGAATTGAAGACGATGATAATGAAAACCAAAGCACAGAATCAAAAGAAGCCACAAAATCAACATCTGTAGAAGTCAAATCAAATTCAGATTCCCAAACAACAAAGAAGAGATTGATCAGAAAGAGAGAGATTGTTTATGGTAGATTCAAGAGAATATTCCAACTTCCAAAAGATATTGATTTAGAATCAGCATCAGCCAAGCATGAAGATGGAATTCTTACATTTACAATTAAAAGAGTTCAACCAGAACCTCCAAAATCAACTAAGATTCAAATTCAATAATAATCAAATTTATCTTTCTTTATCTATTCTTTATACAAAATAAGATTCTTAAGGACTTGAAAATGTAAATACAAATAAATAAACATAAAAAATTAAAAAAAATAGAATAAAATTATTGTTTTAGTTTTTTTTCTTATTTTTCCCCTAAGGTTTTCAGAATTTTTTTTATCAATTTTTTATTGTTTTTGACAACATAAATGGTTGAAAATTTTTGTTAATCCAACTTTAACAACAATAGCAGCTAAAAAATAGATATTTTCATAAACTGATATGACATCACAAAACAAGTTGGATTGAGATTACAATCTCGGAATTACCTACATAGCAATACATATATTCTGAAGGTAGAACTAAGAATTTAAAAAAATTCATCTATAATTGATAGAACCAGTTTTTCTTTCACTTATCAATAATCACTTTAACTTCTGTATATTTATTTAAATTTCAATAGTTTTATTATATTATTTTTCTAAAGTTAAAATACTTACACCATATTCCAATAATTATTTTTCTTTTCATACTTTTACACAGGAGAATGAAATGAGAAATTTTGTAGTTTTGATCAGTGTGTTAAAAATATTAAAAACTTCATTTTTTTATATTATTTTCAGACTCCTATCAATACACATTTATGTGTTTGATAGTATATATTATCAAACATATTCATTTATTTGTCAAAAACTATACGTTTGAAATACTAAAAGATATTTCAAAAGAAAAACATATAGAACGAAGAAATTAATTTTGAGAATCACAGGAGTTAGAAAGATATGAATGAAAACAAAACTATATAAATCAAATGATTTCCTTTTAAAAAAGCCAAACTAACTTAAAAATATCTAAATATTTGTTTAAACTATTAAAAAAAATGTTAAAATTCAATGTAATAATGGCTACTTTGTTGGTTCTATTAATGATTTCTGGAAATTCCAATTGTGAATCAAGTAAGTTTAATATAAATGATTTGTTGTAAATTATTTTACTTATTAAATAAATAAAATTTAGTCACTGATAGCTCTGCTAATAATGCTTCTTCAACCTCCCCTGCTTTTGTTAGTGGGAGTTCGGCATCTACTACACCCTTAGAAACTCCAAATCCGATTAAACCATCTTCTGAATCTAGTTTAGATTTAGATTCTAGTTCATATTATGAATCTTCTGATTATGAATCTTCAGATTCCCATTATGAGTCACCCAACTCTAATTCTGTAACTTCTTTTTTTCCAAATGAATTTCCTACTCCAACTAACTAAATTTAATTCTAATTGTTCGATTTATAAATTATTATTAATATTAAATCTAAATATAATTCCTTATATTGAATATTAGGCAGTACTTAAATAACATTATTTTTATTTTTTGAATTATTATTATTATTTTTAAAATATTTCAAAAAATAATCAAAAAAAGCAAAAAAGTAGATTTTTTATATTGAATATTAATAAATCAAAAAAATTAAAAATAATTCTAATCTTAATTAGTCCTAAAAACGATGTCTTTTAACCTTTTATTAATAAAATAAAATACTCCAATAAAATAGATACCAAAAATATTTTATTTATTTTTGATTTTAAGATTTTATTTTTATTTATTTGTATTTACATTGAGAATCTTTGTTAATTATTGAATAAGGTATTGATAAATATAAATATGATTATTATTGAATTTGAATCTTAGTTGATTTTGGAGGTTCTGGTTGAACTCTTTTAATTGTAAATGTAAGAATTCCATCTTCATGTTTGGCTGATGCTGATTCTAAATCAATATCTTTTGGAAGTTGGAATATTCTCTTGAATCTACCATAAACAATCTCTCTCTTTCTGATCAATCTCTTCTTTGTTGCTTTGGATTCTGAATTTGATTTTGTTTCATCTTCTGTTGTTGACTTTTTCGATTCTTCTGATTCTGTGCTTTGGTTTTCATTATCATCGTCTTCAATTCTTGGAGTATCTTCATCATTTGATGAGCTGTCAGTTGTTGAAGATGATAATGGTGAGCTTGGTTCGACTTCATAGAATGATTCTTTCTTTTCACCAGAGATTGTTAAAGTTGAATCTTTGATGTCAATATTGATTTGATCTTTCTTCAAACCTGGCAATTCGAATTGAATAATAACATTCTCTTCATCCAACTGATAATCTGATTTTGGTGACCATTCTTTTGGTGTTGATTGTTTGTTGACTTGATTGTTCCAAAACTCTTCGTCAAACAATGAAAGAATATTATTCTTGTTTGGATTTGCACTTGAACAGTTATTTGGTAATCTTGTGAAAAATGGTGAATAGAATGAAACTGACATTTTATTATTTATATGTTATTTGTATATTATAATATGAAATAGATAAAAAAGATAAATTTAAATATTATATTTATTTAATAGATAGATAAGTATTGACTTTGTATACAATTTATTTGTTTGATATTTTATAAATTTAATGATTAAACTGATTTAATTTCTTGAGTTTAAATAGTTATTGAATCTAACCATCGTAAACAATTAAAACAATCTTTCGGTTTCCATTTTTGAAAACTTGATTATTTACACTTGAATTTCTGATAGAATTTCAATTGAATTTTTAAGCAAAACTGTCCGAAATTTCATTTATTTAGCTAATTTTTTTAAAAAAAGTCCTTTAATTGTCTTTTTCATTTTTATCACACTTTCAAATAAGGTCAATGAATAGTCGATAATATTAATAGTCCAAAGAAGTGAATAGTTTAGTTTATTTCAACTTTTTAAGTAGAGTATATATATACTGGTATCTACAAGATCAGGGGAAAACGCTGTTGAAAGTTCAACTTTACATAAATCAGACCAATGTTTGCTTCCTAATCTGATAAAATCCAGCAATTCGTGTGTATCATAATCACCATTAACATTGTAAACCACAAGTTTATCGTGAGTAATGTTATAGCAACCAAAAGTGAACTCACAGGTGAACTTCAAATGAACTCTACTTGCATTCAACCTGTAAGCTGTATGACAAACGATATCTGCAAATTGTTCTAAAGAAGGTTTCTTACTTCGAAATGATAAGATATCATATTGCTATTGTCAGTAGAACTACCGAATTGGAAGAAATACTCGGTGAGAACCTCTATTGAATAGCTATCGACCATTGGCCAAGGGAAATCCGATTCTTCACTGGTGATAAGAGATCGGTAATAGATATGACGACCGAGTTATCATAGTCGTTGATATCGATGGTACTCGTTTTCCAGGACAAAGTCCGAACTCTACTTGATAGAATATGCAGTCATCTAAGGTTTAATAGAGAACGGACACTTCTGACTGTTACCTTTCGTTGCACCTCTTGCCGACGATACTTGTGGTTTCGTTCTCATTCTATATAATTATGACTATTCTGTTAGATATAATAATCTAATTAAATAAATAAAAGTGCAAATCTATTGTTATAATTTTAAAATGAAAAATTAATTAATGATAAAAAATTTATTGTTGGTGGGTGAAACAATTTTATATGTGTGGTCAGGATACTCTTTAAAATATATAATTTGTAAGAAATTAAGATTGAAGAGTAGATTAATTAGAGATGATTTTTTTAAGAATAAAAATTATAAATTGATTTTTTATTAATTTTGTTTCCAAATTATTTAATTGGTTTGAAAAAGTGGATCATTTGGTAAATTCGAAGATTCTGAATCAAAAAAGAAATCTGTAGATTCAGAATCATAACTAGAATCAGAGGAAGTTTGAATATATTTCGATTGGGAAGCAGAATCTGTAGGAGTTTCTGAATTTATAAATACAAAAACAGGGGAGGTCGATTCTTCTCCCTCTGAACTATCAAAGACTAAGTAATTTAGATATAAGTAAGGATAACTATAAATTCTTTTTTTTTTTTTTTTTTATTCCAAAACTTACATATAGTTTGTTCACAATCTGCATTTCCAGCAATCAATAATAAAACCAATAAAGTAGCAATTAATGTAATGAATTTCGACATTTTATTTAATATTTTATAGTATATAAACAAATATTTAGATATAAGTATAACTTGTTTTGATGAATAAAAATATGAATAGATTTGTTTAAATAGTTTTGTTTTCATTCATATTTTTTTTTAACTTCCAGTTATTCAGGAAATTAATTTCTAATTATTTTTAATTAATATATTAAAGATATTTTTTAAAAATCTTTTTGAATTTCAAAGTATACTTTTAGATAATATGTTTATACGTTTTTGATGTAATACACATATAAACGGGTCTGTATTTTTAGTTTTTTTTTTTTTTTGGAAATTTTTTTTAACCCTGATCAAAACTACAAAATTATCTCTTTCATTCTCCTGTGTAAAAGTATGAAAAGATATAAAATCTGAAAATAGTCAAGTAATTATTGTAATATAGAGTAAACATTAAAATAGTGCAATAAGAATTCAATATTACAATTAAATTATTAAAAAAAGTTAATATGTAGAGCTAAATGTGATCATTCGAGTTAAAAATAATATATAATTGCTTAGATTGTGTAATAAATCCCTTTTGGTAGTTAACTCTCTAATCTAAAGTGTATGTTTTTTGTGGTGTGCGTAATTCAGACCGCGATAGAGAATACAGTTCAATTCAACTAGTTTGGTGATTTAGAATAATAACAAATAACTCTGTCACCAAGGTGGTTAAAGTTGGTTTGACATTACTATTCTTTCGTTTTTCAGTTTATTTATTATTAAATATTATAAAAAATTGAATTGAATCTTTTAGGTAAAAAAAAAATAACAATTTCCTTTTTTTAAATTGTTTATATTTATTTAAATATTTTTTATTGGTATTTACATGAGAAGATGAAGAATATTTTTAATTATTAATATTGATAAATATATAATTCTTATTGAATTTGGATTTTAGTGGATTTTAGAGGTTCTGGTTGAACTCTTTTAATTGTAAATGTAAGAATTCCATCTTCATGTTTGGCTGATGCTGATTCTAAATCAATATCTTTTGGAAGTTGGAATATTCTCTTGAATCTACCATAAACAATCTCTCTCTTTATGATCAATCTCTTCTTTGTTGCTTTGGAATCTGAATTTGATTTGACATCATCTGTTGTTGACTTTTTCGATTCTTCTGTTGCGATTGATTTTGTTGATTCTTTTGATTGTGGGCTCTGGTTTTCATCAACATCTTCTTCAATTCTTGGAGTATCTTCATTATTTGATGAGATGTCAGTTGTTGAAGATGATAATGGTGAACTTGGTTCGACTTCATAGAATGATTCTTTCTTTTCACCAGAGATTGTTAAAGTTGAATCTTTGATGTCAATATTGATTTGATCTTTCTTCAAACCTGGTAATTCGAATTGAATAATGACATTCTCTTCATCCAACTGATAATCTGATTTTGGTGACCATTCTTTTGGTGTTGATTGTTTGTTGACTTGATTGTTCCAAAACTCTTCATCAAACAATGAAAGAATATTATTCTTGTTTGGATTTGCACTTGAACAGTTATTTGGTAATCTTGTGAAAAATGGTGAATAGAATGAAACTGACATTTTATTATTTATATGTTATTTGTATATTATAATATGAAATAGATAAAAAAGATAAATTTAAATATTATATTTATTTAATAGATAGATAAGTATTGACTTTGTATACAATTTATTTGTTTTGATATTTTATAAATTTAATGATTAAAATGATTTAATTTCTTGAGTTTAAATAGTTGTTGAATCCAACCATCGTAAACAATTAAAACAATCTTTCGGTTTCCATTTTCGAAAACTTGATTATTTACATTTGAATTTCCGATTGAATTTCAATTGAATTTTTACAAAAAACTGTCCGAAATTTCATGTAAAAATTTTAAAATTTTTAACATATTTTGATTCCTAATCTTTGTATAGGAATCAACAAAACAAACTAATTTATTCATAATGAGTGATTCGGAACTCATTAATTAATACTTGATGAATTCTAATCTAATTGGATAGTTTGATTGCTTGATTGATAGATTGTAGTAATGAAACTTACTGCATTAAATTGAAGTATGAAATCGACTGCTATTCTATTTTAAGGTTCACTTTGTTCGTCTTTCCATAAACCTGAATCTTGCTCTTCGATGTTTGATTTCACATCTTTTTATATGTATGATTTTACAAAGAAAATTATATTTTTAAATAAAAACAAAAAGTACAAATATTATATACATAGTTTAAATTGTTGCCCAAAAGCTAAAGAATAAAAAACATAGTAATTTGATGAGATATCGAAGAGAATTTGCTCTTTATGTGGTTTTTGAGAATAGTCTATTCTAACCTACAATCATTGTTTTTAACAAAAACAAAAAAAAAAGACAAAAAAAAAAGAAAAAATTTAAATTAAATTTTATTTATTTCGATTTTTCAATGGTCACCTCGCTTTCAACCTCGATACATTAGGAATGTAAATGCAAATGATATTTTAGAGGATATAATCTTAGTTGTACGATAAACAACCACAAACAATCTTATGACTGTACTTTATGTTCTGATTAAAAAAAATGATCGGAATTTTATGATATATATCATAAAATTATCAGGGCTTCTAATTTCTCAGGTTGGTGAAGTCATTTTTATCTTAAGCGACCAGTTTTATTTTTTTTCGACCCGTGACATCATTTGAATCTACATTTTTCAGATTATCAAGATTAAATAAAATAAAATCTGTGTTTTATTCAATTCCGCATCAATTCCAATTTATTTTTTTGAAAAAGACAAGAAATTTAGATTCTCCAATACCAAGCCGAAAGTATAAATGTAACTTTTAAAAATTCTAATTTTTCATTCAAAACATTTTGTTTACAATATACAAATGTTAAAAATCTCTATCCATATCGATGATTTTAGTCCTCAGAGACCGTAAGTAATCTTTATTATTTTTAATCAGCATTTTTCATTTTTTTTAATTCATTTCTAAATCTATTTAGACAAAAAGAACATTACCGTAATAGTAGATCATATCATAATGGTAAAAGTAGAAGTTGGAAGAAAACTAGAGCTACAGAAAAGAGACATGATCTTTATTCCTATAAATACAATGTTGGTTTGATTAATTGTTAATGAATAAACAGATAATTCAAAGCTAAATTTTGAATTCACATCAAGATTCTATCAATCTTAAAAATGTAAATTATAATAAAATAAAATTGTAAATTGTAATATAAAACTAGATAAATATTTAAAAATGAAGTGTAGTTGAGTCTTTCAACAAAAACAAATTTTTTTTTGAATTATCATAATTACCTTTTTAAAATAATATCGAATAACAATCTTTTACATTTATTTGAAAGGAATCTTCTAGAAATTAATTAATTAAATTAATTTCTAAAAATAAATCTTATAAAAAAAAAGAGAAGTTATTATACATATTTGTATTTTTTTTGATATCATTATGTAATCTTAAAATGGAAAATAATGGAGGAGGTGATGTCATAAAATTTTTTTTTATTTTCATTTAATCTTTTTTTCAGCGGGTGTCACAAAAAAAACTTTTCAAATAATTTTTTTAATTATGATAATTTTGTTTTTTTTTTTTTGCTTTTGTTTTTTGCAATCAAAAAAAATGAACATAGAAGGTGCTTTTTTTAAGAGCAACACCAATAAATCGTTCAAAATAATAATCATGTGATTATTATCAAACAAACTACCTTTTTTCTTTTTTTTTTTTAATTAATTTAATTTTACTCTTTTTTCTTTAGACTCAAGGCATCCATCTGCCGACCTTTCGTATATTTATTTACTTTATTTATTTATTTTAAAAAATCAATAATTTTTATTTTATTTATTTCTATTTCCCTGTACAGTTTGTTGTTTAATTAATTAAATTAAAGCAATTATTTAGCAAACTATCACAATTGTATACATAACTAAAAAAAATAAAGAAAAGACAATCAATATAATTAGCTATCACCAATCTATAATCATTTAGATCTTCGCTTTAAGAAATTAGACGATATATTATTTTTATTATTATTATTTAGGTAAGTCAAACTACTACTACTTCTTCTTCTTCTATCTTCTATTTCTTTTCTACTTCTATAGCTATCATTCTTTATTTTAGATCTTTAAAAGAAATAGGAATTATATCAGTTAGTTTGTTGTTTTTTTTTTCTTTTGATAGATGATATCTCATTATTAAACTTGTTTTATTGTCTTATTCACAAATTTGATATATTGGACCCAGGTGATACCTATTCCGATCTTTTCTTACCAAAAGCCCCAATTGGGTATCATATTTTGTTTGTGTTTTTACCATTTATGTATAAAACTATGACTTTTTGCACTACTATATCAAACTTCAAAATTAAAAGACCTTTTTTTTTTTTTTTTTTGATAAAAAAAGCAACAAATTGTTATTACACTCAATCTGTCTATTAAAGTTTAAAACAAGAGTTCACTCATACAATTGTTATTAGTATTAATTTCAGTTGAATAAAAAGTATGAAAAAACACACCGATATAGAATGAATAGATAGTAATTTAAATTGCTCGAGTGAGTTGTGAAACCTTCTTTTTCTTTTTCTTTTTGCAATAACCCATTGTAATCTTTTTTTTTTTTCATATTTTTATATCGATAGAAAGTTTTATAACATCACACACATACCTACCCCCTTATATAAGGCAGTTCAAAAAAAAAAAAAAACCAAAAAAATTAAAAAAAGAAATTCACACCACCTCATGAGCAGCTTCTCAACATTATAAGAACTAAAACTGTTGTTCATCTCTTAAATTATCATAACAGTAACATTCTTTCACTTTTTTTTGGTTTTTTTAAAATTAATTTCAATTTTTTTGGTTTTTTTAAAAATAATTATTTTCATTGTCATAATAATATATTATAATTATTATTTTTAGTATAGTATATATATTTAGTTTTTTTAATATACATGTTTTAAAATATTATATTATATAAAAATTTTAAAAGAATTAATTGTAATTTAGGTGATTGATTTCTAGAATTAATTGTATTATAGATATTTAGATTTCTGTCGACAGAACAACTGGAATATTAATATATAGAATTGGAAGAAAGAAAATAATAATCATCATTATTATCATTTTTAGCCATAAGTAATTTATCATTTCATCCACTACCTTATAAAATTCATACTATTCATACGATTCATTTAAAGATCGATATTTTTTATTTTATAAATCATAATATTTTTTTTCATAATCCAACCCATTATCATAATGAAACATATTATTAGATTAAACTATCCAACCAAATACGTTTATTTTCACGAATTTCAATCAATATGCAAAAATGTTTCTTTTAAGTTTGCATCTTTTCTACACACTCTATCCATCTGACCAAAAATCCAAACATTAAAATTTAATCTAAAACACAAATTTGCAATGGTCTGGTTTTTAAGGTTAATAATATAATTAATATAATAGATCGGATGTGGTGTGGTTGGGTATATAGCAGTTAATTAACTGATTAGATTATCTTTTTCATTACCACTACTTCCACCAAATACCCCAAATCCCACCAAAACTTACTTTGTGCTTTTTTTTTATTTAAATAATAATGCAAATTTGAATTTTTTTTTT